GAGCACTGGCTGGGTATGAGAAGGCACTGGGACCGGATCACCCGTCGACACTCAACGCGGTCAACAATCTCGGTCTGCTATACGCTGACCAAGGCAAGCTGGACGAGGCAGAGAAGATGTATCGACGAGCTCTTCAAGGCTTTCAAAATGCACTAGGAGCAAACCACACGTCGACCGTGACAGTTATGACTAACTTGCAAGCGCTGCAACCTCAGTTCGGCAGTGATACAAGACCGAAGAGTACTCAGAGTGTAGCGCCATCAAGCAGGAATGTCCCCAAGAAGTGGTGGAAGTTCGGAAAACGAAGCTAAATGGTCGTTGTCCGATGTTGTATTTAGCGAAGTTATACATCTGTATCTTACATGCGCTAGCCATGCGATACCGTCAATACCGTACATTTCCATGATAACACTAGTGGTAATGGGTTATCCATTCGCGCATGGTCTAGCCTCTTGAAGCAAGCTAGCCCCCCATGGTGTTCTTGGCCTTGAGTTGAAGAAGTCGCAATGTGCCATCAAAGGGTAGGGCGGTTTCGGGAAGGACTGTATATCTGAACGCGAGACATAAGTTTCCCTCTTCCAAGTCTACTTCAGCTAACCAGAATCTCTCTAGCCGCCAGCGCTGTCAAAGCATCCTTCATAAATACGGACATGCCTTTGCCGAAGGCGGGTCGTACCCGATTACGGGCAACCTTAAGAACTAAACTCGGAACTTGTATCCACTATTTGAAGGGCGAAAGCAGCAGCTGGGAATAGGTATAGGAGACTGCAGAAAGGACCGTCCTGCAAGAAGATCAACCAAAGAAGCGACCTCAATCGAAGGGGGAGGAACAGAAGCCTCTTGTGATCCACGGACCACAATACCACTGCAGAAGGTCATTGGAGAAGGATGATCGGCTTCTATGCGCATTCAACGAAGCGAACAATATATTCATCAACCCAGGGCACACTATGGCTTTCAAATGAAAATTGTCATGTGGGCCCTTTTCATCGCTCACTCTCCCACTCTCGGATGAACATCGATCTCGTTGCTATCCTTCTTCCCTTGGTGATATGCCCAGAGTCTTTTGCCGCCGTCCCTTTACCACCTCTCTTAAGCCTGACATTATTTTCTTTTGGAACTTCTTCTGCCGCTTCCTCCGCCAGTTTAGAGACCTGGAACAGTGGCATTTGCATTGCACTCTTGAGCGTGTCTTACGGTCAGTATTAATCAGAAGTTCTCAGGGTCCGCAAAAATGAACTTCTTTTACCTTCTTCACCAATGTTCACCAATGTTCCTGCCATAGCTTCCAAACTGCCCAATATCCGACCAGAGTGGGAATGCCATGGGTCGTAAAGGAAGGCCACCATCCTGTCCCCAAAGATCCTGCAAGCAGGAAGTCGCCAGTACCGTTGATACCAATACAAGCCAGCAAGACCACCGCCGCCCGCCACTCATCGCAGGCCTCAAGGATCAGTAGAGCAAGCCCCAGGCAATGTTCTCGTACGGCAAAAAGGTAAAAGAATGTATCCATCGGCTTGTCGACCGGTTGCGGAAAGCACGCCGCGGCTGTGAGGCTGCGAGGGCTGACCAGAGAACCGACGAAAACCCCCAGCAGCATAACTGGGATGAAGTACGCGACGAGGTATTGTAAGGACGGGAGGGAGGAGAGGATGTCCATGACGGCTGGATTGAAAGGCGAACACGATGTCTGGTGGAAACTGTTGCTCCAGGAGATGTTAACCTGCGAAGATGGCGTGGTTCTGTATCCAACGCGAAGACGTTGCCTTTTTGTAAACGGTTACGCTCACGCCCAACGTACAGGCGCCCTCTTTATAGAAGTACCTGTCCGTCCTTATGCGGGCGAGCGATCAATACAGCCGCTTAAAGCCGCCGCTCTTCTGCTTTGCGGTCAGCGTAAACGACGATGCGGAGTAGGTGGTACCCTACTTAGGGCTGGAGATAAGGGTGGAAGAGCGTCCAATCAATTGGATGTGTCCAGACCCTTGGAGCCTGTGATGCACACAGCCTACTTGGGACCTGGCACACGTGACAGGGCTAGCCCGTTGCTACACGTTTCGGTGCAAACCCCAAATTTTGGCCATTGACACCCTGGGACATGTAATTTTACGGAGGACTTGTTCTATTTCGAAGGGGTCCAAGGGACTGTCAGACTATATAATTCCGAAGCGTGTACGAAGCGTACAATGCCACCGAGAGTTTTTACAATCTTTGGCGCCGCTACCCATCACAGACAAATCAGGAAAAACATGTCGGATCTTTCAGAATCGTTGTGGCATCCATTGTTCGGGCTCTCGTACAGCCTTGTTGGCTGTATGGAAGATACCACGCCTGTCGCCTGTGCGTAGGTTACACGTTTACGTACGAATGCATCTAGATATCTATATAGACTGCGTCCTGTGCGCTGTTATGTTGCGCACGGACAGAGCCATCTCTCAGAATAATTGATTCTCTTACACAGCGCACTACCCCAAAGTGCAACAGCATCTGACGAATGGTAGCAGAACTATCCTTTACAACGCATCGAAGGTACGTAACACCATCAAATGGTAGAGCGTATTGATTGTTCGACGGGTCTAGGTAGGATGAGATTGGTGAGGTGAGAATAATTTCACATCGGCGGTGGTGCTCGTAAGTAGCCAGAGGCCAAATGGGTCTTGAGTGCATCATCTGGCGAGACGGTGTCAGCGTAGCTACTCGAAGAAATGATGAAACCTACGATTACTAGAAAGCTGTTATGCGATGATAGGGGCTGTTAGATCCGAGCACGCCCTCCCAGAGATCATCACAATTTCGCCGTCCCAGGGCTTGCAGAACCTGAGGATACAGAAGACCCGCCAAAGAATATGGATGAGGGACAAACAAAAGGCAACAGGAGCAGACCGAGGGGGGGAATGGTGTTGTTGCCGCCATATTTCTAACCCATGAGGATATCATACTGAAGCAAGGCGTCAATTTATGCATATTTGTATACTCACCACCTCTTGAATAGAAAGCATTGTAGATGTGACGGCCACGGTCACGGATTCTGTCGTACTCGGCATTATGGACCCGACCAACAGTCGCAGGAGCCTCTTCACCAGCACGGATGATACCTTCGGAAAGGCCCGACCATCCTCGGAGGAATGGACGTTGTCCCCAGTCACTTCCTCGTCTTCTATGTCTGTGTTGCTCTCAACCTCCTCTTGCCGTCGCTTTTCACGCACTTCGACATCATGCGGGGTGTTAAATTCCGGGTTCGTCTTGCACCGTTAGGGCTGCATTTCCGCCGGGATGTTGGGAGTAGGGAACATAGCTGAGTCCGTATTTTCGAGAAAAGGCTCGTCACTGTTGACGGGAAGTAGTGCTACACTCGTCGGAACTCTCGGCCCGGCCTCATGGTATGTCTAATTGGTTACGGTTCAACTATTCAATACCCCAGCCCATACCCTTTGACTCTGGAGAAGAAAAACGGTTTGTCGTTTCTCAAATGGAACTCGGCCCAATCGTTCGTGAGCAAATTGTAGCTCCAGAACCCTTTCCACTGCAACTTGTTGTTCTTGGTCGTGTGTCGGGAGCGAGCGGAGCCGGCAGATTTCAGCGACAGATACATCGTGTACATGTATCGAGGGCCGGCGCCTTCGGTTTCTATATGTAAATCACCCGGGGAGATGGGTGTTGTCGGGTTCGGGTTGTTGGATGATTGTGAAGGTTGAGTGGTAGCTGATGCTGTGGCATTGGTATCCCGAGACCCGACACTAGGATGGCACAAACGCCAGCGGCCACGGAGAGCGTGTTTCATGACTTGTTGCGCCGATGGTGGAGGGGCAACATTTGTTGTCGTTGGAGCCCCAGAGGTCGACGAGGCAGGGACAGATTCTTTCAGCGATGCCGGTGCCGGAGATGTGAAGTTCAACAGATGTCCTGCTGCTTCTTTTTTGCCGGTGCGGACAAAGTTGAGGTTCTCCGGTGTCAGATGATGGACTACTTCAATCGGTTCATGAGTGGTGAGAAGTGAAATGCACGTCCCATTGCGGAAGAATCGCAGATATCTGTAATACGTGACGATATGTATGGGGTTGCTCCAGGTATTTGCCGTGGCCGAAGCACCCCCTGGTCTGGTATAGTTGACGGTCGAAATATAAACGCCCGTGAAACGGATGCGAGGATAATTGTGAAAAACCTCGCGCCAGACTGTTTCTTTGGGAAATGAAAGTTCCATCGCTATTGAAAAGGTCGGAATCTCGTCGTCTTCGGATTCCACTGAACGGAAGATAGCTTCCCGACCTTGCAGGTCCGTTGCAAAATTGTATTGTTGACCCGCGAGTCCAAATTCAGGGCCCAAAGCCACACGTTTCCAAATGGCGTTTTCCGTCCAAACATGATATGCAAGCTTTTTGCAGACCAGAGACAGTCTCACGAATAGGGCTGGATCTCGGATTGCCACGTGCTGAAGCAATCCCAAGAGCACCTCTGTTGGAAGAGCCTTGATACCACACGGTGGGGGACAGTCGCCTTGGATGATCGGAGGGGCGCCCATGATTTGACAGTCGGCGAAACTTTCGATTAATTGAGCAACGGTTAAATTTTCTGTCGGTTCTTGGAGTGAGTGGTGAGCGGTTGAAGGAACGGTTACAGCAGCATTGGACGGGTCTGGATTGGTGGGTGTGGGCTTTGTCGGAAAGTGCTTGTTTTTGTAGGACTGATCAACTTTGGCATCGAGTTTGTATGCTTTCCGATAATGGGAGAGGCTGTCGCCTAGATTTCCCTGACTCTCCTTTTCTATGGCGCGTTCAAAATGTTCCAATGCGCTCCTCGGTTCACTCGAGGAGCTTTTGGGAGTAAAGTCATTATCATCATCATCACCATCGTGTCGAATGCCGAGCCCTTCGATGCGTTGAACCACGCTTGAGCTGCTACCGCCTGCGTGATCGGCATCGCTGTAATGGTCGGAGTCATCTTTGATATTAGCTGCTGGGTGGGGGATGGGTGGTCTGTGGATGGGTCTCTCTGGTCGTGCATCACTCGGTCTTCTTGTTTTCTCGGGAGACTTGGGTTCTGAAGATTTCTTGTCCGACTTTCTTGAGCGGGCACTAACTTCTTCTTTCCATCGTTGTCGGAATTGTTCGAGGGCTGATGCTGATTCATCCATGGTGTCGAGGGGGAAGTGTACCAAGAGGCTTTCTATTGAATGAATCCCAAAAATAGAATGAATCAGAGGTATGGAGGGATTTTCTCTCGACCAATAATACCAGAATTCGAGGCTGAGATACGAGGAGATGTTGTCCTTGGTGCTGGTGATGGGGGAGATGATCTTATCCGGGCTATCTCCGATACGAGCGATCTCGGCGCATCCGATAACGGCCGCGGGATGATTTGATTTCTTTTTTGCTCGAAACTTCATCTCCATGTCATAACTGCCTACTCCTCTATTTCCACCACGACATCCACGAAAATAACTACCATTGTGCTGGAAAGCTCAACCTCGAGTTCTCCTCCACGCTTTTGGTGTTTTCTGGCTTGAATGTCCTACTCGTTCACTTCAGAACCTGCGCAGTCATTTGACGAGCATTCACACCCTCAACACGCGCTCGGTCATGATGCTCAGTCACCACCAACGGGACCACAGCATGACAGAGTACAGTTCCCGGAACAGAATACCAGCATGTCAAAATCAGAGGATCCTGAGATCACCACCAGTCAACGTATGATCTCCGCGACCTGGGGAAGCCTGCTCACTTCTTTACTTGGTACGTCATGATGTGATGAACTAGTATCTAACACTTTGTTGACCGTCGTACAGTCACACCTCTCGATGTCGTTCGTGTACGATTACAATCTCAATCTGCTCCCACCACCTCGATCCTCTCTCGCTCTCCTGCATATTCCACGTCTTTCAAGCAATTACCACCAGACCTGGGGGTCAAGGCGTGTTGCCGAGAAGTATTTTTTGTGGGCGATAATGGACCGTTTTGCCTGGCTGGAAATGGAACTGCACAAGCCTCATCCGCCGCCGCCGCCACCGCCGCCGATTGTGCCGTCGAAGAAACTCAACGGAGAACATTTCACTCAACACTGGATGGCCTAAGAAAGATTGCTCGGAATGAGGGATACCTTACACTCTGGCGTGGACTTTCTCCGACTCTGATGATGGCTATCCCGGCTAATGTCATCTACTTCACGGGGTATGACTGGCTTCGGTACAATCATGCCAGCCCAATCAAGAAAGCCTCCAACGACACTTATGCACCACTAGCCGCAGGCTCGATTGCTCGAATAGCTGCTGCCATCGCAGTTTCACCCATCGAAATGTTCCGGACTCGAATGCAAGCCACACATGGAAGTACCACCGGAGTATTCAAGGACACCTTGCTTGGATTGCATCGAATGACCCAGACGCAGGGATATTCATCCCTTTGGCGGGGCCTAACCCTGACCATGTGGCGGGATGTTCCTTTCTCGGGGATATACTGGTGGGGATACGAGGCTATCCGGAATCAGTTGACGGACGTCCGTGAACTTGCCAGGGGCAAAGAACTCGACGCCAACCGATCCATAACTAGTAGTCGGAATGCCCAGAGCCATGAAAACCACGCGACGACATTCATTGACAGTTTTCTCGCCGGTGCGGGTTCAGGCGTTGTGGCTGCACTGGTGACCACGCCATTCGATGTTGGCAAGACGCGACAGCAAGTGTATCGTCATGCGGGTGATGACGCGAGATCCGTGGCAGCGGCCAGAGAAGCTGCAAGAACTGGCAAACATATCCCCGAAGAGCTATCAATGCCACGATTCCTGTTTCATATTTTCAAAGAGGAAGGCATGAATGGGCTTTTCAAGGGATGGGTAGCAAGATGTTTAAAGGTCGCCCCGGCCTGTGCCATTATGATAAGCAGTTATGAGATGGGCAAGAAGTGGGCCAAGAAGATGAATGAGAAGAAAGATGATGCCAAGGCGTTTGCTTGATCTGAAAACAAATGCTTATCCTTCCAGCTAGAACGACATCGAATATCAGGAAGCGTCTCTGACAGCAAGATGTTGGCGATGAATGTACCAATACTGTACGGCCAGATATTTTCTTTTGCATGGCGGGGCGCAATTGAGAATTATGCACGGAGTTTTTCCCCTGCCGATACTGGTAGCTTCGATTGAACGGCAGGTTTCGTATAGAACTTCAATTCGACTCTCCTAGTGTGCTATATATACGATTCTCCCAGCAGAAGTTTCTCTGCGCCGTCGAATCCCTTCATGACCAGCGTATCTTGTCCACGTTGCTGCCGATGGTCGCATCAAACTCCTGTTATCTTAGCCCTAGGAGGCTGATTCTCTCGGCCTCCATCTGCACGTCTTGCACGGCGGCATCCAGGCGGCCATCGGGTAAGTACTTCATAGAGCGAGAGTTAATTCTTCAAGACAAGGGATGACATCTTTTGATTGAGCCCTCTCTACGGTGCATGCCTACGTGCGTATTGTGTATATATCGACCCAGATCCTAGGCGCCTCGAGCGAGCCGGACCGAGGGAAGCACGGTTTGGTATTGGACGCGTTCCTATCGCTGCTTTACCGTAGGCAGATCCCTCACAATACAATATCAACCCCTCACTGTGTGTCCCATCGAATCACTTCAGCCAAAATCGTCCAAAGAATCACCAAATTGTCCAATGATGGAATCCATGCTTCTTCCGTCGGAAAGCTCATCCCCGCATCGCATTTTGTATCCCGTACCGAACAGATGGACTGGACAATGGACAAGACCCCGTGCTCGCTCCTCTCATCTTCCAGCACTTTCTCTCCTCGACACTGTCATATCTGTCCTCCCTTTTCCTTTTCTCTGGATCTTGTCTTCCGCCTCATTATCACTATTGTCAGAGAACTACAGTCAAAGCTTGACTGGGAATAAAAGGAAAAGAAAAGAAAAAACGAAGAGTGTATCTGCGTCTGTTCTGTGAAACGTGGGAACATCTGCATTTTTGTTCTGCCCTGATCGCAGCCCCATATCATATCATCGCTCATTGCCGCTCTACGATTCGGCACCAAGCCAACAACGACTTGCCTTGCACCACTCGAACAATCTTAAATTCGACCATGGCCCCGGCTCTTGACGTCTACGACGCCTCATCCAAAGAGAACCGCACCGTAGGAGCCCTCGGAAAAACCGTCTCGGGCAAGCCACTCAAGATCCGCTCGTACCCGAAATTCAACTCGCTTGAAGAAGAGCGGTTGTACCGGAAGCAGCATCTTGCTGCAGCGTTTCGCGTGTTTGCAGACAGAGGCTTCGACGAGGGTGTTGCCGGACATATCAGCGTGCGGGATCCGATTCTTAGGGACCATTTTTGTGAGTACCGCCCTGTTTCTGATCTCTTTCGCTTCGCGACGCTGTACCGCCTCGCTACCTCAAGGAGGCGGGGTGAGAAGTCCACGTTGGATCTCATCTCAATGATAACATGACCCTGAGCGAGTATTGAGGAAACATATCAACTGACCCAAACACTCCCAACGTCAGGGCTCAACCCGCTCTCGCAGCACTTTTCACAAATCTGCGTGTCGGACTTAATTCTTGTCAACGAAGACGGCGAAGTCGTAATTGGCGACGAGCCCATCAACGCCGCCGCCTTCGCCATTCACTCTGAAATCCACAAGGCGCGACCCGACATCGATGCCGCATGCCACGCACACAGCGTGTATGGAAAGGCCTTCTCAGTCTTTGGCCGCGAACTCGACATGATGACACAGGACGCGCTGCGCTTCTACAAGTCCCACGCCGTCTACGATAACTTTGGTGGCGTCGTCTTGGATCGTGAGGAAGGTAAACGCATCGCCAAAGCCCTGGGCAATGGGAAAGCTGTCATTTTGCAGAACCACGGCCTGTTGACCTGCGCGAAGACCGTTGATGCTGCGGCGTTCTGGTTCATCAGTCTCGACAAGACTTGTCATGCGCAATTGCTTGCGGACGCGGCTAGTGCAGGTAGTGGGCACAAGAAGATTTTGATCTCGGATGAAGAAGCGGAATTCTCGTATGCTCAAGTCGGCACGGATGAGAAGGGATGGTTGGCGTTCCAGGGGTATTATGATGAGCAGCTTGCCAAGACCAATGGGAGTTTCTTGAAGTAGTTAAATCCAGCCAAGAGAAGTAGTAAGATATCCATCGTGCTTCTGCTTGTCGAAGCCGAAAATTGCCATGGTAGGGAGGCAGAAATGCAAAAATGAAGGCTCAATCGTGACCTGGTTGCCACCCGTCTTCGAGTGTCTGGATTCCTCATCATCCTCAGGGCGTACTCCACTTTATCTTATGGTTGAATCTTAATTCGTCGGTCTATTGGTCACTTGGCAAAAAGGCTACTAGGCCACATGTCGAGACATTGCTGGCGGGGATGGTCTGGGAGTCGAGAATATGTCTCTTGAGGAATAAACAGGAGAAAATTCTCGGTCGCTGCTTTAACTTAATCCCCGGCGCCGCTTTAACCATATGCTTTGGGGAAACGATTTTGATTGCCTGCATACATTTTCGGATTTTGGCGCGAAGGACAGTTTGGATGCCATGCATTTACCCAATCCCAACACAGCGAGCGGCGGTGGATGTCTCGTCTTCGCTGGCTGGGTGGATTATTGCCAATGCGCATTGAGCAAATTTCTACCTTTTCAGGACCCCTTTTGGCGCTATCCTGGCTTGCAGGAAAATTGCCTGGCGTCCATTCTTCCATCCGGAGACGAGATGGTCAGCTGGGTTGCGGTTGCTTTGTATTGACTCGGTATCACTGATGATTCAAAGTTTTGATCGCATCCAGTTTATCCATCAGCGTAAATAGACTTTGGCGAGAATCCATGGCATCCACCAGGCTAGTGATCTAATTAGGACTTCCCCTCCAACCCACGTCGTCCCGTTGGATTGAAATCTCAAATAATCTCTGATGGTGCATCCCACCATAAGCTGTACCCCGCTTACTGCCGAAAGGGGTTACAAAGTTGAACGTTAGACCGAGGAGCGGCCTGTCTTTAGTGACACACTGGTATAAGTATCAGGTACCGCCACCTTCTAATTCTACAAGTCGAGTCATAAGTTAGCCATTGAACTCTTGAATATTTGAAAGGGCACTGTTACCTGAAGCGAATCATAATACCAACCACGCCAAGATGCCTACCGGTAGTTGCTTCTGTGGAAACATCAAGATAGAATATACAGGCGAGCCCGCAATGACGGTGAGTCGTTATCGCCAGATGTCGTTTTGGATCACTGAATCTCTCTCTTCCCAAGGCGCTCTGCCATTGTGCCGACTGTCGCAAGATTTCAGGCGGCAACTATAGCAACAACTTTGTTGTCCCAAGCGAAAACTTCAAGATCACCATGGGGAAACCCAAGGAGATCTCCAAGATTGCTGACACCGGGAAATCAATCACTAGCTGTTTCTGTTCTGATTGTGGTAAGTAATGTTGTTGTAATTGAACTCTTACCTGCGGTTTTGGGACTGTGGGGAGGGGAACGAAGTGGCTTTCATATCGAGCATGGCTGACGCGCTTCTTCGGCTAGGAACAACACTATATAGATACGGAGATTCATTCGGCGGGGTCGATGGAATGAGGATAATCAAGGCTGGTATCCTCGACGACGTCAACATCATTAACAATACCAAACCGGGCGCCGAGCTTTTTGCACCCGAACGCATCAAATGGGTTCCAGCTTTGGATGGTGCGGGTCAGGTTGAGGCTATGCCGCCATCTTAATAAAAGACATGCGAGGAAACGGGCCAAATAGTTCACATGAAATAACCAATGAGAAACAAAATATTGAAAAGATCTCATATCTTGAGAGCCCGCGGTGTCGCCGGTCCAGTGATGTGAACCATCTCCCCATGAGGGTACGAGTATCCTATTTCTTTGGAAGTCAACACTGTTGAAACGGCTACATGGAAGATTATGACTGAATTTGATGGTGAAGAAAAGTCAAAAGTGGTCCGTTGTCCGGCACAAAGGGTTCTTCCCAAATGTAATGGCAAATACCAGGGCGTCCGTCAAACCCCTGAACGCTGCCTTAAGAATTATCGCTTGCCTGAAAAAGATGCGTGGGTATCGTAAGGCGTTCGAAACGCTTCCAAAACAATTTCGGTCCAAAACAAGTCTGGCCTCGATCAGCCTTCTCGAATAAAAGTTAAATTTCTTCGTCATGTGGAGTAGGACTTCCGGGTGGACTCGGTGTCGTGACCTTTTTGGAAGGACTCCCAAGAGGACCTTGAGCAACCATTCTCCTCGACGGACTGGGTAGGGGAGGAGCAGGGGAGTTCCTCCTGGCGGGACTTGAAAGAGGACTCGCAAGAGCTAAACTCCGTGCACGAGCATGCAACTTGCGTTCTTCTTCTCCATTCCAGTCTTTGGTGAGTTCGGCGCGAACTCCTCGACTCCATTGTCGCACGACATCTTCAAAGGACGTCCAAGTGGTACTATTGTCCACCCCATTTGCAACGGCCATGACATCTAATCGAAGCCGAAGTTCCCACCTCAACTCTGCAGCCTTCAACCAATATCGTAGATTGTCAGCCCGTCGGTACGGCTTCGCAACATCGTCGTGAAAGGTGTTGATGTAGTCGAAATGTCTTTTAGACCGTTTGACGGCTGCATTGTGCATTCGGACAAGATCTTTGCCATCGGCCAACTTCCGGAAATAATCAGGATCCTCATCGGACCGTTCTTTCAAAGGATTTTCACCGTGCCCTTTCAGGAGGAAGTTGAGGAAGTTGATGTCCCTTTCCTGATCTCGGTTTGTCCATTTGGCGTCATCCATCCAATGCCAATCCTTTCTTTCGTGTTTATCCGCCTCTTCGAGCTTGGCTTCTTGATCAATCATCATGCCCACGTCGCTGACCCACACTAAAACAGCCAATCTTTCGTCTTCACGTAGACCGCCGGCAAAATTTCGCGAAGCACACTTTTTCAATACATCCAATACGGAATAGAGGTCTCGTCGTAATTCTTGATCTGACCTGATGGTATTTAGCCGCTGTGGGTTGGGGTGAAGGGTGTAGTAGATTCTCGCAGCACGAATCGCTTGCGTAGCAGTGTCCAGCACGTGTAGGCCTTGGATCTCATAGAAGCCTTGAGCTTGTTGTTCGGGGTCGTCGTTGGATGATCGTTCGCAGGATTCCACCGCGTGTAAAGCATTTTCAAGAGCTTCAACCAGGTCCCGTTTCATGGTCTTTTGATCCGGAGGTGGAGCAACATATGTTGATCGGTGACTGTAGGTTGATACTGTTGGAGGTAGCATTACATCGACGCCATCTTCCTGAGCGGCTTCCCACATAGCTTGAACCTCATCATCAATGGGTGATTCGACAACATCCTGATTTGCAGCCAATGAAAATTTGGACATATCATGTTCTCCATCCTGTTTCTTTTTTGCCATCCGCCCCCCTTTCCCATCCAGCAGACCGGTTCGAGCGAAATAATATTGGAGATGAGCAATGCTGCCTAAACTCATGACACTTTCTCGATTCTTGGCCGACTCAGCGAAGGAACCTCCTTGTGGCCGAACATAGCCACGTCGACGAGAATTGGTTTTTGAATTTGAGGATGCATTGGAATAAGTAGAGAAACTTGAGATAGAAGATATTCCAGAGACGGATCGATTGGATGAAAGACTGGCTGTATCAGGAGTTGGAAGAAGGTTCGGCGAGGGTGAGGGCGATCGAGAAGGAATATTTGTTAGAGAGGAGTCTAGATCTGTCATGTCGAGAAGCGAAAGGCGTCGAGGAGGCTTCAGTTAAGGGAGCACGAGGAGGGTAGGGAAGGAATGAAAGATGTGTTATGATACTCTTTGGGAAGATAAAAGAGGCTGAATGCAGTGGCTGGTCAGCAGGTTTCACGAATAACAAAGTTGACTTGGTAACGAGAGTAGCAAAGGCGTTTGAGTTTGTTTGGAGCACAAGACAATTCATAAGACAAGAGGTACCTAGAGATCGAGATGGTGATGGAAATGGAAACCGGGTGAAATTGGATGGGGGGACGCTAGCGACAGATGAAAAAAAGGGGGGGGAAGGGAGGAAGGCGCAGGCAGGCAGGCACTGAGATCTCCATCAAATATTCGCCCATCAAAACCAAAACTACCCAACCTGACTCAAGTGAATCTTGGAGACTAGTACCTCGATAGACATGAAACACACCCATTTTGTCGTTTTGTTCGTACCTTTCCGGGGTTGAAAGAGAAAGATGAAATTTACCCGGGTGACAGTGGGATTTTGGGTTTTGATTGTTGACACTTTGGTCGCGCATTTGACGCGTGCCAGATGGCAGCCGAGTCTTTTGAGTTCTGGGGGTTTCCAAGGGACCCCAGAGACCTTCATACAAGTAATGAAACTGCCCCGCATTCATCTGGAGGCAATATCAGAACTCCCCAACTGAGAAGAAAGTACTAGATGGATGAGATCTCGAAGGACTGATCTAAAATCTGCTCTGCTCTGTGTGATATACAACTCTTCCTATCGGCAATTGTCGCTCTCACCATGACGAAAAGAATTGCATTTACCGTGCACGGAAGAGTCCAGGGTGTCTGCTTTCGGTAAGTTTCCGTATGACGGATACCTCGTTTCAGAAACCATCGCGGCGTGACAAACTGTCGCTGATTCCACCCGCAGTGACTTTACTCAGAAGAAAGCAAGAAGATACGGCGTCACAGGCTATGTTGTGAATACATCTGACGGCAAAGTTGCCATTGTGCTCAGTGCACCCACCAGACCACTTGGCTGACTCTTACTAGGTCAAAGGCGAGGCCCAGGGCGATGCAGATGCACTAAAGAAGTTGACGGCGGATCTGAATGAGGGACCCAGAGCGGCTCATGTGGTAAAGCTGGAAATAAAGAACATCGAAACGAAAGAGGGCGAGGGTTCGTTTTCAGTCAAAGTATAAAAGGGTATCCTCGTATTACCGCAAGCCGCTTGCGCTGCGCCGGACATCGTGATCAGGAGCAAGGTAATTGGTGATCGGGATACATACCGAGTTCTGGAGTTGGCTTCTCGAAAAGCATACATCCTTCCTACACGAGTCATGCGGTACATCCAAGCGAGTCAATGGTTGAACCAGAACCCCTCTGGAAAGCGCGGAGATATGAAACGTGAGCAATTGCATCGCCAAAGAAATTTGTAGCAATAGGCACGAAAAGGTCGTAGATCGAATCAATATGCGAGGGAAAAAACAAACCGATCATTCAGCCTCGAGACAGGTCAGGGCAGAGCCGAATTTTCCCGATATTTTGCTCATTTTTGGTGCTCGATTTCCACAGCCTTCTTGGGCATTCAGCCTCTTTTCTCCCGATCCTCGCCGATCATATTGAGTCATATGTGGCGCGGGATTGCCATTTGGTCGCCGATAGCCACATCGACATTGCCACCCATTGCTCTCGAGACAGAGTTTGTGATTTAGAATCTTGCTCTTCAACATTCTTTCCGCAGGCAATTTTTCAAAATACGGCCGTGTCAACGATCTGTCTAAACTCGGAAAGGACATACTGCTAGATGCGGCAAAGTGTTGCGAAGAGCGATGGGAAACGCAGGAAGTGGGTGCGCAAACTGGGGGAAATTGTAGGAAGGCAACAAAGGAACAGATGGACTCCATAATAAATTCAGTGGAGCCCGAGGAGCTGGACGAACGCCCGCCAATCGGGCCCAGATCATTGTCACGGGGTACAGCAGCAGCGCTACATGGTCCTGTAGGAGCATCACAAAAAGTTCTGCTATTATTGAATGCTACCCGGATTCTGACACAACGGCAAGATACGAAGCATGCTCCCTCAGGCTTGCCAAAATTATCGCATCCGTGCATGGCAAACCGCGTCTTGCTTGCACCCTTGTATTCTCATTTCCATTCCGGGCGTCCAGAGGTTGATATATTTACCCTCCCTTCTTCCGTTCTGACTGTCTTGGGCTTCTAGTCCTGGTGCTCTCCATACACATCCCACAAGTACTCCTTGAACGCTCTCTCTCTTGACATTAGTCTTACCATGAATTCCTCCAAAGTTCTCTTCACTCCTGCCCTGACTGCTAACATCTCACGAGCAGCCAGCAAAGGCCTTTACTCTTCCACAGCTACAGCAGCAGGACTCAGAGCCAGCTATGCCGCCATCAGACCATTCAATTCTCCTCAGCGACGGAACTTCTCAGTCTCCCACAAGGCTCAATTAGAGTTCTTCCCCCCTCCAAAGAACCTTCCCAACATCAAATTGACGTACGCCTCGACTCGTCTCGTTAAAAGACCTCCGAACTAATATTCAACATAGAGCCCCAGCATGGCCTCACCATGGCGCGACCGAAGAACAACTCAAAGGCATCGAGATTGCGCACCGTGAAGTCCGCAACGGCTCGGACTGGATTGCATACAACATGGTCCGCTTCCTACGCTGGTGTACCGATCTAGCCACTGGATATCGTCATGATCCCCAGAAACCATATGTGATGAACGAGAGGAAGTGGCTGATTCGCTTCATCTTCCTTGAGACTGTCGCGGGTGTGCCGGGTATGGTTGGAGGTATGCTCAGACATTTCCGAAGCCTTCGCCAAATGAAGAGAGACAACGGATGGTAAGTACGGCTGGCATGATTCGTTGGGTGGCGATATACTAATCAGACCAGGATTGAAACGCTTCTCGAAGATGCCTACAACGAACGAATGCACCTCCTCACCTTCCTCAAGATGGCCGAGCCTGGTTGGTTCATGAAGCTTATGATCCTCGGAGCTCAAGGTGTCTTCTCGAACGGCTTCTTTTTGGCCTACCTAGTTTCTCCTAAGATTTGCCATCGTTTCGTCGGGTATCTAGAAGAGGAGGCCACAAAGACATACACATACGCCATTGAAGACTTGGACAGTGGAAAACTGCCCGGATGGGAAAAGCTCGAAGCGCCCGAGATCGCCATCAGGTATTGGAATATGCCAGAAGGCCACAGGACAATGAGAGACCTTCTGTACTACATCCGCGCAGACGAGGCAAAACACCGGGAAATCCACCACACTTTGGGCAACCTCAACCCGGCCGAAGATCCAAATCCGTTTGTGTCCGAGTACAAGGATCCTTCAAAGCCTCATCCTGGAAAGGGTATCGAACATATCAGATCCAAAGGCTGGGAGAGGGAAGAAGTTATCTGAGTTGTCTGTTGATTGGTTTTAGCGAAGACTTGTATCACTATGGGACGGGAATAAAGAAAAACCATCGCGCGCAAATGAAGCCGCTCTGTACATTTTCTTTGAATGGGATTGGGTGCGCACGTAAGGCGCGGGTCACGAATGTCCAAAGACCAGAGAGCGGCTTTTTTTTTTAACACACAGCTCTTAATGACTCGGAAATCAGACCGGTTGAAGCAAGACTGGCTGCGCCCCTTCGGCATGCAGGTGGCGAGGCGCAGAATACATAAATAAATGCATGGACCCGAGATAAGCAGGCAAACACACTCTCCAATCTGCAGAAATAAAAACCTCCCAAACAACTCACCTTTCTGGGACAACTTGAATTTATTCATGTGTCTTGTTTGTAGAGTGCCATACTGAGTTCGAGAAGACTGATGTCAAGTTTGCAAGGGTTCTAGAAGCAACTAACTGCCAGATTGGTGGTGAATCAGGTTTTTAGAGTTCGGGTGGGCCCACACTTTCACCTAAGCTCCAGCCTCCGAGAAGCGCGTGGTGCACCGTCTCCAGTAGCTTTCCCTGGTTCGCTGGCTCTCTCGAATCGTTAATCTCACTCCAAACAAAATCCACTGGCACCCTTTGGTGGCTAGCACTGGGTGCAAACCACCAACTTCAACCTCCTGCATCCATTCACTCAACCGCCATCAAATCCAACAACTCGCGCTCGCATCTCGTTTCGACTCCTCGTTCAATTCTTATCTTTGTCTGATGTTACTGTACCAGTCATCGACGCCTGAACACGTCAACCACGCACTTGTTTGTCCCGCTTCGTGAATGCATGCATATGAACAATATTGCAACGCAACTCAACCCTCTTTGGGGTTACTTTGTTCTCACAAATTGACCAACTGAGCGGACCATAAAGGCCAGCGCATGCTGTCTGGCATGACCTCCGCTCTCCGCCGTCCATCGATGGTGGAGACTCAGAGCGATGTCGACCTCCATCAATTGCTCGTTCCTACACCCACCAACGACGTACCTCCTCCGCATCAATCTTCTTCCGCCTCTTCCGGACCCAGCAGCGATGCTGGCTCCTTTGTGATTCCCGACAATTTATCACGGAGTAACTCGGTCTACTCGTTCTCGAGGGCCTCATTTAGCAGTCAGCTGGCAGGTCTGACTTCGATCAATTTGCCTCAAGCTGAGTCCCTCGCGGCGACAGTCACGACTCTCCCGAGCGCTCGAAAAGCCATCAAAGCCCTCACTAGCGCTGCAGAGCAAATACAATCATGGAACAAAAAAGCTCTAAAAGTCTTGGAAAATCTGGATGCCGACGACGATGTAGAGTGGGCAGCCGCCGCCGGAAGATTAGGATTGGATGAGACGGATAAAACAATCAACAAATTTGAAAACCTGATTAACGTCTACGTCCTATCGATCGAAGAATTGCAAGCACGGCCCGACATAGGAGACGTCAAAGCGGAAGAGCTGCAGGCCGTTGTCGAGCAGATGGAGGTCACTTTGGAGGGATGGGACAGCGTCCGCAGAGATTTGAAAAAAGTTCACGAACAAGTGGAGTTGGCTATGGAATGGGAAGAACTATGGAGCAAGGTACTTGGAGATGTCGGGGCGGAGATGGACAGCCTCAGTCAACTGGTATTTGAAATGGAAGAGAAAAGACATGCAGCATACCAGGCCCCGACACCAAATGGCCCCAGTCAAAATATCGACCTCAACGAATTGGAAAGCTTTATCGACGAACCCTCTCAGAAACACACCGCCCCGAGTTCTCGTTTCAGCCTACCTCCCTTCGAATCCTCGCCGTTAGGATCCCCTATAATCGAAAATCCTCAAGATGACTCAAACTTGCTGGCTCTCTTCGCGCGGATGCAACCGCTGAGAGCGTCCCTTGACTTTCTCCCGATGCGACTGTCGATGTTTCAATCTCGGGCGGAGAAGATTTTCCCGATAGCCTGTAAGGAGCTGGATGATAAACGAGCCCGTTTGGAAAGAAATTGGACAGAACTTTCGAAGGAAGCAGAAAACTTGCGACGTGAACTCAGTGAAGACCGATGGGTGATCGTCTTCCGTAATGCTGGGCGACAAGCACAGAAAATGTGTGAATCGGTGGAAAGAAGTATCGTCAAAGTTCAAGAAGCCGTTAATGAAAACTATCAAACAATGAACCCGGCGGCTCTGGCAAAGAGGATCGAAAGTTTCGAGGCCAAGAAGATGCATTATGGACCTGCGATCAACCGAGTGCTCGCCATCATTCAAAAAGGCCTCAAGGATCGTTTGACTGTCAACGGAGAAATCCTCCGTCTTCACAAAGACTTGTCGTCGAGAATGCGAGATCTGACCGACACCATGGAAGACTTGGAAACTCTGCTTGAGCCGTACAGTACTCGACAAAACTCACAGCTCCGCGAATCCATATCTAGCATTGTGTCGGCGGATCGGTCGTTCACCAGCACCACATTTGCAGGAACTCCAGGCAGCTCTCCGCCTTCGTCGGTGGATCTGCCTCCCCAACGGATGGAGAAAGTCACGCCCAAATATGGTCTTAACGGCTACACCAAACCGCGGACTTCATCTTCGAGTAGGCCGCCGCCGCCTTCTTCCTCCAACAAACGGGCTTCATTGCTGCCTCAGGCAAGACGGCCCACAACACCGATGTCGCACGTTAGTGGCGGCGGAATTAGACGAACTGCCTCCCCTTTGCCGGGACCTCCCTCTGTGTATCGTCAGGGCCTATATACTCCTCCGGTGGTGCCAGCACCACCTCGACCCAACCCAACGCCTTTCTCAAACAAACCAAGGTGGTCAGCTGTTGTCAAACCAGATGACGGTACTTTGGCACCGACATATCGTTCTTCGTCTCCGACTGCTCCATTGACTGCGCGAAGATACACACCACGATCAATCTCGTCCAGCACCGCTTTGCCACTAAGGAGCCCCTTGAGTCGGGAGACCTCAGCGTCGCCCTCGTCCATGTTGCCAACACTTGCCAAACGAGAAGGTCAACAATTCAAATCCTTCGCCGAACGTGTCGCTGATCCATCGCCAGCGAGGACGAGTAGCTTGTTGGATCCGGTTCCTTACCATCGAGGACGAAACTCAAGTGCCCCTGTGGCCGGCACTATCCGATCACCCTCTTCACTCGCTGTACACAGCCACAACAAACCGACGATGAGCGGAGTCACGGTGCCGAGGCCGTCAACGTCACTCAGTAGGAGCTATGGCCCTTCTCAAGGACTCCCGTTGCGGTCCATTGCTCATAATTCCCGGGTGGAAAACAGAATTGAAAGCAGCATAGGAGAAAGCGTGGCTGATTCGGAGGAGCTGGACAGGGCCAGTGAGAACGAAGACGACCAAATCACGGAACCGAATTCGAGTCCGTTGTCGAAGCGAACAATTACTCGACCAAGCAGTGTTTTAGCAATGAATGGCAAAGGAAAGCGGATGTCATTACTGCCGGTTCCAGTTGGCAGCGGCAGGCAAAGCTCATTAGGATCCAGGATCTCCTGAAATTGAGCTTCCAGCAGGTCTGAGAAGCACACACGGTCGTTTTGGGTATGGGAAGCGAGCCATCGAGTGTGGTGTTTGTCAGCGTACAAGCGAGTTTGTGTTGAGTCTCCCTTTTTTTTTTTTTTTTGTTGCCTCGTCGGTCATTCGGTCTCAGACATAATTGAAAATGCAATTCCCGCCCAAGCTTAGGCAGAGTGATATGTGTGGCCTTTAGCTTCTATTGGTCTATTGCCGACATCTCTCCAACTTATGATTGAGAGGCATTGGTCTCGTGTATTTTGTTTCCAAGTAGCAAGCCACAAGAGTGACTGTTTCTGCGACCCTATGGCAGCAGTACAAGCCAGTTGCAACTCCAGATTCCCGAGCAAAAGCCCTCGTTGTGTCAGTGGTCGGTCCCTGTGTTGTATTTGCATGAGCATGGACTTGTCGGAAGGGACAAGTTTTTCTTCCTGTCGAGATCCCTTCAGTAGTCCCCAATCCCAAGTTCTCTCCAGCCTTGCACGGAACCTGCGGGACACCACATGGCTTTCGGGTTCATCGGTTTCCGCTAGCCTCATGCGAGCTGCGACTGACCAGGACGAAACGTCGTACTCCTTGAGATGTACCTTCGTACGCCCGTTCATTCGTATTCATGGCAAGTGGTCGATGATGGTGATACTCATCAACGATATTAAAGTCCCGACCTCGGCATGGAGAGCGCGGAGTCATTGATGAACCCTATAAATCTTGCTTCAGTTCTTGATATGGTCTCTCCGAATGCTTGTTGGGCTACCGAATAAAGACCCCCCTCCTCTCCATCGACTTTATGCCTGTTCCATCCTTCTCTTTCGTTCTTTTCGCCGTGTCTAGCTGCTTCGAAATGAAATATATTTATGTATAGATACACTAATATACAACTTGGGTGACCAGCAGAAGGACATATCATCTGATAATGATTCTCAGGCTGTGCTCTTGGAAACTGGTATTTGCGGGCATACTTTACATACTACTGGAGTAACAAGCGGCCTCGGGCAAACACTCTGGTCCTCTTCCGAAATCGCAATGACCTTCTACCGTTTGATAATCAGGAAGCAAATTTAAGGTGAAAATTCAAGCCTTCTGCACCCACGGAATCTACACCGACCGATACGCTAGCCTGAATTTATCATCACTGAAAAAGCTGGTACTGCGTGGCGTTCGGTTCGTGAGCGGGGGTTTCTTCGCAATTTCAACCTCGGTCCGGTCGCATCTCGACTCATCTCTCGAGTCCGGTGGCCTTATGTGATAGCGGTACTTGTTAACGGCTGTCCTTCATAGAATATCTACGTACCGTCCGACCGACGAGTTGATCAGGGGGGTGAACTTGAGTCAAATCCAAAACACTTCAGGATTTCTCTCCGGTGAGGTCCTGATTCAGAGAAAGAGCCGCATCTAACCGACACCGAGACCAACATCAACATCCTTGTGACTATCAATGGCGATCGTTGAAGCACTGTTCTCAATTTCAGCGACGCGGAGAGCATAAAATCATTATACCAACACGACTTCGATCTCTCCAAACCATTCTTAAAGATCAGTTGGAGGAACCTAGGTATTCTCCGACTGAGGGTTTTGCATTGGGGACTTTGAATCACAAATAAAAGCCGGCGGGGATTGAACTTGGAGACAATTGGGATTCAAAAGGAATTGAGCAATCGTTCCTCGGACCACGAAACTACCAATCGCACAGGCCTGAACAAATTTCAATCCTCTTCCATCATGGCATCGACGCTTGCTTCCAAACCGTACAAAGAAGAGCAGATTTTTCGCCACTACAACTCTTCCTCCGCGGTGGCGTACGCGCAGAACCGGCTAAGCTATCCAGACAAGCTGATTGATCTAGTTATCTCCCAGCATGTGGCTTCTGGAGGCGACACCAATCTGCTTCTTGACATTGGATGCGGACCGGGTACCGCCACTCGGTCTCTTGCACCGCACTTTCAACGTGTCTTCGGCGTGGATCCCGGCAAGAGTATGATCGAGACGGCCAGAATGTTCCCCAGTTCCACGAAATCCGGCATGCCCGTGGAATATGTGGTCTGTTCCGCAGAGGAGATAAGTACTATTCCCGCACTGGAGGAGTTTTCGAGCGGACAAGGAAGGTTGGAGTGCGTCGACCTCATTACGGCCGCCACCGCCGCGCACTGGTTTGATCTCCCTCGCTTCTACGGCGAAGCGGCCAAAATCCTCAAACCCGGCGGTAGCATCATCTTCTGGGCCAGTGGGAGATTTTATGCCAATCCAAATACTACGCCGAATGCGGAAAAGGTGCTGGATCTGTTGGACAAATTCGAGTTGGAGGTCATTGGCGATTATGAGGTGAAAGGCAATCAGCTTTGTCGCGAGTTGTATGCCTCCATGGACTTGCCTTGGGTTTGTTCAGGAGAACTCGATCCGGGGTTAAAGGCGTTGTTGGGTGTCTTTGACAAGGATCAGTTCGTCCGGTTGGAGTTCAACAAGGATGGCCACGTCGAGCCTGGAGAGACGTTTTACCGAGGCGGCAGAATTGACTTTGAGCGCATGAGGCGTTTGCTTGGGACAGGTAGTCCAATCACAAGGTGGAGAGAGGTGAATAAAGAGAAGTTGGAATCGGGCGAGATTGAGGACTGTGTGGATGTGCTTATCAAGCAGTTGAAGGAGGCGATGGAAGAGGTGCCGGAGGGGAAAGGCAGGGATTATATTGATAGTGGCAGCTCGTTGGTTGTGATGGTTATGAAGAAGAGGAAATGATGGTCAAAGGAAGAGATCATAGTGTGAGAAGAGATATGCTCGCACCGTGTCTTGCTTGCGGTCAGGGCCATCACGATCCGGCCAGCAGTGAAAGAAGGAATTTTGGGGTCTCTTGTTTTAGACAAAGTCTATCTCTCCACTCTTTTGCAAAAGAGGACGAAGATCTGCATCCAACTCACCCTGCCCGCACCCAAACATCGCCGCTTTAAATCCTGCTCACCCTCCCACGTCTTATCCGATCAGTATTTCTTAGGATCTAAAAATGGCCAGCGGCGCTAGTCCTGCCCTCTGCTGAAGGAGGCCCCAGGCCGAAGCTAACGCCACGGCCGGGGGGCACATACAGCCGAATCCCGTCCTGGACAAGAATGAGTTCGCGACCCTAAACCATGCTACACCATTCGGAACCCTCAGATTACCGATCCATCGACTCCGCATGCTGTTCCATTTTGTACACATCCCATACGCCAACATCCAGCCACAGATGACATGTACGCGTTTTCGCTTTTCAGCGCAGTTCCCCTCCCCCCAACCCCTCATGCCAGAAGAATCAAGGCACATTCGCCATATCTTCCGTGTATTCAGAAAAGAGATCATGTCGAGTGAAAGGAGCTTCTTCAACGCTGCGGGCGGAACATAATGTTAGCATATACCGCAACTAGAGAGGGATGATAGCTCTGGATAGATGTACCTCTCGGCCAGAAGTTCAGCTGCTCTTTCTGCAGATTCCATCGACCCCGTGACATCGCCCTGGTCGATTAGTCTCCAAGCCAACAGCGCTTCGTCAACGGCTGCTTTGGCATAGACGACGGCCCTGTGCCACCTTGGAGTTGATTCTCTTCCTTTGCCCTCTGTCCTACTCTTTTCCAGGCTCAACTGCCAGTAAGCCTCTAGGCCACATTGGTATGCAATAAGAAAGATGTAGTAGAAACTCTCGCATGTTTGCCGGATTTGTTGGAAATAAGTCCGACTATCGGCGGTAGGCATCAGGTCAATATCTTCAATCTTCATTACCCGGTGACCGTTTGCATATTTCCCCCCAAGGAACAGTGGGTTCTTATGTGGCCCGTGTCGATCGATAAATTTGAAGAAGTAAAAATAATTGCCGTCGCACAAGACCGCTAGAATGGGAATTTGATATCCTCTTTGATAGTTCATCCAAGCACATGCTGTACGTAATGTTAATCCATGTTCAATTAAGGACCCTGAACCATACCGCCACATTCAGTAATGACTTGCGCAACACAGTTGAGACGTTCCCGCGAGCTTCCAATGTCCAGTTTGACTTCGATGAAAACAACCGTAATTCCGCCGTAAGTCTGGAATTGATATTCTATACGGCCTTTGGTCGTGATCCGGCCCTCTAAGATTGTTTCTGGGGTATTGAACAGAAGACCGCCAAACATAGCGACAATTTGGTTGAAATACTACTCAGACGTTAATAGGAATCAAAAAGCCCCAAGGCTGCCTACCGCTGATAGATAGCGTGATCTAGCTTCCTCATTTTGGTGCTGGCCGACGGGGCCATATTGCTTAGAGAATACTCCAAGGTCTCGGATGATGCCGTTGAAGACATGGTTCGGGAGTCGGGCGCGAAACATATCAAAGGTGCGTATATCATTTCCTCGTGCATGTGGTTGCAGTCCAACCAGGGGAGCGATATCTGTATATTCGACTTTAGAAAAGCTAACCTCGAGATGATTTTCTACATAGCGGGTGATTAGAAGATACTAGTGACTTTAGAGCGGTCCACTTACCTCTCAGTAGCTCTTTCAAGCGAAGCAAGTTGAATGAATACTTCCTCATCGACTCAAGGATCATGACTTTCGCTTTACTTTCATTCGCCACGATCTTCAAGACTTCTTGCACCAACGCCTGGTCGGTAAGGCTATTCTCGTCGCTTTTACCGCCATTATCTGCAATCAACGAATCGTGATGCTCGTCGTCATCGAGTGCCGATGTAGGGCTTGGAAATGCCGTAGCCAACCCAGATTTCGTAGAGAGGTAGGCTGGCTTCTTTGGTGGTAAAGGAGCGGGGGGACTAGGTCGTCTCTCATCCGATTCACCGATAGAGCGCGATCGCTTGGATCCCGCCATACTAGAGTTGGAGCAGGTAAGTCCACGCGCGCCCTGCGCACAAAGCGGCGGCACCCTAAATCCCGAGGGTCGACTGGCTGAATATTTCTCGGATCTTGGCACCAAATGTCGATCGACACTTTTTGAAGGTTGCAGCTTTTTTGGACCTCGACAACCAGTAAGTCATTCCATGACAACGGGACGAATTTCAGAGGTGTAGACCTCTATTTAACCCTGTCGCGCTCTTTCGCTAAACGTTTACATTTCGCCAAATCAACTAGAGAGTTTCAAATCTGCATTATTCTGCGGCGCAATTGACCGCCAATCTGCGCCCAGCCCAAAATGAAGCTCGTCAGGTACGTTACGTCGCTCAACCTCACCACCGTCTTCTCTTTTGTTTGGACATTCCTGCTGAGGCGAACCATTTCTTGCTTACAGTCTCCGCTCCCCTAGTACCTTGTCCATATCTGTTGGAGGGGGACACTTTCAGCTAATACTAGTGTCAATTGTAGGTTTTTGATGAAATGCGCCAATGAAACCGTGACGATCGAACTAAAAAACGGCACCATCGTCCATGGCACAATCACCTCGGTGTCGCCGCAGATGAACACGGCATTGCGCGCCGTCAAAATGACGACGAAGAATCGATCAAACCCTTCCGCGGCAGGAGAGACGATCTCGCTTGACACTATCAATATTCGCGGGTCGACAATCAGATATTACATACTGCCGGACTCGTTGCCGCTTGATACGCTACTTATTGATGATCAGCCGAAGCCGAAGAATAAGGCGAGGAAAGAAGGGGATGGTGGACGTGGTGGAAGGGGCAGAGGAGGGGGGAGAGGGAGGGGGAGAGGTGGAAGGGGACGGGCGAGAGGGAGAGGGTTCTAAAAAGAGTGCTCAAAAGAGATGCAATGCAATATGTGGATGTTGCCCGTGGACCTTCAGAAGTTTGGACGGGCATTACAATATGGTCCACGTCGAGAGAATGACAGATTTTGCTGCTGGCTATGCGCTACCTCTCGGGTCCCTATTTGCCGGAGAGGGAATACGGCTGAGAAAGCATTGCGCAAGAGATCTTCTTGTGTTTTACCTGGCGGTAATGATGTTTCTCTTCAGCATGTTCTAGCCTTGGCTTCGCGAACGGAGCCACAACCAAGCGGGAAAGGTATGAAATGAGATTAACGAATAACCCAAGTCCAAAAATAAATCGTCAACGTTAATGTCAACGTTCCTCCAAAAAGCAGACCTCTCCAATGGACATGGTTCGGAGCTGCATGATGAAAGTCCTGGCGCTTGGAAAAAATCATTTTGTCTTCCATCGTTCAAGTTCAAGACAGTGGAGCGGTGGAAAGGCGAAGCCATGCAGTCGATTGCTGAAATGTGTAGGTAGTTCTGCAGAGAAATATCACAACCTATTCCGAATTCCCACCACCATCACTATCACTGTCATTGGGCCGTGGCCGTCCACTTATGTCGGCGCGACCAGTTCTTACCCACGACTTCTCTGCCAAGCAAAGTCATTCTCGTCAATGAATGGATTTGTCTCCCCTATACAGGTCCACGCCCAAATCGAAGAACAATTCCAAATCTAGGAAAGAGATGGACTAAATACCTCCCACATAGCTTTATTAAGGACAATGAGTTGGTTAGAATGCTTATCCAGAACCCACTAGGTGTTTCCCCCAAAGTGGATGTGGTTGAAAGGTTCCTTGTCTATCAGTCAAGTAGTTCTACGAGGGGAGGAGCTCAATTCAATACAATACGTGTGGTTCCAGGCTGAAGGCAAAAACAAGGCGGAGGATACCCCAGCTTAGCCCATTTCAGCTGCCAAATTTCAATAATTTGCTTGACCCCAGACTATCTTCTCTAGGGGTAGATATCTTGCCACAAAAAATGGAGTGCCGTGGGCTGCTCTGATACACAGAGTTGTATGGGACAACGCCTCCCACCAAGTTACCGGGGATGATTATTTGCCGCCCACCCAGCATCTACGCGCTCGAGGACACTTTTCACCACATCTCTTTTCCCCATGGCAGCAATCCAGCGCGCATAGTTGGGATATTTTTCCAGAATATCCGCCTTGCCTAGCTCGACTAGCAGTCCTTTGCCTGCGCTGGCCCAGTTGATGAAAGACAGATCGGCGCAAGTACATTTGTCGCCGACCAGCCAGTCTCTGCCTGTAAGTGCGAGGTCCAGAACACCGGTCACGCGGTCTATCTCCTTGACGTATCGGTCGATGGCTGAGTCGATCTTCTCTGGGTGCCACCGTGCGAACCATATCGCTTGGCCGAAGTACGGCCCATGTCCTATACGTTTGAGCCATGTCAATATACGAGAAATATTGATACTGAGAGAACAGCAGAGGAAATGGGCTTGGACTTACCTGAAACTTGAAAGAATACCCGCTGCTGCGTCAAATATTTTTCTGGTGCTCCTTTGTAGGAGAGCTTGTTGTCCTTATCGTATTCGTCGATGAGGTATAAGATGATTGCACCGGACTTTGAAGAGAAGGACGATCAGCTTTCAGAGCATTCAGTGGTGCGGAGATTCTTTTTTTTTTAAAAAAAAAAAAAAAAAAGAGAGAGAGAGAGAAGGGGAGAGAACCAAACGCACCTCCCAGATGGTGATGCCAGCGTTCGGATCTTGAATAGCTGGCAGACGACCATTGGGGTTGATCTTAATATACGACTCCGACTTGACCCCAGTAAAGTCCAGAATGCGCCAGTCATATGGAATGTTGAGCTCTTCCAGGACGATCACGACTTTCTTGTTTCGAGGGTGTTAAAACGGGACGGCAATGGTGGTTGCGGGTCCCTCATACCATGGATTTGGGGCACCCTAGTGCCCATACACAGTGATTGGCTTCATTTGCAGATGAAAGAATATCAAGATGAAGATGATCTTACGAAGTACAATATATGTTGTACTTCCTGTTTCAAGATTTTCTTTGACGAGATATCTTGGAGGTGATTTCCAAGGTCGCGATGGACATCTCTTTATATACTCGCTCTTCCTCTGCCCCCGGTCGGATGGCAACAGCTTGCACAGATTTCAGTCTCGCTCCCATCAATTCTGTGTGGTAATTCCGATCCATTCGACTGTCAGCTTATTCCCATCACGCCTCTCACCAACCAAGCTATCTCGTTCTTCCGATTATATCACAAAGGTGTTGGTCACCGACGTTCTTCCCACGAACTGTTCACGATCGCTTTCGGTACTGCCCCATTCTTGGCACCGGCTATTCAACAACCTTAGAGGCAGCTCGAACTCTTTGGGCAGTATTTGTGGCAAACCCAGGGACCTTTTGGTCGGCATTTGCAAGCGTTATACCGATAATGAGACGTTTGGTATCTAAAGAAACTGGTCGCGAGCCGGAGAGGATTGCTCTTCATCTCAAAACAAAACGTCTCATCCGCCTCCGGGAGATCTTGAACGACTCCAACAATACATCCAATCCGACCATGGCTGTCATATATCATGTAAAGGCCTTGTTCCGAGAAGCCTGCATGAGTGGAGATATCCAAAGTGCCCGTACTCACGCTTCGATGCTTGGTTAGCTCGCCGAAAAATTACCCACCCACCAAGATAACCTCCAACTCCTCCGAATATCCCTCTGGAGTGATGCAGTTTCCGCTCTACTCCAGTTCAGACGCCCCATCCTGGAATATTCAAATTGGATACCACAAATGCTGGCTACTATCTGGGAGTCTGCCAGTCTAATTCTTCCGACCCTGAATCCGGTGCGCATCGACCTGCCAGACTGCTTAACCTGTTCATCTCTCAGAGAGTCATTTCTGTATGTTCGCCAAGCGCTTTATGTTGGCGGCGTTACAATCGTTGCTGAGCGATCCGAAAGAATAAAACGTGCAGAACTGATTTTCCATTGGATAACCACCAAAGCGGAGTTCCACATTTACCATCAGCCTCGTCTCTAAATGAAGCTCATTCCAGGCCAAATCTGAACGCTTGGATTGGGTCAACGTGCTTCGCGCACCCGTCAAGCGGGGCTTTTGACACTAGCTACCTTCGGTGTTGTTTATGGAGAGAGGTGCTGATCACGGCCGACCCGATGTTGATATCGTCCGACTAGTTCTCGAAGCAGAGAGATACTTGGTGGCTGAGGAACGAAGGAAGGGTTTGAGGGGTTGGCTTTTCCAGGTATGACAAGAAACAGGACACGAAAATAACGACACATCATAGAATGGCTCAAGGCTGGTGATATATCAGTCGCCTTGCATCAACGATTAGTCATGCACTCTATCAAGGAAAATGGTTGCGATACGAAGCTTGAGCAGAGCGACCCTTTCTCACCAAAGGCGGATTACAGCAAGTAATGGGATCTAACTATGCCCCTTCTCCAGAGTGGGCTTCCGATTGGGTTTGGATTGGGGAAAAGCTGAACCGAAGATCCACTGTGCAACGATCAGTGTAGCTTTGCTTACATGTATCAGCAACTCTTTGTCAGGCATCCCTTGTCTCCTAGCTGACGGTGTCAAGGACCTTTCTACTTGTTTCTCTCTTCAAATTCTATCGCTGCGAAGTGAAAGGAGAGAAAAGGCATTTCAGATGTCTTGGAATCCGACAGACCTATCGGAACCAGGAGAATCCCGGAAACTTTGATTCAGCTTCTCACCGGGATACGAAGGAATACACCACGCGTGCAATAGGAGAGAGGGGCCTTGCTCGTGTAAGCCTAGTTGCCTCATGGTAGTGCGGGGCAACTCCTTTGTCGTGGACTGGCTGGGTCTCTATAAGAAGCTGGTGGTAAGGCTCACAGTCCAGGATCCTCAATTTCATCGAAACATATCCAATCGGCTAGAGCCTCATTCAAATTCTAGCGGGAGAGGAACAAAAAATGGAGAGGGAAAAAGAAGAAAAAATGTCGGCTAAGATCCAGACACCTTTTGGCACGGCTCTGCCTCCTGCCCCCCACCATGCTATCACCGTCCATATGCCGGCATGGCAGACGATCACGCGCTTCAGAGATCAAGATATGGAGCTGATTCAATCTCTGAAGAACATGTATCCGCGCTTTGTCCTTCACAAAGATGTCAAAGCGGTGAGTATCACTAAGCCCGTTCATGAATCTCCTCCCAAGAGAAAGACTGGTGATTGATATTGAAGACAATAGCTTACGCAGAAGATCGTCGAGTACGCGAGCGTTGAGGAGCAGGGATGTCTATTGTTTCCCTCCATGCAGGCGGCGAGAAACTGTGTCGAGTTCGCGACATCGCCGGGACGCGGAGAGAGGACAGTCTCCAGTGACCAAATAACTATACTAATCCTCAACGCGAATGACATCAATCTGTACGCCGTCTTCTTCCCCGCGGCGTCGATGGGCGTTCTGCACGGTTTCTGGCTCAATGCAGGAGTGGGCATTTCTTCACGCTTGGCCGAAGAGTGCCTCAAGCATCTGGGCACGCTGCGCAAAGTCTCTCCCGACGATATTCAACCGACGATGACAAGGGACAGCCCTGCACACGTCCAGGTGAAGATGCGGATTGCAGAATTACTAAAGCACGCGCCGGCTGACCGGCAAAGAAAAACGGTAGTGTCACCGGATGACGTCTATCTTTACCAGACTGGAATGTCAGCAATCTACTGGGTTCACCAGTACCTGTTGCGTAAACACGGTTCATCTTCAGTCTTGTTTGGGTTCGCCTTTCACTCGACAATCCACGTCTTGCAGGACTTTGGACCTGGCGCAGAATTTCTAGGTCTTGGTACTAGGGAAGAATTCGATGAGCTCGAACGTCATCTTTTGTCGCACGCGGAGCGGGGAAAGAAAATCCAGGCCATATGGGCGGAATTCCCTTCGAATCCGTTGCTCGTCGCGCCAGACCTAACACGGCTCAGGAGGCTGGCTGATCAATACGGAACCGTCCTCGTGATCGACGACACCATCGGAAGTTTCTGCAACGTCGACGTTCTTTCGGTTGCTGATATTGTGGTGACTTCCTTGACGAAATCGTTTAGTGGCTACGCAGATGTGATGGCCGCCAGTGCAGTGTTGAGCCCGCTGTCCGCGAGATATGGGGAGCTCAAGAAGCTGGTTGACGATCTCTATCATAACGATTTCTACCCGGGCGACGCGGAGATCTTGGAACACAACAGTCGAGACTATCTGCGTCGGTCAGCAATATTGAACAACAACGCACAGCGGTTGGTCGAATATCTCCAGAGCCAGGCATTGGATCCATCCAGCCCGGTCAAACGAGTCTTCTACCCGACAGTCAGCGACTCGCTGGCGAATTATCGATCATACATGCGCCAGACAACGGAAGACTTCACACCTGGATACGGATGCTTGTTCAGCGTCGAGTTCGACGGTCTAGATGCGGCGATTGCATTCTACGACAATCTGAACGTCCATCAAGGACCACATCTCGGAGCTCATCTGACGCTCGCTATCCCTTATTGTATGGGTGTGTACGGGAAAGAGTTGGAGTGGGCGGCCAAGTATAATCTTCAACCAACGCAGATTCGAATCTCGGTTGGCTTGGAGGATACGCAGACATTGCTGGAGGATTTCAAGATTGCGGTTCAAGCGGCGAGGTGTGGAGGTGTTCAGAACTGATTCTCGTAGAGCGTGGTTCAATGCTTCTCTGAGAAGAAGACCAAAGACTTGGGGTGACTAGTTAAAGATTGAGATTCTGACTCAAGTTGCAAAATGGGTCAGTCATGGTAGAGGTGACGAAGTAAGTTGAGAAAAAGGGCGATGTGGCCGTATGTAAAAGCGGCAGCATGTCCTATCTTGTAGTGGTCGGCAGCCTGAAAGTTGACACGCGACTGACAACTCTCAATCCAAACCGGCCCAGAGCAGAAACAGCTCTGAAGCCTCTCTAGTCCGCCAACTCCAGGTCTGCAAGAGTCCGCTAAGTCTGCAAGTGCAACATGCATACTTCAATATGAACATTCTATCATTTTCCCGCGAGTTATATTCCCTCGACGTCCTCGACACCCGATTCACGCACTCCTCATCGACACCTCTGAAGTTTGTTAACGAGGACACGTCAAAGTCTGGGGAAAGAGATGGAAAGACACTCCCTGCTGATATTTCGCCGCCACGATGGAGAACTCTGGAATTCTACTTCTACACTCTCGTTTTTCTGTTCTGCGTTCCGCAGATGTATTGGGCGGTAGTCACTGTTTCGCAACGTAAGACATTTGCTCCAAAAAGAAGGAATATGGGATTTGACAAGAACAAAATAGCGGATTCTCCCAATTATTCGAAATATGAACATCTATTGTCTCCGGGCTGGCTGTTCGGCAGGAAAGTGGTATGCTTGGAGCACAAATTTCACTCTGTTGTGCCACGGGCTGATGCCGAGCACAGGACAATTCCGATGGTCAATATGCCAGCTTTCGAGACAATATTCCGCACTTAGCCGTCCTTGTCGCTCTTCATCCTCTCCTTCGAAAGGTGTATGAGCGGTTCGCACTTCGTGATACACCCGTGTCCAATGGAAACACAAAGTCCAAGGATGCTGCTGTATCAGGAGCAGACCTTCGTCTGAAAAGTCGTCTCTCTTTTGACTTCTTTTCTGCATTGATCTACATTGCTGCTCTCAATGGATTTTCGACTCTCAAAATTCTTCTTATTATTTTCATCAACTTCAAAATCGGCACTGCTCTTCCTCGAAACGCCGTGCCAGCAACGACCTGGGTATTCAACATTGCGATTCTCTTTGCCAATGAATTGCTGCAAGGTTATCGCTTCTCCGCCTTGGGTGATGTTGTCGCACCGTTTTTCCCTCCCATGGCAGATTGGTGCCAAATTTTGGATTCATACGGGGGATTGAATCCGCGTTGGGAAGTCCTTTTCAAAATTACTGTGTTAAGAATGATATCTTTCAATTTTGACTACTACTGGTCGCTGGATCGGTCGAGGGCGGGAAGTCCTATCGAGGTGTGTCTCACGTTTCTCTGGCAATTTCCGAAGGATGATCTTCTCACAAGCTCTGTTACTGACAATGTCAAGAAGAAACAACTCGATCCTTCGAACCTTTCAGAACGAGACCGAGTGGCCATGCCCGCTCCAGCAGCAATGTACACTTCATTTCGAACCTACATCGCATACATATTATATCCTCCATTGTATCTGGCTGGGCCGGTTTTGACCTTCAATGACTACATTTCGCAGTCCACATACCCATCACCTTCCCTGATGATAAGACGCACGGCACTCTACGGAGTCAGGTTCCTCATTACTCTGTTTTGCATGGAATTCCTCTTGCATACCACTTATGTCGTCGCCATCTCCAAAGCCTCACCAAATTGGTCTGCCTACACACCCTTTCAACTCAGCATGCTTGCTTATTTCAATCTGCACATCATTTGGCTGAAATTGATGATCCCCTGGCGATTCTTCAGACTTTGGGCCTTGATCGATGGAATCGATCCGCCCGAAAATATGGTCCGATGTATGAGCGATAACTACTCCGCGTTTGGATTTTGGCGCTCGTGGCATAGAAGTTTTAACAGATGGACCGTTCGATACGTCTATGTCCCGCTCGGGGGAGGCCCGGGAGGAGGTTCAGGTAGAGTTCGAGGAATCCTCAACATGCTCGCTGTCTTCACCTTCGTGGCATTGTGGCACGATATCAACCTGCGACTTTTGATGTGGGGTTGGCTTGTTACTCTGTTTGTCCTCCCTGAAGTTCTCGCCACCATGGCGTTTCCCAAATCAAGATGGAAGAATCGACCCACGGCTTACCGAGTCATTTGTGGGATTGGTGCGGTGGTCAACATTCTCATGATGATGGCGGCGAATCTTGTTGGCTTTGCTTTGGGTATGGACGGGCTGATGGGACTGGTTCATGGTATCATTGGCAGCTGGTACGGGGCGGTTTACATGCTCGGTGCTTGTTTTGCTCTGTTTGTTGGTGTCCAGGTCATGTTTGAGCATCGGGAAGAAGAAAAAAGGAAAGGGATTAGGTTGAAGTGCTGAAGATCCTTCATGGTGGTGGACAGGCTTCTTGCCCCTGTGCTGGCATATCAGCATTGGGGGACGACTTCATCCAAATTACTTGTCGAGTTGCCATTTCAGACGACTCCTCGACAATTCATCTGTCATCTCCCTCTCTGAGAGACTGGATCACGATCATTCCTTTCCGCTACCTTGTCTTTGGTGCACCCTTCACTTCATTGACCCGTCTCCGAACCACCGCGGACCAGAGCCCCTCTACGCTCCACAAGCGTATTTACGACGCAAATTGGCAACTTGTTCAACAATTACCAATTGCTGCACGATGTCGAGAAGCACATCCAAATTTGCAATCTCGGCATTGAATGAGCCCCAACGACCATCATCGCCATTCTCGTATATGGAGAGAATTGCGACTCATGTGGGCTTCCGGTCGAGAGATTGAAAAGCACTTTCAGTCGAACTCTCATCTCACCAATAAATCACCATCCTTGGGCGTGCTTCAGTCGGCTTCCGACCGTGATATTCTTATATTCGCGTCAGATTGGTAATCGTGGACCCTGTTTCCAGAGAGATATGCGGATCAATTCGACGGTGCTGGTCAAGGGTATAAAAGACAGAAAGTATCCCTGGTTCTGTTTCTCCCTTTTTGAATCGTCGGAGATCGAAACTCCCCGCATTGCGACGATACCAGCAAGGTTTGACACGTTTAAGGACATACGTCTAAAATCATGCCGCTGCAGGTCTGTACAAATCTCCTTCCGTCAAAGGATTGGTCTATCATTCTTCCCGAGAAGCCTTGCCAAGTACGGGCTTAAGCAAGCCATCCTGATCAGGATGCGAGACCTCCAGGGCCCAATTTCTGAGACGAGACAGGTGAACTTTAGAGACTGACACCATCGTTTCGGAACTTTATATCCAACGAACCTGGTGCGAGATTCCCGGCCGGGAAAGGGAGATCCCATCTCGATGTCTCATACGCCTGCCCATGGGGGAAGCCAAATTCATACCTATCATGATGTACATCAAGCAGCCTGACGAGGGCCCATCCAGCTCAACAAACTCTGATCGTTCGCAAACTCAAGAGACTCGAATCCATCATCTCCGTGCCGTCGCTTTGACCTTCACCCTTTCCGCGGCAGACCCCTGCAGCTTAGCATCTCAAGTTGTGCTCACTTGCTGGTACTGGTGTTGCTTGCCTTTCAGTACCTGGGAAGGTAAACGGGCACTATCCCGGAGGAGCCGGTGGTGTCAATTTCCATTGCATATGACGAGGAGGCAGGAGGCCCGAGAAATGCAAGTTGATGACATTTTCCTGTTCCCGAAGACCTCGTCCGAATTTATTTCCGTGATCAAAGCGACCGTTCGGCATTAAATCCGAATTCGAGCAATCAGAGCTCAACGTGTACGAATTAGCCATGCTCAATGTATTAAATTGTATGAAGAAGCTAGCACAGTGTCTCTCACTTGGCTATCATACTTGTCTGCTGTCGCATACTCTCAACGGACCTGATCTAAACAGGCGGAAAGAATACAATATCAAAGGCTCAAAATATCACCATGGCAGCATTGGAACGCCTCTTCAACAGTACAACCAACGGTTCGTATGTGGCCAAGGTCTTTGCATCTGCAATCAAAGGCAAAACCATCCTCATCACTGGTGTTGCTCGTAAAGGCCTAGGGGGACAGACGGCGGAAATCCTTGCGCCATACTCGCCCAAGACTCTCGTCCTAGCCAGCCGGACACCATCCAAGATTCAAGAGGTTATAGATGAACTGCAACCTAAATTCCAGGATGTCACGTACATCACAGTTCCACTGGATCTGTCGTCCCAGAAGTCCTGCCGCGAAGCCGCGTCGTCCATCATGTCAAACCCGCAAATCCCACAGATCGATATCCTGATCAACAACGCCGCCATCATGAACCCGCCAACGCGCGAATTGAGTCCCGACGGCATCGAAATCCAATTCGCAACCAACCACATCGGCCACTTCCTATTCACGAACTTGATCATGCCCAAGATCATCGCAGCCAGCAGAGTCAACCGGAAGGGCACCACTAGGATCGTCAACGTCTCGTCTCGTGGCATTGTGTACTCTGCTGTGCGATTCTCAGATATCAACTTTGACAAACCGCATGAAACCCTCCCGCCGAACGAGCAGCCGAATTACGCCGCACTGACAGAGACAGGACGAACTGCTGACCCGAAATCCACTTACAGCCCGACCGCAGCGTATGGACAGTCGAAGACCGCCAACGTGCTTTTCTCGCTCGAGCTCACGTCACGCCTGTACGAGAAATATGGCATCCTTAGTTTCGGGCTGCACCCGGGCGCCATCTTGACAGAGCTGGCCCGGAACACGGACCCTGCGGAACTGGCGCGGCTGGTCGAGCAGTTCAAGGTGCTTTTCAAAACGCTGGATGCCGGTTGTGCGACTACGCTCGTCGCGGCGCTCGATGATACTCTGGGTCCGCCAGCGGAAGACGGCACGGGGATCTATCTTAGTGATTGTCAAGTTAATAAGGAGGCGCCAGAGTATGTGCGCCATAAGCAGTTTGCGGAGAAATTGTGGGCGGAGAGTGAGAGGCTTGTAGGACAGAAATTTGACATTTGACCTGGTTATGTACAAAAGTATTTGCGACACCCAAGGAGGGAAACATCATGGAGAAAACACATGATTGGTACCAAACCTTGCACTCGCCGAGATAATAAAAAGGGGGTCGCTTAGTCGAAGTGTGAAAACACCTCAATATGTAGAGGTTGATTGGACAAAAGCAGCAACTTCAGCTGCCTATCTAGTTGCTACATCAAATATGAAATTCCACAATAATGTAGGGGATGAAATTTCCTGATGACATTAATCATTTGCGGGGTGAAACTTTCGAAATAGAAGTCCCAGGACCCATGTCACAATGATAGTTGTAAAATTGGCTAGTCAACCCGTCCAGGTAAATGAGGATCTGCTTTCTTCTCTCAGATTCTCAAGTTCATTTACCCTGCTCCAAAAAGTCACGCAGGAACCAGTCTCGCAAGATCCCACTGCTTTACACTATGGGATCATCGAGTCATCTATGGTATTGCTAGCACACAACTAAAAGCATCTACCCGGTCAAACAGCTGGAAAACTCGAGATAATGATCGAATACCACCTTCAACGCCATCTCTTCTCCGCCTTCCTCGAAACTATACATACCTAATACTCTTCGAGCGTCTCATTTGAGACCTCAAGTACAGACATGCCCTATCTCCATAAGCCGTTGCAGCCTTGCCGCAGCTCAAGACCCACAACGTCGCCCTCATCTGCAGGGCATCGCTCAAATGGACCGGGCCAAACTCGACCTGGAAGCTTACGAGTACGCCAAATCCAGGACCGACGAAGGAAGTGACTTTCGATCCCAAAATCATGGATCCACAGGAAGCCAAAGAGAAAACGAGTGAAGGAAATGGAGTAAATCCGTCAGATGGGGGTCCCGCGAATCAGGATATTAGTCAGGGAATTGATGAAGGAGAAGGGTGGATTGAAGAGGAGAGTCAACCAAAACGAGAGACGAGGAAAGGGGAGCCGAGGACTTGAAGAACATAAAGATGGCCATGAGTTGTGCGGGATTGAAGGATACAGAGAGGAATATTCCGTCAAGACAAGGGGAGAAGATGAAATATTATACATAGCTGGTCGCGTACAAGCACATCTCCTCGGGCGCAAAGAGGAGTTCATAGCATTTGGTAGAACAAGGACCGTGGGTATCAATATACACTGCAGCGTGCCAATAAAAAGTTTCAGAATCCAAGTCTCAGTCCATACCAGTTCGCGAGTCAAGACGAAGTCTTCCATTCACTCGCTCCAAGGCGGATAATGTCCTTTTGGCTTAAGATCCAGACTTTATCTTTGACATCGCCTTTTTCAACCTTGATTGCGGCAGAGATGGCCGCCTTTGCAATGACATCCGCGTCTTGGGCAAAGGAGTCCTTCAACGAGCTGTGCACCTTGCCTAGCCCAGTGGCAATGGTTCTGAGGACGGCTTCTAGAGGACGGCTTTCCTCGCGATGGCCCACGATGAGACCCGGGCGCAGGATAATGGTATGGTCAAACCCGAGCTCTTTCACGTGCTCTTCAATCTCGCCTTTCATCCTGGGATAGCCGAACACGGAATGTGGATTGGCGCCACCCGAAGAGATAAGAACGTAGGTCTTTGTCCCTGCTTCTTTGGCCGCTTTTGCAAGCTCGACGTTCAAATCATGTTCCAGTTTATACTGCTTGTCGAAGCCGCCGGCAGCAGCGCGTGTAGTCGCCAGACCGGAGAACATGACCGATGGAACTGGAGAGAGCGAAGAGATGTGAGAAGCCCATTTTGAAGTATCTTTTTCGACAAATTCTTTGACGAGAACGGGGGCATCGGCAGGTGCAGATGGCGGGGAACGTCGAGCGAGGATTTCAATACTGGAGAAGATCGGTGCAGGTGTGCCTGCGCCTGTCCGTAAGGTCGACAGGATCTGAGACCCCTGCACAAAAGAAAAAGATGTCAGATGCTTGTTCGTTGGATGATGTCGCAACCACCACCTTGGAATCCTTTAGGCAATACATACGACGAGACCCGTACAGCCGAGAATGAGTGCTGGCCCTGAGGCCATGTTTGATTTTTTTTTTTTCTTGCTGGATAGAATGATACTGCTAGTATGAGAGGCCGGGTTTTCTGTTGTGGGTGTCAATTCATTCTTTCTCTACCGGAGATACTCATGGTTATATACTGTCACGGTGGATGCAGACCTTACCGCCGTTATCAACTGTACGCCCGTAGCTTGCAGTAGCCAATGTTTACATAGCAAATTTCGTGCGTAGGCATTGACTGCCCGCAAGGTAATATGTGGATGCGATTTCAGGGTACCAGCATACTCTCTCGGAGCCGCGACGGAGCCCGGAAGGAAAAGGAGAGGGAATTTTTTCTTGTCAAACAGTACAAACTTTTGAGGGGGCCCTCGATATGTAAGGCTCAACCTCAGCCTTGCTTGAATGTAATTCACGTGATCTGATCCACAACTTACTAGTCGATGGCGTGCTCGACCTTGGAGCCGATTTTTGCGGCAACACAGTTTGCCTGCCGATCCAGAAGCGCAGTGGAAATGGAGTGGTTCGTTGGGGCTCCGAGGCCCTTCGTTTGTAATATCGCCCTCAAGGTGAGTTCGATCGTCTCTCCTTCTTCCACTTGTCTTCAGAGGTTACCACGATGCATCTTCTATTGCCCTCTGCCAATGGTATAGCATCCGTGTCAGAGAAGATGATGGCTCCCTCTACTGAGAGCCCTCCCTTCGGTCCATCGCCGCCGCTGTCTTCGATTGCCGGTCCTACCTATGTGACTGCCCAAACATTGGTCCAACAAGTGACCTACTCTCTATCTGACAAGATATTTTCCTATTCTCCCGAGACATTCGATCTTGATACGGCTGCCAAAGCGTGGACCGAAGCAGAAGAGACGAATATCCATGGCTACAAGACCGCAGTTCAATCCATGCAGATCAGAAATGGAGCAGGTTCAATTGCCTTGGGGTACATGTTCTCCAAGGACTTTGACCTGAAGAAAAGAGATATCCCTCAAGGTCTTCTTGCCCCATCTTCGGCTCTGCAATTCTTGCGACCTGTTCTGGATCAGCTCTCTCTCCTCTATTCCGTGGGTAATCCATTGGTGGCCCATGTGGCAGCTCTCGACTATGAAGGAGACAAGAATGGTGGACTTGTATCAGACTATGTTTCTCCTCTGGCAATTGCTGAAGATCTCGGATTGGGTTTGGTTTTGTCTCAGTCCGCATATGAGGCACAACATATGTCGCTGCTTGCCACTCTGTTGGCCCAAGATCTTCCCACTCTTCATGTCTACGACGGTGTCAGAACCGGCAGAGAAACAACAAGAGTCATCGACGTCATCTCCAAATCTGGTCTTGGTGCTGCATACAATGCAGTTCTCAAATCGGTCTCTGACGAAGACCGGAAGCATTTGAGTCTCGAAGGCAAGACGTTGAGGACTCTTCGAGCTCTCAATGAAGAACTCGGCACCGATTACAAACCATTCGAATACTTCGGCCACGAGCAGCCAGAAGCGGTCCTGGTCTCGTTTGGTTCCGTCGAGTCTTCGTTGGCCGCTCAGGCGGCGACCGCCTTGGCCCAGTCCGGTAACAGGGTTGGGGCAATCAACGTCCGTCTCTATCGACCCTTCGCCGAAGAATTATTCTTGAAGCTCGTTCCCAAGGGCGTCCGAGTGGTCGGTGTTCTCGGGCAGGTCGTCGATGCCCAAGCCGTCCAAGACGCAGGCATTCACTCCCACCTCTATGAAGATGTGCTTGCCTCCATTTCTTACGGGACATCAATTCATGATACTCCCGAGGTTCGAGAGTTGAAGTATGCACGTGCTGAAAGATGGACCCCTTCGTCCATCTCAGCGACCTTCCAGCTCCTCCTCGGCAAGACCACCGATGATCCAGGTGTAACGACCTTTTTGGACGACTCAGTCCAACAATATACATTCTGGAACGTCGATGGTGCCCCCTGTGCGTCTGCTGCCGCTCATTTGGCACATGCCTTGACTCGAGATTCAGCTCAGAACGTGACTATGCATACAACTCATGACAATCATGTCCAAGGTGGCATCCACCGGATCGATATCCGAAAATCTCCCAAGAGTCTTGACGCCTCGTACTCTATCACTTCCGCCAATACGATCGTCGTCACAGATGTGAAGCTTCTGGAGAAAATCGACGTGCTAAAATCCTCCCAAAAGGGAGGCAAAATGATTCTTGTATTGCCTGGCGTCAAGGACGAGGACGTTGAGAAGAAGCTACCTACGGCCTTCAAGAGATCCACTGTTGAAAACGAAATTTCTTTGTACTTGATCAATCCTGGCAACACGGCTTTGAACGCCGGGAACTCGGAAATCGAATCTCTCATACTCCAAACAGCCTTCCTCCGTGTGGCCCTCGGGAAATCGGAGGCAGTTGGACTGCAAAAGCTCGCCACGACCAACAGTGATATTCAGACCCTTGGAAAGGTTGCGGATGATTTGGAGAAAACTCTACGCCAAATCGAAGTTCCAAAAGAGTGGGCCGAATTGGAAGTGGGTGCTACGAAAGAAGCATTACCTTGGGACATTTCTCCCAACAGCTTCGCTTTGTTTGACAAAACAGAAGAAGAACCACCGTCCGTCCTCCATAGCTGGCAAAAAGTTGCCAAGGGACTTCTGTTCAAGGAAGCATATAATGCGTCAAGTTCTCTTCGACCCGATCTGCCGACCAAGACATACACGGTCCATGTGAAAGAGAATCGCCGTCTGACGCCATTGACCTATGACCGAAACATTTTCCACATTGAATTCGATCTTGGACGCTCCGGCCTGAAGTATGATATTGGTGAAGCCTTGGGAATCCACGCCGAGAATGATCACGATCAAGTCATGGAGTTCATCAAGTGGTATGGTCTCAATCCGGAAGATGTGGTCGAGGTGGCTTCGCGAGAAGACCCAGCTATATTCGAAAATCGCACCATCTATCAGGCGTTGATGCAAAACGTCGACATCTTTGGAAGACCGCCCAAGAAATTCTATGAAGCATTAGCAGATTTTGCCACTGATGAGACCGAAAAGAAGAACTTGTTAACTCTCGCTGGTCCTGAGGGCTACAAGGAATTCCAACGACGTGCAGAGGTCGACACTGTCACCTTTTCTGATATTCTTCTCGAGTTCCCATCTGCTCACCCTTCATTCCACGACATCGTTCGTATTGTTTCGCCGATGAAGCGTCGCGAGTACTCGATCGCTTCGTGCCAAGCCGTCACCCCCACCTCCGTGGCATTGATGGTCGTCGTTGTTAACTGGGTTGACTCCAAGGGACGTGATCGTTTCGGTCAGGCTACCAAGTATTTGAGTGATCTCAAGGTAGGGGCTCCCGTGACTGTCAGTGTCAAACCTTCAGTTATGAAGCTGCCACCCAAGTCAACTCAACCTATCATCATGGCAGGTCTCGGTACTGGCCTGGCTCCATTCCGAGCATTCGTCCAACACCGAGCCATGGAGAAGGCTCAGGGCAAAGAAATTGGATCTGTCCTCTTGTACATGGGCTCACGGCACCAACGCGAGGAATACTGCTATGGTGAAGAATGGGAAGCATACCAGGCCGCTGGTGTGATCACTCTGCTCGGCCGGGCATTCAGCCGAGATCAACCGCAGAAGATCTACATCCAGGACCGAATGAGGCAGACTATGGATGACATTGTCAAGGCATATATCAAGGAAGACGGGGCCTTCTATCTTTGTGGACCAACTTGGCCTGTTCCTGATGTAACGAACGTACTGGAAGAAGCGATTGCGAAAGATGCAAAGGCAAATGGTGTCAAGAAGATTGACACCGGTCGGGAAATCATGAGGTTGAAGGATGAAGGACGGTACGTGCTCGAGGTATATTAGGGTTTTCAAGTACGGACCCTGAGTATAGGCCTAGAATGGAATCAGTTTTTGACGTGACACAAATTTCTATTCCCCACCCCCAAGCCTTGTGTCAAGGATCGGCTCGCTAGAAGGCTCCAAAGAATGCACGAAAGAGTACCTATCTATCGACTTCAACGCTGGGGGTATCGTGCGCAACGGCATGGTATATACATGATCCTCCTTGGAGCGGGCCAGGAGTTGTCTTACCCCTTTAATGCTTGAAGTACTAGCACACCAGAGGGTCGAAAGGGAAGGCAACCCTAGAGACGAGCATACGGATGGCGATGAAAGCAGCCGGAGCCAGCTTCGAGACAGCTTACAACGTTGATCACCTGCTCTGGACTTATAACTCTCATAAAACAAGTCGAAAAGTTCTTGAATGAAGACGTCCCTTTCCACCAGTACATGCCCCCAAATTGGGCCAAGGCGGAGTATCAGTGAGCTGCTCCCACCCCCTTGCGGTCCAGCAGAATCGCTGGTCGTTCAAGATCATCCATGGCCAGGTGCCTTCGATAAAGGCCCTCGGATACGCTGCCTTTATCTGCAATCATAATCATGCCCCTCACATACGGCATCGACTTGAACATCTCATCAATGCATCGCATCATCCATATTCCCAAGCCTTGACCCCGGTAGCTCGGAAGGAGATAAACATCCGTTAAGTAGTTGACGGTCACGGTATCGGTAATCCATCTAGCAAACCCGATCAGCTTGTGTGTTCCGGAGTGGGAGATGTTGTGATATTGGTCATTCTCGTTCTCATGGCATTGCCGGCGAGAGTCGCTCATTTCATATAATCCGAAACACGCTGATCGCTTGATAAGGTTTTGTAGTTCTTCGACTGGTAAAGGGCTTGCCCAGTACATCTCTGTCGAAGAGAAGAAACTGTTCAACGTGTCGAGCGGGATTAGAGATGGATCCATCGATATTTCAAAGCTGTCTCTCTTCCACGACATGATGGGCGTTTGGGAGTCCATTTCGCGATTATGCGGCAAGAAGGGCCACGAAGCTGTGCTAAGACAACCGATTGAAGAAAAATTTATATGGCAGAAGAAGTTCACATACCAAGATGTTTCACAGGAATGGTATCCATCAGTAGTCTGGCGGAATGTGAGTCATGTCAAAGGTGTGGGCCCACCGATGCTAACCCAGATACGTAGGTAGTTATGTCAAGAATGAGATGGTTGGATAGACATTACCAACTTCACTTTTACCTGGAACTTATGTGCGTTAGCTAGGAGATCCCCTGAACCCTTTGAAGGTACAGCAAACAATCATACCATTCAACACTCTGGTACGAATTCCCTGGCCGCTCATTCGTAGGGTCCCCTCTTCAGCCAGCTCGACACTTCGTGCTATTGACGACAAATCAACTTCAACAACTCCCAAGCCAATCCGTTCCCAGAATCAAGCAGCTCTTGAAATTCTTCATAGTTCAGCAATTCCTGATGCGCATCGATTGTATCGATAACCACCTTTCTCAACCCGACATCACCTTTGCTAGGGGTTGTCTTGCACACGAGGCCCGCAGCATACGCGAATGCCTTCGACTTCCAATCTCTAGCGGCGGCATTGGCGAACTTTTCACGAGCGAGCTCTCTGAGGTCGTCTATCTCGTATTTATCTGCCAAGGCATACATACGTGCATTGGTGCTCAGTTCGGTAGTTTCGAGGTCGACACCTTCGTCTTCGACGGTTCAGGCGTTGGCTCAGGCTCGTCGTAAGGCGGTTCTTCTGCAGAGAAATTAAACGAAATTTTTTTCCTCTGCTTCTTCGTGCCCGTTTTGCCCCCCAGACGATATCCCTCTTCGACTGGTGTTGGCTCTTCTTCGGTCGTTGATATCATACCTTCCACGGCAGTCATTGGCTCGTCAATATTTTCTGTCCCGACGGTAATCTCTGGCGTGGGGTAAACGTATGAGTCGGCGGGAGGCTCTGGATCCGCAATAGCATCTGCTGGAGTCAGACTTTCGAAAAATTCAATAGTCTTCGCCACCGGTGATTCTGGTTCCCTTCGTCCATTGATCATCCTCTCTTCATCACCGGCCTTTTGCACCGTCGGTGGCGCGTCGTCATAGTCCAACTGGTAAAAGTAGTCAATCATCAACTTCACCAGTCTAGGGTCATCGTCATCGAGCGTGAGCTCCCTTTTACTGTCATCAACACTCTTGACATGCTTAGCAGATCTCGCTCAAAAGGGCACTCAGCTTCTGGACTGACCTTTCCCCATTTGCAAGATGTAGCAAAGTACCGTGATCGAGGACAAATGATGGCCTTGTGCACGGTGAACTTGTCGTCGCCACAGAAGATTGCGAGATCGGAGTATTCGGTCGATTTGTGGAGTCTTTTTCACCAGACGGAAGCATTAGCTTTCGTGGTCTGCTTTCGCAGCGGGACAACTCACGAGCGAATCGCACTCAACAGGGCCTGGACTGACAACTTCGACATGTTTTTTATTCCCCGAAAGAGGAGACGAGATACACGGTAGACGAAGTGACAATAACCACGGCCTGACCGAGGCAGCTATTGAATTTTCAAAGAGAACGACGGCGCATAGAGAGGAGAAAGAAATGCAGATTCCGTCGATGTTGCGTAACCGGGTCATCGCAAGTCTGTGTGACTTGTCCTGCGCGTGCGCATTGGTAATGCCCTTGCCAGACAGCTCATCATGAATGCGCCGATGCAAATGCAGATGCACGTGCCTGCTGGGGGGACTGGATACAACTTAACGCGCTGCCTCATTCTGCAAGACGCTTTTTTGGGCAATGCTTCCCTGAGCCCTTGCCAGGTTAATGGGAACGAATGCTCTTACTAATATTGAGTATCAAGTGCTTCACAAAAGAGAAGACGATCATGGCGCCGAATAGGGGAGGCCAGAATCCTCCTCCCGGCGGCGGTTGTTCTCCGTCCGCGGTGGGAGAGAATGATGGATTGATCGACTATTTCTTCCGCCGCTCAAGCCTATTGGTACCTAGCACTGCCACGTGATCCATACCGAGTTCCTGGTGGGAGAGAATGAAGTGGATTCATTCTTCGGTATATTTTCTCTCCAACGTTCTCGACAACTCCTGCGGAATCGAAAGGCTCTTCTATAAACGTAAAACACCGCTTTATGTCATCGTTACTGGCTAACTTACTCTGCACGCACCCTAGCTCCGAAGGACCATTCACTATCCCGGCAATAGTAGTCGACGTCTGATATCTGGAAGGGACGTCACTTATTTTGACGACCAGCAGTTTTGAGAATCGAGATATATGCTTCTGGGGCCTTGATGACCACTTTGAACCCAAATGTCGTAACCCATCTCCAAGCCCGCGAGAGATGCAGTGACCAAACTTCCACTAATTGACACGACTCCCAAACAATCAGCAAAGCCGACTCGGTGTCGATGCCTGCGAGTTTCGGATCCGGGTTACCCTCTGTCCTATTCATGCTTCTTTCTTTCCTCGGCGCCCTCTTAGGGTATTGGACCATCCTCAAGCATACGTCGCTCGTTACGGGGGCCTTTGCCTCCGCCTTTGCCAGTGCACAATCGCCCATCGTCGGCACCCCGGAAGCATTGAACCCCAAGCTCACCAACACTATCGGAAATGACACCATCACGCTCTACTACAATGGTTCTGGGCCAGTCCCCGGCTATGATGGCCGTTCACCAATCCCGCAGCCGATTACGCCCCTGACGACAGCGTTGATTGAAGAATCCCTCCTTCGGGAATTGATCTCGATAGCGACGACATCATTCTATCCCGACAATTGCTCCAAATGTATCGCTGCAGCACAAATGCTCCATGTGGCAGCCATCAGTCAACCTGTCTCTCTTTTCACCAGGGTATTGGTCCGAGCCTGCAACAGTCTTCCGTTCATCAAAAACGCCATCCGAGCTTCGTCCTGCGAGTCCGAGTTCAGCGGCATTGCCGGATTTGGGCCGTATCTCGCCCAACTATTTTCCAAAATGAGTCTGGCCACCGGTGACATGCACACTCTGTGTGCTGCTCAATATCACATTTGCGATGAGTTGCCTCCCATCCAGATTGACGAAAGCCTGTATTTTGATCCCAAACCGGAGTCGGCCAAGATCGCACCCGAGCCTTCTGGCAAGACGATCAACGTTCTTCATCTCTCAGATTGGCATCTTGACCCTCGCTACGACATTGGTTCAGAAGCCAATTGTACAGAATATCTCTGCTGTCGTCCTTATGCGCGAAATGAAGAACTCGACGCGAATTCCCGACACCCTTCCGTCCCGGCCTCGAGATTCGGTTCTTTCTTCTGCGACTCACCGGCTGATCTAGCTCTCTCAGTTTTCACCGATATGCCCGACTTCTTCAACGTGGATGAAATCGCCTTCAGCATCTTCACCGGCGACATTGTATCTCATGACCCGGAAGATGCGTTATCTCGAGCGTACGTATCCTACGAGGAAGAAGTGACGTTCCGCATCTTTCAGAAAATGCTCGGTGACCAAATCCCCGTGTATGTCGCACTCGGGAATCACGACTCCCTGCCCGTTGGCTTCAATACGCAGCAGTCCATGGACCCGGACCCGTCCAATAGCAGTAGCAACATCATCCAATGGAACTACGACCTCGTTTCGTCCCTGTGGTCCAAACATTCCTGGCTCAACGACTCCGAAGCCGAATTTGCACGGACTCATTACGGAGCATACGCCACGACGACGGCGCAGGGTCTGCGGATTATCTCCCTCAACTCTGACTTCTGGTACAAAGCCAATATTTTCAACTATTGGAACGTAACGAACCCGGACACCAGCGGGATCTTGAAATGGCTGGCCGACGAGTTATCCGCCTGCGAGAAAAGAGGACGGCGAGCCTGGATCATCGCGCACGTTCTCACCGGGTACGACGGTTCTTCGCCCCTGCCCAACCCCACCGCACTATTCTATACGATCGTCCGACGGTTTTCACCTGCCACTATTGCGGCGATCTTTTTCGGGTGAGCCTGGTTTTCTCTCATTTCCATCCCCACCTCCAAGACCCATTTCACCAAATGCATAACCTGAACACTGACCTCGGACTCACTACAGACACACACACCAAGACGAAATCCAAATCTTCTACGACTACCTTCCCGCCTCCCTGTCCACCGGTGACGGCACAGACAAACCCCTCCTCCGCGACACGACCCAAGTCGACTTCACCAAGCCTCTACAAATGGCGTACATTGGGCCCAGCGTCACGCCCCTGACGGGCTTCAACGCCGGGTATCGCGTGTACCAGATCGACGCGCAGACTTTCTCGGTCATGGGCGCCCAGACCTACTTTGCCAATATGTCCAATAGTCTCCGCTGGACACGGCCCGAATGGGAATTCGAATATGATTCGCGACAGACGTATAGCACCGACGCCGACACTGACAACGCCGAGTCCGACGTCGATTCGGATGCCGATGCGGATTCAAGTATGAAAAGCAAACATCCTGGTGTCCCCTGGCCCAGCAACGCGCCCTTGAACGCGACCTTCTGGCACCGCGTGACGGAGAAGATGCTCTCCAGCTCTGATTCGTCTCCATCAACATCAAAATCTCTTTCACTTTTGGACCTGTACAACAAATACGAGACGAAATCCAGTAATTCGCCGACATATCGAGGTAGCAGCGCCAATAGTCCGGAACAGAAAGTTTGTTTCATTCGCGCTGGATCGGGGACCTTGGGGACGAAGTGTCGAGAGAGCTTTGGCGGTGCGGATGCGAGAAGGATGCATCGGGAGAGGGCGTTCGGGTTGGCTTAAACATGGTAGCGAATTCTTTCTTCCTCGGTATACCTGCGGGTCATTGTCGATGAAAGCGAAAGGTGGAAGGGGCAATAGAAACAGAAACGTGGCTAGCTGTGCTAGAGCAAAAACAGAACTGTTTTAATTGTGATGGGAAAGAGCCAATTGGGGAAAAGAAGGGGTGGTGATAATATACATGAATGGAAATGATACACGGAAGTTTAAAGAATAAGTTGGACAAGACAATAAGACCATGGAGTCACTTGATATTGTTGGGTATTGCATCGGTGCTCAAACTCCACGAGGTACGAGACTGAATTATTCGAATAGAAAATCAAAAACTCGCCCGTGTGCCCTTGTTCGAGCAAATGACTGCTGACATCATTGCAGTCCTTTTGTCGAGTCCATTCCGGTTTTTCCCGGTTTCTTTTGGGGGGCCATTACCACCGCCGCATCAACGCCATGATTTGACAATATAGTACTGTAGCAGTAGCAACATCAAGGTCTCATCCCTGTCGTTCATGAACTCCTCGAGTCCTCTCAATTCGTTGACAGGTTCCTTCTTCGCCCACACAAGCCTTTGTTCTGTCTTGTGGCAGATCCCTAGACTCTTCCACTACGCCATCACAGACTTCTAGGGCCATCCCTATCCTCATCTCTCTTCCCTATTCTGCGATTGATCATCTCCTTGGCCGTCTGAGTCAAACTAATCCCGCCAAACAACCAATCGTCACCATGTCGACCATACCCTCCAGGTGAACGGCCGCTATATCGGGTTTTCTTCTGCAGCCAGCTGTCGCGTCGTGGATTGTCCGGAGATGATGGACTGGTTGTAGTTGGGGACATTGACGCGGCGGATACAACGCCGCCATCGGATTTGTGCTGTTGTGTAGTCGTTGTTCGGTTGAGAGAAAGGGAACGTTGGGTGGGCAGAGGGGAGGTTTGAGCGTGTTTGAGAGTGATTGAGCCTGGGAGGCTGTGGTCCATGGCAGGTGGACGTGGTGATCGGGGTGATTTGGACCTTGAACGGGAGAAACTGAAGGGGAAGGAGTGGTGTTCTCTACTCGAGGACGTCTGTGGAGTAGGTGGAAATAGTGTGCTCGAAGGTGGAAGGCGGAGAGAAACTGACCATGTTTGATGATCCTGTGCCGGAAGCTCGCAGCTTCATGTCAGGTCCCGAAGGAGCTGCAGTGTTTTCGATAAGATTGGAACTCATTTTGTTCATATAAGACAGAAAGACAGAAGTTCGGGTTACAAAACATTGGAGCTGGTAGATGGGAATTTGGTGAGGACTTTCTTTAGTGGCGCAGGATGTGAGTGCAACTTATATCTCGTTTTCAAGCAAAACTAAATGAATTTGGCTGCAGGTTGACACGACAGGCTTACCTGACAAGGTTGGCTACGACCTTCACGCATTCAGCCCTTCGACGGTCGAGAACGATACAGCACTCCATTAAATATCATTGGAAGGCCAAGGGATTCCGGACCTTCAGATCGAGCTTGGGAAGAACACGCGATGGAGGAAGAGGGGTTCAGTGGAGGGAGGAAAAGGAAAAGTCAAACTGGAGCAGGCCAGGGTGTAACAAAAAGTCCCTCTGACGTTCATCAAACTACCAAGACTGCCCTGCAGTTTGCTTACGTTTCTTGTTGATCTTTTTGTTGGCTTTGTGTTCTTACATTGAGTGGACTTGCGGTCGAATCATTTTCTGCCACATTCGTTAGGTTCGGCTTCAAAGTGCCAGAGTAGTTGTTCTTAGATCCTGCTCACCGGTTTGCATAGCTGTACTTGAGAGTGGTCGAAAAGTTCCCCCAAAGGTCGGGTCATGAGCTTTTGGCGCACTCCCCCCACGATAAATGCTCAAGATCGCCAAACGAGCTTTGACGCTTTGTAGTTGTGGGCTGGGGATCGGACCAATGGCACAAGATGTCATGTTTCAGCCGCCACTTTAAGACCCAAGATAGAGGCTCGAAAGATTTGTCTACCATTGATCTCCGCGTTCAGGGTCGGGATTGAAGGATAGAGGGCGATTCGTAGGTGCAGGCGACATATCGAGTGTGTGCCACGTTGATTGCAAGAAAGGACGTCTAAGGAGAGAAGATCGAGAAGAAAGAGAGGAAAGGACGGCTTCTGGAGTCGCTAGGAGCGCAAGGGATATGCCTAGATGAGATGGGTGAGTCCAAGAGTGGTGCCAAAGACTGGCTGCATGTTATATAGGTCTTGACCTTTCGGTTCACGTTGGAAGTCCTCATAAGTACCCACGTACCTAGATGCTGAAAAGAGACTTTCGACGTTTATCATGAATAAGGCGGTTAGTGGACGTGGAGGCTGGAGAGAAAGTTTGGGAACTATGTAATAATAGTCTGCCTGGCTGGTGCCTTGCAACTTGACCATGGGGGCTGGCAAGTGAAGTGACGGGCAACTAGCCTCACAAGCTCACCACTTTTTTCCCGCTCTGAGACCACCAAGTTTCATTGTCGCCGTCATTGTCATGGATGATATTTCTCGCGCATCTTGTATCTGTGACCCTCTCTGCACCGCGATCCTCTCTAGCCAATCGATGATGCATGGATTTCAAGCCCTCCTTCGGGGTCGCTCCGCGCGGTGGCAGTCCTGAGCAAGTCCAGGAACCCAGAAATAAAACTTCGCAGTCATCGAATATCAGAGACGGCTATACTCCGCCAGAAATTGACCAGTCCCACGATATCGCACTGGTCAGCAAGTTACTGAATCGGTCTCACAACTGTCATGGTGTTTGCAATGAAAAGATCTTAGTCTGGGGTCTTCCCGGCTGTGGGTCTGTCTTTCTCCCTTTGTCTCCTGTTTCCTTGCCAGCGAGGCTGTGATCCTGACTTGTCTGACCAGGAAACGTCGGATTGCGACTCAAGCGGCCCTACAATTCTCTGCCAACACTGGTTGCAAAATCTTGTGGATTGAAGGTCGATCCTTTGAAACCTTTGTCCGCGACTATCGAAATGCCTACACCACTCTTACCGGTCAGCCACTTCCACAAGGTCTCACCACGGGCTCTCTTCTCCTCAAGATTATGGTCACACTTGAAAGCCGTCGAACCGAATGGCTTATGGTCATCTTCGACCTTCAGTACTATCTCGAAGATGGCGGCGACACGGGGCCCAACTCGGCACCGACGTCCTTTCTCCCTGACTGGTGCCGGATCCTGGTCACATCTTCGTATGTCGTAGCAAGCTCCGATGGTAGTGTTGACCAGGATCTTTCGATGATATGCGGTCTCAGATTTGCCCGAAAAGCCACTTGTCTTCACGTCGTCGGGTTTGATGAGAGACAAACGGCCCAGTATGTCAAGGAGTCCGGCCTCAACAGCTTCGATCTCGGATTCCCTGCCTTTCGCCACCAATCATGTACATCCATCGCCCCTCTCCGTCTGGCATTGTCCTGTGCTTCCATGCGCTTCCTAGGAATCTCTGCGAGCCAGTTCAGTCAAATGTGCCGACGCAAATTCGCCGACAGCAGCAGTCCGTCATGGCCGGGTTCAACTCCCACCTTTGCCGACACCATGTCAATCCTTTGGGACGCTCTTAACAACTATGACCCTGCCGCAGGGATTCTGTTAACAATTTGTTCTGCGGTGGATCGACTTGACATCCCCATTGTTCTCCTGCACAAATTTCCCATTTTCCGAGAGGACGACGGTGAAAGACTGTCTTCAGTGATCAATATCCTGAAATTGAGTGGTCTCCTCGAGGTGCGTCGCAAGTTCGATCTGGATACAGTCAATTTGCATCTGCTGGTGTATCGTTGGCTTCAAGTCAGCCTCCGAAGGATTGAGGACGGTCAAGAATATGCTGATCTGATGACTGCCTGGATTGCCATCTTCACCGAGTATCTCTCCGTCCCGAAGGCGGATCAGATCAAAGAGGGACCGATTTTCAGTCCCGATAAGTTTTGGCCGGTTGCAGCTCACGTGGCTTCTCTTTGCAATCTCAAGCCTGATCAGGTTCGTGCCTTGTGCAGTGTGGCTTATATGACCTTTTTAAGGCATGTGGCCATTTTCTTGGTCGAAGATGGCATTCTTTCCAATCTGGCCGGTGTGACCATAACACATGCATTCAATATGTGCATGCTATTACACGCCCGTGGCAATGATGGTGTGCAATTGCATCGTGAGTACGTCCTTATTCGACAGATTAGGTCGGCCGCATATCTCAAAGTCTCCGAATTCCGTCAAGCGGAAAACGAATTGCGCGAAGCCAGATTGTTCTTCAATCACCACTTGACGCGCGACACGGCCAGCCAACATATGCTCCGTCAGATCCAAGATGCGGAAGCCCACTTACACATCATCCAAGGTCATTATCCGGAAGCGGGTCGATTGTTGACTGACATCCTGGCGTCACCTGAATCCAACCCCGATCCATTCAAGATTGCGCAACGGCACTATTGGACGGCAATCTACAAAACCGCTGTGGAGGCCGACATTAGTGCGTTGGAGCATTCACACATGACCATGACGTACTGGAAGACTCTCGCCCCTGAGGACCAGTGGGGATACAAGGACAGCAGGAGACTTCACTGGGTTGAAAAACACGTTCTCAGTCTCATGTGCATGAGAAAATACAAAGGAGCCCTCCTTCTAGGCAGAAAGCTCCTGGAAAGGACTTTCGAACTTACCTCCGTCCTTGGTCCGTCTATTTGCCGTCTGACTTACAGGGTTGCTTATTGTCTCTGCGCTCTCGACAAGGTGAATGAGGCTGAAAGCGCTGTCTGTCAACTTCTCGAGCTGTCATCATACGGAAGATTCGAAGACGAGACTTTGTCATACCTCCTTCATATGCTACATGAACTGGGAATAGCATTACAACGAAACGGCCGTACTGTGGAAGCCGAAGGCGTTTATCGCTTCAATTTGCGAACGGCAAAACGGTTCAATGTGAGGAATTTGGCAGGAACAGACAAATATGACCCTACGGGCGACTGGATTCAACTGGTCATGTGTTTTCTGGAGCAAGGAAAAACCCTGGAGGCTAGACGTCTCCGGGACGAGTATCAAACGGAAGAAGTGAATGAGGAGTTCATGGACAACACGATCCGAGACGCCTTAAAAGCATATCGGCATATGATCTACGTGTACACGAGGACAATCGAGGCCGAAAAAGCCGGTGATGTCCTGGAGTGGAAAGCTATCCTTGATACCAGTACCACTCGCCCGGCACTGAAACGTGCCATAAAAATGTTCGGGCATCCAAGACGACGAATCGAACGAGACCGAGACTTTGAGAGCGATATTGACATACACAATGTTGGAAGAGCCAGACGGAGCCGGATCCTTCAACTCTTGAACTTTCCACTGATATATCTATCTTTTGTCAACGCGAATTCGGTCCATGCCGATCCAACAGAAAATGAGGAATTATGGGCCAACCAAAAACAAAGTGTTCTTGGTCAATATTGGAAATGGTGTGATTGCAGGAGGAAGAGAAATCGAAGTCAAAGCACCGATGAATTTGAACAGATTATGAAGCATGTCATTGTCAAAGAGAATGCTCATCCCAATCAGGGACGAAAGAAGCTCCAACAAAAACTGATTACGGATTGGGTCATCCGGAAGCCCGGGGGGACCAATTCCATATCTGAGGCATGTAATCCATCTTGTCCCTGCATTGAAGCCAATCGAAATGGCCAGAGAGAAGCATTGAAATTGGAATCGAATCTCCTGTTATGGAAGGAATCAAACGACGAGAGTTCATCGAAATCGAAGAACCGGCCCCGATATCGGAATTCCAAACCGAATCGATCTCCCATTCCTGAAAACGAGATGTTCAGCCTCATTCTGCCCAATAATTGGTGGTGGGTTCAGTCGGAATTTGCCAATGGCGAGAACGAAGGCGAAAATTACATTATTCCCCGTGCAATTGATATTCCGGGGATATCCATTACTCCACCTGATGGGCAAACGGATCTTTTACCAATGGCAACGGATCCCCAGGAGAAGATGACCAAATTTTACCAGAGGGATTATGCTGCTGATTTCGCAAAGGTCTTGGAAAGGCAAGAGCGTGAACCTATGACACCCACCGCGTTGGATGTTATTCTGGAAGACGATGAAGATGAAGAGTAATAGGCCTCCAGGAAAAAGGTGATGATATGGAAAGACCATAAGCCTCAATGTCCAACCATCGGGCTATTCAGAGGCATAAGAACACAATATCGCAAATACTGCCCTGCGGTTTCTGGTTTTTTCTTCCATCCAGCGGCAGCCTCGTAGCCTCGTGCGCTGACCAATCGGTTCCTCCACTTGGCATGACGTCGGCAGAAGCAACTCAAGTTGTAAGTGGAGAGCCTCATCTCAACTTGACACATTACGAGACCATAAATCAGTTAGCTTTTCTGTCGCCAATACGAGTACGAGCTGCAGGAATGAAAACCATGGCAAACCAGAGACCACTGCGACGGACTAAGCGGCCTCGTATTCTCTCTACCCTCCCGTCTGTCAACACATGTACATCGCTCCCCCGCCTTTAGCCCTTCATCAAAAGAGTCTTCCCGTTCTCATCCAGAAATGACGTTCCAAAGAAACAATGACGGCCTTGGAATCATCTCATACCTTGAATCTGAAATCGGTACCACCTATCTTCATACTTCCCACTCATCTGCAACCGCAAGAACTTCATGAGACGGAAGACTCGATATTCAAAGCAGGCGGTAGTTTGACATACGATCCCAAGGAGGCTAGAATATTCATAGGTCGCATCAATCAGAAGAAGCGCGCTGCCTTTGAGTTGCGGGCCCGAGGAATATGGACTGAAGAAGCTACCTTACCTGAACCCAGCCAGGAGGCTCACAATGAAGGTCCGACGAGGAAGAAGAGAAAGGTCAGTATGACCGAAGACAGTGTGAGTGCTGCGGCCAGATCTATCTCAACTTCACCGGGTGCGTCGGTAATAGATACAGTCTCCCTTACATTTCCACCTCGACCCTTCTGGCCGGATCTCACGAATCGCATTCTCATTCTCAAAATTTCCTGGCTCGAAGCATGTCTCAAGCAAGCCAAACTTGTCCCATACAAGCCCTATGTCATCTACAATGCCAAGGTGATATCTAAACCTACTGGGCCAATGCCAGAGACCGGCTCCACATCCTCTCCATCACGTCCAACTCCCAATGTGACAGCGACAATTCTCCAACGCGCACAAGCCGAAGCATCAACTCTGCCATCCTCATCTAGCCCGTACACCTCTCGCCGTCGCTTGGGCAACCAAAATCGACAACGAAAGGCCTCTTCATCTACTAGAGCCAGCCCACCCACACTCCACCGGACCACGACGTCCGAAATGGAATTCTTAGCTGAACACCCCCTTCCACCCCTTCCTGACTGGGCATCAGGCCCCAACGCTTCGTATGCCTGCTGCCGCTCTACGCCGATAAAGGCACTCAACGAAGCCTTTATTGCCCAATTGATCAAAATCAGGGAAGCCCGCCTACTAACCCTAGACGACATTGGTGTACGGGCCTATTCGACTTCCATCGCTAGTATCTCAGCCTATCCGCATCGAATTATGCATACGGAAGAAATCACACGCCTACCCGGCTGCGACGCCAAAATCGCCGCGCTGTGGAACGAATGGCAGCATTCCGCCTCGGAAGATCCGGAACGCTACCTCCAAACGGTTCGCGACCTCGACAATGACACCGACCTAGCTCACCTGCGCATATTCTGGAACATCTGGGGCGTGGGTCCAGATACGGCGCGCAAGTTCTACTTCCAATATGGATGGCGAGACCTGGACGACGTGGTGGAATATGGTTGGCACTCGTTGACGCGTACGCAGCAGATCGGTGTGAAATTTTATGACGAGTTTCAGAATAAAATTCCTCGGGCTGAAGTTGAGGCGATCCGCGATGTGATTAAGCGGCACGCAAGGGACGTCCTGGACATTCCCCGCTATCAGTTCGGCACCAAAGACGACGTCGAGTGTATCGTTGTCGGCGGGTATCGGCGTGGCAAGGAACTAAGCGGCGACGTCGACGTGATTCTCTCGCACCGCGACGAGAACAAGACGCAAGATCTCGTCGTAGACGTCGTCCACAGTCTCGAAGCCGAGGGCTGGATCACCCATACCCTCACCCTGCACACGATGACCAGTGATCGCGGACAAGCAACACTGCCATTCCATGGTAAAAAACGCGGTCACAGCTTCGATAGTCTTGACAAAGCGCTGTGCGTATGGCAGGACCCGCATTTCGAAACCTCATCGAAAACGACACGGGATGTGAACGAAGGAGGCGAAGGAGGTGAAGAAGGAGAAGTGCCCCAAAGGAAAAATCCCAACATCCACCGCCGCGTCGACATCATCATCTCCCCCTGGCGCACCATCGGCTGCGCCGTCCTCGGTTGGAGTGGCGGCACCACATTCCAACGCGACGTACGCCGCTTCGTCTCCAAGGCTCACGGATGGAAGTTTGACTCTTCGGGCGTCCGTGACCGGGTGTCTGGGCTCGTGTTGGACCTCGAGGGCCCCCGCCCCCGCGGCCCCGAGGCCATTGAAAAATTTAGGATAAGTAAAGGGATATCCCATTCCGATTCCAGCCCCGTCCCTGCCGGATCTGCTACCACAAAACCTTCCAAAAACTCCACCCGCAGATCCACCGTTGGGAATGCTTCTAAGGGTATGAAGGGTACAAAGAGTGCCCCAATAGAAATCAACGATGCGGAGAGTGATGGGGGAAGAGTCGAAGATGCGGATATGGATGATGCAGATACCTGGCACGATCGCGAGAGACGACTCATGGAGGCTATGGGCATTGGATACCGGCCTCCGGAGGAGAGATGTACCAACTGATCTGGAACGAAACAAGCGCACGAACGAACGAACGAGAACACGAAACGACTATGACTATTTGTCTAAACCACCGAAGCGTTGACACACTTGGAGGATCCTCACCCCAGCTGCCATGCCTCCCGCCGATTCGAACACGATTTGGATCCGGCTTCATTTAATGATATGATTCACGAACTTTCAAATCATCTCCCGACTATACTGGTGCTTTTCTTCTACGATCCCAGTTTTGATGCTCGTATTTTCTCTTTTTTTGTTGTTTTTGGGGGGTGGGGGGCATTTGGGAAAAAGGTTGGATGAGATGCACATACTAGGTATAGTCTTTCCTAAATTGGTACAGCTGGATAACGATCATAGGAAAATGGACGTTGGATACTGCTACAGGGACTACAAGAAAACCCAGGTTCTTTGAGAAAACACCAACGGACGGAGAGACCGGTATAGATTAATGAGGCTCCATGGTAACGACGATATCGGATCAACAAGGATTCAGGATGGAGAAAATGACGAAGACGATACGGGTTTACGATGAAAATTTCACGTCCTTGCTTCATACCATCCCATTTTTTGTTCCTTGCCTCTATCAAATCCAAATATATAAGTAATCTACAGATTTGCGAAGAAGCACCACCATGCCACTCCATCACAACATCAGCGCCGTTGGTGGTTCCCCGCAACACTGGCAGGAAGAAACGGGTACGAACTTTCGGACTCTTTACTCTTCTTGATACATCATTTTCTTTTCTTCTTCCCAATGCTCGTGTCAACACTGCCAACTAACCACGCCACGGCAAAGACAACGGCCAACCCGGCAAAGATGGTCATGGGTTTCCTCAAGGCTGCGAGGAATGTATATTGATAGGTGACAAGAACGGTGATGTCTCTGGCCTCCTCGACAACATTTGCAGCTGACAGCTTCAATTCCGTGCGACCGAGCGTGTCCATGAAGGTCTTGTGAATGCCCTGTTCGGCGTGGAGTGTCGGCACGCCCGTACCGCCGTGTGTTTGGTACTGTACGTTAGTGGCGCCTTCAGGGAGAATGATGCGTAACACAAATTGTTCGTATTGGATGCCTTCGGGCATTTTGGGGCCTTCGATCAATGGGACGGATAAGATGTATGTGTCGGAAGGGTTCTTGAGTTTGCGGAGGCATGAAGAGAGAGCATTGTTCCAGCCGATGCGGAAGCTGTATTTCCATCCGCCGAACAGGGGATAGCGGGGTTTTAATTCAAGGCTGGCTTCTCTGACGTTGTTAGGTCGGAATCTTGATGTTGATACATTGCCAATGTCGTCTGTGAAATAAGGGTCGACGCTCCCCGGCTTCAAGGGCACTTTGAGTTCCCTCAGTGCGGAGGTAGACATCTGGCCTGCGTTGATGTAGAAGTTTTGTGTACTCCAAGCGAGGCGGGAGAAGTGGTTGGACAGCGTGGCGCCGTCATGGCGGAGCCAGTATCTCTCTTCTGTTGCAAGATTACCGCCCCAGTGGGAAACCTCGACATCTCGTTCCAAGACACTGCATACTAAAAGAGGCTTGTTGAATTCGTACCGGACTGTCACTGGATAGGTTGTCCCCGGCGGAATCTTTGCGGTCTCGTACGGTCCATACGTGAATGATGAACCTTGTTTCTCTGGATCAGCTGCAGACGTTAATCCTTTGGTGGTTGTGTATTCTGGAACATCCGACGACGGAAACTTGACTTTTGTCTTTTGTTTGATGGTCGGATAGACTGTGGGAGCGTAGGCGGAGAAGTTGTATGTAACATATTGCTTTTCGTCTTGTTTGATAGATGCTGGGAGCGGTGTCAGGGCACCTAGGATATGGTAGGATATAGACAGGGTGAGGGTGCCTTTAGGTGGTAGTGGTTCGGCGAGGTGGATGATGTGGTATTGAGTAGGTCTGTGTCAATCAGTGAGCAGATTCAGAGGCGAGAAACGATTCCACAAACTTAGAAGATGTGCCCTGTGCATCAAGCACGTCGGCCAAAGCAGCAACAGTCACTGCCAATGGACCCTTCTCAGCATTCTTCTTGTCCCGAGCATCAAAGCCGCCAATTCCCCCTATCCGATCATATTCAAAGGGCAAGAAGTATTCCGACTGCGGTTCTTTATCCGTGTTCGTGATCAGAACATTGGTCGTCTCTCTGACATACCCCTTCTCAAGGTTTATGGTGCGAACGAGGTTGGTATTCTCAAATACTTGCGGAGGTCTAAAGTCGCCGTACAATATTTTCTGGGTGGACTGTGGTGTCGTGAGATTTGATTGGGCATATGATATCCCAAGGCACAGTCCTAGGACTGCGCTCACCATCGACGACAACCTCATTCTGTTGCCTCGAGGAGAGGAAGATCAATGCAACATCGTCGTTGTTTCATTGAGGCCAGCGTGGAGCAGGTCTGGGGAGGTCCCCGAAGCGAGATTCCGGAGGAACTTTTGCTCTACTCGGTGCACCTGCTTATGCAGGCACTTACAACGACTTACCCGTGATTGGTCGAAGCTCTCTACAAACTCGACTTCGCAGTTCAATTGAGAGCACTCAGGCCGCGAAGAGTCGAAAACAGCTCACCATGGCGTCGAAATTCGTGCCTCAGCTGGTGCGCCAGGTGACGCGGGTTGCTCCCAAAACTTCACGAAGACAATTATTCCATCCTAGATACTTCTCCAGCACGCCTTCGTCACACAGTGAAACCCTCTCCGTGGTAAGTTGGATCCCCATTAAATCGGTCCACAAGAATACCTCAATCTAAACTCGGGATGACAGCACCGTAATACAGCCGAGAACAACCCTAGTATTCCTTTTTCCTTCAACGAAACGAACCTCCGCCTCATCGATGAGATCCTCAAACGATACCCACCACAGTACAAAAAGGCTGCTGTGATGCCAATTCTGGACCTGGGTCAGCGACAGCATGGATTTACATCGATCAGCGTGATGAATGAAGTGGCGCGGATTCTAGAGATGCCGCCGATGCGAGTCTACGAGGTCGCGACTTTCTACACGATGTACAACCGCAACCCTGTGGGCAAGTACTTTGTCCAAGTGTGTACGACGACGCCATGCATGCTAGGTGGCTGCGGTAGCGACAAGATCATGAAGGCATGCGAGGATTTCCTGGGGATCCACTCCGGCCATATGACCGAGGATGGACTGTTTAGTCTGCTCGAGGTCGAGTGTTTGGGTGCTTGTGTCAATGCGCCCATGATTCAGATCAATGATGACTACTACGAGGATTTGACGCCCGAGACGACAGTCCAGTTGCTACAGGCTCTGAAGGATTCCGCGACCATCAGTGGGTATGACGCTAGCAAAGTGCCGCGTCCGGGCCCGCAGGTTTACGAGGGTTCGCAGAGGATGACCTGTGAGCCGCGGTCAGGGAAGACAACGTTGACTGGTGAACCGTATCATATCAAAGATGTCATGCGGACGGATGGCGAGCTGTGAGGGATGGGATGGCTTCGATGGAAGATATTCGAAGGATGCAACATTTGTACATATTAGAATGTGACTGAACGAGACTCAGGCCCGGACGGCAAGAAAAAAAACTGAACAAACAACCACATCATTTTCATCATTGATACCCTCTTCACGCCTGACTACCGGCTTGCCAGTTGTGATGATTTTGTGCAAAGAGCCTGACTTACGCGTTCACCGTTGATATCATTCATGATCATACTCGTTCTGACGTGCAGGGTCCTTGTAGTCTTGATGCTGACCCATTCCTTCACTGATCCCATCCCATTTCATTCCATCTCGTATCATTTTCATGTCATCGTCCGACTCATGTTGTTCCCATCCCATCCCTTTTTAGCCCATCCTGTCTGATTTCACTCCCATCATTCAAAAAAATGACACCCAGAGAGATCCCCCGAGTGCCTCCGTTGCTAAATTACGTACATGAAGAGAAACGCATATCACATATATCGATCACAAAAGTAATGTTAAGGAAAGGATTGTTGATGGAGCCCAAGAGCCAACCAGTGGTCTGTGTCACTTCTTTTTGCTGTCCTAAATCTGCTAATGATTCATGACCACGTGTTGATGAACGAGACATTCGGTCCCCCAAGGCCCGATGAGAAAGGATTCCAAGTGGAAGTTTGTATCGACGAACTCGGGGTCGGCGCGGCGGTGGGATAATGGATGGGCTTTGGCGGGAACAAGTTAGATTTGGGTTTTTTGGGCTTGATGCCCAAGAACTCATCAATATCGACTAGTTGTTCGCTGGCGGGGACCAGGTATGGTTCGTCGTTATCGCTCCCGTTGCTAGGACCTTGGTTGAATGCTGAGTTGGTATCATCATCCGCAGATGACGGATCAGAGAGATCGACCGAAGGAATTCCAAAGGATGGTTCTGTCAATTGCCAATCCATCTGATCGCCAAACCTGTTCGAATAAACCATCGTCCAGGTTAGATCGCCTTCATACTCTTCACCGTTTGTCGGCTTTTCGACGTCACCTTGGTTCGGTTTAATAGCGATTGGCTCCAGAGGACACTCGCGGATACGTTTGTCGATGACGTAGTTTTCGACCTTTGCTTTTAACCTATCCGTACCGACGTTGTCCTTTGCCACGAACCATTGCTGACGGCCACCATTACTGAACCATCCGCTAAAAGATATGGACGTCAGTTTCAGGTCGGTTTTCAAGTGTTTGATCATTTTGACCCAACATTCCCGCCGATCCTCACCACCAAGCAGGGTGATATTGGAAAGTTCCAATCTTCGAAGCGTCGCGGAGTGAATTTTTAAGAAGTGAATTAGGTCTTCGTCATGGCAGATGCACGCATCAATCATCAAAGTCTCCAGCTGTGGTAGGAGCGGTCGACATATCCAGCTTCCGGTCGGGGTTTCCAGCATTCCGCTCAAATCGGATAGTAATTCATCATCAGAGTATTGATAACGGGTGACACTACAATCCGTCAAGCGTAATCGGAGGGTTTTGAGCTTCTTCGCTGATTTGAGGAGGGCCTGAACGGCCTCAATGTGATTTGCGGTCGGTAACAACGAGTCATTTTTGAAGGAAAGATCAAGAACACGAAGATTTTCCATGATGGCCTGGAAAATACTCAGTTGCTGATATGCCGCTGCAGACTTCATCGGCACCACCCCGAACATGGCACGACCATCAATATTCTTCGTCTTGAAGGTTTGAAGACGGGAACCAGCTGAAAATGCGGCTGTAAGAATACCTTTGGTGTACGATCTTCCGGAACTTCCGGCCATTAGGGAAAAGTTGACTTTTTCCGGGTTGACCTTAATTTTGTGGCAGATCTTGTGGTAGAAGGATGGAACTTTGGAGGAAACCGTGCCTATGTCTTCGTAGTCTCGTACCAGTGCCTCGCGCAGATTTGGTAGCATTCTTAAGGCTTTGGTGAGCATTGCAACCTCAATGGCCATGTCCTCGTACGGTTGAAAGCGGCCTTGAGCAGCGCGGTCCAGCAAAGCATTTCCTTGAGTCTTTTCTTCCTGAGAAACGGTGATTCCCGGTTCCGGTTCGTAAGTCTTGATGTGATGGAAGAAGGAGCCAAAACGGGCATCATAGGTTAGTTTGGTGACATGGCGAGTGACTTTTGAACGTTTGAGGCCCTTGATGAAACCGAGAATACAGTGGTCGTTGGGAACAAGGACAACTTTCCGCCAAAGGTAAGGGTCGGCCATTTGAGCAAGGCTTTTGGAAGCCAAGCGGACATTTTTCAGTGTAGCACGAGGGCATTTTTGGATAATAAGAAGAAGAATTTCATTTGGAAGATCGGGAAGTCTGGTCGGGGCGGGTGCGATGAATGCCATGGTGAGCAAGGTATAGAGAGATTTCCAAGATCATTAGGATAACAAGCAGAGTGATGAAGATATCGATAGATCGGAGAAGACACCAAACGGGCACAATATTGCACAGCCTTCCCCTGAGGTTTGGCCGCCCAAGGCTGCCTTGTCAAAATAGTGCGGTTGCCTGGCGGTATGTGAGTCGAATAGGTTGAGATTCAAGCAATCATGAGTCAGGCGGAATTTGGTCCAGCAGCAGTCCGCTTGCCAATGAATTAAATATTCATCAGAATGAAGTGGTTTGCGTGTGGTGTTGTTCCAGGTCACGAGCCCAAACTAGACGGGCAAGCACCAGCACAGCATCCAGCAATGCGATTTGATGCCCCTCAAGCCCTCTCATCGACTCTCCACCACTGGAACACAACCACAGCCACTGTTCTACGTCCATTCAAGATCTTCTGCGTTGGTACTCGGCCATCACAGATCGGGGTAAATGATGTTTGAAATCGTTGAGTGGTCTAGATATTTTGGATGTTATGAAGCGGTATAGTACTGCTGGCTACAGGGAGTAATCAGGCCGTCTCCTATTTCCAAGAACATCTCAATTCCTCCCTCGGACTCTGAGCAGGCGCTCTACGGCATGAACCTCTTTCGACAGAAGCGACTGTATACAGCAGTGACCAAGTCCATATAAAGGTATTCGAGATCGACAGGACACAATTGTCCAATCAATTTGACTGCTGATGCTGAATTGTCATCGGAAATATTCCTCCTCTTTTTGCATTTCCGCCTGATTTGGGCGACCAGCTATAGACCGAGTCGAGGTGGGTTCCATTAAAAAAACGGGACGTTCCGTCTGGGAGGGTCAACCAACAGGTCGAACTCCACAGAATAACAGAGGCAAGGCCGGGCGAAAGAGATTGCCATCGATATAGCATGGAGATAGTGGATCAAGAGGCTCGAGATCAGTCCAGCATGCAAGAACTGCGACACTTTTGGGAGCATCAGTGGCCGTTATTGGCCATCCTAGCATAGTCTGCCGGTGGAGCGAAAATTCACGAGTCTCATACAAGAGGACGTCGACCCTAGCAGTTAGGATATCAATGAAGTATGGGTTTGATGAGAGAAAGAAAAATTGCCGCAGAAGGAACGAAAAGAGAACAAAATCAGCCATAACCGCCCCCGCTGCCCTCACATGCACGTTCCTCCCTAAACACTTCCATTGGTTGACAGCCAGTTTGCCCGTGGGCTACTCTGGGCTCCAGCTTAATGGTTGGAGGCAGCCGGCTACTTGTCTCTTCTTCTCCCCAGCCGCATTGAGGCTCGAGCTTCTCCATCCATTCGCTTCTGCTTTTGAATCTTCAAAGCTCGAGCTTGTCTCCAAAAGCTTGAGGTCATTCCACGTTCTCCCACCATTTATTCTTCATTTTTCGAATTCATTCCTCGCGGCGCAAATCCATCGTTCTCTTCCCGGAGGAAACACCATCCATCCGATGCAGTAGAGCTTGGGCTCCTCCACGATGAAGTTTGTGTCCTGTCGCTAACCCCCACCTTTTACTTTTTCGCTAACTATTTTCTCCTCACCAGGTTTGGCGAGCAGCTCCGACAGTCCCTGATTAAGGACTACTATTGGTATTACATTGCCTACGACGAGCTCAAGGACGCTCTCAAGAAACCATTCATCAACGGCAAGAGTGGCGAACAAGAACCCTGGACTGACGACGATGAAGCTTCCTTCATTCGACAACTGGAGGCCGAACTCGACAAGGTTTTTACCTTTCAGAAGCTCAAGAGCCAGGAGATTGTCTCGAGGATAAAAGCCAGCGAGGCCGAGGTCAGGCAGGTCATCGAACGTCAAGAACACCTGAACTCTGCCGAGGCCGAAACTGACGATGATCTTGAGAGTGACTTTGAGCTGCTCGAAGCCGATCTCAGCGACATCATCGCCGATGTTCACGACCTGGCCAAGTACACTCAATTGAACTACACCGGCTTTCAGAAAATCATCAAGAAGCATGACAAGCAAACAGGATTAGTCCTGCGTCCTTCTTTTGCAACCAGACTCAAGGCGAAGCCTTTCTTCCAAGATAACTACGATGCATTCATCGTCACCCTGTCAAAGCTCTATGACCTCGTCCGAACCAGAGGTCACCCCGTAAAAGGTGACAGTGCCGCTGGTGGTGCTCAACAAAATTTCGTCCGGCAGACTACCAAGTATTGGGTCCACGCAGACAACATCACCGAGTTGAAACTCATCATCCTGAAGCATCTGCCCGTCCTTGTCTTCAATCCAAACAAAGAATTTGAGGAGAAGGACTCTGCCATTTCCTCAATCTACTATGACAACCCGGAAACATGGGAGCTATACATGGGTCGTCTCAAGAAAGCCGAAGGCGCGGAAGCCATCCGTCTGAGATGGTATGGTGGTATGGAGAACGAAACCATCTTCGTGGAGAGAAAGACGCATCGTGAAGATTGGACCGGTGAAAAATCCGTCAAGGCGCGTTTTACTCTGAAGGAGAAGAATGTCAACGCTTTCCTCGCTGGAAAAATGACCGTGGAGGAAGTCTTTGCCAAAATGAGAAAAGAGGGCAAGAAAAGCATTAAAGAAATTGAGGATCTCGAACAACTTGCTCGAGAGATTCAGTACCGCGTGGTCACCCGCAAGCTGGTGCCTGTGTGCAGATCATTCTATCACCGAACGGCTTTCCAACTCCCTGGCGACGCTCGCGTACGAATCTCCTTGGACACTGAATTGACCATGGTCCGAGAAGACAATCTAGATGGGAGAGAAAGGGCTGGTAAGAACTGGAGACGAATGGACATTGGTATTGATTGGCCCTTCCCACAGCTGCCTCCCGAGGACGTTGAACGCTTCCCCTATGCTGTCCTTGAAGTCAAATTGCAGACCCAAGCGGGTCAAGAGCCTCCTCAATGGGTCCGTGATCTGACTTCTAGCCACCTTGTCGAAGCTGTGCCCAAATTCTCCAAGTTCATTCATGGTTGTGCCACCATGTTCCCTACACGCATCAATCTTCTTCCCTTCTGGTTCCCTCAGATGGACGTGGATATTCGCAAACCAATCACCCACCGTTTTGGTATCGAACGGCCGGCCAACACTGCGAGCTACTCCACTAGCGATGTCGATGAAGACGAAGAAGATTCAGATGAGGAAGGAGAGGACAGCCAGACCACGGAAAGGACCACCCCTTTTGTGAACGGATCCAATGACGGCGATGATGAACAAACAAGACGACTAAAGGCTGCTAAACATGCGTTGGATGAGCATAGTCGTGCGCAAGAACCGAATGATCAGGAAGACGGCAACCTCGCTCCCGGAAATTCATTAGATGAAGAAGAACGCATCTCTGCCACGCCTCTGGTTGAGGACGAGTATATCTATGACTCCGAGGCCGATGATGCCGAAAATGAGCTAGAGGATGCTCGTCAATCCAAGTCCTGGAAATACTACCCTTTGATTCTGAAACATCACGCTCAACTTGCAGCCGATGCCGTCATGAACGCCTTCCACAAAATCCCTATATCTACGCCTCTCCCGCAAAACGGAAATGTTGGAGGTGTCAACCCTACGGGTGGTCCAGTGCAAGTCAGACGATTCAAGGCACCCAAGGGCAAGCGCATTCATGTTCCTGTCCGAGTCGAGCCCAAGGTGTATTTCGCCACTGAGCGTACCTTCTTGTCGTGGCTGGAATTCAGTATCATTCTGGGCTCCATTGCTGCGACGCTGCTCAATTTTGGAGACAATGTCAGTCTCGCATCGGCGTGGGGCTTCACCATTGTGGCGTGCGCCGCGTTATTATACAGCGTGGTGATCTATTGGTTGCGTGTGCAGATGATTCGGAAGCGGAGGGCGAGCATCTCACGATATTATGACAAGTATGGCACAACCGGCTTGTGCATTGGATTGGTGGCGGCAACCGCCATCACTTTCGTGTTTAGGATTAAGGAAGACGGGTGGTTTTGAATGATTATTAAAATGGAAGGGATGGATAGATTTGTCGCGGGGCCGAATCCGGAATGAAAAGGGAAAATTATATCCGATGAGAGAGACAGGAATCAGTGGTGATGATGGTCTTGCTGTGGTCTCGAGCAATCGCAGCGTATGGAGTCAATTCATGGGTCGGGAACACAAAACAGTATGTGTCAAGGGCAATGAGATGGTTAGCTACTCTACATATTCCCAATGTCGGTTTTCATGTCTTTTGGTCTGGCTGTCACGCCTCGAATTAGTACTAAGTCAGACTGAATGGATAGGAAGATAACTCTGGACTCCCGACACCAAGCATCAGGGCGACCTGCAACAAACTTTTTCGGAGCTGGAGCTCTGATATTCCGTACAAATTCTGACCTCCTTTTCCACCGGTATTCGCAGAAATCCGCCAGGTGGAACTCCTTACAAGAAACGTATTGCAATACAGTCGAGACCTAGGTGTGCGGTACCTAACATTCCACCATACACTCACTCAATCAATCAATCAGTAGTCCTCAATATCGTCGTCGGAGATGTACAATTTCTCGACAGCCACGTCATTAAGCGCTGCGGCAGAGGGATCATGTTTTTGCTGGCCTCCTGGGCGTGGCATTGTATTTCTTCTCAACCCTGAACTCGAGGCCTTGAACTGCGTGGGTGCAGGGACAGGTCCAACGCCGGTACCAATGCTCCCAATTCCAATTCCGGCGGCTGAACCCGAGTCGTTGTCGTTGTGTTCATCCTCCTCAAATCCATCTTCGCCAGCTGCAGAAGAAATAAACCCACTCGGGTTAAACCTCGTGATACGTTCGAGGATAGAAATATCATGGTCCTTCGCTGCATATATCCGAGTCATAAACGGGAGAATCTCGAGCGTCAGTGTGTCCTTGGCGTGGTGAATCGGGAGCGAATATGGTGCAAGCTCGTGGTCGTCATCATCGTCATTACCATCCTGTTTTCCCAATTCCGTGCCCGACTTCGATTTAATTGTGGGGATACGAGTTGCTGTAAAGGTTCTGGTCCGCCAGCTGGCCACACCACCGTCCACGCCCGGAATGACAGAGCCAGACCCAGATCTGAAATCAGCTCTAGCACTGCTGTCACCATGGACGAACATCTCGATTAAACTTTCCATTTCCTCTGTCGGCTTCCACAGCCTCAAGCTCGCAGGATAAAACATCTTGAAGTTGTCACCTCGCTTCCCGCCAGGCGGATTGGCTCGATTTACCGGATACGGCAGATTGAACAAAAGGCCTCTCGTTGCGACGTGGAAGCCGATTTCATCTTGACGCAGCGTATCTGATGACCCAGCCTGCACCCTTGCTTGGATGACACCCGCATTTGGATTTGTATTTCCACGACGAAGCGGTCGGTTCTCGGGATTCAAGATGTCGGCTGTTGAAAGGATATCCGAACATCCATCAAAGGAGCCCTCGAAGTGGTCTCCGTTACACGACAGAATGTAATTCTCGTGGAGAGTGGAGATGAAAGTCTGGATATCTGTTCCTGTCTCACTAAGCAGGGCCTCGATATCTACCTGCGATGTCTTCGGAGTATACAGATGCATCAAATGGTCTGGTGGTTTAGGTGGTGGTTCTGCTCTGGTATCCCGGACGCGAGGATCTTCGCGTTTGTTGTACACTATTCTGCCGGCAGCATGAAACATGTCTAGGGTTGTTTCGCGCTGGCTGACGAGCTGCAGCGAATTCTTCTCCATTTCCGTCAACAGAACACTGTCTTTATCTCTTGACGTCTTTTTGGTTTTAGCCGCGACGGTTCCAGACCATTCCGAACCATCACCGCCTCTTACACAGAGAAATTCGAGGGAGTTGACCGCATTCCTGACATCGCCCATCTCAACTAGTCTTTGAATTACCGCCGGGCCGGGTATCCGTCGTCTACGGGAATCCCTGGCCTCCTTTTTGATGACAAGGTCCAACGCCTTCGTTACAAAGGTAGGCGCCACCGGATTGAACTCCATTACCGTGACGAAAGGATGATTCAAGATTTCAGCACCAAGAAGTCGGTGAGCTGTGAAGCCGTCGGCAAAGGCAGTCGATGAGGACAAAAGAGTCTCTGATATAATCACGACCACTGGCGGAACACTATCATTGGGAAGTCGTTGACCGCCAAACGTTGATGAGGACGCCATCCTGGCTCGTGCGAGGAATTGCAAGATGACATTTCTGAAGGATTGAAGAGTGGTAGAATTACTCGTGGTGTTCGCCGGAAACTCTTCAATGACGAGGACTCGATGGTCTGGATCTTGGTCGGCGCATTCTGAGTCCAGAGAGTCGTGTTCGAAAGAAAGGCTGCCAAAATAGCCGCCTCGATTTAAAAATTCGTCGAATTGATGAGCAATCGAATTGCTGGCACCTGTCTCGGAAACAGTAGGGTTGTGCCATTGTACCATTTGCAGCCCCATAGCTTTGGCAAGCAATGAGACGGTGGTGGTTTTTCCACTGCCGGCTGGTCCTTTCAAGGTGAGTATTTTTTGACTGTTACTCCCATTTATCTTCCCTTGTAACCAATTCTGAACATCAGCAACCTTCTTCTTGTGCACGACCAACTCTTCCAAGTTATTGGGGCCATATCGATCCGCCCATGGACGACGGTCTTGGTTAGGTACGTGGACTTGGTCTCCAATATTGGCGATGCCTCGTCTGGAAGCTGTCGTTCTAACGAATCGTTGGCTGGAAGGTAGACTGCCTGCATTGCTAATGTTTTTGAGATTTGCAATGGCTGGCACGGTAGGTTTCTGTCTGTCCAAAGTCGCACTCGCTCTATCCGTCCTTGGCCTCAGGTCTTGCAACGTCTCGTCCGAGAGATCGTCATCTTCGATAGCATCTCCCAGTTCACCATTCTCCAGATCAAGGTCCGGAGTTGCAGATTTTCTCGTCCATCTCTGTTCCTCAGTGGCCTTGCCAAAGAAGTTGTGTAGGGACCTTGACTGGTCAGGCTCAGTTTTGGATCTGGTCTTTTTTCTGGTCTTTTCCGGTGAGGACTTGGGTGAAGCTTTAGGCGTTGCTCTCTTGGAAATTGACTTTCCCTTGGTAGGTTTGGTTGGAGACACGGTCTGGGAAGTCCTCCCATCGAGCGTGATCTCGCGTTGAAGACTCGGCTTAGAGACGTTGGGAGAGGGTAATTCAACGTCGTCACTGTCGTCTGAAAGGACGATGGTGGCTCGGCGCTGCCGTTTGGCAGGTCGTGAAGCCATCAGTGGGCATTCTGAATGGATTCCTCAGAGGCTATGAATTTGAACATGGCCCTTGCGTAGAGGTGGTTTGAGGAAGCGGTAACAAACTTTGTCAAATTCTCAACCGACCACGACGGGTGCACGCGACTTCACGTGACCTTCGCTTCATAAGGAGTTCCCCGTGTGACAAAATACATTCGATTTCAAGGCTCCACTTCAGCCTCGATTAAACAGACCATCCACCAGATTGTCCCAAAATCCAAGATCGTACAGATTGTCGACCTCACTAATGGACTTGACCCTCATCCAGCGCTCATCGACCACTTCTTCCCCTTGAGCATGACCATTCTGCCCGGCTTCATGCTTCTCAATTTTTATCTTCGGCGGCTGTCCATCCTGTGTCCGACACAACCACCATTTTGCTCGCACACCCGTTGGCCATCTGATATCTCCGTCCCGAGGCTCGACATCTTCCGGTAAAGGTGGATAAGTTTGTCTCAGTTTGCTCATTTCCGCCCTGAAGACAACACCGTCCGCGATGTCTTCTTTCCAGTCACTCCATTTGGCACTCTCATTGGTGGTCATTCCCGCCCAGATCAAGTAGACGTGGTAGACGAGGAACCCCAAAGCAAGCGGACACGACATCATGGCTAGCATCATGACAGCTCCGATACGCCATTCGAGGCTGATAACCCAAGCCCAGCAGTGCGCAAATTCCCCCCATGCCAGCCTGGTACTCCACCGTTTCGCCGTGAAACTGCCTCTGGTCAGAGCCGCGGGGACAAACCGTTCCTGTAACTTGGCGTCGAGGATGAAATAGCCGAGAGTTGCACCGTATGCTAACAAAATTGCGATGCTGACCAACAAAAGGTTGAACCAGAGATAATTGTTCCGGCCGACACAGTTGTTGATCCAAATGCAGTGATGGTCCTGCTTCTGAACACAGGCTCTGCAAAGCGAACAGTGCTTAGAGCGAGCGGGCTTGGCGAGGCGACATGTACTGCAGAAGTAGCCGGGATGGAAGAGAGCGAAGTCGTAGGGATACGCGAGCATCGAGGAACGGTGATTCTGGGGAGTGATGTTGGACGAGGTCGTCGCGGAGAGATATAGAAAATACAGAGGAGCAACGACAAGGACGGGTATCGGCACTAACTGGGGCGTGGTGAGTCGATCCCATGCCGCTGGAATGAATAAGAACTCCCCGATCACTTGTAGAAGGACAAAAAAAATCTGGAGGATGAGCACGCGCCTCTCCGACGCAAGTTTGATACAGTACATACCAAGACGCCAGGATGTGCCTCGTGCAGCAGATAGTTAGTCGTTCGACCAAGGCTCCCGGATATGCGGCGCCCTGTGAGGCGATCATCGAGACTGATCAAGGCATTTGGAATATGTTTCCAGAGAAGGCGGTGGAGAAATGCAACAGGAGTTCGCCTGTAGATGTTGAGTTGAAGTGAAACCCTCCACGAACAAGAGCGCTCATTACCTGAAGATAGGAAGTCGACCAAAGAGGGCAACAAATACAACGAAAGAAATGCTGAGGATGACGACCGCTATGGTCCGAACGACACCCATTGCTAACTGGAGAAGAGTGGCTCGGGACGAGGACCGAGTTGACGGTGCTTTTGTATTTTCTGCCCGCTTAAAATACGTGGCTTGACGTCTTGGACTCTATTTCGTGTTTGCCTGAGGCTGTTTGGCTCACGCCGAAATGGGGCGCCTGAAAGAAACTCGACGAGCTTTTTCACTTTTCCACTATTCAAACGGAGCTTCTTTTAATCACCCATCACTGCAACTACATGGTGACCGGTACAGCATGCTCCACCGACCTTTGGCTATTCCATTGATCGTGCGCGGCATGAAGTCGTTTGTCCCATAAGAAATCAAAAGACATGATCTGAATACCATCAACAGTCCATCCACCCAATCTCCTTGACCAGCGCCGGATGACGCCTCAATCCCGATTTCCATAGGTACCCAACACCTGGTTGATAAAATGCTCATTACCCACTCTCACACATGCATACTCTTTGTCTTTCGATGCATCTCCTCCCGACCGACTGTGGATTTGACAGGACTGTTGGCCTGACTCATGGAAGGCCCAGCACGATACGTGTCGGTTCGCATAGGACCGCACCCGGGTCGGGCCATATGTGATGCTTTTGCCTTCATTTTCTTCTCTCGTTTTAGAACCATCTCTGTCCAGCCTTTAACAGGTGCAGAAGAACTCTGAACGGCCTTGCCCACGACCTGCGCGAGGGCCTGCATCCATTCATCTTTTTCGGCCGTCGAATCCGCATAAAAGTCAATGACTTCTCCATTTGCAAACCGAATCCGGAATCCCTCTTCCACGAACATGTAACCTTCTTCCTCTTCGGCAAACCCACTCTTTCGTCGACCACCACCCTTTGTGGATGTCTCTTTTTGAGTGAGAGCCGTCCTGTCATCGATCAGGCGTTGCGCCTTGGCCAGGTTGATAGTGGCACGAGGTTGAAGGGTTGCTTCGTGGTAAGCTGTTAGTTTGGTTCCGGTGAGTTTAAAGAAGCGTCGTCGCCAATACTGCAAACTGTCAGTATCACATTGTTTGGACATCTTTCATCTGAAGGGACTTACCGGGCAATCTCCGCCCTGCTGACTCAAATGTCCTTCGAAGCTTTTGATATTCGCTTGTTGCTGCATCCGTTCTTCGGCCTCTCGAAGTGCACGTACAGCACCATTCATACTCTTTGGCATATCTTCATCCCGGGCTCCCTTTGGCTTTGGTACGTATAGCAGCTGCAATTCGAGTTTGCCAATCTCGTAAGGCGGGCGCCGTTGAAGCTGTGTCACACCTTTCTTACTTCGTGAACTGCCAACAGGCACTTCTTCCAATGCCCATTCATTGAAACAGGTGATGTCCACCGTGTATGGCCTGCCATATGCTTGTTTCTCGTGCTCGCTAAGAGCAACATAGGCTCGAGCGAATGATCCGTCCTTTGCAACCAGTCCTTGAACCAGCTCGTACGCCGATGGAGGGGTGACCGGTCTCCTTACCGCTGCCGCCTGTTGTTGGGCCCTCATTTCCATTTCTTTCTTCCTCTTTGGTGAACCAAACAATCTGCCGAATGCACCCTGTTTCTTAGGCAGGGTAGGTGGCTTTGAAGGAGACTGCGGTCGTTCGATTTTGGGCTCTTCCAATTTCATCTGCAGAGTGAGTTGGAATTCAAGGTCATTGAGAACGACCAGCTCGAATTCCTGGCCAATAGGTGCACTCTGAGCAAGATCCAACCAAGCAGTTGTCACGCAATGCAGACCGTTATCGAGCGTCAAGGCGAAATATGTACGCTCATCTTGTCGATGGTCAGCCAAATGGACCACCTTGGAAAAAAAAAAAAAAAAAGAATAAAAAAAACGCCTACTTACGCTGAGGGAATGGCATTTGCAAATCCTTGACACCAACAACCTTGACAAAGAGTCGACCGCGTTCTGCACCTTCCTCCCAGTCATCTTCTTCCCCCATCTCATCCTCTGCCACACTATCCAGAGTTTCTTGAGCATTGCTTGCCTGTCCTGGCAGAGGCGGCGCGGGACCATCGATCAGCTTTCTCTTACTCACAGCCTTTTCACCACCCACGCGGATGCTCTTTCGTCTGATCTTGCCATTCCATGGTTCAGCGGTCCATGTTGGTTGGCTTGTCTTGCGAGGTGATGGATGGACCTGATTGGCCTCAGGTGCGAGCAACCCATCGCCATTGGAGCCTGGAAGACCGGGAGATCTGCACTCATCCTGAGAGACGTGTTCACTAGCAACGACAATCTTGGTATTCTGACGCATAAGATACCCTCTCTGTCGATGGCCAGATCGATTAGCAAATGATTCTTCACCAATGATTCTACTTGGGGAATTAGCACCTTCCTTCCTAGACAGAGCACGAGCTCCACAAGGCTTAGGAAGAACAGGGATGTTGTCCATGGGATTCACGACCTTCGATGTAGGAAGCTCGCTCGATGGGAATCGTCCATTGAAAGGGTAATAAAGACGTTGCAATGAGAGTTCAAACTCTACCTTTTGGGCCTCCACAACGCGGTCAAATTCCTTCTCCAGGCCAAGTCCAAGACCATCGTCTAGGTCGTCGCGGGGGATCTCAAGTTGCACCAAACTGCTGACACGCTTGTTCTCCGCAGCAGTACTGTCAGACTGCGTACCCTTTTCGTCAATTACTGCTCTGTCGGCGGATTCTGCAACCCAGCTCTCAGGTTTGTCGCTGGACTCGGCCGATACAGGAGATATAGGAGATTCTTCTTTTCCGCTGACCAGGACAGGACCACTTTCGGAGGGAGAGATCGATCTGTCGCCCTCAGCTTCTAGCGGCTGCTCTTTTGCGGTCGTGTCAGTATCCAGATTATTCAAAAAGCCAGGGCTTGCAGTCGAATGTCGAACAACTGAATCCGGAGTCCCAGGTGGCCCTTCTTCATATCCGAGGGCGACTGGGCTCTGATATGGTTTTTGTTGAATGTCAGGAGTATATGATCGTTGAATGGACTGGCGCAGCGCCGCGAGGTCAGGGAGATCCGTCTTTGGGGGACTCACTGCAGCCAGCTTCGCCTTCTCTTCTTTGCCTGTCAAATACGAGGCTAGACCAACGTCGAAACTGCCCGGCTTTCCAAATTCAGCAAACTCAGGTAACGACACTCGTTCAGATGTCAACAACTTCGCGTTCGTTTCTCGTACTGGACTCTGAGCTTTGGGAGTGTCTTGTTCTTCATCCCTCACAAGCGGAGCCGACGAAGCAAGAGACACTTGCGAATACTGGCTGGTCAGGTCATCATCCTGATGAGCACTCTCGTCTGATTCTGAGACAATCCGATGACTGTACATATCAGGGATGGAGAAAAGGTCCTGCTCCTCTGTATCTTCTTCCTTGATTCTGGGCTGAGTCGGATCTTCCAAAGATGGAATTGGAACATCCGGATCGAAGGAAGATGGGTCGCCCCCCTGGGAATCGTCCGAGTTTTCCTCGCTGCTATCTCGACTGTCCTGGTCGAGTTGACGGCGCAAGCCTTGGAGGACCGAGGCTCGCGAGAGCTGTGGCGTCGCATTCCTTGATTCAGAGAACTCGGACGCAGATTCACGAGCACCATTTATGCTCTTCTCGATGTCGTTGCCACGAACCGTACTCGGATCTTTGGAACCCATTCTTCTCATCCGGCGCTCTCTTTCCTGTTCTTGAAGCGCATTCAATCTCAATCGATCTTCTGCAGAAAGAGAGCTTGAAGTTCCCATCTTCTGGATATCTGCCTTTGAAATTGTAGCGGCCATTGGAGGGGTGGGAAGAGAACGTTGAGAGTGGCTCATCCGTTCAAATGCGCCAGACAGGCTGTCAGACCGTGACGTTTTCTGAGCTAGGCCTGGAGGTGGCAATGGTGGAAGTGGACGAGATTGTCCATTCGAATCGACGGAACTTGCACTCGTCTGATGGGGTCGATAAGCCAATGTCCCAGGTTGAGCAGTCGGAGCAGGGCTGCCACAATCATCCTCGAAAACGTCTTCTTCGTGACGAGCCAAATCAGTGTTGGCCGTGGCCGGGCTCATAAAGCGCCAATCTTCTGGAAGAACAACTGGGGTCTTTTCTGTATCTTCTAGGGATGCGTCAAAGCTGTCATCATGATCCATCGAAGAGCCTCTTTCAAAGCTGGCCTCCTCTTCCTTGTCGTCGTCGTCGTCGTCGTCATCATCATCGTCCTCCATGGACTCATAGCTGCCCTCGCGAGAACCAGATGCACAAGAGGAGGGTGCTGGTGTGGTCATTTCATATTCATTGACTTGTGGTGGTGCTTGGTCGAAAGTGACGCTCTTTTGGTGACGATGTAGCCCCCGGCCAGCAGGAAGTTGTTTGTTCTGGATATCATCCTCATCTTCCCAAATACCTGTCTCCGGATTGAACCCACTCCGTCTAAAGTTCGCCCCAGTCTTCTTGGAGAGAGAGGATTTCGCGGGCGAGCTATTGAGCCACCTCGGCGAGTGAGGTGTGACATTATTGGTGGTTGTTTTGGTTTCTTCGTGTTGTGTCTTCGCTGGCGATTGCGTAGGTGAGCTATCGGTCGGTGCAGGATTTTCCGTACGAAGCGCATCGAGCCCACGAATTGGAGATTGTTGTCTTGGAAATTGCATGCTCCGGGGACGGCCGTCGAGAATGGCAGGGCGAGAAGGGTCATAGTGAGTGCTTTGCTCGATGGCAAACATACTGCTGTTCTTCACCCTGGAAGCCTTCTTCAAGTTTTCAATCGAGGATCGTTTGTTCGGGGATGGTGGAGGACTTTCGAATCCGTTGCGATTTTCTCTGGCAGGGGAATTGGGATCTCGCCCCTGCCAGAATAATCGGGGTGAACTAGTTGAGAAGGGAGATGACGTGGTGTGGGAGTTTTCGTTGCTCAATAGTTTGCCCTGCACAAGCTGTTAGATGTTTGTCAAGCACCTGTTGGATGCACACATGATACCTTGGATTGAGGAAAACTTGGAGAGTTCCTACGAATGGCCATAGGACTAAGCTCTGACAAGGGACGGTTCGTTACTCGGGGCAGCTTGGATGGCGAAGTGCCATTGCTGCCCTTCTGAATTCGCAGAGGCGGAACCTGAACGGATCGAGATGTCAACCGCAACCAAGTCGATGTCAACAATCGAGAAGGCACACACCTCCGAACCCATGGCGTCTCGAACCTGGACAATGGCTTTGTATTCACGGGTTGGTCAAGCTCAGACCATGAACGATGGGATGAACAGTGCGCAGGAATGAACGTGGGTCAAGCCTGGAGGAGGCAGACCAGCTGGGGTTTGCTCAGAATATCGAGAAGGGTGTGAAGAAAAGAGAGCAAAGAATAGAAGCCGAAGAGTGTACAGAATCAATTGCGACCGCAATAGCGGCCACCCGATGTTGCTTCGTGTAAGAGAGTATAGTAAAGAAGAGAACTGGAGACGAGATGAGATTGGCGATTGAGAGAGGCTGCAGAACTTCTACGCAGTGGCCGCTTTATGCTACCACTGAAAGAGGGGAGCGAATCAAGATGCGTGGCGGGCGGGCCATCAAAACAATGCCATCCGTTCCACTGGTTGCTACAGGCAACATCGACCTACTCTTTTCACGCCAAACCCGTTCGAGCATCGCCCCAAAAAAGTTTCAGGCATGAGGCTCAATGTGCATCACGAAGACAATTCGTACGATTATAGAGCCCACTGGGAGGAAGAAAGGGCAGTCTCTGAGGTGAGGGTCAACACGAAGAGTGGATGTTCTGGGTTGAGAGTGCTCACCGTGTCAGACTCGGCCGAATTTTTCTTCAAAGTCTCAATCGCAACTCCAGTACACTTTCCTACACCGAGGACCCGAATCATTTCTCACCGATATTTGTATCCATGTCGTCCACGGCGGCAGTTTGTCCCGCATGTCAATTCAGAGCCCTCATCTCCGGTCTGCGCCCTCCGACCCGACATTGGCAGGGACCAAGGGGACTGGCTATGGCCATGCGACAACGCAGAAAACCATCCAGGATGACTCTCAGTCGAGATGTTGGTCGATTGGATTCAGATAGGAGGGCAGGCAAACAAGACATCGCGGGGCCTTTTGGTGGAATGAATCAAACAGAAGCAAGATTACCTGCCAGAGCCGCGCCGCGACAAATACCGTCAAGGGTGCGGATGTCACTGAGGACGGAAATGAGGAGACGGAGTGTGCTACAAAAGGCTGCCGGGAAGACATCATCTAATATCGAAGGGCAAGCGGCCGAAATCCCTTCGGTCTCCAAAAAGCCCAAGATTGCCAGCAAAAAGGACAGACCTCTATTTCATGCTCTCAAGATGCAACAGACCCTGGCTCCTCTTTCGTACAGCCAACGAGACAGACTGAAACTGAAGATAGAAAAGATTCAATCATTTGACGAGTTGGGGTTAATGCCTTCAGTTGTCAATGCTGTATACACACAAGTGCTTCCACATTTGACAGACTACACACCTACTCCGGTACAAAAGCTCGCGATCCCTCTGCTGCTCAGCAAAAATGGAAAGTATGAGAAACAGAAATTGGCTGATGGCAAACCGAACTTCGACCAATTTCTCCTGGCGGCTGAAACTGGGTCAGGAAAAACGATGGCTTATCTCCTTCCGGTCATTCACGCCGTAAAACAACAAGAAGAGTTGGATCGAATTGAAGAAGCCGAACGAGAGGCGCAAGAATCCAAAGACAAAGAAGAGCGTGAAAAACGTTTTGTCTTCGACGCCGATCCATCAGAGACGGAAGAGAACATCCATCCGTCAATGGGCCGGCCACGGGCTCTCATCCTACTTCCCTCCTCCGAACTCGTCGCCCAAGTCACCAAAGTGGTCAAATCAATTGGACATGCCGTCAAATACAAATCTGCGGGAATATCCTCCTCCAACAGCCCGACGGTGATCCGCAACAGATTATTCCATCCCAATGGCATTGACATCCTTGTATCCTCGCCACACTTGATTGCCAGCATTGCCAAAAAGGAACCGAACATCCTTTCCCGAGTCCAGTACCTTGTCGTGGACGAAGCTGACTCTCTACTCGACCGATCATTTAGCGAAACGACCTGCAACATCATCGACCGAGCCACACCATCACTCAAGCAACTAGTTATCTGCTCCGCCACTATCCCCAACTCCCTCGACCGCTTTATCGACCGCCGCTTTCCAGAATGCAAACGAATCGTCACACCAAAACTTCACACCATTCCTCGGCGCGTGCAACTGGGCGCGGTGGACATCGATAAGGACCCCTACCGTGGCTCCCGCGACTTAGCCTGCGCCGACGCGATCTGGACACTGGGCAAAGCGGTGCACGAAGACCTCAACCCGCGACACACGATCAAACATTTTCTCGTGTTCGTCAACGAACGGGAGAAAGCTGAGGAACTCGCCCGATTCCTCGCATTCAAGGGTATCGACGCCGTAGCCATGACGCGCGACACGACCGAACAGCGACAAGCCGAGATCCTCTCGACCTTCACGTCGGTGGATCGCGTCGAAGGGACTGAAAAGGAGAAACCCAAATTATTCAACGACTTTGTCCCCTTCGACAGCTCGCAAGTGAGCAAAGCGACTCGACGACACTTACCCAACACCAGAGTCCTGGTCACTACAGACCTCGGCTCGCGCGGCGTCGATACCCTAGCCGTACGCCATGTGATTCTCTACGATGTACCGCACACGACGATTGACTTTGTGCATCGTCTGGGCCGTATGGGAAGAATGAATCGTCGTGGCCGGGGCATCGTGCTGATGGGACGTCACGACCGAAAAGATATTATTCGGGAAGTCCGCGAGGCCATGCATAAGGGCCAGGCCTTGGTTTGATCTGACCTGATGAAATTAGGATGGCATATAAGATTAGGTTAATGCATTCGATACCAGGAATAAAAAAGTAATTCTCTTCTCTTCAACACTTGGAGCGATACTGATACCCTTGTCTAACGGCGTATTAATCCCTGCCAACGACAATGACCGGACATGATGTGGAAATAAGGAACATATCCCGTAGTTGTTACCTTGTGCATACGAGAGTCGAATCGCCAAAAGGAATGTGTTCAAGAACCACGAGGTCTCGGAAAAGCAAGCACTGGTGGACGTGGAATCGAGCCATTCACATCCAACAGCAGCACGATTGCTGATCTGGTCGAGATTCGAGGAAATGGAATCGCGTTTATCAGTCCAGACATGCGCAGAACCGAATCTGCTGCAATGCAACAGTTGCAAGTCTGCAATCCGCACCCAGATCATCCACCGAGAGGATTATCTTCATGACCCGGTCGTGGTGGGTTGACTATGAAATGTAATCCTCGAGGCGCGTATCGCAACACCGAAAGGAGGAAAACTTCAACATGAAGGCGTGTCATCTCCATCCTCTTACCAAGCCATTCTTCCTACGTACTGGCGCACTTGAAGCTGGCCAGATATCTCAAGCCTTTGCCTACCGTAACACTTTCTGCGAGCTTGTGGCGCAAATCCTCGCTCTCCTTGTCACGTTTAGAGATCCGTCCGAGCTGACCCAGCGTTTGATCAGGTTTGTCAGTGCTATGGGAAGGCATGTACTTGATCCAACGAATCCATTCACCGACCTGCTAGATTTATGGACTGCCGACCCGACAAATGCTGGACTGTCCGATACCCCTGATGTTAGACTTCCCTCAGGGTATACACGATCATCATCGTCCCGTGGATACGGATGTTGGCCTTGTTACAAGATAGGTTTATCTCAGGTGTATTGGGAAGAGCATGGCCCATTCATTTCCACAAAATATTCAAATTTACGAGCTGTTTTCAAAAATGCAAGGCGACAGATCCTTTTTCTCTCCACATCGATCACTACCTCTCAAGGGATCAGGAAGTACCAGCTAGAGAGGTACGTAGCCCGGCCACAGCCCGACAATCGGACCTCATTGATCTCGAAACCGACATAGTGTAGTAGTTAGACCATCTAACGCATAGGCTTGCTTTTCCTTTGTCCTTTGTCCATTGCCCAGTGTGCCTTTTTCCTGATTCTTTTTGGTGCCGAATCCATCCTTACTCTTATGTTACGCTGTATATATATATCCTGCTTCCTCATTTTGGCTTTTGCATCTTTCAAGGCCAATGGCCATAATGACCAGAATGACCAGAATATTCAAAGCGTCAACATCGGTCCGATAAAACAGACAACCGAAAATGGTATCGCTCACAAAGGCCGCCCAAAATAAAACCAGTAACAAAATGCTGATGCAGAGACTGAGCCAAAAACACATGGTTGCCTCCCAAAAATCAAAAGAAACCCACCCAATACCGATCATAGGATCGTTTTTATGCCATATCGTATAGTGTGTGAAGCGTCTGGGGTCTCTTGGATGGCGTCTGTTTCGACATGCGAACTCTAATGACCAAAGCTCCCAACCCAGCTGCCGGAAATGGAATGTGGTTTGACGATATCAATCGGCACACTTCCCGCGGTAAAACTGTCAGGTGTGACTTCATTAGTTCCCATCTTTTCGTTGATGTCCAGTTCCTCCGGCGCTGACTCCAATTCCCATGTAAAGGGCTTTCCCTCACGCAGCCCGGGACTGGCCAATTCCTCGTCAAGCTCAAAGAAGCCGACGCCACTACCTCCATCCTCAGCTTCCATCAATCCGCCCGAAAAGCCGGACTCGTCGGGCGACACAAGAACGGGAAAGTTAGTACTGCCGTTAATCGTTGGGGATGGTGATGGGCTTGGGAGAGGTGATGGAACGGGTGAAACAAAGCGGCGTCCTCTTCCTCGTCTTTTCTCAGTCACGGTCAGGAAATTAGGACGCTCGGCCCGTTTGATACCTTCTTCCTCTTTCTCATCCTCTGGAAGACTCAGATCCCCATTCGCGAGTCTCTCATCGAAACTCGTCTCCTTTTCACCCATTTCCGGGCTCGACATCTCCTCGTAACTACTACTCGGTTCCACCACCTTGGAATCCGCAAGTTGAAAAGTTACATGTTTCCTTTTCCTCCCTCCGCCGCTAGATGATCTCAAGGCACTAGGTAGACTGGTGCTTGGCAATTGTGGAGTCGATTGAGTTCGTTTAGTCGCCACGATCGAGGAAGAAATAGATCGTGACGGTAATGATTGAGAGGATTGCATGTGTTGTTCCTGCTTCTCGGCGTCGGCATCGAGTTGCAGTCTTTTCCTTTCCTCCTCTGGTCGTGGGCTCCGGGCCAATGGTGTACGGTCACGGGATTCGAGGAGGGGAAGATAGGTCGGGGTAAAGACGCCAGCAAAGCAGTCGGATTTATCGTTCGTGGGTGTCGGCGGAGGAATCTGTTCCACCCGCGGACGTGGAGGTGTGGTGTTTGCTGAGCCCGGTGAAGGGGATCGAGAGACTGATCTAGTCAAAATCGATGGTGTCGGGGGTGTCCCTAGAGGGTTCACCAGTGGTAGGGTCTCGCCGGAAATGTTCAATTTGTCCAGTGAAAGAGTCGGCTTACTTAGCGGTGCATGATTTATGATCCTGTCTCCCGTTCCATCTTCGTATCTTTTGGGCCGGTATGGTCTCCATCCATTTGCGGCACCATTTTGAACGGAGGCCAACAAATTCAAGACCGAGGCGGTGTTGGAGGAAGAAGAGAAGAAATGCTTGTTGGGAGATGACTGGGAACTCTGTTGAGCATCAGGGGACCGTTTTCTCTTCACACGTAGATCCCTCTCAAATTCGCGAAACTCTCGTTCTTTGGCAGCCTTGAATCTGAAGATTTCCTCGTCCAATTGCTTCCTTTTCTGGTCAAGGACTTCAATTATATCGGATTCGGAATCACTGGTATTGTCGGGCGAGGGAGGACCATTTTGGGACATGCAATTGACTTGTGCCGAATGTCTGTACATGATGACCTTCTCCAGGATTGCGCGTGGTTTTCTTTCGATCTAAACCACGGTGGGAGAAGGATCATCATAAGAGGAGGAGGAAGAAAAGTACATAGGTCATGAATGGCAATCCAGAATGAAGGGGCAGAAGATGGCGAGAAGATGGAAGGTGGAAAGATTTGAGGCGAAAGAATTATAATCCAGAGCAGAGAGGTGTCTCACACACTGGTAGCGGCTGTCGGACGTGTGGCTGAATTGAGTGATGGAGAATGTTTCGGAGGCTCGGGGGAAAGAAACTCCTTCGAGATGACTGGAGAATGGTGCTAGTCGTGATTTTATTGTAGCGGTGATGGTGGGATGGTGGTAGTTGCTCAAGGTTGAGTTGAGACCATGAGATATTGTTTTTTTTTTCCCTCCTCAGGTGGCAGTAGTTTCCGTCGGTGAGAGAATGAGAGGAAAAGAGGAAGAGGGTGTGTAGAGGGAGGTCTAGGTTTCGGGAAATTCGAGGGTGCAGCAGGATATTTACTCCAACAAGCGTGGAAAAGAGGGAGTAGGAGAAGACGCAGTGGAGGTTTGGTGGAAAAAGGTCGAGAGAAGTAGCGGGTACATGTACAGTACATGTACAAGGAAAGTGTCGGTATATCTGAGCCGAGGACGGCAACAGGAATTGGAAAGTTCGAGGCCGGGTCGAGTGGGATGACGCGAGGTTCGGGGGGAAATTTTCTCTTTTCTGTTTTGCCTCGGAGCCAGTAAGGCGTGCTCGTTGCTCGCCGGAGCGGTTGAAATGGACGAGAATGGGTCTAGCTGATCGGAACTAGTCTAGTAAAGGTAGCGGTTGGTGGAGGAGGGATGAGAGGGAGTTTGCATTTGTCCGGCTATATGGACAAGAACAGAAAAGAGCAACGAGTCGACAAAGAAGGCGAGATGGATCTGGGAAAGTATCTGGTACCTCAGCTGCTTAGATCACAAGCTGGTAATGGTGCAGGTTGCTATTGCACTGGCTATCAACGGCATATCAGTCGGTACCCAGAACGTGGGGGGGGTGGTCCTTACCACCATTTAATGGGGGTTTTGCTGTGGCAGATGGAAGAAATGGATAAAGTGGACGATTCCCAATGCATCAATCGGGAAGGGATGGACACTGGAACCCCAGGGATCGGCATGTGTGTTCCTGTGTCTTGTTCCAGGGACATCACCGCCAGAGATAAAACAATTAATGATAATAAGTAATAAATACATCTTCTGGGCTGTCAAAGTCAATGACCATCAGGCGCCTCCCCAACCATGCTCCAGGTACTTGAAGCCTAGGGGCAAACGCCCAATGCTTCTCCTTGGCCTAAACTAGTTTGGCAGCCAGCCCCGGTCAGAGCATCAAAGAAATTCTAGATTTTCCATGCCCCGCTTTCGTCTGTTTTCGCCTCTTTTTCTTCGCATTTCTTCAAGCATGTGATCGAGCCAGATCCACCTCCGTTATTCAAGCCTGCGCATGTGACCCCTTTTCTTCGGAATCTCCCCGTTCGACCGATCATTCTATTCCAGCCAAGTTGGTTGACGATATCGCATAGCACTGTATTCCGTTCCAGGTCCAGCCTGTGTATAGTACTAGTTTCCCCGGGCCTTTTCATGTTCTAGCCTGCTCTCTTCCTCGTCGAATTTCGCGTCTTCGATCTCGGAATCGTCGACTATATTCATCCGCCGGATCCACATATTCGTGCATTTCGCTAAAACGAGGCCAATTGTATTCAAGAAAACTTACTTGAGCAGTACCACTGGACAAAGGCGAGACAGGGCTTACCGGGTTCGAATTCTGGTCCGGCCGAATCTCTCGTGTCGCAGATCGAGCTGTCATTGCTTGACTTCCACCTCGTCGACATAGACCACATGCTTCCATTTCGTGAATTGCTCCTCTCCTATCCATTGATGAGATAGGCGACACACGGTGTTGAGACTGGGACTGAGGCTGTCCTCCGACCGCCGCTGGAGCAGATGTTTCTTTCTTTTCTTCCTCGAAATTGCCAAGCATAGCAATCACTTCTTCTCCAAATCTTTCTGTTGAAAAGTCCATCGAAGGGATCCGTGATTCATGGTGTTTCGGATGGCGACGTCCCGGGAGGCTCAAAATGCTTTGTGATGGGACCGAGTTCAAGAACATTTCTTCGTGAAAGTCCACCGAGGGCCGCAAGTAGGGTGCTCGGCTCCCTCTTCCATTTTCCGACTCTCGCCGCAAAACATTGTTAGTTGATTTATCTCCTTGAGAAGTCAACTGCTTAGTGTGACTGGCTCGGAGGACTGGAGGGACGCCGTTCGCATACCCGGCTTGTAAGAGGGGTGGAACATAACTCACCTGCACAGGCTTCCGCTTCGGCACCCCAGGATATGCTTTAAATGTTGTGAACTTCCGAGCCCCCTGATCGTCGGGTACAATCTCCTTATCTGATGATACCACGCTTGAAATGAAGGGGATTGGAGTTGGGTCTATAGGCAGAGGTGCACCGGGTTTTGGAAGGCCACCTGTTGATGTAGCTGATACAGGTAATTCAAGTAGGACCCTGGCCAGGGATGCTGAGGCTCGTGGTGGTCGGGCGCCGTAGTCAAGCTCAAATACCACGTCTTCGCTTTCGGGAACTTTCGCATGGTTTCTTCCTGGGGCCAATGGCTGTGAATCTAACTCGACTCTGCCTTGAATGTCGGAGCGGAATCGGTTAAAGTCGTCAGGAGAATTGATATTTGCGCGACGAGGCCGAGGTCGAGCTTTCCATGACGAAGATGGAGGTGGTAGGTACTCACCAGCTTGATTGGTATGCATCAACGTCATCTCCGGGTCGTTCACTTGGGAGTGCGTCGGGAGGGTAGAAGGTGACGATGTCTCATTCCTAGACACTCCCTGCATGTCAAACGTATTCGACCGACTACGGATTGATGATTTGCTATGAAGCGGCAACTCGATCAAACATTCGGCATTTCGTGCATCACGGAGGGCTTCTTTCGTATCATTCGACCGTGACTTTGCTTCCCGTGCATTGGTCATGCTGGAATTCATTTGGTTTCGCGAAGTCAGAGCGGCAGCACCGGGCTGGAACAGGAACTCTTCGATCGGCATGGATCGAGGCAGCTCAGGTGAATCGTCGACTTTGGCCTTAATACAACTGGGAAATCGTTTCTTATACCAAGCTCGAATGGCTGTGGACTTCCTTGCTCTTGAGCCTTTGCTATGATCAATCGCAGCGCTTGGGCCCCGCTCCTGCGGCTGAGGGACGTGGACTACCGCAGGCATTGGTTGGTATCTCTTTGCTGGGTTGAATCGGAGGTGCTGTCGTGGACCGAGGGTCGAGTAGGTGGCTAAGGTTGGATCAAAGAATATCTGTCAAGTTTAGCTCATAAAATTGATCAGTTTTAAAGAGGGTCGCAGAAGCTCGACGAGTTTGCGGCAACTTGAACTCTTCCAACTGCGCCCACTTTGTTCGAGCGTCTCAGACACCAAAACAGAGCTTTAGGAAGCGAGGTCATAAAATTTGTTGTCCGTCCCTGAGACAAGGTCGTTGCTCGAACCATGATGACGAGGGAAACTGGGATAAAGATAGGGGACGGGTGAAAGACAAGGATGATGTTCTTTGTTAGGTAGGTGTTGTCAAAGACTTGGACAAGGAAAGGACTTGACATTCATTGTGCGCAACTGCATTTTTCTTTGTTTGGCCTTTTCGATCGTCGTGGCAAATCCACAACGCTGTGAAGCGCCAGCGCAGGAGCAAAAGGTGGGAAAGAACGTCAGTGTAACCACACGACAGTGAATTGAATCAAGAAAATGGTAGACCCATATCGATGATGAAGCAGATGTTCATGATCCACCAAGACCATTGTAAAACGTGAACGGAACAAAATTGCGGACGCCTTTGACTCGCTCGCACCACTTTTGAACAGCAGGCCACTCGTCAAGATTGAAGCCACTATGATGAGCGATGTGAGTATAAGCGAAAAGACAGATATCGGCCAGGGTAATGTTTTCACCCACAAACCACCCGTGCTCGCTCTTAGCAAGGTGATCATTCATATAATCCAGCACCTGTTTTCCAGCCTTGACCTTACCATCAACCTGCACACGTCGAGTACCGTCGAGGTTCTTTTCACCGAGGACATGCAACCAAAACCGTAGTGTGGCGATGTTGACTTCGTGCTGGTTTTGTTCGAAGAACATCCAGCTGAACATTTCAGCGCGTAGCAGTGGGTCGTCGGGGATAAGAGTTGGCGACGATGTCGAGTTTGACGACGACGACGATTTCTCCGCCAAGTAGAAGCATGCAGCATTGCTCTCGGGTAGGAAGGTCGAGCCACCGATCTGTAAAACGGGAATTCGTCCGTAGGCAGAAACATTCTCGAGGAATTCTGGAGTTCTGGTCTCGCCCTTCATGATCGAGTAGGAACGATGCTCGAGGGGAATAGACAGGAGCGCCGCCGTGAGGCTTATTTTGTAACAGTTGGCCGAGATAGGGTCTTGGTGCAGGATCAGGTGTTCCATTTTCCCCCCTCTACTCTGAACGGTTTAGGGTGTCGATGGAAGGGTTCTTTGAGCAGAGGTAGTTGTTCAGATTTTGAAAATTGTCTGACGGTACACACCACAGGGTAGTTATGGCCTTGATGCAGCACTTACTGTGAGTCATTGTCGTATCGATATGGTCGAGGCTAAAACACGCCCTTTGGAGATATTGTGTCAAATAGATGGTTGGATTCAATCCTAACATCGGCACACGTCATCTTATCAAAAGCATGTTTTGTGCATCAACGTCTTTCATTCAAATTGCAAAGTATTCGTGGCCATCCGAGGAGATATCAGGATTGAGGTCGTAAAGGAGCCTGCAATTGTCAACCAGTAGTAGTAGTAATACTGGATTGAGCAAGAGGCGGCCACAGCGAGGATGTTACAAGATCATAACACTCCCGAGAGAACTTGGTTTAGGGGGATGGGGGGGTAGTCCGCCTATTTGACTACTCGAGTGGGATGATATGAGGCCCTGGGTAGTGGTCGGCAGCCTGGTCAAAGAAGGGGGCACTCCTCGTTCATCGACGCTTGCTTTAGGAGCTCCGGATCGCGGGAAGATTCAAGTGTGGGAAGCTAGTTCACTATGCTCATGCCCACGTGTTGGTTTACAGAGCTTTCCCTTATCCGCATTCCACGTTTCCTGTCGCTACGGACTCCTCAAAGAGGTTGGGATAGTCGGTTGGGAATACAGTAGACGCTCGTCCGGTGGGAAATTCTGATAGAGCAGGCTATCGGTCTGTCGGAGGCTGGTGTCACCGTCCTTGATTGTTTGGGTTTGGAGAATTTCAGAGGCCCGTAGGCAACTCAGAAAGAATGATGCCACCGGGGAACTTTGCAGCAATGTCCGATGCCATGTTCCGAAACATCGTTAGTGGTATCGAAGCCGGTGTAACATGAATACGTAGAATTTGAATATCATCGCGGACTGGAGGCAGAAGGCGCAAAAGAATGCGTGGTCACGTGTCAGGCTCTTGTGTCCGCTCCCAACAAAAAGGGGAAGAGAAAATCTATTCGATTGATCATATCCTGGCCCTTAGATGCGTCTCATATCTACCTGTGCGTCTTTGAGAATACCCTTATTTCCGCTCAAGAGATCCCGTAAACAAGGCTTTCTACACAGCCAATTTTTGCTAACCGCAAAGAACTTTCTGACTCTTCCAAGCACGCTTTTGGAAGCCAAAAATTATATCTGTAACGAACAGCCCAATCGACGGACCAGAATCATGTCCGAGAGACAAGCATTTATGCAACGGCGCTACCACCAGTGAGACGGATGATTTGACCTGGAAAAATGGTGGTGTCAGCAGACAATTGCAGAGGGGGAGGAGAGCTAGCTCACCATTGATCCATTCGCTGTCCGGGTGGCACAAGAACATGACAACTTTGGCAATGTCGTCCGGAACAGCGCAACGACCGAGAGGAATGAGCTTAGCAATACCGGCCTCGATTTGCTCGATGGGGGTATCCTTGGTGGCGCCAGGAGAGTAGTGCCAAGCATTTTGAGTGAACATGTCGGTCTTGATACCGCCAGGGGCAATGGCATTGACAGTGATGCGTCGGGGGCCACCGTCGGCAGCGAAAGAGCGGGTGATACCCTCCACTGCGGACTTCGATCCAGCGTATAGAGCGTGGTTAGCAACACCCAACCCCGCAGCAATAGAAGACATCATAATGACACGGCCACCATCTTGGTAAGTAAGAATGTCAGCTGGAAGAGGTCCCGATCGTGGTTGAGATGAGCGCGACTTACCGCTCAGGTATTTCAGAGCATGTTGACCGACGAAGAATTGAGCGCGAGTGTTGAGGCCGAAGACTTGGTCATAATGCTCCTCGGTGACCTCGAGGGTCGGGCAAAAGGACTCCATGCCGGCGTTGTTGATGACAATGTCGAGCTTGCCAAAGGCCTTCATAGCCTCTTCGAAGAGCTTGGAGACTTCCGGGGTCTTGGAGACGTTGGCCTGGATGGCAACAGCCTTGCCGCCCATCTTCTCGATCTCAGCCACGGTTGCCAAAGCCGGCTTCGCGGAGTTGGCATAGTTGATGACCACAGCAGCACCACGCTCAGCCAGGGTTTTGGCAAGGCCAGCTCCCAAGCCACGGCCAGCCCCAGTGATGAGAGCGACCTTGCCGTCAAGGCGGATATCTGATTTGGTGCTCATGTTGAATGTGGGACACGAGGATGGGTATAAGCTAAATGGAGGTGGGTTACTGAAGGTGAGAATGCCTTGGGCGGTGGATGATGAATAGGGTGGATGAGATGATTGGCAGCGATACTAACTGCACGAGGATGAGTTTGAAGGATAGGGACACTGACGACCAAAAACAAGGAACAGAATAATAACAAACAACAAACAGTTGAAGAAAAGGGGAGGGGGTGAGGGTGACCGTGTGTGGCGCGCCCAATCCGACAATGAACCCCCTCCCCGACACTAGCTCGGAGTTGCGAGCCCGGCGAGAAAGTCTGGATTCAGGAACGGCGGTGACCTGCTGTGACAGCCACGCTGGAATTACTCTACGCTTGCAGTGGTGGATATTTTGGGTCGGGCTGGCAACCTCACCGATGGTTGATGAGATGAATAGTCCAGTCTTTGAGGCGGTGAAGACACGAAGATTTTCCCATTCCCATCAACTGCGGGGCAGGGGGGGAACCGGCGATATAGAGAGAGCGACACTGTTCCGTCAATAAGTGACCAGATATTGGGGGCTGGTGTCATTTATTATTGTTGTCCTGCCCGATTCTGAGATAAGAGGATACACACATTTGTTCTATCGATTCGATAAAAATGGGGGGTAAAAGGGGTGACTACAGAACACTCCCTTCGGTCTTGACCGGCCCCCCCCCCCAAAGACCTCAGAGTTCTTGGAAGTCTACAGCGATTTTCATGTACAGTGTAATGAGAATGGAGAAAGACCCCGATATACTGTGCCTTTGGTGAGTTGTTACTTCATCCCCCGTCACCACGCAGGAAGTCCAGATGATTTATTGATCCTTCCATACATCTCCCTTCTCTTCCAATGCCAATCCTAGGGAATGTCAAACTCTACTCTGCTAGCTATTGTGCGGTGTCTCAGATGAGTGGTTTTGGAGTTTTGTGTGATAAATTACCTGACGGTATCAAGAATACGCAATATGCCATATCTGGATTTCAGAGTCCGGCGCTAGTTGCTCATTTTCCAATTTTAGTTATGATCCGCTCTAAAGCATGCGCAGGTCTGATTGGTTTTGATATTCTCCCGTTTTTCCCAGCCCCCATTGATCGCTCCCCAATGCAGCTGTAGGTCGCATGCTGCCCTCTCTTTTTTCTGCCCTCGTACCTCGTATCCAATCTTCACCACCACCACCCTCCTGAGGCGTCCCAAGTGCTCTGACCATCGCAAGGCTGTATGCAGTTATTTGTATACCAATATCAATATAAGACTCTGTACCGTGTATGGCACTGTGTTCATACTCCACATAGATATATCCTGAATCAGTCCTCCCCCCTGTTTCCGGTGCTTTTTGGCCCATGTCATAAACTCCCAACTTGCTCCATCTGGCAGTGTGGCCTCCGACCCAAGACCTCACCTTTCAACAACCACACCCTTTTCAGCCGCGGACCAACTCCAGTCTCCTAACGAACCAACAAGATCGACGTTTAGTCTTTAGGGTTTTGGCACCAGTTCATCTCCCCCATATTTTCACCGGCCCTTAGATCCAAAACGTGCTGTGATATTCCTGTCCTTAGCTCAGAGACCATGATATCGGCAGGCCATGTCCGACTGTCCGACCTCTTCATCGAATTTTAAACCCGTCTTTCTAGTATCATACCATGCCATGTTCTCAAATCAGATGTGCTGCTAATCCAGCTTGACCCTTGTTCTTGCTTCGGACTGCAACTTCAAAGTCGGGGCTTCTTCACAGTAGTCAAAACTAAAAAGGCCTGTGCCAACCTTTACCTTTTTCTCCTTTTCCGTCTTCCCTAGCCCCAGACTGGTTTCATCTGAAAGGGTATAAAGACCAAGCTCTTGCCCAGAAGATATCAAAGCTTCTCAGGAGGCAATTTTCGCAGTCGCTGTAGTGGAAATCGAAACTTTTTTCCTGGTTTTCTCTTTCAATTCGTACAGATATGCTCCCAGAGGAACATTCATTGACGTGGCCAATCCGGACCGCTGCTATACTTCCAACGGGGGGTAACCAGACCACCTCAAGCTACACAAGGGCCAAAGTCAAGCCGTCAAGTACACCATCGATCCACGGCTCCTTCGGGAATATGCCAACCCACAGACATGTCCTCCAGGATATCGTTCACTGCACTTCGCCCTCCACTAGCCTTACTGGCGCAAGACTGGGAGCGAGGTCAATCATGACATTATTGCCATGAACTGCAACGCCCACGCCCACCCGGTTTTTCATTAGGTTCCATTCTATCCTCCCGCCTTCAAGAACGCCAAAATGCCGTCGTCATCATAACAAGACATTATATATCATATATACAAGGCGGTAACATCACGCCAGATTGCACGATAATGCAGAAAGAAAGATTAGGTGAGATGGGGTTGTTGGAGTGGACTGCAGCACATGAGTCGGAATGAGTCCTTCGAGGTGAGAGGTCCTCAATGATCTTTCCAGCTTGCCATGAACAGTCGAAGTTTGCGTTTGATGCCATCCGCCAAGCGCATCGACGAGTCATCTTCCAGTACCTCAATACAGTGTTGAAGTACATTGGAAGGAACCTCGATTGGGGCCAGAGACCCATCTGACCTCGACAACATCGGCGTGCCTTCCTGGTACTTCATGTACCGGGAAATGGCCTCATTTTCTGGAGTGAGGTCATCAATGGCAAATGGCCTGTCTGGTTCGGCCTGGGGTTGAGTGGGCGAGAAGCGTCCACTTCCTCCCGCCATGCTGGTTGCCCAACCCGTCAATGCGACGCGATAAACAGCACCAGACCACCACGGTGGTCGGACTGGTCGTGGCATTGACCGGATCAGGCGAAGGATCTGTCCACAATGGAAATATGCTTCTTCAGGCTGGTCTATACAACGCATCTGTAGCCAAGATGCGAATCGGAACGGGCCCAGGGCGACCTCGCGTCGTGCAAATTGCTCAATGTCCTTGAAACTTGTGATGGCATTGAGAGAGATTAGGTGATACATGATAAGGTTGGCGCACGTCGTCCAGCATGTCCCCTTGTTCCCGGAGAAACTTTGCTTGCTGATCGTATACCAATGCTGCAGAAGAGAAGAGATCTCTTCTAATCGAGCCTTGGTCGCGGCTTTGGACACGGTGCGAGATGCTTTGGCATGGCTGCCACCGTCAGGGAGGCAAGCGATGAATTGACGTAGTTGGCACACCTGGGCTTGAAGGGGGTGCAAGAGCAGGCGAAGTTGAGTCGGTGACAGCTCTTTGCCAGCAAGGTCGCCATCGACAAAGCTGGTGAAAAAGTCTCGTACTGATGCAGGACTTTGATATGTTGAGCCATGAACCTTCTCGAACAATTCGAGCCAGTCGGTTGCAGATTCAGCATGCCAAAGGTCATCCGAGTCCGGCATGGGCGCATGGAGGTTGACTACTGATAACAATGGGGTTGTGTCCGAGAAGAGACTCATCTCTTGATCAACAATAACCCAAGAGTGTGCGAGTCTGTTGTGGCCTAGTCAACACGGAAATTTTTTGCTAACAATCCTGGTAAGAAAATCTTACCTGTGTTTGCCTTCATGTTCTTTCCAATCTGCCCATGCCTTTTCTGGATCTTGCTTACACTTGTCGATGTCGGTGCGCGAGTCAGCGGCCTCGAGCATCCCCGAGTGAGCAAGCATCTGAGAGAGAAAGTCAGCTATGATAATTGGAAGTCTAGGACGAAAACTTACTGCCAGGTACATGCCACGTTGGCCCATGGCCATCTGGTCATCCGGTTAGACAGGACGTCAAGTTTCTTTTTTTCAATAAGATCGACGACTTACATCCATGTGCCATTTATCACCCGACCAGGCAGCGAGGCAGGTAAACAAGAGAGCTGATCGAAGCACCAAGACTTCACGAGACTGAAGAACATCCTTCTCGATCATATCAAAGAGGGAAAGGCGGCAAGCTTCGGTCAAGCCACTGGCAACGTATCTGGCTTCGACCGTGGCGGTTGCCGAAGCTCCAGAAGCGACCATGAGGAGGATCAGCAAGCTTGCTGCCTTGCTATTATTAGATTGCATGAAGGCATTGGGGTCTAGTCGTCCTGCGGGAACTGATGAGTAGTAGGGCTCATAGCGAACCACATAACTTCTCAAGAAATATTGCATGACATCCGGAGGAGGTAGCATCAAGAATGCATCTCGACTGGAACCAGGGCTTGACGGGGTATCCTCTCGAGCTCCGTGGTCGGCCTTGTGGATATCCAAAGCCTTATGAAGAAATGTTTGGGTAATAGCGAGGAGCTTTTCTCTGGACCAACCGACAATTTGGTCGGTAGCAATCTTTCGCTCGGTCGAGATGTCCAACGAGGATTCATCTAGTTGAACAGTCCATGCGGTCCATGTGGCCTGATTCCGCAGTGTTTGAGCAAGACCTTCAAGATAGATGGCAGCAGTCTTGGGGGGAGCGAAGGAATATTTCTCCACACGATTGCATTGGAAGAAGGGCCAAGCGTGGTGTGCGGCCAACACCGCGTCAGGTTCTTGGAGTCCACTTGTCGTGGAGGAATTGGAAGGGGAAAGGCCTGCAGGAGGTCTGTATGGCATATGATGGTTTGGACTTCCTAGGTCCAATCGCAGTGCAAATGGGGTCGACCCGTCTGGCATGTGCACGGGTAAAGGCAGCTGGTTAGGGCTTTGCATTCCCATCTTCCCATTCACCAAGAATTGGTCATTGGGGTCGTGAAGGATGGCCCCGGGAGGGCTCATGAAATCAGTGAGGATATTAGAGGTGTCGAAATCGATCATGCTTGTTGGAGCACCACTCATGGCTAGAAAATGGTTGTCACTTTCGTGGTCGTAGGGAGTTCCGTGCATCTGTATGAAATTCTCCATCTGTGGCATATGGGGCATCATTGGGGTGATGGGAATGGCCATGTCCGGGGGAGTCTGTGTAAACCCATTCCGTAACATCTGTGGTTCCATCTCTGGACCAAACACGGCTGGTGCAATAGGTACAGGATGATTATTATCCGGTAGGCTGAGACGGTGGGAAGGCATGGCATGGGGGCTCCTGTTATCTGCTCTCGAGTTAGAAAGGATCATCTGCGGCACGCAGCAGATTACTCACTAGGTGATACGCCATTAACGCCTGGAGTGGGCGCGGAAAACTGAGAAAGTTGTGACACATGAAATGAGGCGGAAGAGTGTAGAGCACGCTCAGAATTCGGTCGCGGGAGAGGATTCCGGCGATTGGGGTTGTGAGATGAACGTCGAGTAGCCCGAGACTGGCAGACAATCTGCTTGCTCACACACCTGGAGCACGGAACCTATAAGCCTCACCGTCAGGAAATCGACTCTTCAATCCTTGTGAGAGGTAAGGGGGAGAGAATTTCTGTCGCCGCTGGACCGGGGTCGAGAAGTGGTGAGGGATGTCTTCCTCTTTCCAAGCCCTATCCTCTTCACTCGTCTCGACCGCAGCAAGAGCACAGTACGAAAGAAGCTGTAGGTTCTTCGCCCTCACGAGCCCGACTGACCTTCTTGTCACATTTTGCCTTCGCTTTCGCGCAGTGCACGCAAGCAATGGGCATGCGTTCGGTGGGGGAGTCCATAGGGATTGATTGCCTTGCTGAGGGGAATACTATGCAAGAAACCCGAAGATCAGACGAATAGTCGAGGCATTCGAAGTTCCCAGGTGGATTTTCAGAGTCGATAGAAAAGGAAATCTAGCGGCGAGGAGCCTGAACGAGGGCGTCTCGCACCAACTGGGGCGGGAGGTGGACGGGGCACGTTGGAGGCAAATCAGCATTATCTGAAGGGGGCGAGGCCAAACGACAGTGTTGATAGCGTGGAAGCGAACGTGGACAACAAAGACCAGGCGCAACAACGAGAGGCAAGTAGAAACGGGAGTGTGGACAAGAGCGAGAGTAAGTCGAGTGAGCGAGAGACCGCAAGCATATACGAAAATCTGGTGGTGGTGCAGGATGGTATGAGAGCAAGCCCCCGGGAAAATTGGGTCAGCTCCCAAGATTTAGAGATCGACGTGTGAGGGATGAGTAAAAAAAAGCAGCATGGAGACAGAAGGAGAAAGCAGGGCTGGGGGGACAAAACCCCGAGGCGCCTGCAGCGCATCTGCAGGTCAGTCGGTAGTCAATCAGAGAGGCTCCCACTTTGGAGGGCATTCATTGTACAGGACATGACCGTACAGTAAGAAACGTAATCTCGGGGCTGATCGTTAATTCATACAGCGCTCGGTACGTAAAAGGACCAAAAAGTTTGACGGGTGACGGTGGATCTGACACTGTGGGAGACTTGCCCGCACGGTGACAGAATGGTTAAAGGGAAACAGAACTCGATTCCGGGCGCGGGGATGCATTAGAGACTTTAGCTCCTACGAATCAGTCGGGCGTCAATTGAGACGATAAGCCTCCCAAAGGGCTTGAGGGGTGGAACATGCAGGGCATGCACTTGCAGGGGGGCACTGATTACAGCTTTTATTCGAAGCACCGATCCGGTTCATTGGGTGCAATTTTTTAGTCAGGTCGAAGAAAAATGAACTGATGGAGGGGCGGGTATGCTATCCACACACACCCATATCCACATCACCAGATTCTCTTGATCCTCTTGCCAGAGTCTTATTATATAAGGTGCAGTTGAGTTTGCGATTGCTATGTTTGTCCCTTGTCCTCCGTGGCTCCGTACCTAGACCGTCTGTCGTGTCTATGATGGCTGTGTAGGTATTGCCAGCCATACAGATGTTTGCTATGTGCCCCCCAGTCAGGAAGGTTGGGCTGGAAATAGCATGTAGACGATACCTAGCTAGGAAGTGGCTTTGCTGTCTAGCTGTGTCTGGAGGGATGCCTCATGGTGCTCACGGTATAGCTGAGCTGTACAGAAAATCAAATTCGTAAGGCTGCTTCTGTTTCTGTTCCCTCTACCCTCTGCACAGCCCACAGGCCAGCACCCAATAGAGTCTGGTAAAGCTGTAGCCAGCATTGGTGCTGTCACTATCACTGTTTACCGATCCACGAGGCTCAAACTCGACTTGACCGCCTTTACACAAAGGTGGGTTGAGTCCCGATTGTTATCTGATGGCTTCCCCCCTCCTTCCCTCTTCCTCCAAGCATCGCGGTACTAACTCCCAACCGAGTCTTCCAGGATTAGTATCAATGACTACGACAACTCTTTTTCTTCTATGCACCTCCCGTCTCGCTCTTTTTTCGAATGAGAAGCCCCCTCTTGGTAACGAATGTCGTCAGGGATCTCGCATCGGCTCCTCTTTGCCGTCGTCGCCGTGTCTTACTCTTATTCTTGCCCTGTGTTACGCTTTTCGCTCTTACAGGACGGAGCAGGCCGGAACTCTACAACCTATGGATTGTACTCGCGCTTTCCCCGTCTGCTCGAACTGCAACCCCGGTCCATCTCCCACTATTTTGCGAGCTTCCCCTGTCCTGGTGAATGAGCGACATCTCCCGCCTCCTTTGGGGTTGCACCAGATAGTGACAAGCTGCTTGGGCCTTCCTGGATCTTCCCGGTACCCCATGAGAACGGGATCAGGGCAACAAGCGTCCTGCAAGCCCACGTCCTCACAATCCAGCCGTGGCGCAAACCTCCGCCCAAGATAATAACAGCCCTGCGTTTTCTGTCCAAAGCCAGGCCTCCCCCATTATCAATCATACCACATGTAGCAGTTAGTAGTGTACAAATTACGAGGCGAACAGCCCTATTGTGGAACGACGCAACGGTCAACCCTGCGAGAGATTATCACCGCCCTCAGCCAACCATGCTGGAGCCGGCACCCGCAAAGAGCAACACGGGACAATGGTCTTTGGAGGTACGTCTACTTCGACTCCGACGTGGCATGCATTGATGCTTCGACCGGCTCCTTTTCAGGGCAAGCATTTTCGTAAACCTCATGCCAGCTCATCCCTTTCATGTACCTGCAATCGCCTCAATTGGACCTAACCAGGAGATTCATATCCGTATTCGGATGATTGTCCACCGGATTGGACATTGCGGATACCCTCAGTACGTACAACGGCTGAGCTGTCACGTAGCCGAGCTCCAGATGGCGCTCCTTCGTCTATCACCCAACGTCCACTTTGACGTTATCTCACCGTCGAGGCTAGAGGCTCGCGGCTCGCCCACGAGTATGAGTTAGTATCATAACTACCAAATACTTTCGATAAGCGACCGTCATTTGAAACATGCCCAGCTTTGTTCCGCCGTGCGAGACCAAGGCCGAGTCGGGTTAAACGCGGGTCTGCTCTTTTACGGCATTGTGCATTAGCCTGGGCCACGAATTCGCAGGCCAAATCATTTTCTAACCCATTTGCTCGAGGGATGTCGATATTGAACCCGACGATTGGGTCAAAGTTGTGCCTAAAAGGGACAAACAACTCCCAATGTCTCTGAACCGGCTGGGCTTTTTCCTTCTCCTGCCTCATTGAAACCCGTAGATCGCCGCCACCTTGAGCTTTGAAATTGGGATTTGCGCCGGTCACAACCTTATAAGCTTTCGAAACACTTGGATCCAACCTTGGAAAAGACAAGTTCGACTGCCGAAATCAATCGACATCGTCAATAAATCCAGTTTGGCGTAGGGGACACGTACATGCCCCTCAGCACGGCATGTTCGGCGAATTTTGTGAGTGCCATTGATGCCTCGTCGATGATCCACCTTGAAGTCTTTTCTATGACTTCTTCCTTCCAGGGTTCTCCGCCTTGACACGCCCGTAACCGTAACCTTTTTTTGGATATCCCCGATGCAATATCAAATTACGCTCCAACTAACAAGTCCTGTTCTGCCTTCCGCGTCTGACAAGCCTAGATGATGCTGAAAGAGCAGAATCTGCTCAACTCGTCCGCGTTTTGGCCGAGCGTGTCTTGGTAAGACCGGGCACGCCATCGACCAAAGCAAGACGACGTCTAGAGCACCCAATAAAAATGTTTCCGATCTGTGAGTCCCATAAGTCGCTTGAGAAAGTGAAAGCGCATGCCAAGGGCAAACAGCCAACCAACCTGACTCAGCCTGCTGGAGTTTACTAGCATAACCCGGCCTGCTATAGAGGCTCTATCACATGGTTAGCAGACCTTTGAGGTAGTGTACAAACCCCTGGAGTCAGACTATCCTGCTTTTCGCCAAGCTACCGAAAGGCAATGCATATAAGCATTAAGAGCTCCTTGATCATTCACTTCAATTGGGAATTGGTCACTTCTTCGGCGTAGTACCGGCACCCAGCATCGGTCTGCCCGGATGACATCTCTGATGATCATATCCGTCAGCCCTTTTGCTGTTGGCAGACGGGCGGAATTCTGACACGATGAAAAACCCCCCCGGCCCCTTTTTCCAAGTCAAAAAATCCCCGCCTTGCATACTGTCTCGCCAAACACCAGCCAAATGAAGCTAAATGATTTCTCTTGCAGAACGGAAGAAATCAACAACACGCAACGTGTATGTCAGATCACGTATGCAGCTGTGCTCTAGTGTTAGCGGTTCTTGAAGAGGTTTTCGTTCACTGGACTGATTGTGCTACCACCAGGCAAACTCTAAATATGGGTAGGTAGCTGGGACTATACCATGCCTTTGCAAGGACATCCTTGCCTGAATACCACAGCGCTCGTGTAGTTCAAAACACCGAGTGCCTAAAAGGTATCGCAAAAATGGATGAAAATGAACGTGGATAAAATCAAGGGAATACCCTGCCCTACTTTGCCGATGGATGAGCAAAATCCAATTCATCATTACGCCATCGGTGTTTGGACCAAGCTTTCATCGCTCCGGACCGTTTTTATCGCAGGTTTGCATATTCAAAGTTTTTCTCGATGAATCTGGGCTCCAGGTTCAAATCTTTATCCGATTGGGTACCGAGTTCTTCTCACGTACGTGCACCACGGCGTCGCACAACATCCATGTCAAGAACGCCTTTTCTACTAGCGGAGCGGTTGACAATTTCGCCAAACACCTGTCACAAAGCTCTTTCTTCGCACCTTTTGTGTTCAGAAGAGGATCCTGGGGCTGGTCACGAGAACCAAAATGCTGCGACTGTCTTAGATTGAATGTGCAGTTGCAAATCGTCCTGGCTGCAAGAGGGGTTCAGTTCCTGATCACGAAAACACAAGCCGATATTTAATGGAAAATATAGGCAGCAAGTAGTACTGCTACTGCCTCACCGCTTGCTTGACGAGTATACGAGCCCAAGGTCGGCAAGTAAGGAACTCCTTCTCCTGTACCGACACAGGTTTGGGTTTGTTTCATAGCCTTTCCGAGCACTGGGAATAAGGGCTGGAAATCCAAGCTCGATTCATGTTGACCCAACGGAAACAAGGAATTCATGCAGCCATTAGTTGGGGGGACAAATCCAAAATCTTCGATGACAGCCGATCACGTCAACATATTTCATCTCGGGCCAGGATTAGGTTCAAGTTTGCCATGCGATGCCGCATCGGGTCCATTTCAAGGTAACATTGGACAACTTCAACAGATATGTCAACAGGCTCCAATTAAGCTTGTCAGAGAATGAACTGGCAAGATGGGGTCGGGAATCCCACTTTTGCTCAGAAAATACATTCCTTGCGAAACTCAGGATACCATAGCATTTCCAGGCAGCAAGTGCAGCCCACTCTGTGTTTCCTGTTCTCACCGTGAAAATATTTCCTCTCATGGGCTTGAACAGTTGGCTGCAAACAACCAGAGCTCCACTCAACTCGGATGACTCGGAAATAAACTCGGACTTTGTGCGACTCGTGCCGCAAGTCAGGTACGAAGCCTCGTAGAGTATTGGGAATGAATACTCGAACCCACATCTACAATCCGGTAATAATGCGAAAGAATCACTTGCATTCTGTCGATTAGATGCCGGATTCCCACCGCGAATACGCCTCGGGTCTGTCGATCAAAATGCTTGTTAACTTCTTGAAATGGAATGAATTACCACAGCACCATGTTGGGGCGACCAGGGTGTGGAAGACAGCGGTGCAGCGGGGCCCATAAACAACCCGGAGAATATTAACCAGGGCAAGAAATCGGGCCAAGTGTTCAACTTTGCACATACGTGTCCAAGTCTGTTTTGCTCCTAAGCCCTTCAATGCCTACGGGTACTTGCTACGCCCTACGGTATGCACGTCAGTGGTATGAGACTCTTCTTCGTCCCCACTAATAGTACAAAATTATAGGGCCCCCCGGAAAAGGCCACCCAAAGTGACAACCGAACTTTGGGGATCTTCAAAGAGCATGGAAGAACAAGGTTAAAGCCAGATCTCCAAGTTGTCCATTTGTTCAGCCTCATGTAAGCACGCAAGAACATCCGTGGAGCAAAGTAAGACGGAGTTGAACGCCGCAAGACCTAAATACCTGTGGTATGATGCGTTTTGATTTTGGCTTTCCCCATCCTGGATCATATTGAGATGAACATTTGGCGATCGTCCAGCCCTATGAACCTCGCAGGAATAATGTTGGGCCTTGCAGGCAATAGTCAAAGCCAAACTCAGCTGTCGAAGGTCGGTGCTCAACATCTCCCGTGTCTGATCAAGGTTCTGGCCTGTTTGCGCCGCACTTCCAAGCATTGCGGTGAACGCAGAGATTTGGCACCTCTTCGACGAGGGGAGGAGTTCAGCTCTGAAACTTCTCGTCAGCCGAATACAATTACGGCAATGACCGCCGTCAGAGTGAGGGAGTGTCTCTGGTAAAATACCCGAACTGTCCTTTCAAGCAGACAAGGCGACCAAGAGCCTTGAAAGATCACAAGTCGGGTCTGAAGTTTGATTCACACCTTCGGTCTGACAGCCTGAGCAACAGCATGATCTGTTTCGGCCAAGTCTATCCGCTTCTCTTCATATGTCGGCCTCATCTCAAGATGTGCTCTGATCCTGACAGCAGTTCGTGAAGAGGTACACGAACACGATGTCATCCGCAGGCACCAGCACCATAGTTTCCACTCGATACTGGACCAATGTATTCGGAGATGGCAAGGCTCGATCAGAAATGGTTCCATACCTAGCAAAGCTAGAGCTCAAAATTATCAACCTCGATCCTTGAACCATTCATATCTGTTGCTGAACAGTATTCGTGGTCTGCAACAATCTGGGTGAAAAAATGTAAATTCTCCAAGCGAACGCTTGCAGCACTTGAGGAGGCCAAGAACGGTGCCCCGCTCCCCTTCCCGAATCGCTTGGTAGTTCGCCATACATATATATATATATTTTTTTTTTTTAAAAAAAAAAAAAAAAAAGAAATTCTGTTCGAGCCCGGGATCGAACCGGGGACCTCGTCGGGACTTTGTTCAACCTTTGTTCACCTTAAAAGGTGGTGTGAACGACGCGTGATAACCACTACACTACTCGAACTGGGCAACCCCGTCGGTTCGACCTTGAGAACACTGTGGGAGAAAATGTCCATCAATTTTCAGGTGGTATTTTATATAACTAATATATCATTTTGGTCGTTTCTCCAGAGAATCTTACCCAATGACCAAGCCCGAAGATAAGTGGGACCAAGTTGCCCGGACCCTCTTCTGACCGAGAGTGGTGCAGCCTTGCTGTCAAACCTTTGCCTTTTTGCTCTCAACTCCGAACGAAACATAGAACCTAGCTTTAATCGGCTCTGTGCTTTCATCATGTCTTCAGATCCGAAAGATCTCGGAACTCCACCCAAATGTACTGCGGACTTCTGCCTCATCCCAATGGGTACACCGACAGCGTCCGTGTCGGCTCAAATCGCAGATGTCCAGCGATTGATGAAGAAGAGTGGCTTGAAGTATAGTATGCATTCAGCGGGGACTACGCTTGGTAAGTGGTTTGGAAACGAGCCTTTCGAATTGCTGGTTTTTCTTCTTGCCTTGTAGTTTGAGAGGCTTTGTTGTCGACGAGGTTTTGAGGTCCGGAATAGAGGAAGGGCAGAAGATAATCCTCCCGCGGCTTCGTTCATTGATGGCTTGGCTACAAGATTCTTACTACGTTGTCGTCTGCTCGATCACCCATTAAACACGGTAATGATTCCCACAAAGTCTATCCACCTCTCAGAAGAAGTCATACTTCCAAGTTTAATATCGATGGCGCTCCGTGCCTTCCCGCTATCACGTTCATTCTGGGCTGCTTGTCTAACATTCATTCTTCAAATTTTCAAGTCTAATCTGCTTTTCTTTCCAACAGAAGGATCTTGGGCGGATGTCACACGCCTCATTGGGCAGGCTCACACTCTCCTACACGAGAAAGGCGTTGTCCGAATCCAGAGCGACATCCGAATCGGTAGTCGCACGGACAAGGTGCAGACCATGGAGGACAAAGTCTCGGCTGTCGAGAAATTGCTTGCGAATGACTGAAGGTGGTTGGGGAGAGGTGCAGGATTCGTGGCCCTGAGAGGGCTGATAATACTCTCCGATCTTGCCAGAATATTTGCGAGAAAGGTGACTGTAGAAAGAGAAAAGTACCGTACAGTGCTGACTTGGCCTCGAGGAAGCCCACTCAGCTGGCAATAGTCGCTGCTTTGCCACGCGGATGCTCAAGCCACAGGTGGCTGAGCTGTTGGATGGACCACTCTCAACCAAACATCTCATTTGTCAGGCAATCATCCAGCAACACGCAACCCAACTCAAAACAAATGCCACTTTAATTGGCGACAAATGTCGCTGACTTTGCCGCCCTACTTTTGTGAAGTCTCAGGTTGAGGCAGCAAAAGAGCCATTCGACTTCATTTTGTAACTCCCTTTGTCATTTCATACTGCGTCTTTGTCGACCAGCTCCGACTCCAGCGGTGTTAGTTGTGAAATCATGCCAGACACACGGTTGTCCTAAACAACTTTTCTAGCTTTCTCCCTGCGCATAACTCTTTCTTGATGAATATCTGCCCTTTAATCTATCGATCCAGAAATCATTGTGGAACAAATTCCATAGCCACCTCTCTCCAATCGTCGACCGATTATGGCGGCAATCACCCAGACCATTGCCATTGTCGACAGATCAAACAAAATCATCAGTACAAGCAAACAACTCAAAAATGTCTTCAAGGAAGCAAAGATGGCTTATATGGAGCGGAAAGCTGAGATTATGGCAGAACGAAGGGCTAGAGAGGAAAAAGATTTGAGGAAAGCAATGAAAGTGGTGACGCTTGCAGAAGAGACAAGATCAGAGACATCCCCAAGGTCTAAAAGACGACACAGTCACAAAAAAGAACACGAATATGAACATGACCGGCAGCGTTCGTTAGCAGATGGCCATCATCATTCTGAATCCGGTAGAAGAAAAGCTCTGCCTCACAGAGATTCAAGCCCGAGTGTTTCCAAGTCGAGGGTCGAGGCTCGCACGAACCACGCCGGTCTTGCACAATTCAATGAAGAATTATATGGGACTCATCGCTCTGCCCCAACGTCGCCAGTTGCACCGCATGGAGCTAATGAGCTCGTTCGTCGTACCACCGACCTTCCGTTGGAGGCTCATCGTTCACATCGGCGTCCACCGGTCCGGTCACACTCCACTTCAGATATGGATGGGCATATCGATATGGACCTTGCATATGGGGAATTCCATCCGGAATCCCTTATGCTGGATCCGAAAGTGGAACACCGACTACAGAAACAGGAGATGTCCAGTCTAGTCACAAAATGCAAGATGCTCCTGGATGAGGCTAACTGTGCGCAGCACAGTGTGAGAGCCATCATTGCACATCTGCAGCAGAATCCCGATGCCATGGCAGCCGTTGCCCTGACTCTGGCTGAGATTAGCAACCTGGCAAGCAAAATGGCACCTGGTGCGCTTGCGGCGTTAAAAACAGGAGCCCCCACTGTTTTTGCCATGCTTGCTGCTCCGGAATTTCTCATTGCTGTTGGGGCTGGCATTGGACTTACCGTTGTCATGTTCGGTGGCTATAAGATCATCAAGAAGATCAAAGCCAGCGTTGGTGACAAACCCGATGACGGCATGGATGAAATGTTGGATGTCAATGGACTTGACCGCATTGAGCACTGGAGACGTGGTATTCCGGACGCTGAAACTGCCAGTGTTGCAACTAGTGTTGAGGGTGAATATATCACTCCAATAGCCGCCGCAAGTATGGGCCATTTGCCTCTACCGAAAGATCGAAGTGAGAGCAGGCACAATGAAAGAAGACACGAGGAAAAGAAGAAGAAGAAGAAGAAGCAGCAGCAACACAGCAGAAAGGTCGATGATGACCCGGACCGTACTATGGTGGGTAGTGAGAGGTCATCAAAATCAAAGAGAAGCAGCAAGTCGGACAAGAGAGAAAAGGCTTTGGTAAAATCCAAGAAGCCGAGCCCGTTGCGACGAATGTTCAGCAGCAAGGACTCGGAATCTTCTTCCAGACGATGATGAAATTGGGACATGTTCCAAAGCTTTGCCTTCGTTACTAACGGCAATATACCACTCATTTTTTAGGACTGGCATGTATAAGCGACGGGTGGAATTTTAAGGATGGGCATGAATGATGAATTTATCATGGACACGAACATACCAGATATCAACTTTTCAGAATCAAATCACATATTCTCTTGATTAGAATGTTGGTCATCCTCCCGAAACGGTAATAGCCGGTCGCCTGGAGGCGGAGATCACGTGCGAAGGTACTTGGCTGGCCTTTGCGGCGAGAAATTTCAAGGGCCAGGATGTCGATCTTCTGGATCAGTTCTCCATTTGATCGTGCAGTTCAACTTACCTCTTTTTTAACCTGGGGATTCTATCTCCCGCATTCGTTGCCTTTAGTATTCCCGCATGCTGTTGAGCGTCCGGCAGCCCTGAATTTGACCCTCTTCCGTCTCCAGTCATCTCAGTCCTTCATCTTCCTCCGGACCAACCCTTTCCTCGATCCACGGCTAGAGGACCGCTGAAAGATCTTCGCGACACCAATATTACTCTTCCAAGTCAACCCCTTCTCGGGAATTCCGTGCTGAATTTGATTGTGCCCGATTTCTCCCGGATCTTCCTTTTTAATACCGCGACGCAACAATGGATCATTCTCGCGATCCTTGCCCTTGGGTTGCCCTCTCCGATTTCGGCGGAGCTTTCTCAATGGGCGCGTTAGGAGGTCAGAGAAGACAAGCGTTACATTTGCATCCTCGCTAACACGGCCGCAGGCACGTTATGGCACGGTATCAAAGGGTTCAGAAATTCTCCTTACGGCGAACGAAGAATAGGGATGATCACAGCCATCAAAGCTCGAGCGCCTGTGACCGGAGGCAACTTTGGCGTTTGGGGTGGTATGTTCAGCACGTTTGATTGCGCAGTCAAAGGAATCAGAAAGAAGGAAGATCCCTATAACTCCATAATCGCTGGATTTTTCACCGGTGGGGCCCTGGCCATACGAGGAGGCTATAAGGCAGCAAGAAATGGTGCAATCATGTGTGCGATCTTCCTGGCTGTCATCGAAGGAGTGAGTATTGGTCTTCAGCGATTGATGGCCGAGAATACAAGACTCGATGTAAGTGTTCCGCAACAATAAATTGATCAAGGATATTGACATGTCCAGCTTCCTCCTCCGGGAACAGTGCCACCGGATTCATCGGGACGTATGGCTGCGTGACTGGAAATGGCCACTACTCCACATTTCATCTAGGAGTTCTTCTGGATTGCGATTGTCAATGGCCCTGTTCGTCCTCGGTTCTCTACTCTCCTCAAAGCTCAACTTCTCTTGTTGTTGGAAGAAATTCATTAGCATAGCGGGCGTACGGACATAAAGGAACAGACGGAATCCTCATTCGGAAAGATTAGTCGAACAGCATGGAAGAAGGCTTTTCGATGTGGATGTTGGTGGCCACCAAGATTAAACTTGGCCAGCACACCCACTTTGAGATGGTGACAATTTGTGCCGGATTCGAAGTGAGTGATGTCTCAATCGCTTCAATGGTGTAATATAGTGTATGATGACGGTGTGCACAAATCAAAAATTTATGAACTCGAATTAATTTGAAGTGTGTGGGACGACACGGACGCTTCGCCTCATCTCGTCGAAAAGAGTCCGGGAAATTCTTGGGTGGAGTCACGAGGCTGAAGCCTACTAGTGCTGCGTGACATTCGAGTTCTCATTCCCCAAAGACTAAAACACATCTCTTTCCATACAAACCTGCTGCACAACATTTGAGTCGTATTGAACTTTTTGTTCGTTTCTAGCTTGATTTTCATTTTTTTTTTTTGGTCATGCATTATGCGAAACATGTTTCCAGGGGCTCAAGCCTGGACGACTCTGGCCACGAAGGATCCGACCTCAGCCTCAACATCCCAGACCACGTTTTCCCTGAAATAATCCCGATACCAGATCCCAAACTACTCTACGTAAATGCGCACGCAGAGCGCGACCGTCGTCTTCGCCTCTTGATCCGTCGATATTCGAATCAGATCCAATATGGTTGCAGGAATGTCAACTGCACGACTCCGACCTGCCTGAGCTACAGAAAGAGAAACAGTACTGGTCCTCTGAGGAGATACACCGAACTCAGCGCTCGGACTTTGGCTTGTCAACTGGTAGAAGAATGTACACGAAATGGCAAAGAACCACTCTCAGGACTATGTCAGAACGATCCGGTGGTGCCGTGGTATGAGGACCCAGCGGTCACAAAGAAAAGAAGGAACAGCCTAGAGAGGTTAGGACATCACCGGTATGAGAATGGGCACTTGCCAAAATGCCCGACCACAATACAGCGCCACAAAGAGTCAACCAGGAACGGGTCTGGGACAGAGCATGCGCTGCCACGACGACCTACCCAAGATGGAATTGTGCAGGCTGGTCGACATCTGCGGTCGCTGGATGTCACCAAAAATGACGAGGAAATTGCCGAAGGGATTATCAACATCCTGAACTCATCCTTCACAAAGGATCGTCCTATCAAGGAGGGACAGGAAGAAGGCGAAGAGGGCGATGCGAAAGACAATATTCTCCATGCGTCACCAGCTCCGCCGAAACAGAAAGATATGGCATCATTCACACAGACTCTGTTTGATATGGTGCCGCTTCGACTTTTAAGTTGGTTGCCGGCAAGGACTCGTCCTCCATCAGAGTCTTCGAAATTACCAGATGATCCGGAGATCCAGCAACAGGACGTTCCCAACAAAGAAGTTTCAGAGACCGACAATCCTGCAGGGGATAGAGTCGGAGTCTCCAAAGCCAGTTCAACTGGTCATCAATGCGAATCGCTCAATGATCGGACGTCCCTAAACTACTCACTGCGAACACTCACATGGAATAGCATGACGTGGATGCGATCAATGCAACGCACTGAAGACCAGGAAGTTTACCAAAGGAAATATCTCCCATTTTTGAAACAAAGTTTGTTTTATTGCCTTAATGATCCCGAACGCCTGATCAGATCCATCAAGAATTTCCAAGACAGCTATGGTCCTCAGCGGAAGAAAACAAAGCCAGAGAATGAGACTAGCGGGTCTCCCGCATCCAATTTACCCTCCAATCACTCTCAACGAGACCTTGTGAACTCGAACCCTTGGCCTATGATTAGTACGCGGACGAAGTTTGACATGGAAGCATTGTTAGCGAGCCTTTCCTACCTTGACAATTTCGGCCAACGCGACTTAATTCTCAACTGCATATTTACTGCACTGCAGCACTCATATCGTTTACCTTCATGGCTGCAGGATCGCTCATCGGGAAAGCATGGTCGCTCGACAAGCGGAAGTGGTGAAGGAGCATCTCTCATGGAACGGAAACTCTCTCACACCACCATTACACACGACATATTATGCAATCCATCGACGCAACCTGGCAGTCCACTTGAGAACGGGAAGTTGTTGGTCCCGCTGAAGGACAACCAGGTAACCGAGATGTGTCTCGTCGCTCTTATGTCTATCGCTTCCCTGATTTTCGACGGCCGACATCGTGACTTCTGGGGTCAAAAAGTTAGCTTTTCTCGGTTTGCAGCGTTGAGAAATAGTGGCCTTGCCCATTCACGTTGGCCCAAAAATGTTGGCGCTGACGAGACAAAGCAATGGACACTCCAACTTGTGGGGTCAATGATCAAGGCTATTGACGTCTGTGAAGATTGGTCTGTCCTACGCCTGCTCACTGCCATTATGGACATCATCAGTCATCGACTGACCGTAGCCAAATGGACTGCAAACTTGAAGAAGCCGAGTTCTCCGAAAGCTGCCAAAAGGACGATTGTCGAGTCACTGATAGACCGATTTGATCGAGACACACTAGAAGGATGGGACGAGTTTGAAAAGAATTCCAGTTGGATAGGAACGGCTGTCATTGAGTTGGCCAGAACCGTCATACTCAAGAACTGGGATCGCCGTCCGATTATTCGACGTGCAGGGCCTGTTGGCGGCGCACTCGAGCTTTTGGCTGGAATATATCGCGAAAGAAAAGAGCTGAATTTGGATTTGGACCTATTCCACATGCCATTCATCGCCGATACTTTCGACGAGCTGTCTATGCCCTCCGAATGGCTGTCTTTCCGCGCAGACACGCGTCACATGCATCTCCTGTCATTCTCCTTCCTGTTCGAACCGGCCACTCTAGTCAGGTATTTCAGAGCAGTCAACATTGAGATGATGCGAAAATCACACGAGAACGCTACTCTTGTTTACAACGACACCAGGCATTATATGTGGGCCCCCGCAATTCCAATTTACGGAGCAACAGAAATATTGACACATTTGCGGCCTCACATGGCCAAGTTTTTTGTCCTTACAATTCGAAGAGACAATGTTTTGAACGATGCGATCAACCAGATATGGCGCCGACAGCGAAGAGAACTCATGCGGCCTTTGCGTGTTCGACTCGGTAAGGATGAGGGTGAAGATGGTCTCGATCATGGCGGTGTCCAACAAGAATTCTTTCGAGTGGTGTTTGCCGAAGCCCTCCGACCAGATTACGGCATGTTTACCGTAGATAGCACGACAAGGATGACTTGGTTTCAACCAGGTTCGTTCGAGCAACTCTACAGATTCGAAGCGCTGGGTATCCTGATGTCAATTGCCGTGTACAATGGCATTACGCTACCTGTCACCCTCCCGTTAGCTTTCTACCGCAAAATTCTGGGACTAAAAGTGAAGAAACTCGAGCATATCGCCGATGGCTGGCCTGACTTGACGCGGGGCCTGAGAGCTTTGCTGGAATGGGCTGACGGAGACGTGGGCGATGTTATCGCCAGAACGTACGAATTCAGCTATGATCTATGCGGCAGCACCGTCACGGTCGATATGCAGAAGATCGGCCGGGATGACCCCTGGCCACCAGCCAGAGCGCGGCGCAGCAGCAAGAAGGGCAAAGAAAAATCCAAATCGACGTCCTTCGAACTCCCCATCGAACCGACACTCACTCCACCTGCTCAGCCTTCGCCGAATCTAAATCCCACCATTGTCCCCGTCCTGAGCAGAACGTCCTCTGTGGAAATTAAAGGCATCTCCACCCCCTCGAGCATTGATAGCGACATGCTCGCAGAAGAAGCCGGAGCTGGAGCTTCACTCGTCACCAACGCCAACCGCACGCAGTACGTCAAAGACTACATACTCTGGCTCACGCACAAGTCCATCGAGCCTCAATACGAAGCCTTCGCCAAAGGTTTCTACACCTGCCTAGACCGCACGGCCCTCTCCATCTTCACGCCCGAGGCCCTCAAGTCTGTGGTCGAAGGATACCCAGATATCGACATCGACGAGCTCGAGCGTACCATCACCTACGACGAGTACGATAAAGAGTCGCCTACGATCGTGGATTTCTGGCATGTCGTCCGCAGTTTCAGCCCCGAACAGCACAGGCAATTACTCGAGTTTGTGACCGCGAGTGATCGCGTCCCTGTCAATGGGATCAAGAGTATACAGTTCATCGTGCAGAAGAATGGTGATGACGACAATAGGTTGCCGAGCAGTAGCACCTGCTATGGTCGCTTGTTATTGCCGCAGTACTCAAGTCGACAGGTCTTGGAGGAGAAGTTGACCAAGGCTATTGAGAATTGTGTTGGTTTTGGGACATTGTGATGCCTGAAATTCCTGAGCCTGGTTTTCAATTTGAAGTTTGAACTCGGTGGTCCGTGGTTTCTGTCGCAGTTACAGTCGGCATCTGGGTTGTGTTGCTCGGCTTTGCAACATGCCCCTTTACGTTGGATGATGGCTCGATCGGGGCGAACAAATGGGTTAGTAATTGAGAGCCGTTACATTGGATTCGGCAACCCGAGCCAGGAAGGAGAAGATAAACGGGTGTGATCGTGCTCGTCTGTCAGAATAGAAAGACGGTGGTGAATCCCCTGTTTTATCGTTGCCCAGGTATGGATGTCCAGGAAAACATAAAGATATGTTGAGAAAAACGGATGGAATTGATGAGTGTTGAAATTGATTATGTATCCTGACTGTAAACGAAGTCTATCTAGTCTCGTTCCGAGTTCTCGTTCCAGTTCTGGTTGATTTCTATCCTGTTCTATTGGACTCTATACGGATCTGTGTAGATATGTGCACACATCCATGGCGATGCCATGTCAATGGCCACGGGAATCCATCTTTACCTTGCAATGTAACTTGTCGGCTCAGAATCAGGCATGCCACGCTTCTCCTCTCGCATCCATCATCTGCTTATGCACGCTTGTAACGTCAAAAATCAACCTCTCAGCTCTCCAGCGCTCGAACTCCGGATGCAAAATGCTCGTAGGGAAAGTCACTTGTGCCAGAAATGGCGAGGCCAATCAAACCAGCCCAGTCCGTCGGAACTCCTATACGGAAAGCCCACCCTAATCAGAACTTCACTCTCGTGACCTAAGCCATAACTTTGATTGCTCCAGCCGTCGCTTCCAAAGTCATCTCCTTGTCCGCGAGATCATGAGCCTCCAGTTCGTTATCCTCCACTGCGTCAATTTTGGCGGGGTTCTGCAGTCCTTGGTCTTCCCACCCTTGCATCATCTGATGGTATAGTTCCGTCTGCTTCTCGTGGCCGTGCATTGGATAGTCGATACCTCGACGGGCACGCGAGTCCATAGTCTCGACAATGTAAGCATTCGCATCGTTGTCTGAGATATAATCCGATTCGAAGACGTAGGTGCGGAACTCAGTATTCTCCCAGCCAGTTCCTGCATGCTGGGTTGCATTCTCCCAGTCGTCGGTCAAATAGTGCAAGTATCCACCATGAGCGACCAGGACGATCTCGACGGCCTCATCACCATTTTCAGCCAGTTCTCGTGCCTTCCGTCGTAGGAGAAGTCGGGTGTCTCTAGCACGAGCTTTGATGGCTTCGCTGGCGGGCGAATAACGGTTGGAGAGTGTCTTGACGTTCCAGTCCTCGCTCAGATATGAGAGATCTACCGGCCAGCCATGTTCAGCACAGATTCTTTGTAGCACAGGTACATCACTTCCAGTGTCGCAAGGACAGTCACTTGTTTCTTGGGCGTCGGGAATCGCAAGGATCTTAGGTTGGCATTTCCCATTGGCGAGGGCAGGGGCGAAGGTGAGGTATGCAGTGTGTAAAGTCCGGGAGAGAGGAGAGGCCGTTACGAGGGAGATAGATTCCTGCTTGGAGGGCGGGAAGTGGTTTGCTTGGAGGGCCGCGCATTGAGACTCTCCTAGGGGGGTGAGTTTGGGGTCCGGTAGAGAGTGGAATTGGAAGCCCAGGTTGTGGAAGCCTTGGGCATGACGGACAAGATGGATCCTGGGCTGAGAAGGCATTTTGATCAGTGAGGTGGAGGTGTGGTGGTTGTAGATATGAACAGCGTGGAATGGAAGGGGTTGTTGGCGACGTTGAGAGAAACTAACGTTGATGCCGTTGTAGCCGAGATGAGTCTAGCAAGGAAGAAAGAAGAAGACAAGGGAAGACTCTGGAGAAAGGAGGCAAGACCTATACCAAGGAGGAACGGTGAGAGATGAATCTTGAAAATAGGTGAGAAATTGATGAATTCTGACTGTGATGGTCAAAAATGAAATCGATCCCCCACCTTCCCGAAGGTCCCTGAGTTTGTCCAATGCCCGCCGCCAGATGGCCCGATGATGGTTATAGTGAAGGACTAGGACTGGGACAGCAATGACAAGGCGTCAAATTGGATCCGAGAAAGCGGATGCGTGGCCAGAAGACGCGGTCAAGGTGAAAGTGTTTGAATTTTCGCGCAATGGGAAACGACGCCCGTGAAACACGGCCAGATTTTCGCCTGCGATATTTTTTTTTTTTGCACTGTCCTGTAAAAGCAAGGGCTCCATACGACGCTGGAGGGTGGTGCTGGGCGCTCACTCGTCGCCCCGGGTTCCTGCATTTGGCTATGCGACAGTCACTTCGGGTGTCTGAAATGTTATGTGTGGAGGATCCTGTTCACAGAGTATGGACTGGGCTGATTGACAATGACAGTGTCCGGCCCTATAGTCACACTTGGATATACAAGTATGCTCCCTCTCTGTCCTCTCAGTCTCTCCCCCCTCGCCTATACTGGATGAAATATTATTCATTCTGCGCCTCGATCGTACTGCCTCTCAACCACCCAATCCAACTCGAACGATTATTTCGTTTCTGCTCCTCATCTGCCACGGCCTGTTCTTGCACCAATCGTAGAGGTCTCAGCTGATTCTGTTTCATCACCGCTCCAGGGATATTGCTTTGTCCTTGGCTTGGATTACTTCCGCCTGTCTGTGCCGCTGTAGAGCTGCCATCCGTATATGATTTTTGTTCTTCGCTGTGCTCGCTGGTCATACTGTTGGCCGAACTACCACCTCGTGTACCAGAGCCTGACGGCGCCCGAGTGGCACTTGTCGGGCTGAAATATGACCCTCGTCCCTGGGACAGTTGTGGGCTAAGTGGTCGTATCCCCGGACTCATTGGCCCTCCAGAGACCGTGCGCATGGGAGATCCACGGTTCATTTGCTGGACCACTGCAGCTGCTGCCATGTCCGTTTGAACCTGATCAGATCGAGCCCGACGATGTCCTCGGTTGAGTGGAATACTGGGAGCAGTCTCTGGATTTTCATTCGGCGTTGGTGCTGCGGGAGCTGGTTGTGCGTACGACATCGGTCGTGCCTTTGGTCCTGGTCGTGACACAACAGATCTGGCCCGCTGCAGCAAGCCAGTTGCAACTCCAGCAGCTGTGGTGGCTGCAGTTTGCGTGGGCGTGGATGTGTGCTGATCTGGTACGGCTGGAAGTGCCTTGTCCGTCGCTGCGGATCTGGTGGGCGGTGGCGGAGGTTCCTCCTTGTCGTGAATAATACGCTCAAAACCTTCGTGCTGAAGCAAGCGCCCGATAATCTTGTCGATGTATAGTGTCAGAGCCTTATTCTCTTCTCTCAGCGACTTGTTATCGGCCTCCAACTTCTTGTACGCTTCACTTTGGCCCTCGGTGTCCTCTTCCGTTGACTCGAGTTCTTCTGCCAATGTGCTCATCTCGCCGATGTCTTCATGAGTATGATGATCGTGCATAAAATCCCCCTTGAGCGTTTTCTCGCTTAAAAGCATCTGAAAACTCTCATTCTCTTCCACAAGGCGTGCGTTTTGCATCTTAATTTCCATGATTGCCTTCTCCAGCGCTTGGAGACGTCCATCACCCATGTGCTCTTGTTCAGCCAACTTCAATTGTGCTTCAGCCAAGTCAAATCTGAGGGCTTCGATGGCCGCCTCCTTCTGTTGGAGGGTCTGAAGAAAGTCGGGTGCATGGCTATCCCTTGCGGCGGCACTTCCATCTGCACTGCCATCGGATAACTGGGTCTCAGCTATGCCAGCTACTAATTTGTCAGTCTTATGCTATTCCAGGATGAGAACCGACATACTAGATCGGCTGGTGTTAAGTCTTTCAGCGCTCCGATTTCGCAAGGCTTCATTAAGCCTACCGATCACCGCTTGGAGATCTGCTTCCTTACTAGCCTGTCTCTCCCGGTCCTGAAGGAAGGCTTGTTTGTCCTCGTTGTAAATTAACTCGAGCTCTCGACATTGCCGAGTCAAATCCTTGATCTCTGCTTTCAGTCGATCTAATTCCGTTTGTCTTTGATAATCACGTTCTTCGGAGGCAGTCTGTTCTGTCGCTGCTTCGTCAAGCCGTTGTTGCATGCCTTCTAATTGTTTTTTGTATTGCTCCGATGCTTGTTCAGCACGATGAACCTGCTCTTTCAAATCTGCGATCAATTGTGCGTTGGCAGATTTTGTCTCCTCATTCTCGATTTCGTTATCAGGCGTTCCAAATGAACTGCTCAAGCGATTTGTCGCTTTCCGCAGAGGTCGGGTCTGTCGGAGAGACGGAGTGCGTGCAAGACCTTGACCAGTACTCGTTGGTACTGAACTTGCCACAGGAGGTCTACTGGGACTATTTTCGACAGGATTCCGACGCGGTGAAGGAGTATTCATAGGGGTAGAAAGCGGTTTTCGGGCACTGGGAGTCGACATTGTCTTCAAGGTTGACCGCGAATTAAGAAAAGAAAGACGCGTTGAGATACGAGGAACAATGTGGCAGGATGAACAAGAGGACAATGTTTAGCTGTCACATAAATAAGTTGAGGTTGCATAGAGGAGGGTATTGGTCGAAGATTGGGAGAATGTTGGTATTGGCCAGGTAGCAAGTCTGCGCCTTAATCAGCATGAGATGAACTCGATGATCAAGCGCGCAGTCTGGCTGTGTATGATGTGGAAAGGTGTGTTGGGTCGGATGCAGGATTATCCTGGCAGTTGTCTGAGACGGTCATACCAAGGACAAACAAATGAATGGTTGCAAACACGCACATGCCACTTGAATCTCCGGATGCAACCAGAAAATTGAGAAGTGACGGCCCACCCCCCTTGCGTCCAAAGTTTGCTTTTTTGTTGGTCTTGCGAGAATGCCCCTTTCAAAGGCCCAACCCCATTCAACTCCGAGACTAGTCACGTGAGCCAAGATTTTTCACCCACTGTGCCTGGGCAACTCTGCACTCATCAAATTCACGATCTATTCCACACACCACCCATCAGCAACTCGCCGGAGCGCTTGACTGTCAATCCTACTACACCAAGTAGAGCGCAACGATGGCACCAAAGAAGGCGAAGAAGACTACCGACAGCATCAACTCGCGCTTGGCGCTTGTGATGAAGTCTGGCAAAGGTAAGTATACCGCAATGTGAAAACTCTCCCTCTGTTCTCACATTTCGTTCAGTCACTCTTGGTTACAAGTCCACTCTCAAATGCCTCCGATCTGGCAAGGCCAAGCTGGTCATCATTGCTGGCAACACCCCTCCTCTCCGAAAGAGTGAACTCGAATACTACTCTATGTTGTCCAAAACTAACGTCCACCATTTTGCTGGAAACAACGTGAGTGGAAACATATGGAAGAAGACCCTGCGAAGAAGCTCTTCTGGGCTTTGGAGGGATTACAGCTAATATTTTGTTTGATTCCAGATTGAGTTAGGCACTGCTTGCGGAAAGCTTTACCGTTGCTCAACCATGGCTGTTCTTGATGCTGGCGACTCCGATATTCTCGGTGCAGCGTCGTAAAATGCCAAAATGATGCCAGACACATATCAGCCAAACAGTGCATGCGTTTCATGCGGTACCCGGCTCGTTGACCCGCCCGGAATGGCGAGACCAGAAACTGAAGGTTGAGTGATCGAATGTTCCGATGTTCGTGGTGCTGGCAGAGGACAAAACGGATAAGAAATAGAGAATCCTGGTCAATACAATGTCATGAGTCATCCCTAATCACGGCACCTGTTTCTTCACCGGCCTTCCAACTGCTCCCCTCTGTAATTCTACTGTGTAAGCCTCGGACATCGCGGTTGCTAAATATCACGTGATATTAGTCCCAATTTGGAAAGTAGGGTTTTCTGCTGTAATTTCTTGGCAATCTGCATTTGTAATGCGGCGAAGAAACTTGATCCTACAAGATTGCCGCAACATCGTCAACTCCTTCTTTCGTTTCGCATCGTTCGCAAGAAGTGCTGTCTCTTTGAACAACCGTCGAGATGGCGAGAAGACCTGCTAGATGCTACAGATACTGCAAGAACAAGGCCAGTCGAGTCCCCGCATCACCGTACCTACACGCATGTTTACTGACTTCTCGCAGCCATATCCCAAGTCCCGTTTCAACCGTGGTGTACCTGATCCCAAGATCCGTATCTTCGATTTGGGCCGAAAGCGCGCCAATGTCGACGAATTCCCTCTCTGCGTTCACATGGTCTCGAACGAGTACGAACAATTGAGTTCTGAAGCCCTCGAAGCCGCCCGTATCTGCGCCAACAAGTACGTTCCCTAATTGCTCTACGCAAGAAAGACGATGATCTAACAAATTCCTAGGTATCTCGTCAAGATTGCCGGCAAAGAAGGTTTCCATCTCCGAGTCCGAGCCCACCCATACCACGTCGTCCGTATCAACAAGATGTTATCCTGCGCTGGTGCTGATCGACTTCAAACTGGAATGAGAGGTGCTTGGGGCAAGCCAAACGGCACCGTTGCTCGTGTCAACATTGGTCAGATCCTTCTGTCCGTCCGAACCCGAGATGCTCACCGAGCTACTGCCATTGAGGCTCTTCGTCGATCCATGTACAAATTCCCTGGTCGCCAAAAGATCATTGTCAGCAAGAACTGGGGTTTCACACCATTGCGACGAGAGGAGTATGTCAAGTTGAAGCAGGAAGGCCGAGTTTTGATCGACGGTGCATATGTTCAATTCTTGAGAAACAAGGGCAACATTGAGCAAAACATGAAGCGATTCCCCGGTGCTTACGAGGTTGCCAGTGAGGCATAGATGTCAATTCGGGCCAACGGACAAGGTGTATTTTCAGGAGATGGATGAACTAGTTAGCATACAAAATTGAGGGGTCGATCGTCAGAGTCCACTAATGTGTGCCCTCGTCTCGGTCCTTCAGAATGAGAAATGCAATTTTCCACCCCGGGAGCTAATAATGGTTCTTTCATTCTGCCTCTGGATACTTTGAAATCGGAGAAAGGATACCAATGAAAACACGAAACCCACCCAACATCCCCACAGGTACATCAAAGTGACGAAAATGCATTGATCACGCACGGATCCTTGGGGGGCTAGAAAATTGTCCCTGAACTATGAGTCAACGGAAAACCATGCCACAATTCAGACATCGGATTGCGTACCTCGAGGCGAAAGGGCTGAATCGACAAGGCAGTGTTGGACCCTTGAAAGACTTTCAGCCCCCCTGGATTGCCTAGTTTTGAGGATCAGGACATCAAATACCGCGTAGAGGCAAGATATTCTAGACGTAGCTGTGGCAATATTGAGGTTTATCGCGAAGCACGAGGAACAAAATGGGCATCTCGTGTTGCAAGGCGTAAAGTCTGAGACAAGCCGCCTGGATCCGTGGTTGGCTGGGCGGAAGATAAGCCTAAACAGCCAGGATACTTGAGATAGCGGATGTCACCCGTAGGGGGGTGTCTGGATTGGAGCGTGGGAAGCGCTAAACGGGGAGCACAGGCCCTGGGAAGCCCGTTTCAGCATTTTTGAGCGACTTTTGAGGTCCATCTTGCATCTCGTCATGCAAATGATCCCGCCCTCTTTTTAGCTTGGGTCATCTGTAGCCCTCACGCTGCCAGTTGCAGCTTCGTCTCCGGGAATTTGAGCCTGGTTGACAAAAGCCCAGACATTCCTTTTCAAGAAATCACATCAACCAACTCGCACGACGCTGCCCTATCAACGATTACACAACGTGTCACTCACACCAGCTTTCAGCGCATTCTATCTTGCCATCCAGCTTGTGCCCAACATCCCTCCCCTTTTTAATACTTACGTCCTTCTAGTCTTCCTTCAGGACGCCTGAATCCATACTTAGTCTTCTTTATCATCCCCACCGGACTTTGTCACGATACCCCAAGCGCTACTCCTTTGTACCTCTCCCGATCGGATCAGGACCTCCACCTTTCCAACTCCCGGGGCTCGCGATTAGGAATCGACAACCGACAAGGAAGAGCATTGACGAGACAAAGGGCGAACTATATCATCCATTGATCAAACCTTCCCTCGTTATCGCAGACACGCCTCTACATCTCGTGCTCTCTGAAGCGCGACCCACCCGTACGGCCGCGGGTTGGGGATCATGGCTTTCCAACAATCCGCTGCTCCTCGTCACATCGTCATCAATACAAATCATTCTCAAGAATCGGCATCTCAGGCACAATTCCGACCGGCAGTCGAAGATTCGCAGGAATGGGTCCTCTTCTCTCCGTCCCATGCGGAGTCTACCATAACTCGAACGCAAACTAGTCAGACCGTTGGAGCATCAAGAGCAAGCGACGTATCACTAAATACTGCTGGAAGATCTGGAAGACTTGAATCATCTGCTTTAGATGAAGAGGTTACCGAGGATGGTGACCTCGATAGCCTTGACGACGGATTGCATGCTTTCAGAGAACCTCCCTTATATCCCACTGTCTCCAATCAGACCCAAGGAGCCGTCTTACCAACTCATGATGGTTTAGGAACCTTCCCTGCATCAAGCCCACCCGTTTTGGAACAACTATGGCAACACGAGGCGTACAATCCCAAGAGAAAGTACAGTGGACATCACCGCCGCCCTTCGAGCGTCCAAAGAAGGCTTGACACAATTGATGAGATTGAAGCTCAAGCTAGCGACGAGAAGAGAATGAGAATAGAAAAATGGCGCATGGAACAGAGTCAAGCGTTGATGGAAGAGGTGGAACGAGAGACCCGCAGACGTCTCCGACAAGGCTCTCGCCAGTCCACTTATTCAGAGACTTTGGCTTCTATCAACGAGGATGTTCTTGGGTCAACGCCTAAACAGAGCGACTATCTCTCAAAGTCCGACGAGGATACCGAAGACTCGGAGCCGTTTTGGCGACGGATAACCAGAAAATTCATCCGTGATGTCATTGGCATCGATGAACCACTTTTGTCCGTCATATTTGGAGAGAGTTTGCCGGAAGAGGTTGAGAATAGACCTTCATCCAGCAACATTCTGCCAACCATTCCAGAGCTGACATCAGATGTTCGCACCTATGAGGATGACACCTGGAGGGATAAGCTTCTTCAACGCATCGCACGAGAGCTGGGAGTTTTCGTCCATCAATTGTCCCCATATCCGGGGGCCTTTACTACTTACTCTCGCAGTCCCGATTATGCAGGAATGCCCGTATCCATGCCGCAGCAGAAACCCCAAACATCCATTGCGACATCAACAGGTGAGCGTCAGGTCAATGAACCCTTCCCGTCAGCGATGACTCCCAACTTCCCGCCTACAGTGCAGGATGTTGCTCATGCGGAAAGCTGGGGTTTTGAAGAAGATCCGATGCCCTCATCCTCACCACTAGATTCCTCCATGAGCCTTCAACGAGAGCGAGAATATTGGGAAAGGGAACTTGATCTGAAGATGGTATTCAGATACTTAAGAGATAAATTTGTAACCTGGACATCGACGCAATCGGCGCAAGCTCCAAGACCAATCGAAGATGCAGCTACACGGACTGCTATAATACGTCAACATCACCCTCTCGTCGCTCGAGCTCAACGGTCTCCTGTTAGAATAAGAAGGGAATCAAGGACGATTGCAAGAAGACCAGCAAGCAGTTGTGCTAGCGAGAGTGTTCGAAGCAGCAGAAAAGCTTCTTTGGTGAGGAGTGGCTCAAGTCGAAACTACTGGGATATCGGTGGTAGTGTTGGAAGTGCAAGTATCATTGCCAGTGGTGGTGCATGGGGCGAGGCATAAAACATCTCTGGCTGCATGGACTTTCGGGATCTCACTCAAAGAGTTTCATGGCGTTTGTTCAAAGAAACGATTGTATGAATACGGATCACGACTTACTGTTAGAGATATCTATTTTCTTTGGGGGTAGAGACGACTTATGGAGAGCCCTATATAGAGTCCGTGACTCACTTGATCAATATACTCATTCATGACCCATATGAGGCCTCGAGAGATTGACCCGCCTTCTCCCGGGGCATTAGATCGACACCAGCCTTTTCATCTGAACTTTTGTTCACCCAGCAAAAGAGTCACGTGATGGTGCTCTGTCACTTGACTGTGTAAGAGGCGATTTCATTGGTGACCGACACACCACTTGCGGGTGGGGTCTTTGTAAACAAATGATTGACTACGGGGAGTAGAAGAGGCAATTTGTTTTCTTCCTCTCTTAAATCGGCTCCTCAAGCTGGCCGAGCCCTCAATTCTCTCTGTCCGCGGTTCGGCGCAATCGGTATTGACCGTTCTCTGACCCCGGGCCGTCATCAACATGGCCGATGAAGATGAACTCTACTATCTACAGCCCGGATTTGACCTCAATAGTCTGACCATCCCTCGCATACGAGCCATCCTAGTCTCCCACAATGTCGCATATCCTTCATCCGCGAAGAAAGGTCAACTGCTGGAAATCTTAGAGCATGAAGTCATGCCTCAAGCGAACAAATTGCTCAAGGCACAAGCAAGAGTCCGGCGCACCAGTAAAGGCATCACCGATGTTCCCAGCAGCCAAGAAGGAACAATTGATGGCGATGATGATGCTGACAAACAATTGATGCCACCTCCACCGGCCCCGACGACTCCACGCAGCCGGAAAAGCAAGTCTGACCTATCGGCCGGGAATTCTGTCGCGGCGACACCTTCGACCTCCAAGAGAACCAAAACTCCGAGTCGAAGAAGCACAACCAGAACGCCACGAGCTCCAGAAACAGAAGGAGAAGGAGACGGGGCCGCTCAAAGACCACGAAAGAGTGCACCAGCTCAAGCTATGTCAGAACCGTCTGTGAAGATCGAGGAACCTGATGCCAAACTGAAGAGAGAATCACTAGAAGCAGGAACAAGTCCCTTCTCCGACGACAATCCATTTCAATCAGGGTCTAGTCCACCCTCAGGGTCAAAGAGATTATCATCCACCTCACGATCACGGAAATCCCTCGCATCATCCACAAGTACGAAGAGCCCCGCCAAGCGCCGACAGGCGACCTCACCATCTATCAAATCTGAAGAATCCGCGCCATCACATTCGACCACCTACTCACTTCCTGTTTCTAGAATTGCGCCTGATGAACGGGAAGATGGAGTCGCCGTCACTGAAGAGTTCACTCCTGATGCTGCTCGTGAACTGGCTGAGGAAGAGAGGAACGGACAAGTTGTGCCCGGTAGAACCTCGACCCTCGTGCGACGGAAAAAGAAGAAGCCGACAAGTATGGTGGCGAAAATTGCTCCGTGGGCTGTCATCACCACTATTTTGGCAGCTCTCGGGGGATGGTACAGACAAGAAAAAATCAATATCGGATATTGTGGAGTAGGAGAATCCCATTGGTCACTGGCATCCAATCCACATATTCCTGCTTGGGTTCATGAGAATTTCCAACCAACATGTGAACCTTGTCCGCAACACGCGATATGTTATCCAAACATGGAAGTCCAATGTGAGACCGATTTCGTCCTCAAGCCTCATCCCTTGAGCTTACACGGTGCTGTGCCGTTACCTCCGACATGCGAACCAGACAGTGAAAAGGAGAGGAGAATCAAGGCGGTTGCCGATAGAGCAATTGAAGAGCTCCGGGAGAGGAGGGCTTCTTATGAATGCGGAGATGAAATCACCAGCGCCAAAGCCGTCGTTGCCACAACTACAGGAGATACCAAGTCGGTTGTGAAATCCACTGCATCCAAGCTAGAAATCGCAGAGGAAGATTTAAAGAAAACAGTCTCGAAAATGAGGCGAAAAGGGATGAGTGAAGACGAATTCGAAGACCTCTGGCGAGGTGCATTGGGAGATATTATGGGAAGAGACGAAGTGGAAGTCACTCGCGATGGGTAAGTTTAAAGACCTCTTTTGAACCTTTCCCCTTTTTTGGGTGGTGGGATCTTACAAACTTTGCGAATCGCTGACTGACCAAGCGTCTCTGTTTCCACTATTTCAGATCTGGAAGAATCCTCCTTTCAAGTTCCTCCCTCGCAAGACTCCCCTTCACATGCGCAATCCGACGATCCCTACTTCGAGCGATTACGCAAAATCGAATCCCTATTGCAATTTTGATTATCATCTGTTCGGGCTTGGCTTACGGACGCAATAAAATCATTGCCTATCAACAGGCCACGGAGCAGATTCCGGGCTTGGTCGCTACAACCCTGGACAGACTGGCGACACAGGCGGCGCTGAAGGAGGATGGACGCACAACCGAGCCGTTTATCAGTGTTGGCCAATTGAGGGATGATGTGCTGAGGAATGTATTCAGTGCATCAGAACGGGAGCGCGTGTGGCAGAACGTCCGCAAGATTGTGGAGGGCAATTCGAATGTGAGGGCGGCGACGAGGGAAGGTGGTAAGACGGGCGAATGGAGTCGTGTTTGGGAGTGGATTGGCCCCGTGGATTTGGCGCCTGGGCTGGACGGAAGGAGATCAGGAGGTTTGATTCGTGATGCTACAGCGCGAGGAAGTAATGCGGAAGGAACATCAACAGCAGACAGGTCGAATTGGGAGATTCGAAAACGGGATGAGGGAAGGCCAATCTATTGATTGATCTTTTTCCCTCGACCTGCCGTTGTTGAGCGGGATACTCATGTTTACCTTTTCATTTTCATCTCTTCACGATGGGAGCTTTTGATGTCCTGTTTGAATGAACTTTGCATAAGGGCCGGCCCCGCGGACTTTGGGACTCTGGCTTTGTTTCTTTGTATTTATTTCCTTTGCGGACCAATGTGGTGCTATGCCGTGTCATGATTGTTTGAATGGACTTGGACTGGACTGTTGGTACTGGTACGCTCATGACCTTCACGGGCCTTTCATGGACGAGAAGTGACGCGGACTACTGAAGGTCCATCAATTGAGAAGATGGAAGTTAACATATTCAGCTACGATTGTACGGACGTGTAGTGGCACTTTGTCTTTCCTGCGCATTACTATCCAGATACGTGGGAATAAACCTCGATACGTGTCAGAAGGAGTGTACTACTACCTAGCCAAACTCTATCCCCACCTCCAGCCTTGTCCTTCAAACACAAACTCCAAAACTTCTACTAATATACAACCCCTGCCTCCCTGCATCCGCACCAGCAACCAGCATTTGACATCCTGATACAGCCGCGACTGCGACTTTTTGTGGCCATTGGGTGAAGCTCCTCAAAATTTTCCCTGCCCAAAAACTCGCTTCGTTATTGGGCTTGTATACGTATGCCACATATCATGTGACAGCTGCTCCAGGCAAAAACAGGTTTTCTCCAGAAACATTTCTTGAAACGCACCCCGTATCTGCCTATTTACCGGTGAGTAGCCTGGCGATCAACGAGCGGGGTGCGGGAATGAGGAAAATGACTTTGCGAGAATACCTATTGGCACAATCTTAGTGTCAGGATACACAGTCCTTCGGGGAATTTTCTGCTTGTTTCTGCTCTTCCGTTACGTCGGATTCGACATTTAGTTTTTCTTGACGGATCTTTCTCTTGAATGGGGACTTGATTGGTGGGTGAGAAAACAGTCGCAAGCTACTTGTCGGCGGGACTTGGTGAGGCTGCGAAGTTCTTCAAAAGAGTCTACGGGAACAGGAAGAAATTACAGAGGACGTCGCGATCACAAGTCTCAAGAATCAACACTACCTTGTCCACCGCAATCTCATTCCCGCGAATCGATCAGTTGATCTTTCTCCTGCAAGGCAGATAAACCTCCCGTACTTAACCACATATCCCGCCCCGTCCACCGTCGCACAAGGCAAAAGAGGAAGAAATGAGTCAAATGCAACGCTTCGAAATGGCCTCGGACCCTCACGACCCCCCTGGCCTCCGCTGGCTCGAAACCCTCATTCCAGGCATCTACTTCGCCTCGACTTTCGGCTCACTGATCACTTTTACAAGTACTGTCGGCATCTATGGCTCCCCTCGCCGCTACTATTCCGAAATCCAAGTATTCATTTCACTTGCCTGGCTCTTCTTCACGCTCTCATTGGCCCTCGCTACCGTGACGAGCATGGCGCTCACGTTCCAGCGCCACCACGTCAAAGACGCCTTTGAGCGCGGGTATAAGTCGTGGCGCGGTGGCGCGGGGAATCGCACGGCGGGTGAGAGGAGCGTGGTTTTCGGCATTGTCGTGCTGGGCTGTGGGATGTGGTTGATGGTGCTGGTTTGCTTGGCGTTTGTGTTTTTGAGCTTGTCGGTGGCCGCGTATTGTTTGGCGGTTGGTTGGATTGCATTTGTGGTTAGTGCGGCGATGATGGTGCTGAGCGTCGTGTTTTGGGTGGTCATGAATCAGAAAGACTAGACCTGAAGGCATGATGGAGACGGGATGGAAAGTGGGGGGACAGGATGGTTTTGGTACGGGCCTGTGATAGAGGACGAGGATTCTTTATGAGACACATGGATGGATTGCGATCGTGGTCGTTTTAATAGGATGGAATGCAAGAATGCTCTGAGCGAGGGGAGCTTCAAGATTTGAGATAGCTATTCCAAGATGATTATGGTGATGGTCTTCTGAACAATGAGCTTCAACCAGTCAATCTCTTTGGAATGGTGCAACTTCAGTGACAACGTAGACACTTGAATCTGAACATATCGTATTCTATTTTCCTGAGATGGTGACAAACCCACGTTCTTTGGTGTTCCAAGAGAATGAAGCCAACCTGCTCAGAAAGTCGTCGTGCGTGTCCTCGACGTCATCACGAGCAGCGTTGGTGCCTGAAGTGTTCACACTTGAGACTCTTGCCCTATAGGGATTTTCTCATTTTCACATTTGTATGTCTGCTCTTAAAAACCCATTCGGTTTTTCATGTCCTCATTTCACCTACCAAGGACCACCGATCGCATCCAGACCAACACTCGAACTGCATCCCGGAGCTCTTTTTTTTTTTTTTTTTTTTTTTCCCTTTCATCCAGCAATCTCATATCTGGTTCCAACGACGAGATCTCTCTTTGTTTCTTCTGGTCTCTGATCTCCAACTCCAATGTCAGCCATGCCCAGCAATTGTATGCGGTCTGGAAACCCTAGGTCGTCAATGTCAGTCCCTTGAACAGGGTGTGGCCGTGGGTTTGGTAGGAATCCACAGGGACTCAGGAGGGTCGTCCGTGTTGTTTGGTGTTGCGAGCTTGTCCTGGTAAGCTGCAGAGTTATGGAGTCGTGCCAACTTGATTTCATGGTTGATCCTCGAGTTGCTGGTTGAGGAAACAAACATCTAGCTTCACTGGTTCGAAGGACATAGGAAGGCATATCTCGGGTCAGAGGAGTCCATAATATCTGATTTCGTAAAGTGTTGCTCAGAGTGATGTAGTTTGGAACTGTAAATCCGCAGCATTGTGTGGTATTCGCTTTGTGGAGGCAGGTTGTCAGTCACCTTAAGGGACCTAATGTTGTTGAAGTGGCTATCAACATTCGAAGGAGTCGGGAACCTAGGAGCGCCCGCATAAGCGAATTAAATACACAAAGCAGACGCAACGGAGATGGACCTCGCTTAACGGAGCACACTCGACAAGGGCAACTTTCGTTAGCAGGGAGCTATATCACGTGGCTATGGCAGCCTATCGTTATAGGGTCAATAGGCTTTGCCTTTAACTAATTTCTAGGGATTACTTAGCGATGGCTTTACCTATCGTTCTCTTACTCAAGCGGCACTAATAGTTAAGATTTGGGGGCCGACTAGGCTAGGCTTCAGCTATCGGCGCCTGGCACTGCAGGCCTCAGATCACGTGCAGAGCTAACGAAAGTTACCCTTATCGAGTGTACATTTTAGGATCCCGTGCGGCTCCCCACGCGCTCAGGGGTAAGCTACTCCGCAACGAGCTCCCAAGGCTGTCAATCAAATATATTTAGCTTTCTGCTGGGATATTAGCGGAGATCGGATAATCCCTTGACTTTCACCCCCATGTCAATCTCTTCTGGATGGGAGGGTTTATGCTGCAGCAAACTCAAGGAACGCCATCCCCAGCCAGGAACCTAATTCCCACTCCAAGTCAAAAAGAACAAGATCATTTATAAGCCTTTTCAGAAGCTAGCTTCCAACGTTCTTAAAGCTACGCGCAGTTCGCGGTTAACATTTTCACGATGAGCGACTTGCTGCCCCCCGGCCCAGCCCGAGAATCAATCCAACCTCGCCTTCCCGTCCGTCCGGCTTCACCGCTGCCCAGTATAAAGCTTGAACCTCCGCCAGCCTCAGGACGAGATCTTGTCCTCCAAGTTCGAGTTTGTCGAGTCCCCCAGTGCCCGAACCGGCACTGCAATCTAAGAAGCCATCGGCTTTATGACCCTGCCGTTGCCTTGAGCCGTCAATCTCAAGCCCAAGCTCATCAGCACGATTTGAGAAAGGAACCAAAGCTCCAGCCCCAACCCCAGCCTCTGGGTCATGGTCACGACATTTATTTCAGCAGCAGTGGGATTGGACGCAAAGGAGTGGATGGGTTCCCTTCTCTACCCCTCGAGAACCCTCTCGAGACCGACCTCCGAGCACTCTTTCATCATTTCTTTGACTCTGTCTTTGATCGGCTGGCCGACATATTCCGTGGCCCTCTGCAGGGACCCGACTACAAGAACCGCATGTTGTCCGTTGCGTTGACCGACGAAGCATACTGCATGGGTCTCATTACCCAAGCGCAGACCGACACAGCCATTGCGCGGGGCTCGTTCGGAGAGACGACAGCCTCTTTGCAGCTTTATACGAAGCTGATCAGGATCTTCCGCGTTCGGCTGGCAGCGAGCACGGGAGGCGGCACTGGCACTCCCCAGCCTGCTCACATCGAGATCGCACTCTTGATCCTGTGTATCCTGTTATCCTACAATGCGACGCGGGGGAGATTCAACGAGTTGGTCATGAACTGGAACGCCATGCGCCATCTCGTTAATATGCGAGGAGGTATCCATTACCTGACCGTTGCCCTCGCATACGTCGTGCACGTCGATCGATTGTGTGCAACCATGCTGGGCTTGCATCCGACCTATTCCGTCAGCTCGCCATTGACGATGCATCAGCATCAGTTCTGCCGACCTGCTTGGTCGACATATGGTTCCGGATTTACAACGCTAGAGCGAAGCCAGGAGCATTCGTTCAGTCACCTGGTCCTCGAGCATTCTCTGAATACGTGCGAGTTGCTATCACTATATGAAGCGAGACAAGCTGCTACCGCTGCTCCATCATCGTTTCGACGAGGGCCCTTTTTGCAACGACCACGACCTTTCAGCCCCGAATACTTGTACTATCGCCGTGATAGAGTAGATGAGCAATTTGCCGTCCTCTACGCCGACCTGCTGAACGAGAGCACGCCGTCCAAATGTATCTTGTTGGCCACGAGAATTGTTGAGTATCCGGTGACCTGGGCCAACTACGTCCCTACCCTGACCATCCACCTGTGTACCGAGTTATGCACCATCCTGCGCCGACAGGACCTGTTTCAGGGGTGGTCGGGCCTTTTGGACGTCCTGCGCTGGATCTTGTTCGCTATGGTGACGAGCCCGTGGCCATTCGACGGTCGGGATTGGGCCATGTCCTCTCTCCAGGGTCTCATCGGAGCCAAATATGGCCCAGATCACTGGCCAGACCGGTGGTGGGAGGAGGAACTGAAAAACTTGCAAGACTTTGCCTGGTCACGCGCACATGATGCGAAGCTCGGTCAGATGCGGAGGGAGCTTGACAAAGGATATGTCGACACAACTACTCAAAAGGGAGCACAGAAGTCGTGATGGACGGACCAGTGGTTCGCAAGAGAGTACCTGCTGCTCGTTACTCAATTAACGAAATCAGTCCATTCCCTCTCGAGCTTCAACATGCCTTGCGCACCTTTCCTTTTCTTCTGGGCAGCATCATCGCGAGCTTCTGTTAGTTCCATCTTCTGTAAATTTCTTGTTCAATATGCCCTCGAGGGACTGGACAACGTATTCACCGATGATTGGGAAGAATTTCCAAGAATGAAAGGAGCCACCTGTGGCAAGTTGGAGCGAGGGCGCTGCTGGATGCCGGGAGATAATGAAATCCTGTGCAGGCGTGAAAGAATACCTGGATGCGATTTAGCCTTTGAAAGATTAAGAAAGTCGTATGGGCAAAGGATTCGGAACTAGAAAGCCTTACCAACATACTCAATACTTCTCGATTTCCCAGCCTTCCACTTCTTTACCGAAGATACCCTTCGTGACCAACCTGACCTCAGTCTTTCAAAGTTTGGGAAGCATAAGACTGATCTTCGTGACGAAGCTTGTCTTCAGGTGATATCAAAATCATTTCGCCAGAGCCAGGATGCCGATAGGTGTTGGCAAAGCTGATATCGCGACAAAACTGCAAAATATCGTCCTCGGTGGGCGGATATGTCTCGCCCGGGTAATTCCAGCTCGACGAACAAATACAGGCACGTTCTCGAACTTATTCAACCGTTCGCTGGCTACTGTGGCAGTGGGTGTGATGACCCGGCTCCAACAAACCGGTCTTGAACTTGCACCTCAAGTCGATGAGGAGCACTATCCGCTAGAATTTGGGGAGTCATAGATCCTGTGGCTAGAAGGATCTTGTTAGCCGCAAGTGTTTGGTCATCATTCGCTTCGAACTCCAGTACAGTCGTGGTCCGCACCAAATAGGAGCGATGAAACTCGTCCCTAAAGATATTTGACTCCATTGTCAACGGCTATTTGTATGACTTGCCGCGGACACGAAGTTGCTTCTACCCATCCATCATCAGAGTTGATGAAACAGTCAGGATTCATGGAATAGTTCCCATCCCCAAATTGAGGGTATGTCTTCAATATTTCTTCGGGTTTCACAACTCTAGCCTGGCGTGGTTTTCCAGTCTCGTCCTAATTCTTCTCATCCTTAGTCCGGTGTCATCGCCCTCCACGAATACAACATCACCCTCATGGAAGAAGCGGTTGAAGAATGGTTCATTCCTCCAGGAGTTTTGGGATTAAAGAGTGAGGCGCATGTACCACTTATCGCCATGATCGGCTCACACAACCTCCTGGTAGTCGTCTGAGGCGACGAGGAGATATGGAAAAGGAGTGCAATCGATGAGGATGATTGAAGAGGATTGGCCGGTCTTGGAGAGACGGTAGGCCGTTGAGACGCCAGAACCTACAATGACGCACAAAGGCTTAGCACTTGAGAAGGACACGATGTTGCAGCAAACCGGTGCCACGCCTCCTCATTTACGTGCTCCAGCCTCGGTACTTCTGGCGAACAAGACCACCATTGCTTCCGACGGCGCCGTGGAGATTGGTATCATCGGATACGACAAGACCTTCATCGTAATCGGTGATGACTATTTCAGGAATGCCCGAGAATCTGCCCTTACGTCAATAATGTGTACACGATCATTCGTGAACTGACTTACACTGTGCCAGTCACTACCAAATTTTGATTCTGATCTTGATCCCTAACTTGTCGCTTTGTGCCAGTGTGGTGCTGTCTTGCCCTCTCATCTTGCGGGTCGTTGAATCACAACATCTCTCGCTACCATAGTTTGTGTAGTTGCGAACGCCGGGACGTTTATGCTCCGACTCTTTCAGTAACGAAGTGAGCAGGTGGATATCGACGTTGCAGTGGCCAGGTATAAGCATGCGAGATTCCACTAGGGGTGAAGTATGATTCTCGCTTCCCTTCGCCATAATGATGATCGGTGTCGATCTTCCCCAGACTAGAGCCGAAAAGAGTAACCGTTGCACTCCGTTGATTGTGGGTGACCAGTCGTTGAGCTGTGGTTGTTCCATGATGGATACCTCCCCCCGACGCTGGTCATTGAAATTTGACTTGCTAAATCTCCTCCGAGGTTGAAGTTGGTATTTCCATTTCTTTCTGATCCGCCTTTCTTGATTTGTGCGGTGACATGATCTTGGATTCGACGGGAACGTCTAAATCTCCTAGAAGTCGCCAACTGTCCTTCAAACATCTTGTTGAAGAAGGAAATGGGACCCAAGTCTTGCGATACACCCGTTTAGCGCAATCTTTTGAGCTGAAGTGTTGATATTCGGTCAAAATGTACTTTAATGATTGAGAGATGTGACATAAAGGTAGTACCAGAGGATACGTCCCTTTATATTTCTCCGGTTCGTCAATAGACATGAAGACCGGTGGGGCCCCAACTGATTCATCTTCATGGATGACGTGGAATAAGGGCCAATGCAGCCCCGGTAGAGTGAGGCTGAACACATTCCAACTCAGTTTAGCACCTAGATTGCATCCATTCCTGGTCAGGATGGGTGATGAGGCACTCTCTGTTTATGTCTCTCCAGCCGATCAACCCTAGCAAGGCGTGTTGTATTAGGACAGCCCCGAAAGTGGCAACGAAACCGTCGCTCGTGTTTATCAAGATGCACCCTAAGGAGTCATTGGATTGCTCAGGAACCAAAGTTTGGATAATCTTACCTGAAGGCTGAATCCCTTTCCAAAACTAGGAGCTGGCCATTAGGCGGCACTCTTCCTTTTGTATACTTCTCCCCTTGTAAACAAACGTCCTGACTTTTGCCTCTGGCATTCAGTCTGTTCATATGAACCGCTTGACTCATTTAGCCAGTAGAATCAGACACGGCGTTGTTTCGTCATCAATGGATGACGATCGAGGCTTTTGAAGAGGGGGCATGCTCTCCTAGCGTGCCTGACACCCTCAATGCGGCCTCGGACACATCAGCCCCAATCACTCTAGACGATTTCCTCTACTACTACATACTTGTCGTCGAGTCGCCTCTCAATGTAGTCGGTAGCTCCGTCTCCACCACTCAATCTGGAATCCAAATTGGCAAGTAGATCCAGCAAGTACGTGATTGTCTGTCCGGCATCGATCAACAGACATACGTCGTCAATGGTCTGGCCCTCGCCCAATTGTTACTTGATCTGAGGCAGCGCTTCTCGTAAGATCCGCTCAACCAGGGTCTGAGGTCCTTGTGCGCCGGGAAGAGGCAGGAATTGACCGGTGATTTTCCCTCCGTCACTCTGTTCAGCCTTGACAACAAATTTGTTGGAGAAAACGCTGTCTTGTCCTGCATATGTTTATTTCTTCCCAAGATTTTTTCCTTTGCTTCTCCTTGCAGGGATCCCCTACCTTTAACGACGAACCCGGCTCAGCCGGCACGTACCACTTTAACCGAGCTCCACTAGGAACGGGATGAAGCTCCCCCGTGGCTCCTCCAGAAGCTCAGCCCAATGGACTGGCGAAGCTTGGATCCTGTAGCCGACCTGTCAGTTCAAACGACTTCGGTCCTCTCGGGGTTGACTTAACATCAATGGACGTCCAAAGGAAATGAAAACTTTCTTCCCGCCAAAAGTCTATTCGTTCTCGATGACCATTCACTTTTGACCTACATAGACGGATCTGAGATCGGCCACGGTACCAAACGATATGCCCTTCGAGACATTTCCTAGCAGGTTCGAAAATTCATTCCCAGGGATGGTACCATAACGTGCCACCACACTCAGAGCCTAAAGTGGAGTTTTGTATACTCGATCCTTTTGAAGTGAAATGGATCCATTTCACATCCAAGGCTGGAGGCCGGTTCAGCATCACAAGGACCTCTTGCCGGAGCTGACACTGTGAACGGTCCTGTCAAGTTTCGATGGCGAATGAAGGATGACGAGACTCTGATCATGACCAGGCCTCGCTGGCTGTATCAAACAATTGAAACAAACAAGAGCATAGATCAAGAATATAACCCTTTCCGGAATTCTGGTCCTAGTCATCCAGCTGACTTTGGATGAAATCTCAGACTCAATACCACAGACGAGACACTGTTCAAATTCTACACCGTCACATTCTGTGGTGGTAGCACACCCTCCCCTCATCCAATGCCTCCTCAACCACATTACCCTCCATGGCCACAACCAATCCCGATGTTAAACAGGTCCTTTCTGGCCCTGGCTGCATCCTACGCCCTTGACTATATTCCGAGCCAACGGCTTCAACTCCTCGCCAATCTACACCACAAACGCTCTGTCCTTCTCCTAGCCCACGAGCTTAATAGAAAACTCACTTTCGACCCTGGCCGAGGCGAAATCGCCATTGCAACTTTCATGCTTCTCTGCCGTGACGACTCGGTTAATTGGGAACTTGAACGCCCTCACTCCACGAATCCCAAGTGATATGCTGGCTATCGAACAGCAAATCTGATCCTGGAGAGGACCGACCCTGGTTTCAAATACTATGATCCCATGAAGGTACAGCGGAGCAACGCTCGCAGGATATCTTGGAACCAAAGCAGCCCTGGAACTCATTCTCAGTGATGTATTCGCTCTCCTCCAACCCTCAAAGTGTCCTCAACTCATGGTCCTTGAGTGGGACCGAGGGAGCCTCCCACAAGATTAATGGCTTGAACGGTCTTTCTCCCAAACTGTTACATATCTTCGCACAAATATCACACCTTTCCTATCACTTGCCAGCAAATCCTACCAGCGTCGCCGTAGTCCAAACTGCCAAGACCCTCTGGCCTCGTCTACAATCCTTTTGCCAGTGTCAGGAGCGAGGAAGCAATATCTCCAAACATCAACGCTCTGGGCAAATCACGGTCAGCCAAGTCGAGCGAGTCAAGCGAGTGCCGATATGACGTGAGATGAATGCTGTCACGTTTCCTATCTTCACATCAGAAATGCCAATTGTCTACGATGGCGGTGGTGATCTGGAGAATCAAGAGCCACTTTCATTAGGACCAGAAAGCTGGCAAGCGAAACTGTTGGTATAGCGTGTTCTATTTCGACTCTACCTCCAAAATCCTTGGACCATTCCACGCACACATGACACTGCAGCCAGGACCGTTGGTAGTGGTGGTTACTAACACCAGAGAAGAACCGAAATCTTTTGGAGCCTAATGCGTAAGCGAATATCATCCAACGGGGACGGCACACGGTGAACGTGAACGTTGCAATATCATTTTTGAGCATTATCCATACCGGGAAGCCTCGAGTTTGGTTGCTGTCGGAAAATGCATCGGGCATGTGCCCTGGTGCTAGATACCTGCTCATAATGGTCTCTTCATTAGGGGGAAACAAGGAATTCTCCGCAGTTGCCACCCTCAGCCTTTCAGCTTATTACTGTAGCACTCACGCAATATCACTTGGATTTTGGGTCTCCCATGTAGTTACTGACTGCAGAACAGGAAAATTTGCCGGCATTAAATTATGCCTTGCCAGTCGACTTGCAGTGCTTGGAGTTATCCGCAAATAATTCGGCCTTGTAGCATATATCACCCCGGGCTTGAGCCATGCTCAACATACCCGGACAGCTTGCTCTGGACGCACTGAACAGGAGAGGCAGAAACGTGGCCGAAACTGAAGATTTCTGGAGATCATCATTCGTTACTACGGCGCTACTTGGATCACGCCATGTTCTAAGTTGGCGGAAAGCTTGTTCGGCACGTAGCATCCGTTATGCAGGAGAGTCTCCTAACAGGGTTCATGATGTTGAAGAATCCCTGCGAAACCATTTATACTGTATTGAAATTTTCACCAAAAGTTCCCCATGCTAGACTATTGAATGGCCAGAGACAATGATGTGGTTGATTTGTACGCCTAACAAGGCTATCTTTCAACGAGTCTGTTGATCATTCGGAAAAGAAGGGGAACGTGAGTGGGTCCATCAGGGCCTCCTGAACAACCACTGGCCTCGGTCACCCTCCATGGCATAGGACCCATGTTTCCAGTGTTGCACGAACTCGAGACGCCAAATCCTCAACCGCACATCTGCACCACCAAAAAGTGTCCAGCGGGCCTCCTCTGGAATTTCTCGTAGGCAATTCGAGGATTTCAGGCAGCAGAGTGCTTTCACCCTTGCCCAGGAGACTTAGAGGACCCCACCGATGATCGACATTTACCTCTATTCTCACACTTGCAGTATTGAAAGAAGATTGCCCTCGCGTCTACCCCGGTCAAAAACAGAACTTCACCATCCCAAGAGGCGCTTCCTATTGAAACTGGCTCATCCTTGTCGACTCTGGCCTCGACTTTTGCTTTAATAGCTCGAGCATTACAATGCTGGCCGAAGAAGGCGAATTTGAGAGCTCATCTAGTCGCCAGTGGCATTTTGACTTCTCTACATGCTCCTTCATACGTACGGAATCTGACATCTTACCCCAGCGACGACCACTCCAGAGCAATAGTGGACCTTTGTCTCGTGTCTTCTTTTATGAGACTCCATCCGCCACATGCCAGCGCAAAATTCCACTCGATAGAGCCAAAACAAATCGCTGAAAGGTCGACGCAACTTCATACGAGCTTTCAAGGAGCTGCATCCAAGGTGGCCCGTTCATATGAATATTCCAGAGTCCTTTCTAGCCTAAATCCGGGCGTCAAGACCACAAAGGTCGGGCTTGCCTCGTACGCAAATTGCCTCGAACTCGTCTATGGATCGGACGACCAGCATGAAGGGATCAACGAGCCCCTTCACAGGAGCGACTCGAGCAGCACAGTCCATCAACATTGGACCAAGAGCGCATAGCAAGGAGCTGCACTTCCTCTATTTCCCAGCAATTGAGCACTGCAATGATACCATCAAACAGATTCGATCGCCTCTACCAGAACCCGAATTCAGACCTGGCCTCGTCCGAATATTTGCTGCAAAGAGAACAAGTTCAGCAATAATCGAGATTGGATTTTATCGTATATCTGATCAAAAAAGGCCCCAGAAGAACTCTTTTGAGAAATATCACGAAATAAGTTTCGGGATAGGAGGCTTGAGAGCATTCGACATTGTCAAGAGTCTTTTGGGACACTCTCTTCGAGGACGTTCAAATTCAGAGACCAGTGATGAGTGTCCGACCGTGTTTGTTCACGAAAAGTTCGCAGCGGTCGTAATGACGATCGGTCTCGTTCACATGTGGATTGATAACATGCCTATGCCATACGATTATTTAACGTCCCTCCTTGAAGGTTCCTGGGAGAGAGCAACGAAGGTCTTTCTAGACAGCCTCAGATCTCCCACGCCATATTGCTGGCTCGACTTTTTCCTGTACGGCAACCAATTAACGCCAGTTCCAGACCCGCATGGTCAGTGTGATGACACCTCAATGTTGCCTTTGACAGGGAAAAATGGACGATCCAGCCGAGACATGATGCCGGAATCTTGCACTCGCACACCGGGCTTGAGGTCTTCTCCATTGAACGAGACACGCGAGAAGCCATCCCCCGATCAATCACAAGTCAGTTCAAGTGTACAAGCTAGCGGAATCGTTGAACATCCAAGCAATGACTCACAACAATTATCAATGCTTATACAACCTGCGGAGAGCTCTTCCGAATCGGACCTCCCCTCATCACTTTTCGCACACCCGGATGTGGAAGAGGCTCAGCATCATTTACTCTCAGGAGACGCAACAGACGCTCAAACTTGGAAAGCAAATACACTAGTATTACCTATACACAACAAAGTCATGGTTAAGAAGGATGCTGACACATCTGTCGGCCCAATTAGAATGATCGCTTCTATTGCTGCGAAGCGAAAGGCTGCCATTGAGCGGAATTATGAATCTATTTGTCTATCTGACTTGAGACTCTGGTGGTTTGGAATGCCAGCTACCGACGCAGAAATAAGCAATCCAGATATATGCTGGTGCAAACAATGCTTTCTATTTGGACCGTCTGCCGAAGACCGCGTGTGCTTCGGCACTGGCGACGGCTACGTCGAGGCATGGACTGATACGCCCGAGCCGAAAACCTTCTCGCTTTCTGCGTCGGCCTGCTCTTGCACCACGCTACCCTTTTTCTCAGAGACCGTGGTCGAATTCGATTTCTACAAATCCGACCCGCGAAAACTAAGAGACAACCCCGAGAAAAGAAAGTATCTTCTCCATTGTCGAGACTCCCATATATTCATCCACAAAGATAGTAAATTCAAGCGCATTGAAGATAGAAGCGCTCAGCTACATTCAGATGTCTTTGGAAAACGTCTCCTCCAACTTCCATCGTTTGGTCACCAGCGCCGATCCTCAGCACCAGAGAATTCTATCGTTCGATTGGGAGAACATTCCCGACCCGCGGAGAAGGCTGACTTTAGTAACCCCGGCAGCTCTAATTTCACCTTCGCAAGACCAGAATCTGATCCGAGCCAGTCTGATGTATCAGTTACTCCTAAACCGGCAATCCTGTCGGACGAAATATGCTGGTGCCGCGATTTCTGCTGGGTTACCAGTATACCTGGAGCATCCAGAGATCAAGCCCGTGACAGTCTTGGACGTCGATTTGGGACCGAGATTGGACACCGAGTGTTCTTCGCCAGCGCCGAGGGTAATGTTGAGGTTTGGACTGACCTAGAGAAGCCGAAGAATGCTTTCACTGGGGCCGAAAAGACCATCTGCAAAATGGCTCCTCGACACATGTCCACAGTCGTCAAGTATTTCTCCAAGGCCGACAAACTGACCAAATCTATTTCCAAGAGAGTTTACCTTCTCAATTGCCGAGAACCGCCCAAGTGGCCTCTCTCCTTTGGAGGAAGTCGTGCCTCGGGCGAGAGTGCCACAACAGGTGTGAAAGGAGATCCAGTCAGAATAGATTTTGTTCCCCCCCAAAAAGAGGGTTTTGTGTTTGGGGGAGGAAGCCCAGCGACAGTAAATGATACAAAAAAAGAGACAAAACTCAACTCTATCGATTCAAACCTTCTTCATCCCCCGCAGTCTGGCCACCAACGACGGTCCTCGGCACCAGAAGCACTCGAGAGCAAGATTGAACCAAAAACAGTTTCAGCAGCAAAGAGACATTACCTAAAAAATGGAAAAGTAGCCATCGTGAGGATCCCTCCAGGGGATTTGGAACATCCCTGCATCTAGGCTTTTGCCAAATGCTACCTGCTTGTGTGCTTTTCATCACCCTTTGGAAAGCCAACAGCTGGCTGTGACCGTTGGTCTTTGTACATTAGCAACATATATCGATCTGTATCGTCCCTCCCTGCCACCTACGAAGGTGAATTCTGTATCAATTGTCCAAGCCTTCAACCATCATAATCACTCTCGATCACCAACTGTCCCAACCCACCCATAGACGACGAGTTGATACCTAGCATGAATGCAGGTGTCATCCAACGTGTCACGTAGATTTTATTTCCTGCCTGCTCGAGTATCAGATGTCACAATTTGCTTGAAGTGTCCTCGGCACCCCAAAACTGTTCCTGTATAAGCCATGGAGCAGAGCCGACCCTTTAGCCTTGTCGATCCGTCACCCAGCCAGTCGCGTTATGCGCCTAGTTTCTCCAGGCTGCATCCTCCCTGTCAACCAGTGCAAGATATATTGACGTTGACCATCGCCAGTCACAGCGCATTGCCAAAAGAGTCCGGACTATTCGCTCTCGAGGGCCGTGAGCTCTAGACGCGTGAGGACAGAAGTAACGTGGGATTAGTTTTAGCATTCTACCTACCAATCCCCTTGATCTAGCTCATCTGACCTGGATGTCGCTGGCCAGCTGCACCCACCTCACGTTGCAAGGCACATTGACCATTATGATCGCGAAGCTGTATCGGAGTCGACTCCAGGCACCGCCGACACATTGCAACATGGGGGCTGGACGGCTTAAGCGCTTGCTCGAGACTTAAGCTGTGCTCCACACGTCTTTGTCACGAGTGAACAGAGTGTTCATTTGGACCATTACTTCAAGGAAAGATACTAGCCATCTAGTCTCCACTGGTCATATCGACAGCTCAAATTCCAGTTCAGCCGCGAGGAAATGTCCCGACTATCGAGCCACGACACAATCTCAGAAACCAGGGGCTACTCATGACATTCACGGATATGCAGTGGTCCCAGAGGAAAACACCACACGGTGGCCAATTGCCAGTATAGTGGCGAAAGAATTATGGGGAGCAATACATAAGCGTTTCGCGGCCAGAGTTTCTGGCTTGTAACATCTTCCTACTGGCTTCATGTGCCATTGTTGTGATCCTCTAACCTAACAAGAACAAGAATCTGGCCCAAAAGCCTTATCGCATCTCAGTCAACACCTGCTCTCGATCTACGCTGTGATCATGGAAGCCACCATGACGTATGTCCTTGCGGCAGGCCTCGGGTAACCGAAATGGTCCATTGATGACACCTGGAAAAGGAAAACCTCTCTTCGATCCTGCTAGTTGCGGCGGTCTTGGGTCATTCAAACCACTCCCAAGGATGTCATGTACAATGTTCTTTGGCATCTTTCGGCCCCGCTATCACCATTGAGCTTCTTGCAGTAGATCCGATCACCCAGGAAATTGTTCGCTACTTTGATTGCAGCAATTCTATTGGTGAAATGACAGCACCAATGTCTTGAACAAGCCTATGAGGCCTGGAATACAGTCAACAATCAATGCAGGCGTCTTCACTACAGGTGCACAAGTCGAATTCTTGTGCCCGACCGGCTACTGTACCTTTCCGACAACTTATAGCACAGTCTGGTACTGTAGCAAGTGTCAGGACGTGAGAGATCGGGTCCAATATTCAAAGGTGTGTTCCGACGGTCAATACCACCTAGGTTGTGGTAATTCACCCTTCCTCCGTACTAGCCTGCCCTCAGGATTGAACGTCCTTTAGGCGCGGCCAGCCAAATCTGAGCGTCATGGGAGTCTTTGGTGGGGACTTTCCTATTCAAATTCTGGCAGGGAAGACTTCCTTCCAGAATCTTATACTTGACACTGGGGAGGAAGATCTCGATGTTGGTTGTGAGACCGCGGCCGATAATGCCACAGTACATTGAGGAAGGTGAAAGTTGTGACTTGTGCACAGACCTACAACGCTACAATCATATCCGGGAAACTATTCAAGAATCTGACAGTGTCTACGCCCCGCTCAATATACTGAGGTGCCTCAGATGATAATACCCCTGCTAGCCTCGTCGACAACCAGCCATTGGCTTCTCCACAACATCAGCGGGAATCCCACTGAAAAAGTCGCCGCAGACATATCCTTTCCTCAGTCGATGCTAGTGGAACAGTGCCTCTATGTAATTGATTCTTCTTTCACCTTCGGCCTCGAATTCGACTACCTCCCACTCGTCTCCACCGGAAACCTCACTGCGCCAAATGAGCACGAGCCTCTCCCTCGTCGAATTCGAAAGTCCCCAGACTATACAGATGATCTACAATTCCATCAAAATGACCTTTGGGTCGATCGATGCCGCGTTTCAAAGCGTCACGCAATCCATGGTGGTTTACATCCGCAGAATGGGAACTCGAACCATGGTACGCAGGTAGAAGGCCAGGTGTTGCATCATGCAAACTGTCTCCCTGTCAGGTGGGCCATTGGTGGCGTTTTCGGCATCATTGGTTCTTTCACTTTGATATTCTTTGCCCTTGATCAAACAGAGATATGGAAATCGTCACCCCTCGCACTGATCTTCCATGGCCTATATGGTCCAGCCGGGCTCGCTGTGGCACAAGTAATGATGCTCCGAGTCTGATTGACGATGAGAAGGGAGTCATGAAATAGGCTACAATTAAGGAGATGGAGGATGCCTCGAAGGATATCTTGGTCCGGCTGGGCCGGAGTAAGGACTCATACTTTGGAAGTTGGTGGAAGTAGAAGATAAAAGAGTAAGGCACGGAAGAGAGTTCGAAAGGGAACAAAGGACGAATTAGTAGCCGACCTTGAAATACACCCCCACTGGCCACCTGAATTGTATATTTCTGGCTGGCGGGGAAAATAGCGGCATTACCAATTTTTCCCAATCGGGACCTCCTCCTGGCGCGTCCGCCTGCAGCGGCGCGTTTCCCACTTAGCGAAGACCTTATAGGGAATTTCTTCATCGAACACGACCATCAGACTCTCAATTGTCCTGGGAGGGTTCTTTGATTCCTCTCATCCTGAGAATGGATCAAGACCGATACCTACCGTCCAAACGACGTCGCACCTCCAGCGCAGACTCATCCTCATCTCGAAATTCCTTCGCCGACCCAAGATCCCATCCTCTCCCGCGAAGACTTTCCGATTCGACTCGATCAAGGCTGCATTCAAGAAGAGGGAGGACATACTCAAGTTCCAGAAGTAGAGATGCCAGTCGAGACGACACACCTCATCGTCGCCGCTCAAGGAGTCGTTCTTCTCCGAGGAGACGCTCAAGCAGAAGTCCAACTGGCAGCTCAACGTACGACTCTGCACCAGAACATCAACAACTCTCCAGGTCACATACACGACGGCACTCCAGATCCCGGTCGAGATCTTACACGTCCTCGCTAGATCGCCCACGCTCTCAGTCTCGCTCAGTCTCGCCTATTCCGCAACCATCAGAGAAACCAAAGTCCTTGAACTTTACTCCGCTACTCAATATCTCCCGTGCCCATGCAAGAGGGATCACATCTCTCAAGTTCTCCCCGGATATGGTTCTTCTGGCCACCGCTTCTGCCGACAATGCCATACACATCTACTCCGTTCCTGCAGATCCAACATCCGATACAACCTTCAAACACTTGCGCACCCTGCGCGCTCATCTTGCAGGCGTCAATGCCATCGCATGGTCTCCTGTCGGTCCACCTTACACACTCGCCTCGGCCAGCGACGACAAATCCATTCTCCTCTGGTCTCCATTGGCCTCCGATTTTCCCATCTCCCCCTCCCCACTCACCGGACATAGCAACTACGTTTACTCTCTCGCCTTTAGCCCCAAGGGTAACATGTTAGTTTCGGGCTCATACGACGAAGCCGTTTTTCTCTGGGACGTGCGCTCAGGCCGAGTCATGCGCAATCTACCCGCTCATTCCGATCCCGTAGGTGGCGTGGACTTCCTCCGCGACGGAACTATGGTCTGCTCATGCGCCGGCGACGGTCTGATCCGCATCTGGGACGCCGGAACAGGTCAGTGTTTAAAAACACTCGTCGACGAGGACCGACGACCCGTGACCGCGGTGCGTTTCACACCCAACGGTAAATTCGTCCTCGCCTGGACTCTTGACAACTCCATCCGCCTTTGGCGCTACACGGAGGGCACCTGCGTCAAGACCTACCAGGGTCACCTCAACCAAGAATACAGCCTCTCCGGCACCGTAGGCAGCTACTCTCACTTTTCAAATGGTCTTCGGAGTCTCGAGGCCTTCGTCGCCAGTGGTTCGGAAGACGGCGACGTGCTTGCATGGGACGTGACGAGCAAAGAAGTCCTCTGGCGCGGCAGGGGCCACATGGATGTCGTGCTCGGCGTGGATTTCGGTCGGACTAAAGCCGGCAAAGGCCTCTTGGTTAGCGGCGGCAAGGACCGTGACATTAGAGTCTGGATCCTTGAGGGCGAAGATAATGGCCCCGACCGGATGACAATGACGGGTGGTGATAACGATATGGATATGAACATGACGATGGATATGGACGGGGATGGAGATGTGCACATGCACGGTGGACATGGTGACAGTGATAGACATGGAGATCATGATATGGACCGAAGTGCATTAAGGGAGAACGGTGTGCTAGATACGGATACCCCTTGATCTTACGGCTGTTCTGGCAGCAAAGATAACTATCTGGCTAGCTAGATAAAAGAAGCAAGACGAAAACAGGGGGGAAAAAAACAAAGCAGGTATCTTTGTGGAAAGCTCCGTCTCATATAATATTGTACTCCCTATCCGTTCTCCCTCTTTCATTTGGGCTTTTGGTACCACGTCGATTTCAAAAATCTCTCCATGAATCAGTCGATCAGATCGATACGATTCGCAACCAGCGGCTTTCGACCACATGGCCATTTCTAACCTATCCTATCCCAAGAACTCCGTCCACGTTTGATCACATCTTATCCTGCTCCATTCCATTCAATGCGGTGCAGTTATCACACACCAACGCCCCTCTCTTGCGCATCCTCGAATATTTCCATGAGCACAACAGTGTAATGTATGACCGCATATGCATGGCGTAGATCCACAACCACTTTTCATCTTGCGGCCCGATAATTGCCTTTCGCTTGCTCGGCCTTGAACCCATCGCGCTGACTCGGCAACGGTGCGCGCTTTCGCACGCCCTCGTTTGCGTTCGTTGGTGAGTTGATCGCAGAACTTCCTGCTAGGATTCCCCCACCGCCGAGCCCGGGAATACTCGATGAAGAGAGACCAGGCAGTCCCATTGCGGCATTGGACGGCGACGGTGGTAGTTGGCCGGGCGCCGGGGCTGGAGGGGGAGTGAACCCAGGAGGAAGATTGAGTTTGGTAAAGTCGATTGGCGGCGGGGGTACAGATCCTGAACCCAGACCGGGAGGCATGGGCGCTGACGATCGTGCGTTGTTGTGTGGTTGACCTGGTTGAGACATGGCCAGGAGGCGTTGAAGGGATTCTGCATCTACGCCGGGCACGGGTGGGAAGGGTAGAGGTGGAGGCGGAATCCGAGCCCCAGCCTGTTGTGAGGGGGCGGTGTTCGTTGCAGGACCGTTCTGCAGACCCGGAAGCAGAGACAATGGGGGCGGGGGGATATTGATGCCAGGCACGGAGGGTGCTGGTTGGGCCGGTTGGGTGGTTGTGCCGTTCAGACTCATGTCAGACAAGCCGGGGAGGCCTGGTATTGAGAAGCCCGGAATACCAGATTGTTGGCTTTGGACAGCAGCTTGGTCTTCCAGTCCTTCCGCTTCGTCTTCGGCTTCTTGCTCTTCCTGCTCCTTGGCCTGTTTCCGGCCGAATTTCCGATTCCAAGTTCCTTGTGCCTCGGCGCCTTCTTCACCCAGGTGGAATTGGTCTATGAAGCAAGTTGCCTGGCCCGGCTGAGATCGTGACCAGAACCGTGTGTAGTGATCATTTGACCCTGAGGAGAGGATATGTCCCAGCGGATGCCAATCGAGGGACCATATCGACGAGTCATGTGCGTGGGGGATCCGGTGGGCAGGGTAAATGGATTGGGCGGGAGCAGAGCGTGGATCGGCGGAAGCATACGTGGATATTGATGTTGAAGAAACGCCAGGCGGCGTGTTGGGTTCGGTCAGGAGGTAGGAGTGCAGTGACCCGTCATCGCCGCCCGTGCTGATTAAACATGGGTGAATCGGATGCCATGATAGCGTGGTGACGCCTTTCTCGTGCCCACGGAGAATAGCCACATCTCGCATCATACGGAGATCAAATATGCGCGTTTGACAGTCCCGGCCAGCCGTAGCAAGAAGTTGGTCACGGAGTCTGCTGAATACTGTGGCCGTAATGGCATTCTTATGGCCATGAAGAGTCGTCAGGTTGCGTGAGGTACGAGGATCCCATAGTCGGACGCTGTGGTCTTTGCTTCCCGAGACGACGAGGCCTTTAGTTGGGTGCCAGTCACAGGCCTTGACGTCCCAACCGTGGTCACTGAAAGTAGATTCGTTGGTGGAGGAGGTGAAATCCCAAATCTTTAGAGTATTGTCGTCCGATGCAGTGACGAATTTGGTGTCGGTTGGCGCAAAAGCGAGATCTCTAATGGGCGCGTCGTGACCTTTGAATTGATGGGGGTTATTCAACGTTTGCTGCAGGTAGTAGACTGTTCCTTCGTCGTTAGCGGCGACGAGCCAATCTTTTCGATTCGACCATTCAGCAGCGCGGAGTGAGCTTGAACCCATAGCCGTGACGGTCTCAAAGTTGAATGACATGCCATTCCATAGCATGAATTCACCATTGTGAACACCAGCAAGAAGTCGGCGTCCTTCAGGCATCCATCGAACCACCGTGACAGGCTTTTTAGATTTTCCCAAAGAAGTATGCAAATGTCGAACAGGTATTGACTCGGCTGGAGAGTCAAGCTTGGCCGGTGGGGGCAATATGTCGAAGACGTAGCTTTGACTTGGTCGCTCCTGTTCGTAGTGATGGCTCCCCTTATATGCCGGTTTTCGATTGCTCATCCACTGAACGATGGATGAGCCATAGTCGGTAATTGGACGCGGCCTCCTGCGGCGGAAACCACCTTCTGGTTGGTCATCTAAAGCATTGGCCATGGCAAAGAAGATATGGGCTCATTGAGTCGGTGATTTGGACTCAAAGGGCCAGTTGATGGCGTCCGGTATGCGAGAGAACGGGAGTGAAGGGAAACAGCCGTCAAACGAGAAAAGCGGGGGTTAAGGATAGATGTGCTAATTTCAGGCCAGCAAGGAGTCTCGAATCTGAGAGTTTGTCAAAACATTTAGATCAAGTGATACATGGTGAAGGGACCGAAGCTCAAAGTAAGTGGTTTGCAAGTCCATATGTGCATATATGAGGTCACGTGAGGGAGGCCGGTAAGGTGGACATCAGTTTACCGTGTATATATAAGTTAACGTGTTTTATTGAACTAGATTCTAGATCTACCATTTTGCAGCCCAATTACTAGTACCGATTTCGCTCAAATTCCCATATTTGGCTTGCCATGAGAAGAAGTAGATCATGGCCGCCAAAGGCTGTCCCACAAACACAAAATTGATCCAAAATATACAATTACCAATGACTTTGCCAGTTCCTTCTTTCTTGGCCAATGGTTCTGTACACTGGATCAAAGGTAGCTGAAGGACCATTCCAAGGAAAGCGACACCAAGAATACTGTGAGAAGGTACACCCACAGCCAGCTCGTGGAGGAATCCGGAGAACACGAATACCCAGGCACTGGCTGCTTGGTGTGACCATCCCCGGCCCAACAGTGGAGAATAGATGTGTCTGCGCATGAAGTGGTAGACCGGTTTGTTCCAGGTAGACCAATACATCTTCAAACTTGTGCTGTTCCACCAGTCTTCGTAGAACACCCGATCCCCGAACATCATGATTTCCGCCAAAGCATTCAAGAAGGACTGGAACAAGGCAAAGAATCCAGCCAACCAAACAATCAAGGATATGGTGGAAAGTTTCATCAATCGCTCTGCAATGGCGGAGAAGTCAAGCACAGCCATTCCCCCAAGAGAATTGTGTAAAACGGGGACCGCATATTGCGCACAGGTGAGCCAAATAAATACACTCAGAGCGACCACTTCCCCCAAGCGTTTGAAGAAAAACGACCATCTTACTCTCTCGGTCCGTGGATAGCATGGTTGATAAACCAGTGTTGGAGCCCACCAGAAGTAACATAAATTGCCCAGAGAGATATTCCTGGGATAGGGGCATTTAGAGTAGATCTCGGGCAAAGCTGATTCAGGACCCCCCGGATGCAGCATAGCATGTCGAAGATCTCGATTGGTGAATGCATAAGAGCAAGTCTTCAGCCAAACGACAATGGCATGAAGTTCGCTGATCATGCCCAGACCGGGATTGTGGATATGGTAGTACACCACAGAGCTGGTGATCAATAACGCCAGTGAGGCATTCAAGGTATGTGCAACTGCAATCCACCACCAAGTATAATAAAAATCCTTCTTCTCTTTCTCGGTCTCGGGTGTTTTCCCGTCCGGGTCAGTCTTTTTTCGCCTTCCAACAACTCCTTTGGCGTTTTCCATTGCGACTCGCTCAATGATGTAGGCGACAAATAGATGACACGGAGTGAGAGCGTAGAGAACCAGCGCAGTCTTGATGTCTTGACTGCGCAGGTTCGACTTGAGTGTGATCAGGAGACCGTACTTTTTAGCATTTTCCACGACCAGACGTAGATTCATGACAATAATCGTCAGAACCATGAGGTTGCGAAATCCGATGAAGCTCGGTGTCTCTGGCGTCTCATGGCTCAGGCAGGATGGTTGCACCTTGGAATGCAAAGCCGCAACATGACGGTACTTGCTGCGAAACTTGGGCCCGGGTTGGGATTTATTGATAGTTCCATTGGGAACTTCGACGGGTGCTTTGACATCAGTAAAGGCCTTGGTAGTCATGTCGTGGGCCTCAGTGACCATAGTATGTACGTTTGTTGTCATTGTCAAGTTGGTTAGATGATGATCCATTGTGAGAGATAGAGTCTCCTTCTCTTAATCCCCGCCTTCACCCATCAACCACAGTCATCACCCTCGTCCGAGTGGGGGAGGACGATACAAGAAGAAGGGAGAGAAGTCGGTGGCTGACATGACGGAATAGGGAGGGAATTTGAAAGGGATGGGATGCATCAGGGACGCGTTTCTAGGCGGGATGGCTAAAGGCAAAAACGGGAGCACATGGCGAAAAGGTGGTATGTAACACGACACCTGCTGCACCACTGACCTGTGTTTTGCTGCAATGTACACACACTGGAGGCGTGCACATCGACGAAGATGGTGGGGAGCGAGCCCATTTTCGACTTGTTGGGGCTATCAAGATCAACCGCAGATTGGCCCACACCGAAAATGCATGTGCTAATTCCCCCAGCTCTTCGTATGCGACGGTATATTATCGCAGCTTATAGAGCAGGGAAAATCTTTTCATTCACTTCGAAATACCAATATTACAGCACTGAGTGACGTTGACATCCTTCTGTACCACCTGTCCGACGTCCCGTCAACCTGTCAACGGCTCTGCTACGCAGCTCCCCAGTCCTATCTATTTGCGGCGACGACCGTATATCAACAATACATCTTGAGGAGAGACTGTTCCTCCCGGGGGCTAGCTTTGAGCCTCGTATCTTTTGGTTTGCTGATCCTCGGTGGGAGAATCCCATGTGCAGAAGTCGAATTTCGCATGTTTCAGGGATGAAGCAATCTTCTTCGCTGGAACGGACGCTTCCGTCATTTCGTTTTCTCTTCCACGGCTTCGGTGATTGTCTCCTGTGCCTTCCTGCCCTCGATTTCCTCGTCATTCTCTCCTTCACTAGGCTCGCTCAACAGCACTTCAATCTCATCCTTCTCGTCCGGTGGGCCCGTTCGATCTGGATCAATGGCTAGCTTGCTTATGTCGACCCGAGCTTTCTCGCCTTCATGCATCTGCCATTCCATCAGTTTGGAGAAGGCACCGTCAGGTCGACTGCTGAGCTCCTTGTAGGACCCCATTTCGGCCACCCGACCATCACTGCCAAGACAAATGATAGTGTCAGACCGCTTGATTGTTGAAAGACGGTGGGCAATCGAGATGGTGGTGTTACTCCCCTGAAGCAATGAAGCGAGTGCCTGATTGACGAGAGTTTCGGATTCCGCATCGAGAGCAGAGGTAGCTTCATCCAATATCAAAATATCCGGTTGCTTCACCAAAGCCCGTGCAATGGCAATTCGCTGCTTCTGGCCGCCCGACAATTGTGTTCCACGGGCGCCAACAAATGTGTCCAAACCATCAGGGAAGTCGCTGATGAATTGACAATTGGCTCTTCTCGCCGCGCGCATGATTTCTGCTCGAGTGGCGTGAGGTCTCCCGTACGCGATATTTTCCGCAATGGTGCCCGAGAATAGTACTGGCTCTTGCGAGACAATGCCAATTTTCCTTCGGAGAGATTTGACATTCATCGTCGAGATATCCTTGCCATCGATCAGGATTCGACCTTCTGTGGGTGTATAGAACCGCAAGATCAGGGAAGCAATCGTACTCTTTCCTCCACCAGAGGGACCGACAATGGCCACGTTAGAGCCTTGAGGGATCTCAAAATCGAGATGTTGAAAGATTTTAACCGCAGGCCTGGTAGGGTAGCTAAAGGAGAGATCCTCGAACCGAATGGGTCCTCTTGCTGATACCACTTTCTGGCCCTTGGTCGGGGAGATGGTTGGTTGGCGGTCTTGCAATTCAAACAATCTGGATGCTGCTCCAACGCCTTTCATGAGCTCTGAATAGAATGATGAAAGCCCAAAGAGGGACGATCCGGCGTAGACAGTGTACATGAGAAATGAGGTCAGTTCACCAATACTGATTGTTCCGTTCGACACCATACCACCACCAACGTAAAGAAGCGTCAAAACGGTCATGTTTCCCATAAACCCTGTGGAAGAGAAGAAAGTCGCGCTGATCAAAGACTCCCTTTTGCCCAACTCGAATATTTTTCGTACTTGTGTATTGTACCGATGGACTTCGAGAATTTCGCCTGCGAAGGCTTGTGAGGTCCGGACATTTCCAAGTCTTTCTTCGGCGATTTTGGTGAGTGTTCCAAGATTCTTTTGAATCTTTCGACTCAGGTTCCGGATGGCTCGCCCATATAAGAAGGCCCCAATGGCCACGGGCGGGAAGAGCAGCGCCAATATTCCAGTTAGTTTGAGAGACACCCACGCCATGAGACCGAATCCGGCTGCTCCACTGACGAAAGCACGAAGGCCATCGGAAAGATTTTGGGTGATAGATTTGCCAACAATGATGGTGTCAGAACTGAGTCTCGAAATCAAATCACCAACCCGATTTGCATCGAAGAACTCTGCATTTTGGACGTAGGTTTGCCGAAAGAGCTTGGACCGGAGTCTAGCAACAATTCTTTCTCCAACAATTCGAAGAATGATAATTCGCCCATAGTTGGCAGCGGCACCAGTAGCGAGGACCCCAACGAGAGCGGCGTAGAATGTCGTCAAGCTAAGGCCAAAGAGCATGTCGGTTTTTTCTTCGGCCTCTGGACCTTCAGTCTTTGCTCCGCCTTTGGTGGCGATATCCAAGATCTTGCCGATAGAGAAGGGAATAGACATGGTGATCCCGGACGAAATCAACAGGAGCAAAAAAGCCCATGCCAGGACTTTGGCTTCTGGTTGGGCAATTTTAATGAGTCGCCATACTTCGCCCAGGCCCGCATTTTTGCCCGCAGAGCCTTCTTTTGACAGTCTGGCGCTCAAATTGACGTGCAAGGCCTGACTCGCTTTCTCACTTTTCTGAAATCCTTCCTCCTCATCGGCATCGTCATCGTGCGACTTTGACCTGGCCTGCTCTTTAATGACGGGCGTTGGAGATTCACGGAGTGCTCGACAGCTCGAAAAACATCTGGCCTGCGCAAGTATGCTTGAACGAGAGGATGTAAAGGGTGGGAATTGTGTGAGAGCTGATCTGCCTACGTTATCGAATGGACGGGCGACGTCGAAGCCATGGGAGCTTCGAGATTGCGCGTGAGTGTGAGGCGGATATGTTATCCGTGAGTGTCGAGGAGAGGAATCGTATAAGGAGAGAAGAATTTTCTGATCCAGTTGATTTAATCGAGGTCCATGTTGAAAGGGCCGAACACCGAGCAGCACAAAGCTGCGCGAGGCTAACATGCCGGTGATGGGAGGGATAGAAGAGGTTAACGAAACAAAAGGATCTCTCCCCTCCGCTTCATGTCGGCGACAGCTGGGAGAAAGAGGGTTTGGGGAGGGACACTGGCAGAGTGACGTTGAATTCAAGCAAATACTATGACATTGAAGAAAAGAGATGAGAAGAGGTGCCTGCGCCGACGTGGGTCACTAATGACGATGCCACGGGAAGATGATTGACCGGCCCAGCCAAAGGGTACTTAGGTAATCCACATTCGGCAATACACATTCAGCATTGACAAGCGAGCAAGTTGCGAATAGGCCGGATCAAAGTCCCTTACCCCCCTGGTCACGGGTATTACACGCCAACTATCAAACCACCTATATCTTTCTAGAAGAATCCTCGTTAATATCGAGCACCGACGCGAAAGGCAGCGGCGACGACCCTTGCCTAGATATTCCATAACCTCGCACCGAGTCCACTGTGTTCTTCTTGACCGTACCATTACGGCCTTCCCCGTATTGTGCACAGCGTCTATCTCCAAATTTCGTCACCATGCCGATTTCCTACGATAAATGGGATAGGCTCGAAGTATCAGACGACTCCGATGTTGAGGTCCATCCCAATGTCGACACCAAAAGTTTTATCCGAGCAAAGCAACGTCAGATCCACGAACAACGAGCCCAGCGAAAGCACGAAATAGAAACTCTCAAATATGAACGGATCATCAACGATGGCCTCTTGGAACGCATCAATGCCCTTCTGGATGCGCTAAAGAAGCACCAAGACGATGCAAACAAGAAGAATCCTGATGAGATTGTATTTCAGTCGCTGATCGAGAGCGCCGGCGATCCTGCCAAAGATGAACCACCCAAACCACCAGAGGGCATTTACACACACGAGAAGGAACCACAACCACGCTATTCCCGGATGATGGGGACTTTGGTTGACCAAGTGAAGAAGGAGATCGATGAGAAGAAGTCGACAGATCGCTACAAGGATTTTGTGGAGGGAGTCGGTGGCCACTTGACAAAGGTTCAGAAGCTACAGCAAGATTTGCTGAAGCGACTGGCGCAGTTGGAAAAGGAAGCGAAAGCCAAGATTACGAGTGAGGATATACATGATGGTTTTAATTCCTCCCATGTGAACAAATCGAAACCGAAAGCCACCGAGAAAGAGAAACCCAGAGAGACAACCAAAACAGTCGAACTAATAAATGCACCCAAAGGGTTAAGCTCGGCGACACGAGATGCCCCCAAACCCCCAGATGTTACCGTCTCTTCCGGCGCGGAGGCAGATATCGAGGATGATGCACTGCTTGACAAACATGAAGGCGAAGAAGGGGACGGAACGAATCTGAAACTTACGCCGGAGGGCAAACAGTTTGCCAAAATCAAGCTAGGTGACTACCGAGCATGTCTCCAATTCATCTCGGAGCATCCAGGAATTATGAATGAACGAACACAAGACGCATTGATGATCGAAGCATTCAATGCCCAAATGAAGGGTCAAGATACCTATGCTCGAACTTGTGTCCATCAGAGTCTTCTCATTCAATATTGTCGGCAACTCGGCCGGGACGGTGTTGCAATGTTTTTCAGGCGCATCACAACAAAAGGTCATCAAGCCCAGCAAGTCTTCAACAAAGATCTAGCCGAGACATATGGTCGTATCAGAACTCGAGCAGCAGAATTAAGCAAGGAGGAAGGTAATGATCCAGCTGGAGTGGAGCAGATCCAACTGCATGCGGTTGAGCCTGGCACAGAAATCCACATCAACGTCCCACAAGCTGGCTCGGAGGATCCTGTTGAGCAGCAAGCGCGTGAGATTTTCGACCGTTTCCCACCAGGGCTGCAACGTGCTCTCGAAAGTGGCAGTCTGGACGAGGTGAACTTGGTGCTTGGAAAAATGAGCGTCGATGAGGCAGAAGAGATTGTGGAATTGCTGGGCCAAGGTGGAATGCTGAGTCTTCAAGAAGGTGTCATTGATGCTACCAATGAGGAGGGTCAGAGGAGATTGAAGGAAATTGAGGAAGAGGAGAAACGAAAGAAGTCGGAGAAGGGCAAAAGCGTCGAGGTAGAGAGTGAGCCTGGTGAGGCTGTGGAGGCGTCCTAGAGACGCAGACTGAGGTAACTGTGGTAAGAGCATGTTTGAGTATTAACTGACGTGGGCGAGAATGATCTCAGTACATCTAGATTCAGGTCATGTTCCGAAGAAAGGAATATATCAAAAGTTCAAACTCTTTTGTACGAGAGCGTTTTATAATCTGGGGGGGAGATATTCAGGCGGAGGTGCTTAAGCCTGGGCCGAGCCAGCCGCCAACCTCAGTCGCTTCCCTTCTTTAATATTCTCTCTCTCTTCAAAGATCAAACTTTGGCAGAACCAGCCGCTCGTGCGAAATGGGTGTGCTATAAACCGTCCACCTGCTCAGTTGGTCCGGTGTGCATGCAATGGCTGAATTCAAAAAGCCATCTTCAGCCCAGAAGCGGTGATGGCGTCGCCAGGGCTATGCTAGGGTTTCTGCACGTCCCGACCCTCCATGAATTCTGATTGTTTGGACCCTGACTTTTTGAGTCATGGGCTGGCCGAAACCTGATGATCTAGCCCCAAACAATCAGAAGCAAATATCGAGCGCATGCTTGGTGGTATTTTGATTTTGCTTGCACCGTACGACATGTAGCCTCTGGTCCAGCTCAGCCAAATATGCATGATGAATGTGAGTGTTGAGGAAGACATGGATGGTATGCGGGATCCTGGAATATCAATCCCGGGTGCGAGCAAAGGGAGAGCAGGAAGTACCTCTTTGGCAGTAACGTCACAAGACTTTGGTTCCTTTTTCATTCCTTCCTGGTTTCTCTGGCCAAGTCTGGCGCCTTTCTCACGACGGATTTCTGAGCCGGTGGAAACAGGGGTCTCAAGCCAGGAAGAGAAAGATTCAGGAATGGTCAGTTCTGGTATAACTTATCTTTGACATTTTTGGGTGGGTATATCTTGTGTAAATAAATAGATAGATAGCTTGGAGGTAAATCTCCACTGACAGGCCAGGGAAAGTGGTGGTTGTGGTATACTCCGCCCTTATACGTATTTGTACGTATATTGATTCCCTTCCTGTAATCCAATAGGGACAACGACAGATCGATTTCGAAGGAGAAAAGCCAGACCCAAACGACCTGAGCCAACAGGTGGTTTCGACGTTTCCAGAGGTTAATTCAATTAGCCGTCACGAATGGAACAACAGCACCCAACGCCATGAAAGGTCACTCATAACCTAGACCAATGGCACCGACAACGACCTATTCCCGCTCGTACTTGAACAGATCAACAACCGGTTCCCTAAAGGCGCCTGATTGCGCCAAATAGATCAAGAATAACTTCCAGACCTTCTCCCAGTCGAGAGGAGGATGAGGTAAGACACGGCTGGATGAACAGTAGGATTGTTACTGTTCATTAATTTCCGCGCGAGAAAACGATGGACCAATTGACGAATGGCAATGAAGGACAAAAACAATTCGCAAGAATGTTCATTCACATCATCATCATCATTCTTGTGGCTCTCTTGCTGCTGAAGCTGGGTCTCGGTGAGCTCTCACCATTTGCCCAGGGTTTGTGCAAGAAAGGTTGTCCATCAACACTATCCCAGTGGGCTCCCTCCACGGTGGCAGTGCTGCTTCGGTTTTGGTTGCCAAGGTGAGCCTTTGGAACGGGCATGAGATCGATTGTGCTGCCACGGTATAGAGGCCCCATGAGTCGATCTTTTACAGACTTGTTTCTTCGTGGCATTGCTGACTGGTCTGGGGCAGGCGCAAATTTGTCGACCTTGTCTGAGCCGTCTTTATTCTTCTCGCCTGCGAGGATGGCGCGTTCCTGGTTCATCTTTGCCAAATGTCGAGAACGTCGGAAATGAATGGCGAAAAATGTAATCAGTCCAATCACTAGGATTGCGGCGACAGCAACACCAACACCCAGACCAGCCTTGGCGCCGGTGGTCATGTCACGTTTATAAAGGTGAGAGACAGGTGAGGCCATAGATATCGAAGGTAAAGCGGCCAGGAGGATGAGAAAGGCGTAGGCCTGGGAGCGAGACATCATGGATGACGGTGGTGTGTAGGATCGACTGAGTGGGTAAGAGATTTCACGGATGTGTGGTGTCTTCGTCCAGCGAGAGGGAAGCACGTTGGAAGGAAAAGAGTGTCGATTGAAGAGAATCAAGTCAAGTCGTGTGGGAGTGAATAGAGTTGAGAAATTGGGAGGAACGAAATGTCTGAGCACTAGGTGTTTGCAAAGATGAGGGCGAACCGGAAATCGAAGGCGCGGTTGAAGAGGGAGGAAGGGGAGAAAATTCGGTCGTACGTCCTTATTCAAAGGTAATGTAAGAGAACGAGCCGGAGAAGAAAGAAGTTGAGAAGGGTATGAGATGGAAGTTGAGATCTTCCAGATTCCCGCAAGCCTTCAGGTGTGAACGCCAACAGTGAGACAATGATACGGGGGCAACTGGACGTGACTAGCCGAAATGAATTTTCCTGGGCCAGGAGGCTTGCAGGCTTGTTGTTCTGAAACGCTGGATGTGCCCCTGAAGTCGGGGGTTTGGTTGGTGGAGAATGGATCTGCTGAGTGTTTGTCAGGATCGAGAATAGAAAAAGTTGTCAACGCCAAATGTTGAGCTGAAGTCTGACAGACCGCGGTGATTGGATGCGGGGGTTCCCTTTGAACAATGCTGGGGAATCCTGTCCCACGGGCTCCAGCTTGTCTTTAATGCGTCGAGGTTCAGGTCTCCCGGTTTGATGAACGGTGAAAGTCTTGGTTTTCTTGTCTTTGTCTCACCCGAATCCATCAGGGCGCTTTGTTGTACTTCCCCTGACCCGGAGAGCCTGGAATACATTGTATTTTGTTCCTGTAGATCCCACCTTTTTCTGAGGCAGCCCTTGGTATACCGTACGCGTTCCCATTGCCAATCTCGAGTGTCGCAAGCTGGGTATCTGCATGTGATTTCAGGAGAGGGTATGAAGTTTCAAGCTGCGCCTCTTTCCGAGAGGGAGTGGGCGTAGACCCCAGCTCCCTGGGCTGAAGGCCTCAAGAGTCAGGGAATCGACGAGCACCAGGTTCATGGGACTTGAGGCTGATTCAATTTCATTGGGGGAGATTGCCACTAGCACGGACTAAGAGAGGCTAAATGACCGCGCGATGCCCGTTCCTGAATTTCCTTTCGCAAATACAGATTTGCAGTAAGCCGCTAGACGCTACTAAAAGAGATGGCCAAATCAAGTCTGCGGATCGGGTCCGACTCTCCGACACTAGCAGATAACATTGCTGGCCTCATGGCACGTGATATCGAAATGGTGAGATATCGCTTGTCCAAGAGCATCAAATGAACATCATCACCATCGCTAATCGAGTCTCTAGAGTGTGTCCAACAACGCCTTTGTACACACTGAACTCTTCGGGGAATAAAATCCTTCCCCGAAACGCCATCTATTTGACATCAGTTCGCAATCTCAACAAAGTTGCCAGGATGCCACTCCTGTCACGACCAAAAATGCTGTGAAATTCCACGAAGCTCTGTGTCATCGTACATTGTCCTCGCCTGTTATCTGAACCAGTCGGCAAATTTCTTTTCGACAGGTACATTGCACAGTTGTCCTACACTGTGTAACTCCAGGCAATTGCTGGTGCACATCCTGTTCCAGTCTCAATCTTCCCAGTCGTATGGGATTTCGTCGTGCAAGAATCCTCTATATCAAGTGACCCATTTTCCGGGACAACAAGATATCCACCCGCATCGGAAAGTGGGCACAATATCATAGTCCGAGTAATCGATTGTGCATCTTACTAACCACCCGTTGGCCAGAGTTCAAGACATGTCGGGGCTCACGCAGGGCGTGTTGGTCATTCTCTGCGCTCGGAGCGAGGCTGTGTTGAAACATTCTACAATCGAAGGATAGTGGCCTGAACCCTTTTTAACATGTGCCAATGCTCTTGACCTGGGCAACCGTCCACGTCACGTGCTTTGGTCACCTTGAGACCAAGTCTCCATTCTTTAGATATCTCCCAGCAAGAAGCTGAGGAGGCTCCCGACTGTAAGGCCACCGACAAGCATGAGTCCCATAAACCCACCTGCCGCTTCACGCTCATCCGGTGCAACCCAATCCCCAGATCCCATCATACATTCGCTCCCTAGATAACCATTCGTAAACCCAAAGAAGAATTGGACAATGATCCAGTAGAAAAAGTCACTACTGACAATGGCACCTGTACCCTTGATGTTGCACAAAAAATACAACGGGATAAACAGGAGTCTGGCCACGGAAAGGCAGAATAGAGCAAAGGGGTAATAAGTCAGAGACACCGCTTTCCACAATGTCACCAGTCGGCCAAGTAGATCTCCAATATTCCATAACAAAAACGCCGTTGGGATGAAGATGGCCGAATCAATGCTGCCCACTGATTGGATCGAAGTGGTGAAGACGGGGAATACCATAGTCACGGCAAAGCAGATGAAGACTGCAGACGCCAGGGACGGCATCTTGAGGAACAGAACGGTGAGTGGAACCGATGGACGTTCGTCAGGCTCTGCGTTCGCGATGTTTGTTGACCTCGGATGTCCTGTAAGGGCATCTCCTTCCGACGATTCATCTGCTGTGGATTTGCTTGCCGATACAAGGCTATCGAGATGTCCTTTCCTCCCCCAAAGGTAAAAGAAGGCCAGCAGAGCAATTATTGAGATAGCTGTAGCAGTCAGGAAATAAACCAATGCAGAAGTCGGAGACTCATCGGCACTCTCAGCATCGTCCAGTTTCTTTGCATGGACCACAAACACTGACATAATCTGTGCCAACGGTGGGAGGACCCCTGCCACAGCCTGGCCAGTCATGATGGCCTGAGTGTATTCACTTCTCCCAAACCCTGATGCAAAGGAAAACAATCCGTTTTGGATGAGTCCCGTTGAAAAGCTTGCAAAGAAAATGGCCAGGAGTAGGAATCCAAAGTATACCCCGGCCGAGGTGCGGACCAGTGTAGACAAGGACAAGACCGCGAAGACCACCGTGTTGATGACTAGTGATGCTGATATACGCCGGGGGTATGATGCTCCCTTCTGCAATTTTGTCAGGGCTATCATCGATGAAAGGTTTGTGACTGTTGACACCGATATCTCGGCGGCCTGAAAATGATTCAGGATCCACGTGCTCGTTCGGAAACGGTGCTGAAAATATGGAGCTGCAGCTAAAAACATATTCCTAGATTACCATCAGCGATAAAGGTCTCGCCAGAAGTCAGGTTCCAGCTACCAAGCCCATAACATAGCCACTCCAAGTAAGAGAAAGATCGCGTATTCGATCCATGAAAAAGATGCTTCTGTCACGCTATCATCGTCCCCTGCAACATGTGTACTATCACCATCTCTTTCTGGAGCGCTCTCAAGAGGTTCATATTCCGGCCTGGAATGGAAAAGACTTCGGATTCGGCCCATGGTAGACAGTTCCGGAAGCTCAAACGCTTGTTGATCTTGCCGGGCTGTTGTGGGCATAAGGATGACGGACACGGCCGTCGAGACTCAGTATTCTACCGTTGCATCGTTCTTTTGATCGTTGAGTAGGTCATCAAACTGAAGTGGCGTTTTGTCCAGGCCAGAGACACAGTGTTTGGCCTTGCAAAAGAGTGTGACTCGTGCATTGTACCGGTGAAGATGGGTGTCTGACGTCGCATAGATGACAGCCCAAACCCCATTTTGGGAAAGGGATGATGCCGCCCTGTGCGCAGCTTGGCGAATTGTATCCCTCGTCGATCCACTAAAACTGCGAGGAAGGCGAACCCATTCAGTTTATCGTTATTCCGCTGACAATTCTCCATGCTAGCAGCACTCGGATACCCTTGCTAATGCTCTATTTTTCCCTTGTGAGTCATAGACAAATTTCTATTCGCCAAATACCTCCTGTCCGTGTGGATTCCGGACTTATAATTCTACTATTCTGCCGTGTCAGAGCAGACGGCTACGATTTCGGTGCAAGTACATTCGTCGTGGCGGATCTGTCACCCGATGGCTGTGATATAATTTCATCCATGTATTGTTCCTCAAGTCCACGTCTCGAAATAGAATGCCAGGTATTCCATGGATTCGTCGTACTAAGCAGTTCGCTCATATGTTGAGGTCATCTAAAGTTGTCCTAAGAACGGAAATCTTTGACAGATCGATCAGGACAATGGCAAGGAAGTTGACTATATGTACACTCTGCCTTACTTAACATCACGAAATTTAACACCAATGTCCTGCTGAGCTGTAGTGCTCTGGTTGCCGGCGTCTCAAATCATTTTTCTCACCACCAGCGCGAAGCTCTGATCCTACAGGGCCGACTTCTCACAATCCGGACGATGGAAACCCCCCAACCCAACAAGAGCTCTCTCGGCGTCACCCTTGGCACAATATATTTCACCGGCTGGCCCAGCGCCAGTGACCTACGCAAATGAAAACGGCAAGCTTCAAGCAACGGACATGTCTGTTCCATATCAGCCAGCAGGCGGACAAAGATGTAAAATGGCACCCAACCATACTACCATCCACCGTCATATTTGGATTATGAGTGTCTCACCTTGGCTTTGTACCAGGAATTGATCGAACCTGATCTATTTTTAAATGGCCTGGCACAATTTTCTCCCGGGACTTTGAAGATGCTGATTTTACTGCCGAAGACTGGTACTTGATTGAATTTATGCTGAACAAGAGATTGGTCATGCAACACCGCTCAGCAACATCCTGGGCCCTGCAGCACCACCGCGATGTACATACAATTATGCATTCAGCACTGTTCGGGAGTTTCTCTACTTTTTGTCAGAAATTGACCGGATTTGAACTTTCTATCTCACTTGACTTACGAGAATCTCTCGCACTGTTGCTGCAAAGCACCACAAACCGAGGCTCGCAAGCAGCTCATCTTCGGAAAATTCAACGGAATCTTCCCCATGCCGGCATGGCTTGAAGCAGGTGTCCTTCAATCGTGGGCGCAGTCCTTACTTGTGCCTACATTTCCAGCTGCCCGGCAAACACCACGCAGCTTATGTGGTAGAACTTCCCACCTCTCAGCATCCTCGATCAACCGAACCAATCCCGCAAAGACGAATCCGAAGTCCGTGGAACGCAGCCGGCACCGATCCCTTGAACAGCACCAGTATTGCTGACGATAATCGATGTATCAACAACGAGAACGACGACGACTTGGAGGACTGCGGTCCGCATATCAGCTAGAGATGATCCATCCCCCTTTCCAGGCCGATCTGTTCACTTCTCCTGGGGCGGAGTAATCAGACCGTCGGTCACAACAACAGCTACGTGACGACCCGCTCGCCACTGGCTGGTGAGTCTCGTTTCGCCATGTTCGTCTCCCAATTCAATGTCACCTCTGTCCTCATCGTGAATATCAGTGGCAACACTGTCTCAGCCTTGTAGCCCAACACAAGCACCTTCGCCCGGGACACTGCCGTCAATTGGACCATGTCCATCGCACTCACCAGCTTTGATCTTTACGTCACATCGTTCAATTTGTCCCTTGCGAATCCTTATGTCTATGCTAACCCGGCTTTATATCAGGCTGGTTAGGGAGTGAGCGGCTGTCCTGGAGAGTTAGGTAGCGACACAGGCGGCTTAACATTCTAACTTCTCAAAGCTACCGAGCTTCCGTACGATGTTCCCGTCCGTTCTTTATCATACGTTGGCAACATTACGTTCAAGAACTCTCCACATGAATCTATCAGAATTAAAAAAAAAAAAAAAAAAAAAAGAATGTCCAGCATTATCATTAATCTAGTCATAACTCATGAACTTTTGGCCCATACGGCCGCTTTGCCCAAACGACCCTCGCTATGCTTGGAACAACAAGAAAAAGATTCCCAATCTACTCCTCCACTTGGCTCTTGAACGCCGCTATATCAGCGGGTGTCAGCCACTTCTGGTCCACTGCTGTGTCCAGGAGCTCCCTTGCACTCTCTGGCATCAACGTCGGGGTGGTGCCGTTGATATACCCCTCCACCTGCTCCAATGTCCTCCATATATTCATCTGCAGCCTTTTTGCTGCCCTGCTGCTTCCGGGCAGGCAGGCCGCCCTGCCCTCTCCCTTGTTCCTCGACAACATGTCGGCTAGCAGATAGCCCAACCACATGACGTTGGATTTGGGGAGGAACCGCATGTACTTGTCCATTGGCTCCAGCTCGACCCCGTCCAACTCGGCCCTGGCTTGGACGCAGATCTCTGTCGTCTTTGCCCAGTCTCGTACCGTGCGGTACGTGTCATACTGTCTCTTTTCTGCTTCTGTCCGGCCCTCAATGTCGTTTTGTTCCCAGTAGACAATCGGGTCGAAGACGATGGGGTCTCCGCCGGAAGAATCGTTGCCGACATGTGCGCGAGAAAGGGTGTAGTCGATGACAGTGACTTCGAGGTTTGAGAGGCCCAGCGTCACGTCTGGTTCCGCCGTCATATTTCCAATAAGCTCTTCAGTGGCATCGATTGGGCCGTCTCTCGTTCGTGGCTTGAAGCAGACGTTACCGTTGTGTAAGTCTCGGTGTTCGAACTCAGCCTCGTCTTCAGCGTGTGCAAGTGTCATTGCTGTCTTCCAGAAGATGTCGAAGGTTTGGAATGCTGATGGTTTCTTGATCTTCGAGATTGGTGTGCCAGCGTTGCTCATTTCGATGATCACGTACAGCTGGTCAGGGGGAGTTGTGTCGTTCGGATCTGGGTTAATTGCATCTGTTGGGTCTGTTGACTTGTACAGGTGGAAAGCCTCGAGAAGGACATCTGGATATTTTCCGCTGACGACTTCGACACCTCTGCATTGAGCGAAACCATACAATGGCGTAAGAGTCAGGAATACTCGGACCTCCCTCGTGATCGATTCCAAGTCAACGATGTCATCTTCGGTAGATTTGTCGATGTTGAATGGAATGACTTTAATAACGGCGCCGCCTTCGTCGGGTGAGTCTGTGGCCTGTTCGAAGTCTTTTGGGTGGAGTTTAAAGACGTCGGCATATGCTCCTTCTCCAAGCTTTGTGCAGATGTATTTCTTTCCTATGCTCCGACCGAATTCCTGAAAGTCTTTGACTTCTCGTTGAATCAGCCCGAGCAAGGGAGTGAGTGCTTGTGATCTTTCCGGTGTGAGCGCCTAGGGTCTCAGCATTAGAAGCCACGAATTGTGCATCTAGGGAGATTTTGTAGTGTACTGACCGCCATTTTCCTGGAGGGTAAAGCTTTTCGTCGCCCTCGAAGCCGCGGATCGTGTTCAGCCGGTTGCTTTTTGGGAGGGGAAGGATGTTCTTGAACCGGCTGTACCGGTGTGTCTCTATCATGCTTGAGTTTCAGTTCATCCATCTTGTCCACGATGTGATTTTCGTCTCCTCCCCCGAAAAGATGGAAATGCATCGCGCGCGAGTAAGCCATGGCTGGTTTCTTTTTGCCGTAGATCTTGTCGAAACGGCGGCCAGGCCGCTGTTGGTTGTGCAGCTCGCTCAGGGCGCCGAAATCCGCCATTTTGGTAGAGAGACGATGAACTCGACAAAGTAGGTCTGTTGCTTACCCGAAGATTGTGATATCGGCTAGCGAATGGGCATCGTACCTTAGTCCCGATAGCGTTAGCCGATGTCGTTACCGGGTAACGATTGGGCGTGAGAAAGCGGCGAGATTTTTTGGCGCGGCGGGACAGATTCATTATACTGTATTCAATTAGATGCTTTATTACTTGCTCACTTCCTATAATCCTCCCACGACGCATTGAAGAGATCTCTGTACATGACAATGTCTTCCGGCACATTGTTCTGTCCCATTCTCCCATGGACGGCTCTGGTGGATGTCTGCTCGGCGCTGAAACGTGACTGACGAGACATCAAATGTGACCCTCTCTTGCGTAAGAACTTCCGTGGTTGACGAGCGCTGAGGACAGCTTGATGTCGGTTCTTATATCTGACCTTGCCCTCCGGTTTCATATCCCACATCGCATCATACAACTGCCAATATCGAGAGAGTGTCGCTGTGTTCCTGGCTCTTATTCTGTTATGCCTTGGTCTCAAATGCCAATTCGGTCTGAACAGCCGCCGTAGATTAGCTATAAACGCCCAGCGAATAATGTGCTCCTTGACTTGGACTCCATGTCGGTCACGAAGTCTCTTGAGAACGCGGGTCCAACGAAGACACAGCTCCGGGGACACCGTGGCCATCCCTTTGTGAGCTCGGAAACACCACGCGATCAGAGCCTTCTGAAACTTGTCGTTGAAAAGAACATTCAAATCGGACAACTTCTCCGACAGTGGCTTTGTCAGATCTTGCTCATGCAATCCTTTGGGCCTGTACCATTCTGCGATCCAGTAGACCAGAGACTCAAACTCTCTCATCCGACCAAAGCTGCCCAAGGCTCGGAGTGGCCTTCGCCATAATTCCATCCCAAAGTATGTCCCGGATCCTAGAATATTTTGCAGCATGCCTATGAAAAAAGCAATTCGGTCCACATTTGTGGAATGGTGGAATTCGCCCGCTTTTGTGTATTTGATAATCTGCCGTATCACCCGCGGCAAAGCTGAAGAAATACTCCAACCACGCACTTGTGCATTTGTTGCCAGGGAGATAGCCCCATCCCAATCGCCAACGTCGAGCATGCATGTTATCAACATCTCTGAAGCTCGTTTCTGGGCTTCGGTATCAAACCGGCCATTGTTTATGATGGCAAGGGTTCGATTAATTTGTAGCCAGTCTTGTTTCCGGTAGTATTCTTTCAAAAGCTGTTTTTGCAGTTGCAGATTCTCAAACACCTCATGATGTAGATCGTTGTTCACAAGCGCCTGAACCATTTCCCATCGACCAACGTCACAAACATTCTTGAGGATTTGAACAAGCCTTGAAGAGCCCGTGTCAATCTCGAGCTCCTGAAGTTTTTGAAATCGGGCTTGCAAAGTCGCCAGATCGGGCGACGTCAATGTCATTTCACGAACGGCCAGCGGTCCCACTTCGATCAAGCCAATCATTCTCAAACTATTAACGGCAAAATCGAATGAGAATGCCCGAGTTGCAAATGCTCGTGCGACAAATTGGTCACTGAGCTTCCTGGGCGTAATACCCATGGTTTTACTTGCAACAATGTTCAGGGATTCGGCAGACATTCCAGCAAGTCTACTTTTCTCTTTTGACCACAAGCGACGAGCCTGACCCTCGAATGAAGCCCCGGCCAAGTCCAAAGGCATGAGGAAGCTGTTGAGGTTTTTGTCGTGGATCGCTAGATGGTGGATAAAAGGTTCCAATGCTTCAAAATAAGGTGGCAGGTCTCCTTTAGATACCAGGAAAGAATGCATCATAAATGCATCCGAAGATCGATCTTGTTTCCACAGAGCAGATGTGACCTCGGCGTATATGTGTGTTTTCGGTACCAGGTTGTAAATCTTCTGGAAGTCTCTCAAAGCATGGGGGTGTGTCGAGCGAGAGGCAGCATGGAATGTCCCGAGGAGGTCATCGCGACCTCGATAGTGGTTTTCAACCAGAATACCCGCGAAAAGAGGGGCATCCTGAGGAGAAGAGCCCTCTAATGATGCGCCAACAATTTCGGCGAAAAGACGAGGGCGCTCAAATATGGCGCGTTTGGACACATTGCAAAGCGACCAAAGGAATTGACGATCGTCAGATCCAGCAGACAGGAAAAGTTGCCAAAGAGTATTGACTGCGGGATCTTTGTCATCTAAGCGGATAGCGTTGCCGCGGTATGTGAGGCCGCGCCAGATGGCCTTGATACCTTCATGGCCATTTTGAAGAGCTTGAGCTCTGAGCAGCAGAAGCCAAAGGTCAATATTTTGACGTGCAGCCGGTTGGTCCACTAAGCGGGACCCAATGTCGAGACGATGGCCCACGTCTGCCTCGAAACATAGGCGTTCCTTACTTCGAATGCCGTACACGGATGCCTCTTCTAGCAGCGTGGCCCATTTGAAAGTATCGGAAGAGTGGCGGACGCTGGATTCATCCAAAGGCAAGTCGATCCTGGATCCACATGAGAGGTGATCTTTGGCATGTGTTGAAGTCGTAGATGAGTTTCGCCGGAAGCAGGAGCTCCATTGCCGCAACTGAGCCAATGAAGGCGTATTCTGAGGCTGGAAATGTGCAAACAAATGTTGATAAACCCATGGATTACGGGGTGGTATTCGAAGACATCGTGGTCTAATGCATGTCGCCACCTGTCCCAACGACACTCTCATATAGTAAGAACGACAATCGTCCCAGTCTCGGTTTCTTCGAGACGTCCTTTGTCGGCGCTCAAGAAGGCGGAGTGAGTCCGTGGGAGTTCTGCGGGTTACAAAAAAAATGCGAGAGAAGGAAGATCAGGAGATGATGATACCGGCAAGACCATTGATACCGACGAGTCACGTGTAGCCTTGGCACGAGCTCCCTGCTGAATCCCAACTTCATGACCCAGGAACATCAATTGCAGCTCATTGATGTCCACCTCTGAAGCTGCTTGACACTCACAGTCGATCATCCTGGGTCGAACAAATTCTAAGTCGACAAAATGGTCACCCCTACAGCTGCCCGTATGATGCAAGCTACCAGAGCTCGCATGTTCCGGCCATCTCCAGCTCAACTGCGAGGGTAAGTTGACCACTCGGCGTTACCTCATGGCAACATGCCTACCGACAGTCTGATCAATCATAATACTGTGCACTTTCTGACATTCTGCGTTCAAAGATTCGTCTATCGCGAAAACCGAGTTCCCTACTACCAACGCCTCTTCCAGAACCACGACGGAAAACGGCAATGGTGGAAGGTCAGTGAAGCTTTTCCTTTCCTCAAAGTGCTGTTTGTCTACAATTCATACAATCTGCAAGTATACCAAAACACGGCTGTGGCGCAAGAGGTGGATTTCTCATTCATCTAGAAGAGTCTGCCGAGTCTGATTTTCCGTTCTGCGTGCATGGGGAGAAACTCGAAATATCAGGACGTTTTCTTCTCGATAATGCACAGCATGCATCGACTCTATTGTACAAGAGACTGCGGCGTGATCAAGGCATCATAACGATCGACGCTCGTATAGCATCAATCTATCTCGGGCATTGTCCATTCTTACGATAGGCTTCCATCCTCAGTCGAAGACTCAGGTGATTGGATTCATACCTGGACTGTCGTATTCCAAGCAAACTGAAGCGGATCACTCTGAAAATCAGCAGATGATTTATTGCTGCATGGCCCGAGAAACCCCCCGCTTAGTCTTCAATGACATACGATGGGCTCCAAGCCGGGAGTGCAGGAAACCATACCCCAGATATTTGTTTTGCTTCCCTTTTGCGCACTGTCTGCGTCGGACCTGCTGACATTTCCTTTTCTAGACCCATCGAAGCCCGTACATCCTCTATCCCTACTACACAATGCTCTGGGGCAGCTTCACCTTTTCCGTGTATGGCATGTGTCGCATGATGTTCGGTCACAAGACACTCTGGTAGATTATACCGCCGGGATAAGGAAACGGAAACCGTCGAGTCGCACATGGGACCGTTGAGGGCCTGATTGAAAATATTGTACATATGCATGACTAGAACCAACCTGGTCTTCGTCCATACAAAGAAGTTGTCATTCCGTTGTCCTCGCAATTTTTCCAATTGGCTTCTTTCAATGACGTACATCTCAGCGCGCAGCTGGTGATGATGCTAACTTAGGAGGCTTGCATCGTCGGATGTTCGTTGACAAGTGCTTGGAGTATGCCAAGTGTCTCCAGTTTCGACCAATCACCGACAGCCTCGATTCATGTCCAGCTGCACAGCAAGCGTGATACGACGTCCTCATGACAGTTTCGAGATCGCAGACGGAACCGCAATTTACGATTTCTCGAATTCCTCAACGATACCAATGGCAACTATCCCGACGGGCACGTTGAATTTTAACTTAGGATAAACCTCCGACCAGACCAGGACTCCCATCCTCTCGTTGGGCCTTCTAGCCTCGTGATTGGAGCCCCTCTCGGAGATTGATGCCAATTAGTCACCAAGTCCAAGATGAAACTTGGATCGCTTACCAGCGAGCAAAGTTCGACCTTCTATCTTTGTTTACTACTCAGCCTCCTCGAGGCTCGTGCGCGGCCATGGGTTACAGCCCGGGTGCTCTCACCTCTCCGGTCATGTTGCTTCTCTCATCCATTGGGAGCCTTGATAGCCCAAATTACTTTTGACTTCTTCAAGCCTTCCATTCCAGAAAGGTTACCTTTGATTCTGGAGAACAAAGTTGCCCCATCACGAACGATGCGGACACACATATAAGTCTGTAAGCTTTTCCCTGGGGCTTACTTGCTGTCGCGTATCCCAATGCCAACTTGAACCCATCAAAATGTTTTCCTATCATTGCATATTTCCATCCTTGATTTCTTTGATTTCCCTGTCCCTATCACATCCTCTGACGCGTATCCAGAAGCGTGATATACCTGACTTCGTCCTTCAATATGGTACGGTACTAGCTTGCAACCAAAGGCTTGTTAACAAAATGCGAATGCTGACGTAATACCACCCGCTGGGTACATAGCACCGGTTGCATATCTCCATTCTCAAGAAGCCTATTTCCCAGCAGACATTGCATCTCAGCTCATGCACACGCACCCGAAAGATGGCTCTGGACACGTCGTTAACCCATCTGCCTCTCTGACGCTGTCTAACCTTGACAGCCTCAACGAGTTCGCCAACTCCGGCGCAGACGTCTACCTGACTTCGAATGAAGGCATACAAGCTTTGCCGTCTTGGTTCCAGGGGACTCGGCCTCAGTCTTCTGACGGCACCACACCCTCGACCGTCGCTAGTGTCATCATCACCGTCTCCAAACCAAATAATACTCTTGACGCCTTCTACTTCTACTTCTACGCCTACAACCAAGGCAACTGGGTTCTTGGCCTCGAGTCGCTTGAGTTCGGCGACCATGTCGGCGACTGGGAACACACGATGGTGCGCTTCGTCGACTCCGTCCCCCAAGCCGTCTGGTTCAGCCAGCACAGTTCGGGCCAGGCATTCACATACAACGCCGTGGAAAAGGCGTCCGATGGTGTTCGGCCAGTTGTCTATGTCGCTAACGGCAGTCACGCGAATTACGCCATTTCGGGCCCGCACGACCACACAATCCCCGGCTTCAATACGCCCGTTGGCCCCTTGACGGATCATACTGACAATGGCGTGTTCTGGGACCCGCTTCCAGGTGCATACATGTACGAGCTTGACGCTGAGAGTGGGAGTTTTACGTCGTATAACGGCGTGGATCCTACGGGATGGTTGCAGTTCAGCGGGCGCTGGGGTGACAATCAACTCCCAGACGATGCGGAGGGCCAGATCAATGTGTTTGGACAGAGGAAGTATGTAGCGGGTCCAACGGGGCCGAAAGATAAGGATCTTGCCAGGAATGATGTGTGCCCGGACGATGAGGATAACTGTTTAGTCATGCCGATTTTGGTCCCGAGGTCGTTGAAAACGAAAGAGGAGGAGTAATCGGTTCACTTATGTCGTTAGATTGCGCTTTGGAATCATTAATGTTCGAGGGGCTTGGCCGGGTCGGAAGCGGAAGGTTCTGGTAATGTTATGAACGGTGTAGTAGGAGTAAGAGTTGGGATTTCTTTGGATAGATATCAGGTGTTGATAGATGGATGGACGGATGCATGGCAATATAGCAGCATAGCAGCATGGATGTATTGATTGAGCGGATATACGGTGATGGAGGGAGGGTGCTTAGAGATCAATGGCAGCAAAATAATCACACCGAGGTCAAATCAGCTTACGATACCAACACCCTGAAACTCTCATTCTTCCATCGTCTTTAATAATGACATTAGTACTCCATTGAACAGGAACAGGAACTGGTTTCTAGCAGGAAAGTAGCACGAATACCCAATGAATTGTAAACTTTCTCCTGATTCATTACAAAGTATTTCTGCTTTTCTCGAAATAGAGCCCGGCGAGCTTGAGGGAAGAACTATGGTTGCTTTCACCTTCATTCGTCACCGGACTGTTGAAAGAGAGATAGGAGACAAGACACAAGAGAGATCCGCCCTGTTCCTTCATTGCCTGCGCCAAAGAGAGACAGCCGCCGCCGCCACCAAAGCCAAAAAAATCACTTAAAGCGAGATGAACGCTAGACGAGAAGGTAGAAAACCAGAGGAAAGGCCTCCTTGCAGTCATACCAGGTGAAACCGTGAGTAACGTCGTGAGACGAAACGAATGTTTGTTGATGCTCTTCTTGGAGTGAGTGGATGTCCTCGAATCAGGCGGAGGGAGACCAGCTACCCCTTGCCTATGGTTCGGTCCGATGCTGGGGGTATATATACGCAAATTGTGGTTTGTCATTCATCGTGGGGAAATGGGGTCATGAACTCGTGATTTCTGGTTCTTTTGCATTTGCTTTTTGTTTTTTTGGACTTGCGCTTGAAAGTAGGCATGCGCTGCGGTCCACAAATCAAAATTCGCATTCAGACTCGTTAACGACAGTGATGGTATGGTGCAGAGGAGAGAAAATGCATCGAGGAGGATGTGGTTTCGTGAGTCGACCTGGTGAGACTGAAGGAGGTAGTCAAGGATGGATGTTGCTGGCGTTTCGTCCGGTCTGGGCCAGCTAGCCGCTTTGGATGTCCACTCTTGCGAATGATAAAGGGAGGTGTCGAGCTCCAAGAATTGATGTCCAGACTTTTGGGGCCTCGCGGCCCATTCGAGTTCATGTCTTATCGAATTGAAAATCAAACTCCTTCGCCTTCGTTAGATTTCTGGCTTGTCGAAAGAGAAAGAACATTTTTCAAATGAAATTCGTTGTCGTTACCATTGGGCCTGTTTTAATTCTTGAATTGTCCTGACCCCAGGAATTGGAATTCCAGCCTTGAGGAGGTTTCGTCAGCTCGTGGCTTTCCTCACTGCTAGTATACGGTCGGGGGTGGTGCGGGCCCAGGCGATCGGAGTGGCCACCACCGGACCTATTGGATGAGCCTTTCTCCGGCAAGAAGTTCTTGAACAGTGGTTTCAAACATGGGATGCAGGCACAGACAATGCCCGTTCCGACTTCCACGACGGACCATTTCATCGTGGAGACGGATCCCATAGTCACGTCAAGGCTGTCGACGGCCTTGAGGACGCTGATTCGAAGAGCCGAAGCTACAGTGGCGAAGAGTCCAATGGCGAAGAGCAGTGACACGATGTATTTCTGCCTCGGGGGCAAATTCAGTCTCGAGAAAACCGGCAATGGCAATGTGCAGAGCAAGAAATCCGTGAAGATGGAGAATGCCGTGGTGAAATAGTAGAATCGAACAATTGGCAAGCAATCCCGGGGGAGTGTAAAGTCCCAAGCTCCTCGCACCGGGTGACATTGGAAAATTGTGACAAGGATGCTGCAAATCCAGACACTGACAATGGCAGCAGCGAGGGCGTACATGATTCTACGGAAGGTCGTGGTGGGAAAGACTCTGATGTAGGACACCACAATGGATATCTTGACAAGCATCAGAGCCGTCACGTACATGATTTGACAGGTCCATAACGTCTGTTTTGCTGTCAGATTGTCGTTTGTAGAAGGCTAGCCCTGGCACTTTTTTACCTGAATGACGTTCTTGGTGCGCTCAATGGTTTGCACATCTTGGGGCAGATCCCAGATATGCTTTCCCAAACCATATCGAATGCCTAATACTGGTCAGTCTGATGTAGGTGTGACGCTGTTGGTCCCTAGGACGTACCCACGATGGCCATCACAGAGAAGGCGGTGTCAAAAAGGCCAGCCGCCACCATAAGGTAATCATCAACAGTAACATGCTTGACAACAAATGCTCGAACAATTAGCCGCACGATAATGATGACCGAGGTCACTGCAATGAACACAATGTTCAATATGCGGATCTCCCCGACGGAAGAGTCATGAGGGAGGAGGTCCCCCTGAATTTGGCTCATGACTGGCGGGAGCTGAAGGGAAAGGATTTGCCTTGTCGACCCAGTAGTAAGCAAGTTCAACTGCTCTGGTATATCGCAACAGCGAGTAAAAATGGGCGAATTGTTGCTAAAGACCAGAATCGAAGGGGAATTATTGAGTACACACAGGCTGTGATATTGAAGTGTAAAACAACAAACATTGCATAGTCAAAGGTTAGGTGTTCCAAACAGGGCGAGAAGGAAAAGGACAACGCTATAAGACCGACGGCCTGCATGTCTCTCCTGCAAAAGTTGCGAGCGTTCCTAATGGCGCTCCAGACCACTCACCCATTGTGGCGAGGCGTGAGGCATAACGCGTTTCCTCGGGCAGTTGGGAGCAGAAAGTGTGTGCAGTCCTGCCTTTCTGAGGAGTTCAGCCAATGTCGAACCTGGTCATGATTCAGATTCGCTCAACGGCAAGCCCTTGTGGACGGGATATATTGACTAGACGGGCGTGATCGAGGACATGTGTGGTGTGAAGGCGCAAGGCAGATTGACCAAGGACAAGCGAGAAGCACTCGATATACCGATTAGCGCGTTGCCGTATCTTTGGCATTCTTTCCCAATGTGGCCCCTTGGCGTGGCCCCTGAACAGGCCAGGGGATGAAATATCTCGACTCGCAACGCTCATTGGCCGGTGGCCATTCTCCTAGTGTTGTAAAAATGCCCAAAAAAAATTCCAAAGAAAATGCGCGACCTGCCGACTCAATGCTGATCCCAGTTGACCGTGACCCTGAAAATCAAGAAGGTTCAACAACGTGGGATGGCAAGGAGGGAGACACACACACCCTTCCTCCCCCTCCTGTTCATGCAACACATCAGAAAAAAGGTCCGAGCGAGGTCCAATGGCTTTCCTAGTCCCAGAAGCAGGAGCTTCATCTGTGGAATCACCCGTTTGATAACGGTGACAGAGCTTCGAGATCTTTTTCTTGTGACGAGAAAAAATGGTGTGTCCACTGTTGAAGTTTTCCTCACCATCTCATGATATGCAGGGCATCACTTTTGACTTCTCTTTCGTTTCTTCAGGTAAATGGTCAGCAGCCACAATTAATGCAGGGTCAAAACGCGGATCAATGTTCAATCCCTTTCTGTAGCTTGTTGTGGGTGTGCTACCGTCCTAGAAATTCATCTTACCTGATGATTGAGAAGATCGAAGATCAATCTGTTGAGTCAGAAATGCCATGGCCCTGAAGGAGTGAAATTCACCCACCAGGCCAAGAACAACCGGTTTCGGACATCTTCGAAGCGAAGCCTGCACCCCGAAGTTGATTATGAAGGGGCAAGGTGGTGAAATTGGTAAATGCTTTTGGATCTTTCGCCCTCTCACGTGATGCAGCCTGATGCTTGACACCCTGAATATCCAGTGTTACACTACAAGACGTCGCCAATGGAGAGATGAGCATAACTAGATACTGCATTGGGCTCGATGAAGTGATGTCCTTCATCATGATTCTCGCCAGATGTATGAAGAGGCAGTAAGCAATGCACGCTGAAGGGTTCGTGTCTACAAGTTTGGGTAACAATCTGACAAGGATGAGCGCCATTTGGAGCAGAGAGACTGCTTAGCACCTGTTTCGTGAAACAGGCTGGTGACCATTAAGAAGAGAGAGAGTATCTGTTGCAATGAACTGAGGCTCCTATTCTATGCTGTGCCACATTTCTTCGGAGTCCGCATCTCATGTCCGAAAGTACGATTATAAGCCCGACGGCAGGTACCAATATTAATTGGGGATTGTTCATCCCCCCCGGGATCTCCCCTCCGGGCTCCTCCGGTACAAGTGGACAGGCAGCGTGATAGATCCAGACATAACGCCGGTAATTACAAGAGGTCATTCTCTCCTATAAGTCGGAGTGTTCCTCCCTATATAAATTTCCCATTAGGGCGATGGGTTGAAGGAGCGTTCTATCGTCATGGTGGTACATTTCATATAGTGTGGTGCCTGGCCCGTTATTATTATTAGCACCCAGCCTCAATCCTAGCATTTCACAGCCGCCTATCACGGCAATTCCACGTTCATCCATGGCCATGAATTGCTCCACTCCTCCAAGATTTCCTTCGCTCCGCCGTTTTGTTAGGCGACACTGGCAATAAGGGATTGAGGTAGGGTGATTGAGGTTGTTCACCGGCAGCTGATGGACTGCACATAGCTTCCTCAAATTGGTCATGTCTCTTCTCGGCCTCTCTTTGCCAGGGATCCTGAGGCTGGGCGACCGAAGCCGTCACTTGCATCTGTTGGGAAACTTCGCTCATTCGAGGTCTTGAAGTGGTCGATTGCAGGATCCAACCAAGTTTTGATTGCGGAAACCGACTCCAACGATTTATGGTGTGCGAGCAAGGAGAATCCGTAATTTGCTCCCCCAACACAAATGAAGAAGAGCGAACACGACGGGAAAAGTGGTAGACAATTGGACAGCCATCGCTTTCATCCTCAGCTATCGTTTAACTGGCGGCCTTAGTCTGAGTCTCCTTTGTGATCGTATAGGTCTGATAAAATCTTCGCCACTCCCGAGGGCTGCTGATGGAAATTTCTGCTATTTCCATCGATTCTTGTTTGAAGCGCGGGTAGAAGTTTCAAGAAATCCGTTCGGAATGGCGAATACGTAGCTTTTCTAGAATCACCAACTCGCTAGGCTCGACTGATTGATGTTTCCTTCCGCAGTAATGGTGAGCGCAAACGAACAAGATTTGGCAACCTAAGAAAGATTCTCTTCCTGGCACACACTGTGTACCATCTGCGACAGAGGTCACAATACTCAGTAGGTCTCTGGAATACGAGAGTGCCTCCTAGAGTGTTGTATGACTGTAGTCTTCCAGGAGCAGCGGCCTCTGTCCTGCGTTACATCCAATGACGTACTCATCGTCTGGGACTTTAGCACGTGAAAGCAATCATTTGTTCGCTCTGGGACAACGCTGACTAGGTGATGAATCCTAGAGTTCCGTTAGCATTCAATTCCAAGGATGTGAAGGCGGGAACATTCCGCAGGGCGAAAGTAAACATGCTCTCAAGTCGAGGTGAATTCTGGGCTTTTAAGACTAAATAGCATCGAACCAATCGTCTTTGCCCTGGTCCAACTCCTCTTGCTCTCTGTCAAGCACGTGGTATAGGACATCTAAGTATTCAATATACCTCTTGTCACCGTAGGCAGCAGCAATCTGGACCGACGAAACCGAGATCCCTCGGATTGATTCTGGCATATAGTCCACAGCAGGCGATGTTTTCACTCTCCAGTCGGCGCCGTTCTCCAGCAGATGGCGGATGATCGTATCTTTCCCAGAGGCTATCGCGAGATGTAATAGCGTCCAGCCACGGGAATCTGGGATTTCGATCCCCAGCTTCTTCTGAAACAAGGGAAAGAGAGCAAAGTAAACGTTCTCAACGCCATACCAAATTGCGTTATGCAATACGGTCCATTCGCTGTCTGGCTCCCGCTGAAAGGGATCGACGTGGAGCTTGATAAGCATCATAACATCTTCAAGGGTGCCATAAATGGCGCACCGGCTCAACAAGCTCCACCCTTCGACGTCAGTCAGGCCGTGATGGAGCCAGACAAACTCGTCAGTAGAGCAAAGCAATTGAAGGAACTCCTTTGCGCTCGGATGAGGCGACGTTGTAGACCACAAATAAAAGATAGGCGACCAGCCCCATAAGCTTAAATGGTGGAATGATGCACCGTATTGTATGAACAACCGAGCAATCTTCATTTGCCGATGTCTCAATGCCCATGACAAGGCTGACGTTTGTTTTTCTCCGAACGCGGAATTCGCATCAACGCCGTTTTCGAGGAGGAGCTTGCATACTTCAAAGTGACCGCCGTCAATGGCCAGTGACAAAGGCGTAACTCCTCCCTCACTGTAGTAAGTGGTGCCGGCAGGGTCCTCTTGCAAGGCTGTGCGCACAGACACAATATCCCCGCGCGAACAAGCTGTCATGAATGGTTGATCCAAAGGTACTTTGAATACCATTGACATAAGGATACGATTGATTTGGAGCTTCGCAAATCGATTATGAGCCCAAGTTCGAAGGGTTATTTCAAGTTTGATGCCAATCCAGTTTCTAATATTCACCTGGAGTGAGGCCACAGTCAAGGGATTGGGCCTGGCGTCGGTGTATGCGACCAACCATGCCCACTGAATAAATCGAAACAATACAGACTGCGCGACTTGAGATCTGCTGCGTGGTCCAATGGGTTGAGGTCCTGAGATATGAACAGGAAGGCATGGGTGTGAGTCCTCCAAAAGGCGCGGTGGTAACAAGGCATCTGGCTCTTGCCTAACGTGGTTTGATATGTGGCTGAAGCGAGGTTTGATAAGTTCCTTCATCATTTGAGCCGATTCTTGTGATTGTTTCCTATCATGGTCAGCATGGATGAATTCAGAGGAATCTAGGCTGACCAATGCAAAAGTTGAAGAATGACTCCAATCGAGACTTCTAATTGGGTCAACTCTTGCAGAAGTACTCTGGATCTCTCTCGACCCAGCCACACCCAGTGCACTTGCTTTCCGAACCCTGACCTTGGAGAAGAGGCGAGATCACGCTTGATATCTTTTAGCGAACGTGCGCATTGATCAAACATGATGACACAATTGTCTGGAAGATTCAGTCGGTCTTGTTGAGCCTCTACGAGGAGTTCGAACTCTACGGCCAGGAGCCCGATGTGAATCGCAAGCCTGTTGAACTCGGCAGGTGCATCTTTGAAGCGATGTCGCAGTTCCACTGCTAGCTGCAGGACTTCAATGATTGTGGCAATTGATGCAGCAGCGCCCAGGGCTTCCATACTTGATATTCGGATTCAATATTACTGCAGGTAGTTGGCTTCGACGGTTTGATGTTGCTGGTCAGCGAAGGAGAAGGGACGGTCAATCCCCCCAAGATGCCTCGTCCATAGCCCAAAAAAAAAGGAAAGAAAAACAATTGGGCCAGAACCAGCCACGTATTGCATGAAGAGTTAGCCATAACTGGTTAACAACCTAGAGGCAACAAAGAGCAAGGCAGCCAGGGCAGCCACAGATGACACTGGCCCCGTTTGACCGAATCCCGTATTTCTACGCACTGCCTCACGCATCCTCTTCTTTCATCGTAACAACCGTCCACTCCACGATTTTGGGACCCAGTTTTGCCTTTAAGAGCGGCGATCACCCCTCTTGAAGTGACATCTCAACTCTTTCAACATACCTGTTGCACCGAAGGCTATTTTGAAGACAAACAAGAAAGGCGGTGGACCATTGATATGACTTGAAGCCCCAACAAGTAAATTTCAACCACATAGACACTCTTTGATGCGATAGTCCTTTCTGACGATTCAGCGGTGACAAGCTTAGGGACTTATACGATCCAATGTTCCAGAATCCTAGAACTGCACGGCATACAAGGAAGGACATGACGCTGAGGGGCCCTCTTCCTCGTCCTCCTCCTCGTCCTATTCCTGGCCCTGGTGGCGGCATCGACGGCGGTGGCAACCCAGGCCCGTGGCACTAAGACATTTTGGATAAGACCGGGTGGGGTCTGCAGGAGGAGAACGACTCAGGGCAGCGACGCTGTCATACAGCAATGAACATTGAGGTTACAGACAGAACAAGAACTTTCGCGCAGAACCAGTTTCCCGACCTCAATTGTGACATAGCAAGCCCTTGAACGCATTGGGCCCTGTGTTATGCTCCTTGTCTTCATCTAGGCCTCTGGGGCCTTTCGCCTATCTCGTCTAGAGTTTTTAATTCACTTGAGTGCAGTGGTGGTGAAAATACTTATTCGGCTGCGTGGGTGGGAAGATGGATCTCGTGAGTCCGTAACTACCGTAGCTGGTCGAAGGCTTTCGCAGACACTCATATCTGCATGACCAGGACTGTCCTGATGGATATGAGGGGGTACATATTGAAGAACGCACGATTAGGCTGGAGGCCGATATGCTGTCACAACGCCGGTTCCAAAACAACGCAGTCCCATACATAGCCGTCACCTTTACCACAACTCAACCAATGAAAAACTTCTGCCGTCTTGCACCACGTGACGCAATCAGCTCCCTCTTGTTCAGTCGGTTTTACTCCTCAAGCACGGAATGATTGGTAGAGAGCTTCGAACAGCAAAGAGTTGTCTAAGCACCAATTGAACGCAGTTGTGGAGCGTTGTCCGCAGAAATGGCAAGGTACTTCATATCCCTAATAAAATGGGGGTTCCTCCAGGTACCTTCCCATCCACTTTGCGTCCTTGCATAGTTGAGCACTTTTTTGCGCTCGGCCTTTTGCACCCAGTTTTAGTGTTATTGCGTGTCAGGGTGTCTCTCTCGTCTATGTAGCCTTTTTATCGCCCCATGTAGACAGCCCTCTCCTGCCTTCTGACTTCCTTGTCGTCTCTGGCACCTCCTGCGCTCGCACAGCTAGGTTCAATTGGTGCTTAGACGATTGTTCGAAACTCTCTGCCAAGATTCTCAACCACTTGAAGTAGGCACAGGCCTCCTGCTCGGAGAACCTTCCTTAGACAGCGCCCTAAATAATATGGAGATGTGTCGTGGGTGGCATCCTCACTCTCTGCCACTGCAAAAGCACCTTTCTCACATTCAAACTTGCGCCCAGTTAACTCGATACGATCAGTTTTCACCGAGACTATAACACTTTCGGAGTTGCGGAGTCGTGCGTAGCGCGTGCCTTGACTCTCCGTCACACACAGACCTTCCTCCTACCCTGAAATTCTGGAACATCTCATCCACAACTTTCAGATTCTCCCTACGACCTCTGTTTAGTATGGATTCTTCCAAAGATCTATCCTTTCCTCCGGCAAGCGAAGTACCTCTTCATCGCATTGCGCCTCTCGCTCCTACACAAGAACTCGCGTATCGCAAGAAATGCATTCAACTAAAACGACGGCTCGCCGAAATCGAGGCCAACAACGACGCGACCCGCAAAAGGATAATCCAAGAGACTGAACACGTCCAGAAAATGCGAATCCTACGCGCCATCCTTCTGAACCACCTCAATGAGATCATGAGTGCTCCAGCTAAGAAATTGACGCCAGAGCAACTTGAGAAGATCGGTGTACTGGCCAACGGGAGCGGCAACGTGGCTGAGTTAGCTGGCAGCGGCATATCCAAGGACCTAATACCGACAAGACCTCAAGGAGAAGGTCTGCTGGACGACAGCTCCGAAGAAAGTGAAGAGGACGAACCTGAAGTGAGGAGATCCCCTTGATCACGGTCTTGTGATGCTTTTGGGCTTACCGAAACAGCCTCTAGAGCGACCAGAACGAAGAAGAAGGGCGAACAACACCTACCGCGAAACGATCATGAACACCAACACCCCCAGCGAATCTCTGTCAACCATGTATCAACAGACTGCTCTTCCAAATCTGGCCCCTGCAACTTCATTCTCAGTTGCACCCCACGACCCTGCGATGCTGACGTCTTCTTTCCGTGTCTCCTCTACCACCCCACAAGCTGTCGGATCCCAAGGCGCTCAGCATCAACATGGAGGAGACTCACGCTATGCACAATCTTCCCCCATTGCGGTTAATCAGCACTTGGGCATGCCATATCAGGGACCCAATCAAACCCGAGCAACTAGTATCTCCTCCAACAATGTTGATGCTAATGGCCTCGGACGTTCTCCAGCCGTAAACATGAGGCCGGAACGACCGGAACCTCCTTATGTTCAATTCACGATGCATATGAGACCCCAACTCGAAGCAGATAACTACCCTCCTGAGCAAATCCCCGGCCGCATTCAGTCAGAGTGGGACGGATTGAGTGCCGAAAATAGAAAACTGTGGGACGACAGATATCAGGATCAAATGCGAGAATACACAGCGGCAATGGATGCTTACAAGAGAGCCACGAGGCGTGAAGGATCAGGCGGTGGTTTTGCATCCATCAACTCATAGGAAGAGTTAATCTGGAATAGCGCCCAACCTGTATTTCTACAGACTCCAACATCAACGCATTATCGGCATCTCCCTGCTACTATGTTCTATGGCCCTCTCAGGGATCGGACCGCTTCACAATGAACATCTTGCGGCCCATAACAACCTCCGGAAGAGGGACCGAAGAAACTGGAAAGGAGGTATGTCCGCAACAAGCGAAAACCGTTAACTCCAGCCGATTATTTCAAAACTTGACTGCGTCTAAATGCCCAGAAGACTCTCGGCTAGTTAGCGACACATCTTTGAAACGGATACACAAGCCGCAAGGCGGTTGGGTTTGTTTGCCGTCCAGGCAATTCAGACCCAGCTATGCCACCGGGAGAAGTGCTTTTCAGCCTGTGCGCTCGTTAAAGTGTCGGGTGTTTGCCAGTCTTCAGACTTGTCATCATCAAACGCGGCCTCTTCCCGCAACTCGAGATCATTCATGCAGACAAAAAAGAGCTAAGAACATGATGTAAATCAAGATATAGTTTCAAATCAACAAAGGCATACGTAATCCTCGATTTGATTTCGTGAATTGTCATTGTTTCTTTTTATGGTCTATCGAGGCAATTTTCGTCTCACTAGAGCACTAGTGCTCTCGAAGCTACCTAGTCCTTTCATCAGAGTACTTAATTCAGCTTTTCACAGATCCGGAAATGGAAGGGAAGAAGATGGCCCGCTCAAACGAGCATCTGTGGAGCTGGAGTTCTCTTTTGATCTGAGGTGAAACGAAATGCCCTTTCGAAACGTCCTCTCACCACCACCCCACCGAACCACCTCGGCATTCATTTGTCCTTCCTATGTACCGTATAGCCAACTAGATGCCTGGATGCTTTCGTACATGCCTCCCCCCGAATCGTAGTCTTTGTCGACGTCCCACATCCCCTCAAGACATCGTGGGTATCTACCTACAAGAGTATGTTCGATTGGTGTGAGCTGACTTTTCCTTTTACATCCCTCTTCGTGTTTGATGATGGTAATGCACCAGCCGTCAGCCTGGGTTAAAGTTTGTCCTTGTGTCCTGGGTGTTAATCTTCGTCCCAGTTGGGATTCGGCCCGGGAGGCTTGGGTCCCCCAGCTTGCCGGGCAACGATGATCTGGTCGACGCTCAGCACAGTTCTGGCCGCCTCCGTCGCGAGACGAATGGCCCAACTCTTCGCTACCATGAGATCGAGGATTTGCTCTTCCACGGCATCCAGGACACCTGTCGAGTCGGATGCTTCTAAGTCCACGCCAGTCGTCCAGTACGGCTCTTCAGACTCGGAGGTATTGGAAGTTCTTTCATCTTCGTCGGAAGCATCGTCATCACTTTCTTCCTCCTCAGGCGCTTGCCGACGCTTGACTTCGCTCGTGTTCAAACGTCGTTGATGCGCCGTGTACAGTCGAGCGAGAACCTCTGTGGCGTCGAGACCTGCACTTTCCGCAAGCGTGCGAGGGATCACCTCGAATGCTTCTGCGTACTTCCTAATCGCGTATTGTGGGAGGCCTGGCGTCTTGTCTGCATAGTGACTGATGCGTTCGACGAGCTGCATTTCTGTAGCACCGGCGCCAGGGACAAGTCGCGCGTCTCTTGTTACTGCTTTAATGACGTTGACGCCGTCATCGATCGCGCGCTCCATGTCGTCAAGGTGATTTTGTGTGGCGCCTCGGAGGACGATTGTCGCTGTACGTGTCACGGCCGTGTCTGAGTCTTGACGGAAGACCGTGACTCTGTCGCCGCCAATTTCGATCGTTTCAACGACGTCAATGCTACCCATTTCATCGGGCATGGGAGCACCAAGGCGAGCGAGCGGTGTAGCATTGCAGACACGGCAAAGTCTGCGCAGTTCGAATTTGGACAGAATTTTAATGACCAGCATTCCCATTCGGTTGAGATAGTGAAGTGCCAGTTCGCCAACTGTTGAGCCGGCGACGACCACTCTAATGCCACTGTCGTATAGTTCCTGAATTGCTGCCTCCAGTTGAGCTTCTTCGCCCTTGGAAAATTCCATCATCTCTTTTGCATTTTTCAGGAGCACTGTGCCTTTTGTTTCGGTCTGAGAGATGTCGATGGGACACGAGAAGACCCCCACTTTGGCCTTTTTGGCGCGTTTGACAGCTCCGTCGGGTTCGCGGCCAAAAACCATGCCCTTCACAACTTTTGACGAAGACAAGTCTCCTCCCATTATCTTGACCACTCGGATATTGTCCACGTTGAAATTGGCAGGAATTTTGGGTAGCACAGCTAAAACAGCCTGTGCGATCAATTGTGATAGAATGTCCTCGGAACCAGATTGCTTTGATGCAACCACAGTGCGGAGGGCTTTGCTTAATTCCTCCGGCGAACGAAGGTCGGACACGCTGTCGACTTCGAGTTCTACTGGAGTTAGCACTTTTCCTCGTGATATCGAGATCATGGTACATACCCTCCAAGGAATTCAATGCGTATGCCTGTGCCTTCTCGTAGCCGGACACAATGTCGCTGGTTTTTAGACCCATTCGTATTAATTCTTCGGCCTTCCTAAGTAGCTCCCCGGCCAGAATTGTGACCATGTTTGTGCCATCGCCCATTTCCGCCTCTTGTTGTTGGCTTGCCATGACTAGTAATTTTGCTGCTGGGTGTACGACTTCGAGTTCACGGAGGATTGTGGCCGCATCCGAAGTCAGGATCATCTTCGCCAGATGGTTGATGACGATTTTGTTTCGTCCATAAGGACCCAGCGAGGTCTGAACGGTCTGTGCGATCGTCCTGCACGCGTCAATCTGTAAATATTAGAGATACATACTGAAGAATTTAAAAGACGACCCTACATTTCGAATTACGGCACCGTCCTCTGCATCATAACTGTTGTAGCCAGGCTTGAAAAGCCCCGCCTGTGAAGCCTGAGGTATAGATAAGGACATTGCAGCTGAGTGAGAGCCAAAGAATATTGTGAGAGCGAGTAGGAAGGTTGTCGAGTTTACTGAAATGCGGGCAGAAATTATCTGTCGACGCCTTGACGCAAGGCTGCGCCGCCAACTTTTTCCAGACGAAAGATGTTGCCGCCCTAATCCTCAGCCTCCGCCTTGAACCACGTGCTGGTTGGTGCAGGCATATGGTTCTAACAAATAAAGTAGAACGACCACTACGGCCGCTACTTCATTCGAAATAGAAACTATCAATCGCAACAATGGCAACCGAAGAATCCTCATGAAAACCGAACATGGGCCTTCGTGACAATGCCCTTGCCTGTTCACGTTAAAAAAAGGATCACATCCTACAACCATGCCTGGCGATGATAGCGATAATTCAGATCTTGAACTTATTTCTGTGGAGAACGCTGCCGACATCTCTTCGAGGTATGCTCTGGACATCCGTTTGGTTAATTATAACTTAGCATTGAATTCTCAGGTCTATGAAACCGTCTCGATCAATAGGTCCTGGTAACTTGACCCCTGGGTCATCGAACAACCCAGCCTCTGCTATATCGTCCGCACTCTCACATCCCGATGGAGACGGAAGAGGGAACGTTGCCACCAATGAAGAGTCAGAATACCACAATGTCCAGCACCAAGATCAAAAGGAAGACGGTTCGCCGGATTGGTACGTTGAGGGACCTGGCAGACGTGTTGGATATGACGATTTAACCGCCATCGATTGGATTTACGAGTACACGAAAGAGCGACAGCGATTAAGAAAGCTACTAGCCATCAACCAAGGATTCGTTGGCAACCTAAGGCAATTGTTCGATGCAAGCCACGTTTGGTTCGTCCTCGTCGCCAGTGGTATATCTATTGGCTGCGTCGCTGCCTTGATCAACATTGCCTCAGATTGGCTCGGAGATATCAAGACGGGTTATTGCAAGAAAGGTGTGGGTGGTGGCCAGTTTTACTTGAACAAACAATTCTGCTGTTGGGGTCATGATAAGCTCGCTCAGTGTCAAGATTGGACCCCTTGGCCGTCGGCGCTCGGGATTGGGTCTGCTGGAGGCCAGTATGTGATCGGATATATTTTCTTCGTCATTTTTTCGGTACGCCTGAGCTGCTCCGTGGCCATTTGATGCGGCTGACGTGTGGAATATAGATTCTCTTTGCAGTTTCAGCGGCCATACTCGTCAAGCATTACTCTATATATGCCCGACACAGCGGAATCCCTGAGATCAAGACTGTTCTCGGAGGCTTCGTTATCAGAAGATTTCTAGGAGCCTGGACGTTGGTCACAAAGTCTCTGGGATTGGTAGGGTTTGAGCAATCCCCATGTCCGAAAATAGACTAACTTTGTCAGTGTCTCGCTGTCTCATCGGGACTGTGGCTTGGTAAAGAAGGCCCTTTTGTCCATCTCGCATGCTGCTGCGCGAACATTATCATGAAGCCATTCGAATCCTTGAGTCAAAATGAAGCCCGAAAACGCGAGGTGTTGTCTGCAGCCGCTGCTTCAGGTATATCTGTTGCGTTCGGCTCACCGATTGGTGGAGTCTTGTTCTCGCTTGAGCAACTATCCTACTATTTTCCAGACAAGACTATGTGGCAGTCGTTCGTCTGTGCCATGGTGGCCGCGGTCACCCTCCAAGCCATGAATCCATTTCATACGGGAAAAATTGTTCTCTATCAGGTCACTTACACGACGGGGTGGTACAGTTTTGAACTGCTGCCATTTATTCTGCTTGGTATTATCGGCGGGGTGTATGGCGGCATGTTTATCAAGCTGAACATGCTAGTTGCACGCCTCCGGAAGTCTCAGATCTATCCGTTTCGAGACAGGCCGCTCCTGGAAGTATTGGTCGTTTCTGCGATCTCAGCCGTCATCAACTATCCGAACACCTTCATGCGAGCTCAACTTTCTGAACTGGTCTATTATCTCTTTGCGGAATGTGCAACGATAGGCAACAACGATATTTTCGGTCTCTGCAAGGCCACCGTCGCTGGATCTTTGTCGATGGCATGGCTATTGGTCGCAGCTTCCATACTCGGGTTTCTGCTTGCGAGCATCACATTCGGTCTGCAAATCCCGGCCGGGATCATACTGCCCTCCCTTGCCATCGGAGCATTGTATGGCCGAACTCTGGGAGTTCTGGTGGAGCTAGTACACAAGCACTTCTCGACTTCCTTGCTCTTCGCAGCGTGCGAGCCTGATGTTCCTTGTGTTATTCCCGGGACATATGCTATCGTTGGAGCTGCGTCGGCGTTGGCAGGTGTGACGAGAATGACGGTCTCCATCGTGGTGATTATGTTTGAGTTGACAGGGGCTCTCACCTATGTTTTGCCAATTATGATCGTTGTCATGCTTGCGAAGTGGATCGGTGACGCTTTCTCCACTCGAGGCATCTATGAGTCCTGGATTCAATTCAACGAGTATCCGTATCTTGAAAACAAGGAAGATGCCAACATGCCACAAGTTTTGGTCTCCAGCATCATGACGAGGGTAGAGGAAATGAAGTGCCTGGACGCCAACCGACCTTATCCCATTGAGACTTTACAACAGGTCCTTCGAACGACATCTTATCGTGGTTTTCCCGTGGTGGCTTTTAAGAAGGCAAATACCGACCTCGTTGCTGATATCCCCCCAAGTCGGCGCTCGCAGCGAGACAACACTTTCCTAGGCTACATCTCCAGGGTTGAACTTTCGTTCGCGCTTGAACGAGTAATTAATTCTAGTACCAGTCCGTCTAGACCGGCCTCCGGACCGATCGACTCACAAGCGCCATGTTATTTCACTTATCATCCAGACATAGCTTCGGGTTGCGGGATAGACTTACGGCCTTGGATGGATCAGACGCCAATCACTTTGAATGTGAACAGTTCACTTCAACTGGCGGTGCATATGTTCCAGAAACTCGGGCTTCGATATCTTCTTTTTGTTGAACGAGGAGCTCTTCGAGGGATGCTTACGAAAAAGGATGTATGGTGGATTCTGTCCGCATCAGAAGATAGCCAAAAGCCTGGTGGATTCATTGCCGGAGCTGGAGTCTCGCCGGATGCTGGTCCAGAAGACGACGGCCCTGACGAGGCCAGGGGACTACTTCGGCAGGACTCAGGAGAGCCAAACCAGCATAGGGGACCGGATTAATGTGTCTGTACTGAAACACTCATATCGCTTCTGCATTTCTTTATCGCCTCGAGTTTTGCGGAGCGTCACAAAATGATCTGCCGACAATAAGACACTAGTCTACGAAAAAACACAAACGTGCCGCCAATATCCTTGACTGAGCACGGTATTCCCACGTGGAAGCATAACCATCTCAGGAAGGAAGGTCACGCAATCGCCATGCGAAGAAAGAGTTAAGTTGAATTTTTGTTCCTGCACAATTTCCCCCAGAAGCCCCAAGCGAACACTTGGAGATCCATCAAAGTGGAATGGAGTCGGGGAGCAGTTCGCTGCGCCGCCGATCATCACTTGTTGGAGCCTGGAACGTTGGCTACGAGAACGAATAAGGCATGGCCTCTAGTTAAGGTCTAGAGACTGCCGGAGACTGCCCCCGATGGCCAAGTTGGTGAAAGACTTGCGCAATTGCTGATATCCAGCTGAAGGCCGGGGGTCCATTGGAGCCTTGTGTTTGGCTTTTTCAGGCTGGCCACGAGAGAAACGAAACATCGGGACCATTTCAGTTTAATTATGCAGGTCAAAAAAGGCCAAGGCTGGCCAGTCGGTTGCCCATGATGATGGGACAAGCCAGCGACTTACCCCCCCCCCGGCGTTCGTAGCAAAAGGGTGATTAATGTCGTGGAGAGACGATCCGTCTCGTCTCTTCCCATGTCAATGACGACCTTCTGGCCATAAACGAGGGATAGCTGAAACACCTGTCGTGGCCTCCAGATTGCGCCGTTGTACACGATGCTGGCATCTTCAAATAAGAGCGCTTCCGGGGCGCTTCCGGGGTAACACACCCAGGATCTTCCGTCCGCTCTTGCTGCCCGACTGCAGAGGGTGGATCATTTATTCATATCCTCCGCTCAGTGCGAGAAACCTGGTTAATTAGCACCTGCAGGACTTAGAGAAGTCCAATCCAAACAATGAGTCGGAAGTGTTTCAAACAGCTAGCAGACAGGGCAATGCATTAGCCACAATGCTCCGGTTGAAAGGCCACAGTAGTTGGCTGGACGGGGGCAAATAACAGAAGCTTGTGGACGTTCTTGAAATGGACCAAACTCGGCTCGAATGCTGCCATAGTGACCACATTTAGGCTGAGGGACCTCAATTCAGCAACCGGACGAAGGACTTGGGCCTGAACAATAAAGTTCACAGTTTCGAGCCATCCATTTATCTTGTGATATTTTAGCCGTCGCGGATGCAGGAGCGCAACAATCCGGATATTCTTCAAATTTTCTTGCCTCGGGCAGCCGTTAAAGGCAGAGGAGGCCATAATTCAGAGGGATTTCCTCCGGCTTGGCCAAGACTAATTCCCATCCTGGAGTCATTATTCATGGAAGATTGTCGATGCCATAGGACGGAGCAGTTTCTCGGGGTTAAAGTGTTCCCAATATCACGAAACAGTTCTGAAGTTAGCACACAAAAATGGACATCTAGGTCTGTGCCTTGCAATAGCCTCCTCTCAGATGATGACAATGGCCGTCAAAGGGATCCAAACAGCTAAATCCATCCACTCAACATCCTGAATTTTCCGCACAGTCGCGCGCCGCTGCAGCGTAAAGTTACAATTTCCTTGGGACCAGCTAGTTACATCTCCGAACTCTATGGCAGCTAGCTACGGGAAGAAGACCCAGCTCTTTTAAGCCAGTTGAATTGGCATTTGGCTCCATCTTCGGGCGTCGATCTCTGCAATTTGACGTACAATTATTTGACCTTTGCGACGCCCACTTCCCTACGTGGGTGAGGTTACGTCCGTCAAGGAAAACTCCCATCGAAATCCTGAGAATCAAGCACGTATTACATCGGTGCTACCATGTGACCCTCTCCATTGGTGTATTTTGGTCAACTTCAGGAAAAGAAATGTTAGTGCCAATATTTTTTTTTCCCTCCCCCTTCCCAAGAAGAAATGGGGGCTAAGACGATGTTTTTCTTCTGCAGGATAGCCACGAGGAGTCCAGGACCCTGACGCTTAGCTCTCTTCCTATCAAGGTCCACCTTGCTGTACGCGGACAGTCATTGCGCCAATGAAGCTACGCAAGGCTGCTGATGGGTCAAAGTATGGGTCTCGTCCTGGAGAATTAAAATGCCTTCAGCCGAGAACCATGATCATCTATGACCAAAAAGGCCACTTTGCGGGTTCGATAATTTTTGCCGTGCCTGTCACCTCAGTTTCTCCAAATCGATCGATAAAATGCTCGATCGAAGGAAGATTGGGCCCCTATTTTTCAATAGTTATATATCGGGTATGCAAACCCATGGCAACACTGGCCGCAGATTCTTAATTTGGTGAATACCACTACTGCTACGCGCTTCGCTTCTAGACTCTGCCCAGACAGGAAACCCCCGTAGATTCTGAAACGAACTGCTTCGGGACCCTGAGGACCTCCAGAGTCAAAGTCCGCTCTCTGGTCTTCGATGTGTCAGATTACAGATGAACAACCACGCTAGCTGCCTCGAATAAAAGAGGAATAAGGGAACGAAAGGAGAGCCTATCCGAGGCACTCGACCAAGCAAATTCGTTAGAGCTAAGGAAGGAGGTCGAATGCGCAGCCAGCAACAGGAGGAGCCCTAGAATTCGCTAACAGCGGGATGGAAACGCCATCTCAAGCTTCCCGATCCCACGGCACAGACAAGCGACAGGTGACAGATGGCAGGTGACAAGCTGTGCGGTAATGCGGCGTGGGATCCTTTGCGGGCGTGACGGTGGCGGAACCTTGGGAGAGGGTTCGATCAACGACGGCCGAGGCCGGAGCACTGATGCGGCTTTTGGAGGAGTTGTTGCGAGTTTCTGATGCCAGAATCTGAGGATCCATGTCATGATGCCCATGGTGAAATAACGAAGGCCATTCCCCGTACCTTGCTACGAAGAACGATTCTTTCACAATGATGGCCAGGGCCCATCCCAAGTATTCGCACTTGAGCTAAGGACAGTCGCTTTGCAAGAGAATCGGTACCTGAGCCACTCAGATCCCTGTACCCATCCGGCAGACATGGGAGAGTCTTGTTCCTGGCGACAATCAACCAGGATCTTGTCCAATACCTCTAGCCTGCCCTGGGCTTCACGGGTTCTGAGGCGTGGTTGGTTGACGAGCAGACAACCTGGTGCTCTTCGCGTTGGATGACTGCTTCTGCCACCCTCCTTGTTGGACATTAGCACGATGGAAAAAATTAACTCGGTCACTTTTGCTCAAATCCAGGCGGGTTTGACAACGCTGAGAGCTCTACAGAATACCCGGTACAGGGTACATGTTGATACTTTGTAGATCACGAACCTCACAACCCAGCGACCAAGGCTACTTGAATGGTCTGGCATGTGGAATAACGGACTGCCCCGGCACTGCTCAGGTGAACCAAGCATGCCCTTGCCGTATTGTGCAAATTTGATAAAACATTTGCCATGATGCCCTAGCTTGCTAGAGAACGAAGAAGCAGTTACTAAGACCCTAGTAACATAGTCGATGGAACCGACATGTTTGCACCGAAGGCGTAAGTTTAACCAAATGCAGGCTCATGCAAAATCCATCCTCCACAGTCTGCAAGAAACGCGAGGAAAGTGCTCCACATGTCTACAGGGCCAAAACATGTACCACTGATCATTTCAGCTACGAAGTTGAGGGTCATCCCACGGCGTATTACTGAGTGCGCGGTCCTGCACCCAGAAAAGAGCTCTCTGCAATACACGTGGGTATCCCTCTGTTGCCACCGACACTGGAAGTCCTCGTAACGAAGACCACTGGCCAAGTGGCCGTTGGTTCGTCCCGGCTGACAGTTGAACGATGACAGCCCATGCCTCAGTTAACAGAAGCACGAGTTTGACACGCGTCCTAACTAGTTGGCCGTTGCATATCGGAAGAGCGATCATCTTCCCCTTCCAGCCTAAACCGACCCAGGTTACCAAATCTTCACCCTGGTCATCCTACTTTACCCTTTGAGGGTGCCTCTTTGCTGATCCGTTTGCTCGGTGGAAAAAACTAACAACAGCGTTGGCCCTCAACTGGGCAATAGTCCTAGACGCAATAATTGTTCCCCACTACCTCTCCCCGCCAGCCCCGGGCTCAGGGCTTTACAGGCATGGTCCCAGGGGTGTTGACTCTGCTAATGCACCTAATAAACTTACGTCGATCCAGTAGTAATAGACCGGCCGGGACCCCCTCGAGTCCCAAGACGCCAGCTGAATGCCTTTCCTCCCGCGGCATGGTCCCAAGCGACGGGTGCAACACCATCACCCGGGCCCTGGTTTGCCTGCTAGGACGGCCACAAAATGTGTGTCCGGGAAAACTTGCGTCTGACGACCTCCCTGAGGCAAGCTCGAGAACACCGGATGCCCAGTTAATTTGGCTGCGGGAGATTTGGTTTAGATTTTGTCTGACCATTCCCTCTTCCATTTTGCTCCCCAACTGTTTCTTCCTGTTTCTGACCCGCTTGCCACTGGCCTTTCCGTACCAGCTAACCACGGCCAGCAGCGCACCGCCTCCCTCTGCGGACTGGACTGCAGAGTTCGGGTCCAGGCTCAAACCCGGGTACCGGCAGAAAAAGCCACACTTGCCTGTGCTCCAGTATCAGAACCTGGTCCGGTGTTGCGCCATGGCATGCAACCGCTGCGCCGGTCACAAATCGATCGTCCTTCCATGGTTCCAAGGCTCGTGGACATTGATCAAAATGCCCCCACCGTCCTTGACCCAGTCGAGGGCAAAAGATGTTACTTGTCTGAGGGAGAGACCGCACTACTGCTACCTTTTACCCACTGCTTCCTCTTCGCGAAAAAGTAAGTCGGAGCAAAAATGCTACTATACTTTGCTCCAGCAGCATCATTCTTCCCCCTCTGCGAGCCATTGTAACCTGTCTGATTCTGATGTTCATCTCTCCCCCCCCACTGACCAGAATAAGGTGGAAAACGGTCTCCACGTGGCCGGCGATTCCTTGCCTTTCAGGATCTTCCCTCATCCCTTTGGCTCTCATGAAATTGCGTCCACGCTACGGCGCGTAGGTAGAGCACTGCCTGTCGGGCATCTCTTCCATGACCAAGCACGATCGATCCTACTCCAGCGCCGAGGTGTCCAGAGAGACCACCGAAAACCTCTACGAGCTGGGACTGCTCAAGCGTCCTCGATCAAGGTCTCGCTCCAGCACAAACGAGTCCAAGACGGCGCACTGTAAGACCTTCAATCTCTGCACCCAGAACGCCGCTCCCCCTCTGGTGCTCCTCAAAGAAACTCTCGGTGTCGTCAGAAAGGAGAGGAAGAGAAAGAGAGATATCACTGACACATGGTTTTACATTTCCCAGACCAACATCCGCGAGCACGTCACGACGGGTTCCCTCCTCGCGCCGGCTCGTCTTTGAGCGGTGCGGCCCAAATTCCCTCCTTCAAGCAGTCCAGCATCTCCTCCGGCACCTTGGGAAGGCCTCATACCCCCAACGACAGTCGTCCCCGTACCAGAGACCAGCGCCCACCCCCTTCCCCGTCCGCCAGCGTCCCAGGAGCTGGGAATCCTATGGCAGGAATGCTCGACTCGGACCGCGCGCGCTCACGACGAGAACGGACCTTTGTGGGTGGAGAATGCGCTGCGTGCGAAGAGCCATTGGAACACACCTTGAGAGGTGAACGGGTGCTGCAATTCTCCTGCGGCCATGTCGCTCATGAAGCTTGCTTTTATGAATACATTCGCGATTCTGATTCACAATATTGCCCAACATGCGATGCCCCTCTCGGTTTGGATTCCTTCCGCGGGGGGAGCATCCTAGACTTGGGTGGGTCGACATTCCTTCTCCTCTGTCGCGAATACTGCTAACAAGCAAAAAAACAACAGGCAAGTTGAGTAACATGGTCCGAGCCGTTGCACAGAAGGACGTCACCTCGCCAAGAAGCTCACAAAACACCCCGATGCCGTGGGAGAGACCGACGACACAAGATGACGCCTACAGTGCTCGAGAAATCGTCAATAGACATAGCCGTGAAAATTCCAACCGGGACAGTCGAGATAGTCAAAGAATGCGCATAGAACGCTTGGGTATTGGACAGGGACACACACATCCAACTCAGAACCACGCGCGCAATGACAGCGGGGGCAACGCCTCGTCTGATTATACCCAAGATCATACAGGCCATGGACGGAAGCATGATTACGACCTGCACGCTATGGAAACATCGGTTCCCGGCGGCCAGCTCAAAGACACTAAGCATTCCATCCCGGCGCCGATTGTCACCGTCCGCAGCGAATATCCGACCCTGACTCGATCTCGACAGCAACAGAGCTTGACATGTCTCATTACCATTGAAGTTCCCGAAGGCAAATGGCAGACCCAAATCGAAGATATACAGAATACGCCTCCAGTTCCCAGCGTTCCTAGTGTTCCGACCGACCCAGGTATTGGTATCCCGGCCAGGCAAAGAGAAGAAGGCCCTCAACCCCCTATTGTTTATGAAGCTTCGGAAATACTTGAAGAGATCACCGAAGAGCTTCGGATGCGTGTAGACAATTGGCATGGGCTCGAATTCCACAGATTCGGTAATCTACGTCTGCATGGAGTGATTCGTGTTGGCAAGGATCGTCATTCGTGGCAGGAGCTCGAGTGCTACTTGTTTGGGGAAATGCTGATATGCGTCAAAGAAAAGAAGAACGCTCAGCCTCCCGTGATGACGGACTCAGGCCGCAAATTGACGAGATGCACCTTGAAGGGCTCGATTTTGATTAGGAAACATCTGAGGCAGGTGCACGCTTCTCTGGATGAGAACATCTTAACCTTGAATTTGTCGGTGGCCGAGCTGCCAACCTTTCATTTGCTATTTCAGGAGAGAGAAAAACTCGAGTTATGGCAAAGAGCGCTACGGGACCTTCACACCTCCGAACTTTCTCCTCGTTACCCCGATTACGAACAAGATACCTCGGGAACAGACGACGAGGAGTACACCCGACAGAACCGAGCTGTTCGACGGGTGCCGTCGGTGGCTTCGTCGTACGGTGGTCCTAAGTCCGCCACGACCGCCGCCACGGAGTACTCCATGCCAAAGCCGATTGTCGACAGAAGAATTCCTCCTTCGCTGCACGTTCCCGTCGACGTGGTCGCGGTCATCCCCGTCTCGTCGTCGATGCAAGGGTTAAAGATCACCCTTTTACGAGACACCTTGCGCTTCCTCGTCCATAATTTGGGCGACCGTGATCGAATGGGACTAGTCACCTTTGGCTCTAGTGGCGGAGGAGTGCCCGTCGTTGGAATGACGACGAAGACCTGGCCTGGCTGGAACAAAGTCCTCAACTCGATCAGACCAGTCGGACAAAAGAGTCTGCGTGCTGACGTTGTTGATGGCGCCAACGTGGCAATGGATCTTTTGATGCAGCGCAAGGCGGCGAATCCCATCTCGACGATCCTCTTGATTAGTGACTCGTCGACTTCCGAGAGTGATAGTGTGGATTTCGTCGTTCAAAGAGCTGAAGCTGCCAAGTAAGTTCGGCGTCAATCTTTGTCAAAATGGCAACGCTAACGCGCCAAGGGTCGGCATATACTCCTTTGGACTCGGTCTCACCCATAAGCCGGAGAGCATGATTGAATTGTCAACCCGCACCAAAGCTTCTTACGTTTACGTCAAGGACTGGATGATGTTACGCGAATGTGCTGCTGGCGTGCTCGGGGCCCTTCAATCGACGTCGCATCAAAATGTCAAACTCAGGCTCAAATTACCGGAGGGCTCTCCCGCCAAATTTGTCAAAATCAGTGGTGCTCTTCAGACGACAAAGAGGGCAACCGGACGAGATGCCGAAGCCACTTTAGGAGATCTGCGCTTTGGTGATAAACGGGATATACTGGTGCAATTAGCGATTGACCCGGACACCACAACACAAGAGCCAGCCCCACAAGACCCATGGGAATCGATCGTCTCCGGCCTTGAAGCACTGGGAGGCTCGCTTGATACCGATGATCAACGGGTACAAAGTGTGGAGGAGTTGCCCCTTCTTCAGGCCGACCTGTCATTTGGGGACCTTCTCCGAGATGGCTCTATGATGCAGCTGCCCCGGCCATCACTGTTGGCCATCACAATGTTGCCCGCAAGTCAACGTAGTCGACAAAATGGCAGACCACCAACGCCTCCTATTCCTCCGCACCCCATGATCGTCCAGCGGCGTATGGAATTATTGACTTCGGATATGCTCAGTCGTGCCCTCACCCTCGTCGCTCGCGGTCAGCACGAACGGGCACATCATTTACTGAATGAAACTAGAACAATTTTGAAGGGTTTGGGCAAAGGCGGTCTCCCCCCTCTACCTCCTGGTGCTACTCATTCCGGCAGCAAAAGACACAGCCCATCGGTCAAGGCGGGAAGCCCGAGAGCCGGTACTCCAGAGCACACTCGAGATCACAGCCCTCATTCAGATGCCAGCACACCTATTCCTCGAACCACTGGTATCGATCACACGACCATGAACGCCCTTGATGCCGACATCGAAGCTAGCTTGGAATGGATTAATCATCCAGCAGTGTTCTCGCGCGACTCTCGCAAAGCTGTCCTGCAGGCCATTGGTGTCATATCTTCTCAACGAGCTTACACTTTCCGGACGGCGTCCGAGTCTATCTGGGCCGACCGAGTGAGTGGAGTTAAGCGACTCACGGAGCAATCAAGAGAATGGAGGGAAGCGGGCGATGATGCGCTGACTGAAGAGTAATGAGGTTCACGATACGATTCTATGTACAACTGTTGCATCGCCACTGTACGTTTCAGATATGTGTGGTTTCGGTTCTTTTTTGTGAGCGAGCGAGTACTTGTCGGGGCGAATCGCAGCGATGAAAATTTGAGCGACTCGCAGGATTGGAAAAGAATACCCCTGTTGCAGAATTGCTTGATGATTGCAGTCAAATCAGCGTCCATAGATTACTCCATGCTCGTGCATAGTATTATTGAAAATGCCGTGATATTCAGTTGACACGCCCAATTTGAAGACTTTTTTTCTGTGCAACGGTCACTTTCAACTTTTGTCCAGATCGTAGAGGGTGTGATAAAGTAGAACATACCTTTGACGTAAAAGTGCTGAACCGTCTGGCCTCGTGCCGGATCTCAGCCTCGCCACCAAGAATATCACTTGGCGAATTTTTTTAACGCCAAGCTTGGGCGAACTCACTTCAACTTCTGCCATTCTCTACAACAAGACAGAATCCTTGTGCAAAAGCACTCTGTGTCTAATTCTGCAGCGGAATGTGGTCTCGTTGCGGCATCTGTATTATATCATGGACGACATAGCAGTATACTGCTCTTGGGCTGATGCACAACTCAAACAAGACTTCTCATTTCTATCGAAACTCCCAACTGAAGTCCGGGCTCTCATCCTGCAATCAACCGAATGTCGATATTTTGACACAGTCGCACACGCCGCTCGATCGCCTCGATATGCAGATGCGCTGTTTCCGCTATACAAAATCCTCTATCCAGAACTGCTTGCCCGATGGACGGCCCATTCTTCTCTATTGAACTACAACGAAGCCATTCAGACCATTTCATGTTTGGCCAGGGTCCTCCCGTTTGCCACATATCTTCGCCCTCATATCCGAAGACTTCTAGGGTCGGATTCACTACGGACTCTTCTTCTGGATGCTGGTGGCGCCACGTCTCAACTCGATGATGAAGTACTCCATGCGCTCCTCCTTTCCTTGTTTCGCCTGCTTTCCTTCGATCGAGACATCCTGACCGGGACCGTCACTCCCGTTTTTCTATCATCATTCCTCTATCATCCGCTCCTTCCAATGAGATACTTGGCCATCCAATGTTTATGTATGGTCATGCACTTTGCGGATGCCCTCTCCGAGAAAATGGTTGGGATGTATGTTGGCACCGAACCCATCTGGGCCCCATGGGAAGATAGAGAGATTGATTACCGCTTCCTCAAGCTCTGGGAAGAGGACCGGTGGAATTTACTGGCCCACGCAATAGCGGATGTCGACAAACGCTGGCAAGCTTCGACACTCCCATCTGAATTGCGGACCTTGGACAGCAACAACCTTTCATCCGAAACAGCTAGCCTCGGTGGAGTTCTTCTCCCTCGTTCAGGCGATTTGAAATCGCAACTCTCGACCTTTGTTCTCACGCCCACGGCGAAACGTAATCTACGTCAGCTTGGTGATTGCCTGTTAAAGGAAAAACCCATACTACTCTCCGGTCAAGGGGGGTCAGGCAAGACTTCGCTAATTCATGAGGCTGCCATGCTCCTGAACAAACAGTCATCGATGATCACCTTGTATCTTAATGAGCAAACCGATGCAAAGAGCTTACTGGGCGTGTATACATCCTCGGCTGACGGCGAGTCTTTCGCTTGGCAGCCGGGAGTCCTGACCAAAGCGATACAAGAGGGAAGATGGGTTTTGATAGAAGACATCGACCGATCACCTGCGGAGGTGATGGGTGTGCTTCGTCCTATCCTCGAAAATGGCGAGTTGTTCCTCGCAAATCGCAAGGAGCGAGTCAAGCCAAAAGATGGTTTTCGTGTATTTGCTACCGTGAAGACCAGTGGGCGCTCTCCTTCAACCAAACCATCCCGTTGTCCGTGGCTTCTAAGTCCTCGCTTGTGGAACACTGTCGATGTCGCAGCCTATCAGCCCGCCGAGATCGAGATGCTGCTCCGCGCACGATATTCTGCTGCCGAGGCTTTTATCCCAGCAATTTGGCGAATCCACCAACACGTATCTGATTTGTATACGGACCACCCTCGTTTCAAGTCCCTGCAAACTCGTCCGCCGTCGCTGCGCGACTTACTTAAGTGGTCACGAAGAATAGTTCGAAGGATTCGAGACCATAATCTCTTCTCGACGTCGGGGGCTCTACCTGAACAAATCAAATTCGACATATTCAAGGACGGCGTGGACTGCTATGTAGGCTACCTCGACAACAATGAACTCCATGAGTTCATCGCTGGCTCTATTGCCCAAGACATAGGAATCTCGCCCCAGCAAATGCGACACTGCTTGGATGAGACGCCCATAAGCATTTCTGAGAGTAGCGCTTTTATCCGGATCGGTAGAAGCACGCTTGAGAAGGTCCCCGGTCGCCGCCATAAACCTGCAAGAACATCTTTGGCCCTTACCCAATACGCCCAGAGAACATTGGACAGCATCTCAGCCACTGCAAGTTATTCAGAACCCTGCCTTTTAGTCGGTGAAACGGGTGTCGGCAAAACAACATTGGTCCAACACATTGCCAATCTCGTCGGTCAGAAGCTCACGGTGGTGAATCTCTCGCAACAAAGCGAGGCAAGTGACCTTCTGGGTGGCTTCAAGCCTGTTACCACCCGCTCTGTGGTCCTCCCTCTCTTAGAAAAGTTCAACTCTCTGTTTGAGGATACCTTCTCTACGAAAAGAAACGAGAAATTTCAAACGGCCATTGCGAAAGCTGTTGCGAAGCAGAATTGGTCGAGACTGGCAATCCTGTGGAACGAAGCTATCCAGATGGCAGCCGAATCGTTAAATGTGTCTTCGGAGCCTTCCAACGGAGTCGAATCGGCTCATGTGAGCAAACGACGGAAGATCACCACGCCAAAATACGATACTTTGCGCAACAGATGGTCCGATTTCTCGGAGACTTTCAAGCGCGTTCGATCACAAATCGATCGTGGTGACAAGAATCATACTTTTACGTTTGTGGAAGGAAGACTAGTTCAAGCAGTCCGCGAGGGCGAATGGATTCTGCTAGACGAGTTGAACCTGGCGTCACCCGACACTCTAGATTACGTTGTAAGTCTTCTTCACAACGGCGATGAGGAAAAGCCATATCTGCTCCTCGCCGAATCAGGGAATCTCGAGTCGATAGTTGCACATTCGAACTTTAGGATTTTTGCAGCAATGAATCCCGCCACAGACGCGGGGAAAAAGGACCTTCCACCTGGACTGAGATCCCGGTTTACCGAGATCTATGTCCCTCCTGGCGATAACAACTTGGAAGATCTTACAAAAATCATCCAGTCCTACCTTGGCTCTCAGCTTGATAACGACAAACGAGCAGCGCTGGATCTCGCAAAGGCTTACCTTGATCTGAAAAAGCTCAATGAAGAGCACCAATTGACAGATGGAGCGGGTGACATTCCACATTTCAGCATTCGTTCGCTCGTTCGCTGCCTCTTGTACGCGTCAAGATACAGTGCGAGTCATGGTCTGAGACGTGCTATTTATGAAGGATTTGCCATGAGCTTTTTCACCATCCTCAGCAGAGCATCTGAGAGCCTGGCTCTGCCGTTCCTTGAGAAGCATCTTTTATCAAGCATCAAAAACCGAAAATCCTTCCTCAACCAGGAACCCAAGATGCCCTTCGACGGCGGAGAATACATTGCTTTCAGACATCATCTAGTCAAGAAAGGTCCTCTGTCACCTGATTCTCAACCGCACTATATCAGGACGCCATCGGTGGAACGCAATTTGCTCAATTTAGCTCGAGCAGCCTCGATGCGACGCTTTCCAATCCTTCTGCAAGGCCCGACTTCTGCCGGAAAGACTAGCATGGTAGAATATCTTGCGGCGTTGTCTGGTAACAAATTTGTACGGATAAACAACCATGAGCACACAGATCTCCAGGAATATCTTGGTAGCTACGTTTCAGATTCCGATGGCAGGTTACAATATCAGGAAGGAGTTCTGCTGGATGCTCTTCGAAAGGGTCACTGGATTGTTCTTGATGAATTGAACCTGGCTCCAAGCGATGTTCTTGAAGCTCTAAATCGTTTGCTCGACGACAATAGAGAGCTTCTCATACCGGAATCTCAGGAAATTGTGCGACCTCATCCAAACTTCATGCTATTTGCAACACAGAATCCGGCTGGCTTATACGGCGGACGAAAGCGCCTTTCGCGGGCTTTCAGAAACCGCTTTCTCGAACTTCACTTCGATGATATCCCCGAAGATGAGCTGGAGGTCATTCTGCGAGAGCGGGCGCAAATTGCACCATCTTTCTGCACCAAAATTGTCGCGGTGTATAAAAAGCTAGCTCTTCAAAGACAGTCTTCAAGATTGTTTGAACAGCACAATAGCTTTGCGACCTTGCGTGACCTTTTTCGGTGGGCTGCAAGGCCTGTGGATGACAGACAGCAGCTAGCCTATCACGGATTCATGCTCCTGGCAGAGCGTGTAAGAGACCCTGCAGAGCGAATCGTTGTTAAGAAAACGATCGAAGAGACCCTGAAAGTGGATATCAACGAAGAACTACTCTATGGTCTATCCGCAGTTCCCGATTCCGTTCAACAGCCCGGTCTTATTGTTTGGACTCCCGCAATGAGACGACTTTTTGTGCTGGTCTCCGAGGCCCTGAAGAACAACGAACCCGTCCTTTTAGTGGGAGAGACGGGCTGCGGAAAAACCCAAATTTGTCAAGTCGTCGCCGACGCATTTGGCCGACCACTTGATATTTACAATGCCCATACCAATACTGAAACCGGTGATCTGATCGGCTCTCAGCGACCAGTTCGCAACCGCTCCGATCTCGCTAGCCAGATAGGAGAGATTTGGCGTGCTATGCTGGGATCCAATTCAAATACCGCCCTTAGTAATAACCTCGATGTCGACAAAATAATCGAGGAATTTGGAACATTGGACCAGTCAATGTATGATCCCGAAATTGTGGAAAAGATGCGGTCCAACATTGGAGCGTATAAGGCCCTGTTTGCCTGGAACGACGGCAGTCTGGTCAGAGCTATGAAAAAGGGGGAGTTTTTCTTGCTCGACGAGATCTCTCTTGCTGACGACTCGGTCCTGGAACGTCTAAACAGCGTCCTTGAACCATCACGAACAATCTTGCTAGCCGAAAAAGGGTCCCTGAACAATCTCGTTGTTGCCAATCCAGGGTTTCAATTCCTTGCTACGATGAATCCAGGCGGCGATTATGGAAAGCGAGAGTTGTCGGCAGCGCTGCGCAATCGGTTGACGGAGATATGGGTACCACCATTATCGCAAGAGGCAGATGTAGTCCCAATTGTCCAGAACAAGCTGCACCCGACAAAGCGTCACTTGGCCGGAATCATGCTCGGGTTTGCCACTTGGTTTCGGAGCAACTTCAGGGACACAAATTCGACCACTATTCCACTTCGCGATTTGCTGGCATGGGCAGATTTTGTGAACCGTGCTCAAAATCTGAGTGAACAGGTCGCTTTTGTCCAGGGTGCCTTCATGGTCTACGTCGATTCGATCGGTGCAAACCCAGCCGGAATGGCGTCGACCGGTGCCACCGACTTGAACGGGTCAAGACACCGATGCTTGGATCATCTGCAAACTCTGGTCAGCATCGACGTCTTCCAAACGTACCAGGAAACACCCCAGCTGAGCGTGAGTGATGACCTGCTCTTCGTTGGTCCGTTCTCCTTGAATCGAAGCAGTCATCCGGTGCAGGGCAGTCCAGATCTTGTTTTTGATGCACCCACGACTTTGCAGAATACGATGAGAATTGTCCGCGCTCTTCAAATGACAAGACCCATTCTGCTTGAAGGAAGCCCTGGTGTCGGAAAGACCGCTATTGTGACTGCTCTTGCTCAAGCTTTGGGAAGACCATTTACTCGCATTAATCTCTCGGATCAAACTGACCTGATGGATCTCTTCGGGGCCGATGCTCCCTCTGAAAACGAACAAATGGGGAAGTTTTCCTGGCAAAATGGTCCCCTATTGGATGCCATGCAATCAGGAGGCTGGGTCCTCCTCGATGAAATGAACTTGGCTTCACAATCTGTTCTGGAAGGTCTCAATTCGTGCCTGGATCACCGTCGGGAGGTCTATATTGCGGAACTGGACAAGTCTTTCACATGCCACCCAGATTTCACTTTGTTTGCTGCCCAAAATCCTCATCATCAAGGTGGTGGAAGAAAGGGTCTTCCAACTTCATTCGTCAATCGATTCACCGTTGTCTATGCAGATGCATTCCAGCAAGAGGACCTGATGTGCATCTGCCGGGCAAAATTCCCCAATATGCCAGATGATCAATTCCGAGGCGTAATCAAAACCGTCGCTAAGATCGGGTGTGTTGTTGCCCAGGCGGCGCTGTTCACTCAAGGAGGCCCTTGGGAGTTGAATATACGTGATGTCAATCGATGGTTGGCATTATGTGGAGATCAGCCGACACTTCACCCCTTTTATCATTTCAATACCATTGTAAAAGGGCGTTTTCGCACGTCTGCCCAAAGAGATTTTGTGTCGGAAGTGTGCAAGGACATTTCGTCGTGTTCGCCGGCTGAGAGCTTCTACAACCGTATCACGCCAACATCGCTCCAGATCGGGTCTGCATTTCTCAGCAGAGACACTATGTTCCAGCACACCAAGGTCCCCCACTCGACTATCCCTGTGACACAACTTCCTGTTGCCAAGTCCATAATCACTGCCATTAACAAAAACTGGCCCGTGATTCTTGCAGGACCTTCTGGCTCGGGGAAGAGCACTCTCATTCGGTCTATTGCGGCCATGTCTGGTGTTGACCTCGTTGAGTTCTCCATGAACTCTGACGTCGACACAATGGACCTCGTTGGCGGCTTTGAGCAATACGATGTTCGCCGTGATATGCTGATTTTCCATGATAAGGTCAAAGAAGCTCTCCGACAACGAATTGCAGCCTCGATAGGGGATCAGGACATTGGTGAGATGCACACCAAGTCGCTCAGATTATGGCAGATTTTGGAAACCGGCGATATTGATCTGTCGAAGCTTCGAGCCACGTTGCCGACTGTCTTGAGCATTGTACCGGAACTTAAAGGTTCGGTAGAAGCGCTTTCGTCTCTTCTCCACTCATCAGAAAACTTGAAGTCCCGCTTCGTCTGGAATGACGGTATTCTTGTCGATGCTGTGGAAAGAGGCTCATGGCTTGTTCTTGACAATGCAAATCTATGTAACCCATCTGTTCTAGACAGACTCAATTCACTTCTCGAGCCATGCGGCTTGCTTGCTATTAGCGAGCAACATAGTGGCAGCAGCGGTACCAGGATCGTCAAGCCACATCCAAATTTCAGGATTTTCTTGACGGTGGATCCTTGTTATGGAGAGCTGTCACGAGCAATGAGAAACCGCTCATTGGAGATCTTCATGCCTAAGGCCAATCCCGATCACCTGGAAACGGTGGCTATTCAATATCCATGTGATTCGGCAGTTAGTCGCCTGAGACCCCTGTCTGAGGCTGCGAGCAAGAGACCTACTAAAAATACGATTGATGCCTTTGTTGATCACCTATCTATCAGAGACATGACAATGATCTCACCCGGGAAGGACTTTGTACCTCGGTGCGGTGGCGGAGAACAACTTGCATTGGAATTGAGCAAATGGAATTCACCTGACACCAGCAGAGTATACCAGATGTTCTCGATTCCGGAAGCCCTTGACGACGCTAGTCTGCCTCAGTTAGTGACCCTCAATGAACCACTCACTCTTCTCGGAGGTCTACCCAACTTCGATTCCGCACATTCCAGTTCCGCCGAGCTCGTCACCCTTACCTGGTATACGAATAGACGTCTGAGAGACATCAAAGCCAAGTTAAGGGATGCGACCATTCAAGCCATCACGGTGCCGGCTAGAGACCGAACAATCCTTGAAAAATCAGCCATTATTGCAAACGGAACAGAGAATCCTGAAGCCATTCCAGAGATTTTTCTTTTCGCTAACAGTTTGATTCAGGAGATCTCTGTATCCCTGCTAGGTCAGCCTCAGGGGATCATAAGCCCACAACTGCTGGAAGCGGCTGATCGAACACTCATATTGACTCAGGATTTGGTACGGCTCGGTGACGCCAAAAAGTTGGACGTTGCGTGCTTCCAAGCATACTTGCAGATCGGAGCCACACTGGCTCGTTTCATGGGAGAGACCGTTCGAGGCTTAGCTTCCACGCTCCAGGCGCTCCTAGATAGGCTCTCTGCACACAAAAGCAGGTTAATCACGGGACTCGGGCTTCAACTCATGTGGCAAACATTCCGGCCGAAGACAGCGGGAACCGCATCTCAATTGGAAACGCAACTTGCGTTAGAAGGGCTTATTTCCCGGTTTGACTATGTCTGTCGTTCCTTGCCTCAGCCCAGAACGTCATTATCGGCTCTGAGATCGAAACTACGGCTCACGTACAGATCGATCGTTGAGTCTGAGCAACCTGAGACATCTCTCTCGGCTCTTCGAGAAGCTGTGGCTGAGCTCGAACACCAGTCGGCAAAGGGCTTTTTCCTGGAAGGAAAATTCGAGAATGTGATGAATTATATATACCAAATCGTCAGACTAAAAGCCCGGAGGGATGATCAAGCGGAGTTAGAAACGCTGGCAATGTTCATACCTGAATCCGAAAGAAATATGCTCATCATCGAGGACGACACATCAGTTGCTGCGTCATTGAGTCAGCTTGCTTCAATGAATCTTTGCCTTCTGACAGATCAAGATTCTACCGGACTGGACCTTTTCAAGCAATTGTCCTCTGTTCAAGAGCAATACATTGGTATACTAGACCATGCAAAAGAAGAGTTACTCGAGCTCGCTAAGGTCACAACTTCACATACAACTGCTTTTGAGACGGATACGATCACGCTCATCTTGATTGATGCCTTACGAACCGTCCTCTCCGGCATCGTATCTTCACATTACGAATACCTGACGAAGGAGGCAAGATTGTGCTTCTCTTCACAGAAATCCCTGGACCTGAATCAACTTGCCAGACTGCCCGCTAACAAGGTTGTTCTCGGCGGACGAGACCAAGATTTCTTCAGGGAGATGTACCTCAGCCGGATTTATCCAACGCTTGTGCTACTTCAAAAGGAAACACAATTTGGACTGCCGGAACTCCAAACATGTCTTATTAGCTTGTCCCTTGCTGGCTTGTTTCTGCTGGTACCCAATCAAATTTTTGATCCCGCTATCCTTCCGAATCTTGTGATCCAGCAGCATGAACGCCGAATTACTGAGCTCGAGTCGATAATTGATGGACAAAAGAGACTTCATGAACAGGTCATGGGACAGGATACCAGCTTTGTCATTCGAGTCCTGCAGAAAGAACTTCTTGAATTAGGAAATGCTCCTCCACCGCCGACAGTTTTCAGACCGACGAAGTCAGAGCTTCCGAAGCTTCAAGAAATATTCAAGAGCATTGTGAGTTTGATTACGGATGAACGGACTTTTCAGCCGTTAAATAAACGGACCAGCCAACAAGGAAAGTCAAATCTAGCCGCTATTGTCCGACGCTTGGAGAGTTCAAATCGAGCTTACGATGATTTTGTGAAGCCTATCTCGTGGTTCTTGAAGTGCTTGTCTTTTGGATTGCAACTTCAGGAAACATTATCAACCCAGAATGGTCGTGACAACGCCACTCTCAGTTATATTCCCATACTAGCTGTTGGCAAAGAGGGTTTACAAGGATGGAGTGTTCCAGTCAAGGCAACCTCGGTTTTGCGATTTCAATGGCTCGAGTATCTGGGATTAAAGAGAACCATCGGGTGGAAGCAAGACTCGACATCAATCAGAGACCTTATTCGACTCTTGGACGAATTTTATGATGAGTGGAAGGCTCGATTGACCAAGGATCAAGCTGAAGCTGCGATACAGTCTCGCTACTACACTTATCGTGGCAACGATGAGAATCAAGAAGAAATGGCAATCCGCGAGATGGGCGAGATGTTTCCTAAATTTGAGAGTGAGGACCCAGAATTCGGGAGATTCGAAGCTACATATGACGCCCGAGCAACCGCTGTGAAGCTGTGCCAGTTGCACCAGAAACTCTACTCCACTCAAGATCCCCAAGAAGCATTGCGAGAGTTCGCTCTTCGCGCTTTGGATACTATCTCCAAATTGAAAAATGATGAATCTGCCACTCCTAATGCGAATTTAACCGAGATGCTACCTGGCATTTTATTGCAAATGGAGACCAAGATGGCGGAATTGAATGGCACTTTGCAGCGCCAGGATTTTAACATCTACACCGACTTCGATGTCTCAGAAAGCCAAAAGCTCTACAACGTAGTATCTCAGTTGCAATCAAGATTCCGCGCAATCCAGGAAAGATGGCCAGAGCATGCCGTACCTGCGGAAGTTCTCTCATTCTCCAGGGAAATTTTGCATCTGAGCATCGGTGACCCTGTGGCGAAGCTTCTCATGAAGACCGAGAAGCTCTATGAGATTGTATCGCGGTGGCAAAGTGTCGCCAGTAGAGAATGGTCGGTCAGTCCCCTTCTCGAGAACTTGTCAACGTTGATCATCAGCTGGAGGCGTTTGGAACTCCTTTCATGGTCCGGGCTTTTGGATCAAGAGAAGCGGAAACATGAAGAAGATGCTTCAGCTTGGTACTTTGTTGCCTACGAAGCAGTCATCTACAACTCCACGAGGATCCCGAGGAACGGCGAGAGTGTTCAGTCTTATTGCCAAGATCTCGCACGAACACTCGAGGAGTTCTTCAAGACGACAACTTGGGGCCAATACTCGTCACGAATAAGACTTCTCGAGACGCTCAATAAGACACTGGCGGACTTGGCTAGCTATCAGGATTATCTGCTTCCACTTTGCGCCTGCGTCACCAACGTCATTGTGCACCACCGAAGATATGAGGCTCACATTGAAACTTCTCACCAAAATGGCCGGTCAGAGCTCGAGAAGGCCTTGAAGGAGCAGATCAAATTGGCGAGCTGGAAAGATACAAACGTGACAGCGCTTCGTGACAGCGCGCGGCGATCACATCACAAGCTGTTCAAAATTGTGCGAAAGTATCGGGGCCTCCTCAATCAAGTTGTCCCCCCGCTCAAGTCATCCGGAGACTCTGTATGGTACACAGCGACAGATAAAGCTGGTGTACCGCTTCAACAGCCTCAGGACAAGGGAGAAGATATGGCAACGGCGGTCAAACACTGTGAGCGCGTCATTGGCGACTGGAAAACACGACCGGAGCGCTTGACCAACCCCATGATGTCAGTGAGAAGTATGAGTCGTCTGTACCTGTCAAAGGGTACCGAGCTTCAAGTCCATTTAGAATTGGCGGCCTTCCGAGACGACTTGGTCCAGGTAATCAAGGAGTTAAGGACTCAAACACCACAAACACTGACCGACGAAAATTCGTCCCTCGTCCGGCACCTGCAAGAGAGAAAGCGACGGCTACTTGCAGACACGCTCAAAGAAGTTGCTCAAATGGGCATCAGAAGGAATCTTCCCAGTTCTGCGCTTGAGAAGCAATCTTCGCCCGCTGTAATCCTGGCCTCGTCCCCTGATGTGCTCATGAACGACTCTTCCCCCACTCTTTCCTGCGCCGACGAAAGCTTCCACGGGGTGCTTGATGCTATGTCTCAAGTTCGCGCCAGTCGGACTGATCATTCTGAAGATGTCACAGAAGGTGAAGTTAGTCGCAGTGTCGGTCTGTTGGAAGGCCTTCTTTTCGTGACCATCGGCCAACGCCAGGAGATCGCCTCCTCCGCAGAATGTCTTCACGATCTGAAATCGCAATTGTCGTTACTTCGGTCGGTCAACACTTATGCATCGAACGAGCTCTTGTATTCCACTGGACTAGAAGAGTTTGACCCGTCCTCGGCGGAGCATCTCGGGTGGCTTGCCGAAATCTTGGTTTTGGCGTGCCACATCCTAAACTTCCAAGCCCAACATGCGCACTTGAACGTCAAGGGGTTGGTGGACTCAATGAGATCCTACAGCAGCCGATTGAAAGAGTTCAGGATGACCATGGAGAATCTCCCAGGACTACCATCGGGATTGATATCGCAAACTTCAAAAATTTTACAAGATCGGGCCGAGGAGACCCTTTCGCAACTGGGCTCCCTTCTGAGTGAGTGGCAAATTAAGGAGCCTCTTGTCCGGTTCATTCTCCAGCAGATCATCCCCTGGACTGCAGAGTTACCCAAGACGCAAAGTTCGGCTCAAAATGGGACTGGCCACGTCACGGTGCAATCCTTCGACCACGACGTCCGAACCTTGGTCGATCAGATTCTTGTGGCATTGCAAAGACTATCTTCTGTACAAGATGGTATGCCAAACTCCATTGAGGATCAAGGCTGGCTCTCAACATGGGACCGAATGGTGGTGGAGGCAATTCGTTCAATGCAAGCCAGCACCATCAGCGACAACCTGAAATCTCTGTTGATTACCCTTCGCCATGTGGTACCAGAAGATCGGGCCACTGCCAAAAGTCTCCTGCTGGTCGCATCTCCTATTATCGAACAATACTATTACATCTACCAACACCTCCATAAACAGCACACCGAAAGCCATCTTGAAGTATGTCGACTTACCCTTCAATTGGCGAACTCTTTCATTACCCTCTCAAGCCAAGGTTTCTGTCGTCCGTCTGACCCGACCGACGACGAAGAGCCATCTGGTAAGCTCGAAAGTGGGACCGGGCTTGGCGACGGCGAAGGTGTCGAGGACATAAGTAAGGATGTGGGAGATGATGAAGATTTGTCTGACCTTGCACAATCGGGCCAGAAAGAGGAAAACAATGGGGAGAGTGAAAATGCAGATGATGCGGTCGATGTGGGCAGTGATGATCTCCAAGAAGCGATGGGAGATTCGGAGGAACACCCATCCGACCAAGGGGACGATCGTGACTTTTCTGGAGATGAAGACGAGAATGAAATGGATGAAGAGACGGGCTCGGTTGACGATCTTGATCCTTCTGCCGTCGACGAAAAATTGTGGGATGACATGAAAAGCGACTTGGAGAACGACAAAGAAATGCAGAATGATGAGAAGAAGGGTCAGAAGTCTCATGATCAGACCGCTGCGGATGGGGAGAAAACCGAAAAAGAAGATATGGAGGGAAGTGACGTGGACGAAGATGCGGACGAAGATGATGATCAAGATGAGGGAGCGGAACGCCCTGAAGTTGAAAATATGGATCCCCATTTGGACAATGAAGAGGCTTTGGATCTTCCAGAAGAACTACAATTGGCAGGGGAAGACGAGATGAAAGATGACGAAATCTCAGATCATGGTATGGATGAACTATCAGATATGGACAACCCTGCAGAAGAGGAAGTTGAAAGTGGAGAGATGGGGGAGACTGAGAGAGAGGATCAGTCCTTAGGCGAGGGTGCCGCAGACGAGGAAATTGGTGAAAAAGAATATGAGCTGGAAAATGATTTTGGGCAGGACGACGAGATCATGGAAGGTCAACCCGAAGAACCGGAAGACGATAAGCAAGATGGCCATGATACCCGTGAAGACAACGTGGCTCAAGATTGGGGCGAAAATGCTGGAGGTGAATCCGGAGCTGCTAATGAACTACATGATACGATCGACCCGGAGCAAAATATCCAAGGAATGAATCAAATCGAGAAAGAAGCCAGTCTCCAGCAATCTCGACCTGGCGATGCACCTGAAAATCAAGAGCAAGGCCAGTCCGGGACGGAGGCGACCGAGCCGGGCACGGGTCGTACCGACACCAACGAATACGAACAGAACGAAGCGCTGAAAAAGCTGGCACATGTACTCGATCAATGGCATGAACGACGTGAGATTCTACCAATGCCAGAAGAACAACATCAAAAAGACCAAAACCAAGACGTGGACATGGCAGGTGCTGATTTCGAACACGTCAATGATGAGAATGCAGGAGACGCACAAGCTCTGAGTGCAGCCGCTGCCGACCAAGCTCAAAATCTTGATCAGAGCAAAGCAATTGAAGATGATGATCTGTCCATCAATGAAGACACATATCTTCCTAGTGCCATGGAGTCAGAGCTGCCGGACAGCATCACAGAGAGACTCAACCGTCTTCAAGCCCAGCCAAAGGGGACCCAGTCAGGAGAGGCTTCCTTTGTCCCCGGCCATCAATGGCGGGACAACAAGCGAGAACACTGCACAGAAGAACCCGGTGTTAATTCGGATGATCTCTCTCCGGATATCGAACGGCTCGATCTGGCCCATAATACAGATCTACCTTCTCCCCCAACTAGCGCTGTTGACGCAGCCCAACTCTGGAACTACTGCTCGACCACAACGCACCAATTCTCAGTCGTCTTGGCCGAACAGCTTCGCCTCATCCTGTCCCCGACAACAGCGACAAAACTCCGCGGCGACTACCGTACAGGCAAACGACTCAACATCAAACGCATCATCCCATACATCGCCTCGAACTATAAGAGGGACAAGATCTGGATGCGGCGCTCCGTGCCCAGCAAGCGCAACTATCAAATCATGATCGCGGTCGACGACAGCAAATCGATGAGCGAGTCCAGCGCAGATATCCTTGCATTCGAAACGCTTGCCATGCTCACGAAGGCCCTCTCCATACTCGAGGTCGGCGAGATCTGCATCGTCGGCTTCGGCGATCAAGAGCACATCCGCGTCGCCCATCCGTTTGGCACGCCCTTCTCCCCCGCCGAATCCGGTATCGGTGTCTTCCGCGCCTTCAGCTTTGCGCAGCGTGGCACCAATGTGAAAAATCTGGTAAGGGAGAGTCTCCAGCTCTTCCGCGACGCGCGTATCAAAGCCTCTTCCGGCACCGAGGATCTCTGGCAACTTCAACTCATCGTCAGCGACGGGCACTGTTCAGATCACGGGGCCATCGCGCGCCTCGTCCGCCAGGCCCACGCGGAGAAAATCATCATGGTCTTCGTCATCGTCGACGCTAGCGCTGGGAGCGAGAGTATTCTCGATCTCAAGCAAGCAGTTTTCGAACCCGATCTGGACTTTGCTGATGGTGAAGGACCGGCAAAAATGACCGTTCGCACAAAGAGATACCTTGACGATTTTCCGTTCCCGTATTACCTTGTTGTCAGGGACGTGAGGGATTTGCCTCGTGTGTTGGCGTCGGCGTTGAAAGGGTGGTTTGCTAGTGTGGTTGATGTTCAGGGCTAGAGGTCGATTTTAATTGACACGGCATAGCAGAGCACAAAAATACATTATTCGTGGATAAATAGGACCCGAACAAGTGTTTGAAAGTGATAGTATGGTGCCCGCTCTAAATTGACGTGGTATTTTATTGAAAGCGTAAGCTTTCTTTTAAATCCCGACCCCTCTGCACGTGACCTTACCATGGGCGAAAAATAAATCACGTGCCTGAAAATGACCGTGTCACGTGCTTTCCCGGTCGAACCTCGGCGCCGGTTTCAAACATTCCAAGCCTTGTCACGTGATCTGGCGCCCCTTTTCGCAATGTGAACAAGATGAGCTTCATGGCAGATTCTTCATTCCCACGAGCGGTATAGTATGTGAGTGCATCGTGGTTACCAAATAGAGCGCAACAAAGTAGGAGTGAAGAGCGCATCAGGCTCTATATATGTTGTCGAGAATATGGCTGAAGAGCGTACTAGGGTATATCGCGAACTTGCGCGAGAAATAGAGGCAGAGCACTCACCTTGTCCAAATCGCATAGATGCCTTCAAAGAGCACCGTCTGTGAAGAAAAAGCACATCCATCCGCTGCCCGCCGCCCTGTGCCCACGCTGCCTTACGTATGCCCACTGCGCCGTGCGCCAGGATCCCTATTCACGACCATGCACTGGCTTGAACATAACTGCCTTTCATCGATGATAGGTAGTGAATGGGTGTGGCAGAAACAGCTACAGCAACAATGCGCGCATCTGTCTCTCTTCTTTTCACCACCTCCATCACCATCATCACCACCACCGCACGAGTTTGACTGGTGTCTCTTGTTTTATTCGTTCTCGCAGTGCCCTTGAATATGGCGCCTCCAGGCGACCTGTTTGCGCACACCCCGGCTCCCGATATGGGTGCCTTGTCGACTTTGATTGGTCGCGAGGTCAAAACTTCACTTGTCTCTTGTGCCCCCGGTTTTGCGGCAGCCTCGAGTTCTGGCGACTTGCAGACATCTTACCTGGCCTCTGTCGCAGGAGGCGCGCTCGCCGTTCTTGCTGCTTCCGAGTCTTCTTCTGCCTCCGCGGCTGGTTCTATCTCCTGGTCCTCTTTCGCCTCTCCCGCTGTCACCAACAAGAAGGACGACGATTCTTCTGGGCCCTCTCCTCCCCTTCCGCCACCACCGTCGTCCAGCCGTTCAAGAAGAGGAGACCGGTGCAAGCGGTGCATTTGGCAGCGAAAAGGCTGTGACGGCGTACGACCCGTTTGTGGAAACTGTGCCAGAAGTGCCAAACATCGAAGCAACTGCCAGTGGCCACATGGTCGTCCGACAAGAAGACATTTGTCGGAAATGCTTGCTCAAGGAGGGAACGCCGGTTCTGCCAGTCCTTCAACATCATCGTCTGCTGCTCCTGCTGCCCTCGTCGCCGCTGCGGCGGGTCCCACCGTCGTCGCCGTTGCACAACAACCACCTCAACAAGGAAACTCCCCTGTGCCCCAGCAACCTGAGGCAGCTCGAACTATGGCCCAAGTCATCAATCCAGTTGTCGTCCCTGGTTCAATCCTCAACATCCCAGAGCCGCAGAAGGAGAATTACTTGACCGTCACCCCAGACCATGCATGGGGGAATCATGCTGGCTATCGAGCCATTCCGGACGGTAATCAAAGATATACCTTGATGCGCGAGTATGTATACAGACCAGGTCGACCACTGGAAGAGTGTGAGACAACATATTTCTCCGAGAGTGCTGCGACTCCGACCGCGACCGCTTCTGCCACCGCCACTGCCAATCCTTCTGAGACTGCTGGTCCGGCTGGTCCTGATACACCTTCTGCAGCTCCTACCGTTACCGCTGCGACTCCTGCTCAACAACTGCAATGGAACTGGCCACCACACGACATCGTCGGTCCTGAGGGCACATTCAATCCCAATCCTCCACACAGAGATCTCAGCGCTCCTCAGTCTCTGGGCAGACTCTTACACGAAAGCAGGGTGACCGAACCAACCGTCCGACTCGATCGTCACATTCAGTTTAATGCACCAGTCGGATACCTACTCCACGAGCAACACCAGCAGAACGAGGCCAACGTGGAAGGCAATGCCAGAAGCGCAGGCGACAATCATATCCCCGATGCTGACGACATCTGGCGCTTCACCAACTTCGATGGCACCGAGAAGATCTAGGAGTGTTGGCTAAAACCAAAAAGCAGTCTGAATTGAATGATGTCGATTTGGGAAAAGAACCTGAGGACTAAGGATTGGTTAGGTTGGAGAGACTTGGAAAGAGACACGGAATGTGGTCGAGAATTGAGTGGGTGCGAGGAGCTATCGACGACCTTGGTGAGTGTGGCGGTTGTAATACTGTCGTCAAGTCAACATCAGCATTCAATGTTCAGGTGGAAAAGACTGGATTCATGTCATTATTGAGTTTTCCCAGTTCTTTTTCTTGTCGAAATAGCAGGCTCTTTCTGGGCTATGACGAAGCTGTCATCAAATCGTGTTCTCCGTCTGTGAGGAAAAGACAGAGCAGGCTCCGGGCCATGGGACAAACAGATCCAATTGCAATTGCTTCATTTTACCATCCGTATTTGCTTCCCGCTTCCTTCTTGTTTCTTCTTCCTGTAGCGAAGCTGTCTTCTAGGGCTTCTTTCTGTCCGGTTGCAGCGCTAACTAGTTGTTTGAGACTGTGCTTGCCGGGAGCAATGGCTCGGACTGGATTATGTTGGATTTGTTCGCCACTTGCACGCAAAGCCTCGTTCGCGGCGTATTCCTGGTCCGTGTTAAAGTTTACTACGTTAATTGCAGTGCCAGTCGGCTGCCTATGCCGTCCGAAGAGCTGCCGCCGCTCTGCTTTCGAGAGGTTTAAGTCTGAAGCAATAGAATCTAGTGTTTGAGGTTGGTGTGAATTTGTCGGCGCTGTACTGGATACATCGGCGGGTGCAGATATGTTATCGTCTGAAGGTTCGTGTAGGACTTCAATAATTCCTTCTTCTTCGTCGTCGTCTTCCTCCTGTAGATCACGGGCTACGGCCTCTGGTTCTGTGGGGTTGTGCATGGAAAACAAGCTGACTTTCTTTGATAGAGGGGTAGGGTCGGTCTGTTCAGTTGCGGCGGTATTTGGTACGCTGTGAATCGATGCTTTCGAACTGTCTTGAGGCTTCAAGGCAACAGGTTTGGGAGCGTCGGCTTTGCGTTTTGGCTTCTTGATATTTCGCGCCACGGACAGAGGTTTGAACATGAACACATTTCCCTTTATCGGTGGTTCCGTCGAGGCGTTTCTCGCCACTCCCATGCTCTGGGGTACTGAAGGTATTGTATCGTCCGCATCCAAATGGTTGTTTTCTGATTTGTGGTCTCTATCCACCTCTTGCCCCGGAAATAATTGCCGCACCTCCGCATCCGATTCTCGACTGAAACCAGGTTCAACGCCTGTTTTCAGACTGAACACTTTCCTGGTTATTGGCTTCGCGGGTGTCTTGACGGACGAGTCTCGTTTCGGGGCCGGAAGCATGGCGTTGAATCCCCTGAAGGCGCCTCCGCCACCAACACGAGGTCTCTTGGGGGCTGGCTCTCCATCGGCGTCGTCATTTGTGGGTTGGTCTTGTAATCGGACTTGTATCTTCCTCGGGTCTGCTTTGTTGACTGCAAAATTTGTGTTCGAGGGCGCACTTGAAGGTTTGGGCGCAGGCTTCTGGATCGTCGTCTGTGGCTTCTCCTCTCCCTCGGAGCCTTCTGAATCTGAATAGGCGACCAAAGACATCTTTGGAGCTCGTCGAATCGTATTGATTTCAAAATGGCACCGCCGTGGAAGATGAGTTGGGTGGCTGAGCTTCGTTGAGTACTCCGGAAGCCATACCGATCAGAGCCCAACTGGGTTTTCTCAAACCCGGCTAGACCTGCCTCCCGGTGATACGCTGGTTTCGGCTAAGCCCACGAGACTCTGCAAGCCTCAATAGATTTCCTCGTGTTGCCGTGCATGTAACTACGTAGCTCAGGATATTGAACAAGGTCAGGGTAACTGAGCCATACACCTTTCTTACTCTGTGGGCGCTTGCAAGAGGATATCCTAATCGAGATGCGGATGAGATCCTTAGCTCTAGGAGCCTTTCACTGAAGTCGATGAAAGCGCAGGGAGACGCTTGGAACGTCGTCCTGGTAGCTTTGCTCGACAAGGCATTCCCACGCCGCGACCAACCATATATTCTATCCTTCATCCTCTCGTCTGCGGCCGATTCATCAACAGCAACGACCTACTCGGCGGAGGAAGGGCATCAAAGACTTCCTTACAGAGTACCCAACCGCACGCCGAGATGAAATCTGTGACTTCCTCCGTGAGGAGTATGATATGAGACATCCGTGGGGCGCCCCCTGAAGCGAATGAATACTACAAGAAGCAGATTACCAAGGTCAGTGGCCGCAGGGATGAAGACTTGGTGGGCCAGTTTCTCGCAAAGATATCGCGATACTCTGTGGCAAGATGAATAGCTCTCGGACGGCCTTCAATTACGCTGGGTATCTCTACGCCAGCGAGAGAGCGCCTGAGGGCTTTCTTCTGCTGAAAATGGAGGACGGGGAGATGTTATTTGCTCGCACAACATCTATTGAGCGCCTGACGGTATTACAACAATGGGACCAAATTAATAAATGATCTGCTAGTATATAGAGATTAACTCAAGGAATCGATTGATACTATTCACGGATCTTGAATCAATGTGGTTGTCGAGTAAAACGCTCTCAGAACATTCACAGCGCTTTGGCATACAACATGATTTCATTCGCCTCGGTAAACTTGCAAAATTTTTGAGAAGTACTTCTTGCGCGGCTTCCCCAGAGACGAGAGCGCATATTACCAGCCAAGCATCTTGCACATTTATTCAAGGCGCGCCAACTCCTCAAATGCCCCCTGAGAGGTAGGAAAGTATCACCGTCTGGCATGTTCGCTTTCAGAGTCGGATTGAGGGCTGCCAGCCGGGCATCTCGCTTTCGTCCCAACCTCATCCCCCAGTTCACCCAAGCACCACGATTTCAACCTCGCCGTCCGATCTCATCGGGTCCGCGTTATAGACGATTCGGCGATAGGGATGGGTCGCAACAACAATGGAGTAATTTTGGCCCTATGTACAGAGCCCAGTATATTTGGAGGAACTACCAAAGGCCTCTTATCATTGCTGGTGTAGGAGGCGGGGTCTTTTATTACATCAACCTCGAGGAAGTTCCAATATCACATCGCCGCCGTTTCAATTTGCTCTCTCCCGAGGCCGAAAAACAGATCATGGGCGGTGACGGAGTGTACAAGCAGGTACTGGCGGAATTCAAAGGCAAGATTCTTCCGTCTAATCATCCTTTGACCAAGGAAGTGGCACATGTCGTGGAACGTCTGCTTCCTACAACGGGTGGTCTCGCCGGCGACGAGTGGGTAGTGCATGTGGTCGATGATCCAAGCACGATGAATGCGTTTGTCATGCCTGGAGGGAAAGTCTTCGTTTTCACCGGGATCCTGAAAGTTTGCCAGAATGAAGCTGGCCTTGCCTCGGTCTTGAGTCACGAAATGGCGCACAATGTTGCGCATCATGCGGCAGAAAGGCTCTCCAGATCGGGCTTCACTCTCCTTGCCAGTATGATCTTCGTGCTATTCCTGGGCATCGACAGGGGGATCTCGAATTCTATAACCCAACTAGTCCTCGAATTTCCCAATTCAAGAACACAGGAAGCCGAAGCCGACCACATCGGTCTGCTTATGATGGCAGAAGCATGCTACAACCCTCGAGAGGCTGTCGCATTTTGGGAACGGATGAAAAAGTCGGAGCAACTCCAACCTCCACAGTTCTTGTCGACCCATCCAAGCCATTATAATCGCGCTGAATATATCAAGAAGTTGCTCCCGGACGCCGAGGCGAAGTTCGCTGAACATGGCTGTTCTTCGATGAGACACTATACAAATGAATTCAAAGACGTATTAGCATGGCATCGACTCGGAAAAGACGGACCGATAAGGATGCAGCAACCACAGACGAGAGACGATGATGACGACTTTTTCTGAATCGAAAGAAGTGGCCCCCAAGGGCAATGACACTCCGCTCAATTTAGCGCATTTTCCGCTTCCAGCTCGGGCATCCTAATTTACCGAAATGGACATGGGGAACACAAGGACCGTGCCCGAGAAATCTCTCCACGGGACGCTTGGGTTATTTGCCTTAAATAGGCCGTCACTGAGCCGCTAGTTGACTCGACGATACCTCACATCACCTCTTCTCATCAACATCGGATCACGTTCGGCTTACCGAGATCCGCTCCCGACTTTAAATTGACGTGGCGAGTGCAATAGAGCTTGCACTCTTGTGTGTTATCAGACACATCCCCTCTCGAGTGGAAAAGACTCCCATCTCAATCTCAGACGAAAGGCACCACGTTCAAAATGGCAGGCAAAGTTGAGGTTTCCGAAGTTGCCTGGAGAGCTGGTGTGGCATCCGGTACCACTGAAATACTCCGATATATCATCAACATAGGACCACCCCTGATCACGCGGGACAGGAATCGACCAAAGAACTCATCGAAAGAAAAGGATGCTCTACAGGCAAATCTCCCAAAAAATGGGGAATTTCAAGTGCGACGTCTCTTCCCCGAAAAGCATTACCTCGGCCTACGCACCAGCAAAAGAAACCTTTACCTGGATCGATTATTCTGTCCAATGTGCCGGTATCATCGTCTTTGGCGCACCCAGCGTCAACTGCTTCGTTGAAGACTTCGACAAGCAGTACGCCATCAAGATCATGCGCTCCCCACCACTCGACTCCAAAGCATACCCCGAGGCTCAGATTCCGGCAGGGCGTGCCTAACGTGGCTCCGTCGTCAACATTCCGTCTTCCCTAGGCCACTATGCTGCCCCCCAATCGCATCCGCGTCAACGCCATCTTGTCCGGCGTTGGTTGATTCGCCTATAACTCAAGCCTAGAGGTCAAGGCCTGGTTGGAGGAAAGTCTCGTGCAGCATACTCCGATGAAGCGCTGAGATGTCAGCCAGAAGAGATTGCAGATGACGTGGCTTTTTGGCAGACAATCGAGTGAGTTGTGTCACTGGGTAAAGCCGGTCGATTGATGGAGATTAAAATGCAGGTTCCCAAGTGCACAGGTATGGCAGTAGTAGTAGGCAAGGATACTGAGATACGGCTCAAAGTATGAAATGAATTAAGATGATCCCCTCCTTGGTTTCACGCCCTGATTCATAAGAATTTGAAAGTATGTGTACGAAGTCAAGAGAACATCCAGCAGGATCGCTACACCACTCTAGGCGGACTAGTCGCAGGGCTTCTCTCACTCTCAATCTTGGTCTGTAGCATCCTGACATACGTATTCTGACTATTCGGGCTAGCACTCAGCACGTCAAAGAGGTACCGTAACTCCCGGCTGTCGGACCAATTCAAGTTCGCGATAGTCAGGGCGTCCATCAAAGTATATGCAACCTCGAAGAGTTTCTCGAAGATGCCGAGGCCATGGACGAGGATGGCATCGTATGAGATTTCGGTCATAGCGGTACACAGATTTTTGGCGATGTCAATCGGATACCACGACGAGAAAATGGGATCTGATGAGCTGTAGCTGACCAGCCCCTGCCGCATCGAGGCTTGCCAGAAGATCAGACGCAACCACTGGTGTGTGATTAGGACGTCGGCTTTTTGAATGTCTGTCATGGCGGAGCGGTCGAACGACATCTCGTTCAGTGAGTGCTGAATGGCAATGACGTTGTCGATGGTTTCGTATATCTGGGATACTTCGCATGGAGACGTGGCACTCCACAGACGAACGAACTTCTCGTCGAGGATGGAGAAGAGGTTGACTAAGGCGGAGAAGCCGGCGAGAATGATCCCGTCTTGCTCGTCAAAATATTCTGTCGAGAGACGTGGTAGGCGCGTGATTTGTGTGGGTTTATTGCGAAGGATGGCGAGGCCGCGTTCAGTGATGAATAGCAGAGCAAACGTACGCCGGGAACAGATCGCTTGCGTTTCGTCCATGCCAACGTAGGTGGATTCGAGATGAAGGCCCTGTTCCATCGCCATTCCAATGGCCTCGCGGAGGTAGAAATGATGAGCTCGTGGTTTCTTGAGCTCAAAGAGGGCGACGCTAATGTGATAGCTTGCTTGTATCGACATTAATGAAGTTGATTCTGCCCAGTCCACAGAACGTCGTAGATACCAGCATAGCTCTACAAATTGTTTTCCGAGTTGCAATTTCTTGTCTAGCGGCAGATCCGACTGCGGTGCGGCGTGAAGAACTGTCGTGGCACAAAGTGATAGAATGAGAATTTTTTCTTCATTAGATAGTTCCTCGTTCTGGTTGAGTCGTTGGAGAAATGAGGTTTCGTGAATCATCGGTCGTATCGAATAAAGGTGTCTGAAATATTGACGGACGCATTGTGACATAAGATACGCCGACATTCCTAATTCGGTAGCGAGGCTCTGAATTCGAGGTTCGCTCTGAAAATTACCTGAATCGCTACCATACAGAGACTTTGGTTCGTGTAATGGTATCGGTGAGCTCGTGGACGTGGCAGATGGGGAAGGTGCGCCGGATTGTGCGCCGCCTGTCAACATCGCGTCCAAAGAGGTAGGCTTCGTGAGTGGAGTTGAAGTCCTGGAAGGCGTCTGTGTATTGGACCTGGCAGGAAACATATTTGTAACAGGTAGGGGAGCTTCGGGAAAGATCTGTTGAGCCAAATCACTGACAGACATATAGCCCGTGGGAGAAATAGGAGCCTGGAATTGCAGGAGTTCGGAGGTTTGCATCTGCCATGATGCAGGGAGTTGAATGCCTGCTTGAGCAAATGCTGTATGGGAGTTCGGTTCCAACTCAACTTCATCGGGCAGCACGGGGATCGATCGTGGTGCGGTTGTCGGATCTGACGTTGGAGTAAACGTGTCACCAAAATGTGAGCTCGTCGGAGACGTCAAAGGGGACCCCAAAGGACTGTCGTTGGTCAATGCCCTATTCAGAGATGGCATCTGCAATTGTAATTGAGACAGATCGAATAGAGGGAGATTCGGGTCTTGTAGCGAGTTTTGATGATTTTCATCTCGCAGTTTTGCAATGACCGAACCTGATCCTTTCTTTGGTCCTCGTTTCTTCCGCGCAATGTCCCTTGTGCACCTCAGCCCCGCGGAAACACATCTATCACATGGTTCGTTCTTGGAACATTTCACTTTTCGTCGCCGACATGCATCGCATGGAAGAAGGGGGTCTGCAGGAGCTGGAGCTGGACGGCCAGCTTGGTCCTCGGAAGTGTCGGCCATTCATGAGCAACCGGACCAAGTTACAGTGCGGCGTATGGGAAACAGACAGAGATATGTGAGATGAGGGCCTTGGACAATCTTATCTGTGTGTCATGCGCCGGTCGTCAACGGATGTGTCATAGGGTTGGGATCATCAGGGCCTGACGCCATTGTCCATGGTGGTATGGTGAGGTAAATGGCTAAACGTCGAAGAAAGACTTAATCTGAAGACTCCATTGAGGAGGAAAGATATCGACGAGGGAAAAAGAAGGGCCAGAGAAGAGGTCGTATTCGTTGGGCTGTGACCAGCACGTCTGCGTCGTGTGAGAGTGCCTGTGCCAAGTCACAACAAACCTTGACGTGGGGGGGCCGCAGTCACGAACTGCGGGCACAGTTCGGCTCGTTTTTGAGATGGCGAGATGGAAAAAGCTGGGGAAAGCTAAAATTTGATTCGTAGGCATCTAGTTAGTGGCCAGGTACAAGAGACCTCTCGCTCGAATCAACGGGTTAGCCCGCTAGCCCTTGTCAGGCCATCGATGTAGTTAAGGGGCCACCGGTCTGCGAAGCAGGGGCCCCATTCTTTTTCTCACCTTTGCTCACTCTCATTCAGGCTTCATTCCACCACCATGGCCTCCTCCTCAGAGGTCGTAGCTACCTCGCCACCCTTCAAGCTAGACTCAGGAACTGCGTTCTCCCTCGCCGTCGCCTTCTCCCTCATGCCCTTAGCTCACGCTTTAGCCGGCTTTGTTTTGGGATCGTCCACTCCCCGAAAGTATTATTTCCTGTACCTCTGGCACGCGTATGACTTTCTCACCCACTTCATCATAGAAGGTAGCTATTTGTACCATTGCTTCTTCTCCTATATCGAACTCCCTGTCCCTCCCTCGAACTCCTCGGTTGCCGTGTCGACTGGCGTTGAACCACTGGCCTACCTGTATAATCGATCCGACCGCCGGTATGGAGCTTTATATTCACAAGCACCGATGGCAAGATTGTGGCAAGAATACGCAAAGGCTGATCGAAGATGGGGAGGCGCCGACCTGACTGTCATTTCCCTGGAAATTCTCACCGTTGGCCTCGCCGGACCTGCTGCTGTGTACATTTGCTATCTCATAGCCAAGGTCGTCAAGTCCGGGAACTCATCTGCCAAAGCCCGATACCAATCCCGGTTATGGTTCGTGGCAATCGTTCTGGCCACAGGAGAACTCTATGGCGGTTTCATGACTTTCGCTCCCGAATGGTTGAGCGGGAACAATGCTCTCACCGGAGACGATCCGGTCTACCTGTGGTTGTATTTGGTCTTTTTCAACATGCTCTGGGTTTTCATACCGTTTTGGGTCCTGTACGTGGCCTTCTGGGAGATTTCCACCACCTTCAGCCTTGCGTTCAACGACGCATCCGCCAAGAAGTCCACATGACGATTCACTTCAAGCAAGAATAATTGGTTCTCTCGCGTGGGTTTCTGGGGCACATGGCTAGGTGGGCGGGGGCTTTTCTGGAGGTGAGATGCTTATTGAGGGAATCCTCTTCCATTTAGTATATGCTGGACCCTGGTTCGACTATACATCTCCACCCATCATCACTTTTTTCCCCTTTCTTTTTGGGTCTTTTGGATCGTGGAAGTTAAGCCGGCGGAACGTTTGATCTCACAGGCAACGGATGAGATTGGATGAACTACCCGAAGAACCTCGTGCTGACCGGGGACAATCATTTATGTACGACTTCTGCCACACGCCAAGTATAGAATTCTACCGCTTACAGCTGGTCACCATTTACTCCTGCCTAGCCTGTTCGCCCTTTCGGTAGCCTCAGCATTGATATAACAGGCGCCACTTTCAAATCTTCATCTGGAACCTCAACCTCTGTCGCCAAAACCTCCTTCCACCCATTCCTCTCATACAATCTTGACCCAGCTGGTCGAGAAAACAACCAAGAAACAATGTTCTCCCGGTCGGCAGTTTCGATGCCCCAGTCTAGGAGCCTCTGGCCAATCCCCTGGCGCTGATATGAAGGATGGACCATCAAACGATGGAGAACTGAAGATATGGATGTCGGTGTCAGTATTGCGGGCTAACGGCATAGGAGGAAGATTAACAACTTGGAAGACAATCAAAGAAAGAATGGAAACTAGTTGGCTGGGATCTCTCCGTCGCAATACTTACACAAATGCCTCTTCCCCCTTATTGTACCAATGTACGAATTACTAAGTTTCCGAAGCAACTCGGCGTCCGGATTTGGATAAACAGGCTTCGAAGCCTCTTGGTCAGCTATACCTACAGCCTCGCCTTCATCTTGATCACCGGCCTCCGAGGTCGCCACATTCGATACACCTGCTTCCAAAGTCGAGGATTCGACCATTTCCTTTTTTGGTGCAAACGGATCCGTCTTGGGCGTCTCGATATAGCCGATTTGCCACTGCGCGAAGGCCACGATCGTTTCTTCCTTCCCTACCGAATCCTTTGCATCTACGTCGGACTGAGACTCGGACGCAGACTCAGGGGCACGCACAGCCTTGAACAGAAAATATCGTCCACGGACGTCACGCAGCGAAGCCGTCACTTTCTCGGCACAGTCGTCGTAAATGTTCTTCGAGCTGTAGCGCCTGCGGAACTCGTGGAAGCCATCGGGCTTCAGGGCGATATCGGCCAGGTGAGCAAGCATAGGGACATCGGATTCTGAGGTTACGGGTCTTATTTGGATTTGAGGTCCGAGTGGTCGGGGCGCCATGGTGCGAACGATGGAGTGACCGCTTGACACCAAAACTGGTTAAGAAAGGTGGACACAAGGCTGTGTCTGTGTGTGGCGTAGTAAAGGGCCTCTGAGGATGCTCTGTGTCGGCCTCCAACGCGTAGAGCTGCTTTGGATCGTCTTCGTCGCTCTCTTCGTAAAGCGAGCCTCAGCCAAAATAGTTCTAAGACTGGCTACGGTCGGTAATCTAGAAATAAACACTTGTATTTGGTACTTCTTCCAGTCCACCACCTCTTCGATCGCAGACACAAGACTGGCTACAAAATACCACCTCCTGGGGAATTATGACTCCTGGTTTTGTCCGATGCAACCGCGGTTCCTCCGGCCAATCAAATGCCTCGGATGCCCAAAGCTGTCCTCCGTTAGATCACCTCGTGTGAGTCAAAGTCGAAGACTTCATTCCCATGAACTGGCAGAAAAACCAAATCAAGTTCCCAAGTGAGATGCTGAGAAGCGCTGAATGGCAAGATTTCGGTAGTCAATAGCAGAAGAACCCAGTGGAGGCGGTTAGTCTTGCACTGAGACTGCGAGGTGTTTTGTCAATGAAATGGTGAATCCAAAAAGACGGACACTGCTGTTAGATCTAGGCTCTGGGGTCTCAAGACCTAGGAGCTATTTCACCTTCTCCATATATGTGGGAGATGTGCGATTGAGATGTTGCTTTGCATTTCTCCCTAGCATCGTCAGAAAACAGTATAGAAAAGAAGGGGTTCAGAGTCGCGTGATCGAATGATTTATCCCTTTGAGTTACAAAGGACGATTAGAGAAGCAGTAAAGACCGGATTCGATCTAGTGGTTTCATATCTGAGATATCTTGGACATGGATGGAAGAGACTAGTCTGAGTGCTCGTGTGTGCCCTTGACGTAAGCACTGATTGAACGATTCCACGGTTCATGGTATTCAAAATGTCGTGCAAGAGGGTTCCATTGACAAGCGAGTGTAACTAGATGGAGGAGACATAAGACCCACGAATAGGAATGGATATTGCCTCGATCGGAGAAGGCGAAAGAACATTTCTCCTCCTCTGGCAGCAGAGCACATGAACGTAAAAGGTCATCATCGGACTTATGTAAAAGCGCAGCTCATCTTGTGTCTCAGCGTGACAAAACTTCTCTCCAGGTCCAACTGGTGCGTCCTCTTCCCTGGATGGACAACTCATACATCCAGTGTCAATCATTTTTACTGGTGATCAGCGGGGATATCGGGAAGGCTGCGAGATCAGCAATAGAAACATAACACGTGTGGACGATCCGGTAAATTTTGAGTCGGAGTACGAGCCGAGATGAATTGTTTATCGTGAAGACGGATTCAGACTATCATGCGTCTCGAAGCAGTCTGGTGTCGGAGAATCCTGGTCAAATGCAACTCATGCGGGGAGGCGACCGTCTCTATCCCAATGCAAATCAGCGTGAAAAACATGTCCAGGATGTACAGCCATCGTCACTCTTCACTTTGGGTGGTTAGCGAATCCTGAAACTGGGCAAGGTTGCATCGACATGGCTGCTGGAAATGAGATCCCTCGGTTGACTCGGTATAATGCTCAAGGTTTGGTTAGGGTAGCTGAAGTAGTATTGGGTGTTGTAGCGTGGGTTGGGAGATGATCAGCGCGTTGTTGCATTCAGGCCTCAGAAATTTGAACTTGGGTTGTGCCTTGATAGCCGGATCAGACAGTGGCAGTGGTCAAAAGACAATGTTCTGTCCGTTGACGGTGGGTGAAATGTTGTCGGTGGCGCTCTTAGTTTCTGGGGGATTTGCAAAGTGGCGCTCCTTAAAGGGTGCAAGCATCTCAGTCACTTGAGCCAAATGAGAAACAAGGGCGCCGGATTGGTGTGAAAATGCCACCGAGTACACATCTGCCGGGCCTTCAGCACTTCTTAGTCGCCAGCTAGCGTACTCGGTACCCGCAATAGGAGCAGCAGACAGTCTACCTTTGATTCGACGTGACGAATGCTTGTTAGCCCATCATTTTCTGGAGTTTGTCTCCATCATACCCCATATTCTACCTCTACCAGCCTGATGCGAGCAGGGCAAACGATGCGCATGTAACACTCTCCACCTCGACCAGCTGCGGTTACTGCAAGTCGCAGGGATGAAGCACAAGATACACGTTACCACCACCACCTCACCCCAGGCTTTTCATTGCGGTCACACTGGCGACGGCACCAAACGCTAAAACAAAATTGGTCGAGATGTCCGATCTGTTTGATCCTAGCAAAATTACAAGAACGCCCGTTTTCCCGCCCTCTGAAACTGCGATTCCTTTACCCGGACACGCTCCTCTTCGAAGCCATAAGTACTTTGTCGGCAGGCATTCGCCAACATGTATCAGATCGGGAACATCTATTACATCACAGCCATCTCCGTCATCGGAGGTGGCCTATTCGGCTTTGATATCTCATCGATGTCTGCCATGTGAGTTGAGTGCTGTGCTGGCGGGAATCGTTACTGACAGCCACCAGCCTCGGCACCCAGCAATACAAGTGGTAAATCGACACTGATACCTCTTGCTTTGAAAACCACTGACGGTGTTTTCTCAGCTACTTCAATCAAGGCCCTCACGGACCTCCTCAATGCTCTGGTCCACATTCCGACACCCAGGGAGGCATCACCGCCTCGATGCCTGGAGGTTCATTTGTTGGAGCTCTCGCTTCTGGCCCTGTAGGCTGGTCGAAACTGAATGGTGTCGTTCTTCGCTAACTACCCCAGATGACTGATATCTTCGGCCGTAAGAGAGCCATTCAGATTGGTGCTGTCATCTGGTGTATCGGCTCCATCCTTGTTAGCGCTTCTCAAAACATTGGAATGCTTGTAGTTGGCCGATTTATCAATGGCTTCAGTGTCGGTATCTGCTCCGCTCAAGGTACGTCTTCTCACTCCATTGGATGTGATGGCTGACACAACTAGTGCCGGTATATGTCTCAGAGCTAGCACCACCTAGCAAGCGCGGCCGAGTCGTCGGAGCTCAGCAATGGGCTATTACCTGGGGCATTCTCATAATGTTCTACATCAGCTACGGTTGCAGTTATATCGATGGAACCGCAGCTTTCCGTGTTCCTTGGGGTTTGCAAATGATCCCTGCGATTATCCTGTTCTTCGGCCTGTTCTTCCTGCCTGAATCGCCCAGGTTTGTGACGAGATTATCTTGAATGCTCCATTGTCGAACCCTCTGACTCCTTTTGCAGATGGCTTGCCCGAAAAGACCGCTGGGAGGAGTGCCATGGCGTGTTAGCTCTCGTCCATGGCAAGGGCAATCGAGAGGCTCCCTTCGTCCTTCGTGAACTTCAAGAGATCAAGGACATGTGCGAGTTTGAGCGCAGAAATGCCGACGTCACGTATCTCGAACTGTTCAAACCTAATATGATTAATCGAACTCACATTGGTGTCTTTACCCAAATCTGGTCTCAGCTCACTGGAATGAATGTGATGATGTACTACATTACATACGTCTTTGGTGAGACAATTCGTTTCGGTTCAATCTTGGACACTGTGCTAACCCATTTGACAGGCATGGCTGGCCTCACCGGTAATACCAACTTGGTTGCCTCCTCGATCCAATATGTCATCAATGTCTTCATGACCATCTTCGCCCTTCTGTTCATCGATCGCTGGGGACGTCGATGGCCAATGATCATCGGCTCTACCTTCATGGCCACCTGGATGTATGCTAATGCCGGGTTGATGGCAACGTACGGATCTCCTGCACCTCCGGGGGGAGTTGACCATGTTGAAGAAGAATCTTGGCAAATTCATGGAGCTCCTGCCCGAGCCGTCATTGCCTGCACATATTTGTTTGTCGCTTCCTTCGCACCATCTTGGGGACCGTGTTCATGGATTTATTGCCCCGAGTTGTTCCCTCTGCGCCTCAGAGGCAAGGCTGTCGCTCTTACGACGGCTTCGAACTGGATCTTCAATTTTGCACTGTCGTATTTCGTTCCTCCGGCCTTTGTCAACATCAAGTGGAAGGTCTATATCGTTTTTGGTGTGTTCTGTACTGTCATGACGGCTCACGTATTCTTTTTCTTCCCTGAGACTGCTGGTAAGACTCTCGAGGAAGTTGAGGAGATGTTCATGAGTGATATCAAGCCATGGCATACTCATGTCAACTACCAGCATATCTTGAAAGAGGAGCACGGTGAAATTGACATGGAGAAACGATTGAGCTTTGCAGTTCGCGATGAAAAGAAAGAAAGCGAGGGCACCCAAGTTGCTGAGCACACACAAACGGTGCAGAAGAACGAGGCTGCATGATCTGCTCGCAACTGCCAAACTCCTTGAGACGAGTCAGCCAAACCTGGCCACACCCTTGTGTCACGTTGAATCGTGTGACCATTGGAACGTCCCCGTTTTGGAATGATTATTAATTATATGAGGATGATATGGAGGTGGTCCCCCGATATCAAATCTCCATGAATGAAGATTCACCTTGATGATAGGAGTCGGCCACGGGAAGGCGTGAGCGTTTGGAAGCCTCCGAGACTTCGGAGAATATTTGGCCGAAGAAAAATGAATGAGAATCACATTCTTTTACTATTTCAGGCCAGAAATGGTACTCTTCCTGATTGTGGTTCGTCACCTCACCAGTGAGACTTGTTGTAGGCCCATCACGCTGAATGCGAAAGCATAGAGAGAAAACAGGAGGGAGAATGGTAGAGAAGGAATGCCCAGACTCAGCTCGCCTCAGTGACGAAATGTAAAATAGGACATGGTGGTTGGTGGCCGCACCGCTAAAATTTAGATAACCTTTCATGCTACTGTATTTATCCCACACTCGGTTCTAACTTTAGCGCTCGTCAGCCAGCGCCATTTCTAGTCGACGACATTTCATTCTTCTCCCAGCGATCAGCCTCCAGATGGACCAGTGTTGCTCATCATTGCTTTCGGCGAGTGTGTAGTCTGAACGAGAGTCTACGGCGACTTCAATCTCCCAAGGAGTCGTAGACAATGATATCGATCATCCTATGGCTGCCATCACCGAACCGCCTACCACAGGCCTGCTCAACCTAGAGAAAGAACTTGTCTGTTTCATTTGCACCGAAATCCTCTACCAACCTCTTACCTTGCTTGATTGCTTACATACCTTTTGTGGCTCTTGTCTGAAAGAATGGTTTTCTCATCAGCATCGCAAAGCCGGTCATTCACATTCCTCCTCCGTAAACCCATATACCTGCCCAACGTGTCGGGCTCCTGTCAAAGATGCTCAGCACAATGCGATGATCAATACCCTCTTGGAAATGTTTCTGACCGCCAATCCGACAAAGGACAGGTCAGCAGAAGAGAAGGCCGAGATGGCACAGGTCTATAAGCCGGGCGACGAAATATTATATCGGAGAAGAGACCGAAGAAGGCGTGAAGAAGAGGATGCCGCAACGAGGGAACGGCGATCTACAACTGATGGTCAATCCGAGAGGAGCAGACGGGAACAACAATTACATCCGGCTTCGGCAGAGAGGAGGCACACGACTCGACCATCCAGTGGCCGTAGTAGAAGTCGTGAGCGCAGAGAAAGATCAGAACGGCCGAGGGAGTCAGACCGTCGAGAAAGGCGAGAGCAACAACCGAGCGGAGATGGTGTCGTCCCCCCTCGTTCTCGAACTGCAGGCTCTTCAAGTTCCGCGGATCTCTCACCCGTGTCCCCTCCGCCAAGTTCCCCAAGACACCCCGACGCCGTGGAAGCACGTCAAAGGGGAGCACGAACAGTTGCTCACCAAGCCAGTTTACGGTCTCTGGTCAGCGCCTCAGAGAGTGGAACTGGCACAGGAGATAGTCTGAATGAGGCCCAACTGATGCAAGAAATTCTAGCTGAAGGTCTTCTCGATGGCATCAACGTTGACGAGCTAACGGAACAAGAACAAGATGAGCTCAGTGAGATGATCGCCGAACGATATAGACAGTTACACCCAGAACGTGTACGACGAGCCGTGTCAGATGAGACCAGGCATGGCAATCCAGCGGATACTACGAGGCAGCCGGAGGTCCAAGTCGAAGAGGCAGATCGTCGCCTCCGTCAATCCTCAAGAAATGGTCAACGACAACAGACACAACCCAGTCCGAGATCAACTCATAGTGAGATCATTGGAGGAACGGAAACACGACCTCCAACATCATTTCCGCAGTCAGCGGCGGAGCAAACGTTGACCCCTCCACACACAACCACGCATCGACGACGCGCGTCGAACGAAAGTGGAAGAAGTGATTCTTCGACGACGAGGACTAGACGGCTCTCACAATCTAGTGGATCGCGGAACGCCGCAACTAGATCAGCAATTGAACTTTCCGAAAGAACTCAGTCTGTTCCAAATCCGTCGGATCGCCCCCGACAGCTTTCAAATACAAACAGATCAAATACCGAGCCAAGGAACTCTCCTCGGGCCTCAGAGTTGTGGCAAGCGGCAGGACGTCAAATTGCTAGCCTGCCACAACTTGATTCTCCGAACATAGAGTCTCCGAGATTAGATCCTGCTCGTCCTGTGCTGCCCAATGTGAATCCTACACCCGTTCCGACAGTTACCTCGACATCGGATCCTGCCGCCTCTGCCCCGGAACCAACAACGTCATCGGAAACGGCTCTTGCGACGAGATTCGAAGAACCTTCAATCCAGTGTGCTCGCTGTTCTCGACCGAACATTCAATATGAGGTTTACAAGCATTGTGCTCCTTGCAAGTTCGATCTCTGCTTGCGATGCTATAGGGTCGGAAGAGGATGCAACCATTGGTTCGGTTTTGGTCATGCGGCATTGTTCAGGTTCAATTCCTCACGTCCCGTGAATCGAGGCAACCAGGCGATTGAGTTGCCTCATTTATTGGTTGGCCGCCGGTATAAGAAACCTCCGACCGGAACGACTCTTGACAGCAGAGCTCAGGTTGTGACTACAACATCTGATCCTACGTCGAGATTACAAGAAGGAAACTTTTGTGATCGATGTGGCGGTTTCGCGAATGAATGCTTTTGGTCGTGCGACTACTGCAATGACGGCGAGTGGGGATTTTGCAACAATTGTGTTAACATCAATCACTGTTGCAGTCATCCCCTGTTGCCGGTTGCCCATAAATCTTATGACCCCAAATCTACGAGTTCACAGCAGGCAGGAGCAGCTACCAACACGGGGCCCGCAACACTCAGTCCTTACAGTGGGACTGGCCGTGCACCGTCTCCTGCTCAGAGTGCTCCCTCGAGTGCAACATCTGCAAACGGAACTTCTCCTGGCCTTCGAGCTGACTTTGTTCCATTGGTCATTACCACGAATTGCGATATCTGCGCTCGACCAATTTCACCAGAGGAAACTCGGTATCATTGTCCTGGACATTCGACTCCATCCCCTGAGAGCCCGGATCAAAAAGGTGACTTCGACATCTGTAGCAGCTGCTACCTCAGCTTTTTCAAGACGGGTCGAATGAAACGTGAAGACGGTCCAGATGGGTGGCGTTTATGTCTAAATGGACACCGTATGATCGCCGTCACATTTGAAACGGATGGAGATGGTGGTCAGCGGAGAGTGATCACTCGTGAATTGGTTGGCGGTGCCAAAATGACTGAAGCGGATATGGCAGCGTGGAAGCTTGCCAATTCTCAATTGAACAGTACTCAACATGTCGATACAGCATCATCCCTTGCCAGCCAAGGTCAATGGAGCTGGAAAGAAGATGCATCGGGGGCGAGACGAGTGACTAGAGCTCGAACCGCCACTCTTCCTCACTCAAGCTCTAATGCTACAAGATTCCCGCCCGATGGCGGAGCAGGCAAGAATTGTCGTGCACTTTGGAGCTATTATCCTGAAGAAGGGGACGAGGGAAAAGGAGAGTTAATGTTTCCCAAACACGCAGAGGTGTGTGAGGTCGAAGAAATCAATGAAGATTGGTGGTTCGGTGTCTATGCAGGAGACACGGGCGTTTTCCCTTCCGTCTATGTCAGGGAGAGGGCATAGAAATGAAATGAGTACGGCAAAGGAGGAAAATGACGGGCCTCGAAGAAGCGGCACCGAACTAGACGATTGTTTCGGTTTGATGTGGAACGGATGATTTATGAGAAGATTATGATGAGATGGACTTTCACGACGATTTGTTCGAGCAGTCACCCTGGCATTGACAACAGCGCCGGAGGAATCTGAGCAGGTAACACAAGTCTGTGGGATGTTCATTTCATCACAGAGATCCATCGTAATGATTTGAATGCGTCGCAGCCTCGCATTCACTCCCTTGATTGCTGAAATTGAGAGATGATCGGGGCACGACATGCAGACACTGAGATATCGTGGGAGGTATGTAGCCGTTGCCGAGGCTGGCATCAATTTTTGCATGGAACACCCCAAGGAAGGGATGTGGCGCAAGGCTGGGGTTGAGGGAGGCAAATTGCGGCAGAGCACAAAGCGCAAAGCGCAGAACTGGACGGCAAGAATACAACATTAATGATCTACCGTATAGTATTTGGTTGGCGTGGGATCTGACTCCCAAGGGGCGGCGCAGTTCAGTCAGCTTAATGCCACCCTAACTGCTTCAGCTTTGTTACCGCCGCTTAGCGATTACATTTCCTCAAAGACTGCAGGTTCAGTCCTTCAATTCCACCTCAAACTTCTACGCCCACCACCAGGCAAGCACCCAGCCAAACTATGGCGGGCCGCTTCGTTCGCTCCTCCAAATATCGGCACGTGTTCGGCCGCTCGACTCGAAAGGTACACTCCGACTCGAATTCAGTGGGCGAGGACTTCAGGCTAAACAACACAGGAACAATGCTATGACAATGTGAGGGTTTCGAAGAACGCCTGGGACACTAACTTGATCAAGGTATACACCACAAATCTCGGTTATACTTCCAATGCTGACCACCCAGGCCAATCCAGAATACCTTTCAGTCAATTGGGATAGCAGTGGCGGTGGGGCTTTTGCTGTCATTCCGGTCAATGAACGAGGTCGATTACCCGAGAGAATACCGCTCTTCCGAGGGCATACTGCTGTTGTATTAGACACAGACTGGTGGGATATTTGCAGACCAGAAAGAGAGCCGGGGGGCTGACGGAATAAGGAATCCTTTCCATGACTCGTTGATCGCGTCGGGTTCCGATGATGGCAAGGTGAATATCTTCATCTCGACTAGGAGGAAAATTCTCACCCTGCTAGGTATTCCTATGGAGGGTACCAGAAGGTTTTACTCTCCACCTGGACACCCCTGCGGACGAAATCGAGGACATTGCTCCTGTCGGCAAGCTCAGCGGTCACCCTAAGTATGTCCCTGAGGATTTCGACAAGAAATTGGAGGCTGACATGCTCCAGAAAAGTAGGACACGTGCTCTTCAATCCCGCCGCCGAAAATGTTCTCGCATCATCTGCAGGAGACTTTACGGTCAAGCTATGGGACATTGAAGCTGGTTCACCCAAACTCGCCCTGAAAGTCGGTGACATCATCCAATCCCTGTCATGGAGCGCGAATGGATCTCTACTGGTCACCACCTCTCGAGACAAGAAATTGAGAATATGGGACACGAGACAAGAGAAGCCAGCACATGAAGTTCCTGGTCATGCGGGCGCAAAGAACAGCAGAGCGGTGTGGATGGGAGAGCTCGATCGAGTTGCTACGACCGGGTTCTCCCGAATGAGTGACCGTCAACTTGCCCTTTGGGATATCAAAGCTCCTCAACAACCGGTGGATGGCTTTCAGATGCTTGATTCCATATCTGGAGTCTGCATGCCATTCTGGGATGACGGTACGCAATGTCTGTACCTGGCCGGTAAAGGCGATGGCAACATCCGATACTATGAATACGAGCATGACAAGTTCGAGTATTTGTCCGAGTACAAATCCTCCGACCCGCAGCGTGGCGTTGCCTTTATTCCGAAAAGAGGAGTAAACATGCATGAGAACGAAGTCATGCGCGCCTATAAGACTGTCAACGACAATTATATCGAACCTATCTCATTCATTGTACCTCGAAGGGCTGAAACTTTCCAAGAAGATATCTACCCACCTACCGTGGGATTGAAACCCGCTATGAGCAGCCGGGAATGGTTTGAGGGGGCCGAGGGATTGCCGCCCAAGATCTCCCTGGAGAGCCTATATGACGGAACTGGGGTGAGAGAGATATCTGCTGACGATGCCAAACCTATGAAGAAGGCTCCCGAGCTGGTCAAAGCACCTGAACCGAAGAAAGAAGTCGCTGAACCTTCCCCGGCCCTAACCTCACCGGCAGTGCGATCTCCACCCCCATCCATGAAGGAGCAAGGTGCTACTATGATCACTGCTGCCGCCAAATTCCAGGACACTGAGCCCGCAGAAGACGAAGGAGATGACGGGTCTAGCTTTGAGGAAGTGCAGAGGCCGATGGAACGGACATCTGCTATCAAGCCCGCTGTCTCGGAAGTGAAGAAAGAAGAACCAGTTCCACCTGCGAGCCAGGTATGGGAAGACGCCGAGACTCCTGAAACAAAGGTAAGATTTTGGGCATGATGATTCAGTTCTGAGTTAACATTTTGAAGACCAACCCCGAACCCATTCCAGAAACGACTGTCGACGAAGAGCCCGTTAGCGAGACAGGTGGTGCTACAAATGAATCGATGGAGAGGGAGATCAAAAACATGAAAGCCATGATGGCGCAACAATCACAGCAGTTAAGTAGTTTGACCAAGACTCTGACAGAACTGGTAGTGGAAGTGAAAGCTCTGAAAGGTTCTTAGTCGGATTCTGGTTGACTTCGTGTCAACACGGTGAAATGCCAAAATTCTCCAGCTCCTTGGCCTTTCAGTAGATGACTGTATTGTCTCGTATCGATTTCTTTTGTGGTTGCTGCTGGTGCTTTCAAATGCTAGCCCATGGCTCACTCATCGGGAAGGTCGCGTGCCTGAAGCCCCAAGAGAGATAAGGGAAACAATCATGGAGTGGAGCATGAAGTGGAGTGACCAACCGATGGGACCGAGGAGTACAAATAGACAAATTAGACAGGCAGAGCGAACTCTGACAAGTACTATCTATCTAGCTGTATATTAAGCTACTAAGCATCTCGGGCCTACAAACTCTTCGGGAAGCTTGGTTTGACGTCGTGGCGTCGAGAATTTCTCTCTAGCCCAAAACTCAAGTCCCCGTCGCAAGCTTCACGTCATCACCCAGGAGGCGAAATCCTTGATGGAGCTGGTGGGGGTTACAGCAATTCTTCCATGCTTTCCGTCGACTGCCGATATCAATGGCCTTCAGATCCATTTCTGGCTTTTTCACTGGCTAGAAAGCCCCGCGCGTTCTCGCCGGCGATAACAATCACATCACTATCTCATCCATTGTTGCGCCCCACGCCGCCTGGGGAGGCGGCTTTCGACGGACCATGCTTCGATATCACTGGCCCCATGCAGCCTTGCGATAGATGCTTGTCCAAGCTTGTTGATACCGAGCAGGTCCTTCCCGGAGCTCGGAAGTTGTCAAATAATGACTGTTCCTGCGGTGCGAGGGTGGGACACAACGATTCCACGTGGATTGGTCCATATTTCAGAGCCATTTTCCTGTTCTTCTCTGTTCTTCTGGTGTCCGTATCTCATATCTGAGCCGTTGTGTTCCACATCCCCCTTCTCTTCCGGGCTGTTTGATTTTCAACTTGTCAACCGACGTAGCTCACCCTCCCGGCAGATTGCGTCTTCACAATCATGACGGGCGCCACGAACATAGCAGATCTGCCGGCAGACAATCTGGAGAAGAAAAATGTAATTTCTCAACCTGCCGACATCGAAAGCGCACCGAAAGATGAGGATCCTCTCGCCCTCTTGGAGAAGATTCGAACCAGTGACGACGCCCATCCAATCCGCTGGCCTTGGTGGAAGAAATGGTCCATCGTCTGCGTCTACTGCCTTTTACAGATCTTCGTCACTTTGACTTCCACCACTTATGTTTCCGTTGAATTCTTGATCATGGAAAAATGGACTTCCCAGACTCAAGTCGCGACATTGGGTCAGTCCATGTTCATCGTGGGTACAGCTGTTGGGCCAGCATTTCTAGGTATCAAATCAAATACTGCAAGAGGAGATTTCGCTAGTGCTGATGCGGTACAGGACCACTTTCTGACATTGGTGGACGGAAGTGGGTCTACGTGATATCCAGTATGAACCCCCTTTCGTTCTGCGTTGACGGGTTATTGCCGGTGGAAATATCGGTTTTGGCAATTCTTAATTCTTTCGGGGAACTTCGGTTGACGAATCTGGCCAGTCCTCCTTTACGCGATTCTCAATATCGGCGCCGCGCTCGCATATAATCTGCCCATGTTAATTATTTTCTGCTTCCTCATCGGAGTTGCAGGATCAAGTGCATTGAATAATGTCGCCGGCACAATTTCAGACCTCTTTGGGGTACAGTCGCGCTTTCACATGTCCACGTTGATTTGGCAGCTAATACAGGGATCCTAGGACGCGGACGATGCAGCTCAACCCATGGCACTCTTCGTTCTGAGCGCCAACTTTGGCCCGAGTTTGGGGTCCCCCGTTGGTGAATGGATTGGCGAGAACGAAAGTCTCGGTTGGCGATGGAGTATACCTCCCAAAACCTTGTGTCTGATCGCTGCTGACATTGGTGGTGGAGTTTTCTATATCAACATCATCATAGGAGGCACGTTTGCTTTCTTCCTCTGTTTCGTGCCCGAAACACTGCCCCGAATCGTTATTGCCAATGCGGTGAAAAGACGAGGTAGTGTTGATCAAAATGCCGTTGACATTGCTCTCGGATCGAGCAGATTGTCGGTTATGAGGGAACTTAAGTTTGTGACGACAATGGCACTGAAAATCATGGTCACAGAACCAATCGTGATATCCCTTGGACTGTGAGAATTCCTGACGTCCTCTGGGGAAATCTTCAATTGACAAGTGGTGACCAGATACAATGGATTCGCCTATGGCTTGCTCTTCCTCTATCTCGACGGCGTGTTTGGTGTGTTTGTCGTCAATAATGGACTCAGCTACATTGGCGCCTCGCTCACCTATCTCAATTTCTGTGTTGGTCAGTCCAAATATCACCCGTGGACGTACACGCTCAGCGGTCTCTCGAGATTCTGACCATTGTTCAAATTCAACAGGTGTGACCGTAACATTTTGCTTCGTTCCTGTACAAACCTACCTCTTCCGTCGCGATAGACTTAGGCACGGTCGCCAACGACCAGAAGCTCGATTCTTGACCTCACTTGTTACGGTGTGGCTTTTCCCGGCATCTTTATTCTGGTTCGCGTGGACCTGTGATGGTACGTACCCGTATCTTCTTTTCTGTTTATGCCAGCCTCGCAACCACCCCACCCCCAAAACAAGAGTCCAATTCTAACCCCTCTCAGGCTCCACCTCATACTGGTCCCCCGTCGTAGCAGGAGGTGTCCTCGGTTTCTGCGATCCCCTGCTCTGGCTGGCGATGCTCAATTACATCACCGATTCGTACCCCAACGTCGCTGCGAGCGCCATCGCCGCTTTCCTGATCCCCAGTTTCTTGATTGCTGCTGGATGCGCGCATGCGGGTGTCGCCATGTTCGAGAATATGGATGTGAAATGGGCATTTGCAACGTTGGGTTTCATCAGCATTGGATTGGTGGTGCTGGTGTATGTCTTGTTCTTTTTCGGCCCGACGCTGAGACGGTGGAGTAAATTGGCGAGAACTTTTTGAGCAACAGCCAGGGGATCAAAGACAGGAACGATAGAAGCTAGAGGATTGAAGGGAGGACAGAATGAATTATATGGGAATGTTGGATGTTGGGGGTGAGTATTAGGGAAACGGAGTGATAGCTGAGTCGTTGCGATTGGAACGGAATGCTGTCGTGATAGACATTTCAATGCATCTGAACTTCGTTAGAAGACTGCACTCGAAGGGGAAGTAGCCGGGATAAGGAGATCTTAAACCAGGATTCCTAGCAATGTGAACATCGCTTCCCAAAGAGCTGACTTCAGAGTATCGAGAAATGGTCGAATCTCCGCGAAGCCATGATTCGTCAAGAGACATTTAGAGATCATCCGTCTTGCTCGCTTACTGTAGTTCCGCCTTGAGAGCTTCAATGTGCTATCGGAAAGCATCATGCGAGAATGTCTTTCTTCATGAGACAAGACTCTGCTAGATAGACAGACAGATATCTTGCGCATTCAATCCATGCATGTATCTACCAAGACGCCCTCTCGTTTGGTGGTCGCTTAATTCTACCTTGTTCATGGTCTAGGTCCGCTGGGCACTCACGGTATCACTGATAGTCAGGCTTGGCCTCAAGGTCGAGGTTCGCGGTTATCGACAAACAAATACGAGAGAGAATGCCCTTCCACGTGTTGGCAACGACAATGACAGAGGCAGTCTGGTCTCTGGAACTTTTTCTTGTCTCTGAATCATTTTTCTCGGAATTCCATGCGAGAAGAGAAGAAGAGCAATATTGAGCGCGTAGCTGTTACAAAGTCATGTTGCGAAAGTTGGTTTTATTACCATCACCCATTGCCATCCGGATATGTTGACGAATGACCCCAGATTGATATTTTGCTTTTGAGAGTGAATACAATGCATATGCAGAATGTCTTGGACTCGCTTGTCGGTATCAAGGGTGGAGAATCTTTCAAGCGCTCATAAACGACCCCGGTTCTTCTGGCAAAGCCTCGATGTATGGAGCCAAGTGATAAAGCAGAATGTGTGATCGATATTATTGAATCTCAAATTGCCTCGAAACCTGAGCTGAGGGACTACAAGTAAGATGCTAAGGTTTGATGGTAATCGGATGACTCGGAGAAGAGACAGTGACCAATAGGAGCTGGCCGATGGTATCTGAGATAGACTCGACAGAATTTTTTTTTTTTTTGCTTCTTGGTTTGTGGAGTCGTCGGCACTCCTTCTAGCAGAGGCAGAGAGGGATGCTATACAGTAGACACACGCAGAAGCAGTTTTAGAGTGGGTATCCAGAAACCAAGAACCTCGTGGCAGAAGCGAGATAGAATAGATAGAAGGCTAGAAGAAAAAAAATTCTTGACTCGATTGAAAACTGTCATCGAAAGTCGTCTATCTCTCGGGCGGAGGCCCCCGAAACCAATCACAATACGAGAAAGCCAAAATTGTGGGACAGCCGAATTGCTTCGTCGCCGGCACCCGTCAGCCTTGGCATCGTTTCAACCGCTTGCGCCAAGTTGATACGCCGACCACCATCGAATTCTGGGCCCCAGCCGTAACTGATATGCAAGAACCCTATTCATGCCCTGCCAACGGACCTGGCCAGCTCCCGAGTGGGAGCTACCATCACCAGCTTGGCCAGCTCGATGGCATTCTGTATAAGAATTCCCCATGGTCCCGGTCATCGAAGGGTTTGTTCTCCCACCCAGACTGATCATACAAGGCCGACCACGAGACACCCAAGCGGCACGCGCGACAGCACCTCTCCCTTTTCATCAGGTATCAGCCCTCGTTAACAACAGCACAACAACACCATCTCCTTCGATATGGGTGAAGCAGACAGAATCGGGCCAAATATGAGCCCCAAACAAACCCTTGCCGACCGCGCCAACCGCGTGCGCAAGACCTTCTTCACCAAACAAGGCTTGATTGGCAACTATGACTACGGCTTTCTGTTCCGGCCCAACATCCCTTTTCTCAAGAAACCTCGTCGTGCCAGTCCTTTCTTTGGCCTCAACGATACCATGCCTGTCATTTTGGCCTTGTTGCTCGGTTTCCAACATGCTTTGGCGATGCTGGCTGGCGTCATGACTCCTCCCATTATCCTGTCTGGTCAGGGTGGTGTCAATCTTGACGCTGATTATCAGCAATACCTCGTCTCGACCTCTTTGATCGTTTGCGGTATTCTCTCATCAATCCAGATTACTCGCTTCCATATCTACAAGACACCGTAAGCCACTTCATATCTTTCACTTCATCTCACCTCAAACTTGCCTGTGACCCTCCAAATAACAAAGCGAATGACAGATATTATATTGGAACTGGTCTGATCTCTGTTGTCGGCACTTCATTCGCGATTATCCCAGTCGCCCAAGGAGCGTTCAATCAGATGTATAGCAACGGGTTCTGCCCCGTCGCCGAGGACGGCACCAAATTACCCTGCCCAGACGCGTATGGTGCTCTCATCGGAACTTGTGCCATCTGTGCCTTGACTGAAATCCTCATTTCCTTCATGCCACCAAAAGCACTGCAGCGAATCTTTCCTCCCATCGTCACGGGTCCCACTGTCATGCTCATTGGGGTCCATCTGATCGAATCCGGCTTCAAGAACTGGGCTGGCGGCAGCGGTCTCTGCGCCGAACTCCCCGAGGACGGCTTTTACAGACTCTGTCCCGATATCACTGCTCCTCACGCTCTCCCCTGGGGCAGCGCCGAGTACGTTGGCCTGGGCTTCCTGGTCTTCATCACCATCATCATCTGCGAACGATTTGGCTCTCCCATCATGAAGTCCACTAGCGTCATCATCGGTCTTTTGACCGGCTGCATTGTGGCTGCGGCATGTGGATACTTCGACGACGCCGGCATTACCTCGGCTCCAGCTGTCTCTTTCGTCTGGGTCAAGACTTTCAAGCTCTCTCTATACGGGCCTCTCGTCCTGCCCGTTATGACCGTCTTCATCATCTGCGCCTGCGAAGCCATCGGTGATATCACTGCTACTTGCGATGTTTCCCGATTGGACGTCGAGGGCAAGGAATTCGAGTCTCGAATCCAAGGTGGTGTTTTGGCTGACGGTCTCAATGGCTGTTTCGCCGCATTGATGACGATTACGCCCATGTCGACTTTTGCCCAGAACAACGGTGTCATTGCCTTAACTCGTTGCGCCAACCGACGAGCTGGATATTGCTGCTGCTGTAAGTTGAGCCATTTCCATCCTTTGAAATTACGATTTGCGCTCACATACCATCCTAGTCTTCCTCATTGTCATGGGTCTCTTCGCCAAATTCTCCGCGGCCCTGGTGGCTATTCCCGCTCCAGTCCTCGGAGGTATGACCACCTTCCTCTTCTGCGCTGTGGCTGTCAGTGGTATGGCGATCGTGGCCCGCGTCCCATTCACCCGCCGCACACGATTTATCCTTACAGCCTCTCTCGCAGTTGGCTACGGCGCCACTTTGGTCCCCACCTGGTTCGATCACGTATTCACTTATGACGGCGACAACCACTCTCTCCGCGGCTTCTACGACGCCATTGCCTTGGTCATGGAGACTGGCTTCGCCATTACTGCCATGGTCTCCATGATTTTGAACTTGGTTCTGCCTGAGGAGATTGAGGATACTCCTGAGGAAGGACTCCAGGGAGCTGAGGAACAACGATCCGGATCCGAGGCCCCTGACTCGATCGAGGCTGTGTCAAAGGTCGAGATGGATATTCCAACCAAGGAGGTTGTATAAAATCATGTGATGCAATGTGATCTGATGTTTAATGACAAATGTATAGAGACTCTAGAGGCTCAAAAATCCAGGAAATAACGAGTGATGTACAACCTTGAATCCGTCCATTCGGTATTAGACTGGAACTTCCAAGTGATATTATCCCCTCATGCCCAGCCACCCCCCAAACAAATCTTTCACGAATCCTGTTCTAACAACACGTCGCAGAGAAAGGTGCAGGCCCTCGACCGAAACCAACAGAAGCTTGTGAATATCTCTATAGCTATCAGACACAAAGCGGTCTCTTATTTGCCTCCCCGCAAATTCGCGTAACAAGCGAGGTTGCGGATGGGTCGCATTGCATCAGGCTCCAACACTCGTGAGGGACCATCACGGGACATTACATGGGTGCAATTCTCCCGTTTCCAGACGCCCTATTCACTGGCTTCGCCGAATGAGACTCGATTTGACTGTGCAAGGCCTAGCCTCGCCTGACCCTGTCACGTCCGATGTCCTTTGGTACGGTAAGGAAGCATGTGAGTTGTCTGAGAGGTAGTGGGCGCAGTCTCGGCAGTACATACCTATTGGATATAGGGTACATGCGCTTGTACCCATATTAGTAGCATTTAGTAGGTACCTCTCATGTACCTAGCTTGTACCCGGTAGTGCATTGCCATTTATGGAATAGCGCAAACTTTAAATACTGCCTTGTGATTGGCCAGAAACGACTTCTCTTGTCGAGTGGCTGACCTTCCCCCCTTCAACCCCTTGTTCATCAGTCACCCTCACTCCATTTCCTCTTTGCTTTCTCCATGGCACATCACCTGCTTTATCTGTTTCGAAGCTTTGTCCTTCATTGAAGCGGCACCACATGTTCTTTTGGCATGATCACGAACCATGATACTTTTGGAGGAATTGGGTGTTTCCCTCACTATCATCCACCTCTTTTTCACTGCTCCTGTTTCCCACTTGGGATCTCGAGATGTATGGCGCTCAATATTTCACCGGACAATGGAAATTGAGCGACCGAGATTTATCCCAACTGATCTAGTCAGTTCCGTCCTTCCATTTACAGAATTTTGGTTAACCCATATTTCGGTACCATGGACCCGGACTGCTTTCTCACGCAGCATCGCATTCTCAAATCATGAGATGGTCCACGTGAGGACCTGAACTGGCCGGTGCACTCCACTAAAGCGTACTTTCAGGATCTTCTGGATAGCACGGAGAACAATAGGAGACAAAGTACCCAGTGGGGTCCCTAGGTTTAGCCTTGCCGGATTTTTCTTCGGCCGTGAAACTCTACTCACCGAAGGGGTTCTCCTCCATTTAGCCACACAGTTGATCATACAACGTGATTTCCCGATCTGGGGAAGAGAAGAGGAGAATCTGTTCCTCGTGAGGAGCATGGAGGCTAGAAGCCAGCTTCGATGCGTTCTAGGTTCGTTCCATTGGATCGACATTGCAGGGGCAGATGTCGCACTGCGGAATCTTGGTTTTGCTATGATCTCGAAGGCGGGAGCTGTCTGGAAGGTCAAATGCCTACCAGTGCCAACTAGCGTCTTCGGTGAGCCAACTCTCTCCAGGATCTACAACAAGGCTACAAATTCCCAGCACGCGACCAATATCTCCAACTCGATCGGCATCACCAACTCCGACACCCAACTCGGGCTCAACGGCGGCCTTGTGATTTGGTCCCTCATCATCTCCGTCTCGTGCGCTATGCTCTGCGACCGCTTTGATTGACGCCCGCTCTTCTGGGCAGCGACCGCCGGCATGCTCATGTTTCATCGCCTGGACCATCTGTTCCGCTGTGTACCAGAATGACGGCGACAAGGCTGCGAGCCAGGCCGTCGTGGCATTCATCTGGATCTTCAACTGCAGCAGCTACGAACTGGCGTGGTCGGGCTTGCTCGTCGCGTATACCATGGAAATCATACCGTGTAAGATCCGCGCCAAAGGGTCTGGTGGTCATGAACTTCTGGATCCAAGTGGCGTTGGCCATTAACCAGTACGTCAACCCGTTGGGACAAAGGCCCAACTCTCGAGAAAATCGCAAAGATCTTCGGCGGTGAAGACGCCGAAGTTGGCCAGGTGGACCTCGACAAGGCTGATGCTATTGTCGGGGCCTGTATGGGGAGTGTCGCTTCGGCGACAGAGAAGGTCGATGCAGCGGTTGAACATCGGAATGTGGCATAGATCTAGAACATTGGATCTCTCCTGAATGCAGGCAGAGACACAGAGAGGGAGAGATTGTGCGTATGTTGGAGTAGGAGATGTAATTTCGAACGAGAAGAGGTAACTTGGTCAACGTTCATAAGGGGGATGAGGGAGATTTGAATTTTAAAATGACATTGGCTTTGCAGTTCAGAGTTGACTGGCTCCGACAAGATCACTCCGTACGAGGTGGAGGTGCATCGTTGAAGTCCTTCTCATGATGAAACGAGAGTATACATAGTATCTTGTCTACTCTTCATCCGCCTCTTGCACTTTGTTGCTGAACGTTATCCATTCGTCCTCAAGCCCTGGCATTTTGCATTGAAGCGTTGATTCACGATGCGGGTGGATCGGTAGAAGAGAAGGTATTGTTATTCTCCGAGAACTTGAAGTCGAGGCAGGAGATCTGTACGAGACAAAGGAAGACAGAGTAGAAACGAAAGAAAGGGGAAAAATGATAAAGGTCGTGACTTTATGCTACAGCCGTCGAGACAAGGAGCTCGCTTCCACCACAACCCCGACGTCTGCATCTTATCCAAGTCATATGAGTACAAGTTCGCACGGGTGAACTGACAAGCCAGGGAAATAGGAGTTCAATCTCCCCTTGCGGACCGTTTCTCGCTTGATGGCCTTAGATGGCGAGATCGTCATGAGCTCTCTATTGTCCAACCTACCTTGGGCCCCAAGGGAGATGAAGAAGCGAGGCTCAAGTCGGAGCTGGAGTTGGATTGCCGAGCATAATCTAGATCAGATACGGGAGGGTGGGCCCCCTAGGTTCCTTTCCCCGAGGAAAAGTACGGGACATATGCTGGGAGTTCCGCTGCTTTTACATTGGGGGAGGGGAGGGAAATGAAAGTTGGTTTTCTGAAGATTGATGAGGTTCTGAGCTGAAAGTGTCTGGATCTTTTGATGAGTGATTGGCTTGATGATCTGGTCGCGAGCGGATAAGCGGATATCGTCAGGTATTATAGCATGTTAACTTGTTCTGAAGGAGTCGAAACTTGGACACTACCTGGCATTGGCGTGTTCGTGATTCAGGCAGACGCGAATAGAGGGATCGTCCCTTGTTGACGAAGGGCTGCGAATTGTGTGTTCCGAAAGAGGCAACATCACCGAGCAATGACAGCCCTTCCCGAGAAAAAGCAAGTTTGCCGACCATGGATGAGTTTTTGTCGGCGAGCAAAAGATTTCTCCATTCCAATCTCGCTAACCCAGTTCTATAAGAAATTTTTCCCAACAACAACGCGTTCATCCTACCAATAACACTCTCATCATTACCGGGATTCATAAAGCAGTTGAGGGCCAGAGAATAATCGTGTTTGCATGCCCCCGGTCTGCCTTTGCCCAACTGTCCCATCACCCGGCCAAATCAGACCACCGCGGGCATGTGCCCTTGTGAACGATCCTCCGACATCGAAGCCACAAGACATTCTTATCTGCCACCTTCAGAACCATGATTAAGACAGTCCAGTCCAGCCCTCGACCCTAACAACCAACACGCGTTAAAGGCCATTATCCAAACAATGGCCTTCAATTTCAACTGGTCGCCCTTGTCTACGGATGCCGGTTTCCTCCCTCGAGCGCAAGAACTCCTCACAAATGCCCTCAATCGAGCCGACCCCAAGCCTGCCATCATCGTCGACGACATTGTTGTGAACGAGCTCAATTTGGGTGATGTACCTCCCGAGTTGGAAATCTTGGAAATCGGTGACCTTGCAGAGGATAGATTCCGAGGCACATTCAAGATGATGTACAAAGGGAATGCATACCTCACCCTTAAGACCAAAGTTCAAGCCAATCCATTGAATACGTATTTGCGCACGCGATCGGCATTTGCATCACCTCAGCCTTTGGCTGCCGACACCGGTCTCACCATTCCTCTACAGATCACCCTATCAGAGTTCCGATTGTCTGGATTCATTATACTGGTCTTCTCTCGACAGAAGGGCTTGACCCTGGTTTTCCGAAATGATCCTCTCGAGTCCCTCCGCGTGTCCTCCACTTTCGACTCCATACCTTTTGTGGCCAATTTCTTGCAGAGGGAAATCGAGAATCAATTGCGTGGCCTCCTGATGGATGAACTCCCTGCCATCATTCATCGATTATCGCTGCGCTTGTGGGTGCCGGAGCATAATGCACGTGAAGAACGTGAGCTCGGAACAACACAAGTTTCAAAGGATGAGATTGTCGTTGATCCGCTGGCTAGCCCGCCGCAGGATCCGGTCGACTCTACTGGAGCTGTATTAACTCCAACAGAAGTTGCGTCATTGTCGCTGGATTCGTCGGTAGAAACTCAGTCATTGTTTTCACGGAAGAACTTGGTACGACTTGCAGCCTTGACCGACTCCCACCGTACACTATCACTGTTTACTCCATCAATCCGGGATGCTGTCTTTAGAGCATGGACAGGCCCATTGGAACGAGGGGAGATGGCTGGACTTTATCCTCGGGCAACAACTCCAGCACTGTCTAGAACCCATTCATACACCGGAAGTTTGAGTACTACAACAGCTTATACATTTGACAGCGCCTCACAGGCCCGACCGGCTCTCCCTGGCTTCGCCTCTGCTAGTCATGGCCTGAGTATGGGCACCGGACGCCACGGACAAGGTCATAGACAACGCAAGAGGAAGAAGCGTGTGGTAGATTTGCGTCCCCATCCAGAGACTGGAGAGCCTGAGCTGGTCGTGGAAGACGGATCAACCGCTGACACCGCTAGCGTGTCTGAAAGCACATCGACGGCACCCTCTGTCTTCTCAGCACCGGCAGTCACAATGTCCTCTGATCCTACGCGAGGCCTTGACCCCGTCACGCCGCCTAGATCTCCTGTTGCTGCCAAACAGCCAGGAACTCTCGACGGAGGACGTCATCGGGTTTCGGAAGTGCGCGGTGCTAGTCAAGGTGTCCCTGGCCCTGTCGTCCCACGTCAAACCGACGAACCTACAACAGAGATACAGAATACTCCGCGGGCCAAGAGCCCTCACGCGACGCACCGCTTACGACCTCAAAGAATAATTTCCACTTCCTTCGGTGACGTCGGGACGCCGAGAGCATCAATATATTTGCCAGATCAGAAAGAGGCTCCCGTTTCGCAAGAAGTTATGGAGCCCCCGACTCTTCACAGTGAAAAATCTGGGCCCCTTCCCGAGGCGGATCTTTCACGCTCAGCACTTCCTAGTTTCCTTCAATTCGTCACCGATCCATCCAATGCTAGAAGTATAGCCGAACGTGCTTGGATGATGAAAGTGGCCAATGAAGTGGCCAAACGATACGAAGAGGAAAGGCTGAAAGGTAGTTTTGGACCAGTATCTCCTCGTGAGGAAGCAGGACCACCTCCTGCTTACGCGCAATGACGAATCTCAACTTGATGAGTTTCTATGGATGTTGATGGAAGAAATGGGCGTTGGCTAATGTACTAAAATTTCATGGAGTGATGATGCTACGATGTAATGTATATAGAATGCATGACGTTGCTGGGGATTGGCTCTTTCAGGGACAATCTGCTGGCATGAGTAATGAACAGCGTCGGCCGCAATATACGATCTCCCAAATTTAGCGTTTCCTGCATTATGTGCTCATAACGATGTATACTCTGAGATGATGCACCGGTACAATTGCTTCCTCTTTCAGGTCACCTTTCTAACTGACGTTTCGGTCGGTTTTGGTTGTCCTCCCCTTCAGACCTATCTAGTCCTGCTCACAGGATCTTCGAGTCTTAAAAGTGTGCTTAATATAAGATAGGCTAGTTTGTACGAAAAGTAAGCTGCCAATAGCTGACAAAGATTCGTTGCACACTGACGTTGCTGACAACTGGCCACTAGGAAGTAGAAAGAGGGCCTTCGGCGCTCTAGGCAGAACAGTTCTTGACTCGGCTAGTGATTGCTTTTTTATAGAGGAACGCGACAGGGGATCTGCCTCGCTTTTTTCTGACGTCGATCCCATCAAGGCACTGCGTGTATCTCGCAGACATCATCAACTCGGGCATACTGCTTCGGCCGAGAGTCGCTTATATACAAGGCGCAACAATGTCGAGCAGCACAGACACCATGAATGATCCTTCCTCCCGTCGCGTCCCACATCCCCCTAACACAACGCCTCTCTGCTTCCTCAATGGCACCTCTCAAAGTTCTCATCTGCGGTGCAGGCGTTGCTGGCCCGGCCCTAGCTTTCTGGCTGAACAGAATCGGCTGCGCCGTCACGATATCTGAACGCTCCCCTGAGCCTCGCTACACGGGCCAACAGATCGATGTCCGCGGTCAAGGCGTCACCGTGATGCGCAAGATGGGTCTTGAGGCAGCCGTCCGCGCCCACGGCGTCGACGAACCGGGATTACAGTTCGTTGACGGCAATGGCAAGCGGAGAGCTTTCTTCGCGGCGAACAAGACCGGCAAGGGAAAGCAGACCATGACGTCCGAGTTTGAGATCATGCGCGGCGACATGTGTCGCATCCTATACGATGTCACCAAGGACAAAACTAGATACATTTACGGTGTTCACATTAAGTCATTTGAGCAGCTGCAAGGCGATGGCATGGTGCGTGTCGCTTTCTCCGACGGGACCGAAGACACATTCGACTTGCTGGTCGGCGCGGACGGCCAGAATTCGACCATACGTCGATTACTACTGGGCCCAGATGTCCCTGATCCATTCTATCCCCTTGGCACGACCCTCGCATGGGTGACGATTCCTTCAGAAGAGGGAGACACAAACTTCTTTACCGGATATGTTGCTCCCGGGGGGCGATTCATTGCGACACGAAAGGATCGGGAGGACTGTTTACGCGTGTACTTCCTCGTCTCCACTACTGACATGTCGGAAGACCACCCCTTAAGAGCATCTGTGAAGAGTGGTAGTGTGACAGACCAAAAGCAGGCTTGGGCTGACTACTTCCAAGACGTGGGCTGGCGGGCTTCTCGGTTCCTTCGAGAAATAACTGCTTCATCTATGGCAGACGACTGGTATGCTTGTGAACTCGGGCAGGTGAGGATGGACTCATGGTCGGAAGGGAGAATCGTTTTGCTCGGAGATGCCGCTTTCTGCCCCTCACCGTCTTCCGGTATGGGAACAGCTTCGGCTCTAGTGGGAGCTTATGTTCTTGCCGGGGAGATTGCCCAGCATTGCGGTCTCAGTGCGGGAGATGGTGGCTGTAAGAATTCATCTTCAGGACGGGTACAGCAAGGCCTGCCTGCCGCCTTGCAATCCTACGACCAGAAACTCAGACCTTTCATAACCAAGGTCCAGAAGATGGCTGATCATGGCTATGGCTCTTCGTTGATGCCCAAATCTCGGTTGGGCATTTCGATTTTGTATCTCGTCTTGGGGTTGATTGAGACATTGAGAATTGACAAGCTCATGAGCAGCCTGGGCTCGGATGATGTTAGTGGCTGGGATCTCCCTGATTATGCGGAGCTTGGGAAAGTTTGATTGAGTTTCGTGCCATCTGCACGAACTTGTTATTACTATTAATTGAAAGACTCTCCACTCTACCTTGTTCAGAGAGATTGGTGGATAGAAGCGGTTATAACTACTGTAGATTTCCCGGTCAAGCCGTAGGGCGGCAACACCCTTGTCCCAAAGAGGTATTCCTCCCATCTTGGCCAGTTGATTCAGATTCATTTGTGTGGGGAGCCTTTTTATAATTCTGGCCATCTCTACCAGCCTCTCAGCCTTCCATTTTGGGCATTTCAAAAGCATACGTCCGGGTCATTCGCTTGCATCCGGACTTATTTCAAGGTGTCAGTCATGGATTATTTCAAATCCTTGGTTGGCCGGCGGCCCTCTCAAGCGCCGGCTGTGGGAGAGGATCCTGGTAAATACGAAAATGCACTCCAATCCAGCCGAAATCTCCTTGCTAACCTCACTTCCCTAGATTTTGCGGATTTCGCTGCAGCACCAGCTCCACCACCAACCTCGATCCCCCCGTCTCCTGCTGATGCGCTGGTTGCGGCCCCGACTGCACTTGGACACCGTGGAGTCTACACGAAATGGTATCGAGTGTGGGAACGAACGGAATGGTCCGATTTTATGATGGAGGGTGTCCTTATTCCATTCATCCTTCTCGCATTGCTGGTACATTTCTGGGGAACCCGAAAGAATGCAAGAAAGGCGAAGAAATGGATGGCTGTGCATGCGCCTTTGTTGGAGCGCGAGTTTGCGTTGGTGGGATACAGCCAAGTCCCTAAGCTCACACCGTATCCCGAGGGAGTGCAGGCAGACAACTTGGTCGAAGCCAGTGCGAAGTTCACGGGCGACAGTTTGCCTGATGACCTGTTGAAAGAGAAAGCTGCATGGGAGTACGAATCATACGCCAGCGGACGACAGAACGTGGCGTTTATGGATATCAAGGTCTTCATGAAGAGACGGATGAATCCATTCATTATGATCGCGGAAGAAATCACCGGCATGTTCATCGAATCGATCAAACCCAAGGCGGAAAGAATGGAGGCTGTTCTCTACACTTTCGACGGGAAGGAGAAGGAATTCGTTCCGCCACAGGTACCAGGCTCGGAAGAAGTAGGCAAGGCCAAATCCGTGGGCAACTCCACCTATGACCAGTTTGTGTTTGCCGTGGTGAACAAGTTGGTCATGCGCCGACTTCGGGATGAGCGTTACGATCTCTCCTTGACATTTACCAAGGACAACCCCAAACTTCCCGATTGGGCAACAGTCATGAGCGAAAGTGCGGAAATAAGTGAGTGGATGTTGACCAAAGAGTTGGTTGCGGCCATCAGCGAAGCTGGGGATCTCCTCGAGTATCTCATCATCACCGACCAACCCACCGACAAGCCAACCAATCTGACAGAGACCACGCCGAAGAAGCGACTTCACATTTCCCTCAGGCTTCCTTCTGATGGGAACTATCTTCCAACATTGCCCATCTTCCAGGCATTCCTACGACTACCTGACTTCTTGGTCAGCTCGGGCAAATTACGCCCGGAGGTGTTGAAGAAGGTCCACGCTACTCGGGAGGTGGAGAAAGGGAAATTGAAGAAGATCAGCGACAAGGAGGCTGAGGAGGAACGACTTCGAGCCCTGGATAAGATGAAAAAGGAGGAGAGGGATCGTAAGATGAGAGGAATGAGTGCCGAAGAACAACGAAAATTCTTGGAACGTGAGAATGAGAAGCAGAGGAAGAAGGCGGAGAAGAAAATGACACGAAGGGGATGATTATTATTGATCGGGAAGGAGAGAAAGGCCAAAAACATTACTGCTTGCATGTGCTATATTTGTTATTCTTTTGGACATATTTGAGGAGAGCTCGATGCTGGATGCTGGATGCTGTAGCAAATAACAGCGATTACTCCGGAATTCCGTGTACTAGTCATTGAAAACTAAGTTTGTCAGCTTTTGGTCAACAATACCCCAGACTCGAGCCCCAAAAATAAACCCCTGCCATGGACTTTGTGGTGGCGGTGACCGTCAGTGGATAGCGATTCGGTGGAGAGCCTTGCCGCCTTGCAGAAAATGCAGCATCCAGCACCAATGGATGCCAATCACTTGCTCTGAATTCTTCGCCCGAAACACTCTGCCTCTCTCGCCGCAGTTTCATTCCGCCGTCAATCCCGTTTCAGGCGTGATTCGACCAGCTTACGGACATGGCCATTAGACCGCGCCTCCACCTTGGCTCAGGTTTCAACTCTGATGCTCAGACTTGCTCAGCCGCAGTACTGATGCTTTACATTTTTTACTTTTGATTGAAACTGAGTTTCTCAGTTTCCTCTCTTTCTTTTTTCCTCTGCCATCTGTCTGTGTTTTGTGTTCCCTCTTTCGTTTCACCGTGCTTTTGTATACAGATACCGTTCACTTTGCCGAGCCTGGTGGCCACATACACCTCCCAATGACACCTCCCAACATGTCGTTACGGCTGCTCATATCCTTCCTCTCTTTCCTCAGTATCACATTCGCAGCATCGATTGACATATCGGAACGACAATCCACCGCCTGCAACAATTCCCCTGACCTTTGTTCAAAACCATATAATAGCATCGCCCACCTTGGAGCCCACGACTCACCGTTCGTTCGAGATGCCTCAACGGGGTTTTCCACGTCAGGAAATCAATATTACAATTCTTCCGTCCAATTATCTGCAGGAGTACGCTTACTCTCCGCTCAGATCCACAAATCAAATGGAGAGTGGCATCTCTGTCACACCTCCTGCGATCTACTAGACGCAGGATTGTTGTCAGATTGGCTGAAAGAGATCAAGGCATGGATGGAAAATAACCCGAATGATGTCGTTACAATTCTTCTTGTCAACTCGGACGATGGCACTCCATCGGAACTGGCCCAGGAATTCACCACCGCCTCTGTCACCGACATAGCATATGTTCCTCCCTCGCTCAGCACCCCTCCTCAGACATGGCCGACGCTACAAGAACTTATCTCATCAGGCAAGAGATTGCTGACCTTCGTGGCGAATATGCCTCCGAGTACCGTCACTTCTGACGAAGGATATCTCATGGACGAATTCACTTTCATCTTCGAGAATCCATACGACAACGTCCAAGTCACAGACTTCACTTGCAGTCCCGACCGCCCTTCATCCGTCCAAGGAAACAGCCAAGCTGCAATCTCATCCAACCGAATGGCATTGACGAACCACTTCCTTTACGAAGAGGGCCTCTTCGACATCCAGACCCCCAATGTCGACAACATCACCATCACCAACTCGCCCGGCAATTCCGTGGGCAATCTGGGCTATGCCCTTTCATCCTGCAAAACTGATTATGGCAAGCCCTCAACATTCGTGTTGGTGGATTTCTTCGACCAAGGCCCCGCCATTGACGCCGTCGACGCCATCAATGGAATCACGCCCGTCGGACGCACGGTCCCTCCTCCACGAGACACCAAGGAAGATCTAGGCAGCCAGTCTTACAGCGAAGAATCATTCCAAGGCGTCGTCGATCTGGCAAACGATGTCAAGGACGGCCAGACGCCGAAACTCGGTGCTTGGATCTGGGCCGCTGGGAAATGGACCTTTGGCGGCATTAATTTGAGCGGCGGTGATGTTTTGCAAAAGTGATCTATAGCAATAACATTTCATAATGACCAGAGCAACCAGGCGTTTGGTATTGATCAGCGAGCACGTCGGTGGCAGTTTTTGTATTCAGTGGGGAACCCTGTTGCGATGAAACCAGTCTAGGAGTTGAGTTTTAGGTATACGATATACCCACCGACGAAAGAGTCTACGGGCGGATTTGAGACGAAAGAAAAAGACCCAACGGCATTGCGGTCCGAAAAGTTTCACGACAAACACTCTCAATGATCAAGTTTTATCGACTGAGCGAAAGATCAACGATCAAAAATTGGGATTCATGGCTTCTGCATAGCGACGGCGTTTTGCTTTGCTAGGTATGAGGATCGGGATTTGGCAAAGAGAAGGATTCGCATGCATATAGGTCTGTCTATTGATGTATAGACCTGACGATACCCCAGTTGAATATCTATGAAGCTATTGATCGCTGTTCTGTCACGTCCGGGAATGCGCAGAGAATGAATAATGCTCAATCACGCACTGGGAAGACGAGTGTGTCCAAATCAACTTTTGGATTGTCTAGTGGAAATAGTTCCACAAAGAGGCCAAGGATCAGTTAGGTTGGTAGATTTCAGTCATCTCCGACAGCGAGATCTTGGTCATCACCCAGTGAAATGGCTCTCCAACCTCCCAGATGGAAATCCGGCGCTATATCCGGACCCTGCTCGTTCCTCATCCCCAGCTCTACTTGGCGTTATAACCGTGCGAAAACTTTTTTCAACACGTCTCTGCCCTTCCAAAGATTCTCTACTCTCATGCGCTCATTGTCCAAGTGTGCATTATCACTCGCCTGGCCCATGGGGAACATTGCAGCTGGGGCATGGAACTCGTGTTCCAAGAACGAAAGAGCAGGAATTGAGCCTCCTTCGCGGATAAAGAGTGGTTCTCGGGGTAGGGTACCGGGTGTGAATGTGCCGGCGCTGGCGAGGGAGGAGGCGCGGCGGTGTGAGGTGCGGGTCTTGCTGGGAGATGCATCAGAGCATGGTGAGGAGGATGTGGCGTGTTGGTTCTGCGACGGCGACGGCGTAAAGGTAAATGCCCTCCACCCTGAGCCAGAACTCGACCCCAGGGCATCTGAGTGCCAGGCTTCCACGACCGAATCTTTCAGCGTCGTGTACATTTCGCTGCTCACGTCGCCTAGCCAGGGATCTGCCTTCGAGGTAATACTCACACGAAGGGTATTTGAGCTCTGGAGTTTCGTGAACTGGTCGTGCAGGTATGTGGACAAGCTGGTCGCGATTTGCTCGGCGGTCTGCGATGGCACGATGCGGATCGATAGTGTCGCGGTCGCAGAGCCACTTATCGTCACGGCCGTCTTTGCTTCGGGGACGTCGATTCGGTGCACTGTAAGGTTCGGGTAGCGCCAGCGTTGCATGAGAGAGAGGGCGAAGGCTTTGTCGTTTTTGATTTCCGGGTGTCCTGGGAGCAGGGATGAGGTAATGGAGGCGTAGGATTGCATCTCTGACTCGGATAAATCGTCGACCGTGTCGTAGAATTGCGGAATTGTGACTTTCGTGCCGCTTGGACCAACGAGTGCGGCAAGGAGGACGGTCAAGTCTTTCAATGGTTCGTGCTGTACAGATTTCCCATCCATGCCGGAGTGAAGATCGGGCTTGTTCGAGGATATGGTAACGGATGCATGGACGACGCCGCGCATACCGAATGTCAGACAAGGAATATGGTCATCGAGCCAGTAGCTATTAGATAAAAGGATGAAGTCCACCGGTCCAATTGCGTCGTGGGCGGATTGTACTGTTTTGCGAAAGCCACGGGAACCTGCTTCTTCGTCGCCTTCGAGGAGAAAAGTCACATTACAGGACAACGAGCCGTGCTGGACGAGGTCGGCGACGGCATATATTGCAGCCAAGATTGGGCCTTTATTATCTGTCACGCCCCGGCCATACAGGAAACCATTCATCGGCTGAAGACTGAAGGGGTCGGCATACCAGGTCGGGCTCGGATTCGACGGATCGAACTCAGCGTCGACGACATCGTAGTGTCCATAGAACAGAACTGATCTCGTCGATTTGGAGGGGTTGGATGCCGGGAATTTGGCAAGGAGAATCGGGTTGACACCTTCCTGAGGGGAGAGAAGGGTGGTCGTCGCACTGAAGGCGTTGCATTGTTTGCGTAGAAATGTAATGGCATCATGGCAGTCGCGGACACAGGTGGGATTTAATGCAACGGTGCGATACGCCACGAATTCTCGTAGCGCGTTGAGCAGCTCATCTAGTGGGCAGTGAGTATTCGTTTGGGAAAAAAAAAAAAAAAAAAATGATATGGGACTGCCTACCATTACTTCGTGCCGAAGAAGACACGGAGATGTGAGCATCTAGCTCAGCTTCCCAGAAGGAGACAACATTGTCATTGCCTCCTGTGACCAGCATGTCATGGTCAGGAGTGGATGTCAACGCCATGGCCAAAATCTTTCCATCGGCTGCTTGCCATGACTCGGTCTCTGTGAAATGGTCGTTATATCGCTGAAATTCAGTTAGCCTGACGTTATTGTCTCATTGTGGATACTCTTCCCTTGACCCATCCTTGACTGGTCCCGCAGAGAATGCTCTCTGCGCTGACAAGTATTTGACTTACGTCTCGATCACCCACATTTAACTTCTGAACAAGTTGATTTGATGCGAGGTTGTAAATATTAGCCGTGCCGTCTGACAGGCCGGCGTACAGGAAGGAGCCTTTATATGAAAGACTCAAGATGTTCGAAGTTGGGTTCTTGAACTTCGATCTCGGCAGAATACGAGTTGCGGATTGCGTGTCAATTGACCATAGTTTGATCGTTCCGTCTCCTCCACCAGTAATGAGGATTTCCTCATCTTTATCGTGGGTGAAGAGTCCCTTCACTAGTAACATGCTGTAGATGTAGCTTTTGTGAGCATATGGAAGATAATTCCTGCTTGGTATGGTCAAGACACGACCTCCTTGATTGTGAAGACCTGAATTTGGGCCATCTTCGTCGGAGATGATATCGGCGACGCCCCCGGGCCCTAGTGAGTCGAAAAATCGATGTTTTCGAGACCCGGGCGAAAAGGTCAGAGTTGGTGATCTGACACCGGCATCGGTGCTGAGCTTGTACCACTGCACGCTTGAATTTTGAGCGCCCCAAAATAAGGTCTGGGTTTTGGGAGAATAGACCACGCAGAAGATGTCGCCAATCTCGAAGTGAGAATAGAGAGAATACAATCTCTGTAGAGTCTGTGTGGACCATACATTGACAATGGAGTCGGCCCCCGTCGAGAAGAGGAGAGACTTGTCCTCTGAGAGGGCGAGGCTCAAGACACTCTCCTGATGAGCAGGTACCACGGCCAGTTGATCGTAGGTTTCTAAAGACCAAACAACGATGCTTCCTCCCTGTGTTCCAGCAAAGAGGACATCGTCGTCGGCTGTCAAAGCCTGAACGCTGCCCGGAGCATGGATCCGATGGACGGGGTTCTTTGCCGGACGAGGCTCGGACGAAGGAGAGGGCGGTTCTTCCTGCTTATGTTTCGACTTGGTGGTGTCGATTGATTCTCTTGAATCGATTGAGGCTGACTGAATGGATGAACGACTCTGGTTGGCCTGATCAGCTTTGGCCATCCCCTTGCGAAAGACCAGGTCGAGACGGGAAGTGAGTGGATGAGAATAGGATGTGTGTAGATGAAGTGTGAACTCACTGTACCGGTGGTTGGAGAAGATGCAGCACTGGGGCGCAGGTGCGCTTCGGATTCGCTGATTTGGCACATTCCTCGTATCAGCGGTTTGCAGTTTTCCCTTGATTCTTATCGTTTCCCATAATTTAACCTCGTTCAGCTTTCTCTCGGTTAATCCAACATGGCTTGAATTCAGGCCAACAGAAATAGATAGCGCTCTGACTCATCGCCTACCATAACAAAGCACATTTCCTTCCCCACCGAGAACTCTCAATGACGATGGCGTAATGCTCAACTTGAATTGTACAATCCCAAAAGCCTTACGAGCTGGTACATGACATCTTCTTGTCATCGAAAATGACTACGACTCCGTCCAAGAAGCCATCCCGTCTCGGCCCGTATAAACCAACTCTCATTCTACACGGCGGAGCAGGATCTATCTCTCGCTCCAATCTGCCTCCAGAAGTATATGCTCGGTATCATGCTTCTCTTCTCAAATATCTGACTGAGACACGCAAATTTCTTGAATCCGGGGCTTCTGCTCTTGATGCAGCTTGTCATGCAGTCACCCTGTTCGAGGATGATCCGTTGTTCAATTGCGGCCGGGGCGCTGTCTTTACGGAGCGGGGCACCATTGAGATGGAAGCCAGCGTGATGGTATGCTCCCTCAATCCTGCTGGTCCTCCTGCCGGCGGAATCAAACGTGGTGCCGCGGTCAGTCTGGTTCGGAACACAAGACATCCCATCCTTTTGGCTAAGGAGGTCTTGGTGGCTGCGGATGAGGACGGTGGAATGGGAGGAACGAGTACCACGCACTGCCATCTTAGTGGGAGAGAGGTGGAGGAATGGGGATGGAAGGAGAGGGACCTCGAGAAGAAACCAGATAGCTGGTTCTGGACTAAGAAGCGATGGGAGGAACACAGGAGAGGTCTGCATCAGTCGGGCTCATACTCCTTCAATGACCTTCTTAGATTCGCCAATCCGTTATCATTGCCTTCTGCCGGAGGCGATGTGGATATGGACGTTCACGAAACCCCTAGCCAAGGTACCGTCGGTGCCGTGTGCCTGGATTCCTGGGGCAACCTGGCCGTAGCGACTTCTACAGGTGGTCTTACGAACAAAAAAGCAGGCCGCATTGGAGACACACCTACAATCGGTGCTGGCTTTTGGGCGGAAGCTTGGGACGAAAATATCCAAGACTCAGCAGGCATCCTTGAAAGAAGTTGTCCTTCTGGGCCGTCAATGCTGAAGAGCAAGCCACTCTTTGATCAGGTCTGGACACGAGCTTGCGGGTTGATCGGTTCCTCCCTCGACCCGTTCGAACCGGAATGTCGATCTCGAGAAGAAGACGAAGCTCCTCCGGCATACGCCGCGACGCCAACCTTGAAACTGCACAGACCTCCCGTCCCACTCCTCCGCAAACGCCGCCGCGCTGTCGCCATGTCCGGCACCGGAAATGGGGACTCGTTCCTCCGAACCAACGCTGTCCGTACCGCCGCTTCGATCTGTCGACTCTCCTCATCTACATCGCTAGCTGGCGCTATTACCGCCATTGCGGGCCCAAACGGCGAACTCCAACGCTCCGCAGCCGAGCGATGGGGCCGCACGGGCGAAGGCCAGGGCGGGATCATTGGGATTGAAGTCATTGATGACCATGCAGAGATGATTGATCACCAAATGCGGACGGATCTTAAAGCAGTTAATGCGCATGCTTTTCAGAATAATACGAAGACGATGGGCACACCTGTCTTTGATTTCAATTGTGGAGGTATGTTCAGGGCTTATTATGAAGTTGACGGAGAGAGAGGGGGGGAGAAGGCCAAGATCATGGTCTTCAAGGACGAGTACTAGGGTTGAAAGAATACATACTATAGAGGCGGGTGTGAGGAGGGTATAGGTGTAAATGCACGGGAAGATATACAGTAGATAAAGTACCTATAACCACCGTGCTTGGCTGCCCCAAGGCACTAACGCCGCAAGATCATGATTTTGCTTTTCACTCATCAGATTGTAGTGCACATGTTGTGTCCCAGGGGGGTTCGAAGTTTATTTTAATCTTGCGATATATCCTCTGGTCTATCTCAGCTCTCCTCTAAAGGCAGGAGGGGTACGGTGCGTCGGTTGCTCTGCTTGGCGGTGATATCTGGGTTGCGAATCTGGCCTCGTCCACAGACGTATAGCTCACATGCCAATTTCCATCGTTCGTATCAGTCGTCATCTCCTTATTGAATTTCCAAAAACCGAGGTGAGGGTTGTCGGGTATGGACCACGAGGGCTTCACCCGGTGAGAACCCTGGGGTCAACCTGGTTGTTGGGAGTCAATTGAGGCGTCGTGCCATGAACCGCCCATGGGCATAAACGTGGTTTTGCTATTTCCACAACAGCCGCATTGTTATGGCCTACCGCATTTCTGGCTCAACGGGTCACCCGAATAGGCTGTATTTATGGCCGATCCTCCTGTTAACTGACGCGTCAAGCAAAGGATTCGAGGGAGGGGGGGTTCGGTTTCATGCTTTTTCAATACTCCAAAGTTCGCTTCATGCTGTCATAAATTCCTATGATTCTTGTGAGCATCTCAAAACAGGGTCACACCCAAGGTGGCGAACTTACTCGCAATATCCGGAATATTATACTTCTCAAAGATCAACCCAGGATGGGTACTCCAACCAGTGACTCTGGCAACAGGAGCTTCTAGCCGAAGAAATGCGCCTTCTTGTATGCTTGCGGCGACTTCGGCACCAACGCCTGCGTTATACATGCTCTCGTGAACGACGACGGCTCTTCCGGTCTTGTTCACGCTTTCCATTATGGCGGCTCGATCCCATGGGTAGATTGCTCTCAGATCAATGAGTTCAACGCTCAGGCCTTTGATGTCCTTCTCCAGAGCTTCGATGGCGGCGGAGCAGAGATAAAGAGGTTGACCATACGAGATGACCGTCAAGTCTTTGCCCTTTTTGAGGATTTCGGCTTTGTCCAGTGGAATGGTGTATGGGTCGCGAGGGACAAACTCTTCAGCGGCTCGATATAGGATTTTGGGCTCCATGAAAATAACTGGATCGTTGGAGTTAAGGATTGACGATGTGAGAAGTCCTTTGGCTTGAGCTGGTGATCGAGGTATGACCACTCGTAGCCCTGGCACATGGGTGAATAAGGCTTCGGGGCTTTGCGAATGGTAGAGAGCACCGTGTCCGACACTTCCACAGGGCATTCGTACGACCAGGCCTCCACAATGTCCGCCTGTTGCACCTTCTCGGTATCGGAATTTTGCAGCTTCGTTGACTAGCTGGTCGAAGGCCGGGAAGACATAATCGGCAAACTGGATTTCTGCAACAGGCTTCATTCCCTCGGCTGCACAACCTATGGCAAATCCCACGATTCCCTGTTCTGATAGCGGAGTGTTGAATATGCGACTTGTTCCAAATTCGTCAGTCAAGCCTTTTGAGCAGCGAAAAACACCTCCGAAGGCCACGTCTTCTCCAAACAAGAGGACGCTCTCATCGGTCTTCAAGGCATGGTGTAAAGAAGCATTGATGGCCCCGTGAAGATTCTGCCAATCGATTGGGGCATCCTGGGAAAGACCAAAGGCTGTCCTGGCACTATTCTGCGAGTGATATAAGAATGGGACCTTCTTAAACTCTATGGGCTTGTTTAGGTGGGCTTCGGGTGATGTTTGACTGGCATACCGCAGTTGAGACCGGGGCTTGAGGATTCGGGGAACTAAGTGTGCCCTTCGACAGGCAAACATGGCGAGGACCATCTAGATATATGACTCTTTCAAGGCACACAATCTGAGAGAAAGACGGTGGGAAGAGGACAGGAGTGAGTATTTGAAGGGTTCGTAAGAAGGCCGAGGATAAGCGAAGGTTGGCCATGGGCGATAACCGAATTTAGGATCACGTGTGTCTAACCCCCGGATGACGCGCTTCGCAGTGGATAGGGGGATGAACGCTGAGACTGCGCTAAATCCATAACTGCAAAGCGCTACCTCGCAAGGTGGGGGCCACCCCAAGAGCCGTGCTAATGTAATACACTCGAAAAGGGTAACTTTCGTCAGCTCCGCATATGTTACACGTGATCTGAGGCCTGCAGTTCCAGGCGCTGATAGCTGAAGCCTAGCCAAGTGGGCCCCCAAATCTTGACTATTAGTGTCGCTTGAGTGAGAGGACGATAGGTAAAGCTATAGCTAAGTAATCCCTAGAAATTAGTTAAAGGCAAAGCCTATTGGCCCTATAACGATAGGCTGCCGATAGCCACGTGATATAGCTCCCTGCTAACGAATGTTGCCCTTGTCGAGTGTAATTACGATACAGTACATTGCATTACGTACCTTCCATCACCCTCTAGGCGATACTCTTTTGTCCAACCAGCCATTCTTCGAGCCCTCCACCAAACTTACCATCTCCCACTGTCTGAGACCTCATCAATTTTCGATCACTTCCTCCAAGACCTCCATATCAGACCGGATACCGCCTACCAAGCTGTCCCAGCCAGATTCCGCCGAATTCGACAGACGCTATCCAATCGTCGTGCGATCCAGTTTCCTGCTAGCATGTCGTAATAAACAAAGCGGGCCTGAGCAGAGCATGATGGCTCGAACTCGAAATTTATACCTGTCCCTACGACCCATGATCCTCGATCTTGCCAAATTCCTCGTTCTCTTACTTGGACAAATACCCTTTGTTCGAGCTGCTCCGCACCATGTTTCAAATCTATTCCCTGCAGGCGAAGAAGAGGAGGGAAAAGACCCAAGTGATCCTGGACTCTGGCTGTATTTGAGTGTTGCGGCGGCGCTGGTCTTGCTTGGAGGTGCGTTTGCTGGTTTAACCATAGCATTGATGGGCCAGGTGAGCTGAGAATCGAGTGCTCGAAACATGCCATACCCTAACATTGGGAAAAGGATGAAATACATCTTCAGGTGATCCGAGATTCTGGCGAAGGCGTCGAAAGGACTCACGCTGCAAAAGTGCTGAATCTCTTGCGAAAGGGAAAGCATTGGGTCCTGGTTACACTCCTCCTGAGCAATGTTATTACCAACGAAACCTTGCCTATCGTGTTGGATCGTTCCCTGGGTGGTGGATGGCCGGCTGTCCTCGGGTCGACTGTTCTTATTGGTATGCATCCTTTCATTGAATCCCTCCGGAGCACCGCTAATGACTTGCAGTCATCTTTGGCGAAATCGCGCCTCAATCCGTCTGTGTACGCTACGGTCTGCCAATCGGTTCTTGGATGGCGCCCTTTGTCCTTGTCCTCATGTATATTCTTGCGCCGGTTGCATGGCCAACTGCAAAGTTACTCGATTACCTTCTGGGAGAAGACCACGGAACGACATACAAAAAGGCGGGTTTAAAATCATTAGTTTCACTTCACAGGAGTCTGGGAGAAGCCGGTCAACAGCTCAATGCGGATGAAGTGACCATTATCAACGCAGTCCTCGATCTCAAAGAGAAATCTGTCGGCAGCATCATGACTCCCATGGACGACGTCTTTACTCTTTCCCTTGACGATGTACTGGACGAGTCTACCATGGATGACATTCTCTCACAGGGCTATTCAAGAATACCGATCCACCATCCGGACAATGATTCGAATTTCGTTGGCATGTTACTGGTCAAGATGCTGATTACGTATGACCCCGAAGACGCGAAACCTGTTCGAGATTTTGCTTTGGCAACCTTACCCGAAACCCGCCCGGACACGAGTTGTTTGGATATTGTCAACTTCTTCCAGGAGGGCAAATCCCATATGGTTCTTGTTTCTGAGTATCCAGGGGACGACCATGGTGCTCTCGGGGTGGTCACGCTGGAAGACGTTATTGAGGAATTGATTGGCGAGGAAATTGTGGACGAGTCCGACGTCTTTGTTGATGTGCACAAAGCCATTAGGCGAGCAATGCCTGCCCCCACTCGCCGCATCCCGAAGACCTTCCTTCTTTCTGATCCGTCTACGGCAAATGGTCCGACGGCTGATCTGGTTAACATCGATGAGAGCGAAACGCTTTCTCCCGATGACTTACAAAGAGCCAGAACTGCTGACGGTCTGCCATCAAAGCCAAGAATTGTTGGCGGCGCTCGACGTCGATCGAGCGGTGGAAATACCAGCGTGGGTGCAGAAGCCAGGGCCGTTAAAAGGACAAGCACCGATGAAATCAAGGAACATCTCAAGCACCTCGGACCTTCGAATCTCGCACAAAGGCCAAAATCAACAAGATACAATACAATCAAGATCAAGCCTGGCAAGGAAACTTCATCAAAAGAACAAGCTCCTGATGGCCGAACCACACCGATTCGAAGGATTTCCGAGACAATGTCTGAATATCATGGTGGCATAGGCGAGGGCATCCTCAGTTCAGGGGGAAAAGTCGCTAGTGACGGCGTGCAAGCACTTAAGCATGGATATGGAACCATTTCCTCTTCTCCAGGTGAACAACGCCCACGAAGTGCCGTAAAGGGGACACAAGCGAACTTACCACCAGCCGAAGATGAAGATGCCGCCGGCCGTGATATCCAACAGTCTCAACCCCCAGCTACCACGATGACGAGTCAAAGCACAATTGACAGTTTGCCTTCTTCACGACCACGGTCGAAAAGCCCTTATTATCACACAAAAGGCCCTGCAAGGAGTGGCAGCATTACGGAAAATATTATCGATACCAACGGGTTTCGCAAAGTTATCCTTGAAACTACATCAAGCAGCGAGTCTAATGAGGAGGGGGAAAATAGTGGAGCCAACAAGGGTCTTGTGCAGCGTCATGAACATGACCACGCTTCGGGTGCAAAATTAGGAGACGGTGATAGCGAACATTCTCTCGAACATCACGATGATAGGAAGAAAAAGAAGAAGCGCCGAGGACGAAAACATGGACATGGGCATGGACGTGGCGGAGGAGAACATGAACCATTATTGACAGGCAACCAAGATTACACACCAGCGTTTTGATACCGATACAGCAGTTAATACGGAATTCGAGTTTCTCTATCACCACCGCCTTCCACATATACCTTGAGACCCATTGAGTCCCGATGGCAGTATTCAATTGAGCCCACGGAATTATCTCGCTGGGTACGATAATATGTTAGCATGCTACATGGTTGGGATTGGCATGGGTTGGGTGCGTGAAGAGTCGTGTACACTTAGCTGCTGCAGTAGCTGAGCCGTTATAAGTGTCTTCGATAGTACTATCGAGAGAGTTCTCCAGGTTGATTCTGACAGTTTTATAGGCGCCGTCCTTGGCGTCTTGGCGGGTCGTGGATCTGACGCCAGCCCCTGTCAAGTACTCTCACTGCATGCCCTCATTTTCCATCCTCGTGAGACCGAGTCCCCTTAACCACTACACCTACTCGAGTTATCCTTCCGCCAGGCCGCCAGTCATTCATTCGACCCACCGCCAGCCATTGACCTCCAATGTCTTTGAAACCCCTCTCCCAGAATCTCACTTTTCCATGGACGAAACCTCCTACAGCGACCGCGTTTTAAGACCTGCTTCTGTTGCACCACCTCCTCCTACGGAAGAGAGCTTCATATATATCAATCCGCGTCGAAAATACAAGCGCCGTGGCACTGGTTCCGATTCCGAACTCAAAAGTGACGGCTCAGAAGATGGGACTGCCTCCATGTCGGGATCAGAAGAACACGAACTCGGAGCGTTAGACTCGGACGCAGATATTGACGATGATGAAGAGACGGGCTTCGGTAAACATGGAAGACGCAAATATCTGAAAAGAAAGAGGCGGCAGCATGGCCTGGATTCTCGAATCGCAGGCACCGGCGCTATCTCTAAAGATGAGGCCAGAGAAGCAGACAAGAATGTCATGCGCAATCTTTTGATCAATGCCGCACTCATCGGCCTGTGGTATTTCTTTTCTCTGGCAATATCCATTGTGAGTTTTGGTCCCTTCAACCACATACAACGGCATTCGCTGATTTGAATTCTCAGTACAACAAGATGATGTTCTCGTCTGACCACCTTGACTTCCATTTCCCACTGTTCGCTACGTCTCTCCACATGCTAGTCCAGTTTGGTCTGGCATCCATCATTCTTCTAATGTTCCCTTCGTTACGACCGTCCCAACCTCAACCTCCAACACATCGAAACGAATCACGCCCTCCGAGACCGCTCGTTACACCGTTATTCTATTTTACTCGTCTGGTCCCCACCGGAACGACAACGTCACTCGATATTGGACTGGGCAATACCTCTCTTCGCTTTATAACATTAACCTTCTACACAATGTGTAAATCTTCCGTCCTCATTTTCGTCTTAATGTTCGCTTTCCTTTTTCGACTGGAGAAGCCATCAGTCAAACTCATTGTCATTATCCTGACCATGACGATTGGCGTTTTGATGATGGTTGCAGGCGAAACAGCCTTCCATGCTCTCGGTTTTGCTCTGGCAATGTCTGCATCCTTCTTCTCGGGCTTTCGATGGGCATTGACTCAAATCCTTCTCCTCCGACACCCAGCAACTTCGAATCCCTTCGCCACGCTCTTCTTCCTAGCGCCAATAATGTTCGTCACGCTATTCGTCATCGCATGTTTTTCAGAAACCCCATCAGCCGTCATGGCAGGGCTTCACCTCCTGATCAGCGAGTACGGAGTCTTCAAATCAGCATTATTGCTTTTTGCCCCGGGATGCCTGGCATTTTGCATGATTGCTAGTGAATTCACCTTGCTTCAGCGAACGAGCGTCGTCACTCTTAGCATCTGCGGCATTTTCAAAGAAGTTGTCACTATCAGTGCGGCCGGAATCGTCTTCCACGATGAACTCTCTGTGGTCAATGTTAGTGGTTTGATTATCACGATCCTCAGCATTGCCAGCTACAACTACTTGAAAGTGGTCAAGATGAGAGAAGAAGCACGCGAGAAACTGAGAAAACGAGATGAAGAGCAGTATGAGGAGATGGAATATGATGGGGACGACAACCAAAACACTGCTGCTATAGATGAGGTGGAAGGGATGAATGCGGCCTCAGTTCCGTTAATGCATGACCAAGAAGCAAGGTCAAATGGTAGAATTGGCATTGGATCGGGGTCGGGGACGGGATCGAGCTCGGTTCCACAAGCGGATGGCGTCCTGGGACCTTCTGCAAAGACAAAGGAAGACAGGGAGTGATCTGTTTTCCCGGGGGTTAGATTCTACCGGATCAATTTTTATAGCTGGACAATTAGCTAGACTTTGCACATAGAAAGAGATGTACACCAGAGAGCGAGGATCCACCATTGGACGATAGGTTGGCATATATATTCCAAGCATAATGTATCGGCAAGATTGCCGGGATTTCCTAAGACAAAACCCATCCCATTCCCAGCCAATCAAATCAGTGAGTTCTTGTACCCCTTAGTTCACAGCCTTACCCCGACTTGGTTCTCCCATTTTGTTCTTGTTCATGATTTCAAAACCAAACGGTCGAGTTCTGCTCTTTACACAAGGGGAAGAAAGCCTCATCCTCATTAGCTAAAAATATTTCTATCAACCGCTGATTACAGCTATACAATCTTCAATTTCCTCAATTCAAAACTTCTTAGTCCAATGAAATGCTCTACATTCTGAGAAGAATCCGACACGCCGATAACATCCTTTATCCGCCTCGAGTATAACCAGGCCTTCCTCATCCTCATCCTCTTTCTGATCCTTATCATCACCACCATTATCGTTGGGAGAAGCACATCAATACCCTGCCCCCATCCTGGCCTCAAAGTACAAAAATCCTCTTGTCACCGCACTGAACGGCAACACCTCCGATTTAAGTGAACAATGCTATCGAGTATTGTGAAATGAAACGGTTCCCTTTTGGGCTATCACCATACGGCCGGAACGTTTTTCCTTGAGCCGGCGCTCACGACCACAGAGCACAGTATTTAACCGGTCATGGCGCAAGAGCTAACCAAGACTGAAACTCCGAAGTCACGTCACAGTGCCAGAGAAGGTATTCGAAGAGAAATTGTTCCCAGAGGCTGGCGAGGAAGACGCCGCCCCAGAGCAAGTGGAAGTTCTCCGATACAAGGGCCAAGGCGACGGGGATGTCGCTCTCATGACTCACACTGCGCTCTGAGTATTCTGTAAGATTGTCGTACCAGGGCTGGTGCAGCTGTGAAGGTTTTTCTTTGTCTCCCTTTCGCTTTCGCTGGTGTCCACCGTCATCACTGCTCTTGTGTCGGGTTCGGACGGTTGTGGCAGCTCGAGAAGTGGGCGTGAATGATTTATCGGGTTGGGCGTCTCCCATAGCGCACTTTTACAAAGCCACTTTCCATCCGTCGTATGAGTAAATGAGGAACCGAAGGGAGAGGAGCCGTTCTTCTAAAGTCCACACCCTGGCATTCCATGGATCGTTGCGTGAGCAGGCCCGGTGTGTTAGCTTGGAGCATGAAAAAGGAATCTAGGACAGTTCCAGAAAGTACAGCGGGTTCGCTTAGCCCAAAGAGGCCGTTGTTGACAGAGGTTACTTTTGCAGCGGTAATGATTAGTGCTGTGCACAGGATTTCTTGCGCTTTATCCGTTCTTGAATCTTGGACGATACACAGGCTGAAGATGGTCTGAGGAAGACGCTGCAGGCCCAGTCCTTACTTTTCCCTCCCCCCCCCTTTTCCATGGTATCCTCCGTAGTGATATTTTTTGGCTGGTCTCCTATATATATATGACGGAGCAGCGCACTCGAAGTCATCGTCCCCCGGCAGAGTGACGTACAACTTTGATCTCTTTGGATTGGTGACGTCCACCACACAGGTGGGCATGAAATGAGTAACAGAAAGACAGCTCTCATGCACTCTGCAGGAAGTAAACCAATGCCTCGCTTGGTTGAAGTTCGCTTCAGAGCCGAGAGTCATCTTGCAAGGTCTTGCGTTGATACTGTAGGTCCTGCAGCGGGGTCATCTGTTCAATCTAAGCATCAGCGATCAAATAAGAGAAGATTGGGGGAATGCCGAGGGGGAAAAATCAAACTTCTCCCTTACCTAGGGGTGAAATAGAGCCTAGCAAGAACGTAAACTGCTTTCTCATCAAGCATGTTGGGTATCGAGCGTACCGGATGGGCGGCATGGACGTCGATCATTGTCTCGAAGATATTGAATCCTTGTGCACTTCCGGTTCGTCCTCAATGTACGAGACTGTGACATCACACTCATTGGTGTAGGACATCATAGGTTGTGGTGCCTTAGCCTTGAACGGGGGTATTGAGGCCATTGTTGATGAAGTTATGAGCGAAACCTGAATTTGTCCATGCTGCCTAGCCAACTCCATGAGATTTAGCCTCGTCAGATCCGTCAGACCCGTAGGTGGCTTTGTTAGCAGTGCCCTCGTCACCGTCATCGGACCTCTCCATATGGTCCTGCATATCCTCATCGTCGTTCTTATGCCCATCTCCGTCATCATCCTCTTCCGGCCGCTGACGTTGTACGCTTTCTGTGTTTAGATGGCCTTATCGAGTCGACTAGATTGCCGCACCACTTATATCCCCCCCGGTTCTCCGTAGAATCTATTAAGTCCCCCGCTGTTCTGACGTACTCAAAGGATATCGTCCGCGTTGGTTCGACAGACCCAGCACATGTGGGTAGGGTGATGGAAGAAGCCCTTGCTTTCCCATAGCTTGGAGACGCGCCGCGGCCGAAGGGACAGTCGAGACATGCTCCTAGCAAGCACTGACGTTGTCACTTATGTAACACGCTTGTCAAGGCTGAAGAGGGGCGATTGTGGGGGTTGAAGTCTGGGGAAGTCGCCCCAGAGGTTGGGACGTCCTGTGGCGAGATAACATTGACTTTCTCTTCGATCCAATTTTTTTCCAGGTAGGTGAGCGGTGGCAGAGAGATCGGAGCACTTCTCTGGAGCGGGAGTCGCGGGACAGATCATGGAAGGAACGAGCAATTAGAATCTGTGAGGTTGAAGATGTCCAAGGCAGAGAATAGTTCATGTGGGGAGAGAGACAAAGTTTGGAATTGGTAGTCTCAAAGTATTCCTAGCAGCAAAACTGTGGGACAAGTGGAACAAGGGTAGATTTTCGAACAGTATTTAAATTTTGGGCTGGGTTACACACCAAAGGTAAGGGCCAATACTTCTAGGCCCCAAAACCGTTCAAACCCACTAAATGTAGCGAGGGATCAGCGTGAGTTGAGCCCCACAGAACCTCATCCAGAATCTTTTGACCAAACATCGACCCTGGAATAGTATCGGATTTTAGAGTATGCGAAATGCGGTCGATAGGGGGAGTGGGATGTCGAAGAAGTCAAATCCTCGAAGTTGGCATGCGGCGCGCCTCAGTGTCCCGAGTTGAACGACCACTCAGATCTGACTTCCTCGTCCAAGCTTCCGTTCCTGTAAGCAACTTCCTCTGCCTCGTGTCGAAACAACCCAGCCCTCGCAATAGTTATTGTTTGCGCATTCCTCCATTGAAAATAATGTTCAGGGGCCAGGGATCACTTAACCACCCTTCTTGATGCCCGCGGGAGCAACTCCCTTGCCACTTGAGTTGTCCGAGCCCAGTTTCCCATCAATCATGCCTTTAGACAGTCTCAATGTGATCTTTTGTCGCTCCATATCAACCACCTTTTTCATTCGCTCCAGATCTCCGTGCCGACCCTCGACAAATTTAACATTTGCTGCCCCATAGGGCTTCTCAATCAAATAGGTATCAGATATGAGCATCACATTTCCAGACCAGCGAGCCGGATGGGTTCGAGACAAGGCATCGAAGAGTGCTTGATCGGTAGTAGTGGTTCCCTTGGGACCGAGACGGGCCTGGGCTGCTTGTTGGTTGGAGATGTTTCTCGCAAGACGAGACTGAACAGCATTGGTATCGACAGTGTTGAGGGCCGGGGTGTGGTTGGTTTCAGTCGGCTGCTGAGGAAGGGCAAGAAGTTGAAAGCTGCTGATTTGAGAAATGGGGACAATTCGGTATGCACCTGCGGGGGCAACAAGAGAAGTAGAGTTAATTGCTGTCGGGACGGTGGCGCTTGTGTTCAACACGAGGAGATTGGTTAGAGGATCGGCCGTGTAAACGGTGCCTTCCAGGTTTAATTGATTCGGCGCTGCCGTACTGACGCGAATTCTGTGAGAGTTTTGTGAGCAATCATTCCCCTGTATTCTTCCCACAGTGACGATCGTACCGACTTCCAATGGCTTGTTGTAGACTGATATCCTGAGAAACAGAAGATGCCGCTGGCTGTGTGGGCTCACCCTTGGGCAATGCAACTGGCACTCTTGCTCCTGCATTCTGGCGTTTTGTGTCGGATGCCATCCTCATGCAAGGAGAGACTGCAGGCCAGATATTGGGATACACTCAAGCAGGGCTTTTTGGTCTGTCGGCTTCAAAGAGAAAGTGGAGGGGTGGAGAAGGGAAAGCAGACAAGTGTCGACCTGTCGAAACTGCGTCGAGATGAGGCAGTGACAGCCAGACTGGAGACTGGCAGTTACAGCGATCGGATGCCGCCCAAAACCCAAAGCCCAAGGGATACGCCAGGCGCCAGATGACAATGCTTCGAGGATGAGTCGCAAAGCAAAGCGATGCGATGCGAAAAGGGAGCGAAGCGAAGCGCAGTGCGTGGTCAAGAAATTTAGTGAGGGAAGTCGTAAGTCGCAGTTCGCAGGGACGTAGTCGGAGGATAATTTCACCCAAGTCTGGAGATGGGGATGGCCTTTTCCTCATTTGGCCATCGGACTTTGGGTGGATTTCCATACAGACTTAGTAGTGATTCCCTATACTTTTCACCATATTGAGAGCATCATCATTTTATTTGAAGCACACGGCGCCCCCAACAGTAGTGTCTATGCCATGGATACTCCTCAATCCCTGTCTAGCTACATGCAAGAAACGGTGCTCAGTACTCGAACGAGTTCCCGGAACATCTCCGTCATTTGAGTCCATGGGCCACCACATCTTGCGGACATTTTGAATTATGAATTTCGTTTCCATAGCCAGGTCGTTTTCCTTTTATTTTTGCTTCTGTCTCCGAAACAGTCAGGGCCAAGACAGCCGGGTGATCAGATATGATCGTCTATGCATTGTAGGTGGAGGCAGAAACATTTCCGCCACGGCCAGTCCAATTGACGTGAGTGTAGGCGCCAATCTTGAATTTGTCGTTGGCATACTCGGGCTTGATCTGGAAAGTGTGGGCACCGAAGTAATCACGTTGAGCCTGGAGCAAGTTGGCCGGCAGGTCCTTGGTACGATAACCATCGAAGAAAGCCAGGGCAGTGCTGAAGGCTGGCATGGGGATACCAGCCCTAACTGCGAAAGCGATGACGTCTCTCCAGCCATCCTGGGCATCGTGGATAGCCTTGTTGAAGAAGTCGTTGAACAAAAGGTTTTCAAGGTCGGGCTCTTTGCGGTATGCGGAAGTGATATCCTTCAAGAAGACGGATCGAATGATACAACCACCACGCCACATCAAGGCAATGGAGGGCTTGTTGAGTTTCCATCCATATTGCTTGGCGGCCTGCAAACGGGCAGTGGTCAGCATAATGGTACACATTGATATGGGCTTGGGGATCCTCACCGTCTGCATAAGCATGAAACCCTGGGCATAAGAGATGATCTTGGAGGCATACAAGCCCTGTTCGAGATTCTTGAGGAATGCAGCCTTGTCTCCAGTGAAAGAGGGTGTCGGGCCAGAGAGCACCTTGGAAGCACGAGTACGTTCATCCTTGATGGAACTCAAGCAACGAGCAAAGACGGCCTCGCCAATCAGAGTGACGGGCATACCGAGATCAAGAGCGTTGATGGCAGTCCATTTGCCAGTGCCTTTCTGACCGGCAGAGTCAAGAATTTTCTCAACAAGTGGCTTGCCATCATCGTCGTCGTATCGAAGGACATCACGGGTGATTTCAATGAGGAATGAGTCAAGGACACCCTTGTTCCACTCCGCAAAGACATCACCCATCTCCTTATAGCTCATGCCGAGACCACGTTTCATGATGTCGTAGGCCTAAAATTGTCAGAACGCTTGCGTCCGAGTGACTTTCATGCGAATAGCCCACCTCGCAAATCAGTTGCATGTCACCATACTCAATACCATTGTGAACCATTTTGACGTAATGGCCAGCACCTTCATCACCGACCCAGTCGCAGCAAGGCTCACCATCGGATTTGGCAGCAATACTCTGGAAAACGTCCTTGATGTATGGCCAGGCCTCTTCGTTTCCCCCAGGCATCAAAGAAGGTCCATAACGAGCACCCTCCTCACCTCCGGAAACGCCAGTGCCGACAAAGCGGATACCTTTCTCTGCTAGGTATTTGGTACGACGGTTGCTGTCGGGGTAGTGGGAATTTCCACCATCAATAATGATATCGCCCTTTTCACAGTAGGGGAGGAGCCTCTCGATGAAGTCGTCGACGGCGGGACCGGCCATGACCAAAAGCATCATACGACGGGGTTTCTTGAGTTTGGCCACGAACTCCTCGATCGAATGGGCTCCAACAATGGACTTGCCTGTGACATCTGTGAGCGGTGTCCCCGAAAAAGAGAGGCCTGATTGTTTTCTTACCCTTGGCCTCATTCTCCAGGAAGCGGTCGACCTTGGAGACAGTTCGGTTGAAGGCAACGACGGTGAAGCCATGATCAGCGGCGTTCAGAATCAAATTCTGACCCATGACCGCAAGGCCAATGAGACCGAAATCACCACTGGGTTCGGGCGGCGCAGGGCTGACCTGAAGGCCAGCCAGTCGCGCACTAAGGTCAGCATGCGGCTTGTCAATTGGGTGCATTCACAAGGAAACGGATCAATTCAATAAGCACTGGGATCGTCAAGGGGTTGGGCGAGGACGGGAAATCGTTTCTGATTCCGTTGAGGGGGACAAACTTACACTGGACCGGACATTTTGGTGGTGGTATTGAGCGAAGGTGGAGGGTAGGATTGTTTTGTTTAGAGCTGGAGTGGATTGAAGAGAGGTTTGAGAAATAGGGTCGAGTCTCCGTCTAATGCACCGAAAAAGACGAGAGGCACGAATTGTAAAGGAAGAGAGGAATGGAACTACACGGGGGGAATGAGAGAAATATGTTTGATTTTCGAAGCGACGCTGGCAGGACATTGGATGAGCGCAGGCTGGCAACGGGCAACGCAGCGAGTTGAGTCTTTCAACCCCACCATCACCAACTGCGACAATAGTTTGGAGGGGCAAATGGGCTGCGGGCTGCACAGTGACCGCCCGCCATTGGATGTTGCCCGCCCCGGAAGCTGGGTACAGAGTCGCCCTCCGACCGACAATTACTGGTAGCGGCTGGGTTTCGGCCACTCATGGAAACATAGCCACTGTCCCGATGAAGACGGTCTATCAGTAATGGATCGATTACTAGCATTTTCCATTCCATCCCGACCAAGGGCCTGGGATAACAAGCCAGCGATATCCCGCAGCAAGGCCATGTGCTGCTAGGGTTCGTGAATAACCAGGAGCCGGGTGACTCAGCAACGACTTAATGATGACGACTTGGTCTTGTCAAGTTACTCGACCTGCCAGTCCCGAAAAGAGCCGGAGCATTGTATCAGTATGGCAATGGTCTGTCCATGTTATTCAATGGGTCTTCCCGCTGGGAGAAATTCTTTCTGCCAAGATATTGTCACGTGAATATATATCAGCCCGAGATAGTCTAGTCTGTCTCGTCAAACATTCCCTCTCCAGTTAGCCTACAACGATTTATCAGTCGTGCTGCGACAAACATCCTCGATCCCCTTCAACAGAACGCAGTCTTTGTTGAATGGGACAGTCACGCAAGTTCTAGTATATGTAACACTCGACTACTCCTCCAGCGCACAGAGCATGAATTGCTTCGATCCCATCTGATCAAGGGTCGCCAACCACTGCTCTGCAGAGTCTGGCCTCCGTCCGAGGCTTCTGGTACGTGTTTGAACCGGTGATCCTGCTCCAGATCAAACATTCATCATGTCATATCCGGCCCCTCCAGGTCTCTCATCCTCTACCTCACAACCTCCTGCTTCTCTTCCGGCACGACCACCACCTTCAACAGTCAGTCCTGCTCCGCCGTTCAGACCTGCCTTGAGCGCTACCTCACCAAATCCTGCCCTCACAGCATTCGCACCACGTTCGGTAGCAACAGCAAACACCTATCGGACAAGTAGTCCAGCACACTACGCTGCTACACCCGTCCCATCATACGGCACAGGCACACAACACCAACAAACCACTCAACCTCAATATGATCCAACATATTCAGCTGCTCCACAAATCCGCAATCCTTTCGTCCCCACACCAGACACGTCGTCCTCGAACGCCTACCTCTCTGGCTACGATGCGGAGTACGAAGCACAAGTACAACAATGGCAAAGTGCCTACATGAATAAAGAGAATGGCAATGCATCTTCGTCAATATCTAAATCAGCAGGAGGACATAACGCTTCAACTGGATCTACATCACGAAACGAACCTACGGCTCAAACCGATAATGTGCCGAAAACAGTACATCGTTCTGGTGGAGGCATGACATGGACAGATTCTACCCTCCTAGAATGGGATCCTGCACACTTCCGCATTTTTGTTGGCAATCTCGCCGGCGAAGTCACAGATGACTCTCTCCTCAAAGCCTTCTCACAATACCCCTCCGTTCAGAAAGCACGTGTGATTCGTGACAAGCGAACGACGAAATCTAAGGGTTACGGATTCGTAAGTTTTGCCGATGGGGACGATTACTTCCGTGCCGCGAGAGAGCAGAATGGAAAATATGTGGGAAGTCACCCGATCGTGGTGAAGAAAGCTACAACTGACATTCGACCATCGACGGTAAAGCAGAACCACCATAAAGGAAAGAGTGGGGCTGGTGGGCATGGAAAAGTAGAACATGGCGGAGTCCATAAGAAAGGGCCCAAGACGAAAGGAGGACTAAAAGTCTTGGGATGAAGAAGGTCTCTGCATGCCTCTGTTTCGAAAGGGAAACATCGGTTTGCTGAGAGGGATGATATGTGGCGATGCAGGGAATAGGCTGGATGGGTCCCGATTGCTTGTCATGATCTCGGCCAGAAATAGTCTCGAACTTGGAAATATGGATATGGCCGGATTATTTTGTCCAGAAGCGCTGGCCAAAGCTCATTTTACTGGTATAACTATTCCACTACCAGGACATTCGGAGCCGCATCAGCATTATGGTGGAAGAGTATTGATTTATCGTAGCACAAAATGTCCCTTCCAGACCACGTGAATATGCATCGTATTGCAACCGTGTCCATAGATCCTATCAATATATATTCGAGTATCCCTCAGTCGTCCAGTCATTCTCATGTTCATATTTGTCCCGTTTCCCGCAACCACGTCGATTCCAACACAAAGCGACAATTCATTCCACCCTTTCATCTCCTTTTATTTTCTGATTGATTTCTCTTCTACCTTGGAACAATTTTCCAGGCCCTCCTAATTGAAGTCGAAGTCGAAGGACGATTCACATTCGATATGCATACGCCGACGAATTGCCTCGTTTCATGACATCCGTCGCCTTTGGCTCATCCTTCACATCCTCTTCGACAAAAGGATTGTCCCTCGCAACGGCCACCGACATCGCGCCCTTCGAGATATCATCCGGATCTAATTTCATCTGACTGCCTGACAATTTCTCAAACTCATCATCAGCATGAGATCCGGCGTCATCCTCACTTTCACTATCATCACCTCTCAACCTGACAACACGCAGCTTAACCTCCTCACCGTCAAGTGTTGAATAGACGCGCAAGCCTACGACACAGACGGCATTCCAGGGTTCTTCAGGCCCGTTGGCTTCGTCGGCAGATTTGGCGTCTATATCTGTCACACCGGGCGGAGGGGAGATAAGCCCGCCTCCTCCGCCACGACCATGGCGGTGACTACCGCGAGACCGGCGTCGGCGTCGAGAGCGCATTCCTCCAGGTCGGTACCGGCCGCGGTGTGAGCAGGATGAGGATTCCTCGGAGCTGGACAGCTCAGAGGGCATGTCGAGTTCTGAATTCCAGTCGAAGGGGGGGAAGGAGTCAGCATCAGATGTGTGACCGTCTTCTGCGGCGATGTCGTCGTTTTCATGAACTGCGGGGATGTCGAGGTCAGGCAGCATGTCGTCGTTGCTGCCTTCGCTTCCGCCAGCGCCCATGCCAATGCCGATCATTGCTGCTGTTGTGTCGAGGGTGTCGCTTCGCTGAGGATGCCCTCGACTGCCGTTCATCACGTCGTGTAAGTCGGGACCGTAGTCATTTGAGACTTCGTGCTCAGGATGAGAGATGGGAGGTGATGTTAGGAGCGGATGCACGTCTGTAACAGTAGCGGTAGCAACGCCGTCGGCTTTGACGCTGGTCGTGGGTGGTTTCTCCTCTGGTGCCGGTGTGTTCTCCTCGGAAGTAGCTTCAGGCCGACTTGCTTGCGTTTCTGCATCGGCGGCTTTGATGACTTCGTCCAGAGATTGTACGACATTGGCAGCGGAGACATGTTCAGTTGGCGTGGTCGTTGATTGAGGACCTGAATCTCTTGGTGGATTGTCCGTTGTATCGTGGCCCTTCATGACCATGACATCTTTAGCACGAGACGACTTGGAGACGGTCTGCTCGGCCACAGCTTGGTCATTTTCCACACCTTCGTTTTCTTGCTTGGGCCTGTCCGAAGAGACAAGCCGTTCGGGTCTCTCCTTCTCGACCGCATCAGGGAGGATGATAAGATCAGCACCCCCAGCTTCCTGGAGTTTCGTATCGGCTCGTTCCTTTCTCTCCCTTCGCTGGCGATTTCTCGCCTGCCTCTCCTTCTCTCTCTTGTGTCTTTCTCTCTCCTTCCTCCAGTGTTTCTCCGCCTGGGCTTTCATTTTCTCCTTCAATTTTTGCCTCTCCTTGATCTTTCGAGCTTTGTTCCGCGCCTTGCGCTCTTGTCTTTCCGCTTCCGTTTCCACGATAACGCCTTTGGCATGTGCCAGGTCATAGGATAGGCCCATCTGGATGAGCTTCTCGCGTCTCGTGGCTGCGTAGACCGGCAGCACATCTTCGAGGTGTTCTCTGTCGGTGTGCCTTGTGGCTGTGATCTTCATCAAGACCGAGTACGTGCCTGCTTCCAATTCCGTGTCAGTGCTCACCGATCTCGCCATGGCGTAGTTGCCGTTCGATCGAACGATATAATCGTCCTCATCCTCTTTGTCATCAGATTCCAGACGGAATTGAAGATCAAATCCGTATCCGCCCTCTAGGCCACCGAAATAGGTGTCATCGAGCTGAGCCAATACAATCACAACGCGGGCCTTCCTTTCCAAGGTCAACGAGAATTTTGTGCTGTGATACTCAGCCGACCATGAGACGTTGACGCTCGTCCAGCACTGGGTGACGTTCCATTCCGGCCCGAAAATCCTGGTGCGATCAAAATGCTGATATTTCTTGAGCAAGTCCTCATAGCTGATCCAGAATATACCATCGTTTCCGAACTTGTGATCGAGCAAATGCATCCATTCGGGGGTCCATTCGGAACTGCCATCACTCCATTTGCCCGTCCATTCCTTCTTTCCCCAAGGATTGCGAAGTTTGAGAAGTCGCTGCCCGTTTATCTCCTTCGCGTCCATGATGCTGTATGCGTGGCCTTCGGAAATCCCTTCGCGTTCACGTGGAACGCCGCTTGTATTCAGCCAGTTGGAGTAGAACCCCGTGGCGCAGCCAAAGAGAAACGACTTCCCTACTTGCATCAATTCGTCCCTCCAGAAGGCGTCGCGATCGAGGATGTCGGTGCTGTAGATCTCTGTTGTCACGCCGCCAGTTAAGTCCTCAATGGCCTCGCCGGTGAAACCGCCATCGATGGAAGCGAAGTCACCATGCGCTTTGGCATATGCCTTTTCAAGCAATGGCAGCCAAGTTTCGTTTTCATCGCTACACTGCGCAAAGTACAGTGCTCTGGAACCAGTCTGATGGGCTTTGCGATATTCTTCCGCGCTGTCGGCCCGATTGATGTCGTCCCAGACCACTCTTTCGTCTTGTGCTTCGTCATAATCGGGTGCACGGAGGTATAACTTGTCGTCGATGATGGTATGTTGCCATTCACCGTCTAACACACGGTTAATCAAGGTCAGGCAGTCGTTCTAATCAACATTACCTCTGAAGAAGACGAAGCCATAGACGCCCACATCCATATCGTGCTTGACGCAGACTTTATCAATCAACCCTTCCATATTACCCAGTCCACAAAGAGCCGCCATCAAATAGCAATCTCCATCTCGACCCTGCCTGACATCGCCAGCGGTGGGACCGTTGATGTAGAACTGCGGTTTCTCAAAGATGTCCTGTGCCAACTTAGCATATTGAGAGAACGTGCCAACGCGAAGAGCATACCGTAACTCGCTTCACACCTTTCGGCTTCATGGAATCACCTGGCGTACTTAGGCCATCCAGACAATTTCGCTGTCCGGATTTGAGATCCCACTCGATGTCAAAGTGTAGATCACGATACTTCTGATTCAACCTACGACATTCCTTGATGATCCTGTCCACGTCCCTGATACACTCGGCCCGGGCCTCCTCGTACGATTTAGCAGCACGTTGGCCGGAAACGGTGCCATGAGGAGTTTTGGCGGCTTTCTTCCGAGCATAGGGATTGTTGGGTAGCACGGTAAAGACCTTCCCAGGGTATTTGGAGTTCATTTTATCCCAGAATTGCTGGACAGTCTCCTGAGGTGCTTGTTGTCGTGGTTTCCGACGGATCTTGATCGGGGGTGGTGGAAGGCCAACATCGGGCGGAGGTCCATTGTAACGGCTGCCCCCTCCGGTGTTGTCTCGACGGTCATCCATGGAATGGTTTGCTTATATGTTGAGGTCGTCACGCAAGGAACAAAGTGGATGACTAGACTTTCGGGTCTGTAGACCGCGGTGGAATTCAATGCAAATTGCTCTTCAGACGACAACCCGGGAAGCATAAAGATGTCAGTCGGATCAGGCAATGAAACGGCAGTAATCAGACTGATTATTCGTGTGTTCAAGAACGCCCAAAGCTGAAGTTGGTCGAGATAGAATATGCTGATGATGCCGTCGGGTTGAAGAAACACATCCGAGATGGAAAATCTAACACAGAAAGTTGACCAAAGTTCGTTGACGACCACATCTAAGCCGCTGTGTCTGACTCCGAGCCCATGTCACAAAACAGTCTCGATTATTATGGAGCCAAAACCAGCCAGTAGCGTGGCGTCTCGGTTGCATAGATTTGCGGCTGAGTTGCTGAAGGCTGAACCTCACTTAACGAGGCATTGGCTGAAATGAGAAAAGTGGATGATCTAGAGACTGGAGCCCAAATTATTGAATGCCACAGCGTGTAAGGCGAGATGAGATGAAGTGAGGCTGTACATGTCTTTAGGTCAGGGAGTTGCCTGGTTTGCCTCGTTGTACTTTATTCTTCCGCAGTTGGCAGGAAATGGATTTCAAGTGACCAAGAATGACCTTGGAGAGTGATTGGCCGCTGAGGCTTCGCACTTTAGCTCCTAAAAATCAGAAGACGTGGCACGATGTGTTTTTGAGGTCTCAAAGCGACAATTGGTGGCAGGTCAGGCAACCCTCGCGACTGGCTTTCCAGGCGGAAGGAGATTTGCCTAAGCAGTGTTTCGCGCCCCCCCCACCTTTTTAAAAAAAAAAAAGGCGAGATTCAACAGAGTGAGCTTTCAAATCTCGCACATTAATGACAAGAGAAGCTTTGAAGAAACGTCAAAATTGAAGCAACAGTGGAACAAGTGTCAACTGCGTCATATTGGCCTGTTTATCTGACTGACACGCATATCCTTCCGAGCAAGACATATATCAGCTGTGCTCACGCCGCTTGGCAGGAGACATGTCAGAGCATCAACAAAGCACGTTGAGGGAACATTTCTCTTAAATGCCTTTCTTCTCGCCCATCTCGTGGCTGGTTGTATCCTCGTCGGGAACAACAACCAGGTTGTCGGAGCGGTAGGGATCGACTTTGACAGACTTGAATTTGCGAGCGGACACCTTGTTCTCGAACAAAACATCCAATTCGGCATAAGTGAGGCCCTGAATACACGGTCAGAACGGCACAACAGCGAGAGATATTCAAGAAGCGACATACTTTTGGCTCTGGAAGACGAAAATATGTCCAGATCAAGCCAAGCAAGTTCAGACCACCCCAGAAAAAGCATGTCTTTCCACGCCAACCCCAGGCGGTTGGGTTCATCATGCGAGGCTGAAGAGTCCCGATCACAATACCCATAATATTGTAAACATTTCTTGACAAGACGACCGTCTTGATTCTGAGGCGGGTAGATGGAAGCTCAGCAACAAGCGAATAGCAGACCGGGCCGACAGTGAAGTCGTAGAGGAAAGTCAGGATGAGAATCAAGGCTCCAGAGGCCCAACCGATCGATGTGGAGAGTTCTGGGGCCCCTAGACCACCGATAACCATCAAGATAATGAACATCCCCACTTGACCCCAGAGATACAGTGTGCGACGACCGAAGTGTGGCATCAAGAACCAGGACAAGACCGTGCCGCAAAAACCCATAGCACTCTGACCGACACCAAGGGAATATGCGTTGCTTTCACTCAGACCGGCTTGGATCATGAAGTAAGTACCCCAGCCGATCATTGGCGAGCCGGAGGTCTGTTGAATCAACCAAGTGATACAGGTTACTTCGGTTCGTCGGAGATCAACCCCCTTGAAGCAGTCCCAGTATGTGGTGCCGGCAGTTTGCTGAATTTCCAGTTCGTTGGTGTGAATCATCATGGCAAGTGTGTCTTCCACATTGAATTCCGCGTTCTTCTTGGAGGTCAACTTAAGAAGTGCAGCGCGAGCCCGGTCGAGTTTTCCGTGGCGTACCAGCCACCATGGTGACTCCGGAGCAAGGAATGCAGTGAGCATGATGGGGAGGGGCCAGACCCATTGGATCGCATAGGGCACGCGATATGCCCATTGAGAGGAGATGTTGACGAAGCCTTTCAAGACACCAGCAGCAATGAGCTGGCCGATAACCCAACAGAGGTTGACATAGGTGGTCAAATATGGTCGAAGGGGCACCGGGGTGACTTCTGCGGCATATGTGGTGGTGAGTGTCTGGAAAACACCCCATGGAAGACCGGAGAGGACGTAGCCAGCAAGTAACATTTGAACATCGACGGCAAAGAAAGTGATGAAAATGGTGCCGGTGATGAACATCAGGGAGCCAATCATGGTCCAGCGATACCCGATCCTCTCAGAGATGATACCATTGAGAAAAAGCCCGATGATTTGAGCGGTGGCCGTACCGTTGGTGAGGGCGGATTGCCATGTTGCAGAGACTTGGTATGTTTGAGTCCCGTCCACCATGCCCGAGGGGGAGCCGTACTTGCGCGCGAAGGTAGTCAAACCGAAAAAGTTACCCAGCAAGTATGTGTCATATCCCTCCATGATGACGGCGAGAGACAGGCAGAAGGAGAACAAAATGGCCTTGGGATAGAGTCGGCAACCTTCACGGAAGCCCATCTTGTGCTCCAACTCTGCGGCAGCTTTGGCATCGGCAGAAAGCTCGGCCAAATTAGGGACCGCAATGGACATCTTGCGAAGAGTCTCATCTTTTTGGTTGAAGACTGCCTCGTCCTGCTGGGCCGCAACAGCTGCAGCTGGGACAATGGAAGACCTGCGTCGAGTGGTGTTATAGGTGGGCGCTCCCATATTTTCTGCATAGTGGGAGACGCTCATGTGTCGGCCAGTACGGCCGAGGCCGCTCTCTTCATCGTGAGCGAAACTCATGCTCGAGGTGTACAAGGCTATAAGAGGGTGTGTGAATGGTCAGATACACCACTGCTGTGGCTCCAGCAAGAGTAAGCTGTATCCAAGAACACGACCAGGTCGGTGGGATGAGGAGATACGAACCTTGAGCAAGGGCGGCTGTCCTAAATATAATAAGTATTCGTACCTGTCGATAATGCTCTTCTCCCTCTGGCTAAACTCCCATGACGCAGGACTTCTTCCACAAGCTATCGAAATTACTCAAAGTATGTCGCTCGCCGGTAGGTTGGAGTCAAGATTCCAAGTTCGCTCAAACGAGATCATGGTTTGACAAGAGGGCCAGTGGTGAGCAACGTTAAGCGGAGTGGTCAGGTGTTGCAGTACATACAGCCCCAGACACGACGGGCATTTTCAAGAAGCTCGGAGGCGCAAAAGCATTCCACAAGCGTCGCAAAGCGAACTGGAGCAAAAAGAGACGAGCAACGCCGTTGGCCGACGGCCATTCTGACTGGTGGACTAGGACGGGGGATCTCACAAGACGGCGAAAAAGGGTAGAGAGGATCGGCTGAGAGCCTCGCTTTCCCATGTGCATGCATCTCCTCCCGCGAGCTGGCCGTCCATTCAGCGGCCAGATATGTCGACCAGGAGACTTCCAGACTCGGTCACCCCAGCTCTTGATCAAATGTAAAACCCCGCACTGTGGCCTCGAGTCGAGATCCGCTCCACACCCCGACTTCTGCCCATCTCTTGGTTCAAAGAGGCGCACTGGGTATCGGTCCCTATTCGATAGTCGGAGTTTTAACGATCTGAGGTCGCATATGTGATCCTGCGATCACCCTCAGCGGTTTAAGCGAAAAGGTCGCCAGTTCTATGATGTTAACAGACAGCTCTCCGCAAACCCTTATCATTGGTCTCGAAAGACGGTGTCAAAAGATCTTTCTCCAGAATCAGCGACTGTCCAAAGCAGACCGTTCCGATTACCGTGTTGTAAAAAGATGTTTTATGCACCCTCACGATGATTTTAGAATTGATAAGGTATGCCTGCAGACGACGAAGCAAGCAACAAGGCGCGAGGTGTTAGCTATTCAGACGGCGTTACGAGATACCCAAGCTGCATCCCACCTGTATAGCTGTTTGCAAAGTAGGCGCCCTCTGATTCTGGAGCTTGTCATCTGTTGGCACCTTGTCAATGTGCATCTTTACCTAGGCAGGCAGGTAGTCGCGGTCTTGGGACGATCGAGAGACGGTGCATAGTGGTGGCTCCTTATATTACCTCGCGTTAAGTCAGTCTGCGGCTGCCGGGCAACCCGGCTAGAGCCGGCATGGAAGAACAATAATGCGGCCGAGAATTTGGCCGAGATGGCTCCATATACCATCTGCAATACAATGGGTGTTTTCACTACTGGTATTTGTGTTCATTGCTAGTTGTTTTACTGTACTAGCTCCAAGAATAGCCTTCCTGTTAATTGCGAAGAGATGTAAATCCTAGGAAGTCCGGATTTGTATCGAATTGGCCATTTGAGATGGGCATCATGACCTCCCCCCTTATTCGTTTCATCTTGGCTCTCCGAGTCGACTCGTTCAGTCGTGTCGAGCTAACTTCATGATACCCAAATGTCGCATAAGCCAGGCCGAGTCTGAGAGATGCATCCTGCGAAATGAGAGCACTCCGCAATTCTAGTCGTCTTCGTTTGGGTCTCCGGTGTGCAAGAGACAGGAAGGACATGAGAACGTCTGTCTCGAAAACTCCGTTTTCAATGCAAATCCAGAACTTATCAAGGCTGACCGTTGACTTCCAGTTTGGACATTGCCTCCGCTGCCGTCTTGCCTACTTCGGCTTCTTCCTTGCCTTCTCCTCCCATCGACCCATCCGGTTTGGCCGTGAGAGGGACAGCACCTGGATACCTCGAACCCTTATCCTTTGGTTGCTTCTTCTTTTTGGCAGGTTCAGCAGGGGGGTACGCTTTTTTCTCAATGTCTTGCCACTCTGGCGATGCCTGGAACTCTGCTTGAATTGGCGCCAATAAATCGACCAACGCAGCTGTTACGCCTGCCTTAAGCAATTGGGGGGTTAACTTGTCTGCTCGGTAATCCTCCTTCAGAGTCTCGATGTCGTGATAGACTAACGGGTCTCCTTCGCCCTCTCTCCTCTCGCACACAAAGGTGCCCTTTCCATCGGGGTTCCCTAGCGCGCTGATCGGGAGCAAGACATATTCCACAAAGGAGATGATTCCATTTCCCTCCACTTCCCCAGCAGCGGCATAGGCTTTGCGCAGCTTTTTCTTGACTACGTCAGCGGTGTCGAGGATATCAATCTTGGAATCGGGATCGGATGCAGACATTTTTCCGCCTGCAAGGCCAGGAACCATAGGATTCATGAGGTGTGCACGTTGTCTGTATCCAACTTTGGGGAGAGTCTCTTGGGCGAGAGCGAAAATCTTCCGTTGATCCACTCCTCCGAATTGAGCATCAACACCAAGATGCTGTTCATCCAATGCCTGCATCAAAGGGTAGATCAGTCCAGACAGAGTCGCATTGTCGACCTGTTTGACCACTTCGGCGCCAGCCTTTTTCGCATCATGCTCCGTGACCACACTGCTGATTCGGAAGATGTCCATAGTGTAATCGGCACTTAGCTGGTAGGAGGAGCCCAGAATGAACTCCAACTTCTCCAAGCTCACTCCCACAGTTTTCAGAAGTGCTTGTATGACGAACTTGTAGTATTCCGCCCGGAACTTGACCAGTTCAATAGGTGCTTTCAGATTGTCAAGGAAACCATGAATATCAGCTAGGAGAATCTTGACTCGGCAGCCTGCTCGTAAAAAGTGTGCAATCTTCATCATCGGGACGAAGTAGCCACAGTGAGGTCTTCCAGTTGTGGCTGATCCCCAATAGATGACCAGGGGTCTTTGCTGTTTAAGGATGACATCTTCCAGTATGTCTTCTCGCAGAACTTCTTGCAGTTGATCCTTGATCAGTGAGAGCTTTTCTTGCGGGGATAACTCTCCGCCCGCCATATTGGGCAACGAAGTGTGGGAGGAGGGCCGCAGAAGGCACGGGGCCGGAAGAGGTCAATCGACGGCGAGATGGGGAGGGTGTTGATTGCGAGAGAACATGCGACGGCCTGGTATTCCTTTGGCAGCGTCTGAAAACGACCTCTCGTGAGTCGAGTCGGATGGGGGATGAGTCAACGGAGGGCCAGCAAGCCGCATGCCAGGTGAGTGGCTGGAATTGACAAAAAAATGAATACAAAAACACTCTTGGCTCAGGGACAATCACCCTTCAGCCAATCAGACACGTTGATTGCTACTAAACAAACAATTGCACGACCACCCACCCTGTTCGCTGGATGACACCTGTGACTGACTCCTTTGCAGCGGCTTTTTCAGTGTACATAATTCTGCCGATGCTTTCGTATCAAAATACTAACCCATAGGTCCTCAATCGCATCATATCCCTCGAATTCCCTCGGATTCCACATCCGCCCCTTGTTTTCCTCGGATCCGTGGTTGCTGCGACAGTTCATGAAAACATAGTGGCTCCGAGAAAAGATGGAAAACTACCAGAAGATTGAGAAGATTGGAGAAGGTTAGACCCGGTCGCTTGCTCATGACTGGCCGCATCTGACGCCAGAAAATAGGGACCTACGGGGTCGTTTACAAAGCTCGTGACCTTTCCAATGGCGGTCGTATCGTCGCGCTGAAAAAGATTCGACTGGAGGCCGAAGATGAAGGAGTTCCTAGCACAGCCATCCGCGAAATTTCGTTGCTGAAGGAAATGAACGACCCCAACATTGTGCGTCTATTCAACATCGTCCACGCCGACGGTCATAAGTTATACCTGGTCTTCGAATTCCTCGACCTAGATCTCAAGAAATACATGGAAGCTTTACCGGTGTCAGATGGCGGCCGAGGCAAAGCACTTCCAGAAGGTTCAACGTTGGACATGCAGAGACTCGGTCTAGGCAAGGATATGGTCAAAAAGTTCATGGCACAATTAGTCGAAGGTGTTCGGTATTGCCACAGCCACAGAGTGCTGCACCGAGACTTGAAGCCGCAGAATCTGCTGATCGATCGAGAGGGTAATCTCAAATTGGCTGACTTTGGTCTCGCCCGAGCCTTTGGTGTCCCACTAAGAACATATACTCACGAGGTTGGTGGATCTTAAAGCCATATCCCAACCGACTTGACATTGATACATGCAGGTCGTCACGCTGTGGTATCGTGCACCGGAAATCCTTCTCGGCGGTCGACAATACTCTACCGGCGTTGACATGTGGTCAGTTGGAGCCATCTTCGCCGAGATGTGCACGAGAAAACCTCTCTTCCCCGGCGACTCTGAAATCGACGAAATCTTCAAGATTTTCAAGTAGGTCACGTTGCGCAATCCAGGAGAGGACACGTTTGCGAACGCTAACATAGACTCCTCGGTACACCCGATGAAAATACCTGGCCTGGTGTGACCTCGTTCCCCGACTTCAAGACCTCGTTCCCCAAATGGCGGCGTGAGCCGACCAGCAATTTTGTCCCCAACCTCGAACCCGCCGGTCTCGAACTTCTCGATGCGATGCTCGAATATGACCCTGCTCACCGTATTTCGGCCAAGGCAGCCTGTAACCACCCCTACTTCGCAGCAGGTTCAGCGGCTTATTCTCAACGACCCCACTCTGCCAGAACGAATGGGTTTCGTTGACGTGAGAAACATGCATGAACAAACTTGGGGGTTAGGTGAGATGGGATATTCCGCGGCCAACGGATCGATGAGCAAGGCTGACTACAGAAACCCAGGAGTGTAGACTTGACTGACTTGCATCGGATTGGGATGAGATTATGCACCTTGGAGCTTGGGTTATATGACATGACAGGCAAATGACTTGCAATTGGATTTGGAAACGGTGTCATGACAAACCAGAGCCCTTATTTCCCTTGAAATTTTTGTACAGAGACTAGAGAGTATTGAGGGGCAGGGAGAACGCGGCACGGCATGGATGGACCTGTTTTTCTTTTTTTTTTCTCGTGTCAGTCAAAGTTTCTCTCTGTTGAGAACATGCATGGGCAGGTTGGGCAAGTGCCACCGCCATGAATCCCTCTGTGAAGAACTCAGACGTGCTTCAATGCGTTTTGCTTGCTTCTTTGTTTGTTTGCTTGTCCTTTTTGATGCTGTGGGTCGGCTGTATATACTCAACCGTCCTCGTACTCTCGGATGCGGATTTATATGGGCTAGGATGCCGTAACTAAGTTGAGAAGACTCGTCGAGCAAGGCCTAAGAACAAAAGGGGAGGGGAGATGGATGTATATATTTGTCATTTGTCAAGGTATCATCAACGACTTCTCACTACGTCCAGCATGGTAACGGTATCTCGTCCCAACTTTGGTCTTTTTGCTTCCGCCTGTTGATGTCTTCAGACCAGTTAGCTAGTTTTGTCATCTCAAACCTGCCAGTATTATGTTTTGTAGCACGCCCGAACGAGCTTATCTGACCGTTCCTTAATCCTAACCACGTTTCAGAAACGAAAACTCTGGATTCCCACCAAATCGGTCTCAAATGCAGCGTTGATGATGTTCTCGCAAGTGTACTGAGTACTTGGGGTCCAAAAAATGAGTAGAATTCGAGGAGTGGTATATCGCGCCTCAAAAACAGGCCGGGCTGGATGCTATTCACGGTGAAGCATCGTTTTTCTCATACAAGGTCTCGGTGGTAGATGGTCCACTAATGCTTCCCTTCTTCCCGCGGTAGGCGCTGATCTGGAGCATGTTGAGCTTGTCCTCCTCGGAGTCGAGCCGTTTGAAGTTGAACCAAAAGCAGACGCCACCGACGGCAGCCAAGACAGCGACGAGGCCATAGTTCCATATGAGAAGCGGATCGGCAGACAAAGCGACGAGGCCTTGCGCGATAGCGCTGCTGAAGGCGTTCATCAGGAGGTTGATGGACATGACGAAGCTGCGCATGTTGTAGGGGGCCTTGGTGAATGCGTATTCCAGCGAGGTAATACTGGCCATGATCTCGGAGATGCCAATAAGGACATACGGAACGGTCTGGATCCAGACGTTGAGTGGGGCGGGTTCACAGTCTGGATCTGAGGCGTGGGTACCGCACTCTGAAAGGCGGTAGATGTAGACTTGAGTGACGCAGGCGGCGATCATGGCCATGCTGGCCAGAGCGAAACCGAACGCAATCCGCTTGATGGGAGTGAAGTTGATGCGAGCCTTGCGGAGAGCTGGGTAGATGACAAAGTCGAAGATGGGGATCATAATGATGATGGAGATCGGGTTGAGGTTTTGAATGATGTCGTTAGGGACGCCGTTGAGTTCCATCACGCTGCGGATACGTTAGTTGAACCTCCATTTGATCAATTACACCGAAGCACTCACGCGGCTTGGGATGTCAAGTTACCAGTCATCTGTCCGTAGGCAAGCCAGTAGAGCGGTAGGTAGAGAAACACAACGCAGGCCTTCAACCCCCGACGGACCTCGTCAACCCAGGCGTCGTCGAATGTCATCCAAGCCGGTCTCTCAGCGTTAGGAATTCGAGAGGGTTTGACGCGCTCCCAGAAATCAGGGGCAGACAGGTTCTTGTAGGTCCGGTATAGGTTGATGCTCCATCGACCCTTGCCTGCATACGTCCAGAGCTTCCAGAACTTGGCAAACACGGAGCCCGTCGGCGGCGTGAGCACGTAATGCTTGCGGCAAAGTGCTAGGACGAACGGAGCCAACAAGAAAAGAACCGTCGGCAGCATAAAAGATAGCCAGAAGCCCACATATTTTTCCTAAAATTTCGTCAGCATTTATCCTCAAAATTAGCCCCAAAAAAAGGTGGGGGTTAACGAACAGCATAAACCATGCCTATCTGGCCGATGAGAGAACCGACGTTGATACATAAGTAGAAGTAGAGAAAGATTCGAGAGGTGGTGACGGTCGGGTCAACAATGACTCTTTCCCCCGACGGGAGGATTTGGATACGCTTTTTGATCTCGGTCTGCTGTTCGGCCAGGAGAGGAGAGATGTTGGATTTGAAGCCGCCGGTGCCTACTCCCATGATAATGAGACCGATGGTGAAAGCGGCGAGTGCAGAGTCACCATGCTTGATAACACTGGGTGCGGCCGAGGCAGTCAAGATCACATGGCCGACGACCGCGCAGGCGATGGCAGCTTGGATGGTCTTGTAGCGTCCCCAGTGGGCATCGGCTACGTAAGCACCCAAAAGGGGCATCACATAGGCCCAGAACTGATTAAAGGTAACCAAGCCAGTTGACGCTCTCTGGCCCATCCCTAGTGCTCCGGACTGACCTTCGTAGCCAGCGCCAGTGGTAGAGCCTTCAGGCAGTGGCTGCTGGATGAAATTGACAAACTGTCACATGTCAGATGGTTTCCATTTGGTATCAGGTCGGCCGGGCTAGCTCCCACATACGACAATCGTGGTACCGTAGTACGAGAAACGCTCACACATTTCGACGAATGCAACAGTAAAAGCCGGCCATGGGATCTTGCCTGATACTCGGCGAAGAGTGTTGAGGTCGGCCTCGGTGACCTCGTCATCGTAAGAGTCTTCTGATTCTCGGATGGAGGCATCAATGGAACCACGGGCGAAGGTCTTCTCAACCGCAGTACCGGCATAGGGTGCGTCGGCCACCTGAGCCTGGGCGACGATGGGCCCCTCGTTAGAAGCAATTGCGCTCATCTTGGTAATAATTTTTTGACTTCGTATACCAAACAGGAAGACCCCAGGTTTTGATGCTAGCATTGATCAGGGGCTCCTCAACATAATTATACTCCCCTCCAAGACATCTTCCGCAAATCCTCGCTCGAACGTTCCTCGTGTCTCTCGCGACCATTTCTCAAACATCATCGGAGTGATCACACGAATAAGGAAGGTGTCGTTCATCGTTATCAAGAGAGAGGAACAGGGGGGGCAAACAGCGATGTATCCCAAGCACTTGGCGGACATGGCAATAACCTTGACAAATTCTTGGTACTGCAAAATCGGGTGGGTGAAGATGGTGGCGCTAACGCCTAGACGACATGAAACCTGTGACCACTCTGATAAGCTTTATCTCGTTCTTCCATAGTCGCCGGAAGCGTCGATGCTTAACATTTCGCAGACAAGATAAAGCGCATAGACGAATCGATGGAGGGAGTGGGGGGAAGTACCATGATTCTTCCCGACGATAGACGATAAGCCAGCTTCTGTAGATCCCGCTGGGAGGCGGTATCACCCATCTGAACATGACTTGGACTCTCTAGTCAGTTGTCCGATCCAAAAGCATGTCCGGATCTCATATATTCAGCCTGCTCACAAATACGAGGGGCAGTACTCTCTCTCGATGACTTTAGGGACGGCTTCTCATTTCCAGGGAATGATCCACCGTCGAGACCGAGTGTATGAGCGGATGAATTGACAGGATTTCTTGTTACTCTCCTGGTTTTCCACCGCCGAACCCCGCGTGGGCTCACGCCAAGATTTGGCGTTCAAGTTTGTGGAGATACAAGTATGATACGCTACACGTACGGTTGTTACAAGCTAGATTGCTCGTACTTTTTATATAGGATCTCTGAACGAAGAAATAGCACTAACTACAAGAATGTCAAAAGTGCCTCACGGTGTTCGTCCCCTGACAGTTTCCGTAGTAACCAACATATTCCACTATCTTCGCGAAAACATGTCAAACAAGTACGGGGCACCGTAGGTGCAATATGCCCTGCAATAGAGACACAGAGCCTAAAATGGGCCTCACACCAGCCTCTCCGGGGCTGTTGATTTGCCACTCTCCGGCCTCAGCCGACTCCTTCTCACGCCGCTGCATGCTCCCATTTGATATCTAGGCTTCCCAATCAATATCCGGGTGCCCAGAATTGAGGCTTGATATGGGACGTCGCATTCAAGATTGACTTTCGACTCGCGATTACCACCTTGCGGAGTCCGCCGTCGAAGATCTTCCGCAACCCTTCCAAAACACCAACCAAAGATGTACGAACTGTCTATCACCTTCCCTCGCCAAGTCACTCATCTACTACCTTGGGCCGTGCTACTGACGTTGGTTATCATCGGCCCAACAGGGCCGCCCTTTTCTGCTCAAAAAAAAAAAAAAAAATGGAGGCTGAGTGGTCAGTTGTTGTAGTCGGGGCGAAACATGGGATCCCATGATCCATCACATTGTTGTTTAATCATGGAACACAGCAATCTCTGGCCGATGAGACTCGTTCGCATCAGCCCATGTCAAGCCAAACCGAGCCACGCGCTCGCCACGATTCTATGCATCCCATGGGTTCCAGAAGCCGAGTAAAGAGATGTCCCTTTCTGTCACCATCAATCTTTGCATTGATGAATGACTCTGCCGAGGTTGTACTAAAACAGCCGAACACTGACAATTCTGAGGTAGGATCCGAGTTTGCTACTCTGGTGCCAGGACCGGCCCCACTTTTCTTCACTAGTACAGAAAACGCATGTCAGACCGCCAAGCAGTTCCCGCCCCGCCGCTTGAGAGTCGATTATCCTCACCCACGATCGAGGTTCGATACCAGGCTTGCAGCTGCAATTGGTTCAATTCATATCCCAGGAATGGGAGCTCCTCGAATCTTGGTCCATTTCGCGATACAGCCGACTCGCAAGAGCAACACGGACAAGACGCAAATTCGAAGGACTTTGCCCAGAGTCTTACCTAGTACATAATCAAGTCTCAAGGCTCGATCCCAAGAGATAATGGCTTGTCATGTAACCTGAGAAAACCTCCTCAATCGTCCCTCGCCAGACACTACTGATAACCAGGAGATACTCGCCAACGATGTCTGCTTTCGATTTCAATACTAACAGCGGAGCTTCTTTCCTCCCAGGTATACATGGTGAATGAATCTGTCACGGCTTGTTTTTCAACGCTCATTAGCTGAGATGCCAATAGAAGCAATCGGATGCCGTATCTTTCAGACACGTTCTTCAACTGACCTGGAGTGCACCAATGACTCCGGCTCACCTCGTGCCCACTCAAACAATGAAACTCTTCGGACCGCTTCTGTCCCAAAGGGAGCATAGAACAAGCTCGGTTAAGTCGAGGCCAACATGATGATCTAATCATGATCAACACTTATCAAATATTTCGACCAACCCTTAAACGTCTCGGATACGGCGAATTATCCCCGAATCTTGCCCGCTCCGGTTGAGTCCCAGTGCTGGCGTCCAATGATCCCGAGATATGAACTTGTGCCTTGGGCTTTTTGTTTCCTGGTTTTCGAAAGTAAATACGAATATTTTCCACCAGAAGTGTTTGCCCCACACATTATTAGCGAATACTCTTTGTTTGATGGGGGCTGACGGTACTCCCGACCCGGTAGGGCCCGGTCTGGAGTTAGGATACCTAGGCATGTTACAAGGTCTACTCTCTGGGGTCCCACCGTGGTTCAACAAGCCTTCGAGTCGTAAGGAATCACCACTTGAGAAGCGCTCCTCTGCATCATCAACACCATATCTATAAAGACAGGAGAACACAGCCTCGCAATGACTGGAGAAAAGTTTCATAATTGTGCCATCGTGACGCCTCCTTCGGACGCATAGAACATCTTGACAACACGTATAGCTACGTAAGCCTGAAGAAAATCCTGACGAGAAGCTTGAAGCACTAACTGGTTATCGTTCAGATATGAAAAAGAAGCCCTATCAACGTACGTGCTTCCGCAAGTTCGCGCGAAGGTAGCTTCAATCGAATTGCCCTTGTATATGACGCCCCCCCAGACCGACCAAGATCGGTGTTGTCCTTGCGCAACATCTCAAGGTTTGTAAGCGAGGAGCCGACAGTCGAGCGAGCTTCAACCCAGAAAACTTTTCAAGCCGACCAAACGTGCTTGTGATCGATGTGCACGGCCGAAACCCAAATACGGTTCAAGAGATCTTTGCAGTCGTTACAGTCTACGCTCTTCTCATTGCTCCTATACTCGCCGAGGATATTAGGACATGTACCAATCAATTCACTGTACTGCAAGAGAACCAGAATAAGGACATCATCCCTGCACAGGTCGCTGTGAGCCAGACCAGTCACCAAGCCAGATAGCATTTCTGTCCACGTTTCACGATGGAAGCAAACGTTGAACAAGATGGTCTTCTTCAGGTAACAAACTTTGCCTCGTAAATTCGACACCATTGATTGAAATTCCGCATGACTGGTCACTCTCAACCTTGGGCACGCAAACCAGCCTCAATCGGTATATGTACTGGCCAACATACAGCCTTGAGCGGGGCCAAGACACAAACTTTTTTTCGTTCAGCTTGCTGACTCAACGAGTTGATCCTCATTCCAACAACATTCTTTTGAAACTCCCTCAACATGCTTCACAAATTCTCGACACGTTTAACTAATCGACTTGTCTTGACTTCATATGGTAGCATATTAAAGAACCGCCGGAGTTTTGCCACTGTTTCTGTACATTCTCGGCTTCCCGCTACAGTGTACCGACTTCAACTTTACCCGAAGTCGAATCTTTCGGCCTATGGAGAGAATAAAAGCGGGGACGTCGAAGATCAAGTTCTAGTGTCGAGTGATGGACTGGTGTATCCTAGAGTGTCCCAGAAAGACCCAAGTCTGTACCCACAGCACTGTTTACTCTCTTGCTAACGGTTCCTCGGCGTCAACGGACCTTTATTCATACCCAATACTATCACGATGCAAGAGTTGGCGAGAAATGCATTCGACTATTACCGCGACGAAGACGAAACTAGCAGGCCCGTGCTCATCAGCATCAAAAAGGGTACCGTCTGATCATACTATGTACGGGTAACACTGACATCGTTCCGCAGGGACCGTTCTTCCCCCCTCTCTCATCGCCTTCCATCAAGATCCTTCATTTTTTTCACTCCAACCGTTCCATTCGATGAAGCTACATGGTATATCTCGCCTTGCTCTATTTGAAACAGGCGGCTGACTATGCCTGCAGAGTTCAACAATATCCTCGACGAGTTCTATGCAACTCATGCCACTGTCTTTGATGCTGAAGAGTGGTTTGGCAAAAACAATTTCTATGAAGCTGCAGCAGACGCAGATCCAGAGCAATGGCCAACTTAAAAAGGGTGATGTGCAGGCCGAGGACAGTTCTACGCATCAATTCCCACCACTGCAGCTTCCAGATCTCCTGTGAGACCAACCCCAAGCAGTGGAGCAATGACAGTGAGGTGGATCTGCAGGCATATCAGACAATTGTAAAATGTTTCAATTAACCCCCCCACCGGTTGCCAGACTTCTCCCTTGTTTCTATGTCTAGGCAGTGCTAGCTGTAACAGAAGTCAAAGAATCATAAACGGCCGGTTAGAGGTAATCAAAAAGGAGGTGTTTTCCTATCTCATAGGTCCGTGTCCCGTCTGCGGCAGGCAATTGGTTATAGCTAACGGTGCCGAATAACACCACGTATGGAAATGACGGGAGGTTATGGTGTTTCCGTCGCAGCGGGATATTTTTCTAGCCATTCTGACTTCGTCATACGCTGAGCTTTGGCGGCAAGGAAATTGTTGATTTTCGTGTTCAGTTCTGCGAGCATTAGCCTCGGCCATGCCACAGGAGAGAAAGAATGATCGCCCCGTTCGTGCACGAGAACCAGGCCATCGGGCAGTCGTGTGTCTGACATTGATTGAGCTCCGGCAAGTTGAGATGTAAGACAACAAACCTTTAGGAACAGCGTAGATAATAACACCGCTAACCTTGAAATTCCTCACGATCTGGTGCTGAGTAGGGGTATTGGGGCGCATTGAGGCACCGTTGGGTCCTTTTGCTCATCAGCAACACGGCGGATATTAGGACGTTTGAGTCTTACCTTCATAAGTCTCAGGGTATGTGATCGCCTTCGGTTTGACTTTCCCGCCTTCGGTCAAGATATCATAGCTGCCAGTTGTCTTCATGGTTCTGCCACAAAGAGATAATGTCGATCCATTGCTCAGACGGAACAACTCCTTCGGGATCATTGTGAATCGATTGATATATTTTGACATTTTGAGGGAATCGAGATTTGGGCCCGATCGCAATGCAACAGGTGCGATGGGGTGATGATGCTGGAAGCGGCTGTATTTGTGGTAATGTGCGCATTTTCCTCGAGAAGGGGGGAGCCTGCCTCGTTAGACGGTCTAGCGAGCAAACCTACTTCATGGATGGCCCTCCAGGGAGCAAATCTTCTCCTGGAACCGCTGGTCTTGTAAATTCCATGAGGCGGTTGCTTACAAGGCCACAACACAGGCAACAATACTGACGGATACTGTTCAGATAGCTATATAGCTAGGCTCAATTCTCTGATCGGGTCCGGCCAGAGTACCTTTTCAACTCCAGAGCACTCAACAACAATCAATGTACACCCATTGATTGTTCACAAATCTTCTGAGCTTTAATTTGCTATGCAATTTTCGTTGCCACTCGTTCGTTAGCCCAAACCACCAGTTGGTGCCAGGCTGATGCCATACAGTGAGGTGAGTGTGGCCACCATCACCATCATCACGTTCAGCTCAGGCTTCGACTGTGAAACTCGTAAGAGATGTCGTCCAATCTCTCAACACACTAGGACTTCTTCAAGCTGAGCTGAAATCGCATGTATAGCTGTTCTCCCAACCCAGGCCGCTCTCGCTAGTCGTGATGGTCTGTAGAACCTCCAGCTGAGCGTCAATAACGCATACTTGAAAGTGAGCTGCGACACAAGTTCCATGTCTTGTAAGATCCCCAGCCGCTAAAACAATTCGCATGATTTCGGCATCGTAATGGTCGGCGCGGGAACAGATGATAATAAGTTGGATGTTTTTTTATTTTTTTCGACAATCGCAAACCGCACGCCTCGTTGTGCCAGGAGAGTGGCAATCATCATTCCAACATGACCGCAGCCGACAACAACGAAGTCGCGTAAGATCGTTGGCTTCACTATTTTGAGCTCCAATCGCTAGATAGTCTGCCCTGGGTACCACGTTGAAAAGGGGGGGGGTTTCAGTTACTCGGCTGAGGTCTGACATTTTAGTGTGGAGGTCTGCCCTCCCTCATCCCGTATGCCCGTCCCTCTTGTGGCACGAGTTCTCCGTACAGGCATAGCGGGGCCGGAGACATGGGATGTGAAATGTAGATGGATGGCCTTTCTACCCACAACGCCATTAGTCCGGGATAGGAATATTCCCACGGGTTGGTTTCTTCCCTAAAGAGACGGTCTATCTTCCACGGAGTCGGAACAATATATTCCACTTCCCAAAGCCCGTGTTATGTTCTACCAGAGCAGGGATCACTTGTCAGCTCTTTCAAGATGTTCAGCGTTACGGCAGAATACCCCCTGGCGTTGGAGTGCTCCCGATCTTCCCTCCAGCCAACCATCAGGCTAACGATAGCAAGAGTAAATAATCCTGACTATGACTTGGACTGATCTTCTCCAAGCTGCTATGAGTTGAGAGTTTGAGTTCTAGGAGAGAAAGAGAGTCATAGACTTCCACTAGCAGCAAACGGAACAAAACCGTCCTGAAGACTCTGATGACCAACGTGACACCTCACCCGGTGGCTTGGTCTCAGTACGGTGCAAACAAGAGCCAAAGTCAGGACTATCAATACTCATTTGCATTCACAGAGGCCTCAACTCCCGGTACATGGATACGTCAGTGAACTCCCGTTTGCTTGTTTCATCTTCAGAACTCCCGATTCGACCTCGACTTACTTTTGGACGTGCAATGAACGGCATAGTTCATATCTAGAGTCGGCAGCGAAGTATGAGTTCTCAATTGCCCTGCTTGATCGGCCGTTGTATGCTAGCAGCAAGAACGTGGAGTCAGAAGCACCAATTCTTGCCTCTATCCCGCACACTAACGAAAGGATCTCGTCGATTTGGCAGAACCATGCGACCGATGTTGAAAACAACTGGTATTATCACCATAGGACATATTAGAGGTAAATTTTACAACACAAGTAGAAATACATATACTCACACATTCATTTTGATGTTGAAAGCCGTTCGCCGGAGGTGCAACAGCATTGCAGGTTGCCAGTGGACCGTCGCTCTGTTGGAGGGATTCACGCAGAGGTTCCCGTTCCTGCAAATGTATCACAGCAGATGCCCGATATTCTCCACAATATTATGGACTTGATGCACATGATGGTCAGGAGATGTTTCGATCTAGCAGGACCATACGAAGAAAGTGCATTCCGGGCATACAAGACAGTTTTTGATCACGCCTCAGACTCAGCTCTGAGGAAAAGCCATGTGCGAGTGTCATGGGTGCCATTTGCTTCTCCGTCTGGCATGCCCTGACTGAATACGAGACCTTGTCGAACTGTTGTCCAATGGACCATATTGAGTGCTCTGAGGAGGGCTTCTCGTTGTGTGTCTATAGGGTATCTATGGCCCCCGCCCCAACTCCCAACCCCCAACCCCAAAACTTTCCTGTTACCGCTCTAGACCCCTGAGGGATGAGACCTTATCTTACGTAGCGCACATTAGATTCTAGTCTAGACGATTCTATAGAATCCTTCGCCGATGCTGGAGAGCTCGTCGTTGAGTAAGTACCGAGGTGGTGAGTACGATGTTGCCATCGAAAAGGGGTAGACGCGCCAAGAACAGCGTGAAATCTCCAACCAATCAGAGCAAAGCAATATTGTGGAGTCATGCGGTCTTATACTGCAGGTCGTGTAAAGAGGATATAGGAGTAAAGGTTGGTCATCCCGGTCTTCTTCACGCCGCTACAACAACAACAGGACGAGCCGAAAACCTCATGGCTTAACGTATTCTGCTTGCTGGCTTAGGCCAGCCATGTAGCTATAAGCAACAACGCCCGTGGAGCTAGAATTCAAGCATCCGATTTTGGCATCCCCATCTCGCACCCCCGATCATGCAGCAGCTTCTGAAGAATTATATGTTGCAATACAGTCACTATGGTATCCACCGACTTGTGGAAGAATGCATCTCTCGCGTACGGAATATTCTCCGTTGGCATATAGTAATCGCATAGTACGTGACCCGGTTCTCCTCCAGCGTTCTAATCGCCAAGCATTTTGCCCACAGTCTCGATCATGCCTTTTTCAGCAAGATCAGAGCTTTGGACTGGTGAAACAGATAAAGAAAGAAAATTGGTGTACTCACAGTCGAGCTCGGACGGTTTTCTTCGAGGCGATGACAGCATTCTTTGATGTGATTGGTCCGCTCTCTGATCGGACGACCACCCGATGCATATATGGTGTGGTACGTACAGTAGCATTTAGGGTACTAGCCTTCGGGTTGGCGCAGCCATCAGTTTTGGAGGTTTCTGGGCGCCAGTTAGTCTGGGTTAATGGATTGTTCGTCTATCTCGGAACGCTCGCGCCGAACTCTCTTGCAAGCTGGCGCTATCAAATCCTGGACTGTCCCCACTCCCGTCAATGCACGTAATTAAGGATTGTATTCCACCATTGGCTCGTCTTCCACAACCCAACACATTGCAAACATTTTTCAATGCACAAGATACAGAACCACTGTATAGTTATCTTTCGACACAATACATGACATCCAGCCACACAGTTTAAGACCTTCGCTACAGGGGTATCTTTGGTTGGATTAGATGGCGCTCTCTCAAAGAAGCGTCGATCATGTTTCATATTTCACCTCAAAACTTCTGATAAGCAGGGGGTTGGCCATTGTGCTCGTTCTTGAATGACCGTCGAACATTTTCTGCGCGATCGTTTCTTTGAACTGTCTAGGCACGATTCCACCACTTTCCTGAGAAAATCTAACAAGCAGAGCATAGCGCCGAAACCTGCTAATCTCCAGGGATCGTCCGAGCTTGTTTTCGTTCCAAAGTCCTACACGCCTGAATCCGTACTCAAAGACAACGACCTTTGGGGCCATTTGTAGCCAGCACATGTGTCCGGGGCTATGCTTAAGATTGACTTGAAACACTCGTCCTGTTTCTCCAAACGCCGCCACCCCTTTCACCTCATGGCAAGATGTCACCGCTCAACATCTATTGGAGCCCTTGCTGAACAACTCGAAGACGTTCTTGCGATAGAACACTGGTCTAGTTCCAGAGTCTGACATTAACATTGGGTCATCCCTCTCTTCGAACGCCCAGCTTATAGTTGAAGAACAATGTACCTTGTTATGAAATATCACGCTGGTGCAGGCTACTCAAACTACAGCTTGGATTCTTCCAATCGCTGGCGTGCTTTCTCTCTGTTTTTGGTTTTTGGGGAGGTTGTCCTGTTAGTTGATTTCAGTTTCTTCTGATGGCAACGGGAATGCGCATTCCAGATTAGTATCGCATTTCGTTCTCTTCAAGTCTTTGGGCTGGCTAGGTCCGAGTTGTCTCTTCTTCCCGTTTGACGGAACTTGAATAAGAAGGGAGTCGCATTGTTGAACATCGTTAAGAGCGTGATACCCTACTTGAGCACAACGCGACATCATTCATCCAAAGGCTGAACGGCATGACGGTGGAACGATGATTCTGCAAACAACTTACTGGTTAACTAACCCTCCCTCTTTCCTCAACCCTCTTACAAGGCGAGAACCAAAAAACCCGAACGCACCGGGCCTAGATGGAAACAAGAATGGGCCACCGGGCCCCGAAGGAAATCAAAATGGACCACCCAGCGCCGCCGAAGACACTGAAGAGCTAGGAACCTCGACCGGCCAAAACCCTGCGATGGAGACGGCAGCTTCGGACGTTCCTACTACTTCTCAAGCTCTTTCCGGCCCTGCCGATGCTCCTTCCACATCCCCAAGCTCTGCCGGTTCTGATCTCACGTCATCTTCTGCTATTATCACCTTTGACGCTCCCGGCCCACCAACCACTTCCACGACTTCCTTGCTGGCCACTCGGTCTGCAGCCAGTCTGGCCTCAGTATGGACTTCGAGCGTGTCAGATCCCACACCAACATCGTCTTTGACCACTCCAGCCCCGACAAGGTCCACAGAAACCCTTTTCCCCGCAACTTCCTTCATGTTGACTATGCCCTACGTCGAAACCAGCGACATTCGGGGCTTTACCAGCGTCCAATATAACGGCTCCAGGCCCCCATCTTTGACGGTCTCTAGCGTGTCGTTCCTGGCGGAGACAACCTCGTGGTCAAGCTTCATTTCCCCAACCAGCACGACGGCTATAGAGACTGGGTGGAGTTATCACAGCCCGAATGGCACAATTCAGACTGAATCGAAAAGTATATTGCCAGGCCAAAGAGCAGGGATTGCCACTGGGACTATTGGTAGGCTCCGGTCTCTGACTACAGTGATTATCGAATATCTCATGCTAATAATCGTGCAGCAGGTTTCTTTTTGATTCTGACACTGATATATTGGGTCTTCAAGTGGCGCAGGGCCGAACACCCAAAAGCGCTGTTAAGGCTTGTACAGCGCCAGCCAAACACGCCGACAAATTCCCATCAGCAACCTCGTAGCCAGACGTTCAACGTGATGCTCAACTCCCCATTGTCCACCGAAGCCGGCTCGAGCGGTGATCCAGCTTGGGGTTTTCGAGCAACCTTTGCGGGACCTAATGTGATCGAGAAACCACGGCAATCGCAGAGTAAATCTCTGAAACTCCTTCGGATCAATCCTTTAGGCATGAATCCTGTTACTCCTTCCGCCTCCAGGACGAGAACTCCAAACCGGAAATCATTCGCCTCGTCATTCTTCCACCGGCGCTCGGCCGCTTCGACCCTCCGCAGTGCGTCTGGACCTCCGTCAGAGGAGCAACCCAGAAATATTATCGGTCCACAGTCCCTTTCACCCCTTCTCTTACCCCAGGTGACCCTTCCATCTCCCGAACCGTCGGCAATATCTAGCCGGTTCGCAGAACTTACTCAAAGCAACACAGATCATTCTCAATCTCTGACCGTGCCACCCCAGACCCTCCCACATCCATGGCGCCATAGTAGCAGTCAAATAACTAGAGCATCCGCGGAGAGAGATGCCCGATTGATCAAGGGCACGCCGGGCCGAGCGAAGCCCCACTCTCCGTCAAGACTACGCACTAGTATAGGGGTGCCCCAGGGATCCGAGAAGGAGCTTCCTCTCCCGCCTCTTCCCCTTCTCCCGTCTCCCTCCATTTCCCCTAGTTCGTGGTTGAGGGCGAAGGTCCTCCGTCGCTCTCAGTCAACAACCACTTCGAAGGATGAAGTATGACATCAAATAACAAAAAGGCGACGATGAATCAGCATCAACAGAACCGGTTGTATAAGAACAGAATGGGCAGAGGAGGGTCTGGGTGGAGCGGAGGATCAGCAGATAGCGTGTAGTCCTGGGGAGCAAGGTTAAGCACGCTGTCACCCATTATTGTCTAGGGAAGGAGAAGTGGGGCCGTGCCAGTTACAGCGCACGGTCACCGTCTACGTGGCTGCTGGGATTTTCTTCTTTATGGAGAAAAGTATACCCCTGTCTCAGGGTGGTCGAGATATATCAGCTCAAATCGTTGGCCCTGGGAATGGTGCGTTATGCGTGCGATGTTGTTCCTCCACTGTTCCTGGATGGCAATCACATCGGGATCCTCAGTCAGCTTCTCCCAGAGGAGATTGGCCCATCACTATGTCTCTTGACTTCATCACGTTGTCCTACAGAATGGAGAGTCCAACATTCTCATCATCTATGGATAATGCTTCGAATTCCGTGAAGCTTAGATCGGAGAGTCGAGGTTCCTCCTCCTGATCGCGCAGCTCTTTTTCGGTTTTGGCCGGCATTTCGGAAGGCCGTGCGTGCAACTCGAGTTGTGGCTCTTATTGCTCAACATAATTCGTTTTCCCTCTTTCCGGTGGCTGCTCTCAGGTTTTCTTTGTTGCGAGGAAACACGTCCGAGCCGTTTTGGGTGAACACATGGAACATTCCCGATGGTCTTGTTGACAGGGCCCCTGTTCCCTGTGTTGCTCTCGTCTGGCTTGCATTCCGCTCGGCCGCTACAGGACAGGATGTTGTCTTTTGTTCCGCGAACATGGCCTGTTGCTGGCTCCCTGGCATTGTCGACATCAGAGTCCTCGGGCTTTCCCAGGTCATGAGGGAGTTCCTCCTTCCGTTCGGGCGCCCTGATGTTCGTGAGGATGATAGTGATATCTCATCATTCGGGTCGTATACATATCGGCCGGTTTCCTCTTCGCTTGTTCAATCCCTACACTCTGTGGCACTATCTTGTGCTGCATGCCTCTACAGAAAATCCGCATATCTCGTAACGGCGCAACGAGTTCCAATGTGACAGTGTTTTTGACACTGATGGCTGTCATAGAGTTCACAATTGTGCTGACGGGCGCTAGTCACCAGCCCTTCTCTTATTGCTCAGTTCGGATGTGCTTTCATCTCGACCTCCTCATCAAGGGAGGATGTCCCCTTCCGTGGACCAATCCATGTCAGCCATCCTTATGGGGGATCTTCGCGCACGGGTTGGGGGAAAAGTTGGCCGATGCAGATAAGGCTAGGTCACGTGAATATACAACCAATTTAGAAGAGACGTGTAAAAAGGCCATAGAATAAGACGTTCCAGACGAGAGAAGATGGTAAGTCACTGAGAAAGTGGAGGAGAGGATAAGTCGCCTGTACCGGGTCCTAAAAAGCGCCACGGTCTGGGCAAAAAACATGACTGATTCTCCCACGCCTTGGCGGGATTGGCGACGATATCCCTAGCAGCGTTGCCTCAGAATTGCAAAATCGCCATCATCATCATCAAGTCTCCCAACCTCCTTCTCGGAAGTGAGACTGACCAAAGTCACCGCAATCCTGTATTCCTATATATCTTGTGCGACTTCTGTATAGTTACTTATCCAAACCAACGAAAAGCCTGTTGGCACCACCGTTCACATCCCATTCATTGTCCAACGTCGCCTCCTTAAGTTGCGGTTGCCTCCTGTCAAAGACCAACGCCTGACCTACATTCTTCTGTTCATCAGTCTCCATCTTCACTCCCTGGAAAGGCCTTTGCATCATAGCCACGAGCCATCTCGGTTCCTGCATTGTGCAAACTCCGGCGCGTCCTCTTTGATCACCTTTATTCGCCCCACTCAATTTGACAAGAGGAGACAGACACATCAGATGAGACATTAAAGGGATCCAAACCATAAATACCAGTTTGGTGGAAGGGCTTGCCAGGCTGGCGCAAGCCAGGAGAGCATTGTAGCAGGTGTGGTGGCGACTTACCCCCGAATTCCTCAGTTTATACGCACCTTGTTTTGTGAGGGGCGACGGTGTATGAGCTTCAACCTTTCCCTCACTTTTGATTCTCCCACCTCCGCTTCCGATGCATCTACAAATTCAATAAGTTTACTAGTGCTATGGAATCGCGGGAATTTGCCACGAGGGATGAACTGTGGCGCATTCAAACGACGCTGAACGAGCTCTCTGCAACCCAGGCCCTGCATTCCGACAGGATCATGCGCTTGGAACAGAAAACCCCCGATGGGAGCAGATCCAGGAGTTTATGGGGTTCCACATCTCCTTTCCCAGGAGTGCTAGGCTCATCACACCACGGTAAGCTGATATTCTTTTCCATGTCAAATGGCCGTCCACGTTAATTCCATGTCAGAGTCCACCCTCAATCCTGCGGCCGAGGCATTTCGAAATTTCGACGTCGACCCTGGAACGAGTATGATGAGCTCGTTGACCCTGGACACGAATGATGATTCAAGAAGAGCAGCAGCATCGAGAGCCAATTCTGTACGATTTGATGAGAGTGCAAACAATCACTATGGTTCATCAAGACAATCCATGGAACTTCCGACGCGAACCGGCAGTGGCCTAGGTGGGCACGCTCTTTCTGAACGGTCTCTCTCACACCGATCCGACGGAAGACCTACCGGCTCGGGGTTTGGTCGAACCAACAGCTTCGGTTTAGAACAGAGTCGCTTGCTTGGGTCTATCCACAATTCACCCAGAGTTTCAGGCAATCCTCCGCCAGGCTTTTTCGTCCTGGGGCCATGTCCATCCATCATCCGGTGCTGGTTGACACCATCATTCTCCAACGATTCGCTTCTCTACGCTGCTGTGTGCAGTGGTTCATCGGTATCATCTGTCAGTTTTTCACTCGTCGGCAAACTCGGGCTGACCGATTCAATTTTTGATGATGGAGAGTCTCGCGCAGTTCGGCTACCCGTGTATTTGACAGAAGCAAAAATCCATTCTCCAGCTGTGAGATCTGCTAGCCCGGTACCTCAAATTCCCACCTTGACCGTGAAGTTCATCATCGACGAGCAGCCGGTGACAGATCCATCGATTCAGATTATTTTGGGAAGCGATGTTTTACGATCACATAATGCCGACATTCTGTTTTCTCAAGACAAGTTGATGATCTTCGATGAGGAACGAAATCAACTTTCCATTCCTCTGGTTCGTCCGGAAGATGATGCCTCATACAAGGACTTATGTACGGCTTCTCGCAAGCGATCTTCCTCCATGGAAGCAGTCTTGCCACCCCCGGCATCCCCCATTGGAGTAATTGGACGACCCGGAAGATTGGGCACAGCACCAGGAGTTGCCTCACCAACAGTGGCCCCTTCAAGCAGCATTGCCTCTGCCACGCCGTCCGAACCAGGAGATATGCGTAGAATCGATCAAGGTACAGACCCGTCGACGAGATCGAGTTTGGATCTAGCGCTGTCCAGGCCGACGGAGGATTCCAAATCGACCACGGGTAGCGAGAAATCGTTCACAACCCCCATGTCGAAGGTTGGATCTGGAGTTTGGTCCAATTCGTGGCGTTCCGTTTCTTCAAGTGCACAAAATGACTCATCCTCCAAACCAACCGCCTCTAGCTATGCGCGGCCTAGTTCATCACGGCCTATGAAAGTGCTTCGACCAGGGAAAACAATGGCGAATGCAACCAGGGCCACTTCTTCCTCTGCAACCACCTCGAACGGGGCGGAGAATGCATCGACAAGATCGGGCGAGGAGGGAAGAAAAAGCAGTCAGCTTGAGTTGGCGGGGGAATCGAAAGCCTCGCATTCCGCATCCACGACCAAGACCAACCCCATTGGCTCGGGGACTGCATTTGGGTGGCTGAATGCCGGACCACAACGAAGGACGACAGCGAACGGTTGAATGATAAAGATCCCAGACATGAGATGATGAAAGTGACTGGGCAGGAAAGCGATGTATGAGAATTCGATTCAGAAAGGATTCCAGAAAAAGGAGGGAGGAGGTCTTCACCTTTTTTTTTTGTTTTCCCCGGTTCGTTTCGAAGACGCGATATGTATGCTAGGAATTAGCTAGCTTTACAGACAAGAGCCTCGAGGCACACAATACAAGAAAAAAATGAAAAGAAAACCCAGAAAGCAGAAAAAAGAAAGCAAAAACAGCTGCCACCGTTACCTGAATTGTACAATATTTACAAGGAGCGTTTTCATGACGTACCGAACTAAGCTTCTAATACATGCACAAGGTACCTGTTCTCTCCCTACAGTGTACTACGGACACCCTAAAGGCTCCTTTCACCCGATTTAGCCCGTTGGCGGCTCGTCCTCTCCACAGATCCACCTCATCGAGCGGCCTATTTATGTCCTCAAGTTCTCCCTATATCTGATCTTCTTCAGATGTATCGAACCGTCACTCGCAAGAATTTCTGGCAGAGCCGAAGGCCCAGATTCCCTCTTCATCCCTCTTCGCTGTCTTCTTCCTGCCCATTGAGATCCCTCACAATTTCCACGTCGCTGTCAAATTTTGATTCAGCATCGGCCTCATCCCCATCTCCCAATTGCCGCCGCTCCAAGAACAATTCGACGCCAATACCGAGACCGAAGTTGAAATCAGAATCACGAAGAATTCGTTTCGAAACAAAAAATAGGGGACTCAAGGCCTTGAAATTTACCAAAATGTCGTCTGCGAAGAGGATCGGTACGTTTGCGTCATTGGCAATTCGCTTGCCACTCCCGTTTCATGGTCATTTTTTCCTTATACATCTCCTGCTCGACGAATTCCTTGGCCAAGAGGGTGGAAGTGATACTTCTCCGTCACAGATGTGAATCAGAATCTTCATCGTGGAGGACACGTCTTTATTGGAATTTGCGGGTTGGGATTTCAATCAGACACAGACAGTTTGCTAACATGATCCTATTTTCGAGTGAAATACAGCCAATCCAGTATTATTGTATGTTTGGTCCCTACTCCCGAACGAAAAATCCTCGGGCTCAGATACAATGGGTATGTCGCCACTGCGCTAACACGCCTGCGCTGTGGTATAGTATCTGCGATATCCAGGAGAAATTCCGCCCCGCGATCTGGGAATTCCCAAAAGTGTATGTTCTCCTCTGGTTGAGGCTCTTTCGCCTCGATCTTCCACTCTCCAGTGTTCGCCATGAACATCAACTTCCGTTTCCTGCGAATAAAATGGGCGCGAGCCGAAACGTACCTTCTTCGATCAATTAGTTCTCTCCTAACTTCTACCTGATCCAGAATCGCAACCGGTGAAAAATTGGTGAAAGCAGGTACGGTTTTCCAGCATTGGTTCAATCCGCCTTCAAATCACCCTATTTTCACACCCTCTCACCCAACCGCTCTGAGACTACATGTGTACTTTGATACTTACATCTCCAGCAAAAATCCTCAACATCCCCATCTACGTAACGACCCAAAATGCCGCACGCCTGGGCTCCACCGTATCAGAACTCACCGCCATACTCCCCAAGGACTCCTCCGCGCCCGTCGAAGTTGACAAGACTGCCTTCTCCATGATGGTTCCCAAGCTCGAGTCTCAACTGCCAAAGCATGACTCTACCCCTCTGAGTGTCTTCATTGTCGGCATCGAAACGCACATCTGCGTCACGCAGACGGCTCTCGATCTCCTCGCGCTCGGGCATAGAGTTTACATCATCCAGGACGGTGTGTCGAGTTGCAATGCGGGGGAACGGCCAGTGGCACTCGCGCGGTTGGCACGAGAAGGCTGCACGGTCATCACGAGCGAGAGTCTACTGTTTGAACTTGTCGCTGATGCAAACGATGCGAATTTCAAACCCATCTCCACATTGGTAAAGGAGACGAAGGATCAGACGAAGGCGGCAGTCGAGACGTTTTGTAAGTTGTAAAAACGTGAAAGGCCTGGACAGGACAGGACAGGACAATAAAATGGATAGAGAACCAAAAATTCAAAAATTCAAGAGATCATCAATGGTCCTGGCCCTGATTGAGTGCGTTTTCCATTCTGGGGTCCAACCCTCCACCCCTCCTCCTTTCTCCGTCGACTCAGCTCGAACACGTTCAACAGCGGCGCGTTTCTCCCGTCCTCCACAACCGCCGCGCCGTCCTCCCTTACAACGAGGCTTGGTTGCTGGACTGAACATGGGAGACGAATGTCGCCGCACCCTGTTATATTCACATAGTCTGCGGATGCAAGATCAATAAGAACTCGTCTTGCTAACTGGGACTGGCCTCTGAATCATCCTTGACGTCTCCATGTTCGGATGAAAAGGAAGAGTTCATCAATGGATGGGCGAGCGTGGGTTGGAAGTTCCATTGATCCTTCTTCTCCGACATGTGTGTTTTGGTCCTTGGATTCCGGCCGATGAAGGACTCTTTGCTCCCTTTGTCTTGAGTGGTGTAGAGCGCCATTTGCTGTTTCAGAGGAGGGAAGACAAAATCCAAAGCGGAGTCGCTGATAAAAATAAGTATGCAAGGCCAGAGACTCAAGAGACCGAAGAAAGGGAATGCTGGGTTATGCCGATATTCAAACGAGCGCTTCAACCAACCTGGAATCACGTTGGTAAGATTATGATCCCTGGGCCGAAACTCATTGGAACAAATGATTCATATTGCGTCAATAGTGCTGCGTCGCGCTCATGAAGGGTTAACGAGGCCTGTTCGATTGTACAAATGGATCAGATCCAGCATGGAAAATTATTGAATATTTTTGACTCTTCAAGCGAAAGAGCGAATTGTGTGCTCCTAGCGATACAGAATGAATGAGACAGCAACCGGAACAACAATGATAGCAATGACCACTACGACACTATTTCATATTGGATCAGCAAAAGATTGAACAGAAATAAAGGTGACTTACTTTCTGCTACACATTCGGGCAAACCATGATTGGCCACTCTGCTTCGATTCGGGCTGGCCCTTAACAGCATCCGCACTAGGAGATCCTGTCTGGGGAAATGACGAAGCTGCAATATTATTCTCTTGGACTGAATACGGTGGTGGCGCAATATCTGGAATGGGGTGGTCCTCCCTCATCGCATCAAGACTTCCAACCACCTTCTCTGATCCCTCATCCCTCCTCTTTGGGTCGTTCTCCATGGATGGGAGTTTGTCAATACGTGCTTGACTCGGAGCCACAGGCTTTTCTTCGACCACGACGAAATTAGGTTGAACGATATCCTCTGCCTCCCTGTCGGGGTCTGGAGCCTCTTCAGCAGTGTGCAAGGACGTCGCCGGATCCTTCACGGTTTGTCTTTCCAGAGTTCTGTTCGACTTGGGCGTATCAGCCGTACTGATGGCAGGTATGGGAGTTTTCGATGTGGGATGCGGAGGAGGAAGTCTTGTGTCTTCAGGCTTGACAGTAAGAACATTATTGACATTTCCTGAATCATCGCTCGCTAATGAATAGTTAGTTTGAATTGGCTGTCACAGTTCGAATCAAGTAAAAGGGTGGAGATCAAACCTGTGGGTTTCGATTCATCAAACACCCACCAATCACCCGGGCCCAATCGAAATTTGTATTGGTATTCGCCGGGATCGATGTCCACAGTATAGGAAAAGACTTTGGCATAAGTTCCATCCTCATTGGTCTCGCAGCTCATCTCAACAGGGACCCAGTTCGTAAATGTCCCTGCAACAAAAACGGGAGGCTGGACACCATCTTTGCTGAAGGTGATCACTGTCGAAGCCATCTTTGCGGATCTGAGAGGGGTTCCTTTGTTTGAGGTTTGCAGGCTCGTTGAAGGGTCGGACAAAGACTCAGAATCAGTCGACAATATTCATCGAGGCAGAAGAAGTGCTGCACAAGTTGAGGACGACACTTGCAGGAGTCTGTAATCTTCCATGATCAGTACAGCCTTTCAGAACCGAAAATTGAGCCCAGGTCAACGACACAGAGTTTCTTCAAGTACATCAGTGAGTGAGAAAGAGACGGAGAAAGAGATTTGCAGCCGGGAGGTGCAGGGTTGGTCTGAGGGCGCCTGGCAAAACTGAAAAATGGGTATGAAATATGCCCTTGGAAGTGCCTCCCTGTTGTGACTCCTCTTTCAATTTCCTTGCGCATCTCATTGGTTTTCTTCTCCTTTGCTGGAATCATGTTCGCTAGAGATGTCCCAACACGATCACAGCGTCCAAAACGAACACCCGATCCGCCGATACACTGTTCTAGGTTGTCGGGAAAGGCTTCTGAAGTGGGTTCTCACGCGCAATAGAAGGTTTCCCCTTTATTTCCAGCCGGTTCCCATTTTGTCTGAGTAGAGATCTTATTCTCCAGAGAGATGGGGTTGAAACTCGGTACAATCAATGACTTTTCTTACCTCAATGACCGTCAATTTTCAAGGTCTGAAACATGAGTGTCAGCACATGCTCAGAGATTTCGGAAGGGCAGCGTTCATGGTCCAACCTAGAGAGCCTGCAAAAAGGTGGCTGAACTTATCTTTCTCAAGGTAAAGGCCAGAGAGGTTCGGGGATCAAAGCCGGGTTTATGAATAATGAAACACTGTTAGTTCAGGTCAACTCGATAGAGATTTTCCAATATCATGGCTAGAGCCCCTCCCGGAAGCAATAGCAAAAGAGAGGACAAAGCTGGGGATCGGAATCGGGCAACCTTGTCACACCACAAAGCAAAAAGTTTCCGGGGCTTATGTATCCAGGTAAATTCGCCAATGCCGAGTGGAGCAAGGAAGTCCATGCTTCGCTGGAATGCCCATACCCCTCAGCTTTGGAACCAGTATGCACAGCGCCCGCAATTTCCAAGGTCTGAAAGCATAAGATTTGGGATCCCGCGGAAAGGCTGACATGTGCCCATTGGTGGGATGTCAAGCACATGCGATAGGAACAATTCGTCCGGACCTCTTGTCGGGAGCACTAGCATGTCAACTCCCACACGGGCGAACCGTTGGCGAATTCGGCACCGCCATACCAAGCCACATGTGGCGTTGAGTTGTAAAAGCACTGGGAAGTACTCAGATCTTTTCATCCTCAAGTATGTTGGTCTTAGAGGAGTATGGATGCATCTTTTTCTACCCAGCTGGGTTCAATAGGCCGCCATGTCAGGAACATTTATGGAAAAGTGTGCGTGGCGAGTGGGTAAACGAGACGGTTTTCCATCAGACCTGACGGAAGAGAAGTATAAGAAATTGAAGTCAATGATGTGATGAGAAACATCGTGAGCCAGAAGAGATCTTATATGTAACATGTAGATAACTCAAAGATTAATAAAATAATCTATTGTTCGACGATGGGAGGGGAAGGCATGTGGAATTTGAGCATTGAGACAATGAAGATGAATTGGTGACAGTATACTGAATGGAAAGGACCGGCGAAATTCTACATCATCCGTACATCAAACATGAGCCGAATTTATCGAACATGGTTGGATATTCGTTAAGATTTCATAAATTGTCGTTGCTGTCATTGCCCGATCCAAGGCCTCATCTAATCAACCCAGCAATCATCTTATCAATGGTCACCACCTGTTCTCTGACCTTGGGACAGAAATGCTTCCTTAGCAATTCCCCTTCCCAGACCCCGCTCCCTGTAGCCAGCACATTCGTCCCTTCCACACTCTCGCTCTCCCCTTTAAACACCCCATCGCCTTTCCTCTCGTCGCTATACCACAACGCTTCGATCTTGCGGCTGTGCTTGTCCACAACCCTGGCCAGAAGGCTCAGCACTGCCAGAGCAGATTTCTCGGGCAACTGCAAGGAGACGGTCAGGAGGCGTTTGTAAAATGAGGCGGCCGTCAGTGTCGGCGGGGGTTGCGAGGGAGTGAGGATGATGGACGTTAGAACGCGGGTTAGGAGAAGGATGGGTGTCGAGACGTTGATTCTATTGGTGGCGCTCTGAGACGAGTTCGACGAGCGCGGATCAGGTAAACGAAGCGATTTCGGTCCGAGTTCGATGTCTGCGTCCAAAGACAAAGGATATAGAGAGCGGTAGGTATGCGAGGTGAAGAACGAGAGGTCTAGACGCAAACTTGACGCTGCTTTGGAAACGTCCTGGCCCGACAAGAGCGTGAATGCTGTTTGTGTGGATAGGAGGCTTTCACGGGTCCGATTCCGGATTCCTTCTCCATCGACCAGATCAGAAGATGTCGTCGCTTCGTTCTCGATATCCAAGTCCCGCTTAACTGCCACATCAGCTTGGTTAATAATATCCTTGAGCGCCTCGAGAATGTCACCGAAGAAATCCTGGTTGATGAGATGTGCATATTTGGCCAGTCCCTCAAGCACAGCACCCATCAGGTGTGGTATTCTTGCTCTCAAGATGCGGAAGTACGCGATAAATACCACCTTAAGGGTCTCGGATTGTATCTTTTCTCGCTCTTCGTGGTTGACCAAGGCATCAGCCTCTCGCATATCCTTTTCCACGGCTTTTCTCTGTTTGGCAAGTTTGCGCTCCTTCTTTGATCGATGCCCCAATTTCTCCTTCTTTACTTTCCGGCCGTGTAGCTTGGAAGTGTCCTCCAATTTATCTGATTTTGCGGTGGAACTCGCTGCCGTCAACTCAGAGAGAAGTCGTAGTTGGAAGAAGGTGTTGAGGACTTCCTCCCGGACATGATAATCTCTGGCCTTCATCATCTTTGTGAGGAGTCCGACGGCCTCGAGAGATGGTGCGCCGTCGTCATCCTCAGCGAAGAACTTCTCCAGAGTTTCAATGCATTTCAAAAAATCGGGCGTTGCTTCCCTACTGGCCAGCTCATGTACCAAGACATTCAACAGGTCGCTTCGGCAGTTGAAATGTGGAACGGAGAGAAGAAGGGTGCAGACACAACTGATGACGACGCTTCGCAAGGATAGAGTCTCTTGGTCTCCTTTCTTCCCTTGTGCTAAAATGCTCAACTGCTTGACATACCTCTGATAGCCAGTGAGAAGGGCCTGCTCGTACTGTCTTGTTCTTCTGACGTCCTTTGATACTTTTGTGCCTAGCTCCTCGTCCTTGTAAGACCGTATTCGATAGCCGGGGATTACATCTTTGTAGATGGCCGCTTGAGCAGCCAGAACCAGTTTCTGCACGGCAATGGGCGACTCCTGTCCACCCACTTGGGCCAATTTCTTGAAAGAACCTGTATGCTCTTCCGGATCCTCGTTCAGCAAGCCTGCAAGTCTGGCAATCTCTTCTTTTGCCGCGAGAATTTGTTGTTTCAGTGGAATCTGGACAACAGGTTCATTTTCCGTTGGAGGAGTGTCATTCGATTCATCCGCCTCATCTTCTAAGCCAGATCCCAAGAAGCTGTCGGACTCATCCTCAAAATTGGGCTCCTTTTCTTCTGCTTGTTGTACCTGTTGTATCCTCCCTTCGACAGTTTTGATGGGTAATCTGGTGGACTCTTTAGACTTCTTATTTCTGGACCGTTGTTCATATTCCTGCTCGAGGTCCCAGTCCGCCGCTCGAACAAATAGGTCAGACGACTTGATGGTTTCGGAAGGAATGCTGTCGTCGATTGGAGGTGTCAGCCGCCTTCGTTTCGCAGGACGGCCATGAGGCATTTCGACACAGGCTATATACTCATTCAAAGCACATGTGCAATACTGAAGAGTGGCTGATAGAGATACATTTCAAGCCCGGACATGGACAAAATTTTCTTGCACGGAATCAGCGACCAATGCCAAGCCTGAGAACTGTTCTCCAACTCCGGGTCGCGGGGCATCCCCGACTTTAATTTTTAATTTTTATTTCTCGAGACATCCCTCAAGGCGCAACAACCGTCAATACGGCGTCCATGTCCAGAATTCCCCGAGGAAGTTGGTGAGAATGAGGCCACTTACCGACGTCGAGACCCAAACTCTCTTCACCAAGCTCGCCAACTACACTGGCCGCTCGTTAACTCAACTGATTGCGCCCGGCGACTCCTCCACGGACGACGACGACCGCCATGTCTTTCGCCTGCACGAGTCGCGAGTCTACTACGTGCGCCTTTCCCTCGCAAACCTTGCGACCTCCATAGCGCGAGACAACCTCCTCTCTCTCGGCACGTGCATGGGCAAGTTCACCAAGACCGGAAAGTTCAGACTGCACATCACCGCCCTAGACGTGATAGCACCACACGCCCGCTACAAGCTATGGATCAAGCCGAACGGCGAGATGCCGTTTCTATATGGGGGGAACATCGTCAAGGCACACGTGGGCCGGTGGAGTGAGGACTGCCCCGAACACTCAGGTGTGGTGATTCTCGCGATGGACGACACGCCGCTTGGATTCGGCGTTACCGCCAGGTCGACGGCGGAAGCGAGGAAATTGGAACCAACATCGATCGTGGCGTTTAGGCAGGGAGACGTGGGAGAATATCTGAGAGAGGAAGATAGCTTATTCACGACTTGAAGAAGACATATCAACATCCTCCATGGTTTACTTTCATATCTGCGAAGCAAGAATCGGCCGACGACCCACAAAGCCCAGTGGACGTGGAAATTGTCTCATTTCAAGTGAGGCCGGAACTAGGATCAAAGCCGTGGCGGTCTTGTAGCTCTATTTCCGAATAGCAGAATTTGAGGCGGATCAATGGCCAAGTCATCACGACGACAGCAACGCCTTTGGACTTCCCGTCGAGGTCTGCCATCCTTACGGGATTCAGCCGAATCAGACTACAATCGTCCCCGTCATTCTTCTCGCTAGGAATTGAGCCACCTTCAACTCACATACCGCTAGCCCGCGATCCCTTCCGACAAACGACAACTACTACCACACTGATCAAAAAGGCGTCTCCTTCAATGTCTAAGCAACAATCATGGAAACCCACCCATCCTCCGATCGACACAAAGCCGAAAACGACGGAGCTCCAGCAACTTCAGGAATAGACTGCTCAATCGCCATCCACGGACCACGATATGGGGGACCCTTGGTTTACGAACATAGAAATAACGGACGAAAAGGAAGTTCGCCAGAGAGGAACTTGTTTTGGAGTCATCCTAAATGGTAGTGTATGCACAGTAATATTAAGACACTGATTTCACATTGTTCAATTCTCACGGCCGTCTTTTCATCAATGCTCATGAAAGCCGAAAGGCGTGCCTGAGACAACCGAAACTTTGCAAGTCGTAAATTGATCATCATCACGGATATGCTGCCCGATCTTTCAATGGGTACCTCCAATCCAGTATTACCCCTTTTCCATGGTCATGCGTTCGAGTAAATCCCCAGTCCCACATACCCGATCCGAATGATCGCCATGTCCTTCAGATGAGACCTCGGAGGATTATGCATCATGAAGAACAAGACCAAATACTGTTCACATTGATATGAGTGGTCATCATCGTATTTGTCGTCTCTTTGGTGAAAAAGGGAAGTTTTGGCAGTCCATCACGTATTCCATCAATACACTCCGCTTTTGCCAGTGACGGCACGGAAAGCTAGAGTCTCAATTCGACTGGCATACAGGTCCATTGAATGAGCCAGTGGGTCTCCAAAAATAACTCGTCGTAATTGTTCGTCCTTAACAATAGAAGCCGTCACATCAGGCTCCTTGCCCCTGTCCGGCACACGCAAGACGACCAAACGACCAGCATTTGAGAGTGTCGCAGGCGGAACTTCCCACCATAGCTTCCGGGTTGGAAGTTTGGGTGGTTTGGATTTCGGAGGATTCGGTTTCTTTATGGGATTCAACGAGAGGTCAAGTTTTGACATCGAAGCTCCCAGCATAGTGAGTGGGGATGCTGTAGGTCTCTCGGGCGCCAATGAAGGCATCGGGCTCGAGAGTAAATCGACAAGACTCCTGACATATGCCTTCTCTGCCCGAACGACCGGATCGCCTTCGTTGATGAAGGAGTGGAAGAGACATTTACGTAATCTTCCATCAGCCGTCTCGGGTTTCTGTAACGGCAAAAGGCTGATGGGAGGAGAGCCGAACGTCACACAGTGTACTCTCTTAAAGCACCCTGTAAGAATGTTGAGCTCGGACTGTACAGTCTCCGCGAGCATGTGAGCATACAGAAGGCTTGCCACAGCTCCGCCAGCGCTATGCCCAGTGATGAGGAGGGAACAGGCCGTTCGACCTGGATTCTCTTCCAAAAGGTGCCTGAGTCTTGCCGCAATAGGCTTGACCATGGCTTTGGCCACCTTCAGGAACCCTGAGTGACAGAGGTTTCCTTGATCGTCCAAAAATCCAGCTGGTGTGACCGGTTCAGTGTTCAGATTGACGGCCCAATCGCGTATGCTGAACATGCTCGTCCCTCGGATGGCGAAAACTACTGTCTTCTTGTCGTCACATGGAATAGACTTGATCACCATTGCTTTTGCTCCTGACCGACCATCGGCAGAGACGAAATCCTTGCGTTCCGAGGCTGATTGAGGGGAGTAATATGCACTGGCCGAGTATTGAGCCGCCAAACAGAGAAGAGGATAGGTTGGTATGTATACCCTGAGTGGTGGCAAAGAAACGGGTAACCGAGAATTCATGTATCGATCGACCTTCGCGAAGACATTGACCTGCTTCTCTTGTCCACATCTCTTCGGCTTGGGTCGAGCCTTCTCATTCCCAGTGACTGATCTGGTTCCGTCTCGATTCGCTGAATATGATTCAGGATAATCTGGAGAAGGCGACTCTGGGATTGTGATCTCAAGCTCCCGGGTAGAACCAGGAAACGCCTCTTCGTCAATCAAGGATATCACGTCGCCAAACTTGTCCCCAATCTGAGTGCGCCAGTCCACTCTGCTGGCCGGTTCTGGCGGCCGTTGAGGATACATCAGGTGCGGTTCAGTGTGTGACCAGGTCAATTGAGGCTGTAGGGGTTCTGGTCTGTAATCATTCTGCATAGTCCGAGTCGGTGGGAGGGAAACGGTCGAAGCCATGTATGAGTGCCAGGGCCAGCCATTGTACGGATCAGCCTGCGGGGTCGATTGAGCCGGCTGTGGTTGGTAAACTGTGGTCGAGGTGTTGATGGCGCAAGGGGGAGGGTTTGAGGGATAGACAGGAGGGAAAGAAGCTGGAGACTCTGCAAACTTGCGCCGCTTGCGTGCGTCGCTGAAGAATGGCATTGTGGTTTAATGGTGGAGTGAAAGTTTGAGGGGTGGTGCTTTATTCAACATCGCCGGGAAACTGTTGAGTTGATCAAGTGCTGATTTGGATCTCTGTCTGTTCTCTTGTGCTATTCTCATTATCACTCACTACGCTGCGTGATTCCGGGAAGCTGGAACTTTACAAAGGCTCACCCATCCTTTATCCCTTCTTGTCGCCTTGTTGCTCGAAGTCCGATCCGGATGTTCGGCCGCCCGCGTATGCGCCTGCGCCACCGTCAGGGCCCAATGAAAGGGCGGAGCGACCACCTTGCAAGGTCACCCTCCGAACATTTGACACCCACTCGACACTTTGAATATTTTGATAGAGCACAATACCACAGCTCTTGTCTTACATTCAAGTAAGAAAAGGGTGACTTGTGAGGACACATCAGGGGAAGCTTTTCGACTCACAGCGCAGGAGATCTCTATCGAAACGTGGCCGGTTGAGGGATCGGCCAGTCGACTTTGGTGAGCAGTGTTCCGCATACAGTCCTTCCGAATATTACCTTCATGGATTCTATCCAGACACAAGAAGAGATTCCCGGTCGCATTTATAGTAACAGGAATCGTCCTTTACGTCTTAAGTAGATAGTACCAGCGGTGCTCCTCCCTGACGTACGGACAAGACCTCGTTCGACGAGTTTTGGGGGGCCAATGGCCATCGCCTACCAAGGGGCTTTGCTTAATGGAGTGTCAGCTAGCGCGATGAGGCTGATCTCCCAGCCTCGTTTTCAAATTCTTTCATCATGCAATTATCTGAGATCTTCCTAACTGATCACGGTACTCTCCCGCCCAAGATATATGTCTCGTCATCTGGCGCACCAATTGGAAATGCTAATTTAGGGAAGTGCCTCTAGAACAATGGCCGGTATTGGGGAAGCCATTGCCCGTCGTCGGCATTGCTCAATTCGGCTTCTCTCTTGCCCGGACCCTGAATAATTTCGTTGGAGATTACAAAGATGTTCGCAAGACTCCCACTCGAAAGTCCGCAGAGATCGATAGCACTTCTCTTGTGTTAGAGCGGCTGGGCAACCTTGCACAGAGCCGCAGATTGTACAGAGACAAAGGTATCCTGGTAGCCGCTACTTTAGCTGGTCGTTACAATGAAGCCATCAGCAATATCAGGACCATGCCTTAAAAGCACGGGAAGCGCTCGATCAGAATACGGTCAAGGTGGACGAGACTGAGCTGTCGAGTTTGAGAATTTCCAGTCCGCGTTTGTAAAGCCTCGAATGGAGATTTCCCACCGCGTCGAGGATCTACATACGAATACGTCTCTCGCCCATTAGATCAGGCTCCACTGGTCGTCTTGCGCGACACTGATCTGCACGACAGACGTAGAGAGAAGTCACGAGAAATGTCTGAAGACCGGTACGAGGTCATCCGAAGGAGAAGAGAAAGGTCCGATAAAGAGGAAGCGAGGAGACTCGAGCGAGAGGTGGAAGAGGATTATCGCCCGAGATCTGAGTCCAGAAGAGAAGCATCAAGATACCGAGAAGAATTCGAAGTTGTCAGCCGCCCTCGACGATGTGGATCCCACTCATCATCGGATTCTTTCGAGGGTTTTCGTTTCTCTCGCACTCCAAGATCTTATGGCTCAGGTGTTCCAGAACCGGACCCTGTGCCACGGAACGACGAGGATGCCAGGGCATGGCAACTCGCCACATACACTGGAGAGCCTTCCTCTATTATAGGGGACGCCCCGAACCCAAGACTGATGGCTACACCAAGGTAAGTGTGATAGGATTCCACACTCGAGCGGATCAGAGAAAGTTCCGGAGTGCGTACATATATGGAAGATGATGAGAACGAACACAGGAATGATCAACAGGCGAGACCAGTACCATCTATGAGGTGCCACAGGAAATCGAGATTGAGTGAGTGTGATGGAAGAAGGTGGCAGGCGAGATAAGTTCATGACACTACGCGAGAATTGAACCATTGCTCATTGCATTACTAGACAGATTGGACTCTGCTTAGTGATATTGATGACATCCATGATGATAGCCAGTCTCTTAAAGACAACGTGGATGTGGAGAGGATGCAGAAATAGACGAGGAGCCTGCCACGTCCACATTGGATGATACGATATCTTGTTGTTCTATGATTTTTGAAAGTAATGTCTACTTGGCAGGTTGTACAGCAACAACGACGGTCTCGCTCTAGATCGTGTTGACTGATAGGATAGATCGCAAGATTCTGCAACTGCTGAGGAAGTTGTGGCTTCTGGGAATGAGAATCCGATACCTCATTCGTGACCACTTCTCGTACCATCATTAATTCACCTGGCAAATTTGGTCGAGTACTTGCTTCGATAGTGTCTTGGTCTGGAATCGACAAAGGAGCAGTGGCAGGATCTGAAGCCAGGTTTGGAGGATCGGCTATGTGAGCTGATGCGTCAGGTTGAGACGGTTCTTGAGACTTCTATATTCTCCATGCGCACATTATCGCCTGTAATCCCGTTGGTGGATGGCAAGAGCTCTTCGTTTCGGCCTTCCGCCACATCAGTGAGCTGCTGAGCACCTTCGGAGCGTCATCGTTATCCTCAACCACTATGTCTTCGGGCAAGATCCCGCTAGCTTTGTTGGAGTCTACTTCTGCAGCTGGAATTGGTGCGTCAATAATTGAACCATCGGGATCTCCGCTGTGACAGTGCTTCCGTTTGTCTCATGAGAGTCTTGTGGGTGGAGAAGGTGCTGCTTTCAAGTGCTCCGGAAGCATTATGTTGGTATTTGGAGAGATGTCATGCTGAGAGATTGCGGGTTGGTCCTCATCGTGAGAGGCAGCTCGGCGTCTGCGTTTAATGGTTCTTGTGGTTGTTTAGGGGCAGGAACCACGATCATCGGTTCGCTTTGAAATCAACTTTCCATAGACTTCGGCTCATCGGCTTACGCTCGTTCTCGTGTTGCCTCCGTAGGCTCATGACTCTTCATAGCATTCCCGACCTGGTTGGGAGTTTTAAAGGCTGCGTCGCTTGTAGCTGGCCTTCTAGCGGTTGACTGGTTGCACATGCAATGGCGGTGATGAAGTCTTTGAAGTCGATTCATGACTCTTTTGAGCGGATCATCTCGTGGAATTAGGAGTTCTCCTGTGATTTTGCTGCTACCATAGCCGCACCCCCTCGAGTCCCTCCGCGTTATGCTGTAAGTCACAGATCAACGTTCTTGGGGGATGTAGGCACGTATGTATAGGACTTACCCACTCTGGATGTTGGAGACGTCCGATATGGAAGTCGTTTGTAAAAATGAGTGATGCGGCAAGTGGGCCGAATAGTCTTCCCATTGGTATTTCAACGACAAACTTGGCAGTTGAGGACGAGCCTCAATCCTTCATTTCTTCTCATCAAAAGCACGCAATCTTAATCATTTTACCTCAAATCCGTTGAGTGCACTTGGCTTGGAGTAAGTGCTCGTGAGATACTTAAGAAGGCTGGTCACCTTTGGAAGGCTTTCGCAACCAGGTGGACCTCCAGGCAGTTTAACCTTACATTTTGTCAATCCACCAGAGGATACACGGCGAATATGGGTTCCGTCGCCAAAGTTAGTTCGCTTGATCATTTAGTCCTAACGGTCAAAGATCTGGATGCCACGGTCAAGTTTTATCAAGACGTCTTGGGAATGCAGTTCTCATCGTTTGCTGCTGCCAATGATCCTAGCATCGTACGACACGCACTCAACTTTGGGACACAAAAGATCAATTTGCACGTCAGTGGCAAAGAATTCGAGCCGAAGGCACAGTATGTGCAACCAGGGAGCGCGGATTTGTGCTTTCTCATGGAAGATAACGTGGATGACGTACTGAGCCGATGCCAGGAGAGGGGAATCACGGTTCTTGAAGGCGGACAAGTGGTAGGGAGGACGGGGGCCCAAGGCAAATTGCGAAGCCTCTATGTTCGCGATCCGGATGGGAACTTAATTGAGTAAGGACAATCGCCCTTGAATTTGACGATCCCTTTCGACCGAGTAAGCTAACTATTCCCCCTGCCGGGGAACAGATTGTCCAACTTGGCTTAGATGACCCCGAGTCTGTGATCTCAACTAACAGGTTAGGTGATCCGCTGCCAGCTTTGAACTTTGAGTGGGAGAAGCCAACTTCCATACGAGGTTCTTAGAGCTGCGCTGATCCACGTTCATGATATCTCTGCGCGTTAAGGTTTGGTTTAGATTTTTGTCTTGTGATCTCTCGAACACTTGTGGATGACCTTGCGATTGAATAATTTCTGTCCTTGTCTAAAGATGCTCGGACAAAGCCAAACGGAGGAGAAAGGGTCAGTCGTGGTCAAATTTGATAGGCGAAAGTCTATCGAGGCAAGGGTTTTGTTACGTGTACGAGCACTGTCGAGGGTGATGTCTAACAACGAGGTGCTGCATTGAGGATGTGATGGGAATAGCGGAGGAGCAGTGGGCGCGGGTGATGTTGCTGCAAGCAGCATAAACTTTCGGTGTTGCAGAGTCAGGATTAGACTGGGGTTTGTCTCTGCACGTTTTTGGGTGGCGGGTGACGCTGAGCTGACCAGGTGGGGACCTAGCTTGCACCGCCATCTTTTCAAGTCAAGATGTTTTGGGAGCAGCGTCCGTTCTCCACCACAAGGAAGCCATCGACAAAGCGAGAACCAAAAAACCTTGATTTATACTGGCTCTCGAGTGAACAGGACACGAGAATGCACGTAACCAGAATGGAGAGTGGAGATCCTACCACTGCAAATGGAACTCGGTATGAAGTCGCAGCCGGAAAACATGAGCAACGATCTCTGAGTTAGATCGGGGTCTCGCTGGCTCGCTGTCTTGTAGAACCTATGGCAATGTCGAAGGAAACGAAAAGCAAGAGTCGGTCAAAGCATCCGAAGGCTTCATGAAATATCAAGCAAAAGCAAGCCAGGGAAGGAAAAAGGGAGGGGGGGAATTATCAGGGCAGCAGACCTGCAGCAGATACATACGGAACCGCCGACAATGTGCAATTGCCTTCATAAGGAAATGGGAAAGGGTTTGTTCGTTGGTCGAATTTGACGTCAATGTTGACATGCGGGAGCTATACGAAGGGGGTAGTCATCGAAAAAGACCCTAGGCACTTGGGAAGAACCCGAGGACTAACAGATGGCAGAAGAGTGCTCTCGTTCTATTCATGACCATTGCAGGGGTCTAGAGCCTGGCTATCGTGAATCAAAAGGCAAAGGCTGGGAGATGGGCGGGTTGGATGTCTGTGTTGTGCAGATGGCGAGCAAGTCGTTTTGAGGATCGAATGATGACTTGATTGGGACGTGGCTGGCCACGTCGTCGCCAAAAGTTTTCCATTATCCAAGTCGGCGCTTTTGGCGGTGATACGCCAGCTTGAAGACTCGGCCGGTCATCACCTGGTCGTCGTTCTCGAGACGCCCGTTAAGGCCAAGACACAGGTGACAAGTCTCTGATCAACCCTCCGTGGAGTAGTTTTTAGTGTCAAGCACAAAAGGGATGATCTGCCTCTTTATCACAGACGGGGTGTTTCCGGCAATATCGTACTTAGCTAGTGAGCTTTCCCTTCGGTGACATCCTGATGCATCTCTGGCCAGGGGATCTCTTTTCAGCCTATTTGGTGTGTTGGTCCATCCATTCCACGGCGGCTTGACTTGTGTTCTTATAGCGTCTCCTTGCCCGAAGTTCGGAACCGATAACCGAGATCAAGACCTCCGAGGTCCCTCGTTAAGATAGCCTACCACCCTTTACAGTCTCCATGGTTGGGGGCCCCATAGCTGACAGCTCTCTGTACGCTTAATGATCGACCGGACTAGCATCTACCCCGTATTCCTCAGATGGGCGTCCCCCTCAATCACCCTAACGAGTCATAGGTACTGTGAGCCCTCAATGCGCCGGAGCTTTCTATCCCGGCACGTAAGTGTCTGTGCCCCGTGCTCTCCTGCACTGTAAGAATATGCCCAGCCTGGTTTGTCATCGGGCACCCGGATTGCCGCCTGCGGTAACTTCCCCGGAACTCCACCTCTTTCTTCCTCCTGACTGGAGTTGTTCTCCATGCCCGAAGGTGAATTTTGGAGCAGAAATTAGGGAACGTTCTCAAGCGCCAGAAGGTGGAGATAATACTGAGAGGAACCCGGGCAGGAGACTCTCTCATTGCCGGACTCCATGCAGCCTGATGAGTCTTGAATACCTCATCCGCATTGACGATGATCTGGTAGTAGATGCCATGTCGATCGGTTCCTGCAGATAGGGATGAAGGGCCTTGGACGGGGAGCATAGACAATAGTACACCGTTCGCAACGGGCCAGTTTGCCCCTGAGTACGTGTGTTCGAGTCTTTGTCTATCCAGGTATGTCAGCGTGTCTTGCCACCTCGGGAGGCTTTGTCCGAGGAGCGGTTCATTTACAGGTCAAGTCACGAGTTCTTGCAAGCATGCTCAGAAGAGGCAATTGACATAATCCCAGGGGCTTGGTGAGGCCGAACCCTGCCATCTGCCGACTTGCATTTCCGTGGACGATCCCCCACTGCGAAGTCACATCCCATTTACAAGATACTCACCATCCTGTTGGGTGTCGGGATAATGGTACAAAGTTAAAGCACGTTCTACAGCAAACATTCAATACAAGTCGTTCCGCTCTGACAACTGCCTGAAAGCTGGATGAAGCTACATGCAGAGTTCCATCCCGTTGATTGTTCTCCTCGTCCATCCAATCACCAAGAGTTCCAGGAAGTTTGGGCTAGCTCTGCAGCGGCCTTAGATGCAGAGGTTCTCGACTTGGATGGAGTGCCTGCTTCAGCTCTCCGCTTCTGCGTTCCCCCAAATGAGCCATCGAGATCTCAGGCTGTCAACTCACCAACCTCTTCTGATCTGCAGCTCGCAGCTTGTGGACATCCCTTGATCTTGTCTCTTTCTGTCTTTTCTTCGAGCGCAGAATATGCCTCCAATTTCCCAGCTTGATGTGGATGTGAATGTGGAAGAGGGTGTGGTGAGTTACCGAAGGAGATGGAGCAAGTTGAAGATCGCCTTGACTGGCTCCAGACATGACCATGTAACTAATGCATTGATGGATGGATAGTGGTTGACATCTGCCAGGTGGCCCCGACGACTCATCGCCGGCCTCCGCCAATCCCGTAGCCTCCACCTTTTTTTATGCCTCGTCATCCACATCGCTCACTTTGTCCTGTGCTTCTCATCTTGCATCTTTTAAAGCCGTCAACCGCCACAGTCGCTAACACGCTTGTTACGCAACAGGCCGAAAATGTCGTTCTACACTCTGGGTTCTTCCGTGTAGCGAGCCATGGTTTGGTTTTTCTCGCTTGTTCGCTTAAACTTTCAAAACTCTGATCCCCATCGAGCGCACCGCGTATCCGCGTGTCCCTTTTCGACCAAACACAATGCGACTTCCCGAACGCCCCTTCCGCTGTTAGATCTTCAAATTTCTGAGAAAGTCGGACACAGATTAACCTGGATTTCTGGTCCCGGCACTGTAATGATCTTCCCCGTCACAAGGGTCCCGCTTTTTAGCGATCCAACTCCTGTATCAACATCGATTTATGTTCAAAGACGATCGGATTGACAGCACTCCCCAATTCCATCCAGCCGCCTCTGAGCTCGAACGCAGCCCTGATGCTCTTCCATATCCAGTGTCCCTCATTACTTTTGAGTTTCGACGCCTCCTTCCCCCCTTGAGCCCAACTACTCCCTGACTACAGAGGCGCAAAAACCTTCCATCGCCTGCGTGGGCCGCTAAATCTGCGACAGGGCAGAACCGTTTGCTCTCAGCTTCAGTGGGTCGCAGATTGGGATCGTCTCGTACACAGTCAAACTCACACATCACAATCAAGCGACTTGCAAGTTCCAACCGGCTCATCCTCCCACCGTCCCGAATCTCGGTGATCGCTGCTCTTCAACACGCTACTGTGGTGTCTTGTGTCAGCGCTCTCTCCGTGTTCCAGCGGAGCACGTTGCTCGCTCACCTGCCACCACTCACGAATCTCGATTTCCCCGGCCTAACGCTCAGTCACCCAGACCATCGCTCCAAGTTACCGGTGTCCGGAATCCAGGTCGGCGGCGCCTTCTCCTGTTGCCAGATTGCGCCAACTCATCCTAGGTGAATACCGCCAGTGGTGCCAAGCAGCGACCCTTAAGAGGCCCACCACCCCCTTCCCAAGGAAAAGCCCGGATCCGTGGCTGAACATTAGTACTTCAAGTCGTTCATGTGGACTGGCACCTTCGTCGTCCAGCTACAATTGGTCTTTTCAGACCATCATGACTACCGTTGTGGATTTTCCGTCTTCTACTAACTCGACATTCGGTCCCTCACACTGTCTTCCGTTTCCCTTGACATCTAATGCCTCGCTTCAACAGGCGATGCGACCCGGACACTTCCCTCTTCATACACCGGTGACCACCGCCAGTGAGGTCCATCGAAATCCTCCTACATCCATGTTAACTTCAGCTGGTTCATATCATCCCTTGCCCTCGTGGCCAACATCGTCAGTCCCTCCTCTACCGTCAACTCCTCCGGATCCTCGCCCGCCACCAAAGTATTATCCTGTGAACCAGTCGAACCTTTCTCCTCTATCTCAACCTTTCACGCACAAATACTCAGCAGTGCAGCCTGTAGAGGCTACGAATACTGGGCTAGGGAGGTATTGTGGAATGTAATTCTAACTAGTTCTCGACGACTGATGCGTTCCAGACCACACCACGGTGCTCATGCTCGGGGGCTACCTTTCGAGGGACATCATAATCTACCAACATACTCACCATCCTTTCATCAATACTCGGTTCCCGATGCGCGTGGTCCTCCTGCGACCTTTGTATCCATGGGAGCCCCGTTGGAAGCTCAGGAAACCTTGGCGAAGATGCCTAATCCAAACAGCCGTCGATGCCGCTTGCATATCAGACAGCAACCTAGAGCTGCACGGGCAGGGCCCGATGGGAAGGACAGAAGGTATTCTCTTTTTTTTTTTTTTCTTTTTTTCTGTTTTGGGTTTTTTGGAGATGATCGAGGTTTCCCTATCTAATCAGTTTCAAGAGCCATTGATCCACCACCAATTCTACAGCTATTAATGAACGATTTCGATCCTGATTCTCCAGATGATGTGGCCGAAATACAGAGTCAATTCTGGATTGTTCACTGCAGACTGGTGGCAGGGCACGCTCCGGACGTGGACGTGAGTACCGTGCATCACACGACTGAGGATGGGAAGAAAGAAGTGCAACGGCTACTTCTGGGTACCTGGGTGGCCAGCCCGACCACAACCCAAGACGATCCCGATCCTCAGACGATGCCCTCTCACCCACAGACGAGACCACCGACAGACCCTCCTCCGAGTCCAACAACGAGATTTTTGCCCAATCCGGCAGAGCAGGGTCCAGGCAAAGCAGCAAGGCATCCATATCAGATTCCAGGCTGCTTTTTCATCTTCGCCGACATATCGGTCCGCAGAGCTGGCGAATACCGTTTACATTTCACGCTCATGAAGATGGACGAAACGTTTCTCGAGAAGGGTTCACTTCTACCCTGCATTCATCAAGTGACAAGCGAGGTGTTCCGAGTGGTCAACGCAAAAGACTTTGATCAAGTCCAACCTAGCACTAACTTGGTGAAAGGACTACTGGATCGTGGGGCTGGATTCCCTCTGAAATTGAAGAAGGGCACAAGAGAGGGAGGGAGACGCAGAAGGCAACAATCTGGAGAGAACAGTGATGATGACTCAAGATCTGAGGATAACGAGTATTGATTGACGACGGCTGAATTGAAAAACCATGAACCGGACAGTGATCGCAATGTGCAGGATCAAATAGGAGCCCCATTCCTTTCTGGGAATCAGCAGTGCGAAGTTGACCCCACTCTGCTAGTTGGACTTTCCAGCATACCACACAAAAGTCGGAGAGACTACGTTTTCAATGTACTTGGGACTCGAGGTCGACTCTGTTTTCCCACCGGTTGGCCCGCATTGGTCCCGATCATCAAATTTCTGTTTGTGGAGCTCACCGTATATGCACGCCAAAACAACCCCCCCCGGGGCCCGCCGCGCGGGGAACCGAGCGCCAAAATGTCCGCAGCCAACCAACCTGTTACTTCAATAAGACAAAGCAAAGCCTAGAATTGGCTATCAACGCGCTACATCGCCGGTGTGAATTGACATGAAGCATCCAATATTTGATTACGTATTTTGGAGGGGTGATATGGGGGCTGCCAAACCAGCACCTGTCTCGACTCAAATCAACAACCAACACACCACACAACAGGCCAAAGTGGGAGCGCGAGCTTAAGGATCACTTCAAAGGCAGGTAGGTAAGAGCGTCAAGGTACACGAAGGTAGACTAATAACAGTTGTGCCCAAAATATGTCTGTTGCTGTCTCTGTTGTTGTTGCGTCTCTGTTATTGTTGCTCCTTTTTCCTGTGCCTCCCTCCGAAAGAGAGCCATCTGTCCAACGTTTGCACTGTTTGCTTACTCTGTCACGTGACTGCTTGGCATAGGCCTGCCTCACCCCACCACAGTATGCTTTGGGACGGAAGATTGAACTGGGATCCCGTTTAAACATGCTCTCATACTCGAAACGACATTAGTGGTATTGTTTTGCAGTTGCTTCGTGTTACAGATATCTCTAAATGGTAATTTATGCTTCCGTAGTGTTCCCATCTCGGAGAATGGTAGTGAGTCTCAAACGGGGCAAGGCGGGCGATCGGGCGATCGGGCGACAGGGTATGACAGGGAGAAGTTCAAAGGAGAAACTGGTAGAGCAAGTCCCGGATGGAATCTGGGTCCTCGCCTTGTAAGCGAGACTGGGCCTGATGGGGTCTCTTGCTGTGGAATCGTGGAACCGAGGGACTGGGGAGACAGAGACACTCAGGAAATCAGAACAAACGGTGGAACCAAATATAAGTCCAAGGATGGATGCACGATAACTTTCCGAGGCTCTGCAGGTACAGACGTCGTGCCAATTTTACATTGAGAGCCTGGTGGTTGGGGTGGGGGGTTTGCTGGGTCGATTGCGGTCTAGGTCCACATCGTCATAGCCTTGTGAAAAGGTGTGTCGAAGACTAGCCTAATCTATGAACGATCATGGCCGTCTTAAGAGGTACATCCCTTGGCGTCTTGGCCAGGATCACGGCCTCAACCGGATCTTTGGGTCGGTCCGGTACAATCACCACATATCACTTACGATATATTCTATCGACTATACGTATTTCCCACCAAGCAGTAGTGTTGGTATCAAAATAGCTCTTCGACAGTACTTGCCTCGAACGCAAGGCCAATGCCCCGAGGGCGAGACGGACGTTGACAACCTGACACGAACCTCGTGCCAAGGAAATTGAAGTACGTGCGAAGATCGGGGTGTGACAGTCCTCATGATTCAAGATGATTTACAAGCCAACTCCTCTTCCTGGGCTAGAACATTCAAAATATGATTCTTCATGAGTCAGGTATGGTCAAGACGTAACTATTAACCCGCACATCAAATGCATGGTTCAAGGTTGTGAGCGACGATGTTCAGAAACCTTGCACCACCATGTGGGTTTGACGGAGAAAGAGCAGGGGAGAGCATGGTATGAGAAGTTTATGCTAATACTCAAGCTGGGCGGAATAGATGGCAAAACCTGTGTCATCTAGAGCCGAAACCCCAAAGGTGGAACTTCATAGACGGAACCGTAGGAATGAGAACAGCCCCCGCTCTGGCAAGCTACCATCCACCACAGCACGTACACGGCCTCGATTAGTTTCGTGTTGAATACTTCCGTTCACGGTCGGCGGGGGAACCGGAATTCGCATGTTCCGTCGTTCCAATGGCCGCGATATTGGAGATGGATGGCAGATATCATAAAACGGTTAAAGAGGCACTTTTGGCACGAAAGAGTTGCAGCGTTCTCCGGCATGGATTCATCTTTCATCTCGTTGCATGCTGCTGATCTTCACGGGCTGGTTCAAGAAAATCCTTGGCTTTAGTAAGCAGAAGACTCTTGTCGTACCAGTGTTGATAAAATCCATCCACATAGGCGATCATTTCACCTCTTGGGTCGAGGTAAGTATCGTCAAGGTTCTCTTTGGCAATAGCGAGCCACGAGTGACCCTCATCCGCATGGCCATTTTCAGAGAGCAAGTGCGCCAGCCCTACATATCTCATCGTCATATCTCTCGTATTGTCGGTTGACAAAGCTGCGCTGAGTGCTAGCCATTCGATTCCGATCCAACTCTTGTTCTCTTTCGTTGCCGATTGCGGCTTGACGGCCGGATACCATCCGTCTTTCCTCAAAAAATACATTGCAAGCTCGAAGCAGGATTTGCCGCTGCCCGCCATTGCTGCCTGGGTCGCTAGCGTGACCCATTGTTGAGAATATTTCTGGACCTCGTCTTTTTGACCAAGTATCAACTCGGCAGCTTGCGGGTCGTTCCATTTGGAAACGCCTTCACGAAGAGCCATGTCGAGATCCTCTTGCACGGAATCAGAGATGGGACCATCTCCGAGATGGTAAAGGTAGTGGTCTGCAGCACGAAACAGAACTCGCCAGGGAGGCAGGATACTCTGCAGCAAGGGGGTCATCTTCTCTGTGTGCACACCAGGTTCAACCATGTTGTACAATTCTTTGGCCATAAGATAGTTTTCGCGTGCGACCGCCTTGGTCTGTGACATTTGCACCATGTGCCACAGGTAAACTGTCAATGCGCGATAATCATCAACTTTAGCGAACGCCTTTTCTTTGACGAGTTCAAAGGTAGGTTTGGACAGGGAATCTCTGAAGTGTATTTCCGTCATAGCAGCGTCCATGACCGCCACGGTTTCTCCAGCTTCCAAAGCGGCCTGCAACGAATAGAGTCCCATGAAACCGTATTTCTTCAAGTTCTGCGGATGAACATCGGCTCTGCCGAGGGCATGAAACAACTGGCGCATTACCATGGGATCACGCAGGAGATGAAGTTCAGCGACAGTCAGTGCCTCTTCATAGATTTGACGCCATTCTATTTGGTTATGACTATTAGTAAGTGATATTATTCATGCAGTGGACGGGGTGTTCTTTCATACTTTGGCTCGATAACGCGTTCCTGATCGCTGCGCTAGGGGAGACCTTAGTTTTATAAAGCTCGTCACGATGGCGTCTAAGTGCTTTGACCGGCATCAGAATCGACTGGAATCCCAGGCTTTGTAAAGTCCTTGCGAGCTCGCCCGTTACATAGTAATCCTCGGGCTCTGTGCTTTGAAGCGACTTCATCAGTTGTGACTGTTTTGCAGCGGTTTGATAATTAGAAGGAACAGCTGTTCGTCCCGCTCTGGGGCCGGAGGACCATGATCGGCAGTTCTTGCAGATATATGAAGTTGATGGGCGGGGTGGCTTCGTCAAGATCCGTTGGCATGGCCTGAGATCCATTCTTGGGAAAGACTATTTTCCTCTCTAGGAGGAATCCTCATCCTCCAATATCTGTAGTCTTTGACACGGAATTCGGCTTCAGACGTCCATCATTGGGGGGAGCTGCGAATTTAAAGCCAACATAACGTGTCCACTAATCTCACAACAGAGTGTGGAGCATGGGAGTAGCTCATTGAAAGATGTAGGACATTATGGCTTTTTGCGCCTATGGGTGTTCGATCCATCGTACTTTTGCCAAGAAATCGTGGGCGTGGCAGTGATGTAATAATGCACATTTATTCTTTGAATTCTCCAATTTTACTCCAAAAAAACCGCCCAGACCCTCGAAACTCTGGCCCGCCGGCACAACTTCTCAGGTTTAACATGGGTCGGTAGCTCAGTGGTCAGTTCATGATGCGAGAGACAGTCTGGAAACTATATCTGACATCTCAGAAAGGTAGAGCGAAAGATTGCAGTTCTTCTGATCAACGACAATCTTTAGGTCACGTGTTCGAACCACGTTCGGCCCTGAATGATGCCCATACTTTTTGGCTCTCTGGATATTTCTTTTCCACGCGGGGGTTTTTTTTCCCCTCTCACTTCTGGCTGCTGCATATTGGTGGGCCTCCTAGTACAGAATCCAGAATTGCCATTATCGTAACAAAATTCCACCGTAACCGCACTGTGAAGTTTATACGCTGAGATGATAGCGTTCGACCTAGATTGACCTAACATAGGGCCTCGACGTAGATGCGCTGCACTCCGACGGCAAACACCAAACTACTGTGCAAACACGGCACAACAGCAGGACAACAACACCCACAGTCGACAGCCTCTTCAGACAAGCTTTAAAACATCTTATCCAAGATGCCTGCTCCTGCCGGAACCAAACGTGTCCGTGGCGTCCAAATCTATCGGCCATTCGTCTATGGTACTGAAGCCATTCCTTTCGACCCTGAAAATCGCCCGAAAGATGCCCCGCCAGATCATACACATAAATGGAAAGTCTTCGTCCGGGGAATTAACAATGAGGATATCTCATACTGGCTGAGGAAGGTACAATTCAAGCTCCATGATACATACGCCAACAGTGTGCGAATGATCGAAAGCCCGCCGTTTGAAGTGGAAGAGACGGGCTGGGGTGAATTTGAGATTGCCATCAAGTTCTATTTTGTCCCCGAGAGTACAGAAAAGCCGCAACAAATCTGGCATGGTCTGAAGCTACATCCATATTATGGCGACATTGAACAGCAAAGGAAAGAAAGATCCATGATTTCTAGCGTATGCTACGAGGAAGTTCTGTTCAATGAGCCCGTCGAAGCATTCTATGACATATTAACGGGAGGTGCTCAAGTGGTCAGGTCTAAGGCGGGAAAGGGGGGCAAAGGCATGATTAAAGCCCCCCCAACAGCAGAAATTCCTATGAAGAGTAGTGGAGGCAATAAATTCAGCAGAGAGGAGGAAAGCAAAGAGCTTGATCGCTTGGGGGAAGCTGTGAAGACGGTCCAGAAGCTGATTGCGGAAGAAAAGGCCAAGCTCACCAAGGAAGAGGCAAGATTACAGGAATTGGAGAAAACCGAAGGAAAACCTATCAAAAAGAAATGAAGCTTCCTCTATCCGGCCATTTTCTTTGTGCAGCAGCTGACGGCTACTCTCCGTCTTGCCCCAGGGATATTGAGTGGCGACCAAAATCAACGTCACATTCTGGCCATCGCAGTGATAGAATCTTTGACAAGTTCCAGAACACTCTCTGCTGCGCCCCAACTCAATTCAAACCCTCGGCCACCAGCCCCATACCCGTGGACGATCCTCTGATTGGAACTGATTGACTCAGTCTCAATCCGATATCCGCCCTCTCGCCATGGTCTTCTGCCGACATTATCTTTGATCACCTCAAACTTGTCGACTGAGTCCACAAACTCGGGAAACATTTCAACACACTTTTGGAGCAGCTTCTGCCGTGTCTCCGGCCGGGGTCGAGTCTCCCAATCACCTATCTCCTTCGTCCCCCCGACAATGGTCCCTCCACCTCGTGGGCGTGGAACGAGAAAATTCCAACTTCCATCGCGATTTTGCCGGGTCACCGTTTTGTCGTATTGTTGTTCCACCAGAACCGTCTGACCGCGGATGATCTTCATCTTTACATCTTGATCAAAGTTCCGTCCGGAGCAGTTTACGACTACCGAAGGGCTGGCCAGGCCTCTTTTCCGAGCGAATTCGAATGCGTCCGCCGCAGCTGATAGTCTATGTTGAATGATTTGGCCTCCATTCGAGATGAAGCGGTCGAGAAGCCATCGACAATATATCTCGATATTGACGCAATAGGTCCAATACTCGCAACCCCACTTCACCCCGGGAGGGAGTTCAGATTGGTCAAGGATACGAAATTCATCCCCTGGACCAGCATAGACATCTCCTGTCATGAGTACCAGATTTTCCTCGAGCGGGTTTTCGAGATATTCGACACCCATCATGAGTCCCACACCAGCTTCGGGTGTTTCCTTTGCAAGCTTCGTCATCTTCTCTACCGTCTTGAGCGCCATCTGTCTCTCTTGCTCATACTGTCGCGACGAGCCGGGGATTGGGCGATAGTGTGCGCCGGCCCACCTGGATGCATAGTCTGCAGAAGGTGACGGGCTGGCTGGTGTCTCGGCGGCGATGATGGTGATTGAGGCTTTCGGATAGTGTGATTGCAGAAGTGTTGCGACCGAAAGGCCTGTGGCGCCTGCCCCGATGACGATGAGAGGTTCTGTGGATATAGACATCCTTAAATTGTTGTATCCCTCGGATGAGAATGAGGAGATAGATGGTCTCAATAGTACATCCAAACTGGCCTGACGTCTTGAATATCAGACGGCCGCTCTGACTATTGACTCTTTCAAACGGAATGTCTCACGAAGCCTTTCACAGTGTTTGCATGTCTTAGCTCCTTTTCTTTCGCTTAGTTATGATCATGCAGAAGTCGCCCTTTTCTTATGTTGACATATATCATATCACCGTTCTCTTCCCAGATCAACTCGATCTCTTACGCCCTGCAACATGGACGATGCCGACTACGACGAAAAGAAATACTGAGTTGAAAGGACCTTTTCGCGCCCAAAAAGCTGAAGATATGAAGGAGATCTACAATCAATACAACTTGTAGGTCGCTCGCTCAGGTTTTGGTTTTTGGGGGCGGGGGATGATTGCGTTTGTGGTGTGGTATTCACAACTCCGCTAGGAGAATTTGACTTTTTGGCCGGTTAGTTACCTTCTTCCCACGCATTCATACCTGCAATTCAAGAGGAGTGGTGCGCCTTTTTCGAGATTGAGGACTTCAGATCAGGGGCATTTAAGAAGAGGGATGAGTTTCTGGAGACGAAGATTGTAGAAGTGTGCAGTCACGATGCAAATACGAGAATATCACAACGGTAGAATCCTTCAGCCCAGAAGCCAGAGGTTCAAGGTCATTCCTTCTACCAAGAAAATTGATCTCCCAGTGTTTCTGGGTAAAACACTTCCATGAGGCGCTGCGTGTAGTATTTGGAACTTCCTGTGAAGAACCATGGGATGCCAATAATCCAAAGACAAAGACGAGCATCACACCCCGTTCAGATCGCCGTCCCTCTCTCAAAGCTATCCCTTATGTCAGAGGTATACCGATCGTAAAACCTTGCCAGTTTGAGATTGAATTGCTTATTCTTGTCGTTGATATAAGTGACATCCCCTTCATCTGTGTCTCGTCCTCTCTCACGTCGCTTCTTGAATCTGGCCTCCTCCGCCTTCTTCAAGTCTGCTACCAATCGATCGACATTTTCACGTTTGGGCTTCTGCTCAACGAACCCCGTACTGTCATAGTCTGCGTAGAATCGCCCGTCTTTGTCGATAGCGACAAGTTCGCCATTCTCCATTTCCACGATTTCAAGCCCACCTGTTCGGGTCGCATTTTCTAGCATTTCTGCTTTTTGTTGTTCATACTCTGCTCGAATCCTGTCCCCGTCCTTGAGGGAGCCTTTCTCTAGTTCTCGCATTTGACGATCATAAATTTTGCTTGCTTCGGCGTTGTAGTCCTGAAAAGCATTGTTTTCTCGCGCGGCTTTCTTCCTTTCCATGCGTTCATCCCATCTCTCGCTTTCCTCGATGGTATAGTCCCAAGCACGTTTGCGCTCGAACGCACCTTGGCCTTCTTCCTCTTCGGTATCGGCTTTGAGCAGATTATGAGACGCGATTGCGGATTTTCTGCTCAGGCTTGCAAGAACGCTGGGGTCAATGGCTGCACGATTGGCTTCTGCCTTTGCTTCAGCAAGATTTGACTTTGCAGATGCTATTGCTCGGGATTTAAGCGCTGCGAAACGGGCGAGTCTGCCTGCACTTGTCATTGAGGGAGTTTTGATCGCGGAAGCACCGCTGGACGAGGCCGTCTCTTTCGTTACTAGCTCGGCTGCGGTTTGTTCTGCATCGTTTTCGGCCGCTCTCGCGGCGACCGTCACACTGTCATCCTCCGTGTTTTTTGTGACTTGAGACATATCCTGTGAGTCTGCATGGATAGAGGCTGATTCATCCGGACTCGGGCTGAGTTTGCGCCGCTTTGCAGGAAACATGTCGCATTTGGAGATGAAATCCGGAGAGTTTGAGGCGCAAATGTCCTAATAGGTTGGCCTTTGGCAATGAATAGAAGTAAGAAGTTTGTCCGCGGAAGAAATATACAGGAGGCTGCCTCGGTCGAAAAAGGTCTCGCTTATTCGTACTCGGCGCACCTCCCTCCTTTGGCGGGTGTCAATGGACGACGTCAGAGACTTGGGAAAAGTTCTGGGGATCAGTCCACCGTTCACCACTGAGGCTCGGTTCAGGGATGAAAGGTGTTTTCAAAAAGAGGGAATGGGAAGAAGATCATCTCGAGCAAGTCTATCCAAGTTCCATCAAAATGTCCCAGGCAGCAAAGAAGAAAGTGGTTGTTGCAGGCGGAAATGGATTTCTAGGATCACGCATTTGCAGAGCCGCCGTTGCTAGAGGTTGGGATGTCACCTCCATCAGGTACGGCTTTTTCACATAATTTCCCAGAGCAGTACTAACTCGCTTGGAGCCGCTCTGGTGAGCCTACATGGGCACATGTCTCCTCAGAGGTCACTGCTCCCTCATGGTCAACTTCCGTCACCTGGGCCAAAGGTGACATCTTGAAACCTAACACCTACACTCCTTACCTAAAAGACGCCGATGCAGTCGTACACACAATGGGCATCTTATTGGAGGCGGACTACAAGGGAATCCTTTCGGGCAAGGATAGTATATGGACTGGCTTGTCCCGAGCTTTCAGTTCTACGAAAGCTGGCAGTACCAATAACCCTCGAGACCGGAAACCAGGCGAAGAATTGGGAAAAGGAGAAAAAGAGGGGCAAATCACTTATGAGCTCATGAACAGAGACTCGGCCATCGCTTTGGCACAGGAGGCGGAAAGAGCAGGAGCTAAGACGTTCGTCTACATATCCGCCGCCGCCGGAGCGCCCATGCTGCCCTCCAGATATATCACGACGAAACGCGAAGCCGAGAGTTCAATAGCAAGCTCCATGATCAAACTGAGAAACATTTTCATACGACCAGGCTTCTTATGGGATAGCAGCCGAAAGTTCACTCTTCCCGTCATGGCGTCGGGAATGGTCGGAAGTACAGTGAACGGCTTGGTTGGAGGCAGTTTGAGTGGCATCTTCGGTGCAGCTGTTGAAAAGCCTCTGAAAGCAGATCTGGTCGCAGATGCCGTCGTAGAAGCCATTGCAGACGACTCGGCGAAAGGCGCCGTGGATACCAAGCACATCGAAGCCCTGGCCGCGAAGGCCTGGAGGAAGACAATGCTTTGATGTCGAAGACAAACTCGACTCATATTTTTGTACTATAATGAGAAGAAAGCTTTTATTTTCCGATGGTCTTGGTACAGAGATAGAACCACGGAGGCCCTCCTAATTGTGTTCAAAGAAATTTTCGTTGTGGAACCTGGAGGTTCTTCGTAGGAAATAGGACAATAGATCCAACAACCAGGAATTCGCCCCTGCTCTACAACCGCTCGCCTCTTCAAATCCCGCGGATCCCGCCTCTGTGCATCGAGGTGTCTTAAATTCTATCATACACCGAACCTCCTGAACGCCGTGTACTTTGTTCCCAATCCTGCTATGCTTATCACATCCTAGAGTGAGGATCGTAGAAAAGACATCATTGGTCGAAATTTTGCCCATAATACCCGTCGAGAGGGGCATGTAAAAGATATCGGAGTTTTATGCAACAAGGTGAAATCGCCTGGATGGTGTTTGTTTTCAATGAACATGATCAGAGGTAGTGGAATTAAAGATTAGCTTTTGCGGGCTCTTCATGAGGTTCGAAAAGGACTTTGCGTGTCAACTGCAATGTGAATTAGCCAGGAATCTTTCAATCATTGTACCAGAGATGACCGACCGCCCATGCTCCTGCCATAGAGGCAACAATACTACCCGAGATCAACATTGGCTTGAGCCCTCGTGTGCTTTTGAAGATCATGCCGCTCATAGCGCCCGCCACGATGCTGTTTGCGGCATCATGCTTTCCTCGGTAGTATCCAATAGTTGAATTAATTCCGTTGTACACCATAGCGATGACACCGGCCGAGTTTCCGAGGAAAGGCCCTCGTCTGGTAATGCTGTTCAAAACGCTGTTCAACCGTAACTTGGGAGGTGCGGACGCAGGGGTTCGATTCAATCCTTCTATCAAGCCCCATATGCCACCAGTTGTCAGAGCCGTGAGATATACCACTCCTGTTCCATAACATAAATCATCCGACCACCCGCGCGAGGGTAATATTGATCGGGATCCGGGAAGATCTGATAATTGTGACTCGTCGAGCGAAAGATATTCTAGCGTCTGTTGATTCAAGCCGGCAAGGGGATGGAGTTTCGATGCGTCGGGGAGAGAAGCGGTTCCGAGAAATGATGATACATCGGTTGCGCTGGTAGGATTGAAAGGTGCTGGCGCAAAACCTCCTGCTGAAGGTGCGGGCTCTGCATGATGGGGTTCAGAGGTCTGCTTCCTCTTGCCCGTGAAGGCGTCCCAGACTGACATGATGAGGTGCGACTAGCGAATTCAATACATTAAAGGAGAAAAGGAAATCGATCCAGGCTAATCGTGGATGTGGCGGTTGGGATCGCAATTGAATCAAAAGTCGACAAAATCTCCCCGAAGAAAATGTTCAAAGAGGCCGCAATGGACGCCATACCCAATTTGGAATCTTTTCCCGATTCTCCCTTAATGCATGACCTTGGCTTTTTTGTTGCGCACTTTCAGACACACAATGGAGAGCGAGAGACATCGACTGTGTTTCTCAACGATAGGGATGGCCGCAATCTTCCAAGTACGGACTTGTCAGTTGCACTGCCGCTCCCCAGCGGGCTTTTGACGAAGCCTACGTCGACAAAATGGATGTCATATCTCAGGCTCTGGGGACAGATGTCCCGCTTTCAATTTCTGTTCTCTCGGATTTGGGCAAAGGCACTTTAAGAAAAGCCTTCTGCAATACTTCCGGAGCCCTGGATGCCTCTCAAGTCCTGGCTCTCTGGGAGAAGCTCATTTCTACCGTGCAAAGCCCTCAGGTGACGTACAAGCACATCACATCTGCGTCTAATGCGCTATGTGTGTTTCTGAATGGCGGAGCCGAAAGCTCCAATCCCCAGATCCGGACTTTCATCTTCTCTGACCAGACATGGTTTGAGGCTTTTCAATGTGCCCATAGAACCTTCAACGACGGAAAGACAAAGCCTGCGTTTCAAATCATGGAGACCCTCTGTGACATGATTCAGAGAATGCCCCATGGAGAGACTGCCACTGATATTCTTACAAAGGCCGTTCATCCTTTAATTAGAATTGTCCTCCTATCATCTCCTCGATCAGAGCTAAAAAAGGCTTGCCTCATGCTAACGTATCTTCTGCGGAGAACGCCAATCCTCGACCATATTGCCTCACTCGCCGGAAGATGCACGGAAGAGTACCATTCAGCTTGGATGCAACGTTTGTCAGAACACAATCTTTCACTCAGCGATGTTTCCAACGTCGGCAATGACAGTATTACGGCTCTCCTTCTTGCATTGATCTTGGCAATGATTGATCTGGACACAAGAACCTCGGCTCTGAAATTGTATTCAGCGCTACGCAGCACCTTTGAGACAGCTCAAAATCCGAGTCTGCAAAATTTGGCAGAGATATCCGTAAAAGTATTCTTAGAGAGAAATCATGCAACATTAGGTGATTTTGCGGAGAACGTCCTCCCCATCATAATCGGCAATAAAGAACGCTTTTTGAACTTCATCAAACCATATGCGTTCTCATGCTACGAGGGCGAGTCGAAAATGGTTTTGTTTCTGTCTCTTCTGAAGGTTGGACGATTGAAAAATATGCTGGCAGGAACTGGTACGTACATCGTCTTCATTCCTCAACTTGAGGATGAATGCATGCTGACATTGATCCAATGCATAGACGTCCTCGAGATTTTCAACTCAGCATTGTCAACGACGAGTTCTGATACCTACTGTGAGAGAGATGAATACTATTGGTTCAAGGGTACTCTGGCTGTAGCAAGCTCGGAAGTACGAATTCTCGCTTATGGACTGCTGACTTCATCCCCTGCCGCAAATGGGATTTTTCCTGCAGGGGCTCTAAAATGCATCTATTCAGGTTTGAAATATCTCCACGACGACGCTGATGCACACGAACGGAGTGAAATTCTGAGTATCACAAGGAGGTTGCTGAAAACACTGCAAACCAGTTCTTCAAGTCTTCGTAAAACGATGATTTCACCAGCCAGGAGCGAGGAAACTGTCAATATCCCGGCTCAGTACAGGTCATTTTCGACCCGGTTCTACAACTTCTTAAAGCACGAGCTGCGCAGTGGTATCTCCTATCAACGCCACATTCTGAGTTTGCAGTCGCTTCGGTACTTCATTGATCTCACGGTGGAGCCTGACATCTTTGAAGAGGATGCTGAACTCGTCACGTCTTTGGGCTGCTTGGTTCTTGACCCATTTGACGATGTTCGAAGTACTGCAGCCTCTCTCCTTCAGTATCTCGCCGTCAAGAGGCCCTCTTTGGTGGCTAGGACCATCAATCATCGATTTGTATATGATGCCGAGCTTTTGGCCATCAGGACTGTCAGAGCTGATCATGCAGATGGCATGGGAAGGCTTTGGGCTTTATGGGATCTCTCGTGCAATGAAAAATCTGCTTGTATTCAAGACAGGCACAACACTGCTGATGGCACAGAGTTGTCTCGACTGATATCCCAATTGGAGCAGCTGACTTCAGACAGCAAAAACGTGAGACCTGGATCTGAAGTTGCTATACATGGTTCTTTGCTGGCAATAAACTATCGACTCCGAGATCTTAAATCCCAAGGTCGCCATCATCCGATGTTCGACGCAAGAAGTATTCTCAACCTCTGCCTTCAAGTCTGGAATCAAGTGAGAGCCTATCTTTGTGTTGACTCGCCAGAAATGGAATTGGAGGATGAGGACGGTAAAGGGGGTCCCAAAGATATTCTTGCATATTCTTGGAGGGCACTTCGCGATTCGAGGTAACCCATCGCTCTTCTAGGTGGCACTAGTCACTAACACTGGTTAGTCTTGTCCTTCAATCTTTAATCCTCGCTGCTCAGCCTAACCTGGCGCTCTATTCTTCCCTAGGTGACATTTGTATGGATCAATTAACATCACTGAGGCATCGAGGAGCCTTCTCCACGGTGGCCCAAACCTTCAACCTATGTTGTGAGAAGGTTCACGCTGCCCCTGAAGTCGCTATGCGTGGCCTCGGCCAGAGATGGTTCGCAGTGAGTACTAACTTATTTCAATGCAATGTGCAAAGCAGCTTACATGGACAGATTGCTTTGAACGAAATAGACCAACAATCGAATCGTCTCACGCGTCGATCTGCTGGTCTTCCTGCAATGATAACAGGCCTTCTCAGCCCTATTGATCATAGCTTTTTCTCCTCAGCAATTTCTGATCTTGTGGATATTGCTCAAAGGCCATGTGCCGCCAGTCTCGATGCACTGGGAGAAGCCAGACTCCCACAGGTCCATGCGCTCAATTGTTTGAAAGAAATCATGACCAATTCCAGATTTTCAGCCGTTGTCATTCAGTTTCTTGCCAGAATACTTGAACTAGCGGCAACATGTCTCTCTTCCAAGGTCTGGGCCATACGCAACTGTGGATTGATGCTCTTGAGAGCCTGCATAAACCGCCTTGATTTAACACCTACGAGCGAGGCAATTCCCTCGAGTGCTCAGCGCCTTGACAAGGACAGCCACGAGACTCCTTTAACTATAGCTTTGCGTCTGCTCCAATCAGCAGAGCATTTTGGTGACATTTCCACCCGTCCAGACACTGCGACGGAACGTGTCTTTGCTGCGCTGGACCTGCTTGGGCATACACATCCGGGAGCCGCCAATGAGGAAGAGGTAGCGAAAGCAATCACAAGAGAGTTGTCTCATTCGAATTGGGCAGTTAGGGACCATGCAGCCTTTCTGCTCGCCACTCGCCTATCGTCTACAGACCCGCTCTCTGCAATAACGAAACTTACCGAAGAAGTTGAAACATCAGGATGGAAAAGTCAAAATCAAGCTCACGGCGCTCTATTGTGCTGTAGATACATAATGACTGCGGCAAAGGGACCGACGTCTGAGTCTGAACTATCATCCATTGTGGAGGTGCTCATTGACTCGTTCGCAAAATGGCCTGCCACTTGGAACCCAGACTCGCTCTATGTTGGGGCAGCTTTGCTGGACCTATTGAACGATGCAGCGGCGTCAGTCTTTGTCAATGGATGGGACTGTCGAATCGTTGTTGATCGCTCTCTTCTCCAGCCGGCTTTGCCCACCCAGAGATCCAACTCGAGACATGGCGCCTACTTTGTACAGAGAGCCCTTGTCCACAAAACATATTGTCATCTGTCTCGAACGATTTCTTCAACAACTCAAGCTCGAGAAGAGAGCTCTTTAATTTCCGAACTCGTGGTTCAGTCCGACGCCTTGAGCTTCTTGCTGGAAACCCTCAGGGAGAAACATTGCCACAGACCTCGACCTTCTCTAGTTGTGTTTCTCATTCGTCTAATTCATGATAGCTGTGATGATCTTCTTCCTCAACCAGATGTTCTTGTGCAGGCATTTATATGTTTGACCGAATGCCTAAAACATGTCGAAGATGTTCCCACTGAAATGTTACGAACGCTCAGCGGGAAGATCGAACTCAGCCAGTTGCTCTCTTCGCGGGAATTGAGAAACGCCACCTTGAAGTTGGAAGCTCATGTCCTGGGCGTTGACCTTTCTGTGCATGAACTCGACATTCGGACGGAACAACGAACCATACGGTGGCTCCGTGCTTTGGAGTATGCGTCTATGGACTCCATGGACTTCCCTACAAGGCTGAGTGCGGCAACGGCGCTTTCAACATTTAGCGAGTATTTGAAGGTGTCTGAAGCTTCTGGGAAAATGTACAAGATCAGACTCCGACTCCTGCTAATTCTGTATGATCTGCTAAACGATGATGATGATGATGTCCGATTCGAGGCGGTCCAAGCTGCACGTAAGCTGGGACTGCACGAGGCTCAGAGATGGGGTAATTTAGGACTCTGCGCGCTTGCTGCGAGACAAATCCTCTTAGAGACGTTATGTCAGCAATATGGAAAGACAAGAGATTTGGTGGAATCCGCCATAATAAGACTTCTACAAATCGGGCTCAATGAGAACGACGCATTCTATCATCGAGTTCTGACCATCCTCTCGGAGCGCTCCGTGGCATCCCAATTACAGCTCATTTGCAGAGGAAAGAATGATTTATTTGCGGAGGAAAGACAAAATTTGTATATCGACGATATCTGCGAGATCAAATCTTGGACCGATATACTCCATCGAACGAGTCTCCATCTTCTCACTTCGGAACAATCTAGAGCTGCTGTCGAGTGGACGTTGGCAGGGCTAGACCAAGTCTTGCACGTACTTCAGGTCGACTGGGAGGTGAAATCTTCCCTTCAGTCTGTTGATGAAGGGAGGGAGGAGGACCATCACATCCTATGCCGCGGTTCAGGTTCGAATTTAGCAATCATACATCCGCTCGGGCCTTCCTACGATCACGAAATTCTAGTGGTGCTCCTTCCAGTCGTCAGCCTTGCAGGTGTCCTCCTTCGAAATGGCCATACGATCGTGTGCGAGAAGTTACAGCAGATCAAGTCCCTGTGCTTGGGTTCACAGGCCAACGAGATTCTAGCGTGCGCGGTGAATCATGCATTGGCTGAAAAAATGAACGAGAACTCTGAATCAGGAACTTGAAGTCGACAAATATGTCATGACATGACCTTGCAATACCCTCTACTACACGACTATTTCGACCCTTCCGCGCTGCTATGTCAAATATTTATTGAACCGGAAGTGAACCTTGAGAACCCAACCCTCCTCGTGTTCATCTCTGCTCGCAAACGTGTTAGTCAATCATCCCGGAAAGCGAAGCGCTTTTGCTCACCAATATGTCAGGATAATTGTTCAGCGACGATCCGCCAATCCAATCATAAGATCCTTCGCCATGAATCCTGGACTAGCTGTCTTTCTCATCTTCATGATCGTTACACCACTCTGTGCCTGGTGGGCTTGGAGATTCTTCACGCCAATGATACAGGAGCAGCTGGAGATGATGGAAGAGGGTGAACAACGGGCTGCAGCTGGTCATCCACCAGCGGTCAATGGGAGTTAAAGGACACGAGCAGCTCTGCCACGTGTGGCACTTTTGGTTGGCTGACTTGATGTTGGATGTGTGAAACGGAAAAGCAGAGTCGGGTGATGGAAACTGAGCATTTGTACAGGTTCAGAATATTGAAATGAAAAGAAGACGGCCTTGGATACCATGCGAGACCTTTGGGAGTCTACTCATGCGAAGCTTAGCTGGCTTTGACTTGTCAAGCATTCACCAGACGAACCAGTGTAGAAATTTCGGATGCTCCCAATTCATTAGCCATTTCTATAACTCCTCTTCCTTCTATCTTATCGTATCCAAGTTTTTTGAATTTACAGGGACCTGAACAATTCATCTTGTCGCTTGTCGGCCTGACAATCACAGAGACAACCACTGTGGTAGTTCCAACCGACCATCTTTGGCGATGTGACTACCACTACCACTTCACACTTGTCTACAACTTTACGTGTTCAGACTGGGGGAGACAGCTACTATCCACTCTATCCACTACAAAGTACAGCATGGCCATCTGAGAGTGTAAGTCTTCTGGTCTGTGTCGTTAAACCTAATGATGGCGGCTGGGACAGTTGGTCGAGGAGCGAAAAGGCGGGCTTGATAATGGGTGTGGTTCTAGCTGCCTTGCTCCCTCCCCACTATCAGTATCTGCTGTCGAAAGAAATGGGACGTGTGGTTGAAGCTGCGCCCCCACCCACTACTGGCCCTCGGTTCGTGCAGCCGGCAAGAGTCAACGGTCCTCCTCGTGCCATACACCTATGGTCATCGGACTAATATCTACGAGCATTGGGCCAGGTCACGAGGCCTGACGAGAACCTAATCAGTTCTGAGAAAAAGTGCTTCAAGAGGAATAGAAGGTGCAAAGGAAGAGAAGGACGGTTAATGATTGGGGGTGACACAAATGCGTGGACCGGGGAATATCATGGGCGAGAGTGACTCGACAAAAGTTGAAGCGGGCAGCAACTCTGTGATGAACTCTGAGGTTGTCCCACGCGATCGCCGGGCATCGTTCTACCAGCCTCCACAGCATTGGAAGGGTAAAGACTCTCAATCATTTCTTCAAGACACAAAACGGGGGCTCAGATAGGATTATTAAGAAGTTATGAGATATTTCGTGCATGCACCAAAAGGGGCTGGAATATTTGGGGTGTGGTTGCTAAACGCACATCCGAGACACAGCTGGTTCACCCTCACTGATTCACGGCTCTCCATCGAAATTCAACGCCATTTCTAAGATTCCATGAAGAAATGTCACGCCATGTCCAGTCCCCAGCCCAAATCGATGACATTCGAGACCTGTGTAGGTTGACAGCAGTATGTAGCTGAAAGGGAGATCCCAAGGTGATATACAGGAAACCGAACGAAGACCTGCTATGGTCTTATCGTGGCTAGTATATTTCCCAATGAGGATACCTACTCTGGCCACTTTGTAGGGACTGCACCCTATAAATGTGAGAGCTATCATCTTCCCACAGACCCAAAGCATAGCAATATCAGGGATTGTAGTCAGATCTCGTTGAATTCAGGCTCAATCTGCTTGAGTCGCAATGCCGATCCTCTGGGTCTGCGGATGTGATCGGCCGCAAAATGAGGGGGAATTGGGCGTTAAAGCGGCGACTTCCCACGTGAGGTTGTAGTTGGAAGTTTAGTGCTGGGGCAGTCATCAGTGGCGTCTTCGCAACTTGGATCTCCAGCCTACCGCCGCATTGATAGTGATGCCTTCAGTTCTACCAACGACACGCCAAACTCTTTCTATTCAACTGTGTACACGTTCTTCCAGTTCATAGCTGTGTTGTGCATTCTCGGAATAGCTGTTGTCTCAAGACGTCACGCACTCACATGTCGATATGTGGCAAGACGACGAGGACAACAACCCATATGGGTCCTTCAACAACCAGGACTCTTCCATCGACCACGCCAACCCAGCTCTAACCATCTCTTGTATGTGCCAGTACCGGCCAGCCTCACCGAATTGCTAACGTCGGCCTTCAGATTCAAATCAAATCTCCACTCCCCCGTCTTCACAGTCCTCTCCAAACCAGCCGCCTCAACTCCGATCCGGACCAAATACCGTAAGCGATGACGATGACGAATATAATACAAATCCCGAGTCAGCGCATACCCCACCGAAGGGTGGCTACGATAGCAGAGTGCAACAGATCCTCTACGAAACTCCCGATTTGGAGATCGTTATAACTGATGCTGGCAAGAGTTCAGATGGAGGCTATATTGTATACAAGATTCGGACCGGAGTAGGCGACCATAGCAACCAGATTTGAGCCTTACTGATCACATGGCCTAGGATATCGAGGCCGCGAGAAGATATTCAGAATTTAGCTCCCTCCGTGCTGCTCTTGTCAACCTTCATCCCACGTTGGTCATTCCTCCCATACCTGAAAAGCATACCATGGCGGACTATGCAGCAAAGCCTACCAAAGCCAAGGAAGATGTCGGCATCATTGATCTACGGAAGCGCATGCTAGGGGTATTCTTGAATCGCTGCCGGAGGATGAAAGAGGTGGTTGAGGATGGTGTATGGTGGAGGTTTCTGGATCCCAATTCCAGCTGGGTACGGTATTCTTGCCTGGTTTCCTTACTCACTCTGACCATCTGCAGAACGAAGTCTTACATGCTCATCCGATTTCTTCAATACCCAAAAATAACTTAAAAGCCCCGCCTCTGGATCCTGCGAACCCGACGCCTGCTCACAGCTGGTTACCTATACCTTCGTCCTCTGCTAAAATCAAACCGGCTGGCCCAACGTCAGGCAGTGGAATACCAGTTGCTCCTCCAGATCAAACGTTTCCCTCTGCTGCAGCCCACACAACACCCGGTCCGCAGATCTACGGACGTTTCCCCATTCATTCTGAAAAACTGAGCGAAACGGACCTTGATCCTTACTTCGTCAACTTCGAATCCTCCACCCGTGAGCTTGAGTTGCTGCTGCAAGGCAGCATCGAAAAGGTAAATCGTCGCACTCTAGAGCATCTCACCAAGCTTTCCGCGGATCTTGCAGAGTTGGGAGCTCGGTACAATGGCTTTTCGCTCTCCGAGCAATCACCCACTGTAGCAGCAGCAATTGAGAGAATAGGGCAGGCTGTCGACAGTACGTATATATCAACCGAGGAGCTTTCCCTGAGTTTGGGCGCCACATTTGCGGAGCCTATGCGGGAGAGTGCACAGTTTGCTGGTGTCGTTCGCAACGTGCTGAGATACCGAGTGCTCAAACGAGTTCAACAGGACATGACACGCGATGACCTAGAAAAGAAGCGGAACCTTCTGGATTCCTTGGAGCGCAGTGAATTAGAAGCAAAAAGAATCGATGCCTATTTGGCCAGTAGCACGACATTCTCAAGTCCACCGCGCAGGTCCATGTCCAACTCTTCGGCACAAAGTCCTCCTGAGCGGCAAAGAAGAGATGGTCATGAAGAGACCGAGTCTGTCGACTCCGATTTCCCACCCACACATGGCGAATCCCCCCAGTCGCCTCCTTCGGCGGCACAAGGCCAGCCGAACCCACAAACCGGCCCAGCTTCTCCCACTTCTCACAAGAAATCTCCAAGCGGCAATTTTGTGACGAGCCGGATATTTGGCAGTTTCAGACATGCCGTCAATGGCTTCGTTGACGTGGACCCGGAAAGAACAAGACGGGATCAAATTGGAAAAACAAGAGAGAGTTTGACACAACTTGAGCAAGCCCTTGAGGTGTCCGAGAAAGATGTCAAGGCCGCCACCCAAGGCGTCATGCGAGACTTGAAGAGATTTCAGAAGGAAAAGGAAGATGATCTTCAACGATACATGGTAAGTCATCTATCGAATTAACGAACAACTGCTGAACTAACACGTCTGGTAGGTCGCTTACGCCAGATGCCATATCGAATGGGCGAGGAAAAATTTGGAAACTTGGTCAGAGGCGAGGGATGAGGTTGACAAGATCGTTGCGAGATAATCCGCAAAAGTTCTTGCTTATATATTTCAATCAGGAGGGGAAACTGGCCCTTTGGCTTTTGGGTATAGGAATTCGAGATTCTTTGTCGTGTCAGCCTTGTTTGTGCACTGGTCGTCCATAGAACCAAGGCAATCCTCGGCTCGCGCAGTTTGCTGTCAGGCTTGACTCACGCACCCGAGAGCCTATCCCAGAGATCTGGAAGCTATGCAGGCTACATTGCAAGTAGACTAATAATGAATTGAACCAAAAGTTTATTCATCGATATGATGAGCCTCTGTGTCGTCCTGCTTCGACCCAAACTCAAACAGTGACGCGGGCTGGCAACGGCTAGGCTGACGAGACTTTCCCAAAAAGCCGCTGGGCGGAAAGGAAAAGTGCTGTGAAAAGCGAACTTTCAACCCACCCATGTATGAGGGCGTTGGACTCTGCCTTGTCTTTTGCCCACAACCTTCGTAGTTGTTATTCTTGCAGACCACAAACCTGCGGTCGGTCAACTGTGTGGTGGACGCTGCACGCCTGGAACGCACTCGCCCACAGAAGAGCAGACCCACGGCCCACATCGCATTCCGCAAATTCAGACCCTCATCTTCTGAACATTTCGTTTCCAAGGTCTCGTCATCTTCGCTATCCATGGTCCTGGCATAGTTTCCGGACCTCATCCTTACCTTGTCCTTCGAGCAATCCCGTCCGGGACATGCCCGCATCCCAAAAGCAACAACACTCACAACCGAAGGATGATTTAGGCAGGCATCTGCGATCTGCATCCCCAGCTGTAAAGAGGCCGGCGTCTGATATGGGGGCCCAGGACCGAGAAGTATACGCAAGCGATGTTGAGATGGGTGAAGGGCAAGCTTCTGGGTTCACGTCCGTCAATTCGGACACGGCTCCAAACACAGACACCAAAGCGAAGCAACAGGACACCGGACTGAGACATCGCGACAAGTCAGCCTCAAGTAGCCTTACGCAAGCCAGTGATCCCCGTGCTGTTCAGCAACAATCTGCATCCGACAACAGCGGTAGTTCGACCTCGGATTCCCTCATCCCAAGCCCTTCAAACCAGTCGACAGCCGCCACATCCTTGAATGCCGATGTTCCCCCAACAGCAACCTCAATCCCGTCTATTGACGAACAAATTGTCAAGATCACGCAACTTGCGCAGAGGGAGCTTCAAGATGGCCAGAAGGGATATTTGATATCAACCAAATGGCTTCAACGAGTTCAGGCACGTGGCTCGCACTCGGGCGAGACGGGAAAGATAGACAAGTCAGCCACAGAAGGTGAAATTGGACCGGTAGACAACTCAGACCTCGCCATGGTCACCGATGAGTCGAGCAGACTTATGGACGAAGCTGGCGAGCCATATGTACCGCTTCGGCCCGGTCTTAACATGGGTGAAGACTACGAAATTCTCCCGCAAGACGCCTGGGATTTGGTTATTTCTTGGTATGGCATTTCTACAGACTCACCAATTCTTACTAGATATGCCCATAATTCGAGTGCACCAGACGCTCTCCCCAATGTGGTTTACGAGCTACAGCCGCCAGTCTTCTCCTTCCTTAAAATTCCCGGCGAGCATACGACTCAAACCCAACGGGAAAAGGATCTCCCACCTCCGCGCATGCTCTCGACCAGAACAAAACTGTTTAACGATTGGCTGAAGGAAGGAAAAGCGCTGGTCAACATTGACATCAACACCAAAGTCAGGATATGGAGAATACTTGGCGGGCTGAAGAGCTCCACTGCTTCGGGAATACTCACCCCAGCCGCCTCGCGAAGTGTTTCCCCGGCCCCTGGTGCGGAAATAGTCGCAAGTGCGGGCGACCGAATGCTCCTGGATGTGAACACATTTATTCATCTTCAAATGGGCGAGCATCGAGAACTTCTTCCACAGACAGATCAAACAGCGAATCCCAAATACAACGGGAGATCGATGAATCTTGGTCTCGTTGGCCTCGGAAGGGATGATGTGATCGCTTTAGAAGAACAAAAGCCAGGAAAAGACGAATGGCCTAGTGAGAGTCCAAAATTGAGTTTGAGTAAAGGGATCAAGAACGCCACGAAAAATCTCACTCCTAGTGGCAGATCTAGCCCTGGCCCTGGGGTGATGACTCGAGGACGGCAAAAGAGGGACCTCCGGCCACGGGGCATCACCGGCCTAAGCAACCTTGGGAATACTTGTTACATGAATTCGGCGTTACAATGCATCCGCAGTGTCGAAGAACTGACACAATACTTCCTGCACGACCAGTGGAAGAAAGACCTTAACGTGGGAAACCCTCTGGGACATCATGGCGAGGTTGCCAAGGCATATGCCAGTTTGTTGAGCCAGATTTACGAGGAAAATGCCACCTCAACAAACCCCGGAAGATTCAAAGCTACTATTGGAAGATATGGATCGAGCTTCTCCGGTTATCAGCAACAGGATTCGCAGGAATTTTTGCTTTTCCTGCTTGATGGCTTACAAGAAGACCTGAACCGCATCCATGACAAACCCTACATTGAAAAGCCAGATTCAACAGATGAGATGGTCCACAATACGGCCGCTCTCAAGGCATTCGCGGACAAGAACTGGGAAATTTACAAAGCAAGAAATGACTCTGTCATCACTGATCTGTTTGCGGGGATGTACAAGTCTACCTTGACCTGTCCAGTGTGCAAGAAAGTTAGCATTATCTTCGACCCGTTTAACAATCTCACGTTGCAGCTGCCAATTGAGAACAACTGGCAAAAAGAAGTCCTGTATTTTCCGCTTCACGGATGTCCGTTTAGGGTCGACATCGACATCGACAAACACTCTAGCGTCAAAGCTTTGAAGGAGTTTGTGGCTTCAAGAACACATGCTGATGTGGATCGTTTGCTGGTCGCAGAATCTTATAAGAATAAGATCTACAAGATCTTCGACAACAACACAATCATCTCGGAAGCCAACATTCAAGCCAACGATATCATCTGCGTGTACGAACTGGATTCCATTCCAACCAACTACAATCCGAACAAGGCCAAGAAGTTTTCGCTTTACACTATTCGTGATGGCGAAGACGACTTGGTGGATACAGATAGCCCTGAAGCAGACCGATTACTTGTTCCAATGTACAACAGATTGGTCAAAAACCCGGGGCAACGGGTGGCGTCCAAACCATTCTTTGGCCAACCAACATATCTCGTTCTCGGCCGTGAGGATAGAGCAACGTATGACGGTATCTTGAAGAAAGTTCTCGGAAACGTTATTGGAATGACGACCAGGAAAATACTTGAAGATGATAACACTGCTTCAGATGACAGCGTGGGCACACCTGAGGGGTCCGACACCATGGTGATGACAGATGACATGTCGAGTTCCGGTTCGAACCAACCTACAGCTGCATCCATCCAAGGTGAAGACGGCATTGTTGACGTTTCGATGCGCGACGCCAGCCAAGCCCCAGAGACGACCTCCCAGTCAGCGGAGACGTCCATCAATGCTCTCCTTCGGCCCAATTCTTCCATTCCTCGCCCACTCCGGGGCCTTTTCAGCATACGTGTCGCATCCACCGGCGAAGGTATTCCCACCGGCTGGAATCAGATTTCTGAGAGCGGGGAATACATCTTGGTTTCCAGCCGGATTCCGAAATCCGTGTCCCATCGGCCGGTCAAGTTTAGTGGCTCCATGAGACTGAGTAACGACGATAGTGACTCCGGAACTAGTGAGGGTGAGCTTCAAGACCTCGAACAGGATGACACTACCGTTGGCAGCAATGATTCCGGCTCCGAGTCAAATGCCAGCCCCGCGCTACCTTCTGGTCCCGACTCTGACCCCGAGTTGTCAGAAGCACGAGAAATCCTGGAAGTCCGAAGCTCCAAGAAAGCTCAGAGACACAGAAATAAGGGCAAGAACTTGGGCAAGCGGAATCAACACCGATCGCCTCCGCCGCCTCCACAGCCGCTTCCCAAAGGTGAGAGTGGAGAGTTGATTCGACCTGGTGAAGCTATCGTCCTGGACTGGAAACCAGAAGCATTTGATGCCTTGTTTGGAGGTTCAGTTGATGACCAAAATGACCTGCGTGGGAGCCCTACCTGGAAGGGTGTGGAATTGCTTCACGATGAAGAAGTCCTGGCCAAACGGGCACAACGAACCAATCGTAAGAAGAACGGTATCACGTTGGAAGACTGCTTGAACGAATTTGGCAAATCGGAAACATTGTCCGAGCAAAACGCGTGGTACTGCCCTCGATGCAAAGAGCACCGACGAGCTGATAAGATGTTTGAGTTGTGGAAAGCACCGGACATTCTTGTCATGCATCTCAAGCGCTTCAGCTCTAACAGAAACTTCAGAGACAAGCTTGAGGTGAAAGTTGAGTATCCCACAGAAGGACTTGATCTCTCGGCGATGGTGCGGGATCAACAAGACGGCAGGAGCTTGATATATGATCTAATTGCGGTTGACAACCACTATGGCGGCCTGGGAGGTGGTCATTATACCGCTTATGCAAAGAACTTCTTCAACAACAGCTGGTATGAATATAATGGTAAGCGGGAATGCTCTCACGGATGAACCTCAGCTAATTTCATTTTTTTTTTTTTTTTTCTCTTTTTCAGACTCCCACGTTTCAGCCAGATCAGATCCGCGAACATTGGTGACCAGTGCGGCATACCTCTTATTCTATCGCAGACGATCAGATCACCCTTTAGGCGGGCCAAGATTGCAAGAAATCCTGAGCACGACCAATCATGCCGAAGCCGACTCTGAATTACTACAAGAATCTCGCGACTCTTCACCCGTGACGGGGGAAGGTCAGCGTCTCGGCGACTCCTCCCACAATGGGTTGTCGAGCGCTTTCACAGTCGGTCAAGGTCACCGCGTGGGAGCGGGTGGCTCGGCAATGGAAGAAGAAAGTCAGAGTCGAGGTCTACTAGCCGGAACCGAAAGTCCACCGAGATTGATGGAGCACGGAGCCAATGATGAATTGCCCGAGTATGATGCTACTCTAGCCGAGGACGAGGGCATCGAGATGAACTACAGCCTTCCCGCCCAACCATGGAGACAATCTTGGAAATTTGGAACCGTGGGGATGAACCAACGCGTACCAGCGCCTTCGGAGGAAGACGGCATGTTTGGTGACCGCGGCAGTTCTAACTCAAGCACGAGGGTAGAGGGCAATACAGGAAGCCCCGCGCAGAGTTTACTGATGGATGACAATGATGGATTGAATGATCCAATCTACAGTGAACCGGCTATGAACGAGGAATACGGTAGCCGAAGCATGAGGGAGAGCGCGCCTCCTCCCGAAGTACCTGGCATGGTAAATGACGATGAGAATGACCTACCAGTGATGGAGCTTCAGGCTGACCCGGCGAATAATAACGAGCTCACATTTAACCAGGCGGCCAAATAAAATGATGGGATTCAAAAGGACAGAGAGGGCCGGGCTTTGGGGAGCCAGCGCGTGCTTTTTACCGGGCGTTTGCATTGGAGGGACTTGAAAGGTATTATTGCTGATGGTCTGAGGCGATCAGTCCTGGAGGCGAGAGAGTATTGGGGACTCTAAAATGTCACCGATGGAACACGAGTAGAGCCTAGATCATTATTACTCAGGCAAATGTCCTTAGGTGTATGGATCCAGATATGGCATCGGCAGCCTTGTACACGCTCTGTGGTGTGTGTACACAAAATAGAACCCATAAAGAACTACCGGGATGTGTTGAGACGAGTTTCTCAGCATCTAGTGTAGCGAGCATCAAATCATTGCCCTTTGTACTTTGAGGATCGTCGTCGAGACGAAGGGGCTTGGATAGAGATCAAGGTGAAGGAGTGAGTACAAGGCCATACTTTCATTGTACGCGAATTCCACCCCCCCGGGGGGGCTCTTTCTTTGAAAATCGCAGGGGAGCTTGGCGCTCTTTCCTGTCGCGTCTCCCGCCCGACAAGGCTTTTTCAAATTGACCTACCCGCCATTTGGCAACACAAGGTGCCGCAGACTCGCTCATGCATACGGATACCGAGATGAGATTCGCGATCTACTAACTCTCCAACTTGACTTTGTTTCTTGGAGACACCATGACGACCGCGTTAACGTCGCGAGACGAGCCCAAGGCGGCCGAATATGCTGGAGGTAATGAACCATCTCAAATTACCCCTCCTCCATTCCCGCCTTACCACGGTCTCCGGCGCATAGTCATTGAGGAAACCACTGCTAACAACAGTTTCCTATTTTCCTACAGACGAGGTTTCTGCCTTGGTCCTCGATCCAGGCTTTTCCAGCACGCGGGCCGGGTTCGCAGGAGAAGACACCCCCAAATCAATTGTTCCTTCGTTCTACGCTTCGACCGAGTCCGGGCGACTGTTTGGCGACCACGTTATTGACGTTCCGCGAGAAAATGTCGAGATCAAGAATCCCATTAACAAAGATGGTCTCGTGGAGGATTGGGATGCGGCTGAAGCGTTGTGGAAACACTCTTTTGCGCACAAACTTACGGGAGTTCGACCGAACCGGGCTCTACAAGAGTGGTTGAACGACCCCAAGGCGGTCCCCGACTTACACAAGGCCATGACAGAGGCGGTGGACACAGAGCGGTGTCTGGAAGATCATCCTCTCTTCATGACGGAGCCATCGTGGAACCCGACCAAGTCGAGGGAAAAGTGCGCCGAGATTGCATTGGAGTCATGGGCAGCCCCGGCATTCTATCTCGGACGTGCAGGTGTGATGGGCGCCTTTGCCGCAGGCAGGCCAACTGCCTTGGTCATGGACTTTGGGGCGTCGCAAGTGTCGGTGACTCCGGTGCACGACGGGATGATCCTGAAGAAGGGAGTGGTCAGGTCCAACATCGGAGGCAATTACCTCTCCTCACAAGTGCGCAGTATGCTTGCAGCAAACGAGCCAGAACCGATCAGAATCACGCCACATTACTTGGTTCAATCGAAACAACCAGTGGATGCTGGACAGGCGGCAAATGCAGTGTTGAAGCAGATGCCGGAAGGGTTCAAGGCACCCCAGGCATCGTTTCGACGGTACCAGGAAGAGAAGGTGGTTTTGGAATTCAAAGAGATCGCCCTGCAAGCGTGGACCAACCCCAACACACCATTCCGAGGACAAGGTGAAGTGATGACGCGGGAGCAACAATACGCGCACCCATTCGAGTTTCCGGACGGATACAACCAGGCCTTTTCTTCGGAACGATTTCGGATCGTCGAGTCACTGTTTGACAGCCAATGCTACTACGCGCCGCCTGCCGGGTCCGAGGATGCCAAAGATTATCCTGCACCGGATGGACAATCCACGATTCCGGGATTGGTACGGACGAGCCTAAGCCAGGTGGATGTGGACATCCGGCCCTTGTTGTTGGGCAATGTGGTCGTGACCGGTGCAGGGTCCCTGATTCGAGGATTGCCAGACCGCATCCAGCAAGAACTGACCAAGATGTACCCCAGCACGAGGGTGCGCATTCAAGCATCAGGAATGGCAGTGGAAAGAAAATTTGGTAACTGGATTGGCGGCAGCATCGTGGCCAGCTTGGGAACGTTTCACCAAATGTGGATTTCCAAGAAGGAATACGAGGAGCACGGGGCGAGCATTGTGGAGAAGAGGTGCAAGTAAAAGAACCCTGGGCTAAATGGTGGGCGGCCGTTGGGGGGAAGGTGACTAAGACGACTTGGCCCGAGATAGGCGAAAAGGGGGAGGGAGACGGACACCGGGATGAAGGAGGAAAGGATCGAGATGAGGCACCAAAAGGACGCAAAAGGATTGGGCAGAAGTACGATGCAAGAGGCCTGCAAGAGGCTGCAAAGGCTGCAATGGTTGGGAAGCCACCAGAGCCCTGTTCAAACGGAACCAGAGAGTCGGGTCAATTCGATGGCATGCCATCCCCACGATGTTTGCCGAAGTACGGGAATGAAACAAAAGAAGAATTTCTCGTCGCTGTTGCTGTTGGCTAAGTCAGTTCTCTCTACCGAGTCACTGAGTTCTCCTCCACCGGGTCTACTGACTACTCATGTATGGGAGTATCCAGCCTGTGGTACAGTAGCATCTGCCTGCGCCCTCAACCCGTGCCCTTTCCCCGATTAAATCATCTACCCTCGATCCACTATCCATTGTCCATTGGATCCTCCATCTATTCTCGATTTTCTATCTTCGACTCCGTATCTTCTATTATCTATCTTCCACATCTATCAACCCATCCTCCAGCCAGTCACCATACTCTATTTCGATCCATCCGCCTGTCCATTTCCTCCCCTCCTCGTCTGGCCTCCACCGCCCTCTTCAATCCTTCTCCTCTATTCTTCCACCGACTCTTCGTATTTGACATCAACACAGACACATTCTCTCCCTCATCTCATCCTTCCTTCGACCTACGATATTTCGCCAACACATCAGGAAACCCACCCTGCTGCTCTCATGCAACACCCTGTCAAAACGCACAAATCAGCCACTGGATACTGCAGCGGCTCCTCTGCTTATTTTTTTCCCCATCGCCACCGCTGCTCGACCCCTCGGATTTTTCCCTCCCCTCTTCCTCATCACCGCCATCATCATCACCCACTAGTCACTCTACACATCACGACCAATTTACTCCCTCTCATTCATTCGAAACGCTTGTCCCCCTCCCGACAGTCTTGCCGCCCGACCTCCTGCATACCCTGGCTTTGTTGGGCCACTTCCGCCCCTGCCGCTTCCTCGGGTCACGCATATCTTCAAACCCCTTTCCAGTAATACGGTACCCAACCACCGTGTCCCATTCCAGAACTCAACACGTCAGTCTTCAGTACCGATTATCAACAATTAACTCCGGTCGTCACTGTTGCAATTATACTTTAAGCGCCGGATATCTCCTTTTCCCCCTTCTCCCTTGTTGGACCTCCCAGCATCACGGCGACTATATTCTGGACTTCACATTCCCCTTCATGTGACCCTCGCCGCGTACGAGGATCTCTTCAATTTCCCACCGAGCTGACCATGTCCAGCTCGACAACACCGGTACCACAAACAACGCCCATACAGACCATGGATTCTCCTTTAGTTCCTGACTCGGATTCAACCCATTCCTCTGAGGATGTCGGTTATGATACTCGTTCTCTGACTGCCAGTATTACCGATTATCCGACATTTTGGGGTCGGAGATATCATCGATACAAAGAAGGCAACTATCTCTTCCCCAATGATGAGAACGAGAATAACCGGCTCGATGCTCAACATGAAATCTTGAACCGACTACATGGCCGCTTATATTTCGCTCCTCTCAATCCCCAAATCGTTCGTACCGTTTTGGACCTAGGCACCGGTACGGGCATCTGGCCTATTGAATTGGCTGATTCTCAAGCCCTGCCTCACGCCACCATCACCGGCACTGACCTCTCTGCTGTTCAGCCTCTCGACGTACCGGCCAACGTTCACTTTGAAATCCAGGATTGTTCCGAGGAAGATTGGGTTCGACCCCTAGGGAGTGTGGATTATTGCCACATTCGTTTCATGTCTGGGTCTCTCACCTCGTACGAAAGCCTGATCCGAACCGCAAGAAAATATCTTCGGCCTGGAACGGGATGGTTGGAATGTCAAGAACTTCACCCACAGCCAATTTCAGATGATAACACCATCCCTGAAAATTGGGGTCTCAAAATCTGGGATGAACACCTCGAATATGCCTCAACTCAATCTCTCTACCCTGCCCGGCCTGTACGAATTGCGGCTGACATCAAAACTTGGATGGCACAAGCGGGCTTTGTTGATATTCATGAACATATTTCCAAAATCCCCTTAGGCCCTTGGCCAAGAGACAAACGACTCAAAGCTATAGGGGGTTGGTGGTTGGCCAATTGGCTGTCAGGTCTACCAGGCTTTACCTACAAATTATTCAGCACGGAGGGGTTAAACTGGTCTCGTGAAGAAATTGAAGTCATGTTGGCCGACGTGAGAAAGGCAGCTGTCAAGAAGGAAGTCCATTCCTATCAAAGATATTATGTGGTTTATGGACGACGACCGTCAAAAGAAGAGGAAGCAATCCTTCATAACATTCGGGATTGAAAATGACTCGAACGGGATCTTAGTTTGCCCTCTCACCTTCTTCGCCAGTCCACCAGTGCTCAGAAAGACGACCCCAATTCATACGCACCGAGTTTTGGGTTGAAGTATGACGGAGATAAGAACGATGCGGTCAACCTGAATCCGGCGATTTTCATCTTCCGAATCAATCGAGCATCAACAAAGGCAGGGTGTGGGGAGGTCTCGATACCGAGCTATCTTCCTATTCATCGGCACAAGTTCATCGACAATCACGCTTGCGACAACGTTATGACGCACTTCCGAAATTTCCCGAGGCGAAATGAAATGAGACGACAACCCCGACTCCGTAATGAGCTATGACAACATCAATTTTTGATCCGTATTCTACGACAATAAAAGGAGACGAGGCGAGGCGAGATAAGAACCAGGAGATGAAAGTCCCAAACAGCGACACGGGCAGCCAACGTGTGTATGTCAAAAGTCATGTTATCCGTGAATAGTCCTATCTCCATCTCCATCCCAGATCTTACCGGATATCGGCCTCTCGAAAAGTTCTGCTTGGGTATTGGTCCACAAGTAGAAAGACAGGGTCGAGCAAAATCGAACAGAATAAAAAAAGACAAGAGAGAGAAGACGAAAGAAAAGTACTGGAAAGAACTGATGAATGAATATCTCTGAAATGGATGCATCTCATCTGCTTGGCTTATCTCAATCCCGTCCATTTGATTTCCAATTCTGTTCTCATTCTCTGGGATTCATCCTTGTCCCAGCTATTAGTACTCAGTAGGTATTCATGTATCACATCCAGACGAGGATCCGCACAGATACACCGCCATGTCGCCAAAAAAAGCCTTCAGTGAAGCTCTGTAAGGCATCATATTACATTACAGCACACCTCTAGAGAGGATAGCTCTAGAGTCTTGCTCGCTCTGACGGACGGACGGGCTAGCTCCCTGCGCTCTGCTCTCTGCTCTCGCTCCCGCTCCAACTCCATAACTGACAGACAGCTCGCCCATTCTGAAATCTGAAACTTCATGCTCTGTATCTTGAGTCAGAGCAAGGCTGCATCGTACTTCCACTTGTGCCCTAAACATTCATCTCCAGTAATTGTGTCGACTCGACTTGCTTCACTTCTCACCACTCTTCATCTCCATGTACACTCCATCCTTATTCATGACCAATCGTCATCCAATGACGATATGACCAAAGCACATAGAATAGATATTAATTTCTTCCTCATGGTCCTTGGAATCGCGACATCAATGTCTGTCGATTTACCATTCACAATAAAAAGAACGCCAAAGCGCCATGCAATAATCCTTCTGAAGGTAAAGCATCTGCCCACCCAGATATTGAAAAAGGAGCGTCCCTGAGTCCCGTTCATAAAAAGATACACAGGTCACGTTCCGCATCTCGGTTAATGGAAAAACTGGAAATTCAATCATTCGATCCTTTCCTCCATTCCTTCTTTCAAGAGTCAAGACGAGGACAGGCCGTATGAAGTCGTAAAACGTCGTGGGTATCGTGGCATCATTCCGTTCTCCATTCCTTCGCTCCATTTTACACCGTAGGTACACCAGGTGTTTTTGCACCTAGATCGCCCAATAGAGCTTCCGGAGGCACCCGATGGATATTTGAATGTTTGTCGGCGTATGGAACATTCGGGACGGTCTTATAACCCGCACGCCGACGTTGAATGCGATTCAGGATGATGCCAATTAATATTATAAGGAATATCGTACCCAATGCTGCACAGAGAGCAACGAGTATGACAATGCCTTTGGAATGGCCACGATCTGCATGAAAATTAGACGTTGACATTGAAAACTCCATCAAATCACTTACCACTTGATTTGAGAGTGTTGGTCTCGGACGTGAAGACTTGACTAATAGTACCAGGATTTCCATCCAAGGTAGTAGCTAGTATCAAAGGCATCATATCGGTGCCATTGAACAGTGCTGCCGCAGCACTGCCAAAGTTGGTGATGTTCAATTGACCTGTGACCAACAGAGCTTGATCGTCGTCAAGCAACGGAGTCGAACCATGGTTTTTAGACAAGGGCATAACTTGCAAGCCATAAATAGTGGTACCAGTGCTGAATGCATTCACAACTGGTCTTGTGTTATCTCCATCAACTTCAATTAGGAATGTTGATCCATTGTTTGCTGTACCTGCTAACCACATATGATCCGCATTGTTGGTGGCAGGGCAGAAGGCTGTCACGGGTCCAGGAACGGAATTGGGAGGCACGTCCCATGTTTGGCTGTCGGTGTCGTACAAGGCTAACGATGTTTGATTGCCTTGAACTGTCAAGTTGCCCGTAGCCAGAAGAGTCGAACTAGAAGTCCAGAACAAATCCGAAACTGTTCCTTCCAATCCAGTTCCAACCGTATTCCATTGATTGGTGGCGGTGTCATACATGCAGACGGAGGGGCAAGAAAGGCCTTGAGAAGTTCGATCGAAGGCTCCACCAATATACACTGCTGACGTACTTGTCCGTGGTGCAATGGCATTGACGACAACACTAGGGCCCTCAAGGGACGCCGGCTGGATTGTCCGATAGGCCGTGGTGGTCATGTCGATGAGAACTAGACCTGCAATACTTGTCGTGTCGACTTGACCGGTCAGGCTGCCACCAGCGAACAGTAAATCTCCGGAGATTGCTAGTGCCGTTATCGTCGAGTTTGACTCAAGACCGGGAGGTGCTCCTGTAACAAGATTGTCGTTGGAGCCATTCAAGAACATGAGATTCTCTATGGTGGATCCATTTGTCGCAGAGGCAGCGAAATGACCACCGAAAATGGTCACGTTTTGGCCATTTCCACTGTAGTATGTTCCAGTGATGATACCAGTCGCATTCTGTGGGTCTGGAACAGCTCGCTTCCTCAGCATTGACTGGGTCGTGCTTGGAGTGATATCAATGGGCAACGGTTCAAGTTGAACTTCGCCAGATTGCGATCGCATACCGGCGGCTCCGCTTATGGCAAATCCTAACGAAGCGATTGTTCCCGCGCCGAGCCAGGTATTATTTGGTAGAAAAGATGCAGCAAAGAGTCGTCCGACCAAAGCTTGCTTTTCAATATCGAGAGTCTCAAGCCACGCTTGTCTTGATGGTACCCAGATGGCCAAACCGTTGGCTGGTGTTGCCGGAGTAGACCCAAATGCCCGAATCTGACTAAAAGAACCACTAAAAGCAATCACTGTTTCTGAGCCATTTGAGGAAATATTCAGTGGCATAGGTACAACGGCTTCAACGGAGCCATCGAGGCCAGCACCGAGCGGCACCCAAGTATCTGTCGAGTACTGATATGCGGCGACGTTGTTCAAGCCTTCCACACCATCTTGATTGGTGTTTGTGAAGTTACCACCAATGTACAAGAAATCTCTCAGGCTGAAAAGGCCAGAGACTGCTGCATTTAGCCCACCACCAGGCAGAGACGTGGCGTTGTCGTCGTGGAATACCATGATGTTTCTGAATGAGTCGTCCGAAAATCGACCAGCGGCGTAGATTGTATCATCGAGGGCTGTCAACGTTAAAATGTCTGCATTAGGATTAAGCATAGTTCCAGCATTATTAATTGCCGATTGTGAGAAATCAGTATCGACAAAGTCGCTATTGGGATCGTAATCAAACAAGCCATTGAGGCCTCCAGTTGTCGAGATGAATCCAAATTTGACACGGGATGCCACAATGAGTTGATCGTTTTGCAGTCCGGATGGTGTAAGCGTCACCGATGGTCGAAAGCTTGAACTGGTAGCGTCCACGTATCCGGAGAATACCTGATCATACTTGTCGAAGTTGTTGGTCTGGAAAACCAGTTGACTGAAGGATTGACTTCCATCTTCGGTCAGGGTGCCATTCACCTTGACGACTGCACGTGCTGAGCAGGAGCTATCCTGAAGGCAGCCAGGAGTATAGACAATAACAGAATAATTCCCGCTTTTTTGAACATCTGGCTGGAAAACGATGGAAGTGGTGCCGACTGTTGTCGGGCCCACCACCGCGCTCAGATAGTCCGAGACACTTTGCCTGGAGGGAGTTGTATACCAAGGGCCGGTGGCCGTCGCATCGGATCTCAGACCGGTAGTTTCGCAGGTGGGTTCATTGAATGCCTCGACGGCATAAGAGAAGATGTCATTTTGAAATAACTCGATCCCGTCCAGTCCACCTCCTTCTCCATACCAGTCCGAAATAGAAATGGTGAAGCTGTTCATTCCCACAAGGTTGACAAAAAAGAAATCTTGATATGGCAGAGAGGAATTCTGGGCCAGTGGACACCTCGCATCGCAATGTGCCTCATCTCCGGTTTCGGGATCGGTGTAGGTGAAGTTCATGATTCCATTGATAGGATGAGCGGTGAAGCGCCAGGTTCGGGTGCCTCGTCCGTCTTGATTAGTATTCCACAGCCGAAGCTTGGTAGGTTCGAAGCCAAAGGCCAAATCGGCCCGCCACGAACCGGGAGTGTTGTCCGCGAGCAAAAAGGTGGAGGAACCATCTGAACTGTTCGACGGGCAAACAATATTTCTTGGATCACCCACGCCGGCAGTGGTGGTGTTCCCCTCTGCGGTAACGTCGGCGGTGGAAAGGTTGATGACCTGAGTCTCCGGATCGTCCAGAGAATTGGACGATACATTTCCCAGGCCAGTAAACGATCCACCAAAAACGATATGTCCGTTGGGAGCTTTGGTGATTGACCTGACAGGAGCGTCGAAGCCTTCAAAGGGAAGACTCGTCCAGCCACCTGATTTCCACGCAATCGCGTTGCTTGAATTATCTGCCTCAAACGCCCCTCCAACGTAGACTGTTTCTGTGTCTTGATCGCAATAGAGTGCCGAGACTGTTCCTTCTATCCCTGCAAGAGGGTTCACTTCCAGAGTAGTTGTGTTCAACATGGCGACCGATCGTGACGCGACACCGCCAATACTCGTAAAGTTTCCTCCCACGACGAGGCCTGATAACGTGCCATCTTGCAGCACGAAGGGACACATGGTCTCAATGCTGGCATCGGTGGATGCAAGGACCTCGAAGGCTCCATTTGGTAATTGTGATAAAACCGACTGCGTCCCATTACTATTAAACCCTTGTTGCTGTCCAAGTGACTGGTAAACTGAGATTGCGTCGAAATCGCCCACGAGCGTGACCTCCCCAAGCGAGTCCAGATCAAGATTAGGCGGAGGAACTGTCTGAGAGGCTCCTCGCGTAGGAAGCAATAACAGGGCGGTCGAAGCCAGTGGGCCGAACCGCGACAACAGATGCATCTTGAGTGCGTCTGCGCCGCGCAGCGACGGACGATAGATGTTGTTATTGTCTTGATATGTGTAGAGACATAGGTGAAGGTAGGAACTTGGTCAGGTTCTAAAACTGGGATCGGAGTTGGGGCTCGCGGCGGATTTGAGATGATGACGACCACGCGTAGACAGGGTAACTCAGGTACAGGGATCCGTTGAAACGAAACCGGTGGCGGAGCTTGCCAGTCAGATGTAATGATACTGGGCGAGGACACCTGGCTGTTCTTTCAATGTGAGAGGTTAGGATCGTGGACGACGGACAGTAAGGAGTGACAGTCGCAGAGTGGTGGAAGGTGACGGTGAAGATCCTTGGATGTGAAAGCTGTACGAAATGCAAGTTTGGCTGTCCGTAGCGGGAAGAAAGTGGTGTTGGCTTTGCATGCAGGAGAAAAAGGCCGAGAGAGCAAACAATCAGGCGGCCAACAAGCCACCCGCAGAAAGTCTCAGGTATCGCTTCCTTGGACTGACAGCGTCATTGGCCAGTCCGAAACAGTTTGATGACAGGCACAAGGAACAGACAAGACCGCGCAGCAGGCTAGAGTGTCTAAGGATAAGGAGCCAAGGTACCTACTCCATGAGCCTAGGTTCTGTACACCGCTATGCACCGATGGGTACTTCCCCCCCCCCCGGAGTTGGGTCTTCCATTCATCCACTCCATTAACATATCCCTGGTTGCTCCCAGTGGCCGCCAGTCATCCAGCCCGGCCTCAAGGACTGGCCCAGAACGCAATCTGCCATACCCCAGTCCACTTTTTGTGCCGCCAATGACCAACGAGAAGCGCCTCCGGAAACATATCCTCAGCCCAAAGAATCCGATCAACTGGACAACGAACGGCCACAGAATTTTCGACGCATCTTGAACACGACCATTCTTCCCACGAATGATTTTGCGACAACCACCTCTATTCATCTCGAGTCGACGGTCATCTGTCAGGAGAAGAGGGGGGACTTGAGATTCGAGGGACTGTTAGCATGAAGTAAACTCTGACACCAGTCTGTGTGCAATTTCCCGACAGGAGTTTGACACCCGCTCAAAGATGCTTGCGGTGGCTGGACTGGGACGATGGGCCACCTGGCTTTTCTAGATGACTGCAGAATGCTCAAGCGAGTTCCAACATATCGAGTCATCAGTGATGTTTTTTTTCTCCCCGGTGCTTGCACCATCGACTCAATGTTGATCAAAATCAAGGCCAATTGGGTTATGCTCTTTTCCCGGACCGCACTATATCGCAAAGCATTCCTGGGTCACGGGGACGACGTATCCGATTTCCCCTTGAATGACGAACCCCCTTTTATCTCGCGAACGCCCATATCTAGGACTGACAGAAGACACATCTGTCATTGCTCAGGGGCACTATGATCCATACGTAGTTGCCTTGATGGATGCTCTTCAGACTACTGTCGCATTGACACATGTCGCGGTATCCCGAAACATGTTGACCACGTGATTGTGAAACGGTGCACGGGAATCTCCAAACGCATGCCATCTTGTCGCGAAATGCTGTTTTGTGAATTTGATATCCCGGATCCCAGTCACCGTTTCACTTGCGTCGCCTGCGTTTCACCCGCTCACTGCTATTTGATTCATCTTGATCGAGTTCTCGCTTAACCGTGGCTCGCTGCACAGTCTTTCTTTCCGCAATCTTAAGCTCAACTTCCTCCGTCGCCCCTCGTTCAGTGCTTGTTTCGATCTTTGTCGTCAGCTGTTCTGCAAATGTCCGCAGGTCAGCTGTGAAGAGAACGCTGTGTGCCCAACCAGCCTCCTTGCCCCATAGTTTGCGGAAATGATTGGCCACGGCATCATATGTCGCTTTGGTCAGGCTGCTATACTTCCCTTTTCCAAACTTGTAGTCTCGCTGTGCAATCTGCCAGACATGTGTATCCACCGGGACAGCCTCACCCCATCCCAATCCCATCAGACACACGCAGTCTGCCACTTTGGGGCCCACACCATGTAACCCGAGGAGTTTCTCGTATGCTTCTCGATAGCCTTCCCGGCCTTCAGGTTTCATTTCACCGGCAGGCGACGATTTTCGACCATACGCCGGGCTCTCCGGGTTGCGTAGCCTGTCCAACCAACCTGATTCGTGGCCCTCGGCGATCATTTTCGCAGTTTGGTATATGTATTTTGCTCGATAGCCAAATCCTAATTCTCTGAGATGGCTTTCGACATCCCTGCCGGTCAGGGCTGATGGCTCCGGAAAATCATGGAACGGTCGACCATCCAGTGTCCCGATATATGTTCCATAGTGAGTACACAGTTTATCAACCATCTGCGATATGCGAATGATGTTATTGTTGCTACTGCAAATGAATCCCACCAGGGCCTCCCAGGCATCCTGTCGCAGTATCCTGACACCAGTAAATTTGGGCGCCTTTTTCTTAAAGTTTGGATCGGCGGAAGACCACTGGGCATAGAGGGTTTCAAGATTTGGCTCGAGGTTCAAGTAGTGTTGGATGAGGTTTCCGGTGTCATCTCCGTCATCGTCTTCGTCGACCGTAGGGGGGATGGACGAAGGAGGTGTAAGAGGAGCCTCGATTGCCGAGGGCCATATCGATCGATATTGGATATGTGATTTATCCTGCGACAGTTGTACTATGCGGCCACGAAGTGTACATGCCCAAGTCTGCTCATGGCATTGGCGCCATCTGAATGACTGGCCGGAGCGGAGCGTTGTTGCAAGACAGAGTTCATTCAATGACACTGGTAACTCTCGCCATTCGGTGATTCGGCCCATGATGATTCTCAAAACTTGAAGGCACCACCACTAAGAACCTGAAGTTGGTGGGGGTAAATAGAGTGCCTTGCCGCGGTCGCCTTTTGCGAAAACCCCCTTTTTCGCCAACGCGTTCGTTGCAGAACGCGGGCGCGAACTTTTTCAATTATGGAGCTAATCTGTTTCTGGTTGAGAGTGATGCCGCTTCACGATGTTTCAATGTGCTGTGGTAAAACCTGGATTCACTGGCAGGGCATGTATGAATGGGACCTTGTCTGTTTAGATGCTTCGAGATATTAAATGACCATCAATTCAGGCAAAATATATTTTGCCATCTGCACCCGCTCACTGATATCTTCGCGTTTGGTACACCCTTACGTAGTGAGCGAACCCGTACAGATCGTGATACGTCGTGTCTCCAAAGGGCGCCAATTATTTCTCCCTCTTAGGCTGTCCGAACGTCGCCGCAGCGTCTCGTCCCATGACCATAACTTGCCCATGAATAACAACATTGTCATCAAGAATCGAATTGCTACAGACCAAGTACTCGTGTCTGCCCTTCACAGCCCAGTAAACCCCTCCGAAAAGCACCACTGCTGCAAGAATCGCAATTGCCCAGTTCATGTTTTCTATCGCACCGACCACCGGCACGTATTGCGGGAAAATGTAAAACAGAACAACAATGATACTCCACAGCAGGGCGGCGATGTTGACAGGATATCCCCAGCGGCCAAGATCGAAATGTGGGCGCGGAGGCAGGTATTGTCGACCCTTTAGGACCACGCACAGTATCGGTATGCAGTAAGAAACCTGCAGAGTGACACCGCCTCCGGAGATGATGGCGTAGAAGGCGAGGTTGCTGCCAAGTACGAGAAGACCTGCCAATAGGTTCAGGACGATGAAGCCGATCATAGCTCGCAGTGGCATTGTGAAGCGCTTATTGACCTGTGCAAAATAGTCGGAGAAAGGGAATGCTCGATCGCGAGCCATGGACCAGGCAAGACGAGAACCGGCAGTGTTCATGTTGACAATGATGAGATACTATGCCCTCATTGTCAGCGTGGCGCTCGGCCACAGAGCGCCATAACTCACATTCAAGCCCATCATCATCACAGCGCACCATATGCCACCCCCATAGGTCGAATCGAGTGCGTCCATAAACCATGCCTTGCATTGCTGTCAGGTAGCAGGCAGCCCGTAGGCAGTAGTATTACTTACCACGTATGACGAAGTTTCCTGGAGGTACTCCTCCCATCTTGGTCCCACAGTAAAACACATGACGATGGCTGAAAGCCAAGCGGTAACGCCAGCCCATACCATTGACCAGATCATGACTCGCTGTTCTGCGTAAGAACAGATCTCACACGACAGTCGCAAGGCAAAACTTACCGGAGCGTCACGGGAAGCATTTTTCATCTCTTCGACCACTGGAATCTCGGTCAGTCGATCGGTCCTCCATGACATGATCAAGAATCCATTTCCGCTTACAATGCATCACCCCGTCTGTGCCGTAAAGACCGTATATTGGCACATACATGCTGAGAATAAACACCCAGCCTTTTGATGACCAGCCAGAGGTGTTGATGAAATCGGTGAAGACGAATTTGGCGCTATTCTTGTCGGCCAGGACCAGGAAAACAATAGCCCAGATGAAAGCATTGGAAAGGTTGAAGAATGCACCAAAGAGCTGCAAAAAGGGAAGGTACTTCGGGATCAAGTTCGACAGTGCCGGTGCAACGAGAAAGCCGGTGTAGATGAGCCAGGTCATATAACGCTATCCATGTCAGAATTAAGGAAATCCCGCAACAGAAGGACGATATTCTCCCTACCTCCCAGTGCACCTCTGGATGAATGATCTCAACCAAAGCGGCCACGATCTCTGCGCTGTTCAAGGCACAACTGGAGCTTGTCGAGATCTCTCCCACTAATACACACCAGCCAACCAAGTAGGACAGGAACCGGCGAGACCTTTCGGGCGCAACTATCTTCCCAAATCGTCAGTCTTTTTCTTAGCCCAACATGTAAGAGAAAAGTATACCTGAGTATAGAACTGTTGACCGCCAGCCGTTGGCCAGATGGAACAGTATTCTGCCAAAGATGCCATCACCAAGATTTGCCCAATAGTGACCACCACGCTAAACCCGTCATGCTTGAGTCAGCCTTGGATGTTTCCCAGCTTTCTGTACATTGGCTGAACTCACGTCCCCCACACCAGACATACTGGTCCACCCAGGGTGAATATATAATAGAACATGACGATATTGCAACTCCATGAACATAAAATCGTAGTTTGGTATGCCATCACTATCCACCCCGATTAGCATTTTCTCAATGGACTTGAGAACAAACGCCTCACAGCTCCAAAAATTATATGTTCGCTTGAGCTCAGGTTTGTGACCGAGGCTGATGAGTCTGCTCTCATCGCTATTTGCCCCGACCGAGTCATCCTTGATGGGGTCCATTTTCGTCTATCGGCTAGTGGTTCCCTGATGACTTCGCACGGGAAGAGCAGAACATGGAGGCCGACCCATGGAATCAAGGATAGCGATCTTGTTCTCTCTCGAAAATGATCAATCTTGTCGAGGGTTAAGTATATGAGGCTATGAGGGATGTACAAAATCCGGAGATATCCAGTTATCAATGACCATCACATGTGGAAGCAATCAGTAATACCTTTTTCTCAATCTTACTACCAAAGAGAGCCCGGCTTACCGGCCTATCAAAGCTTATTACGCATTTCGCAAGCCCCCCAGTCCCAAGCATGCTTTGCTAGCCCGGAGCGTGGCTCGATGATAGGGGGAAGCAGGGGGGTTCGCTTGGGGGTTGAAATAAAACTGCTGGGTTCAAGATTATGCAGCGTAGCTCAGAAGCAAATCCCTGGGGACGGAGGGGTTGAACATATCAAGGGTGAACGTTGGCGCTTTTTTTTCGGGGCGTTGCGGGATCAACCGGCTTCTCACCCCATTGCCGATATAAGTGCTAGGAGCACCAGAGCGCTCAAGCAGGCCACATCCCTTGCTCTCCCAAATCCGACACCCGACATGCTAGGGACCCTTTGATCCTGATGCATTCTAGAAAGATGTAAGAACAAGGATTGGCAACAGCGTCCGCGTTCCCCCCAGACTCCCTTTTTTTGTGTACCATGTACCCAGCTGCAGGAAGATTGGGATAATGCATGCCCTGCAAATGCAACCCTGCTAAAACATCGAGGCCTCGTAAATGCAGAGTCACGGCGCCATTGGTGCTGGCTGCGAGAGGAGAGAATGTATTTTCTTCTCGAATCTCTAACCTAAAGACATTGGGGTCTGATTGGGTGCTCCGGCTCATGCCTACTGTATTCTTGGAACAAATGTCACGCCGATATAGGCGGTGTCAAAAGTTGGACAGCAAAGTGGTAGAGAATTCTGTGCTCTCCCTCCTCACGGGCTGCGTAGACACGTCACGTGTCGGGCCTAATTTTCCAGCGGCAGCATCTGTCCGACTTGATTTCCAGCCGCACCGGCATCGATAAGCTTTCGTCAAACAAAAATCTATCACAAAGGTTCAATATAGCCAAAACTTGCCCAAAAGTAAATGGCCTCAAATGGCCCGATATGACGGGACTCCTGACCGGGCCTTCATCTCCGTATGGTGAACGGGAGTCGCGCAATAGCATACCACAGCATTCAAAATGACACCCTGCAATCCTGATCCTCGGCAAGATGAAGTGCCACCTCCAGTTCAGAGCTCAACCACAACGGGGGCTCAAGGTGCATTCTCGAAACCTCTTGGAAAGGAGGCTCCCTTGCGCTAAATCATCAGGCTGACCACTTACAAGACTGTTCGACTTGTGTCCGGCGACGTATTCGATGCGATCGGACTCTGCCCCAGTGTGTAAAATGCTCGAAGAAAGGCCTAGCTTGTCCTGGCTATGGACCTCGTCTGAGATGGGCCAATGGTATAGCTGTTCGGGGACATCTCAAAGGCCGTACGACGCCGCATATTGAAAAACCGGCGCGAGCCAGGGCCTCTTCCAAGGAATCGACGTCTCCCAGGTCCATTAAATCCCCCGAGAGTGACACCATTACGCGACAGCCTTCAATCATAGATCCCCTGGAGAAGTTGTTCCCTGGGTTTCCAGATCCGGCTACTAGATCCCGACTGCTCGACCACTACGACAAAAACATTGCCGGATTGATGGTGTGGATCGACTCCGAAAGGAATGAGTATCGTCGCCTCGTTCTACCGCTTGCTGATCGCCAACCAGTGCTCTTGCTGGCCATTCTCGCCATCTCCGCTCAACACCTGGCTGTCACCAAAAAGGTCGAGTCAAGCTTTTCAGCTCGAGCCCGTGATGCCGCTGTCACGATGATATCAACCCAGATCCGACAGGTTACGGGCCGTCTGGCGGCCGGTTATGATTTGGGAAGCGAGATAGACACGGAAACTGCGGTGTGGATGCTCGCATCAATGCTAACACTCGCCTCGTATGAGATGGCGGAATCAGAATCGGGTGCCGTCGCAGCTGACTCCCATCGACAAGCTGCAAGGACATTGGTGAACGCCCTGGCGACCACAAACCGAGAAAACAGCCTTCTGTTCAATTTTCTCCGAAACCAGCTCTCCATTTACGACATTTTGGCGTGCACAACCTCTTTCGATCCCATGAGCACCGCTGATGTCATTCTACCCGCACCCGACCATTCAAACCTCATCTTTTCGGAGTACTTGGCTCTTCTGCACCGGGTGACGATACTGTCTCGGCAACGATATGACATGGAGTCATCTGGAGATCCCAACTACGCTGAGCTCCCCATCACTCCCTCCGGTGCTCGGGCTGGTTTTGAATTAGCCCGAGGTTCAACCCTGATGGCTGCTGGCTTGCTTGAATTACCCCGGGACGAAAGATGTCGTGACTTCATTCGAATTGTCGACTTGTATCATCACTCTGCTCTTCTCTATACCTACCGATGTCTTTTCCCGGGAAAAGTCGATCCCACAGACGTCCGTGCTTCGACCACGGCGGTATTTGAGAGGCTTACCCAGCTTGAAGACCGCGCTTCGTGCATACAGAATTTACCATGGCCCGTCTTTGTTGCCGGAACAGAATGTTGTGGCAATTCGGAAAGACAGTCCTTCATAGCACAAACGTATGAAGACATTGCTAGGGACATGGGCTTTAAGCACTATCTTGAAGTTCTCAAGTTCTTAAAGGATCTCTGGTCGGGCGAGAACGCCGATTGGACTGATCTGGCGCGTCGTTATGGATTGAATGGGAAACAAATCCTGGCGGTTTGAGGAGTTAAATATCAAACTCTGGGGAAGACTCGGCATTGGTGGCCTCACTCTCGCTTCGGCATATCTCCCGAAACAGTCAATGTCGTGTAAACTCGAGCACATGACAAGCCTCGGGTCATTGAGCCCGAATTAAAGGCCCTGGAGGATGCAGCATTCCGGCAAGTTTCAGTTGCTGAAAGTATTGACTGCATATCAGCTTCCGACGAACGCAGCCGTAAGGTGACGCCACCCCCAGTGTGAGCGGCATTGACCACCAAGACAGCGACTTCGATCTCCCGCTCCTATATACCAGTTGCATGGCAACTGAGATAAATTGCTCAGGAGTACCCGTTTGTGCTCTCCTGACATGCTTCTAGAGGAGCCGCTTGTTCGGGTTGTCATCGCTAATGCTAGTTGGGGAAGCATCGATTCAGCAAAATCATGATTGGTCTCTGGCATGCACGATAACAGGTATGTACATTCGATTTGTATTTGCGACAACAGCTTCCAAGCATGATCTTCAAACCCCGGGATCCTTGCGACATGCAAACTCCCCTATTGGCGTCTATGATTTCTCTTCTTTGGGTGTCTGATGGATGTTTATTCTCCAGACCAAACTCGGTCTAACCCTAGAGCAGAGGGGCATGATGTGGAAGCGGGAGTGCTCTAGCATCTTGTCGCTTGCCAGAGATTGTCGATCTCATGTCCTCCCAACAAAGAGTCTCCTAGCATGGTGGAGATTGTGCTTGCCGAAGCTCCCGTGCAGGTTACTCGACCGTGACGGCAGATTATCTGACGAGCAGGGAAGTCGTTCGAGTTCGACAGGATCAAGGTTTGATCCGTTCGTCGCCGGGTTGTTCTGCTTCCTGTGGCGGTGCCCGCTGCGTGCATACGTCGCTGTTATTTTAGGTATGAACGATGCACCCACGGGGTCGGTCGTCGGGGAGCCTGCGGGCAACTCCATGGCACTGGGGAGCCTGGACAAACTACTTTTCCAAGGCGGTTTTGGGATTAGTGTCGCACCGAAACTGAGCAGAGTAGCCATGTGGAAATTGTCGTTTATGATGACCTCCTCTTAGAGAGACGACCACATCGCCGGGCGAAGGAACAGGCCAAGGCCTCTAAAAGACCACTGAAGGGTCATATATCCTCCTGGGCAGCTATGTCTACCACCCAACCCATGGTTATTTACATAACATAATTTATACATCGAAATGGGTATTCAAGAGATACACCCAATCAGGCTGGTGAAGTGACTCTACCGCTAGACCCCAACCAGGTATTCGGGAGAGAAGCGACGTCAAACCGTGTCCCAAGTACCGACGGAGTGGATATCACATCTAGAAGTTGGAAAACAACCTCGCCACCTACTGCATTGGGTATCTGACGAGAGAATTTTGAGGCTCGAAGGATAAGAATACTCAACCACGGCCGAGTTTGAGTATTGCAGATTACAGTGTGGGTGCATTCCTGATGGCCGCATGATTCTCCAAACGGCTGGATATCATCTCTCCACACTGAGAAGGAGAGCAGGAAAGCCTCGTGCTCAAATCACACTATGTTTAAGGTGACGGTGGACACATCATCACGAAAGACCACGTCTCACTTGGAAATCCGGAAAGCTGGAACCACCGACCTGCTATCAATGGTTTATCACCAGAGTCCGTGGTTTAACCCCGCCTTTCAAATAAGCTCGAATAATAACATCCATCACGCCTGATCTCACCCCCCGAATATTTATCAGAATATTCACCCTACGACGCCGAAACAACCAAATCTGCAGAGATGGTCTTGAATCGGCGCTTCCGCCAGCCCCCGGTGATGCATCCAAGGCGTCGGCAGGATATCACAGAGAAGAACGTCGACCGCTTGTTCCACTTAGCAAACTTCCGAGATGCGGTCGCCCACCGACTGGCCCAGGCAGTTCAAATCCCAACAATAACCTATGACGGCATGGGTCATGTAGGAGTAGATCCTCGATGGGAGGTGTTCTTTCAATTTTCGGATTACATGAAGGAGACATTTTCAAGAGTGTTGGTGTCTTTCCCTCTCCCCTCCCCCTTTTGCACTGCACCGTGCACCTACCATCATGGGCTGGCTAACACTCAATGACAGATACAAAGCACTCACGGTAGAGACGGTCAGCACCCATGGCCTGTTATATACGTGGCATGGTACAGAAGACGATCTCAAGCCGCTCCTACTCATGGCACATTCTGACGTAGGAGCACGACCAACGAATTTCCCTGCATTTTCAATAACCATTCTCAGGTTGTTCCTGCTGGAGAGTCCACTTCCGAGGAGTGGACTTACCCTCCTTTTTCGGGCCGTTATGATGGTGACTTCGTTTGGGGCCGTGGCTCTGAAGACGACAAGTCTAATCTGATTGCAATGTTGACGGCGATTGACTGTTTGCTCGCCTGCAACTTTCAGCCCCAACGAACTGTGATTGTTTCAGTCGGCTTTGACGAGGAGGGGGGTGCCGAGCAAAGTTACGGTGCCCGATGCCTTGCAGAGACCTTGCTGGAGAGATACGGTGAATACGGAATCGAAATGATTGTATATTTATCGACTCCGGTGGTGGGTGCTGCTGCTGACCGGGTCTAGTTTGATGAAGGCATCGCCGGGATTGAGAATCGATTTGGGACCGACTTCGCTTTGCCTGCAACGGCGGAAAAAGGGTATATCGATGTAACCGTCAAGGTCAGCGCACCTGGGGGACACTCTTCCACACCACCTGATCATACTGCCAGTATGTGCTCCTCGTCTTATCTGTGTGAGCATCAGTCGGTTCTGACCACGGTATAGTTGGCTTTTTGTCACAAGTCATTGGCCTCATCGAGGACCATCCTTTCAAATCTCAACTCGTCCGACAAAATCCGACGCTAATATATCTTCGACAAGCCGCACTCCAATCCAAGACGATGCCCCAAGATTTACGGGAAGCCATACTTGGTGCGCAGTCGTCCAAGAAGATCCTTGATTATATGGACGGTGATCGCGAGAGACGAGCTATGGTCAGAACTTCCACGGCGGTCGATGTAATTCAGGGCGGCGATAAAGGTAACCCAATATGACCCTGATACGGTCATCGTCGTCCACTGACGCACTCGATAGTCAACTCCCTTCCCGAGAATGTTAGCGTCCTCGTCAATCATCGCATTGCCATTCAAGACTCGGTGCAAGCTGTCAAAGATCATTACGTCCGGTTGCTCAGCCCATGGGCCAGGAAATGGAATTTCAAATTTCATGCCTTTGATGGCGAGACCTCGACACAAGCCACCAACCCCACAATTCAATCGGAAAACAATTCTGACTCGGGCGACCTGACCCTGACCGCGCAGTATGAACTTGAACCGTCGCCGGTCTCGGAGGTCGACGATGCCCGATTCAGAGCGCTCGCCGGTACCATCAAAGGTGTGTTTGGCGACGATGTGGTCGTTGCTCCTGAGTTATTGAGTGGTAAGCCGAGACTTTTTCGTGGTGGTGAATCTAGAGCAAGTTAACAAACCCCAGGGAATACCGACACCAGGTACTATTGGAATCTGTCACCTCAGATATACCGAATGTCGCCGTGGCGTGCACATCATGACCCGCGGGGCACCCGAATGCATACCATCGACGAGAGAATGCCTGTCGAAGGTCTCATGGAGATGGTCAAGTTCTACCACGAATTTATTCGTGTCGTTGACGAGCTTCATGTGTGATATTCATGGCTGGCAAAAGAGCATCTTCACTCCATGCGTAGAGCGACATGTCCTGCGATTTCGCTCACTGGGTTGGTTATATTGCGCATTGGCGGATTTTGGTGGGCTATTGTTGGCGTTATCCTAGCCACCGACGACCAAAAAGGTCACGTCTATGGCTGTCCGTCTTTTTGCACTCGGAATATTTCATGGGAAAGGCGACGAACCGATGGAGTTTGGTCTGTGGGGCTCGAGACAGCGTCTGTCTCGATTGAAGTGGCAGGTCTCGTAAACGCTAGCCTGTTCGTCCTTAACTTAAGGAAACCATCTTTCTTCCTCTTGTCCTCGGTCTGTGGCGCAACCCCTGGCGCGATGCTAACGTATCTAACTTTACAGGACTTCAGTTACTTACTCGCAGCGGGTCACTTGTAGCTTTGTGAAATTGCGTTCACGGGAAATCATACGCTGGCAGACTAACAACCGAGAGCGAACACCTCCTGCTCATCAAGTTCGAAGAGATTCTCAGATGTCTTCGGCCGACACGGTTTGGATTCCTTCCCAAGCCGAGGGAGTTTGACCCAGCATTTGGCTACGGGTGGCTGATTTCTGATACACAGCCAGTGAACCACGATCCAGACCACCATAGACCAGGCACGTTTAGCCTCAAGCCTTTCAAACGATTCTCCCGCGAGCTTGTCGTTGCTTTGCTCGTGTGCTCTAACCGAGCTGGTACTGACGGCTTCAAACCTTGCACCAACGATTCTCAGCCGCTTGCACCACCCGGGCCTTCAATTTCAGTTGCAGAGACAACACCGTTGTGATCGACTAGGCTAACACACGGCCTGCTCTGATACTCTCATGCTATTTCCAGGACCACGCTAGTGTTTAACACTGTTGTCGCCACCCATCCCTCGAAAAAAGCGTCACTTGCACAAATTGGGCGCGGCTGAGAGATGGAACTGGGAACCAACACGACCATGTGCCTTATCTTTTTCTATGTAAATAGGATTCGTGGCCGGCAGGGCGATGCATCCCAAGGCATACTCGTTCTTTCTGCCTTGCTTTTGCTTTTCGCGTTTGAGCTGCTCTACAAGCACTCTCTTCCTTCGTGAATAAAAGGTATACGTTCTATCGTCGCTCGTTACATTGTCGTCTTTCATTCCTCCAATTGGCATATTCAGGGGCATATCCAGACGCAATCTCCACCCATCCATCCTTCGACCTCTGACTTTCGGCTTCTAACTACGGAGTACGAGTACTGATCGGACCATCTTACGACACAATGGGCTTCCATCCCTCCAAACGTGGCGCACTGCCTACGCTGCTTCTTTCAATGCTCACAGTCTCCTCCTGCTCCATTCTCCCCGAGTCATTTAACAGTGCGACCAACGCCTTTTCCAAACGAGCGTCAAAGAAGACCACGGTCCCTCTCACATCGGATGGAGTGTGTCTATGTCCATTTCCGGTCGGCTTGGACATTCAACTAACGCAACAATAACAATAGGGATTCTGGTTCGCCAATGTCTCGGTCGGAGATGGCTCAAGTATGAATCTCCTCATCGACACGGGCTCGACAGACGTCGTTCTCAACCCAGGCAAATACAAACCGTCCGACGCATCAGTCAACGGTAATGAGACGTTTACCCTCTCCTACGGAACCGCGGAGAGCAACGGTACAGGAACAGCCACGGTAAGGTTTGCCCCAAAATCCCCGGTCCCACACTCGACGTCAACTTCGGGCTCTTTACTCACCTCATTTCAGATCAACGGCACCGTCTACCACGACACTGTCACCCTAGGCGGCTTGAAAGTCGAGAACCAAACCATCGGCGTGTCCAACAGCACGGACTCCTCCACTGAGTATCCTCACGATGGCATTATCGGGTTCGGCGCGCAACAATTCGCAGCCAACAACGCAACATCTTACTTCCACAATCTGTGCGAAGAGAACCTCGTCGATGACTGCCGCTTCGGCATCGCATTGGACAACGCCACAGCCGGCTCTTTCGTTATCGGCACCCTCGACGACGACTTGTTTGATGGCGACTTGACCACCTCGCCCCTTGTCGAAGAGTGGTTCACCTACGGCGACGTCGTGGTTGGAGGCCAAACGCTCGAGGGAGACGCTATCATCGAATTTGACAGTGGAAGTGCTGCCATCGTCGGGTAAGAAATGCACTCCTCCCTTTTTCCCCCGGTTTCTTCCTTTTTCTTCTACTACCTTCTCAACATAAGAATTCACGGTTATTGAAGCTGATTGACGTCGTTTTAGCCCAACCGATGTTGTGACCAAGATCTTCGACAGTGTCGGCGCCCGCATTTCCTCGGAAGAGACGTCCGAAGGCCTGCTCCTCACGGCCCAAGTCGCCTGCGACGTCAATTCGACAGTGGGCTTCCGCTTCCCGTCGTCAAATGTCACTGCCGCCGACGACAAACTCACGCCGCAGACCTTCAATATCTCACTGGGGGCTCTGCTTGTGCCGTCGACCAACGCTTCGGATCCAAACTGCACGATCTCGCTGGTCGCGCAGGATTTCCCGGATTTGCCGGGTCTTTGGGTTTTGGGTCAGAGTATGTGTCATCTATTCCCCTTCCTTCCTTTCTACTTTCCCAGAATCATCGACCATGACGATGAAACGAGACGCTAAGTCGTGGCCGTCTGTTCTAGCTTTCTTCCAAGGAAAATATCTCGATCATAACTTGGACGATCAGACTATTGGGATTGCTACGCTCAAGACGTCGGCCAATTCTTCTAGTTCAGGCTCGGAAAGCGGCAGTGGCAGTGGTGGAGACTCCGGATCCAGCTCCAATGCCGCTACAAGTCTAAGCTTTGGCATCAACTTGTTGCTTTGCATCTTAGCGGTCATGCTCGGTGTTAGCATGCTGTGAAGCCCCCAGGTGGAGTCTGTTCTCAGCATTATCATACTACGAAGTCAGCGACAAATGGAGGTGCGATATACACGGGTTGGCTTTGAATGAATTTCGAGCAATGTTTGAACCGAACCTGGACGAGGGCGGTTCAATGGTTGGACGGTTGATTGATTGGTTGTTGAGGGCCAGGAAAGACTGGCGGAAAGGGCCGGGTACATTAGGACGAGGAATATACCCAATCGGTGAATAATCAACGGCTGTGATTTGATGAAATACACATTCAAGTATCAATATACATAGATCTTGTAAATATCACACTGATTACCCATTTAGTATTTTATACTCATTGTCATTGTGTTGGAGGATAATGCAATATGATACTGAAGTTGGAGATGAGGTAGAAATGTTGCGCAACGCTGAGGAAAGGTTACATGGCGTTGTGTTGCGCACGGGCGTGAATTCAAGAAAGTCCCCTTAAATGGTGACCAACTACCTATGAAATAGTCATATACCCTCCCAGACGCGAGCTTTCCTTCTCTTTTCATAGATATTTGGACACATGCTCTTCAACCGTACGACACACTCCACGGATGTCCCAACGAGTTAGTTCCACCAACATACCCGAATCCTTACCCATCGCTACCGCCGAACGAGTCACCATTACTCCATGAAAAGATTCGCCATTGTTTACCATTCGCCGCCGCGAGGGCCGGAGGCGTCAGGAGTCATGTGTTCGCCTAAGGAGAGGTCCGGGACGATCATCTCTGGGCATAGGCCCGATTCGTAGCACCAGACGCCGCAGTGGTCGTCGTGCCAGGCACAGGAACAAGTAAGAATGAGGATGGAGATGAGCAGGACCGACACGGAGGATTGAGGTAGAGAAACAGAAGCAGCTTAAACTTACCAGTACCGTCCTGCCATGGGGTTAACGCTGGCCATTTGAAGGCGGGAAGTGGCCGAGGGATCCAAGACTCTTTGTTCACAATCATTGTATTTGATTTGGGGTCGGGTTTGTTGTCCCAAATGGTGCATAAGGCTGAGTCGGAGTTGGACTTGGGTTGAGCCGCTTGTCGCCGCTGAAGCTGAGCTCGAGCGCTTCCATGTGGCTTTGACCGCTGTTTTTCAGTGCCGTTAGGAATAATTTAAAGGTTGATTGAGATTGAGGAGGAGAGGTAGCAGCAGGAGAAGCTGCTTGCGTTGGTTGCGTATGTTGGTATTATCCTGTAGGTGTGGGCGGTGGTGCTTGCTGCTGTGGATAGTTCTGATCGTTGTCTTGCGGCAGCAGGGGAGAGCAGGGAACATCTGGGAGTCGTGGCGGACGATGTGGTGAGCCCAAGATGCTTTGTTTATACAGAATGGGTTTGAAGTGTTCCTCATGTCAACGAATAGCAAGAGATTGTGTCGTAGGTAAAGGGGCAAGTCCGTATAGAGCATGTAAAGGCATATATGATAGAAGGAAGAGACAGTTTCGAATACAAATTCTGTGCTTTGATCACCGGAAACTTTGGACACGACTCTCCCTTGCATGTTCATCCAACGATGAACTATAGTCCTACCTAGTCTTCCATTCACACCCAAAAGATCTGATCAAAGGCCAAATGGTGCGAGCTAACTGCAGGTTATCCATGCAAGAAAGCGCCCTGGGGCTGAGATCGAAGTCAGAGAGGCTGAGGAACCTCAGCGAGAATGGACAGAAGACTTCTCACGGCTGACAATGCCGAGCCCTATTAGCAGTAAACCTGCCTTTCTCCTTACCGTCTCTCTCAGTCTTGTGGAAATCAAAGACAAGCGTGTGAAGAACGACCGAAATCTGGACTAGTTCTGCGATTAATCCTGCTTGGGAAGGGGAAAAAAAAAAGCCCCAGGACTTCTGGGAACCTGATTGCGCACTCTCGAGTGGGAATAAAGGAAGGAGACTTGGTTAGGTGATATGGATTGGCCATTCCCTTATGAAGAGTTGATAGTGGCAGTCCTGATCTTGAGTGCTTGTGGATACTATATAGCAACACCCGACCAATCTTTTGCCGAGACTCTCTTGTCGTAGGACGGTTTTAAAATTTTGATTTGCTTGCGGAGACATCGGAGAGAGCCGGAAGCATCTCTAGACAACTCTAAGGATAGTTTGTCCATTCATTGACGGTACTCTGTCCTCCTGATATATGAACAGCAAGCTCCGCAATTACCTTTTTCGAACGCGGTCGAAATGACCCAAGACACCGTCGTTGCCATTTGTTGAAGCCCGGAAAGAAATGGCCCGAAGACCCAAGTAACAGGTCTAGTCGGAAAGGATGATTGCGAATATTGAGGAGGAGAAGATGGATGAGGCTGAAAATTTGAATTGATACCGAACTGGGTGCCCACGTGAGGTTCGACTGGACTCGCCAAGAATTTGGAGCGGCTAAAAGAGCCAAGTTGCGCGCATTGCCTCTGCAACTATTTGTCGGCTGGTTGCTTGACCACAGCTGCATTGACCCTCGCGCTTTGCAGTCTGTCACAGTCTATCCCCACCCTTCTGTCCTTTCAAGAAGGCATTGGCGCATCCAGGTCAACTGCCCGAGTCAAATACAGAAACTCTCCTGCGTTGGATGAAACTAGGCCGAAGTCGAACTCTTGCAAAGATGAACGGAGACAACTACTCATCCAGAGGTAAGGAACTTCACCATCTATGCGCACCTGCGCTGACTCAAGCAGATTCTGGACGCTCCAGGGACCACCATGTACGCTTTTTCGGTCACCAATTTTCTTTTCTCTTTTTTTTCTTCCAGGACAGCCTCTGACTTCTCCCAGGGTTCAAGATACGACCGGGACGACCGCAGAGATCGTGACCGTGACAGAAACCGAGATCAAGGCGAGAGAAGACGTTCAAGGTCCCCCCATCATCGATCATCGCGACGTGACTACGAAGCAGACTCATATTCCTCGAGTAGAGACTACCGAGCTCGCGAGAGAGAAGATCGATACAGTTCCAGACGGGACGATCGTGAATGGGATAGGGACAGAGGCCCCAGACGTCGTGATGACGACCGACCACCTAGAAGGGATCGCGACTTATTCGATGATCGAAGGGGAGGTGGTCGGGACCGTGACCGTGACCGTGATCGTGATCGTGATCGTGGCGGGCGAGAAGACCGCGATGAATTCGCCGCTCAAGCACGAGGCCGAAAAAATAGCCCTCCTCCTAAGAAACGAGAACCCACTCCAGATCTCACAGACGTCGTCCCCATATTGGAACGCAAGAGAAGATTAACTCAATGGGATATCAAGCCACCAGGCTATGAGAATGTTACGGCTGAACAAGCAAAGATGTCAGGAATGTTTCCATTACCAGGAGCCCCTCGTCAACAACAGATGGATCCCAGTCGATTGCAGGCTTTCATGAACCAACCTTCCGGCAGCGTTAACAGTGCTGCGCTGAGACCATCCAACGCTCGCCAGTCCAAGAGATTGTTTGTGTACAACTTGCCCGTCTCTGTGACGGAAGACAGTCTGTTACAATTCTTCAACTTGCAGCTCAATGGTCTCAATGTGACCCAAGGTTCGGATCCATGTATACAAGCCAATATCGCCGAGGATCGAAGCTTTGCCTTGGTGGAATTCAAGCAGCCCTCCGATGCGACAGTTGCCTTGGCCATGGATGGCATCACGATGGAAGAGCATCACAGTGACATGAACGGCAATGGAAACGCCGAACCAAAAGGCTTGGACATTCGCAGACCAAAGGACTACATTGTTCCCTCGGCAGACGAGGACGCCTACACTGATGGTGAGATGTCTTCAGAAGTGCCGGATACCGCAAATAAATTGGCCATCACCAATCTGCCACCATTTTTGACCGATGACCAGGTCATAGAATTGCTGAAGGCATTCGGAGAGTTGAAGGCTTTTGTTTTAGTCAGGGACAGCGATGCACAGGAGTCGAGGGTGAGCAGCCAACACTGAGAAATTGCATGGAAGACTGCTAATCAAAAGTATACAGGGGATTGCCTTTTGCGAGTATGCCGACTCGTCAGTTACCGCTGTCGCGATCGAAGGTCTGAACGGCATGGATTTAGCCGGAAACCCTATCAAAGTCACTCGAGCCAGTATTGGATTTACCCAAGCATCTGGTCTCGAAATGGGTGTCAACGCCATGTCCATGTTTGCCGGGACGACTTCTGATACTTTTGAAGACGGCCGTGTTCTCCAGCTGCTCAACATGGTCACAGCGGAGGAACTTATGGATAATGATGATTATGAAGGTAATCAATCTTTCCCTTGCTCTGTGTCACTTCTCAGATAAACCCAACTAACGAACTTTGTCTAGAAATCTGCGAAGATGTCATGGAAGAGTGCGAAAAATACGGCAAGATTCTAGGCATGAAGATCCCACGTCCCTCGGGTGGCAGCAGGCAATCTGCCGGGGTGGGGAAGATTTTCATCAAGTATGAAGATGCAGAAGCGGCGAAGAAGGCGCTGCAAGCATTGGCAGGCAGGAAATTCGCTGATCGTACCGTTGTGACCACTTATTTCGACGAGGTATGTGAAATCACGATTGAGTGTGATATGTGTGGTCGTGATTGCTGCTGACTCCTTGTCTAACAGGCCAGTTTCGATGTCAATGCTTGGTGATATGTCATTGGAAAGTGTTCTGACTCTACGAGAACTCACGATTTCCTTCACCTGGTCTATCTAAAGCTCAACCGACATGCCTCGATGTCGTGTGGCTCTCAGGGATCCTGACCCACAGACTCATATCTCGCCTGACCGTTGTCACTTGAAAAATACCTTTTCATCAAGGTGGAATACAGACCACATTTCCGCGCAAGATAAACGAGTTTCAAAAGACAAAATGAACTACCGGTCACAAATTTTCTCGGGTGTCCTCCAAAGCTATTTCCCCCCTGGTTGGAACCGTGTACCTTGACAGCCAAATACACCAATATTAAAAAAAAAAAGGAAAAGAAAAGAAAAAAATTGGAAAAACGATTGATTCAAAAAAGACTCGTGTATTTCTAGCAAGAGGATGTCCCCAATGGCGAGAGAAAAAAAAGGCGGGTTGGAGGAATGGTGGCTGGCCAGTCAGTCAGTTGGCTGACGACGCCTGCAAAGCTGATAAGAGCGATCCAGGCACTTGATACTCTCCTGGTCTGGTAAATGCAGGGATCAAAATGGGGTCTATGGGTTGTGATTGGGATGCGTCACATCAAGTGGAAGCTGACTGCTGTGGCATAAGAGTATAGCAGACCTCTGCATTGCACTGCTCTGCTTGGCATGAAATGTATTCTCATGATTCTTTTTGTCTTGAAGTTGGGACAATGTCAAAGCTAGGGCCGTTCGCGAGCCTGTGGGGGTAGCCTGAGGTACGAGGCGAATGGGAAACCCACCAAAATTCCCATCTTTGATGCCGGTTTTCCACCTGATTCTACCACCCATACCCCCCCGTCTTACCTTGCCTTGCCAACAATGTATCCTGATCCCGTGCATTCCAGTTCATACCATTTCCATCTTGGTGGTCATGTCTTGTGCTTCGTGCCGTTGTTTATTCACTCATCACTGTCCATATGAAGAGTGCCGGGGTTCCGCGAGACGCCTGGCCTTCGCATGTTTATTCTTTGTCGAGAAGATTTACTCTTCATCCAGAATCAGTTTGGTGATCTTGCCCACTGCAATGGTCTGGCCCTGGTCTCGCAGCGTGAAGCGGCCGAGTTGCGGGTAATCCTCGAACCGCTCAACACAAATCTTGCCTCCGCCACTTGTGACTTGTAATCGGGCAATGATGTTTTGGCCCTTGGCCGCGAATGGCGGTGGCTTCTTGCTCTTCCGACCAGTCTTCGGTTCTAGTTTGTGCAGCAGTGCGGCAAAGGTGACTTCTTCGGTTGCGGCATGGACGTGCAGTACACAATTGAAGCCGGCTGAGAGAATGGACTTCAGTTCCACGATATTGATCTGCGCCTCGAACTCCCGGACACAGTGGACTAGACGCTTGGGCGAGCACAGGACAAAGCCGGGCATGATATCTTCTTCTTCAATGCCCCGGAGACGCATGCGGACCTGATCGCCGCAAGTGGCGAAGGGGATTTCTTCTTCCGTTTCACCATACAAGGCTGCAATACCGACTTCTTCTCTGTTTGGCATCATGATGTAATTTGACGTCTTTTGCACCACACCGGCCTCGATACGACCTTCAATCATCGTACCCATGTCTCGGTATTTGGCTCCGATGGGCATCATGAATGGGGCATTGACGTTTCGCTGTATCTTGGCCATACTGTCCAGAAACTCAAGAAGGGAGGGTCCTTTGTACCAAGAGGCGACGTCATTGGGAATCCTGTCCTTGACGCCTATACCAGTTTGCGCAGAGATGGGCAAAAATGTCGATTCTAGGCCAATTCTCTTTTTGAGGTATGGTTTTAGCTTGCCCACGATTTCGTCGTAACGTTCTTGCGACCATTGCACAGTAATATCGTCCATCTTGTTGACTGCGACGACCAGTTCTTTGGCGCCGGTAGTTTTGATCAACATGGCATGTTCTTGTGTTTGACCCCCTTTCTCGAATCCGGTTTCAAATTCACCTTTTCGTGCCGAGATGACTAAAATTGCCACATCGGCTTGTGAGGCACCACTCAACATGTTTGGCACATACGTCTTGTGGCCGGGGGCGTCCAGAATGGTATATCTCCGCCTTTCGGTCTCGAAGAAGCCTCGGCCCACTTCGACGGTCTTACCTTTGGCTCGCTCTTCCTTGTTCAAATCTAGAACCCAAGAAATGTACCAAGTTTCTCGACCGGCATCTTTCGCATCCTTTTTGTATTTCTCTAGAGTACGCTCATCCACCATCCCTGTCTGGATGAGAACTTGGCCACCGAGAGTAGACTTTCCAGCATCGACGTGACCAATGAAAATAACGTTGACATGTTCTTTTCCATACATCTCTTCCAAAACCGAAGCATCCACATCGGCTGTCTGTGCTTGGGCGACGTCGTCGGCATTTCGGGTTTTCTTTGAGTCGCCCGGGGTGGGAGAGGATTTGCCCGAAGACGAGGCAGAAGACGTCTTGCCAGACACTTTTTCACCTGTCTTCTCGACAGCTTTCGCAGCAGTGACCTTGGCTCCCGCTTCTGCCTTTATAGGTTCTTTGGGAGGTTCTTTGGTGGTAGGAGAAGCAGGCCTTTTCGGCGAGGCAGAAGCTGATGTTGGTACACCGATAGACAACACTTTGGCTTTTGGAGGGGCCGTAGCGGCCTGTGGCTTCGACGCTGGGGCAGCACCGGCAGAAGTTGCTGCTGGGGTCGGTGCCGGAGCAGGAGCCGGACCGGGTGTAGATTGTTGTGGACCTGGTTGGGAATCTGTTCTCTTTGCAATGCTTATTGCAGCGCCTTGTCTGGGTTGAAAGCTTCCAGGAGATTGATTGTAGGTCGCAAACTGACCGCTGTTGTAGCCTTGATTGTAACCTTGTTGCTGGTATTGAGGATATTGGTTGTAGCCTTGGCCATACTGAGAGTATTGATTGAAGCCTTGAGGTTGCCCATAACCGTAATTCTGATATCCATTTTGCTGGTATGGTTGGCCCGGTTGGAATGAGGCAGCGTTAGGTTGAAATGAAGCGGCTCCGGGCCTGAAAGTGTTGGCGTTAATATTCATATTTTGGGTCTGTCTTGAGAGGTCTTCGTCCTGCGCCGCGGCGTCTTCCCAGGAATCGAAGTTGCCCGACATTGTGAGAGCCTAAGATTCGAACGGGGGGAGGAATGAGGTGGGTTCGAGGATAGAAGAGGAGTTTTTATCGCACGCTGTGAGTCAAGGGAAAGCAGGGGTGGTGGCCAGGAGATTCCTGCGTTGGGTTGAATTGTCGACGTGGATTTGGAGGGGGGTCCCTCAGGGCCCTTTGGGACAAGCAGACAAAATTTTGGCCGCTTGCCGCGGTGTACGTGGGGCTAAACCCAGTACGGTCATTTCTTGGCAAGCAAGGCTGCCAGTACGTTCCTCTCGATCAAGAAATGATATTGTAAAACACAGGATATTTCCAATTCGAAGAAATATGCCTCCCGCTTCCTTCATGTTCATCCCCTTCACGTGACAAGGCTGACTTGTAGCATGGAAACGCATCACCCCCCCATCTCGTCCTCCATTGTTCCTCATGTTCTACTTTGTACTGTACACCACACACTCCTTCCAAACGCAGGCTCCTCTCCGGAGGCAGTAATTCTGCCAAAATGGACATCTTCCTTAGCAAAGTCACACAGCAGGCCATGAACTATGCCATCCGATCCGGAGTGACTTTGACAGCATCCTATGCCATCAGACAGTCCACCAAACTCCTCAGTACCGCTCCCAAGAGCAATGTCAGAGATGAACTCTTCGCGCTCCAGCAACGCCTCCAGCACAAGATTTGTATCGTATCACCCGCCATCGACATGATCGAATTAATTGCTGCTCGGGGGAATACCTCTTTAGAGTCAGCGGTGACACTGACCAAGGAACTGCGTCTTCAGATACAATCCCTAGGGCAACAACTTGCCCGAGCAGCCAATACTTCCGAAGAACTTGCCAGGAAGAAAATGAATAATCAGACGAGAGCTCAGCACGAGCGAGAGCTCGGGCTTATCGTCAGCAACATCAAAGAGCTACTTGACCGGATCGAAGATGCCGTTCCCCTCATCAATCTCGCCATAACCACATCCGGAGCAAGCCTATCAACATCATTGCCTCAGACTGTTTCTCCCTCTCGACTACTACAGGCTAGCACCTTTCTCACCGCAGGGGACACGCAGTATTCGATGTTCCCCCAACATTCGGTTCAAATTGGGCCCACATTTAACCTCACAGTCTACATGCTCTTTGCTGGCCATGATCGCCCACAAAATGAGGAAGACATACGGGAGACGACTTGGAAAGAAGTGATACACAAAGCAAGAGTCAAATTACGACGAGTCCCTCTCGGTGTTGTAGTAGGCACAGGATCTGGCTCCGACGCACTGCCATCCGTGGAAATCTCATCTCTCGGCCCAGCCTCAGATACCAATCCAGCGACGAGCATACCCGCGGATGCCCGAGCCGACGAGTTTGCCTATCAAATGATGATCGTGGAGGATTTTGACGACGATCGCGTTCATGATTTCGAAGAAGATCAAGCCCGTCCTGGCCCTTTTGATGACATCAGACTGGCAGGCATACGAGAGATGATCCCGATCCACGAGATTTCAAAAATTTTCTACGCGGACACCAGCAAAGTGTTGAACATCGGGTCTGACGCAGAAAGCAATCATCCAGTATTACTACTCAAGCGCGACGTAAATGCAATTCCGCCCAGAAGGATGATGGAAACAGAAGATGAAGAATCTGGAGAAAAGGTGCCAAACACAAAGACAGACCGACAGTCCGTTCCAGATGACCAGCAGGACCGACAACGAGATCCCTGGCGATTCCCCCCGTCGCTGGACCCCGAATGGATCGCCTTTGAAGTCTATACGGAATCCGTACCCAGCGACGACTCGGAATCGGACACCGACGAACAGCCCGGTGCGTCTCAGCACGATAACATTGATCCCGAAACTCCACAGCTCTCAGGCTCAATATCCAACATGCATATCAATTCGCCGTCCCCGCAAACGCAGACCCTTACCAACCAGTCTCCTCCATGGGCAAACGCGATCAAAACCTCCCTGTCACTGCTTGAACTCCTCCTGCGTTTGACGTCTTTGCAACAGTTCCAACAACAATCCCACCTCTCCATCACAGACGAGCTGTTAAATTTCTTCCTCGAGGAGAGCGCCTCCACTGGCGCCGGTGGCGACGAAAATTACAGACAGGCTCTGCGCAATGACGCAAGACGCAGAGTCGGCTGGGACCCCTACGACGAAAGCCCCATGAAGCGCAGGGGCGAGGATTACCAGTACTACAGCCCAAGTCCGCAGCCTAGCCCGCATCGTGGTGCAACACGTGGTGTCGAAGACGGTTGGAGCCCGCGCGGCCTACAAACGAAATCCACCAATGCGGTGTCTGATTTTCAGGCCTCACCGTCACCGACTCTGTCGCCATTCCCGGTCGATCCGGCGCGAGGGAATCAAGCGTCGTGGTTGAAGAGGGAGGACGGGAGGAACGGCCGTGTGCTGAGACCCCAGACGGCTTTGACCGATGAAGGCATCGGGACGAGTCCAGCAAGTAGAGTGGGGAAGGGTAGTCCATGAGCGAAGTTTCACGGATAACGAACTAAACCTGTCAAAAAACGGTCATGCAAAACTTAGACAGATTCAACAACTCCTTGACGACGGTCAGATCCCTGAGACTGATCCCACTGTGCGACAACTGGAAAAGACCAAGGAAAGCAGACGCAATGCAAGTCGCAAGGCGGATCCGAAAATGAATCAGACTTAGCAATGCCTGGACAACGGCAAGATTGGCTTGTCTGGTACGGATGCTCAAGAAACGAAGAAATACGATGAGGAGCCGAACGCGAATAAAAAGCTCGAGATAAATTGCTTCAGCTCGACAGCGTCCAGCAAATGGCGATACTGGCGAGTCGGATTCAGAGGACCAACTATTGAGAAAGAAAGGAGACATCTCACGAGAAGAGTACCGAGAAGAGGAGCCAGAGGCTGGCTGGTGCAGGTGAATCAGACCAAGAGGTCAAATTGGTACAGAAAGTACTGCGCAAATGAAAACTGGAATATTCGAGGGTGACATTATAAGCTAGCCGTAATTTAGTTTTCAACGTAGAGCGTATTTAGTACATGTTCCGCCTGGGTTCTCACTATCTCTTCTACCCCAGTCCGTGGGATGGTGTCGTTCTCAGATATTGAACAGCCATGCTGCGGCGAAGCCGGAGCAGAAACACGGTGGTACTGGTCCCGAACAATAGCCTTCCCGGTGCCAGATGGACCATGAGCGAGGAAATGAGTTACAACTAACTGATTAGAAAACTTGATACCCCAAGGCTTGTCAACCCGTGGTAGATAGATAGATTTCAATGAATTGTCAGATTCGTTATCTGTAAGTACCTGGGTAGCTTTCAATAGCTAGAACTATCGATTTCCTTTCATGATGGATTATTCTCTAGCTCTGGCTGAATGTGTTCGATTCGACTCGACTACTGCCGGAGGGTGGTAAGGTTAAGCAATCATTGCACATTGTGTCTCTCCCTTTGATACGTGCGTCGTTCGTGGCGAGGATTGTGATTCGGTGCCTATTATGGCAGCTTGGAGCTGGCGATTGTGGCCGTGACTGAGCTGGGAGTGACAAGATCAGCTCCGCACTTGCAGGTACGAAATGTGAACTTGAGACATGCCCTCTGGCAAAACATGGTAGACTTGCTGGGGAGCGCGACCCCATATGCGATTCATCGGCTGTTTGTATCAACCGCGGTAACCAGATGATCACAAGGTGAATGGTTCCGGGCGAGGGTCTTTCGGTCTGGAAGATAAAGTCCGTTGTGTATAGAATTTGAGGTGCACCACTTCAACTTCACCTCACTCCCATCTGTGCCCGTATCTGCATGATTTGTGCTCGCTCAGTCGGAGAAAACGAATCTATCGTTCTCTGATCCATGGCGAGAACTTGTTGAATCATTTCTTGCTGAGACAATTGAGGTTGCACTTGAGGTGGTGGAGGTTGTTGCTGTTGCATGGTTGTCGGAGGGTATTGCGGAGCCGGTCTGGGAGGCATTTGGCCTGGGACAACAGATGGAGGCGGATAACCGAGATATTGCTGCGGTGTGGGTTGCGGAGGAGGGACGTTTGCTGGTTGAGGCGGTCTTGCCGCTTGCTCGACAACTTGAGCGAGAACTTTAGGATCAACCAGATTCATCAGAATCAGAGCCTGGAAGATAGCAAATGACAGTTGTGGCGCCGTCTTGAGAAGAGATGTTGCTCTGGCAGGGTCCGATATGGCCAAAGCCTTCATCTGCGTAAGCACATCCAGTAGCTGCGGTGGTGGTATTGTGGAGAGCGTTTGAGAGATGGCGTCGGTGCATCTGAGATTCGGGGGTAAATCGACACCCGACGGGAGAGGAGGAAGTGCGCTTGCACCTGTGGATTGCAATCCGTCGCCCGTGGGAGCCGCAGTCTGATCGTAGTTGGTGGGAACAGAATCCTTCTCATTATTGTGAGGCCAGTCGACTCGAATCTTGCGGCCATCGATCTCAAAATCGTTCAAATTCCTCACAGCGTTGGCCGCTGAATCCGTATCTTGAAAATCCGCAAAACCAAAGCCTTTGGATTTGCCAGTGTCGGGGTTGGTCATGAGTCTGAATTTGACAACGGTTCCGGCATAACTGAGAATCTTGACGATGTTTTCCTCGCTCAAGTCTGAAATATAGTCAGTAGCGGCCAGAGGAAGCAGAGACGGGGGTGAGGATTCTTACTGAAGGGGATATTTCCAACAAAGACACTGCGGCTTTGGCCAGGTGCCATGTTGGGCGGGTTGCGGACAGGCGCGTTGGTCGGAGATGAAGCAGGATCGGAGGCTATGTCAAGAGAGGATATAGAAGTAGTAGAGAAGAGTATGATTCTCCTGTGCTCAACCGCAGGTCTCGACCGGTGGTGGAAGAAAGCAAGATAAGGATCGCTGCCGAAGAATGCACCAGCCCAAATTCGGAAGATGGTAACGCCGCCCTGTGCTCACAATTTGTCAGTCCGGAACCATATCTCTTGGCAGCTCTCAAGTCGATATTAAGATTCCTGCTCTCTCTCCATTCTGAATTTTAAATTTCAAATCATGGGTACATTCTCGTCCTGTTGAGGGCAATTGTTGTGATGGTTCTACACTCCGAGCGCTCGAAAGAAGCAACAACGCATGACAATCTCTAATTAGGCTCGGTCGGTTGCAAATGGCCCGTCAAGATTTCTTCTGCGCATATGAAGACATGTCCCTTTCCCGTACCGGTCTTAAAAACTCACGCTTCTGGCATCTATTGAAACAACAATCGGTCATGAGCGGCGAAGTGCTCCTTGTCCTCCTGCCCTGGGCGCCGCCCGATGACTATGTCCAGAACTTGGCGCAAATCAGCCCTGGCATCCGTGTTATCACACACAAGACTGGCGTATATGAAAAAGAAGTGCCCCAAGAGATATCCAACAAGACATGGGCCATGGCCACGATTCTTCTGACTTGGAGGATTTTCCCAACAAAGGAGCAGGCACCAAACCTTCGTTACGTGCAGCTTATCAGTGCCGGCTGCAATCAAGTCTTTGGACTGCCAATCTTCGAAGAAACTGACATCCCATTTTGTACCGCCAACGGTGTACATCCGTAAGAGACTTCTCCATCGCAGTATTGATGTTCCTATTGACGGTTGTAGACCACAATTTACCGAATGGATCTTTGCCACTTTCCTGGGCTTCCAGCATCACCGTAAGCGAGCGACAACACTCTCTCCGGCCTTGACTTTATTTGACATTCTATATTCTACAGTCCTCGAACACTACGAAAATCAAAAACTTGGAAAATGGGTCGACCCAGTGTCAGATGAGGGAGTTGAGGATGTTGTAGGCCTTCGAATGTACCGATACCCTCTTGCTCCCCCCTGCTAATGCCACAACTACCGCTCCGCCATGTGCTGATTGTCCGCTTCGCACAGAGGAGTCCTTGGCTACGGTTGCATTGGCAGACAGGTAGCTCGAGTGGGCAAGGCCCTCGGCATGGATATTCATGCTTTCACTCTGCGCGAACGTCAGACGGCTGAATCGAGGAAAGACGATTCATTCACTGAGCCGAACCTTGGTGATCCGGAAGGACATTTTCCGTCCAAGTGGTATCATGGGCCTGAACAGCTGAATGATTTCCTTGCATCGGACCTTGATCTGCTAGTGATCACATTGCCCCTCACACCATTGACGAGAGGTATGATATCGTCGAGACAATTCGAAATTCTTGGCAGGAAGAAGACCTTTGTCAGTAATGTAGGAAGAGGGCCCACTATTGACACCGATAGCTTGATCAAGGCTCTCGAGGAAGGCAAGATTAGAGGTGCTGCTCTTGATGTGACAGACCCAGAGCCTCTGCCTCAAGATCACGCACTATGGAAAGCCCCAAACGTCATCATCACACCGCATTGTAGCGGCAACTCGAACCATTATAACGAGAGAGTCCTCAAAATATTGGCATACAATTTGCGCCGTCTTGCGGAAGGCAAACCCGTCGTTAACATGGTTGACAAATCTTTGGGATACTAGTCGTTGGATAAATCATTGGAGTCAGTTCGTCAAGAAAGGGAGCTCTCATCTCCACGTGAAGCCACCAACCGCTACCCCAGGATCTGTCCTATAACTTGGCTTTCACACGCTCCTTGTCATCCACGCGGATTTGAAAACCAACCGTGGCACCAGGGATGAATGGCAGGGCCTGATCTGTTATGACTGAATTGACACAGGCTGTGGTCATTGTTGCGAAGAACCCCTCGTGGGAAAATTCCAACGCCATGTAGTGAGAACTACGTTCTTGAGATGTGCAGTATTGTATCACTCACGCCCTGACCCACAGAGCCATACATCTGCGAAGTAATCTGTTGAGTCCTTGCCTTACTCTTCACAGGCTAAGCCTAGAATGGACTAGCTCGCGCAGCACAAGGCTGCTGCCCCTTTCGAGCCATTGATCACCTACAGGCCATTGAGAGTGCTCTCCTACTGTAAGTTCTACTGGTATTTCAACTGCAGAAGTGATAGATTCTTGCACTAGCTCTATCTCTGACACTCCTTTTTTCAAACTGGAAGGTGGCTCGAGAAAGCGGTCGCAGCTGCTAGGACCTCCGACAACTCTCGGATTATAGTGTATTTGTATTCCATAGGAGAGTAGCCCACTGTGACAGGGAGGCGAAGACAAGGATGATGATTGAAGGCTGGCATGATGATGGTTGAGTGTCGCGACCTGGTGGTCATTTCTTAAAGCGGCATCGCCAAGGGAACGCCCACGTGAATTTGCCAAGCCACCTTTCTCCGCAAAACCTCGCAGCAGCGCAACCCGGAACCTTGATTGTAGGTCAGGATGTTGCCTGCCTGAGCTTCGTATCCTCGCTGGTATCATCTAATTTGTGCTCTGCAGAGACCAGCAACCATGTCTTATGATCCCAGAGAACATTTTCAACAAATCCAGCGAACACTGCAGCAGCGGAGCGGCAGGGGCTTCGGAGGTGTTCCTGGAGGAGGTCCTGCGGCTAGAGGTGTTTTGGCATTAGTCGGCCTCGGAGTAGCTGGAGTCGTGATCTCAAATTCTATATTCAACGGTATACTTGAATCTTTCTGGGTATGATCATGAGATCCTGACGAGATATAGTTGACGGTGGCCATCGCGCGATCAAATATAAAAGAATATCAGGAGTGTCAAAAGAGATCTACAACGAAGGTATGGAAAGGTTTTCCGGACGATTTCTGTACAGCTAACAGTAATAGGCACACATATCCGAATACCCTGGTTTGAAACCCCTATCGATTACGATGTTCGCGCGAAGCCACGAAACGTTTCCTCTTTGACCGGAACGAAGGATCTGCAAATGGTCAACATAACTTGCCGTGTTCTTTCTCGGCCTCGAGTGGAAGCATTGCCTCAAATTTACCGCACATTAGGCACCGATTATGACGAGAGAGTCCTCCCATCGATTGTGAACGAAGTTCTGAAGAGTGTGGTCGCACAATTCAATGCAAGCCAACTCATCACTCAACGAGAGAACGTTGCAAGATTAGTCCGGGACAACCTCACAAGAAGAGCTGCGAGGTTCAATATCATGCTCGACGATGTCTCCCTGACCCACCTCTCATTTTCGCCAGAATTCACGGCGGCGGTCGAGGCCAAGCAGGTTGCTCAGCAGGAAGCCCAAAGAGCTGCTTTCGTGGTTGACAAGGCAAGACAAGAGAAGCAGGCAACTGTTGTTCGTGCGCAGGGTGAAGCACGGTCTGCTGAATTGATTGGTGACGCCATCAAGAAGAGCAAGAGTTACGTCGAACTCCGGCAGATTGAGAATGCTCGCAACATCGCAGCAATTCTACAAGAGGCAGGAGGGAAAAACAAATTGTATCTTGACGCGCAAGGATTGGGTCTGAACGTCAATGCTGGTGAAGATTCTTCCAAAAAGTAAGGGCAGAGTGGTGGTAATGTATTTTAACGGGGGATCATGACTCCTTCGGCCCTCTTTGCAATTATGTCATTAGCGATCGGGGGATCAAAATATAACAATTCTTCACTCGAAGCAAAGTCTTTGGACCTCGAAATTTGGTATTGAACGCTTTCTGATCTTGTTCTCGTATGATCACATGACTTGCTCAAATGTGTACAATTTCACGATTGGAACCCAGATTCCAGATATCGTTCAGAAGAACCTACAAATCCTGACGTCCCAGTGGTTGGTAACTCGCATCTCTGTTCTCGAAGGAGAAACGTATGCCAGCCACAGTGACAGTGATAGGCGAGCTACTTCTACAGGCTACCTGTTACCACCTTCGAAGCATATATACGGATTACGATAGTTGGTGACCATTACCGAAGTGAGAATATAGGAGTTCTCCCTGTCACGTGCACGTCCCCACATCATGCACGATATTTCGCCCACAAACCCTATCTGAACAACCATGAGCCCAATTGATGCCGCGCTTTTGTGATCTAGCATCGCAAGATGCTCCAAATATTGCTGCTACTGCAAAGAGGCATGGTGTTAACCGTTCCACACTATCACGGCGTTGGAGAGGCTAAACAGGCAGTTGGGAGGAGCACATCGATTCCATGTCATTTCTCACGAAGCAACAGCAGAAGAATCTTATATCTTACATCAATAAGCTTACCGAGCGTGGCATACCTCCTACAAATGCAATGGTTCGAAATTTTGCGCATGATATATGCAAAAAAGGCCAGGCAAAAACTGGATTCATTCAGGCTCATAAGAAAGTACTCAAATCTAGATACCTATGCGGCGCAGATTTAAGCCGTAAAAAGGCTGATAATGTATATCAATATCGTCTTTACCTTGAGCTGGTTTGTGTCCTTATATTATTAATTCCATATAGATTGCTACCAAAATTGCAGAATACAACATCCTTCCGCACAACATAATCACCGAGGACGAATTACAAAGTACCAATTCGAGCGGGCGCTGGAAGAATCAATTCGGCTGGACGGCCACGGTGACACTATTGCAACACGGAGTTAGCCCAGACCAATAAAATCCAATCGCCGATTCCATCGGGATTCCGGTGCCAACGTAATCGATCGCGGAGCATTAGGACCACCGGCAACATCAGTCTTTCTAAAATCCAAAAATTCTCTTGTCACCTCTCTCACTATGGCTAAACGTTATCGTAGTATTCGCATTGAGATTAAGCAAATCTTCTATATGGTTGACGGTTTATGCATACGTAAACAAAAAAATATTAAGAAGAATAAAAGACCCCCCTCCCATAGTCCATCTCTAACGAACTTATAAATGGGGCGCCGCAGCCAGTGAAAGCTTCAGCCACACAAGTTCAACTACAGAAGAGTTTGAATCAGTGACCTCCCAACGTATGAACAAGACGACATCATCAACAATCACTGGCTGGAGCATTACGTTTACCCACGTAGGGCACCTAGAAAGCTAGGCCGGACAACCCTCTTACCTTACCTATGGTAGAACACTAGTAAGGCCCCTCAATTCTATCGGTTCGACTGCAAGCCGAGTGTTTTACCACTCGGTTACGTCCTTGATAGGTCAACCACGATTTGGTCAATTTTGAAGCAAGTTTTGGCATTATGAAATATAATCTTGATTTTTTTTTTTTTTAATAAAAAAAAAAAAAAAAAAAAAAAAAAAAAAAATGAATCGCCTGGTTAGGGCTTGGCGTTGTGTAGCGACGCCAAGAGCGACGAGCCGGCCAATCACGTAAGCCTACGGCTTAGCGGTGTCACGTAGGCACTCCCTTTGTCGCACCGTCATCGGATCCAATCCGTGGACCATGTGGCGGGGGGGCACCCTACTCGATAGATATCGATATCCTCGATATCGAGATGATCCACGCATCGGATCCAGTCTGTGGACCACCCAAGCCCTTACTGATCACACTCGAGATGGCTCGTACATACAGTACATAGAAACCGGAAGGAAGAGAACCTTTTCTGACCGCGCAGGCACCAGTCTTTCTTCCCCACGTGAGTGGGTCCACCGAAAATCGATTGAGCATCTCAAGCGACGGAGACGAGAACCGAAGGGCTGTCCTAGGACTCCATATCATTCGTCGATGCTGACCATCCCTTACTGGTTCAGAGGGGAGTATGCCGACTGCGATCTCGATCAAAGGGTCCTGTACTCATTAGTGTCGACGTTTTTCAGGGTCAGCAGGATCCCCCATCATTCTGCATTTTTCTACTTCAATCTGGGTTGCAACCTGCGTTACGACACACCCAAATTCCCAAGTCTCTGACATACCGTGCCATATTCGAAGCGTTGTCGATCATTCACGATCACAGTCTGGTCTCTTGCTGTTCGAGGGAATGTATCGGGAGAGCGACCACCCACAGCGAATCGCGTACAACAGCAACCTACTAAACACCAATTGAGCCTAGTTGTGCGAACGTTGTCCGCACGATGGAAAGGTACCTAAAAGCACACCATGTTCCTAGGGGTTTGAGGTACCTTTCCATCCACTTTGCCTCCCTCGCATAGTTGGCGCCTTTTGGTGTTCTTCAAACGACGTCGTTAACAGTCTTTTGCACTCGCCTTTCCACGCCCTTTTTGGGGAATGTATCCTTAAGCTCGATTTGGCATAGTAGATGGAAAGGCGCAACCAATGATGTAAAGGTACCTAACAAACCCCCCCCAAAAAGCCTAGTAAAATCGCACAAATCGAGGTACCAAAACATCAAAATTGAGGTACTCAATTTGCGAGCTCTTTACCTTATTGTTGCTCGATTCGCCATTTGTATGGACGATAGAAAGGCTTCATAGACAACGGAGGCACCCTGACACGCAACAACGCCAAAATCGAGTGCAGAAAGCGCTGTCAAAGGGCTTAACGACGTCGTTCAATGAGCGCCAAAAAGCGCCAACTATGCGAAGGAGGCAAATTGGATGGAAAGGTACCTCAAACCCCTAGGAAAATGAGGAGTGTTTCAGGCACCTTTCCACCATGCGGACAACGCTCGCACAACCAGGCTCAATTGGTGTTTAGTAAGGTCGCTGTTGTACGCGATTCACTGTGGGTGGTCGCTCTCCCGATACATTCCCCTGTTCGATGCGCCTCGCACTTGGTCTTTCCACCCCGTTCGAAGGGGGCGTGTTCGTGTGGTTGGTTGTGAGGGCGCAGGGCGCCCTAGGTTGAGGTTGGTATCGACTAATCGGGAATTGCCGACCCTATTAGGGCGCGTCGCCCGTGTCGGATCTATTTACTTCCTCAAACACGCCTAGCTTGAGGTTCTTCAACTCACTTGCAGCTCTAATACACAAAATCGCTCCCCTCTCATTGTGTTATATATTTTGTATTCCAAACAGATAATTGTCGGCACTCCTGGGAACCCCTGGCCTGTTGACTAGGCTACCATGAGATATTGATGTTGGGCCGAGAGAAGATTGACCGAGGTGCAAGCTACATAAAGGGGCACCGAAGGGTGCGGTGCACGTGACTAGGCTAGGCCCAATATGGACTGCCAACACTGAGTACGAGTCAGGTATTGACGTGTCGGATGGTTTTCCTATCCCATATCCCCTTTTTTTGTGTGTGTATATATTTCAGTTTGTTCCCAGCATGTAGTTTTGTAATGGAGTTCCGCGAACTGCGAAGCTTCATCGTCGAGTTGTGTCGTTATCAAGCTACCGCCGTCGTTGTCGAGCGTTCGCACTCATTCGCTTGTTCACGCGCGTCTAGCGCGTGAACAAGCGAATAAAGAATGAGTGAGATTTCATCAATCCATGAACCACGTCGAGTGGAAGGGCTGCCCCCCCCCGGGGGCACGTGGTTCATGGATTGGATCCGATGGCGGTGATCCCGGAAAATTGTTAATCCGAAGGTAGTTGTTCGGGAAACATTTGATCCGTTAGGGGTGGCTCATTGACCAGATCCAATCCATGGATCATGTCGATGTCGACGCCTCCCCTCCACAGACTGGATCCGATGGGAGCTGTTACGGAAAATGGTTAATCCGTTAAGGGTTGACCGGGAAATATTTAATCCGATACACGAGGCTTGGCAAGAGGCTCACTACCAAGATGCCCGAGCTCGACTAGTCTCGCTCAGTCTCGGCTTGTCTCGGCTCGTTGAGAAGCCTTGGCGTTCCATCCAGGAACGTAGAGATAAGCAGATTTCGACGTGCTGCAAGGGGCTCATGTCGGTCCCCTCGACTCCTTGCTCGACGGTGTGAAGTGTGCGCCTAATGCCGACATTCTCCGTTCCCCTGCAAAAACACCCTTGCGCGGGACGCTTCTGAAGTCAGAAAGTCCTGCACCCTCTGGCATTGGCCGAGTTCCACATGGAGCCGTGTCGCTACACGCAATTAGGACCCGAACAGCATCTCTGTGCAAACTGCCTGAATATTCGCACTCGACCGCACACAGCCTGAGTCTCCCCCCTGGGGTCCAGAGGACCCAAAGCGAAATTTGTCTCGAAATCAACTTTAAATTCCTCAAGCGACGGCATCCTACTCTGGCTTTCCAATCCCGGGCATGAAGCACAGGTCCAAGCTGTTGCTGCTGCCCACCACACCAAGTTTCTCCCAAGCGTCGGTAAAGTTCTCGACACACCACCAGTCTCGTCATACTTGCAAGGATACTCACCGTGGAGTCAAGAATTCAACCTTTTGCTACCAGTTTTCATAGTTTGACCAGGCTCGAAAGTCCTCGATAATCAATGGACAGGGCGCCTCGGCCTTGTGCGGTCTCCCTAAACTGTCGCCAAGGGATCCACATCCAGCCCAGAGCCAATAAGATGCACAACCTCGAACCAATCTCCTGTGTTTGTGCAGCTTTGCAAGCTCTCCTCTTTTTTCCCGGGTTGGACCTTTGAAAAGTTTTCGAGGTCCGTTTGTACCTTACAGCGATATGTTTTTGTCGTATTCTGCCTATTCGATCTCTCTTCTCCGCCTTTGCGGCTTCTATGATGGAGGCTCAAATACGGTCCGAAGACAAGGGATGACACGTAACTCGCACGAAGGCCGGCCTTCCGAGGCACAACTGGACGCTCGGAAATATGAAGACCGTTTGCAGATTCATGATAAGCAAGCAAGCAAGTCGGCATTGTCGTTGTTTGTCTTCGTGCCCCCGGTTCAGAATCAGCATGGGTGCTGGATACGCCATTTTTGTCCAACCAGGCACGGTTTGCCGTCGCTTCAGCAGCGAGAATCCCACGTCTCGCGACCCAGCTAAAATTTTGCAGGGCGATGTGTTTGATTCTGGCAGTTCCATGTGGAATCTGATGCAGTTCAATATCTAATCGATACAGGCTGCGGACAGTCTCGGATGTTTGACTTGCCGGCTGCTGAGTAAGAAGAGACAAAGGAAATGAACGGTTGTCAGAGTAGAAAAGCCTTTACCAGGCTCTCCAAAGTGTCTTTCACTTTCCATGTACCAATATGAAACCTTGCAGCCTTTCATTGACGGCTGAACCGCGCTCATATGTGAAAGCCAGAGCCACGCGTCTCCATGAGGCTCGTATCCCTTTCGTCTCAATTTTCAAAACAAGAGTCAGAAGGCTCTGTCTTGCAACGACGACACAGCCTACTCCCATGATTCTGATCTCCTCTCTTCAGAATGTTCAAGACCATCAGAAAGGGAGCACCAAGAGCTAAAGAGAAGCTTCGGGCAGACGAATCAAATCAAAATTGGCTTCTTCAATTCGGCGCAATCTCAGCATAAGGAGAAATGTGACCAAGGGTGAATTGTTCGTTATTCTTCCAAACACGAATATGTGACCGTCACAATGGAATTCAAAATCAAGAGAGAAGAGAGAGCTCTCTGGCACTTCCGCCTCCAGAGAAGCGGGTATACCGAGCATACTCCGGACTGATGCAGATTACACCACCACAAACGGAAATGTCGATTATGTTTCAGGTCAACAGGGCGGTGCCAAAGCATTGGCAATCCTCCAAGGCCTGTGTGGCCCAGCAGACTCAGATGATCTTTCAATAGCTCTCAGCAACGTCCAACCCGACCAAGAGTGTCTACCAATCCCACTGTCTGCGAAAACGAACAATAAGAAGAACAAAAGCGGGTGCCGATGATGATGAGGACGACGATGATGGTTATGAAGAGGAAGAGGAAGAACAGTCAGGGGATGAAGAAGGCAACTATACAGAATGGGTTTCACACAGTTGCCTCGATACCTCTCGGCCTCCACTGTCGGACGTTCATGGGATCTTCGACGCAATTGCTCAGGTTGCCATTGAAAATGGCTTTCTTGAAGCTTGTTTGCCCTTCGAAGAGCGAGGAATACGAGTCTTCACTTTGTGTTCCGGTACAGAGAGCCCTGTGATAGCGATGAGATTCCTGCCAAAGGTCCTCAAGGTTGCAGGGCAACGAGGTTTTCCAATATCAACATATCGGTAGTGCTGAAATTGAGCCCAGGAAGCAGGCTTTCATTGAACGTCATCACCACCCTCCAGTCATTTTTTAGAGATGTTACAGAATTTCCGGCACACGCCGAAAACCCGAACGACAAAGTATATTTTCCTTTCACGGCATATGGCCGACAAGCCAAGCCAACCAGGGGCGCTCATATTTTGATTGCTGGCTCGTCCTGTATCGATTTCTCCTTCCTTAACAAAGACAGGAAGAAACTTGAGCAGGATGGAGTTCGAGGCGAGTCTTTGGACACCATGGACGGAGTTCTCGCTTATGCGAAACAGTACCGCCCAAACTTAATCCTGCTGGAGAATGTCATCAAGGCTCCGTGGGCGAAGATCAAGGATGAGTGGAGCAAAGCCGATTACTCTTCCACGGTCATCAAATTGGATACCATCAATTACTATCTTCCATAGACGCGGAACCGAGCGTATTGTCTGTTGATAGACAGGAAGCACGCCGAAGAAATTGACTTCAATGTTGAGGCCGCTTCTGAGGAGTGGGCTAGTCTCATGGCTCGCTTTCAGCGTCGGGCATCGTCCCCGTACAGCGATTTTATCCTCCATGAAGACGATGAGCGTCTTCACCTCGCCAAGCGCGTGTACGACGGAAGCAAAGGACGACCATGGGCAGGCGACTGGGCGGCTTGCCGGAAGCGACATACAGCAATCCGTCTCGAACAGCACCTCGGAACTTTGAATACTTATACTAAGCGTGAGGGCAACTCACGGCCTAGAATGGATGACTCAGCCTGGCAGTCATGGGCCGTCGGTCTACCGATCCGGGTTCTTGATGATTTGGACACCAACTTCAACCGCCACGTCTGTCAGCGAGATTTCGACATGCGGTACAAGCATAGAAATATCGACATTTCCCAAAACGTCGACCGAGACCTAGATGCTCGGCAGTGGGGAGTTGTCGGATGTATCACTCCCAAAGGCAGCCTATTCGAAACTCTTCGAGGAGGTCCGATTGTCGGTCTGGAAGTTTTCGTCCTCCAGGGAATGCCCATTGGAAACCTCAAAGGAGCTGCAGGATCTTGCTGGAAATGCAATGACCGCCACCGTTGTTGGTGCAGCTATTTTTAGTGCTATCATTGCGTGTCATCATGCCGCGTCCGAAAACAAGACTGACCCAAGTCAACAGATCAGTATGTTCCAGAAGTACACAAACCAATATTCACATCGAGCTGCCCGGACACCTGCTCCTAGCACTCCACTGTTGAATGAGCGAGGGCTTATTAAGAAAGTTGGCTTTCATCCCTTGAGAAGCAGTCACGAGGTTTTCTCCTATGAATGTGCAACGTCCCTTAAATACATCATGCCTGCAGCAATCGCCGCTCAACCTCTATGTCGCCGTGAAGGTCTGGGTCAACACACCACTCGTCAACGCAAGCAATGTCCTGAGTGTTTCTACACTTGCTGTGACAGATGCAGTAGGCAGGATCATCATGGCCTCGAAAAGCTATTGCCGGCTCCCACTGCGGACCGCTCGTCTCCCAAAGACTTCATCCAACAGCTATCTCAGACACTGCCGCCGCTTTTGGCACTTAAAAATATCCCAACTCATCAGATTAATCGTCTTGATGACAGTGCTTCAAAGGTTCTAGCATTGATGCAGAAGGCTCTCGATAGGACAGTACGTTTCCAACAGGTGAAGTTCGAACAAACCTGGAGAGCTGTTTACGAATCTCAGCACTCCAAGCTAGAGCTTGATTTTCTCCCATACCATTCCCGGCGCAATTCATCCTTAGAAGGATCTAAAAGGCTACATGAACGTTTCCTTCTTGAACCTACACGGTTTCTGTTTGCCAAATTTCCATCGACAGAACCGGCAAGAAGCAAAGTGAGAGACTATCTCCGCCGTCCGGTCGCCAGGATGCGACCGTCTGGAAGTCTTCTTTCGGGCGTATGGCAGCTCTGGTGTTATGAAACGCCTTGTGAAGTTCGAATCCGCGGAACAGGTTGCGAGACACCGTCTTGGGAACAAATCATTGGACTAAAAAGAGAACCGTACCCACACTTGAATGTATTCACAGAACTGGAAATCCCGGCGCTACCTCAGATCAACAACCCTGACGAGGGCATCCTAAATCAATTGTCTGGCAGGTATCTAATGTCCTGCCGCCTGCGGAATTTTGTATCGAAAACAATCCCATTTATCATTAAAGGAGCGGCCAGTATTTCTTTTCTTGCGGTCCGATCCTCTGAATGATGCTTGTCTTGATCGTATGGTATTTGCGACCCAGCCACCTCAACAGAAATGGACCGACGATCGAACGGTCCTTGCGAAGCTTCCAGCCGCATGGAGACCAGTTGCTTCGCCAGAACTTGCTCGCGGTGTCAGGATCGTCTGTGATCTACAGATGTTCAACTTTTTATACCTGACGAAGGCAGACAAATTAGGAAATGACATCAGCCAGCAAACTTTCTTCCTCGGCCTAATGTGCCTTGCACAAATTATGCGTCAACCGTCTTGGTCGTCCAATTACCTCTTGATTTGGATCGGGGGATGAAGTGGCCAGAAGGCCGTACTGTCATCATCGAGCTTGAAGACAAGCCTGAGGCGCTCAAAGGTTTCGGCTGGATTCTATCGCGCGCTACCGATGTCCCACATTTGACACAGAATTGGCAATCTTTCGACGATTTGGATGATCTGAGATGCAAGTCTTGTTCACCGCAACCTCCCTACCTCAGGTGGCTCCTCAAGCTGTTCGTGGGAAGGACGCAGTTAGACCTTTCGAAGACGCGAAACAAGCAGCTGAGTATGAGGATGCCTTGAAACACAGACCCAAACCAGCAATGGCGACAATGCACTACCACGAAAAAATCGCTTTCCTAGATGTCCAAATCAACATAAAGATAATGGTGCACCGAGCTGTGGCAGAGCTTCCATCATGTGCGTACTCAGTTTCTGGAAAGACAGAATCTCATTAGCGTCCAGTTCACTATCATCGCCCTACTCTTCAACCTTCATTCGGCCCTCTGAAACTTTTGTCGAATAGTTCAGAGACGTTAATGGGTCAGCAAAAGTTGGGTCGCGCGAACTTTGGCCATCGCAGCATAAAATCCTCTCTTGGATGTATAGGCAAGAACAGTCGCCTCCAATCTGGGAAGAAATGGCACTGGTCGAATCGCGTCTGTCCTCTTTGGGATGGCGACTCGAAGCTAGAGCACTTGCTCCTACCCAAGTCCGCGGTGGAGCCATCGCAGGTGAGGTTGGAGCCGGCAAACCAACTACGTCGCTCGCTCTGGTCAATATGGACTACACGGAACGTCGATCAGGTTGCTCGTTCGACTCAAATTATTCTCTAAAGCACGTGCAATCTGATGCTACATTGATATTGGTGCCCAAAAACATAATCACTCAATGGGAAACCGAGCTCAAGGCTTGCCTAGACTGGACGAAGCTGGATACCGGAAGCCGTGATCCCGCTCATCCTCATTACATTCTTGTTGACTCCACCAAGTCCCTGGAGAGATGTTCTTTCTCCGACATCATATCGGCTACTCTCATTTTGGCTCCATGGGACTTATTTGAAGACACCGAATATTGGAAGAAGCTACGCAATGTCACCTGTGGACCCAACATTCCCGCTGGTCCTGGCCGTGCGTTTTATGAGTGGTTGAATGAAGAGATGCGGTTGCTCCGAGATGGGGTGGAGCAACTGCAGAGTCATGAATCGAAGTTTTGGGTATTCTGGGAGGAACTTAGGTGTGAGAGAAAGGACTACGATCGCTTTATGGCCTTTCTCAATAGAGCCAACTCCAAAGCTGAACGTGCGAAGAAGGATAAAAGTGGGAAGGAGGGTAGAACCAAGGACGAGACTGGCGATGAGGAGAATCATGAGAATGCAATGGACGTTGATCCTTCAGGGGAAATCCAGAACCACAAACAAAAGCAAGAAGACAACACTAAAAAAGCGGTCGTCGTCAGATCTAGAAGAAAACGATGACGACACACTAAGTGGCCATGTCTCTGCACAACTCGCAGGTAAAACTATAGAGAAAGGAGACACTGAAGATGTTATAGGGAAGCAAGAGCTCAAGAAATTCCGCAGCGATGGCAAAATCCCAACCCTCCTTCATATGATCTCATTCCGAAGGCTGATTGTTGACGAGTTCACATATGTCCGAGGGAAAACATTGCTTACTCTACTCCGACTTCATGCCACATCAAGATGGTTACTTTCGGAACACCACCGATCGATGACTACGATAGCGTAAATACTATATCAGAGCTTTTGGGCACACGGGTTTCTACTTATGACGAGCAAGGCGGACAATTCGAATTCGGGCGAGATGGATCTAAAATGGCCAAAGACAGATCTGAGGCGGAAGAATTCCAATCTTATCAGCGACTTATCTCTGCGGACTACAAAGAAACTATATATCGACATGTGGTAAAGTTTGCCAACATGTTTATCCGCAAAAATGGGGCCGATGTTAACCTCCCGGCCGTCCATCGTCATGAACGCTACTTCACACTTGCTCCGTCTGAGAGGATTGTGTACATCGATGTTGAAAGGATGGTCCATGAGCAGGATTGTCTGTTCAATAAAAGGAAAATCACCCAGAACAACGATGGAATGACCACTGAAATGAAGCTTAGGGCGGCGGTTGAGTAGAAGACGGGGCCCTGGGATGCTCTGCTGAGCTCAACATCAATGCTACGCAACTTGTTTGGAAATGCCGGAAATTGGGGATCTACCCGTGAAAAGGAAATTTTGAGACAACTGGTCGAAGAACAACAGGTGCTTTTGTATTCCAAGGCACGTGAGCTACTGGAATGGCTGCAGGAACTGTGGTATATTGCGGTTGAGGTGAAGCCCAAGCAAAAAGGCAAGATCGCTGGCAGACAGTCAACCAAAATGCCACCCAGCAGAGCACCAGAGCACACAACCACGTTCGCACGACTCATGCACAACATCAACGGTGGGAAATTAGCCCAAGGCGACGTGGTTCCAATCTTGCAGCACCTTCTTTGGAGCTCTCGGCAGCGAAGGCACCCACGAAGAGAGCGCCAGAGGCAAAGAGGGGCAAAAGTCGTGCCTGGATTTTTAGCGCTCCCGGACCAAGAATTGACAAAAGAAATGAATCTCCGTGTCGAAAAACTGGGACACACTGACCGCCGACTTGACTGCGCTTTCTGCGCGTGATGGCCACTGCAGTCAATGGAGATTCACTCGTTAACTGCGGAAAAGAAACTGAGGTGGTCGACCGCCGGGTCCAAATTTCGACCCAATGCGGTCACGTCGTGAGCAAGTGGTGCCTGCTCCGCTTCTCACGGAGGCGGAGGAATGGGAAGGCCCCGACGATGTTGTCCAAGGGTCGAGAATGAGGCAAGCAATTGCCCATCATTCGTGCGATTCCCGCCAGGGAGGTCGGCCTTGTCTTTGCACAAGCCGACGACCTCAAGGAGGCCTTCCTTGAGGAGTGCAAGGCGGCCGGGATCGAGTGTGTTGACGGCTTCGCCAACACGAGGCGAGCGGTGGAAGCCTTCGCTCAGGCGGCGGAAGAGTAGGCGGCTGGGGGCAAGGGCTCTCGGGTCCTTGTCCTCAAAGTCGACAGCCCGGATGCCGCTGGCTGGAACCTCCACTGCGCCAACCATGTCCCCTTTCTCGCGCCTTTGATGGTTGAGTCGACGGAGGAGAGGGACGCCCCCATGAGCCAAGCCATTGGTCGGTCCCTTCGTCCCCGCCAAACAAAGGAGGTACATGTGTACCACTTGGCGGCCAGGGACACCATCGAGCCAGGCAGGGTGGCGCCGCTCCAGTAAAGGGCCTGGGGGATGGGAGGACAAGGCGGAGGAAAAGGAGAGAAGGGGAGGGAGGCCCTTGCGTTTGGGACCCAATGCCTGGATAGGCGCCCTCTTCGTTCACGAGGTGTCAGGTGTTCAGGCGGTGACCGTTTGGCCGTTGAAAAGCATTTGAACGGCAGTTTGGAAGAACGTGTAACTGTTCTTCTCGTTTGTCCTATCGTGATATCGGGCGAGCGCTGTCGTTGTCGTCCTTCCGCTGTCACCTACGATTATTGATATTGCGGATGTGCGCTTAGCATTCGCAGAATGCTGACATGGTGATATGGCAAACCGCCTTTTGATCTCGCTGTTGTGCTACGAAGTGTACGCTACACATTCAGCGAGTGGCTTTGGACGATTTTTCTACGGTATCTTTTGTATCTAATTCGTTACTAATCGATGAGGATTGAGAGATTTTCCGTTCCTCTGTTCACAATCAGACACTAAAACGCTAGCCGGGATGAAAGCGGAATGGCGGCAGAGGCATATTGCTGGGGGGCCCCAACACCCAAATTTAGATCCGTGGACCTCATCAACTCTAAAGCTCGTCTTTGCATCGTCTTTGATTGGGGGCCAATATTCGTCTCTCCCCTATGGCGCAGGAAACGCCCCCTGAACAGTAATAACAGATCTCGTATATCCACCATTCGACAGTTCGAGCTCGACATGGTCAGATCTTCCATCTCTCTACGCTCACAGGAAAATAATGACGATCCGGCCTTCGGTGACTACCAATCCCCAGCCCTGCTAGTGCTCCTCCGCCTTCGCTCTCCGAACGACACATGTTCTCCTATCGTGGTGCAATGGCCTCTCCTTGCACAAAGAGCGGAAGAGATGTCCTGTAGCAGACTGCATCACCCCCCAAAGGATCAAATCACCGTTCGGTGTTTTCGGTGGATATATTGGAAAAAAAAAAACAGTAGGATGCATCAGAATGCACCATATACGGACTCCGAAATTGTATGCACGATTGGGGCGGACTCCGCCGCGTGCGCCACATCAATCGATCTCGGAATCAGGCCCTCTGTGGATACCAGCTGAGGCTGAAAAGGATAAGGGTACCAAACGCCATATAGTTTATTGTTAGATGCGATATACGACATACGAAAAGGGCCGACTGATACTACGTATCTTGCTATCTGTGCAACCGGGCGATTTCTGGTGGCACTGATTTTTTTTTTTTTTTTTCAAATTTTTGGCAGCAGGAAATTTGTTGACTTACTTCTATCTGCCGGTGGAGAGCATCGGGGCACAAGGTGGCGAGCGTCATCGGGACTTTAGACTGGCCAAGTTTGATTGTGCAGCAGACGTCATGGTTCCGCTCAACAAGTTGCAGAGGCGCAGATCACAGAGGGAAGTGTATAAAAATTGTTGAAGTTGGGGATGAGAAGCGGGTCTAAGCTGGAAGAAGCTGGTAAGCTGGTGTGGGTCAGCAAATGGCACAAGGCCAGTAGCGAACCTGACAGGGCTTTCCGGTAGCCCTTTCGGCGATTTCACCCTCACAACTGGGTGGAGGACCAGGGGGTAGGCTAAAAGGCTCATCAGGGCTTTAGACACCGCTGTCACTCAGCGCAGAGGAGCAGCACAGGAGTGACTCCGTTGTATGTAGTCGTAACTGCTAGCCTAACTAGCCAGAAACCCATTGGCCGCTGGCCATCCAACAAGGAGCAGCGTGCTGGGCTTCTGCACCACCCCCATCTGTCTTATTAGTATTATGCTCCGCGCACGTTGTTGTTTTCATGCACGTATTGTTTCTCCTTCCCCGTATTCTTTAATTGCTGACCAGACGACCTGCCTCCCTTCTCCCTTCTGCCGGTTCCTCCTGACTTCCTTCTCGACTTCCCTCCACTCACTTCGACCTATTCTCTCTTTCACTACCATCATTTCTTCAGGCATCACTTCCATATAGACACCTGTTCGGGCCTGGGAGATTTTTTCAGGGACCATCGGTATTAATTGGCGTAAACCCGGTCTCCTATTTTCTCCCCCCACGGCCCACACCTTTTCGAAAGTCGTTCGTCTCCTTATTCAGATCCAGACACGATTTACCCTGCCAGAGCCAGAACTGCATTTCTCAACTGTATGAGATAAGACGCATTTTACTATAATCATGGCTCCCACCGTCAACGGAACCAGCGGGACCCGTAAGTCTTCGCTAGTCAACGGCACGCCGAGTTCCTGGCAGGCGAAGCACCAAGTCACTTCCCACTTCATTGGGGGAAACCGACTGGAGAAGGCCCCTCCTAGCAGAGTCAAGGATTTTGTCCAAGAGCACGATGGACACTCTGTCATCACTTCCGTAAGTCACGCTCTCTCTCTCCGACAATTCGTGCCAGGGAGGCGCAGCTGACCGCGGAAACCTGAAATCCAGGTGCTCATTGCAAACAACGGTATTGCCGCAGTGAAAGAAATCCGTTCAGTACGAAAATGGGCCTACGAGACATTCGGCGACGAGCGCGCCATTCAATTTACTGTCATGGCCACCCCAGAAGATTTGCAGGCAAACGCAGACTATATTCGTATGGCAGATCAATATGTTGAGGTATGCAAAAAACCAATGGTGGCGGGAAAAGAGAGCGGAACATGAGCTGACGTGGATCATATAGGTGCCCGGAGGCACCAATAACAACAATTATGCCAATGTTGAGCTGATTGTCGATATTGCTGAGCGCATGAACGTCCATGCCGTCTGGGCGGGTTGGGGTCACGCCTCGGAAAATCCCAAATTGCCCGAATCTTTAGCAGCCTCGCCCAAGAAAATCATCTTTATTGGGCCTCCGGGATCTGCAATGAGATCCTTGGGTGACAAGATTTCCTCCACAATTGTCGCACAACACGCGAAAGTGCCTTGTATTCCTTGGTCGGGAGAGGGTATTGACGAGGTTGAAATTGACAAGAACGGCATGGTGACGGTGAGAGATGAGGTATACGACAAGGGCTGCGTACATTCTCCTCAAGAGGGCTTGGAAGCCGCCAAAAAGATCGGTTTCCCCGTCATGGTCAAGGCCTCTGAAGGTGGTGGTGGCAAGGGTATTCGAAAAGTCGAAAACGAGGCCGACTTTGTAAGCCTTTACAATGCCGCCGCAAGCGAAATCCCGGGATCTCCCATCTTCATTATGAAGCTTGCGGGAAACGCCCGACACTTGGAGGTGCAGCTTTTGGCAGATCAGTACGGAAACAACATCTCTCTTTTTGGCAGAGATTGCTCTGTCCAGCGAAGACATCAGAAGATTATTGAAGAAGCTCCCGTCACCATTGCGAACCCGGATACATTCCGTTCCATGGAGCAGGCGGCTGTCCGGTTGGGAGAGTTGGTAGGCTACGTGTCTGCGGGTACCGTTGAGTATCTGTATTCGCATGCGGATGGCAAGTTCTACTTCTTGGAACTCAACCCCCGTCTCCAGGTCGAGCACCCGACCACCGAAATGGTCAGCGGTGTCAATCTACCCGCGGCCCAGCTACAGATTGCCATGGGCCTTCCTCTCCACCGCATCCGTGACATTCGCTTGTTGTACGGCGTTGACCCACACACCTCGACCGAAATCGACTTCCATTTCGTGAACGAGAGCAGCTTGAAGACGCAACGACGGCCTCGGCCCAAGGGCCACACCACCGCCTGCCGTATCACCTCGGAAGATCCTGGTGAGGGCTTCAAGCCTTCAAGTGGTACCATGCATGACCTCAACTTCCGATCAAGCTCCAATGTCTGGGGCTACTTCTCGGTATCCTCGAACTCCAGCATCCACAGCTTTTCCGACAGTCAGTTCGGTCACATTTTCGCCTATGGCGAAAATCGATCAGCCTCCCGAAAACACATGGTCGTTGCTTTGAAAGAATTGAGCATTCGTGGTGATTTCAGAACCACCATTGAATACCTCATTAAGCTGTTGGAAACACCCGCTTTTGAGGATAACACCATCACCACGGGATGGTTGGATCAGCTCATCTCCAACAAATTGACTGCTGAGCGTCCGGATCAGATGCTCGCTGTCCTTGCTGGTGCTCTTACCAAAGCGCATATAGCCAGCGAAGCTTGTATCGCAGAGTATCGCAAGGGGTTGGAAAAGGGTCAAGTGTCCTCCAAAGATGTCCTTAAAACCGTCTTCCCCATTGATTTTATCTACGAGGGCCAGAGATTCAAGTTCACAGCAACTCGAGCCAGTCTTGACAGCTACCACATTTTTATCAACGGCTCAAAATGCTCTGTTGGTATGCGGACCCTGGCTGACGGCGGTTTGTTGATGCTTGTTGCTGGCCGGTCTCACAGCATCTACTGGAAGGAAGAGGCTACTTCCGTTCGACTGAGTGTGGACAGCAAGACCTGCCTGCTCGAGCAGGAAAATGACCCCACTCAGCTCCGAACTCCCTCGCCTGGGAAGCTCGTCAAGTTTACCGTCGACAACGGCGATCACGTCAAAGCTGGCCAGGCCTTCGCTGAGGTTGAAGTCATGAAGATGTACATGCCGCTCATCGCTCAAGAGGATGGTGTTGTTCAATTCATCAAGCAGCCAGGAGCAACTCTTGAGGCCGGTGACATTCTCGGAATTTTGGCTCTCGATGACCCATCCCGAGTCAAGACGGCCGAGACATTCACGGGACAACTCCCTGACCTCGGTCCTCCTCAAGTCGTTGGCAAAAAACCACCTCAGCGATTCGCCCTCCTCATCGGCATTCTTCAGAACATCCTGCTTGGTTTTGACAACCAGGTTATCATGGCGTCAACTCTGAAGGAGCTTGTTTCGGTCTTGAGAGACCCTGAGCTGCCATATGGCGAATGGACCGCGAGAGCCTCGGCTCTGCACTCAAGAACTCCGCAGAGACTGGACGCTCAGCTTGACCAGATTGTGGAGCGAGCACACGCTCGACACGCTGAATTCCCGTCCAAGCAGCTTCAAAAGGCCATCAACCGCTTCATTGAAGAAAACATGTCCCCCAGTGACGGAGCCACTCTTCACGCCACTTTGGCACCTCTTGAGGAGTTGATTGCCCGATATTCGGAAGGCTTGAAAGCTCACGAGTTCTCGGTCTTCACCGGGCTTCTCGATAAGTATTACCAAGTCGAGAGATTGTTCGCCTCGGGCGCACACCGAGATGAGGATGTTATTCTCAAACTTCGAGAAGAGCACAAAGATGACATTCTGTCGGTGGTCTGGACGGTGCTGTCACACACACGAGTCTCCTCCAAGAACAACCTGATCGTTGCCATTTTGGATATGTACCGACCAAACCAGCCCAATGTCGGCAACGTTGCCAAATATTTCCGATCTGCTCTACGGCGTCTCACCGAGTTGGAGTCTCGAGCCACGGCAAGAGTTGCTCTGAAGGCGCGTGAGTTGCTGATCTTGTGTGCCATGCCCTCACTCGAGGAGAGATCATCTCAGATGGAGCACATTCTCAAATCCTCGGTTGTCGAATCCAAATACGGAGAGACCGGTTGGGAGCACCGTGAGCCTGATCTCGATGTGTTGAAGGAAGTGATTGATTCTCGATACACCGTATTCGATGTCCTTCCACTCTTCTTCGCCCACCACGACCCTTGGGTTGGACTCGCGGCGCTGGAGGTGTACATTCGACGAGCATATCGTGCCTATACCGTCAAGGGGATTGAATATCACAATGACGTGGATCCACCGTTCTACCTCTCCTGGGACTTCGTCCTCCGCAAAGTCGGACAATCTGAATTCGGGTTGCCATTGGCCTCATCCTATCCTTCGGGTCAAGCGACCCCCTCGCAACAAGGCAATCCATTCAAACGTATTGCCTCCGTGAGTGATTTGTCTTACCTCAACAAAATGGGAGAAGATGATGAACCTTCACGGAAGGGTGTTATTGCTCCTTGCCATTATCTGGACGAGGCTGATGAGTGCCTCGCTCGGGCTCTCGAAGCATTCCCCAAGAATCCCAAAGAGAAACGGCCTAGCCAGCCTTACCTCATGCCAACCCTCGACAACCAGCGAAAACCACAGAAGACGTCAGACCCGTCTGATGAAGAATTGACCAATGTCTGCAATATCGCCATCCGCGACATCGAGAACTTGTCCGACGAGGAGATTTTGAGTCGTGTACACAGCTTGATTGCCGAGTACAAGCCCGAGCTTCTAGCACGAAAAGTTCGTCGGATTACTTTCATCTGCGCCCACACAGACGGAACCTATCCCGGCTACTTCACGTTCCGTGGCCCTACTTTCGAGGAAGACCAGAGTATTCGACACAACGAACCGGCTCTCGCTTTCCAGCTTGAACTAGGACGATTGTCGAAGTTCAAGATCAAGCCCGTCTTCACCGAAAATAGAAATATTCATGTATACGAAGCCATCGGCAAGGGCGACGACAGAGACAAGGTTGTCGACAAGCGTTACTTCACTCGTGCAGTGGTCCGACCCGGTCGCTTGAAGGATGAGATCCCCACCGCAGAATACCTGATCTCCGAGACTGACCGCTTGGTCAATGACATCTGTGATGCTCTCGAGATCATCGGCAACAACAACTCTGATCTAAATCATATCTTTATCAACTTCACTCCTACCTTCAACTTGCAGCCAAGAGATGTCGAAGAGCAAGTTGCTGGCTTCTTGGAACGATTCTCTCGGAGATTCTTGCGCCTTCGAGTTACCGGGGCTGAAATCAGAATGCTTTGCACCGATCCTGAATCAGGTTTGCCATATCCGGTCCGCGTCATCATCACCAACACCTCTGGTTACGTCGTCCAAGTCGAGACCTATGTCGAGAAGAAATCGCGCACTGGCGAATGGGTGTTTGAAAGCATCAGCGGGACCACCAAGATCGGTGCTATGCACCTTCGACCCGTCTCGGCTCCCTATCCAACGAAGGAGTGGCTGCAACCTAAGCGTTACAAGGCTCACCTTATGGGCACTCAATATGTTTATGACTTCCCCGAGTTGTTCAGGCAGGCAATCCAGAACAGCTGGTCCAAGGCGGCTGCCAAACATGCGCCACTTGCTGAAGCGAAACCTGAAGTTGGAACCTGCCTCGAATACAACGAACTCATTCTGGATGATGCCGACAACCTGACCGAGGTGTCCCGTGAGCCTGGTACTAATAACTGCGGTATGGTGGCCTGGATCTTGACCGCCAAAACTCCCGAGTATCCCAGAGGGAGAAGATTCGTCATTATTGCCAACGATATCACCTACCAAATCGGTTCATTTGGACCTGTTGAGGACAGATTCTTCAGCAAATGTACCGAATTTGCTCGCAAACTGGGCATTCCTCGTGTCTACCTGTCTGCCAACTCTGGTGCTCGTATCGGCATGGCTGACGAACTCATTCCCTACTTCTCGGTTGCATGGAATGACGAAGCAAACCCAGAAGCTGGCTTCAAGTATCTCTACTTGACTCCTGAAAGGAGAAAGCAATTGGGCAAGAAAGAAGTTCTGACCGAGAAGGTCGTTGAGGACGGTGAGGAGCGACACAAAATCGTCACCATCGTTGGTGCCAAGGACGGATTGGGAGTGGAGTGCCTGCGAGGATCTGGTCTCATTGCTGGAGCCACCTCCAAAGCCTACGAAGACATCTTCACCATCACCCTCGTCACTTGCCGATCCGTTGGTATTGGTGCTTACCTTGTCCGTCTCGGTCAACGTGCTATTCAAATTGAGGGTCAACCAATTATTCTCACCGGTGCTCCGGCCCTCAACAAGGTCTTGGGCAAGGAAGTCTACACTTCCAACTTGCAGCTTGGTGGCACGCAGATCATGTACCGAAACGGTGTCTCTCACATGACGGCCAGTGATGACTTCCAGGGTGTCGAGAAGATCGTTGAATGGATGTCCTTCATTCCCGACAAGAAGGGACAACCAGTTCCTGTCAACCCATCAGCGGATCCGTGGGATCGAGATATCCAATATTTCCCACCTCCACGACAACCATACGACGTCAGACACCTCATCGCCGGCAAGCAGAATGAGGAAGGTTTCGTGTCTGGTCTGTTCGACAAGGACTCCTTCCAGGAGGCTCTTGGAGGCTGGGCAAGAACTGTGGTAGTGGGCCGAGCTCGACTTGGCGGCATCCCTATGGGTGTTATTGCGGTTGAGACTCGTACCGTCGAGAACGTTATGCCAGCTGATCCTGCCAATGCTGACTCTATGGAACAAGTGGTACAAGAAGCCGGTGGCGTGTGGTTCCCCAACTCCGCTTTCAAGACCGCACAAGCCCTCCGAGATTTCAACTATGGCGAGCAGCTTCCCGTTATGATCCTTGCCAACTGGCGTGGTTTCTCTGGTGGTCAACGAGACATGTACAACGAGGTGCTCAAATATGGCTCGTACATCGTTGACGGCCTTGCCAAATATGAGCAACCTGTCTTTGTTTACATTCCTCCGTTCGGTGAACTCCGTGGTGGTTCATGGGTATGTTGGGATCTGGTCCTAATTTCTGTTACGTTCACTGACCCTCTTTTCTTCTTAGGTGGTTGTTGATCCGACTATCAACCCTGAACAAATGGAAATGTACGCTGACGAGGAATCCCGTGGTGGTGTCTTGGAGCCCGAAGGTATCGTCGGGATCAAGTACCGCCGCGAGAAACAGCTTGAGACCATGGCTCGATTGGATCCGATCTATGGCGAACTCAGGGCGCAATCTCTGGTCAAGGATTTGACAGCCGAGCAGCTGAATGCCATCAAGGCCAAGATGACAGAACGTGAGCAACTCCTCGGACCGGTCTACCAACAAATCGCTCTTCAGTTTGCCGATCTTCATGATCGTGCAGGACGGATGGAAGCCAAGGGTACGATCCGAATGCCACTGAAATGGCAGAATGCTAGACGATTCTTCTACTGGCGACTGCGAAGAAGATTGTCTGAAGAGGTTCTCCTCAAGAAGCTCAACAGCAGTATGGCTGTTGGTGGTGCCCCGGTGGTGTCCAATGGACTTGCTCAGAAGGAGCACAACCTTGCCATGCTCAAAAACTGGACCGGTCTTTTGGACGCGGAGTTCGAAAAGGATGACCGCAAGGTTGCTGAGTGGTACGAAAGCCATAGAAAGGAAATCTATGCTAAGATTGATGCCGTCAAGAGTGAGGCTGTGAGCAAGAAGGTATCCGAATTGTTGATGGGCAACAAGGAGGGTGGCCTCAAGGGAGTGCGTGAGGTGCTGAGTCTGGTTCCTACAAGTGAAAGAGAGCAGCTGGTCAAATATTTAACTGGCGCTTGAGGTATCAAGGCGTTTTATTAAAGGGATGGTTATTTTTATAGAGTTGACGATTGGTCATGAGGGGACTAAGGGATTGCGCCTGTGGAATACCATTTTGGACGCACGCAAGGTCGGAGATGCACTGGGTAAACGCGAAGGGAGCTCCTGGGTTTTGGCTTTCTGGTTTTATATTCTTTGAATTTTGTCTGTAGCGTGTCAACAGCAGCGTTACACCCAAGTTCCAATGGTCGCTCGACTTCGGATATATACTCGGCTGCTTGCCTAGGTACAGGGAAGCCAGGCTGCAGCACAATTCACACGGTCATTGATTGGTTTATTCAGCAGTGTTGTGCAAATGGGGCCCGCTTACTTCGTCCCTCCATCTTCAGTCTTCATGAGATCTGTATCCCGTGCAACTGCTTGTCTTCCCCAAGACAATGAAGATCACAGCCCAACAGTCCGGGTCTTCGTCCACGAAGGAGCAATGTCATCTTCTCGAAATACCTTTTGAGATACGACGGTTCATTTTCGCACTCTGCCTAAACCCACTGGACAGACGCATTTATTTAGACCGTGGGCTGCCGTGGGCGGAGCTCAGAGATGGCAAGAGATCGCTATGCCCGCCTCTCCTCCAGGTGTCTAAGCGGATATCCACCGAATGCCTGGAACTCCTGTATCGAAGCTCTAAGATCGTTCTTCATACCCAGCCAGGCTTTCTCGCCCAGGCATCACGACTCTCAACCCGACAGATGGTTCGATGTGTCGATGTGTCCATCCCGATAGCAGAGATTACCACGTCAGGTTCCGCTCCTTCTCCGTCTCCTCTCAAAGCAAAAGCATACCTGCCAATCACACCCAACCGGCTAGTATCTAAATTCTCAGAGGTATTCCCTCAATTACAGGAGATTTCGTTGACTTTGTGCACGATAGCATCCAAAATGGCACCATCCACATCTTCTATCCAAGGTGCAATTGTCTCCGCCTTACGAGTGATAATCCTCAATCCCCAGTGGAAGGATAAAATCACGACAATCCGCTTTCAACTGACTGAGACCATGTCCTCCGAACTATTTTCACTCGCTAAAGATGAGTCCCTGGCCACCCTCAAGGAGAAACTGGGTCGAGCAACGGAATTGCCCAATCTGACTGAGGTTGAGTTTTATTTCACAACACCATTGTCCAAAGGGCCCCACAGAATCCCGACCATGCTGTTTGCACAGCCTACTCCGACTTCAAGTCAAATGGTACTCTCTCGGCTTCTTCAAGAAGAGCGCGATCACATGAGGCATCTGATAGACCTCTTACCAAGTCTATTTGCACAAGTCCAAAAATTGCGACTTAACCGGATCCACTACTACGGCGGGCGTAGTGTCTCTGAACCGATCGAAATGAACGAGCCATTAGTAGTGGCAGTTTCCAAGATTTTAGAGAGAAGAACTATCGGCATTGATCGCGTGGTTACACGACCGTTTATTACAGCACATCCCGAATCACAGCCAGATCCCATTTAGCCCAGATCAATATCCAATTGCATGATAACCCGAAGGCTTTGGAGAGGGCCCAGAGGAGCATGATTCTGACATTCACCGGACATCAATTAGGCCACTCAAATGTACAGAGACCCAATGATATTCCGTCGGATATACAGGTTCTAGGAGCTCCGGATTGTAATCAGGCAGGGTTTTCCATAGGGGCGTATCGACACATCTTAGCCTGAGAGGACTCCAGAGACAATATTTAATCGTCCCAAAGGCCAGCCTAGAGAAGTCGTTGTTGTTCCTCCTGCCGACGAGGCTGAATGGCAGCCCCTTGCCAAAAATGGTTAAGTTAGTTTGTCTTGTCGATTGCTGCTGCAGAGCACGAACGCGGATGGCGCAAGAACCTTTTTTTTTTTTTAAAAAAAAATTGGATTCCAACGACAATGCTGCTTGTCCAGACAAACAAAATTGTGACCCAAGGCGTCTCTGCGGGACGATGTCGTCTACTTCAACTCAGACCCGTACAGAATGGTCTGTAGAGTACGACACAGTCAGGCGTCACCGACTGTTCAGAAATACCCCCAAAGATCACAGTGCCTTCCCCGCCCTTAAAGCCGCCGTCAAACCGCATGTCGAATCATTCAATGCGCTGTGGGATGAAGGATTGATTGATGCAGGCCTCAAAGACATTGGCATACATACAGTTGTCGATGGAGATCCGCGGAATCCACGTCCAGCAGAGGCTCACAACAAGCTCGATCTGAGAGTGACCGGAGTGATACTTGACAAACCTGTCCTTCCCAGTTCAAACAAATACAGCATACAAGATCGAAATATCTACCCTTCCGAATGTCGAGAGAGGCATGCTACCTACCGAGGAAAGTTAGGAGCCCGGTTACAGTACCGAGTAAATAGTGGCGAATGGAGAGAATCGGTGCGAGATGTTGGTCAGATGCCCATTATGCTGCGGTCCAGCAAGTGTCACCTGGAGAAATTTTCTCCCGCAGAAATGGTTCATCACAAGGAAGAGTCTGAAGAGTTGGGCGGATATTTCGTTGTGAACGGCAATGAGAGGCTTATACGAATGTTGATTGCGAATAGGAGGAACTATCCCATGGCAATTTCACGGAATGCCTTCACCGCAAGAGGACCGACGTTTTCGAAATTTGGTATTTCAATTCGCTCGGTAAGACCCGATCAGACATCGCAAACCAATGTCCTTCATTATTTGACCGATGGAAACGTCACTTTCAGATTCTCATGGAGGAAGAATGAATACCTGGTGCCTGTGGTCATGATTCTGAAGGCTTTGGTGGAGACCAACGACCGAGAGATCGCTGAAGGAATCATCGGCTCATCCTCCAACAGTACTCCGAATTCTTTTGTCTCTGACCGGACTGAACTCCTCCTACGGACGTACAAGGCGTACAATCTGAAGACCAGAGCTCAAACGCTCGCATATCTAGGGGAGAAATTTCGACCTGTGCTCATGAACCCGATAACAGTGTCGGATGAAAAGCTGGGCGAGGAGTTCTTGAGAAAAATCGTCCTACCACATCTAGGAAACGTCGATGTAACTCCTGCCCAGAATAACGACAAGTTCCAACTGATGCTTTTCATGATCAGGAAGCTCTATGCTCTCGCAGCGGGCGATTGTGCTCTGGACAATCCGGATGCGGTGTCAAATCAGGAAATTCTACTGGGAGGCTTTCTCTGCGGCATGATATTGAAAGAAAGTGTCTACGATTGGATGGTTAACATTGGAACAGCCGCCCGAGATTGGGTCAGAACCAAAAACGGGGCCAAATTCACCGACCCAGCTTTCGAAACCGATTTTCTTCCCAAAATAGTTCGGAGAACGAATGAAAACCTGGCGGGGAAGCTGGAGTATTTCCTTTCTACGGGGAACCTCGTCAGTCAGACTGGTCTGGATCTGTCACAGACCTCGGGGTTTACGATTGTCGCGGAAAAGATCAATTTTTATCGATTTCTTAGCCATTTCAGATGTATACACCGAGGCACTTTCTTTGCACAGTTGAAAACAACTACTGTCAGAAAGCTGCTCCCTGAAAGTTGGGGGTTTCTCTGTCCCGTCCATACTCCTGACGGATCTCCTTGTGGTCTTTTGAATCATTTGGCCCATCAATGCCAGGTTCAGATCAAAAAATTAGATACTTCTGGAATTGAGAAAGCCCTCGTCCAACTTGGTCTTTCTTCTGTACCCGCCATGGCCGTTGAAAATAGTCTGTCCGTTCAATTGGATGGGCGAATATTAGGGTACTGTCCGGCTAGACGGGCAAAAGAGATTGCACAGCTCCTGCGACATTGGAAGGTCAATGGAGAGAATAGCATTCCCAATGAACTCGAGATCGGGCATGTTCCGACTTCAAATGGCGGTCTTTATCCTGGTCTGTACCTCTTCACTGATCCTTCCCGCATGTTGCGGCCGGTGAAATATCTCCCATCAGACAAACTCGATTATGTTGGACCGTTTGAGCAACAATACATGAATATTGCCTGTGTGGGTGCTGATATCATCCCTAATCTGACGACGCATATCGAATACAAACCTACCAACATTCTATCAATCCTGGCCAATATGACCCCTTTCTCAGATTTCAATCAATCCCCCCGAAACATGTACCAATGCCAAATGAGTAAACAAGCCATGGGGACTCCATCATCCAACCTAATGTGTCGGACCGACAACAAAGCTTTCCTATTGCAAACAGGGCAAACCCCCGTTGTCAGACCACCTCTGTATAACGAATACGGACTAGACAATTTCCCCAACGGAATGAATGCCGTTGTCGCCGTCATTTCCTATACGGGCTACGACATGGACGACGCGATGATTATCAACAAATCATCCCATGAGCGAGGTTTCGGTGATGGCGTCATTTACAAGACGAAAGTGTACGAGCTCAACGAAAAATCTCGTTTAAGTCGATCCAAGACCGAAATCAAATCACTATTTGGCTTTGCTGAGGGCGACCCAAACATTTCCAAGGAAGCCATCAGTAATCTCGACCCTGATGGGTTGCCCGCGATCGGAACCAAAGTCAGAGAAAATTCAATAGTCCTGGCATATCATAGCGTCATGTTTGATCCGTCGGAGGCCCGATTGAGAAATCTGGACGGGAACACCAGTTACTTCAAATACAAGGACACCGAAGAAGCGTACATCGATCAGATTCGATTGATTGGCTCGGAATCCGGTGATCAGCCGTGTCAGGCAGTCAGCATCAAATACCGAATTCCTCGAAGACCCGTTATCGGAGACAAGTTTTCTTCACGGCACGGTCAAAAGGGGGTCTGTTCTATGCTGTGGCCAAGTCAAGACATGCCGTTCAGCGAATCTGGAATCCAGCCCGACGTCATCATCAATCCGCACGCTTTCCCGTCTCGAATGACCATCGGCATGTTCGTTGAGTCGCTGGCCGGTAAATCCGGTGCACTTCACGGTTTGGCGCAAGATTGTACTCCCTTTTCCTTTGACGAAGACAATACGGCCGGCAACTTTTTTGGTGAACAGCTCAGACAGGCAGGGTACAATTTCTACGGAAACGAGCCCATGTATTCTGGAGTCACGGGCAAAGAGTTCGCAGCTGACATATACATTGGCGTCGTGTACTACCAGCGCCTAAGACATATGGTCAGCGACAAGTTCCAAGTGCGGACGACCGGCCCCGTCAACGCTCTGCACGGTCAACCGATCAAAGGGCGGAGTAAAGGTGGTGGTATCCGTGTGGGAGAAATGGAGCGCGACTCTTTAATAGCCCATGGCTGTGCGTACTTGCTTCAAGACCGTCTGATGGATTGCTCCGACAAGCAGCGTGCCTGGGTGTGTCGGTCGTGCGGCAGTCTCTTGGCCACGATGATGATCCCGAACCAGTTCTCTGTGGGCAAGAAAGGAGGAAGAGTCGAGCCGAGTGGTGTGGTTAGGTGTCGTGCGTGTGCGAGGGAGGCGAGGCTAGAGGATAGTAAGTTGGATATCTGGGAGGATGGGGCCGGGAGGAGGCTTGTCGGTGGCGATAATACGACCGTCGTCAATGTTCCGGGTGTCTTGAGGTATTTGGATGTCGAACTTGCGGCTATGGGCGTGAGGACCACGTTTCAGATTGAAGCATAGAATGGCACGCAAAAAGTTTGCCGAGCATAGCATGGCGGGTTTGATTTTGTCAGGACCTTATGTATGAAGATCGACTCTACGAATGGATCTACCTCGAAATATCAAATATCAAAACTTCATCACATCGTAACCACCTCGTTGTCCGGATCGTTCCCCTTCTCTTTCCCCTGTCTCTTGATGCCTGATTCCTTTGCCTCTGCTGATGCTGATGAGTTATTGTTTGGATTTACCAACCCCAATCTCACCGCAAAATCACTCCTTCCCACTTCCTCGACAAGTTCTTCCGCCATATCCAGCCTCCGCTTATATTTCTTGACTCCTCCCTCTTGAACCCTGATCCTGCGTCCATTCATACTCATCTCTTCCACGCGAGAATTGTGCATTAACAACAATACATGATTGATCGTCACACACAGCGTGAGGAGTATTTTCCCTTCATCCCTCGCGTTCACCAGGGCAATTGTCGCAATGTACACAAGGAATCTGGAAACCCACTCTGCGCCGTCTACCAGGAAGTGATTGCGTGAGCGGACAAGCCAACTCCCACTCGTCACGGCCTTGAGATCGTCGACCAATCCTTGCATGCGGATCCAGCGGTCCTCGGACATGAGGACGAGCAAGTCTCCTTTCGCACCTGGTTCGAACACGCCGTGCCATGATGGTTGAGTTCTTACGCGGAGCGATAAGATGAAGAGAAGGCGCGATGTCAGGAGGAGAAGTGTGCTGAGAAGGAGATAGACGTCGGATGGGTGAAGGACCAGCCAGTGAAGAAGGAAGAGGGGAGGGAGAAAGGTCAATATCTCTAACGCCGATCCCAATCCCAAGACTCCTCGTGCCGATTTCGATCCTGCACCCGTACCCGTCGTGGAGGGGGAGGATTCGGGTTCAACCTTAAGGGTAACCAAATGCCCCGTCCTTCCGATACGCTGTAAAAGCATCACAACAGCCTGATTCTCGACGCGGAATATGTACCCTGTCGTCATGGCCGCGCAGGCGGGGTATTCTGCATTACACAGTGCCGATGGGGATAAAGGGGTTTGCATGCCGAGACATAAGAGGAGGAAGGAAAGGTATTTGGGTCGTCCGTGAAGAGCGGCGAATGTGTGTAACGGTGAGATGGAGGCAGAGTCGGGCGTTGACAGGAGGACGATAGGGAGGAGGGTAAGGTCCATTCTTCCTTGCCAGAACAGTAGAAACTCTCTTGATTGTCGTTTTGAACAGGTTGTGGAGCAAGAGGGAGAGTCATATGTGGATGGGAATGGGGACGGGGACGAGGATGAATTCTCGAATCTCGAATCCTCGAGCCTTACTGAGGCCTATACACATATCTATGTCTGAGAATACATGCGACTCATTAGGCTGTCCTCATAAGTGGAGGATAAGAAAAAGGAATGATGGTGGGATGGTGGGACGGCGATATGCTGCTCATGAAGCATTGCCTTTTTGGGCAGAGAATAAATAATACTTCGCACTCACGACCGAGAACAAGGCTGGCGTTTAGACATCTACCATCAAGACTCCGGGTTTGGCCAGTTGTTCTACAAAGGCAAATGATTGAGCCCGGAGACCATGTGAATAAGTCAAATTGTGTGGATTTTTGATGTAAAATGCTTCCGTAACATCAGTTCAGATTTTCAACCCTCATCCCCGTGAATATCCTTAACTGCATCATCGTCGTCGTCGTCCTCCGCATCGGGATTGCCATCTGCATCCACGAGTGCATGTTCAACATGGCTCATTTGGTCCGTGTAACCATTAATTTTCGTTCTCGTCGCCTCAATTCCTCCCGACGTGACGAACAAAAAGGTCTCGCTCGGAAAGCTGTCGACATGATTGAAGAAATTCCCAAAGACATTCTCTTTCTCCTCATCTCGATACATGCGTTCATAAATTTGTTGTTGCTTGAACAAATCCATCTCGGTTCTAAATTTGTCAAAGTCAATTGATTCCTTGCCATAGTCGCGCTTCGCACGCTTGTTGTAGGAGTCGAAAATGGGACGTTCAAGCAGCAAACCCAAACTCGGCGCTCTGGGGATCGAAATATTTTCCGGACCCATGCTCTCAACCATACGCTTTGGGTCGCAGCCACAACGGACCACGAGCGCGACCATCCCGACCATTTTGCGGATTTGGTGCATCATGAAACTTTGTCCGTGGACTTTAAGGCTCAGCCATTCAGTGCCGTTGATTAAAATGGGCTCCGGGTTGACGAGGAATGATTTTATCAGCCGTTTGGAAGATGGGTCTTTGAAGGTCTTTAGGATCGTGTAGTTGTGGTAATTGCGTGTGCCGACGAAAAAATTGAGTGTTTCTTGGATGCGTGTGAGACGAGATGCCGGGATACGGTAGGCTCGTTTAGCGGTGATGTAGGCTTGTCGGAGGCGTTTCATTGCTTCGTTGAGGATGATAGAGCGTGAGTGTTTGGGTGGTTGTGATGCGGGTTGATGCGTGTCTGTAGACTCCTTGATATCGGTTTCCATGTTCTCTTCAGGTTTGGTCACCTCTTCCTCCACTTTCCCGGACTCAGGCTGCGTTTCCTGGCCCGTTCCAATCTCTGGCCCTACGGCTGTCGAGCTGTTCTTGACTCTATCGTGATCTTCGCCTTTCAACCAGAGCGCCCTCTCCAAGATATTCCTGATCTCTGCATCATATTCCGCCAGAATAGGCTTGATGACTTCCTCATCAACTTTCTCCCAATATCCCAACACTTCTTCTTGCCGCTTCTTATAGGCCTCCATATCCCCTTTCTTCTCCGCCCACTCATCACAGCTCCTTCCCAAGAAACTGCTTGGATGAGGCGGCAAGAAACTATGGCTGGGGATTAAATACTCATAGATCCTCGAGTCCACAGCCTGATACGCACTGAAACTGTTATTCGTTCTTTCAAAACCCCAGACTCGAATCTGTGGCGTTAAATTTTCATTGATTTTCTTGACAATATCCACATCCTCGACGATTAGCTTGAGAGAAATCACATTACCGGCTGCATGGACACCTTTGTCGGTTCGGGCACATCGTACGAAAGAAGACTTTTTTGGGTCGTCGGCATTCGCTTTGGAGATGGCACCTGCGGCAACAAAAGCCTGGAACAGGTCACCTTCAATGGTTTTTTGGTCGTGCGTCCTGATTCGACTGGCATTAGCTTCAGTTCGATTTTGCATATCAACAACGGGACTCCCCGCACAATTGCATTCCCTTGTAACCTGTTCCGGCATATCCAATCAGAACCGCCACCTTTTTCTTCGGTCTTCGCGCCTCAGCGGCTAAGACTTCGTCGCTGAATTTCGTCGCATAGATGGGTAACTCGGCTTTGCCCTCGTCGACTCGTTGTCGTTTAGCGGCTTGCTCGTCTTCATTCCGTTTCCTCTTGTCTACTTTGTTCATACTTAGCAAGTCAGTCTTGAAATCTCAAAGGCTTTTCGAGAACGAAAAGCACAACAGGGTATGTGGCGGAGAGACTTACGCCCACTCTGTCCTCCCCATATCTCTTCTCTTACCCTGACCACTTCCTCGACCACCTCTGCGCGCTCCCCGCAAAACAACTCTCGAACCCAATTTTCTTTCATCTGCCTGACCTTCTCTGGGTCTAGGAATCTTGGCCGTCCCTGCATCGGATTCCGAGGTAGTGTGGGGTCCTTGACGAGCGTTTGTGGTCGAAGAGATCTTTTGCGCGGCGGGCGCCATGGTCGACGGACTGCTAGGTTCCATATTGGCGACCTGTGGAACATGAAAGCATCGACTCAATCTAATGGTCAAAATTTGATATTGATGGGAGAGTTCCACGAAATTCTGGGCTTCTCCAATTGCGTTGCACTGCTTTTGGTGGAGCATTTAACCATCAAACGCAGCCAGCCTCGTCATGGTATCTTCTTACCCCTCTGCGTGCCCCTGGACTTTCTTCTCTCTACCAAGGTACCATTGCCTTCTCATGCCTTCCATGCTACTTCCTAGATCTGATTCCACATGCGAGACCGGTCTTGCCTATCAGGACACAATTTCAATCCTCCGACTTCATATACTGAACCATTACTCGTCCCGGCCGTCGGCCTCACCTCCACCTCAATAGGTTCCTTTCCAATACTTCTCGCCTTCGCCTCCTCCATAATCGCCACTGTCGCGGTGGTACCTATCCTCTTAGCACTAATAGACGTGATATAAAAGCAAATCATCCAGCGTTCGCAATCTACCTGCCACTTTGATCTGCATATCGGGCTGAGAATGTTTCCTCATCAACTTCAAATGAGGCACTGTGGCCCCTTTGTACGTATCCATGCCACTGGACTGCTTGACGAATGCGACATTCAAAGACGGACAAATCTAGATAATATGCTCGTCCTTCAGGAAATCGTTTTCGAAAATGACTTTCAAAATGGCTCCTCTGCTCGTCACTGCAGTATTGACTGCCTGAACCTCGTCGGTGACATAGTTCCAATCACCTCCCAGGACTTTTGCCAATGTTGACCACCATATCGTTTTTCCGATCCACCGGTCTCAGCGGCCTTCTGTGCTTTAAACACTTTGGCCTCGGTCGCGCTGTTCCCTGCGGGGGAATCCACTGACGGGACAGACGCTGACACCGGTTTCTTCGAGGACCTTCTTCGCTTGAGAGATTGATAATACCTTCCCATCCAGCGTATTTGTTGGGCCACAACAGTCCTTTAACGTCGTGTTGAGGGGCTTACCCCATAGTGCAGGCAACTGCACGAGTAAGTCGAAGGGCTTATGCTGAAGATGATGGTCGAGGTCGTTGAGATATTGGAGGAGGGATTGCACTGTGTAACCCTTGACATTGTATCCCAGTGCCGTTATCCATTCCACCTCTTTTGAACTCTCTTGACTTCATTGTGGTGTCGTGCTTGTCGTCGTCGTGTTGGTGCTGCAGGACGCGCAACCCCTGAGCTGCCAGCACGTCCCCGTCTGCCGTTGGATTCGTCTTGGTTTCCCCATCGAAGTAGGTAGTCACACCGGACACCGCGAGAAGGTGCGAATCCATCGTCCCACTGGCCAGCAGCCAGCGCCCTGGGTGCTCGGACATTGTTGTTGGCCAATCACGTGACGTGTTACCTTGGCAACTTGCACCCTTCCTTCTCTTCAGTCTTGCTCTCTTAGATAGAACAACAACAACACAACATTCCTTCTCTAGACTCCACAGTCTATCAATTGTTTCAGGTCAAGATGAATAGTGAGGTGTATCGTCTACCCTGTTTGTTGTAGCGGCGTGAAGAGAATGTTTGAGCTAACTAGAAACTATGTGCTGGGGGTGGCCGCTTTAATGATGTATGCTCCGTAAACGAATTGTTAGTCTATTGGCATAAGGCTGGAATGCTTGGCAGAAATCCACCACTTGCTATTCCAACGCAAGTTGCAGGGAAAATTTCCCGCCAAATTTAGCGGTCGGTGTCGCCGCTTTTGGAGGAGTTTTTCCTCGACGCCAAGAACGGCAACCTGGTCTGCCTTCTTGCTCTCGCCTTCCCGTAGGGAGCATGCCACTTTTAACCAGCTAACCTTTCGCTCTCGCTGTCGCTTCGTAACCTCCTCAACTTCCCTTGTCTCATTCTGCCACCCTCTAAGCGTCATCGAGGCAGATCTGCCGAATGCCGGTGCCTAACGCCAAGGTTGCACGCGCTATCCCCTGCTCTCTAGCGAAAACCCGTTGTCGTGCCCCCAGTCTGCGTCTCAGGATACTTCACGCGTCTCTGGTCAGCAGCGGTGCGTTCAGCGATCACCGAGGACGGTTTTGAGGGTGCTGCTGCGCGCGAGTCGAAGAATTGCTGAAGAATTACCGTGTCATCGTGTGCGGCCACAAAATTACCTTTCGCGGAGCAAAAAGGCACGCTCCTTCAAACTCCTCCTTCGGTCGGCGGCCAGACGTAGTCTGGTTGACGAAGTCGCGGATCCATTTATTTTGACGTCCCTGAATAGGTCCTTGCCGTTGGGCCATCTGGCGAACGACGGACACATCGAACGCGGAGTTAGTAGCCATCGTCGCTAAGCACCTCCCTCAAGCTCTTTCTTCCCGGGTTTTCCTTAAGGGGGTCACTTCTTCATCCACCGCTACCTACCTTTGCAGCCGGTGCTCTATCGGACTACGTCACTCGTTTAACATGTCTACAATCGACAACCTCTCTAGAAGCCTATATATGCGCTGCACAGTTCCGATGAATATCCCGCTTTCTTACCCTTCCCTCCGCTGGCGCCATACTCTCAGAGCGCGGATTCCTCTCGCGCCATACCGCACAAGCTCCACGACGCGATCAAACTCAAAGCTCGTAGTATCCGGTGAGCCGGAAGGGTTTGTGACAGGCAACTCGGACTTTGGTCGAATTCGCAGACCTGGATTGATATACTTCGACAAGACGCAATATATCCCCGCTCTCGAAAACTTGAACGATGTTCAGCTCCTTTGCCGCCCTAGGCGATTTGGAAAGTCGCTCACTGTCTCGATGCTGCGACACTTCCACGGAGTCGAGTTCCGCAGCAAAATACGATGAGCTTTTCAAGGTATGTGGAGGCTCTTAGTACAAGGTTTTCCTGCACGTAATCACTGATACTGAAAACTAGGGTCTCAGCGTGGATGAAGCTGTCCAAAAGGGCACAGTTCAACCTGGACGATATCTTGTTTTAGATTTCGACTTCTCCCGCACCCAGCGTTCTCACAGCATGAGCGAGTCTGCCGAGGGCCTTAGGATGGAAATGAACCGTGGGCTCGAGGTATTTAGGGAGGAGTACTCTGAATACTTAGGCCCATCTTTCGAATCGTGAACCGCCGATCTTGACTCGAGGTACCCGGGCCCAAATCTCGGGAAACTCGTTTACGCTGTTCAATTTGCGCTGCGAAATATCCACAAAAGGGGCGAGAAGGATAATCCCCTATGGGATGTACTAGGGGTATGTTTCTTCTGCACTACTATACTCTAAAACGCGTTCTAACTCCCCAAGATCTATGTGCTAGCAGATGAATACGATGCTTATGCCAATGGGTGTATGGATCCACATGACCCAAGGCAGTGGTCCGATGCCGAACCCGCACTAGTTCTAAAGTCATTTTGGTCTGCTGTCAAAGCTGGCACGGCGTTGACGCACGGTATCCGAAAGGTGTATACCACTGGCATCACACCTCTCCTTCTAGCCGACCTTTTTAGCGGTGCCAACAACCAACAAAACATCTCTTTTGACCCACGGTTTTCAACTCTCTGCGGATTGACTCGATCCGACGTGCTAGGAGCACTAAGAATCGTGTGCAGTAATGAAGAAGAGTTGCAAAAGCATTTTAGAGAATTGGAACACTATGCTAATGGTTATCACTTCTGCCAAACACAGAGTGTAGACAAAGTTTTTAACACGCAGACTGCTCTTTCATATCTTGATGTAAGTGGACCCCTTTTTAAAACACAGGCTGCTCTTTCATATCTTTAAGAAGTACCGTCCAACTCTAGTACTAATTGTTGGGCATACAGTCAGTCAAGCACAGAAACAAACTCCGAGTCGACGACCCCCAACTATGAGGTGCCTGACACTTCTTACGCATTTGTGCCAAAGCGCCTGCCGCTGTGAATGAAATGCAATTTGCACTTCAAAAGGACGAGCATGGGTCTTACCAAAGATTCCATATCAGCAGATGCACGGCAGCTTTAAGCTATCCGAACTAGTAAGTCATGATCGTTACCAATAGGGATATTAAGTTTGAATCTCACATTCTTGCCTACTTAGAGTACTAGATTGGAGGGGAAGGCGACAAATCTGCACGGCAGTCCTTGATGGTCTACATGGGTGGCTTGACTTTCGACTCGGCGGAACCGTCCAAGTTCTTAGAGATACCCAACCTCGTCGCTGCCTAAAGGTTTGGATTCGCGCTCATTAATCGACTTGGGTTATACCAAACCATGCGAAATGCTCTACATGAACTTGCTGAGAGCGGCAACCCAATGGACGTACTTTTTGGGTACTGCTACTTGATGCGAGATCGTGATGTTGGCGACAAGGCATTCGAAAAGACGGGGGAGAACCACCGGGACAGCATCATGATCACGATTCTGGAGAACCCTGCCATTCAGCCAGCGGTTGAATACGAAGTTGAGAAGGTAAGATCGCTGTTAATATACTATACTAGCTAACATACAGCTGACGTGGATAACAGTCTACAAAGGGAAAAGGGTTTGTCGATCTGCGCATTACGACCAAGAACTGCTACACTCTTATCGAATTTAAGAATATTCAAATCCCCTACTTGGAGCTCGATGGAGAAGATAACCTTGACAAAACGCAACGGCTCGAGGCTATGAGGCTCGACCAGATTCTTGGGTTGAAATTCAAAGGCGATAAATGGCGAACGGGTATTACTATCCGCGACTGGATTGATGGAAAATGCAAAGCTCCAATCTCCGGAAGTGTCCGCAAACAGCTTCAGTCTTATATTGCGGGCGAAACGGTGCAAAAGGAGATTGTCGGTAAAAAATCCCGTGCCTTTGCAACCGTTATTGTTGGATCGCGTCGCATACTCGTGCGTGAGATGGATAGGCATGGCAAGTGGGTCGGAAAATTTCAGCTTACGGGATGGAAAGGGAGTCCCAGCGTTATCAACTAGCGGATCTCGATTCTCGAACAAAATTCTTCAGCGAGTGGACGGAATAGATTGAGATACTATTACCGACGCTGTCTCTGCGATGCTAGCAGATGCAGAGAAAGATTGACTTAGAGACACTGTAGAATAATGGATCCGAGAATCAACCAAGGCTCGAGACGGGAACGTGTATGAATGGACTGGGTTCGGTGGTAAGATGGAAAGAAGTGTGGCTAACAGTCAACTACGACTTCTCGTCAAGTCGAGTTTAAAAGTCGAGTTTAAAAGTTGTTGAGAAAAGAGTCCCTCCTAAAGCGGCGGGAACAACCTCCGGATTCGGCAGCGAATAGCCCTCGGAGTAACATTAGACCGAATCACGTGCTGTTTACCCTTTGATACCACAGCACAGGTAGGTGTGCCGAATTGGGTAAGGTGTATTTAGCGTCTTGGTCCTGGGCGAAATATGTGTTACCAATTTTGAATTTCTTCCCTCTCCCCATTTTCGGGAGTCTTTACTTGAACAATGCTCGAGACTACATCCTATCACCAATCCATTTCCGTGAAGAAGCTCACCCCTACGGAATGTGCTCCTGCACATACTTAGAAGACACCGTCTCTTCCATTCCCCCTTCTGTCTCGTTGTCTTCTTTTCCGCTTGTCTCCTCGTCTACTTACCTACTCCCGTCTTCCTCATCCTCACCATCTCATCTTTCGTGATCTTTATGACCATTTTCTGCAGAATCCAATCCGGGAGCGCACTCAACACCCCAAATTGCAAGATATGCGGCCAATACGGCGTAACCACAACATGCCCACAGCCGACTTTATCCAGCGACGTCTTCGCCACAGTCCTCGCACTCGGCATGAACAGGCTGAGCATACTGTCATCCCTCTCCGCACCAGCAGTGACGACCATTCCTAGGTCCAACGACTTAATTTCCACATCCAGGTTCTCCGCGACCATCTCACAATTGAGAGAGACACACCAGCGGGAAACGTAGGCTTTCGCAGCTGCGTACGCGACGAGGTAGGGGGTCGGCACTTGTTCGGAGGCGCTGCTGACGTTGAGTATCAAGGCGGGTTGGTTTTGAGCAAGCAAGGGCAAAACGAGGCGAGTAATCTGCGACATGAAGCGGGTGTTAAGGTTGATCCAGGTGTCGAGGTCGGCGGCTGATATTTCCGTCAAGGCTGCCCAGTCCGGTCGAATGCCTCCCGAGCCGCCGACATTGTTCACTACGACGGTCAAGGTGAGGTCTTTGAGCACTGCCAGGACCGTCGATTCGGATGTAGGGTTCCAATCGGCGGCAGCGTCGAGGACGAGAAGGCGTATTTCGCATTTGAATTCCTTTTCCAATTCATCTTTCACCCCAGCTAGCTTCTTCTCATTGCGACCGTGCAGCACGACATTGAAGCCTCGGCTACATAGCTCCTGGGCAAAGCCTTTGCCGATGCCGTCACTGGCGCCGGTGACGAGGGCCCATGATTTCCCTCCACTCGTGGTATGTTGATAGCGAGAAAGCTTGGAAGAATGCAAGAGGAATCGGACGAGCTCTACGGCTTTGTACAAGAACCATGACAGAGTCAAAAAGCCGACCAGTGAGGAGACGGGGTAGATTCTGGTTGAGGTAGCCATATTGTCTCCACCGCCCTCCGTTGATGTTAGAACCAGTCGAAGATGTGAACAATTTTTGCCTCCTTTTATTGTTATTATTATTTTTGGGCCTGGACTCTTTCTCTGTTCCCAGTGAGGAAAGCATCAACGTTTACGGTGTCATCATTCCAGCCTGATCAATGTTTATAGTACATTAGAAATCAAAATGTGAGCAACGTCGGGCCGGCCTCGAGGGTGAGATCATAATGCCACCAACCGAGGTGACATTCTCATGCTCGGAGTGACTCTCGGAGGATCCCTTTTCTGCACACCGGCTCTCGAGAGTAGACGGCGTTGGAGCGCGAATAAGAGAGAAGATTTGAGGTCTTACACACCACCGGCCTTGCAAGTCGAGACAGGAATCCGTCGCTGGACAAGTTCATTTTCACTAGAACCAAGCTCATTTGTACATTCTCGGTTGTTACACTGTCGTTTCTTTCACCATGCTTTTTGGGCATAATCCAACATCACATCGTCGCTCATTTGCATGCTCATGCTCGAGTTAGCCATGTCATCTCACGTTTCGCTCTCGCTTGTCCTCTAATGGGTGCTCTCTCGTGCCTTGGCATATCTTGTCACCGACGCATTCACCGCCGTTTGAGCTGTTCTTTCAGCTGGATTTCATGCTGGTTCAGTTGCTGGTGCTCTCCTCCAATCTGCTACTGAAACGATGAACAACCTTAATCCAGCCGTGCTTAAGTAGGTCGCCAAATCGCCCGATGAAGCGTGAATAAGAGTCCTTGTCGAACACCGCCGACGATTCCTGTCCCTTAACATAGTCAATAATGACCAACAAGCAGTCTGTCCAGTGTTTCATCGTGTATGTCTCCGCAGGGATCTGATCCGGAGCCCAGAACCAATTGAAACCATAATTATTGTGAAACGTGTCCGACATCCTCTGGAGGTCTTGACGTATTTCATCCAAGATTCGATTTGCGAATTCGTTCATCTCTTTCTGAGGCACTTGGTCAACGAACTCGCAGAGGGTGATGACCAAAATTGACCAGGCGTACATGTCAATCGGATTAAAGTAGCGTAGGATCGGAGACGTTGCGGCCGCATTCCAGTTGAGGCACACAGCCAATCGGTCGGCAGCCTCCAGAACGAACAGAGGATGGGGTCCATTGAGTACATGGCGAGACGTGACCAGTGCCATGAAGTACTTGATTTCTAGATGAATCCGATGTTGTTCTGGGTGGATGGCGGGAAATTCAATGCGGAGCTGATCGAGGAAAGGTTGGATGTAGCCAAACATGACACTATGAGCGAACCTGCTTGGTTCATCATGGTAAAAGAGAGTCGAGAACATTCGGAAGGCCTCTGAACTACGAGCAAGGTATACGGACTCAACGGGTACTCGTGGAGAGTCAAGAACTTTGGCTGAATAAGAAGTGAATCGTGGCAGCGTCCAATGCTCCATACCAAGGCTGAGGCCGTGGTATTTCCCCAAGAGACATGTACAATTGTAAGCTTGTTCAATAATCTTGTTGAGTTCGGTGCGGTCCTTGACGAAGCCATTCGACCATTTAGCTGAATTGTCCAACTGGAGATATTCGATGATGCTCTGACTGGCTGCGACAAGTTCGGCTGTAGGCATGACTGAACCAAGCATTTGAGTGACATCGCTCTGAGACACCAATGCCACCAGGAGGAATGTCCAAATCAAGGCCAGGTTTTCATCGGTTGAACGAGAGGAAGAGTGTGCATGCGACTTGTCATTGAGGAATTGTGCCAGCTGGTCATAATTGTCGAAGAGCTTTAATGTGAGATCAAGTTTGGGGGGTTTGCTGGAGGTGTCCAGATTTTGATTGGAGGAGTTGGCGTCATGACTGCCATTGACGGCGACACCGACGGCAGGATAGGGAAAGATTTCGATAGCGGTTGAAAAGGCATATTGGACACTTTTGGTGGAATTTTCGACAACTCCCATGACAATTTCGGCCTTAGGAAGAAGTGCGAAGAGTCGATGGACGTGTTCGTAGTACTGGGACAAGAATGCAGGATCCATCTTGACGGTTTCCCGATTTTCATCAGAATCCCCAATACGCTGACGTTTCGCCGGAGGATATTTCTCGTTCAGAGTTGATTCTGACCAAAAGGCACCGCCAGGATTCTGTGTGTTTCCACTCTCTTGATTGGGAACGGGCTCGTTCGGAGCAATGGAAAGGCTGCCAGCCTCACGTGGCCGAAGACCAGGATGGACAGAAGAGCTGCCCCAGACCCCGGCGCTTGGGATTCGGTCTCGTTGAAATTCTGAAGAGGTAAACGGGCTTACATTACCTGGATCTGGAAAAGAGAAGGTGCGCTTTGTAGAGGAGGTTGGCTCGTCAGATGAATAGGGCTCGGCGTAGGCAGCGATGCCTGTATTGGAACTTCCGTCTAACGACTGACGCAGTGCTTGCTTTTGCACGTGTTCGACTTGCTGGACACGTTCCGCTAATTCTTTGATGTAGCTGTTCCATGTGTTAGTGACAGAGACAAAGCTAGGACGGCTGGGAGCTTACCCTTTGGAGGGGCCACGTTTCATAGGTTTGCGCTCAAATTCACACGTCACACCAGCCTTCGTGCAGTTAGAGCAAGTTTTTGGTGTCCCGTCAGCCTCTGCAGGAGCATCACATCGAATCTGGGTCGCGTTAAAAGACCATGGTTCAAGAAGTTGGGCTGAGACGTGAAATACCTTCTTCCTACGACATTCATCACACGCCCTCGATGTCTTTGACCTTTTTCTCCTTTCTCCTGTTTGTGGAGTCTGTGTCGTATCGGCGGACTCATCACCACTGGCGTGCGGCGCGGTAGGCATGAATGGTTGGCTTGGAGTCTGAGGAGGCGCCATTACAGCATCTGCGGTCGCGTTGGAAGCTGCGCCATTGGGAGCTATGGACATATTGCTCAACACACCGTTTCCAGATGTATCAATTGGCCCAGCAGTCTCATCGAGCTGTCTGGCGAATTGGGGGATGGAGTAGTTGGTGGTCATGGTCAGCTCCGAGTCGATCGGGAACGGGTATTGAGACTGAGAGAATTGTGTAGAAGGGGCCGAAGGGAAATTGGGATTCGGATCGTCGCCAGACTGGTCGCGAGCACTCACACTCCTCGCCATCGCTTGGTTGGATGCTGATAGGATTAGTTCAAGATGCGACCGCGGTTCCGAAAGATGGATAGTGATGAGAGTGAGTCGCGACTCAGCAAGGATCCAAATCAAACTTGGCCAGCGAAACCCGCCGTGTCCGATTCGGGGTCTAGCGTGAACTGCGCAGTCAAGTTCCAAGCCTCACCTGACTGGCAACAGCCTCTAGCAAGCCTTAGGTAAGAAGCAGACCTCATCGCGACCAATCGAACGCGCGAGACGCGGAAGGGAAACATCTTGACTGAGTTGGTGCGATATGAATTCTGGGGAGAGTAATGAGCCAGTCAAAAATATAAACCGTCTGCGGCTTCTACCCTTCTGCTAGAGTATGACTTTTTGTGTGCGCCACACCCCTGTCGCATTCAGGACTATGGGTGAACTAGACATTGGAATAATATTGATGGATGGCCTAGTCATTGTCGCATACTGACCTTTCCGTCTCATTATGGCACAACATTTTTCTTCCTAGGAACCACTTGCTCATACCTATGCAATCACGATTTCGTTCCAAACGTAACGTCTCATATTGGAATTCAGTTTCATGATAAAACTCGCTTTGAAGACAATTGACTCGCCTTAGCGATGCCCCCCCCAAAAACACTATCAGGGGCTATGTGAGAAAATGTTCGCCTGCGTTCCTTTCTTCAACCTCACCTTCCATATAAGACAAACAGAAAGGAGATCTGGGAGAGCGTGACACTTTGGATAGGATAACTGTTCAAAGAACCAGAGGTTGAAGGTAGAATCCAGAGTCTGAGATCAAGAGGGCATGCTTAGTAGCATGGTGTAAAACAGCCTTAATCCATTAGGACAGGCATGACAAAATCCGTTGATCAAGGCCGTTGTGGAAAGGCGTTCCATTGCTGAGGCCTCCTACTCTTTTGACAGTGAGAATGACGACTTTGATGCATCTGGTGTCAGAGTGCTTTGCAGTCGGTAACGACTTCCTCACAAGTGCCGGACCTGCATTATCTTTTTGCGAATTGTCCAGCCATCCCAAGTTTTGGCAATTCTCCCGTAAACCATTCCTTAACCTTCGCTGTGCATTCAAAGAAGAATGTCCATTACAGGCGAGACTGAAAGAGCCAATGGAAAATCGCCGATTGATCCGTGAGCAAGCGGAAGGATGGACTTGATAGCTAGTCAAAACTTACATTGACCATTGTGCTTTTAAATATCTCAGCCACTCTTCCATTGAACCTTCGTCAATTGAAGCCATGGAGAGTGCCCTTTTTTTCTTTTTGCTCCAATGCTTGGCTTTGACCCAAACCTGTTATCTCGGTCAGCTGCTGAGTGTGCATCACATTAGCCTGGCCAAGCCCCGATCAGATGTGTCCCGTCCGTCTTGAATTGCCTGCAAAGTTTCAATGGTCCTCGAAATCTTGATCGACGTCGTGCTCGCTTCATGAGGTCAGTATGGTAGCACGGTTCAAATTGTGGCGTTCAAGTGGAGGCCACTTGACAGGATTTTCGACGACTACGCCTCCCCGCCCGTAGATTGTTTTGAGGGCTGAGGAGGGGTGCTGCAGAGTCGCCGATTTTCCTGTCCAATCTTTGCTTTTGATTTTCTCGGCCATCACACACACGTTTTTGCCATTGCGCAACAAGAAGCGTGTGCAGGCGATTGGACACGGCCGACAACCTCCTTCGTAGGAGCCAGGATACCCGTGCTCACCTCTGCTAACGGGCAACTACTTTATGTTATCACACTTTGACTAGGGCTGTTCGTCGAAGTCCTCTCGCAGGATCATGGTCGGTTATACTTTCTGCCTCGTGGGTGCCCCTCCAATTTCGCAGAAGCAGAAGGGTTTCTCTACTGATTCCTTTCGAGGCTTTGTCGCGTCTCCTTGCCGGCTTGCTCCGCGATGAATCAAGTTTTTCTTTCTTTTTTTTTTTTTTGCTCGCGTCCGGTTGGCTCGGCGGTGGGCGGAGTCTGCGGTAATTTTACGGCTGACAGAAATATGTCTCAGTCATGCTCGGTTCGGAAGTCCTGGGCGGCCCTCGTTCGGAAGATGGGCAGGGAAAGGGGATGGGGAGCACCACCCTTCCCACTCCCCTCAGAACGGGGCCTATGGATTTAGTCTCGGATTCTTACTGAGCATTATCGAAAATCGAGTTGGAATCGCTTCCACTTCCCGCCCATGACTCCGCAGCGGGGGCAGCCGCGGCGCATCGGCGCGTATCCTGGTTGGACGGTGACCACAGGAGAGCTGATGATCTGTCCAACGCAATCGCTGCAGACGCCACAGATACACTCCGTGCAGGCAAATGCATTTTTGAGCAACCATGGTCGACCGCACGATGCGCAATATATTTCCAGTACTTCCGATTTGCTGCCAAAGGAAGACGACTGGGAGTGCTGGTAAGGGTGTGAATGGTGTTGCAGCGGACTAGTGTTATCGTTGGAAGACGCCGACGTGGGCAGCCCGGATCCCGAGATGTGGAAATTCTGCCCAGATCCCGCGCTCTCCAATGACTCGACTGAAGGAAAAGGCTCGGGCTCGTTCGGTCCCAGGGAGTCTGGTGGCGGTGGCGTCAACGTGCGCTGCAGCGGAGAGGCATTGTACTGCCCGTGCTGAGGTTGCAGGTGATGGCCGAAGGGACGGAATCCCGGCGGTAGGGATGATCTCTTGTTCGCACCTCCACTGGCGGTGACGCTATCCGCCGCGGACAGCCTACGACCGGTCGTGGCAGTGGTGGGATGGGTGCTGGCCGCTGTAGTGCTCGCAGAGGGCGGAAAGTTTGGCGATTGTGGCATCTGTGGTCCAACGCCAAGGGCGTGTTAGCAAGGTTGATTAACGATGGTCTAACGCAAAAAGATAAAAAGTGAGGAGGTTGGTGTACACATTAATTAAATGAGAGTGCATAAACTTTTTCGTGACAGACCCCCTGGCCTGGTCCGACCACCCCCAGGATTTCGATTCCGACCGTCTGTGGCCTGACCTGAAAAGGGGGGGGAGGGGGGTTTGTAGAGGGGAAAAATAAAAAGAAAAAAAAAAAAAAAAAAATTGGCTCTTGCTTGCAAAGACATTCGTTATCCGGACAATTGTCGTCTCCTGTTGATTCCGTCCTTGAGTCGACGTCGTGGTCCTGGGAAAACCAGCAATTATGATTTGACCGGGACCATCAACCTATCTCGATTGGGGACTTTGATCAACAGCTGATTATTCCTCTTGCCCGAGAGCGGATGTGTGCTCGCTTTTCGCCATCTCCCGGTCATGCGGGAAAAATAGTAGGCCATAACAGTCGTCGTCGTTTGTTGTTTTGGTAATAGTAGTGACAGTAAAGTAGTACAAGACAGTATTCCCTTCTGGGGGTGGGAGGGGGCTTCCATCGGGGGTACATCTACAAAATCTCGATCTCTTGACAGCAGCAAGTAAACAGAGGACAATCGAAAAATGTCGTCTGACTTACGGGAGTGAGATCACGATCATCATCAGCTTCTGTAGCACTGGTCGCGGCCTCGATCAGGTCCTCCCATCTCTTGCCTTGGACCCAAGCCGCCGTTGGCGGTTCAGCAGACATAGCTTTGCGGCCTTCGACGCTCAACCTTCGGGAGAATTCTTTAGCCGAGAATTCCCTAGACTTTCCGCGTTCGTGCTTGCCCTTGCGCGCATTTTGCCCCATGGAAGGTTTTCGGGGTCGTTGTAGTTTGTCGCGCCGCTGAATGGGTGGTAAAGATGAGTACCGGCCGCTAGGTGATTGCAAAATAGATGGTAATAATTCGCGTGTGCGCGAGGGTTGGAAAGGTGGCAAGGTATCTTCGTGGAACTGTGCACGTAGTGATGGTAATTCAAGACCCGACGTATCGCGTCTGTAGTCTGAATCTGGGAACACGTCCTACGACGTGAATGAGCACAGTTCTGTCTGTCACCGTAGGCCTGTCCCTGTCGATACTTACAAAATCAGAGTCCCAGTTGTGCAGTTGTGCCAGAGCGACAGCGGCATTGGCTGTCGCTGGAGGTTGCCCAGTGAGTGTTGCTGGCTGTTCCAATAATGGGGTATGATCACTCGCATCCGCTGCTGTGTCTTAGAATCAATTATCATGGGAGTAGGTCAATGAGCCGACATACAAGGGCCTCTTCTCGCCGGCGCCACCGCCGTAGGTTGAGACGGTTGTTGTGGTCTTTGGGAGGGCGGGGTGCTGATCATCAATTGAAAACTCTCCTCGGTAGCAGGTAGTTTAGGGATGTAGTAGTCTGGATGTGCGCGTCGAATATGTTCTTGCATTGACCTGTATCGCTTTTCCTGTTGACGTTGAGTCAGTTGTGTTGTAACACGCAGGCTAGGATTGGAGGGAAAAAAAGCCCGTACCCCAATGCACCTCTTCCGGCATTGCGAGCCATCTTGGTTTGTAAGAGGACACACAACCTCATTTTCAGCATCGGTCGACACGAGAAAAGAACTGGTCAGAGCAGTTTTGGGCGGCATGGCCTTCTGCGCGGCACCGCAGGAGGGAATTAGGAGAGAGCGACGAAGAAGGGCGGCATCGATCGGACAGTCCACACAAGCTTGGCGGATGAGCTTTGAGAGAAAGGAAAATCCCGGCGACGTAATGGGTCCTTTTTCACATGTTTTGACCGGCAACACTAGAAGCAGTAAATAGTTGTGGTGAATCGAGGTCTTGAGGATTCAATGCCGCATCGATTCTTCAGCCTGGTGGACAGGGAGAGGAGGAAGAGGATGGAGGAATAGGATGCGGTGGTGGAAGAGTTGGGGTGGTAAGTGTTTAGATGCTTTGAGTGTGGGAAGAAAGAAAAGAAGCTCGAGGGGCAAAGAGCTTCTGGGCTCCCACTTTGGAGCTCCTTGGAGCTCTCGGGCTAACCCTTCCCCCCTACCTATCAGCCATACACAATTGCTGCAGTGGCGGTTAGGCTGCCCAAACCTTCGCTTCAGACTGGTAACCTCCCCTTCCTTGATCCCACCCCTCCCGCGGCGGCCAGGGACCAAACGCACCTCTCCAACCAATTCTCGCCCTCCAACACAGCTTTTCTCGATCGATGAACAGTTCCTTTGGTTTTTCACATTCTCTCACTGGATATCTGTTCTTTGGTAATTATTCAGGTACTGCCCAATCAAGCTCAATCCGACACCGCACCCACTCCACTTCTTCTTCATCCAGCTCCCGCCCACCATCCACCACTGGCAAGCTGCGATCAATGCAAATGTTCAAGATGCAAGAAAGCTAGAGCTCTGCTTGCCCCGTTTGCTGGCATGTGCATGTGCCCAACACAGCTCGTCCCCAATTGACTTTTTGGATGTTCTCCCCTTCAGACCAATCACAAATTTGCTTGGTTCCAGAGGGAGCTTGAGTACGGTCCACACGAGCTGTCAAAACCCCCCCCCCCTTTTCTTGGATATCACATCATGCAAGAGAGCTTTTTCGATTATAGTCATCAAAAATTCAAAACAGCTTCAGGCCATGCTGTCACATCGGAGTTCTCGGTGGTCCACTAGTCATCCCCCCGGGTCAGCTTAAAAATTCTAATGTGAGGAAGGGCTCCGTTTACGCTACATTCGGCGAAGTAGATATATGGTGTTCAAACAGGGACTGCATCATAATAGAATATTCTCTATGGATATATCCCTGCCCAAGTTCCCTCACGCCCACGCCTGGAGAAACCACTTATCTTCTCTGCGGCTCTGACAAGTTGGCCATTCGGCCAAGCCTCTGGCCCTGACGGTACAAAAACAATAGCTCTTCTTCGAAGACGGTTGACAGCAAACAGAATAAGACCTCACGCCAGCAACGCTGTCAATGTGAAGCCTTTTCAGAAGCCTTTGACATATCTATGCGCTTGGGTGACCTCCATCACCTCGAATCGCATGCCTACCTCAATGTTGCCTTCATTCCTAGGACAGCACAACATCCCAAAACAAGGCTTGAATTTTATGCCTTCGTCAATTCTTCGAAAACTAACCAATAGATCCCATGGCTCGTGTGGATTTTTCTCTGCCGTATCCGGGTTGACATTTGGCACTGTACAACGGGCACACCTGGCGACGACGTCGATGTCAATAGCGTTTCGATTGCCACCCACCATTGTGGTGAACAATGATGAATCTCCATTGATGCGCACCGTCTTCCATTCATCCTCGGACCATGGTTCGCCACCTTTGATAATGATATTTGGCCGGAAGCGCTCAATTGTGATCTCTTTCTCGCCTCGCTCTTTCAACCCGGTATTCAGTGCTGCCAGTGACGACTCGGATGCAATCTGGATAGGTAGCACGTCGGGAAAGTTGACGCTCTCCTGACGTCCTAGCCGCGATGGATCTCCATTCCCACGGCATATTCTGGGTTCGGGACCCTTCATCACCAAAGTCGCATCTTCACCGAAGAAGTCGGAGAAGAGACTCTTCATCTCAGGATCGGTGTACGCATATGCATCGGTGATGTGCTCCCAGATATCCACGGATACGATATTGGTGTTGGCGTCTAGCCATTCTTGGTCCGGGTGAATTGGAACCTTGACTTGTTTCTCGGTGTCGTGTTCAATGGTGATGACGAGGCTGTCTGAGTCTTGGTCGACAGCTGTATTGATCAATGTCATCTGTGGCTTGGACCGAATGGTGATGAATTTATTTTTGCTATCGACGAACTATTGCGAAAAGGCACAGTATCAGCTTACTGATTGACAGTACCCCAGAAGATCACAGAGAACTTCATCGGTTGAAGGCAGGAAACTTACCATCCACCGTCTATCCAACTCTAACCCTTGTCTGGTCAATTTCGCAGATCGAAAAGATATTCCACGGCATGATTTGATGGGATAGATTCGTAGATCAGTTATCTCGGAGACTGTGTACGTCATTGTTACTTGTCCCTGCAACTATCCTCAATGCCTTGCCTCGCTTATGAGAATTGTGGTTTGTGCATTGACGGATCGTACACTATGAGGAATTCGATCCAAAGATCCGCGATACCTCGAGCTTATCACACTGAAAACGGACGGTGGGATGATGTCGACTGGACAACGAAGTCTTTCAAGATGAATTTAGGAAGAATGCCATATACATATATAATCCTTTTCAAAAAAGAGAGAACTCGAGCCATCGACGGGGAGAGACACAATATATGAGGGGGTTTGGTGGATCTCTCCCTCATGATAATCTGCTTGGTCAGACGATTCAAAAGACAATGAATCGACTTTATTGCCATGTCCATCACAGATATTAGTAGCGAATATACACAGGTCATGCATGCCGAATTCTCTTCTTATTCCCGGACGCGGATAGCTGCATGCATTTTATCCAAAGGCTATTGGCAAGAGACTTCAATACGTCATCAAGAATTAAAACAGCGGGATTCACTCTTTACAAATTAGGCAATAAACGTTTCTGACACTATTCCATTTTCAGTGCATCCAGAGCGAAGCCGAGCTCCTTTCTCCGTGGGCTTTCGTCGTTGTTGGCGAGAGCGGAAGGAAAGGATTGTAGACATGAAGATGGAGAAATATCATAGAGAGAGATATTTCTATTCTCAGAAATTAACAACGAGCGGGAGTTGCATCAGACCAGGGGGGGCTTAATGGTTGTGGCTGTCGGTCAGTGGTGGTGTGAAGCCATTCCCCCCCTACATGCTTGCGATTTAAGGATTGACGCATATCTAGACGCTGACATGAGGCCGGTACCCCTGGGGACGGTGGAACGGGATGAAGGCAACATCAGGTTTAGGACTCGGGGTGAGATGATCGGAGGCCCTGGCATGAATGGAAACAGAACCCTCGGAGCAAGCATATTGTCAGGCCATCAACTAGCAAAATACACCTGTGACAAAATTGATCAACAACGAACGGAGAAATCTAGATATGGCGGATTTCTGCTCCACCCACGAGATCAGTCGCGGTCGCTCCGAATAGTGGGGGAGTGTACATGGAAGGAAGCCAGTGCTGGAAGACTTTTCTCTTGATCATTGTCCCTCATTTTCATCCAAGGAATTCTTGTAGGGATGAGAGTGAGTACTGTTAAGAAGTGATTTCTAGAGAGAAGTCAAGAAGAATGTTAGAATGCTGAATGAATGAAGCCCGAGAAGACTGTCCTGTTGTCGCCGTGTGGTTGGCTCGAAGTGCGCATTGTGACCCACTCTTGCGGACCCGGCTCCAAGGACAGTGCGCTTCTTTTGGACAACAACACCGAGCCAAACACGTCCTAGTATATACCGGAGCTCGCCGCCATTCGGGCAGCAAAGACCATTGCAGTTGTATACAGGGTCATGACGATCGCCTCAGAAAGGTGCTGCCTGTCAGATTGATCGGATTTCAGGCGTGTTTCCCGATCAGTGCAACCGAAGGACTCTTGGCCTGGGAGGGTGTGCTCTCCCACTGCTCGTAACTTTATCGGATAATGTCTGGCCTCTCTACTGAACTAGCCTTCTCCAGGTCTGTCATCAGAGATAATAGGGGGTTAGCCTCTTCAGACGGTATTGCAAAGTAGAGAGGCCTTCCCCAGCGACATCAAGATGTCGACAATCAGTCAAATTGAGCAGCCGACTTTTGCGAAACTCGAACTTCGTACTGCTTATGGCCCGGTCTTTCGCGACGTCTTAACAAGCCCACCGCGTGAAAGTCGAGTGGACGAGATACCGTTGATTGATATCAGTCCGATATACGGTGACCTCGAGGCTCGAAAAGCGTTGGCTCAAAAAATCAGGTTTGCAGCAGAGAACACCGGGTTCTTCTATATCCAAAACCACGGCATTCCAGAAGCTGTGATCGACGCGGCCTTGGACGCTTCAAAGGCCTTCTTCGCGCAATCCGAAGATAAGAAGATGCTGGTCTCGAAATCCAAGGGAAAATGGTACAACGGATATCATGCGAAAAACACTGGTATGGCGAGCCCGACGGAAGGATGTGAGTGAATTGTAGTATCGTCCAATAGCACGTTATCTGACAGCGATAGTGGACCATCGAGAAGCCTTCGGCTGGCGTTATGAGCCCCAATATGATCCAGATCCTAAAGATCCAAATAGCGTCCCGCCAGAAGTTTGGCCGTACATTCGGGGAGAAAATTATGTATGGGAAGGGACAGAGCACTTGCCGGGGTTCAAAGATGCTTGCATCACTTACTGGCAAGAGTGCTTAAAGCTCAGCCGCAGACTCGTCCGGATTTTTGCTCTCTGCCTCGATCTTCCCGAAGACTATTTCGATTCTGTAACAACGTATCCAGGTAGTGATGGTGTCTTCAATTATTACCCCGCCATGTCAGCAGAAGCGGCGGCAAATAGTCAAGATATCGGCCTGGGCTCACATACCGATCTTCAATGTTTCACATTGCTGTGGCAAGATATGAGTGGTGGACTCCAGGTGCTTAATAGCGACGGGCAGTGGATCAAAGCCTCGCCAATCCAAGGCACATTTGTGGTGAACATTGGCGATTATTTGATGCGCTTGACGAATGATCAATTCCAGTCGACTGTGCACAGAGTATACAATCGTTCCACCATTGACAGGTCTGCTGATTTTTTACCATCTTGATAATTGCGCTGACGTTAACAAAGGTACTCGATGCCTTTCTTCTTCGGTTTCAATTTTAACGAAACATGCGGCGTCCTTCCTAGCTGCACCGATGAAAACAATCCACCAAAGTACGAGCCAATTTCTTGCGGAGAGTGGTGTCAGTTGAGGTTTCAGCAGACTGATGTAGGTTCCAAGGTGGCCGTCCATTAGGAGTGCTGAATTGCATTTTATAATGTCCACGTGTAGTTCTCGTTGTTGCTGTGTGCCTCGTGCATCGCCACCAATAAATTTCTCTGGCGCTATGACTGTTTAATGCAAGATTCTGCTACTGTTATGGCATGTCAGCGTCCTTGGGCAGCAAGGCCTTGTTGCTTTGGGCAATGGAATACTCATGGAATGATGTAAAATACCGTGAAACGTGGCGGACGAGGTCAAGCAATCGAGGCAAGTATCCACCGCAATCGGCCAAAAAGGGGCAAGCAAAGGCTGAATGCAGTGCACTCTTATCTGATGTACCAGATTTTCCGGCAAAACAAGAGTCAGATTGTCCACGAGCCTTCTCTTTTGGGGGGGGGGAAGAGGAGGGTAGATTCCGGCGTATCGAAGACTGGAGCCGAAAGGCGGCTCGAGATATTAACAGAAAACAAGGCTAAAAAGCTGAGGACTGAGTCGGGTGGTGACCGAGTAAGACCAATATCTGTTGGAGATTTTCTTCCGAAAGGAGGCTTGGGTCTAGTCCGCCATTTTATCACTGTATCCCTCTTCCAGACTTCACATCTGAAGCGTGCTGTCAGTTATGACGAAGCTGGTCTATTTTGCCCATTCTGGTGCTTTATCGTTTGCCTCTCCGACGTCCAAAGCAACCAAGAACCGGCTAACCATGTTATAGCTTGCAATTGTAGCGGTAAGCTCGACCATTTCTTGATCGCTGAATCCTGCTCCTTTCACCTCGTCGAACAGACTTTGAGGGACGGACACCTCTCGAGTCATGGCATCGGCGTATCTTAGAACTGCCCATTGACGATTATCGAGAGCACCCTGAGAGGCGGGATACAATTGTTTAACGACAGCAAGTTTCTCTTCAGAGAAGCCCGGAGATTTGAGGAGGATGGGGGAATGGGCATTCCATTCGTACCACGCGCGATTGATCAAGGCAGGACGGCAAATCGCAATTTCGCGTATATCCTCCGGGAGGGAATTCTTGGTGCGTATGGCGCCGAGGAGGGCGTTCCAACCTGTACCATGAGAGTTGAGAAAGCAGTATCATATGTGAAGGGACTGAACTGACCATCTGCAACTTTGGGGGCATGAAGCAGAGTCAGGTCCAGAGCAATCAAGCCCATGGCACCTCGACGGGCCTTGACTCGTTCCAGGACCTCTTGGTCTTCGGCGGAGAGGTCCGTTGGTGGATTGGGAACGTAATTGAGACGCATGGTTTCAAGTTAGCTGCTTTCCTTGATTTGGTCAGTGTGCAAAGACGTTCGCGGATAGGCGAGATTGCGATCTGGACCACTGGGCAATGAGCGAGATTCTCTGCTCAACTTCGACACTCAATATAAAACGACTTGTCCCGCGGTCCATCCCATAACTCGGAGCGCAGTGCGGGGAGGCTCCTCATTCTGCCCGTCTGCGTTCTCCAACCGCGGAATCTTTGCGATGACTTGCATAATGATGGACGAAAGTACCTGATCAATACTCCATATCGAGTTGTTGCTCTTCACACTCTGGCAAATTTGGGCCCAAATTCTACAGTTTTCGTCTTTTGGCCTAGGTAATTCTTTTGTGGACACACGGAATTATGAACACACTCGTTCCAGTGGTGATCATTCCGCATAAAGGCCACGAGAAGCTTTTTTGGGGGTGTAACTTCGTAAGCCGTCCGCGGTCTGGCGTTCTGGCCTAAGGGAAGGCTGTTTTATCGGTTACTGACTTATTTTGCATATTTGAGCCCCACTGATTCGCCAGATTGAGGAGGTGGTGTGAGGTCACTGAAAGACAATCGGAGGCGTGGTATGTGCGTTTGATTCATGTCGAATCTTAAAGGGCACCGCTTGACGATCCACAGGTTTCAAAAAGGTACAAAGGATTCCAAGAGCAAAGTGAAACAAGTATCTAAGATTTCAACGGTGTTTCAAACCTGAAGAGCGGGCATGTGGAAATTGAGAAACAAGGAGATGACCCCCGGACTGCAGCCGGGGCGCAGGCTGACTTATCACTAGTACCCACGCAGTACCTGCTATCATCACCATGTCACCGTTCGACAAACAAGCGACGAGACCTCTGAACCACCCTCTCCCACTTCCCATCACAATTGGCAATACCTCACCACCCCAAGCTGCTAGCACTTCAACAACCTCCCGTAGTCCAGCCGACAATTCCCAGGCTTCTCTCCATTGTCCAATCCTCCACTTCACCTCGCCTCATTCTCTACCGTCACGAGACAAAGCGAACCCCCCTTTTCAACTTTGCCATCTCACTCTGGCGCAAGCCATCGCTCTTGCGTCACTTGCACAACATCGTTCTAATCCTATCATCCCATCCCGCCCGCTTCCTATCGAACCGATCCAAAATCTCTTGCCTGCTCGTCCAATAGTCTATCCACCTACTTAAACCTGCTCTTCCCCAGGCCCGAATCTCTCTCAAGCCCACATGCCTGGAATTCGTACGTCTTCTCTCTGAAATTCCTCCTTAATACCTCCCCGGGTTTTCTCTGGATTATTTTTTTTCCCTCCAAGGTGCATTCATCTCTCTTCTAATACCGGTCTCTGAATCATAGCCCTCGACGCAATGGACAAGATCAAGGCACTCTTCAAGCGCAAGAAGGATAAGGGTACTACCAGCACAAAGACCGATACCAATGGAACTGCTGCCACTGCGTCAAAACCTACTCCCACAGATACCGCGGCTGCTCCATCCACCAGTACTCCGGCTACGGCTCCTGCCGGTGAGTTTATGAGGCGAATCTCCCGATCTGTATATTTCAGACCTAACCACGCTGTAGACGCTGCTCCAGCCGATACTCCTGCTGCCGACAAGCCAGCCGAGCCAGCTCCGGCTGATGCTCCCGCAGCCGAGCCTGCAAAATAAAAGCATTCTCTCGTGAAGGTGATGGATCATAGATAGCCTCTGTTCCGGCCAGCCCCGACGGCAATGCGCTAGCACAGCGAGAAAGTCTATCTCCATTGGAATGCGTGACCTGAGCTCAGTCGAGCATTGAGGCCCTTTGCACAGATCGTTGAAACATTTACCGGCTTTTGCTTCTATTCATTGTCAGTCGAGAGCGTCTAATCAACTTTATACCCCCCTTTTGGCGCCAACGCGAATCAAATATAACACCTCCCACCCATTCATTTTCAACATACAACTTGCCACAATGGAACGCCAAACAGCTGGGCTACAGGCCGAACGGACATTGCTTTCCTTTCCAATATCCAACAATTGAGATACCCCCCCACTCTGTCCAGCAATAAGCGAAGCGGCACGGTCCCATGTTCAGAGATACCCCCAAGTCCTTCAGATAGTTCTCTTTTATTCGTCAAGCATAGGAATCATAGTTGACTTTTGACATAATTCCAGTCTTTCTGGCTCCGTTAAATCCGACGTCCTACTTAGATTGTAACTATAGTGATTAATGTACCGTGGTTCCAGCCTTAGGTCAGTTCGTACTCTCCCCCCTGTTGTCCCCCTGTGTTTATTAATACACTTTGTCGAAATCATCTGTTTCCTACCTCCATCTCACATTTGAAGCCGAAAAGCGACGAGTCAACCCAAATATCTGTCAAAATATCTAATTTGTACTCCCAAGCGTAAGCGAGGATAAACAACGTGGAGCCCTGCAATGAGAGTTACCCTGCTTTCGTGCACATTTTTTGCCCACACAAGACCACCGTTCGGTACCGATTATGGGTCGCGCCTAGCGATCGCTACTGAAAGGAGCGCTCAATGTTAGCGGGCGGACTTCACCAAGATCTCAACCTCTTGTGACTTTTTCGATTAGCCTGACCATTCATGGGGCGTGCAATTCGAGCGATTCGTTAAGCTCCATCGTCTAGAGTACGAATGGTAGGGCACCTGGAGATGGCTCCCCGAAACTTCATCCCGCAAAAATGCAGTGCCGTACCACTGGTGTATTAGTGTTCTGTGTGGAGGTTGAGGTTTAGGTGTCTTGAAGTCAGGGGATAGCTTTTTCCGTTCATTCAGCGCAAATTGACGTCGAGTTTGACAAGCACCGAAGAATCTTGATTCTTATGAATGCCATTGATGCCGGCAGCGAACGAGCTCTTGCTTCTTAATGACTGGGCATCTTTCGATGTAGGTCGGGACGCAGGATAGATTCGAATTGATCGCTTCGATTTGTCGCCCGGTATCAGGGAAAGAAGAATATCGTGATGCGAGGAGGACGCGGTGCTCTCGGTCTGTCCGTTGATCTGAGAGGAGGACATAGTGAGACTTCTGTGTTGATGTGGAAATATTTCGACAATTTGGCTTAAAGATTGGGGTCATTAGTATAGTCAACTGGTTTCCGGGCCTTAAAAATTGGATTCCGGAACATACTCGCTCGCCCATCTGGTGATATTATCGAGAGCTTCTTGTTCGCGCTGGACTTCCTCAGGGCTCATAACGTTCTGAGAGGGGGCGCTCGATGCGCCCCAGGTCCCATAGCTGTGAGCGCCTGTCAAGTCATCGTACAACAGGCGAGAGTGGTCAGCCTGTAGGTTTGTTCAGTTAGTGTGGTTGTTGTTGAGATCCGCTTGCAGGTTATCACGTACATCGTCGTGAGTGTGACGGCGCAGGCCCAAGCAAGAGAGACATGCTCCCATATTTGTAGAGAATGCTGCGCGATTGCAGCTGTTCTGCTACATGGGGGTTAGAGAAGAAACTATAACGCTGCCAAATTGGACATATTGGCCTTGACACCAGTCAGGGAAAAGGGTTACAATGCCAGTCAGTGATGCATTGCAGGAGGCCGACTGACACGGTCCACCCCAGTAGCGTCAGAGGATACAGTTCTCATAAAAGTATTTCCGTTCCGAGGCCTACGACTTCCCTGTCCTTTGATTCGCTCTCCGTGTTCCCTTAAATGCTGCTCAATCCCTTCAATTTAGCTCTAGTCTGACGACAAGCGCCCACTGACTTCGAATGGCTCTGAAAGAATGTTGATTCCTTCACCGGATGCCATGGGCTCGGTACCAGTCTACCACATCAGAAGTTTCTACAACCAACAACTCCTCCGCATCTGAATTACCTTATTCTACAGCCCGAGAGCTACTTCTCTAGCTTGTCAGTAGCTAGATCAGATACCACATGGGCGGGCAGTTCGTGTTGTGTGGCCCTTTGACACCGCCATGAGGAGGAAGAATTCAATATCAAACCTAAACGCAGCAAGGCATCAAGATTTGAGATTCATGAGATCGTTCAAGTTTTTGATGAAACACTCCTCATTCACTTGTCTTCCCTTTGTGATGAATTGATTTCTACCTTGAGAATGCCATTCTCGTTATTGCTTTGCCCATCCATGCTCCTTGCGTCTGGGACATCTGCATGCCAAGCGTCAAGAAATCTACGCCCAACTCACCCCTAGATTTAATCAAGTATTAAAAGGCAGCCAGGAAAGGTAACAGGTGCAGCTTCGCTCTTGTGGTCAACTATGTGACAACCTAACTCATCAACTGCAGGCAATCCAGCCACTACCTACGCCAACGTTCACTTCGCTATGATCAGACTTCCAAGCCGCCAACTCCTCAAGGCTCTTCACAGTCCGCCCGGCCATCCTCTTCGTAATCTTCGCCGTCCGCTTCCTAACCATCTCTACCGCTCTCTTCCTAATCCTCTCCGCCGTCCTCTTCAGCAACGTCATTTCCACGATGAACAGGTCCCGTTTTCAGGCCCTCCAAGCTATGCGACCATCACCAAGCGTTTCAGTCCTTTGAGTCCAAATCCAATTCCTCGAAGAACCGACAAAATGTGATGCCGATAAAGTGGCAGAAAGTGTTCGTGGTTTTGTCTACGGTCGGAAATTCCGCCAAATATTTCCATGCGTGCTCAGCATCGAAGAGAAGGCCCGTTGGGTTTTTTTTATGGTGGACAGTGGTGCGCCACTGACTTACATCTCAACTCATGTCAGTGAGGGTCCATATCGAAACGATATCTGGCTACTAACTCGGCTCTAGGTGGCCAAGGCTTTTTGATCTCAACTTAGAAGAGGATCCTTGGAATGCGAAAATCGCTGGACACTCCCACGCCATTTACGTATCCCCCCCCCAAGTTCACACTTTTCCGAGATCAACATTCTCGGCGGTGACTTCTGCACCATGAATCGACTCCGACCCTGGATTGACGATGACAATCGAACGGTGACATATTATATTGGGAAGAAGTGGGAGGTCTCTCCTAAGCTATGATATCGGTCTCTGGGCAACAAATAGTATGCTGGCTGGTACCATTATGGAATGTGATCGGTCCAACGACACAGGTGTTGGAAAAGCCAAGTTCTGAGCCAAATGCAGCTACGTCTGTGGTCGCACGTACGCAGACAGCAGTTTCCGTGGGGCTCCATCGGTTAGGAATTACCCAGAGGGATGCGCTCGTCACTGCGACACCCTAAATCAAAATCAAGGTGCCGGAACCTGTGCGGGTGTTGTCCTTTGATCCAACCACAAACGTCGACAATTGCGGAGTTCTCCGAAGCCTTGATGGACTAATTGGCAACACCAAATACGCGGCATTACAGCTTACTCGCGATCCAAATGGTGAGAAAAGATGTCAGTTCATCAGCCCTGGGACCACCGAGGCTTCAACAACGACTAAAGGCTTTTCATCGTCCTCGACCATCGACCCCACTACGATTGAGCTCCACAAGATTTGAAACTGCTCCCACGACTTCTGCCAGCACAACGGCCGGGTCACAAAAGACGACCTCCACCTCTGTGAGTGTTTCATTGTCTACAGCAGGATCATGCAGTCACAGTTCTCGCAGCTGTCACTCCTCGAGGACTTCTTGGCCTACCAAATGGCCGAACGGCAACCAGCGGGAATGTCACCCCTCATCAACCAGCTCTCGTGCCAGCTCAGTCACCACAGGGCTTGATGAGCACCATCACTGCCGCAACTACTCCAGAGACCTCTGCTAGCATGAGCAAAACGACGACTGGTTACTTGAACAGTACTACTACAGGCGCATCGAATACAACGTCCATCACAGTTTTAGTGTCTGCCCCAACAACCACAAGCACCTATATCAACTCTTCCACCACCTCCAGCAGCTATCCAGCTACTACTGTCACAGTCTCTGGATATCCAGGCAGTGCCAACTTCGATCGTGACTGGTGATGCTTCTGTGATAGCGACAGCGATGGGGCCCAACTATTACTGTTCTAGCGATCATCCCCTCCACGGTCACCAAATACAGGACTACAAGGGAAATGGGCCAATGTTACAGACGTAAGAACTAGACACACAACCATTACGGAAATAGAGACTTATTCTTACACGTTAGCCTCCACTTCTACAAATATTGCTACTGCCATCGTGACAATGATTCCAACTTACGGACGATGGGGACAAATCCATCCTTGCTAGGCTAATAGCGAATAAGGGTTGCTTTGGACGGAATGACGAGGGATATCGCCGCCGCAGGACATGTGTTTCGGGACGATTGGCATTCGAATTGAGACACAAGATTTGAAATTCGGCTTTAGGAGCCAAGAATGTTATCGTAGTTTGGCTTCGGAATCTAGGGGTCTCAGTGACTCAGAAATGTTGCAATTCTAGATGTAGACTTCGGTTTGGGCAAAAGTGATTGTTCAACAATCTCTCCAGAGAGTCTCTCTAGTCTATCGCATCGTCGAGTCTACCTGATGTCACATTCTCGATATCTCTTGAATCCAGAGTTAGGTCGACGGGTCATAGTTTACTCTCTCTTACATTTTGCTTGCTGCTCCAAACCTGCACGTTCTTGTCTTCGAGATAGTTCAGAGGGAAATAATGTGGTCCCAGAATTTTCTTGACTACCTTTCCTGTTCCACTCTTTGGCAACTCGCCTTCAATGACGCGCAACAGCGTAGGTAACTTGTAGCTGGCAAGACGACTTCGCACGTCGCTACGAAGGTCGTTCAGTTTCAGGACGTTAGGGCTCCTGTTGTTCGTCTTGTTGAACTCTTGGGCAACCTTGTCATTCCGCAGCGACACAACTGCACCAACACGCTGGCCAAACTCTTCATCAGGGACACCGACCACCATGACCTCACCAAGATAAGGCAAGGCCAGAAGCTCCCTTTCAATATCCAGGGCCGAGATTTTGTAGCCTCCAGATTTAATGATGTCGACAGAGGCCCGGCCAACAATGAAATAATACTTGCCTTCTCGGCGAGCCACGTCCCCGGATCTGAAGTAGCCATCGGCGTCATGGGCATTCGCAGTGGCTTCCCGGTCGTGGAGGTACTTTGAAAACATGTTGAAGGATTTGGCGAGCACTTCACCCTCCTCTCCATCGGATAGCTTGATGTCAACTCCGTAGGCCAATTCTCCGACAGAGCCATCTGGGATCTTCTCTGCGGGATCGACAGACATGTTGAAAATGACACCCAGTTCAGTGGATCCGTACCGTTGTACAATCCGGCGGCCGTTCATGAGGTTTGTCCAGAAATTATTGATCGGTTTGGGCAATGCAGAGGTTCCACAGAGGCAGACTTTGAACGCTGCGGCTGCAGCCTTGTATGTCTCGGCTTCATGAGGAGGAAGGTTGGTCGCGTGCTCCTGATAATATCGCATCATCCTCATGTAGATGGTAGGTACGCCCGTGAAGTGGGTCAAACCGCCCTTCCTCCAGCGATTCCAAGTCCACTCCGGGTCAAAGCTTCCAGATTTGAACTCGATGCATGCTCCCGATTGAATGAAAGGGAAAAATGACACCCAGATCCCTGTTGCGTGGTGGACTGGTAGCAGGTGAAGAAGAACATCAGTCTCCTGTAGTCCAATGTACTGCGCAAAGCACAGTGAGCCATCTCCCATGGCCGCCCGACGCAGGACTGCTCCTTTTGGTGGGCCAGTCGTCCCGGATGTGAAAATGACCACGCCGGGAGCATTGGGATCGTGGTATCGGTTTGAAGAGATCTTGATACTGTCAAGTGGAGCAGGAGTCTCGTTTTCTATGGATCTGATGGGTACGGAGATGAAGTCTGGGTTGCTTGTGCTGCGGATCTCTTTTGCTACTGCCTCGCCTAGAGCAAGGGCTGGAGTAGCGGTAACAACAGCAACGGACCTGGCCTTGTTGACGTAGTAGGAGGCTTCTTTCACAGGCTGAGCAGTACTAAAAGGGCTGACGGCCGCACCCAGAGCCATGATGGCTAAAACGCCCACGGCAAACTCATACCCTCCTGGGGCAAGGATGCTGATGTAGACTTCGCGCCCATTATGCAGGTCATCGAGGGTGTGCGGCCTGAGACAACTTCTCAAGACGCGACGTAGATTGAGCGTATCGCTCAATAACTCAGCAGCGGTCCTCTCAACGCCGGCATTGACGTCGCGTATCGCCGGCCTGGGCTTCGGACGATGTGCCAGGGTCAACAAGCGGGTGAACAGGGGATCGGCGGGAAGAAGGGTGTCTCCCCCGTGACTTGGCACGAAGTCGGTCCTATCGAAAGGGGCTTCCTCCTTCATCTTGGCCGCTACAAAGGAGCATCTTCTTTTGGACTCCGAAATGAGAAGAAAGAGACTCTGACCTTTCGAGAACAACAAAAGCCAGACCATGATCCTCCTCCCGGCTCCCATCTCCAAGTCAAGATGTCACTCAACCAATCAGGGGCTGCCATGGAACCAGCCTCGGCATTTTGCTTGCCGGTTAACCAACGAGGGGAGGGGGAGAATGGCTGGATGCTGACTTCTGCACCGTGTAAGAAGGGCCGACATCTCCCAGTTCCTCTGAAATATTCTCACCAATGTCTTCGCCCTGACATCTCTGAAGAATATTATCGATAAGACCTAGAAGAACGGATCGGGACCAGTTGGGCTCAGCGAGATCATGCCTGACTTCACCGATCACCTTCGGCCGGCTGACCCTCAAGGTCCGAGCATTCTGGCCCAAGAGAGAGCTGGCTCCCACGTCAATATCGATCAACTGGCACATCACCTACTCTCTAGAAATGACTTTCTTAATCGGCAGAAACGCATCTTGTCGATACTTGAGCCTATCCCCATCTTCTGCAAGACAAATCAGCTGAATATGGCCCGGCCGGACAGATATCATCTCGGCCTTGCGCGCGCGAAGATGCTCCGGCGGCTGTCTCTGAAGCATGGCTGGGATCGCGATGACTATATCATGGCAGATTATCTGATGGATGAAATGGGCCCCTACGCTCTTCAAGCGACCATGTTCGCCACATCGATTCGGGAGCAATGCAACGATGAACAAAAGGCTTTCTGGCTGCCCAAACTCGAAAATTGGGAAATAATTGGCTGCTACGGCCAGACGGAGCTGGGTCACGGAAGCAATGTCAAGGGGATTGAGTGCCAGGCGAAATGGGAGCCTCAAACCAAAGAATTCATTCTCCACAGCCCGACCATCACTGCCAGCAAATGGTGGAATGGCGCCCTGGGCCGAACAGCAAATCATGCCATTGTGGTGGCCCAACTCCTTCTCCCCGACTCCAAGACCGGAAAGTACAAGTCGTACGGACCTCATCAGTTCATTGTCCAGATCAGGGACATGAAGACTAACAAGCCGCTGGACGGCATCGTCATTGGAGACATCGGTCCCAAATACGGTTATCCTGGTATGGATAACGGGTACATGCTCTTCAATCAATTCAGGGTGCCTCACTCGGCGCTTTTGTCTAAATATTCGGGCGTCGATCCGGAGACGGGTATGTACATAAAGCCAGAGAATCCTGCCGTGGTCTACGGATCCTTGACGTTCGTGCGCGCTCAAATCATCATGCACGCACGTCTGGTGCTGGCCAGGGCCGTGACCGTGGCGGTCCGTTACCTGACTATCCGTCGACAATTTGCCGATCGAGACTCGAAAGATCCAAATCCGCCTGAACAAGCCGTCCTCGACTATCCCACCGTTCAGATCCGCATTCTCCCCCTCCTCGCCACTACATTCGCCCTCCACTACACGGGCGAAGCAATGTACAAGCTCTACCACGGGACTCGCGAAGCCATCGAGAAGAGCGGCGACTTTTCTCGACTGGCAGAAATGCACGCCGCTTCATCGGGTCTCAAGTCCCTCTGCACCACTCTTGCCGCCGACGGGATTGAAACCTGTCGTCGCGCCATGGGTGGTCACGGGTTCGGCGGAGGAAGCGGCATGATCGCCCTCAACAACGAGTATCTGTCCAAACCGACGGTTGAAGGTGACAATTGGATGATCACGCAACAGACTGCCGCGTATCTGATCAAACGGATGACCGAGGCTGTGAAGAACCCGAAATTCACGCCCACTGAATCCGTAAGCGCTCAGTTCCAAGAGTTCCTCAGAAGTGGGCCCAGACAACGCGAGTTCAATGTCCTCGGATATGAGTTTGAGATGGTAAGGGCCTTCAAGCATCGGGCTTCGTATCTCTCGTATCAGGCATATTACGATCGAGTCGTGCGGAAGAAGCCCTGGAACAGCATGATGATCAGCCTTCACAGGCTCAGTCGGGCGCATTCTGAGAGTCTTCTTGTGTCCAACTTCTACGATGCCGTCTTTGAATCAACGCCAAACCCACCACTCGACGACGCCACGTTCGATGTCATAAAGACGCTATTCCGGCTTTTTGCTCTTTTCACCCTCGATGCCTCGGCCTCCGAGTTCTTGCTCTCCAGAGCGATCACCGTCGAGCATCTACCGTTTATCATTTCGACGATTCAGGAACTGATGGCTCAAGTGCGGCCCCATGCAGTCAGACTCGTGGACGCATGGTCAATCCCGGATTATGTGCTCGAGAGTGCCCTCGGTAGCTACGATGGTGACGTGTATAATCGACTGTTTCATAAGGCACACAGGGAGAATCCACTGAATCAGCTGACGTTTAACCCGGATTGGAGGAGTGAGGAAATCGTAATGGGAGAAGGGGAAGAGAATGCCAAAAGGAGATTGGAGGCGTTGGCATTGGGTATGAAAGCACATGAGCAATCTGGTGTGGTGAAATCAAAGCTGTAGACGAGTTGGATCTCCACACGTGGTGCATATCCAGAACAGAAACATAGGATATATATATATATATATATATTCTAGATTTTCGCCTTTGCGGCCGTCCCAACCCTCTTCCTATGAACGTAACTGATGGCTTTGAACTTGTCCAACGCCTCTCCCCACAATTCTGACCTCAGCAAACCGTACACTCCCATGATACCGCGAGGAGCGATCGTGGCCGCAAAATCGATTGCTCTCTGCCTCATCCCGTCAGGCTCACAGATTTCATCGACAATGCCATCTTCAAGGGCACTCTTCCCGGTCCACTTGTGCGCTTCAAGCAGCATTTTCCTGGCAATTTTCGGATGTAGCTTGAGCCTAGGCAAGGCGCCGATCCCGTCAAAATGTAGCCCGAGATTCACGGGTGGCATGCTGATGAAGCCACGTTTGCTGTTCATAATGCGATAATCACAGGCTAGCATGAAGGGGCAGGCACCTCCGAAGGTGTGTCCTGTTATCAAGGCGATGGTGGGATATGGGTAGTCGACCAGCGTCGCGAGCAGAGGGTAGAATCCATCTGCATTGGCGTAGACGTTGGAATCGGACTCGTCCAGGTCGAGACCCGTACACCAAAATTTATCCGAGAAGGACGAGATGATCACGGCACCGGGGGCGTTGGGCTTCATCAGCTTTATCTCGATGTATCGCAGGGCGGAGATCAGGGTCTGCGCGAAGGCCACGTTTAGTCGGTTCTCAGGGGGCTTGTTCATGGTGATGATGTGGACGCCTGGAGCGGATGAAGGAGATTCGATAGTCAGGTTTGAGAATGGAGGAGTTGACACTGCCATGATTGACATCTTCCCCCTCCTGCTAAAATCGACTGATTGATTCCTGAAGGAGTCGTGAGACGGAAGGATAGTCCAATCTTGCCGCTGAGATGTTGAATCAGACTTTGTGGGAAAGGATGCTAAACTACAGATCGACTTTTCTGAGAAAGTCGTAGCTACCCAGCATTCGGTCTTGATGGAAGTGTCAATGCCTCGGCGAAATTGGAGGGAGGCAGCCTCGTGGGTCCGAGAGAGGAAAGGGTCGGTGCGGGGAAGTATCGCAATTGGAGACGCGAGCTCATGTGCCTCGGCCGAGGATACAAAGCGATCTGAGATGAATTTCAGGCTGAGTTGAGGATCTGATTAGGTTGTTCATGAGGGTTTGCGACCCCATGTCGGGTGCCACCTTGGTGGTGGCAGCGAGGAAGCAGCGAAAATACTTCGGTAACTAGTCATAGCACGTGACCGGAACTGGTATCCCCAATGCGGCATAGTGCGATATCGGAGAAGCCTGTCTCTTTGATTGTGGTATGGACTGCGCCTTGAATTTAGTATTGCGTTTAGCTACATTGCCCTAGACTGTCCTCGGAAACCCGACTGGATACCATTTCCCTTTTCTTTGAGCTTCACCTTCATCCTTATGCAGAGGTCTCTGCATCCCGTCTGGTTCTGGCGCCCACGCTATGCCCTCTCGGTATAACGCCCTCTTGGCATCATGAGGCTTGGTGTCGGTGCTGGCCTGCGATTGACTGTCGAGTTTCACCGCAAACATGGCCCCTTGTCCCTCTGGTTGACCGTCGATATCAATCCTCGAACTGCCGATGTAGTCCTTCGATCTCATCGTCCCGTCATGGGAACAAAATGTCCAAAATTCAAAGACTGCGCCGACGACCAGTCAGCGACATCATATAGCTGCTACGAGAGAGTGGGTTTTTTTTCTCTCTCGAAACGACATCGAGGATGAACTCAACGCGTATGCAGCTGCGGCGCCTACGGGATGCTGTCACCCCCTCCTGCATATGATCTGGCCAGGTTAGGGCAGAGAGGAGAGTGTGGGAAAAAAAAGAGAACTTCATGGCGCCATTAACTCTTCCATCTACCTACAAGTTCCATTCTGACAACCTTGCTTGTATCAAGGCGCCAGCCGGCCAGCAACCATTTTTGAGACATTCCCGAGTCGCCGGCGAACTGGTCACCTGTCCCACAACCAACCTTGTGTGCCTTGTTGACCGTTTAAACTCGGAAACAAAGTCGTTAATCCGTCGTTATCTGCTTCGGCTAGTCACCATCTCCTTCATGGCTTTTCCCAAGGGTCGAGTTTGAGCCGCACTTCCGGCCCACTTGCTGGATCACTATCCGTGTTAGTATATCATCCCTTGCTGCCATTCTTGGGGAGACTATTCTTTAGCGTCAAGACTGACCCTCTTGCTAGCCGCCGATACTGCACTCATCGTTCCCCATCAACTTTAGTGTTGGGTCCTGAATCACATTCCTTGAATGCTTGCATTACGGGCGTTCACAATGTCGCGGCGCAGCTCCCAATTTTCACTCATGACGACCGAAATTCGTCTCTTTGTCAATTCCTCGATCTGTCGCTCAATAGTTGTGGCATCGCGCTGTGCTTTTTCGATACTGTGTATGAACTTATCCCCCTCTCTCTTCCACCTCTCAATGTTAGCTCTCTCCCTTTGCAGTCTTCTCTGCTTGACTTCAATTTCCTGACAAACCCTACACTTCTCGTCCACAATGGTCACGCTTTCATGATCCGAAAGTTTGGCGCCACAAGTCTCGCCAATCCGATGCTGACGATTACAACGAAGTTTCATATTCCCCCATCTCCAGTCCCCACATCTGAAATCAGTCCTGGCAAAGTAGCACATTTTCCTTTTCGGAGATGATCTTTTGGATGTTTGAACACCGGAAACAGTGGCTAGCTCCGCTTGAACCTTCTGAGAGTTTCCACCGGTCTCAGGCAGGTCAGTCGGGTTCGACCATCTCTCAAAACACTCGGCTGCTCTTACCTTGACACCGACGTTGAGGCCTTTTGAGTCTTGCAGTGTTAACGAACCGTTCCCTCGACAAGAGTGACGGTCGGTCGCGCGCTGACGTTCGTCTTCCTTCTTCGGCTTTGGCTTCTAGGGATATGAACTCACCAACTCGGCGCCTGTAAGTATTATCCTTTGTGACCTTGGTCGGTTGTTGCCTTCGACGAAAAGGGCTTCTTGAGGGGAGACTGAATCCACTCGACCGGCCTGGGGGCCTAGTCTTAATATCTTCCAAGGCTCGACGACTTCCAACGAATACTCCCGAGATAAATGGCCTCGCCACCATCAATCCGTTGCAACATGAGACGTGTACTTCGTCGAATGGCCAATCGGACTTTGAAAGAACACGACTATCAATGTTTCGATTCCATCCATCGTCCTGTATGAGGTCACCTGTGGCCACATCCGTGCATGATGTCGCCCTGGCGCGTTTGTTGTCAAAGTGGCAAAAGGAACAAGGCGATTAACCGACATGTTTTGACGAGCACGAGACTAGTCGTTGATGTTGTTGGCCTTCCCCATTCTCGCCAGGGTCTGCTCCTTTGACCGACCAAGCAATGGCCCCCACTGGTTGAACTACCAGAGTCTGCTTCAGTCCATTTCTTTCATGAAGAATGAAACGAAGCGTCAATTGAAAAGTGTCAAGATGTGAGTCGTTGACCGCGGACCCGCAGAAGGGAGCTTTCCAAAAGAGTCAAAGAGCTCGAGAAGCACTCCAAGACAGCAATCGATTTTTGGTAAGAAGCCATGGTGACAGAGCATCCAGCTCTATGATTGCCAGTTGTCAATTGCTACAGTCTGTTCTGCATGAGCCTTGGGCATGACTGCATGGCCGCATTGACTGCCGATAACAGCTACAGGGACTCGGAGTCGAGGTTGTTTCCATTGCGATGTTGAGCTGCCCCGTGGCCAGGTCCGGCCGATTCCCATGTTTTCATGGCCTTTCGGTCGCATCAGAGTCTCAACAACCTAACAGCAAAGCGCTCAGGATTGAAGGTACATTCGAAACCACCTTCGAGGGGTGTCGGCGATCGACCTACATCGCCTGGGAAGATCACCCTCAGGATGTGCTGAAAAAGGGGGGGGGGGGGGGGGGGGGGGGGGGGGGGAGGGGTGGTGGAGAGGGTGACATCGCTGTTGGCCATCCGGGAATTCAAATCCCCTTGCACCTGAGTACGCAAGGGACAACTACCCTGCATTGCCCCGGTCTTTGGCAGCACGTAAGATCAACTGTCTCAGACGTACGTGGCTCGAATGACCATGATACGGGCAAACTATGGTCTATCCAGATGGTCAGCCTTTCACCGGCTCCATGACAACAAAGATTGATTTTTGCTCGTCGATTCTGCTTGACCGACAGGGAAAAGTCCACTCAGCTGGTGGCGGGTCAGCCGATTTGCTCAAAGTTGACCATACCAGGAGCTCAAGGGTTGAACAACACATCATTGCACCAAAACAATATTACAAATTCCCTCAAGCATTGCAGATGGCGCATGAATGCGCATAAAGGCTTGCTTATCGGCTCATATTTCCTGTCCCTCAACGGTCTAGCACGCAGAAATCTTTGCCTCATGGTGAGCTGTCTTGATGGCATTGGAGGACATGACCTGTCAAGTAAAACCTTGTTGGCAGCACGTTCATCCGTTCTCAAGCTCTAGACACAGTCCAAGACATGCATTTACCATCCATCCCGGCGAGGTGTTCTGAGCTCCAGCTCGAACCTGGCAATAACTTGCATTCCGTATGTCTAGGCACGGCACCTCGACCTCCCGAGAGAAAGCCATATTCAGTTCTCAGTTCTCGGTTCTCCGGCCTTTCTGCTGCCTAGCAGGGATTGGTCCTTGTCATTGTCTCCGTCTTCCCCTGGTCCCGCCCTCCAAAAATCAGAGGCGTCCGCAAAATCGACAAGGATCTGACGTTACTGATCCATTCAGCTTTGCCAGCTCAACATCATCAATGCGTATACGACAGCCCTTACCCCAGCCTGATCAGGGAAGAGAAACAGGTTGCCCCTCTTCGTGCCATTATGGGCAATTTGTGGTGTCTCCCCAAGTTCCTTCACTTTGAATTCCTGTGTTTTTTATCTGATGAAGTCAGAGATCAAGTCCATGATAAGATCCTTGATTTGAGACCGTCGCATCGGACGTAATTGCCAAGCCAATGGTTCGCGCGATGTATTCATTCCAACGGTTGCCCGGCCCGAGGATCTTAGAAGGTGTGGTCAATGAATCCGAAAAATGTCTCATTCTGTGGATTCCGTCAACTGGCCTCGCTTCCACCAGTTGATTGTCTGAATATCTCACCTGGACACGCGGGTACAGACGGGATGCTCTTCCCCGTGAGATTGTTTTCTGCAGATCCCATGCCACGACCAGACTGGGGCGACGGTAAGATCTCTAGGCGTCGAGACTTATCCAGACCTACCCCAGCTTGCCACATCACAGAGGGCCAGTCTTCCGGCCCGATCCATCGCCCTCTAGACGAGGTAACCTTCTAACCGAGCAGTGTGACCAGGATGATCTGGCAAGAATTGAGGGTGTTTTGGAAAATTTTGAGAAAAGTGAGGCTCTGCGGCAGAAAGACCCTCCGCCCCAGAGGTTTGTTGTCTGAATGTCTGAGAGACCAGATGCGAAGTCTTCAATTCCAGCACAGACTCGGAACAGAAATCACCAGAATTGCTTTTTATCCCTCTCTATCTCTCTGCGAATAACAGGATTCATTCAATACACTAACGTCTCATTACAAAGGGGATACCACGAGCTTCGACGCTTAAAGATGAATGAAAATTATCTTGTCTCTTCAGCCGAAAGGTTCAACTGGAAAGCCTTCAAACCGGTGAGCCCTAGCGCCGACGCAATTTTAGAGCAGGTTGGTCCAGAATATTTCAGCCTGCCATGTTGACAATAAGGTAGCTTTGACCGATCTTTGTTCGCGTCGATTTCACGCAGAATGTCTTGCATTGACGAGCCTTGTTTTCCTGCGCGATGGCGACATCTTCGGCAGACACGAATCAGTTCCGAACGTGGCTCCCATAGCCATTTATCTCCCTTCCCTCCCCCTTGGTGGTGCCCAATCTGGCACTGTAACTTTGCCAGGTCTGAATTCTACCTCTGGCATGGGTCAGGTTGCGAGGGTGCGTTGACATTCGCTGGAGAAACACGTCCTTTGATGGTTGGTTAGGTGGTGAGCGAATCAAAAGATTTTGGGCAGGAAAAAGAAAGAAAAAGAAAAAAAAAAGCTAAAAAGAAATTATCTTGTCCGTTATGTATGGCTCATTGCCTTGATGGATGGATTGAAAACATGAAGATGGTGGATCAATTCCACACCTCTTTGATGTGGTGCCGTGGAGAAACTCTACCTCTATATAAATCGATTCTAGATGTATGTACTCTGGACGATCCATTTCATTCCATTCTGATCCATTCTAGGACATCAATGTACAAGTAGTAACGTCATCTGATCTCTATTTCCTGGCCAGGCTTTTGTGCAAGACATGTTCCTTCATGCCCAAACCTGCAATGGCAGCCAATATCGCGAGCCCAAGCCCGGCGATGAAAGCATCCCTCAGCGCATCCATATAAACGTCCAAAACCACACCTTTGTCCCAACCGGCAGGTAAATGCTTGATTCCCTCGAGACTGTCCTTGATCTTACGAATGACGTCCTCACTATCAGGCATATCGCCGTACTGGTCGCGGAGTTCTTTTGTGAGGACATTCTGGAAAACAGCACCCGCAATCGTGATACCGATCGTCGACCCCGTGGAGCGAAACGCATAGCTGGCGGCAGTGATAACGGCTTGATGTGCGTGGTCAACGGCGCTGATCATGCCCACCAGCGTGATGGTCAGCATGGCCCCGTACGCCAGACCCAGCGGCATCACGTAAATATACGTTGTCCACGCGGGCGAGTCGAGGCGAAATGTGCACAGCAAGGCTGCGCCCATGACAAATATTACCATCACACACACCATTTGCCAGTAATACCGGCCTGTGGCGCGCATGAGGTAGCCGGACCCCAGACTACCGAACGACATCGCTGCCGCAAAAGGGATTACGCGTAGTCCTGCCGCCGTGGCCCTCAGGCCCCGGATCTGCAGGTACAGTGGCACGTAGTACAGGGCCAGGAAGGCGGACATGGTGCTGAACCAATTTGCCAGACAGGCCGAGAGGACCGTCTTGGTCCGCGTGATCAGAGATACGGGCAGTACGGGTTCAGGAACCCACTCTTCCCGATTTTCGAGATACATGAACACACCGAGAATGATGCACGAGAGCACCAACGATACAATAATCAAGGGATGCGACCAGGGAAGTTGGTTGCCGCCCGTATTCAAACCCAGGAGCAAGAGCGCCAACGAGGTCACCAGGAGCGAGGAACCCAGGAAATCAATCCGTGACAGCGCTGGCTTCGTGCTCGGGTTCACGGGTATGTCCACGAGGAAAAACACCATAACGGTCGACACCACGATGAAGGGCAACTGTAACAAGAACGCCCATCGCCATGATAGTTTGTCCGTTAACACGCCACCGATGACACCGCCGGAGCCCATACCGAGCCCGTACACCAAGTTGCCGTACCCTTGCCAGAGACCGCGGCGGCGAAGCGGGATCAGGTCCGAGGTAACGAAGGTCGTGATACAGGTCAGTCCGCCGCCGCCAATGCCTGCGATGATGCGTCCCGCGATCATGGTGCCGGCGTCGGGGGCCAAGCCGCAGATTAGCGTGCCGAGTGCGAAGAAGACATTGGAGAATATGAGGCCGGTGCGCCGGGAGAAGATGTCAGTTAGTTTGCCAGAGAGAGGTTGACAGGCGGAGTTGGCGATGAGGTAGCCAGTTGCAAGCCAGGAGAGGAGCGAGAGGGAGTTGAAGGATGAGGAGATGGGGCCCGTGAGCGTGGCGACGATAGTGGTATCTGCTCAGAGTTAGACGAAGATTCCGAAGAAGTGGGAGAGTCAGCAAAGACGCAAGCAAGCAAGCGGGCGAGACGAGAGACAAGTTTAGATTTGGGGGTCGTCCGATATGCAAAGAGGTGAGCGAAGAGAGGAGATCATCATACCTAGCGCAGCGAAAAATACACCCGTCCATATCGCTGCCATGACGGCGACGAGTTTCTTCGTGCTCGGCTCCTCGGCCAGTGCGATCTCGTCGGCGCCTGTATCTGGCGGTGTTTGAGTGTTCTCTGGGTCCACGGCCTGGCCGTTGCCGGCATTGGTATTGCTCCTGTTGATGGTGCCGTTTTGGTGCCCAAGCAGCGGGCTGGTCTCGGACGGCGGCTGTGCCTCAGTTTCGATTACCATCTTTGACGACAATCGTATTCTTCACTTTCTTTTTGTTTCAGAACGATGTGGGGAGAACAGGATGAAAGGTAGATATAGCCGGCCGGTTGAGCGAAGGTCGTCCAATAATACCTGTATGGGGATAATTCGCCCAATCGTCAATGGTGAAGAAAGACTAGGAGAAGCCCACAAACGTCACTCAGTGTTCCAATTTACCATACAGCAGTATGCCCTTCTTGCCTTTAGAAAATACAAGTCGTGGAGGACTTTTTGCCTGGATGCTGCAAAGGCCGGAAGAGCGATTAATAGCCAGGAAAAAAGTGTGCTGAGAGAAATCCAAAGGACTCGAAAGTAGTCGTTCTTTTGACTTTGGGGCCTGATGGCGATAAGGCGTCGTGCAGGTGGATCAGAGAGGCTTTTGCTTTAATTGGTGGAAAGGAATGGATGGAGTCAAACGGAACGAAAGATGAAGGAATCCGCTCCCAGTACTTATCACTCGAGTCGAAGCCCTGAAGGGAGGCCTCCAAAGCCATTGAAGCAAAGTAAAATATCATATCTACAGCGAAAATTTACTTTGTAGCAGAGAATCCATTCGGCCGAATCGAATTTTCAATCTCTCAGTGCCTCAATATCGACTATCTCTTTAACTGCCTCAGTCGTCAAAACAAAGGGGTTCTCTTCTTGCACACTGACGCTGTCTTCGATCCGCACACCCATGTTTCTGAAATGTTTCGGCCAGCGCTCATCATCTGGTACGTAAATCCCCGGCTCAATAGTGATACAATGTCCCTCTTGCAGGACAGTCTTCCTCGTATAGCCAACCGTGTCGTGCACGTCCAGGCCGATGTAGTGGCTCAAGTGGTGCGGGAATAGTGTCTCAATGGCTTGGGATGACATGTCGAATCCGATTTGTCTCAGTTCATTCGAGAGATATTCCTCCGCAACACTGTGGAGTTTGTCGAGAGACAGGTTCGCACTGCCTCGACAGAGAGAAATCAAGGACCTTTGCACCGTGAGGACCGCCTGGTAAAGATCTCGCTGTGCGTCGCTGAATTTACCAGTTACAGGCCAGGTTCGTGTGATGTCGGCAATGTAGCCTCCATATTTCCCACCACCATCTACCAGCACCAGTTCGTGGTCCTGCAGAACATCATCATTGCGCACGTAATGAATGCTGAGCGCATTCCTTCCACCGGCGACGACAGGTTCAAAAGCAATGGTGTCGCTCCCGTTCGCGGCAAGCCGATAGCGGAGATATGAGTCGAGTTCTTTTTCTCGCGTCCACGCTGCTCTCATGGCTTCTGTATGTGCACGCCCCGACGCTCTCCCAGCTTTGCGCATGACTTCTATCTCGGCGGGGCTCTTGAAAGCTCGTAGATCGTTCATGATCGGTCGAAGGCGATGCACCTTACTGGATTCGATGAGCCTGGCGAATTCAGTAGTCTTCCGGGGTATTCCATAGAGAAATCGCCGCAGAGCCGATTGATTGGGATCCGGAGCGGTGAGGTCTGTGTACACTTGTGAGGCCTCGCCTACCAGATCTGGGAGAACTTTCTTAAGCTTTGTGATGTCTCCCGTCTCATCTGCGTTGAACACATCGCTGGCAGCCTGCGTACCTGATCTGGCACCGTCCCATATCTCCGCTCGAGGGTCTTTCTCTCGCACGTAAAGGTGAAATGTGTGATCTGTGCCCGTGGCATCTTTCCCGATGACTGCAAGAGCTTCAGGCTCGTTGAAACCAGTCAAGTAGAAGAAATCGGGATCTTGGTGAAATTCGTAAAAGGCGCCACCAGAACGGAATTGGATGTCAGAGGCTGCGACAATTGCAATCCCCTTGTCTGGCAGCCTGGTCGCGAGTCTTGTTCGACGATTTGCATATTCTTGGGCGGTGATTCCTGGAGTCAGCTCTCCTGGCTGGAGGATATGTGGATGAGTCTCATGGACCGGTTGACCGAACGACAGGTCGGCGGCATTGAGAGTGAGGGTATTATAACTGCGGAAAGCTGGTCGTGTGAGACGGAAAGGGAGGACATTATTGGCGCACTGGAGTTTGAGCGTCTGCCGTAATGTCCTCCGCATAGACATGCTCGAGAGCGATGCCCCGGTGGAGAAGATATCAAGAGAGATCGAAGAAAGTCGAATTGAATTGAGAGAGCGAAAAGTGCATTTAGCGAAACGCGCACTTCTCCGTCGGATCGAATTGCCAAAATCGGCCTGTCCACTCACGCCCTTTGCATTTGATATGAACTTTAAGCATTGGAGTGACTCATTTCATCTGGATATTTATCATCTCTCGCGGGCAAAGAAGAGTATGGACGATTGTATGCTCATTTTGCTATATCATTCAAGGCGTCCAACGCCGGCGGGACAGCGGCAAACATGGTCCAAAATCTGGAGTATCCGAAGAGGGCATACAACACTGTAAAGCGATACAACAACCGAGGTGAAGATCAGTCCTCATCATGCTGGGCTCAAGAATTAACATGACGCCCTCCAGGAACATACGATCTCGGAGCCATTCACTCCATCATCAATACCACCTCCGTTCTCCATGTCTCTTTCGCTCCTAGCCCTGACCAATCATTCCCGGCCATTCTTCCCATGATCGGAGTCATGGGCTCATTCGAATACCCCTCCTCCGGTGTTGACGAGCCCCTTGATTGCTACCTCCATGGATACGTCAGCTCTCGGATAATGCGGCTGGCCCGGGAGTCTCCTAATGGCCTTCCTATCTGCGTTGCCGCCACCAAGGTAGATGGACTGGTATTGTCTCTGACACCAAACTCACATAGCTACAACTATCGCTCGGCAGTACTCCAAGGTTATGCGAAACCGGTGGAAACAGAGGAGGAAAAGTTGTATGCAATGCAACTGATCACCAATAAGGTAGTCGCTGGTCGTTGGGAAAATACCAGAGTCCCTCCCGACCATGTAGAGATGACGTCCACAACAATCCTAAGAGTCAAGATCGACGCTGGGAGTGGCAAGATCCGGCAAGGAGGACCTCATGATGAGCCCAAAGACGAAAATAAAGATGAGATCACCAACAAAGTCTGGACGGGAGTCGTGCCAGTGTATGAGGCTTTGGATGCTCCGATCCCAAGCGCCACCAACAAAGTCAAGCAACTGCCACCATACCTTGATTCATATGTTTCGGAAACAAATAATGGAAATCGCCAAGCTGCCCTGAATGCGGCGAACGAGCCTTGATGGCGGAGATGGAGCGGAGGCATGTCAGTGTAGGACGATCATAGTCAACTCGGAACGGACAATGTGATCGTACTTCTATACCAGAAGTCAACATGAGTTACGAATATCCTTAGGGACGTTGACTTTGAGAGCTACGTGGGGTACGGGTAGTAAATGGAGGTGGAAGCTGATTGTTGCTGTGCCAACGGAATCACGTAAACATCAACTTCCCAAGATTTTACAGTCCGAAAACACGTAGGCAGTACCCATTCAGACTGGGCACAGCACAGACAAACACAAGATCCCACCTCCGATCCGTTCGCACCGCATTGACATTCATTCACTGATATGAAGGGTCTCCAAAACTACCACTGCCAATTGCATGCCGAAGCCTCGTCGCGAGTCCACGGCGAGGGCCGATACACGCCCAGCTTTTAATCGACCACCAGGGGCAAGAGTTGCCCCTGTCCCTACACCACAAGATGAACCACGAACACCGAAAAGAACACCGAAGGAGAAGGCAAAATCATCTCCCGCACCGTCGCCTTCGCCGGAGAAGAAACCTCGTCGTGCCAGTGACCGACACAGAAGTGCGAATGGAGTAAATCATATGCCAAAGAAAGAGAGGGATAGGGGAAGAGACAGAGCAAAGTACAGTTCTGGCACGTCGACCAATAGCGCGAGCCAATTACTGAGCAGCGATGCCCTGGCCAAGCTGAATGCGTATAATGACAGAGCTGATCTGCAGGGGAAGAATGAAGAGCGGAAACGGAAACAGAAGCAATACAAAAATCTCAAGGGCGCGGAGGTCTCGCATCGGCGGACGAGGAAGAAGAATCGCAATGTCAGTGGCGCGATATTGGAAGAAGGAAGAGCTGGAGAAAAACATAAACGGGCATATCGAAGAGGAGGGGGAGGGGGAAGAGGTGTGTATGAAAAAGACCATGACATCCACAAACGACTGGGCGAGAGAAGAGATGGAAAGTCCAGGAAGAAACTATGGTGGCTCTTGATTCTGATTGTGGTGTTACTGGCCATCTTCATCCCTGTGGGAGTGGTCGTTAGTAACAACAGCAAGAGCTCTAGTGGAGGTTCTTCGTCACCTTCTTCGGGGTCTTCTACAACGGACGACTCGTCCTCAGATTTTTCGAACCAGTGTGATTCGAGTTCAGTTCCGGAGAGCGCCAAAGGGACATATACGGACATTTCGACTTGGCTGGACACCACTGATTTCAATTGTACATACACGGCAGAAACAGTGGGTGGGCTGTCGGTCATGGGTCTTTACTCAAGTTGGGATGATTCCACAAAGGCCAACGATAATGTTCCGGCTCTGGATGAAAAATGGGAATATGGGAAGATGCCAATCCGAGGCGTCAATATCGGGGGATGGCTCTCGTTAGAACCGTTCATTACGCCTTCCATGTTCGACTATCCTGCCTCGGACAACGTCGTGGATGAATGGACTTTGACACAGAAACTCGGATCATCCGCACAACGAGTCCTCGAAACTCATTATGCCGCTTTCATCACCAAGCAAAGCTTCATCGATATCAGAAACGCCGGTTTGGACCACGTCAGAATCCCTTTCCCATATTGGGCTGTCACAACATATGAGGGTGATCCCTATGTCCCAAAGGTTGCCTGGCGATATCTGCTACGAGCCATCGAGTATTGCAGAGAAAACGGATTGAGAGTGAATCTGGACTTGCATTCCGTACCGGGAAGTCAAAATGGATGGGCTCACAGTGGTCGCCAGGGCGATATTGGGTGGATTCTTGGAGCGAACGGCGCAACGAACGCTCAGAGGTCGTTGGACATTCACGACCAGCTCTCTCAATTCTTCGCTCAGGCCCGATATAAAAACGTCGTCACGATTTATGGCCTCGTCAATGAGCCAAAGATGTTGGTCATCCCACATCAATCCGTGCTCGATTGGAATAAACAGGCCATTTCGATAATTCGCGGCCACGGCATTGATCAGCAAATAGTCTTTGGAGACGGCTTCCTCAGTCTGGACAGTTGGGACGATATGTTTCATGGTGTCGACGACAAATTGGTCATGGACACGCACCAATATCAAATCTTCAACACCGGTCAACTCAAGCTGAAGCATCAAGATAAAATCAATCTGGCTTGTTCGGGCTGGACCGGCTTGATGGTCGCCGCTAACAATCCAGAGACGGGATGGGGTCCCACGCTTGATGGTGAATGGTCACAAGCCGACACTGACTGTACCCCAAACCTGAACAACGTCGGTGCTGGGTCTCGGTGGGCTGGAACTCTTGATACAGGAAACCCAGGAACTTCTGTCTTGACACCGACGTGTGCTGAGCCTCCGTGTTCCTGCGCCCAAGCCAATGCTGACCCAAGCCAGTATACCGATGCTTACAAGCAGTTCTTGCAAATGTATGCCGAGGCACAAATGCACAGCTTCGAGCAAGCTTGGGGCTGGTTCTACTGGACCTGGAAGACCGAGAGCGCCACGCAATGGAGTTGGATGCTCGGTTTGAAGGCTGGCATCTTGCCGGAGAAGGCTTATTCTCCGTCCTTCAAATGTGATTCGGATGTTCCTGACTTTAGCGACCTTCCTGATAGCTACTGATGTGATGGGCCATTGTAAGCATTGTGTAGGAGTTTCTGGATGCCTTTAGCCCTGGGAGGCATGGTAAACGGGTGCTGATGATAGGTGAGAAGGGTGTACATTGGTCATTTATCTGGAGTACATCGCGGCAAGGCGAAACATGAATGAATATATACCCACCTGGATACCAACCACTCAAATATACCTGCTTCCTAATCTCTTCGTGCCTCGTGACCCTCGACTTGGGTCTAGAAACGAGGCCTTATGATGTTGCCTTGGGATGCCGCAGTGGCGAGCTGAAGCCGGGGGATTGCCTTCCATCTACGGACGCCTATCAACAGGCTTGACTAAGCAATCAAGGGTAAAATCTGAACCCACCTCGAAAGTCCCAAAATCAACCACCCTCCCCCTCCTCTCTTAAAGATCCAGATGGAAATATTGTCTTGTTGAGGCATACGGAAATGAGGATCTTGCCTTAGAATACATTGCCCTTAGTTTGCGACATCTTCTTGACGTTCAGATCTCTCATCATGGCGACCCAAACAAAGCCCAAAACCATAATGGCGGTACCAGCAGCAAGCATTCTTGCCTGCGCATAGCCGTAGGCTTTCTGGATTCCGAGTCGTTCGGGGCTTCCAACTGGATAGCTGAGCTGCACAGGGAGACTTCCGTAGATGGTTAATAGGTCTGGCAGGGCGGATGCTGGTAGATATCGCTCAAGGGCCTTCTTGAATGTGTTGGTCCAGATGGCTCCAGAAATAGCACTGCCTACAGCGCCACCGATAGTGCCACTCACAAAGAGTAAAGCAAGCACCGCAGCGACATATTGATGGTCGACGGCCGCTAGAACGGCTAGCTGCACGCAGAGGATGAAGATACTCCCGGCGACGGAAAAGAAGATCTCGCACATGACGATGTAGCCGATGTATCCGTTAGGGCGCCGGAAGTGAATCATCAGGCCCAGTGCGAAGATGTAGAGCGGAACGCAAATAAACAAGATCCATCTGAAGTGGCCTGTCCTGCGGATGATATAGCCAGTAATGAACAAAAACACAAATGAGACCGCACTGAAGGTGTTGCCGACATATCCAGCCTCAGCCACGGTCAGGTTATTGACGACTTGTAAAAAGGACGTAAAGTAGCTGGCGTAGCAATAGTACGAGATCTGGTATGTCATGTCCAGGAGACACGCGCCCAAGACGGTCCGGTCGGTGAGAAAACGATGTTTCAGGAATGGTGCTGGAGCCACGTAAATCTGATAGAGGGCAAAGATAGCCAGCACGACAAAGCCGACCACAATCATGGCAATGATATAGCCGGTTTTCCAACCATGAGGAGCGGTAGTGGCCAGAGTAAACGGTAGGAGGAACACGGTAAAGCCGCCAGCGAATAAGAGGACTCCCGGTACTATTGTTTCCCAAAAGAAAAGAAAAGTTAGTATTTCGAAAAGTTTTGGGAAGAGCTGCCTGGGTGACCCACAATCGAATTCTCTGATGCAATACCAGATTGTCTGTGATAAGGTCCGACCACTTTTTTCCCCGATGATGATGCCTTGTCTCTCGGCTTTGCGAAGGTTGTATTTCAACAGTCCATACATGGGCAAAGCCACAATGGGCAAAATGATGGCCCAACAGCCCAAACCCCATCGCCAGCTGACGTTGTTGTAAAAGGCATCAGCAGCTTTCGATCCAGCGAAGGCTGTGATCAAATTTGGAGACGAGGTAAAAGCAAATGCTAAGCCTCGATTTCTCAAGTTTGTCACATCGGCAGCGAGCACATTCCAGCTATAGGAGAGGCCTCCGAAGCCGACAGAGTAGAAGACCTGGCATCCATTTGCCCATTAGCACTTGCAGTGGTTCGAATGGCTTTCGATGAAAGTGTGGCAACCGATCCTATCTTACCTGCGCAGCGGAATAGGTAGAAAGATTCTGAGATGCAGCCATCAGAATCAGGCCTAGAACGCAGAAAGCTACCATAAGGAGGAAGCCTTCAGCCCGACCCCAGACGTCCAACATCTTGGCCATTGGGATATACACTGCTGCTGTCATGGCACTTGCGACTATGTCGATGACCGCCAAAAGCGAATGAGACTGCCAACTGCTCGTGGCAAAAGGGGTCAAGCTGAAGACAACGGAGGTTTTGAATCCATTGACCAAGGTAAGGAGCCAGATGCTGTCGGGAAGGACCAATGTCACCTACATACCGGCATAGGCACACGCAATGAGGGCAGAAACATACAGTATCAAGGCGGCGGCGAGCGATTTCTTCGACCAAGCCAGAGTCACGGCCTCGATTTTCTTAACGCCAAATTGTGCATCTTGACTCGGCGTTGCCTCCTCATTGTTCTTAACTTCAGTCGTGTCTTCGAGAAAGCCAGTTCCAGTTCCTTTGTTGTCTGTGGTCTCGGTTTTGGAGGTCACCGGAGTATTTGGGTCTTCGACCGTCGAAGCATGTAGGGTGTCATTGGGCGTCTTACGGCCAACGAGAAGTCGGAGTCTGTTGAAATTTGCCATTATTGTTGAACTGGTAAGGGAAAGACGCAAGGTGCACGCAACAGAGAGCCACCGAGTAAAGAGCGGAGGAACCAATATTTAATCATGGTGCACAGAAGCCACCAGATGCTAGCGTTTGCAGCTTCACAAATCAGTGGGCTTGAAAAATGCGCATCTGATAAAGATTGAATCCAGCCTTGCTGATCCGGCTCTGATAGCCAAATATTTACCGATATCGGCTAGTCGCAGGAGACAACAGGGTATTCATTCGAGGTCACAAGGGGGTGAATCGGGGAGGAATAAAAACAATTATCTAATCTGATTGATTGATTAGATCCGGCTAATCCACTCTCAATGTCACGTCCAATGTCGTTACTGTTTACGGCGGGACTACTTTGCAACGACGGGCCCCGTTCCTTAGCAGGTTGCTCTACCGGGTGCCCCGTCGCATAAAGGACGGGGCATTTACCATGAATTTTCACCCTAACGTTTAGCCAAGTTTGCACGTTGCGTTTGACGCGGACGAGTTCGCTAGCATTCTAGATGAGGTGAGGATCGCTAGGGATTGCGCACACCAAATCAGAAGGCATCGGAGATAGTCGGTCTACCCCGAGCAGGAGCTATGGGCCTGGACAAGTGCCAGCGAGGCGGTTTTCCGACAACGTTTTGAAAGCAAAGCTATCCGGATGGCTCGCTTGGAGAGGGCCTTTCAAAGATGTGATGCTTCAATACTACTGTCAGCATAATTCGTTAAGATAGCCTGAGGTAGCTACATCAGATTGGATCATTCGGGAGTGGGAATACCACAGCGAGAAGATGTTCACAGTATCTGTTCAGCTTTTTCGGAATTGGACTTAGGTTTCAGTCCTTGGACGCTGGATCTGAAGATGATGGATGAGAAGGAATGTTGCTGAAGCTGGTAACTTATATGTGTTATAACTGTCACGGAGCAGATAGTTGATTACCGATAGTCCAAAATCAGAGGTTGGGACTTAGCCCGCCAGAGCATTCGTTGAATACTTCTCGCAACCGAGCATGCCTTTGTCTGAGACCACAAGCTTTCCCAAAGACTGAGACGCAGATTTCACGGTTTCCTCGAGTCTTCTCGTTCGCGTACGAAGAACGCCATTTGACCATATCCAAAAGATAAACCACAAATACACTATTCCAAAGGGTCAGGCGAAGAACCATGGAGGCCAAAGGGTGTGTAGGAGCTCTCTGGCGTGTGGGAGCAAAGGAAAGGCGCGCAAATTGGAAACCACAAGCACTGAGAGCACCCATACCCCCTTCGTTCCAATGAATCTCAATGCATAGCAGTCAATTGTGTCCTCTATCAGCCAACCTCTTAGGCGTTTTCCGTGGAGTGAGAAATCTCCATTGGCATTTAGCCATCGACAATAGACCACAGGCGCCGAGTTATCTAGTTCGTCGCTGGCAGCCATGAGGATGCCTCGATGGCCAACACTTTCCCGGACAAATTGAAGGAGAAGATACAAGTCTGTTGCATCGTGGTGACTAACGCCGGGCTGCGTGTTCCCTGTCAACAAGCATCGAAGAATCGCTCCGATGGCATGACGCGACCTCCTGCCATAGTATCGTGAGTGTTCTCGATTGACTGGAACTCTGTGAGATGGCGGGCTCAACTTCAAGTTTGAGGTTGTGCCAACGATAGTACTAAGCATGGCTCCCCGGAGCCGTAGTGTGTTGACATATCCTCGTAGACCATGTGTACCGAAAGAGCGGCAAAGTCGAGATGGTCTATTTGCGATGGCATGAGCATCCTGAGGTGAAGTGGGCGATAGCCAATCTGGAGTCCACGTAGGTGGCTTTGATGGTGGGTGTCTCTTTCGTTCGTCTACGAGGATGATATCGAAACAGATATTTCTGCGTAGGAACTCCCTTGATATGTCTCTTACAACTGCCTCGGGGGCCTGATGACAACTCGGTGTAGGTACGAGCCCGGTGCCGTCGGAGCATATACCAATCAAGGAACTCTGTCACGGTCATCCTTGGATAAGAGTCCTGTGTCGCAAGGATGGCCTCACAGCGGGTGAGTGTTGCCGTCATGATAAGAAATGCGGAATTTCAAGATTCTTTGAGGGTGGCGATACGATATATCGTTCCGGGGAAATCAGTAATTGGAATTAAGACATTTGTCAAAGGCATTTGGCATGTTCTCGAGACTCAGGGTTCCTTTTCTGCAGATTACTTGCACTTGCGTAGCGGCCGTGACATCCTGAATAACCCAACGACGTCTCCAATACTCGCGATCGCACAGATCCGAACGGGTCCGAAATAGAAAATGAGCATATAGCGTTGACATTGACCACCGCAATGAGCTGGGTGGACGTCGGAACCATGCGCAGTGGCTGTAGGCGGACTTTAAAGTGCCAACGCGCAACTTTTGGTGGCCACTGACGGAGTTTCGTACACGCCTGTGCGGAATCTCTTCCAGCGTCGCACTATCTGTCGAAATCCTTCGAAGAAACTGTATAGCGATCATGGCGCCATCAGCTTCTTGTGCTCCTACCCAAGCGTAGGTCGTATCAGCAGACCGATTCGCGTTTCCTCTGTTAAGAGGTATAGTAGCTTTGTGTTTCAGGAAACGCCGCGCTAAACGTGACGGTTCTCGCTAAAAGATACGAGTCTGGCTACATGAAAGACGTCCATTGGAAAGAATCTTTCGCAGCTTCCTCAAGCCGTATGAGTCTTGAGATGGCAATGCACTTGTCAGTAGCAACTAACCTGTTTTGTCAACAGTAGATACCATGGTACTTACCTCTCTCGTTTCCTCAGCCTTGTGAATCCCGCTCACGTGATCGCACGTTCGGTGCCGTCATTCTCGATTTCTATTGGCCCAAAACAGATCTGTGCACTTCTTTGGATAACCAGGCAATAATCTCAATTTGTTTGACCGAGCAAGCAAATAGGTGAAGGGTTATCTTGCCTTCGAGCCCCTTAAAGACTGTTGAGACCTAGCCTTGCATATTCTGCTCAAGAACCACACTATGTCGTCCACTCACGAACCATCGAGAAAATCTCAGTCTCTCATATCCCGAACGGACCAGCAGACGCCTGACATCAATACAGACCTCGCTACGACTGAGGATGATGAGAATGACGACCGCGAGAATAAAGAAAACCTCGATGATACTGCAGCAGGCGGGGATCTGCCGATGAGTATGACTGCTAGTGTCATCTTGACGAATTTGCCCAGGGATGCTAGTCAGGCGCTTAAGGAGGTCGAGGAGATTGATGATCGCAAGGGTATGTTTGTCTCCAGCGCCGTTTGTTTTCTCGAATTGCGTTGAGCTTGTTTGGTATCTCCTCTTTCATTCCGCCGTTGGGGTCGGATGAACTTCTTCTACAAATATATTCGGCGTTTTTTCGTTGTGTATGTTCATCCCAACATATCAATCAGACACAGCTAAGAATCTCTATGTCTTCTGTAGTCTCCATCCGCTTCCAACCCATCCAGTCTGCGCCAATCCTCAAGCAAAAGGTGTTCAAGATCAGCGCCTCGTCGAGATTCAACGTCGTTTTGAGTTTCCTGCGGAAGAAACTCGGCATCAAGGATGGCGATGGCTTGTTTCTCTATGTCAACAGTGTCTTCGCTCCTGGATTGGATGAGGGCGTTGGGAATCTGTTCAGGGTATGTGACCTTTTGTTGGATTGATCACGGGCAGGTGAATCCTTGCAAGGCCCGAAATAATCCGGGTAGTGCTAACTTGACACTTTATTACTTTTTAATAGTGCTTCAAGACAGATGATCAGCTGATCGTCAGCTACTCTACGACGCCTGCTTTTGGTTAAACCTAACCCATATCCCAGGATTATGTCCATGCTCCAAAAAAATGCAATCACAAAAGTCCCAATTCGACAGTTTGCGAACTGACTCAAACCCCTACTTTTCGCCAGACTGAAGAGCACTCTTGAACGCTTCTGTTACTTTAGCATCACTCTTATACACATGTTGGGGCCCGGGGTAGCTTCGATCACCAACTTCATCTTTGTATTGTTTAATGGCAGCGAGACCTGTATCCCACATGGAACCATACTTCTTGACAAACTTGGGCATAAAGGACTCCGGTGGTCGAACTCCAAGCATATCAATTTGCACCAAAACCTGGCCGCTGGTCTTGTTTCCTGCACCAATGCCAATTGTGGGGATGGTCAATGCATTCGTCACCTCTTCGGCAATGTCCGGGGGAACACATTCCAAAACGACGGCAAATGCTCCGGCTTCTTCGACGGCTCTGGCGTCCTTGAGTAATGACATGGCTTTGTCAAGGGTATTACCCTGAACACGAAAACCACCAAGAGCGTGCTGGCGTTGTGGGGTGAGACCAATATGTGCGCAGAGTGGGATACCTGCAGAAGTGATCTTTTTTATGGCGGGGGCCATTTCGGTTCCTCCTTCGAGTTTGACGCTTTGCATTCGGCCTTCTTTCACCATGCGGATTGCACTGGCCAGTGCCTGTTCGGGGCTGATCTCGTAGGAACCCATTGGAAGATCTCCAACGGTAAAAGACCGAGTCACAGCTCGACTAACCGCTCGGGCGGACATGATCATCTCGTCGAGAGTGACTTCAGAGGTGTCTGGCATGCCGAGGGACACCATGGCAAGTGAATCCCCCACCAAAATCATGTCCATTCCAGCTTCTTGTGCCATCAACGCTGATGGAAAATTGTGCGCCGTCAACATTGTGATAGGACTCTTTTCAGCGTGCATTTTCTGCAATGTTTGGATGGTGACGGGTTTCTGGCCTCTGGCCATCAGTGCAGGAGATGTGGGAGCATGTGAACTCCAACGAATTTGCTGCCATTGTCGGCTCCCTTGTGAGGCAGCCGTTCGACAGGCGTTACAGACAGGTGGTCTTGTGAGGGTAGATACTCGGTTGATGCAGGTAATTGATGCCATTTTTCTCAGCCCGGTTCGATAATGAATGTGCCAAAAGATGATGAGGGATCGAGGACAGAGAGGAAATTCGAGAGACCGTGGCTCATTTCGCAGAAACTGGTGGCGGTGAGAAAAGTGGTTATTGAAGGTCGTCGTGCTGAATTCTTTATGCGTATATTTGAGAAAAGGGCTTTGTGGTTGAACTGATGAGCCTCGGTGTTGACATTTCACCCAAGCCCGAATACCCTGTTGGCTATAGACGAGCGCCTAATACGCTTTGAGGTTAGGCGATGTTGGGGGTTGCGAGGTGGGTGGTCAAAGAAAGCCTGGGGGAACCTTCTTTGCCATCCAACGGCCGAAAGAAGGTCATCCGAGTCGCCGCGCTTACGAGGGCATGGTTCCTCAGGGCAGAAACCTGGTGACTGATGAGCAATAGACAAGGCTGAGCCACCTAGTCATTTGGCGATCTCATTCATCTCGTTAGTGAAAACAGGGCTTCCTGTTCGTGTCCTCATATTGTTGCCTCGACGCCGGCAAAGTTGGTGGGATTGGCTACAAAGATTCCGTTCATTTCACTGGTCTAGCTTGCCTGTACCAACCAACGTATTATGCTCCTGTTTTCCAAATGCGGGCAGTGGGCAGCTGACTCCCGTGGCGGTCGGCAGGCATTGGGAGTTTGCTGGACAAAGTTTCGGGCAACCAGTTTGCTCAGTAACAGATCAAAGTTGTTCACACTGCAGGGCCACTCCGTCACAGGGCACCTCAGACAAACGCCCCACGTCTCTAGACCAACACCGAATAATCTACTCTTACACCTGGCAATCACACTTTCCTCTGACTTCTCTTTTTGTAAATTGACTCTGACTCCTATTCTCCCACTCTTCTTCACTGATAAAGCCCTTCCCTACTCACTCGGTGCATCACGAGACCTCCTTGGGTATTCTTTACTCCCTCCGGTATCCGAAGAAAAAGCCGAGCTCGATCCGCTCGTTTGTTCCCGACTCTGCTCCGTGAAACCAATTGTCTTCCGACCTCGCTCGACTTATCGCCACCACACTGGCTCACCCTTGACCTAATCCTGAGAGTACATTTCTAGCCAATCTCTCCTTGAACACTGCGCATATCGATCTTACGAATCACGCCGAGACCTTTCCATCCGATATCAGACGCTCCCTCAGACCGGACATTGGCGAGCAACTATGAGTAGTCCGAAGCGGAGGATAGAGACGGATGTGATGAAGCTCATGATGAGCGACTATGAAGTGACATTGGTCAATGACAACATGCAGGAATTCTATGTCATCTTCAAAGGCCCTTCGGAAAGTAAGAGCATGATTTCATATTGCAAATGGTGCACTGATCGATATTATGCAAGATGACGGTGACTGACCGAGGACTTTGTCTGTAGCACCTTTCGCTGAAGGCAAATGGAAAGTCCACGTTGAGTTACCCGATCAATACCCGTACAAGTCTCCCTCAATTGGCTTTGTCAATAAGATATTCCATCCAAATATCGATGAGGGGTTAGTGTTGACCGGCGAGACTTATTTTGAGGAATGTCGTCTCTGATCATTGTATACAGGTCGGGTTCAGTGTGCTTGGATGTCATCAACCAGACATGGTCACCAATGTTCGACATGATCAACATCTTCGAAGTTTTCCTGCCTCAACTTTTGAGATATCCCAATCCCACCGATCCGTTGAACGGAGAAGCCGCTGCGTTGCTGATGAGGGAACCTAGAAGCTACGACGCGCGGGTCAAAGGTAGGATCTAATCAATTTAGATGGGTAGCAAAGACACTAATCGACCTCGAAGAATATATCAACCAGTACGCCACGAACATTCACGATGACGCAGATGAAGACGAAGGCGAGACGGATGGAGAGCTGAGCGAAGTAGAAGACTTCAATAGCGACGGAGAGGACGAGCCAGCTGGGACGATGGAGGATGTATGAGGACCGAGAATTTGGAAATGCGAGCTGGAGTTCTCTAGGATGTGAGTTTCGCGAAACCGGTATGAGGCGCTCGAGGGGAACAGCGGCCACGTGGCCAGGTTACGTTTAAGGTGCTCTTCTTGCTGCAATGATTTTGATAGTCTGTGATGAACGACCACTCATCTCAATTAATGGATATCGGGGTTTCAAATCGTGACCCAACAGCCTGGGTTAGCTGAGATGGGTGGGAGTCAGACCAAAAGTAAATTGGGCGAGGAAGCCACTTTTGCACGCGTCATACACCAAAGTCACTCCATGCTCCAAGCCCTCCCCTCTTGTGACAGGTTCCCACCCACGCGACCTCGACTCGGAGCTATTCTTGTCTGCATCCCTGTGACAAAATCTCGCACATCCATTCCGAAACACTTCCCTTCCTTGCACTGATTGCCTTTCATTCCCCTCAGTATTAGCGACAGATATTCAACTCATTTTTGATTGCGAGCCATTGAAAACTTGCCAGGATGGCGATGTCCCCGTCTCTTGAGACCCTACCGCCAGAGGTGCTCATCTGCATCTTCTCATTCTTGGACGTTCCGGACCTACTGCAAGTGAGTCGTACATGTCATGTACTCCGCAATTTGGCCTGCGATCCCTTGCTTCATCTCGAGCGCCTGCATCATGCCTCCTATACACTATCGATCGCCCTTGCACGACGACCATTGAAATCCTCCATCAGTCCACCCAACTCTTGGATATGGTTGAGCAAGACCAACGTTCTCTCTCGACAAATTAGCAAGAGCCTCATCCGCATACGCCTGAGTCACAACCTCGAGCACAGGCCCAGTCCACATGAATTGGTTGAAAGAGCAATCCTACCGTCTACCTGCACGAGCTACTCCTCCCCAGTGTCTCCAGCTCTGATACAATCGCAACAAGCAGTTCAACGGCGGAGGTTGATGGACGGACTTGGTCGCAAGCTAGAGCGCAGACCAAGCATGAACAGTCTAGTGTCTCTCAACATTATGCCCGAAGAATGTGTTCGACGAAGCGTCTCTCCGGCCATCGTGGCCACACGTCGCAAAGTGATTCGAGAAGGCCTGAAAGATGGTCTACGTGCTTGGGTGGAAGGTCGTGCAATACAGGCGCAGAAAAGGAAAGCAGATGAGATGGAAGCCGCTGAGAAGACAACTGTCAAGAGTCTTGTTCGTAGATTCGCAGCCAAAAGGCTTGCCCAAGAGATGGGAGAGGATCTTAACCCTGTAAGTCTAGAGAAGAGAAGGGCGCAAGTCAAATGGGGAAGGGAGGTCGAGATAGCGCGGAGGGATGAGGAGAGAAGAGCTGCAGCACATGGCGCTTGTGCTCAGCCGACTAGAGCACATGTTCTCGGACTGAGGAAGTTCTGGGAAGGGGTTATTAGGGCAGCTGCAGGATAATCAAATTCCCCTTGTTGTTTGATTCCAAATTGTTCAATGGCTAGACAGTCCCTCTCAATATATGAAGATAACCATACCTTCTCTTGATCTATGTTTGAGTACTTTTTACTTGATAAGAGCATGTCCGACGCAATGACATGTTCAGTCGAAGTCGCCGACTTGACTAGACATGTCGTTTGATATCCCCATGCATTCGTCCTTCTCACCACTTTTATCCTGCAAAGGCTCCCAAATGTAGCTGCTTCTGCCACAGAGGCGTTCAAAGTCAGCACTGGAACCTCGTTTTGTCGGCAATTCATCTTTGAAAGCCAACAGCCGTGACGTCTAGTACTAGGAGAGAAAACACCCTTTGAAGATTCCAACATCATCATCGGCCTGCCAGCGGTTCATACGCGGGAACAGCGCTTTAGATCTGTGGCATTTCATCAGAAAATAGGTATACGTTTACAAAGTAGATCCAGCCATCGTGAGACACGCCGTTTTGGTTGCCCCGCCAACAAGTCGCGAGCTTGGAAGGCTTGTATCTTCAACTGCACAACTCCCAACTTCTCAAACCCTCGCGATTTCATACCAGGAGACTCATATTTGGACGAAGCCCTCCACAATTCTTTGATTTCACATTCTTGGTCGACATAGGACGAGAACAAGAACTGGTTCGCAATCCGCTTTGGCCCCCTCCATGGCAAACTCTCTGCCTTTTCCTCAAGGAAAGGAAAAGAAGCCGTCTTCGGTTGAAGCGCCTGCCTCCCAGCTACTCTATCCAAATGACCAGAACTCATTTCCATCTCAGCCTGAATTTGGCAAGCCTACATCTTTAGGAGCCCCGCCACAGCCGTATTCAAGGCTACAGCCTCCTGCAAGACCGACTGCGAATGGATCAGCCGCCACGCAAGTCAGTGGAAGTCAAAAAGACCAATATTCAAATCTTTTCGTGGTTCCAAAAAATCCTTCGCAGAGACCAGAGCTACATAAGCCTCATGTAGTCACAAACCCGCTACAAGCTTTTAGAGACATCACGAATAGTGCTAGTCAGCCTGTCAAATCGACTTCGTCTAGGCTGGCCTATGAGGATGACGACGTATTTGAGATTCCCAAGCCCTCAAACTCCCCCAGTTGGCAACCGAAGCCTGTCGCTCCTCCGACGTTTTCTTCTCAGAATTCCACCAATCCTCACTTCAGGCCTCAGAATGTCGTGGACTTTACTCGAGACTGGGCAGTTTTCAATACGAATAGTAGTTATTATCAGGAAGACCGATATGCTGCTGCAGATCCATACATCTACATGGACTCAGCCAAAGCCAACGAGAATATCAAAGCTCTGCTTGAGGGTGCGTTTGAAGATGAAGAAGATAAACCGCGGACAAGGAGATCAAAGAAGCAATTGGAAAGCAAGCTCGAAGAATTGACAGACAAGGCAAAGAACATGACCGTTGAAGGCGAGTGCAAAACTGAACAAGCCGACGAAGAGGACGACGGAACTGTTCTCGGTCTCAAAGTCAAGCTCCTTCCTCATCAAATTGAAGGCGTTGGCTGGATGTGCGACAAAGAGACTGGTACCAAGAAGACCAGAGGTGTCCTACCCAAAGGCGGCATTTTGGCAGACGACATGGGTCTTGGAAAGACTATACAGTCAATTGCTCTTATGCTGACCAACCCCAAGCCAAGTACCAAAGAGCTTGAAAAGAGCAAACGCAAACTGCCTGAAGGTATTGGAAAGGGTACACTTGTCGTCGCACCACTCGCTCTGATCAAACAATGGGAAGGCGAAATCAAGGATCGTGTCGAAGGCGATCACGCTCTCAAAGTTTGTGTCCATCACGGACCCCAAAGAACGAGAGATAACAAGGATCTCAAGGAGTACGACGTGGTCATCACCACTTATCAAACTTTGTCATCGGAGCATGCGGGGTCTGAAGGCGGCTTAAAAGTTGGATGCTTTGGGGTGCACTGGTACAGAATCATTCTGGACGAGGCACATTCCATCAAGAATCGTAATGCGAAAGCTACGAAAGCGGCCTGTGCGCTGGATGCGGAATACCGGTGGTGCTTAACGGGGACTCCTCTGCAAAACAATCTCGATGAATTACAGAGTCTGATTCATTTCCTTCGGATCAAGCCTTATGATGACCTGAATCACTGGCGTGAACACATTACAAAACCCATGAACAATGGAAGGGGTGGTCTGGCACTTAGGAGACTGCAAGTGTACCTGAAGGCGTTTATGAAACGCAGAACGAAAGACGTACTGAAGCAACAAAGTCCTTCGAAAGATGCAAAAGGCCATCCTAGAGAAGGGAAATCTGCGGGATTCGACATCGTTGCGCGGGTTGTGGAGAAGGTCGAGGCCGAATTTACGGAACAGGAGCGAGAATTCTATCGGCGTCTGGAATCGAGGACGGATCGCAGTCTTGAGATGATGATGGCCGGTAACAAGATGAGTTATGCTTCTGCTTTGGTGCTTCTGATGCGTCTCCGTCAAGCTTGCAATCACCCAAAATTGACAGGCAGCGACTTGAGCACTGAGAACGATGTCTCAGGTGGCAGCCGGACAGCAGGCCGAAGGAAAGTCAGTCCTGAAGATGACATGGATAGTATGGCCAACATGCTTGGCGGATTGACCATGGAAATGAAGAGATGCGATATGTGCCAGATTGAGCTCAGTAAGGCAGAGATCTCTAACGGTGCAATCCGCTGCGATGAATGTGAGGCCGATCTTGAGAAGCAGGACGACCAAGTCAAGGAGAAGAAATACGCCAAGAAAGAAAAGAAGCGAAGACAACAACAAGAAGCAATCAGAGCGCAGCGGAAGCAAACTCGGCGAGTCGTCGAGGATAGCGACGACGAACAAAGTGGACCAGGGTCTGAGAAAGATGAAGAAGATGCCTCCTCACTCGATGATGACGATGATGACTACGTGTCCGACGACGCCAGTTCACAAGAATCAACCCTCCTTCAATCCACCAAGATCCGACATCTTCTGTCGATCCTAAAATCGGACTCTCACCGGCACAAATACATTGTCTTTTCCTTTTTCACGTCGATGCTAGATCTGATCGAACCTTTTCTGAAGAACAATCGCATCCGGTATGTCCGTTACGATGGGAAGATGCGCAACGATGCGCGAGAAGCGAGCCTCGATTCTCTTCGAACGGATCCCTCAACACGTGTCCTCCTCTGCTCTCTCCGGGCAGGAAGCTTAGGCCTCAATCTGACAGCAGCTAGTCGAGTGGTTATCCTTGAACCTTTCTGGAATCCATTCGTTGAAGAGCAGGCAATTGATCGAGTGCATCGACTGAATCAGACTGAAGACGTCAAGGTGTACAAGCTCACGGTCAAGAACACAGTGGAGGAGAGAATTTTGGAGCTTCAGGAGAAGAAGCGTGAGCTGGCTAATGCGACGATCGAAGGCAAGAAGGGCGCGATGAAGTTGACGCTGCAGGATATGTTGAAGTTGTTTGGAAGAGATGCGGAACGAGAACATCCCGTCGATGTTGGCAGCGTGGGCATGGGTTCAGGAGGGGGAAGAGGGTTGTTGGATGGGAACGGAGCCGCTTCCAGGTCCACAATGAATACATCGGCGACCCCTTTGTCGACCAACAGCAATCTTGGCCAGGGCGACAGAAATGCAAATGGGGCTCGCGAAAGAATGCGTCTGAGCAACGGTACGAAGAATCCACAGAAGGAGGAAAACATTTATGCCCAACGTCGGTGGTGATTCGACATTCGTTGAGCTGTCTACATGCGTCAGAAGTCCTTGATATAACAAGATTCAAGGCACATCGTCATAGAACCAGAAGATACACGGGGCTAATTGTCTTTGGGTTAATGCTTTGAGATGGTGCATCTTGAAAGACCAGTATACCTACCTGTTTTAGTTTATTTTTGGCTCAACTTCAGAACAGACCCCATCTTTCGTCCTTGGAGGTGTGGGTTCTTTGGAGCAGCTAACTTGCAAGGCTGAGCGGAAACATTTCGCTTCTTCATAAGCGGGCCAGGCCGAAAGTACTACGATAACTCTTTCTTTCCGTCGGCATTTGAGCGAAACTTGACTTCTAAATGGAACTTGGACTTTTTTGGGCAGGACAGGGCCGTTGGGGTTGGACGATGAGAGGCAAATTGGATTTAAGAAGGCTCCACGTGGCGTTGAGGATCCGAGACAAAGTCTTGCCGCGAAGTGCCCCCCGTCGGTAGCCGAGAGCGCGAGAGAATGTGCGAAGATTGATTGAATCTGAATGAAGTGGATTACGTTGTGAGAATCGAAGAGCGAAGGATAATAATGAAGAGATGAATAGAGAGCAACATTGTGATTGTATTTCCGCGCAGACCACGTGGGAGCCTCGGGAAAGGATTAACATTAGGCCGAAAACAGGCTACCAGCTGCCAGGTGCGCAACTCTCTCTGCCTGTCCCAACAAACATTTTCCAGTGTCAGCGCTGCAAAACATGTCACCAGATTCAGACGTAAACTCGAACACGAGCATGGAGATGATGAGTCCAAAATATAGCCAAATGGCCCCAGGTTGGTTGGTCAACAAAGTCCTAAATGAGGAAATGTTGACTGCAAAAGGTGCTCTCTTGAAGCCTCGACCAGCTCCATCGATCTCTCCAGTTCGTTACATGGGTTCAGGAAAGAATTTCCAGTCTGGCATGCTGCTCGGGACCAATGCAGCCTGCAACGTTTCAACTGGGGTTCCCATGCAAGGTAAAAAACGTGGCAGCCACAAAAAAAAGCATCAATTTTGAGGAACCAATGCGCGACGTCAGCTTCTGCGCTGGCCCGCACACACTATTTTCTTTGCCATCTACTTCTTGTGGCCATTCGTTTTTTTTTTTTTTTTTTTTTTTTTCCCGGAACATTAACCTCGTGCCTCATCTGTCGATTTGTCGGACACAACGAACCTCGGGAAGTTTGGGACACCTGCATCGGAAAAGACAGAAGGGAACGAGGACACAAGATTGTGATTTCATGCTAAAACAAAAAAGAAGGGTAGAAGCTGAGGCCGATACCAGCTAGGGTTCTAAAGGGTGTCCAAATCGTATCCGGCTGAAGCTCCATGTTCACAACCACTGGTTGATGACTATTGGCCATCGATGCAATCTCTAGCTTCTAGGCTGCTCAAAAAGTCCGTATATTCGCCCTATTAGGGAGCATTGCGAGAACAGATCCGGCGGTCCGGTTTGTGGATTTTACGTGTACTCAAGTACTCATGATGGCGATACTGGCTTGGCTTGGTGGGGATCCCCGAAAATCACCCCCAACGGGTATATGCAGGACGGGCAGGGAGGCAACCAAGAAGAAAGGGGTAAGGACCAGGAGATGAAACGTGGTCAGCCTTTGTGGAGACACAGGGGGATCAGCGCCACGCCTTTGAGGGGAGGCCCAACGACGTTGATGGAAAACCACCATACCCGAGTGATTAATTTATCATTCAATAAATCTGGTAGTCTATCGGTCATCACCTATTAAGCACTTTGGACAACTCGACTCGATCGGGAGGAAGGAGTCTCAGGTCGAACAGTAGGGACGCCGAGAGGCTTAGCAGGCTCGCGAAGGGGGTGTGGGCTGGTGGATTGCGGGCAAAAAAAAGGTTAGCAAATTTAAGTTTCGAGTGGGTGGGATTGAGTTGCAACAGGTGCAGCAGTTGGCTCAGCGGTACGTTCACATCCTGGTCTTGGATGCCCATTTCTTTGCCATGTGCTGGCGATCAGGATCCCTGGTGTGTTCGAGAAAAATCCAATTCGTCTGAGAGGGGACGGGGAAGAAAGGAAAATGGGATTTGATTTTCTTTCTCTGGCCGTCAACTGGCACCAGCTTCAGCTCCGGCGACGCCGTCTGATGAGACGACCAGATGGTGGCTAGACGACGATGACCTGCGAGCCCTTTCAATCATTTATTCCCTGGAATGTACTCTAGTGATCTTAACGGCATTCTGTCTCCATCGCGATTTCTCCTCCGCTTTGTGTTTTCCAATTCTTCACTGCCGTCAGTCTTTACCGCTCTTCTCGACTGCGCTCCCCCAAATTATTGGGTTTCAGTCCTGATTCTCATTGTCTCCCTCCAATTCCGGCTCGGGTTCCAGGTCCAGTCCCCAGTCCTGACTCGCGCCCCAGCCATTAAGCCCTTCTCGTCGTCGACCCAGTCAAGGTGCCTTTAGCAAACTACTGTCTACTTGGTACCAGCCCACCTGCTTCCTCTAAAACCTCCATGCCGTTGACAAACGAAACTAATCTTGAGCAGGGAACGCCCCTGCAACCTCGTCTCCGCCATACTAGACTAGAGTTCACTACCACGTACTACCTCCCCCTCTAACAAAGAGTTAGAACCAGCTTCAGGGTTCGGCTACGGCATTCGTGCACGTATTAGACCGTGACCGCACCCTTCTTTAGGCTCAGGCTCAGACTCTGTGGTCCTCCAAGGTCAGGCTTCGGCATCAGCGTGTCTTTCTGCCCCCTTCAGCCTTTGAAACCTTCGAAGAATCGTCCTAAACCTCCGCCTCGCTCACTTTCCGGCGATCATCCATCCCATTCCAATTTTTTTCTTGACCGCTGCCTGCTCGGCTCTTACCCTTTGGAGGCCAAATCCCACGCCAAAAGGTGACCTCCTGTCCTGGTCCCCTCTTCGCCTTTCAATTCTTGTTCCTCGCTGAGGGCTATTCCCCTACCACTGCACCACAACCTTGCCTTTTCCTTAATTTGTCTTGCCAAATCCGAGCTCCTAGTACCGGATTCGGCATCTCCACAGACTCTTGTCATGTGCCTTGGATGAACACCAATATTGGTCCAAAAGTCTGGGAAGCGGTCACTCGATTGCATCTCCACCTTCACCGCCGTCCTCACCTTCTGCCACAACGATTCGGGATAGCAACAGGCTGCGTTTCCTCCTTCTTGATCTTTGTCGTCTTTCCGGCCGACTGTAAAACGCACCGACCCCTTTTCCGTCATCCCATGTCACCGTGGGTGTTGTGAGAGAAGCTGGACGTGGACTGTTTTAGACTTTCTCCCACATCCTCCCCCCTCAATGGGGAATTCTCAAGGAAAGCCGGTTGTCTTAACTGACGAAGGTAATTTCCCTATTCCTCTAGATCCATCTTGATATGAAATTGACTCAACTACCTAACAGTCAACCTTAATCATTTTCGTCTATTGAGAGTGGTCGGAAAGGGCGCTTTTGGCAAGGTTCGCATTGTTGAGCGCAAAGACTCGGGCTTGACCTTTGCTCTTAAATATATCCGCAAGGATGAAGGCATGTCTGATGGCAACCATTGATTGCATATTGGTTTTACTGACCATACTAGTGGTGCGGTCCGAAAGCGTTCGTAATATCATCAGAGAACGGCGGATGCTGGAGCATCTCAACCATCCGTTTCTATGTAACCTCCGCTACAGTTTCCAAGATGTCGAATATCTCTATCTTGTCGTCGACTTGATGAATGGGGGTGACCTTCGCTTTCACATTCAACGAAAAGCCTTTACCGAGGAAGCTGTTCGCTTCTGGATGTCCGAATTAGCCTGTGCCCTTCGATATATCCACAGTCAAGGTATTGTCCATCGAGATCTCAAACCCGACAATGTCCTATTAGATTCCGCCGGTCACGTCCATCTAGCAGATTTCAACGTCGCTTCCGATTTCAAACCTGGCAAACCTCTGACCAGCAAGTCTGGTACTTTGGCATACCTAGCACCCGAAGTTTTCAGAGGATCAGGTTATTACAATGAGGTGGATTGGTGGTCTCTTGGTGTGACCATGTATGAGTGCATTTATGGAAAGCGACCTTTTGATGGAAAGTCTCATGAGGAATTGGCCGACAACATTTGCGCGGCAAATCCTCCCTATTTTGTTACCAAGCCTCCTGTGTCGATGCCCTGTCTCCACGCCATGACCGCTTTGATTGAAAAGGACCGACGAAAACGAATCGGTGCGGCAGGCTTCGACACTTTCACCTCTCACCCTTTCTTCCAGTCCATCAGCTTCGATGCGCTGGAACGAAAACAAGTCCCGCCCATCTTTATCCCCTCGAGCGAAAAGACGAATTTTGATGCCACGTACGATCTGGAGGAATTACTTTTGGAGGAAGCGCCTTTAGAAGCCCGCGCGAGGAAGCAAAAGCCGAGAGCTGAATTACGCAACGACGCCACCAGCAAAGAAATTCGAGAAGACGAACTGCACCGAATGATCGAGACGATGTTTGAGCCCTTTGATTATACTCTGGCGAATTACGATGTGTATGCATAGGTTTTGGTCGTGGAGTGTTCAGTTGTGCTAACAAATCCTAGGAATGCTGCGTCAGCAGTTGCTGGCACAGTCCCAGACGAACATGTTCAATTAGATACGACGCAAACCGAATCCCATTCTGTTCCTACGTCGCCGGACGGTTCACCGCCACTCTCACCGAACGTCGTGTCCACACCTCGAACGGAGGAGAAATTCCCCCAACTTGAGGACCTACAAGGCGCGATACCTCAGGCACCTCCTCCAAATCGGCCAGCTTCATCTTCCAAATCTTTCAGTCGTCCCATTCCTCCACAGAGACCGATGCCCGCAACGCGACAACTTAGCAAGGGTGGTGGTGTTCAGATGGTGTTGGACGAATCAGGAAGCTGGTCACACCTGGCGGATCAAACAGCTTACCCTCCAGAAACGTCAGTTGATGCGGGAGGAAAGAATGAGAAAGCTGGTGGTAGCATGCTAGGATTTTTGAGCAGGAAGAAGGGCAGAGATCGTAGCCCGAAACCGAAAGAGGCTGGCGTGTTGGGGAAGATTGGAGCAAGACACATCATCAGCTGAGGAGGAAGAAGAAGACGAGATAACGAGCAACACGTCTACGTTCCAAATACCCCCCTCCGTCGAGATGACTCGACTTGGTGAGTGAATGAATTGGGCGTCGATTCCTAACAGACTGGTCCTATCGCTGTACAAACAGAAGCTGCTTCAGCGCCTCTCCCCACGATGCGGAATGGACATATTGGGGCAGTCTGCTCTGCCACAAACACACCCCGAAAGTAGTCGGGGTTTTTCATTGAAGAAGAAAGCGCCGGCGGTGTTGGACTTGGGAGTAATGCATGTCCCTAGATATGGGAAAGTCAGTTCATTCAATCACAATGCAGGCGGCGATAAATGTATACAGAATTGGCGAACTGCAGGACATGGATGGGAATTGTACGAGTAGATAATCACCTTGTAATCTTAGAAGATACGACAACTACACATCCACCATACCCTTGATAAATACGAGAATACTCTTAAAGATCACAATCAATGCTGAACAAAGGCTCTGGGTGGAAGCCGGCAAGTTGTTTGGTCTGGAGTCCAGCGCCGCGGTTGCCAGGCAGGTCAAAGAGTTTTAGTACACGCTCGCGCCGTACGCCGGCAACGGCGATTACAAGGTACCTGCGGGTAAAGATACTGATGATACCCTGGCTGGAACCCACTCGCCAAGACAAACCTTCCTCCACACCCAATGGGCAAAATGTCAACAGTTGCTGTAGCTTTGTCCTCACATCCACCTTCGTCTCTCTGTGTCTGCCTTTCTCCTCTGACCACTCACGTTGTGTCCAGTCTCACACTCTTGTACCGACGTTTTGGTACATATTCCTTATCCTCCTCGCCTTCTCTTCAGTTACCTTTTACTGCTATGCGCAACTTTTAGCCCGCCGATTCGTCGACCAAACAGCACGCGTCGCGTCGTCTGTCCGCCATACCAGTACCCCTCTCCGCCATCCTCGACCCTTCCTTTCGACCTGGCAGCGAGGATAGCACTCAATTTGCCCTTATGAATGGCCGCTACCGTATTTGTATCGCCCTCACCTCATGATCCTCTCTCAAAAATGGCCACTTCCTCTCGTCGAGTACCTCTGGCGAGCCTCGCAAACGCCACCAACTCCCCCCACCGTCCTCTCAGCAACAGTGGTTCCAAACGGCCGAGGAGTCTAGCCAATGTCTCCCAACAGGAAAACGAACCTCCTCAGAAACGTCTGGCTGTGGAGAAAAATGCTAAAGAGCTCAACAACCCCTCAACGCCTCACAGGCAGTCACAGTCGTCCATGCCAGAAGGCCGCGTCTTTGAACGAGGCCATGGAGAGTCCGGGTCTACTGCTTTTCAAAGGAAACTGGTTGCTGTTCGAGACAAGAGTGCGGGCCTTCGGGTGACCAAGAATGTCGACCATCCTCCCAAGGAAGAAACCATTCGCACCTGGCAAAGACATTATCGAAAAGTGTTTCCCTCATTTTCCTTCTACTTTGATGGTGTCTCGGAGAATGATCGGGCTCGTTTCCTCAGGCAAATCACTTTACTCGGAGCGGTATGTTTGCAGTCACATTCATCAAGTGTCGTCATCGGTCGACTGACTTGCGCATAGAAAGAAGAAAAATTCTTCTCAAAAGCCGTCACACACATCGTCACGATGCGCCATATTCCAGCCGAACTTGGGAGAAATACCTCAACCGAAAATGATTCTGTACAGTCTCCCGTGGAAGACCAGCCCCAGACAATAAACCCTTCACTGCTGGAAAAAAATCCCCGCGGGCACTTAGCCGCCAATATTCGACGCGATGGGATGAATCAGATGGATATCCTGGTCCGAGGAAGAGAAATGGGAATGAAGATATGGGCAACTGAAAAGCTCCAAAGAGTTCTCTCGTCCATACTCGAAGATGCCGCGAATCATGGTCACCATCCTCGTGGATCGACACATACAATTCGGCCTCAGCATGAAGATCTGGGACAAGTGTTGAAGAATGAAAAGCTGGGAGCCACGTCTGAACGTGAGCAACCTTTTCTGTCTCTAGTGACTTTCAAAGGTCCTTTTATTTATGTCCATGACATGGATGAGAAATATCGTCCGACCATGGTCAGAGATTATCCAAAAGTGGCAAGACGATCAGATGGAGAATGGCCACAATTCCGTTCTGCCAGTATTGGAAAATGTCCTTTCGTGGAAGATCCAGCTATGAAGAAGGAGATCGAGCAGGAAATGAATAGGGCTAGAATGTTGGCCATGCAGCAGCAGCAGCAACAACAACAACAACAACAACAGCAAATACCTCGAACAAGAGTCCATGTCGCTGTCGAGACGGCCAAGCTTGAGCCTCCGCGTCGCGTCAGTCCACGCAAAGCTCTTCAAGGAGTTCATAATGTACACACACACATGGACCTTGATGTGGACAAGAGGGATAAGAAACCACATCCATCTGCTCCGGAACGACAATCTTCATTCCCCCCTATGCCGGAACGACCAGCATTTGAATTTGTTCGACCACCTCAACTACACATGGCAAGAGAACCGACAGCTTCTGGAATACAGAGATCAAACTTGACGTCGGCTATCCAGTCCCAGATGATCTCTTCCACAGCAGCCACCGGAGTCAAAGCCGGGACAAGTAAAGAGGTGCATCACCAACTGAAACGCCAAGTTCTGGAACGTACTCATACGGGAAGTCTCTCTGTTGGATCCATACCTTCTTCTCATCGGATGAATGACCTTGCAGGAGTATTGCAAACTGTTCGCGCACAGCGAGCGGCCAAGAGCAAGGCACAGGAAAAATTAGGTGGAATTCAAGAAGGAGATTCTCATGTAGATGACATTGCAGCAGAACGAGCCGTACCAACCACAAAGAGAAAGAAGTCGGCGAAGAGAGATCCTAAGCCAGGATATTGCGAGAATTGTCGGGATAAATATGAAGATTTTGAAGAGGTAAGCAGCTAGGAACAGGTCTCGTGAGATCGATGCTAACTTGACGAAGCATATTCTTTCACGCAAGCATCGAAAGTTTGCTATGACTCGATCGAATTGGGCTGAACTGGACGCGCTTCTTGCCAAGCTGCAAACTTCATGAATTGATGAAACCATTTTCAGGAGTTTGATTGAGATGAGCGGCATAATGCTATCGAAAGCAAGTCGTCACAACAAGGGCGACACCTGCGCTCACTTTGATTATGGACATGTCAATATACTTGTTGCACTTGAGCCGGGGATATGTTTTATCTTGAAGCATCGGCCGAGCCAGAAAAAATTCAAAAAGTGGAAAATGACAGTCATTCAGCGTGCGCATAGACTTGGACCAGCCCCTAATCTGACTGAAAATTAATTGATACGGCAATTTATTTACATTTGCAATACGGAAGTGAGTGAGATGCAGAGAGTGGAAAGGGGCGGAGATGACGATGAAGAAAGCCTCCCAGCTTATGGAGCAAAGACTTTTTGACTTTTGAACTTTATCGATTTCAACGAGGCTGGAGCCGCGCGCATTCTTTTAACTTCTTTGTTCTCGGTTCCTACTTCATTATCTATACCTCCAACGCGCAAGATTCACCAACAACAAAGCTGTATTCGCCTTCAAACAGATTCAGCTGCTCTGATTAATGCGTAACTCTCAGTCAACAAATTATTCGAGTCTATATGACCTGAACGGTGAGTCAGCGGCCTCAGGTATCAATCAAGAAACCATGTTGTTTCGCTGGGGCTAAGTCCTTCGGGAATGGGATGAACTCTGCCGGGCGGCCCCGTGAATTTTCGATACATGAATATGGTAAAGAGAATGCCCTGCCCAAGGCCGAAGATGACGTTGTTCAACCACGGCCAAGCATGGATATACCATGTGAATGGACCGCACAAAAATGCCGTGGAACTCGATTAAACCCTTTCCCGCGTGGTCTGAGGCGGCAGAGCCGTCTCAGTCCCTTGCGACGGGGATGAAGTATTGATTATGCATTTGGCAGTGATATTTCGTGCCTTACAATTGGAATAAGGCTGTTGACGGCCACACTGGTAAGAGTTAGAAAGTATTGTCCAGTGGAAAGTACCCCAAAGTAAGAGATGAAATGAAAACCTTTTGTTTTCTGCGATAGCAAGCATTGGCAACTTTCCTTCGTTTTGAAGGCTGGTGATAATCTGAGTCTGTCGGAGCTGAATTCTGGCTGACGCAAGTGTACCAAAGTGTTGAGTATGTGCTTCTTACGTAAATTTCTATGGGCAGCATACGAAGGTAGGCTCGTATAGTCATTGAACGAGGAAGATTGGTGTCAAAGGAGCGTGAGACCAACGAAGGCCTTTGGAGCGGCGTCAATTTTGGATTTGAAAAGACAGACTGCCTTCCATACATTGAGCGTCATTTCATTCCGAGGGTTCTATTGGTGGCCTTATCGCCCCTCAGCCTGATTCTCAGCCTTATTCTGGGCGTTGCGTCTCTAACGGCAATGCGATTCTTCTGCCCGCTTGGTTTTTGACATTCCAGTCCCGCCAGCAGCCTGCCTCTCAGCCACCACATTCCACGCCTTCACCAGCTGCGCCAACAACTCCTCCTTGTCACTTTTCCTGCAACAGCTTGACTGTTCGTCGAAGGTTGACATGGCTGGTGCTCGACCTTGGTTCCGTTGAGCTGGATCTCGAGATCAACGCCTTTGGACCGGCCGACCGATGCCCTCCTCCTCAATTCACTCTTGGTGTCGTTCTGACCCTCCTCATTGTTTCCTCATCGACACATCTGCAACATGGAGGAAGCCAAAACGCTCATCCGAACTGCGGTCCGAACCTTCTTTACCCATCCCAAGCAGATCCTCATCATCGATGCTATTATGCTTCATTCAGTACTACAGATGGATGATCTCTCCGTCCTCATCTCCGCGCAACCAAAAGACATTCGCAGTCTTATGAACCCTCTCCGCGCCGCGCGGCTAATTCAAAACCATTCCCGCATGGAAGTCAGAGTTGGATCCCAGCGAGGCAGTCCAAGAGAATACTATTACTGTCCTTTCCACCCTGCCATCGACGCTATAAAATACCGTATCGCAAAGCTCCGAAAGAAGGTCGAGGCTTTATATCAACAAGATGAGACCAGGAGAAAGGACTGGAGGTGTCCACGCTGCAAGGCCGAGTATGAAGAATTAGATATTCTGGACAAGATCGGTGACGAGGGGTTCTATTGCGATCGCTGTGGTGCCACATTAGTTCAGAACGAGCATGCTGCTCAAGACCGAGGAAATCACGAAAAAATCCGACGGTTGAACGATCAACTCAAGAAATTCGACGACATGATTCTCAAGATTGATAGAAAGGATATACCTGAGAACGACTTCGCTTCTGCTTGGGAGAGGAAGAAAGAGGTCCCAAGAGAGCGTGGTGGAAGAACGGAGAATAAATATGTCGAACTCAAGCGGGACAATAAGAACCAGAAGCGTGGCCCAGAAATGGTCAAGGTGGAAAACCTGGCAATTAATCTTACGAGTGGCGCGGAACAAGATCGCGAAGAGGCAGAACGGAAAGAAGAACGCAAAAAATTACTGGCGAAACAAAATCAACTTCCTGTGTGGCATACGAGCAGTGCGATTGGGGCCGTCAACAACGCCATAGGGGTGAAAACAGAAACTGCGGAGTCGAACGGTCTAATATCTAACAAGGAAGAAGACGTGGAAGAGAAGAAACCCAACCTCGGAGGATCCTTAGGCGCAACCACTAATACCCTCCAGGATGAAGTCGCCGCATACATGGCGGAGATGGAGCGCGAAAGGGAAGAAGCTGAAAAACGAGCCAAAGAGGAAGAAGCCGAAGACGAGGAGGATGATGATCTCGAATTCGAAGACGTCGATGTCGTTGGAACTAGCAACGTGGGGACTCCTGCCAGTACTTCGCAAACACACCACCCCGACGTCAAGCCAGTGAACGGTGTGAAGAGGGAAAGGGAATTCGATGACGAGAGCAGCGATGCTAATACACCTATGAGTCTTGTCGGTGGTGATAAAGATCGAGACAACAAGCGGGTGAAGTTCGAGAATGGGACTTCCGGTCCGAACGCGGATGCGGACGTCAAGCTCGAGCCTGGATCGGGTCCTGCTTTGAAGGCCGAGGACGCGGATTCTGACGAAGACGAAGATTTTGAAGATGCCATGTAATATTTGTCTCAGAAAGGTCGGGCATTACGATTGGGAATGAAAAGGGCTTTCGTGTGAGTGGGGTGGGAGTCTCAAGACTGGATTCCCACAGACTTTACATATCCTTCCGGGCATTGGTGGGAATTCTACTTTCTTCTTTGTTCATAGGGCAAAATAATGAGGCGAAGGTTTAGGGTCACGGTCAAAAAGCAAGGCGCCCGGTTGATATCTACGGATGGCATGGAAGGTAGGTATTCGTGTTCGAGCGTGGCGGTGCGGTAGCTCAGCCCAGGTCTGCTCAGGACCTTAGACACAGCAGAGCAGCGTACAAGACAGTGAGGAATAAAAATCCACTGCTAGAAAAGAAAACAAATAGTGATTCGAAATCGAAAGTTCGATCCTTTATCCTTGGTGGAATAGGGTCCTCGCGCCTCAATATTGATTGTTCAGAGTTCGGGATCATCTTGGCCGGATTGTGATCATCCCATTTCAGGTCGTCTACACTGTAGACCAAAGATCCCCTACTTAGGTAGTCATACAAATGCAGATACACCATATGACGCCTGAACTCCAATGCTGAAATACCTCTCTGTAGATGTTGGCATTGACGTTGACATCGAAAGTGATGACCCTCGGGCATTCGGACGAGTAATGTCGCACCTGGTAAGAGCATGGAAGGTCAGGAGGACTGGAAGTCGTGGATAGGGCCATGTATCATGAGTCTGACTCTCCCAGAGTTGCCGACGTGAAGAAAGGTCGCTTGGTAACCGGCATGTTTTGAGATGATCATGGTGATCCTGGTGATCCTAACCGAACGAATCTCCCAGAGTTCAGCTTCCCCTGCCAGGCTCGCGGCGTAAATGCCAGGATCTCTTGAATTCCGCCTGCCGTTGTACAACAGCGCTCGTTCTTCCGGTCGCGAATGCCATCCGTTCGTTTGACCTTTCTTTCTTTTTCTTAAAATATCGTCGCCAGAAACACTCCTCTCCCTTACCTGTCCATTTACCCACACCCCATATCTGTCCGTACCCGAGTCTCTTCCTCCGCCCCATCCCAACCTCAACCAAAGGCAACCAAGATCCAAGTTGCTTCCTTTCTTTTCTTTTCCTTATCTCCCAAAAATCAACCCCAAAATCCACCCACCGATCCAATAAACTGCCAGTAACACCACAATAATAATCCCCGCCAACTTCAGAACTGCCATCTTATCACCCTGTCTCGCCATGCGCGTCAATCTGCCCGCAGACCCACGTATACCCGTGCTCATATTGCTGAAGATTTCATTGGTGTTATCCAGTGTTTCTTGCGAGCGGGCATTGCCATAGATGTCGAGCGTGACATGTTTGAGGGCTGAGGTCTTTTGAGATAATGAACTGAGGAGGGCATTGTTTTGTCTAAAAATCCACCACATGAATTAATATACACACTGAGATTGGGGAACGGGAATGCGTCGGCATGTCAGGTGCGAGCGTGAGGGCAGGACGCCCAGAACACGAAAGGAGAAACTTACTCCTCGCGAGCATAGGCGTCGGACATCTCGTTTCCGAATGTGGTTTTTACTGTTCAATTAAGAAAAAGGAACAGGGTGTGTAGAAAGAATGGAGTCAGATGTCGGAATCGCCGGACTTGATTCAAGTTGATTGAATGAGTGACGAAGAGTTCTTAAACTGGGGCGAGGGCGGCGTTTCGTATGTGGGGGATGGATTCAGAATTTTCGAAACTTGATCGTAATTGTAGACAGGTCAATTTCGGCCGTGAATAATGCGGTTTGAAAGTGGAGGGAAGGATGGATGGACGGGACAAGGGAATCTGGAGTGGCCGGGGGCGACGCAAGCGGAAGCGGACCCGAGCTGTCATTTCACTCTGATACTGTAAATGTCATTTCATGTACCATATCCTCTGCCAATTACAGTATGCTTGGTAATTACGGAGAAGACGAACAACAAGGCTGAGAAAGCATACCCGTACTAGCATGGATCAGACACATCACTTCAAACGCACGATGAGTGGGTCTTCTGTTGTTACCGCCGTGAGACTTGGAACCAATCGACTACCATACATACATGTTCAAAATAGGCCTTTTCTTTCACATATATCAGTGCCGTTTGACTCATCTCATCAAAGAATCGGGGATTCCTTTTGTCTCCTTCCTTCCTGTGTACTAGCGTAATCATGGCTCAAAAGGCATTGTCGGAACAAGAAACTCGCTTCTCACTTCCAAACATTGCATCTTCGGCCATATATTTGGTATCACATGTCTTTGATAAAAAAAAAAAAAAAAAAAAAAAAAAAAGCAATTACTATCAATCATTCCAAAAGGAAATAACCCCAAGCGTATTCCGTACACACTCCCTTCCACCCGCTATGCTAGGAAAAGGGAGAATTGATTTGACTTCTCAAGGAATGAAGTTGTGAAATATCCCAAAAGAGAGACCAAAACGGGACCACTCCAGAAAGATTGACTATTGTTGGCCTCTCCTAAATATTACCACATGTCATCGTCATCGTCGTGCAGTTGGGATCCGTGTGGTCCCGGCTGTTGTTGCTGTTGTTGATTGTTGTGGTGATACTGATTGTATCCACCGCTGTACGAAGATCCATTACTTTCCACCGAGTGTTTGCTACCTCTTGAGCTTGGCCTTTGGCTGGCAGTTTCATATTCGTAACCAGAGGATTCATCCTGCTGAGATGCGTACTGTTGCTGCTCAGCAGCTTGTTGCTGCCAAAAATTAGTTTGCTCCAATCGCACCAGATATTTCTGAACTCACCTGTTGATACCGTTGATACTGCGCAAATTCTTCCGGTTGTGGATCTTTTTGCTGCTGCTTGCGTTGCTGCTTAGCACTGGTTGGTAAATTCATTTGTGGGTGCATCTGTTGGACTTTGGCCAAATAACTGTACATAAAATTGCTCAGCAGCACCTGGGAGTAAAGAGCCCGGCGGGGATTGGCAAGTTTGATATGTGCCATACGGTAGATCGCTCTTTCTTCAAGGATCGAAAACCGAGTCCAGTTATAGTCGATGTCGGGTTTCAGTTCTCGATAGGGCGGTTCAGGTGATAGACCACGATCCCGATGTTTCTTTGAGTGGCTTTCTTTATCTCCCTTGGCTTTCTTTCCGCCAAAGATTGACGAAAACAAGCCTTCTTTTTCCTTTTTGGTCTCATTGCCTGATGCTTTTCGTTGGCTCTCCTTCTTGCGCTCTTCCTCGAGTTTGAGGTTGTCTCGATCCAAGACAATGCTCTCCCTTCCTCTGACACCATCAATCGATGTCTGCAGAACATCAAGTCTAGCGTTATCATGTTGTTGAGGAGGCTTAGAGATTTTTGCCTTTGGTTTTTCTGGCCTCTCCTTATCACCATCTTCTTTGCCTAATAGCCAACTCCAACCGGACTTTTTGCTTTCTTCTTTTTTCTTATGATCAGCTCGTTTGTCAACGGTGAGCGTGGGGATGAACGATAAATTGCTCGTATTCGTGTCGTTCCCAGGGAGCGGAGATGGCTGTTCAAGGCTTTGTGAGGGCCTCGGTTGCGGTGGCATATTGTTTGATGGGGTGGAAGGCCGGCCTGTGGCCGTGGGCACAGATTGCTTGGATGACATAGGGGGTCTTTGAGGAGAGATAGCTATGCTTCTGTCCTCTCTGGATGACACTCTTTCGGGGTGCCGTACAGGTCGTTGTCCAGATGGAGTGGTCGATTGCATCGATGAGGACCGTGGCGGCTGAACAGGTCCCTGGTTCTCTTCTGGTGGCGGAACTTCTATAATCTGGGGAACGGGTTTTCGCTCGAAGGCAGTAATTGTGGGTGGGGGGGATTTTGATGGAGGTGCTTTCCGTATCTCAGGCATACTTGTTGTGCTTGATCTCTTTGCCTCTTCATCATTACCGAAGATGGAGTCAAAAGTTGTTGGTACGGATGAACTCAGGCTGGCGGAAGATGATGATGCTTCGCGGCCTGCAGGTCTGGAAAAGTTTGTGGTGGCGGCTGTTTTTCCGACGCCCGACGAACCTGAGGGATCTTTCAATGTTTGTGCTAAATTGGAAACATCCACAGACGTAAAGTTTGGGAGGGGAGGTATCGCGGGGACATTGGTCTCTGGTGATTCAGGTCTGCTGCCCGAAGGACTTCCGGCAGCGGCTCTTCTGGCCGCTCTTTGAGCATAGGTTCCGCGATCTCCTCTTCCTTTCACACTCCCACCACGTCTGTAGGTCGTCCTGGTAGATCTCTTCAGACTGGACCCTGGTACGGACGGAAGGATGATATCGCCGGTATCATCTTCGGGATGACTTTCCAAGTTGGAATTTGAAAGACCTGCAGTGTTGGCGACCAAGGTTTCTAACTCTTGCAAATTTGGATCCGGTGGGGCGGCTCGTCTTGATTGTGATCTCTTCCTTTCCAGCCGGTCTGCTCCATCCTGATATCCAACAGAGCTGTCAATCTGGCGAGATAGCATTGATTTCTTTCGACGTAAACCACTACTTCCGCTTTCAACACTCAACGAGCTCGATCTCGAGGACGACGGAGTGGTAAAAGCGGACAACTCTCCAGACCTTCTCCTTATTTGCTCTGCTTTGCCCTCCAGAAACGTCTTGAATTCTTTCGGTGCCAACTCTGGATGCAAACGAGCCGGCACCCAGAATAATCTTGAAGAGTCATCTTCGCTCGAGGTTGCGGAGGGTGCACTGGGCATACCAGCGGCACTGAGTTGCGGGAGGTCCGGATCATCGGTGGCGCCCACACTCATGGACATCCTCCTCAGGGCTTGTAAATTACTCAACTCTTGCGCCACTGCCGCCGGGCTGGACTCATAGTCAATATCATTCAGAGGGAAATGTGAGGTGGCGGTATCAGATGGTGATCGATCTCTTGAGCCGGTGGGCGGTGAAGGAGACGTGTGATGATGATCCAACGAGTGACCCTTTGTCGAGGACCCTCGAGAGATCCCGTTTGGTTGTGTGAGAGCACTATCGTTTGACATATCTCTATATTGCAATTGCTTCCTCGGTTCGGAAGTTCTTCTTGGGATTATACCCTCCTCCGGCTGCACGCCATTGACTGTAACTTGCGGATGGGAATTTGCATGTTGGTGCGAATAGGATGGCTGATTCCGTGAATCTTGTTCGAGGTCGTCATCATATAGGTAGCCGATCGTTTCGGTGACATGGTGGCTTTCATCACTTATCGACAATTGTGGAAGGTGTCCCCTCCGGGCTGCGAAGCTCGCGCCCGTATCCCGGCTCCGCATTGAAGTCTGCAAGAGTCACTGTGTTAGTTTGATTGTATGTTCAACCATGGTCTTCAATAAATAGTTGCTGCGGTGCATGCCCCGACACTCGATCCAACCCCGATTTTTGATGCTGGGTGGTAGGCGGTTGCGATGGATTGGAGCAGGGAACAACGGCAAAAACGAACCTGCATGGAGCGGACGGGGGTTCAAACACCTGAAAACCAAGGTCAGGAGTCTTCAGAGTGAATAGCGTGTTGAACGGCAGGCGACAGCTCTTCCTCCTGGCCCGCCTCCTGCGCGCAATGGCCAACAGGTTGCTGCTCCTGGAGCACCACCTGTAATCATCGGATTCGACAGGCAGAATAGGGATATGAGAAGAGTTATGCGTGGGGTGTAGTACGGCAGCAGGATAGGTGCAACGTTGATGGTGGGCGACAACGTGTACGAGGCCGTGGAGAGAGCGCGTACCATGCACCGCAGGTCGTCAGTCTGTCAGTCTGTCGTCAGTGATCTCGTCAAGGGAGTGTCAGTATGCCAGTAACTCAGTGGGCTAAATCAGGCTCGTGGTGATGAGCAAGAAGCCGCGCTCCTGTGGGCCAATGGCGAAGTTGTAACTTGATAATCCCTGTCAATGCCCAGTGGACCGGTGGGTTGGTTGAATTTGATTATGCCCCCATGAGTGGTGGTGCTTGTCCTCCTTGCTGCCCTGCTATTAGTAGCGTCGGGACTCCACTAACTTTAAACTTTGTTCTAGGCTTGCGCCCTGACAAAGTCCCCTATAACTTCTCATTCGGCCCTGCTACTCGCTCGCCAACAACAGACTCAGCACCATTCGTCAAAGTGCTTCCTGAAATGCCAAGGCAAACCAATACTCTATATACGCCGCAGATTATAGATGTTATTTCGACCACTGCATCCATGCCAATTCATAATACCACTGTGGAGTACAGAGCAGGAGGCTAGGCACTATGATCCTGGACCTTTCCCCCCTGTTAAGGAGGTTGTCTCTATATCAATGCTCACATTGCCTAATAATCTCATTTTCATACCTGCTGTTGTGAATTCCTATGCTTTTCCACATCCAATCATCGCAGTAGTGGACATAATCGTCTCAGTTTAACCCCATGGATTATCAAATGGGTCTGATGCACCTCCAAATCCACCCCCACTGGCCTTTGGCGGAGCAGCACCTGGGGTCTGAGTCGTCGACGCCGAAGTCCATCCCCCAAAGTCTTCATCCGCCGTGACTGTCGGTTGGGTCGGTTTGTTGCTTGCAGCGGATATTGGTTCCCCCCATCCTCCAGAAATATCGTTCGGCGTGATGTGTGCCGGTGGTCTGCCCAATTCGACTTTGGGTGGTTCTGGTTTAGCGGGGGCTGGCTCAGGCGCTCCCCATGGACTGCTCTCGGCACCCGAACCCCAAGGATCGAACATTGCTGAATTGTTCTGAGGGATTGCTGGTGACTTGAACGGTTGAGATGCTGGCGTGGGTGCGGGTGCTGGTTGTGAAGATAAATTGAAAGCTGAGTTGAGCGTTGAAGTGCTGGCTGGTGGTGATGACATCGGGGGTGGAGCTGGTTTGGGCGGTGAAGCAGGTGTAGAGTTGGCAAACCCCCCGAAATCATCAGCAGCAAATAAATCGGCAGAGATGGATGTTGCTGCTGGTTTGGTTGCTGCTGTCACGGCCGGAGCCGCAGCTTGCTGAGTGAAAGAGAAATCCAAGCCATTAGATGTCGAGGGTGAAGTGACCGCGGGTTTCGGTGGAGCTGCTTTGGATGGTAGGCTGTCAAAGAAACTCCCGCCGCTGAGGGGGGGGGGGGAAGTAATCTGCGGTGCTGAGGGAGTCGCCTTTGCTGGTACAGAGCTTGTGAGCCCGCCAAAAGTAGAGAAGGCGGAAGGCTGTGGCGGCGGTGGTGATTTCGTAGCGTTGTTGCTCGAAAAGCTCAAACCGCCAAAGGCATCAGCTAGCCCTCCAAAAGCATCCTGTCTCGGAGCTGGGGGTGATGTCATTCCACCGAATGATGGCTCACGATTGTGCTGAGGGTGAGGACCGGGTTGAGGTTTCGGTGCACTTGCATATAATGATAGAATTGAGCTCTTAAGATCTCCTCTAGCGTTGGTCGACTGGGTGGGGTTGGACGCTGCACTCGAAGGCCTACCAATGCCCGTTGACGATGTGCTACCGAAGAAGTCTAATCCAAGAAGTGAATCCTGCTGTTTAGGTCCCGGAGCAGCCTTGGGAGCTGGTGCTGGAGGTCCTGTCCGTGTCGGTCTTGTATTAGGTATATCCGCAGTGCTGGGCCTCATAGGAGGCGCTGGGGCGAAATCATCGAAGAGATTCACGTTTGCCACCGGTCGAGGTTGTGGTGGAGATTGAGTGGCGGCTTGACGTTGAGAAGCTGATCTTTCAATTTTGGCCTTCTCTTGAACGATGTTGAGGGGAACATCATCGTCGCCATCTGCATCTAATGTTGATGGATCTGGCATAGGGCCATCCATCACCCATCTCTTGGACTCATATTTGGTGCGTATAAAGTTCTCGATCTTTGCTTCCGACGGCACGTGTCCAGGTGCGAGTTTGGCTTCCCAGTATTTGTTTGCTCTTGAGTTGCCCCATTTCAGAATACTTTGTAGTTGTTCATCTGTCCAAGCATCCAGATCGACCGACTTGATTCGGCTAATGTGTGTGCCCATGCCTCTGTGGATGCCCGAACATCGGATGCAGAGAAATACCCCAAGATTCCAGCTGGCCCATCGTGGATGTTTGTTTCTTTTGCAATCTGCACAGACCTTGTTTCCTTCGAGTTTGACAAGGGCTTTCAGGGTTTGTGCATTCTGTGCCGCCCTGTCGGCACCTGCAGCAGTCCGTCGGGACATGTATTTATGGGGGGTGGGACCGTTCAGGTTAGAAAGGTGTGTGACGATATGTCAGGGCGGCGAGGGTTTTCAATGGCGGAAACAGGAGAAGTTGGAATTGAACACTTCTCCAAAGCAGAGACTGGAAATCAAAGAGAGAATGCGTGTCTGGTTGTTGAAGGAGCGTTTGATAGTTGGCTCCGCGTAGACATTCAATCGAGTTTGCCAGATTAAAGCAAGTAAACCGCCCGGTCTTGGCAGGGTAGTAAGTTCCCAATAGTCCGGGCAGGCGTAAGAATAATCAAATCAATCAAAATATCCCTCAGCCTCACCGTCCCAATGTCTTTCTCTTCAGTCTTGCAATCGTTTTAGAACCGCTATCCTCTAAAAGTGGACTCACGCCTGTAAAGTTCTTCGTTCTCTCGACATTACTTCTAAGAGAGCGAGTATCGACGTCCTGCCGATGTCTCTGTGGCATGAAAACTGCGGTTCATTATAAGTCATGACAGGGGCACATAGGTCAAACTAGCCGATCCTCTCGATTCAGTGCCTTTTCCACCCATATCGACCCGTCCGGCCGCAGAAATGGAGAATACAAGAAGCCCTTGAGAATCTTTTGTATGGATTCCCATGTCGTAAGGCCCATTTTCGTTGCATGCGCGACAAATTCCACATTAAACCAAGTGCTATAAGGATCAGGGGCAGTCTTTGATTTCTCCTTCGCCGCGTGCGCCGACCACGCTCCGTTATAGAGCGCCCACAGTCGCACGTTGTCCCAGCGCGGAGGATCGCCACCCAGTCTCTTGCTTCGCACCAGCAGATACTCTAGCTTGGCCAGGATCCCAGGGCTCGCATCATACACAGGGACGCCGCAGATGCTGGTGTTGTAGTTAAACGAGCGTGACCAGTGCAGGGCTGAGAGCGCGATGTACTGCTGGATCTCGAAGGCGTGCCGCTCTTGCGGTGAGAGAGAGGAATCAAGCGACAGTTCCCGCATATCTCGGAAGTAGAGAACCAAGCGGTTCTGACAGATGATTGACTTTGAGATCATCCACGCAAGCATCAATGGCGATTCAGGCAGCTCATTGGTCTGGTTCATTAGCCAGTAATTTAGCGAGCGGCGGCGCAGAGAGAAGATGAACCGTAATTCTTCGCTTTCGATGGACGGATCGATCACATATATGCTCGGCGATGGTTCTGGCAGTTTGGTCTCGGCCATCTCCCATAGCCCCTTGAACATCCGCGGCGTCCATTCCCTGGGGTCGAAAACCGGTGGTGTAAGGAAGATGGCCGCCATTTGTTGGTCGTTGTACAATACATAGTTCAGCAGCTTGTAGTCCACTTGTCTGAACTTGGCCTGCCGGTCGAATAGCATACGTAACATCTTAGCATGTGCTATGGTCCCTGACAGATTCCGAGCTGCCAGTTCCGTCGCGTAGAGCAGGAAGATATGCCACATCAGGAAGAGGCTGGGAGGTCGATCGCTTCCAATCACGTCCCCTATGCTGTTTTCTGTGGCCGTTCTCTCTCGAAGGAGCTTGATGCTCTTGTAGCGGTAGGTGATCGCCAGTTCTTGCAAGTTCGGATTAAGCGCGGCGGCGATCAAGGTATACCGAGCAAGAAACCCGTATGCAGCACCTTCGTCGCTGAGTGCGTCAATGTTATCCTGGAAATCTCGCACCGCGCTGGCCGAAGTTAGCCACTTCTTCGACGTGGTGTGATAGAGGGATGACAAGACGGAATCACGGAAAAATGAAATCATGCTGTTGGCTCTTGGGTTGATGTCAATGGAGAACGTTCCAAAGGGGTCCGAGTTGCCTTTACCGATTACAGTTTTGGGTGACATCAATACAATGTCGTCGTCGCAGAGTCCTTTCGAACGGTGATCATCTTCGGCAATGGCTTCCTCGTTTCCATATCGAGATCTCTCCCAGGGTCGCCGCGAACTCCGAGGCTGCAGGGTGCGAGAATCTTTATGATGGGTAGACTCATTTCGCTTTGAAATATGAGGTTCCCGCAAATTAAGAAAGACCCCATCCGGCCCGCGAAAAGGTTTATTCTGTTCAAGGCGCCTCTGCTTGCGAAGTTGCTGCCGTACAAGGTTCAAAAGTTGGTCGTTCTGGTGGAAGCCGACAAGGCCACTTGGCGGCTGTCGACTGGAAACATCCGGCTTCTTCACCGGCTCTTTCTCAGGACCACTCGAGGTTATGGAAGCGGCAGTAGTATCGAAAGGTGCCTGGTGAGCCCGGCCAGCTACCCAGGAGTCCTGTTCTGGCGCGGCATTGGCACGAATGCTATCGTTCCCAGCTGGCTCTATATCGTGTGATTTGGGCGTTTCATCTAAGCGCGATGTCATGTCGCCGCCTGTGCCGCTTTTGAGATCCAGGCCGGACGATTTGACTTCAGCCGGAAGCCGCTTCGAGGGAGCAGGGCCTACTCTCCAATAGGACTGCATCTTCGCTTGATCCTGATAGTGTTTCAGACCAGGTCAGTCCGTCCTTTTACATCAATTCATCGAATGTAGCCAAATTGGTAATAGCTGAGAAATGAAGAGGTATGCGTCGTTGATGATTTTGCCTGATTCTACAGGCGTTCTTCGCCCTCAGGCGAGGCTATGTCCTGGGTTGTGGCCGATTCTTTATCAAGGAGCACTGCAGACACCAATCCATAGTCAGAAATAAGACTTGTCTCCAAGAGTTTTTGCTGACGAATTGTTCTCCCCGCGTGTCTAATAGACGCTAATTGCTTACATAGTGGTCGAATCAACAAGCCTTTTGGGCGCCTCTGACTGCATTCAGAAGTCCGGAATGGAGACTTTTGGCACAGACACTACCGTAACAGGTATCAAGAGGGTGAGGCCTTAGAGATCGACATCATGAACATATCCTCAAGGGAGTAAAGGAGGGCGCTCATATCCTCTGTCCCACGGGGGCTGGGCCCCTCGAGATTCGTGCAGATGAGGCGGGGCTTGCTGCTGGCTGGAGGAGATTCGGCTGAAGTTACATGGCAGAAAAGGAATCCAGTCATTAGGTCCGAACCCAGAAAGGTCTGCACGTGGTATCTGTTCGCGGGGGCAAGAGGAACGGAAATTCAAAATCCTAGATGAGCTGAAAGCCCGCAGAACTTTGGTAGATTCTTTGGGAGAATTCTGGGGCAATCGACTAGCTTCGGACAAAGCCTGTGGCGGTGACACAGTAGCAGAAAATTGTGGTCCAGATCCGCGGTCCACAACTGGCTGACCGTCGCAATCCTGCCAGATACCAGACCATCTAATTATTGTTTGAGGTCGTTCTCGAGTAGTCCTGTCCGTTCCATTTTCGGAAATGTCAATAGAACCAAAACGCTGTGCAAGTGGATAGGACAATCGTCAGAGTACTCTTTCATGAGATTCCATGCCTTTATTCCCTACAAAGTTGGCTCAATCCCCTCTCCAGAGATATAAGACTCCCCCCTTTCGGAACAAATCAATTACTTGGTTTCACCATTTCCCGTAACCGCATCCTCTTTCTCATGGAATTTCAAACTAATACTATTGACACAATGTCTCTCGTCCGTTGGGGTCGGGTAACCCTCTCCTTTGAACACATGGCCCAAATGGCCTCCACAATTTGAGCAGACGATCTCAGTCCGCTGCATGCCAAAGCTCGAGTCATTGTGTCGCGTCACGGCGCCCGGGATACTGTCGAAGTACGCGGGCCAACCACACCCTGACTTGAACTTATGGTTGGCCTTGTACAAAGGTGCGCTGCAGGCTGCGCAGGTATACACGCCCTCGGAAGGCATGTGTTTGTCATATTCGCCGGTGAAAGGGGCTTCGGTGCCTTTTTCACGGAGGACTCGGAATTGTTCTGTACAAAGAGAGAGCATGTCAGTGTGGGCTAGGAGATGAAATTGATAGGTGAACCGCATGCCTTTGTTCAGAACGGCCCTCCATTCATCGTCCGACCGGGTATCTGGGTATGACATTTTCTCGGAAGAAGTAGTAGAGGTACCGAAAAAGGAGCTCAGGAATGGGATGGGCATGGATCTTAGGACAGAAGGACGGCGGATAGGTGCGTTATTAAGATTTCCCCGCAGTGGTGATTGGAGTCGTGCAGTTGCGTTGCTCAGAGTGCAAAATGTGCGGACAATGCTTGAGAATGATGGAAAGCGCATAAAGAATATATGGATGGAACTAGTGCCACTGGATGCAATGATGAAAGCGAGGAGACTAGGGACGAGGAGTGAATTTGGGATTACGGACTCAGTGTTTGTCTTGCGCCTCCATGGAGATGATGCAACGGGGCTCCTATTGGGAATGGTCCCGCCGACTCCTTCATGTGATTGGGTGCAATCGCAACGAAGCGGAAAATTGATTCCTTCATTATTTGCAGCGACGCGAGGCGGAGCGAGGCTGAAGATGGCCATCCTGATTCTCCACCACCTACCTAGGCATATGTTTTACCCCCCTCACGCAATGACAGCATCAGATTCTGCATGGAAAAGATCCCTGTCCAATTCCAATCTCTCCTGTCGAAATCGTGCCGCATCTGATCCCGTAATCTGAATCTTTCTATACTCTTCTAGATCCTGTCATTAATTTAGACTTTTTCCTGTGACAAACAACTCCCCATGCCCGATCTCAATCCTCCATCCCTCCCGCATGAGCATCTTGCTAACTGCGGGGCCAATTCTCGGGGCATGGTTCTTGCTGTGACTTCCAATTCCTGTCACAATTCTGAACCGGTCTCTAGCAGGTCCACCTCCTGCGGGAGCATACTTCACGTCGCCTAAGCCATCCCACCAAGCTTGAGTTTTAACACTTGCAATCCGGATGGCATCTTGAACCTTCACCCCATGAAGATCAAGCATATTTGAAGACGATTGTCTGGCCACAGTGAGATCGGCCTCCGCCGCTTGGAGCTCCTGGGCAGCTTTTGCTCGATCATGTCCAACCTCGGCGTAGTATGCTGCGACTCCTCCGTAAAGACGATTAGACTTGCTTCTCCTGTACGCCGCAGCAGCTTGCTCGAAGCTCTGATTCGCCGCAAGTCTGTGGTTTGCTGCGGTTCCTCGCCCGACACCATTTTTGACAGTAGTCCGGGTTGATGTTGACGGTGACCGGGGCAGCTGATTTTCCTTCAGGTCGAGAGGTGCATATTGAACAACCCCCTGTAGTTTTCGAGGCTCCTGCACTTCTCTTGGTGCTGTCATGACTTCTAGGAGCTCATGCGCTGCAGACGGTATATTCCGAGCCAATTTCAGCAGACCGTACATTTGCGACCTGGGCACATGCTCAAATTGATTTTGAAATTCAGCAATCTGTACCTCGACAATCGGATCAACTTCTGTAAGACCCTCGTAGGCCGCCCCCTCTCTGATGGCAAGAGCGCGAATGGTCGTTGTCAAACGGGCTCCATTGGCGTGATAAATGGACCTTGCCGCCTGTGGTTGAAGATTTGTTCTTGAACAAATGAAATCAACGTCTTCTGCCATTGTGGACCACACATTGGAAGGGGTATACTCTGTTTCATGCCTAAACGAGGAGGCAGAACCCACTCGTGAAGACTCATTTGTTCGAGTCTTTCGTTTCTTCCTTCTCTTCCGGTTCATTTGTGCCTCTTCTGCAAAAGCTTCAATACCCTTCAACACCGGGACATCTTCCCGAAGTTGTTCGTCATATCCTTGGTTGATGAATGAAAGATTGAGCAGTTCATCGGTGGCTTTATCGAGAGAACCTTCGTGGCTCTCAAGGATGCTGGCTAACTCCCGTTGGTGTACGCCCGGAAACACATTTTGCAGCCACGCTGTCTTGCCATCAAGGGAGGAGCTCTCCAAGCTTTGTCCTAGACACTCTGAGTCCTTCCATCTCAGATCTGACAGACTGGTTGTTATGCTTGTAACTCCGTTTGATACAGTGTCATCTTGGTTCGACCTTGAAAGATCTGTTACATCTCGACCATGCGCAGGGCCTCCAGTACCCGATGGATCGAAGTCTGTATTTTCTTGTTCTATTGCACCGGCCTTCAAACGGTCCAGTATCGCTGTCAAAGTTTCTCGATCTCGAGGGAGTTCATATTCAGACGCAATAGCATAAAATAGGGCATCGTCCAGGGGAGGACAGTAAGCTGCTTGGAGAGTCTGTCGCGAGTTAGAGCAGAAATACAAGTGGAAGGGGAAGGCAACCACCTCTGTCTCCGAAGTTGAATCGTTCCATGTCGCCGGCGTCGAATTCTCTGCCCTGTTCATGTTTGGTATAAGGGAAATCTCTGTGAAGTCAGGAGTGTTGGTCGGGTCGGGCAACTGACGAAGACGTGCAAAGACAGCATGGTGAAGAATGTTACTGGACTGAAGTGGTGAGAAACCGAGGGAAGAATATGAAGCCTCGAAGCAGTCACCGGCAATCTTGACCCTGGTAAAACTGTTGTAAGCGCCAGAAATGTGCGTCATTCCAGGGGCGGTCGAAGTCAATCGACTATCGGCCCGCTTAAGATAAAAAAGTGGTTCTCCGCTACGGACGATTTGCATAAAGTATCACATCATCCTAGGATTGAGATAACGAGTCCGGAGATCTGATATCAAAAAGTTTTAGGGACCACAGGATCCCCCTTCTCATAGATCTTGACTAGCGAGGAGCATGTCCAAGTCTTCCTCTCCGCTCTGATTCCAGACTAGGGTGTTTAAGCACAAGACTGAGCTGAAGCGAAGGGGTTGGGCCATGGAATATGGGAGAATATGAAGACATGGCCACTTGCAGCTGCGGAGACCATGGATTGAAAACATGACCGGGGATTGAAGATGATAAGTCATGACGAAAAGCAACGGCATTAACGAGAGTGAGAACAGCCGCACTCAACCATGTATCTGGATTCCTTGCCTTTCCATCTTACTCGGCAGTCTCATTCATCTCCTTGATTGCCGTCATTAGTTCCAATGAGTCCAGATACACTTCATAAAACTCGGCCTGTAAACCTCCCTGGCCGTCGTCCCCAAACACTACCCAGCTGGCAAAGTCCGCATCGACCTTCCGGCCATTCCTCAACTTATACCAAATGGAGCCGTTAACAATTACCTCCTGTCGCCCACTATCCGCACCGCCTGCAAGCACAAAGCACTTCCCCAGTGTATGCTCTAGGCTCACAACGGGGCCGTTGGTCGGGTGAATCATGGCGTCCCTTAATGCACGAATGGCATCGCGGCCTTTCGCGGGAGCTGACCCGAAGACTAACTCTCCTTCTGGAGCAAAGAGGTTTAAGTATTCATTGTTCGAGTGCGGGTCGTCCCAGGAACGAAAGAAGGCTGGGAGCATATCATTGATAGGCGATGGGATCGAGGACTGGTTCGCGAAGCTGTAGTTATCGCGGGAATCCATGGTATCTGGCACAGGTGAATGGATTTGGAGACGATCGTCTGGACAATCACCATGGTGTCTGGAGCTGTACCGATAAATGTCTTTTCTGTGGGATGGTGTGTAGGCGAGGGAAGAAGAGCAGGCCGAGGTGTTCATGCCGGAATGTGGGGCAAAATACGAGAGATGATGCATTAAACAGGCTCAACATAAGAGCATGGGTTGAGCCAATCATTTGGGGCTTTCGATTCAAGATTCATCAATTTCATAGCTTCATGACCACAAGAATGTCCATGTCCGGGCGTATCAAATTAAGGACGCCAATCGTGGTATGCAATCCCACCAGCATATACTGGGACATATCCAAGCTCCGTTCATCATCAACTCATAAATCTCTCTATACTTCCTTCCATGTGTATCCCTTTCTTCCCGACGTGTCGGGATCAGGCGTCTTCATCGCATTCTTGTCGCCAAAGGGGTCGTCCGGATCATCTTCGTCCTCCATATCCGTCTCGCTCTCGCTGTCACTTTCAATCTGCTTTGACCTCCAATTCTTAGCATTCGATGCTGGTCGTGGTGGAGGCATGGAAATATGCCCTGGAGCTGGTCGGGGGGGTTTCGGTGGGCTGGAGATGCTCAGGCCTGCTATCATTTTCTCTGCGTCCCTGGCAGCAGATTGCTCGCCCTTGGCCGCCTGTCTACTGAGATGTTGAGCCTCTTCAAGCTCGCTGTCTGAATCATCATCGATGGACTTATCAAGCACTTCGAAGGCCATCAGAGCAGTGACCAACTCCTCATTAGCGTGGATCAGTCCTCCCAGGAACTCCTCCGTCTCGACAAATTGAATGTACCGCAAAATTTGACGGCGAAGTTGCTTGCATGTTTCAAAGCGTTTCATCACTTCGGCATTGTCAGACACTCGCTCAGACTCTCGGTTAACCAGTCTCAAAGCGTTATTTAAGCCAGTGGAAGCGACCGAGGACGCCGCGATGGCTTGCAAGATGGCGGGTTTCTCACGCTCGAGGTTGAATCCCTTGACCTTGCTTTTCTTGTCCTTCTTCACTTTCTTCGGCGCGAATGTTGAGGACTGGCCCAGAGTGACCGGAGAACTCTGCTTGCGCAAAGTCGTGGGGCTTGATGGTTCCCCGGATCTTCCAAAGCTATCCGATCGGGTCCTTGACATCTCCATTTCTTGCTCTCTTTGCACTTCCTCTTCTGTTTCTCGGAGCACGCGGCTCTGCTCTCGTCGTTGTTGCACCGGCTTCTGCGTTTTTGGCAGTTGATTATAGAGGGACTTTGCTCCTTCCAATCCCGGATTGTCTTTTGAGCTGGCCATCCATTGACCAAAGAGATCTTTACACTTGTTTCGGACGTCAGGGTCTGATGTGGGATCAGCGGCGGCTATACGGAGGCGTTCCAATAAAGGTCCATCAGAAAGAAGAGACCGCTGAACTCTTGACCCGCTATTTTGTAGTAGGCCGTCCAGAATTGTCAACGCCCGCAGTTGTCGATGGACATCGCCATATTTCAGCTTCTTCCGCAAGGCCCGGGCAACTTCCTGCGCTCCCGTATTTTGCAACTTGACAACTTCGAGAAGATCGGGGACACCTGCGAGATCATCTTCTTCGTAAGTTTCGGAGGTTAACTGTTCGACGTGGACAGAGATGGCGGAGAAGGGTTTCTTCTGTTTGTAATAACGATAACGAGTTAACAACTGATATCTTCTGCGCGAGCGTGCACAACAGGCTAAATGCAATAGAGTAGCAATCAGACGCTTGCATCCTCGCAGCTCCGACGGCGGAGGTCGTCGAGAAATAATAGGAGAGCAAGATTGGTATGGATAGGCGTCGAAGGATCTCCGCCGCTTCTTTCGTGCGCAACGCTCGCACTCGTCGGTGGACTGACAGTGCAGCAAGGTGTCAAGCTCATAGGAATTCGTCGTCTCGGGACTATCCAGTCGGGGAAGGTCTACGAAGCCAGCATCGGGAGCACAAGCTGGAGTGTGTAGGATAAACAGAGACAATGAAGGCCTCATGGTGTAACGATCGGGCGGGGTAGTTGAGTTGGGCTTGGGATAGGCCAGACAGTTCAAGACATGGCAGAGACAGACCAGCAAGACAGGAGACAAAAGGAGAGAGGACTCACCGAGGAAGCGAACATGGCTATAGAGGGCCTATGTATGTCAGAGGCGACCGAGTTGGACTCGTAAATTGGGGGTTGAGCATTCAGGTGAGGGTTACGGTACGGAGTACGGTGCGCGCTGCGCAGCTTGTTTGTTCTGGGCCAAGCGGTGGCCAACTTACCAGTGGCCTGCGGGTTCCAAACAAGCCTTCAAGATCCACGCACACAGGATACGCCAGGAGTGCAGCGGCAAGCCCGCCTGCTCGCAACGACGGGTCTTCTCTTGCACCCCCCGCTAAAATTGACTTCCATCTCTTCCCGCCTACCAACCCCAGTTTGGTTACCCGTCATTCGCCCGGAGGAGGCAAATTGCGCCTCTTTTCGGGGGGCTTGCGATGGGAATCTTGGATTGAGAGCAGAATTTTATCGGCATCGTAACAACGGCTCGTATCTTTTCACCTCACTCTGCTAACCATCCTCATCTGACACGAAAACTGACTGAATAGAGAAACATAACGACATACAGTCCTCCTCCAGGAACCATTCCGTTTGTCCTCCCCTTGGCGAGTCGCAACGAGGTTCACCGACCGTATCCCGTTTCAGAGCGGGATTTCAGGCTGTGGTTCCTGGTCAAGGCATCGGTGCAAGTGCCACGAGGGACCCCCACCAGGTGATCAGAAGGATCCGGATCGAGTGAAAGGCGGGTCCCGAATGGGAGATCAATCAAGCCCAAGTCAAGGCTAACTGAATCCGTCTGACCACATCCTGGAATCTTCTCTTCTGGTTCGTCCTTTCGGCGGCCACACCGCATGGTCAACTAAATTATTTGACTTTCGCCAAAAACAAATAGACAATAAGCCACGGGCCGGGAAGTCAGGAGAAAAAGCAAATTGAGCCAAAAGGAAGCTCGGGATTTCTATCGCGGCCACCGAATGCGATGCGACTGACTAAATACTTCCCCCCAGGTTTGAGTGGCAGCCCTTTCAACAAGTACAGTTAAAGACAAACGATGTCTCACACACAGTGAAAAGAGGGCCTTGCATAATCAGACGACAATAACCCGAGGGTGGTCAGAACCAAGTGGGGGTGAGTGAGCAAACACACAAGATATCGGAACATCTTGAATTCGACAATGTTGATTTGTTTATTGATGACTAGTATCGAATCGACGACGGCACGGATAGAGACGGGCGCTGGTGCAGATTTCAAAAGACGGCTTTTGCTATGCCCGTTCCTTCAAGCCACAGGTTGTCAAAGCGTGGACCATATGGGACCTGCCCTCTTTGTCGTCGACGAACCGGTTGTGGCTTGGTTCCGTCTGTCGACTTTGAGCTGCGATCAACGATAGATAGATGGGGCGTTGAACCCATGTCAGTCACTGGCATGCCTGCCGGAAAGGGCACCGGGGTTCCTGACACATGTCAACATTTGGTCGTGGGATTGCGTGATCATATCATCGTTGCAAGGATGAGTCAGGATGAATGGTGGAATCTGAGGATGGCATTGGGTCCAGAAGATATAATACTCAGATGTATACCTAAGGCCAGACCACGGCTTCTTCAATTGGATTGTCACCGCTGCAAGGCCGCGAGACATGATCAAAAGATCGATGCCGGCACAGCATTAAAATCCGATAAACTCGCCAAGCGAGTGCCCTGCATTGGGATCCTCTAACCCCTGCTCTAGTACTCTACAACAATTTGCGGTGAGTAAGACTCCGGACTCTCACAGCCCGTAAGTTTCTATCTCGTCTTCTTTTCCACATGAAATCTGCTCTGCTCCATCCCAACAATCTCCACTATCGCCGTCGAGTCGTTCCGGTCCTCGTTTGCTCCATTGCCGTCGTGATCATTGCCCTCATCCTGGCCCCTCGCCATTCGTCTTCCATCTTGCCTCGTCTAACGGCCCTGACCTCTCAATTCCACTCGCCTATTCCTATTAGCTTCATATCCGGCCTTGGCAATCGGTCTCTCACAGGCACGTCGCCTCACACGACCACCGAAGAGAAGAATATTGACAACAAGCACATAAACACTACCGCCACCATGGCCTACGAGAAAGAACTCAAAGTCGCCCAGTTGGCCGTTGCCCGGGCGGCCATCCTCACCAAGGCCGTCTTCCACGAAAAGGCCAAAGGCACAGTCTCCAAAGACGACAAATCGCCCGTGACCATTGGAGATTTTGGTGCTCAGGCCCTCATCATCGCCGCCGTCAAGCACAACTTCCCCTCAGATGAGGTCGTAGGCGAGGAAGAAGCCTCTTCGTTGCGCGAGCAAAAGGAACTCTCCTCCAAAATCTGGAGTCTGGTCAAGGATGCCAAGCTGAGCAACCCCGAGAGCGATGCCCTGCTCGGCGGCCCCCTCACGACTGAAGACGAAATGCTCAGCGCCATCGACCAAGGCAACAGCGCTGGCGGCAACAAAGGCCGCATCTGGGCATTGGACCCCATCGACGGCACCAAGGGCTTCCTTCGCGGCGGGCAATATGCCGTATGTCTCGCTCTCATCGTCGACGGCGACGTGAAAGTAGGCGTGCTAGGCTGCCCAAACCTACCTGTCGACGATACCGCGCCCCTGACCGAGGACATCGGTTCCGCTGCCACGGACACCGAGGGCAAAGGCGTGCTCTTTTCCGCGGTACAAGGCGAGGGCGCAACCTCGCAGCCTTTGACCCGCGGCGCCGTGACGAGCGGTCAACCCATCAGCGTCAGCAAGATCTCCAAGGTCAGCGAGGCCGTGATGTGCGAGAGCGTCGAGCCCGGTCACAGCTCCAAGGGTGACAACGCCCTCATCGCCGAGAAACTCGGCATCACAGGCAAACCGGTCCAGATGGATAGCCAGGCAAAATACGGCTCCGTGGCCCGCGGTGCAGGAGACTTGTACCTCCGCCTGCCCGTGCGCAAGGACTACATCGAGAAGATCTGGGACCATGCCGCGGGAGACCTCATTGTGCGAGAGGCCGGCGGCCAAGTTACAGACGTCAATGGCAAGAGGCTCAACTTCTCCCTGGGACGTACGCTCGTCGAGAACAAAGGTGTCGTTGCTACGCCTGCCAATGTTCATGCCGAGGTCCTCAAGGCTGTCCAGGAAGTTTTGAGCGCCAAATAGACACTAGGGAGAAACCAGGGCCACCTTTTCTTGGAGCTGCTATTATGTTGAACTGGCGACTGCGACTGCATATTCTTCATTCGAGGATTTCCTCGTATGGGAAATGGAAGAGCAAAAAGTTCTTAAACGAGTCAACGAGCAAAGAATCAGGCCGGATTTATAGACAAGCACGGATTTTATATATCAGTAGAAAGATCCCAAACTTTCCAGCTGCACACTACCACGACTACTTAATCTTCTTAGCCTTGAGCCGAATAGTCTCGTCATTGACAAAGATTCCCTTCCCCTTGTACGGCTCCGGCTTCCTCCACTTGCGCAACTCGGCCGCAAAGTGCTTAATGGTTTGCTTATCACAGCCTTCCAGCAAGATACGCGTGGGCAAAGGTACGCTGGCTTTGACGCCCTTGGGCACCCCCATCTCGATAGGATGCGAGTATCCCAGCTTCAAGTTCACGAACTTCTGCCCCGGGTATTCTGGCTGCTTGGTTACGGCCGAATCTTCGACCGTCGCTCGGTATCCGACGCCCACCATGCGCAGGATACACACATGTCCTTCTGAGACGCCGGAGACGGAGTTTTGCAGGAGTGCCCGCATAGTGCCTGTAAAGAAAGAAGAACAGGTGTTAGTCCCCATTTCGGAGGGAGCAAGAGGCCGGTGAAAAATATGGTGGACTCACCCCACATTGCTCGTTGATGTTTTTCTGTCGCATCATTTACACTGACATTGATCTTCCTGGCATCTTCATCGTATTCGGCTTTCAGGTAGGGGGGTAGCGGTACAGTCATTTGTCCTAATTTCGCTCAAGATCAGCCATTGATTCTTTCTGCATCTGCTCTTTTTTCGGGTGCTTTTATTACCCAAAGGCCCGGTAACTTCGAGCGCTGAACTGGGCGTGTCTGGTTTCCTACTCCGCGTGCTTCCCTTGGGCAAATCGTAGAATCTTAACGAGACCTCGGGTGGGATGTTGATGGGTGATCTGCCAATTCGTGATTGTTGGACATGGGCGACGGTCGAGTTGTTTCTTGAGGTCCAGCGTTGAGAGACTGCAGGGACAAGAAATGAAGGGATTTCGCGTGAGTAGCCGGCATCACGAACGAGGCGGTGGAGGGAAGGTCGAAAGCCAGTGCATGCCATGGGCGAAGGAGGTTATAGAATTCAATCGTGTCGCACGTTGGGCAATTGTTCCAGAGACAGGTTGGTAAATCAAGGTCACCTCAGTGTCGTCGGCCCTATGTTCTCGAGTTCTTGTCTGTGTGTCTTCAATGTCGTAACTGCGTCCACAAAAGGGTGCTGTTACCGCATGTGTTCTTTGGCTCCAGAAAGTAGTTCAATCATTTGAAAGCTGCCCAATTCGGTTTGGCATCTTTGATCACGTGCCAAGCTTGGATCGACCCATTTTCGAGGTCACCTTTGGCGGTGGCCTTGGTGTGGACGCGTTCCCTCCTTGTCAAGCATGTTCTTTTCCCCGTGAAAGCGCATTTCGGAGTGTTTTGACCAAAGGACAAGCTCAACCATGGATAGAGGAGGCAAAGACTCGATCAAAAGCTCGTTTCGTGTTGGGAGATGGGAGAGGCCGCTGCGGAATGGTTGTGAACGAGTAGCACCACGGTGAAACATGAAGGTCCAAAGAGACTCGAGTTGGTTGGGGAAGGCATTCAGTTTCCGAGTCATTCTGAGAGGAGATGAAGACGAAGAGGGAGAATACGAATGGCACAATCACAGCCAGAGTTTGGTGTCCGGAGCTGGATGTGTTGAATTGACGAGAGCTTGTCGTCTCTTCTCAGCCTTCCGCATTTCAATCAATCCAGTCATGTAACTGCATGCACCTTTTCTCGGCATCTGATCCAAGGTGAGTGTGGTTGGTCACGGTGAGACCACCTGCAAGTCTCTCATATGAATTCCATCTGTCAAACCCCCATGAGATGTTCGCACAAAAGTTATCATTCACATGCCCCCGTCTCCATTAATTATCCAATAGCCTTGCTCTTCCTTACTCGCTCTTGGCTCCCTAGCACAATCTTGACTCGGCTCGCGGATTGATACCAACAACATGTTTTCTGCCGCCATGTTTCGACTCCTCTCGCTCGCTAATATTCTCGTCGCCATAAGTCTCGTTCTTGCTGACCACACCCCAGTCAAGTCATTCCCGAGCGGTAAGGCCCTTATATCAGCAAAAGATTACCTGAGATCACTCTAACCTTGGCAGCCGATCTCGGTTGGAATGGCCTTAGGAAAGCCTACAATGACCTCCAGCCAAACCTCACCGATCTCCTAGCCGTTGGAGATCTTGACAAAGATCCAGTCCTTGAAAAGGCCATGCACCTCATCGACAATCTCGTCACCCAGTCCACCTGTCACCAAGCCGCAGCTGCTCAGCTGTTAATGACTTGCAAGGGTGCCGGAAAGGATTTCCCCGAGGGACAGGGCAAGCATGAACTTCTCGAGAGAGCCAAGTCTGTCTATGCAGTGAGAGTGGCTGTTTGTGAGACGGGCGAAGGGAGAGCAGCAGTTCCTGCCGCATGCAAGACGATCCTGGATGTCCCACAACGGCCGCACAATGAGATCGATGTGGTCGGTGGCCAGGCTCTGTCGTCCTGCGTCGAGGCCCTGATGCTTAAACATTACTACTGGACAAGTTACAGCAACAGCAGACAGAACGCCAATACCCTGTGTCAAGCCGGCACCCTGGAAGCTACGAGATTAGAAGCACTTCATTCTTACCAGAAACTCTTTGAGCTTCTTCCAGAGTTTCGCGATACGCTGAAAACCACTCGATCTCAGTGGCAGAGTTTCCTGAGACAACAGGAGGAAGACGCCAGAAAGGTTAATAAGCTTCAACAGGCTCATCGAGATGAGCTTAACCAACAGCACAAGACCGGACTCAGTGCCCTTCGCGATGCTATGAGCATGGCCAAAAAAGGTTTGGAAGATGTATCCCAGGCGCTGCAGCTATCTGTGGCCGGTACTGGGGCGGACATAACTCAGACTCGTGCAGTGAGTTTCTTCAGAACCATCGTAGAGAATATCTCGGTGGTTGATCGATCAATAGGCTCTTGGAGATGTTTTGGCCGATTTCACCGTCTTGAGGAACATGCTGCACGAAGCCATCCAGACAATTAGCCAGAACAATGCCGAGGTCGCAGCCATCCAAGAGAAAAATATGCATAATATGCATAAACTCGCCGTGGCCACTGTGCAGGCGTTAAAGCATCTGCAAGCAGGTGAAGTTGTGCAGGTGTGTTCGGGCTCCTCCTCACAAAGACGCAAGTTGACCATGGTGCAGGGTGTCGATGAACTACTTTACCGAGTGAAGGCCGAAATGCACCAGATTGTCGCCGCTCAATCGATGCAACTATCAAACGCAGAGCAACATTTGAAGCTGAGCGAGGAACTCTCCCAGGCCCAGAAAGCCAATTTAATTTGGGGACAGCAGATGAGAGATTCTTCAGTATCTCTAGCATCTGAACTTGACAGTGCCAGCGTCGTTGCCGATCGAGTGTCGTCCAGACTCGAGAACGTAAACCAAGCTTTAACACAGGTCGAGAAAGCGTCTTTGGTCCTCAGCGCCTTTTTTGGCCTCATGACAATTCCTTCTCAGATGCTAGAGCATCTTCACTTGAATTTGCTGGGTGTCTTTGCCATGCCTTCCATCGTGCTATACTTCTGGAAACCAAGACGATACCCATACAGCCTTATGGCTATATATGGTATGTTTGGGAGACGGTCTGCTCCGGGATAGTTCTAATGAAGCCTTAGTTTTCCTCGAGAGCGTCATATCTTGCATCGCGGAATACCGAGCTACATTCTCGACTTCCTTTGGACGAGTGGGAGGCCAGTCCCGAGCTATATTGAAGCGGAGCCTCCAAATCTTCAACCAGAATCAATATCTTGCTTGCATTGGAATTCTTTTCCTCGTTTGCTCTTCGCTACTTATAGCCTTCCTTCGGCGAAAGAGCAAGATATCTACAAGCTTCAAGATCACCAAACCTGACGAGAATTATGCGTTTGCAAATCGATATTATCGGGAATGTCACCTACGAAATGGTATATGCCTTCAACCAGTTGAGCGCTATCGCCGAGCCGCCACTGTTGGCTAGGTCAACGTGCAACCACTACTGATACCCCCTTCATTCCGACGCTTAGCTGAGGTTGCGACCATGAGACACGATTGACGACTCTGAGATACCCCGTTTTGTTGAGGGACACATGACTGACAGCTTGCATTATCAGGGAGCGGGGGTTATGGGATTTGTTTTCACGTTGAAAAAATTTGTTATTCCATCATGGCAAAAGTCCGGGCAGAGTGTCTGCAAAGGAATGGAGCTGGGCTTTTAAGTAGCACTTTGCAGAAGGCACACACCTTCAACGAGCTTCGGGGCATATAATGGCGAGTCGAAGTTATCAGATGGGTTTGAGGCATGACTCAGTATGCTATTTCGGTCCTAGGCTTCATCTAGTTTGAAATCTGCACTGAAGCAGCTGGTGCACAGGCTGCTCAATATAAATAGAACCCCAGTCTCTCTGCGAATGGCCGACACAGAGCCTTCTCCCCTTGTTTGACAACTCCCTTTCCCTTCGTCAAGAATTTCCAAGGCAGCAAGATAAAGGAGAATAAATTGCTTCACCGAGACTCGACTATCTTACTCACACTGCCATTTTTTCATGTTTGTAAGCTACTAGATTTGGCAAACGCATCTAGATCCTGACTGTCATCATGTGTCTCATCTCTTGGTGCATTACTGCTCCTCTGATTTCCCCTTTTTCCCCTTTTTACGCGTACGCGAGCTGGTCGTATTACCGGCTCGGCATGATCCGGTTCGTAAAGTCTGACGAAAATTTCTCGACACTCAAACACGCAGTTTCTCCCACCTTTTTCTTAGAGTTAGAGGAGGCAAATTTCGAGGACGAGTAGGAACATGATGTGGTCGAGGCGTTCTCGACTACTGGAGACAAGTCCAGCTCGATCGTCTCTTGACGGGAACTAAAAAGAACCGCAGTCCTTTTGGGTCCGGTGCGACACCACTTCCTCGCCCTTTCTGCGGCTCGTCCTGATTGGCTGATGACCGACCTCCCCCCCCCGGGGAGCTGAGTTCAGCCCCAGGAATCATGACCAGAACTCTTTTAGTCGCCGATAATGTCCAACGGTGAAGCTTCTCACCGGCTTGACCACCAAAGAGTGGGGGTTCCATCGTCGCTTACTCTCCCTGATTTGATCTCTGGCCTTTGCGGCTGAAGCTACCCGGGGGGCTGCAAAGTCTCCCTCCTTTTTCCCTGCTGGTTGCCTTATGGCCTCTTATCCCCCATAACGGCAGAGAGCTCCCCTGACACTGGAATGCGATACAGAAATGCTGATATCGACTAGATACCATTCTCCTAGGGCACAGCCTCCACCCCTCAGCTCCCGGTGCCCAATCACATTTCATACCTGCACCAATACGTGTTATATAGATTCAAAAATCTTTCTCAGGTGTCTCAGGCCTTTTTGAAGCTTTGCGAACTCCGAAGGTTCTTTCCAAGAAAGAGTACGGTGTTTTGGCCCTTTCGCTTTCACTTGAACGGATTCTCAATCCTGAGATTCTGATAAAACCTGAGAGACGCCCTCGTTCATCGTCCGACTTTTTTTGTCTTTCTCATCCTTCTCCAAATCAATACAAAGCTCTCCTACCAATTGCAGAAAGTCAAATTGCTTGTCGCAATGGCATTGGACAACCTTCTCAAAGTTTTCGTGGCCTCATTCTTCTTCTTAGCCTCTGTCTTAGCCGCAGGAGATGCAAGTAATGCATCACAACACGTCGTCGCCAACACCATGGATGACTCCAGTGTCGATATGACTAAAGTTCAGAAATACAAATCTCTCTTCAGCGAATATCAGGACCAGGATCGGCAAAGACCCGTCTTTGACGAAATCATTCAAGATGCCGAAGAAGCACTCAGCATCGACAAAGTCTTCGACAATGCTTTCAAGTGGAAAGACATCATTCACGGGTCACCCCTCTCCGCAGATTGCCCTCCTCAATGCTATGCTTGCGCGGCCGGTTGTAATCCTGCTTGTTGTCTCGTGGCCGGAGGTCATGGTCCCAACTTCCAGCCTGGGCGCCCACCCAAGGGAGGAAAAAAGGATTCTGAACCTGCTGACTCCTCCGCGGCGGACCGGCCTTCCTACGGATTTCCCGTCTTCCGCCCTTTCCCCATCCCTCCGCTGGCGTGCCCTTGTCACTGCGAAGCCAGCTGTCCACGAAACATTCAGGCCATCTGCTGCTTTACTCCTGGCTCTTCCGCCAAAGATTCGAAAGACGAAACCTCCGAACGCGAAGGAGGAGGAGCAGCAGACTCGCATGATCAAAAGCCCATCGTCGACACGAATGACCACATTTGGTGGAGACCTGCCGGCCCGCTGGATTGCCCATGCCATTGCGAGGCAGACTGCCCGGCCTATGTTCAAGCCATTTGCTGCACCACCCCTGGCACAGGTTCAACGGATCAAGAACCTGCCGCTCCTCCAGCTCATGAGGTTCTTGCCATGGTGACTGAAACCGCGGCCGGCGATCCCGTCTCAGTCCTTGCCGGGATCAACATTACCGTCTTCGACAGCTTTATCACCATGGACTTGGTGCAGGGTCTCGAACGCGCCAGCGAAATCTCCGCCAACATTGACCTCAAGATATTCGAAATCACTCTACCTGTCGTCGTGGGTCCCAAGGGCAAAGAACAGACCCTCAAACACAGTTTCCAAGTCATTGATGGGTCGAAGTTGTTGGAGAAGGAACAGATCATGTTGGGTCTGGGCTTCATGGCCAGGATCGATGCGCTTGCTGTCAAGGAGGAGTTCTTGACGCCTTTGGAAGAAGGTTTACCAGTTCTTACGGGGACGAAGTCGTGATTGTGATCTCCATTCGATTAGAAACATGAAATGCTGACAAGAAGAGCAAGGCTCTTGGGGACTGCCTGAGAGGGAGGAGAGGAAAGGATCGGTACATTTCGCATGGGTGCATTGATACCCGCTGTTATACAGATGAAGAGCGGGCTATTAATTGTCAAGGGCGGAGGGTACGGAGTCACCGCTGAGGCAGGGGACCAGAATATGTCGGGATTTTTGGAACCATAGCAACAAGATACATATATATGTGAGACTTGCGAGCGATCAAGACGGGAAGGAGGAAAGGAGGAATGGATGTACTACAACAATCTACGCTATTTGGCTCAGCTATTCCGGAATCCAGCCCTCTCTCGAACTTCACCCCAGCAAACTTAATATCTTGTATTTATCCGTGTAGTGAGCCCGTCAGCCATATGGATGCGGTCCTCTTTGCCTTTCGCCTTGGCTGTAGTTGTGGCCGGAGAATCAGTCTATGTGACCCATACCTACTCGATTGTTCTCATTGAGATTATTCTATCTCTCTTTGTCAAAAGAGGGGGGAGAAAGAAGAGCCGAGTCTTTGGCTCTGGTATACCTAGTTAGATATCTCTGATAGGTATGAGTATCAGTATGTACAAGTTCAATATTGTAATGTCGAACGGCAAGATAAGTAATAAGAGTATCCCTTCTAGTCTTTTGCTTTTGTCTTTTCCAAAAAAAAAAAAAAAAAGAAAAGATGTCGAGGGGTGTCAATGATCAAATGATCAATCCACCACCCTCACATTCTCTTCTTCCCTTTCTAGTACCTCCTCCAATCAAGAATTGCGGTGAAATAAAGCAATCTGGCTCACCGTGAAAATCTGGGACTTGAATCTTCATCAGCTTTACTGCACCACTTCTGAGAAACGAAGTTTCGAGACAAGAAAAGAGGTGAGTAAATTGGCGTAAGATCTCGCCTGCAAGATCCCACCCACATCTCCTCGTCTCATACGCTCAGACGTGTCGATCGATCGACGTTGTCAAATATCTCTCTGTTTTCAGGAGGTGCATTTTACACCAGAGTCTTCAAGAAAAACCCACTTTTCGGTCCGCCTTCGACAGCAACCCTCATCGTCTCGCTACGGACTTTCGACTCATTGAAAACACGGTGTCCCGCACCATCAACTTTAACAGCCGCATTGTCCGTGTTCGGGTCGCGGAAGGCATGTAAACCCAGCGCAGGCAGGGAGAAGCGGAAGGCGAGATCTCGCACATCGACGTCGCTTAGCGAGCGGTGCGCCAATATCGCCGCTGTTACCCCAAAAATCACATAACCCAGACAGCAAGCCGCAAGTATGGCGAGTGGAGCTTTAGGCACTTTAGCGACTAGCAGTGGCGTACGTGTTTGTTCCTGGCGATTTGTCCGCGAAGACAGAAACGGGCCGATGACGCTCATGATGCGCGTCGAATAGCTGTTTGCAAAACTGTCGGCCATGGCGACTGGGTCGGATTGTAGGGCGCCCTGTAGAATGAAATCTTGCAGGTTGTTGTCGAAGGCATTGAAGCTTTTGGCGAGATTATAGCCGTGGAAGATTTCGGCGATGGTGCCGTTGGGAGAAGGCGTGAGGCTGTTGATTTGTGCTGTCGAATTGACAAAGCTGTAGTCCGCGGCGTAGGTTGTGTATTGGCAGCGGAAGACGACGTCGATGTTGGACGTCGGACCTTGAAACACCCCTGGGTCCGACGACATGTTGACGCCGGGGCGTTGGGAGGCCCAGGTAAATCGTGCAGCAACCCCCAGGAACACTGGATTAATGAGCTCGGAGTCCGGCATGAATGGTCCCAAAGTCCCAGCACTATCATAGGATTGGCTCAGGTCTTTGTCCATGAAGAACCCATACTGTAGTGCCGCGCTCGGTTTGAAGCCGAGAGTGGGTACGTCCACGTCGGTGACTTCGGTGCCTGTGTCGCTGAGATTCGCGCTTTTGCCGAGCACGCCCCAGAAGCTGTCGCTGCAGTTGAATTGGCTGTAGAGATCGAAGGGGCCCCAGACCTTCCAGGCGCATTCGGAACTGATGGGGGCGCAGGTGGTGATGACACCGGTAGTTTCGGCGCGAAAGTCTCGAAAAGGAGACAAAGTGGTGCTTGGGGGGATTAAAAGAGCGACCTTTTCGTTTTCATTGTAGGCATTGTCGGGGTCTTGGGCTTGGACGAGGCGGATTTCGGACACGTTGGATGTGCCGTGCTGGAGGAAGAAGATCTGATTCTGTCCTGTGACATAGTCGTCGTAGTCGGTTAAAGCGGCTTCTCCGTTACGAGAGCAGGGGAGGCCATAGTTGTCGGAGCGGTTGAGAGAGAGACATTCGGAGGATAGACCGCGACCGTAGGCATGCATTGTCGATTCGATGGAGACTTGGTCGAAGTTGATGGTGCTGGTGGTATAGTGTAGTGCAGTATCCGCTCCGAAGACGACACATGCGAGAACGAGCGTTAAGGCCAGCGTACGAGCTGCTCGTTTGAGGACCGGGGGGATAACCACTCCGTCTTCGCCGGAGTAGGAGAAGTATCTGGTCAGTCTGCCTATTGAAGCCAAGCAGAGACCGACGAGAAGACTGTATTGATAAGGAGTCGGTAAATCATGCTGATCGGTACCGGACGAAGCGTGATACATGACCAGAGCGGCTTGAAAGCTGGCTAGGTTCATGATGAAGCCGGCGAGGAGAGGAGCCAAGGTGGAGGCCCATGACGCAACAAATACAATCCGGGTGGCTGAATAGTTGACCAGGACGACGGCATGGTTGCTCAAGGCATCGGAATTGGAGACTTGATCGAATAAACTGTTGTCAGATTTGACTCTATAGCCGAAGATCAAAGCTAGTAAGCCAGCAACGAGAAAGGCCATGGGGAGGACGATTGTCGCAGAGGGGAGGAGGATTGTCTTCCATAATGTTCCGGTCGAACACCGGAGCTCGTGACCACCCGCGGAGAGAGAATAGTACTTGTCGGTTAAAGGCCAGTTATTGGAGTGCGGACGAGAACGCTTCTCGTTCCAGTTGGTATCTTTCAGATTGGTCACGTTGGCGCCTTTGGAGGTGTCGTAGGTAAAGGTTACCTGTGACCACTCTGAGGCCGGGGTGGGTTCAGAATAGCTCTGGACGTCTTCCTGCGAAGGAACGCGCATATGATCTCCATGGGCCAGCCTGTCTTGAAGACGGCCAGCCAAATTATGAGCCATGTCGCCGGGTTGAGGGGTGAAATATGACCAGAAGGGATTGCTGGAAGTCATGGCGAATAGAACAGGTGGTTCATATTCCGGAGAGCTAGCATGCTCGTTCCAGAGGATCCTCCGCCGAGATTGAGAAAGAAAGGAGGATTTGCGATGAGACTTACAGTAGATAGAAACTATTTTCCATGACAGTGGGCTGCAGCACGATGGCCATGCAAGGAGCCGTCTTGAGATAGATAGAAACCTCCACGACGTTACTAAACAAACAACCAATGGGACAGACGAGCACGTCCCTGCAAGGTACCGTAGACTGATACACCGCTGTTGGTTGCCTTGTGGAAGCTGAGGACGAATGGGATGGCCATAGAACATGTCCAGAAAGACGGCATTATGATGATTTGCCAGGCGGGGAGCATGATTGGCGGAGGAGCTTGAAGGGCCGGCTCAGCCGCAGAGATAGATACGACAGGATGAGCCGAGTTGTCTGGACCTGTCGAAGGGACCTTTTCGTGGCCGAACCAGGTCGCCGGTACGAGGGGATGATGGATGTGGTCGAATCTATGTAAATCAGTGGCAGTGCAGCGGGAGTCCGATGGAAGTTCTCTTGGACAAAGGTTGTGGATGTGAAACTGTTGACTGCGTTTTGGCCCCCCAGGTCGAAAATGACGCAGTCTGACCGGTCGATCTCATTGCCACAGCTGCCAAGTATCTCCCAGGGCCTCAGCTGCATGAGCGGTGATCAGACAGCCCATATTTTGGATACGGGCTGCAGAGCAGGCTGAGGAGCATCAAAGTTCCAGTACCGTGGCACCATTCAACACTTGAACGTTCATTTTACGGCGTCGGGCCCTTTGTATCTTCGTCTTTAAACTCCCCTACCTCTCCAATCACGCTTTTCAGAATGTCTGGTACAATCACGGCGGCATCTCCTTGAAAGAACCAATCTCGCTTGGCGAGGGCTTTGGCATCTGCCGGATCTAGATTGATGACTGCCACTCGGGCTCCTTTTTGTCGTGCCATCTGGGTGTATCCCGCTGCCGGGTACACCTTGGAACTCGTGCCGATCACCAACATGAGATCAATTCTCTCGGGTTGATCAAACCATGCCGATACGTCGTTCATGACATCCTCAGGCAAGGCCTCTCCAAACCACACCACTCCGGGTCGGAGAAGGTTCTTCTGGCACGACGGGCATTGCGGGAGATCCTCTCGCTTGAGGCCGGGTATCTCCACATTGATGTCTGACGTGTCAGCTCCTTTGATCAACGCATGCTTCTTCTTTTCCACTGCTGCTTTTAATTGAGAATCAGACCCTCCTCCTGGAACTTCGTCCGAGGGAAGCGCCAAGGCAGGGACTATGGGATCGGTGAAATCATTTTGGCGACTGTATCCGCAATTGTACTCATCCCAGCATTTGACATCGAACAGGCTTCCGTGAAGAAGTTTGAGTTGTTCGGCAGGGTGACCGGCCCTCGGACTCAAACCATCCACATTTTGGCTCAGAGTGATGAAATTGGGATTTCGCCGGGCTAACTCGGCCAGCGCAAGATGAGCCCGGTTTGGTTTGGCATTGAGGGCCATGTGGCGTCGGTAGGAATAGAATTGCCAGGACAAACCTGGGTCGGATTGGAATGCTTCGGGGGTAGCGAGCATGGTGGCATCGTAGGTTCGCCAAAGCCCCCCAGCACCACGAAAGGTAGGGAGGCCACTGGAAGCAGATAGGCCGGCCCCCAAGAGAGCAACGATGCGTTTAGAATTTTGCAGATGTTGCGCGAAAGATGCAACATCGGTCAAAGGCATTTTGGGATGCAGCCGTGCGACTCGTTGCAAATTTCCTACGGGAGAACTTTCAAAACTCGAGAAGGATAGGGCCCAGTTTATTGAGGATGGTAGACAGTCGAATCGGAAATGCCATCCGCAGTTGTGGTGATCAAATGCCTGGGAATTCAGTCTGCAATCATTGGCCGCCACGTGGGAACGTGAGCCTGAGCGAGAAAATATGCGGTCACTTCAAACTTTCAAAGGCCCATACAATGACACGCACCGTACTCCTTTGAGTCTCCTCTCTCACAATAAATACTACCATCCAGAGTCCGGCAGCACAAAGGAGCCGTGTCGACACACCGGCAAGCCTTACCAGTCCGCTCCAAAACATTCGCTGCTCCGGTCACACCACAACCGCCGCAACATCCCTACCGACTTTCACCGCCCGTCACCATTCCAAAGTCCTCCTGAGTTGCAACCTCGTAAAACGGTGCGAACAAAAAGAGAAACATTTCTCACTGCTCAGGCTACACAAAGAACACACTCAAGATGGGGGTCCCGACGAAACCCCGCCTCAACCGCAGGCGGGTGAATGCTCTTCTCTTTGTGACGGAAAAGATAGGGCCTGAAGTCCTCCCATACCTCCTCCAGAACCCAGACCTAAACCTTCGAGTCATTTCCGAAAGTCCCAAGTCCGAATTCCAACAGTACATGGACCCAGAAATCAACGTCGACGATGTCCAGTGGTTTGAAAACTCCCCTCAAGATCCGTATCGCAATCAAGCCATGATGCAAGGACATCGACTGGCCCGATGGGCCGACCTGATGTTCATCGTTATGGATGCTGGCATGATATCATTAATGCTCAGCGGCTTCACAACCGACGTCATTCTTCATGTCCTACGCTGCTGGGACGTCTCAAAAAGAATCGCTCTATTGCCCGAATTGAGCGTGGATCAGTGGAAACACCCAACCTGGAAGAAACAACTCTCCAAACTTCAACGCAAATGGGATTGGGTGCATGTCCTCTCTCCGGCGCTATGGGACTATGCTCGAGACCCTCACAGCCATATCCGGCCCGGACCAACCCCCCCCAGTGGGGAAGACGCCGACCTCGACATCGAATGGCAATGGGACGGTCCCAACGAGATCTTCGAGGCCATCGAGAGTGAAGCCCAAACCATCCTTCGCTCGGCGCATCCCAAACTACACTCCTCCATCCCACATCTTTCCCCTGTCTGTTCCGCATCTTCAAAACCCTGTCTCCCGCCTGAAGTCTGGACCATCATCCTCGACCATCTAGGTGATTGGGAACTCGCAACCGCTTTGGGAATCTACACCCATATCCCCACTCCGCACGAATGGGAGCCCTTGGTGCCCAAGCCCGGCTCCAACAAAGTCCGCTCCCTCGAGTACACCATCCTCACTCAGCCCCTCTCCCAGATCCGGACATACTTCACCAACAATACATCCTCCAAACCACCCACCACTCTTTCTCCAATCGCCACCCGCCTCATCTTCCGTTTCAGTATGACTGACCTCCTGACCTACCTCGCCCTCCAACAAAAAGACATCTTCTGGACATCTTTCGGCCTGGCGCTTCTCCCCCATAAAGCCTCTTTAATCTACAACTCTCCGGCCATCCTCCAATGGTGGCGCGACTGCCCCGCCGTCATTAAAAAGGAATATGGACCCGAGGCCATGGACGGCGCCTCGCGTGCTGGCTTCGTGGAAGTTCTCGACTGGTGGCTCAACTCCGGCCTCAAATTGACCTACACCGAGAAAGCCCTCGAATCCGCCTCGGCCAAAGGCCACGTCGAAGTCTTGGAGTGGTGGCGCGTCAACTCACAGAAACTCGCCGGCACGTCGCGCGAAATGCCTCTGAAAGTGGGCAAGTCGATTTTACTAGCTGCCCAATCAGGCCGCACCAACAGCATTGAATGGTGGGAGACGAGCGGGATCCCCTATGCCCACGAAGACGGTGTGGCGCGCCTGGCCTCGCAGCACGGCCACGTCCCCGTGCTGGAAATGTGGCACAGTTTCAAGGGCTCCAAGATGATCTTTGACAACCAAGTTCTCGTGGGTGCGACTAAGAACGGTCACGCCGGCGTCTTGCAGTGGTGGAAGGACGTCAGTCGCAAGTCCGGTTTGCGTGTCGAGTACAAGACGTGCGATATCGAAGAAGCTATGGAAGACGCCGTGGGGGGAGGCGGAGAAGGCGAAGTGCGAGAGTGGTGGGGCCGTAACGGATTGAATCTGGGTGTGGGCACGGGTGAGTGGATGAGAGTCAAGACTCTATGAGAATTAATCTTGAGATCTCCATACTTTATGCTTTGTGTGTGCTGTGCAGGGAGTTCAGCGAATGAGTACATAAATTGAATATACTTGAAGGGTACTGAGGGAAACATAGAATCACGGGATCATCTATATCTGAAGATTCACACTGCATCCGATCCTCCTCTCTTCTATACTTCACAATCTCATCCGTCAATAATACTGCTATACCCGAGGCGCAGGCGAATTATCGAATCAATTGAACTGAATCACTCATTCACGGATGCTATGCTAAGTCGCTAAGCCAGGCCGGACCGAAGTAGACTTGTAGTCTTCGCAGCAATAAAGGCTGGCTCACTTGCCTTATTTCGCCACTACTTTGTCCTTCATCTCCCATCCAATTACTGGCTTGGCCATCCGGGCCGATCGATCTGGGTTCTCTAAGGTGAAACCGTAACACCGCCAACAACCCCCATTAGAAAGAAAGGGAAAGAGGGGGAAAAAGGAAAAACAAATGAAGGAAGGCTGCTCTTCTTTCCCAGTTCAATCCTATTCATCTTGCGCCTGATCGTGAAGGGATGAATCCGCCGTAATTGTTCATGAATGTCACTCGTCATTCGTGTTCCGTTGGCATTAATTTCTCTTGTCGTTTTTCGTTTCGTTTTCTTTCCCATCAGTTGATGCCATGCGGGTTTGCCCAATTACCATCATCATACACCAATACCAACTGTCATGAGCTTTCATGAACTGGGCGGGTCATCATAATCCTCGGCACTGAGTTCAGCCATTTCACTGCTGTTCTCTTGCCAGTCAGCGGAGCTCAACGTCTCAACAACCGACTCAGCTTTGGCTCTCAACGCAGCCATTGTATTCTGAACCTCGTTCATCTTTTCTTCCTGCAGTGGGTTCTCGATATCAAAGAATTGCAAGCAATGCTCCACTACATCGATGAGTTGACTAATCTGGCCGGGCTGGAGGATAGTACTTTCTCTGCTTCGAGGAGTCAAGAAGGTGCTTTGCGCAAAATTCTGCGCGTTAGATGCAAGTTCTTGACAGATATTGCGATACGTTGTGTAGGTCTGTGGATCTTGGCTCTCAACTTCTTGGAGAGGATTGAATAAAATCCGTCTCAACAAGTCCACCGCGGCATGGCGAATGTTACTCTGACCATCGCTCGGTGCGAGGAGGAACGTGGGCGCCCAGTTAGGGACGGTATGCAAAATCTGTTCCAACAAGAAACCAGACTCGGCATCGATGAAACGATTGTCCAGTTTGACCAAAACGTCGACGAACTCGAAATATTCCCTACCGTAGTCAACGCCGACGGTTGAGATGCTCTCAAGAGCTGCTTGCACAAGGTCAAGAATTTGATGTTCAGATTGACAATTCTCACTGAAGATGATAACAGGCCGAAGAAAGCTCACGGCAATGTTAATGATGCGATCATTCAGGCCTTTGAGAAGGATTTCTGCCAGAGAACCAGCCAATCTCCGGTCGCCGGCCAGATATTCCACCAGCGCATCAATTGCTGCGCCATTTTGCCGGCCAGCAATAAGCCGTCTGATCCATTCCAAGTTAGGTGGCATTCGTGCCAACCCAAGCGCGTCAAGTTCACTCGGGGTCAAGCCAACCTTCTTGTCAGAGAGACGGTAATCCCCTTCTGGCATGTGGTGGAGATCGACTCGCATCAACAGATTGACCAAAAAGCGAATGAGAACCCCGTGATTGAAAGGTCGATTTTTCTCCCGTGCAGTCAGATAGATGGCGTACCGCTGCTTCAATTTCCTAGAAATGGGAAAATCGGTGGGGTTGTTGAGATGCATCATGACGACGTCAATGCATTTTTCGAGAAACTCTTCATCCAGAACAAGGGTGACCTCCTCGTCTCCGAGACTCTGAATGTTATTTAAAATGCTAAAATAGTCAGCCCAGCATCGGCCACTCTTGGTCACCACATCCCACAATTTGGCCAATTGTGCTAGAGCAGAAGAGAGCCATCGAGCATAGCTGGTCGCCAAGTCAACATAGTCGTCCTCGTTTTCCCCCATTGCTAGTTTGAGGGAATGGAGTTGGTGGAAGACAATCCAGAACAAATTGCCAAAGCATTTCCGAACCGCTTGGTACGGGCTTCGGACAATCACATCCTCCAGGACTCTGGTCGAAGTGAACCATTGGGCAATGGTTTTGGCGCAATTGGGGCAACGCTCCGCGTAATGGACGAGAACTCTGATAGTGTCTTCGACCGAGGGCAAATCTTTCCAACGGGAGGAAATCTGACGAACATATTCCAAGACCATCTCGATCATGCTAGACTCGAGGATATGGTCTTCACTACATTTTTCGACTCCTGAACCCATCCGCTCGAGCAACTGACGGACAAAGAGCGCGTGCGAACTATCTTGAGCACAGTATGACCGTAAGAAGAGCTCATTCTGCTGAGCAATGTACTGCTCCATCCGATAGGGAAGAGGAATCCGGACAGGGTTGATCGCATCATGTTGGCGATATTGTTGCTCGACCTTTCGGATGCTCGAAGTTCTCTGATAGAACAGCATGTAAGCGCTGTAGAATTTGGGGATGTGATAGAAGCCAGCTTCGGAGTTGCCACCGAAGCAATTATCTCGCATCTGACCAGGGTCAAAAACGCCCACATCTTGATCATTGAACTGAACCCAGGAATCTTGTGGAGCTTTCACAGAAGGTCGCTGGCGGATGAACGAGTAATAATGACCTGAATCGGCCGTCCCGGAATGAACTATGACTCCCGTGAGTTGGAAGTAGTCTGGTTCGCCCGCTTGTCCCTCATTGCTGAGTCTGGTGAGAGTATATGGAGCGATGTCAAGGGTATCCGGGAATTGAAATTCATCGTTCACCTTTGCCCGCATGCCAGTCATAATGTCGTAATCAAAGCGTTTCAGATTGAAGATGAGATTGTCGGGGACGTCTTTGAGGCATGCACGTTTGACGGCGTCCACATGGCGGCCGCAAGAAGTGCACGAGTACTTATTCTCACCCTGGAGAACTTCACCCTCGACATAAGCGCGAAGACTATCTTCCAATCGAGCTTTGCCTTTGATCTCCACCTGGACAGCGGAAAAGGGCTCCAATCTTTCCGAGATGTGCTCGCACTCTTTGGACTTCACTTGTTGGACTAGTTGGCCGCCATAGATTGATTTGAATAAACCTCTGGTCCGATGATCAATCTGGCCTTCGAGACGATCGAAAAGCAAGTTGAAGAATTCGTCAACGTCCATCTGAACAGAGACATCGATTTGCTCGCCCTCATAGGTCGTAATTGCTTCAACCGCTCCAGATGGATCAACCGATTTTTCGTAAGAGTTCTGCATGTGCGCAAAGACCTTTGCAAGCTCCAAGACGAGTTTCTGATTCGAATCATCAAGACTGGGATTATTCAGGAAGAATTCCCGAAATTGGACGTTCATGAAGAGCTGTGCAAAGAGGGAATTGAGATAGCAAGTGTTGGAAAGATTCCTCAGGCCTGCATATCCAACGTCCGTGCGGAGGCTCTGGCGGTCATGACCAAACATTGGTTCAAAAAAGTCCTTCGGAAGCAGGTCGTCATCGAGTTTCTTGACAATTGTTGCCAAATCTTGAGGACCTTGACATAGGACGAGAACGAGACTGTATAGATTGTTACGAACCACTCCGTCCAACACTGGTAATTTGACGGTCCCTGCCGTAACGAATCCATTGTCGGAGAGTGGGGGAAAGAGGAATTGCGAAATTATCTCGTCAATGATATGATTGCTGGGCGGAAGAGAATTTGCCGCTTTCGACAATTTGCAGCATTCAAGGAGGAGTTTGGTGAGGCATGCCACCACGTGGTCTCTCAGGGGCTGACCGACAATCTCAAAATGCTCGTGTTTCAAAAGAAGTGAGGTCCACTGATCAAGGTATTGGTGCAAAGTTTCGAGAGGGAATGACTTGCCTATTCTCCTCAGGATGGCCAGCATTGTCTCACAAAACTCGGGACATCGATCAGCTTGTCCACAGGCACGTGGTAACAGTTCAGCCAAGACGGTCCAGAGATGCGATAGACACGCTTCAATGGCTGCCGGTGGAAAACGAGATCGTGGCGCTCTGGGATCGTTGATTTTAAGATGTAGTTTGGTTCCGGCCGCGCCGGTCAAGCCAACCACAACTTCCAGAAGGGCATGTCGTACCTCAGCACGAGGATCGTCGATGAATGCAGCCATGATCAATTCCTCTAGGCCGATCTCAGAATCGACCTGATCCCAAATGCGATCATCGTGCAGACAACCTTCAATAAAAGCCTCCAAGATCAGCTTGACCATGACGGACGTTGAAAGCTCATCCATGTTGACGTGGTTGCTTACTAAGGAGAAACGTAGCAACTTCGATGCTTGAACTGCAAACTCCGGGTGATTTTGAATGTACTCGCGTGAGATCTCCGCCGGCACTTTGGCGCGGAACGCTAATAGAAGAGCTTCAACCAACCCATGAACAATGGACATCTGGAAAGCATCATTGGAGTTGCCGAGCTCTAACTTGGGTAAAATCGTCACAATAGTCTGGACACTGTAGATGAGAAATTGAGTGTCCGGACTGGAGCTGAATGACTCATATTCGATGCAGGATCGCAAAGCTCTCGCACAATATAGGAGCTTGAAAGGCTTGTCCGGTGGCAGTAGATCTTCAGGGGACTTTTCTTTTGATCGTATTATGCGCACAACTTCCGTCTGAGCAGAAAAGAGACTCAGAAAACTGTATATTTCTCTGGAAAGTCGCTGATCAGCATCAAGAAGGCCGTACAGGTCATCAAAATGATGCATAATCTTGCTATCAACCGGCGAAGAAGCTCGAATTGAGCGGGCCGGAACATTTTCTGGCGAATTGGCGATTCTGTTGACTAGGATAAGTCCTTTAGAGACCCTTGACTCTCCTAACGGTTTATGCTGGTCCGCAAGCGCAATTGGACGTCCGAAATGGAACACTGTGAACTGTGCGAAGCCGCTGGTGTCAGAAAGATACTTCCACAGTTCGTCCTCGGTGTTTTCGGAGCCGACCACCACTTTCTGCATTTCTGGAGTGACGTACTTGCTGGCGCAAATTTGTATGCTCAGTTCCATAGGCTCACCCTTCTTGTTGGTGAATTCTGGAAGACCGGGTGCTTGTTCACCTGGGGCAGGGCTGTATCGGGGTCGTAACTTCATGCCCTCGAGGAATCTCCTCAGAAACAACAAAGATCGATCAAAACGAAGTTCTTCGGCTCGGATCTCATCTTCAGATGCGATGATGACCATAGGCTCATCTTCACCACTGACGGTGCCGTCAGTGTACGATTTGAGTCGGGAGGCTGATGATATAACTTGCTGTACGCAGCGATCAATCAAAGAAGAATGAGTGGCATCTATGACGGCCTTCGAGCGTCGCGTGATAAGGTTATGGTCCAGATATTGTTGAATGATGTAGTCCGTGGCCTCATTCTCAATCGTGTTTGGAGGTGCTTCCAACATGACTTTCCAGATTCTGTCGATTCCAGGTATGTCCACGACATCGTCGGAGTCTAGAAGATGTTGTGGAGAGCGTCGAATCGTGTAAAGGACTGACATCTTGATGAAGTCCAACAATTTTTCGCAATAATCCTGAGGTCCAAGACATTGCAAATATTTGTTGATTATGGAATCCAGAAACGAATTGTCATCTCTGGCCGGCTTCATTCTCACTGCGTTGTGCAGTGTTTCCCACGCTTTCTCTCGAATCGACAAGGATAATCGTTTTGCCGTGATGAAAGATGTCCAGAGCAAGTCCAGCAGCTCATCCGTGAAACTATCGGGCGCGAAAAGAATCAAATATTGAAGAAATTTTGCACGAATGTCGTAGAGCACCTCAAACGAGGACAGGGAACCATTGTTCGCGATCGTGGAGTCGTATCGATCTCGAAGATGTGCAAAGTCGGCAACGAGCAGTGCTGTCAGATCGAACTTTTGAAGCGTCTCCTGAATCGTATCTGGTCTCAACATTGAAAACAAGCAATCCAAGACTTGAAGGTCGCCGGTAGACTGGTTGCTATGAGATTTGAGGTTTGCCGCGGCTTCACGGAGAATCTGATTCTTCTCGTCATCATTAATGGTAAGCAAGGCAGCATCAGCGCGACCGAGCGAGAAAACATTCTTCATCTGGTGAGAAAATTCCCGTCGAATGGCCGCAGCCTGTTCCAACGACATGTATTCCTCCATTGACGCTTCCCGTAAGAGTCTAATACAGAGTGTCCGCGTGATCGAATCGGTTATAGGCCCAGGTTGTGGTCCCAACAAACCGACTTGATGTCTCATGTGATCCAGTAGATTCCCAGTGAATTGCAAAACGTGAAGATCGAAGCGATCAAATGGGTATTCCAGCAACTTTTGGCAGATGTATGAAAGTGCATGGGGGTCGTATACATTGAAACACATCTGGAGAAGGTTGAACACCTCGTGAACGGTTCTCGGATCTTGACTCTCCGCGATTGTTCCCCAAATGAGGTCGGTATCGGCATCCGTGTAAGTACCGGAGACACAGAGAAAGCCGACCACATTATGACTACGGCGTATCAATTGGGGGTGAGAGTCCACGCCCACAATGTAGTCCACAAGCTGATTCTCTTTGATAAATTTGACCAGGAATCGAACCAAAGGGTTGGTCATCGCGGCCGTCTTTCCTTTGATATGCTCGTTGTAGACTGTGATAAGTTCAGTGGACATCAGTTCAACACCATAGACCCGAAGCTCCATCCGTCCGTTGGTGATGAATTTTCGAAAGGTTTTAAATTTCCACGCGTGCGACATTGTGTATTTGAGATCTGTGTAATCGGAATCCACAAAGCCAACCCCTGCTGTGGAGACAATGTCCTGGCCAATTTGAGGAACTTCAACTCCAATCACGTGCATCAGCGGACCCAGCTGTTCAATGACTTTTGGAGCGGTCTCGAGGTTGAGCCAAGGAGCTTGCTTCACAATGGCTTGCTGGACGGCATTGTCGGCCTTCAAGGCGATCTCGGCGGCAGTTTCGCGAATCTGATCAAGGTTTGAGATCTCTTCATAATGAACACCTGGCTCTCCGGTGACAATGCAAGCCATGGGCCCCATGAGATGGAGGGTTGCCATCAACACGACGTTGAAATATCGGTAATAATCCGGCCGCTTGGGTAAGACAGCACAGATTTCGGACAGCAGGGTTGAGAGGGAAGGCAATAAGCCCACGGTGGAATGATCGCCCAGTCTATCAATAACAAGGGCGATGAATTGAGAGATACCAAAATTGGCGTGACGGCGAAGCGCTTCATAAAACGGAATCTTGTGTTGCAGAAGCCAAGAGAGTGGCTGCAGATACGACTCGCACATCAAGCCGACACCTTTCAGGCGTCGCGAGTCTGTATCGGCGGAGAGTGTCTGCAGAACTCGGACATCATAATCGGCAAGGAGCTTTGCGATTTGACCATAGGCAACAAAGAAGTCGACCAGGTCTTCGATTCGAGCCTGGGCAGGGGGACCTGTATCGCGTCTCAAAAGTCCTTCGACTAGATCTGGGAGTCGCAGCCAGAACTCTCGATCTTCATCAATCAATCTTGCAGGGAACTCGTCACAAAGACTGACAAAGTCAGCCATCCAATTCTTGACTTGACGAAAGATCTCTCCGTCCTGGGCACCAGCATGCTGAAATCGCTCCGACATGCGAGCAACCATTCGATGAGTATTGCCAGGAGTAGTCTCTGACGCAAAGGGGAACGTCCGATAAACATGTCCAGGTTGAATGGATTTGAGCGCCGATGAGGGAGCACTTCCGCCGATACGACCCGTCCATCTGGTTTGTGCAGGATCTTGATCGTAATCCTCAACTTCAGCAACCTCGATCTCAGGACTCTTGCTGGGTGAGGAAGGGATAGAGATGGTCTCTGGATGTTCAGTGGAATCAGGCCGCATGACAGACGTTCGGTTAGAACCATCACCACAGACAGTCAGACCTTCTGAAGTGAGCGAATTCGATGGCATGTCGGGTTCATCCATCTCTGTCGTGGGTTGTGTAACGGATTGAGAAGACAGTGGACGAGTGTTGATGGTGACTTTGCTGGTAGGAGAGATGACGGCGGGAGGGATGGAAGAGCGGGGAGGTAAGGGCGGAGTTTGGATTGGAACTTGAGATCGTTCGTCACCGTTGTTGGCATTCGCAACAGACACTGTCACTGGCATGGAAGGCGCGGGATGGGGGTTGGTTTGCTGTAGCTCGACCATGACATGCGTTGCATCAGCCTTGGTATCACTCAGCCTTGGACGTTTGTGTTCATGCTCAGGCAGCTCGGAACCTTCGGTGGAAGCACTTCGATTGCGGGTGGAAGAGTCAGATATTGAGGACGACATGTTACAGATGTCGCATCTGGACGTCCCCAGCGCAGCGAAACCACGAGTTGGAGATCAAAGCGATGCAATTGCAACGGAGTTGGGGAGCGATGTCGAGATTGGGTCGGGCAGTGAGAAGTCTTGGCGCGGCTGTAGAGAGCCGCCACCACGGACACCGGCAAGGCAAACTGGCTAGTGATGGGGATGAAGGTGCCTGATTTGCCCGGATTGAGGTTCAGAGAGCCGCTGCGGCCAGGAGGAAATGCCACTCAGAGGCTGAGCGGTCGGTTTGATGAAGTTAGAGGGATGTCCGCTTGGGCCATTTCTCTAGTGTCTTTGCGAAATGGAGGCCACGAAGGGGAGGGGGGGTGCCGTAACTAGAGATGAGGCGGGGCAACACCGTGAAATGTTTGCTTGCGCGGCAGAGGATAGTAAGAGGGGATATCGCTGTGAGATGCTGGTGATGTGGTAGGGCGTCTGCTGAAAGACAAAGGGGATCCGTTTTAAGAGGATGGAAAAAAAGAGTAAATTGTTGGTGAGTCGTTGACCAGGCTGCCGTGGTTCAGATAGAGTTATGTGAACAGGGCTGCTACGGGCGTGAGTGCGTATACGTCGCGTAGTTTTCGGCAGTCCTGCGGATCTTCTAGCCTGAGACGCGTTTGGCGCGAAAACGAAAAAAAAAGGCGAGAAAAGGCCTGACAAGGGTTGAAACTAGGCCTAATCCTGTCTCCAATCACCGCCACGTCATTTTCGACAACTTTGATTTTTTTATTGCGAAGGCTGCAGGGAGCCGCCTGCGCACACGGCCGGCTGACATGGACAAACAGAAGAAAACCTCTCATGCTCTATCGCTGCCATATCCAGATCCGCAATGGTACTTGCAAGCACAATCTGCACACTCCCTGCTGGGAGGCCCAGCAGCAGCTACAGGTTCGTAATTGGCTGATTTTCTGCCAGGCCTGCAGTATCTGCGGATCGAGAACAAGCCATCCTGCAACTTCTAATTCCTCTACTCGAACCGATTGGTGACTTCAGACGTGGCCACGTTCCCCGATCAAAAGGAAAAGGAAGAGCAAGAGGTGGGAAGAAAGCAAACACAAAAGCAAAAGACGATTCTACGCCGGAGTCGATGCCAGAAGTCTATGACCATTTGACCATCGGGTTTAATAGTACAGTTCGACGACTAGAATCCCTAGCACGAAGCAGAAAGCCCCCAATCCTGTCTCGGACGAAAGACCTCCCACAACAAGAAACCCCAAGTGTGAACCTCTCAGTCGTATTCGTGTGCCGTCAATCACTCCCCGAGATCATGTCCTTTTCCCTGCCCCTGCTGTTGGCTACCTCAGCTCCCAGATGCGAACGTGCCAGACTGGTCGAAATATCTCCACCGGCGGAAGCGAAGATAGCACAGACCTTAGAGCAACCTCGTGTCAGAGTCCTTGGTCTTGAAGCGGGAGCTTCCGGGGCAGACGCATTGCGGCGGTTCTTGACAGACAATATTGGCGTGGTGGATGTTCCTTGGCTAGACCCAGAGTCCCCTCCGGCATATTTCCCCGTGAATATTCAGACGATCGAAACAGAGGCCAAACCCAAGTCCGCGGCTCGGAATCTCAAGAGGAAGAAGTCAGGTGACAATTGACGCAAATGGATTCCCGGGATGGGCAGTCGGTCACGCCATGCCTCCGACATTCATCGTATGAACGGAATCCGAACCGGCGTCCGTTTGCGATAATCAAGGTAATCTTGACCGAAGAAAGAGACAAGATGTCGTTCTTCGTCTGGAAAGAATGATGTCAGCCAAACAAAAGCATCACCCGAAGCAGCCGTACTGACGCATAATTCGATGATTGAAGAACTTCCACAACACCACCGCATATGCCACCAAACAAATACGATTCCCAAGCAACAACTGTGTTCCGAGGCCCCACCAAAAGAATCCAAAATACGACGGATGTCGAGAGAAAGCGTAGACTCCATCAGTAACCAGCACGTGATCTGCCCTCTTCGTCCACTGCACGACATGGTTGAAATTGGTCTTTGCCTTCCTCATCGCAGCACTCCTCACAAGTTGACCTACGAAGATCAACGTCAGACCCATCCCTACAGGCACAGATGGCGACACCTGCGGCAAGATGCTAGGGATATGAAATGGCATCCTCATCCACTGGGGCTTGGACTCCGAGGACAGCCAGTGGCGGATCAAAAGTTCGGCCATCGCTGCCGTGTGCGCAGCCGCGTAGCCGACTCCATTAGATATTAGAAGATACGACGAGATAGACGCATCGGGCGGGTTGTAGCGGGCCGTCATATCGAATTCGAGGTAATGAAACAATGCCAGCGTGACGATGAAACAGGGTGCTCTCCATAGGCCGTCGCCCCAATACGCCAACTCAAGCGTCAATAGCGTGCACGATCCCAGCGCAACGCCCAGTGCAAAGGCTCTGATGGAGATTCCGGACAGCGACCTCCTCCCTCCCGGCAAGTAGGCGGGTGGAATGTACATGGATGGCGGGTACGCTTGCGGCGGCGACGGCGGGCCGCCATTTTGTTGTTGGAATTGGTGCTGGTACTGGTGCCTTTCGATGCGATCTCTAGGGAATTCGTGGATGATTCCTGGTGACCCTGGATCCGAGTCGTCGGACATGATTTTGCTTCAATGGGAGACACGAGGAAAGGGATTGGATTTTGCTGGCGGCTTGAATCAGAGGGGAATCCGCGATTAGCGATGGGCCAAAAATCAAAAAGCAACAGAGAAGATGGTATATAATACAAGAGACATGCTACTAGGATGACGAGAGGAAAAGAGTGAATGGATCAAGGAGACACGACAAATGTGTGAAGACGCATCACTTTGGGAGGAACGAAAACTCCAGGGGTTAATAATAACTTGGTTGGCGTGGTCCCAATTGTCAAAGTCGAGATGATGCTTATGTCATTCCCCCTTGTTCTCGGAACCGGAGAAACTTTTCGGCGAAGCTTGTTCCAAGCACCTGCATCTTACGTTTGACTTTGGGTGTCTGTAGAATACCGCATCTCTGGAGAACGAAAATGGACAAACTGCTCACCGACCCAGAATGGGAGAAAGCTCAACGAGGCGAGCTCTACCATGCATTTGTCCCCGAGCTGATTGCTGCTCGAGACCGCTGCAAACAGGCGTGCGATCGCTTCAATGCTTCGGGCTATAATACCCGTCGAGAGACGGTAAAACTATGGAGAGAGTGAGTAGGTATTCAATCAATTCATCAAAGTAATCGCATTTCGCGTCGCATTGAAGTCTGGCAATGGCTGTGTCTCACATCTCGTTCCGAAATCAATTACCAAGACCAGTCCCGTCTCTTCTCCTCCTCACACCTATCATCATACCGATCCCTTCGTTGCCGTACACACGTCTTACAATGTGCCGCGCAGACTCACGCATGACCCCCGGCCCTTACCACCCGCCGCCAAAACTCAGGAAGAAGACGATGCCCTCTTCGCCCGTGACCCCTGGGTCTCCGCCCCTATCCACGCCGACTATGGCTTCAACATCTTCCTTGCCGACACCGCCCAGCTCAATTTCAACTCGACTTTCGTCGACACATGCCCCATCCACATCGGCGCCCGCACCCTCATCGGTCCCAACTGCAGTTTCTACTCCGGCACGCACCCATTGGACCCGGCGGTCAGAAACGGCACGAATGGACCTGAGCTAGGCAAGGAAATCAACATCGGCAAAGATTGCTGGTTAGGTGGGAACGTAATTGTTTTGCCGGGCGTGACGATCGGGGAAGGGTCGACGATCGGTGCTGGGAGTGTGGTGACCAAGGTATGCATCTCCATTTCAAGTGTTTTCACCCCACTGGTCAATCAGCCTGCTTGACTTGCCCTGCTTTAGTTCGCCATCTTCTGACTTGTGTAAACTCTCTATAGGATATACCGCCTTTCCATGTCGCGGCGGGAAATCCGGCGAAGATTCTGAGGAAGATTCCAACCCAGATGGATCCTAGCCGTCAATTGGAGTCAGAAGTAACAGCGGCAAAGAAAAAGGTGAAGGGGGAAGAAGCAACTCAGGGCGCTGAAAGTATCATGGCGAAGGCGGTGGAACAATAGATGTGGGCATGGACAGATACGTAGGCGCCTGTTGCTGTTTCTGTCTCTGGTTCTTTATGGACGATACATGCCTGCATATAGATTCATCGAGCAACGTGATGGCTATTGCTTTTCATCCATTGGCTGTGGATAACACAGATCTCTCTTACTCGGACCACTACGGAGTGCAGGTCTATTTCTCCACCAATAACCTCGGCGACGCCTTGATACACAGATTGATACTCAATGCCCTTTTTGGCGGCTCCTCTATGGGTTTTGTGGGGGAGGGGATTCGGAGTTGAATCACGGTATTCTGGATCGAATTGAAAATGTTGTCGAATACTCTCTGCCTGATCTGGTCGCGAGCAGGGCAGGTTCCATTGTACATACAGTATTCTTCTACACTATGTAATTTAATCTACCACCTCCTTTTCCTTCTTCCCTCCTGTCTCACCGTCTCCCAACCTTCCACCAAGGTAAATGTAGATGATGACGAATGAGAAAATAAATACGAACCCATCCACATCACCATTGCCAAAATATCCCCTTCCATCAACCCTCTCTTTTTCACCACTCACATTCATATTAAATAAGTAATCCATTTAACTATTCCTTGCTATACGACTCAGTGCACCCGCCCGAGCAACTCGTCTTGTACGAGATCTGCGCATAGCCTGAACCAGTGGGTTGGCCCAATCCGCTGATTTGCCAGCACTTGTGATAGTCGCCGCTGGCCGGATCGTCGACCCAAAGAGTAGCTTCGCACAGGTCGTTGTCGTCGCAGAGAGCCAAGCATTCGGCGAGGGTGTCAACAAGGGCACCGGGGGTTTGTTCCCAGAATTTGGTGTCGGCGCCCGGGGTGGCGCTGACATCGCAGTTGATTTCGAAGCTGCAGCCGCAGGAGCCGCCGGCGAGGAGGGTCTTGCCGTCGTCAGCGGGGCAGGTGGCAGTGGGAGCGGGGGCTTCAGTGGTGGTAGTTGATGTGGTTGTGGTGGTGCTGGTGCTGAAAGTTGTGGTCCAGTCTTTCCAGGTCTCAACGGAGGTCGTGGTGGCAGGGTCAAGAGGCTTAGTGGTAGTGGTAGTGGTGGTCCAATCCTTCCAGGTTGGGTCAACGGTGGTGCTAGTGGTTGTGCTGGATGTGACAGTCGCATGAGGAACCCAGATCGGTTTTCCGGTGAAGGTGACGGTGACAATGTGGCAGACGGTCTCAACTGGATCGACAGGCTTCAAAGAGGTGGTCCAATCGCTCCATAGATGGCTGGAAGTTGAGATAGGGTCAACCGGAGTCGAGGTAGTGGATGTAGTCCAATCTCCCCAGATTTTGGTGGAAGTAGTGGTCTTCTCAGGATCAACAGGAGTCGAGGAAGTGGTAGAGGTCCAGTCTCCCCACACTGCGGAAGATGTAGTAGAGGTTGTCGCAGGGTCAACTGGAGTGGAGGAGGTAGTGGTCCAGTCGCCCCAGGCTTCGCTGGTAGTGGTCGAGGTTGTCGCAGGATCAACTGGGATTGCAGAAGTGGTCGTGGTCCAATCACCCCAAACTGAGGATGAAGCAGCCATGGCTGAAGATGCCAGGAGGCCAGTGGTGGCCAACATGGCCGAGGTAGATTTGACCATCATTTTGGGTAGAGGGAAACAGGTTCAAAGAATGACTGGAGCTCGTCGAGAGACTCTGGAAGAACCGATTGAATCAACAGTAACGAATGTAAGGGACACAAAAGGTCGAAAGCTTGGGACAGAAAAAAAGAGAGAGAGAGGTGAGATGGTCTAGGGTAAAAGGGGGGATATAGTAGGATTTTGATCAAGGCTTCCCCAGCGTCAGTAGCTGACCGTGTTTCGAAGAAGAAAAACGGTTCTTCTCACCTAATGAGATCATTGGATCCATGAGGGATCATCAGATCGTATTCGGCACGTGTATCCATGGCATAGCCCCAAGGGCCGAATTGTGCCACCATCACAATGATCGACTGGTCGATTCTGTAAAAAGGGACAACGAGCGAGAGGGCCGTTGAGTAGGGTGGAAGTTAATCCGGGCCAGTGACCTTCCAGCCTTCGAAATACCGGGTCCTCTTGAATGCGACCGTCAAATCTGCTCAGACGAACATGGCCCCAATGTGAAATTAAACATTTGGTAACGCCATTTTAAAGGGAGTGGAATTTGGGAAATGAAGAGAAAGTCGGGCGCTTCGCCATCAGTTCCATTAGTGGTAGGTAACAGCCAAACAGGGGGCTTCTTGCGGGGGATATCGGTTGTTCGGATCGAATTGTATTCCTCGGACAGCATCTTGCCAGCAGTCATAGTTGATGTACAAAAATTGCCGAGTTGCTTGTGCTTGTTGAGGATCAACATCTGGAGGAAAAAGGGGTGGGGGGAACAGAGGGATTCCGCCAAGCATTGCAATTTCCCGATGCTTGGCACTAAACCGCATCGTTTCCCCGCTACAGCCTCGCCCCCCCGACCAAGGTTCGAGTCGGCTGAAGGCCCCAAACTTTTCATATTCCGTCTACGTCGTCCTTTGGGGTATCTCTGCTATGTAAAGATTCATCCGTTCTATAACACAGTGCCGAACACTTCAGCCTCGCCAGCCTTGCCATCAAATGCCTCCTATATGGACATCATGATTACTGGGCATGTTGAATTTCCCAACCGCTCGTCGAACCACCTCCCAGAGACGTCGTCCAATTCCTTCGGTCTTCTTCACGCCATGTATTCGTCCCCGTCCTGGTCCTGGTCCTCGTTGTCCCCCTCTTGAAATGTTGACGATCAAACATGCGATATTGCGAGATGACCTGCTCAACCTCCTTCCTCGACTTGCCTTGCACCAGCTCACTATGATGATCCATAATGTGAGTCCGGAATGTACGGCGGTGAGTTGGTCCACGCAAGTCGCCGGCACATCCTTGCACCGACTCTCCACAGTCGTAACAGATGTTGGTGGCGTATTTCTCCCATCGGTCTGTCCGCGCCCGACGCCGACGGATGAGTACAAGTTTCCTGGCATAGTCCTCCAGTTGTTCTTGTACTTTGGGGTAGTCGAGATACTCTCTTGTCATGGTCTCGATCTTGCCCGTCGTGATGGCCCCCACTGCCACTGCTTCTCCGCCCTTTTGCTTCTTCTGCTTGGTCGGAAGCCACTCATCTAGAGGTATTTGGCCCAGACATGTGTCACCGGTTCCTCTTCGAATGTCGTTGGGCACATTGAACCGTACATGTTCCGTGTTGAATCGGTCCGTGATCAGTTTGACATTCGCTGCCACCATTTCCGTGTCAGTCAGGATCTTTTTGGCGGCGTTTCCGATTTCCAGGTATTTCTTGATGAATTGTTTGCGAGACTGCTTTCGAATCTCCCCGAGTTGGTCTTTCTTGCGGACAACAATCGTTTCCGCTGGCTGGCCCGTCCCAATACTGATGTGTATACTCGGATAGTGCTTGTGCAGATTGATGACTTCATGGAACACAATGTCGGAGGGATTGTTGTGCCCCATACCCCCATCGAGATATGTGTCGTCGCCTTCCTCATGTGCCTCGAAATATCGTGGTGCGGCAGAAGTCGCACGGGCAACTTGCCATATGTGAGATCTGCACGCCATTCCGGAGTTGGGCACGACATAGCTTCCCTCATGAGATTCATGATGATCATAGGTTCGATGCACATAAGTCTTTTCCACTCCACGCCCGGATTTCTTTCGTGAAATCACCAACCTGAATGTGTTATTCCGAGAGCCTATTCGATAGCATTTGCTTCACTTACGTGTGACAAAATTGGTCACAATTCTTGTGCATGGCAAATGGTTCCGTTTCGACTTCGTAGTTTTCCACCTCACCACCTCCATGCTTCTTCATGCTCTCACGAATGATCTCGAGAAACGCTTTCCGGGTACGCCGTGTCGAGTATTTTGCTCGCGGGAAGTAAAGGATCCTTCTTTCGTGAAACAAGCGCTCCTTCGCGAAGACTGAGTCCCCGAAATACCGAAATTTCTCAATCGCCTCCTCCACTGACATCCGAAGTCGGCCCAGCATGATGGCGATGAGACTGACCACCATTAGCAATGGTCCTTTCCCCAGCTAGACAAATCGGACTCACCCACCGGTACTGGTACCGGCGATATAGTCAAAGTAATGGCAGGGATAGAACTGTGAATCATGATCATATGTATCCTCTTGCCAGGGATAATCGGCACTGGATCGGACGGAGTCTTCGATAAAGTCATACTCTCTCATCCAAGCGGGTTGTGTTTCCAGAGCCTTGATTTTGGACATCAACTCCCTCAGGATCAGCAGTGTTGAGTATCCCCGTACTCCACCACCGTCTGTCATAATTCAGATATAAGTAAACGGACAGTGACTGGTGGAAGAGAAGAGACCAACCAAGAGCTAGTATAATCTTCTTCGCCCATGGACTGTTCTCGTCGAACTCTCCATTTTGGGCTTTGCTGGATATTGGGTAAGTCTCGCCATTTTCCTGCCTAGAAAGATCATTTGAGCCAGTGGAAAAAGATTCAACCCTCGATGCTGATGACGTGTGAGGATGCCGTTGGTTGAAGGCGTTCACCATCATCCCGTGCCCGAATGAGAGTGGCACCGGATGCACCCGAGAAAGAAGACACTCAAGGCAAGATTTCGAGTTGGGTTGGGCGAGTCTTTGCTCTCCCAGGTTGGACTGGATGGAATATAGAAGGATACGGTTCCACAACAAGGCTTGCTTGTATCTGCCCATCGGGAAGGTAGACACATTTTAAAACTCACTTGCTTTCGCTATTGAGCCCCAACTCGCGGGCCACACCGCCTAATTCTAGCACCTGAAGAGGCTCCAGAGGCAGGACATTTGACTAGAAAGGTGTTTCCGTGGTGCTGGCAATGGGTTGCCCTCTGGCACTTCCAAACATCCCCAACTTCCCTGAAAGGAATTGGGCTTCTACACCAAATCCCCCAAGAAGAATCAAATCAATCTCCTCAATTCTGGCCTGGATGCTGGGCGGAATGGGACGGCCGAAATGGACGGGCTAACATATCACCATCCTGGTTGGGGACTAGAGGGCAAGTGTGTGCCCAATCACTTTTGTTGCCTTGGGCGTCTAAAGCAGCCTTAAAGGCAATGAAAGACAGGGTGTATCAGCCTCATCTTCAAAACCTTGGAACTTTTGAGCTCGACACGTCAACATGCGAGTTGTATTGTGTACGAAGAAAAGGCGGTGGACTAATCAGGCTGGGGCGTCAATTGTGTGGACAGCTGACAAAGCCAAGGCGCGTCGTGTTTGGGGCTATGAGGGCTCAGCAACATAGTGAGAACCAGTGCTCGACTTGCAACAATCGCAAAGCTGTCCCGGGCGTTCGGACGACACCAATGAGGTTGGTACACAACCCCTTTCCAAGAGGACAAAACTACGAAGACCTTTCTGACCGACATATCACAAGGGGTGACGCCTTTTCCCACACGAAAGGATCATGTTCGGGCGCCACGTTCTCCCAATCGTGGTTGCCGCCTGGTCGGAATTACCCCCTAAACTCCAAAGGCGGACACCAAGGCGTTCTTGTCGGAGGGGGGGGGGAAATTGCCCTCAATGAGATGTGATCATCTGATGTCCAAAATCGAGGTACAAAGGGTGCGATTCATCCTGATTTTTCCGGTGCTCCCATCTGCAGATCATAAATTTGCGGCTCATCGTCCACCACAACGTTACATCGGGCTTCGAGAGCCAACCTCAATTTCAAACGTCCAAAAGTTCCGTCCTCGTTCAATCCATCAAGGTCCAAACCCCTTCAGACATTCGTATTCCCTTCAGCCTGCCCGCATCTTTTCCTCGAGAACAGCTTAATCTGACACTGTGATGGATTCCAATCGCAAAGTTGCGTTCTTCGACCCCAAAAACGACTATCTCGGTATCTTGAAAAAGGGCGAGGCTGAGAAGCTAGCCAGAACGCCAACGTACTCATTGCCAAGATTTTCCAACACAGCTGACATCGACACATCAGATTCCGAGACACGCAACTCAGGAGATTTTCCGGTGACCCTGCACCTTTTAAAACTGGGTATACAATACAACGTTCAGAGGTGGTTGGGATACCCATCGCAGCTATACATCAAAGGGGTTCCGTGTATAGGCAAAGAGACTTGTACTGTCAGCAAGCCTCATTCATGATTCGGAGCAAACGACCACGGCGATGAAAGGTGATATCTGGAGGAATGTGTTTTGTAGCTGTACCAGTACGAATCGAAGCATCTAGTTGGTTTTTCGTCGTCTTTAATCTTTTCCTTCTTGGCCGATCGATCAATGCGACACTGCTATCCGAGGTATCAACGCAAAATGGCGCAAGTCATGGCTCAGCTCCATTTCTGGTAGTCGGGAAAGAAGCGGTCATGAATTCTTTCCGCATATTCGACGACGTTAGGGAAGCTCTTCACAAGCTTCTTTGACTCTGGCGCACTAGGGTCGAACGTTAGAACTGCACGTCCGGTCCCGGGAGCTACTCAGATCTGCAGCGCTAAGAGAATCTCACCTCTCACTGACAAGAACAGAAGTAATGAATCCGTGTAACGTCGCGTCAGCTTCGGTAGGCTGTTTTCCACCGAGATACCAAGCCGGTTCGTCCGTCGGGGCTCGATGGAGTCTCTGCTTCAAGACATTGTCGACTCTCTGCCAGATCTCCGTCTTCAAAGCTCGAATTTCTTCCGGGCTTAATCGGCCAACACCTTGGCCGTGCAAGGTATGGGTAATACTCCGGTGGATGAAATACCCTATCAAGACGCGAACAGGGTACGGTGCCGACCATAGAGCTTTGTCGCGCTGGACGTAGAAATTGTCAAGCCACCGCTCACGCATCTGTCGGGCCGTCGTCAGTGTCTTGCCCTCCGCAGCTTGCCCTTTCTATGATCATGGACTTACATGATAAAAATATAGCTTGTCTTCCAAGAGTGCTCGAAGAGCAAGATCGTCGAGTTTCTGTTCTTCAGACAGACCACTGTTCAAATCTGGCAGGTGGCCCATGCTCATTAACCTCTGAATGATGAAGGTTGAGTCGCCCAGGTAAGATGGACCCCGAGATGCATCTTCTTGAAGAGGACTGAGATCAACGTAAGGGATTTTGCCCTTTGGTGCAGATGTCGGCGCACCCGTCGCGACCTTATAAGGTAAGCCAGCATGTCGACATCGAAGCTCGACTTTGGTCACGAATGGGGACCAGGTGTACATCCCCTTGTCATCCCAGCCGCGAAAGAGAGTTAATTTCGGCTCTTTGGTGGACATTTTCCAAGCAATTCGGGTATGGACCGAACCGAATGAGCACAGATTCTTTGGTTGGGCAATAATGGACAGAGCAGAGGAGGAGGAAGTGGTTGAAGACCGAAATATCGAGAGAAGTCGATACTTAACGTGTGGAGTTGATCTCCAAATCCGACCCGGCCCCGGATTTATGTCAAGCCGAGTCCGAGGACGCCTGTGCTCTCATTGGTCCCATGACGTTCCATACTTTGCAGCCCCTGAACCCTAGTCGATATTTGACGGTCAAGTCATCAGATCAGCCTCTCTCCCGCTTCGTTATGGATCTCATCTGCCAAAACGAGGACCAATTTCCGCCATCGGAGGAGTCTGAGTGCGTACGAAGCTGACACCGTGGACTGATAAGTTCCTCAACTTTTAGATCAGATAAGGCGGGGACACGGACTCGGCATTATCCCGAACGTCCACACACCACTCTGTCAATCGCATTCAGCTATACATCCGACAGACTCCTACGATGATCGAAATTGACTTACAAGGAGGCGGCATTTTCATCCGTACTGAACAACTTGTGTCTGGACAACAGGACGATGTCATCTGGCTGTCATTGACGATATAGATCAAGTGCATCTGACATTGGGTGGACTTTTTCTGATGATGACCAACAGATCAGGCACGATCTCTCCGTTCATTATGCCCTGGAGAAGTTTGACGCCTTCGAGGCAGTCCCAACCGCTGGTGACATCTCCTATTCCGACCTTGCGGCAAAAGTATCGCTTACAGAGCGACAAATCCGTCGAATTATTCGGCATGCGATGACCAAGAACGTCGTTGCCGAGCCTCGCCCAAACCATGTGGCTCACAATTCCATCTCTATCAACCCCAGTCAAAACCCTACCTTGAAATCCTGGATTGGTCACAATATCGGGGAGCTTGGTCCGGCTTCATCGAGGCTGGTGGATGCCATTGCCAAATATAGACACCTCAGATCCTAGCGGGACTGGCTTCGGTATGGCATGGGGTTTACCAAAAGGGGCGACATTGTCCGACTTCTATGGAAAAGATGGGGAGGGCTCAGAGAAAGGTTGGCAAGCCCGACGACCATGGAAAATATGGCTGGCGGCGGTCATGCAACGAGGCACATTCATACCGGGTTCAAGTAGGGGAGCCTTGGAACTGCCACTGTGTTGATGAGAGCATTGTTAACCGTTCCATGTAGCTCGGTGGCTCATCAGGCCATGTTTCAGTCTCTCTTGCCGAAAATTTCTCCTCTCTCAAATTCATCGTTCAAGATTTTACTGATCCCCAACAACCATTCGTGTCTGCCGTATCCGCAGATCTCAATTCCCGCATCTCATTCCAAGCGCATGACGTCTTCTCACCTCAGCCTCAAGAGGCTGACAGCGTTTCTTCTCCGCCATATCCTTCATGCTTGACCCAACGGGCAAGCCATTCAGATTTTACAAAACCTCATCAATGGTAGAGATGGTCTGATGAAGGAGGGGAGGCGAAGCGTCATCGCCGACAGTGTGATGCCTCCAACAGGAAAACTTCCTCAACCTCTAGAACGACTCATTACTGCGCTGGATTTCCAGATGTGGTCGAGTTTGAATGCCTGCGAGCGGGCAAAGGAGGATTGGATTTGCTTGTTCGAGACTGCGGATGAAAGGCTAGACCCAGTGGCTTTTGTGCAGCCTGAAGGAAGTGCGGACAACTTGTATAGCGCTTGTGTTTCGGCAGAAGTAAGGAAAAGGGAGATAAATTCGAGGGCTCCTTTTTTGGGAGACCAAGGTTTCGAGGCTGAGGAGTGGGGCTTCAATGGGAGACGAGCAAGAGAAGGAGGAGAGCCTGATAGGATGAAGGTTGAAGATCAATGTCGGCTCCTGGGTCCAGGTTAGTTGTGAAGACTTGGTGAGTAGATGATGGGCGGGCACAGAACCCTTGTACTCGAGCTCCTTTTTCATTACCCCCATGAGACTGTCGCACAAAGCCGCCGACGGGACCCGTGATGCGGATGAATGTATCGCATCGAAAAGTTCTCTACCGGAAACCAAAGGTCTTACTCTTCAACAACTCGACCTCATCTTGGAACTGACCACTCCTCACACTTCATCCGGCCGGGTGCCTAAGACCACGTATGCTGCAGGGATAAGTTTTGACGACAAGGGCGGTCTCAAGCCAGAGGGTTGTTGAGGACGTTCAACACAAGGGTTCAGCTGTTTTGAAGAATTTCCTAATTTTCAGACGACATCAGAAATTCTGTAGGATAGCATGGTTCATGCTTTACCTTGCAGCAAAAATGGCAGATCCTAGTTGGGGTGGTTAAGGTTCCAATTCCAGAATGTTGAATGAGTGAAAAATGAGCCTCTCCCGCCACAGCGTGATCGTCCAGCATGAATAAAAGAGTTCAACAAAGCTTGCTATGATTATCCTCTGCAGTTTTCATTTCTTCCAGGAGTGAATTACCAAACGAGAATAAAAAATAAGTCGAAGGAAACCATCATGAAATTTAGCAGAATGAGATTGAAAGTGCTGGGAAAATGGGATAATCGTGAATTTCTTTACGGTAGCAGTAATGACAATTTGAAGGAGCTGGAAGAGCTGGTGAAAGGGTAATTATCGGATAAGTGTGAGGGATGAGAGTGTGGGTCATTCATTTATTATATGAATCAGGAGGTTTCCCTATTCTCATCCGAGAAGTACGATTGGCTTCGCATGTCTCTGTTCTCTACCTATATCTAGATCGTCAATCAGCAGATCCCCAGAAACCATCAATCGAAGATAGCTCATACCCAGAAAACAAATCTCGACCTATAATCTTGCCTTCGGCTCTGAATCGTCGAGTAACGTTAACCCCGTAGCCTTCTCTAGTTCTGCCACTGCATCCCTCGTCTTGCCCAAAATGACCCTGATCGTCCTGAGACCTAGACTCTTCGCCGTCTTCAGATTCTCACCAATATCATCAAGGAACACGACGTCCTCGTTCCTGATATCCTGCCCCCACCTCTCCCGAATAAGTTGGAGCGCATACTCATAGATATTCCTGTCCGGTTTCCTCATACCGACATGCGCACTACTAACGAAGATCTCAAAGGCATTTGTTACATCATCCGGTCGTACTTGATTGAACTCATGGCCCTCAGGGAAAACCGTTGTGTTCGACAGTGCCACCATATGATACTTGCCAGAGGCCTTCAACTTTAGGACCGCCGGGTACATGTACGGGTCCGGAATGCGCGATCGGCTCATCATCGTCCAGTAGAGGGTTTCTACATCGATGTCGGGCACCGGAGCAAGCATTGATGAGTCCGTCATGTTGAATCTCTCCCGGTGGAAGCGGGCCCAGATGTCTGGTCGTTCCACGTCCGATTTGAACATGCTAAAGTAGTTGGAGTCATTGGGGATTTCGCCGCGTTCGAGCTTGTGCCAGGCTCCATTGGGCGTTAGAGCTCGGAGTGCGTAGTTGATGTAGCCCTTGGGGATGCCGCGTTGGATCTCATAATCCAAAATCGCTTGGAAGGGGGATAAGACCTATCGACCGATGTCGTCGAGGTTAGTATTATCCGCGCTCATGTGTCGTCATTGGAGTTGGGGATTTGGCAAAGTGCTTCTTCATTTTAGGAGATTCCGGAACTGTGGGTTTGCGGGTAGCCTGGTAATCAAAAGAGATATGGCCGACTTACACAAACACCACCAATGTCAAACATGAGGACCTTCGGTCGAGGCTGCGAAGCCATGATGAATGGGCGCCTCGTCCAGTGATCTGCACAGAGGAAAGTCTATTGATTAGAAAGTGAAAAAAAAAGAGACAGAGAACATGGCAAGTAGACAATAAACGGATTCACCTATTCATCTTCTTTTACAGATCAGGTCATTAGCCGACGCCACACAATTTCTCATCTATCCAGGTGGCTAGGCTTCAAGAGTTCATTGGAAGGGCCGAGCCGTTCGAGTGAGCCGAGGTCCAAATAAGCTCCCATTTTCTGTACGGTGGAGCATTAATTCGTCGTTTCACAGACGCGCCGCGTTGAACGGCTGCCCCAAAACATTTTGTAACCCGGTCGCGAAGAGCGAAAGGAAAATCATGGAGGAAAGCTCAATTACAGCCATCAAAGCGGCATTCATACGGTCTCAAGTGCGCCAACTCTCCGCGCCGCTCGAGTTTTCAACTCAATGGCAAGACCTTGCCCCCGAGCCCGAGGAAGGCCGACTGAGTGGAAAAGTCATCCAAGATGTCGTTTCGAAAGGTACCATTCCAATTCTCTTTCTTTTCCCTTCATTATTCGCCGGTGCCAAATTTGAACAGGAAACATCATAGTATTGACCCTTTCTTGCCTCCCTAGTCAATGAGAAGATTAAACAGCACAATCGCATGGTCTACTCGCAGCAATCACAACGTCATGTTGCTGAACAAATCGAGACGTTACACTGGAATCTCGTTTCCGCCGACTCAGAGCGCGCAGAACTCGACACCGTCGTGGTAAGGAAAGACGCCGACCTCATGGAAACGCCGACCATTGAATCCCTCCCGGAAACCTGGGACGATTTACACCTGCACCCGGACCACGAAGAGGACGCGGGAAAGGCAGAAACGTTCACCGCGCTGCGCAACGAGTTGCTTGAGCTGAGCAAGAGTCGTGATATGCTGAAGCGGAGGCTGGCGCAGTATCGACATTGGCGAAAGCTGCTGGAGCCGTTAGACGATCCGCAGTCGAATGTTCAACCGAATCTAGTCACACGAGACGGGGAACTGAGTAAAGAGTTAAATCGCACGAGAGTCTTGCTCGCAAGGGTTACAGGAAGAGTGTCTGAGATAGGAAATTCATCAGAGCCTCGGACGGACACGAGTACGTCACAAACCAAGTTGGCGCAGACAGACCAGCAGAAGTTAGCACGGGTAATGGAATTGACTTGAACAATCGCTACAAATGTCCTTTGTTTGAAATTCATCTCAACACCGGCCTATGTCGATGCACCTCTAATGTATCAGTGGCTTTCACAATACCCGGAACACCATGTCATGCACATGCTTCGGCCTGCAACGCCGTAAAATCTCGAAAATGGACGACTTATTCGTCATCGACTTCCTCCACCGTCGGTGCGACATGCCGCTTGGATGGGGTGGATTTGACATTCGATTCGACAGCAGAGTTCGCAATAGTCCCATTCGCCGGAGGAGGCGCCGCCGCTGGACTGGCGGGCTTGACTTCGGGAGCTGCACTCTTTTTGCCGGCTGCGTTGGCAAGCTTTTCGGCTTTTCTGGCCTTTTTCTCCTTCTTCTTCCTCTTGATATCCTCTTTAGTTTCATGCCAACCCCAGAGTGGACGGAAGCTGTCGAAGAAACCGACATCTTCAAAAAGGTTCGGGTAGAGCCAGAGCCCAGGCGGGACGAGGAAGAAAGTGGTGATGAATAGAACCAATCGGAAAATCGCCATGACAAAGAATAAACCGATCAAACCCATCGCCGCGACGGAGAGATACCACACGCCTTGTCTCAACATCAGTGGCCATAGCGGAAAGAGAACTGCAGCGAAAACGGCAAGCAGAACGAGACCGGCCCAGATTTTGGTCTTCCATTGAGGTCCTTCATATAGCCAGACATAATGCATCATCGGATCAAAATCCTGTTGTTGTTCAATCTTTACTTCCCACAACCCTTTCACTCTCTTCTCGTTCTTGGGTTTGGCATGGCTGTGTCCTTCATGCGGGTCTTTCTTGCTAACTCGGAGGGCTAGCATGGACAGGGGAAGGAGCTGTAAAGCGGAGCGAGCCTCCAGATCAGTTTCAACTTTGGGGAGCACAGGATTCTTTTTCTGGGCTTTCTTGTAGGCGTCTGAGTGGAGGGCGCGGAATGCGCGTTTGACTGGGTTCTGTTAGTTGGGGAAATGCGGGTGATTGATGATGTTCTGTCGCACCTTTGAACATATCTTTCCTCTCTCCATTGAAAATACAAGTTCTGGTCTTGAGATCTTGAGAACGAAGAAACTTTGCGACGGCCAGCGCAGCAGGGGTCGGTTCGACATTAGAGTTGACAGGAATATGTTGGACTTGGGCTCCTGGTCGTTGTGGACCCTGCACCGGTTGACCTTGGCGTTGTGCTGGAGCCTGCTGCTGCTGTTGTTGTTGTTGCTGTCGCATGAAGGATTGCCGGGCCTCCTCTTGCTTCATCTGGATGAATTGCTGAGGGGTCATACCAGCTTTGGCTGCTTCGGTTTCGATTTGTTGACGTTGGAAGGCTTGGAACTGGGGGATGGTCATGCCGCGCTTCTGGGCCTCCATGGCGATCATCTGCTGGATCTGTTGCGGTGTAAAGTGTTGCGGGCCCGTAGGAGGGCCTGGCGAAGCCATGATGGCGGTGGTACAGGATGGCGGTTGATGTAGGAGATCGTGCTCTGAAGAAGAGAAAGTCACTCTTGGTAATTGCGAAGAGTAGGGAGGATAGGGTGCGCAACTAAGAGAAGTGAAGGAATGGTTAATTTATTTGGAGGGGAGATGACACGGTTTGCGATGAGAGTGAAAATACAGGCGCACGATAAAAGTTGCGGTCCTCCGTATCAATGCCAGAGGTGATCGTATGCGACGCCGCAGTGGCGGGTGGCTGATCTTAGGGTGGCTGTGCAACTTATGTATTCGTACTGGCGACCGCTTTCTCAACCTAATTCAGCTTCATATCTTACAAGTCAACATCATCCATTGGTCTCTATGTACCAATTGGAGTCTCCTCATACTCTAGTTTGCGATACATATGCGTTAAGGTGACATCGTTTTGTGGAAAGACCGGCCAAACCCCTCGTCCTGCTTCGCACCGCGAGGGCTCTTGCTCCTGATCGGAATTGGGTGAATTGAAACAATCGCCCATATTCCTCCCCCGACATGACGAGGTAGCGATCTTCTCCTTCTCTGGCACATGTCTCTCAAATATGCTCCCGATCAAGGTGCCGAACCGGACTCCCACTGGTCCACGGTGTATCTGGTATGCTTCATCCTCCATATTCTCTCTATACAAAGTTCTCGACTGATTCACTCAAGTCTCTACATGATGTGTCGGCACGAGTCCCCATCAATTTTGTCACCGTTCCTGGAGTTCATCTGACCAAGGCATGCTTTTCCGACGGAGTCTATGATGATATACCGACACAAACATGCCTTTCTGACCTCGTAGCAAGCCAATTTCGACGAGTGATCATCGATTTATACTGGGATAACATCAACCGGCAGTTTAATTTATGTCCAGTGGAGCTTCCACCCCTCGCTGGAAATTCAACGAGTGGCTATAGTGTAGATGTGTCGGCCTTGTCCTCCATCACTGCGACGTCCGCCGCCAAGTCGATGACCATCATTCCGGTTACTTCAGTGGCAGCAAACTCACCGTCGGCCGATGCTGCTTCTCTTGGAAAACGTCAGTCGTCGGCGAACGACTCCACATCAACGGTGGCCTCTCCAACGACCAGTCGTATGTCGACAAACGCAGCACCGGTTCCGACCTCTACTGGCGCATCTGGCACCACATTACTCGAGCTGGGCCCTTACAAATGTAGCCTGGACTTGAATCTAGGCTCCATCATCTCTTTCTATGATGACTATTTTGGTAGCACATCGGATACCATTTCTGCACGACTACATTATTTGATCCTCAACTTGCACGCGGCCGCGCCCTTTACTGCACCCTCTGAACCAGCTCATACTCCGATGCAGGCAAGGCTGCCTCACTCGGATGACTTGGTGGGGGCACAATTTGAGTCAAATTTTCCCAGGGCACTCTTCACTCCGGGTCAGCTACAAGAAGACCGCGAGAACCTGAACAAGTCGTGGTTTCGCGACAACTTTGGAATGCGCACCGACACAAATTATTTTCAAATATCAGAGGCTGGAGACGATACTGTTTCCACGCAAGACGGCTGGCCGGGCGAAGAATGGATTCTGCTCACACATAATAGGCGCCTCCTACTGACCTGGGGCGAAATTGATCCCCAGATGGAAGCATATGACTTTCACAGTGATTCCGGCAATGTTTTCGCCGCTGGGTACGTAGACTCGAGTCGACCGGTTGAGACGAACAATGCCGGCGTCGTTATGTCAGGTTGCTTTTTTCAACCCGGAGACGCTACCATTGAACAAGTCAATTCATCGTGGGCCATGTCAACCATCAACCATGCAAGTCTAGATTCCCTGTCTACCTTTGCTCAAAACCTGACTTCGTGTGGCATCTCACCGAATTTGAACATGACCATCGAAAATTCTCCGGCACAGAAGAATCTGGATCAGTATCGGGATTTTGTTCAATCAGCAGTTTTCGGGTGGGCTCCTGGAGAACCATCAAATGCTTCAGAGCCTAATCAACATCCGGACGGAGCTTCAGGCGACTACCGGTGTGCTCTAATGGATTCTACCAGCGGGTATGCAGGACGTTGGCGGGTTGATCGATGCCAAAAGAAACATCGCGCTGCATGTCGTGTGGCAAATGAACCATATGCCTGGCGTCTCTCCACGGTTGATGTCCCCTTTGCTGCGGCGCCAGATGCTTGTCCGGAACACACCGAGTTCGATCTTCCACGAACGGGCCTGGAAAACACATATCTTTACCGCCAGGTACTCAATGATAGCGGCTCGAGAGATGCTTCGGATTCTATCTTGTCTGGTGTCTGGATCGATTTCAACTCCCTGGACCGCCAGGACTGTTGGGTCACGGGAGGTCCTAACGCGACATGTCCCTACACAGACAACGAAGAAGAGATACAACAGAGACAGGTGCTCATTCCGACCATTGCGGCATTGATCGTTCTTATCCTGACAGTATTGACTTTGTTGGTCAAATGCAATCAAAATCGACGAAATAGCAGAGCACGAAGGAGGGGCGACAATGGATGGGAGTATGAGGGTGTCCCTTCTTGATTCACCATTCGGAAACTTGAGACTTCACACCCCCTTGTGAAGGACTTTATTCCGCACGCGTATTCATACGACATCATATCCAACCCTGAATCAACAGTTTGCATCTCAAATTTGCCGGGCTAAACTCTTTCGCATTCGTTCTACGGATCAATTCTTCACCGTCTTGGCAGATTTCGGCGACTTTCCCCAGTACCGCCTGACTCAGCAACGTCTCAAGATCTGCCGTAGCCTTATTCCGGTTTCTCCATTTGAAACTCAATGTGCTTCTGGCCACTAAGTCGGGTTTCAAAAATAGCGGAATTGCCGGTTCTCTTCGTATATGAGCCTCCCTTCCGCAGAACTCTCCAGAATAAGATTGGTCAAGCAGATACTCAACCCTGGAAAGGATGGCACGAGATGGTTCGCTATTCGCAAGGCTCTCGTGATGGTATAAGAATCAAGGGCGGTCTCCCGAGGGAAGTGAGTGGTTCTCATCCAAGTTAATCACGCCATTTCAAAGAATTTTAATTCCCCACTGAACAGGTGCAACTTGAACGAACCATCGATCAAACTCTACATTCTTCCATTTAAACCCCACTGTCGAGCTGTATATTTACCTCCAAAGTCCCAGGCACTAGCCAACAAGACTCTTATCGAATTCGAATATCCGCCCAAGTTCCACCACATCGATCCTTTCAAACTACAAAATGGCTCCCGTGAAAGTGGCACTTGCGGGCGCAACCGGTAACCTTGGAATTCCTATCCTCCGTGCCCTTTTGGCAGCCAAATATCCCGTGACGGTTCTCACCAGGAAAGGCAGCGACAACGCGTCCAAACTTCCCCAGGACTCCAATATCACCGTGGCGGAAGTCGACTACTCGTCTGTCGCCAACCTCACAGATGTCCTCAAAGGCCACACAGTAGTCATCTCCACTCTGGCCTCCGAATCAGTCGGCAACCAAACCCCGCTCGTCGACGCCTCAATCGCAGCGGGCGTGACACGCTTCATCCCGTCCGAATTCGGCAGCAACACACTCAATCCCAAGTCCGCAGCACTGCCGGTGTTCAAATACAAAGTCGAAACTCGCGAGTACCTGAAAGCCGCGGCGGCCAAGAACCCATCTTTTAGCTACACGCTGGTGATCAACGGAGCGTTCTTCGACTGGGGTCTTGCCATCGGCTTTATCGTGAACCCAGCCAAACATAGCGCCACGATCTTCAATGGCGGCGACGTCCCGTTTTCTACTACCACACTCGCTACCATTGCCCAGGCCGTCGTCGGGGTCATTGACCACCTGTCCGAAACCGCCAACCGGGCCGTATACGTCCAGGACGCCCTCGTCACCCAGAACCAACTCATCAGCTACGTGAAAGAAAAGGACGGCAAAGAATGGGAACTTAAGCCCAAGGACACTGAGGAGTTGCGACAGGAGTGCTTTGCCGAATTGGCTAAAGGCCCCGAAGCAAATATCGGTATGGCAATGGTTGGGTTCATTGCTTCGGCCATATATGGTGATGGCTACGAAGGGGACTTCAGCAAGTTTCTTGATAATGAGCTCCTGGGCATTAAGGGCATGAGTGAAGATGAGGTTAAGGCTCTTGTGCTGAGTTATCTGTAGAAGTAGACAGTACCTGCCGCAAATCGGAATTGGGAATTGGAAATGGCGAATTCCGGATAGCAAGAGGAAGGAAGGAATCTCTTGAGAGGAAAGCCGGGAAAAAAAATAAACGGGCAAACATATACATAAATCACATGAACTTTTCAAAAGCATGTGGGTGTCATATTGCTCCTGCGATTTTCTGTGTCGATTCGAGACAAAGTAACAGGTTAGATCCACGTCCACCCGTGTGAATCCGGCGCCGTGACGACATCGGACGGAACCCAGTCGTCTCTGAGTTTGTTTTCCCATTCCCTCCCCATTTCGCTTGTTCTCCTACTCACCCGGGCTTTTTCCGTGTCCATGTTCTTGTCCCCTCCAATCCCAACATGACTGTCTCTCGCACCTGCCGCCTGCCCTGTTAGCAGCTCGGAGGAGACATGATTTTGGAAAATCCCTTTAGCGCGACGAGCACGGAACCGACAACCTGGCTGGGATGTATGGTGCAGCAGATCTGATACCTTTGCCTGCACGTCCGTGTCAGTGTCAGTCTCTGTTTCCTCATCTGCCGTGTCCCTTAGATACAGGTCGAGGATTTCATCGATGCGTGTGACGAGGTAATCTTTATCCTTGTGCGGACATTGAGCTAGCTCTACGTCGTAGCCATGACGACCACCAGGGCCACGGTCAGGGTCAGGATTAGGTCCGGAGTTCGGATCGCCAGGATTCTCCTCATCCTCAGACGTACAAATAATCGACAGCCAGGAAGACTGGAGCGATTGATTTTCCTTCTTCTTCGCTGTCTCTTTCACCACGACGTCTGATTTAGGGTCGCTCCGAGACTGAGTGTGTGGTAGACATTTCTTCGCTGAGGTCCCCGTAGGAGGGCTGGCCTGTCTGCATCCATCTTGCTTTGCCGGCTCTCTCGGTCGTAGTGGCGGCGGGGATAATGGGTGGTGATGCTCGTGAAGAAATTTGGAGGTCAGTCCGTTGTGATTGTTGCCTTCGACGTCCATGGGGGGTGCTGAGCCCTCTCCAAAAATATATAGTGGACGTCGGCTCCAAAGTTGGTCGCCATTTTGATTCAAGGTGGATGGCGACTGTTGAGTTTGAAACAGGTCATAGGGCTTGGTTCTGGGATATGGAAGTAGACGCGATAGGCATGGATCGCTGCCGTTGAACTTCGATACTTTGCCTCGTTGAGGACTGACAGGAGATCGCAAATTGGACGACGCCTGATCTGATGAAAGACGATCGCCATGATCAGCACCCTGGTCTGTTGCCTGAGAAGACTGCCTGTGATCCTGTCTTTGATCTCGTATAGTATGCGCACTCCCTCCTTCTTCTCGTTCTTTATTATAGTCCTGGCTATACGCACTTCGAATGTCTTCTTTATCTCCGTTATCACTCAATTCATCCACTACCCACTCCTTGGGTAGAATCTTGTCCCACCCATCCGGGTGAATGCGCTCAAAGGCCGTTCCTCGTTTGTCTGGCGGCAAATCAGCGAGTCGGCACCCTGACAGTGTGTCGTCAAGACTGGTCATCTGAGGCATAGCAAGTTGTGAGTGGGGGATGGGTTTCTTGGCTTTCACAGGCGGAGCAGTCGTGGAGTTCAGGTCAGGATCTGACTCCAAGAGTCGATGCTGGAATAGAGGCTGAGCCGGCCTGGTGGGTAGGGGCGGGCTGATTCGAAGCTTCTTCTTTGCGGAGTCGGTGGCTGATTTGTTCGAGATCTTCCAATGATGCTTCGACTTTGACGGCGATTTCGATCTTTTCCTACTCGCGTCGTTGTTGGCAGTCCGAATAGACCTTATACGTATCGGATTCGCGGCATGAGGGATCTTGGAACGAAACCAACACCACGAGAGTATCGAGCGTGAGCTTGTCCACCTGAGACTTTGCGCCGACGGACATGGTAGATCGATCAAGCCTTGCTCCGAAGTAGATAGTCTATCCTCACAGATGCTTCTCACAAGAGATGTGCATTGCGCCCCTGGTGTGCTGATTTGACTCTTTCGAGGATGATGCACAGATTCCCATGGTCGGGGCGTTTTCGGTGTCTCTGATGGCAATGTCCCACTGATTTGGCTTTGCCATGTCGGACTGTAAGGAAAATTCATATGATGTGGTTCTTTGGGTACTACTGCTTGTTTCTTCGAGTTATACATCCAAACAAATAGAGGTGATTCCCTTCTTCAGGATTTGATTCGAAGTTGTTTAAGTAGAGAATCCAAAGTTGGGGTTTTGGTGACCGTGATTTCGCACCTGGCATCACTGGTTTCAGAGGTTCTGAACGGCGGCAGTAATATGACAGGCATCGTGGTCGTGACACCCTGGGATCATATTAGAGTTGACCGAGGTGTTTACAAACGTGAAGGCCGGAAGAAGGGCTGGAGGAGGAGGGCTCGTGACCAGATAAATGGTAAAGACAAATGCAAACGCTTCAATATGGGAAGTTCCGGTCAGAGCGGTCGGTGACTTTCCAGATCGTGAGAAACTCGGATATCAGGATTGAAAGGCTAGCAAAACGGCGGGTATGGAAAATCATAGCTACCTCACCTTTTCGGGCGTGATAAAGAGTTAGAAGAAGCAGGGGGACATAGGACACAGGAGTAATATGGCCCGGCCGTCTTCATGACCTCCAATTTAGATTTTTGCATTGATTCCTTCTCTTACCGAGAAAGATTCATAGATTTGCCTTCAAGAATGACTTGATACCTTTGCCTTGTTCCGTCTCAGTGGTATTCCCGAATCGCAGATTGATGATCGGAGCTATATGCGCTTCATGCGCTCCTATCACATATGTTGTAGTATCTGGATTGACAGACTGTATCGATTCCATTTGTTAATGGCACCCAGGATATGCTCGGAATTGTCAACTTAGCATACCTTATACTTCTCAACCCATTGAGTTATGGGATCGATCAATACCTCGTCTCCCCCTGAAACAGCAATCAACTGTTCAACCCTGGAGTCTTTCCACCAATCAGCCGGTGGAAGGATGGCCTCAGCGTACGAGCTCGTCTCTTTTCCTGCCAGGTAATCCTTGGACCATTTACCGCCAACATAGGCACTGACGATGTCTTTGTAACGATTTCGTTCCTCGCTGGCCCAATCTAACTTGAAGGAGACCCATGGCCCCACCAGAACGAGGGCCTTGAGTTTCTCACCATCAACAAGCTTGAGCTCTGGAAAATCGGGTGAGGGATGCATGATGTGCGACAGGATTGCTAAGCACATATTACCGCCGGCCGAGTCACCACCAAGAATGATCTCGGATGCCGGTCGTTTCAATTCGGTCTTCGCATACTGAAAGGCTTCAACCGCCTCAATGATTTGAGTTGGATAGGTAGCATGTGGTACGAGCGAGTATTCGAGGAACAAGATTGCAATGGGGATGTTGTTTGCCTCGAGGTCGCTCTGGACAGTGTGCCAGAATTTGATATGGGTATCATCCCCGTCGAGGGAAAAGCCGCCACCTATTACAAGATCAATATCGACGACGAGACGGTGCTGCAAGTCGAGTTTACCATGGTAGTAGATCATGATGTACTTGGCGGCTTTATGGTCTCCCATCCAGAATGCTCTGCAACCAGATTTCAGGGTGACGTATTCTGGCTGTACACCCTTGTCCTGACACCATTTGGCATAGACTTTTGAAAAAGGTTCGCCAACGTATCTGGCACTGTGAGTAAGAGCTCACGGGACGAGATCTACTATATCATACTGCAGCTGAAGTGTATTGAATCTTTTGAGTGACTGGGTTTTATCAGTAAAGGTGTACCCTATCCTTGACCCGTGAGGATGTACCTTTCGTAGGACAGCATGTGCAACGTGCTGTCCGAATGTGTATGCCCCGGATTCGCCACGGAAGGGAGCAGTTACTGCGGTGTATACTGCTGTTCCCGCTTGTGGAGTTTCAGCTCATAGTCCCTTGCTGATTATTCGGGAACTAGGATTACCAAGGGAAAGGAGACCCGGAAAGACATCCAACTTTTCCAGCATGGACACTGGATGGATAGGACTGGCCATGGCCTGGCGGGGACTAGGGAGCGACATGTTGGATGTAAGTCTCGAGAAGCAGGTAGAGTGTAGGAGACCAAGGTTGGGATGACAGGCGAGGAGTACGGGGGCCGTTGATTAGTAAAAGAAGCTGGCGAAATGCTTCGAGGCTGGTGCCGGGGTGGGATCAGTCAGAATCGAGGTCTTGGATAGGACAGCTGGCTATCCTTCGTGCTTCCGTCTGACACTGGGGTCGGTATGCAGGTGAGAGCTGAACAAGCGTGCATCACGGCGAGTAAGACATCGAGGAACTTGCCAGCTTGATGTTGGACAACCCACGGCCATGGGTTTCTGTTGTCCTGTATGCGTGTCACATAGGCCGAGGTACAATCTTCCTAAGATCTGTCTTCACCCGGCTCCGACCAAAGCTAACTTCGTCAATGACATCGCGGCAGAGGGAAACATGATCACCATTTGGTGGCAGGGCTTTCAACAAGGAGCGTCTACGTTTCTGCTCGTGCTCTCCGGATCCTTTCGCGTTTTGGTATGAGGGACTCTGTTTGCTGGATTATTCATCTTCTTTCCATTCACTGTTGTTCGAAATGCCTCGACCCAAGGATACGCATCAAAAGTCATAATGAGCAGCCAGGAACTTGGGGTCAGAAGCGTTACTCTGGCGACTTTTGGTTGGTACGCGGCAACGCCAGGTGGAAAAGAAACCTCGGCATCCAGCGTCCAACACATTCGTCAACAAGTCGAGGATGTGCCACCATTTCCAACGAAGGCGGCTCCAGAATCGGAAATGTTCCCTGGACATGATGGGTGGCTCCCGGAAGCGCCTGGCCATCCGATCAATCTCTTCTCTGATAGGAGCGAGAGTTAGTCCACATACTTCAATACTTTATCGGTTCTGTTCCTTCTCTCGAGTACATATTGCTTTGACCGGTTTGATCATGTTGGTCTGGACACCACCGGTCTCAAACCCACACTCTACCTCCTTGTCGGGATTCGCCTCATCGTCCGGAGACCATTTCATGCAGACGTCTCTTTCGAATGTCAGTCCTGTTCGAGAGCGAAACCAAACCCCAAGTCATTTACGTACTGACAGAAGAGATTAGAAATGTCTTCCAACAGACTCCGAACCGGTTACTGGCGATGGAAATACAAGATCAGTACTGAAGGCGGGAATCGGAAGGAGAAGGACAGGCAGGTTGATAATAAGCCATGGATGACCTTCATCTACATCTCACATTATCATCACGAATTTGACGGCCTCCTGAATGTCAGACAGGACACAAACGATCGTACGATTGACGGGCAGTATATTCAAAAGCTCTCGGATAGGGCTCGGGCGCAAGCCAGGGATGAAATGTTATGAGTGAATTTGAACGACTGCATTACTCCGTGCGTAATTTCATCATTCGGTTTTAGCGACACACAAGTCTATCTACTACATATTGATCCTGCTTGTCCAATCGTGAAATCGTATCCATGGAACGTGTTTGTTTGTGTCCAGTGATCCGTGATTTGACGTATTTTATCCGACTCTCGAGTGTCGAGAGATCTGCTCTCTCACATTCCCTGTGTGATGGATGTTGTGTAAATGGGTTGGCTTGGTTTTTAATTTGGGTTTGATTTGTTTCGTTTCCCTGGAAGCACCATCGTCTGGGCCGAAAAAGATGTTACAAAAGCATTCAATCAATTGTACACTTAGAAACCCCACTCAGGTTTGAGAATTTCAAGGTTCGAGGCCGGGTACCCAGAAGTTAATGCTTTCCCCAGCAGAGGAGTTTCGTGAAAAGTATCATCGTTTTCATTGCGTGGCGGGATACGTGAACCGGGTTTGACCTCCGAACACGAAACCGGTAAAGTCCATCCTCAGACGCTTGAGTTGCAAAGAATCTGGGCAAGCAATCGACTTGTGGATCAGGTAGTCTATTGGACTGCCTGTCCATTTATGGCTTGGGCCTGCTCAACGGACAGTCCTTTGTCTCCCATATCGGTCTCCTGATTATCGATGTTGTGGTAATCGAGAATCTCCGAGTACATCATGATCTTCCACGTGTCGACAGGAAGGTCAGCGTCATTGAAGGACCAATCGAACTTCTCATCTGCCACTGGCTCATCGGTAGGATCATGGTAAGGAGAGAGATATTCATGCTCCAAGCCTTGGGCAGCCGATACTCGTTTCCTGGGGTCAAAGACTAACATCTTCTCGAGAAGGTCAACGGCGGAGGGATCGGCATTCTTGAACTTGGCGCTCAGAGGCTGTCGTTCTCGTTTGGGCAGGGATTGGACGAATCTCAAGGTGTTTTCACTGCAGATGGTTTCAATGACGTCTTGAGGGGGTGTCCCGAGCAGCTCGGTGATGATAGAGAACTGATTGACGTGATCCTTGCCCGGGAACAGGGGTTTGCCTTCCAACATTTCGGCAAAGATACAGCCGGCACTCCAGATGTCCACCTCGACATCATACTTCTGCCAGGTAAGCATGATTTCCGGGGCGCGATAGTACCGGGTGGACACGTAGCCCGTCATTTGGGGATCTTGAATTCTCGCCAAGCCGAAATCGCAAATCTTCAAATCGCAATTCTCATTGACGAGAATGTTGCTGGGTTTCAAATCTCGGTGGACAACACCAGCCGAATGAACGTATTTCAAGCCTCGCTGCACGCGACGTGTCAGACATGGACGACACCGGATGGGATATCCGGGGATCGGCAGCCTACCAGAATTTGATAGAGAAAGTATTGAATGAATTGCTTCTCTAGCGGTCTGGAAGTTAGAAGACGGTGAAGGTCCGTCCCCAGCAACTCGGTAACAAAGTAACTGATTCGAGGTCAGAACACTGCGGCGAAGTTGGGGCGTGGAAAATGAACGGACATATCTTCAAGAGGAGAGATAAAGATATCACTGAGGGAAATGACCTAGTCCATCAAGATCAGTATCGGGGTGTTGTAGACGCCTCTTTCTGCTCACATTTTCATGTCGAAGGTGCTTCAAAAGCTTGAGTTCCCGGTAGGTTCGCTTTGCGAGGACCGGAGTAGAGAAAGGCTTCATGATCTTCTTGACCGCAACGGACTGGCCTGTCAATTGATCTTTTGCAGAGCTTCACGACCTGTCAATAAACAATTTGAAACTTCATGTCTTCGTGGGGAGGATGCTCACCAGACCAGTCCGAAAGCTCCCATGCCGACAGGCTGCAAATCTGTGTATCTTGAACCTGGTCAGTCTCTTCTTCCTATCCGCCACGATCTGTACTCTATTTACCTGCTGGTGATCTCGAAGGTTGTCCCAAAAATCTGGGCTCGTACAAATTCTGCCATCTTTGCCAAAGACGGTATGGAGAGAGATGAGGACGCGACGCCAAGATAGTCGGTGGTTTTGACAAGGCGCAAAAGGCCGAGCAGTATAGAGATCGTGGGCGGAAGGTTGGGAAGATCAAGAGCAGAAGATGGACGACGATGGGCGATGGAGGAGGACTTGGAGGACTGACTTGAGGACGACGATGAGAACAGGACTTTGGTCGTACCGAGAATGTTTCAAATGTCTGAACAATTGGCGAGTGCGGTGGTTGGAGAGACAAGAACCAGACCAGGTGTCTGAGCGGTGTGAACCGTGGCAACAACAGCAGCAACAACAACAGCAGAAGCGGGAGATCCAAGAGACGATGAGTAGGAATGCAGGAGGAGGCTCGTACTGAATGGATGTTGTAGCGTGGGGCAGACGACTGGACGGTGGATGGCGGGCAGTGGTTACTAAGATTTGTGTGTGCTCCCTAAATCTCTGGGTTTTCACAGCAGGATGGCGATCTCGAAGAACCAGATTAGCAAGTTACGAGGACGGGTGGACCGCTAGACTGTAACATACCCCCTTGCTGTTCTGATTATTGTTGGCTGTTGTAGTTGGCCGATGGCATTTTTGGCGGACGCAGTCGCAGTCTCCTGTGACCTGCGTCCTGCATCTGCCATTCCCATTTCTACTCCGTGTTTCCTGTTTCCTTCCTCTATCCGCCATGCGTCACCATTCACTTTTAGCCATCATCTTATCTGCTTGGGCTCGTGGCGTTCCGCCGATGAGCCTCGGGCTACCGAAACAGACTCGCTCAAGCTCAGGCTCGCCGTATAACCCAGCTCGGGCTATCTCAAGATCGCCCGGACCAAAAAACATCGATCACATAAAACGCGGGATATCATTTGGGCGTTTCCCAGTTTCGGTGGACCTTTGGCCGGTGAGATCTGGGACGTCAGGGGGAAGTTTGTCGTTTTCAATTGACGATTTTACCCATTCTACTGTATAACATGAGTCTCCCTCGTTGGGTTGCGCCCCAGTACGTGATGACTTCATCCTACTTACTCTTATTGTTAAGGTGCCGACTCGGCCCCCATCCGTTTGTTCCTACCAAATCCTATACAAGTAGCTTTGCGGCCCAAGAGCTCTTCATCTACGAATCACACTGCCCTGGCGGCACCAGTGGCATTCGCGCTAAGTTGTCAGCAATGAGCTCTTGATCACGAAAGCATCCCGCGATGCAACGTTGTCCAGAAAGGGGAAATTCTCGAGACTGTTCTGGGGACCGTGCCCCCATACAAGTATTGCCGTGTGTGCATGGAAATCTATCTCCAGGACAAGGTGAGACCTTGAAAATATCCTCATTTGTTTCAGTGTTCTCAACGGTCTCGATGAACCCTTCGGCATGGGGCGAATTTCTTGCATGCAAATAACTTTGCGAAGCGTACCAACCCGACGACTTGCAATGGGTGGATCTAGACTAGAAACGGCATTCCTGGACGTTCCTCTTGTAAAAAACTTCAAATTGCTTGCGTTACAGGAGGCGCAGCTCGGCTGGAATTCAACTTCATACCCTCAATATTCGCATCACAAGAGACACATATTCCAAAATGGTTCACAATGTTACGAATAAGAATGATGTTCTCAAACCGCGCCTCATGATCAGCCCTCGACTACATACTTGGTCGGAAGTCAAAGGTCTCGTTGTGTCTGGCTGATTCTGCTTCCGCATCAGACACAAAATTGGCACGAAGCTCAACCGGTTGTCCTCCAGCAGCTTGAAAGAAATTGCACCGTGAAACTGGCAAAATATGTCGTTGACGCAGGTTAGGGTACCAAGGTGCCTAGTGAATGGTCAACATCACCGCGCTGGAGAACAACGGAACTGCTCACTTGGTAGCCGATTGCGATCATTATCCTTTCGGTTTCGGTTTCGTTGGGCATGCCTGCGTGCCAGAGCCTGAGATCTCGAATCACTATGTCACCTTTCTTGATGATGGGTTGAATAGGTGGTCGAATCTTGCGACGAGCCTCGACGACTTCTGGACGAAGCGCACACATTGGATCTCCCTCCATTTGGTATTCATCAGCATCTGCAGCTGTTGCTACTTGCTGCTCAAAGCTCGTGGTATTTTGATGACTTCCCAACCAAAATTCCGTGGAACCATTGGCGGGACCGAAATCACACAGAGGGATGTTCGCAATGAAATAGAACGGTGCCTGATCCATCATCTAGGAAAGATAATTTAGCATGAAAGGGATTGCCTACCAACGGATGGTGAAAGCGAATGTCTTTGTGAACGGGTTGCCTCAGCCCATGTGTGCCAGGTAGAGCGTTGTTGCCCGTCATGAAGTTAGAGATTGGTCTCGACCCGAGGTAACTATGCAGCCCACTCAGTGTGTGAATTGGTGCAGTTCGACGCCACGTCTCCTTACGCATTGGCGATTTGGATCACGAATGGGTTGAAATATACATCGTTGAAAAGGAGACTCTCGTTGTTGACGGGTGGGCCATGAAGGATATTCGCTATCATGTGGGATCAGTCGGTAGAAGCTCCAGACCCCGGGCTCTATTGGACCCTACATTTGACACCCTGATTAAACGCTTTCAACGTCCCATCTGGATCCTTGGCCTTCAAGATTGAAGCTGTCTCGTTCGTCATGAACGTGTTGAGCTGGTCGACATGATCAACGCCAACCGCGGACTCCAGAACCAAGAGGCCATCCTGATGAAGTCCCTCCAAGGCACTTTGAAGATTGGCCAATGAGTAGGTCCCTTTCAGCCGCTCCTCAAGGCTGAGGCGGATAACTCGCGGTCCGTCTGGTTTGAGGCTACCCATATTGACCAAATTCTGGTTCGACGACTCGGTCGGACTTTTCCGCGAGAGCCTGGTGCACCTTCGCTTTTGAAGAGACAAAAGTGTAGCTCTGTCGATGATCGTGCGGAGCCACTTTTGTCTTTATGAATGAAGGAAAATGGCGAAGAATGCCGGTGTACGTCGCCCACCTTGAATTTCAAACTGCTTATCGACGATAAGATATTAAGAAAGACATTTAGGTCCTCATGCCATGACTCACTTTGCGCCAAAATGCTTCTGCGGACTTCAACAGCCAACCAGCTCGCGGAGATTTATTTTCCCTGTAAAGGTCTAGTTGAGATTGCTTCTGCGACAAAAGAGGGATAATGGAGAGAAACCGATGTGCAACCCACCAGCGTGGCCAAGGGCATTTGCTGACCTGACAAATCTGCCGCTACTACTAGCAGGACGGTTGGACTGGATTGGGGCGTGTTCAAGCGATGAGGCTGCACTGGATGACACAGCACAGCCATCCTCCAAGCAAAAGTCAGTTGGGCTTTTTTCAAAACGGCGCCATGGAACCCTCTTTTCTTCTTTTCTTCTTCTCTGGGCCCCGGAAAATCTCCCATTATCAGGAATGACCATGCAACATTTTGACAATTTATTTTTAAAATTGTTCTTTTCGTCATGGCTCAGCCAGGAGACGGCCGATCCATTCGGCCTAGAGATGAGGTGGGCAGCTTGACCAGAAGTGTCATAGAACGATAAAGGATTCAAGAGAACCCGCTTCAGATGCGAGATAGAGCTTCGTAGTTCGCATCATGGTGTACCTGAAGTGTAGTACTGTACATGTCCTTCGGTCGGTAGGTACGTTTATTAACTAACCAAGTGCCTAGAATATTAAATCCTGCAGTGCACGGCAGGCCAGACTTTCGACGGGCTCCACTCGCCAACGAGCAACCAGCGTGCAGAGAAATCTCCCCTCTCTCCTCGCTCTGGGTTTTCTTTCTCCCTGTCAAGGAGCAGAGACCTGCTTTGCTTTGCTCTCCAGAGGCAGCCAAATAGGCCCGAGACAAATTCAATCCATCCGTCAACCCTGCCAGAGCTTAGAACAACCAACCGTCCACCGGCCTATTGACAGACAAAGTCTCAACTCAACTAGCGGCTGGTGACTGGTGACTGGCAACCGGCCGACTGGCCCAGCTTTTTTCCTTTCCCACTCTGTGCTACTCCGCTCAACTCAACCCTACTCACTCCACGAACTCTCGTCAGCTATCGCAGTAACTCACACTTACTCTCTCTTCTCTTTGCAGACGGCTTAGCTTTGCCATCCTGCCTGGCTATTCACCTACCTACCCATCTCCCCGTCAATACAACGGCTTATTCGCGCCGCCGACCATTTCTAGCAACGGCTATATACATCCCTGCGACTTCGTTTCTGCTATTTCTGCTCGCTGCTGCATTTGCCCAACTGCTCTCGCAATATCCCTCGTCCCTCCAAGCCTGAGCTCCACCGAATCCCTGGTTCTCGGCCCCGACCACCATCATCATAACACCTCTATGTAATCCCAGGCCGGACTCACTACCATCGACCACGAAGCTCCAAATCCCCGACTCTACCCATCGAGACTGGACTGTGCACCTTGTTCGCTTCCTCTACTCGTCGGAGTCTTCTTCATTTCCCGAGCCGTCGGTTCGCGAACAAAGGAAGGACATCCGTGTAGCTCCCATTGCAGCTGCAGCCGCACCGTGCGCTGCATCGGCAGCGCCCTCGCTGTCGCAGCGTCCCAACTAGCATTACTTCTTCGACATGGGTGCATGTGGAAGTAAAGTGGCGTCGACCGAGGACACAGAGCAGAAAAAGAGAAGTCAAGCCATAGACAAGACACTTGAGGAGGATTCACGCAGATTACGGCGAGAATGCAAAATCTTACTGCTCGGTAGGTGTCATCTCCACCCAATACCGCTCACCGACAACTGATTTGGTCTGTTTAGGGTCTGGGGAGAGTGGAAAGTCGACGATCGTGAAGCAGATGAAAATCATCCATCAAAATGGCTACACGCAAGAAGAGAGGGCGCTGTACCGGCTGACCATCTACAAGAACCTCATTGACTGCATGAAGGCGCTCATCGGCGCCATGCAGCAATTTGAAATCGAGCCAGACGATCAAACCGTTAAAGACTACGTGGAATACATCATGGAATACAATGTGGGCCCGGATCCCGACACCCCGTTGGATCTGAAAGTCGCCGACGCTGTGGAAGCCATCTGGAAGGATCCTGCGGCGTCCAAAACAATGGACCGGCAAAGCGAATTCTACTTGATGGACTCGGCTCCCTAGTATGTTCTGATGACACTTCCACTGGGCCGCGAAGCCGATGAGCTCACCACGTCTCTAGTTTTTTCGAAGAAGTCAGGCGATTGGCTGCCCCTGATTATATACCCAACGAGGCCGACGTTCTACGGGCACGAACGAAAACGACAGGTATCTACGAAACGAGGTTTACAATGGGTCAATTGAGCATCCAGTCAGTCCCGAAAAATTGTCCACTCCTATGACAAGGTTGCTAATCCGACTCAGCATGTTCGATGTGGGTGGTCAAAGAAGTGAACGCAAGAAATGGATCCACTGCTTCGAGAATGTCACATCCATCATTTTCTGTGTGGCATTAAGTGAATATGATCAAGTTCTTCTAGAAGAGGCGAACCAGGTATGAAGGTCCGTCCGGGGAATTACACGGGCTTGTTGTGCTGACGCCGTACTAGAATCGGATGATGGAAAGTCTCGTCCTCTTCGACTCGGTGGTCAATTCGAGATGGTTCATGAGGACGAGTATCATTCTCTTCCTCAACAAGGTCGACTTATTTAAAGAGAAGCTCGGCCGATCGCCTCTCGGGAATTACTTCCCCGATTACTCGGGCGGCAACGATGTCAACCGGGCCGCGAAATATCTGCTCTGGCGGTTCAACCAAGTGAATCGTGCCCAACTCAACCTCTACCCTCAGTAAGTTTCGGTGCGGACAGATTTTGCCGGACATTTGGACTGATGCGATGTATAGCCTCACGCAAGCCACAGACACGACGAATATTCGCCTGGTTTTCGCTGCGGTCAAAGAAACCATCCTCCAGAATGCCCTCAAGGATTCGGGGATATTATGAGAGCCACGACGAATATCTCGCTTTTTCTGGGTTTGCATTTTCTGGCGTCGACGAGCGTGGCATGTGATGAATGGGAGTCATGACGGTTTGGGAGGGTGCGTTCGTATACGCTTTTTGATATCTGCGGCGGCTTTCGCCATTCCCAGCAGTTGCTCAGCACAGGGTGTTTTTTGCTTCCCCTCCCATCCCCCTTTATTTCTTTTTCTTTTCTTTTTTTTTTTTAAGGCTATCCGCGTTTCCGTGCTTTGCGTCTTTGAGTTTTTGCCGCAAAAAGTTCGCCTTTGGAATACTTCTCTTTTGTCAAGTCAACGGGTTGGAGCAAGTCATGAAGGATGTTTGGGAGACCGGCTGTGGCCGCAATGGGGGTCTCATTTTTTTTCCATTGTTTGATTCCGAAGAATGATTGGCCATGGAGCCACCAGCGTCGAGTTGTCCATGAGTCAAGGCTGGAGAGCAGGACGGAAAGAAATAAGAGAGATGGGTGGAAAGCAAAGACACGACATCTATGCGAGCGAAGCATCGCCGTGTACTCATAATAACATACCTCTTGAATATGGACGTTTCACAAACGGGAACAGTGCCCGATACCCTGCCAAACGGTCTATTTTCGTTCGGGCTTGCCGGATGTGGAAAGCTGTTACGAATCAACGAGCGGATTACAGGAGGCAGATCCAAACCACGATCATGATGAGCTGAGCGGGCCGAAGTGGTCTGATTCGTACTGATGATATGGCTTTCAAGTTCTGCAGGAGTTGTGTATAATTCCCACTGACAAGGATGGCATCAGGCAAAACTGCGTAGCAGCTGAAGTCAGACAGAAGTGCTTTCCCCCGAATACTGGCTCGCGAGGCCGACAAGCTGTGGAACCAACTCTTTGACTATTGAGTGACTCTGTAGCCCAATCAAAACCGCCCACACAAATGGATATGGGTGTTTGTGGTGATCGAAAGCTGGGCGCGTATTGACGGGGCCTACCCCTCACCTCAAGCCTCTAAATATTACTAGCGAATTCGCATTAACTCTACCCCACCATTGACGAGAAAGCTTCATGCGCAGCGGCCTCCCCTCCAGTCCATTCGGTTGGCATGTGCTCGTTTGCAGGACACCGGGGGTTCATGATTCCACGTATGATTTTTATTCGGATATGCTCGAAAAAGACGTTCTCCTGGATTCACGTAACCCTTTATTCCCAAGGTTTCATAACGCGGGGGCGGCAGAGCACGGTTTCTTGATTCAAATATCCATTTATGCGACCGAGGAACATGACAACACTGTGAACCCAAATTGCTGGTCTTCCTGCTCACCGCTCTCTGAGCAGGCCCATGTTGCGGGAAGAGATTATGGAGTTGGGCTCTTAGGGCAATGTACAATGGTGGTCATAGGCCCGGCCCATGAGCTCTCACAAATGCTGAATGATGATGAGTTGAATGGATCCCCGAAGACTAATAATTGATCCGAACCTGTCACCGGTTTTCTCGTGCAGCTCCCCACTTCCAGAATACCATTGCCTTTTACCAAGCTAATTCTGACCTGAGATCATTCCTCACTTTCTCCATTTCTGTCCTTTCACTGCTCTTTCTGTTCTTCCATCTTATCGCACTGCACTCCTCGTTGCTCGTCACCCTTCTCCCTCCGATTCGAACAAGATGGCCGCCGCAGCAACGTCTTCCCCCCGAGAGCGGAAGCCCTCAGTTGGGGCTCCCATTTCGACTCTACAAGGCCCCGTCGGCCCTGGCTTCTCTCGGCCCAAGCATAAACGAACTGCTACCGGGTTTGGAGCAGGTGACATCAAAGCCGTGGAATCCAGCATTCCGGAGCATATGCGAGAGGCGTGAGTGACACCCTCTCCACGGGGGAAATGGCAGAAACTGACAACCGGGCACAGCTGGAGAAAATTCGTACGGCAGAAGACTTCCTATCAACTCCAACTTCTCTAACAAGAGTTTCATAGTCTCCTCAGGGCTTCAAAACGAAAGAAGAATTCGAGGTGCGTAAGGGCCGCCATAACCGTCCCCGCAGGAACAGGGGCTGACGCTTCAGTCACAGGCAGAATGTATCAGGCATATCGAGACCACACTGGCAAGATCCCTCTTCAACTGCGACGAGCTGTAAGCCATTGGTTTGGCTTCTGCGGATAACTTGCTGATCCAAAGACAGAGCTGCATACTCTGGCACTGCCCTGGCCTTCCGTGATCGCCTGATCATCGATTGGAACAAGACTCAGCAGCGACAGACATTTGCTGATCAAAAGAGAATTTACTGTATGCCGGGAGAAAGACGTGAAACAGAACTCCCAGGCTGACTGCACTTCTCAGATCTATCCCTCGAATTTTTGATGGGAAGAACCTTGGACAATGCAATGCTGAACGTTGGCCTCAAGAATGTGGCCAAAGGTGAGCGAGCCCATTGGGATCAATTGACTTTCAGTCCGCTGACAATTGCCACAGAGGGGCTTGAAGACCTCGGCTTTCGCATCGAGGACGTTATCAATCAAGAACACGATGCAGCCCTGGGCAATGGAGGCTTGGGTCGACTTGCCGCATGTTTCCTCGACAGCATGGCTTCGTTGAACTACCCGGCATGGGGCTACGGTCTTCGATACAGATACGGGATTTTCAAGCAAGAGATCGAGAATGGCTACCAGGTGGAGATTCCCGATTATTGGCTTGATTTCAACCCTTGGGAGTTCCCTCGACATGATGTGACGGTCGATGTCCAATTCTACGGTTGGGTGAATAAATCCACAAACGACGAAGGCAAACAGATTGTCTCCTGGCAAGACGGTGAAATTGTCACGGCGGTAGCCTACGACGTTCCCGTCCCAGGCTATGGAACGCCAACCGTGAACAATTTACGTCTTTGGTCCAGTAAGGCTTCCAGCGGCGAGTTTGACTTTTCGAAGTTTAACTCTGGCGAATATGAAAGCGCCGTGGCCGATCAGCAGCGCGCCGAAACCATCTCGGCCGTCTTGTATCCCAACGACAACCTCGAAAGGGGTAAAGAACTGCGTCTGAAGCAACAATATTTCTGGTGTGCGGCATCTCTTCATGATATTGTCCGTCGATTCAAGAAGTCCAAGCGCAGATGGGCCGAGTTCCCCGATCAGGTGGCCATTCAACTGAACGACACCCACCCTACCTTGGCCATCGTCGAATTACAGCGGATTTTGATCGACAAAGAAGGATTGGAGTGGAATGAAGCTTGGGACATTGTTTCCAAAACGTTTGGCTACACTAATCACACCGTCTTGCCGGAAGCATTGGAAAAATGGTCGGTACCATTGATTCAAAACCTTCTCCCTCGCCACTTGCAAATCATCTATGAGATCAACCTGTACTTCCTTCAGGCGGTGGAGCGTCGATTTCCCAAAGACCGCGACATGCTTGCCAGAGTCTCAATTATTGAAGAATCGAATCCCAAGATGGTTCGAATGGCTTATCTGGCGATCGTCGGTTCACATAAGGTCAACGGCGTGGCTGAATTACATTCGGATCTGATTAAGACCACAATTTTCAAGGACTTTGTCAAAGTCTACGGCCCCGACAAGTTCACCAATGTTACCAACGGTATCACTCCTCGAAGATGGCTGCACCAGGCCAACCCTCGACTGTCCGAGTTAATCGCTTCGAAGCTCGGAAACTATGAATTCTTGAAGGACTTGACCCTCCTCAACAAGCTTGAGCCATATGTGGACGACAAAGAGCTCAAGAAAGAGTGGGCTGAGATCAAATATGCCAATAAGGTCCGACTGGCCCAACATATTCGGAAGACCACGGGCGTGAGCGTCAACCCCAAGGCGCTCTTTGACGTTCAGGTCAAACGCATCCACGAATATAAACGACAGCAGCTCAATGTCTTTGGCGTCATTTATCGATACCTTGCCATCAAGGCGATGACGCTAGAAGAGCGCAAGAAACTTGCTCCCAGAGTGTCCATCTTTGGTGGCAAAGCTGCTCCCGGTTACTGGATGGCCAAGACCATTATTCATCTCATCAACAAAGTGGGAGAAGTGATCAACAATGACCCAGATGTCGGCGATTTGCTCAAGGTTGTCTTCGTCGAGGACTATAATGTCAGCAAGGCGGAGATCATTATCCCAGCTTCGGATATCAGCGAGCATATTTCTACCGCCGGGACCGAGGCCTCGGGCACGAGCAACATGAAGTTTGTGCTCAATGGCGGTTTGATCATTGGTACCCTTGATGGCGCAAACGTGGGTTTAGGCACAGAATTCTTTGAAAATGCCTAACTGACAGTGATCGATAGATCGAAATCACGCGAGAGATTGGAGAGCAAAACGTTTTCTTGTTTGGAAATCTCGCCGAAGACGTGGAAGATCTTAGACACCAACACGTAGGTATTGGACGCATGGACTGCGATTGTGTGACTGACGAGAGGTAGTTCTATGGCGACTACCACATCAGCCCAGAGCTTTCGAAGGTGTTCGACTGCATCAAAGCGGGCACATTTGGAGATGAAAGCGCCTTCGGAGCATTGATCGGTGGTATTGTCGAGCACGGCGACTACTACCTCGGTAAGATGCCACACTTGCTCGTACCGAGTTCTTTTCTGACATCCCATGCCTTTCGTAGTGAGCGATGATTTCGATAGCTACTGCAAGACTCAAGATCTTATCGATGAGGCATACAAGAACCAAGACAAGTGGGTCAGCAAGTCAATTCTGAGTGTGGCGAGAATGGGTTTCTTCACCTCAGGTACGTCATATAACTTTATGAAAGATGGGGGTTTGCATGACTGACCTGATGTCTAGACCGATGCATCAACGAATACGCCGACACCATTTGGAACATTGAGCCCCTTGCAGTCAAGGATGAGGCTGAAGTCAGGGCACGAACTGGACTTGATACCTAGATGGTGAAACACGCGACTTGGCGCCGATCGGGTACTGGTTTCAAGATGGACAACTAGTATGGAAAGGAGGATTAACTCGAAGTAGAGGATCATGGATTGGAAATGACCAGGATCGGAATCGAAAAGGGGAGAGTAATGAATGGGATCAGGGCAAGACAGGATACATTTGGTTGTTCACCAAGAAAGACAGACAGACAGAAACACCGAAAGACATGAATTAATGATATTTTGGGCTACTCGCCACTTCTGATTCTTGTTGTTCTAGGAGCTGGCGTTGAGAGTCAAGACCGAGGGAAACATTGATATCAGTACTAAATGATATCGGAGTCCCAATGGAAAGCCAAGGCGCCCGCTGATTAAAAAAAAAAAAAAAACCGAGGACTCATCCGCCGGTCTCCCTCTATCAGTCTTTCTTAACATATCGCCCATGCCACTCTCAGACCATCTATCTCGTCAATAACACTCGTCGTAGCGTGACCGCCGGTCTGAAGACGTAGCCAGAATGACGACTCTTCCGCCTCAGGTCGCCGTGGTCGACTTCCACCATGCTCGGTAAGCCTCAAGCGCGAACCGCGACTCTACCCTTCTCGAAACCCTTCGACTGATAAACCTAATCAAGGGGGCCTGAAGTCGAGTTCTGGGTTGATGAACAAGGAGAAGAACTTTACAAGCGTAACGACTGGTCTCTCTTACCCTTTATGGCCCTTTCAGACGGCGCCCACACGATGACCGAGGAGTTCACCTACTTTACGCTTCTGAATCGAGGTGACGGAACCGAAACCCAGCCCAGCACCAGCCTATTCGGCATCTCGTGCACCAGGCAGATTAGGGCCGAGAACCTGAAACGTCGCTCTGCGGATGTTACTCGTTCTACGGTCCAGAAGGCTGTTGTTGTCGTTTCCTCCACGGCTAGGGGCATGGGCGAGTTGAGGGAGAGACTCGGTGCCGTCACGGCCGCATGGTTTGCGCAGGCGTAAGTGGTATCAATTTGCACGCGTCGGGGCTTGGGAGAGGATGGTTGAATTGATTTCTGATCCTTGCATGCCAGAGATTTCACTGATACGACGATCTTGAAGGTGGGTGAGTGTTTGGTATGTGGAGCTTCGTTGCTGTGGATGAGCTGACGAAAGGCTCTTGTACTAGGAATTTCAAGAGAGCCTTGCCAGATCCCCTGCTGCGCATGAGGATGGGAAAGATCATTATTTCGGTATGTATCCTCAACCGGCCCCCAAACGAACTCTGTTGTCTTTGGTGTTTCTGGCATTGCTGACAGCTTGGCTCTCTTTCCCAACAGGTCTCTCGTTGCGAGAAATGATTTACGAGTTCAGATATCAGACCTTGGTTCTGGTGAAATGTCTTTTGCTGGAGCGAAAGGTAGGCGCCGGGAATTTCGTCCGATCCTCTGCTCACACCGGACCGTTTTAGATGCTCTTCTTCGGTTCTAAATGCGAAAGACTCTGCATGATGCAATTCGCCCTCATTTCCCTCATTCCGGGTCTAATCAGGAACCTGCAAGATTCCGCGGATCCGAGTCTGGATTCTTATGCTCAGAATGCCCCAAAAGTATCTTCTCTAAAGACAAGTGACAGAGCTTCCTGTACGTGTTCATCCGCTTCTTCAGATGTGACGTCCTCTAATGGCGGGCTCTGACACCTGCAGTGCTGACATATATGGGACTGCCTCTGCAAATCTTCGGCAAGGTAAGGATGCATCTTGTTTCTGTTTCATACTCCATTTTCTCGGGGAAAATTCGAACACTGATGTCATTCGATCATTCCCCAGGGCTCGCTCTTCGGCCCATATACACCACTCCAACAGCTCGACATCCTTGCGGACTATGACACAAAATCTTACGTTGTCGGCTCAACGAACAGTCTTCTCCTCCAGCAGAAGGAACGATACAGTGACATTCTGATCAACCTCGACGAATCCAATAGTGTTACGATCACCTCACCGTCGCTGCGAACCGCCCTCGCCTTCTCCGCCGCAGACAGAAGATGGATCGACTTTCTGACCCAAACCGTTCTCGACACGTGGGACCCCGAGAACCCAGACAGACCCAAGAACATGGGCTACACTGGCTCCGAAGACGCAATCCGCCTCCAATTTGAAGAATACATCCTCTCGTTGCTCAGTTCCGTGGCATACCAAGTGTACCACGAATCTCTCGGTGAGGGAGGAGTTCCCCTTTCCGTCGCGAAGACAGAAATGTACCCCGACCCAGGCGAGACAGCGACAGATTTCAACCCAGAGTTCCTGTTTATGTGGCGTGGAACGCACAATTTTGCCCTCTTTAATCGTCTCACGTCAGGAAACCGGATCTTCGACATCATCGAGCCCCGACACCCCACGGGAGGCGGACTGAGCGTGGAAGACGTCCAGCGTCGATTCCAGCAGAGTGTTGCGGACCTGCATCTCGACGAACGCGTGCGTGAAGGGAGAGAACAGCTGGGCAAAACGATCGCGTCGGGCCGCGAACGTGTCGAGGCTGGCATGGCCAGGTTCTGGGCCGAAGTGGAAAAGGCGCGCGAGCAGAGAAGCGCGAAGCGACGGAGTCGAAGTGCTAGTCGTGCGAGACCAAGTGCCGAGGATGCGGATCCTGCTTTGTCTCAATCATCCACATCTGCTCCGCTATCTACCTCGACTTCGGCATCAGTGTCTGAATCAACTTCCGCCACTGCGGCACCAGCATCCCCCACCACCATGACATCAGGAGGATGGGCTAATGCCTGGCGTGAACGCGTCTCGCGTGTGCCGATGCAGAGGCCGGCCGTCGACACGGCGCAATTGCAGGCGTCGGCGCGAGAAAATGCGGCCAGGGCCAGTGCCTATCTGAGTAGTTGGGGCACTTGGGCCAGAGAGCGCGTGCAGCAGGGGAGAGGAAACGCAGGTGTCCAATCACATTTGCAAACGGCGGCTACAGGGAAAGTAGAAGCGGCACAATCGTCGGGCACCACAGGAACAGAGAAGAGACCGGGATCAGGATCAGGTATCGGAACGGGTTCAGACTCATAATCGGCGCCAGGGTCTTTCTCGCTCAACGGTGCCGCGTCGTGCTACAATCCTCAGTCACGTTTTCAGGGCTCTTGAGATCTTCTCAGGCGAGTCCAGGGGAGAAGGCCTTCGAGACGCACTAGACAAGTGCAAGAGGACACACCAGATTGAAGAAACGACGTCGATCCATCTGCAAACTACAAATGTAGCAAATTTGCCTTACAATTGGACACGACAAGCAAACGGCTGGTGCGAATGCAAATCGTGAGAAGCGAATAGAGACCAATCCCGCCAGACAACGCACCTGATTCTTACGGATATAGAGAAGGGGGACAGGGTAGGAAGAACGCACGAGTTCGAGAATAACGATTGAGACACCCTAGAGTCAAGTGGGCAGGGCTTCATTGAAGAATACCCTATTATCACGACATACACGAGAATTGGATTGAGGGACAATTTTTCTTCTCTTTTTGGTACTTCTTACAATAATAACATCCCCACTTTCACCTCAGGGTGGGCATTCATTCCCAAGAGGATTCTTAACTGACTGAGTGACTCGTCTGCAGTTCACTCATCATCTTCCTTCCCCCCCAAAAACATCAACACTAGCACTGTGTTCTCGCCTTGCATGAATCGTGAATCATTCCAAAGTCATTTCATTTGCCGTTGGCTTTGGGTTTCTGGGTCTCAACCGAATCCTTTATTCCCTCTGGCACGGAGAAAATGACGAGGTGGGAAAAAAAAAAAAAAAAACGCGAAATACCCGTTCCCGACCCCTCGCAATGCTAAACTGGATGAACCACCTTCCCGTTGCTTGCATGCATTTGTCGAATCAAGTTTGTTCCTAATCTTCACTCCACACAATATCCCTTTTCTAGTCAGTCCCCCTGCTTCGACTTTAGCTCACACCTTTGCTAAGTTCTGCTGACTCCATTCTCTGTGCCTGCTGGTGGTGGTGACAAATCGTAGAAAAGAAACAGTCGAACAGGTGTGAAATACGCTCAAAAGCCCATAAAAAAACATTGCTGTCTTGCATTCCGTGCAGTCATAGTATTGACGATGTAGTAAAGATCCGGAAGGTTCGTCGCCATAAGAGAAAGAAGAATTAGGCAATGTATGCCAGCTCGTCATTATCGAGTCGTTCAATGTAATCTTTCTCCATTAGAGCGTCAATGTTCTTCTTGATATCGGAAATCTTGGGAGGGAATCGGTTGCGGACTTGATTGATAACCTCTTCGACAAGGTGGACATGCTTCAACTTCTTGCGCCCTTTCATGATACGGACAATCACGGCCTAGGAAGAATTAGTAGTAAACCAGAAGTGGCAAGAACGACAAAGACATACCTGAAGCAACAACTTCCTATCCTCCTCAATCGTCTTATGGGTATCTTCGGACTCAACCTTCTGCTCCGATTTGACGGTGATGTTCAAATTGATCTTGACCTTCTTGTTCTTGAAGTTGTAATTCAAAGCATAAGTCGTTCCTGGAGCGGCTTTACCGTCTTCCGGGCTTGGAATCAACACACGTGCCTTGCACAAGATACCAATGGCCGGTTCGATAGTCTCATCAGTCATCTTGGTGAGTTCTTTGATCTCAGAATAGTCCAGCTTGTCCGAATCGTTGAAAAGTAAAAGGATGGCCATCTGATAAGTAGAAACCTGGAAAGTGTAGGGGACTTTCTGGCTCTTGATGTAATTGGCACGAATTTCTCCTTTGCACAACTGCCATAACCAGGTAAGTTTTCGACCATTGTGTTTCTGATCGTAGAAACGAGTAAATGATTCTATCGCCTTGCTGATTTCTGCAGGAGGCGCAAATGGTGTGTTGGGAGCATTGAGAGGCCAGAAACCAGTACCCAAGATTTGGAAAGTAGAGTCGACGGTTCGCTTCTCATCGCTGTCTTCCAATATCTTGTCATGCCAGTCTTTATAGGCAGTATTGAGATCTTTAGAGATCTGAACATCCTGAAACATCCTCTGGAGTTTGTTGGTATACTCGTAACCACATGCCTCCTTTAGCTTGCTGATCATACTCGTTTCGGCATCATCGGAAACGGAGCTGGTGTGAACAAGACGTTTGGCCAACATGCGAGAGTAAAACTTCTGGAAAACATCCTTATCTTCGATGTATTTGAACACCACCATGATCTGGACAAGTAATTCTTCAAGCTCAGATTCATCAGCAGCCTTGGCTCCTTTCTTGAGAAGTTGATCGGCATATTTGGCAAGCAGCTCCGGGGATCGAGTGGAGTTTGACTTGCAAACTTGGTTATGGTTGACAAATTCTTGACACGCGTTGTCCAACGACCGAACAAACTCTGATTCTCCATTAAAGGCGACGTTGACGAGTTGTTGATATTTGCCGTGAATTTCGAGCAATGCGTCGACGTATACCTTTGGTTCAAAGTTGTCACCGTTGGCAGCTACCTTTTCAACAGCCGCAGTACCAGCCTTGCGAACGTGGACCTCGAAACGGGTGCGCAGAGGATCCAGCCCATCCTTGATTCTTGACAACAGCTTGTACATGCGAGCCAGATCTTCGGTGCGTTCATTGTCGAGAAGAACCTGGAACTCATCTCGCAGGAGGACAGAGTGAGCACTGATAAGAGCCTCGTTGCAGGTCTCCATGAGCTTCTTCATGATATCGGGATGCAGATAGAGTCCCACTCGTTCCCTTTCTTCCTCAAGACGAGCCTCGGCCTTCTTCATGTATTCGACCACACTGTTCTCGGCAACGAAGCGTCTTGACTCATTAGTGTAGTACTCTTTAGTGGCGGCGATGAATGGACGTTCGAAATACAGGCGGTAGACATCGAGGGTAGACTTAGTACTATCATGTTCGTCCAAGCCGAGTGACACGAACGAATCAACAATGGCCTTGATCTGCATTTGATCGATCGTCTCGCCATTGCGCTGTTTCTCGACAAGTCGAAGGACGGCGTCCATAACTTTGGACTCGACAGCCTTGAAGAAGTCATCCTTCCATTTCACCAGGTGGAGTGTGTAGACATCATAGACATTCTTCTTGCCCTCGTCAATCTCTCTCTTGACCCAGTGTCGATTGAGGTATCTGAAAAGATGGTTGTTGTACTTGGCCGCATCGGTATATCGCTTCCATTCTCGAATGTAAAATGTGAGGAGAGCCTCATCGGTGTGCGATTCAGACTGGACAAGTACCCCGCGAAGGTGTTCAGTCAGATATCGACCTAGTAGTGTGTAGAGTTCTTCGCCGAGAAGGTGAGCGCCACGATGGTTCGGGCTCAGAGTTGCTTGGGATGCAGATGGAGCTTGGTTTGTCGCTGCTTTCTGCGAGGTGCAGAAGTTGTGAACCGCAGTGTAAACGCCCCTATTTCACAGTGAGTGTCTCGACGACCTCCAATTAAGAAGACTTGGCATACATGTACGTCTTCATATCAAGACCCTCTTGAAGTTTGGTCATGACATTGTTTACATTGACCTCGAGGTAAGCCCACCTGAGAATTGTTAGCTGAGGCAGGTATGCGAATGCTCCATGTTCATACGTAGAGTCAAGGTCATCTCGGGCCCTATTGGCGGGAGCTGAAGCTGTGCCGGCGGCAGGAGCCATATTGAACTGATTCCGCAGCTACTTTTTACTGTTTATTCACGTCGAAAAAGGACTAGGGAGGTCGGGGGGCCGGGATCGACTGGGTAGTTCAACGGCCGAGTGAACTCCAGGAAGAGTTGAGTCTCGGAGGTTTCGAGGACGAGAAGGGACTTTGTCTTGTTCCGTCTCTGAGCTGTTCAAGATGAAGCCAGATAGGTTTGCTGGACGGAGAAAAGAGAATGGCTGAGGAACAGAGAAGGAGGTTCGGATCGGTTGACAGAACGGTGAGGCTGGTAAATACCAAGGCACAACACTTTCATCCGTAGACAAGGTCGCCTTCAGAATAAAAGAGAGGGTTGAAAAGGGACGGGTAACCGGGTTTATAAGTGGTTTGTAGAAATTCCTCAGAGAGAAGCGGGAGTGACTTAGTAAAAGGCTCCAGAGTGCTGGGTCGGCTGCCTCAATAATGCACTTGGCATGTTTGCGACATCGAATAAAATTGACTGTCTTCGGATAATCTGAGAGAATTTTTCCGATAAGCCAATCAATGGACCGGATTCCCGGAAATAAGAAAAAACACGAATGACGTCATGTGATGTCGTCTTTTTCAGAGGGTTGTCGACAGGCCTGGGAACATAAGTTTACACCATTTCAGCCCACAGACCTCAAGGTAGACACAAGGATTCATCTTTGTTCTTGATAGCATTTGGCCCATTCTACAGATACGAGGTCTTGAAACAATTGTTCGAGGACCATCACAGCAGGACCGGAATGTCTGTCACTCCCTTGAGCGCCTTGCGCATTTCCACATATCAAATACCTGCTCATAAAGGCATTCCCAATACCTCCATTCAAGGCAAACCTCTAATGATATATCATTCCGCATTCTCAAATCCCAGCGTATCAACTATCGAATCCCGTCTTAAATCCATTGGGGTTGTATCTCCGCAATGGAGATATACCATGTTCAGTGATACCCACTTTCACTCCAGCACCCACGAAGTTCTCAGTATCGCATCCGGGTCGGCCAAGTGTTGTTTTGGAGGCGAGGCTGAAGGCCGTGTGGAGCCAGTCTTGGAAAGGGGCGATGTCGTAATCGTACCTGCCGGCGTTGGTCATCGCTTGCTCGAGGATTATGGCAACTTTTGCATGGTCGGCTCCTATCCTATAGGAAAAAGCTGGGACATGTGTTATGGTCGACCAGGAGAAGAACAGAAGGTTAAGGCAATCGAAAAGCTAGGCTGGTTCAAGCGTGACCCAATATATGGAAATGAAGGTCCATGCCTGCAAGTATAAGGATCAGGTGGAGGACTTTTCAGCTATGGACCCGTAAAGAATACACCTTCTTATTACCCAGAAGAAGCCGTCTCCTCCGAATGCAATGGAGGATATGGATATTCATGTCTCATTAATGGACGGACAAATGGCAAATCAATTTCTCGGGTCTGAAAGGTCGTTTTCACTTGGTGTCGATCCTTTCTACCAATCTGTCGACAATTAGTACTCGACGTGGATCTCCTGTCTGGGTTCACATACCTCAAAACACTTACAGAAAATGTCATTAACCATGCCGTTAAAGAGACCAACAAGACTCCGCTCAATGCTTCTGCTCGGCTGCACACATTATCAAATCTATTGGAGGTTTTGGGTGAATCGCCCACTTTGCAAGCACCTTCATCCACAGTTAAAGATTCGAAACTCAGGCTGAGATTCGCTGACTGAAATATGATGAAGAACAGATCCAGCAGGATCAGTCGCACTTTTGCACGAGCAGATCGCAATCCCAGTGGTTTTGAGAAGTATTCGTCGTAGGTGATATATATGGTGTAAACCAGGGCAATGGCGTCAACAATTATCGCCATCAACCCCGAAGGGTCTCGATAGTAATCCTGGTCTTCTGTACCAACAAAATCCACGCATTCTGCTGTCCGTGTTCGCGGGTCTTGATTGACGCAGTTCACAATTCTTCCGGTTTCGTGGTATATTGAAGCGCCTAGGCCAAGCGCAATAAGGGCAAAGGCGAAGACGGTCAGTCGGAATGCGAGAGGAATGAACGGATTTCGAAGGATTGTGAATTGAGCCCTCTTATACCAGACTTGTCTTTTCCGGCGGAACGCGCGATACCTGCTGCTGCTGTCTTCGAGACCATCTTCATCATGATCAGCCAACCAGGGCTTCGAATAGTCGGTGAAGTTCTGGTCGAGGTATTCCGGATCCACCTTTTCGCCATCGAAATTCTCGTGTGGATACGCACTTGCACGACCAAAGGTTATCCATCTCGAGACTCGCTCTGGTCGACTTTGGCCCGAGGCCGTTGTGAATCCATGGTCTTGAGGCTGTTGACCGGACAGAAGGGGGCGTCTGACGTTTGAAGGGCTATTGTTGTGTTGCGCGACAAAGGCCGCGTGTGGAGCGTCTGGGAAATGAAACTGGGGGTCATCAAGGTCGTCTTCTTCTGCATCTCTCACCCAAGCTAGAATGAACATTAGTTGGATTGCATCGCCCCTTCTTGGGGAGGGGCTTACGAGGAATGGTTCGGACTGGTAACGGCGACGTCGCTTTCGATGTGCCAGAATCCGGCGGCACGTTGAAGGCAGGTAATTTGCCTCGTGCAGAACCTTTCAATGACCCATTCCGATGCTTCCCTGGCGCACTGTTCTGCCTCTTCGGTTGAGGAGTTTGACTCGAGGAATGATTTCGAGTTGCCGAGCTTGGAGCTTCGCCCTGTTTTATTTCCTCCAGCCGAGAAATGGCTCGATCATTGTTCTCCTCAGATAAGGCCAAATCTTTCTCGGGCTCTTGCGACTGGGCATTCCACGGAAAGCCAGTTCGCATCATGTTCAGGGCTAAATAGGGCGGCAAGGCGTAAAACAGAGCCTCAGCAAGGGAGTCTGATGAAGGGCATGTCGTTTGATTGTCGGGGGTCGAGTGCGCAATGTAGGAATGGGAGATTGTGTACTTTTTATGCTTCACTGGATTCTGCTTGCCGGAAAGGTTCCCCTGGCATATTGAGGAAAGCACTGCGTAAATAAGCATGGACATGAATGTCCAGTCATCAGTCACTAGGGAGCCGATGTCACTTGGCGGATGGCTGACAGCATTGGGGAGTTGGTAGGGGCTGAAGAGAGCGAATCAGTGGCGGAATAAGGCACAACTTCATGAGAAGCTTCACCTCTATTCGCCAGGCCGGCATTTTTGCCATTTTATTTCTATAACTTTTCGCATGAAGTTCAGGGCATTTTCCGTCAGTCACTCATTTCTAGTCGCCCTAATCATGATTCAATTGCGACAGTGCTAAAGGCACAGACGTGTGCTGTCCCCTACCTCCGTTTCTTCCTCCTAGCCATTTGCTATGCGCCTCTTTCTCCTTCCCCTCACAACGCGACAAGCCCTGATATACTGTCGACGCGCAGAACAGAAGTCCTCTGGCAATGTGAAAATCGTCGATCGCTTAACCAAAAAGGCCGCGGAGACATGGGCAGATTGGGAGGCCGCTGACGGAGGCTGGCGGAAACAATTGGTGAAATATGGCAATCAAGGCCTCCAACGTATTCCGTACCAGGAGTGGGCGTTGAAAAGCTTTCCTCCTTCGAATCCGAAGTTGCAGGCCGAGCAGATTGCAGAGAACAAGAAGTTTGACGTCATTTACCCGGGGAACGTCATGAAGCCGGAGGATGTCCCCAAAGTCTTAGGAAGACTGGCTCGAGAGAGGAAGCAGCTGCACTGGAACCGCTTTCTTGGGAGCATGGTTGCCATGCCTTTTACAATACCATTCACCCTAGTACCCGTGTAAGAGGTTTCTTTTCCCAGATCCGCACGACGAAAGAATCACTGACAAAGTCCAGAATACCCAATATCCCATTCTTCTATGCTGCATATCGCTGCTGGTCGCATTGGAGAGGTGACGACTACGCTAATAGCTGATGATGTGGGAAATGCTTGCTAACATCAAACAGCTTTAAAAGGGTCTGACCATCTGGACTTCATTTTGGATAACCGCCTCTTCCGACCGGTTTCACCGCCAGAGATCGAGGACTTGTATGAACAAGCTGCACCTGATGCCCCCGATTTTACCTTTGTTACGCGCGGTCAAATCCTGGATGGTAGTGCGCCACCGGAGCAAATCATCCTTCCGGCAAATAGCCACAACCTTGTCGCGAAGGCAACAGGCGTACCGGAATTGAGTGGAGAAGTCGAGCGGGCTTTGTGGCAGATAGAGCGACAATTCAAGCGGGAAAAGTTGCAACAAGCGGAATCACAACCCAAAGAAGACGCTCCCAAATCTGAAGAGGGCGAGAAAAAAGAATGATGTCTATGGTTGTTCTGGATGAAAGGCGGTGCGAGGTGACAGCGGTGTAGGACTGGCAACCTTGGATCTGCATAAATGGCATTGTACACTACTGCTCAGATAGAGAAAAATTCCTATCCATTCTATGAAAGAACGACCTCAGATGCTGGCAGAAAGACGACCTGAGCAAAGACCTGGCAGCAATTTAGACTGTACACCACCGGTCAGCCGTTACTTTCTACATCCAGTTGAGAAATATATGTCCTGTTTAAAGCAGCGAGGAAGTCTCCCATGCAATAACTATTTTCCGGCCCTGGGCGAGGAAAAGGCTCCATCGGTCACCAAAGCCCTCTCATCATGCTCTCAATTTCTCCTCGCCAGCATCCTTGAGGCGTCGACATATCACTGATTTCTCGCTGTACTCTGTCCAGTACATTCTCCTGTATGTGGATCAATTCGCTCGGGAATTGTTTGATGACCCCTTCATCTGGAAGGATTCATCTCCTAGCCTGAAGCTGCCGATAAGGAACGCCCCTGGCCTCAGCCATCCTCCAATATTGTGCATGAGTGCTACTCATACTTGGGACTGCTTCATACGACCGGTCGGCGTTATCGTGACCCTGAACTGCAGTTTTGATCGATTTCAAACGGGGCATTCGAATGCCACGAGGATGGCGCGAGGGTCCCCTGTGGTGTTGATCAATACAACGACCACTAAATAACGGCTTTCCTATTCTCAGGGACTGCATGTACAGCCAGAATTCCACTGTCCAGTGCCCATCCGGTCGAAAATATTCGCCACACTCAACATCCTTGTGGCAATCCGGGTTGCCACCGTAGAGGACCTTTTTGGTAACCTCTAGAAGAAGAGGCCTTTATCTTCAATGGGGACCTCAGCAGATGATCTCTATGGCCATAGCACTTCCTACGTTAAAGCCTTTCCATATAGCGACAAACGACATTTCGAATCGCCTCGGGTCCATATACCGCCTCCGAATCTCGACTACCAAAATGGCAAGCCATCTTTCCATGTTTTCAGTGCTCCATTTGAGCAGAGTTCCAGCGAGTATGGCAACCCTAGCTTTCTCAAAGCACTGAGTGCTGGTCACAGGCTAGACATGAGCCACACAATGCTGTCATGGAAATATGAGATGCGCAGAACCGCTCAGCCTATACTTCCTTTCCTCTTGCTGGGTCCAAGCAGCGCTGCAAGGGATAGAGAGTTTGTGAAAAATACCGGCATCACTCTTATGGTTGCTGTCCGAAGTGTCAGAGCGGTTATCGCCCGACCAACCTTCCTCCATCCTGCCACTTTTCCCTCGAGTGAAGGGATATCAACATTGACTTTCGATTTCGAATTTCCGCATGACTTTATTCCCAAACTCAGGCCGGTCATAAGGTCCATAAACGACCACTTGGAAACTACGTGCGCCCAAACGCCTGTCGAGAATGTGCATGACATTCGAGGCAAGGCCCTGATCTTTTGTGAGTCTGGAAACGATCGATCTGCGGTCTTGGTGGCGGCCTACCTGATGGTCATTTATGGAGTCAGCGCCTTTTCTGCCATCCACGTTGTACAATCACAAAGATTCTGCATAACTATGTCGGATGATATGAAGAATGTGTTGCTCGATCTACAAGAAATTCTCAAAGCTGAACGTCAAGTCTCATCTTCCAATTCTGCAGTCAGGCAGTTTGACTCTCCTGTAAACCAAAGCCAAGGCTCCTCATCACTGATCCAGCGACCCATGAAACGAACTATTGATGACGTCTACAACTCCGAGGAGGATTTGGGACATGAGACGCTACGAGGGGACAACGTCGATGTCAGAGAAGGCGTCGCCCCTTTTACTGATATTCTAGACCTTCAGAGAGAGTTGAGATGATCTCTGAGAAGGCCACGCTATGCTAGCATCCAACTATGAGCTCCCTTTCCTCGAGGCTGGCTTCAGGAAAGGCCACATGACGACATGAATGATCAAGTTCAGTATCGCAGAATGCCTCCCTGCTTAAGTTGGAGTTGGACCCCTTTTTCGTTCAAAGCCTTCCTTTCGGAGGAAGCCGACCGCCAGGCCTGTCAAACGGTTGAAATTGTCACCGTTCGAGTTTGTCATATGGTGGCAATCAGAGTGGTTTTGCGACCGAGAAGAGTCAAGGACAGGAGTCAAGCAGAGGACTGCATAAAAGGGCTCGGTTGCTTGAAACGATCGCAGACATTATTGCCTTCACATGATCGGATTCCATCAACGCTGCAATTTAGCTTCTGACTGGTCTTTTATATCACTCGCACTGCGGATCATTCACTATTCGGGGCTCATTGTGTGGTAGGTCACGGTCTTCTCCATTTCAGATTTTGCTGAGCAAAAACTGAATTCATCGCGCGTCTTCTTCTAAGATAGCAGTCTTGTAATCAGCGTCTGCACGCTTTGCAGCGACCCAGTGTTACAATCAACGCTGAGATGCCACACAATGAATGCTGAGTCCTGGACTGCCTGCCTTCAACGTTTGCGTCTTGGGTGATTCACTTCACGGCACTTTCCGTTAATTACCACTTTCTTTCATTGTGCTTGGGCTTTCTCAACCGCGGACTCTTACGCCGAGCCCTCCACCGATCCGATGTATCCCATAGTGCGATACCATGCAACTTAGAAGCAACATCTCAGCGCCAGTTCGCCTTGAGGAGGAAGACTTTTCTTCCAGGCGAAAAGGCAAAGGGCCAGCTCGTACAAGACCAGCCTACCCTGATCTACTCAGAAAACAAGTCATTTCTTTCGACCCGAATAATCCTCCAGCTGCCTTCCCATCCCTTCCACTCACAGCCAGGAAATCTCTTGATGCCTCTCAATTGACAGAGTCGTTGTCCGAGGAGGAGCTGAGCTTCTCGATCGCTAATTTGCGTATCAATCAGAATGAGGCGCCAGGGGGACGGGCGCGGACACAACAATGCCACGAGCACTTTGATGTTCAAGACACAGCTACAAATGACAACAACAACGGGATGGATCTTGATGATTTGTCAATGGTTGGAGTGCGCACAATTGAGCGAATGGTAGACGAACAAGTGGTTGGACCCGACATTGCTCGTGAACAGGTTTGTGTTTGATTCTTCCAGATTGTTATGTAGCCGCTGACATGCCACAGGATCAAGGTCGTGTTACGCGGACTGGCCATTCTAATGCATGGGATTCTCTTCCATTGTCTCTCCAGTACCATATCTACACACGTCTATCAGAGGACCGTTCTTCGGAAGCCTTGGCCGAACTCCTTGGCTTGACAGAGTATGAATCCAGTCAAATCCAACGGGCGGTGGGACTTCGTAGTCTACACCCGACTTCTGTTGCCGAGATATGGGATTATTGCAGACATATCGGTCCTGAAATTCCCGGCCTTGAACACCCACCATCTTTCATTGATTTGAATGTGTTCAAGGATTATGTGGATTACATGGTATTTGCCAGCAATTACGAATTTGCCTATCCATCCGAGCTTGAACGGGCATGGGAATTCCTACAGCAGCATCAGATACCGACAAGTGTGCTCGGAGTTTGGCAGCAAGATCCATCAGATATAAGGGACAGTGCGTTTTTCACATACGTCGCCGAGAATGAAAACAAGTCCGAGTATGTGTCGTCCTGTGCAAGAGAGGATTATATGGGAGATCAGGGAGACAGTTTTGAAGACATTCGGTCTGGAACACTCAACCGAGAGGTCAAGAAGCAAATAACCGCAGCAAGTGGTACTGTCCATAACTCAAAGAAAACATGGCTCCATTCACACTTCTTGAACGGAGCCGGACGGAACAAGCTAAAAGCTCGAATATTCAAGCAGCGTTCTCAAAATACCCATCGCCCACTCTCAGTCGTTACGTTTCCTAGCGAGCCGCCCAGTCCACCTTGCAGTCCGCCTCGCAGCATACAAAATGCCCCTGATGGTGTGGATCAACCAGGCCAAACCATAGCGACAAGACTTTCTAAGGAACCAGAGTCTTCCCGTGACTTCGAGTGGGATCATATTCTGAACACCCCAGTTTCGGCAAAGGTATTTGGGAACATGTCAAGATCCATGGATGCAATTGATGGGCTCAGCTCTTGGGAGTTGGAAACCGATCCACGTGTTTCTCTTCGCCAAAATCAACGTCAGATTCCTCCCACAAATTCACCTGCCCGTCAGAAGCCCACGTTGAGCGGAAATCTTATAAAGACGATTGACAATCGGGATTGTTATCACAGCGAAGCAAAGGACTCTTGCGACCCTGGCACCCGGCGAAAGCGGAACTCCAACAGGACCATCCGCCCTGTCGAGTCGAGGTTGATCCGAAGCATTGAATCTTCTTCAGAAAGCCAGGAAGCAATTTTCAAAAATTGGAAAGGGGCGAAGAGATCGAGGCTTTTAGTCAGAACACCCTCATATTCTCCTATTTCAGAGAACGAAGACTTCGACTGGGGAAAGTCTGATCCATCAACTTCATTGAGAGCTCTATCTTGTTCCCCGATTCCTGAGAACGAAGATCTCGAGGAACTCCCAGGTCTTATCCGAGGAGACCATAGTCGCGCCCGTATCAACTACGCATACAGACTCGGAAAGGTCAATGAGCCAACCCCTGGGACTGGCTGTCGAGGTTCTGTCGTGGAACCAAACCCTAAGATCAAGCTGGTCATGAAGAATCTTAAAAGAAAGAGAGATGCTGATCCCGTTAGTCACGAAGAAAGTCTTAGCAATTCCTTCAACAGCCCTCAAGTGACGGAGCGAAGGAGGTCCAAGACGACGTGGGAGGGTGAAGACTATGATGAGAGTCCGAAGAAGCTGAAGATCAAGGCGGCGGCCAAGTCAAAGCCAAAGGCCAAGCTAGAGGCCGAGCCAAAGATGGTCACGCGAGCAGCCAGGAGATCAATCGAGATAGGCCTTTCAAATCAATCCATGTCTGTTCGGAAGAGAGGTCCCAGAGGCCCTTACAGAAAGACACGGGAGAGATTGGCTAAGCGGCAGGATTGCATCATGGCTGACATAGACGTGAGGACCGGGAATGCAATCTGAAACTGAACGAGAGCTTTTGCGGAAAGGGGGAACAAACCAAAGGCGGGGAAGGGCTGGTACTGTTTCGAATCAGAACCAACCACCACCAAAAACAACACTCAAAAAACCCAGTGAGACGTAATAATTGGATGTGAGAGTCCTGATGGGCTGGATAGGTACATTGTTCAGGATACAAACACGGAACAGCACAGAAAAGCGAGCCTTGGAGGTTGAGGAACAGCGAAAAAGGGGCTAAGGGAACAAGTTTTCTTGCTACGGTTGTGCGGAGCTTGAGAACAGCATCCAGATCGCTGAGAGTGGGAGGAGAGATGGCAGGTTAGAGTAGGCCAGGGTATTCGTGAGAGCGTTTTACTGTCAAAAGAGAACCATGAAAGTGCACAAGAAGAGATCAATGGATCACAGAGCTTTTTAGCCTCAATTCTGTCTGCTCGAATTGAACAGCGCAAGTATACATTACACACGCGCTTGAGAAGTTCCCCTTTTCCTCATTTGGGCCATGAAAAGTATTCCGTCCCGTGTGTTTGGCAGAAGTAAGTGACCTCGGCTGCCTTAGTAACCAGACTGTTCCCTTCTATTATCGCTCCCACCACCGCTACCCTCTCCAGCACTGTCGACAGGCTTCGCACTCGCCTCGCGAATCCCACCTTCATCTCCACGCAACTTCTCAAAGTAGGCCTTGATATCCTCCGCAGAGACGGGCTGGCCGCTCTCGGCATACGGTTTTAGGAATTCCTTAACCTTATCCCGGAGGTGGTTGTAGACCATGACACCCTCGATGGCTTTGACGCGGTCCATCGTCGAGAGTGCCGCTTCGCCGCGATCTAGGAGGCTGGCGGTCCCATGGGAGCGGGTTCCTGAGCCGGCACCGGCGTGCGACCCGGACGCCGAGGAAATTGAAGGCTCGTAGGTGTCTTCTTCCTCAACGAGTTGTGGGTGGGGGATTAGATTTGGGTAGCATGCCGGGCAGTGGCAGATGTGATCGCGGAAATCCGGCTGGAGGAATAAGGAGAAGGATCCTTTTGGTACAGGGGGAAGGGAGTCGTGTTTGTGAGTGGGCTTTGTCTCAGTTGACGGTACGGAGGATGTGGGTTCGGTCGTGGCAGAGGTTGGAGGGTCGTCGTCCTCCTTAACACGCTTTGAAGGGCTTGAGGCCCCTGCTTCTAGGTCGCTGTCGGAAGCCTTGCGCTTGAGGTTGCTGGTGCCGTTCGTTGGTAAAGAGGGCTCATTGGTGCCATTAGTGTTCGTGCTCACGGGCGTACCCTGTCGAAAAACCGGCTTGAGAAAGCCAGGAGTACCAGCATACTTCTTGATCCAGGGATTTGATTCGACGCACTTGTAGCATATCATGGCGTCAAAATCGTCCTCGTCTGGGAAACCTGGCGGTACCGGGTGGGATACTTCTCCTTCCTCATCTTTCTGCGTCAAAGCCTGATTCCTGGGATCTTGGGTCTTGAACCAATCTCTTCTTAGACCCATCAGGCATTCGGGATGATACCAGTCTTCTCCGCAACCGCCCGTTTCAACTGTGCCTAACCCTAAACACTGGAACATGGTTCCCTTTTCTGTTTCGGCATCATATTCCTCTCCACACGCACAGAACCGATTTTGGTAGTTGTGATTGTAATGATTACCCTGTCTGGGTTCTTGGGAATGGACCCCTCTATTTCCTGTCCGGGAATCGGATCGAAGAGTGCAGGGCGAGCTGGAGGGCAGCCTGCTTGTGCCACAATCGCAGACGAAGTCGCGCCGGCTGAATAGTTCAACGAGGGTATGCTCGCCGTGGCAGGAGATAGAGCACGAGTAGCAAATTCCAGCGGGGACATAGACTTGCGCCTCAGAGGCAGGCGGCGGACTACATGTGAGACATGCAAACACATTCTGGCGGAGAGGCCCAAGGACGTTCGTGCATTTGTCGAATTTCTGTTACGTTGTCAGAAGAAAGCCGTTCAAGTCCGACGTGAGGACTGTTACATAGGGAAGGACTTCTCGAGCATCAGCCTCGAGGGCTAACTGTTGATTGATGAAACTAAGCGGGCAGATATCAGTATGGTCGAGATGTGAAGTTTGAATGATGCCTTACTCTGATGCCGTTTGGGAGTCCTTTGGTACCTGGCTGTCTATGCAGGCAGATTGTTTAGTTTCCGCATTCTCAGGAATGCCATCCATTGTTGCGATAGACGGGGAAGAAGGAGGCAATATGATAATGATGGGAAGAAAGGTCCAAGCAGAGAGAAGAGCAGTGAAGCCTGGCGCAATTTACTTTGGCAGTGAGGAGAACTGATGGCCCTCCGCTTTTCCACGAAGTGCCCTGCAGGCTGATGATGCCTGATTTGGTAGAGCGTTGCCCAAACACGCTCGCGACGCGTTTGAACTCACGCGTAAAGTGGTTGAATTGGAACAATTCACTTTGCTCAATTTTTGAACCACACATCCACCACGATTGCAAGACCACACTCCCTTTCCCGTCCAGTCGTTGAGGAAATATGAGGTACGTTACTGCGTCTTCTCCAAACGGAGATTTCTGCGCCGCGGCTGACTTTGTCAAAGTTCACCCCTCCGACCGAGCATGTCGGCTGCCAACAGAGGCCCTAGCAATGCCAGCCGGCGTAAGCGTGCCAGAGACGAAGACGAGGATATGGGATCTTCTTCACCAGTGCCAGGTTTGTATCTGCTCTCCCCGATCGTGCTAGAAGGACAATGCTGACTGTACAGCGCTCCCTTCGTCACCGCCTTTACTTCCAACCAACGAGAACGATGACATGGAAGACGATGATTTAGATGCAGAGGACGATCTCATCGGGGATATTGACGACGCCGATGAGATGGCCGAAGACGAAGATGGCATTGACCTCTTTGGAGACAATTTCATGAATGACGAGCGCGAACGCCGCGACCAAGAAACATACCAAGGCCGAATGATTGACGATGAGGGTGAATACGACGAGCTTGACCTGGCAGCTCGCCGCCAACTTGAGGCTCGTCTGAACAAACGTGACCGCGAGCTGGCTCGTAGACGGCAAATGCCCGCAGCATTCATGCCAGATGACGACGAAGATGCCGACATTGATTTAACAAAGCAACCCCGAAGACGCCGTCATCACTATGACGAAGACCAGGACGATATGGATGTCGACGAAAACATCATGGAAGAGGAACTCTCTCTCGAAACATTGCAAGATGTCAAGGCGTCCAATACTACCGAATGGGTGACTCTTCCATCCGTCATGAAAACCATTGCCCGAGAGTTCAAGTCATTTTTGACAGAATACATTGATGCCAATGGCACGTCGGTCTACGGATCTCGCATTCGTACTTTGGGCGAGGTCAACTCCGAGTCTCTTGAAGTCTCATATGATCACCTATCCTCGACAAAGGCCATTCTCGCCTATTTTCTAGCCAATGCTCCGGCAGAAATGCTTAAAATCTTCGACAAAGCAGCCTTTGAGGTCGTTCGTCTGCATTATCCAAACTACGAACTGATCCATCCGGAAATCCATGTGCGAATCTCGGACTTGCCGGTCCAATACACGCTGCGTCAACTTCGACAATCGCACCTGAATTGCCTTGTCCGGGTTTCGGGAGTGGTGACCAGGCGAACGGGTGTCTTTCCCCAACTCCAGATGGTCAAGTTCACTTGCACCAAATGCGGCGTTACCCTTGGGCCGTTTGCTCAAGAATCGACATCGGCAGAGGTAAAATTGACGTTTTGTCAGGCCTGCCAATCTCGAGGACCCTTCACACTAAACAGTGAAAAGACCGTCTACCGAAACTACCAGAGGTTGACTCTACAGGAGTCTCCGGGCACTGTTCCAGCCGGTCGACTCCCCCGACATCGGGAAGTTGTGCTCCTTGCCGATTTGATTGATACGGCGAAACCAGGCGAAGAGATCGAGGTCACCGCTATCTACCGCAACAACTATAGCGGACAGCTGAACAACAAAAATGGCTTCCCTGTCTTCGCCACCATGCTTGAAGCCAATCACATCATCAAAACTCACGATCAACTCGCTGGTTTCAGACTGACTGAAGAGGATGAAAGACAAATCAGAGCCCTTTCTAAGGATCCAAAGATCGTGGAGAAGATTATTGACTCGATAGCCCCGTCCATATACGGTCATCAGGACATCAAGACTGCAGTTGCTTTGTCGCTTTTCGGAGGCGTCAGTAAAGAGGCACAAGGTAAGCACAAGATTCGTGGCGATATTAATGTACTCCTGCTTGGTGATCCTGGTACCGCCAAATCACAGGTTCTGAAGTACATTGAGAAAACTGCACATCGAGCCGTCTTCGCTACCGGGCAAGGTGCTTCAGCCGTCGGTTTGACCGCGTCTGTCCGACGTGATCCCCTGACAACGGAATGGACGCTCGAAGGAGGAGCTCTCGTTCTTGCTGACCGCGGGACCTGTTTAATCGATGAATTCGACAAAATGAATGATCAAGATCGAACCTCCATCCACGAAGCTATGGAACAACAAACTATCTCCATTAGCAAGGCTGGTATTGTTACTACTCTTCAGGCACGCTGTGCCATCGTTGCTGCTGCCAATCCCATTGGGGGACGATACAACAGTACAATACCTTTTGCTGCAAACGTGGAGCTTACGGAACCAATCTTGTCTCGGTTTGACATTCTCTGCGTCGTCAAGGATACCGTTGACCCGGCCGAAGATGAGCGTCTGGCGAATTTTGTGGTCAACAGTCACGGACGAGCACATCCCTCGAGGCTCGGTGTGGGTGCAGGTGACACAGTGGCTGTGGAAACTGAAGAGACGAATGCAGCCAACAACGATGAACCACAACAAGAGGGGGCGATTCCACAAGAGCTACTTCGCAAATATATCCTGTATGCGCGGGAGAAATGTCGACCGAGGCTGTACCAAATCGACCAGGACAAAGTTGCTAGATTGTTTGCGGATATGCGAAGAGAGTCATTGGCAACCGGGGCTTACCCTATTACCGTGAGTTGGTTTAATCCCTACCGCTGTCGATGGGTATTGACAAATGCTATAGGTTCGTCACCTCGAGGCAATCATGAGAATCGCAGAAGCCTTTTGCAAAATGAGATTGTCCGATTTCTGCTCCTCCCAGGACATCGACCGAGCGATTGCCGTGACAGTTGATTCATTTGTTGGCAGTCAGAAGCTTAGCTGCAAGAAGGCGCTAGCAAGGGCATTTGCGAAGTATGCTCATCCCCTGAAAATTTTGGTAGAAGCTAACCACGCATCCAGATATACACTCAGAAAGCCAGACCGTCAACGAACTCGAGTCGCAGGAAGAGGAGCCAACAATGTCGGGACGGTTGCAGCATAAGGGACCTTTCAGCGTAGACATACTGAAACTTCATGAGTTGATGAATGTTGAGTATTGAATGTTTTCCTGGGTCCTGGACGGTGTTAATATGACTTAAGTAATCCAAGAAGGGAATGTCGCAGAAATTCGGTCGGACCAAGAACCTATAGATTCTATCAGAAAGACTTCCTGTGATCTCCGACTAAGTGGGCTCCCGATTTGACGCGAAATCGCGTGTTCTAGCGCGATTGACATTTTCTTGACACGCAGGGCGCGCCTTCTTGGTCACTATTCTTTGAGGAGTCGAGCAGGGAAAATAGTCAATCCTGACCACTGTCAAGGCCATTGAACCAGTTAGTGTCTGTTGATGCGCGTATTCCGAGTTGTTTGCTGAACAATCCATTTGGAGCTCTCTCGAAGCTCAATATTCCAAACACCTTGACCCCTCAATTCTCACCGAAGAACATATCAGGAACAACAATGGTCACGTCCTCAACGACTTCCGGATCTGCAACCCCAGCTATGTCTTCAGACCACAGTACACCCCCGTCATCTCCTGTCCACGCCAGCCCTTCCGAGGCCAATGCCGCCGTCAAAAACGAACCCTCAGCGCAGTCCGAAACCAAAGCGACCGACGAGGACGACGATGATGAGATGGATCACAAGTCAAGAGCACTCACGAACCTTCTAAAGACGAGCTCGGTCTTTGTGGCCATTATGGCAGATAGGATGAAGGAGCAACAGCGGCGCAGTCAGGAGGCGGCTCGACGTGCAGCCATGAAGAAGCGGAAGAATGAAGTTAAGGCCGCGGAACCAAAAGGTCCAACTAGGAAATCTGCAAGGACGCATGCTGCGGACGAGACAGGCACAACGGCGGGAAGAGGAGAGACTGAGAAGAGCAGTCGAGGCCGAGGGCGACCGCCCAAGAAAGCGAACGGTGCCAAAAAGAGCATCACAGACTATTTTGACGCTGAGACCATTGAGATTTCTCAAGACGGCCCAACGGTCCAGGAAGCACTTGCAGAGGCTGCCGATGAATATGGAGGAGAAGGCCTTGGTGCTCAGGACCTCATTGCTACCGAACAACCCTCCCTTGTCACTGGTGGCCAGATGAAACAATACCAACTGGAGGGCTTGGAATGGTTGAAGTCGTTGTGGATGAATGGTCTCTGCGGTATCCTAGCCGACGAGATGGGACTAGGAAAGACGTTGCAAGCTATATCACTGATCGCATTCTTCAAAGAAAACAACATCTCTGGCCCATTCTTGATTGCCGCTCCCTTGAGCACCGTGCGGAATTGGATTGAGGAATTCAAGCATTGGACCCCGACCATCAACACAATACTGTATCATGGCAGCAAAGCTGACCGAGACGCGATGAGACGGAAGAAAATGAAAATCCAAGACCAGAGCAAACTCGAGTTTCCCGTGGTGGTCACCAGCTACGAAATATGCATGAACGACAAGAAATTCCTGGCAAATTACCAATGGCGATATATCATCGTGGACGAAGGGCACCGCTTAAAGAACATGAACTGCAAATTGATAAAGGAGTTGATGACGTACCACTCTGCCAACCGACTCCTAATAACAGGTACCCCTCTTCAAAACAATATCGCCGAACTGTGGTCTCTTCTTCACTTCCTGCTACCCGAAGTCTTCAACGATCTCGATAGTTTCGAGAAATGGTTTGACTTCTCAAGCGTACTGGAAAATAAGACTGATGCCGATGGCAGGGCCCTGAAACGCAAGAATAATCTTGTGTCCACCATGCACGCAATCCTCAAGCCTTTCTTGCTTCGCCGGGTCAAGACCGATGTCGAGTCATCATTGCCCAAAAAGCGAGAGTATATCCTATACGCACCTTTGTCCTCGGAGCAGAAAGAGCTGTACAGGGAAATTCTTGCTGGGACAAGCAGGTCGTACCTTGAAGAGAAGGCGGTCGAACGAATTGAGGCTAAAAGCCGTACCGCCTCCCTCAAACGTAAAGCCAATGATAGCGGACGTTCCACGCCAGCGAAGAGCGTCAAGCAAAGCCGCGACTCTACTCCTGGATCGGTCACATCCATGGGATCGGTTCGCCGTGGTCGAAAGGCAGGCCGGGCTAGCTACCGCGACGTGACAGACCGTGAGTTCAACGCGCGACTTCGTCGACTGGAGCACGGTGAAGAAGACATCAACCTCGACCGCGCATCTTCGTTCGAAGAATCCCGTGATATCTCGTCTGATGAGACGGAGGAAATTGAACGAGCACAAACGCTCAAGCTAGCTAAGAAAGAGATATCGTCAAAGAAATTACAGAATCCTATAATGCAAGCCAGACTCGCCTGCAACAGCCCGCACAACTTCTACTGGCCATGGAAGCCCAGTACCGAGGCTGAGGAGGAGTCAGGAGACGATCCGAAAGTGGATGACAGCCTGATCAAAGCATCTGGCAAGATTCTTCTTCTCGACACCCTTCTCCCGCGACTCTTCGAATTCGGCCACAAAGTCCTCATTTTCAGCCAGTTCAAAACCACTCTTGACATCCTGGAAACTTATGCCGTTGATTTACGTGGCTGGAAAGTATGCCGAATTGATGGTTCCGTGGCGCAAGAAGACCGATACGCGCAAATTACCAAATTCAACACCGATAAATCCTATAATCTGTTCCTATTATCTACCCGCGCTGGAGGCCAAGGAATTAACTTGACGGCAGCAGACACGGTGATCTTGTTCGATTCTGACTGGAACCCGCAGCAGGATTTGCAGGCGATGGATCGCGTACATCGAATCGGCCAGACCAAGCCCGTCATCGTGTACCGGCTAGCCACCCGGGGTACGGTTGAGGAGACTCTTCTTCTGAAAGCGGAGGGGAAGAGAAAACTCGAAAAGCTGGTGATTCAGAAAGGGAAATTCAAGTCTCTCCTCTCAGACCTCCATCCTCTATCCGGCGCGGATTTGAATGATGTTCGAGGAGTTTTGGCGAACGATGATTTTGAAAAGTACGACATCGCACACTCTGACGGCCAGGAAGCGATCTTGAGCGAAGACGAGTTGAGCATCCTGACTGATCGGAGTGACAAAGCCTACGAGCGCGTAGAGAGGGGTCTCGACATTGGTGGTGAAGGCAAGGCATTTAAAGTCGCCGAGACCAAGAGAGGTGATGGTGGCACTGCGAATGTGCTGGACGACCTGACAGTCAGAAGGAAGCCTCAACCAAAAACAGAATGAGCCCTCTCTGTTGGAAAGACATGCTGTATTTGGATATTGGGATGGTCCTCAACGCCCGGTGTACAACAGTTCGGCTCTTTCCATTTCGCATCCGCCGTCATTCTATCCGACGGGCGAGGTCAGCTCGCAGCACGTGGTGACCTGAAGCGGTGGAAAATTGTGATTGTCCCCTTGGTGAATTCCACCATCTTCGTCCTGCTCGGGGGGTTTTGATTAATTGCATCCAAATTCTTGGCGGTCAATCTCTGGTGGAAGTAGAAGATGCTTAATAATTAATTAATTACACGGCGTGCTTCCCCATGTGCGGTTACCTACGTACCTTCCGCATCCTCTCCAACACTCCGCCAATCTGAATTTCTGTTCTCCTAATCCATACTTTATCGCCTAATATCTCCCGGTCGTTGATAAACAAATACATTATCAAGAAGCTACATCATGCGAGATATCTGCTGCTTACTTGGTCCCTGTGGATCGGCCGATTTATCCTTTACCACGCCATCAATAATCACGATCATGTGCCCGACCCAGTCCCAAGGCCGCTGGACACCCTTGCACCCGAAGTTATCCTAAGGAGTTCGCGGTGTCTATGGAGAGAGTTCATACGTCGGGGGTCTTGGAGGCCCCAGTCAAGCGATATACGGGAAGATACGCACCCGGAAATGTGCCTGATTTCACGATCCACCACACATTCACCCGGACGGGATGTCTTAAATCAGAAATTCCGCCGGGTGATGAGGTGCCAATGATCAAGCGGTAGGTATCCTTTTGTTACACCTCTCCATCTCTACCTTTCTTTTCGAATCCAGACGGTCAATTGCAACCTTTGAACTGAAAAGCTGTGCTTCCTTCAACCCTCGAGCCTTGCCCCGTGGTCACCTGATCTTCCCTGGTTCTAGCCTGGTTCAACCATGTTACTCTCCAAGGATAATGCCTTGCATTTCACCTACGACTCGGAACATGTCCAGATCGAAACTTGGGGCCCCAACGCCCTCCGAGTTCGTGCTACAAGGTTCCATACGCTGCCATCTGAAAATTGGGCCTTGACCGAGGTACCTCCTGCTATTGTCCCGTCAATTTCCATCCGTGATGACCATGCCTCAATTAGTAACGGCAACATCTCTGCAACGATCTCGTCACGTGGCAAGATCATTATCAAGAACTCCAAAGGCGAACGGCTCTTGGAAGAGTACACCCGCAACCGCTCCGATGTCGAGGATCCAAAATGTAGCGCCTTGATGATCGACGCCAGGGAATTTAAGCCTCTACTTGGCGGTGACTACCATTTGACTTATCGACTGGAATCCATCGACCCGAAAGAAAAGATTTACGGTATGGGTCAATATCAACAACCTTTCCTAGACCTCAAGGGGCTTGATCTGGAAATGGCCCAGCGGAACTCCCAAGCCAGTGTACCTTTCATGCTTTCAAATCTCGGGTATGGCATGCTCTGGAACAATCCAGCGGTGGGACGTGCAGTTTTGGCCAAGAACACTATGAGTTTCGAAGCCTTCTCCACCAAGGTTCTTGATTACTGGATTGTGGCTTCAGACATGCCATCCCAGATTGTCGAAGCATATGCCGACGTCACTGGGAAAGTTCCGATGATGCCTGAGTACGGGCTCGGTTTCTGGCAGTGCAAACTGCGGTACCAAACCCAAGAAGAACTATTGGATGTTGCACGAGAATATCGGAAGAGGAACTTGCCGCTCGATGTCATCGTAGTGGACTTTTTTCATTGTACGTTCGGCCCAATTCGCTCTGCAGTGGACAACAGGTCCAAGACTAACCTTCCATACGCAGGGCCAAAGCAAGGAGAATGGAAATTCGACCCCACATACTGGAAAGACCCCGGTGAGTCCGCCATGCGAAGATTGCTGTTAACCTGGAAAGAATCGTCATCAGCAACAGCACCTGAGCTCCAACTCCAATCCTCTTCTTCAACCATGAAACTTGAACTCGATATTTCCGCTCCTCCTTCACCCGCACGGCACCCTATTAAGATGGAACAACTGTAAATCTGACGAGCGAAATCTTTGTGATTTTCATATTACAGACACCATGATCAAAGAGCTTCGGTCAATGAATATCGAACTTCTCGTCTCGATCTGGCCAACCGTTGACAAACAAGCCGAAAACTACGATTATATGGTGGAGCATGGACTATTGATTCGGCAGGACCGAGGGCCCCGTATCTCTATGGATTTCCAGGGCGAGACCGTTCACGCAGATTTCACAAACCCTGCAACAAGAGAATTTGTATGGAAAACGGTGAAGAAGAACTACTACGACAAAGGTGTGAAACTGTTCTGGCTTGATGAGGCGGAGCCGGAATATAACGCTTATGACTTTGACATCTACCGTTACCGTAGCGGCAGCGTGTTGAGTTCAGGCAATGCCTATCCAGTGGATTATGCCAGAGCATTCTACGAGGGAATGGTGGATAATGGGGAGCAGAAGGATGTGTGTAACCTCATTCGTTGTGCGTGGGCCGGAAGTCAGAAGTTTGGAACTCTCTTGTGGAGTGGTGATATCGCAAGCAGTTGGGAGAGCTTCCGAGATCAATTTGCTGCTGGATTGAATGTGGGCATTGCTGGTATTCCTTGGTGGACAACCGATATTGGTAAGATCTATTTCCGACCCGGCTACAATTATGATATTAATGCTCTTTTTCTTTGGGATCACAGGTGGCTTCCACGGAGGGAACCCGAAGCATCCCGAGTTCCGCGAGCTCTGTACAAGATGGTTCCAATACGGTAAGCACACTCTCAAAAGTCTACCGTATTGAAAATTTCATCAAGGATACTAATTACTGATTGGACTTTCTCTATCAGGTTGTTTCTGCCCAGTCTTCCGTCTCCACGGTGATCGCGAACCCAAGCAACCCCAGCATGGAACCACTGGCGGAGCGACATGCGTCTCCGGCGCGCCCAACGAGATCTGGTGCTATGGAGAAGAATGCTATGAAATTATGAAAAAGTACCTGTTTCTCCGCGAGAGACTGCGCCCTTACGTCCGCGAACTCATGACTCAGGCGCACAAACAAGGCACTCCAGTTATCAGGACGCTGTTTTGGGAGTTCCCTTTGGACGAAAAATGTTGGGAAATCGAAAATCAGTATCTGTTCGGCAACAAATATTTGGTCGCTCCCGTCATGTACAAGGGCATGGTGAAGAGAGAAGTGTACTTGCCCAAAGGCGCAGTGTGGAGGAGATTCGATGACGGAAAAGTCAAGGATGCTGAGGCGTTTGAAGGCGGGAAGACGGTGGAGGTTGATTGTCCATTGGCTGTCATGCCCGTCTTTGAGAGGGTGTGAAGATTTGTAGATCTTTGACCGCCAAAGCCGACAGGCTGAGGTGGAAAGGGGTTCGGGATCTCCAATGAATGCTATGGACAGGTACTCTCTCTCCTATAGAAACTGTCACGTCCTTGAGATAGATACAAGCGAGCCAAAGTCATCCAATACACGCCAATTGCAGTCGAAGAGTTTGTTGCTATCGAGAGTCAGGTGAAAATGCGAGATGCATACAAGTCGTGTAACAGTGCAAACGAAGCTGTGTTCGCATCAAGAACGAGGCAAGTGATACATCATCCGAATATCTGTTGAGATCCAAAGCGCTCTTTTGATATTCATCATGGTTCGACAGCATGACAGACGCCTAGACAACCCTCTCGTACAAGGCTCGCTCCTGACTGATCTTCCAAGTCTCGGACCATTCAGTAGCGCGTGGTCAGTCTGATGGCGGCAATATGCCTGAAACACTGATGGCGAGAGAACAGAAAGTCTCAAGCCTTCGGTTATTCCTTGGACTGATCCAAGATGAACTGCAAGTAGACATGTTCAAAGCAATTCAATTAGAGATATTTTCTCCCTCAACTTGGCTTTCATCGCATGACATATTTGTGGCCGCAACTGAAAGGAGTCATGAGACTTGGTGCCAGCACTAGATATTCGAATTCTATCACACAGAATTCATCTCCTCGCCTCTGCTATGGAACCCCGGCGCTGGCAAAGAGGATCTTGGTTTACTTGATAACGACAGACGCCACACCTTGAAAATTATGCTATGTGCCACAGGATGGCACACCACCTGTTAATGTCCAAGGTCTTAGATCCACCGATGGAGTATACATGTCCGCAGATCGTCGGTCATTGATAAAAGAACTGTATGTAGCTCTCATCGATATCGACTACAAATGAGAGGCCCTTCGATCCTTGGGATACTTTCGTGGTACACGAGCTTTCGAAGATGCCCCGTATTATTGTATAAGTCATACTTGGAGAGGTGGAAATCTACATGAATGGTGATTCCAGAAAGTGTCCCACGGTGGAAAGCCCCAGGAAGCTACGAGTTTGGAAGTTGCGATATTACCCGAAATCCTAAAGATTTGTGCTAGCCGTCTGAAGACGAGATTTTTGTGGTTTGACTTGGTTTGCGGGCCAAAGACGATGGTCATGGCGAGCTGGCCGAGTTGGCGCGACAAGAGATATCCCGACAAGGTGCTCATTCTCTGGCACACAAGCTCCTACGCAGCCTGGTTCAATTACATCGACAACTAGGAATATGAGAAAGCCACCATTGACTATTTGATTCTGGCATATTTGAACTTGTCCACAACTCAGACCGTTATGAGACCGACACATTATTGGCCGGTGCTCGACAAGGTGCAGAGCTCCCCATACGGTTCACCGCCCACCCAGCCCACAATCCTTACTTTGGTCCATTTGTATTCAATCTTTCATGTCCAGCGAGCTCACGAGTTGGCTCTCGGTTTCGGCCTGGAGACTGGAGCAAGCCCTCTGCCTGGTTTCCGTCGCTTTGGAAACTACAGGAAGCATACCTGCGTCCTCATACGATAGTCATGGACCGGAGATGGAATCTATCGAACAGCGCAGGCACGATTTTCACGCTGAAAATGGCCTCAGCCTTCATCAGGATGACAAAAGGACTGCGGATGACCAATCTATTCAGAGTGTGTGATCCAGAAAGTCGCCCACAACGTGGACCAAGCTCGGGCCGTGAAAAGTTAGCTATGGGACCCGCGCAACTCTTTAACCTATTTGGCGGCACCCGGCTCATCAGTTCCAGTCATCCTTTGCGAGCGCACGTCTTGGTTCAAGAAAATGCTTGTCAATGCACTGGCTGACGTGCAAGCCAATTATGTCAATGCTTGAAGTGACCGACTGATCCGCTGAGGCACTATCCCACCAAGATTTTGTACTCGGCATGTATCCATTGGCTTTCGTCAACGAGGTGAGAGGGAAAAATTGAAATCAGATTTCTTTCTTGCCAGAACAATCGAAGTCCAGGACCATCCTGAAAATACTCCTTCGCGGCGGTTCGTAGATCTACGCTTCCATTCGCAGAACTGGACCCCCAACGTCTTGTGAGAGGCAAGACGTGAAGATGCACTTATTTCGGGCTGGTAATCCATGTCTCCACAGATCTGTTCATTCTTGGTCACTTGGTCGTACAGATGCCTTCACAATCAAAGCAGGCTGTTGTTTTAGCTTCGAGTGAGGGTAGTCATCCAGCCATTATTCCCATCCGGGTTATACTAAGGTACCAATTATTTCCAGAGGAGGATATCCACAAAGACGGAATCGACGTCGAGCAGTGGGTGAAGGAACGGCTAAAGCAATATATCTCCTTTGTGGGGACTATTCTCGCAACTTGGGCTTGATCTTCTGGATTCGGATTTCTGCGCAGTCGGCCTCTGATGTTGATCAAGGTCGGATGCCATGAAGTCTTCGGCCGCTTGAAAAATGGGGAGTCGCCCGATTCGGACGACGTTTGGATTCCACCTCAGCCGGTTGACTGAGTGCCAACAAAGGAAGTCGACTGGATTATGCTTTGACTGATTGAAGGAGACAGATTTTGGAGTTGATATTTTTGAGTAGATTTCATTGTTATCACATTGCACTCGAGGTCTTTTTGGATTGCAGCATCTACATTTACAAATCCGTGTCATGAGTACAGACGAGAGTGGCTCCAAATTGGCGGTTCACTTCGGTGTTCACAAACTCTGAGAGACAAATGTTACGTTGCCGACGGTCCGTTCCGGCACCCAGACTGGGGAAGACCTGCTCCGAGATCTGCCCATGGTGCCTGCTTCTGCCGGCCTGAGATCTTTCTTCAGCTGCGATCGAATATGAAAACGTTTTACCCATCTTCGGTATTTCCTATACGTCGACATCGCGAATGCTCAAGTATTATCGTGTTACCTACGGTTGAAAGAGAGAACGGAACTATACCCCCTGTCTTCTGCACATGAGAATAATCATTTTGGATTTCTCGCCATTCAAACTTGCGCGATGTGTTGTATAGAGAAGGCTCCATACAGTAATTCCGCGGATAAAAGTTCAGGCAGTACAATGTCAATGTACTTTCGACTCTTGTCTTGACCTTTCAGTGTGCCTATTAGCTCTGACTGTATTGATCGTTTGGCACTTCTTGCCGCTTTCGGTATTTTAGTATGTGAAAGAGACACTCTGATTGGCTAACTTTGCTTACTAGAAATGAAGCTTAACGACACAGTCGATAGGTTTAACCCGAATATGGTTAGATTGGTGTTAACGCCCACTCAACTTCGTCTACACTCTACATTCTATACATCTTCCCATTTCCAGTCGCGACGCGAAAGATTAGAGAGCATCGAAAGCGTGTAGCTAGATAATTCAAACGCATCTGTTGCGACGGATGTCTGATTATCGTTGATGCATAGTTTCACATGCATTAGGAGACGGCCAATAATCAAGAGCGACGCTTACGCCCAAACGGATCATGTAAACGCATCTGCTACTGAAACATCAGGCGGCGCTGTACAGGTGTGTCTTAGTCTGCACAGCGCATCAACTGAATATGTCTCATGGGCAGCTATTGGCATTGACCGACTGACGCTTTGAAGTTGTTAGCAGGCCCTGTTCTTGGCAAGCTTTCAAGACGGAATGGTGCTACATCAGGACGATGATCGCACTTTAATCGCAAGGAATCTTGATATGAACCTTCTTGCTTCTGGAATTCGTCTCATGTTGCTGTTTCGGCGAGGTGAGCTGATTTGTTATCCGGGGACAGATCCCTCTCAAATTGACAAGGCCAATTCAAAGTCTCTGTTGACAACAAAGATGGAATCTTGATCGCGACGGTCCGGCTGCATGGCGTGATTGTGTCGGAAACATCTGGTTGACACCGACGGTAGAAGGAGGCTTCAGACCACCTAATGCCCTATCGGGTAGCTCTTATTCTATGGTACTCGGTATATCCTCAGTCAATCTGGCTCTCCATATTTTGCGCTTCTACCGAAACAGCCAAGCAGAAATATCACTTTCAGGAGAGGATCTTGACCAGCACTTGTCCAAGCCAGGTGACTCACTCACATAAGACAAGAGATTGCTTTGATAATATCTGGATGCTCGATAACCGATACTTCTCTCGCTGCAGACTCGCGGCCTCGCATCAACCCATTCAACGGCCAGCATTCGGTTAATCGAATTACCTTGTCAACGAGCGAGGTGGCGATATTTTGAAAGGCCAGATCTTGATGGCGACCTGCAACTAGCGAAGCTAGCCCAGATTGCTGCCGCCCGTGCCCATAGCTGTCTAAACAAAATATTCCACCACAATTCGGTATCAGTTGCAATTATGGGGCTCTTTTGGCGTGGTGGATGCCCTCATCCAAATGCAGAGCTGGGATTAGGCTCGGCATCCTCCTCAGATGGTAAGTGTACACTGAAACCCAGGACACCTTGAAACTCGTCCTTTGTACATGATGAATCTGCCTTCTGGCTAAAAGTTCACCCACCAGATCAAGTGACTTGCTGGAGATAGGAGTGCAGCCTCTGCAGTAATTCAACGAGGATCCTGGAATTGTGATTCTGTTCTGGTAGAGTTGAATGCCACCAAGCCACATCTGATGATGAAAGCTATGTTTCTCTATTCTTGCATCTTGGAAGGGATGTCATCCGTATTGTCGGCATCGGCGACAATCTTCGTACCTTTCTCGTGGAGAAATGGTTCGTCTGAGGTCTGGAGGATGGGGCCGAAGAGACCTGCCTAATACTCCAGATTTACAAGAAAGCCTGAATTACAGCCAGGCGTTATCAATGGCTTTCTTTTTGCCACTTCCCCAGGCAACATAGCACGATTCTAGTGAAAGGGGAAAAGAGCCGTTCTTATCTTCGGCCCATGTTACCGCGCAGATGGTTATAAACATTGTTTTCCCGAAATATTCCGGCCAAGGGCTCTTGGACTCAGGCATAAAGATCGGAATAATTCGACGTCTCTTCTCACTCCCAAGGACTCACGACTGCACATTTCCTCAGTGCTCGTTTCCACCGGCAAGAATACAAAGGAGCGCGTCATTCTTTGCCCTGCTGCTACTCATGATCTAGATTCGGACCTGCCACATCAGACCGGTTTCATACATGTTTGCCAGACTACAGTAAAGTGTGGTTCCCAGCGTGGATTCAGGACAAACCCTGATTAGAGTTCAGCAAGTATGCCTTCAACACTGGTTACCGACCGCCAAGCTGGTGCCTTTTGAGGCCTAGAAGGGGCTCATGATCCTGGATAGTTGAACAAGTCGTTTGTCAAAGTCGCACACTACGTTTGAAACAGTTACCATATGTGTGTGAGAGAAGTACGGGGGCAATTGATATACGAACGCTGAGGTTCAAATTAGATCCGGATAGCCGATCCATGAAAGAGAGACGAGTGCTCGGCAATTATACGAGGCAGAATAAGGGGCATGAATCTTTCCCACCTCTTATCTCAATGACTGTTCTGAGGACTCCAGATTTCCCCAGGCTTCAGCTTATTCGTTCACCCGGTATACGCACGGTTTTTGGTACTGTGAAGGCGTACTCTCTGACGGACACCCACAACGCAAAGCTGTATACTCCGTAATTTCCCCAGGATATGACTGTCGTCTTCCCAGATTGGGACGAGATCACAAACACTCGCCGAGTTTCTGTCACGCGGACGGTCCTGCTCCGATCATGGTCTTGTGTTCGTGTCCAGCGTGAACCTTCTCGTCCTTATTGCCAACACCTAGCCACCAGAGAATAACTCGTGCTCCATACATTGACTTTCCAAACAGCATCGAGATTAGGAAAGGCGGTCCGGGTGATCGTTTACGCGTACCAGGCCAGGAATTTCTGGCCTAGGGCCGGACGGGGGCCTCTTTCATCTTGATGCAGTGAACAGATCAATGATCTAGTGATGATTGGCTTGCTAGTGGAGAGGGATACCGGCTCCACCCCCGCATTGTGGTAGAAATGCTGGTGGGTTCTGTATAGACAATTGGCCGGTAGAGTTCCAAGCTCCGCCACCTTACAACGCTTGGCAGCCTTAGTCACGGCATCTCCACGCCCTCGCAAGCTACCACCCCAATTCTGGCGTCTTGCTCTGTCACTTCTCCCAGTGTTACAGGCATTATGTCTTCTCCAAAGCCTTCAGAATATGCCCATTACGGCAGCTCCCCGTAGAGCCTTCTCCACGCCCTGTCCTCTGGTTGATCAGCATTTTAACAATTTCCGTATCATCGTTTCTTGTTTCTGCTCCCTACTCCGGCGCCCTTGCTCTTGATTAGCGAGTGTGACATGTTCATTTGCAAACGATCGGAACGACAGGCACCTTGAACCCTGACGATTTGACCTTCAAGAGGGGTACTGTCTCACATCTTCTCCATGTATTGATATTCCCGGCTGTATCCTTTTTCCCTAAAGCCTTTTCAGTCTCCTTTTGGTATCAGTCCGTAAACACACCCCCCCCTTTCTGCCATCCTTTTTGCTTTATATAGTCATCATTGCTCGAACCTCAAACTATTAACAGGAAGAAAAAAAATAAAATAAAAGGGAAGACACTCGTTGCCGTCATGAAGGTCTACGAGAAGGTCAAGAATGACATTAAGACCGATGTCACCTGGAACCGGGTGTACCGGTATGGTATCCTTGGTGTCAAGGCTGCCCCAGAAGCGGCAGCTTTGTACGTCTTAGAGAAATTCCCCATCATCGGATGGCTCCCTCGTTATGATTATCGATGGCTCCTAAACGACTTCGTGGCGGGCTTGACTCTCGCTATTATGTTGATCCCCCAGAGTCTGGCGTATGCAAAGATTGCCACGATTTCAGTGCAGTGGGGTCTCATGTCCTCATGGCTGCCAGCCGTCATTTACGCCTTCATGGGCACTTCAAAAGGTATAATCGGTCTCCAACAAGAAAACCACAGTTTTGCTGACTTTTTTGCCTAATCAGACCTGTCGACTGGACCGACCTCACTTATCGGCCTCCTTACCTCGGACGTTATCTCAGATCTCACAAAAGAGGGTTACACCCCATCACAGGTAGCTTCCGCCGTAGCCCTGATGATGGGTGTATATGGAATGGGCCTCGGGTTCTTGAAGTTGGGCTTCCTGCTCGATTTCATTTCCTACCCTGTCCTCACTGGTTTCATTTCTGCTGCTGCCATCACCATCGGCTTGGGTCAGGTCGATAATCTCATTGGTGAAGACAATGTCGGCGATGGTACCGCCAACATCATCCATGATGTTTTCTCCAACTTCAATACCTGCAATGGCCGCGCAGCCGGGGTCGGATTCGCCGGCATCATTCTCCTGACCATCCTGCAAAAGGCCGGTGAGAGATGGGGCAGTAAGAACCGGATAATCTGGTTCTTGTCCATCACTCGTGCTTTCATCGCGCTCCTCTTGTTTACCGGCATCAGCTATGCAGTGAACAAGGGACGGGATCCAGATGATTTCCTCTTCGATGTAAGTGAGGTTCCCTCGACCAAAATTGGCTCTCCCAGGCTGCCCAATGGGTTTGACGGGAAACTCATCGCCAAGGCCAGTGGTGGCAGTATTGCTGCCTTCATTGCGGCAGCTGTCGAACATTTGGCCATCGCTCGTGCTTTTGGCTTGAGAAACAACTATGTCACAGATGCCAGCCAGGAACTCTGCTACTTTGGAGTGACAAACTTCTTCAACAGCTTCTTTGGAGCTATGGGTGTTGGCGGTGCCATGTCTAGAACCGCCGTGAACTCCCAATGCAAGGTCAAATCTCCCTTGTCTGGCTTCATCACCACCGGGTTCATTGTGCTTTCCATTTACAAATTCACCGGTGCTCTGTACTGGATTCCAAAAGCCACTCTCTCGGCCATCATCATCACTGCCATATGGCCACTGATTGGCTCTCCAAGGACTTACTATCATTTCTGGAAGACCTCACTTGCCGACTTCATTGCTTCTATGATCTCTTTCTGGGTGTCTCTGTTTGTCAGCACCGAGATAGGTATTGCCAGTGCCGTGGCTTTCAACATTGCCTATTGTCTTCTTCGTCAGGTCTTCAAACGGATTACCACTGTTGGTTCTGATGCACGCTCAGAACTCGCGGCTTCCTTAGATGCTGTTCGTGGAATGCCTTCAGACATTTCACCAGACACCCGCATCTTCCGTTTCAATGAGTCCTTCTTCTTCCCCAATGTCAACCGCGTGAAGACTATTATCCTCGACACTATTCAAACATACCATTCTCCGGAATACAGCCAGTTGAATGGCGAGGAGGCTGATCGGAACTGGTCGGTTGAGGGGGAGAGGCGTGTGGCCCGTCTGCGAAGGAAGGCTAAAACCCGAGGCGTCAATCTCCCCCTGCTTAGAGTTCTGGTGCTTGACTTCAGCAAGGTCAACTACTTTGACACAACTGCTGTCTTGGGCTTGAAGAACTTCTTCGTTGAACTCAAGAAGTATGCAGGAGAGAAAGTGGAAGTTCGATTCGTTGGCCTGGCCGAGATGACGCGTGAGCGATTCGAACGTGCGGGATGGGTCCTTATGGATCCCGATGCCTCCACTGATGGCGTATCGATGACTTCAGTGCGAGTGTTTAGAAGTGTGGCTGATGCGGTATATGCGTCCAGGCAGCCGGAGGAAGTCTGCGAAGTTGTTGTCAAGGGAGATCCGGACGAAAGTCCCGCCTCGATCTCTCACCGAGAGAAGATGTAAGACCTTACCATTATCGAAAAGCACACATATGGATTAGCAGCCCTGGGCATTTGTATGGGCACGGATGATGTTTTGGTGAGCCATATTGGCCACACGTTTGTTTTGATCGAGGATGAGGATATGAATCATGAGGGCATTTTATTGGTGACGAAGATGATTGGCCGGCGAGACAAGAGGTCAGGAGCACGAGGCAATGAAGGGAGCGGGTATGAGTGGCACTGGCGCTGGCGTTGTCGTTGTCGTCTTCCATCTCATTCATTCCGGAGACGGCGAAGCCAGAGCGCCGTATCTTTCCCTCGTTTGCCTGCTACAAAACACAGCGTTCAGAGGGGGGCAGAAGAGATGACTCTCCCTTATAGGAGATTTCCTTGGATGGAGATATATTCTCTAGTATAACCTTTCTCTTTGATGAGCTGATCTACCCAACTTTTTGGTTTGCATCTCCTGATATCCACTGAGCTTACAACTTTTAGCCGGTGAAACGAACCTTCACCGCAAAGCCGTTGGCCTGACCCGGGTTTCTCCATACGCCTTGATACGTGGTGTGCGCATGTGTTTTGTCAGCTGTCTTATCAGCTTGCTATCTCGGCCAATTTCGGAGGTCAGGCGACTGGCATGTTATCCCGTCAGACATTCGTTTCGTGCCAGTGGCTGGGAAAACGTATTTGCGGATGATGCCGTGGGAAAGGAATTGTCACAAGGCTACCCCCTTTTCGCCGGATTTTCTGATTATCCGAGCCACTATGGCTGAGTACATATCCGTGAAGCGCATCTTGAGCTTCCTAGAACACGGCGAGGCACCAACAAAATCCGCTTCACAAACTATTTCATAAAGACTCGACTTTCTTGAGTCTTGAGTGCCATCTTCCTGTCATCTGTTCTGTCCTGACGAGCTGTTTGACGCGTGTCTACCAGACCACTATTCCAGCCGAATCGTGCCCTTCGCTCCCCAGAAGAGCCACACGATAGCGAGCACAACTTTTGTGATTCCCGCAATCCATAGTGGCCATGCAATACCGCCGTCTCGCGTCAAGAATCCCCCAAGTACCGCCCCGAGGAAAAGGGCAATGGCGGAGATGAATCTGCGATTTCGTTTAGGGTTCTGAGTGATTGGTGCCGTGAACAAGACGGGGTCGAACATGAGATCGCAATACGTGCTCGTGAGTACAACTGTAGGCAATTCGTTATATGCCAACATCCTGCTCATCACAATTTGACCGGCCGATTGAAATGAGAGCAGTCCCAATGGAAGCAACACGATGTAATTCTTTGGCAGTTGGTTCCCAGCACCTTTGGGAACTACGTCACTGACCACGAGAACGCAGCTGATGAAGCAGAGTATGGCTTGAAAGATGAATGAACCGCTCAAAGTGCCGCGGCGAAGAGGTCCGAGGTAGCGACAAACTCGACTGAAGAAATAGGTGCCCAAACAGAAACTGAGGATGGCCGTGCCTGATTTGACCCATCGATATGGTTGACTAAGTGGCTGACCTGACATTCCCAGACCGGCATAAACGGTATTGCCTATGACATACCAACTCATATCAGCAATCCGCACGCCATTCTCCGGAGCTGCATGATCACCTACCCGTTTGCATGCTCACGAAGCAGCTCCAGACATTGAACACGGCACTATCGACTAGCCCTGAAATGAAGCATGCCACTATCAAAATCAAATCACCCCAACTTTCATCCGCTTCTTCTGAGAGATATTGCTTCCACGAAGCCATTCGGCTTTTCTTCTTGCGTAGCGAGTCATCTATTCCGTTGATGCCGTCCATATCGGCTTCAAGTTTATGGGGATATATCGGCCAAAGACGATGAAAGTTCAAAATCGTCAAGCAAAGACTGATCAATTCAAGTTCTCGCGAGGCTTAGCCACTTATTATAACTAACCAGGGACGACGGCTCCCCTCAAGCCCCCGATCGGATTTGATGAAACGAAAAGGGGCCACTCCGGAACCCGGTTCGGCTAAAATATGAAGCTCTATTTGGGGCCAGGGCCTCTGGAAGTTGGGCATTGCAATCGGCAATGTGGGAAAGGACATATCTCCACAAACTCTCAACGGGACTTTCTCCACAGATCTCCATGCACGCGCGATCTGCAGGATTCATGAAAGACCAAACGACTACGGTCTCCGCGTAAACGATTTACCGGAGCCCTCGTACCACAAATACTTGGCATGACGAGCGTTGACAATGTTTAAAAAGCCGGTTCGTCAACCGATATGATCCTCTCAGTCATGGAAGATGCCACGGGAAACTACAGAAAGTCGCCGAGTATGGAGTCCTGGCCTTTTCTACATCGTGGATGGCATTGGCGCTGGGCCAAGGGCACATCGAGAGTGACCATGTATGTGCATGATGGTTGCTAAGGGAGACTTTAAGTTTGTGCCGAGGTATGTACGTACGTGATGGTAGGCATCACTCATGAAGCAGAAGGCGACCGGTTAGAGTTCTCCGGCCCAGGCAAGGCCCATACGGTGAAGTTTGAGTCGGACTTTCTCCATGTCCTCATTCCATTATCGTGTCTTCTCCCAGGCTTGTTCCATTGATGATAGTTCCGTCTGGATGGTCGCCGCAGAGCAAGATGCTTCGAAGGAGACTGCAATACCAGCATGCCACAAAAAACTTCCTGACTGACTGCGTTTCCGTCAGAACAATGAAACCCAAAGACGGTTGTGCCCGGAACAGTGTGCGGCCAGAGCTCTTGCTTGATTTGGACGGTTCCTACAGCCATCTCTGGAGCGGGACGCTCTTTTCCATGAGATCTCGACTTTGGAGGTAAAGGGCTATCTTCGTTGTGGTGGAATCCTCCCCACTGGCTCAAGCGCATGTTTTTGGGGTCTGCTCTTCTCATATTAATCGGCATTTTGGATGCGATACTAGACTCGGCCACTCTATGTAATTAGATTTCAATACTCTCAACATCATGCACTTATTTGCACCCCGTGCCAAGCCCTCCCTCCTCTCTCTGTCATATCTGAATCACAACCATGCCTGAATCGTCCACATCAGAAGACTACTTGACGGCCCATCTCATAATGAGTACCACTTCCTTAAGGCTTATATCCCGGCGTCCAAACGGGAAAATATTTTCTCATCGAAGGCCAAGCTGCAAATCCCACATGTACACTCGTTTAGTGGAAGCCACCTCTCTGTTTTGGCCTGTGCTTACTGACTCCACATTGCTGGGACTGGAGGGATAAACGATGTACCGTGGCTAAAGAGCGTGACCGGACATTTCTCACCACGGGGCGATGGTCTGCTAAAGTGTACCTCTGCGTTGAAATTTACGTACACTACAGCCCGATTGTTTCACATGGTTTATCTAACGACAATGGAAGGCCATCTAAAACTGCTCCATGAGTTGGAAGGTGGAAATATGACTGACTTGAGGAGGATGGTGTAGTGGCTCGTTTCATCACTCTGACTACTCTCTGGCCGAATGGGCAATATTGGATATTTTATGACATGTGAGATGATTCATAGATCTGAGAGTACAGTAGCGGATGCTATCATCTCGTCTCTTCATGGCTCAATTGCTAGGTCCTACAAGAATTGCATTGGCTAGTCATTCTTGTACGTGCAAGTTGTCCCCAAAGATACTGACCAAATCATGCTCTCGCTAGGCAAGTCATCAATGTCGATGCCTTCAAAGGAGCAGCTCAAGCGTCCTGGCTGATATCCTTTTATCTTCGCTAATCGCACTTGGTCACTGCTAAATCTTATCGTTTAAGGGGCTTGCCATCCGAATCCGGAAATATGTTAATCCGAATTCCGACTGTAAACTTTCCCATCGGGACCTGCGCCATAATAACATTTGACCAGGATACAACCAATACGAAAACGCCACAAAAGAATGGAGCTGATGAGAGACCCCTAGAAATTTGAAACAATCACTAGGTTCAAAAGTGTCAACAAGTATATCAAAGTGCATTCAGCACAAATGCAAACGTCACAGCAGATACTTTGGATGAAGAGGGCAACCTCCGCCTCGACAAAACTCTTTGACAACCTCGGCTGATGGGGGATGTCAGATTCTGGTTTCGGTTGTGGACTTGCATTGCTCTCAATGGTATCCAATCACTGCGTCTCTATTTACATTTCACAACAGCTGGCTGACTCCTACAAAATCCATCCTTTTACATCATCTTGCTCGCTTCAGCTCTGAATCATGATCGAGTCGCTTCAAACAATCTGACATCAATCAGCCATGTCCTACATTCCCGTCATTGTTGGCGTTGGTGACACCTGCAACCGTTCCTCTCGCATCGAGGATGCTTATGAACCCCTACAACTCATTTTACAGAGCATTCGACTCGCACTGAAAGACACGGATCTGAACCACTCGAAACAAGAAAAACTCCAACGTGCAATTGATAGCATCGACGTTGTACGAACGTGGACTTGGCCGTATGATGACCTGCCCGGAGATATCAGTCAGAACCTAGGGGTGGACGCGCGACGCCGATTCTACACTGAGCATGGTGGGAATAAACCGGCCAAATTGCTGGACGATGCGGCAAGAAGGATTTCAAAGGGAGAAACGAAAGTTGCGGTTATCACGGGCGGAGAAGCGTTGGCATCATGTCAGATCTAACCCACCACTTCCCCTTTCTCAAAGATCGTTTGCGTTGCAATGCTTGTGTGCGGATTCTAATCCAAATGAAACAGTAACTGCCTGTGTCGCTGCCAAAAAGGTCCCTCCGCCGGGATGGACCAAAACCAAACAGAGTGTTGACTCTGTTTTTTCTGCTACCGACCGAGATCTTGGAACAAGTGAAACTGCTCCCGATGTTCGAATTAATGAACGAAAATGTTGACTATGGTTCTCAGACGTTGGAGCCGTCCACTCGATCGGAGCACCGATCCACGTCTACCCGTTGTTCGAGAACGGCTTCCGCGCCCATCGCGGCCAAACGATATCTCAAAATAACGAAGAATCCAGTCAAATGTACGCCGAATTCGCCAAAGTGGCAGAAAAACAACCTTATGCTTGGAATTATGGCAAAAAGAGTGCCGCCAAAGAAGACATCGGGACGGTGACGAAGCGGAATCGGATGATTTGTTTCCCATGTACGATATCACTACTCTCATAGTGGACTCCTGTGCTCCTTGCTCACACGACCGTTGACAGATCCACTGTTGATGAACGCATTCAACACCGTTAATCTTTCAGCTGCCGTCATCTTGACTTCAGCAACGTATGCCGAGGAAATGGGGATTCCGAAGACGAAATGGATTTACCCAGTCGGCGGTGCAGGGACGCAGGATAGTCCAAATTGTACGTCTACTGCTTTCCACCAGCTCGTCGACATTTACTGACACACAGTCTCGTTTTCACAGTCTGGGAACGACCGAACTATTTCTCGAGTCCGTCGATTGAGCGTTCCATCGACGCAGGCCTGAGAGTATCTGGTCTGGTCAAGGACGACATTGACTTGTTCGATTTTTACTCGTACGTATTTGACGCGCATTGACCGTTTCCCTTATTCATCATTTGCCTCTTTCCTTTTCATAGCAAAACTCGTGAGGAAAATGAACCCTGACATCGCGCGGAAGATGTTTCCCTATCGTTCCGAAAGTTGCAGCATCACATCTCAACCTCCCAATTACCCACGGCCACAGAGCTCTCACACTCCTCGGAGGCCTGACGAGCTTCGGTGGAGCGGGAAATAATTATTCCATGCACGTGAGAATCCTTTGTGCCTTGAGAACTGGGTGTTTCTCTAATTGTGTCAGGCAATAACTGAAATGACACGCCAACTACGCAAAGGCCAAGGCCGACACGGCCTGATCCTAGCAAATGGCGGTGTCATGACCTATCAGCATGTGATTTGCCTTTCGACAATGCGTCGACGAAGCGACTCTCCGTACCCTGAGCAGCCACCGTTGCCGGAATATGTGACGGATCTTCCTGTCCCGATAGTCGATGCGAAAGTCGAAGGCGATCAGGAGGCTACGATTGAGGTAAGGAAGAAATACCCCGGCACAGACTCCCTCTCCTTTCCTTACCAAGTTGGCAAAGAATGTCATTCCTCCTATACACTTTTGCTGGAGAACCGACGAAGCCTGACTTGACTTATCTGTTCGTTGTAGACATACACGGTCGAATTTGCCCGCGACAACACACCACTGCGTGCATACATTGTTGGCCGCCTAACGAGCAATGATCATCGGTTCGTTGCCAATCATGCGGACGAAGAGACATTGCAGAATATTTCGTCGGGACCAGAAGAGAAGATTGGCCGCGTGGGACGAGTGAGGAATGATGGAACGAGGAATTTGCTCACGCTGAAGAGGGATGCCATTGGCAAGTTATAACCGTAGTAGTGTAGCTAGAGTCGGCCTCGATTCGAGGAAAGGAATAGGGAGTATCCGGTGCGTTAAGGGTTGATTATTAGTTGCATAATTCTAAAGGAGATCCCGCACGCAATAGAAGAAAATTTCAGAATCCTGTGTCTACTACAATGCCCAATGTTTGTCCTTCTAGGGAAAGAAGTCTCCACAATGCAATTGGGAAAAAAGGGAGTTTAGGATATCCCTCACAGGGCGATATTCGCGATCAAGACACTGATGGCATAGCACGTCCCCAGCTATCTGCTTACACGCGTATCAATCAGCTCCGTATCTTGTGCGTGCATCCTTTCGTCCACCTACTCAGTTTCACTTCCCATCTCTATCATATCCTGGTTCTCCATTATTTCCTCAATTGAATGCCATTCACCAGTCTACCAGTCATAAACATCATCGTCGTCACACCAGCAACGTTAGTCCAACCCGCTCCTCAGGGCGGCCCATTAGCTCGTAGTCCCAAAAGACCATGATTTGATGCTGCCCTCAAATGGCGGCCAAGCCGTATTTGCGGTGCAATTTGTCCTTGACGTGCTGAGGGACATTACGTGGGATAAGGTCGCGACAAGCAACTTGTATGCGCAGGTAATCGAGCTGATTGTCCATGTAATTGCGGGGTAGGTCGGGAAGGAAGGGTATTTCGGAGGGATTCGAGTGGTTCATCGAATAACCATCGAGTATTGCCCCGATCCAAATTATCGCCGGCGAAGGCGTTCGAATGATCCCAGTTTATATTAGCCATGTCTTGGTCTTTCGGGATGATGCAAATCAAGTATCCCTGCAGAAGACGGTCTGCGTGGGCGGTCATGCGCGTGTGCTTTGGGACGATGAAGTTGAAACACTCTTCCTCACTGATTATCTGTTCGACCGTGAGTCCGTGGGAGATGCTGTGGATGTACTCTAGTCGAACTGCGACGGCAGTGGAAGATAACATGTTTGGATGGATTACATTTTGACTGTCAAATGCAGCGGGAGCGGGAGTTAGCATTGTTGGATGATATGAATCTTGATTTTGAGCCGCGGCATTCGTGGTATGAACAGCAATTGGTGTAATTTCTGGACTCGGAGGTGGTAATAAAGGCGGTGGCGAGAATAAAACCCTCCCAGGGGTGATTAGGCCCCGATTTCGAGTTGGTCTAGCCCGGTCATCAGGCGCGGCTTGAGAATCAGCTTTAGGGACCTGAGGTAGCCTCTAGAGCGAGCAATCTGAGCCAGGTGGCTGTTGTTGGGCGTAGAGGTTGATCGTCTTGGGCGTTTCCACTACGTTTTCTGATGTCTCACCAGGGACAATTTTGGAAAGAGGGACTATGATGACCTAGTCTTTGTATTTGAATGGATGAAGAGGATTGATATGGACCGCATCTTCGGAGAAGGACAACATTTTGCCGACTGTCTTGTTACACGTTATCGCTACCGCTCCGCCTCCTCAGCGAAGAAAATACTGAGGGCGGTGTATGAATGAAAGAAGTTGCGCGGTAGAGAGCACACAGTTTATGTGTGCGCGAGGTTGCGAATGCGAAGTAGAGGCGAATCGCGACAGGAGGTGGTCGCGGCAGAAAGCACTTCTTTACATTCTTCCTTCGTGGATGGATTTTTTGCTTGGACTGTAACTGAGTGGCTGCCAGAAAGCTTCGGATTTGATCGGACGCCAGGAGAAGTTCTCTCCATCGCCAAAAGCACTCCATGATAATATCAAGCAGTTGGAATGCAAGGTAGGTTTTCTCGCATTTGACTGGGGAAATAAGCGTTCCTTGATACAAAAGGTCCGAACTGTACAATTCTGCTTGAGTCTGCTAGCCGAAGACAAACTTCATCCAGTTTTGTTTCAAGCGTTGAGCACCTTCACGCAAGGGCCATTGCTTGATTTCGCAGACTCTGAGAACAATATCCTTTAGAAGGTCATCCATCATCTCCCCCGCACAATGAAGGTCGCTTTCAATCAGGATTCTATCATCTGGAACTCCTTTAATTGCACTGATGACCTTGGAAGGGGGCGAATTTGAGAAATTGATGGCTGTTGAGAACGAGAAATAGATGTCGACCGGAATATTGACGTTGAGAAATTGTTGTAGAGCTTCTGAAGGACCGGAATATGAATGCATACATACTCGTGGTGGGAATGGAAGCGGTTTTTGACACTCTGCTTGATCAATTATTGGTTCGTCTCCAGCCGCATGAGCCTTGGGAGTATTCAATCTCCTCTTTCGTCCTCGTTTAGATGGCCTTTCATGACCCTTCCACATATTTTGCATCAGCTCAAAGATCACGCCGTGTGTTTGTACACTGTGGACTGAGACTGGTCGCCCGAGCCTTGCTGCCAGGTCAAGTTGAGCTCTGAGAATTAACTTTTGGTGGTTCATGTTTACTCGATATGGTGTCAATGGTTTACCCTCGCGGGATCCAGGGGTATATTCTTCATCGGGTCCCCCAGTCTTGTCTGCCATATCCTTGGTGGCGGTGCTTGGGCCCTGGGGGAGTCGGAATGAACGGTCAAGTCCTACCTCTCCGACGAGGGCGAATGGAAATTCCCTGAGTTTTGATTCGGTGTCTTCCAAGAATCGAGAAAGTGATCGGGGATCCGGAAGAGTCTTTAGAAACTCGGGATCATCAGGCGTCGGAATGAGGACAGATCGGTAATGTTCAACGGGGTCGGGTTGGATATTGGTCTCTCGGTCATCGTACATTTGGTGAGAGAACCATGGGTGCCATCCAAAGGCTGGAATCACTTTTGCAGAAGTTTCCTCGGAGAAATCTTGCTTCGAGTCAATGGGGTACATTCTTGCAACATTTTCGACCATGTCCTGATCCTGTGATCTCGTGGACATGATGGTAAGACCTCTTGCTTGCATGGTGGCAATGTCTTTAACAGAAGCCATAATATCAGTGGGATGACAGTGAGCATCAAAGACTCCGACCTGCCGGATAACATCACTTTCGTTTTCATTGTCATCCATGATGGCAAAATGCAATGGTTAAATTGCAAAAATGGATGCGATCAAATGATATGATTTTAATGTCATTTGAAATGAGACCAAATGAGCTCACGACAACACACCCTCAGCGGGCAAAAATGTCGTACAATATAAAGTTGCCTCGCGATCCGGATGCTTCATGGAAAGACAAAGAGAATCAGGTTCTGAGATAAATAAAGTCATATTATACCAATCTTCATACACCCATCCGTCCATTCGTCTAGTAGAGCCAGAGATTGCAATCATACAGCCTCCGTCGCCACGTGGACAGGGCAGACCCATACATGTCTGCATTGTGTATACATAATCAAACCACAAATTCATTTCCCAACGCCAACGACTCTGGTTCGGCCAGCCGTACATCCCTATCTAGACCCCATGAAGAAATAGAGTCATCCTGGCTTTCGTAACCCGTGTCATTGCTGTGTATGCTATCCCGCCTCGGATATTTCTCCATGCTATTTTTTGAACCCAAGACGTCAGCCGCGAAAATAATACCATGTGATAGAGCTCGAACCTCTTCTCCACCAGCAGGTGCTGGTGCTCTAATCATGGGTAACCGTCGGAGAAGATGTTTGACCGCTGCTTGGGTCAGTATACTGGCATTTGCGGTGTCAAGACCTTTCGAGGAGAAATATGATAGGGCTTTTTCTTGGTCATGGTCATATTCAAGGATTTGGAGGGTCTTCGCGCAGTGTAAGCAATTCATGATATCAGCTCTGGCCGATACCGGTGTTGAAGAGTCAATAAAATAAGGCGGCTGCGCATCATCTGTTGATGGGCCGTTCGGGGTGGATACCTCCATCGCTCTGGACGCACGGGCGAAACAGGTACTTCGGGCGACAGTGCTCAAGACGGAGCTGGCTGCCAATGCCCGTGTCTCAGCTGCAGAACCTGGGGGGGCGATTTTTAGTGCAACGGTGAGGTGTTTCTGCACCAGGTCGGAATTTTCGGGGTATTGTAAAGACAATTCCAGAGCCTTCGTCAAAGAGTATGTTGATCGCCATGCCGCAATTGCGTCCAGCGGTGACTTGACGGCGTGGTCTTCGACGACAACATCCAAAAGCTGGTTTGAGGAATCCTCTTGCGTGGGTCGATCGTACATGAGGTTGTACGCTCTTTGGCAGACTGTGTCTAGAAACACGTCGTCGCACGGCATCTCGAGCATTTCAGAGAGATACCGCGGAAGTCGATCAGAATGACGCAGGGGTAATTTATCGTGTGACTCCTTTGCTCGGCTCCATTGTCGGTTTGTAAAGAATTTCCCAACGCGGTTAGCAATTCTGGAAGTGGCCGTTCCGAATGATCCCACGTTCCACAGCAGAACCCGACAATGAAGCGCTTTTAGCATCAATCTCAAGGGTGTACTGGGTAGGGTGCCTGATCCAAAGATGGTCAAGACCACTCTGCTGCGGCTGACTTCGACATCTCCCCCCGCCAACTGCGCATCAATGGCAATATCCCAAGCTTTGATCCGGGCAACGTCATCACCGGCAGTGCGACCAGTAAGCCAAGCGTATGCGCGTTGCCCAAATAGGTAGCCAAAAGTGTACTTGAGCCATTCAGAAGTGATTGCAAGCCATTCCGGAAAGAAGCTGTGGTGAGGGAGACGTAGCTCCTGCATGCTTGTGCTCCAAGCTCGACGCCTGACCTCGATTGGGGAGGCCGGAGCTGGTGCCTGATTCGAATTTGTGCCCAGCTCTTCAATGTCGGCTTTGGGTGGAGGTTTTGAGTTGAAGAGATAGGAGAACATCAGGAAGGCGAGCACTGTCAGAGCAACAAATCCCTTGACCAATGGAATAACGCCTCCTGCCCGACAAAATTGGCTGAAAGCGGCCAGATAAATCTTGGGAGATCGGAGGAATTTCCAGCCATCAAGAAGCTCCAGAGGAATGCCAAAAAGGCCTTTCTCACGGGACTCAGTGCCTGTATCAGATTCTGTGAAACCATCCATGATCATGAGACCAGCCAAAGAACCGAGCATAATTCGCGTAGGCCATTTGCCCATGAATTTTGCCCGGTCGGATGGAGTGTCGTAAATATGGCCATAATGCTCTTGAGGCTGATTCTGGCGTAACCGGCGCCAGCTTTCGGGAAGGGGAATCAAGCCCTGGGGTGGATTTGACGGTGTTTTGGTACTGTCAGATGGGGGGGTGGGATCGGAGTTTGCTTCCTCGATGATTGTGTCGCTTGTGAAAGCTGCAGTCCGTTGGGCGTCATGACCTCCCTGGGCAATGACTTTGTCTAAGGTCTCGAGTCGTTCTTTAAGGGATCTATTCTCCTCTTCGAGCCGTTTGGTGCGGAATTCCAAGTGGCGAATATACTCGACAGCCTTTGTCAGGATTGAGGCTTTATTGAGCTTATTGCTTGGGGTGAGACCGTCCAAGTCTTCCTCGTCAGAATCTCCCGTCGAAACGTCCCGTGCTTTTGATTTCTTGGTAATTCGAAGACTAGGTACGCTATCCCTCAGCTCAGCTATCTTTTCATTGAGATTGGCACGATATCTCTTCTCAATGACGTTGTGTGGACGCTTCTTTGCGGCTGGCGTCGGGGCGTCGTGATGGTGATCGGTCGTTGGCACGTCGGTGGGAGAGAGTTTCCGCTTTAGCACTGGACGCTCACTAGGAGTTGTTTGCTCTCGTAGAGTATCCCCGCTCAGTCTTAAATCCAGACTGGAACGTGATTCTGGGGATGCCGAACTGTGCCGGGGAGTGAGGACGTCGAGTGCAGGGGGGGCGGTGAGGAGATCGGTTGTGAGAGAAGGTTGTGCGTCTCCGTTTGCGGTCGAAGAAGGGGAAATTGGAAGTTGGAAGAGGTGTTGAGGTTCAACAGTGGAGGTATCTTCAATGGAATTGGTCGTAGAGGCATTGGCCGTGCCGTTCCAATCCAGCCATTTATCAAACTCGCGGCCGGCAGAGTCGAGATTGAGTCGCGATTCCATGACAGGTTGTCTGTGGGAGATTATCGGGTGCGACAGTCAGATTTCATGGTTCTCATATGATTCTGAAGTGGGTGATGTGGTCGCAATGTATTTAAATCGTAGTCAGTGGCCGTGGATATTGAAGAGGCGGCATTGAAGAACATCAAGGAGAATTCTCGTATTAACGATATGGAGATGCAGGAAGCCCTCCAGAAAGTGATTTGAGTCTAATTAGCCTTGCTCGTGCATTGCAGGGAGCGCAGATAACTTCGTGTCATTGGCTGGAAAAACAAACCCTACTCGGGTTCCCAACATCCGCATGCTAAGCCACAATAATACAAAGGCCACGCAGGACTCCAGGTCGGCAGGATTTTTCACGGACTCGGACGGGGATCTCTTGAGGATACAGACATCATGTTGGGGAGAGAGACGCTCTTCCAACGTGCTTTGGGAAGAAAATACGAACCAACAATGAGTCCTCCTGAACTCGTTCAGCATTTGCAGTTCTCTACCATTTATCTGTGCCCCCTTTGTCTTTTCGGAATATCAGTTTTTCCGTTATTGCGGTGTAGACACACCAGGGAAGAGGGGGGGGGGGGGGTGACCTGTTCAGTTCACGCTGTACAGAGAAGGGAATACGAGACTGCGGATTCAGCTTTGGTGCAAGAAGCAAAGTCGAAGCGGGTATTCTTCTGCTGCATCGTTGCTCTTCTCTCGATTCGTGCGGATGCCACCACGACGGACGTTCACAGCAGGACGGTAGGGAAGAAATGATCGTCAATCTCAGCCGCCATTGAAATACCAACAACGCATTCAACTCGAGTTATCAGCGCAGTTGTCGACGAAATTGGAGGAGGGGATGTCAACTAGATGCATATGGCGCGCATAGGTTCGTGGAAAGTTCGTCGGAAGAAAAAGGGTATCCTGCAAGTTGGTGGGGGAGATTTATTGGCTCGGTAAGGTCGCAGTCCGGCATACAAATACTGAGTATTTGAGCAGGCTCTGTATGATGTTGAAACATCGCCCAAGATCAATATGGTCCAGATGGATTTCGGCATTTCTGGACCTGGTAGTAAGTGGGCGGCCAGCTTTTGGCCCAGCAATGCTCGACCTTGGACTTTGGCGAGCAAAGAGTCGGAGTGAATAGAGGAGATTTCTGGCCTGCTATAACTGGCTACCGAGTAGCTGCAGTAGTCCTCCCACACAGAGAAAAGTGGACGTAAAGAAAGTATTCGATGAAGTTCTCAGACCATCGAAAGAGGAAAACTTTTGTGTGACAATCCTTGCCCCGCATCTTGAGGATCGAGTATTGGGAGACGGCAGAGGACAGATGACATGATTCACACTCGGTTTGACGGCAGATGGTGTCTCCACCTGTATCACCTCTTCTTGTACTACTGCATTGTAGTGCCCACAGTATGCTTTGTTGTTCGCGGGAAAGGACAAGTCGTTGTGCTGGTCAGTGGTGAGTGGTCAGGCAGTTCCGCGAGAAAGGAGTCAAGTGAGCCATATATTGGGTACTATGGAGTTGGTCCATACAAAATTCTCTGTGGGCGGTTGGTGGTGATACTGAGGCCTGTAGGGCAGGCGATTGTCTGCCTCCGCTTTATCAGATTGAGGTAGAAAATGATTTGGAAATCGACCGGTACGGGTCCGATTGTTGAATGGTGCATGACTGGTATGGGAAGGGTAAGCCGCCTCCGTAGCTACAGGGTATACCTGGCACCATTCATGTACGTCTGCCAACAGCCTTCCAGTCTCCCTTCCCCTCAGGTGAGTCAAGCGAGGGCCGAGGGGCCGCGAGAACCGAGAGACAAGGCCAGGGGAGTGGGACACACAATAACGCAGTCAACTAGATGAAATGATCCGATTCAGCAACAATGTCCTCATGACTCTCTGTTTGATACACTGTAATGTCTATCAGGGGGATGTCTATTGCAATCCCCCCAACCCCAAAACTGTTTCTGGCAGGCGGCTGTGGCGTCGACTTCGGCGTCATTGGTGCAAATGTTTTTGTTCTTGAATTTTCGCGTGGCTGCAGCCCCGTCAATCCACCGTAATCCAGTCGAACCACTACGCCAAATTCGTCGCACCACTTCTTTTCGTCTCCCCGCCGAACAGAGCGACAACAAAGTGCTCTTTTTAAAGTTTCCTCTCCTGAGTCAGATGTCCAATCCGCCCTTCGTTGCCCTGCAGAGAACATTCTCAAGGTCCAATTGTAAATGATGACGGGGCAATCCCTATCTTTGAAAGCAATTTTTAACTCACGTGTTCTCCAAGGCTGATCCTCACCAATATTAACGGCCCCGTCTCCCAGACTTCTTGCTTTGTATTCCTCGATGCCCCTCTGGCTGGTTGATGAGTTCCACCCGGCAGTAATTTCCATGTGCTTGGTTGTTCAACTACTATTCGATTTGGTCCATCACAGACAGTCCCGCCGCAATCACCGCCAATCCTTGCTGATCTTTTTTTTCCACCACCATTACGCTGCAGATCGTCGTGCCCTGGCAAAGCCACCTTGTGCTGACCCTCCAAGCTTCTGGTACACGCTTAGACCTCGGGCATTAACCTGTCTCCTTCCCACGGTACAATATCCATATCAACAGAGTTCTACCTCCACTCGAATCAGGTTTTGAAATCATCCTCACCACTTCCACAACATCCCATCCCGGCTGACGACCCGAACTTGGCATCCATATCAAATACACTAAATCTGATTCTCCAACTCTACAGCTGCCGCATGCACACAACACATAGTTACTTGTTGAAGCGTCGCAGTGATCTACAGGTATAAGGCCTGCGGAGTTCCTCTACAACCCTTTCAGCCTGCTCCTCAATGGGGCATAACATCAGAATGAATTCCGACGTCCGCTACACGCCTACTTCACCACTCTCTCCCCGACCCCCTACTGGTCATCAACCTCGATCAACTCAACATGGCCGTCAACCCCCTAGAAACATGCACATGAGTCTTCCTCGATTTCATCCCGCAAACTTCAATCATCTCGATCCACCCGCCACCCCGTCGTCAACGATACAAAGTCCGGCTATCACACTGAACCGAGTCACACAACCGGTCCAGATGGAGTCACCAAGATTGATGCGCGAAAAGCAGCGGGAGTTTCTGGAGAGAGCCCATTTGTCATCCAAAATCGCGGCCTCCTCTACTGGCATCAAGCCTGGTGCTCCTCGTCTTGACCCTCTCGGTAGCCCCAAAGGTCCAGTGACACCTCTCACTCTCGAGGACGCCGGTGATTACTTTCAAGTGGCAAGAGCGGGAAAGGCATCGCCAGCTGCAAGTCCCGGCCCGAGAAGTCCGAGAAGTGATGCTCCTTCGGACAAGGAAGAGTCGAAAAAGAAAAATGTCAGGCCAACTGACGGTCATCAGTGACCGTATAAATAACTCACCATCACGATTCATGATCGACATATTATACCACTTATCATGACTTGAACGAGTTCCCTTTGTTACGATGGCATACGTACCTTGTGCGGGGTCCACGGTACTTTATATCAGCAACTTCCACGGATGACCTCGGGTATTGGAGTCTCGCTCTCTGTCCCTATGGACATTGTCGATCACTTCACGCCCAGGAGACTGGCCAAAAGTTCGGGTTTAGATCCATGGGCTAGCATTTTGAGGGACTGCAGTGCAAGTCATTAACCGAGGCTGCCTGGTGCAATTGACGCATTTTCATGGATGAAACTGGTTAAGGGGATACCCATATATTTGCATAGCGATCGAAGGGGATACCACTAGAATGTTTGTGGTACCAAAAGGGTCAATGCCCCATTAGGGGCGACTTAAATTACGAGTCATAGAAGATCAATTAGCGATTGAGACCTAGATTCCCCTCCAAGAATTAGACTGAAAAAGTCCTCTCTAATGCTTCGTGGCTTGAAAAGGAGAAACAAATGTCCAGAAACCATGTGGTGGCGGTGCGGTCGAATTACGAGACACGGACCGAGTAATTCCCCCTTGCATAGTACGTAAATCCATCAGCATCACTTCACTGTCAATCAATTCTCGAGAAATCTTTACCACGACATGTTGCGTTTCAGCTGCGGACATTAGAGATTTACTTCTCCGCTGCCTTCGTCCTCTTTCGATTCCATCCCGCCGCACCGTCCGTCTCTCTCCCCGACAATGCCTATCGTCACGGAAACGTCTCTTGAGGTGACACCTTGACCCTTTAACACCGACGCATTGAGAACACAGTAAGATATGCCCTACTTCGACATGCGCCAAACACGAAGTACCAATCGGACAACCGTCCTCAGTGTCCTCCTGATAGTGGTCTTCATTTACTTTCTCTACAGCATCCACCACACCTCCGTTGACCCTACCGAATTACGACAACGAAAATCAGACGCCGCAGCAGATAATCCCCTTTCTCCTCCCACTTCAGCCTTCCGCAAACAACCCAATTCTCCAAATTCTCATGGTGTCCGCCGTCCTCCTCCGGTTGTACATTATCAACTCAATAGCCTTACGGCGTCAGCATTTCCTGCGCAGAAGAATGAAAAGATCCTCATCCTCACCCCTCTTACCCGATTCTATCCTGAATACTGGTCCAATCTCGTCGCCCTGACCTATCCACATGAGCACATCAGTTTAGGCTTTATCACACCCAAGACAAAAGAAGGAAATGCCGCCACTGCAGCGTTACAAGAAGCCATCAAAGAAACCCAGTCGGGTCCGGAAGAAGAGCGCTTTCAATCTGTGACTATCCTGCGGCAAGATTTCGATCCGCCTATAATCTCACAAGATGAAAAGGAACGACATAAGATGCAAAATCAAAAGGCCCGCCGGGCATCCATGGCTCGCGCGAGGAATAGTCTCCTCTTCACCACCATTGGTCCACATACATCTTGGGTGTTATGGTTGGATGGAGACATCATCGAAACTCCCCCAACCCTGATTCAAGACCTTGCCAGCCACGACAAAGACGTCATTGTACCGAATTGTATGCAGCGATTCATCAATGAGAGAGGGGAGCCCGATGTTCGACCATACGATTTCAACTCGTGGCGAGATAGCGACATGGCACAAGAACTCGCTAGCATGATGGGCCCTGATGACATCTTACTTGAAGGGTATTCTGAAATGCCGACATATAGAACACTGATGGCAATGTTGGCCAAGACGGGTGCCAATCATGACGAACGACGACTGATGCCCCTAGATGGTGTTGGTGGGACTGCTTTACTGGTGAAGGCGGAAGTTCACAGAGATGGAGCCATGTTTCCTGCTTTTTCATTCTATCACCTCATAGAGACAGAAGGGTTTGCAAAGATGGCTAAACGACTTGGATTTGAATGTTGGGGCCTGCCTGATTATTTTGTGAGTTCTCCCATTGTGTCTCCATTCCCTTGATTAACGTAACAACAGGTGTACCACTACAACGAATGATAACAGTCTTCACTTGATTTTTGTCCTGCAACACGAATTCCGAGGACTTATGAACCTTGAATCGTCTCTCAATGTCTATGATCGACCAAAATGAACCTCCCGCTTTTGAGACCATCTTTGGTCATGTCTACAGACTGAAGAATTGGAGATCGACTTTCAATCCCGTTCTGTCGTCAATCACCCACCATCGTCATGAGAGACCTTCATCTTCACGATCCACTCTCCGATACACATCATAACAACTCCTCTGCCACACAAAGGCATGAAACGTGACCACCAATGCTTGGATCCAATGGAATCCTCATACCTGATCATCGCTTCTGACGGCCAAAAGGGCCGAGGAATAAAATAGAATATTTGGCTCTGTAGAACAAAACAATAAAAGCTAAGGTGGGCATGGCATAGCATGGCATGGTGTGGTATGTCCATTTGCTAGTCACATAACTGGATGGCGCACCGGGTGTTTACGAGCGAAAAGAAATTTCAGATTCATTGCATCGCGAACACGCGCAGATAGGAAATGAAATAGAAACCAGGAAATTCGCCACACGTATAATGGAAGGCTCAATATTTCTCTTTTCCTTGCCCTTCCACAGAGAACTTCCATCGCCTTCGCTCGGGGATCGGGAAGACCCGTGTGCTGCAGTTTAGAAAGGCTGTCTTTTTCTCGCTGGACTTTTCCGATCGTATCCTTATCTATCGGTTATCGACTACGAGGACCTCGAGCCATCCTTTGCCATCTAAGCATTGAGACTGGTTACTGCCACAGGGCGAAGGACTCAAAAATGATACGGCATTCAGCCTAGGACTCCGGTTTAGATCGTCAGAAGATACTTTAAGTGGCACAATAGACAAATATCCTGAAAGTCAACTCAGGTCTTTTCTCGTAAGGTCTATACCAGTTCGCTGGGAATATGTATCTTCGAGTCGAAGGTACGAATGGGTGCTCACTCGGGGGGACGTTGGAGGGTTCATCCTGTGTGCCGCTTCTTATTACCTCAAACGCCTTGTGGAGGGCTTATATCTCTCTGTAGGATCTTTCCTTGCCGCCCAACGCGTTGGTCGCAGTCCATGCCAAATGTGCAAAACGTGATTGTCCTCTAGGGATATGCTCTGACGGCACCAAATCTTCGTCAAAACAGGGAAGGATTGTACGGGTGCTGCAAAGGACCTCATGTATCAGCATTCGAGCTCCTGCAGTGTGTCGCATGGCATCGGCGACGGAGCGTAGAAGCTTCAGGGTGTCCTCATCGTCGAGTTCTCGTCTGATTTTGGTGATCAGTAAGGACAGAGGGCTCAAATACCAGATGTTACCTCGGTTGATATTAGTCCTGAACGACAAAATCTATCTGGCCGGTCTTCACCTTGGAGTCGAGGTCGTGGGGCATTGCCTGCAGTGTCGCTCAATTAGTGAATCCACGCGCACTGCCATTGAAAGCGTACCTTTTTCAGCTGATCAATTGCGGGCTGAAGATCCTGGAAAACCCAGTGTAGATTTGGATGGTACCTGACGATACCATCCCCGATCCCGCACCCAACGTCGATGACGACAGAGGAATCCAATTCGTGCCCAGGGTGGTCGGCCAAGCTTTCAGGAACAATATTACTCACAACTAGAAATTCGGCAATGGCTCCAAGATCAGCGCTTAAGCTTCAACAGCGTAGCTGACTATATACAGAAAGTCATGCGTGCAAGGCTGAAGCAGATCGAAACTTCGACTATGGCGTGCGTCAGGCAAATTACCATCCTCATCATCAATTCTCCTCCCCCTTATCACGAAGCAACTCTCACGACGACCTTACCAAAATGCTTCTGATCCCACATATACTGGTATGCTTCTTGCAATTCCTCCCACGCAAACACCCTCTCATCAACCACAACCGGTACCTCACACGCCTCAATGGTCCGATTCATATCCTGAAATAATAGCCGACTTCCCACGGCACTCCCTCGAACAATGCAGGCATGGGACAATGCTTCCAGCATGTTTGGTGTCTTCTCCGCCTCCGCACCGCCCAAATACCCGATAATACTAATCACGCCCTCAGGCTTAATGGCCGTTAGACTCTGGCGCGTGGTGGTTGGCCCACCAAGCTCGACGACAATATCCACACCCAGTCCGCCAGACGTCAAATCTTTCACTGTCTTCCCCCAATTCGGATCGGTTCTATAGTTAACAACATGTTTAACGCCGAGTTTCTTCAACTTCTCCGCCTTCTTGTCAGAGGAGGTGGTGGCAACGACAATCGCCCCGGCGGCGACCGCCAATTGCACGATCGCGATACTGACGCCGCCCGTGCCCTGCGTCAGGACATAGTCCCCAAGCTTCAAACATCGATCTTGGAGCCCGAATAGTGCATTCCACGCTGTCACCCAAGCGCAGGTAAGAGTGCTGGCCTCCTCGGCACTCAGGTTGGCCGGGGCTTTAACCAGCCACGTCTCGGGAAACACGGCATACTGTCGCGAGGTGCCGTCGATCTGGCCGCCGAGGCCAACCCACAAATCTGCTGCCTTGATCCGGCCTGCTTGGTGCGTCGGTCTGAACTGTGTGCATACTCGGTCGCCCACTTTGAACTGGGTCACTTTGGCGCCCGTCGCCAGCACAATGGCCGATGCGTCCGAGCCGGGAATGCGAGGGAAATGACAGGGAAAGGGGTATTTGCCCTGAGAGTTGGCCAAGTCAGCGCAAGTGGTCAGGAAGAATGAACAAAGCCCGCATACATTTACAATGACCAAATCTCGATGGTTTAACGACACCGCTTCGACTTTCACCAAACAGCCATAATCATCTACCTCAGGAATATCGACGCCATGCTCCAGTTTGAGGTCTTCGAATCCCTTGTTCTGGTGGAGAACATATTGGGAGGTCTTCTTTGGCAGCGGCTCAGACATCGTGGAGCGATATTTGCGGAATGACAGCACCAAGTATGGATCTGCAACGGTGATGCCAACTTAAAAGCAGATCAGATGGGACGACAACAAGTTTTAAGAACAATGAAAGTTATAGCTATGTTATAAACCCAAAACACCATCTCCGAGACCGGCGTTAAGCGTAAAATCTACATCATGCTTAATACGTAGTTCTGGTGTGGTGAAAGTCATCCTCCCCCACAATAACTAATCTCATAGTCCAATATCACAGAAAATCAGAACGGTAGCGATATCTTTCGCGGTATGACTCTACTTTATTCTTTTCAACGCCAAAGTAATGCTTGACCTATGACGAAATGCGCTCTCACTATAAATGTCATATCTAGGACAGGAGAGGGAAGATAAGGAAGAGGGTAATGCCGCAATGGCAAAAGTTGACTGAAATAGTCGTTGGGGTTTATCTGTATCTTTTTTTTTGACGGTTGTGTGGGGTAGCAGGAGTGGGCCTAGAATGTGTCACGTGACAATAACCATAGTATACCCATTCGGCGACGTCTAGCGGTCGAACGATAAATGAACTTTCGAACACGCTCTCTAAAGCAGTCCTCCTTGGCCCAATTCTGCAGCAAGTCTCTGCCCATTGGTACGTTTGCATGAAATGAACTGCAGCTCTGATTGTGGTCGTAATCGCACTCCTGAGGTGGGATTATGTCACAGTGTTGTCAAAAATGGATATTATTGAGTGTTTTGGCTCTTCCAGATGAGTGTAGGATAGTCAAGTTGAAGAATCGTCTGGAGAAATTGCTTTGCTACTGAGACTCGAGTTCCATTGAAGATGCCAACATAATGCTATACAATTTTTCTGGAATGGGTGTCGATGGCGGCGTATATCTCACATAGCCGCTCATGCGGCTGCTTTTTAATGCGGAGCAGCAGCTCAAAACAAAAAAGAAGCACCCCTCCCATAGCCGGTCTCTAACTAACTTATAGATGGGGCGCCGCAGCCAGTGAAAGCTGAAGGAGAGAGCCTGAGTCAGCGACTCTCCCCACACGAGTATGACATCAACAATCACTGGCTTGAGCATTACGTTTACCCTGGAAGAATAAAATATTTACCTGAATTTTAGGTTTTAGTCACGTGATTTCCGTGACCTGAATGTGTGGTTGTGCCAAGACTTGCCAAGACAGTAGCGTTGGCCAATAACGTGAGGATATGGCTTGGCACTATTTCGAAACGTCGAGACACTGGTATGGTCGATCATCTCTGCTGTCGATTTCCTAAATACGGCGCCGGCATTGTAGCGGAAAGTTATAATGCGAGCATGGACTAGAACTAGTATATGATGCGTGACCCGTTGCCCACCAACCGCTGACTCCCTCCCTGGCTAGCTTCCCAACTCTACGCCTTCTCTTCTCATCTTCCCGGGTCCGTTCCATGTCAATTTTCTGTATTATTTTCGCTACATCCATCCACTCAACTGTGCCTTCTTGTTCTTATACGTACTTGGCCTGTACGGCACATTCCTCTTTCTATTCCGTTTCGGCGGATTCGCCACCGTTGTACCCGCCGTCGCATTCTGCGGCATATTCGTCGTCGTGTTATACACGTTATCCATCGGTGTAACGTCAAATTGCACCGTCGCATTCCCTTCTTGGAACGTGCTCAACTTGGTCCCCCTCGTCCTGTAGCTTGCACCCACACTCGCCTTGCCCGTCGCTATATCTTTGCCCGCAATGACGCGCTCGACCATCTCGAGCGCAACCAGCGGCTGGAAAAACGGCACCAGATGGCCGGACTCATAGATGCGGACGAACGCGAATTTGCCGGACTGCTTGACTTGGCCGTGCACGATGCCGTCCGAGGTCGTAATATTCGTGAAACCCGCCGACGAATACCCGGTGGCGTTCACGTGGTCGGCCACGACTTGCCCGCCGAGCCAGTTGCAGTTGTAGTCGGCGTCGCCAAAGTACATGGTCACGGAGACGTCGGCGGCGAGCACGTCGCGGAGGGCGGCGACGGTGCCGATTTCGCGGTCGTCGTCGCCGGTGGATGCGAAAGCATTGCCGACCGCGGAGCTGAATTCAGTGTAGTTGACGTAAGCGCCAATGGCGGCTTGGACGCGTTCGGTGTTCAGGTAGTCGACGTAGTAGGCTGGCGGGAACGGGTTGGGTGTGAGGTACCGGAAGTCGTATTCGTCGCGTTCGAGGTAGATGTCGTACAGGTATTCGACTTGTTGGTAGCAGAAGTTGTCGGCAGCAGAGCAGATTTCGTTGATGCCTCGTGTGTTGCAGTCGACGGTTTGCTCGTAGCAGTTGCCGGCGCCGTAGAGATTGTTGTACATTTGGTCTTTTCGTCCAGTCAGCCGACGAAGTCTCTTGACGAGACAGAGAGGAGCGGGCGGAGGAACAATAGACTCACCTTTCACGGACTGGTTGAACGGGCTGTACCCGTATGTGTTCCCGGGATATACGGTGAAGTTGTAGTATGACTGATATTGGACCAAGGGGTCATACCAGCCATTCCCAATCATGACGCCTTCCAGGCTAATGTTGTGCGCGCCATCGATATTTTTTGCATTTTGCTCCAGGAAGTACTGTGTGAACAAAGGCGCATAATGACCACCGTAACTGCATTGAGAATCAGTATGAAGATTTTTTAATTTTTTCAGCTTTGTAACTCGAGCGCAGTTCATCCCTTACGCAGAGTGGTCGTGTCCACAACGTGGGGAAACAGGCTCCGGCCGAAATATCTCGCGGAAGGTGACAACGTACCTCTCAGTAGTAAAAAATACTCCATCTCTTGCATATTGAGGGAATGCGCCCATGAAACCTTGCAGGGTCTTCCACATGTTTGGCGCAGCCGCGGGGGTGTTGTTGACGGTCAAGGACTGGTTGAAGTACGAGTAGGTGCCGCAGCCCCAATCGCTGGCATATTTCGGACAGTTATTATCAGGCAATTGAACAAGATAGCCGGAATTTGGGTCCTCATAAGCAGGGACGGGGCTTGAGTAGCTAAAGCCGACCTGAGTAGGCTGATCGATGAAGATCATGTTGGTGACATTGCTCCACGAGTATGGGTTGTCCACAGCCTCAAGGTCGGCAGTGACTTGACATGGACCCAGCTCTTGAAAGAGTCCTATCATCGATGAGGAACCTGGACCGCCATTGATCCAGATGGTCAAAGGGGCCTCGGTGGGATCAACATTCCTGGCTTCAAAGAACCACCAGAAGATATGCTCGCTGGGCGCAACGTCGGCATACCCGGCAAAGCTTTTGACATCTGGATCTTGTTCGCAAATGCCTGGGGGGACCGACTTGTAACGGACTGTGATGTTCGCATATCCCTCTTTAGTAGTGAGGTTCGTGGGAGGAGACACGAACTGAGAGACAACTCCTGGCCCCGCGCAGACGAGCAACAGAGCTGTGGAAAACACTGAAATCATGATGTTGGAACAGGGATCCCAACCAAATAAACAGACAAACAAAACTAAAAAAGAAAAAAACTGGTTCCTACACACTGAATGAGCTTCACACCCCGCTTGGAGGGTGGTAAAGCTATTTTGTACCTGGATTCAGGATGGAGTCATGGTCATGAGCTTACCTACGACCTATCGCTGATCGATATCTTTTTCGCGTGGTACCTGACCAGGCACCTGGACCTAGTAAGAGTGGATTTGAGCGGAAGCTGGCAAACCATTTGACCCCACGACTCGGGATTGCCCGAGGATGCACAGAAGGTAACGATGACTGCAGGGAATAGATGATGATTGATGAATAATATAGTCGATGACGTCGCATTTGCTGATAGTCCATGAGCAAAAAGTTTCTAAAAGCTGGAAGATGGACCTAGCGGCGTTGAGCTGAGGAGCTGCCTGTTCTGGCATCTCATCGACATCGAAGCTCCTCGCAACAAAGATAAGAGGTGATAGAAGCTCCTGCAAGCACCACTCTATCAAAGGTTAGACAGAAACCAAGAAGCACCATGGAAGGATGCTGTGGGGAAAGGTGACATTCTCAAGGGTTTTGGCCATCCTGACTCTGGGAGAGCACGGATATTCGTGGGCAATGGTATTGGATTGGCCACCCATGTCAAGGCGCCAGATGGGGCTTGCCTTCCTTCGGTAAAGCACCTCCGGGTATGATAGTGACTGGATGTGATCCCCACACATGAGGGCGGCTCTTAGCTAAATATTCTCGCCTTCTGACATGTGCATTTTAGACATCTTCCGCACGTCCATGACATTGGAAAACAGGAACATGCATATAGGAGTAGAGAGACCTTCTATTCTATCGCGCGCCACAGTTTGCTGTAGTTACCGAAACTCATCATGATCATGGATACATCTAAAAAGAAAATGCTCTTTCGAAATCCCGGAATCCATCCATGTCCATAGAGCTTTTCCACCACCAAATTACCGCCATTTGATGCTCAAGACCCATGCCTCAGTTCATTATGTTGGAATCATCAATTTCTTCATAGTCAGCATCCTCCTCACTCTCCATGCCTGCATCAACCTCATACTCTGGAGCGCTGTAGTCGTTGATCCAGATGGTGTGCGTGACTCCAACAGCATCGAAGTCATCGTCGATTTCATAAGTCACCTGGACCTGACCCTTTGCCAATCGTTCTTCGTCTGGAGGGTTCTTTCGACCGGAGCGTTTCCCTGGAGTTGGTCGAGTGTTTGTCGGAGCAGCGTTGTTATTGATGGTATCGAGGTGGCTGCACTTTCAAACTCGCGATTGCAGTCTTCCGGCACCTAGCCGAGAAGTTTTGCCGTTGCGGCACCGTGAACGTCCACAGCACAGACAAGTAACGACAGGTTAAAGCCCATCAAGCAGGAGGCGGACTTGACTCCGATAAGAGGAAGCTTGACACGTGCGTCGAATGCGGCTTGCTTTCCACCTTATTCACAGGCATTGACCACGTAGTCCATGGAGAGCAATCCGGGAAAAAAGTCTATCGTACCAAGTTCATTGCCTCCGTAGGCAACCTCGCCAGGTTGCAATAAAGTCAAGTTCTTCTTAAAGACCATGTCCAGACAATCCTTGATAGCCTTCGTGTTGGCTGCACGATTCCGTCACGCTTTTGGACCTACAAGGAGGAATCGTTATTGCGACAAGGAAAGGTCGACGGATTGTCAGGTCAATCTGTCTTTGTAAATGTCAGTTGTGATTGGTGCAGATGGCTTTGAAGGAGAGAAGGAAAGAACCATGGTAGAATGGGAAGAGGATGTAGTTCGATCGACCATCTTTGACGGAGACATACCTAAATTGATGTGAGTTGAAAAAGTCCAAGGAAAAGGAACTCTCTAGAGGAAAATTAATACAAAGTAGTCGAGACGGAAAAGTGAGATGAGGTTGTTGACTTGCGCGACACACCAAATTTGGCTAGAAGGTTGCGTGGTGCAGCTGACGGCCGAGCAACGCCACCGAGAAGATATCGAGAGGGTTGTGAAGAAGTTTCGAAGAGTATGGAGAGGAATGAGAGAGGGGAAAAGTGAGATCAGATGAGGCAGCGAGACCGATATAGCAAAGAGACAAACAAGATGACTCTTGAAGAGATTCACCAGAGCATCCAGGCTGTCCACTGTGTCCCTGCTGCGATGTTGCGTTGCCAGGAACCATATCGACTCACCAAGATGAAGGATTCATACAAAAGAGGCCAGTAAATGGAAAACTCGGAGCAGAAGATGGTTCAAATGATATCTTCGGAGTCTGTCTGCGAAGAACATGCAATGCAGGTAAGTCGTGAGCATTCTACTCACCTCTGTGGTATGCCACCATCCCCATCGAATACTATCCGCGAACAATCCAATCATCATCGGCCTTCGATATGGCCAGCCTCTGCCCGAGCCTATTGGCCCGTACTTGCACTGTAATGCCTCTCCAAAATGCGACCATCCTGATTGAACGCCTTGCGCCATGCCATGGAAAATCCCGTCTCGGAAACGCCCTCAAACGGCCGAAGCAATGGTTTGGTAAAAGAGACAGCCAATTCCGAATCATCTGATAGCCGCAAAATCCTATTCCCGACTCTATTTCTGCCCTGTCCAACGCGAACCCAAAGCCTGGATCTGCTCTTCATTGATGCCCTTCCAGATCTGATACTCATCTTTCTCTGTGCCGTCAGGCTTGTAGATGCTGAACTTCAGTTGACGCCACAACTCCAATTGCTTCTGGAAGCCGGAATTCGGTTTGACTTTGGATCGACCACGACGAACATATCGCAAGGCTGTGTCGTAGTCGAGGTCCATTTCCCCCATGATGAAGCCGATCATGACTGATCCAGAACGAGAGACGCCTTTCTGGCAGTGAACGAGGACTCCGCCATCATCATTTGCCAAACTGGATTTGATGAAGGTACAAGCCTCCTGCAGGGCTTGGAGGAGATCATTGTTGGCATTGTCACGGAGAAGGATCAGTTTGAGGACAAATTCTGGCTCATGGCCCGCTGGGACTTTTGGCTGTCGATCAGCATTGTCAATGACAGAAAGAACATAGCGGATTTTAGGTCGATTTGGTGCAGGATAGTTGGGACTCAGGACGGCGCGAGCCGTGTGAATGCTGGTTTCCGGTTGTCAGTGTACACCACCACGAGAGGAATGGGGTGCCGAAGTTCACATACTCCGACAGGTACACGTTTGGCATAATTTTGTCCGGAATGAGTGGCGCGGTTGTTGTTGACGCCGTCGCTGCCGGATCGTTCTTGCTCATCCGAGGGACTATCGGGAAGGACTTGCTAATGATGTTGCCCATCCGTGGATTGTTGGATCTGGGTGAAGATGCGGTGGCCAACATCTTTATTGCGACAATGTCCTGCTGGCAGATAAAATCACGCGCCGTGATTCACAGCAATCGACCCTGAGGTACCGGCCAAAAATCACCTGGCGCAGAGGTGCCTTATGTCGGCCTGCACTTGCTTTCTTTGATGGGCTAGGGTTCTTTGCGACATTTTGGACCCGATAAAACTGGTCAAAAGGACGAAGAAGGCTTCATGTTATTGTAAGCCATGTCTCCCGCAGCAGCTTACTGCCGTCATGAGGACACACCGGCATGGGCATGGGCACGGGAAAGGCTGTCGTCTGTCGTTGTGATATCATTCATTTCAGTCATCCATCGATCCGATGCGGGATCTGAGATTGCTCCAATGGAGCACGAGGCGATTCAGAAGAAGACGCTTGGTCATTGAAATACGGAGGTTAATTCTCGGCATCGCCCCCAAACCCACCGGTTCGTCCTAGCAGATACTATTTCTAGAGCGTCTCCCCATCGAATACTCAGTGTCTTGAATATCATTCGGCGCACTGCACCAGGCTGCTGGATTCCGAAAAGGAATTCGGAGAAGAACTATGATCAAGAGGCAAAAGTCAATAAATGCCCTCAATTTCCATATTGCAGGTCGACCAGATCATTAATTTTGTTTCCATAATCCCCAGCCATCGGTGTCCGACAATGCCTCAGCAGCAGTTCCAGCGCTGCCCGTCCGGAATCCGTCAATCAGTCTGTTCACGTAAATCTTGGTGGTTTGATTCTCAAACTGATTACATTGATCGGTCACAGGATTCGAGCGTTCGTTTTCTGTCCGATGCAATATCTGCGTAGAATTCGATGTCGGCAGGAAAAAGCTCTCGAACCTCGCACTGGGTCAAACGCTTTGCGCTCCATTGGAATGTGCTCAAATGCATACTTGACTCGTGTAATTTTTTGATAGACCCAGCCTTGTCAATGGTTGCTTCCTCGGTCTAGACATCGGAGGTTTGTCCAAAATTAATCCCTGTTCGAAGGACAAGTATATGACAAGCTGCGGGGTTTTCCGGAAGACTTCCATGCACAATGATTGTTCCAACAATCAAGACAAGCCTTTCGGTAAGGAGATGCATCTCTCCAAGAATCGATGTGATCGCCTGATCGCTACCGATTCTGACACTGAAATTTGAGGTTCTCGTGGCCTCGCTGCGATGGAAACTCTCCCAACTCCTGTGACAAAATGTTATGCTCTACTATTTGTGAAATGATTTTTTACTGCAGAGTCGGATTCGTGCCCGTCTTTGGATATCCATCTTTCATGCATTCGGTCGACGTTGAATGCTCATGTCGTAATTGCTCGATTTGCCTTCCATTTCCTGATTCTTCGGCCAATATCGCCTTCTGTTTGCTGCATAGGGTTGAGCTTCCGATCTCTGACCATGGCCTTGACATTGTCGCCATGTTTACTCACAAGCTTCGCAATCCATTCTTCTTCTCGTTGACTCTGGTGCCTTGGTCGCTTCTTGGCCAATCGCTCTTCTTCTTCTGCAGCTTGAGCTTCAAGTTCTGCAACAACGCCGTGTTGTGTTTTTGGTTTTGGTTTTGTATTCTCAACATGCATAATATTATTCAGTGGATCGTTTAGAGGGTTGTCATCCTCGTCATTGGCCTCTGGTCTGATCACCCTGATTATGCGGCTAGTCTCCGGATCCTTTTCGACTTGAACTTCGTGAGGTGATAAGGCACTGGCTCGTGGTCCGGCTATGGCAAGGGAATCTTGAGGATTGTTCTTGTTGTCACCATCCACGCCGGCTCTTTTCTTCTCGGTGCCACCAGTCGCTGCATTCAATCTAGAGGAGAGACCTAACCTCTTGTAATTTTGAGAGACGGTAAGCTTTCGATCCCTATGGCTGTTAGTTCCCATCAATGCACCAATATATATGGAGGAGAATGTTATACCAATTTTCAGCTATGGTCGTGTTTCCTAGAAAATTGACTTTCTTCTTCCCAGCTTTTGTCCTGTTGGATTTTGGTCTCGCCTTTGAGATAGAAGATCTGTTCTTTTTTTTCTGTCTTTCACGACCCATCTTGAAGTGGTGGTTTCAACTTTCAGCGACCAAGATGGTACGGGTGTCAGTGAGGAAATTTTGCACGCCAAATGTGGCCGACAGCCTTATCGATAACGCTTAAATTTATCAAGTCTGACAATTTGCCAACGCCAAATCCCTAACAGTAACGCACCATCGTGGGATTTCGTCAGACAGTCCTGATTTTGCCCGATCCCCCCCGAGCCCTCCTCGAGACCTGTCGCGTGCGACAGTATTCCTCCATCACACCTCCTCTCACGCACAGAAACAATGGGCTATTTACGGCTAAGAGCTTCCAGTCTCGTCAAATATGCGCTGTTTGCATTATTCATTGGTCTCACAGCATCAGTCCGTGCAGAGACCGTCCTGGGCAAGGACATCAGCTTGCTGACACCGGAGGAAATAGAAGAGAACCTTCAAGTACGTGAGATTGCTCCTACATACCACGGGTGCAAATACTCTGAATTTTCGCTAATAGGTATTACAGCAATGTCCCTTCGTCGAAGTTCTCTCAGAACACAAAGTTAAGAATGCACCGCGCCATACCTCACTGACAACCACACTCTTCGATCTCCTCTTCCCATCTTCCTCTCCAGCTATCAACGCCCTCCTTGCAACAACATACATCTCCGGCCCACCCAACTTCCTCCTCGCACTATGTCCGCCCAACATCGACCCCTCGTCATTAAGCATCATGGTAGCTTTTGCAGTTGGTGGACTGCTCGGAGACACCCTATTCCACCTTCTCCCGGAGATCTTCCTCGGCGAAGACAAGCATGATAGAGTCAAGTTCGTCATGGTTGAACCAAACAGAAACCTTTTATTAGGAGGAGGCATTATTGTCGGCCTAGTAACGTTTATGGCCATGGACAAAGCCCTGCGCATTGCAGCGGGTGGAGATGGAGGACATTCACACGACCACAACCACCCCCATGACACGCACAAACACACGGCCAATGGCTCCGCCTCTTCGTCAGGATCAAAGAAGAAGGAGAAAGCGAACGGCGAAGTGCGCAAGCGAAAGGGCCAGAAGGATGACAGGACGGAAGACACTGCAGTCGCAGCCATGACAAACCCCTCCATCAAACTCGCCGGCCTCCTCAATCTCATCGCCGACTTCACACACAACATCACCGACGGCCTCGCGTTGTCATCGTCCTTCTACGCCTCCCCGGCCCTCGGCGCCACCACCACCATGGCCGTCTTTTTCCACGAAATCCCGCATGAAGTGGGCGACTTCGCGCTCCTCATCCAATCAGGTTTCTCCAAGCGCAAAGCTATGGGCGCACAGTTCATCACAGCCGTCGGCGCATTTCTAGGTACTTGCATCGGGATTTTTGTGCAGGAATATGGCGGCAGCACACAAGGTTCGAACGGCGCAGCCAAAGGGATCTGGGGCACCAGTCTCCAATTGGGCGATATGCTTTTGCCTTTCACGGCGGGGACGTTCTTGTACGTTGGCACGGTCGCGGTGATTCCGGAGCTGCTTGAGACAGGACCGAATCGGGGCGAGGAGCTGAGGAAGACAGCACTGCAGTTTTTAGCTATGGCAGTGGGAGCGGTTATTATGCTGGGAATTTCGTGGACGTGAATAAAACCATATTCTGGATTAAGAATTGTTTAGAATAGAAATATCACCTTATCTAAATTTGGAAGTGCAATGTAGTGTGCGGGGGGGAAAAAAAAAAAATTGGGCCACACATGTGCACACGCTCAGTGTCTGTTGTGACTATTTCTTCTCATATAGCTCACCATCGTCTCTTCGGGACAAAGCCTTGACAAGTCCGAGGAGACAACCAATCCATTCGCTCCAACCCAGCGCGTATCCCGTTCCAACGACACCTTTAGAGACATTCCACCCATCAGGACTAACAGGATACTGCAGCTTGAGTGGAATCTTGGTTTTGATGCCCAACATTTTCGCCCACCATGCCTCCTGACAGACACTCTTGACGTTACTTAGGGCCTGGAGTCCCTCTGCTCCGCCAAATCGACCGTACCCAGACCCCCCGACGCCACCAAACGGCATAGAACAGGCATAGTAAGCGCCAAAGTCATTTACGGCGACCATGCCGGCCTTAATTTCGTGGACGCAGCGGGATACGTTAGCGGAGTCGTGACCAAAGACGCTGGCTCCGAGGGCGTAAGGTGTGGAATTGGCGATGGTGATGGCCTCGTCAACGGACGGGGCTTTCATGAGCAAGAAAACGGGTGCGAAGAGCTCGGTCTGTGCGATCGCCATGTCGACCGTCACGTTGCTGAGTAGTGTGGGTCGGAAGTACGTTCCATTGGGAAATTGAGGGTGGGCGTACCGTTTGCCACCGCAATGTAGTATGGCGCCTTGAGCGACGGCGGAAGATATCAAGGTCTCAAGACATTGGAAATTCCGGGACGAGATCATGGCCCCCATGTCTGGTGGGCAGGTAGATGGTGAGAGAAGAACGGAGCCGAGACGCAAGGATTGGATTCGGGGGAGGGCATGGTTGAGAATGATATCGTGGATGGCGGGCAGGGCGATGATGCGCTCGATGCCAATGCAGTTCTGGCCGGCAGATTGGAAGACCCCACGCATCAGAATACTGATGACATCGTCAGTTGATTTGATTGTCTTGGGATCATCGAGGACAATAGCGGGATCTTTCCCGCCCAGTTCAACAGTGACGGGAGTCAGGGCCTTTGCAGCTGATGTACAGACTCTATGTGCAATCTGTCGGCTGCCGATGAAAGTGATGTGGCTCAGTCCAGGATGGCTGGTCAAATGGTCCGCCACCTCGGGGAGACAAATGACATTTTGGATGAGGTCCACACTATAGCCGCACGCTCGAAGGGCTCCACGAATGATTTCGGTGAAGTAGATCGTGCTCCAACAGGTTTGTTCGCTGGGTTTGACGACGATCGCATTTCCAGCAAAGAGAGCCGAAATGACTGGCGACATGAAGTTGTGGAAAGGATAATTCCAGCTCACGCATGCAGCAACCACACCGAGGGGTTCATATATGACCGTGTTTTCCTTGTAACACATAAGGAGGTTTATCGGCCGCATCGAAGGCGACAGAGCTTTTTCGCCATGTTTGATGGTCCATTGTAACTTCTCAACCGTGACGAGGATCTCACCGAAACCACCATCAATCTTGGTCTTTCCGCTGTCGAGGCAGCATGCCGTTACAATCTCGTCTTGATGATCGAGCACGTATCGGAGCAGGGCGCGGAGGACTCGCCGTCGATCAGAGAAAGTAGTGTGAGACCATTGCTGTTGGGCATTTGCAGCAGCAGAAATGGCCGAGTCGATCGAGGAAGGTGTTGCCGGAACAATAGGTGGTCCTAGACTACGGCCATCTGCTGGACATCGTGGGTAGATTTGACCATTGCGAACCTGGCAGAAGACTGAGAACTGAGCGCAGGCCAGAGAAATCAGTCATTGCATACCTCTCCTTCATCTTCGAGCTTGTAGTCGGCCTCCGCAATATCCCGGGGGGAGGTCTTCTGCAGTGGTGGAGGGATTGGCACGTTGTAGCGAACGGTGAGCTCGGTTTTGGCGTTGAGCAGGATTCCAGTAACGAGGAGAGTCGAGATCGACAGAAACGCGAGTAAGATATTGACTATCCCCGCTTCTTGTGTATTGCGCTCGGGATGAAAATCGAACAGCATCCCGTTGACATATTCTACACTGAATTTATCATGCTATTGGCGGGAAAGGACAAGTAAAATCGAACCAGGATCCAAAAATGGCCTGCCAGCGCGACGGCCTCGATTCGGTGGTCATCCTTTCCCAATCCACCGTTTGACCCCCCAGGCTCCCTTACTCAAATCTATAGCCCTCCACGTACAAAGAGGGCCTCTCGCCCTCGGTCGCCGGCCGAAGAGCTCTCGGTCCTCTTCTACAACCCTTCCTCCTGACCTTCACGTGACAGCACCGCCGACCAGCCCAACGCCAAGCCGCAGCACAAGTGCCAAGCCCGCAGCATCACCTGCGCCGCCAAGCGGTTCCACGTGATAGCCGGTGTCTTTGATCACGTGATTAACTGCATCACGTGACAGCCATGACGCCTTTGCCCGAGCTCCGCCAATGGGCCGTCGACACTCTTTCCGTGCCTGCGGAAGTGGGAGAGGATCTTTTCCCAAGCTGGTCAAGGCCTTAGTCTCGACTATGGATTCTGTCTCGTCTTTGAGTGTCAATTTTGCCTGCCCGGCATAGAAAGCCCCACTCTCGTCAATCAGAGCTTGCTCTTCCTGAGCAACATAAAGCCGACTGCGATTTTCTTCCTTTTAGTATCGTCGGCCAGTCTGACACCGCCCGTACATCCTCCAAGATCGGTTCAAGCTTCTTTTCCCAAAAGAATATGGCATATCACATAATCCTATTCCAGGCTTCAACTAAAGAAAATAAGATTCGGCTGCTGAAGATTTCAAAAGGAGCTACGTCAGATCAATTCATGCAACCTATTGCATCTGCAGAATGTGTTGCGTTAAAATGGTGGTTGGGCGTCCTCCCTGATAACCAATGGGTCAGTTAGGCTGGCAACCCAGGGTAACCGTTCGGTGGCGTTGAGTCGTGGCCTGCCTTCGTGGTAATGTTCCACAACGCGCAATTGGCCTGTATTTGACCTCCATACTTCTTAGTCGTGGTGTCGGTATTGCAACCATTCAAAGCCATGCTTAGCAAGGTCTTGCACTGGTCCACGTCGACCTTATAGCTTGCGTCCTTGGAACATGAGAAGTCGAACACGACAGATATCCACAGGTCGTTGTCTGAATCTGGCGCAGCGTTGCCCGCGGCGTACCCCATGGGTCCATACTGGTTCGTTCCCGAGTTGACGACCCAAGGAGCAGGGTTATTGCCAGTGATGTGATCGCAGTATTCGTTGATCTTGTTCTGGGCCCAAGGCTGGGTTGTGGAGGGCTTATCTGCAGGAGTCCCCGCGCAGGTCAGCGTCGTCTGATCCGCTGCAGTGCCCACAGGTATCTCCTTGTAATTGAGATCGTGGTCTGAGATCAGGTCGACGTAACCGGCGGGCGCCTCGGCACCATCAACGGCAGGTTGAGGCACCTTGCCCTGGAAGATGTCCTTCCAGTACATGGCAAGGGCGAATGTCGCGTAGCTGTCTGCGTTGGTTGTCGTCGTCTTGGGTCCTTCCAATCTAGCTGCTAGAGCGCAGTCTTTAGGGCCGTAAATGCGTCTGTTCGCGCCATTTTGGGGGTCGAATCTTGCATCAACGATATGTGGCCGCTTGCCAGTGATCTTGGTGTGTGCATCATCCACACCAGCGACAGACTGTCCTTATCCTTGCCCTTGTTTTGTTGGAAGATCTCGTCATTGGTGGGCGTCGTGAAGTAAGACCCACAGCAACTAATCTGAGACCACGTTCCCCCATACCAGGTGGAAGTATTGTTGACATAGCAGGCAATAGGCCTCGGATCGCCGTCGACGTTTTTATTACACACATTGTAGGGGTCGCTGCAAGTAAGGCTGATATAGGGGTCGAATCCCCATTCATCTTTTCCCCAGTCTCTGGCGGCTTTCAAGTTTTCGACGATGTTATCTACGTAGCCGAAACTAGGATCATCGGTGCCTGGACCAAAATAAAGATCTGATGCATCTGTACCGAGTTGAGGCCATTTTGTGGCGGCATCTGCTATTACATGCGCATCCTTCAGAAATTTCATTACCAGTACTTGTGAAGAATGAACCTTACGTACCTTGATCGCTTGTTCATAGAAATCCCATCGGTTTTGGAATTTTCCTCCCTCGAGATTCCGTGTGTCTGATCTGCATTTTGTCTCGATTGAGAAAAAAAGACTGCCCAGAGACCGGCTCGTTGCCTTGTGCATAGATCTCGGCCACCTTGGGATTAGTTACATCTTGCCTGGAAACTCGTGGAGTCCGAGCTGGTGACCACCTCAATGTGCTGTTGTCCGGGAGTGGGCTTGCGAATGTGCAAGCTGTCACAAAGACTAGCCACGCAAAGCCGTACTGCATTTTCTTGTCTGAAATCATGAATCTGTAGTGATTCTGGAGGGTGGTCTGCACCGGTAGCCAGACAGCTGTGCTGCCTCTGATATAGCACTGGACCGGTGCATCTTCAGATATGGCACACTCCAGGACACATGATGTCGCGACACTGCTGTTTCAAATGTATCCAACACAGTGGCCTGCTCTGCCACATAATGCTCTTCTCGAGCAAAAAATGATGGCTCGATGTAACGGCTAGTGCAGGTCTGATGTACGGCTGGCGTTCGGAGATCACAGGCGCCTCTCGATAAGATAGCAGTGGTAGCATTCTCCAATCTCAGGCGTAACGGCCTTGGTAGTGACCCGTTTACATGTACAGTGAGTGACTTTGCGAAAACTTCGACTGATAGAAATCTCGTACATGGGTAATATTATGTCGGCCGTAAAAGAAGCAGTAGTGCACCGCCAAGTGTAAATAGCCGCCCTATTTTGACCAATATTTTTTGACCACTTTGCATCGTCGAGCGACATTCCGAGACACGCTGGGTAGCATCGATGACAGACGCTGCTCTCACATTGCCCCAACCCTGGCGCCAGAATCACTTGTTCCTCTATTGTTGCTCTACGACTTCCCTTGATTCTTCTCTCCATCATCGATCGACTTCTCGTGACAGTTTCTTAGCCTGTCGAAATGCATTTTGGACGGAATATCTTTTCGCGAAGCCCACGACTGCCACCCCTATGGCCCCTACTCGTGTCGTTGCTGTTTTGCTCCCCATTGGGCTTGGGATTCGAGAACTGTCGAGAATGTCGACCCGTCGCCATGCAGGAAGCTCCAGGTGTTGGTATGGCTCTAGGATTCGATCATGCGACAGTCTCTGTGCAGTTCTGGAACGGCACTGTGATTGATAGCGCTTACATCGATGGACCTGACAGCTATACAACGGCAATGACTACGTTGTCCGAGCTATCGGAGCCTAGGGCATCATCAGCGACACTGTTTGGGTGAGTCAGTCTACGTTCTAGGAGATATCTCAAGCACGAGGAGTACTGATCAACAAGACAGGGTCCGAGATGTTCTTCGTGAGAAGGCAACAGCATCGACTGGCATTTGGTCCTACATAGGCGCTGTCCAGAAATATCTACCAGGCCTCCGCATTGAGTCTTCCTCACCCGCTCATGTCGAAATTGCGGATGCTCTGATGCCGATCGCTGAGGTGCTGCGCACTCTTTTCCAGCAAGTGGCGAAGGCACAGGATCTGCATTACAGATACGTGTACGTCTCGTTCCCAGACTTTGTCAACCACGGTGTTTCGGCCCTCGATCAGATACTTTCTCTCCTCCTCGAAAATGCAAGTTTACAATCTTACGGAGGGATGCGGTGGATTCGCACTCGTGCGGCCCTTAACGGACTATACCACCTCGGAAATTGCTTCGATACGGTTGAAGGCGATCCTGATGACTACGGCGTCTGCGACAAGTACAAAGGTCGGAAAATCCAGACTGCGCTGGGTATCGAGCTCAGTGAAAAGAACTTCTGCATGCATTTGATGCCGCGCGAAAATGGCCTGTTCTTTCCTGATATGGCCTCGACCAAGTCATACCCTCATCGAGGTACTGCATCTGTGAATGAGGCCGATAGTCACACTGACTACTGGACATGGATTAAAGAAGAGCTTTTGGCATTCGTGGACCAGACTGGCAAGCGCGTTGACCTTCTGGTGCTTCACGGCACCCAAATCACAAATCCCCAGCTTCAAAGCCTTATTAAAGATGTTTTTCAGGACAATCCTAACATCAAATCGGAAGAATATCTACGGAGTGTTCATGAGCACATCTTTGCTCCTGCTCGATCAGTCGCAGAAACTGCCAAGTCAGCGATGTGGGATGGCTTGGACGCTTGTATTCCTAACCCTGCATGCCCTATTAGTGAGCACTACCCTCCTGGCCAAGGCTGGAGAAGGCCGGGCGGTAAGGGGGATATGGGAAACAGCTCTTAACAAATCGTGAATCTGCCCTGCTCTTACCAGCGGAGGTTTGGACATGGCAAGCGCTTGCAGTCCCCTACTCGACCGCTTGGATCTCAGAATTGGAGGCTCTTAGCGACGCGGTTACTGAGTTGACATCTGGCCAGGTCCCGGTCTGAGAGAATTGATAAGGGTAGCGGTCTTAGTCTGTCAAGAATATGAGGATGGAGCAGTGGAAGAGGATGAAGATCGTCCTGACGAGGTTCTAACAGGGCCAAAAGATCGATTCAAAGCACTCTGTCTCCTCTACTCACTGATGGTCGAGGACCAGCCTCTTACACCAAGTGAAATCGTCATCGCCGTCGTCATCATCATCGTCTTCGCCTCCAGCTCGTCGTCGTCGTCATCAGTTGAAGAATTCAGCTGGGAATGATGCCTTCAGCTGGACAGGCGTACATCTTGAGCTGGCAAAGTACGCACAGCCCTCTTCGGTGTTACATGCTCAGTTCTCATGTGATTTCCTGGGCTACAGATGCAGTATCACGTGCCAAAAAGTGCTGGCATGACTCGAATTCATCGAGCCAAGCCACTGTAGCCACTTATATCGTTTGATAATTGAAGCCCCAATTATCACAGTCAATGGCTCAGCGTGTCACGTGATCAAGTGGCACTCCCCCCTTTCCGCACCGTCATCGGATCCAATCTGTGGACCATGTGGCCGGGAGGGCACCCTACTCGATAGAAGTCGATATCGAGATGGACCACGTATCGGATCCAGTCTATGGGCCACCCACACAGACTCTACTAATCACACTCGAGATGCTTCGTAACCGAGCGTGAACGGACGAGCCTCGACGTCGAGATGATTCATGGATTGGATCCGATGGGTCGTGGCATTTCATCGGATCCAATCTGTGAACCACCTAGACAGGCTTTACTAATCGCACTCGAGATACTTCGTAACTGAGCGTGAACGGACAAGCCGCGATATCGAGATGATCCATGGATTGGATCCGATCATCTTGTGTCAAACTTCGTGAATTGAAAGAGTGCTCTATCCCTCGTCGATTAGAGGGTGGCATTGAGCCCATCTATATATCTATCTAACGAGTGTACGTCATCATTGCTGCCTGTCAATGGTGATACAGTCTGGTGAGCGAGTGTTATAAAATAACCCGGTTAATCGTGAACGATAGGCCATCAAATTCGAGGCTCGATTTGATTTGATTTATTTGTTTGCAAGCCTGACTATGCTACATCCAGCACAACAACTCTTTGTAACTATGCCCCGTGTCTGACATAGATACCTATATGCTTAAATGGGTCGAGACGGCCAGGAAACTCAATCTCTTCATAGAAATTTTGAATCATCTTGGATAGACGAGGTGAGTCAGGGTCCGTTCTGGAGCTCATTAGTATTCTGAACCGACTTAAAGTTAAAGAGAATTTCACCCGAACGACTTTGTAAGCTCATCTTCAAAGAACTCAATTCTATCCCAAATCATCATAGCTGGTTGAGCAATGTCTGCTATGATCTGTCTTACCGGTATATTAGCGTAGAACGAAAGAACCACTGTTGAATCATCGACCTCTAGGAACCCTTGTGGATCATCGAGGACAGTGATTCCAGATCGCTCGAGGACCTCACTGTCGATGTCGGTATAGCATGGGTCCTGTGCATAGCATTGAATATTATCAACCGGGTCTTGCCGCTCACTCAAGATGTCCCGTAGAGTTATAATTAACGCGTGTTGGTAAGCTGACCGCGTCACCCAAGGCAGTTCGTCATAGAAAGCCATCCCTCCACACGCGAAGGCAACGATTTTCTTAATATGATATGGAGTCTTCGTTGAAATAATTGATTGTAATTGTCTCCGTTGCTCGCTAGCTTCCCATGCTTGCTTGTTTATTCTGAAAAATTCTTCGACTTCGTCTCGCGATCGACGAGGGGCGGCAAGGATAAGTTCTTTCGTTGTTCTATCACGCTTCTCCAAATAATGGAAGATCCATAGGCTGCAGTACGCAATGCGAGGAACGAAGCCAAAGACATGTGATGCAAGATATTGAATAGAAAGATAGTTGATAAATGGAGCTCCGCTAGTTATATTGTTAGCCATCTGTTCTTAGCAAACGGGCCCTTTTCGTCGTTCTAGACGTATTGAGCAACGTACATAACGTAGTCCCATTCTGGTTCACCGGCGTCGAAAATCTGTCCAGTCTCCAAATCGAAATCAACAACGACTCCATCGAGACCTCCGCCGGTTCGGCACCTCTTTTTACTTGTCCACCACTCATGTTCCGTTTCAAGCAGTTCGTGCTGACTGTCCTATTTTTTGCATCACCATGCACGGTTCACGAAGACTCTACCACTTCTAAGCGTTGCCGAAATACCTCTTCAGATTACCGATTGCTGCTTTACACCCCGTGAGAAAGACAAAAGTAGTCCCAAGAGTGATATGCTTCTGGCCGTGGCGTCAGTATTTTCGGGAGATACCTAGACACCCACTCATCCCCTGGTTCGACCGTCCATCTGGCCTTACAATACTCCCAGAACGCGGGATACCAGCCGGACTGGTGCCAATCTATGATTGCCAAAACACGTAGCTCCTGACCCTTCGTCGTAATCATAATATTGCTTCGATGGAGATCTCCGTGAGTAAAGACGATTGGATCATCGGGTAGGCCTGGTCGCATAGGATGGAGATCGTCCAAATTCGGACCTGCTGGTGGTTCATTCCAACGTGGTTGGGCAAAGAAATCGTTGAAGGATGAGGAAGTCGGAAAGGGGCCAACTGTCAAGCCCTCGAATATGACATCTTGTAGGGGGCTGGATCCAACACCTCCAATATAAGATTCACCAGGAGGTTGCTTTATCTCGCGTAGAGCCGCAACCATAGGTCGAAGCTGATCACAAATGTTCAATCGCTCTGTTTCACATAACTGGTCCCATCGCTGTTCTAGCGTGGATCCTTGAATCAACTCCATATAAATAAACACCTCCTTGTCATCTTGACGCCATCCATAAACTTCTGGGACTGGAAGTCTGTTGCCGAAATAAGCCCCAATCATCCATAAACACTGGGCTTCGGATATTGAGGTCTTTATTCCGTACTTAACGATCAAGCCAAGTTCGGAGAATATCGCAGGAGTTGGAGGCCATGTATGTGGAGGCTGTTGTAGCGTGGCTCGTTTCCTCACTTGTTCAGGCGTTGGCAATTGCCGCTTCGTGGCTTGTTGCGCGAAGAAGGACGACGATAAGAAGGTTTCTTCGCTTGAACTCGGTAAGGCAGATTTGTTTGGAAAGACGATTTGCATCGTGAGTCGTGAAGGAAAGATCTGTCGCAGGCGTCGACGCCGCTTTGACGACGGCCTCGGCTCAACCGGGGAGTTTAGTGCGACGTCAGCCGAGCGAGTCGGCATCTTGGCGCGGCCCATTGGACGAAGGCGGGCGGGTCCCCGCCTCCGCCTCCGCTTGGGTGAGTCACAGGTGCGCCTCACTCCCGGCCCGCGCGATTCTCACCCGATCGGGTGGAGCACAAAGCGGCGGCACCCTGATTCCCAAAGGAGGGTGAGCTTGCCGCAGATTTCTGGATGCTTGGCACCCGCGCCGAGCTCGCGTGGCAAGACCGTGCCCGATTTTTAAAACCCGCTTGCTGGCGACCCACCTCCACCCTCGTACTCACCAGCCGTCGAGCTTTATATGAGCCTCAACACCACATTCTTTGTCATCGCCGAGGCATATATCAGGAGGAGCATTCCATTTCTCAATTATGTTGCCGCTCTGATCTGCCATGGCGAACACGCCAACGGCCATAAGATAGTTCCTCGCCTCCCCATATGTGTCGGAGGATATAACACCCTTGAGCGTCGGAATCACCGTGCGTTGGCGCATTAAATTAGTGTTCGCATCAGGCTTCAGGAGGAACCCATCTAACTGGCACAACAATGCCCTTGAATATGACCCGGTCCTTATGGGTTGTAGCTTCCGAATACCGCTTGCACCGTCTGCCGAACAGACGAGGCACCCATCGGAGTCGGTGAATATCGCCTCCAAGGGCCCCCTCGGTCCTTCTGAACGAGCAAAGTCTGCCATGGTCATCGGCCGTATGGGCAGGCCATCTGACATCTGTCGCCCGTAGATCGCGAACCCACCTTCCACAGACATAACGTCAGGACGAGTATTTGCTGACCCAGTGGAGATTTGATGCACTCTGATGTGCCAGTGCGGCCACTGATCCGAGGGGGGAATTAATGCCGTGGAAACCATCACGTCCAATAAACGCCACGGCTTCCAGGAACTTATCAGCACTGGAACATTTTCTGTTTTGCCGCCGGTTACCAGCGTCGCGGTACCAAACCGGGTCCCTAGGGGGACCCAGCGTACTTTCCACGTATCTCCCTCGTCAGCGCTCAGAGCAAGAGTGCTGTCGGGAGCCATCTGTTGTACGAGCGGACCAGTTGGCACACTGAATCCAAAGTGTGAGGAATACGCAAATTTCCCGTACTTGGCTTCCGTGGCTTTCAGTGGCCAGGGACAGAATTGGCCCGATGAAAGCAGGAAGTGGTGAGAGCCGGTGTTGCATACGATATGCATCGGAGATGTCATTGCCTTCGCCAGGGAGATGCCGGCCGATGGCAAAGCCTGTTCTCTCGATCTCCAAAATGGATGCGCGTTTGAGAGACCCAAGACACACAAGGTCTTCATACACCAATACACAGACTGCGGGGAATTGTAGTCCTCGCACATGAACATGTTAGGGTAGAGGAAACCAATGTTCAATGTTCCGTCGACGTGGAAAATGTCATACTTCGAAGACCACCACCTCAAATGGCGTAGGAGAAGCCCCTTGACGACGCCAGGGTCGTCCAGTGGATGAGGGAGCTCAACCTCTGCGTATGCGGCCGCCGACCAGAAGCCAGCCAAAGCGAAGCGATAGGTCAGACTCCGACCAAAGGGGATTGCCGCACCTGGCATGATGTAAGCAAGGGGCGATCTCTTCATTGTAACACCGTTCGAGAGCTTACCAGCCGTGTCGAAATAATGGCAAAAGTCACCGGCGAAATTGCGAGCCCGTTCTAGATACGTTTTGCATCTCTCCGGATCAATGTCTTTTGCGAATTTGGCATAGAGCAGTTGGGAAAATTGTATGGCAAAGCTTCCCGAGTAATAGTCTGCTTGTCGTCCTTGATCACTCCAAGGACCGTCACTCGCCCAGCCGTTCTGGAGGCAAAATGTGTCCAAAGCATCGAGATCATCATTCATTAAAGAACGAATGGGCTCCTGGGGCAGCCCACAGACTTTTATCAGTGCGAGATTCGTCATGACGCGAAACCATAGCCAGTTGGTAGTGGGCATATCTTTGCCAATGATCGTCTTCAGCCATGAAGTTATGTTCGCTTTTGCTTCGGGCGTTTGCTTGTGGAAGAAGGCATGAGGTGCTGACAGGAGAGCAAAGGAGACGATTTCCATTTCGACCATCCGCTGGTCTCGACCGACTACAGGGCCCCAGTATTCTGGATGGTCTGGACTCGTGCCATTGGCCAGACCTCGCACGAAAGATTCGGCGAGGCTTTGCGCGAGTTCATCACTCTCAGCTTCACCCGAGAGAAGTGCTCCCATGACCCAGAGAGGTCGAGCATAACCTTCTAGTTGAGCGGCTGTCTCATCGAAGTGGGCACCAGTCGAGACAGGAACTCGAATCCGGGCACATCCAGGGCTCTGATATTTACAGAGGTTCTGCAGCAAGGCCAAAGCTGCTGCTCGAACATCTTCTCTGGTCCTGAAGGGGTTATCCGAGAAACCAGCTAGCCGCGGCATTTTGGGTATATCGGGGCCAGGATCAATTATGTGAGTCGAGCATTTCGCTCTTTGGGTGTCTGAGCAGTCAGTCCTTTGGATCCTCTCTCTCTCGAATCCGAGCTCCGATGATGCCACTGCAAGTCAAACACGTTCAACACCTACTGTATGCCCATTCCCCTATCGATTGATTAAGTATCCGCTTTCCTCCGGGACCGGGGGACTAAGATAGGAGCGGAGGTCAATAACTCCACTATGCCTAATGGAGCGACTTGTACCGAGACCCGAGTTGCCGCAAACTTTAATTGACGCTATCAAAGGCTTCATAAGATGAGTGTGCTTCTTCAACACCCATCGATGCACCGGGACAATTTGGTCCGTCACTCGTCGTACACGAGGCCGGTTTATCCCAGCGGTTCAACATGGTCCCGGTTCGTCGGCCTGATTCCCCGAGCTCCGCCACGGTTGAACCAGAATGACTTCCCTTTCGTGGAAGGTCGATAAGCCGAGCGATGATCCCGACGACCTCCCGGCTTGCTCCTCGTGCCGTAAGCGAAAGCTTCGCTGCTCCAGAGAGGCTCCTGTCTGCTATCACTGCAGCAGAACAGGTACGGGGTCAACCACGAGAAATATGGGACCAATCATGATAATGGCCGTGTCCAGGTTCCGAATGTGTGTACGACACGAGACAGAAGCCTGGTCTCAGGCCTGGCGCAGTCGAAGCGCTGAACCGTCGTATTGGTTTGTCTCCTCGACGACGTGGACCATCCTCTCATAGTCGCCAGTCCTGCTGATAAATCCCAGCTGTCTTAGAACAAATCCTCCTGGACAGCGAAGGTGTTCCACGTGTAACAATCACTGCAGATGGAAGAGTCGTAGGAAGAAATCGTCTACCCGTGCCGGACTCCGAGCTCGATCTCCTGGGGGAAAAAGAAGTGGTCCGACAATGGGACGGCTCACGACAAGTCGGGTTGTCTAAACTTCAAAACGACGATGTTGCGACCGACGCTTTAGGACCTACTCTATCGAAACATCATGAAAACAGCAAGCGAAAAGCTGACCAGCTAGACGGTTCTCCGTCACAATTCTCCTCTCAAGAGACCAACAATCTCATGCAAGGACTACCGCCGCGTGCGGTCCTTGTGAAAATAGTCGACTATTTCTGCCTTTCATTTCATCACTGGATCCCTTTTCTTCATAAAGCCCGCAGTCAGGCTGAGGTTCGAAGACGGGAGTTGACGGCCGACTTCGTTCTCGTTCTCCATGCACTGGTGGCGGTGGTATTGCCACATTTGGACGTTGAAGATGTTCAAATGGAGGTTGGGGCGGTGAGGCACCAAATGAAAACCTCCAGAGATCTCGTCATGCAGCACGCAATGGACAACATGTCTCTGCAGGGCCTCCAAGCTCTCGTAATACTGGTATTCGATGACGTGAGTTTTGACGTGCGTGGCCGTGACCTTTCTGGCTGAACAATCGACTAGCTCAATAATGGAGAATCAACGAGGTCGTTTCCGCTGATCGCGCTATTGACCAGAACGGTTGACTTTCTGCAATTAACTGTCGAGCCCGGGACACCGCGATCCAGAGTCTTAATGAAACCTCTGAATCTATTGGCGCCCGCGCAAGATTGGACCGAGCTCGAATCTCGAAGGAGACTATTTTGGTGCATCTTCCTTCTAGACAGGTGAGACTCCATTAAACATCGGTGAGGTTCTTCGGAGCAGGGTCGGCTGACTTTGTAAGATACAATTCGGCCCATACTGGCTGGAACACGAGTTTGACTTCGGAAGACGTCCACCGTCGCTTACCCGCCGACGGGGCTTTTTTCACCCAGGAGAAATCTGTCCTCTGCCCATTCTTTGGACTGTGGAACAAAACCTTTGCGAAACTCAGTGTGTCTCTCGCGGCCCATGTCCCTGCTCAGTACAACGAGGATGATACACCCTCAGATATCATCCCGGAAGCTAGTCCACCCACTAGTGCGAGCACGATTGCAGTTGATTCGTCGAATCTGGGAGCCTTTGCCTATTGCATCGAGGCAACAGAGTCGTTGAACCAGGTTACGACATTCTTCTTGCAACAACGAATCGACTGGCAGAACAGGCAAGACGTGCTTGATTGGCTCACACGCTTCAAAGAGCTCGATCTCCGATTGGTACAGTAAGTAAATCCATCAGGCTATCGGTGGGGCAATCTTGACAAGTGCTAGTTGGAAAATGTTCCTGCCACCGCGGTGGAAAGACTCGAATATCTCGACCGACAAATCCTTGGTCAATATGGATCCCAATCTGACCTTGGCTCACATGACGCACAACACGTCCATGATTCTCTTGCACTATCCCGTTGCATTTCCCCCCATCGAATGGACAAACCTGGTGCAACTTCCTAGCGCCTGCAGCGCCGAAACGTGCCAACTCGCAGCGGTAGAGACAGCTCACATTGCTGAAAAGTTCTTGCGACACACGCCAATACCTTTTGTAAATCCACAGTTTTCGTTTTGCGTGTTCGTGGCGGCAAAGGCCCTCCTGGGTAAGTCGATATTTGGGTTCTGTCCGAGTTCTCCGACTGACTACCGTATAGCATTATCCCGCGCCACTCAGGGCCAAGTGATCGCGGAATTCAGTAACTTAGTCGAATCACTCTGGACCATATCAGCCCGATGGAATCGCCGTCCCAACGAGGAGAATTATCGGGAAACGTGCACGAATCAAACAAGATGGGATATTTCAGGACGGTACGCCCAATTTCTCGAAAAGCTTCATGAAAAATGCCAGGGGAGTCCAGAATTCCAGTTTGATTTCCTGGACCATTCATGTAAGAATCTGGCACATTCACCACGGACTCCGGTGAACATCTCGACCTCGGTCATGGCCAATGAGGCTTGTGCGGCGACGTCGAACACCAGTCGGACGGCAAGACAGCACAGCCAAGCAAAGTTGGGGAGAAGCTCTACTCTTGGGCGTGCAAAGCGGCAAAGAAGAGCGGCAGAAAGACAAGCCAGCGATGATCCGACCAACAACATCAGCATCAACATCCAAGACCGTAGTCGGCAGAAGTCGGCCTCCGATGTAGATTATCAAGCCACCAGCTCACAGCCCTACAACTCATCTCAGCAAGTGGCACCGGCAACATCACACCCCCATTCGTCGACAACCGTACATGGGGACTTTTCCCTCCACCATTTTTCTCCAGAAGGTACTTTGATGTCGATGAACAATCCTCCCGTGCCGTTTCCCGAACGACCAAGTCAGACTTACGACCAAGCAGGGATGCAGGATGCTTTGTCGATTCTGTCGGATACTCTCATGGATCCGCAATACACGGAGTTGGATCGGGTCATCACGTTTGAAGAGGCCAACTTTTATGTGTCAGACATCGGGCCCGGATGGATTTCATGATAAAATCCGGCTGTCCCGTCACCGAAGATGAAAGATCCTCACATACAATCCCTAAATATGGACGAAACGCGGCACATCAAGGAAAGGACGGAAACTTGAACAAAAAGGGCATTCCGAGCTCGATCGGAGACATCGTTTGGATTTAGTCTCGGGAACCATCAGACCTACTAGCATAGCCCCATTCTACACAGTTTATTGCCAAACTCCAATAAGAAGTAATCTGCATACACCAAGCCGTGGTCCCAGTACCGCTTATGTGCGTGCTCATTGTTGTTTGCCGTAGCATTGCGCAGAATGGCGTCAAAGGAACTGGGACTGATTTGCGCATGAAGTTTTTCCCCGGGCGATGAGGAAGGAAGAGGAAGAGGCGGAAGGAGAGACGCAAAATCCCGATCGAGCGACATGTCAAGCGTTTCCTGGACGATCAGCAGTGCGGCATCCAGAAAATCGCTGCCTCCTGCCACAGGGCGGTATGAGAGCTCGGAAATGCTCGACACCGACAGAGACTGCAAGGCTTGATGGATCAGGAGCATGCCATTTGCGGCGATTACGCCTGCAGATGTATCACGCAATGGCTCAGCGGGGTCTTCTTGATGTGCGTCAAAGTCCCAAGCAGGGACGAACGGGTGATGGTGGGAAGCAGCATCGAGTCGTGACAGGAACAGATTGGCACATCCAATCGCCGTCTTGAGAAACGTCGAGTCCTTCGTCCATAGGTACGTCTGTGCGAAACCCATGATCGCCCACGCCTGGCCCCTGCTCCACGTCGACGCATCGTTGTACCCTTGGTTCGTCATTCGAGATATCACCTCCCCGGGCCTTCGGGGGTCCAGGTTCACCAGGTGGAATGTCGAACAGTCTTCTCGGAGGATGGTCCTCCGCACGGTATTCGCGTGTGTAGTAGCGATGGAGGCGAGAGACTCATCGTGAACGAGATGCCCAATGTAGAAGAGGAGGTCCAGATTGCACATGCTGTCGATGATGACCAGAAAGTTTTCAGTCATGTCGTCGATCCTGTACCGGTGGTTTATGGCGCGGTCCCAGCTTCGAATCGCGCCAATGGCGGGATCATACCGTGAGGCCAGAGCGTAAGCAGCTTTGGTGACAGAATCCAGACTCCGCAGGTTTCCCGTCATTTCCCAATCCTTTTGAAGCGCGGGCTGCACGATGAAGCCCATATCGTGCGTATCGGTCCTGGAGGACATGTCGTTCAGAGCTATGGACCAGTGTCTCCCACACGTTAGGAGGTCCGAATAGAGATGCTCACGATACCATTTCGGCGCCGACACATGAGCGGGAAATTTGGCCGCACGTTCAAGAAGAGTGTAGACGGTGCCGGGGAAGAAGCCACACGTCCAGAATTCGGCGTCCCTATACTCGTACCGACCTCGTCCGGCTCCCGATTGAGGTGCTGACTCTGGATATGATGGAATAGGACCCTTGAATGCCGCGTTAGTGGAAGGAGAGGCATAACAAATGACATGTGGTCGTTGCCAACCTGGGATTGCAAGCATCGTTGAGCTACCTGGAGAGTTTTCGCCAGAACACTTTCTGAAAAGATGTGTCCCAAATTGGTCCTTCTCGTATAGATCGGACGAATCGGACCATGAGTTTGAATACCTCGAGACTGAATTTGGGTTGATATAGAGGTGAGACTATCAGATTCAGATGCAGCCCCATCGGATGACGAGGACGAAGATTCTATGACCTGACACATCAGGATGATATCGAGTGAAATATAACAGATGAATCTTTTCCGGCACTCAGAAGGCAATTAGCCAGTATTTCAAGGTATATTAGACAAATCTAAACGGGACGTGCAACCATTTACCATGTCCGTATGAGATCTGTTCGGTTCTAGACTCGATATCAAAGGATCACGAATGCCTTTTTGAAGAAGCTCGCCACTTTTGACCGAGGCCGATCGGGATTGATTCACATATGAGAGAGGCAAGAGTACCGTTACTCAGAAGACACAGCTTCTAATCCAAATAAGGAAACCCTCCTAAGCTCGAAGCTGATGCGGTGGGTACGCGCACATATCTGGTCTATCGACCTCGGAGAACCGGGGGATTGGCAACCGAACATCGTCGATCGTATGGCGCCTCATGTGGAGACACTGCAGGTCAAATGGCACTTTGGCTCATGCAATTATGGCGCGGGGAGAGCAGACTTACGGTCAGTCTTCTGGGGTCCCCAAACCCCACAACTGCATTCCAGTAAAGCGCCGCGCTTGAAGCTGCTCTCCACTGTACAACGCTCGGTCATTGAACGAAAGGGGAAATAGGGGATCCGCAGGAAAATTGTCAATCCGGGCTCTCGATAGCAATCTCTGGACTGGATGTAGTATAGCACTCCAACCTCCCGCGGTGTTTTGCACACCAACAGTGTATAGAGCGTTGGCGCCCCTATCGTTCTCTAACCCCTATACGCCACGGACTGGCCAGCATCGGAGAGTAAGATTCCACGACGCCCGAACTATCGAATCAGATGAAGAGAAGATTCAGGATTTGGGTCAATACAAACTTTTTTTCTTCGTCAAACGTCCCCAGGTAGTTTTTCACATCCGGAGAAGAAAAAGACAATAACGCGGGGTACTCCAGGGGATGACTATCAGTCCCGTGCTGCAATTCCCCCGGATGGATTTTGCCCGAAACCCGCACTTCGTACTGCGACACTGTTTCCAATGTGCTGGTGGCTGTCTCTGAGCGTTTGCGGCAGAACGACTATCCTCATCGAAGTATAAGAGAAGAGAGGTGTTTCTTCAATCTGCCCCGCTTCTTGTCAATGTGGTCCTCCACCCGTCTCACTATACACCAGCCGGTACTCAAACACTTGGTCAATTCGACCAGACCAGGGTGCAACAGCGACGGCGTTGACGAGGGAAAATGGTGGACATCATCACTCACGACAGTTTTGAGGGGCTTGTGCTCAAGGATGTGATCCCGAAACGAAGTAAGCCCTGGTGGAGGGATGGGACGCTCATCAAACTCAACAGTCTATTGTTGTGTGCGCTCCTCACCCAGACCGCCTCCGGCTTTGATGGGAGCATGCTCAACGGAATGCAATCCCTGCCCCAGTGGAAGCGCTTTTTCGGGGAGCCGAAGGGCACTCGACTGGGCGCCATGACGTTTGGTCCAAACGGGGGGATCTTGATTTCAATCCTGGTTTCATCCCAACTCTGTGACCGATATGGCCGACGATATCCAATCTGTGGCGGATCACTCGTCGTCATTCTGGGCTCGATTCTGCAGACAGCATCCGTCAATTATGCCATGTTTGTCGCCTCGCGCTTCCTCGTCGGCCTTGGCCTGGGGATTGTATCGGTGGCTGCCCCTCCTCTGCTCACCGAGGTGGCCTATCCCACGCATCGGGGCAAGCTGGTGTCGTTCTACCTCGTCTCGTGGCCCCTTGGATCGCTGATGGCCGCGTGGATCACGTACGGGACTTTTAAAATGAGCGGCTCCTCCTGGAGCTGGAGAATTCCGAGTCTCCTACAATGTTTCTTCTCCATCATCCAGGCTATTTTGAGTTTGTTTGCCCCTGAATCGCCTCGGTGGCTTATCTACCAGAGCCGCAACAAGGAGGCATTGGACATCTTGACCAAATATCATGCCGATGGCAACCCCAGTTCCGAGCTGGTGCGATTTGAAATGGCAGAGATCACGGCCACGTTGGAAATGGAAAAGCTGCAAAAGAAATCCCGCTGGTTAGAATGGTTTTCCTCCAAGGGTAATCGACACCGATTCTTCATCGCTGTCTATATTCCGGCCATGCTGCAGTGGTCGGGCAATGCGCTCATATCGTACTATCTGGCGGCCGTGCTCCGTTCGATCGGCATCACGAACTCCAAAACCCAGCTCATTATCAATGCCTGTTTGTCCGTCTGGAGTTTTCTGACGGCGTGCGGTGCTGCCATGCTGGTCGACAAGGCCGGTCGTCGACGGCTGTACCTCACTGGTATGGGCGGGATGGGGCTTTCGTACATCATCTGGACCGTCTGCTCTGCCATCAACCAAGAAAAGAATTTCGAAGACACCCGCTATGCTGCCGCTGTCCTGGCCATGATCTTTATTTACGGCGGGTTCTACCATTTGTGCTCCCCAATTTCCCCAACGTATATTATGGAGGTGGTGCCGTATTCTCTACGTTCGAAGGCATCGATGCTGTATCAATTAACGGGAAATCTCGCCGGCGTTTACAACAGCTTTGCCAACCCTGTGGCTATGGACGCAATCTCTTGGCGCTATTACATTGTGTGGTGCGTCATTATTGCTATCAACTTCACTCTGATCTTCTTCTTCTTCCCTGAAACCAAGGGAAGAGCCTTGGAAGAAGTGGCCGAAATCTTCGATGGACCGAATGCGCTATCGGGGGTGAATGCCATGAGGGCGACTGGACTTGGCGCTTGTCCGGACAAGGCTCTGACATTTGGAAATGACCAGGAAGCCGGAAAAGGTACAAAAATGGAAACAGTGGAGCAAGTAGAGAAGATTTAAAAATGGATCACTCAACCCTGACCGGATGATGTCAGCATTGGTCGTATTGCCAGAGCAAGAACGGATCGCTTTGTGAGTTAGCATCATTCAAACGAATTCGGGTCTAGCGGCAGGAATGTTGTGAATTTGAAGTGTCTTTTTCAACCTCAGAAATAATTTGGTAGACTCGATCGAGGAGGTGAGCATAGAGCAGCGTCACCTCCTTCCCCAAGGGAGGGTGAGCTGGCCGTCGATTTACCTGCTTTTGGCGGCCAAAGACTAGGTCAACATACCGTATTAAATCGACAGCGAGCGGTGTGCCGCTTTTAACGAAGAAGTTCCTGTCCTTTCACTTGGCAAAGGATTTGTAGAGGTAGTAACGGTGGTGAGCGGCGAAATTGTGGTTGTTTTCGTTTCCAGAGCCGTGAATGTCGTCGTGCTGGTGGCCGACACGATGAACGTAGTTGTACTCTCAGCAGTGTCAGGAGGACTGGTGCTTTCAGCTGATGTAGTGATGATAAGGAACTTGTGGTAGAACCACTATCGCTACTAGAACTGCTAGTAGAAGGTTCGATTGGGTGATAGACCTGAAGCTGGAGGGAGTAGAGTTACTACTGTCAGAGGTGGTTGAAGTCAGAGTGGTTTTGGTGACAGAAGAGGTCGTCGATTGCACCACGGGACTAATGGCAAAGCTTCAGGTACTTCTGATCGTTGAATATGTCCAAGCGGTAGTCGTGGTCTGTATCTTCGTCGTAGTTGGAGTTGTAGCGGTAGCCACCTGGGGTGTCGTAGTCGATGTACTCGTGGTCGACGTTGAAATAGCATTGGCGAAGGTTGCCGCGGTAGCAAAGTTTTCAACTGCTGTTGTCGGTTTCGATGTCGATAATGAGCTCCTGAGCTGAGTAGTAACTGGAGAGCTGACGGGAGACGTTGTTGACCTGCATGTTAAAGATGCTGGAATGACAAAGTCGGCTTTTGCGTCCAGAATGTCTTAGAGAGTCCGGAGCGTTTACCTGTAACCACAAGCAAGATTGGCTGGGTACAGGGAGAATTAATAGATATCCAGTCAAAGCTACTGCCTGAACCTCTGCAGAAAGATCCCCTTCGATCCTGGAGAACTTTCCATCGAAGATCCAATGTATATGTGGCACAATCGGGCGCACAAGGGGTACTTATTGTTCGAGGGGATAGATCTCGGGTTGGAGAACAACATGGATACCGAAGTATAGGAAACTATAGTGGCTTAGTCGTTTGAGTCGAAGGCGATAAAGGAGCCGGCAATTAGAACTCGCTTGGCTGGGGAGGGTCCTGTGGAGCTCAAACTGGAAATTCCGCTAAATGTGGAGTATGAAGTTGTAGGGGAAGTCACCATAACCATGGACGCCGTAGGGGATGAAGAAGGAATGGGTTCACTCTCTGAGAGCTGTATGTGCTTGGACTCAATGAGAACTGCATGCTGGATGTCGTGAATGTAAGGCGATCGCAACTCTGGGTTTGCGAGCTATATAGGTTTGATGAGATATTAGGCGTGGTAGCTTATTAAGCCTCGGGGTGAAGTGATCGGTGGATATCAGGCCTCAGTGCCGGTGCTAGATGCTCGACTATTTGCCCAGGCTTTGCAGTGCTCTTCGGACAACCCACGATAACATTGTTCATGGCGGTATTGTCACAAAGATGGTATCGTGACGGTGACTGTAAAGTCAAAGACAATGGGTCCTGGGCAGGATCAAGCTGCAAAGGCTATCTAGTCTCTGCCTGAGTCGGTGGTGGTGGTTGATGGTACAATGTGAATGTCGTTTTCCCCAACGCCTAGGGTTCGCTGAGGAATGGTCACCATCATTGGTTTTCCCGGTTGTCTGAAACCGAATGTGTATATTCCAGTAGATGGGACACCGGTACGAGCTGCGCCGACTGCTACAATCTTCCTTGTCCTTGCTGGTACATAATATAGTTTCTCGCGGCGCTCAATGCGTTTGACTTCGGCGGCATTTGTGCATTCCCGTAGCTTGGTAATCTGTCTGCTTGCCATCCTGGCAGTTGTCGTAGAGACAATTGCCTCCATAACCAAGGAGAACGAACGGGCGGACACCGTTCTACAAAGCCAGGCCATGCCCTAGTAATGGTTGCATGAGTGTTCCGCTTAGCTCTGTTGATCCCTTGTAATTGTGAATGCTGTGGCCGTTGGGCATTTGGGGGGGAAAGGCATGATGGTCGTCAAGGTCGACGACAGGACGGCCTTGGTCGCCATGGCCAACAACAATAGTAATAGTATTGCCAAGGCCGATATTACTCTTGCCGGGTACGCGACTTAGAGCTGGTCCAGACGAGTAAATAAGACCACACGATGCGGAATTCTCTGAAAGAGAGAGGAGGCCATTAGAGAACGGAATGTTGTTGAGAGACGGATTCTCAGTGCCATATGTACGTGCTGTTCAGTCAATCACTTCACAATAAAAAGCTCCACTCATTAAGAGGAACGCGCATTGCGAATGGCCGATTGTCTTGAGCCTGGCTCAAGAGCGAACGCGACATGGCTGCATCCCAATCTTCCGCAGCGCAAAACAACACAAACGCGAGTTCACCTTATGGTCAGCACTGTATGTAGGTGCTGCAGTCTTAAAGCAAACAAATAGAGCCCGAAAGGATAGTTGTGATCGCCGACAGAGAGTACATACCTAGTGATTTAGACCATGATTCACCAAAACTGGTCCCGTTTACGCGAACAGCGGAAACAGCTGTCGAGTAACTGCTCCCATCTTCGGCTGCAATGAAGCGAATGCGAGCGAGATTAAGTCTGGTATATTGACAAGATTGCGGAATTCAAGTTCTGGTCCTTGGAACAAGAGACTGCATGAAATGACTTGTTCGAAGTTGTTAGAAAAGCGTACCCGGCGTTTCTCCCAACACAGGTCCGTCCACACTAAGTTTCTTCTCGAACACATATCAAGGATTTTTGCACCCTTGACAGGTGAATCTAGAGACTGGGTGAGATGGTAGTGCGGAGGGCGAGTTGACCGTTAATTTAGCATCGGGCCGATTCCCGCCCGCACCTCCAGCCACAGACGCCACAAACCACCCTACGCCTTTTCATCGAGATCTGGGAAATGACACCACAGACGCCACTGCTCGAAGACCAGAATCCCGTCTGCGCTGATCAGCAAATGACGTCGATTCTGTATCATTCCGAGATCTGCCTTGTTTATGGTCGTCTCATGACGTCCCAAAAAGAGGATGACGACCATGTCTCTGACTGGCTCTTCGGTCATGGTCCTGGTCTTCATTGCATCCATGTTTCCATTCCCAGAACTAGTTGCAACGGCCTTGCTGTCAGACGGCCGGCAGAAATGTGAGATTGCCGCCCATGTCGACTGGCCCACGGTCAGCCTCGACACCTGGTTCTGATTCGATGTTGAAAATGGATCCCGACTTCGACGTCATGATGGACAGGAGCGATGAGATTGCTTGGGCCATATTGGTTGGAATACATATCCATATGAGCTGTAGCCCAAAGGCTAGAGCCGAGTTAGCTAAGATATGTGTGTAGGCGAGCGCAAAATCGAATTATAACCGGTCTGATGCCGTGATATGATTCAGGCCGTGGGCGCTGGATCTATGACCTGGTCCCCCGCTTCCCTCTGGATGCGTATTCTTGACACCGATTTCCCAAAACCCATAATAAAAGCCTCTCTTCAACCTTCTTCATCACAACCCAATTGTTCATCGACCCCTTCGGAAACACAATCCATTCATCCCACCTCCTCCGAAAACACATATACATACCTGGCCACCATGGGCGCCGTGGTATCTTGTGTACGTCCCTACCTTACTTCACCTTCTTGCCCGTTCTAGCTGCTGACCTCTCTCTGACACAGTTCGAATCCATCTGTCGCACCGTCGGCAACGTGCTGATGGCCATCGTGAATGGCATCGGGTCCATCATTACAGCCATTGTCAACGGCATTGTCTCGCTCTTCGACATCGTTATCTCCTGCCTCACCTGCGGTCGTACAAGAAGACACAGAACCCATAGGGCGCATACGACGAGTCGAGTCTAACCAATGGACTCTCTCGACGAAAAGGAAGGAGTGAGGAGGAGGTTAGAGAGGGTCCATAACAGTAACATGACCAGAAATGAACCAATTGGGGAGGGGTTAGTTATTGATTGAATTGCGAAGACGACGAGCAACGATAATGAGGCTGTTGACTTTTTAACGGAGATGTGGAACGACTTGCACTCACGTTTATACTCAGGTGCCGTTATGACTTCGTTCAACTCGATCCCCTCATGAAGTTGTTGCCAGCCGAATGCAGATTGAATGACCAAGAACGTGATGCTCGAAATTCCTGAGATTGAACTGTTCAAAGCAAATTGATTATATTCTTCGAATATGGTACCAAAACAATTGCAAACCTGATATCTTCAAAACTGTACTGTCGGCCACGTCCATATCCTAGCCTACGAAATCTTGTGCCATCGTCATATCGTTTTCCTCTCGCAATATTCGAAGACAACCCTTTAGCTGGTCAAAGTGATCATTTCGCCCTCCCACTTCTTCATCCTCGTTCCCTCGTTGATGATATTCTCAAAGACCCAATGTCCGACATCCGCTCTCTTGATGGTATATCCCAAAGCCGGATGAGGTTCGGTACCAGTCCTGACCTGATCGAGACCCGCAGCATCAGTGTACGAGACACCCCCAGCGAGCAAAGTAGGTCGAATGCCCACGATGTTGCGGAATGCCGAATCCTCCTTTTCCGCATCTCCACGGTACAAGTCTTCCATCTTCTTCTTGTCTACGTGCGGCACGGCAAGGGCCTGGTGATAAAGAAAACGCATGGCCAAAGGCACGTCTTCTGGCCCGCGAGTGATACCCGTGGTGGAAATGAAAGTCAAAAGGGGCTTGGTGGCTTTCAAGTGGGGGTTTTCGGCGTAGATCTCGTGCATGGCAGTCAGAAGGGTTTGTGCCGCGGTCTCGCAGATGGTGGGGTTGTCGAGGGCGGCGATGTGGCCTGGATGGCGCCAATCGAATGCCAACTTGGCGGAGCCACCGAGACCTGTCACGACGTGAGTGGGGAGGCCAGCGGGTGAAGAGGCTGCCAAGGTCCGCTTGACGGCTGCGACCTCGAGCGCGTTGCCTTGGACGAAAGTCAGTTGGTTGTTGATGAGGGCTTCGTCGAGTCCTTGGTTGGTGAGCTGGATGCGCAGCTTTTCTGGAGTGCGCACGAGAGCTGCCGCTTTGTAGCCGGCCTTGAGAGTGTGGACCAGGATGGCATTGGTGACACCGCCAGTGGCGCCGAAGAAGGCAACGGTGATGGAGGAGTTACCAGAAGACATTTTTGATAAGTTGTGATGGATTGTTCGGTCCTAGATGTGGTCGAGGTCAAAGAGCCGAAGTGATACGCGTCTGAGAAGGTTAAAGTTTTTCGATCGCTTTGTTGTGACTCGTGTTTGTATGCTGTTGGGCAGTTAGCAGACTCTACGGGGCAGCCATGATCTTTATACACATCGCAATCTTCATTGTTGCGCTTGACTTGACGTCTATTTCGAGGCTCAGTTGCAGCGACGGAAGAATTCAATGCGCAGGAGAGCGGCCGCAGTTGACGAGGCTGATATGCAAGGCACAAATGGTGATGCACTCGGATAGACAAGCTTGGCGGGTAGAAGCGCGGGCGGAAGAATGCTTGCTGCAAGCGGATGAACAATTCCTCCGCTTCAGCCGCCGCCCGTCTGCAATTGGCGGAGAATTCTCCGAACCCATTTTCATTGGACGCCACCATCTACAGATCGGAGCAAAAAAAAAAAAAAAAAAATAAAAAGCTGCAGTTCCGCAAAGCTTGGTCCTTCTGCGCATGGACTATCCTAATTCTTCCCTGAGCTTGAGAGCCTGACCTTGGCACATGTCTTGATAAGACGGTCCCATACCCGGCAACTTGCTTCCTCCTTGTCCTTGTTCCAAGTCAGTGTCGATTGGTTGCCAATGATAATCAATCCTGCCTTCGCCCTCGTCAAAGCCACATTCAGTCTCCTCATATCCTTCAAGAACCCAATTTCGCCGTGTAAATTGCACCTTACCGTCACATAGATCACAATGTCGGCCTCTTGACCCTGAAACCCGTCGATGCTCGAAACCACAATCCTCCCACAAAGCTGTCGAAGGAGGTCTGCCTGCCGAGAATAAGGTGTCAATATCGCAATGGAAGGCAATGAGACATTGGGTGTATTTGGAGTCCTGTCGTTCTTGGATTGATCGGCTGGCGCAGTCATCAGGAGTTTGAGGACCTCTTTGCAAAGCTGGGCTTGGGCCTGGTTGACCTTGGATTTCCGTCCATAATCTTCTGGGCCACTGCATTCAATAAATACCGACCGACTATTCTGCTGTGGTACATTCTTGGTGCTGGAGAGATCTCTTGGCCAAGGAAAATTCGAGACTGGTATTGGAATATCGCTGCAGATGTCGGCTGTCAACAAACGTCTCTCGTAGAATTCATTTGATGGAAAGTTGCAGATATCTGGGTGCATTCGGTATTGGGTGTCCAACATGACCCTTCCCACGGTGTTTTCACCGTGTTCAGCACCGGTCCAAAGCCGTTCCATCAGGGAGACGTCAAAATCCAATGCAGACGCGTACTGACCAACGGTTGCTCGAAGTTGAACGTGGTCTCCCACCAGTACTGCTCGTCGACATCCTTTGACCAATGGGACCAAAGATGCCGGTTCGGTTTGTTGGGACGCTTCATCGATAATGGCAGTATCAAAGGTTTGCTTTCGAAGAAGGCCTAAAGCTGCGCCGACACAAGTGGTGAACACCAATCGCGATTCTGAAACTCGCTGAATTGCCTTCCGCTTCGCCGCCGGAAACTGATTCAGGTCTTTACCAAACATTGCATCGCAAGTATAACTTTTCAAATCATCGGCAACCTTCGAGAGCTATGGGGGAAATGTCAGCATGGGGACTTTCTTGATCGGGTCGTAGGTTTACCTCTGTGGAGACTCGAAGAGGTTGTGGTAAGGTTGAGTCGCTCGTTAGTGCTTTTTGAGTATATTGTCTCAAGACGTTGTCAACAGCGTTATGCGTCGGCGCAGAGACCAAAACTCTTTCCTTTGTATCATACTTCAATAACTTCCGCAGCAGTGCAATTATAGTCGATGTCTTCCCCGTACCGGGAGGCCCCCAAAGACAAGTCAGCCGACCGCTGATAGATTCGGTCACCGCACGCCTCTGGCTGTCGTTCAGTCCTTCGATTGTGCAATCGGTTTCCCCCGAGAGCACCGAGACCCGGGCTGATATTGGTGTGCATCCCTCTTTGGGGCCCATAAGGCTGTGGTAGACTCCGCAGCAATTTTCACGCTGGACTAGGAGCTCTACTAATGCTTCCGCCATTGTTTGACATGTTACGAACGGACCGCAACGTTTCATTATCCATGATATCTCCTCGGTGAAGATCGGCGGTTGCGCGAAAGTTCTGAAGCGCACCTCGTTGTCGGATGCTGCTTCGACCAGGGCCTCAAATGATGTGGCTTCGGATGCAGTAGAATTCAGCGGTTCTTTTCTGGCAACAAATCGAACATGGTCCCCCACTGCAAGCCCTGCCAGCTTTGGGGCATCAATACGACGTCGACTTGTGACGACTGCCACCTTGTCGGCCGTGCCTGTTACTGCTTTCAGCTTCCACGTTCCTTGTTTGGCCTCGCCGCTCCCACTGACCTCATCGCAATGGTCCAGCATGATACCAAATATGTTCTGCAGGAAATATGCGGCAATATGAGGATCATGGTCCGGGATAACATGAGTGAGTGAGTCCCGACACTCCATGAAAATTGTCAATAACAGTTCTGGACTTTTGACTGCAAGAGAAGCGCATTCCAGCAACTCCTTTACCGCAGCCAGGGTCAACGTTGTGTCTTCCTGAAGAATAGCGCATAGATGTTTGACTACCAATTCCCCCATCTTGTTTGCGCTTAGAAGAAGCGCGCGAAGCATATCGAGCACTCGCTGCTGAAAGACTGTTGCAAGCTGTATGGGTAATGAAGCCCATGGACAGAGCCGAGCGAAGTGTACTACCATCGTCGGCGTGAAGTACAGAAAGTCAATCAGATCTTTGATGATCCCTGGTGAACATGTCGGTTCGGAAATCTCGTCGGCTAGCCCTAGGAGGCGGGCGTACACTTGTGAGATAATGTCGCCGAGATCATACTTCCAGCAGAATCGAAGCAGCTCAGCGATCTCGACACCGGTGGCGTCGGTCATGCGGTCGAAGTGCTTGTCTCGGATTATTTGGCGAATGAGTGGACGGTGCTGATCCCACCCTATGTCTTTGAGGGTGGGAAGACTGTATTCCGACTTTTCGTCCGGGAAATTGGGCAATACTTCGAGAGTATCGATACTTTCCAGCCAGAGGTCGAGCGCCCGAAGTGCTCGAACATCCTTATTGCTGATGACATACAATTCCTGGCAAGGTCAGCACGGCCAACATCCGAGACTTCATTACTTACAGCGTCAGTAACCGGTTCCCGATTCGTGCGACCTATGTGAGTCGCCAGCTCTGAACTGAACTTGTTTAATGCGATACTCATCCGCCAGTCGCAAAGGATTCCATCATCAATCATCTTTTGACGACCACGAGCTGGATTGCTCTTGCCTCGGGCATCTTGAAACCGGCTTTCATCACCCGCAGATCTTGTGAAGAAGATGAATGTATCGTGCCGGTGATTGTTATATAGCTGCATCACGCTTTCGTCATAGTAAAATCGATAATTCTTCTCCGTCGGAACAACCCTTCGATGTCCAGCCCTGTCCTTGTGGGTGTGGGGGAAGGCGAAGAGCCGGACACTTCCATCAACCAAGACCTCTTCCTCCTTTTCAATCGGTCGTGGAAAGTAAATGGCCACACTCAGTCTCTCGCCCATGCTGAGGACGAGGAGCTTCTTTGAAAATTGGTGAAACGTCTGGCTAACCAATGTCATGAGGTTGCGTAACGAGTCAGACTTGGAGTCGAAGACGCATTTCCAATGCAGGGCCTGGTAATCTAACTTGAACGAGTGAAGATCCTGCTCTGAGAGTATGTTTGATAGGAGAAGTCCGTTCTTGAAATACGAGGCATACTTGGCAATAGGAGGAAGTTCGGATATAATCCAGCCTTGTTCGTCCGAGGTAAGCTGGGATGGGTCGAAGAAGGCCCAAAAATCTTCGAACGGAACACGATGGATTCGGCACCAGCTCAACGTCAATTTGGCCAGTTCAAAGTCGGAGAATGGAATCGGATTGTTGAGCACGTGTTCCAAGGTCTCGCGGTCTGGGATATCGTCAGGAGTCACGTCGGTTCCCATGGCTCGGCAATGTGCAACCGCCAAGTCATGTAGAGCATCTAGAACAAATGGCTGAGCATCGGTGGGTGGAGCTGGAGGGTCGAGGAGTCGCTCTGGAATTTTGATACGATTACCATCAACGCACTGAGAGAAGAGTCGATTCAGCTCTTGACACTCGGTGCACTGAGGTCCCGAGGCTCGTGCCCACCCCAGATATAATTTCTTGACACGGCCCAGCGACATATTGTTATAGCCCGCAAAATATGAGATTAGGTCGTCGGTCGTAATGGGCGAGAATCTGGTGGCTTCCTTCACCCCAGGGTATTCGGCAGGCTGGGAAATGGTCTGGGGAATTAAGTCCGAGTCCCAGCAGACGAAGACTAACCGGGGTCAGTAATACATTCTCCAAATTTGGAATTTCTCACATGTATCGCCGTCCAAGTCTCCTCCGGACATAAGATCGGCCGTTGGACGTTTCCCTCTCGTCGAAAAGACCACACAATCTGTCAAATGGTGAAGCTCGGAACGGTCCACGGCCTTCAACTTGCGTACATCTCCTGGATGAAGACATGGGTTTCTGGAGACCAACACGTTGACTCCTTTTAGAACGGTGGGATGCCCAAACTCGTCTAAGGTGACACGCAGGAAACACTCGTCGAACTTGAGAACATCGTAGTGGTCACATATACCGAACAACAGCCGGGACTTTGGTATCAGAATTCTGGTCTTTTGTTCATTGCGCTTGTTCACCATTTTGCCGTATTCTTGCGTAATAGCTTTCCGTACGGTCTTGGTGACTTTTTCGAACCCTTCGATGAGCAATTTTTCCGCTTCACCGGTCATCTCAATCGAACTCAAGAGTCGAAAAGCGCAGCGTGGATCTGTCCGAGATTGCTCGAGGAAGTCGAAATATTCTGCTTGCTTCTTAGTGAAAGTCGTCGTGGTGATGCCGAGGGAGTGCAGTAGTAACACGATCTCGTCATTCAGATAGCCATAGGTGTAGGGCTGCATCTATCAGGATCTCTCATTCTGGGATTGGGAAGATTCGTACCTTGGAATGTTCCACAACCGCGAAGCTCATATCATTCGTCCCCGTAAACTTCTTCATTGATTTTCGAAGCTTCAACCAAAAGCCCTTTTCTAACTTTGGATCAACAGATACCACACCTTTGTAGCCCAGATACCGTATTTGAAGCACGGAAGGATGATATCTCCTATCGCGAAAGACGATGGGCTTCTTGCTGGCAAGAGAACGAGCGAAGTCTTTTGAAATGAGACCGCAGCCATCCGTGAAGATGAATCCATCTCTTTCAATATCATCAATGTCTCGACATCTTGAAATTGGAACCTCTTGCACAATGTCCGCAGTTGAGAATAGGAGCCCAATTCTCTTCGCCTTCTTTGCGACGGATTTGATCTTCGCAAAATCTCCGAGGGCATCTACTTTTCCTCTTACTTCTTCCTTGGAGCCAGCCAGAAGATAGCAAGATCGTGATTTGAGTTGACTGTTGCTATGCCCATAGAATGAATACAGTTGACCATTGATGACGACACCGCTGGATAAAAAACGAGCAATATATTCGACTGCTTGTTTGTGGTTTGTTGGCACCGAGGCACTGTCACTGTTTGGCACCGGCCGAAAACCTGAGACGCTGACCTGAACAAGGTCTTCCAATCGTTGGTCCCGGGTGGCACGATTCAATGAGACGCAAGTGAACCGCAGAAAGATACCCTGGAGAGAAGGGGAACAAGCAAGCTCAATCGATTTGATCAATCCAGCCTGGCGGCATTTTTCAGGTTTGGGCAGATCAGAAACGTGGTACTGCCACCGCGCGTCAGACACGGAGATACTTTCCTGGAGGGTATATTTAGTTCGATCCATGGATATTCATCCCAAGCACAGCAAAGACATTAGCAGCATGATGAGCGAGGTGGGAGGTTGAAAATCAAAATGAGGCCGGCTGCCACGTGATATATGCAGACGGATGCCTGCACATGCGACCGCAATGGCGCGTATATGGCGCCTTCGCCAACACCTCTCCGAGAGCAAGTAGACTGGCCATGTGCCAACTTGATCCGATAATCAGGATGGGAGAACCCTTCGCTGAGGGGTCGCAACCTTCAATTTTTATCATTGGAGCCCAATGCACAGGCAAGACGACTTTGGTGGACGCCATCTGCACCAAGTTCCGAGCAGAAGACCCCAATCTTCACTTCACACCCGTCAAAGAGCTTGCGCGGGGAATTTTGGTATCAACCAACGTCAACAGAGATGATATTAGAGCCGGGTCAGGAAAGGCGATGGAATTCCAAAGGCTGGTGCTAAAGGCGCAACTGGAGGCGGAACTGGAGCTTCGATCGCACGGGCTCATCATTTCCGATCGCTCTGGTATCGATCCTATCGCTTATGCGGCAAAATACGGTCCACCTGAAGTAGTCGAGGGATTGCTCGGAACTCCTGAATGGAAAGCGTTGCGGGAGAGAATGCTTCAAGGCATTGTTGTTCTCTGTGAACCGGTGCCGGCCTGGCTTTTTGATGACGGTGTACGCCTGATGCCGAATGACAACACAGAATGGCTCGAGCTGCATGCAATTTTCATCAGCCTGCTGCAACAGTGCGACATACCTTTCGAGATTCTGTCGGGAACAACGACAGATATTGGGGAGAGAGTTGAGTTTGTGGTTGGAAGATGGAGGAGAAAGAATGCTACCATGTGTACGCTTGTCGATGGCGCCCGTCTTGGCACGAACGACGGCGACATCGACCCCCATACATGAAAACGACTTCCAAACGGGTTAATTTTGGCTAAATAAAGTGGCAGGGAAGATCTCATATCAGGTTATGGGCGAATACAAGTACAAAGTGGAAGAGGGAAAGGATCCTCAAATTTCCGAAGCTTACTATTTTGCATGGCAGTGAGTGTGGATTTCCTAGAAAAGACGTGTCATAGATTTCCACTACCAGCCCATTGGCCTAGATTCCGATCAAAATCTCTCTACTTCAGGGGAAATTTTCTTTCAGCGCCCTGCTGAAGCTGCACAGACGACCCCAGATGGAGTTGTCTTGACAGTCGACGTGATACTGGCCGTCATTAACCTGCAATCTGAAGAAAGAGTCATACGTAACACATACGTCGCTCAAATTGTCTTGGTCGTCCAGAACGGTCTCATATATGATAGTCTTTGCTTTGCGAGAATATGCCGTTACACAGGTGGTGAAATGCTAGTCAAAGGAAGCCGGCTGTGGTATGCCTTTTTGGGAGACTTACGCTGTAGCTGCCGCGGTTGCATTCTCGGTGTCAATCTCTGTACTTATGGCAGCGATGACTGTGGTGTACGATGATGCCACCACCGTGGTTCCAAGGTAAGTAAGCGACGGTGCATTGATCTACCAAGAATAAGTTCAGTCCTGCGTATCAATTCCAGTCGGATAAGGGATCCGTCTCGGAGTGCAATGGCTCGACGCTTATCAGAACCCATCGTGTGCCCTTCCCGTTCGATATCACGGTGTATACGGGGAATAGCACTTAGTGTCTCACTCCTAGTGGCACGTGCGGTCTAGGAAGGGCGGATTGTGAATCTTGGATCCTTTTTTGGGCGGTTGTGTTCGACATGTTGTTGTGATGGTGGTTGGTCGAAACAGTCTTTGAAAGATTCCGGTGGTTCCCGTGGGTGTTGATGTTGAAGTCGAATACACGGCTACTTACGACGGCGGGGTTATGATTGTTCTAGTGGAAGTAGGAGAGGGTACAGTGATAGTGGAAGATGGAAGAGTGGTCGAGTAGACATTTGTAATTGCAGTTGTAACTGTCGTCGAAGCCGTCGAGACGACGGTGAATGTGGCAATAGGAGTGGAAGTGATGGCACCTGGCGGTCCTGCGATAATAGAGAATGTTCTCACCCAGGCAAGGATCAGTCCCTCGATGATCATAATTCAGTCACGAGACCACATGCTTGATTTCAACACTTCGTTCCCAGGAACATTGCTGCAATGGGCCAGCATCTTTTTCGCAACAAACGAGCAGTCACACATCATGTGGAATCGATGTCGGTTCCCTCTGGCTGAGTGGGAATGTCAGAGCGAAAAGCATTCGTTCCCCATTCGGATCTATGAGGATAGGAGTAGTATCTCCTTGACTGTTGCTTGGCTCACTGCCCTACCTTTGTCAGCGTTGACACTGCGCATCAAATTGTTGATCTCTTACCATAGAATTCTGTCCCGAAGGAGAAGTAGTCGGAAGAAATGGCGTTGATGCAGTAAGGTCCTCCACCATGTACGAGGTCATACCCCATATGACAAATAGTCGGCGGCAGCTTGCCCCATGCCACTATCAACAAGAAATAGAAAGAGCATGAAATCCAGTACATGGTGGGAATAGTATGCTGGGAAACAAATTGATAGTCGGCCCTGAGTGCGAACGGAGACCAGTAGCATACATGAGAGCGTACCTAGATAGAGAAGTCGGTTCTTTTGACACTCGTCGGGGGATTGGTTCTGGGCTAGACGACATAACGAACTAAGATATGTAGTCTCTTCTCAGAAAACCCTGCGTTCCGGAAACCATGAACGTGGACCACGCGGCTGAGACAATAACAATAAAGCCACATCGAGGATCGAACTTCAAGATCAGAAGATTGAGTGAATTTTTCAGAGTCTGAAGGCGAAAGCAGCTCATCACTGCTCCACTCCGAATGGGATTGTCTTAGGATGAGAAAAGATTTAGGTAATCACCGTATCGAATGGAAAGGGCAACGGCCAACTTGTCTGCCTGTGAGCTGTCAGCCCTTCCCTTCAGGACTTCTTCGCTTTAACGGCATGTCGGGATCGTGTAAATGGTTCTTCCCAGTGATGCAGGATGATGAGACCAAGACGAAATCCCAATGCCAACCAGAGTTTAGTTAGTCCGTTGCGATAATATATGCAAAGACAGCCGGGGATGAAGCGAGGATATCAATAGTAGAGAACTTGAGGCCAGGGGGTGGTCAAAGGCCAGAAACAAAACTAAGCCATTTAAGGCAGGGCCTCAACGACAAAAGGTGCCAGATGCACCACTCAAAAATTATTACAACCATAGCCTCGAATACGAGCATATTTGCATTTCATTTTGAACCCATCGACTACAATCCAGGGAAATTCCTCATGATCCGATTGTGAAGAGCATACTCGGCCATTGCGGTGCGGAAGTTGCTCCCAAAGTCCAATCTCAGCCCATTCCTGCCATCGTCATCAACTCCTTGCAGCCACATTCGTGATTGATAAACGAAGTTCTCTTGGTTTCTCATTCGAGGCTCTCTGTAAAATATATCAAATCTCTTACTGTGTCACCTCAAGGTCTGGAAAACTGTCAGAATCCAAGACATAGCCGCGTGGTCGACGTTTTCAACCTACGATCATGCTCCCCTCAGCATACTACCTTCGAAGGGATGACCATGTTTTTTCATGTCCGCATCCTCCTCCCTTTGCGTCAATCTATTCACTATCATTTGTCTCCCAATTTTGTGGTTTTTGGTTTGCGTTTCAGTCCCTTTCTGCTACCCAGAAGGCTTCGCGCTCCTGTGACTCAATATGCTTTTCTTCTGATCACTCGTGATTCTGCTTTTTGACCAGGCTCTCGCGACCTTCATTCCCAGCGCTAAACTTATCCAGACTGACAATAACCTCGTGCGACGACAGGTCTCTTCAACGTCTTCTAGTTCGGCCACCACGACCAAGAGGGCCGACTCCCAATGCACCAATGGACCGCTCACTCGCCAAAGCTGGGGCAGTGGTTTCAGTATCGCTACAGACTATGACAGCATTTGGCTTAATACCGGTAGGGTTAGCAGAGGGGTCAGAATAGTTATGTAAGCAGCAATATCATGACAAATAGGTAAGCTATGAGGAACATGCATCGGTAGCATCTTTTGTATACCCATTGACTTATCAACCTAGCATTTACTTGCCTAATTAGTAGACGTCTGTGTTTATTCGCTCCTCCAGACGTTGTGTGCGACGTGAAGAATACGCGCTTCAGAATGGTTATAGATTGAGTCTGATAAGCGAAAAGAGGCAATCATACATGCCAGCACGATAAATTTTCAAAGAAGATCCGGTGATTTGATCTCTAAGCCGCTATACACAAATGCTCGGATGAACCCAAGCAGGAAAATCTGAACCACCCCAACCTTCTTCTCTTTTTTCTCTTGTTACCGTGCGCACGAGGCAGTTTACAGGACGGACAGGTTGGGGAATTTCTCCTGTTTGAGGTCAAAATGTTAGCACCTTATCAGGGCCGAACGCAGAAGGCTAGGGGGGGGGGGGGAATTGGATAATTCATACCAAGTAGCCGGGAGGCATCCATCGTCCCTTCTTGACCAAATTTGCCGTGGACTCATCGATCTCTGGAGCCGCAGCAGCAATTTCATCCACAGTTGTCTCATCCCAAGGTCTCGCACCCTCGATATCATTCAAGGCCTTTTCCAAGCTCCTCAATTCCACCTCGACCTTGGATTTCGTTTCCTCTGCATTCTTGATCGCGACCTGCTCGAAGCTCTCGATGGCTTTGATTTGCTTGTTGACATCGTACGTCTTGGGCTGGAACGTCTTAAAGTACTGCTCGATCTCGTCGATAACTGCCGTGTTCTTCAGGATCGAGCGGTAATGCCCGAAGTCGATGGTCGTAGGCTGTTCAGAGAGGACTTGCACGCGGCGGCGGGCGTCGTCGTTTCGTTTCTTGAAGTTGGCAAGTGCGGTCGCCGTGCTGCCGCGGAGGCCGAGTTGGGAGCCGACTTTGCTCCAGTCGAGCTTCATCACTGCGCGAGTCTGGAAACCCCAAAAAAGGGTCGATTGTCAGATTGGGATCTCATGTTTCGTGGGTCTTCTCTGGTTGTGATGCTGAAGCATAGGCTGAGGGAGCTTGGAAACGTACCTGGGCAGTCATTGTGGTGGATTTGGTGTGTCAATAAAGGCGAAAAGAGGGAGTCGTCGAGCTTTCTTTGCTGTCGAAACCGAGTCGTCGTCCTGGCACTCGGTAAAGGTTCCCTTGTGGTTAGTATCACGTGATCATCTTCGGCTCAAATTGCCTCTCAATCGAGTCCAAAATGCTCCATGGGGCATTTCAGTAAGAAAAGACATTCCTTCAGAAGGTAGAGATTTTGTGGAGACTGACTATTTGGGTTTTTGGGCTTATCGACATGTATATGGTTGAGTCCGTTAACCCGTCACAAGTAACCCCCTTAGGTAGAGTGATGCAGATCCAGAACTTTTGGGTTGCTTTTCATCATACACTTAGAGCCATGATAGAGTTGACTATGTCGTTGCCATTCTCCTTGAGCGCTTTCACAGCTTTCTTTCGAGACACCGATGCCTGCGTCATCACCAGCTCGATGTCTTTAGCCTCGAGGCCGCTATCGTCAACCTCTTCATCATCGTCATCCTCCTCCTCGGCCTTCTTCTCCTCAACTGCCTTGCCCTTGCCATTCTCTGCTGCGTGGTCATGACCGGAGTGATCGGCGTTAGCTGCTTCAGCGGCCGCGAGTTGTTGAGCTGCAGCTTGTTGGGATTGTGAGTTGAGATCTTCAATCTTGGCTTCACCGAAGATGCTGGCGATTTGGTTAGACACTGTTTGTCAGACAGGAAAGTTGTTCGACTCACATCCAGGTGTTGCTGGTTGGGGAACGGTAGACGTCCGGGTTGGAGATGACGAAGAGGATCTGTAGACAAAAATTTCAGCCAACTTCTTCCGACAGCAAACTAATAGCCTGCGCCTGGTGAGGTCGAAGATTCATGATCTCGTCCCGCGTCCTCTCTTTTCGAGTCTGGCCAGTCAACACTCACACCTTTCGGTCTTCTCAACGTGACTCGTGTAATTCCCGGAACATGCTTCAGTCCCAACTTGCCAATAGCCTTTCTTGCTTTCTTCTCGTTTCGGCTGTGAACTGCGACGGCCGAACCAGCTGGGATGTTGGCTTCTCCTTCACCAGTGGCCTCAGGTTCGGAGTCGGATGAGCTAGACCCATCTTCAGCTGCCGCGTTTTTGCTGGGCTCGTCATCAGGGAGCTCTTCTATTCTTGGATTCGACATGATGATCGGCTAGGGTTGAAAGGTGCAGATGCGAATACCTGCGCCAGACCACCTGATTAGCTAGAATGTCGTGGGATGGCGAGCTGTTGGAATTGGTCCGAGCTCATGCGCTGGCTCGAGGTCATATTTCGAGGACTTTCCCTACTACTGGGGCCATGAGTAGAGGGTGAGAGACTTACGAAATGTTCCTTTCTGTCTGGTTGATGCGTGAAGGAATTTTGATGATTGAAGCTGGGACCGATGTGCACGCGGCCGAGCCTCAGTCGCGAGGAAGGCTTGGCAATTTTTTTAATGCCTGTTCTGTGTGCTTATGAGTGTGAAATCGAATTTCTCATGAACGGCAGTCTCAAGCCCCTTTAGGCTGTTTATTTTGGTTCCTGAGCTTGTGACCAATCGACCGTCTAACACCTATGGCGTCTGCCCTGCTAGATATCGCTGACTGAACATTGGTAACAAAGAGTGTTGGCTTTCACTGATCAATTCATGCCTTCGTCGCCATCACAAGAGCAAGCGTGCTTCCCCGAATGCGAGGACCTCATCACCATTCCGATCACGCATGTAAAACCCTTTCACCACACTCCACCCATACCAATGACCAAAACCTGTGTCTGCGACGTTGAAATCCTCTAGACATTCACCCAACGTGACGACGCTTGTGCCGTTCTCTTTTATTCCCTTGCTTACAGATTCAAATATTTGATCCGGACCGGTAAAGTGTCTCTCGATCATAGATGCACAGTAGTGGCAGAGTTGTGAATGTTGACCGTTGATGTGCAATTCGGATTCGTAAAGTATTGAGCCTCGTCGGACGAGTTTTCGGGAGTAGGTGGAGTCTAGAAGGAGGTGGTGCAATGTATAGTCGTAGAAATGGGAGCGCTGGGAGTTCTCTTTTCCATCTCCGGCGAATTGAGATCACCTACGTGGGGAGGCTATCGAAGTGGCAGAAAGCTATAGCGGTCGAGGAGACTGTCATGGTGAATATGATAGTCAATGCCTAGCGGAAGCACAGTCAGCCTCTCGAGACCTCTAACAACGTTGCAGGATAGGGGCGATTCTTGGAGGATTGAACCGGAAGACATCCCTCGATATCGCCTTGGTTTTTCATGCAACGATAAACCCGGACTGTAATTTTCATGCCTTTCTGCTGCCGGCCCCTTGACATAACATTCCTTTCGAGATCACTTAAGAAAATTGTCCAAGAATAAGATGGTGGGCGACACCGGAAATGGGACCACCACAAACTTGTATTTTGCCGCATCTGGAGATTCCCATCGTCACTAGTGTTTCAACAGGCTAAAGGCGCTTTCATTTGGATTAGTATTCATGGAATTGACCAAATTGACGATGTAAGAAAGAACGATTGGCAGGTCAATCATTTGTAATGTCCGAACCGTATCACGCAAACCCCCGAATACATTTGCTGACAGACTTGAGCGCGAAGACACGGACGTCAAAAAAGGGTGTCGGTTCGGGGACTTCGTCGTTGGAAGCAGCATTTTTCATTGAACACATCGTCGCAACCAGCCCGTGGAATCATTCTTGGAACATCGTCACATTTCATGGATTTATTAAATCATGTTCTGCCAAAATCCGTGTGGGCAAACGGGGAATAGCCACAGTCACGGATGGTTTCCTTAGTCCTGACGTTTGGCCTCTGCAAGATATAGCCACAGCCCGCGCGTGTCCCATTGATCTGGAGATTTGCGGATTCAGTTTTGTACGTGACGCCTTACTCAATGCCGAATTTATGCCTTTGCTGCTGCCCGGATCTTTGCCTGTGCCTTCAAAACTTCAAATCGCGCCTGAGGTTCCTGTTCGTCAGCCTCCGACTCGATTAATTTCGCTCAACGCTGTGGAGAGGTGTTTCCGTCACGTAGAACATCGCTTTCGGAGTATTGCTCACCTGCTTCTTCAGTCTCATAACCTTGAATCTCTCGAAGTCTGTTAGGTTCTTCCTCCTCTCCTGTTGCTCCTTCTTCTTCGCCCAGGATGACTCTGCCCACTTCTTGTCGATCTCGTGCTTTTCCCACAATTTCTTCACAGGGCCGGTACCGGCGGCCTTTGGCAAGTTGGGGATGACCCAGGGGGTAAGAGAGACGGTGCTGGTAGTAATAGGTTGCCGGGGGACGACTGCGCCTTCTTTCGTTGAGGGGCCGTCGATCAGGATCTGGCGTGTCTCTGTGAGCCCAATTTCCCCTCTTCAGGTTTCTAGGTGACGTACTCTGCCAGGATCTATTATCTCAACCACGGTAGCCAGCTTGCCCTCATACGGTCCTGAGCGGATGGTGACCACTCGTCCGACCTCGACCAACTTCCACCCGGCCGGCTTAATATCGATGTTAGACATCTTGCCGAAATGACTGCGTAGATGAGGTCAGTAAGAGCGTCGAAAATACAGAGGCTCGGAGAGCATACAAAAAATGAAGGTGATGTTCTTGTCGCCTGGTTGCGTCGCCGGGAAAATGAAGAGTTGCCTTCGTCCGATGCTGCCCACAAGGATTTCTCGCGCGGTCTGTGGGCGCCAAGCCCAGAATCTTGGCATTTACATGGACTTTTTCGCGCCTTCAGCTTCCACTATCAAAACTCGTCGTGTTTTCATCAGCCTCGCATTGCCTGCCATGCTCCCATGTTCCTGAAATATATTCGAACTCTTGATGATGGATGTGTCCAATGCCTGTCCTGAGCCTCTGTCCATTCCGGGACTTATATTCAGTCAACCCCGCGCTTTCTCTCATTGTGAGTATTCTCTATGTGTCCGCCACAACCTCTCACATGATGTTATAATTTGCGATTGAATTCGGTACTGGAGACTCTCGCCGGAGTCTCTTAACAGCGCCGAAGAGATGATATTCAATTCTTACATATGCTGAAACCGCTCCCTCTGCCGCTCATTTTCACTGCTCCCCACCATGCGAGCCTTAGAATCACGGCTAACGGATCGACTAGGTTTTGTTGATGCGTCTCTTCTTTCGTCGATCCCGAGCTTCGTAGCGCTCGATTCGCCCGAAGCGGACACGTCTCTCTGGCCCTCCTGACCAGCAGAGATCTCACTCTGGGCGGGACAAAAAGGTATGCCTTATCACCTACCGGCCCCCGATTCCGATGATTACACCTTTATGCACTAGATAGTAAATGATCAGCTTTGACATGATCGTAACCTTTTCACCAAGATCTCTGAGGAAAGCTTTTCTTTCAACGACATTTCAATGATTTCAGGAACACTCTAGCTAACTGATCACCAGGTAGGGATACGACATCACTCAATGAACTTTCCATGAAGAGCAACACACTACAAGTAGTCACATTGATCTTGCTCCATTGCCTTCTGGAATGCCTTTCGAGGCGCTTCAGCCGTCGCACATCATGAGAGGATCCAGTGGCCAAGGAAGAAACCAGCGGATGGCTTGACCCGCATTCATCTGCAACCAGCCGTTGCATCACACAAGAAGCCGATAGAGGGACCACACTGATTATTCGTAGATTGCTGTGCGTCTCATCACGGGAAATGAATGGGTCGATGTGTGTCCAGTGTGGTACAGGCCAGTTATATTGATTTGAGATAGACATCCGTGAGATTTATCACTCTAAAAAGGTGCAATTGCTATTCCCCCTACCGTGCCAGCTCTGACGCAGATATGTCTCATCTTCCATTATCTTTCCGCCTACACTAGAACGACGGACAAGGAGATGCGATGAACCACAGATCTGAATCAACCGTGATCAGCAAAACAACGAATTGTTATGCTTCTGGTGCTATTTGTGGCCGAGGCCTCCCCCCCTTGTTGTTTCTCAGATGAAGAATATGTGTTGCCCTTGCATCTTTGTGCATGCTTTCATGTCTCACATTAGATGAAGTGTCCTCTCGTAGATGTTCACTGACCCTGGTAGGTGTCACCAGACCATGATTGCACACGCTCAACTTCACACAGGTGAAACTATCGCAACTCAACCCCATCGTGTTCCGCTGCATGCTATCGCGTAGGGCATGGCGTGATTTCGCCTCTTGGGTAGTAGATGGGTACTTCCCTGTCGAAACGTCAACAAGATCAATTGCTCGCTTGAGATGACCCGTTTCCCTGATACGTAGACGAGATGATCCGCTAGAAATGCTTGCTTCTGCGACAGCTATGACGGGAACCAGAGTTCCGGCTGCCAGTATCCGATTGGCTGGTCACAAAGTGTTTGGTATTGCGAAGGAGGCTATGTTTTCTGCGGTCTTGCAGGGGGTAGGAAACACAGGATGATGAGTTCCGAGAGCTTGAATCCTGTACAGCATCAGCGGACCAGGGGATCTTCGACCGGGGAACGAAATGGAAGGACGATTTTGGATTCAGAGGTTGGCAGGGGGGGAGTCTTCCCATCTCCACAATCTGTGCGTGACGTTTATTTGCTGTCTCCTGCAAGGCTTCTCCTAGTTCTCCGAATTTTCTGTCCATGAACGGTGGGTCAATCATAGACCTCAAAGTCGCAATCATATGCTAGGCCAAATATAAAGAGCTAGATATGATGACTACCTGCTGCAAGAGAAGGAGTACAGATCCCTCGCCCACAGATGCAGAGGGATTCCAGAAGTGAGGCAATAAGCTCATGGTAAGGGCGCTGCTGATGAAACAGTACATAAAACTCTTTCTGTGCCGCGATCAAAGAGTTGATGATGAGATTTCCATGAGGAATGATAACGACTTCCAGCTGCTCAAGTGAGCGGAGCGCGATATCTTCTTTGACATTTCTGACTTCTCATCCACCTCTACGCGTCCAGACACCTCTCTATCTCAACACGCTTCAAGCACATTGCCTGGCCATCATCCCCTTCTCCTCCTCCTCCTCCTCCTCCTCCCCTCTCCTTTGACTCACGTTGCCTTATACCTTCCTCCCTCCTTCCCATCTTCGTGCAACCTCGTCCAGCCTTACCACGCTCTCTCTTGGGCTTCTGAACTACACAAGTCGCGAACCAGCCTCATCGCGCGCTCGTCTTGCTTCACCCATCTCTTCCGCAACTCATCTCCTTTTCCTAGTCCTCCCTGCATCCTATCGACATTTGATTCTCATCCCCATTCCAAAGTTCTGATCAAAGTTCGCTACCCGCTGGTACGGATGGCTTCATCATCTCCTCCATGCACCGGCACCCAACCTCGGGATGTTGATAATGTCGATCGCGGTGTTACTGGAAATCCAGCACCCTTTGCAGATGGCTACGATATGGCTCTCAGATTCAACACCGACGGCCTCGGCCTCACATACATCGGCATTGTCATAGCATGGACTTGCCTCTTACTCCCAACAGCAATCTGTCTCCTACGAAATCGACATATTCCTTATCTACGCATCCGGAACATGCCTTTGGCAATCAGCGCTGTCGCTACTCTCCATGTGTACTGGGTCTTGTGTATGATTGCTTACGTTCTCAATGGGTACTTCCCTTGTTCCACCGAGTACTGGGTAATGAGCATCTACCTTCCCTTGGGTATCGCCCTTTTCCATGCCACGAATTCTCAGCTGCTTTCTGTCGCTACAGCACAGAAACGATATGCCCAAGGTAACCTTCTTGTGGAACCAAGACCGAAATCCAATCCCAAGCTACGGGGCTGGCGCAAATGGTGGGAAAAACTCAAGGCGTATAATGCTACAAAGAACACGATGGCATGGATCGGGATTGGCATGCTTTTTCAAGTAAGTGACGTCCGTCCATCAAATGAAATGGACACTGACACCCGCAAGATATTCTTTGCCTTGATCGTTTTCCTCGTATCCAGGAAATTTCATCCCGGTTTCGGTACCACGGGGCACGAGGTAACAAGATCAGGTTGCCGAAGAGGATGGGAATGGTGAGGCTTCTTTCAATCACTCTGGCTTTCATGTATTCACGATTTTCTAGGTGGCCTTCAATCATGTGGCAAATCTTCTGGGCCTGGATTTACGCCCCAATCCTTCTTTGGAGAGTCCGAGGCATTCGCGATGTTCATGGATGGCGCTCACAGACCATCGCTTGCATTGTTGCTGGGTATGAGTGCCTCAGGCTCGTGATTGAAGTATCATTGACCATCTCAGACTTCCTGCCTCACCAATGTGGTTGATTGCGTTATATGCCCGCGGCATGAGGCCGGTGAACAAGTATTTTGTGCCTCCCTTGTGGTAAGCTTTTCTCGAAAGCCATTCCACTGATAAGTTTCACTCACACCATGGAGGTTTTCGGCGTCTATCGTGATCATGCAAGCCTCCGTTGTGTTTGTCCCTTTCTTTCAAATTTTCAAGAATCGAAAACTCGAGACCGAAACACGCGAAATTATTGCCGAATGGGAAGAAAGACAGAAATCTGATGGATCGCTCGCATCAGGCTCGACAAAACCCGCAGCTCGGTCGAGGTATTCAACACGTAGCTCGGTCAAGAGTGCCAATCTTCAGCATGGAGAGATTTACACGATGAGCGCTCTCGAGAAAACGTTGCGGCTCAATCCCACTCCCCTGCTCATGTTCTCTGCATTAAGAGATTTCTCTGGAGAGAATATTAGCTTCTTAATTCATGTGCGAGAATGGAAGGCCAACTGGGGGTCCAGAACTCCCAAATCGGGATTGTTGCGCAAAAAAGAACCTGTCAAACCTCATGACCAAGCCTTGATCCGACATCAATTCAAACAAGCTGTTGGGATCTATTCTTCTTTTGTCAGCTTGAAATACTCGGACTTCCCGATTAATATCTCGTCAGCGCACCTTCGGGAGCTTGAAGCCATATTCGAACAATATGCGGCCTTGGTCTGCGGAGAACCATCTTCAAATGCTGCCACACCTTTCGAAAATCAGTGGTCTTCGACAGTCTCAGAAGACTTGGAGAGTCAAACTGGCAAAGACCAGCTTTCGGTTGTGTCGATTGTTATCGGAGAAGGTCGAAGAGACGAATTGATACCTGACTCTAATCGAACTCGACAATTGCAAGAACTCAAGATGACCAATTTCGGCGAGAGACTGCCTGCAAGCATTGTTATTCCTGACACTTTTGATCCTACGGTCTTCGACAAGGCGGAACTCAGTATCAAAGAATTAGTTTTAACGAATACGTGGGCAAAATTCGTCAAAGCTGGATTTGCGCAGAATACCGTCAAGTGGAGCTTTGCGGCTCAATTTCAGGCGACAATTGATGCTTGTCGACAGAAATTTCCCAAATTTGTGCGCGGATTACGGAAGTAAGAAATCCTTCCTTTTTTTTTTTTTTTTAAAACACTAGCAGGATTATCTATCAGATGTTTCAAGTGTGGAGGAAAGCGGATAACTTCGGATTTGGGGTGGGAAAGTTTTCAAAATGTTACGAATGTGTTTGCTCATGATCCAGAGAGTTTCAGGATTGCTCGGAGATGACCCTCGCGGGAGACGAAAATAAGCTGAAGGAATCTGAATCGGGTCACAGTGATTAAGAGTTAGGGAGGTGGTCAATTCGATACTGCAAATATTCTGATATTGTATTACGCAACTCCATGCGATCTGTACCGCTTCTAATCCCGTATTTCCCAGACTTGCCCCGTAGAAGACTGGCTTAAGCTTGTGGCTTGAAGGAATTCTTCAATTGCCACCGCTGGGTAGCACCAAAAGGGGTACTGGCTCAGACCTTGATCTGGCCTACTGCATCCCGCATTTGCTTTTCATGAGTTCAGAATTTACCCAACCCCGTGTTGATGCTGGCTCACTTCACCAGCTTTCCTCCCAATGAACCACCAACAAGGCGTAAAAATGCCCTCTCTGCCGCCCTCAGCGGCACTGTCGACACAGTACGCAAGGGTCGTCATGGCATCACAGACACCGTTTTCCGCGATTCCCACGCGTTCAAAGACCCATAGCACGGCGTAGCAGATGCGTCGCGGCCACATGGACATCTTCCACACCGTGAACCAGTCGCCCCATGTCGTGGCGTGGTGCGTTTCCCCTCCCAATGGCCAGTACCAGGGCCGGTGGGCAGGGGCATGGAGCGGCATTGGTTTTGAGAGCCATGGTGCGGTTTGGAAATCTGGCGAGGACGAGGGAGACGTTGAAGATGAGGATGACAGCCTGGAAAGAAAGGGGATCAAGGCCGGTGATTGCAGTGTCGCTTCATCTTTGTCCTCTTTTCCTCTAGTATTTGCCCTGGCTAGATGTGCGAAATGATTGGCATAGTCTTCGTCATGGAGGATCTCGAAGCCGGCGCCTCGCATGGCGGCCCGCGCCTGTTCACTTGTATGCACATTCGGCAGCGCGTTGCCGCGCTCCAGCCTGTTACGGATGCTGACATGGTTTGGGTTCGAAAGGTCGAATTGCGGTGTCATGACCCATTCACTAAGGCCAAAAATCGCACCCGGCTTCAGCACGCGGGCAATCCCAGTATATACGGCTAGGAGCGACGGGGCGTGGACAGTCGCCTCGATCGCATAGGCGGCGTCGAAGGTTGAAGAGGCAAAAGGGAGGTGCTGGACATGGTGGTTCGTGAGACATTCATCCAGAATTACTGTGTAGGTGGGTGCAAAGACGGGGAAGAGCCGAAAGAAGACGTCCGAGTTCAACTCACCAGGAAATTACCCTTTATGAACGTACACTTGTCACTCAACCCTCCCTGTGCGGTGAGTTGTATCGCACGATCGACTTGATATTGGTTGATAGTGATTCCGACGACCTCGCAGCCGATGAATTTCGCAATCTCCCGTGCTGGGCCACCGATTCCGCAGCCCACGTCCAGAACTTTCATGCCAGCTTTCAGGCCCATGAGCATTGCGAACCGGTGTTCGTAAAAGGTCATGGCTGACTGGATTGTGTCATTGGGCGCAAACGGTGTGTAGTGGAAATGCGTGCTCCAGCCATTCTCGTACGCAGCACTGGCAAAGTTGTAGTATCTGTCTCCGCAAGAGTTGGGTTTCGGTTAGCAGTTCATAAGACTTCTTTCTAGAGAAGATTTTTTTGGCAGATGGATTTGAAAAGCCATTAGAGGGCAAGAGATTTGGATGTGGTTGGGTGGTGTCGTCTACATAATGGAACAGAACTTACGAATCGGCAAGATCAGCTGCATTTGCCTGCCTTTTCTTCCGCCGGTCGTCGGCGACGGTGGCTTGGTCGTCATTCTTGCCGAAGTGTGAGGTATATGTGCCCACGATTTTGGCAAAGTCGCCCTTTTTCTGCGCAACCTTTGGTGGCGGGGTCATGGTTGGATTCGGCGATGCTTCGCTCAGGTTACTTCGCTGAGGGGATATAAGTCCAGACGAAATGAAAACAGAAGGCATCTCAGCATAAGTGGTTTTTCGGTCGGTGGGCGGGTGGGAAGGCCGTGAGTAAGGAGGAATGCTCCTATTGTCACCGAAGGACAATAGTAAGCAGCCACGTGGGGTGGACAAAGAGATGATTCTCGAGAGAACATCATCAAAGTATTTCCGTAAGGAAATACATAAGAGCACCGGAGCTGATGTTTTTTATTGATTACCTAACCGAACGCGTCGATGGGATGTGATAGCATGGAGCTTGAAAAGGTCCTATTTCGACCAAAAGATACGCGGCATTCATACATGACGATGAATGATTCGATCCACTTAAAGAATATGTACTCCCAAAGGCAGTTTGGAGGCGCGGTGAGCAGAAGCGACGACAACAAGGGCGAAGATAGGAATGAGAGGAAGATGACCAGGCTCCGGGCGAACATGTCGCCAGAAGCCCTGCTACAGTCACGTGTCAGCTCCTTTTCCGCAACGGTCCCATCCCCCAGTCCATTTCATCAATGTGTCAGTCGTTGTCTACGTGCAACTGTTTTGGTTTTCTATCTGTGCACTTGGCGGAGGGTAAGGAATTGTCTAACAACATGCCAGGGGAGAGTTGACAACATCCTTTTCTTCAAGAGGTTTTGGCCACAGCAAGAACATGGAGCCACTGGTCCTGCTCGCCTTTGCCATGTGCCCCATGGGTTCAGCAGCATTTCCAGATCCACGTATATGGTTCAAGACTGTCATTGCCTCCCAAAATTGCCTTTGGCGCCACTATGCAATGCTTCATGACCGTAAACTCGTGCATGCAATTCGTGAAAAGCAATCGTCTTGTCTAACAATGTCTGCAGGGTGGGTGTTCTACAACTTGTCTGTTCAACGAGTTAGTATGATCCCAATGTAGGATAACCAGTAATGACGTACCGTAGTAGTTGTCATATCCTGGAACTTGTGGTTTGAGACCCTTTCTCGTACGCATGGTCTCAACAACTTTGCCGGGCATAGTGTTGGAATCGAGTGGTGAGCCGCCAGGAAGGATCTGCCAGTGATCGAAGACGGATTGAGGGAAGGCTTGACCACTGGTGGCAGCACGTAGATCAGCGTTGAAACCGAAGGACTCCATGACAGGGAGATAGGCCTTGACCGTGAACAGAGGAGTTCCCACACGTTGTTCCTCAGAGAAGACATGACCTCTCCTACGAGTCAACACGCCATAGATACCCCCCATGGCTTGTTCGGGAACTTGGATTTCGACCAGATAGACCGGTTCCTGGATACCAGGTTCAGCCAGGAGAGTGGCAGCATACAGCACTCGTCTCGCAGTGGGGATAATCTGACCGCCACCACGGTGGATAGCATCAGCATGCAAAGTGACGTCCATGATGTTGAATCGGATAGATCGCATGGGCTCTTCCGCAATAGGTCCTTCACGAGAGGCCCATTGAAAACCCGAGACGAAGGAATCCTTGATTTCGTTGAGGTATTGCACCGCCTTGGTCTGGTCAACCAACAAGTTGGCACCGGTAGTGTCAGGACCGAAGGCCCAGATCTTTCGAGCATCGGTGACATCCCAGCCGTGTTCATCGGCAAGGACGCGTGCACGGGCCTTGAAATCGTCACGAGGGTTGATCTTGCCGCCTTCAATATCTTTGGAGACCTCCTCACCCAGAGGTTCGGCGACAACGTAGAGACGGTTGTGCTTGTTAGGTGATTTAGAAAGCGCGGTCATACTCGAAGTGCCACCCACAGTTTCGCGATATGAGACGACTGGGTCGTTGATCTTGAGAGGCACACCGGCGTGGTCTTCTTCCAAATCTTTCAAGCAGATTTCCAAGTGAAGCTCACCGGCGCCTGCAACAATGTGCTCACCGGACTCGTTGATGGAAGTCAAGACACACGGATCCGACTTCGACAGTCGCTTAAGACCTTCGACAAGTTTAGGCAAGTCGTTGGCGTTCTTGACTTCGACTGAACGCTGGACGACGGGGGAAACAGAGAACTTCATGACCTTCAAGTTGTGAGCGGTCTCAGAGGTGGTGAGAGTACCGGACTTGAGCAAGAACTGGTCGATGCCGACCAGGCCGATGATGTTACCAGCGGGCATATCGTCGATAGGCTCGACCGTACGACCCATCATGAGAACCGTGCGTTGAATTGACTTGATGAAGAGATCTTCCTTCTTGCCGGGGACATAGTTGGGTCCCTGGATACGGACCTTCAAGCCAGAGCGGACAGTACCGGCGAAGACACGGCCGAAGGCGTAGAAACGGCCCTTGTCAGACGTCGGCACCATCTTGGAGACATAAAGCATGAGATCGGCCTTGGGATCACAATCGCGGATAGCAATGCAGGCGGGGTCATCAGCGGGACCTTCATACAAAGTCTCGGCTCGGTATTTCTGGGCCGTGACCGGGGACGGCAAATGGATGACCATCATTTCGAGGAGAGCATCAGCGGCTGGCAAGAATTTTCGCATGGCCGCCTTGAGGACACCTTTGCCGGGGAGTTCTCTCTCTTCACTGGTGATTTTGATATCCAATTTGGAGCAGAGGGTGACAAGCTCATCGATCTTGCCCTTCATGAAGGCATCGAAGATCTTGAAGATCGGGTCGAGGATAAACTGGTTGAAGGCGCGCTCAAGAGTCTTGCCCTCGTGCTCAGCCGTCTTGGTCCACTTCTTGGTCTTAGGGTTGAAGTAGTTGTCGCCCCAGAGGCGTTCCATCATCTTGGCCTTGTCGACACCGAATTTCTTAGCGTATCTGACGGCAAACTGTCGGATCGTGAAAGCCCAACCGTGGAGGCCCGAGCCGAATGCAACCGTGCCCTTTTCTGGGAAGACCTGGACATCACCGAGGGCCTTGTCGAAGTAGGTGGAGATGATGACGTTCACCGACTCAACAGTTCTGAGGAAAGATTGGTAGAGATCCTCCTTCTCGACTTGCAATTCAAGAAGAGCACGGTCGACTTTGTTGATGATAACGACTGGCTTGATGCGTTCACCGAGAGCTTGTCGAAGTACCGTCTCGGTCTGCACGCAGACACCTTCGACGGTGTCGACGACGACCAAGGCACCGTCAGTGACTCGAAGGGCGGCCGTGACTTCCGAAGAGAAATCGACGTGACCAGGGGAATCGATCAAGTTGATCAAGAATTCATTTCCATCTACTTTCTACGACCACGTCAGCCTTTGGCGGATCACATCGAATTTTCGATTCTCACCTGAGGGATATCCTTGAGGTCTTCCTCGTTTGGCAAATGGGCATACAAAGAGATGGCGGTAGACTTGATTGTAATGCCTCGCTCTTGCTCATCCTTTCGCGTATCGGTAAATCGTCTGCGCATGTTACTATCTCCTCCCATTCATCTCGATATAGGACGTACGCTTCGCCGGCTTTGGCTGCTGAGATGATACCGGCTCGCTGGACGAGGGAATCGGTCAAGGTTGACTTTCCGTGGTCCACTGCGCCCTCGGTCAGTTCGGATACTTTCTGGCTGATCGCTCGACGTTGACGAACCATGTGCAATGACCGACATATTTCGAATATTAGCCGGTCTGTCCATTAAGGACCTTATTTCCTCGATCGTAAAGCTGTGTAGACATTCCTGTCAGTTATAGAGTCCAAGGTATGGGCGTCGTTGTCAAATGCTGGTCGGAGGCATTGGGATAGGATCCGGGCCTTTCTGGATGACGACGACGATATTCCTCCTCTTTCCCAGGATAGAACGATAGCGCATAGCCAGGAGAGACAAATGCGATAGAGGGTGGACATACTTGACCATGTTGTCGGTGTTTGTCTGGTTTCTTGCCTTTGAGGCGGGGTAGGACGCTCTCTTGAGCTTTGTGCAAAGGGATGCAGAATCGAGGGCTCGCTCGACCTGCTCAGATGCCTGCGTTGTCGTCGCAGACGAGGTGGAGACGATGAAAGAAAGCTTCTGGGCTGACAACGAGTACGTCGAGAACTCGAAGAGATTGGTAAGGTGGAGGAGGAGTGTGCAGAGAATTTTGGTAAAAGGCTATCCAGAGGGTGGTGCGGCGGGCTTGGCGGGGCAAGTATGCAGCACGGCAGATCATACAGACCATAAAGCATATTCCAATAACCGGCCCTGATATATACAGCGTCATTCTTTCAAACAAATGAGTCACAGCCAGCGGTTCTAACCAGTACTAGGCGTTGAATTGAATCACGAAGAGAGAATGGCCATCTGCTTACAGACATGTCTAGAAGAAATGCATGGGTACATTCCGCAAACGCCAGAGGAACACGTCCGTCAGCCACCATCATCAGGCCATTGGCCTTCTTGAGACTCGGCTAAAAGAATTGAAGATTCTACCGCTCTGAGACTCAGTGCTCCCTTCGGAACACTGACTCAGTTCTTGAACGACTCACTATTCGCGACCAAATATTGCCCCCAAATCGGATAGCCTTGTCGGCTGAAGCGGAGATACCAAACGTTATTTCCGTTCATGTATCGGGGCCCCTCGTTGATCCATCAGATGCCTTGGACTACCCAGCAACGTCGAATTTCAGATAGCAAGTGCCAATCCCGGGCCATGTGCTTAACATACGAATTGGCGTTGATTATCAAACAATGTACCAAGAAGAACGCGCATTGTTCGATATATTCGTCAAGGACGTCGAGGAATACATGATTGGAAGTCTTGGATCTCTAAGATGAGGAATTCTTGCTTTTCGTTGACAAAAGGATGAACATCACGAAGTCGTTGAGCATGTAAAAGCGCTGCGATCACCTTCTACAGAAGCCAGACTCGCGATATTTTAAATGAATAATGTTTGGCTGGGACCGTGCTTCGTCTATTGATGCGGTTCTGAGAGATCTGTGCCAGACACTGGCCGAAACGGAAGAAAAGGTAGCCCTGTCTAGCCGCAAAGGAAAGAGGAAGTGGAGCACTAGAAAGTTCAGAAACGACAAGATCCACCAGGACAACCTCAAATACGAAGGCACAGTTAGTTGGCTCGTCATCACGGGCATCAACCAAATCAGATTGAAGACTGTTACATCTCATGTACTGGTATTGCGGTGCCATCACTTGCCCGACATGAAAGTGCTTGCTCCGTATCGATACTTTTGATGACACTCCTTCTGTTTTGGCTACAGGTTCTGCAGCTAACATGTATTGACCCATAACTGGGGTCCATTTCATACTGGATAGCCCGGTTTACGTTCCTCGGCGGGGTGGTTATTGCCCGGAATGAAAGTTAGCAATACCCGAAGATGGTAGACATGGAGGATGATATGACCAACAAGGCCTGGAACATACACGATTTTCAATCTGGGAACTTTGATCCATGGTGGTAGAAACATTTGATTTGACCGGTTTTGACCAACCCGCTTGAACGCTCTCATCATTTGTCCACAATGCAAGGACATTTCACCCAATAGCCGGAACTCCAGACTCGATTTCCCATACGTACGACAAGTTGAGGCGGAAGATTTGGGGAGGCCCGCTGGAAAGATGGTACACGAAAACTGGCAGAACAATTGGCTTCGTAGGAATGAAGAAGGAAAATGAAAAAAAGGAAAAAAGCCGGCGATTCAGCCTTGACCCCATACATTGTCCTCTTCAATCAGGCTGCCGTACCTACCCTCACCACCATTCTGACTTGAGCCCTGACCTCCGTCTTCAGGGGAATTATCATCCTCTTCGTCATTGACTGCATGCTCTGCCAGTGGATGCTTCGCGGGGATCTTGCTAGGATCCCAACCTTCACGAATATCCTGGCCTTCTGGGGCTTCTTCATCGATACTATACGTACGGGCGAAGTGCCGCGGTAGGTTTTGATTCCAAGCATTACCACCCTCTTTTCTTGCGCGGACTCGCTCCGCTTCTTCTGCTTCAGTGTCTTCAACCACGAGGTCCACAAGCTGACTTCGGTCGGAATTCCCTGAGGCAGACTCTGAGTGCTCACATTTCCGCTTGGCTTCGATAGAGCTGTGCTGTCGAGGCTGACCCGAAGAGTCCTGGGATGGTGAGGTACTTCGGTTCTTGCCCTTTTGGATACTATGTTTGATTTCACTGCGTCGCCGCGACCGGTTGTCGCGAGTCGGTTGGAAGACGTTGCGGTTCGTGGAGGGAGTCAGAAGAGCTGGGTTCCGACGGAGCCAGTCTTCGCGTCGTGCTTGGTGTGCCGTTATCACGGGGTACTGCGGAGGCGTTAATTTGAAATACAAGAAGGTCGTGGAATGATATAACCTACGTTCCAATCGCCAAACTCTAAAGCTCGCGCATTGGTATACAATCTTTCGTCTTCGGCGTCAATTCCCATCTCCCAGTCGGGTTCTGCGGCTCGGTAATCATGAGCTTTGCCTCTTGATTCGGGTGCAAGAGGTCTCGACGATCCATCTTTCCGTAGTAAAGGAGTTCGGCTGCTAGGTGGTTGTGGCTTCGGGATCCAATACTTTCCTTTGCCTCCTCTTTCATATCTCATGCCATCCATCATTCTTGCAACCCGTGAACGCGACTCCTCGTGCGCGATAACATTATCTCCAGAGTCAAAAGTCCGGTAATCATATTGCTTTCCCCGGAACGTCTCCTTTGTGTCTTCAATCAAATCTCGGGGTCCAAACGCGTCCCTCAATGCGTACTTCACTGGCATACGAGCTGCCGAAATGGTATCGTCCGCGTAGTCATGCCACGAGAAGGCATACCAATGTGCAACAGCAAATATGGGCATTTCAAAGCAAATCAACGCGTCCTGAATGGCAGCAGCCAAGTTGTCTTCGGTATACCCTGGTACGTCGTTGGGAATAGCACCAAGGAATTGGAGAATCGACAGAAAGAAACCTTGCCAGTATGAGGCAAAGATGATGAGCTTGATACACAAGAATTTGGGCATTGGACGGAAGGGCTTGAGGTCCTGATGCGTACACACCCAGAACATTGCCAACGAGTACAAGCTCAACGTCACGCTGATGTTGTACAAAAGGCCTATCCAAAAATATCCCGAGGTGAGTCCAATGTAGCCTTCTTGATATGTGCCTGTGAGTTTGAGAATGATCGTGGCCACACTGAGTATCGGTTTGAGCCAGGCATATTGCAAGATGCCTCTCTTGATGGCGAGGAATGTATGCGGATCGGAGAGATCGACTTTTGAGAAGTAGAGGTTTATCGGCCAAGGGTGCGAAACGGGGGTTCTCCCATGCATCATGATGATGAGGGAACGCTCGCCCCCCAGGAAATTGACGAGGAGTTGTAGAAATGTGTATATGGTGAGTGCCTCATAGATATCTCGAAGAGGGTCGAGGTAGAATGCGGCTTTTAAAGAAACGATCGAGGCCCATGATGAAGCCGCATATATTGGAACCATGAGAAGGATTCGAACGACATATCGTTGAAGCAGCGGCTTTCTGTAGTTCTTGGACTGCAGCCATATCGATCTGTTTCTTCGTTAATATGGATCCTGTTCGCTGTGCAGAGACACATACAATAATGATATAAGAGTAGCGACAAGTGAAGCCACTCCCGCCAGAATAACTGTCACGCTTGTGAGCTTGCCACCTGTTCCGCCGCTACTTGATATAGTTATCATCGTGAAGGACCCTGTCCTTGATCGATGGCGCCTGCAGCGAGGGAATTCCGGCTGCGCAAGTTACCAATGTGTGGAGTCGTTCATTGTTCCCACAATCGTTTGAATCAATCGAGGATCCTATGGAAACGCGAAATCCAGCAGATCCAGAATGGTGTTGTGAACAGGAAAGGACTGTTGCCTGTGCATGCACATGAAGTTGAACGCGACCAGGAAAATGACGGCAGCGATCAAATTTCCAAGGAGTCGAGTTTCTGCGGGGGGAATCCGCCCACACTACACAACGACGATCGCAATCTGCACTTTCTTCCACCTCTACCAGTTCACGTTTGAGGAAACCAGTTTTTCTGGGTTGGCCATGCGGACGTCCTGAGAACAATGTTTTCAATCTACCCCACCAATGATTCTCTCGAACCATGAACGAGACTCCTCGAGAAGACTGCCGAGTCAACAATGTCGGATTTAGATGACCTCGTTGGACAGCCGATCTCGACGAATTCTGCGTTCAATTGGTAAATCAATCACCCTCTTCTTCCTAGATATGTATTGACCTTTCCAAGGACGTGGTTCATAGAACTCGTCACCTGTTCCTGCCTGTCGCTCTTCTTCCTTTTCTACTTCAATCGGCTATTTGCAACTCTGGTCTCCTACGGCCTGAGAGCGTTTACGTGGCATAAATACCGTGTATGGATAGATATACAGTCTCTCCAGCTATCGTTCCTGGCTGGGAGAATATTCTTCAAAGGCCTTCGTTATCATGCTGAGAATGAAACTGTCTTGATTCAGAATGGCTATATTACCTGGCGGTATTGGCAACGGACATCACGCCAAGTTGATCTCACCTCTCTTCAAGGGCCTGAAGAAGAAAATTTGAAGGAGAAACAAGGATCGATTATAGATGGTTCTGACGAGTCCGAACCACCAGTACAAGACCAAGAGCTCGGGCGTGCGAAAAGGGCGGACACCTCGGAAGCCCGACTATCCATTAACGTGTCGGGCCTGGAATGGTTTGTGTACAACCGAACGCCGGTGTACGATGCTATCGTGAAGGAGGAGGTGCTACACGAATCCAAGGGGAGTAGCTCGAGGGCATATACCCGTGGCCATGAGTCTGAACCATCATCTGGAAGACTTCATCATCGCAAGGAGAAGACAAGATCGTTGTCCAAGGATGCTTCTACCAGTGGCGCCTCCGCCAGCGGGATCCCTACTCAGAAGTCGGATCGAAATCTTGCTTCAGGAGAGCTTCCTGCTCCTCTTACAAGAGCCGAGACAGACACCAGTGCTGTCACAGAAATTGACGAGCTTGCGGCTGATGTCTCATCTTTCTACTCCCTTATCCTGCGAACGCTCCCCGTTGCAATTGAATGCTCTAAAGGTGCCATTACTCTTGGAAACGAAAACACAAGAGCCATTGTTGTGGCCACTTTTACCTCTGCCAAGGGTCATATTGATGCCGCTGCTGCAGGTCCGTCCGACATATTTCGACAAATTTTCGATTTCGACATCGATCATCCTAAAGTTGAGATGAAACCTAATCCTGATTTTCGTAGATCTCAGCTTGCCGCTGCCGAAAGAATCATATCTGCTGCAGAGTCCACAACACACGCACATCATTGGTGGCATGTCGAACTTGGGTTGAGTCGAAGAATAGGCAAAGTTTTCCGTCGCATGAGGCATTTACTTCCGGGTCTGCGAAGTTCGCGAGGTTCATTGAGAACTACTGCGTCTCACAACGGTGAGACCAAGTCTCACTACATGTACGATGAATTCCAAGAAGAAAATAGGTCGTGGCATGGTCTTGGCCGGTATAAGGATGAGGATGAACGAGATGATCACGAGGGATGGATCCATGTGGACTATGCGAGGTTCTCTCAAATTCTCGACTGCCCAGCAATTCATTTGAACTTCTACTGGGATATTCCTGGGAAGGTTACAGAAGAACACGCCAGTCTCGGAGGGAATTCAGATGATGAGGGGATTAATATGTCGACTCCTCCCGCATATGGTCTAGATCTGACTGTAAAAGGCGGTTACGTCAACTATGGACCTTGGGCAGACCGGCTTCGAGTTGAACTTCAAGCCGCATTTTTCCCAAATCCGTACCAGTCGGCGTTGCCTGCATCCACCCTCAAAGTCGGAGACTCACGACAAAGCACGGTAATGACAATTCGCGTTGACCTTGAGGATGAAGTCAGCCTGCGGGTGCCCACGAGAGAAAGTTCAAAAGATTGGCAGTGGAGAGGACGAGCATACACGGTCAAAGAGGCTGCTGCGATGCGCAAGCAACGAGAAAAGCGGCATTTCCGTTTCCGCCGGTCCCAGAAGACCAAACTGGGCCCTGATGTCCGACCGTTTGGATGGCTGACCGTATCAGCAGGAAAAGATTCCACAGTTCGGTATGATATGGACATGGTTGCTCGAGAAGATGGATACCGAAATCAACTGAGACTTGACCTCAAAGAGACGAAGGCCACTTCCAGTGTCAATCATGCCTTGCTCTGGCGTTGTCGCTCACAAAAAGTATTGTGCAATCTATCGAATCCTCTGGGATGGAATAACCTTCATACTTGGATCTTTGACGTCGAGAACGACTCTATGGAAATGTTTCTTTTGAGGGACCACATGTTCCTGCTGACGGACTTGATAAGCGACTTCACGGCTGGACAAAAGCCCGATTATATGACCTTCGTCCCTTTCCTTTACCAACTACATCTGACGTTTCCAGACCTGAAACTCTACCTCAATGCAAACGACTACAACATCATTGACAACCCTTGCGACCTGGAGGAGAACGCATTCCTGGTCCTGGGATTTCAACAACTCGATGGCAACGTGGACATTCCCATGCAATTCTTTTCTCCCCGTCAAAACAGCGTCAGATTTGTAGCCGAAGGCCACAATGCATCCTTGGAGTTGGCTACGCCTCTGTGGAACACACTGAATACCCTGGCTGAGGACACGACAATGGCTACTCTGAAGCGGCTCAATCTGGAAGGGTCCTTCAACTATTATCCTCGTGTATCTCCAAGCTTGACTGACTCCTTATTTATGACTATTACTGGATATGCTCCGAAATTCTTTCTGCATGGCTACTTGATTCGTTACTTCATGAACGTCAAGGAGAACTACTTTGGAGAGTATCTGCATTTTCGAACTTTGGAGGAGTACCAAGACATGCTTGCAGGCAATGACATTCATGGAACACGCCCTGGAACGAAAAAAGAAAATGATCTCGATGTCATTCTCACTGTGCGGGCAGATAGTTCCTGCGTGCTCATGCCAGCTAATATCTATTCACGGAGAGAAAATCTTCGGATAGACATCCTACTTACTGAGGCAGATATGCGATTCACCAATTACTACATGGACTTGCAGGTCAGCTCAAGTCCGTTGGAAGTGTCGATCGAATCGACACCTACCAACGAAAATGGCACTTCTAGCGATATCACAAATTGCCAGCTTTTCATTGACGGAGCCGAGGTGTACGGCCATCGACTTTTTGGAGCACCCCCCATGGAGCCCACATATGCCGGTAACTGGGATATCAATATGGGGGCAACTACTGGCGAGTGTTCTTCCAATTTTGTCCAGACACTGATCAATGCAATAATGGCGTTTATCTACACCCTGGACGACTATGAAAATGCTCTCCCAGAATTCAAAAAGTCAGTCGCCCATGACGTTACGTTCCTCAGGGCCCATGTCGCTGGCTTGCGTGTCTGGCTTGTGGCAGGGGGTGCTGCGTTCCTGGTCGAACTCTCCGAATCCGATGTCTCATTCGGTGACTGGGCTGACTCCAACTTTGCGAAGACTTTGAGAGCCAGCGTACCACGGATACTGGTTGCAGCTGTGGATCACAAATGTGCTCTCCGACATCACGAGCGAGGATCAGGAGCCATTGAAACATTTGCCTGTTTTCAGACATGCCTACGTGTGGGAAGACTAGACAAAACAGACGATCTTTCACACACCAGAGCTCTACAACAGCAGCATATACGATATCATGATCAGCGTACTCACCGTGCACAATGGCTTTTGGGAGCTCAAAAGCAATATCCGATAAATCACAAAAAGCCTGATTGGGCTCGTGAACCGCCCGCCATGCCAGTACCTGCCATGCCCGCACCAATTGGTCGGGTTGAGAAAACTTCTTTCCCGGAAATCAGAGATCGGAAAGGTCGCAGACGAGGTCCCGACCGGAAGAGCTCCTTTTTGTCATCCTCTTCCATGTTAAGAGGACCATCGTCAGAGAACAACAATGCAGTTGGACGATCACGTCGACCACCAGACAGAGATATTTACCAATCATCACCTCATATGACATCCCTGGCACCGCCATCTGACTGGTCCAGTGAGCATCCTAACGGCCACAACAGACGATTTACTTCTGGAGAGCGAGATTCACATCCAGCACTAGTTACCTTTGCTAGTCCCTGGGCGCCTCCGCATTTTTCACTATATGAGGTCCAACCGGATACTAGAAACATGCCACGGTTATCAAGTTCGCCAGGTCGCCGAGCTCCCAAGCTGACGCCACAGGACAGCCACGCAACTGATTCCAAGACGGATGAATTCGAGAATACTCCTCATGAGGGCATCATATTCATGGTCGAAAATGGTCTAACTGGTTTCTGCACCCCTGCCTTGTTCCTTTCGATAGGAGAACTGATAAAGGAATTGAACATGGACCAAGCCATAGATCAACTGGACAAGGTGCAAATCACTGTAATGAAAAGAATTATGGAGACCCAAAGGCACGAGGGCCAAGGCCACGTTATGGACTTCGCAGTTCAGGTGCCCCTTGCACATGTGAGATTGATTAATAGCCTTCAAGGCGAGAGGGGCTCCCAACCGCCTTCGCATGATCAGTATGATGTCAAACTTGTCAGCACTCAAGTGATATTTCGCAACGTTCATCCGCAGACTGAGGCTCGATTCGACAAAATTCTGCCCTATGACCGGCTGGTGTATGGTTCAGTCGAGAACTTGACCGTTTCCACCCAAGCTGATGAGTTTAGCTCTGGAAAGGCTGCAGCCCAAGCCGAAGTTTCTCTCTCAAGTCTCGGCTTCTGGTTATATCTGAAAGAAGAGATCAATTCAAGATTGCAGTTAAGCGATTTCGATGTCGTTCTGTGGGCAGAAAATTTGGCTTGCATGGCTGGTCTAATACAGAGAACCGTCTCGATGATTGATCGCATTGCCGATGCCATCACAGAGGTGGATCAGAGTTACAAATCAAGGCATCTCATATATCATCTCACCCAGGCGGGATCTTCAGTCTCTGATCCAATTTTCTTGACCAAGCCTTCTTACGTTCTGAGAAGCGCCGACAAGCACGTTCGTCTAACTGATTCCTGGAAGATCATATCTCGACTCCGACATATCTTCTCTACCCTAGAGAAGGAGAATGGATGCGAGGCTTTCACCAAGTGCGACTGCAAGAATCTCGAATTGAAAGATCCAGCTCGTCAGCAGGTCCTGTCCTCCTTTGAACAATGGCGAGGGTGGGATTATGCTCGTGACAAAGTTCCGATTATGAGCACCTTGTTTGAGAATCATAGTGTTCGAACGCCTGAAATATTTGAATCCAAACTTGCGACACAAGCAGAGATTGTCATTGGCAAAGTTGGAATTATATTGGATCCGGGGCCACGGCAGAGCGATTTTGCTCTCCTGGGTCTTGATTTCAACGTCACCATACGCCCAACGAATGCCTCGTCAAGGGCTGACAGCATCAACCAGAAAGTCATTCTGCAAGCTTATCTAGCGGATACTTCGTTCCATCTCAATTGGGCTTTGGTTGAGCTAGTCCGCCAGGTTATAGAACTTGGCAATCCTCTTGCAGTCCGGCCAACAAAGACCGATTCGGTTGATGAAGTCAAGTCAGACCACTCCGCAGCAAGGAGATCATTCACCGTTGCCGTAGGGAGCGATGCCGCATCTATATTCCTCACGACATACAATCTCAACCTCAAGTGGGGAGCCGAGAGCTTTCGAAGTGCGGTTTCATTCGATGTGGGAGGCTCTGGACCTACCATTTCCTCCTTCACAGTCGCGGCAAATACTGCTATGGCTAAATTTAAAGGTCACTCACGCACTCTATTGATGTGGCGACTTCGCTCGCCGAAACTATACGGTTCAGTCTGGCCGCAATTTCCTGCCGGGTCTCCTCAGCAAAAGACCGTGGTTCAACTGTGCGCAGCATCTCACAGGTTCCGATTTGAGATGAAGGAAGATCCTGTCAATTTACTTACGGTTGTGGATTCCGTTATTCAAGATGAAGTTCTTGAAATTACAAAGCTTATTGACCAGGTCCCGAGTGACGGTGACAAATCGGCTGGACAAACTCCCACGTCGAGCGATAGATCGGACCTCGATCTTCATGTCGCTATGTTCTTGGACGACTATAGACTGAATTTGACCGTGGTCCCTTCTCTACATTATGCAATATCGGGAAATGTTGCCAGGACTTCAATCCTGCCAAGCAAAGATGGTGGCTTTGACATCAATTTCGACATCAAAGAGCATGAGCATTCATTTGAAGTCCCTCAGGGGGATTCCAGGGGCAACATGTCCATTCTGCAGATGCCTCCTATCAATGGGCGTCTATCAGTGCGCCAAACGTCCTGTGTGATAGCTGTCCGTGCTCGCACGACGGTAGAACAAATAAATCTCGAAGCCGCAGGTGTCAGGGCTTGCTTTGATGCACTAAATCAACCCGGTGTGATACAATTGATACCAAATGTGAAGAAAGCCGTCCAGCTGGTGCAATCATCTCTGGATCACATTAATGGTGACAAGCCCAAGGCTCGAAAAGCCCAGTCAAGTGGAACTACGCTTCTGCTTCGCTTTGCGATTCACGGGACACTGGCCGGGATCAAAGTACACTTCAGTGCTCCAACTGTTCGCGATGACCAGAACTATCGTGCCGACGTGGAACTCAAGCTCGAAGGAACTTCACTGTTTATCCACAATGAGACAGAAAACCCTGACTCGATTCACGAGCAGCCTCAATTCATCCTCAACTCACAAGGGATTGGCCTAGGTGTCTATCGAACCACCGAGTACGACAAAGTAAACCTTGGTAAAATCTTAATTGGTCTCAAGGCATCAGGGAAGACAGAAATCGAAGGGAAAGGTGGCAAAGTACAGGTCTACAGAGCGTGGAGTGATGGAATCATGGTTGATCTTTTTGAGGAAACTGCTACGCTTGCCGTCGACGTCGCAGCCTTCTTACAAGAACGGATCAAAACCATCAAACTTGCTGACGATGAAGACAACATTCGGCAACTTCGAAGAATGACGGCTGCTGGTATAACAGATCGCTTGAAGCCGAAAGAACCGATAGAGGCCGCTCTCGAAGTTGCGTCGACCGCCGAGTCAACCTCCTCAGCTATTTATGATTCTACATATGCTCTCGACCTCGAGAACATTCGCGTCCGGTGGAATCTGACAAGAAGTTCTCTACTATCTCCCACACGCGAGCTAGAAGATCTAGTGTTCTCTATTCGCAAGGTCGACTTTCAGACCAGGCAAGAAGGCACTGCTCGTCTTTCAATCCTGGATACACAACTGCAGATTGTACCACAATCTCAGTCAGAGCATCCCACAGAACGAGCAGCCAATTCCGCTCTTCTTCCCCAAGTTGTTTTCGGGACTGCCTATCTCTCTACCCAACACGATCGTCGTTTCGCATTCCAAGCGAAAGGGAAGGCGTTGGACCTGCGACTTGCTGCTGACTTTGTCATCCCAGCACACGCCCTGCAGAAGTCGCTTGCCAGTGCCAGTGGTGAGCTGCGTAACGCCAAAACTTTCTGCGGGACCAGTCCACAAACGCCTCAAGCGGCCGGTGTCGGTCTCTTGAGCGGCAAACGACTGGCATCGCTTCTCGTAGACGCAGACTTTGCCGGTGCTGTGGTACATATCAGTCCTCGAGCAGAAATGCAACACCAAAGCTCGGTGTTTGGATTTTTGAAAGGTAAGAAACGATCTCGTGCGGGTCGATACGGGCAAGCTGTTCAAGGGGACGGTGTTTCTTCGGCCGTACTACAAGCTCCTGGTGTCGCTCTCAAAGTTGAGTACAAGGACAATGGGCTGGATGATCCTTCGTTGAGCACGGAAGTCAAAGTTGCGGCCTCTTCCAACACCCTCTATCCCACGGTTGTGCCTCTGATACTAGAGATATCGGCCAGCATCAAGGAAATCTTGGGTGATGAGAAGATTGGGGACGGCGAACCTCAACCAGAAACCAGCCACTATCTGTCGGATGCCACTATCAACCATGCAAGTCCGACCGCCATCTTGGGACGTTGCAAACTGAATGGAGGCCTTTACATCCAGCGACAGGAGTTTAGTCTTAGCTGCCAACCTATCGCAAGGGTTGCTGCCACTGCAAGGTTTGCGGACATTTTCGTCACGGTCAATACGGTGTCAGCGCCTGACCAAGAGCGCTTCTTCGCGATTCTGACGACATCCAACAAACTGGAGGCGTCAGTTCAACATGTTTATTCCCGAGAATCTACAGCCAGTTTTGAAGTAGATTCCATCGTCATGTCCTTGATGAACAGCAAACACGTCAGCGCCACAACGGGCATTTCGGCCATTCTAAATATCAGTCCTTTGAAAACCGACATCAACGCAAAACAACTGCAGGACTTTCTTCTTTTCCGCGAGATTTGGTACCCGGCTGAGCTACGCGGGGCCTCTAAGCCCAGTGCCCCTGTCAGCACGATGCAAGAGCAGCAAGCATATGCAATGCAGCGTTACCAAGAGCTTTCTGCGAAAGGTACACTGCCGTGGCATGCCATCATATCTACCGAAGAAATCAAGCTACAGGTAGACCTTGGGCAAGGCTTAGGCAAGTCGTGCTTCACGATCTCCAAACTATGGGCATCATCCAAGAAGAACAATGATTCAGAACAAAATCTGTGCATCGGATTTGACAGAGTGGGCATTGACAGCACCGGGAGAATGAGTGGGTTTATTGAGCTAGAAAACATGCATGCTCGAACATCCATCAGATGGCCGGAAGATGTTACGGCGAAGTCGCATGCCCCCTTGGTCCAGGCATCCATCGGATTCGAGCACCTGCGAGTGAAGGCCGCCTTCGATTACCAGCCGTTTGCTGTTGCCGATATCTCGTCGTTCGAATTCCTGATGTACAATGTCCGCCAAGGTCACGGAAACGATACGGATCGACTTGTGGGCATCGTCGACGGGGGCAAAGTGCAAGTATTCTGCACCACTGCAACTGCAGCACAAGGCTTAGCGCTCGTACAAGCATTTGAGAGGTTGGTACAAGAGAAGCAAGAGGCATATGAGACAGCACTACATGATTTGGACAAGTTCCTGCGACGAAAATCTTTCTTCCCGTCGAACAACTGGACTGCACCGCCGCCTGACCCTCAACTCAAGGAGAAATCTACGACGAAAGGTGCATTTGCCCTGCACACGGACGTTGTCGTGACCCTTCAAGAAGTAGATATCGGTGCCTTTCCCAACACGTTCTTTGACAACCAGATTCTCAAAGTGGAAGCCACTGAAGTGCAAGCACGATTTGCGGTGGCGACGACAGAAGGAAAGACTCACAGTGGATTGGGAATGAGTCTCGGCCAAGTCCGAGTGGCTCTCTCAAACGTGAACCGAGCCACCACCCAGGCCTTAATTGAGGTGTCTGTTCCTGATGTGATCGAAAGGGCGACTACGTCTCGTGGAGGCACAATCATGAAAGTCCCGCGACTTGTTTCGTCGATGGAAACCTGGCAAGTGGCAGATTCCAACACCATCAAATACACGTTCCGAAGCACATTCGAGGGTAAAGTGGACGTGGGATGGAACTATGCGCGAATCAGCTTCATCCGCGGCATGTGGCAAACGCATTCGCAGGCCTTAGCCCAACGACTCGGAAAACCTCTACCGCCGTCCGCAGTCAAAATCACGGCAGAGCCCCAGGGCGACGGCGAGAGCGGCGGACAAGAAAAGATCACTGCTGTTGTCAATGTTCCACAGTCCAAGTTTACTTATGTTGCACTAGAGCCTCCTATCATTGATACGCCTCAGCTTCGTGATATGGGCGAAGCCACGCCGCCGCTAGAGTGGATCGGTTTGCACAGGGACAAGCTTCCAGAGGCGACGCATTCGATTGTGATTGTCTCACTGCTGGAAATTGCGAGGGAAGTGGAAGATGCTTATGCCAGGATCCTTGGAGCGAGTTGAGTTTTGGTCTGTACAGGGTAATGAGAGCATAGCGTGGGCTTTGGAATTGGGTTCACTAGGGACTTGAAAAGTAATCAAAAATACGTGTAGATTGTAATAAATAGACAAACAGTTTTAATGATGAGAGCCTATCATATATACATGTTGTAGATAATAGGACATGGACTTGGAGGTGGCGAGCTTTCCTTTCTGCGCCATTCCGTAAAGAGAGAAAATCTCCTGAACCAACGTCGCGGATTCCATTGTATCCTAGTTTGAAATCGGGGATGTGATCTGATTATTTTGACAGAGTTGATCCGGCGTTAGGACCGGCATGCCATCTTTCTCCTTCTTGGATATTTGTAGCTTCTCACATACTATATGTGGATTTTCCCCTGACTTTTTTCCCTACGTACTCTCCGTACAGATAATAGTCGCCGTCTTTTCTGGCGAGCACTCAAAAGCGAACCCAAAGCTAGCCTATCAGATGCAACCATTTGTAGCCTTGAGATATAACAAAGTTCGCACTGCTTTGTTCCAATTCCGTCTTCGTTCTATGTCCCGGATCTCAACCTTAACCGTGATCATCGAAGGCTGAACATTTCAACTCTTCTTTGATCGTAGTTTCGTGTGACCAAATCACACTTTATCGGCAGGAAGGGTGTCCTGCTCGTCTTCATCTGAGAAAGCAAAATGAGAATGCTTGCGAATAGATGCACCTTTGAAGTAGAACACATAAGGAATTAAGCAGCATGCCAGAGCAATGAATGCCAGTAGTGAACTGGCCCACTGATATCCCAGTGTGTCGTACATTTGATTAGTGAAAAGAACGACGCTAGCACCCCAAAAGCTTCGAATGCAGGTCTTGGCGGCGAGAGCACTCGCTGCTTGGTGCTGGTAGGTGTCGACGAGATAATTGTTCGCCGAGTTGTATAGGAAGATAAATCCGAAGCCCACGGGGAAGCCACCCATCATCGGCCCCCAATAAGAGATCTCGGGGTAAGAAGTCCATCCGAAGATAAACAGGCCAACGGGGATGAACCAGCAGGAAAACATCATAGGGATGAGGCGGGCCTCAGCGGGAGGTTTGCCGTCGGGGGCCTTCGAGCAGAGATATAGGTAGTGCTTGTTGACGAAGGGGGACAACGCGGCGGAGAGAACGACACCGATCGCCAGAGGGATGAACATGAGACCTGTGCTACCTTCGCTCCAGCCTTTGCCATTGACATAGACGATGGGGTAGGCGACAAAGAACATGTACAAAAGGCCGTACAGAACTGACATGTACAAGGAGATCAGCAGGACGATGGGCTCGAGGAACAGCAGCTGGAGAGGTCGGATGAGGAAGATTCGCAGTTGTTCGCCGAAAGGTCGGGCGTCGAGGTCCTTCTCAGTCACGTAAATGTTATCGCCGGTCTCCTGGCGGAGTTTCTTGGCTCGTCGGTCCAGGATGACGGGCGCGAATGTCTCGGGAATAGTGAAGGTGAGGAACATCCAGCAGACACCGGTCATGATGAGCTGGATCCAGTACAGCCATCTCCAGCCAGAGGCGTCTCCGAGAAAGCCTCCTGCTAGAGGGCCGATGGCAGGGCCAATAAAAGGAGCCGCACTGAAGAAGGCCATGGGAACACCTCGCTCTTCGTTCTTCCATAGGTCTGCCAGTGTGCCGCCGACCAGGGTCATAGGAGCAGAAAAGGCAATGCCGTCAATCAGTCGACAGACAAGTAATGTGCCGATATTTTGGGCAACAGCGCAGGGGATCTCAAAGATGGCTGCGATAGCGATAGTGATGATATAAACAGGTTGGCGACCGTACATTTCCGACAATGGCGCGAATGCCATGGGCCCAACTCCAAAACCTATAACGAACATGGTGATGGTGAGGAGCGCGACCTCCTCAGACACATGGAACTCCTCTGAGACACCTTCCAAGTCTGCTGTAATCACGGCACTGTTGAACGCGACGACGAAGCAAGTGAAGGCGACGACCATGGTACACCACCATTCTGAAGAACTTGGTTAGTTCATTTGGACAAGTGTTTGGGGACAGTGTGGAGGTATGACATACTATAGGGCTTGGTCCAGTTCTTGGGATTCTCTGGATCGTTGAGTTTGAATGTGACCAACTCGTGATCTTCAACTCTGCCACTTATTTTGGATACCGTCCTCTTTGGTATGACACCTGTGGCTGTCTCAGTGAGATACTCTTGCATATCAGCCTCGTCGCTGAGGATGTCGTAGGGCAGGTCCAAGACATCCGAGGCATCTTGGGTCGGTCTTGTCTCGTATCGTTCGAGTGTTCGACGGGTTGATGTTCGGGTCAAGCGAGTGTCATGCTTTTCGAGGCTATGGCGAGGAGTATCGTGCTCTGCCATGTAGGGATCCGAAGAACGGCTAGCCATCGTGGGAAAGGGTGTAAATTAATCGTTTGAAGAACTAACGAAGCTGAGAGGAGAGAAGTACAGCAAAAAAGAGACAGAGTAGGCTCTGGCCCGTTTGGAGCGAAAACGCAGAGAAAGTAAACTGCTGGATCAATTAAGGGGAAGTCATAACTTCGGAGAGGAGGACTTGTTTTATATCACATCTTGAGGAGAAGTCGGACTTCTCTTCTCGTACAAAACTAACCAGTCACCTCAGACCTGATCCACTGGCTGTTACCTCGTACATGCCGCGCCATATTAAAGAAAAGAAAAAAACGGGTCTTGGACATCAAATTGAACTATTTGCCTCAATTCGGACTGGGAGACGAGATGTGTTTTGGTGCTTTGGTGATGGTCTCGGCCAATGTAGTCGCGAGTAACAGCGAGAAGAATTGTTTTCAGGGCCTGGCGGCTTAAACAGAGGTAATCGAGGCCAATCACAGGGCATACTAACATTAAGCATAATCCGAGCAAAGGAAGAGTCGGCAAGGCAAAGCCGCAAGGTTGTTGCAGATGTTTGATAATGAAGGCTGAAGTTGGCTAGACGAGGTCATGGCAGTGGAGAAAAAAAGATGCGGAATGCGAGGCCGACGTTGAGCGCAGACAATCCCGAGTCACGGTTTCCGAGAAATCGCCGCCAAATCTGTCAAACTCGCCAAGCCGCCAAGAGAAATTCCGTTCACGGAATTATTCTCCATCACAGCTGCTCTGATTGGTCAAAGTGCCCAAATCAAGCAGCCTTGCGAGCTTTCGCCGACTCAGGCTGTGACAAAGGGCATAGATATGCGCCAAAGTGAGACCACGGTTGCCAGAGAGGCTCACGCAAAAAGGTGTTGCGCTCTCTCTGATTATGTTGACTCAACATGGTAGTGATCAAATGGCTGTGGGTTGGTTCCCCTGGAACAAAAATGCGATAGGCTATTTAGTCAACTGGGAATGTCCCCTACTAGTGCAGCACCTGTATACGTTGATATTTTTGCGACCTATCACATTTCACTTTCTGTCCTCCCTCGAGATCCGGGGGGGTTCTCAGGCCAAAACGAATCAACGTGACGTGCCGTGTACCCCAGGGATCTCAAACAATTGGTGAGCAGCGCTATACATACCTATTACTTCGAATGAGATACTCCTTGTCTTCCGAAAGTACCGTCCGGCTTCTCCCAAATGGACTTTTAACTGCTGCGGCAGAAGGAGGCGGGCCCTCAGAGATCAACGGCTGTGGCTGTGGTATGAGATCATTTTTTCCTCTGCCCCGCGTGGCTCAGGATGACTAAGGTCATAGGAACGCAGGACAACATGACACGCACCCCATGCTTGAATCCACCCATCCGCCTGATCTCTTGAAAACATTCGCCCGCCTCCCTGTCTTTCCTTCTTTATCAGTTCTCTCGTATCATTGCACTTACGCAAAATCTAACTGCGCACGCCAACATGGCAGACTCCTACAACCCCAACGGATATCCACCACCGGGAAACGGGCGTAGTAACTATCCGCCTCCCCCGCAACCCTCGGGATACGATGGTCAACAAGGTGGCCAAGGTTATGGTTCCCCAGCTCCACCAGTAAGGCACCTTTCCTCAGATGTGTGTGCGATTTTCTCTTTCCCGCTGACTTGGGCCTAGAGTTCGTATGGAGGGTATCAGCCTCCTCGCGAGGACCAGTACAGATATTCGCCCCGCTCCTCTGGTATGCAAGTAAGCAAGTACGCCGGCGACAACGACTACGAGTATCGCGAACGTCGCAACTCGGGCCCATATGCTGCTAGCCAGTATCGCGGAAGTGAGACAGGATATTATTCCCAGTACGATGATCGCACTAGCTCTCGAGGATCGAGACGGGAGAGAGAAAGGTCAAGAGAACAATCCAGAGAGCGTGGAGAAAAGCATGGCCATCATGAGGCCGAGAAATCTGTCGGGGCCACCCTTCTTGGTGGCGCTGTTGGTGGATGTAAGTCCACACAACCTTACACCCGAAAGTGTGGCTTGCATAACTAATGGCGGCAGGGGCGGGCCACGAACTTGGCCAGAGCAACAGCCTCGTAACAGTTGCTGGGGCGCTCGCGGGCGCATATGCCGGACACAAGTTGGAAGAAAAGCGTGAAAAGAAGAAGAGAGACAAGGAGCGCCGAGAGAGTGGGAGTATGGGATATGGAGGTTACTATGACGATGCACGTCGTAGTAGCCGAAGTACTTCTCGCAGAAGATCAAGAAGCCGGAGGAGCGAAAGTAGCAGCAGCCGTTCCAGCGATGAGGACAGGCACAGACATCGCCATCGCTACTAATCGGCCTCTCAGAGTCACAGCGGCGGATGTTTTAACGATTTTGGATTGACGAGGACGGACTCAAACATTTTCATCTCTCACGACGATAGACCGGACCGATATTTGCTTTTGGGGCTTTTGGACCCTCTTTCATGATGTAGTTCTTTATGATATGACACGCAATGAGAATTTATCATGTCCGTTTCAAGCTCTTTCTCTTGAAGGCTGGAAGGTGGGTCTGTCATGATCAAGCATAGTGTTGACAGGCAAGACTCCTCCAGCTATCTGGGGAAATAGGGTGTGGCGAGACCGTAGGATCCGCAGCACGCTCGACGGCATCTTGCATTCTGGCGCCCAGAGAACCTGCCAGTGAGTTGACCTTGTGGAGAGGGGGAAATCTGGAGGATGCCTTGGTGGTAAAGGGGCGGTGAGATATCCTGCAGCCCATCACGGTCTGGATCTAGGCGCTGAACGGCGGTGAATAGTCGAGACGAGGGTCATTCTCCCGAGAGTAGAAAACTATTTCTCACATGGATGGGGAGATCGTTAGATACCGTGTCACATCCGCAGATGCGTTACAAAAGTTTCCGGGGCCTCCAACGAGGGACTGGAAGAATCGGTTTTTCCGACGCCCAATCTGGCGGAAGGGCTTCCAAGGTGCTCATTGCGGTTCCCAACTGCAGCCAATCGCCAATTCCGGGTCGCGCACGAAACAATCCACTGCTTCCCCAGCGGTTCTGGTTACTCCCCTATTAATTTTCGTGGGGAGTGACATTCCTTTCTTATCAGTCGGACCAATATAGCCTCTCAGCCTATCGATAGCGACGGATTACTGTATTATTTATTTTTCCTTTTTTTTTGTTTGGGAGGGTTCCCCCTCCAGGCCACAATCCCTCAGGACATGGGACAGAGGACTGACTTGGAGGAGGCAAGATGACAGACTGGTCAAAAGGCAGAGAAATCACCAATCGAGCTTGAAAATTGAAATGGATGGCGGATCAACGTCTGATTACACATTCTCCTTATCCAGGGTGCGAAAATGGCTTTCAGGCAGCCACAGGCAATTCGCTGGCCGCCCAAATCTGACGCAGTCGGCGCAAGCGTAGCCTGTAGATTTGGATCCCCGGTCGTTGTTGTAACGATGGTCACGGTCTAAGGCTGAGTGGCGACAAAAATAGGTCCTCCTCTTTCAATGTGTGTAAACCGGGCGCTGACTCTGTTCGTCGGGGACCTCGAGATCTTCCATCTTTCGGCTCTCCAAGACACGCCGAAGTGTCAGGGGCTACAATTCGGTTGGCTCATAGGAGTGACCTGAGCCGGGGGGTTACAGTTTGATAGCGGGAAGTTCGAGAATTCGCTGGGTTCCAGCAGCCGCGCCACCGACTAGCCGGACCACTCATTGTCTCCGCAGGTTCCCATCCGGGCCAAAATTTTTTTCAAGCAGTGCAGCGCAGGGCCAAAATAAATTTATGAAGGCCGCTGCGCTCTCACTGTTTTCTCCCTTTCTTTCGCATCGACCTTCTCTCCCCCCGGACACCCTCTCTTCTTTTGCATTTCTCTCTTTGTAGAGTCATTGCACTGTCCTTTTTCTTCCTCTCATAGACGCCGCGTAAAGCGAGACTTGCGTGGGAAGCGCAAAGTCCGTGGGCATTCTTCCGATACCCTGTTAGACCGCTTTTTTCATCAGTACATTCCTGGTTGAAATAATTTTTTTTTCTCCCACACGAAAGTCGACCGAATTCCTTCCCTTACAACAAACCAATCCAACAAATTTCCAGCGAAATGCCTGCTGTTGACACTATGGACTCTGTTCCTGCCACCTCTGCCAAAGAGACCAAGCAGTCTGTCGCCACTCTCGAGCAGCTGCTGCAGAAATTGTCGGTCTCCAAGGCTCAAGATGAGGCCAACGCAGCTGCTGGCAACATCGCCACTTTCCTAAACGGCCCTATCGAAGAGCACGCAGTGCCCCTCAAAGCGGTCGAAACTTTCAAGAAACAACTTGCCAACAAGAAAGATGCTCTCGTTAGAGAGCGCGCCGTCGATGGCATCAAAGCCATTGCCGAACACTCCACTGTTTCTCCCGCTGTTGAGCCTTATCTTGTCTCCCTCCTGCCGCTGGCTCTGGCGGCGGTGGGCGATAAGATGGTTTCCGTCAAGAATGCTGCGCAGGCCGCGTCTCTTGCCATTGTCAAGGCCATCAACCCTAACGCGGTCAAGGCCGCTCTTCCTCACATCCGAAATTCGATTATCACCGCCCAAAAATGGCCCGAGAAGATGACTGGTCTCGACTGCGTCGAATCATTCGTGGAGACTGCACCTACTCAGCTCTCCTTCCTTGTCCCAACCCTCATTCCTATCGTGTCCGAATCGATGTGGGACACCAAACCCGAAGTCAAGAAGAAGGCATATGGCACAATGGAAAAACTTTGCAAATTGATCGAAAACAAGGATATTGAGAAGTTCATTCCGGAACTGATCAAGTGTATCGCAAAGCCTGAGAATGTCCCCGAAACCGTTCACCTGCTCGGTGCTACCACCTTCGTCACGGATGTGCACGAGCCAACTCTCGCCATCATGGTTCCTCTTCTCGAGCGCGGTTTGGCCGAGCGTGATACCGCCATCAAGAGAAAATCGGCCGTCATCGTTGACAACATGTGCAAACTCGTCGAGGATCCTCAAATTGTGGCCGCTTTCTTGCCTAAGTTGATGCCTGCTCTCACCAAGAATTACGAGAACATGGCCGATCCCGAGGCTCGTGAGAAGACCAGGCAAGGCCTTGAAACTCTCAAACGAGTGGGTGCGGTTAAACCAGATGGCACGGCCCCCAAGGTTTCCACTGCTGGCGAGATTTCCACCGTTTCCGCCATTCTCAAGTCGATTCTTGAGCAGAAACACAAAGATGCGGTCACCAAGTCTGGGCCTGTTATCGAGTACATTTCTGCCATTGCCGGTCAATTGGTTGAGGAGAAGATCATCGACGCTCCTGACTGGGTCTCCAACACGGTCGAATACCTCAAATCCATCGTTGGCGAGGCTGAGGCACCATCCGTTGCTGAACAACTCCGCAAACGTGCCTCTCCCGGCGTTGAAGACGAGGCCGAAGTTGAACCTGATGAAGAAGAGGGCGAGGATCTCTGCAACTGCACATTCAACTTGGCCTATGGTGCTAAGATTCTTCTTAACCAGACTCATCTCCGACTCAAGCGTGGTCAGCGCTACGGTCTGTTGGGTCCCAATGGTTCTGGCAAATCTACCTTGATGCGTGCTATCAACAACGAGCAAGTCGAAGGTTTCCCCAAGAAGGACGAAGTCAAGACGGTGTTCGTAGAACACGACCTTGATGCTGCCGATACTGAGCTCTCCGTCATTGGCTGGACCGAGATGAAGCTGAAACAGGTCAACATTGACACTCCTCGATCTGAGATTGAGGCCAAACTTCTCGAATTCGGTTTCCTCCAATCTCAAATGGAAGCTCCGATTACCTCGCTCTCCGGTGGTTGGAAGATGAAGCTTGCTCTTGCCCGTGCCGTTTTTGAAGCTCCTGACATCCTGCTTCTGGACGAACCCACGAACCATTTGGATGTGAAGAACGTTGCCTGGCTTGAACAATACCTCATCAACTCACCCTGCACCTCTATCATCGTCTCGCACGACTCCAAATTCTTGAACAATGTCATTCAACATGTCATCCACTACGAACGCTTCAAGCTCCGTCGGTACCGTGGTAACCTGACTGAGTTCGCCAAGAGAGTGCCATCTGCCCGCTCTTACTTCGAGCTCGGTGCTTCTGAGCTGGAGTTCAAGTTCCCCGAACCAGGTTTCCTCGAGGGTGTCAAGACCAAGGCCAAAGCTATTGTCCGAGTCAGCAAGATGTCCTTCCAATACCCCGGCACCGATAAGCCTCAAATCTCCGACATTACTTTCCAGGTTTCCCTTGGCTCTCGGATTGCTGTGATCGGACCTAACGGTGCCGGCAAGTCCACTTTGGTCAACGTTCTCACTGGTGAATTGATTCCCACTTCCGGCGAAGTCTACCAACACGAGAACATTCGCATTGCCTACATCAAGCAACACGCCTTCGCCCACATTGATAACCACCTTGACAAGACTCCGTCCGAGTACATCCAATGGCGATTTCAGACCGGTGAGGATCGTGAGACCATGGATCGTGCCAACAAGATCGTCACCGAGGACGATGAAAAGGCCATGGACAAGATTTACAAGATCGATGGGACTCAACGTCGTGTCATCGGCATTCATGCTCGTAGAAAGTTTAAGAACTCCTACGAGTATGAGTGCTCATTCGCTCTCGGCGAAAATGTTGGCCAGAAGAATGAGAAATGGACTCCCATGATGACGGCTGACAATGCCTGGATTCCTCGCTCTGAAATTCTTGCTTCCCATCAAAAGATGGTTGCTGAGGTCGATCAGAAGGAGGCGTTGGCCAGTGGTCAATTCCGACCTCTTATTCGACGAGAAATCGAACAACACGGCGCTAATTTCGGTCTCGACGCGGAACTCATCTCTCACTCTCGCATGCGTGGTCTGTCTGGTGGGCAGCGTGTCAAGGTCGTTCTCGCTGCTTGCACATGGCAACGTCCTCACTTGATCGTTCTCGATGAACCGACCAACTACCTTGACCGGGACTCGCTGGGCGCTCTGTCCAAGGCTCTCAAGGAGTTTGAGGGTGGTGTAGTCATCATTTCCCACAATGCTGAGTTCACAGAGAGCCTCACGAGTAAGTTCTCCCCCCCCCCCCCCCCACTTGATAATGGTTGCTGATGCTTGTCGTAGATGAGGTCTGGTCTGTACTCAACGGCAAAATGACACCGTCAGGGCACAACTGGTAAGTTTCTACCTACATTTCCTGAAGGATGCGCTGACCTGAGTCACAGGGTTCAAGGTCAAGGAACGGGACCGCGTCTGACCGAGAAAGGAAACGATGAAGAAGAGAAGTTTGATGCTATGGGGAACAAGATTGAGGGCAACAAGAAAGCAAAGAAACTCACATCCTCTGAGATGCGGAAAAAGAAGAAGGAACGTATGGCGCGTCGCAAGCGTGGCGAGGAGGTCTTCTCTGACGAAGACGAATAAACCTCTTACGAATTGCATTTTGAATGAAGGCGTCTGGAGCGCAGAGATGATGAGTTTTCAGTTAATGAAACATGCCGGGAATTCGGTTCGGAGTTGAGAAATCAAAATATGGCATGCATTGATGATTTGGATAGTCCCTATGGAGGAAGGGATCTGAAGGTCGTCTTCAGAACTTTCCACCTCGTCCGCAAGAGCAGAAGGGATAGACCGTGACTAGATAGAGCGGATAGATTGAAAGAAATGCGCATAGAAAGTTGAATCGTTTAATAATTGATGGGTTTGTCATCTCTGTTCCGGCTCGTCGATTTCACTGGAGCAGCAGTGGTCGAAGCGTGTGGTGGTGACATATATTTGTATATACTTTGAGAAGGAGGATACCAGACAACCAATTAGACTTGATTAGATACGGAGACCACCACCAAAAGTATCTATGGTAGACTCCATCTTGGCAAGCTGAGGATGGTATTTCATGTTGGAAGAAAAGGCTTCTGCCATCTAGGCTTTGGCAAGGTAGTTCTTGCTTGAGAGGAGAGTTGATGCTTCGACCATCCAAGTAAGCAAAATTGATATTATATGAGAAGATCTTTGCAATGTCAACCTTTGGCGAGTTGGATTTTGATTTGGAAAGAAACATGCTACACGGGGAGATATTGCAGGGCAAGGGTTTCGCTACATCGAACTTTGGCAAGATAAATTTTTTTCATACGGCAAGTCCTCTATTGCAACTTATGGATTTTTATATGTCAAATTTGGCAAAACTTACCTTTCTTGAAGAGCTTCATTGTCTCCATTTGGGAAAGCCCATGTTGCGTCTCAGAGAATTTTTGTTACTTGTCAAGGCTGGATTGCTGGACGTTGGAATGCCGCCTTTTGATCAGAAAGACTGAGAGAAATATGGCATCACACTACTAATTGGTCTCATTATGACGGCCGGTGTCTGGATGTACGAAAGAGTATGAACCAGAAGTTGATAACACTTCGTTTTTTGGTCAATTGTCAAGAGTTTTGAGCCCATGACACCATCCTGGGGGAGAGTGTTCAGCCTCGATAAATATGCATATAAAATGACGTCTTACTCTGACCTAGGAAGGTCCATAATGTTCGAAGACCAGGAGGCGCTGGCTAGGCTGAGTCCGACATTGATGAGCCGTCCAAATCACTTCTCATCCAGGATTGTTCCATTAGCTCCACTGATATATAAGCTGACCTTTCAAGCAATGATCATTCAACCTTTGTTGACATGGATACAGAGATCAACAGGGTGAGAAGACCGACACTGCGAGAGACTCCGGAAGACTCCCGCTCTGTCAATTTCAGAGAGTTGGACACCTTGCCCAGACTAAGCAAGTTGCTTCGATTGCACGACAAGGGCAGAAGAGAAGGTCGAAAAGAACCCGGAAGCCCCCAACCAACGCGACATGGAACAAAGTCTGAGCTTGATTCTGGGTCTGGCCACTCATGATGGCACTGGACTTGACGGCAGGCTATTCCAAGATATCAGTCGCTTCTGATATATCAAGGTACTCATCCAGCATATGCCTCTTCATCTCATTGAATTGGAAGCCTCCTTCACCCTCCCTGGATATGGATGGTTGTGAAATCCGAGCACTATCATAAACATCAGGAAAACGATGCCAGCCCACCTATCATCAATCCAAACTGCCGAGGCTTCATTCTTGAATGTTGGGAGGAAAATTCCCACCGAGAGAACAGACACCAACTTCGCCCCACCTCTCTCGCTTATTCACCAAGTCGTGAACCGGATAAAGACCATTAACACATGGAAAATCCCCAGAGTTCCAGGGCTCGGAGCCCCCCCCCACCCACCTCCATTCTCACGAGGTGAGGGGTTAGGCTTTCTCCTTCCCCTTTCGGGGTTCGATTGATGCCTAGAACATCACACCAGAACCAAACTCTGGTGAACTCGATGCTTCGGCAGATTTTTTAGTACATTTGCCTCTGGGAACTTGATATGCTGGCCCCACGCGCTCATAATGGATTAGAGAAGACTGGTATGATACTAAATGACCATGAACTCGCCTCTTTTCCCTTTCTCTTCGGCCCTTTTCGCTTCTCCATCTGTTCTCGACTGTCTCTGGACCAGGCTGGGCGATATACTCGATACCTTCTGTCGAACCCAACTTCAACACAGAAACGGTGTGATTCTGGTCCCCACTGACTCACTTTGCTCTTGACTGTTTGCCACCTGTCGATTTTCCTGCCTTTTACCGCTATGGGTTCCATTGGTTACAAGGTGCCAGACGACCAATATGCTCATCCGTTGATATCAGAAAGAGCTATCGACGAACCGAGACCTCTCAGAGTGATTTATGTTGGCGCGGGGGCTTCTGGGATTTGTGCCGCGATTCGCTTTCCTCAATTTGTACCAACAGTGGAGCTTGCCATCTATGAGAAGAACCCGGACGTGGGTGGGACATGGTTTGAGAACAGGTCTGTTTGACTCTGGGCCCCGGGAATTCAACAGCTTACTAATTTTCACAGGTATCCTGGTTGTGCGTGTGGTACGGCATAGCAGATCCATTCACCCGCATCCGCATTACTGACATGACAATAGATATTCCAGCCCATTCATATCAGCTGAGTTTCGAATCTGAAGTCAAATGGAGCAAATTCTATGCTGGAGCCCCTGAAATCCTGGAATACTGGAGAAAAGTGGCGGACAAGTACGACGTCAAGAAATACATGAAGTTCAATCACCGATGTATCGAGGCACGGTGGAACCAGGAAACGTCCAAATGGCATGTCAAATTTCGAAAACTAGACTCCGATGAAATTGTGGAGGATATTGGTGACGTTTTTATGACTGGAATTGGAGTGCTCAACGAGTGGAAATGGCCAGATATCAAAGGATTACATGATTTCAAAGGAAAACTACTACACAGCGCAGATTGGGACTCAAATTATGACGTGACGGTATGGCGCCATTCGCCAGCCTATGCAACGTACTGATCGACTTTAGGGTAAGAATGTGGCTGTGATCGGGGCTGGCAGCAGCGGTATTCAGATTGTCCCTTCAATACAACCCAAAGTCAAATCCATGGATCACTACGTACGAGGACGGACATGGATCGCAGCCACTTTCGGCAACGAACTTGTGCGAGAACGAAATAATGGAGAAGATGGGAATTTTGACTATACGAACGAGGAGATGGAGGCATGGAAGAATGACCCAGAATCCTATCTCAAATACCGAAAGGCGCTTGAGGTCGGAATGCAAGGATGCTTCGCCCTGACCCATCGAGGAACAAAAGAACATGAAGGGGCTTGGGCAGCATTCAAGCAGGACATGAACCAACGATTGCAGAAGAAACATGAGATTGCTGATCACCTCATTCCAGAATTTCCACCACTTTGCAAACGACTCACTCCGGGACCAGGCTATCTGGAGGCTCTGGTTGCCGACAATGTTAACGTGATTCCGACGAAGATATCTCATGTCGATGAGACAGGGATCACCACGACTGATGGTAAACACCGACCGGTGGATGCCATGGTGTGCGCCACAGGCTTCGACGCTTCATTCCAAGGTCGTTTCCCCATCTACGGACGTGGAGGACTCAACCTTCAAGATCGATACAAAATCCGGCCAGAAACCTACCTGACAGTCAGCACCGATCATTTCCCCAATTTCTTTCAGTCTATGGGCCCCAATTCCGGGGTAGGTAATGGCAATTTATTGATCATCATTGAAGCCATCTCGCTCTACGTCGGGCAAATCCTGCAGAGACTGGCTCAGGGAAATGTGAAGACGATCGAGCCAAAGAGAAAACAAGTCGAGAATTTCACCAATTACTGCGATGCTTATTTCAAGAGGACGGTCTTCTCGGCCGAATGTGGAAGTTGGTACAAGACATCACCGCCAGGTACGACTCCAGAGGAGCGAAAGAGAGGTCGAGTGACGGCTCTCTGGCCAGGAAGCAGTATTCACGCCGTCAGAGCTCTGGAGAAGGTCCGATTTGACGACTTTGAGATGACTCCATTTGATGGTAATGAGTTTGGATGGTTTGGTGATGGATGGGCGACAGCCGAGAGAACAGGTGACGTGGAGGGGTTGACTTGGTATCTTAACGAGACCAAATTCACACATGACCCTCTGGATAAGGGAGAGAAGCTGGTCGTGGACGATGAGAAGATGGTGAAAAAGGCGGATGGGGAGGGGATGTCTAATGGGGAGGCTGCGACGGATTATCGAGCCCCTGATGGAATTGCCGCAACATAAATAACTGTTGAAGAGGCGGAATGGGATTGATTACTCTGTTAACGTGCTTCGTATACAAGGTTCACTCTAACCCGCGGGCTATTCCCCAGATGGCGAATCCAACCTGCATCTTGTACATGAACAGGGCATCTCCGTCTTGTGCCCAATCGAAATTCATGAACTCCCCGTAAATTGAAAATAGGTGCCTAGAGTCCCATCTCTACCAGATATGGGACAAGAAGTTCTTCATTTTCTTTTTCCACCGGCTTGGAGTGCAAAGTGATCCCCAAGCCTCCACGCCATGGCGTCGTGGAAGCCGTTATGGATCAGTATCTCGGCCGTCCTCCTCTTCTGCAGCCTTGCTTATCTGCTCTCCTCCTCGTCCACTCTCCCGCCAATCCGGCACCAGCAGGAGTCTCCCTCGTTATCCCAGTTTCGTCACAGGCACTTCCGGGCTCCAGCATTGAATCCTTGGGCTGAACTCGATGAGAGTGAAGCTTCCCAGGTACACACCTATTTCCATGAATCGATCAAACGGCCCTCCGCTACTCGACAAGGAAACGAGCTCTATCTTATCGAACTCCTACGTCCCAATAAGTCCGACGTCTTGGACTATCTCGACAACAACGGCCCTGTCCCCGACCGATGGGCTCGAGTTTCCAATCTGGAGGTCCATGAGAATGATGCCTCCATCGTCGACTACATGGTTGGTCCGTTGCCACCGTCCAACCACACCCAGATCCTACCCCTGACATACTGTTACAACTCTGGGCGCAACCACGTCCAGAGCCCCGTCTCAGATGTCTTCGCTCTCCTCGACTGGGCCCTGAGCATTGGCGAGAACGCATCTGATATCACGCAAGATCTGCTCGGGGCCAAAACAAACCGCAATGATCCATCCGACCCAAACGCCCTGGTGATGGGTTCTCGACCTGCTCTCATTGAGTCCGGTCGAACGGTCCACTGGCTGGAATTCTTCGGCTCCGGTGTCTACTCTGACAGCCGCAGCTTGCTCCCACAGGGATTATACGTCAAGCTGGACATTCCCACTGCGAACCCCGAGACTTGGAAGACAGGCGAATGGTTCTACAATGACATTTTATACGAGAACGACACCGCCCTACGTGAAGCCATGGCATCTCCGGACTTTGAACGACTGAACCTCAACCTCGACGGCTCCTGGACCGACACCGAGGATTTCACCATCTCCATCCCCGAACGAGATATGCTTCCACCTCTCTCCATCCAACCTTACGGACCCCGCTACCATCTCGATCGTTCTCAAAACTACATTTTCTGGATGGGGTTCTCATTCTACTTGTCCACCGCACAAGCCACGGCCCTCTCGCTCTTCGACATTCGCTACAACAACTCCCGCATCATCTATCAACTAGGCCTTCAGGAAGCTCTTGCCCACTACGCGGGCACTGAGCCGTTGCAATCTGGCCTAGAGTTTCTCGATACGTTCTTCGGAATGGGCAGTATGATGTTCAGCCTTGTTCCGGGCCTCGATTGTCCCGGCCATGCCGAGTATATTGATGTCTCATATCACAAAGGTGGCAAGATGTACACGAACAAAAAGGCCATTTGCGTCTTTGAATATACCTCGGACGCTCCATTACAGAGACACACATCCGCATTCAGCGCCACCGTGAGCAGGAACACGTACCTTGTCGTCCGCAGTGTAAGCACGGTCGGCAATTATGACTATACCGTGAGTATTTCACACAAGGCTGCATCCCCCCTTTTCTCTTTCCTCCATCCGCGTTCCTCGCCTAATACGACTTCATGATTTCCAGATCGACTACATTTTCTACCTCGACGGGACTGTCGAAGTAAAACTACGAGCTTCGGGCTTCATCTTCGGAGCCTTCCACGCCGAACCACGCTCTTCTCCGCTACGCCGCGACTCTTCGACCAACGAATACGGCTATCGCATCCGCCCTGGCCTCCACACTTCGATGCACGACCACGTCGTCTCGTTCCGCGCGGACCTTGATATCTGCGGCACGCAAAACACACTGGTCCGCACATCCATCGAACCAGTTACACAATCCTACTTTTGGGACCCCCCCGAAGTCCTCGGTCCCCGCAACACAATGCACATGGTCCACTCGCCCGTTACTCGCGAGACAGGCCTCAATTGGCCCCGCAATTCCGGCGAAATGTACCTGGTCACCGCACCGAACGCGACCAATAAATGGGGTGAGACTCGCGCCTACCGTGTCCTCCCCGGCACCGGCATGGGAAATCCCGTGCACCTGACGATTCTCGACTCGACGGCTCTCGGCCGATCGGCTGCCTGGTCAGCCTCTGATCTCTGGGTATTGAAGAATCATCCGGACTCCGAACCCGCTAGCGCGCATCACCTAAATTACCTCGAACCGTTAGATCCGCTAGTGGACTTTGGGCGTATGCTTGATGACGAGTCTATCGAGGATGAAGATTTGGTGTTGTACTTTAATCTTGGTGGCCACCATGTGCCGAGTAGCCAGGACGTGCCGAATACGTTGATGCATACAAGTGCGAGTTCGATGGTGTTCATGCCGTTTAATTATTTTGACGATGATGTGAGTAGGGGGCTCCGGCAGGGTGTGAGAGTCGATAGGCGCCCGAAGCCGAAGCAGAAGGCTAGTGAGGTAGACAAGCAGAACGGCTGCGAACAAGGCCAGGCGCAGAGTGCGAAGGATATGGATAAGGAGGAGATTCGCCGGGCCACAAGACCGAGAAGAGCAACAGCATCAGGCAAAGAGGAAAACGAGTATGATGCAGGTGGAAATGCTGTTGATAGTGATGGTGAGGATGGCGTCTCATACTTCGGCGCCCGATATACAGGCCCCGTCATGGTGTCGCAGGACATGCTCTCGCCAGATCTAAGTCATTACATGCAAGAGCGGGATGGAGAAGACCATGATGGTGAGTGGAAGACGGTACGGAATCGTGTTGGAGGTGGGCTTTTGGGCTTGTTTGTGGGCAAAGAACGAGATGGGGGCCAGGAGGATGGACGGCTGGATTGGTAGGTGAGAAGTGGTAAGATACGCTTGGGGTAAGCTTGAGGTATGAGGATTGAGACACAAAGGTTCTTATAGCGCGTGGTACGGTGTCGAAGACGTTTGAAAGTGTGATATGAATGTATGAGATGAGACAATGTGCATGAGATGTGGTTGCAGAAGCTAACTCGTCGGCCGGGGGCGGGTTTCTTTGTGGATAGTTTCGAGACTTGGGCTTGGTGAGAGGCGACTTCGTTTGAACACGCGGACTATAGTTGGTGGAGGCTGTGGAGCCATAGTCTCCTGAATATATCGGACTAGAACTGTAGACTTGTTGGTTTTCCATTTTGGATTTGGACTTCGTGTGGCCGATGAAAGCTTGGTTGGCGAGTAATGATGAAGGGCTCGAGTAGGAACTAAGATGTTGAGCCTGCTGATGGCGAGGACGCATACAAATCGATTGGTCTACGGCTCAAAAGTTCATTGACTCAATCAACTGCAAGGGCGGCGAGCGGACTGGCACGATTTTTCTGCGAGGTACGACTGGTCATGTTGACCAGAAGAGGGCTACCTTGTGAATCGATCCCAGCCTTGTCTCCGTAAAGCCAGTCGATGCTGAAGAAGAGCGTTCTGGCGGTCTTATGTTGACGGACGAACGGGATGACATTCGTAGCTAGTGTGGCTCGGATGAAGCGACATGTTGTTGTGTCTGCAATGTGCCATTCTCCGTGATCTCCTGGTAGGCCTCGCCTGCGTGGGTGGACACATTGAAAGGTTTAGGCTCTGTCCAGTTGCCTAGGATCAGGTTAGCTGAGTAAGGACTTTTAAAGAGATGAGGCTGAATGGTGGAGCGCTAGCGATGGAAATTTGATTTGCTAACTAATCGCTCAATTGTGTCAACTACATCAAGTTCTTCGAGGGACACGAGGGAGTACTCGGCTGGGAAGTCAAGGTATGCCATGGTAGAGAGAAAGGACGAGAGGACTACATGAATAAATCGCAAGTTGGACGTGAGAGAACTTATTCTCCCTAATTTATGCATTGTTTTGGCCCGTGGACACTGATGCAACACACATCTGAACCACCCGAAGTCGAATATGAATTCTAGGGCCAATTCGGGGTTCCATAAACAGGGGTTCTCAGACAAAGCGAATGGCACATATAAGTCAACTGAAGAGAAATCGCTCCCCGGTCAGGTCCAAACTTGACTATCGCTCAGTGTCTGATGGATGTTGTCTGAATCCCCATTTCCTCACAAACTTTATATATGTCGACATTCTTGCCTTGCTGATGCATGCATGACTCCAATTTCTTCACCAATGATTGCAACGAGGGTCCTCGATGCGCATATCGTTGGTATGAGATACAAGTTGCACGCCGCAGATATGACTCAGCCAGCAGATAATCGCCGCGATTCATACACAACGACGCCAGCTGATCACACGCCCAAGTCGTCGTTCCGCCTGAGTTGGATGATCCCCTGTCTGATGCTTCGTCGTCTAAGATCCGGTGTGCAATGCCCTCAACTGCAAATTCTTCATTTTGATCCTCGTAAAGCCGGCCTAGGGCTGCCAAAGCCGTTCTGTACCGCTTTCTTCGCATAGATTGACTGTCTTGGATCAGTTGTGCACAGAGTGCACGAGCTTGGTCGAATTTTTGGCGTTTGCGTAGCATGTCGATTTGGTCGACGCGCAGGGCGAACAAGGATGAATTGTTAGGCTTGCGACGGGCGTAGTACCCTTCCAGCACGAGGTTCATCATAGGTTCGACTGCCTGGTCCCGCACATCTCCTGCGGCGATCATTTTCAATGCCTGAGCAAGCGGATGGCTGGGCCCGAGGACGTTGCTGGTCATTGAAGCGGTGAATTTCAGCAAATGTTGTTCTAACTCATTTAAGCCTTGCCATGCAGTGGCAAAATGCAGAAGAAGACATGAGAGCAGTTGAAGAGGTGCCGAGACAATCAAGGGTTGGACCATTTTGCAGCTTTCGTCGAAACTTCTCCATGCGTCTTTGGATCTTCCTGTCTTGAGGTATTTGAATCCATGATCCAATGCCAGCCAGAAAGCCGACACCTGATCAACTCGACCTGCAAGAACCTCGCTTGGGATCGAATCCGGGAAACGGACTGGGAGATCCCTCAACTTAAGGGGTGTGAAAGCGGTGAATTGCCATCTAACAGCCTCGTAAGTGTGGAATAGAGTGGCCTCGATGTTATACATCTCGGCGGGTGGTCTGACATTAGTAGTGAGATTGCCCATCTCAGGCACGGTGCCGGCTTCCACAGATGAGCTCCATTGACCGAGGGTCGAGCTAAAATTTGGAACAGGTGTTAATCTGGTTGTCGCAGCGGAAGGCGAATCTTGTTTGATGGCAACGTCTCCGATCAAGATGTCCTCTGGGCTCTGAGATAGACGCTCCCACAATTGGTTGAATCTCTTGTCGGTCCGGTAATGGCGCTTGACACGATCCAATTTGACGGGTCTGCCATGGAATGACATTGATTGAACATCATATCCGGCATCCACATAAGCCTTTACACGTTTCGCGAGGATTTCTTTGTCCTTGGCCTTATAGTTCTTGCGGATTTTCCACTCGGTAATTCGCCTCTTGTACATTTTCTCGCTGGCGTTGAATCCATGCATTTGGGACAGGATTTGCCTCACATCTTTCAGCTTGCGGTTCTCTACGAGATATAGCTGTGTGAATATGTCCTTGATGTTGGTCCATTGCTCTGGGGTAGGGCCGACAATCCTCCAAGGTTTGTCAGCTTGCTGATGGGGCTGTAGTGGCTGGTCATCAGTGTCACTTGTACTAGAGCACGTCCCGTAATTGAGCATGTTGTGCTGAGGTCCGTTGGATGTCAACACCGGTTCGTCAGTGCATTCCATCAGAAGGTGACTGGTCTTCTTCAGTGCTTTCGGCGGTGGTATGACATTTGGTCTTGGCTATCATTTCTCGGAGGTCTCGAGAGCGAAGCAGGGAGGATAGAGGTCCCGTGGCAAAACCATGGGGCCTTGAAGCTTATGATATACAATCGTGAAACAGTCAGGACGGTGGTGAGAGTCGGGCTGAGCAGGCTGAGCGAAGGAGGAAGATGCCTGCCATTGGGTGTGGCATCTCGGAATCTTTGAGAACAAATTCTAGCGAGTTTGCCTGAACGCCTTGGATCCTTGACATCTGCATTAGTGCTGGGCACTTTTGTTCACAGCCAATCGCTTGGAAGGTTGAAAAGGAACTTTGGTGGCGAAGCATGGCTAACATACACTACCACCAAAAACTTGACCTCTCCAAATCCCGTTCCCGTTTCCAGACCCAAGCACCCGCCGTTTTTTACCCTGAGCTGTGACCCTACAATCCTGACTCAGCCGAGTTGCTGCCTAGGCCTAGCTTGCTACAGACACGCCCGTTCAGGTAGACTGGTACACAAGTACGTAGCTCGAAGAGCTACAATAGGCTCATTAGGATATACAGAGATTAGGTTGTCCCCTTGGCAATCCTTCCCAATGTAGTATGTTATAGACCCACTTCAGGAATCCCGCTCAGGTTGACTTATCACCGACTCAGAACAGTGACAGGGAGGAAAACAAAGCTGAATACATGGATGAGAGAAATGCAGAGAATCGATTGATTGGAAATGCCAGGATCATGATGGATTTACCAATTCCCAAGGTACTTCATCCCATTCCTCATCAGACAAGCAATGTGCATTTCTTTCATCAATTCGCTCTCCGTGCTCAACGCTCCGCAGCATCTCAGATAGATCGTCGTGTACAGATGATGTTGCTGCAATTCGACGTTCATGTTTTGATATCCGAAAGACGGCAATAGGATATGCGAACCACTGCAAAAAGTCCAACATCCTCATATAGGGTGAGTTGATAGAGGCATCTCGATGATATCCGCCAGCCCAAGATCTCCGAGCCCGGAGTAGTGTGGATTGAAATAGACGTACAAAGGCCGACAAGATCACCTGAGCTCCTAGAGCGCTGCTCAAACATTAGCCTCTGCAGTAAGTAGCCATGCCTCAATACGCAGACGTAGTGAAAAGAAGGAGGGGGAAATACATTGCGCCATTTGCGATCCATTTTACAGGCCGCTTGGAATGGAGCTCTTGTTGAAGTATCTCCGAAAAATGCAGGAGTCCTCGAAGATCTTCTGAGAGCCTTCCCTGCTTGATCTGGAATCGGGCCAAACGCAGATTTACTTCGTCTTGATCTGTTCAGACCATCAGTCACACACTCGTGTATGTTCAACAACTGGTGATGGAATACTCTGCCCTTCTACGATCTGCTTGGTTGAATCACACTCCTCCTGATAACGTTGCAAGCTGCGCAAAGTCAAAATTCGACCTTCACCTGGTCCACGGCGAGGAGGAGCGAAGACCTCAACGGAAGGTTGCGCCTTTAAACCCTGGTCAGCTCTGGACCCGGCACTCTCCATCCCGCCGCAGTGGGTGCCAGATCTTTTAGATTGTGGCGATATACAAAGGAAATCACCATATATACGTACGAAGAGCCCTTGTTTCCGGATGGCGGGGAGTTCGTGAGGTGATCAGTTCTGCAACGGTTGGCATAGGGCCCCGGGCTTCATATCGAGATAAATTTGTCCTTGCCCAAAGAGGCTTAAAGGCAGGCGTCGCAACCAAGACCTGGCTTTAAGAAGATCGTTGGGGGCTGGACCATCGGAGGCGTGGACTGCCCTATGATGTTCGATGCCTTATCCACGATCCTGTCTCAAGTCCTGCCTTACCTGCTGCTCTGGCGCCGTTTGCTTCTTCGTAATGCATCCATTGGCTACGAAGCAAAACTCCCAACTCATAGTCTAGTCTAGTATACCTCTTCATTTCGTCGATCATTTTGACGACCATATCCTCCAATGGCTCTCCTAAAGACCAAAAAACCATCGAACAGCTGCTATCACTTCTATGTCTGTGAACCTAAGCAGGATGAGGACTACGCAGGGACCCTTACCTTCGTGGTCAGAAAAATTTCGAAGACCAGGCTGTCCCTAGACAGCTGCCTGCATGATCAAACCGAGGGAATGCAGATCGTTCGCGTATGTCTTGAGCTCTATGGCAGGAGATTGGAGACTCCTCTCTGCTGACCGCGCACCTTTCATATCTTAGGTACGTTTGAGATTGTCAGAAGATCAACCCGAGAATATCACTCTCGAAGTGGCGTTACATCTGTTCTGCGAAGGGATGCTTGACGATGAAAACAGAAGTTATCTCGAAAGCCTTACACGCTGGTGGATTGGGGGGATTGTGCCCCTCTGTCCAATTTTCAAGGCGCATTGGACGTCACTTTATTTCCAGAAGACGGTCGGCCGTGGAGCAGAGCACCTTTCATCTTTCCTCCATGAAGCACAGAACGAAGCTCGGTCCTATATTTCACCTACGTGAGTTCCACATTTGAGATTGATTTGTTGCATCCCTGGCGGCCTTTTTTCAATCATCGCTGACTTGTGGATCAGTATTTTGATCCTCGGGTTTGCCGTTCTGGCTGGTGTGGGTAGTTGTTTTGCCTTCCTGAATTCCGGCATCAATTTCACCAATCCAGAGAATGTGAATCATTTTTGCAACAATGCGTTTTCTCATGTCATTGAGTACTTCCAATTGTTCGTGGTGAGTTCGTTACCACCAATCGTCTCCGGTGAACTCTTTGATATTCTGATCCCCATACTAGGACAGAAACCATTCCAGAGTGGATCTTACAGTGCAAGAACTCGAATGGAAAGTTGCTATTGGCCGTTTCAAAGTCAAATTCGATGCACTCTTGGACGAAATGGCAACGGCTGGAGGTTCGTTTGCTACCTGATCCATTCGCTAGAGTTTATCTGAGCCGAGACAGTCGCGATACCGTCGTCGGATCAACCTGCCTATGCAATCCAGCTTTTTCAAGGCCGCCAAATACCTTATGCCACCTGTGCAAAACTCTATGATGTTACCGAAGCCGCCATGAGGGTTCACATCTTGAGAAAAGATCTTTTCGATGTGCTGGTGAGCGCTCGGCGGGAGGCTCTTTTGAACTCTGGAGCTAACGCTGCTGCCTCCGCTGCCGCCGCCTGGTCAATTTACACAGCGATCAAGTTCTCCGCTGCTAACACGGTTCCCGTTATTATGGCAGAGACTGGCGGTGTTGTGTCAACGGTTGGTGCGGGAGCTACGCTGACAGCCGCTGCGGCTTGTTGGCCTGTCATAGTCTTTGCCGGTGGTGTGTGCGTCGTCACGGCCTCTAAGGCAGTGCTATCTCACAGGGAATCAACCGTGATCGAGGAAAAACTTAAGCAATGCGCAAAAGGTACGTTCTAGACGCGATAAGTATCCTGGCCCCAGACCCTCCTCAATCGAGCTGATAATACGATTACATCTTCCAGTCCACAACAGCATGAAGGCCGTTTGGTCCATCGCATACGACCTGCATAATGTGATGATGTGGTTCCGGTACTCCCCAAAAGAGGGCCCAAGCACCACGAAGTCGGTCCAATTTCGCGATGTCGAATCCGAGATTATGTGGAATAGGTTCATTAGCAGCTATCGCACAGCCACGGGTCAAGGGGCCATCACCTCAACCGTGTCGCAAGCGGGTTATATTTTGACATGGGCGGATGAGCAGACCGCACAACTGAGGGCTCTGATGGAGGACTTCCAGGAATGAAACGCCCCCTTAATGCGTGTTGAATGATTCCTAGACGACACAACGGAAAAGACTGATCATACACCCCTCTTCCAGCTGTCAATACAGTAAGCTCTGCTAAACGTGGAAGATTCTCAAGTTTGTCAAAGAGCCGGCTTGCACGACCTTGGCACGCGTCCGGGAGACGATGAATGTGGACTCGATCTTGAAGGAGCATTGAGTATTTGAGAGAGATATTGGTGGATACGTCTTCAGCGCTCACAGTCTGCTTATTTTTGCGAAGTTGCATGGCCCTGAGCACAACCCGACGAGGGCCAAGATTGTAAACCATTACAAGTCAGCCTGAGGCCAATGTAATTCTTATCTGCCAATTCGATCTGTCAGATGAGCAGCCCGGTCGGCAGACGAGCTTTAGATGTAGCGCGGTTGTTGTCTTTGTTGTCTCACCACGAACTACCGGGACCCTGGAACGCGTCAAACACAACATGAATTCAAGGAGGAAGGTTGTCGGTTCCCGCAGCGAAATGTGGACGTCCGGAGCCAGATGGCCACGATGATATTGGAGGTACTGAATCAGCGTCTCATTCTGCGAGAGCCAGCAATTGTCCCTTCGCCACTGTGACTGAATGTGTTCCAACGTTCGCCGGCATGAAGCGTGACATTTCTTTCTGTTCAGGCACCACTTGTATCTCCTTGTGCGAGAAAGATCCCGCGGGAGCTTTCATCGTGTTGTTTGATGAGTGCGGCCAAGCCAGGTAAAGCCTGGGTGGCGTTTGGATCGTCGCCGGAATGGAATGGAATGGAATTAGAACACGGTAAGGAAGGTAAGCATTGATCTCAAGTTGATGTAAAGTGTGGTGACGAGCAATATTCTGAGAAATCCTTGCATTGAAGGAAGCGGTTGTAGAAGGGCTTTGTATGACGTTGTCGTGCTTCTGGTTAGAGGTTCATTTCATTTCTTTTTGGTTTTGTCAACTTATCTCTAGGAGATGGTTGAAGCAATTCAGCTTCCGGCTTGAAAGCCTTTGTCAATGACATCTTTGTAGCGAGAACAGCCAAAATAAAAAAGGTCGCTTTGACGGTCTATGAGTCTCCCTGGGTGATTCTCCTGGCAAAACGTGACTGGCAGAACTCATGGTCGGGACATGTAAAGGGGCCACAACATCGGTGGAATTGCGGTCGTCACATAGGTTTGTCTTGTAAACCGTGCCTCGCAGTTGAGCGCGCTTTTAAGTTTTACACGTTATTTCCTGAGAGCTTTGCTCTTCTTTCGACAATTCGCACAGTTGCGGCCCTAGCATCTAGGAGCCAGCTGATATTGGCTCCCGAAATTTCCATAGTTGTCGTGAATCTGTCATGAGCCAACAGAAGAAGCAGAGAAACCGGTCAGTCAGACTTTTCGACGGCCCCTACCATAGATAGCCCGCATTGTGGTCTGAACAGATTTCAGCATCCCTATTCTCAACGTGCCTCTTCCGGCCTTGCGGAGCAATTGGGCAGGAGGCGAGAACATTCCATTTGTATTCTCCGTGTCCAGGAACCTCATATTTTACCCTCCTCGGTCATTCTTCGTATGCGGTTCAGGAGGATGGTTCCTTGCCTGCCTAGCTTGGCCTTTCCATCTTTTCCAGGTCGTTTGGCCTTTGCCATGGCTCTTCTATCCTTTTCCCGACTCTCTCGTGCCTTTCTTTTAGCCTCAAGCTTCGCTCTATGTTCGGCAGCAAGCTCCATCTCTTTTTTATATCGAGACTGTTTTGGTTTGGATGGCCGAGAACTGCGATCGAAGTCTCCGTTATGTTCGTGCTGGGAGTCCTTTCTCGTTGAGCATTGTGTCCCGGCCGCATCGAGCATTGCCTGTCTGTCCGGATGCAGTTCCAGACTTGCAGGGGCAGCATCCACAAGCGTGTCGCCGGAAGATTTTGTGGAGGTGTTCTGTGCTGACTCTTCCTGCGCTTTGACTTTTGCATAAGCCTTCTTCACCTTGGCCTTTTGGATGAGGTCATGCTTTATTTTTTGTGCTGTTGAAGTTTAGCATGTAGAACAACTCCTGCCACAACGGAGGGATTCTCACTTTTCCGCCTGTAGGTGCCATCTGGGAGGTTGGCTGGACCGACTGAGAATCCCTTGCGTCTCTTTTTGTCTGGCCCCTTTGCTCCACTGACTGTATCGTGGTTCACCTTTTTCACAGTCATTTTGACATGCCTGAGAAGAGTGTTCTCGAAGATTAAGAATCAAGGAAGATCTTGCGGTTCCAATTCTTTGACAGATCAACAAGGCTGGGCGTAGTTGGCTGGATATGCTAGATGGGAATTTTTTAAGCTTCAACCGCGGCGCGGAAAGTTTGCGGGGATACAAGCGGGCATCACATGGGTAGCGGGCCGAACAGAGGAGAGTCATTTATTCACGTCGTCGACCTCAGCCTCTTTCTGTCCTCGTGTCCTTTGTCTTTGCCTCCGCTACCTATCTTCCTTTGGACGACTAGCTCGTATCCGTCAAGTCTTTTGTCTCTCGCCTAACTTCTTATCACCAATCATGGAAAGATAATTCAAGTCATTCCGCTGCTCTTCCGGCATCCGGCGAACCGTCCGTGATGTCCTTCCCCATCCAAATATTCTCTATTGAAGGCTCGCTTTTCCAGTGTACAGCCTGCAATCCTTCAATATATCCCTAGGATCCGGCGGGGTATCCTCCAGGAGCATGCCCTTTGTCTTTGACTTCGAAAGTCTTTCCACAAGACCGGTTAAGAGACGGAAACTTGGATCCACTTCAGATATGGCTCGATATTCGGCACATACATACCACGATGCCGAACAGTCCTCGGCCGAGAGTGGAGGAGAATCAGGGGAATGCAATGGTTCGCAGAAAGACCAGTGTTCAGATAATGAGGGGGCTCCTATCAGGACGAGTGATCGGGAAGAGTTGATCCAGTGTATCAAACGGGGACAAAGACCAACATGGGTACCCAAGCCTGGATTGGAAGCCCTATGTGCGGAGGTGAATGCTGAGCAGAATGGCACCTCATCTAGACTTCAACAATCCGCGGAAGAAGGTCAACCTGCCACCACTGCCGATGTTCGACCACCTCGAGACAAATCTCCGTCACCACACACTCTCTCTGCCGCCGATGTTCTACATCGCTCATTATCTGCCTTACATACCGGCGACTTCTATGAGAATGCTACGCAGCTTCCCACGACACCGTCAATAAGTACAAGGCCGGGTGTCCAACCTCAGTACGGGCACTCCCCTCCTATATGGGACCGAGAGGCCCCGACAATCCCGCACTTTACCTCACCCTTCGGCTCGCCTTCGGAGATACTCAGACGATCTCGAGCCCCTTCACTGGGGAGTGGCTTGTCATCAAGCTTTGTCATGAGAGTTCCGACCAGTCCGCTCGTTCACGCAACCAATAACCCTTCTTTAGACTTTTCACCTAAAGATACACAACCGAGTGAGATAGGGAAATCTACAAGGAGGAGAACCATGCCCCCCAACGCCTTTGAATCCTTGAACATGTCACCGATTGACAACAATGTGCCTAATTTCAGCCGTCCGTTGCCATACCCACATTCCCAACACGAAGGGGATTCGTTCCCTCCAATGCATCGGCCTCGTCGCTCGTTGAGCTCGTTTACATATCAGGCTGCGGCCAGCCCACAAACGCCTTTTTCAGCACGATCTCGTCGACCTTCACTTGCGTCGGACGTTTCTCCGCGACAGCGGGCCTCAATGGTCGGTTCCTTTGAGGAATCCATTCTCAGAGGCAGGATGTCTGCCCCCGCCTCAAAACCCCTTGATTTTGTAGCACAAATTGGAGTTTTGGGCAAGGGTAACTGCTCTGCCAGTCTCAAGTGTCCAGCTCATGTCACGGTTCCGTTTCCCGCGGTATTTTATAATTATCCATCTTCGAATGAGTTAAGATCGATATCAGACGACAACCCGAGCCCATATGTTGGTACCATCGACCTGGAACATAACTTGAAGCCTCCAGAGCCTCCAAGTCGGCGTCACCGTCCTTCTCCAGCTAGTCTGGATCCCGAGGCACTGGCCGCTGAGATCACAAGCCCAGAAAACACGGCCATCGGCAGAGCCCTAGCTAGAGAAGCGCCAGAGAGGAAGGGAAAAGTGTCAACATCGCCTAAGGTGCCCCCTGGAGGGGCATATCGAATACCACAAAAGGGACAGCTCCAGATTATCATCAAGAATCCTAATAAAACCGCGGTCAAATTGTTCTTGGTTCCTTATGATCTCGAGGGCATGCTTCCGGGGACCAAAACATTCGTACGGCAACGAAGTTTTTCTTCTGGTCCTATCTTGGAAAATGTGCTTTCAGAGAAACAGGCCGGCCTAGCGATCCGTGACGCCCTTAACGACAAAGATATTCTTCGATATCTCATTCACCTCAAATTCTGTTGCACGGCCAAAAGTCGCTTTTACCTCTACGACAATATTCGGGTAGTCTTCGCGAACCGAGTTCCGGACGACAAAGAGAAACTACGGAATGAAGTTCAATTGCCTGAACCACGATTCAGTCCATACAAACCACCAAACGACAGCGGATCACGAAGCCCCAGTGTCGCTGATGAGAAATTCTCTCCGCGGCCGAACATTCCACGGCAAAAGCAAGAGCCGGCGACGGAACTGGAGCAAACTGTCTCCCCAATTCCGGGATTTCTCCCGTCGACATCTTCGCGGAGCTCGCCTGTATCTTGGCCCAGTTCCAACGGTCCTTCGATTGTACGGTGCTTTTCTCCGACTTCTGTGGAGGCTGGAGATGGACTGATCTCCCGACAGTTGAGGGAACTCAGTGGGACAGGCTCAAGGAACGACGGTTGACATGACGAAATCAAGACTGTTCATATTTAGATTTTCATATGACTATATAGGGTATTATTGGCACGAGGATTGGGACAACAACTTGGAGTACCAACCCCGAGACTGGTAGGCAAGATTCGTTGATAGCCTGATATCCACTCCCTTTGTCTGTGACACCTTTCTTTGTTATGTGTCGTACTAGCAGTGCCATGTCTCAGCTGATAGCCTGGAGTCAGCCACTGTGGGACAGGTCATGGCATGATTATAGACGGCAAGCGTCGTCGCCTAGGGGGCACAACCTTGATTGGAGGGCTCATGAGGCCCCAGCAAGCCGGATTCACTCCATACGAGGCGAAGAAGCCGGTCTCCAGACGCCACCATCCAACGTTCTCATTCGCCATATTTCCTTATGCACAGCCTAGAGAGAGTCCAGCCACTAAGACGCGCAGGCAAACAGGCCAAGCTCACACCCCTATTCGCTTGCGGCTTAGTTGTGAAAGCTGACGGAACATCCACAAACGTCACTTGAACTGCGGCCCCCTAAAACCTTCAGGCACTGCAGCTCTGGGTACTTGGTTGCAATGCCACTGACCACCTGCGACTAAGTTCCCCCCCTCCTCCCCTGCCAACCTCCACTCCCAGTTCGACTTACAAGTGTCCATTCCAACAAAGATTGCGCGCCGGACTGTCCACAGTCCACAGTCCCGCTGTCCACCTTCCTCCGAACAACTTTACTCCATCTCCGTCCAAGCCGTCTCGCCATACATCTCTCCCTTGATCGATTTTGACCCCCTCCTTCGCTGCAGCTGAATCTTCTGGCTCTAATTGACCTCCTCTCCACCTCCTCGATGCAACAATCATAGTTCCTCTCTCTTTCGCCCACTCCCTTCCGACCGTCGATGACCTGGGGAGTCATCCGAGTCGAAGATGCACAAGATCAGCAACTTCACCGGCCAGGCCCGACATGGCTGGGAACGGATGACTCCTGCAGCGTTCGGCATGTCGAGATTCCATCAAGACATGTCCTCGCCGCAACCATTAAGACGTCCCCAAGGGTCTCCAGCAATTGGGCCACAGACGGTCGCCGACGCAACCCCCGTCAATCTGTCTTTCAATGTTCCATTTGCCTCCAATCTTGCTGGACCTGATCCTGAAGAAATTTTGCATTCCAGTCCCGGGGCCTTTTCACGATGGACCTTTCCTGCCGGAACTCCAGAGGGCACACCGATCCACAAGCTGCCCGTGCATGTGCAAAATGAAGACAGACTACGCTCTTTGTGTTCCTACATCAGTGAACAGAGTGGAGGCCACATACAAGCCACGGTGACGTCTTCCGAGCCCAAAGCTGGACCTGCTCTTCATAGAAAATCACAAGGGCTAGTGACAAATGTCTGTATTTCGGGTGACGGAGATTTGGTGTTCAAGATGAGGTCGAAGATTCTCAACGAGACTCCCATAATGATGGTACGCTTTCTTCCGTCATCCGACATCGCTCTGACTGACCACCTGCAGCGCTCTGCCATTGTGGATATTGACCCGGACTTGATTTTGGATGGTGCAGAAACTGGTATCCGCTCCAGCGTCCTCAGTCACATTGATCTATGCGCCAAATATACCGGGACGGATATTTTTCTTCTCAAGCCTCGGAATCCCGATGCATCCTCCACTAGCGCTTTCTACGGTAATGGGGTCGATAGTGGCCTAGACCAGCGATATCGCGTGAACATCTTTGGAGACATGGAGAGTGTTGAGCACGCCAAAACCAGAGCCCTGATGATGATTGACCAGATCGTAACACTTCCGAATATCTCATGCAGGGACCAAGAAGCTAATGAATTTTCCAGCTCAAACACAAGATCGACGTCATCAAACTCGAGGTCACGATGCACACTTTGGTGTCCGGTCGGACTGGAAAGAACATAAAGATGATCGAGTCAGCCACGAAGACGGCCATATACTTTCCTCCTCCTTTTCCTGGTGTCTTTGGATATGTTCCCCCACATGCCACCCGTCGAGCTGCAGATGAAATCTTCATTACCGGAGAAACGCAGGAACGCATAAACCAAGCGAAACAGAAGTTGAAAGAGCTGGTTATGGGCATCAAGCTATACTCTAAGGACGCTGTGGTGTCTGCCAGTAAAATTGACAATATTCTGCTCGATCGACTGGACAAAGTGCGCAAGATCATGGAGACGAACGGCTCTCACGTTCTCTTCCCGCAACTTGGCAGCCAACGGGGCCTTGTGCGTGTTCAAGGGACCGATGTCCTCCATGTTGAGAGAACGGTAAAGGAGATCATGGCGCTTGTATGCCCCTTCAATGAACCTGGATGACTTCCCACGGGTGACTGACGAGATTTGATAGGCCGGACAGTTCTTTAGTGCCTCATGGTGGATTATGATGCCTGATCCGACACAAGACCCAGCTGTTCGGGCTCCAACGCTAGAAGACATCCGTGTCATGCTTAGTGACATCTGCGCAAACTCGGGAGCGGATATCAGCTTTGAGAAATTCACCTTCACCATCAACGGATCCGATGACGCCGTCAAAGCAGCCATGATGGTCATCAACCAGATTCCTTTTGTGAAAAGAACTCCGTGCCAAATGCGTGTCAAGATAGAACTTGCAAACGAGCATAAAGAATTTGTCAGCGGTAAGAAGAACGGCAAGATTAATAAGATTATGGGTCAAAGTAAAGAACCACCCTCCCCGTTGACGGGGTGATATCAGAACTAATGACGGCCGTAGGTAACGTCCAAATTATCTTCGACGGTTTCAATGAATACAACTTCTATATTGATGTGGTCGGCAGTCAGTATGAAGCCACCAAGAATGGTCTGGACCTGGTCGAACAGGAAATGCCGGCGTCAATCTCATTTCACGTTCCTGATCAATACCACAAGCGTATCATTGGCATTGGTGGACAACATATCCAGCGCATCATGAAGAAGTACTCCGTCTTCGTGAAATTCTCCAATGCTATGGACCGTGGAGGAATTGGAAAAGAAGAGGACGACATCAAGGTCGATAACGTCATTTGTCGAACACCGGCACGCAACGCCCAAAGCTTGGATTTGGTGAAGCAGGAGATCATGGACATGGTTGAGAAAGCTGTAAGCGAAGCTGATTCCCTGACTGATGAGACCATGTCCTTATCGAATGGTCAAATTTTTAGGACGCCGAGTTCGTCTCCGAAACCGTGGTCATCAACCGACTCTACCATCGCGAATTGATCGCTCGATTACCCGAGATCGAGGAACTGGAAAAGAAATGGAATTGCAAGATTGACTTCCCGAACACAGAGCAAGCCAGTGACGTTGTCACCATCTCCGGACCGGAATATCAAGTACCACAAGCGGTAGATGCGTTCTTAGGAATGGTGCCGGAGAGCCATGAGATTGCGTTCCAAAAGTCCGACGAGCTGGAGACGTTCTTCGCGAGTGCCGAATTTTTCAACGAGCTCCGTCAGAAATTGAGAAGCCAGTATGAAGTGGACGTTCACGCGAACCCCGAAATGAGCAGCTTGCCCAAGTCCGCGACCGCGTCGGTCGAGCGTATCGTCAGCGCCTCGGAGGGACGACTCGTTCTCACATATACGCGAAATAATGCGGGGGGGCTCAAAGATGCGATTGACTACCTCATCTCTCAGCTCGTTCCTCACGGTCTCGATGCGACGACTGTGAAAGGCGCGATTCCTCGACCCAAATCCGACTCATTTGAGGATTCGCTCCCTTTCTTTGATTCGAAGCTCCTGCAAAATGCTCCCTCGCTTCTTTCGACCGACTCACCAACTCGAGCGAACTTCGCTGATGGAGAAAGCACCCCTGTCTCGGAACGTGCGTCTCTGTTCGAACGTCTGCGCAAACCGGGCAGCATCTCGTCCTTTTCTTCCTTTATGAGCCGAAAAAATCAGAACAATTCTCCTGGAACCTTCTTCAAGCACGCCTCTTCCAATGCTAGCAAGGCGTCGCTAATTTCCATGGAGAGCCGTGAAAGCGGTTATCGCAATTTTTGGAACGATAGCGGTGTCAACCTACCGGAGGAGGATATTTCAGCTTCTTCCGTCAGTGGTGGTTGGCCGTCACGATTTCACGAAAACAAATTTCCATTCGGAACAGGCGGGACGGTGTCTGGAGACCGAACTCCCAAGCACGAACCTCGGGCTAGTTTTGACTCTGGAAGACCACCAACCTCGCATTCTCTTTCTTCTTACCCGGCCCCTATCGGGCCACATCATCACCATCAGATCCTGGGTAGCACGAATGGATCTGCCCACAATTTGAATCTTCCTTTGCGCTAGACTTTTGGTCAAGTCTGAGTTGATTGGGCCGGGGGGGGAAAACGACCAATGATACCCTGATATCGATACGGAATCATGATTATCTGCACTTATGTCCAGCAAGATACCCTTTGATGCTACAATGAAAAAGTAAGAGGTGGAAAGCCAGCAAGTTTTGGAGTACCGCTTGTGATGGAACCCAAGCAAGAAGCCTTTCTGTTTGTTTGTTTTTTTCTGGTCGGCTTGGAATGCAGGAAGAATTTGCTAACGCGCGTTCAATGATAACTCGACACTCGTTCTGTGTTTGATTTGGAAGATACCCGGTACGTTCTCATGCAGGCAAGCTGTCGCATTTTGTCTGTTAGTCCTGCCACGGAAAAGCTGTCACTGCTTCAATTGGTCCCTGAAAAGAATGAGGTATACCCCCAGAAAGCTATTTATTAGAATCAATGCGTCAACCTTTTGTACGAACAATCTGTTAGATCTAGGGCTGAAATGCAGAACTATAGAGTCGTAGGCCACTTGGGTAGTGGGTGGCTTGGCTGCGCTGCGCGACAACAACGTGCGCCCGTGACCCGCGGGTGTGTCGCGTCCCATTCCACTTCTCGTTTCGAGTTCATCAGTTCACGGGCTTCTGTTTCGTTTGCCTATTCTTTCAGTAGAATTCCTGCCTGCGCCATACTCTTATCAACCTCTCTTTTATCATCGCTTGGTCCCTATAACACGCTGCACCCTCGATGTTCTCTTCCGACTCTCTGTCATGCCCCTTTTCAGCAACCCAATAAGAGCCAAATATGGCTGATCTCAATATCAGGATAGGGCAGACGATACAGACCCAGGACGGACGAGAAGGTACCGTTCGATACATTGGGCCTATACACCTTGCTGCAGGAGAATGGTTAGGCCTGGAGCTGGCAGACGATGGGGGCAAGAATGATGGCTCCGTCAAAGGCCACCGATATTTCCAGTGCGCTCCTGGATATGGTATCTTCGTTCGCAAGGAGTCGGCCGTCCATATCGTGAAACAAGCTGCTCAACCCCCAAAATCCAATGGCGTGCCGAATTCAAATGGTGCTACAGCCAAACCGCGACCATCCAGCGGAGTGACTGCAGACATTGCGAGAAAGAGGCAGAGCCTGATGAGTTCAAGTTCAGGGCCTGCGGCTGGATCAAGATTGTCCCTCAGGGTACTTACAACTCATTCATGGCCAAAGGTATGTCTGGCTAATCCATGTGCCTCAGTCTCCCACGAAATCGCCCACGAAACCTGGGCCATCCTCCGTGAGCTCTACGACGTCCACTCCGCGAACGGGAACTCCAGCAACCACTACGCGAACATCCGATTCGAGTACAAAGTCTAGGCTCAGCACAACGGGAAAATCTCTGATGGGACCACCGACGTCCACAACCCGGGCCAGTGCAGCTGCAAATAGGCCATCCATGGGTGGTCCAGTCAAACCGCTGTCTGCGCGGCCCACTTCTATGCAGCCGCGGCCGTCATTGAGTGGCTCTAGAGCCTCCATGGCTCCTAAGACCATCCTTCGAAGTGAGAAGGCTGATTCTATCCATCCTAGCCTCGGTGAACAGCAATCGTCACCCCCGCAAGACCAATTTTCTCGAAATATGGGTTTAAATAATGTAGAGATTGATGAGGCCTTTGAGGCTACGGAGCCAGATGTCAAAGCGCCCGCGTCACGTCCACACTCGACTGCCAGTCCACGCAGTGACACCAATAACGCTCCCGAGGACAGATCAAGGCAAGCGCAAGTTATCAAAGCGTTGGAAACGAAGGTTCGAACGTTGCAGAAGCAGAGACAAGAAGATCAGGCTCAAATTCAACATGTCCAAGATCTGCAAAATCAGACGACCCGGTACGAAGGAATAATTCAAGCGCTACAAAAAAAGCTCAAGTCGAATCAGCAAGAGATGCAAGATCTCAAGGCCAAGTATGAAGACGCAGAGAGTCGTGCCGGAAAAGTTCCCAACCGAAGCGCAGAGCATGAGTCGGAACTCGAACTCGCAACGCTGGACAAGGAGATGGCCGAAGAGCGTGCTGATATGTTCGAAACCGAACTCGAGGCCCTGAAATTGAAACACGAGGAGTTGGAGCTTGAGGTTGAAATCCTTCGAGAAGAGAATCGCGAATTGGCGTCGGTCATGAGTCCGGAAGAGAAGGCCAGTGCGGGTTGGCTTCAGATGGAGCGGGAAACGGAGAGACTACGACAGGCTCTGGTCATGTTGCGAGACATGTCCCAGCAAAACGAAGGTGACCTGAGGAACGAGATCAAAGAACTCCAAGAGACTCTGGATGAACTTGAACAAACCGCTTCAAAATATGAAGAGGTGGTAGCGAAGCTCGCAAGGTCGGAAGAAACGAATGAACATTTGAGGGAACAGTTAGAAGCGGCGGAAGCAAATGACGATATTCTGGAAGCCATGGGGGCCGAACGGGACCAAAATCGGAACGTGATAGAGCTGTTAAAGAGACAGATACAAGACCTCGAGGAGCACATTCAGGTGACCGACGAGCTCGAAGCTTTCCACGTCGAAGAAGAAAAACGTCTGCATTACCAACTGGACGAAAGCGAGGCGATCTTGAATGACAAACATCGGCAAACTGTTGAGCAGGAAAAGACTATTGAGGACTTGGAATACACCCTGACTAAATTCCGAGATATGGTCCAGGGACTTCAAAATGACATCGACGAACTCCGTCGATCCAGGGACGTCAGCGAGCTCGAGGCTCACGAGATGAACAGCAAGTCACGAGCCATGATGGATCTGAACTTGAAACTACAGAGCTCGGCGGCGAAGACCCAGCTAAAGGCAATTGATCTCGAATTGGGCAAGATGCGCGCCGAGCAAGCCAGCCTGCATTTGGAAATCGTACAATTATTCGTCCCCGACACCTTCGAGGTTGACAAGAAACCTATTCTTGCTCTTTTGTGCTTCAAGAGAATCAAATCAAAGGCCCAATTGAGCAAGAATATTCTTGCCGAGAGAATACGCGACCGGCCCGATCTTCATGACAATCCCATGTCAGTCTTTGCTACCATGGAACAACTCCATTTCATCGCAAACGTTTGTGAAAGATTCGTGCAACACTTGTCAACCTGTTCTACCGACAGCTTTGCCAAATATGCGGGCGCTCCTTTCGAATTGGAGCCGGTGGAGCAGGCAGTTACCGGTTGGGTTGAAGCTTTACGCCGTGACGAGCTTGCTCACGAGGGATCTGGCCACCTCCATCGCATGGCGGGAATCTTGGTCGACATGGCCGAAAAGTTGCTTTCAGAGAGCTACGAAACCAAATCAATGGAGCTGCTCGCATCCATCTCCATGACGGAGAATTATGCTGACAATGCTGCACACCAAGCACAAATTATCAGCAAGGCTGTCCAAACAAAACTGGGAGGGGCCAATGACGAGGACGAGGAGTCCATGTTGTTTGAAAAGAGAATGGATCAGCTGGGAATAAAGGCTCGGACAATCAAATATGTCTCCGGCAAGGTCGTACACGCGCTCAGCGATCTTCGAGCTCGATCCATGTGTCCCGCTGAATCAATGTGGAATTCACTCTCTGAAGTCGAGCTGTGTGCTGAAAGAATGTCCCAGGTGATGCAACATGTGGGCCAAGCGGTCATCGAAGACCTTCACAAAATTGACCGAGAGGAAGCATTTTCATATTCGAGGGTGATACAGCTCATGACAACGGCCGCGCAGCAAAGGAGTGAACCACAAACAGCTGGCTCAGATGATGTCTTTGACATGCTCTCGAAACAATTACAGACAATTCAGTCCAAGATCGACGGACTGAACACGCAGTCTGCAGACATTTCTGGCGCGATTGAATTCGAGAAGTTACCGGCTCCTTGGATCGCTCGAGCTAGAGAAGCCAAGGCACAGAAGGTTTTGTCGCAAGACCTCCAGGAGGAGATGGCCAGACTGAAACTCAGAATACAAGAACAGACAATCCGACTCAGTGAGAAAGACAAACAGCTTGAGGAACAGCAAGTCAAGGTTGAAATACTCGAGTCACGGGCTAAGGAAACCAAGGCGAAAGATGACGGTGTCAAGGCAATGAAGGACGAGATTGAAAAATTACGTTCAGAAACCCATGCCGCCTCCGAGAACTTGCAAAAACTCGAAGGAGAATATCAAACCTTACTTGAAGCTCGCGAAAGCCAGAGGATGGAGATGGAAGCTCTCAAACGGAGAAGTGTTTCTGATGGACAGGGCGGCCTGGTGCTTGACGCTGCCGACGAGACAACCTCAGTTCGCTTCAAGGCTGAAGTCGACTTGCTCAAGGTTGAGATTGCCAGTCTCCAGGCCTCGGTACGCTTCCTCAAATATGAAAATCGGCAGCTCAGAATCCCTGTCAACGAAATTGGTAAGGCTGCCGTCGAAAATCATTGGCTCGATCCTAGCCGTCTCACGTTGGCGACCAAAGACGACAAGTTACGACCTCTACGGACCGAGTCGAAAGACGTATTAACAGGACTCATCGAAATGGCGAAGTCATCCAAACCCGTCAAACTAAAAGCGAGATCTGGATACGGCCCAGATGCAAACGGGCCTGTTTCTTCTTGGAGAGCCGAGTCAGATACGACTTTATACCAAGTTCTCCAACGAAAAGAGGAGCTGGAGCGGTGGAATGAAATGAAAGATGACTTGGTCCAAAGAGCGCGGATCATGGTGAGGTCCTCGCGACCCGTATCAGAACGGCAAGAGAGGCCTATAAATCAGAAGAAGCCCTTTACTGGCACTCGCCGAACTGGGCCTGTAAAAGCACCCGCACTAGAAGAAGTGGATGAGCTGGAACTTGGATCTGCCGTGAATGTGGATGGAGTCCGCGTGGTCAGGTATTGAAAGTCGCCATAATTAAGCTTTGAGGTTGGTCTCCCGTCGATTTGAAGTGGGTTCAAGGAGTACAGATTTTGTTTGACATTACAGTGAGCAGTCAGTCGAGAAATCACGCAGGCTAGATTTCCTGAAAGGCTTTTTAGGAACGACGTCGACGGCTACGTGTATTGCAATGCATTGCTCCCCTTGAAGAGGCCGAATGTTGTCGCCCGTGCAAAAGGAAAGTCGCATGGTCCCGGCAAGCATGCTTCTGGACATTTTGGAAGTGACTCAATTCCTATGAGCGGGCCTTCTCGTTAAAGTATCCCCGTCCTCGGCGCAAATTCGGACAGTGTCAATATCACTCAGCACGCACATCTTTCAAGGCGAAGAGAATTTCAGACTCCGCAAGGGACGAGGCTGTGCTTCGAACCGGCGCTTCCGGCGGCAAATGAGAGAAGTCGGAAGGATCCTCCGTGCTCTCACATGTTCCTCCGCACTGAAATCAGAGATAAATAAGCGGGAAAAAAAAAAATTTATTCAAGAGTGGTAGAGTTGTGACGGAGTAGATCGGTGCGCTTAGGGGCTGGGGCTTAGGGTTGACATCTCGGATGAATCCATCTATTCGTTCGTATCGTTTGCCCCCTCTTGATCATTTCCCAACCCTATTCTATCCCCTGGTCGAGAGGCCACCAAAGCGTAAGCGGCTAGGAACATGTCAACAATGTCTTGTTTTAATCTCTCTCATTATCCGCCTCTTTCTTTATGCCGGTCTGAGAGCAAAAAGAGCTCCAAGATCATCTGGAGGATTGTTGTTTGGCTGGGCGACCAAGACTCAACACTTTTCTGAGAAAGGTGAAATTTAACATCCTTGAAAGTGTGGAGATCTAGCTAGTGGCACAAAGCATGAAGCATGGAGCTGCAACAAGGAAGAGGAGCCAAGTGTGGCAGTGCTCCTTAGTGCTGGATGTTTTGCTGGATGTGATGGGCTGCAGAGGGATCAAAGCTCGCGGATACCTCAATTCTTGTCCCTCGCCAGATGCCGCTAACATGCCACCGACTGAACCCCCAACAACGTATCGCAGTTCCATCTGTTCCCACGCACCCCGTCAAACTTTCTCATCTGTGATCTGTGCAGCAGTAGCAGACGCAGAGGAAACCCAAATTCTATTCCTCTCTTATATCTCTTGCTCCCCCGCTACACAGCCGTCAGAGCAACTTGCCCACTAAGGACTTGGCGAGTACACACAGTTTTTGGGTAGCTGCTCGGGTTACTGCTCCTCGCAGAGCAGGGGCAGTGCCGGTGAGAGCTTTTGTTCAAGGTCGTTTTGCCATCATCGACTTTTGTCTTAATTCTTCCGCCAGCTCGGGTCCAGTTCCACCTTTTTCTTTCTCCTCCCCTTTTGGCGCAGGCTTGTGCCCGAGTCGAATGGGTACGTTTTATACCGACACCTCCTCTTTGTGTGCTGAGTGTTGATGCCATTTTTGACTGCTCCATTTTCTCTTCCTATGTGAGCTTTCGTCGTCGAGATTACTGACTGATGGCGGCATCCTCCAATCCTGCAGCGGCGAGCAAGATTCGCAAGACCTTCTATCTGACTGCCAACGACATTCGAGATCCCATGCCTACCGAGGACGGCCTCAATGGTCGCGCCGACCCAAATGAGCGAACGGGTCTCCTCTCGAGAATCACTACGACCGATTCGGGTACTCCATACTACAAGCATGACAACAGGGCGATAAGAATTCCATTCCTCGTTCTACACACTATTTGGGAGATCTTGAAGACCAACTACGTGAATGTGTTGCTGGTGTTTGTTCCCATTGGCATTGTCGCCGGTGTCTTGGATTGGTCGCCTACTTTACAGTTCATCTTGAACTTCATTGCGATCATTCCTTTGGCATCATTGCTCGCTTTTGCGACGGAAGAGCTGGCAATCCCACTGGGTCAAACCCTCGGGGGCCTTTTGAACGCCACTTTTGGGAATGCGGTCGAGTTGATTGTAAGAACACACATGAGACATGAAAAATTTCTACCGGGCAGCAAGAAGAGCTAACGTTTGATTAGGTGAGCATCATTGCTTTGCGCAACAATGAGATCCGCATTGTACAAGCCAGCATGCTAGGGAGTATTCTGTCCAACATTCTCCTCGTTCTCGGCTGCTGCTTCCTCGCGGGAGGAATCAGGTACAAGGAACAAAGCTTCAATTCCACCGTCGCCTCCACCATGTCTTCTCTTATGACGGTGGCCACTTCGTCACTCATTATTCCCGCGACGTTGTACGCTGTCATGTCGGAGGGCAAATCGCAACAGGATAATATCATGATTTTGTCTCGAGGGACATCGATTATACTCCTCCTCATCTACGTTGCATATCTCTACTTCCAACTCGGGTCCCACGCAGACTTGTTTGATGATGCTGAGGCACAAGAATCAGAGAATGAGGGCGGTCAACTCCTGGGCCCCTGGTCTGCTGGCTTGATGTTGGTCATCATCACCATCTTGGTTGCCCTTTGCGCCGAGTATCTCGTCGATAGCATCGATTCCATTGTCCAGGAGGCGCACATCAGCAAGACCTTCATTGGTCTTATCCTGATCCCCATTGTTGGAAATGCTGCCGAACACGTCACCGCCGTTATCGTGGCATGGAAGAACAAGATGGATTTGGCAATCGGAGTGGCTATTGGATCAAGCTTGCAAATTGCCATTTTTGTCACCCCTTTCTTGGTCATTCTCGGCTGGGCGATGGACAGAGACATGTCCCTTCATTTCGAGACTTTCGAAACCGTATCCTTCTTCCTTGCCTCTCTGGTGGTGGTTCTCCTGATTCAGGACGGCAAATCCAATTATCTCGAAGGACTCTTGTGCTTGGGCATGTATATCATCATTGCCCTGGCCTTTTACGTCTTGCCGGACGATCCCGAGTCGGGTTTGGGCTTGGGCAAACTTTTCGGTGGAAGTGGTGGCAACTGAAGTGGATCAAAGAAATGAAATGGGTATCTCTGGATATTCCAAACAGTAGAAGAAAACTAAACCATCTCGTTTGTGCAGTTTTCGTTACTGGGTGTGGCCAGATTGTGGTGAATCAGAATGGCAATGGGCAATGGAAATCTCCCAAAAGGCGTTGCCAGGCTATCTTTTTTGATGGTATTATTAGGATGGTACTTGTAAAATTTTTTTTTTTTTTTTTTTTTTTTGATACCCGACAGAAATCAACTGGGCTTTTCCTTTGAGCTTAGATGGAGTTGTTGTGATGCAAAATATACGCTGTCAACGCCGTAGCCATAAGACTGAATTTCAAGTTTTCATCAAGTAAACGGATTGGCCCCTTTTTAGCTCTTTTGGGACGAGTCTGGCGACCCCCTGTGTTCACCAGGTTAAAAGTATATAAATTCAGTATGAATACTTTCAACAAGAAGTCTTCCTACGTCACTGGAAGCAACATTGCCTCCCACGCCGCCGTCGTTGATGTTTTTCCCAGGCTTCGCGACTTTCCCAAACAATGACGTGCTGCTCAACGATTCGTGAATTCTCGACTCCTGCGGGCAAGGAGTGAAATGTAGCCAAAATCCTGGTCGATGTCCGCGGAGCAGCGGTACATTATAGCTCGGACTCTAATCACGATGATGCTTGCAGCTGGATAAAGCAGGATGATCCGGAGCAAGCCCATGACCGCTTCAGGGCGAGTGCGCTGATGGAGATATTCGTTGGCTGGGCTACGTATCCTAAAAGGCGGTTGATGTGTGTCTCGTCATGGTAATCATCCCGGGCTGCAGCTCGACTCTGTAAAGTGCGGCTCCAACCGGTAGGGATGGTGAGGTCGATGTTCTCGACATTGGTGTCGCCGTCCGCCACTGGTTTCGTGATGTACTCATTGATCTGCCACACAAACGAACCAAAAGCCATGCAATTTGACAGGTTGACTCTGGTCGATATCGGTGGCCACGGTGTAAAGGAAATGTGACGATGCCATGATCACTATATGGCCCAAGGTAATCTGTACACTAACGTTTGAGTTCTTTGATGTCTTCTGGCATGGGATTTCCAAGAGGTATAGGAAAAGCTGGGCGGCGCAAATCACAGAGGGAGACTTTGTCAAAAGAGGATGCCATTGCAAATGATGGCGTCTAAGGTATAGATTCGGCAATTCTCGAGGAGACTCTATGCTCGGCCTTGGAGCAGGATATTCAGTATGATGAGTTGGTTGGTTAGCCCGACTCAAGGATGAGCCTTGTGCTGGTGAGTGTTAAGATCCCTAGGCCGGCACATCCTACCTTGTTGTAACGGGTATAGGCGACTAGAAGGGCGGCGGGAACTCCTCAGACCGTTGTGCCTGGGACATACCCGGCATGTGAGTAAGCACGGGACAGAGAGCCAAGAGACGAGCTGGGGAATTGCGCCTAGGAAGACTCCTTGGCACGTTAGCTAGTAGTTACAGAGTAGGACCACAGCCTCAATGCTGAAGAAGAGCGGGATGCATGAGAAGGAGGGAAATATACCAAAGGGGACATAGATATCTGAACCGATACTCCAAGTTGAGCCGGCAAGACTCCGAAACGAGTCTGTTGCAAGGTGAACGCGTTCAGAACCGAATTTAGGATACTGAAGACCTTGGAGTATTGCACAGCCATAATACAGACCGGCAGGACCAAGAGTAGATTGTTTGTTGCGTACGCAAGGGACCTGCACCCAGAAGTAAGAATCGTCACGTGAGAAATCCCCAGTCACGTGAGCAGTTCGGAATTTTGGCCCGATTTTGAGCTTCCAATTCGAGCCTTTGGATTCAATGCTTCTTTCAATTCTCAATCATCACACCCCGCGGAGACCTACGATGCCGCCTCGATTATCTCTATTTACAGCCCGGTCTGTGGCATTCAGAACAAAACCAACGATCCCTCAGAAGAGGGTTGTGCGTAGTCTTCTCCAACTCCGCGCAGCCAGCGACGATCCTTCGAAGAAATCCGAAACCACTCCTATCGATTCTCGTGGAAAAGGGCCGAACATGGACCAGTTGCCTCACGTAACGGAAGAGCAAGTTGCGTCGGATAAGTCTATGGGAAAGGCCCCACCAGAGATTGAACAAGGAACGCCGGTGCAAGAGGTGAGTTTGTTCTTTTCCAGGCCTACGAACTTCACTCTATACCAAAGATTGGTGACGAAGTTATTTTGTTTGCACAGATCCTTCGACGTGACAAAGATGCACGAGACAAGGCCCCGGAGGTGATGAAGAGCGGCCTGAAGGAAATGTCAGATAGTCCACCTTCTGGATCCCGATCATTTTCGACAGCAGCATCCAAAAAAGCCGACGTGGCCGAGACAGTTCAATTCGAAGACACAAGAATAGTTGGACTTGAATACCCTGACGCAGGATTCGGGCACAAATTTCCACTCCCAGACATTCGGTCGTTCGCAAAAACCGACCATTTCAAAAAACGTTATGATCCAGTGGTGGATCAGGTTACAAAGAGTCTGATGCGGCATGGAAAATTGAGTCAGGCACAAAAGGTACCGCCTTTCCCGGTGTCGACTATGTTGAAAAAGAGACGTGGTAAAACTAACATGCGTGTTCACCCATAGCATATGGATTCAATTCTTGACATTCTCCGAACGGCACCAAGTCCTCAAGGCGTTATTGTAGCTCCCGACCGGGCCCTCATGACCACTCTCCCACGCGACGCCCTTCCTCTGTATCCTGTCCAATATTTAACCACAATCATTGATTCTCTGGCGCCTCTCGTTAAAATCCGCCAACAGAGAGGCTTGCTGGGTGGTGGCGCCTCCATGCCGATCCCCGTTCCTCTCACTCTTCGCCAACGACGCCGTACCGCCATTCAATGGATTCTCCTTGGCGCGGAAAGCAGACGAGACATCAAACTTGCGGACCGGGTTGCCAAGGAGCTCATTTCGGTCGCTGAGGGCAAGAGTGGTGCTTGGGAACGCAGGCAGAGGGTGCATAGGATGGCAATAAGTGCTAGAGCAAATGTTAGGGCTGCACTCGGCGGTGTCAAAATTAAAAAAAAGGCAGGTAAGAGGTAGTAGGTCAGCGGAAAACTCAGTGCCTGGAAAAACTGGGTGGGAATTTCCTGCGGCAGGTCGAGTGCACTGTCAACTCACCAGCGATGGCTGTGTGAAACGTTTGTATAATATTATCCAACAGCGGAGGGCCAAAGGCCATGCGCAAAAAGGTATATCGTTGTTGCAAGCCTTTGGTCAAGGGATGCGGGCAAAAGCTTGACAAGGCATGTTATCCCACTACGAACAACAATAAGCGCGTCGACGAACAGCCTCATAGAGGCTGACAAGTCTTGCGTATCCAAATACCAGGTACCAGATACCAAATACTCCCAATTATTCTTTTTGAGTGCTGTTACAACAGTAGTAGATTCACCGTGCTACTTGGCTCTGGCTTGGCTAAATTGCTTGCTAAAGACAATAAGGGGTTCAGCCTTGTGGCCCTCCCTAATTTTCAACGCGCGCTATATCCTTCACTCTTACCCAGCAGCTGTGGGACGCTGTTGCCGTACAGAAAGACACTACATCGAACAATGTCCTCGGCTTTAAGCCAACATTTGGCCTCTGCAAGTTCTTCGAGTCTGGTATACTCGTAGTGAAAACGAGCAGAGAGCGGATGGTAAGATACATAACGGAAGTGTGCAAGCTATTCTTACTCTTGTTAGAGGAAATCTGGCAACCAGACTGGGGCAGACCACGTCCCTCTTACTTGTCGGGTTGCTGTAGGCTTGGAACTGGCATATTCAATTCTATGAATTACCAAATCCGAATTTTCTCCTCAAATCTCATCTTCCATTGGTACTTCCCCTTGCGATTGCATCTTGCGACTGACTTCTTCAACCCTTTTCCAAACTCTCAGTACGTGCCCTCCCACAATCCCTTCGACTTGCTCATCGCGGAGTCCTCTTCTCAACAACTCCTTTACTAGGTCTGGAAACTTACTCACATCCTCCAATCCCCTCGGTGTACTCTGGATGCCGTCGAAATCACTCCCAATTCCGACGTGTCCGTATCCGATCTTCTCACCAATGTACATAATGTGATCTGCGACGAAATCCAGGGTCGAATTGGGAGGGTAAAACGTTGGTAAATTGTTTTCGGGATCGGCGGAGTTGATGCATGAGATGAAATTAGGCACGAAAGTGACCATGATGACGGAGTTGGTTTGTTTGACGAGAGGCAAGATATGATCGGGAACATTGCGTGGGTGTGGACAGAGGGCGTAGACGGAAGAGTGGGAGAAAATTACTGGCGCAAGGCTGCCTGGGTACGATTTTGTTTCGTTGCCAGCGAGGACGTCGTGCATGGTTGCCGGATGCGTGTGGGAGAGGTCAATCTAGCATGCGTCATAAGCAGTCCTTTTTTTTTTTTTTTTTCTCTTGGTGCAAAGGTTATGACATCTCACGAAGAGAAAGAGATCCAGGAAAATATACACATACCATCATACCGATGCGGTTCATTTCGCGCATCAATTGTGTTCCTAGGAGACTCAGTCCTCCCCAATGTGGCTTAGCTGGTTTGGCTGCGTCTGCATTGAGTGAGTCTTCCAGCACTGTGACTTGGGCGGCATCGGCGAAGGCATTGTGGCAATTCCATGTCAAAGTCGTATATCTGGCACCGAGTGAATAGAAAAGGCGTAAATTTGACACGTTACGACCGGCCATATGGAGTCCTTCGACTCCAATTGGCGATATGAGTTTTCCCTGGCGCCGGAAGGCTTTCAGAGCAGACGTACTGTCCAATGTTGTTGGAGAGAATATGTCTGGATGGGCTGCGTGTAGACGATGAATAACGTCGATTTGCGCAAAGGATTTGACGACAACTGAAGACAATGAGCATTCGCCCATGATTTGAACAGGACAGGGGAATTGGGAATGAGTTCCTTACCAGGAGCATAATTTTCGTTCGAAAAATCAAATTTGTCAGCTGGACAGTCGACCCAGGCACTCCAAAAGAAACCTCCTTGCTTTCCCTTCTTCAGGCGCGGGAGATCGAGATGACCCGGCATACCCCCCCCGCTCAAACTTGGATCGAAAATCTGGGGAATAGATTTGACTATTGAATTCAGCGCGTATTTGCTCGGCGAGGTCATCATGGCCATCTAGCAGTGAGAATGTGAGCAAGAGGTTCCAAATGGCGGTGCTGGTAATAGACGACGTGACTCGGGAAGAAGCGTGACAGAGAACCTAGACTTGCCCATTAACGGCATCCGAGCCATGATTCTCTCTGCCCTTTGTTCCAGGGATAGAAACGAGGTAGGAATATATGAAATCAAGTGCTGGCTGTGTCCGCCATGGTCAAGGACCAGTGCGGTCCTGTATACCAGCGGCAGAGCGAGGGCTGCCACGATGGCCAAAAGAAATCCCTGGAGACCCCGGTTTCTACCGTCCTGCGCATTGAGAGTAGGTCTTCCGTTGACTTGCCTGGATTTGGTATCGGACATTTTTGATGATAGAATGGACTCAAAGGTGGAGAATTCGTCGATAAAGATGATGGTTGACAAAGTAGAAAGGGATCCTGTAGAGATCTATGGATCATGAGAACGATAACAAGTTCAACCGAGCGGCGGTACTATGGGTTGAATAAGAGCTCTTGAAAAGGACTGACAAGGTAAAAATTGCCCAAAACTCTGGACACCGAAATGGTTGTAATTATAGGGAGAACCCGCCATTTCCCCACTACTCACGGTTCAAGAAGGTCATGGCTCAACCCAATCCCAGCGACTCCATGGTATGCCACTCAAATATCCGACACTCCTCTCCGGCCTTCACCCAGGCCGCTGGCCGGATCGTCAATACCTTTCTAGGAGCCCGCCTGTTACTTTGGGCGTCATATATCTGCCCTCGATATGCACATGCTACATAGCAAGGGCGCCGGATTGAGACACTGGTTTGAATTGACTGACTGAAGCTGCTGACTAAGAGAAACCATCGCTCTTAAGATGGTGTGAGAAGCCGGAAGGTGTCCTCGAACGGCGGGAAACGTACCCCATCAAAGGAACCGAATATTAGCTCCGAGAGTGAGTAGTATATTGAGAAAGACAGGTTCATCCTATACTAATTTTTCAATAAATCGCATCTGGGTAGCTAATCTGCAGACATTGATCGATGTGGACTTCGACTCCTAACCCTGTCACCCGCGATGGGTATGTGCAGACCGGTATTTACCTGCTGTTCTTTGTGTCCCATTCTGTTCTCCTCCCCACCCTCTTCGATACTGTTATGATCATCAGAACCAACGAGGCTCTGCATCTCTACTGTGTCCTCATCGTTATGCTGTTCGGTCCTGATGTTAGCTCGTGGGTTGTGATCATGGCTATCGTCAGAATTGCTTTCGTGCTGATAGAGTCTCATATTAACAAACAAGGCGTAGAGGCCAAAGTCGTATGCCAACCGGCAGGCGCCGGCGACCACAAAGGCGATGCCAAATTGCTCATTGGCGGCGAGCGCCCCCGTGAGTGTGGGGCCAGCCATCGCAGCCAGATTCCGAAGCATGCTCGTGATGCCCATCACGACGGTTCGTTCTTCGGGTTTCACCACCGCCGCAATGAATGCGGAGCGAGGTGCTTGGTCCATATTGTTGAGTCCCGCTCGGATCATGAGGAGAGCTGCTGTCATCCAGAAAAAGGGAGGAAATGGAAAGAAGAGCACGGCCGCGGAACTCGGAACGTGCGTGAAGACCATGGTGTTGATGAGTCCGATCTTTCGCGCCAGAGGACCCGCGAATACGGCACCAATTGCACCCAGGAAGTAACTCACGGAGGTCACGTCACCCAGAGTAGATTTGGCAGGGTGGAATTTGTTGTCCATATAATAGTTGGTTAAAGAGTACGGCACCATTCCATCGGCTAGCGAATCGACAGCGAGGAGGAACCAGAGCTTGTACATGATGGATCGAGTTGGCGCTGAGATACGCGCGAACCACCTGGTGAACCAAGCTTTGGTCCAGGTCTTCGGCTTGAAGGTTCGAGGAGGCGAAGGCGGAGGGATTGCCTCGTTCTCTGGAATGTCATGTCGCTCTCGCTCGAGAGCCTCGACATCTTCCTCCTCATCTTGTGGAAGTTGGGAGTATTTCTCTTCCGTATTCTGCATCTCACAGGCCTCGGTCAAGGTCAAAACTAGTATCGCATTCACGACACCCATGGCAGTGTAGATCCAGAATAAAATGTGGTAGGCATCGACGGGAGTCCATCCATCTCGATTGCGGAAGAAGTGGACGATTCTTCCGGACACTTCGCTTCCAATGCTCGACCCAATGGTCGAGGTCGTCACATACCAAGCCAGAACATCTGCTCTCGTGGAAGGGGTTGTTAGTTGTGACAAGACTGATCTATGAGCAATTCCGGTGAGTTATCATGCGAATCGGTTCATGGTCAAACTCACTCTTCTATACTTCGAAAGGGTCCAAAGTCGCCACCGGTTACGCTGATGACTCCTAATATTGCTGCAAGGAGCAAGACCCAGAAGTTTTCAAAGATGGCGAAAATGGCGCCGCTCAAGATCATCAAGAATGATCCGCCCATTAAAACTTTTCTTCGTCCCGCGCGGTCGGCGATCAACGTAAGAAATGTACCGAGAAATACATCTCCCAGTAATGTCAGAGTCATGAAGATACCGATTTGATGATCGGAATACTTGAGAGCGGAGAAGAAGATGGCTGCATTGGTGTTGTTAACTGGGTAACCTGGCCCGTGGGTATGCTGTCAAGACATTGGGCGTACCTAAGATCAATGAATTGGTTCCATAGGCAAACATGCGGCAAGTTCTGGCCAGGATAATGAGATATGCATCTCGACCTGTATAGTGAATCGAGGCGATGCCGAATTCATAATAGAACCATTTCAAAGGCCTCAGGATTAAAGACATATTATCGTTCAGTAGTTGAGTCAGAATCAGAATCATCAACGGTCGAGTTTTCATGTGCGAATAAGTGCCAAGCCGGCATGAAGGCCGCGATTCTTATATTGAAATTGGTACCTCGGTGCCTGGCGAGGTACCTACTGTCGAGCTGCTCTTTTGTTACAAGAGACGGTTGAAGGGGGAAAGAAAAGTATAAGCCCTTCTCGCTTGGTGAGGTGCGCCTGCTACCTGCATGTTTTGACGCCTCCAAGACATGCATCACCCTTCCACTATTTTTTTCATTGACAGACCGATCAAAGTATCTCTAACGCAGCACCCCCATGATAAATATCGAAAAGAATGGCGGGGCATCCATGCTCTTCGCCAGGCTTTGGGCTTGGGAATTGACGAAGACTGAAACAGACCTGCTTTGCCTTGCGCTGAGAGGGAGGCTATACCAATATTTTCTTTTACAAGAGAAATCCGGGAGTTTCGAACTTTGCAGCACTTTCTACAACCATGGATGCCTTTGAAAGCTACATGCATCAGTCGACTTCTCTACCCCTAAACCCGGCTCTCATTCGACTTGCCTTCTTAGATTACTTCCTGGAAGACATGCCAAAACTATTCGTTGTTCTTTTCGAATTGCTGAACTGACTGACAACCTTCCTGTCCATATTGCGTTGTCCTATACTTGGGAGTTCAAGACAGCTTGTCGGAAATAAAGATCATCTTCATCAACAAGCAACCACTGCACGATTTTGCCAATCTTCACGAGTTTTTTTACTTCCACTGCGGACAGGAAATTGCAATGACGACGTATGAGTAGATGCAATATACACGATTCAAACCAATCTGAAGGAGCGAAATCATCAATGAGGACTGACATGCTAGGTTTACTCCCTTGCTACCAAGGCCTTCGTTGGGCTAGGTCCCGAGAGGGATGGAGGCGGACAGCTCATTGACCGTCTCAATGTAATTGCCTTCCTCTCCGGCATCAGGGCTCCAGATGTACACAGCCCATATATCGCTCCCAAAGAGCGGCATTCCCCGTTCTTCTATCTACCTGTCACCAGCGCTATGGGAACCAGACTCTCACACGACAGCGGTACTTCTGGCGGACCGTTCAAGAGCCCTAGATTCTGGAAACAATCGCTCTCATTGCTTAACCGGCCGTGTTGGGAGCGATATGGACCATCCAGGAGCTTGTTCTAGCAACGAACGGGATCTGGTAGTCTGGCGGCGATCGAATCCTGTCGCGGATCGTCCTCTCTAATCGACGCCCAAGATCCTCTATTCATCACTCTTGGCCCATCATCCCGCCCTGATCTTGAGTCGTCCACACCAGCCGCCAACGACTCATTTTCGCCGCCCAATTATGTCGTGGTTGTTGTTGAACCTTCATTTTCAAGGTATCGGCCTCTGCCTACTGACCTGCCAAGGTCCGGTATCATGATGCCCTTGATCTACGCAAATGATGAGCAACAGTCTTAGCGACGAGTAAATTTTTGCCCATCAGGAAGTTTTCCGTTTTCTTCCAGACACTATCGACTGCTGTTCACACCAGTGTCACAGGACTTTTGAAGATCTGTGTCACGTATCACACACTCAGAGCTGTCAGATAGGGGTTTGCTGACAAGAGGGCGTTAGTATAACAAAAGTACTACGCAAGGAGGCCGGTACAGAGCGAGCCGATGACGAAGTCGACTGCGAGGTGAGACTCACGAGTATTGGAACGATCTTCACCATGACCCCCAACGTCGACAGTCCAAGGCTGCTACAATACTACTTCCGATTCGTTGTAGCAATCTTCTTCACCCTTTTCTTCATGGTACAGGATTTGGTTTCCGATCACGGCGTCGGAGAAAACACTTCGATGCCAGTCATGGAGTCTTTAACTTGTTCTGTAGTGGTATCAATCTGGGATCGGAAAAACATGCATCGATGTGTACTGCTGGTGAGCATGAGTTCTGGTGAATAGATCGGCTGACAAAGTTGGTAGAGGTCATTTCAGTCTTGTTCGGTGCCTGGTATTCGTTCTATGGGTACGATGCTTCAGGGACGTGGAGGGGATGAGCGAAATATTTTAATCACAGAAAGTCCTCCAACTTCTGGCCATGGGGAATTAGTTCTCTTGCTGACTCCACTCAGCGCATCTTGCCGAAGAAACGAAGCAGGCGTCAACAATCGTTGTCAAGGGAATCTACATGTCCACCTTCTCTGCCTGGCTCCAGTCCATTCCAACGCTCATCATTGTTTTGTTCTGCATGCAGGATTTGGAAGGGGTCGTCTCGGTCACCTACGCGAACAACTGGGCCGAATATCTCGTCCAGCTAGTTGATGAAAACGGTGCTCTTGCCGTCTTGTCCAGGCTCTGAGTCGACAGCACATGTGCAACGGCTAGTTGTTTCATGTCTACGCAACGAGTGGCGTACGCTATCTCCCGCGACCACGTCCTTCCATTCAGCTCGTTTTGGAGGAAGCTCTCCGGCCGGAAGATGGCTGTGAATGCGGCACTTCTTATCTGGAATCTCGATCGCGGTCACCACCGCTGCGATTGGCTCCACAGTCGCTTTCTTCGCCATCACTGCCACTGCGACCATTGCCACTAATATATCGTACATGTTTCCCATTGTCGCGAGGCAATCTGTTGGCCGCCAGTCTTTTGTTCCTGCGGAATGGAACTTGGGGAAATTTCCACCCCAGCTGCCGTGATAGTCACCCTATGGATCTCGTTCCTGTTTGTCGTTTTTGACTCTTGCTTAACTATACCCCGTGGGTGCGAACACGCTGAATCATGCTCCGATTTGCATTGGTATCATCAGCTTCATCAGCTAAGTAGGCCGGTTCTTCCCCAAATATGGCGGAAGATATTGGTTCGAAGGTCCGACTAAGACAATCACCGAGGAAGAGTTGAGGAGTGCTCCAGGTGACGGCGGCGAGGCCACAGAGGATGATACCCTGGCAATCCTGGGATTTGGACATCGGAAAAGCATGACGGAATAAGTCGATGTGTAATATCAGAAGGCGTATTGCTTGTGTGGGCAGCTCAGTCAAAGAAATGATCTTTGTCCAGGGAGTAAGAGCACATTACCCTTGATCAAAAAGAAAATACCTGTCTACAACTTCTGCCGTACAATTTTCCTCTCGGCCGCTTGCATCATATTCTCGCCGTCAACAAGCACACACCATCCTTCGTCACCCACAGTTCCATCCTCAAATCCTCCCACGGCAGACTCGAAATTCTCCTTCGCAAAGTCCAGATCCTGGTTCTCGAAACTCCCCGGCTGGAACCACACCGCTTTGATGCCCACCGATTTGGCTTCCTCGAGAACTTTCCGCGTCACTGGCGGCGGGGTGAGGAACGACAAGGCTGTCTGAGTCGGATGTGGAAGAGCCGAAACCGACGTGACTGTGTTGTATGATTTTGAGGGTAGCGATATCGTTGAGCGACTGGGGTTGATGGGCGTTACGGGAAGAGAATGGACGTGGTACCATGCTAGTACTGTAGTCAAGGTAAAGTATTTTAGAACCGAGCTCAGCCGTCGACGAGGAATGGATCGGACCTACTCCGATAACCAAATTTGCTCTTATCCTGACTTGCGCCGACGACGGCAAAGTACGGCGTAGAGAAGAATCGTTTCGCGGCGGCTTCCATGGTGGATGAATGTGAGTTGGTCGTGAAAGCTGTTGGTTCTTGATTCGGCAGGAAAAGGGAGGCCCAATATATTTCACCCAGCGGCGCAGCTCTACTATGGTGCTGAATTATACGGTATTCGATGGTGGCGTCAGAATCTAACATTGTGAGTGCTTTGGTAATTCTAACCGAAGCTGGCCGACCGATACGGAACTGTAAGTCCGCGGCTTTTTGAATTGCCCCATACTGGATCCAAGAACTCTGACTACTGCTGGTGTAGAAAGAATTTCAAACACAAAATTATTCCCTCATCTCAGATAGGTATCGTACATGTCATATCCATCGTCGAAGAAACCCACAGCCCTCCACAAGGAAGAGATCAATAGTCAAGACCGCGGCTACTCCACGTATCATTCTGCCTCTGAAAGATTGGATACTAGGTGTCCAAGTACGCTGAAAGACTCTCGCCGGCTATATTCCCAAACTCGTCCATATCCAAATTAAGATCACCGCCGGAGAATTCATGGAACGGAATTTCCAATGCATTGTAATTGATCGCCGATTCAGGAGCCGGGCTTGGTTCTTTGACCTCCCGCTTCCGCTTTCCCTTCATTTGGTCCCTTACGGGCCTCTTGTTTAGGTTCGGTTTGGAAGAAGTCGACGAGGGCCAAGTAGACGCTGATGATGAAGCATGACCCAAGCTTCCATATCCAGAGTCTACCGAGGAAGTCGTAGAATGACTCGGTTTCAATTGGGACGGTATTGTTGAGTTCGGATCTGTGAGGTTGTCCTCGACACTCTCGAACCGGACTGGTGTAAAGTCTGTAGTCGTTGGTAGAGGTAGTGCTGGTGTGGAGTGTGTCTGGTTTAATTCTTCGACGGCTGAAGAAAAAGTCGGATTGAAGCCAAAATCGAAATCAGCCGAGATAGCGAGGCCGAGCTCATCTCCATGACTCCAGCTATTGCATTTCTCGTCGTACCGATCATTCTCAGGGTCCACCGTCAAGGGCACGGGAAATGTCACACCAGTGGAAGCCTCGCCCGCTTCCTGCATATCATGCTGTGCAGATCTCCGACTTTGCTCTGCGGAACATTTCTGCGCCGTTCTAGCGGGGAGTGGCCTGCTGAAGCTCTGACGACGGCTCGGTAATAGGAAATGTGTGTCTGAGACGGACTTGTGGAGGGAACCAGGGCCATTGATAGGGGATGGCGGAATGGAAGATGCGGGCGTCAGAGATATTGAGCTTCGTCGAGCGGAGTCCGGTGCAACGGCTGAATAAGGCGATACCTCCACGGAGGGATTCCCGACGGACGGGCTATTGGTAGGTCTCAGTCGTTGGAGTACATCCGTCATAGACGCTCTCAATTGTTGACGGATGAATTCACGGGTCTCCGGAGAACGGAGCCAGGCGTGCCCTGGAGCTTCAATGTACTGATCTAAGCGAGACTCGAATACCTCCCCCAGCACGTCCAATTGACACTCGGGCGCCGCCGTCGGGCTGAGGGCCGATGGCGGTGGCAGATTGACATTATCCGCATAAGGGCTACTGGGCTGGGGCTCACCAGGAAATAAAATGCCATAAATCGTATACCAGACCTGTTCCGGGGTGTTTGCCGGCCTTTTCCGACGAATCTCGTTGTATTGCTGATCGTTGAATTTTTCTGGATATGGACATTCGACCTCTGTACAAGGTTGCAAAGCGTAAACATGTCGCTCCAGTGCTTCCTTGGTTTCGAACTTGGTGTAGCATCGACCACAGTGAATGCGGCGCCAGTGGACGCGATACAGATGCTGCTTCAGTCGAGAAATATCCGGCCAGTATCCACTCGAGCAGCCACGGTAATGCTTTTCGAGAACATTCTGCTCAGAATATCTCGATTTATCGAATTTGCAAAATGGGCAGGCGAACAATTTCTCTGGGGTAGCATCGTTTTCTTGCTTGGCCTTTTTCGGGCTGCCTGCCCCGGTTCCATCCTCATCCTCATCATTTGGATCGTGTCCGCCACTGGGAGAACGCTTCAGGGACGACTTTCGGTTCGAGCCAGTGGAGTTGGATGGGGATATTGGTGCTTGGCCACCACCCGCTTTCCGTTTGGTGGCATGAGTCCTTATACAATCATTCTGACAGAAGCAATTAGAATGCGGGGCTTCGTGAGGCCAGCCATAGTGTTCCAGCAGCACCTGGACAGCCGGCATCTGCAATCACTCACCTGAGACAGGTCCTGAAACTGTGCGCCGACCCCAATTGACACCTCTTGCGTCAGTTTCCCCAAAGATGATTGGAGTTGGAGTGCGAACATTTGCTGTCTGATGCTCAGCGCCGCCTCTTGTTCTCTCAAAGAAGCTTGTTGCTCCCTTATGGCGGCCTCGCGTTCTCGGAGAGTGACCTCCTTTTCACGAATGACCATGTCCTGCTCACGTCGTCGAAACTCAAGTTCGTCAGATTTTTCAGAAGAGTCACCATTCTTCTCCCGGGGTTTTAGCTTCGATTTCTTCCGCTCCATAATGTCGCTGTATGTCCACGGGCTGACCGCAGACATGGTCGCGTGCAGAGGAGGCTCGGTCCCACGACTTGATTCTACAGGGAAATCGGGCACGCTCAAACCCCACATCGCGGCCGCATACTCTTGAGCTTCGGCTCGACTTCGTTCTCGATGTAGCGCACATGAAGACGGTCCTTGAGATGGACCTGAGCGCGAGACACTCCGCACCTTTTCGGTGATTTCATGGCGACAACTCCAACCGGCCTGATCGCATGACGAGCAGAGTATACGATCACCATTCTCACATATCGAACAGTGATAGTAAATTTGATTCAAGCGGATCGGACTCTGACACGAATCGCATCGCATCGATCTAGGAGTGGATCGGGCGTGGTTCACCTTTGCATCGTTCCCTCTGGGAAGCGAGATATCCTCTTTACTCTTGGTCAGAGGGACATCTTCCAGAAGCGCGACAGGTTCGTTATCCTGGGTTCTCGTGGAATCTTGGAACGGCGTGTATTGCGGCAGCTCGGCAGGAAGCTCGGCGATCTCGACCGACGGTATAGCTGGAGGGGCAGATGTAGACGTCGGGGGGTTGAGATATTCATGTACCTCTTGTTTGCTGTCGAAATCGTCCAATGTTGGCGGGTCCGACTTTTCTTTTTTCACGCGTCGGCTGAGTTTGCTCAAGGGTCGTTTCGGGCTCAAACTTTTGACAACCTGAGATGCAATACTCTTCGTACTTTTACTGCGTAGAGGGAGGGTCTCTCCTCGAGCAAGAGCGTCTTTTCTCCTCGTCGCAGCCACCTCGGCGGCCAAGAACGCACGCCGCAACTGTTCATCTTCCTTTTGTGCCTTGAGTTGTTCTTTTTCTTTCTTTTTCAGTGACTTCTTCAACATCTTCTGGTATTTCCGTTGCTGACTGAGGGTTTCCACTCTCAATGGTGGGCGCGGTGGGCATGGGTCCTGGGGCTCGTATTCGACATTGGGTCTCCATGTCTGGTCAACGCCAATGGGACTGAGGGCAGAAATGGGCGAGTCTCTGTACAGACTCAATGCCGCGGCCTCTGCCTCGCGGTGTAAGGTGGACAAGGAGTTCAAACTGTTGGATCGATTCAATGGACATGGCAGAGCATCGGACAGCGGTAGGTCATTGAAGTGGCCTAATCGATGAGGATAGGGTAGGGTGCGGGTCTTGCGCAGCACAGCGCGGTGCAATGCTTCCGGTGTATCAGACGGAGGATGCCACGATTGTTGTAGACGGAGAGCTCGCTGTGTTTGATCTGCAATTTGAAGCTGTTCTTTGATGTCATTTGGCGACTCGTCGTGAATGCTGATCCTCGCTCGAATGTCGGGTTGATCTCGGTTACGAACCGCCATTGTTGCCGGAGGCTCGTCCTTATGCTTTCCACGAGAGGTGGTGGCGAGACAGCGTCTCAGGTGTGGCGATATAAGGGCAAGATCATTCGAAAGGAGATACGGATGACTGAGGCAGCCGAAGCCATGTTAATGAAGCAAGGCAGCCATTTTTTGGGTGCCTACTAAGAGCCTTCTCACACCTGTTCAATGTGTTTGGCTGGCTTAGTCTGTTGGAGGCCTTGATTGGCTGTGAGGACCCTTGTCGAGTCTGCCTTGCGCTCCCCTCAAGAACCACCCACTGTAGTTCCCAGCGGGGAGTTACACTGAATCACGCTTAACATGGTTCCCGCCTAGCCGCCGAGCGCGCATGATTGGCCTCTGTTCCGACAACGTTGTATCTCTCTCCTGTAGCTAATATACCTAGACGGAGAATAAGCCAATTGGCTGCAGAGACAAAAAGACCGTTCATATTGTGTGCAAATGGCTCTTTGGGGCTAGCACACTGCGCTTCTAACCCTTTTTCTAGCCCCGATTGCAACGTGACCGGGTTGCTATGTGCTCGGCTAGCTGGTGTCATGGCTGAAGATTCTGCCTAACGGCGACGCACAAAACACAGCCCGAGCATGACTCGTCCATGAGTAGCAGATACCGATCACGATCTCGCTAGCATTGACAAGATGCTAGTCACCGCACCAGACCTCTCAGTATCGATACCTTATTTCCTCTCGTACTCTCCCCGTAAGCTAGGCTGGTTCGGCGAGAATGGGGCTCTCCGGTCACTAAAGAACAGGCAATACTGGCCCCAATCCGCAAATTGCCCCAAATGATCGAACTACCGGAAATAATTCCTTCCGGGGACCTCTTCCTCAGATACTGGATAACTACATCACCGAGTTACGGTCACCGCCATACCCTTCGCGCGTCCTAGCAGACATCTGCTTTGTTTATGGTCTAATAGTTCATCCTCGATACTTGGCATCATGGAAAAACACGATCTTCAAGAGTTGAGGGAGACTGAACTACAAGCTGCGTCTCAAGGAAAAGGATGACCTCTAAACGACAATCTTTTGAGCCTCTCATTGCCGACAACATACTTCTCAGCCACGATGGACGCTTCTTGAATCCAAGGAGCGATGCATCTGACAGTCGCATTTATCCAGCCTTCACATTAAAGAAAAGATCTTTACATGGACATGGGACTCAGCTTTCCCTCGCTGGCTTCAGAACGATGCTGAAATATTTCGGATTTCCCGGAAAAAGTCGAGCTATTGGAGAAGCCCATTCTAATAAATTACATTTCATAGCTCCAGTGATAGTCAACAAATTGGAAAACAATCACCACGCGAATCGGCAAATACTACACTCCTTCTTCAGCTTTGGCACTGGGGGAGGGATTGCTAATAGCTTTGAAGATTTCCCCCACTTTCTCCGTCATCAGATATCTCGTTCGCTACCGGACCTACGCCGAATAGTTCCCGAGTTAGGTGAACTCGTGATACAGCTCTCGCAGGTCTTGTCTAACCCAGCCCCAAAGCGGATATCTATCGACATCTTACGAACAGCTCTTGTGAAGGCAATTCAGGTTTGCCCCGATAGCGTCCCCATCGTTCTGGATGGACTTGATGACTATGAGGGCGCAAAAAGATGGAGCTAACGAATTTTATCAAGACGCTGTCGACAAATATGTATGCCCAGCCGGCCCGAACCGCCTTTCCGGATGCATTTGCAGATGTTCGAATGCAGCTGGACATTTCGGAGCAATTTTCCTCCGCCAAGGAGTATGACCCGCTGCTTTACGAATGCCATCAGATAACATTGCACGCATGTCGCTGGGGTGAAGCTGGTTTGCAATCTTCGAACTGATGAATGGATTAACACATGACGAAAAACCGGGGATCATTGGCTCTTCAACGGAGATTGGAAGCAATACTGCCAGAATTGCAGGCCATTTACTCTCGAAGGCTTTCGAAAAAATTGCATCCTGGTATAATTTGATGAGTTTCTGCCAAGCATCATTCTGGCGTTCATTTATTTTTTAACATCAGCAACAATCGATTTGAGTACCACATCTGAAAATTAGCATGTGTCGTAAAGACCAGTTTCCAGAATCCATATCATCGAGTATGGTTCCGGCGTTCTAACAATGCACGAGATTGTGACTGTCCAGTTGGGCCAAAGGAGTAATTATCTGGCGACTCATTTCTGGAATACTCAAGTAATCCGGGGAGGATTGTTCGCTTATTCACCAGGTACTGACTTTGATGCGTAGGAATCCTACTTCACTTATTCCGAGCAAGAAGAATCCATCATCGACCACGATGTCCATTTCCGACCAGGCATCGGGGCAGACGGGTCTGAGACTTTTACTCCCCGGACCATCATTTACGATTTGAAAGGCGGATTTGGCACACTCCGTAAGTTCAACGCACTGTATCATCTCCAAGACGACTCTGCTCCGCCTCGAGGGCTCTGGGATGGAACAACTACGACACAACAAGAGCGAGTCATTGAGCCATCGGAGTATCAGAGAAATCTTGACCTTGGCCTCCCCACCGCTCAACTCCAAGCCTCCGATGTCAGATATTGGTCCGACTTCAACCGCGTCTTTTATCATCCCAGGTCGATTATCCAGTTGAACGAGTACGAATTAAACTCGCAGCTCATGCCGTTTGAAAACTGGTATGCCGGAGAAGATCTGTTCCAAATTTTGGACCAGCAATTCGACCTTCTTGATCGTGATATTCGACCATTTGTTGAAGAATGTGATCAGATGCAAGGCTTCCAATTCTTTTCGGGAACTGATGATGCCTGGGGAAGCTTCGCGGCCAAATACCTCGAAAACATGCGAGACGAATATGGCAAAACAAGTATATGGGTTTGGGGTATTGAAGATTGTTCCACAGTTGTTAGAGTGTGTTGATCACGCCTTTCCGCAAACTGGTGACTGATTGTCAAAAGCAAAAGCAACTAGTTCGAGCTTGCAACACTGCACGGTCGCTCCGGTCAATTGGTCAGCAATCATCCGTATACACACGCCTGGCAGCACCACCTCCTACTTTACCTCGGTACGTCAATCTCCAAAATGGCTCGGACTGGATGACCACCGCACTCCTCTGCGCTGGGCTGGAGTCAAGCACGCTTCCGACAAGGCTCAGGGCTGAGGCGCCCAAACGAGCATCCTTGAGCTTGCTTGAGGACACCTTGAACACCAACGGCAATCAAAATTTATTCGAGCTCCGTGCAAGTATGACAAACATAATAAGCAATGCCAATGGCCAGCTCGAGAGTGGTACAGTTAACCAAGCCAATGGACGAGAGCTACCAAGGGAGAACGATGTCTCCATGTCAGAGCCTGAACCTTCTCAGTTGGACCTAGATTATTACCCAAGTTCAACGGATAATCTTGGTGCACGGTCAGTCCATGTATTTGCTCAGGTTGAATGTGAGCGTGATCGGCTGCAGTCTAGTCCTCCATCATTGACTCTGACCCCCGAAGAACGGCTTCGAAGAAGGCTCAATGAAGAGAGTGTGGTTGAGATGTAAGTACTGACCACGGGCCTCCCTTTCTTATTTGTCAATCATCAAGGTTGGGATCTTGATTTTCGATGGAACAAATTCGGAGGCCAGGAATTCCCATCCTGACTAACCTGCGCGTAGATTTCAAACCGGGCTTCAATTCCCCCTCCTAGACACGTTTCCGGATCGACTTTTCTCAATTAGCCGACGGGACCAAGGGTTGGATATCTCAGCCGCTCTTGTGTGTAACTCCAAGATGAAAGACCGTGTTTTCGATCTCAGAAATACGACATATCGAACGATGCAGTTGGACGAACGAGAAAATTTGTACAACGACCTCACACAAATGGCCCAAAACTATGGATTCGGTTGGGAAAGCGGATCGGACATAGGCGATGACGACGAATGATTTTCTGAGATTCCTCTACTATCCAGCCTCGCTAGCTTCGGAGAAAGAGGTTTTTTTTTTTTTTTTTTCCCATTTGAAAAAAAGAAAAGTAGCTTTCTTGTGGCTTCAATTCTCAACGGTTTGCGTGGCTGAAAAACATGATCAAGACACTTGGAGCTCAAGACAATTCGAAACAAGGTTTTGGCCGCCAACCGAACAGCGGAAAAAGATTCCGAAGCTGAGGCGACTTCTGCTCCTCTGGCCATCTTTGTAACAATCAAAATCTGAAGTGAGGGACATTCAGTGCGCGTGATGCTATTATGCGAGAATTCTCTCTATCGAGCATCGTTCCAGGAGCCAGAAAGTCGCGACAATTGGCCTGGGAATTCACCGTCTCCAACTTTTTTTGCTCTGCTAAGGAACCACTAAAGCATCCCATGGCGGGGAATGCCGGTCAAGCGGCATTCCCTCTTTTTTTTTTTTTGTGGAGTAGGGTTGCACAGAATATCGTCGATGACTTGCGCCTATCGAACTAGTGAGTTGCTAATCAGTGCGAAATCGAAAGACAATCGAGGACTACGTCTTCTGCGTTGCGCCGATGAAGCAACGCTATTGTGAGAGCGTTTGACTTTGCCGTTTCCCCCCAATAGTTCGGTCAACAGAATCCTCTGGATGCGACCAAAAGGGAGAGAAGCAAGGCGGGTTACTGTTCTTCCCTTTCACCTCCGAATCCAGCCCTATTGCGGTAGCTGGACTCCAATCCATTCATTATTCGGATGCGGCACGGGACCCAGAAAATACAGACTCAAGAAAGAAGCCTGCATGTCTCACTTATAGGGTGGATGTCTCACCAGGCACAACGTCACTATTGGGCGCTTACAGATTCAAGCTTTGCTACCGTCGAGCCGCTCGGCGAATCTATCCTAAAAAGGGCACCTCGCACAAACACACCAACGGCCCATCGTCCTCTCGGTCCCAAGCTATTCCTGGTCTTTGGAGCTTTCGATTCGCATCTTTGCCCCTTCTCTGTCGGCGCCCCCCATCAGAGTAGGTACGCTATTCGGTCATCTCGTCCAGGCAACGACTTCTGAGTGATGGCGTTGGATGGGTCATTTTTGGGCCGGATGGCGAGAGCTCGGCCCAATTACGACGCCAGCTCAGAGCCTGGGCTGTCGAGGTCCCATCCGTCCCCATCAATTGCTTCCAACAAGTGCAACAGTGGCAATGACGATAGCAGCCCTACTAGAACCACTGGTGGGCACCAGACTCTGTGAACTTGGCTACTATTGCTGCTATTCTTGTTCTCTTGAGGACGCTTGAACACTCGAGCAGACCCTCTCAACGATGAGGACGGTCAGAGCACTAAGTATTGAGGGCCTCAACCAAAGAATATGCTCATTAGGTGGTCAGTAAATACGAGGGTGGCGGGATCGAACTTTTTGTGGCGGTAGTTTGCATGCATGAGCTTCCTTCCGTCCCCTCTCTCCCCTAGTCACCCCCGTTCATCTTTTAGCAAAGCTGGTTGGTCAAGAGAGAACGAAAATCTTCGAACAGAGTCCAGCCGCCTGGTCTGCCGTTCTCCACTCGGGTCAACCTCGTGGCATGAGCAAAGACAAACCGGCTGCGACCCCTCTTTCCATCCATATCCTGCCCTCCACTATGACGACTTGCTCTTGCAGGATAATTTTCAGGAACAGGTACCGTGGTGCGGAAAACTCGCTGCAATGCTCCAGAGCTTTCCGTAATTCTGCCTGTCATGATGAGTTGTGCCCTTTGTCATGCGAGCATAACCATGATCCACAGATCCAGTCTGGCATGGTTACCGTCAAAGGTACAGATACAAAATACTCCCATCCCATCCCACCCCAACCTCTTATTTTGGGTTCTGTTCTGCTGCTATTATATTACCATCAATTGACAGATCCGACCCTCGTTTTACCACCAGAGCTCCTTCGCTAAGGCTCTTGTATCATTCGTTTCCATAACCTCCTCTTGAACACATCCTAAACTACTCTGTATTCTATCCACATCCAAAGAATATCTGTCCTACCAAAATGGTTCGGTCATATGTGGTTCTGTTGGCTGTTGCCGTGCATGCCACCGCCATGAAGTTACAAGCCAGAGGAGAGAGCACTACTCCCAGCTTAACTTGGGGGGACTGGACCTCTAGCAGTACAACTACAACCACTACTACCTCCACGACGACGACGACTCCTCTTAGCTCGACATGGGAAGATTGGACCTCTACTACGACGACGACGACGACGACTCCTCCTAGCTCGACATGGGAAGATTGGACCTCTACCACTACAACGACAACGACTCCTCCTAGCTCGACATGGGAAGATTGGACCTCTACCACGACGACCACCACCACCACAACCACCACTCCGAGCTCGACTTGGGAAGATTGGACCTCTACCACTACAACAACGACGACGACAACCACTCCGAGCTCGACTTGGGAAGACTGGACCTCTACGACGACGACGACGACGACGACAACCACACCTAGCTCGACCTGGGAAGATTGGACTTCTACAACGACTACGACTAAGCCTTCGTCCTGGGTTGACTGGACTACTACGACGACAACGACAACGACAACCACCAAGCCTTCCACCTGGGTTGACTGGACTACTACGACGACAACGACGACCACTAAGCCTTCAACTTGGGTTGACTGGACGACCACGACCACTACCAAACCAGCACCTGTGAAGACCACAACGACCGAACACTGGGTCGATTGGACCACCTCTACTATACCTGTCGCCCCAGCTACAACACCTATAACCTGGGCTGACTGGACTTCTTCTGTTCCTGCTCCCCCTGTTGAGTCTACTCCTGTTAAACCAACTGAGACTTGGGGTGACTGGAGCTCGAGCGTTCCGGTTGTTCCGGCCGAATCGACTCCCGTCAAGCCAAGCGAAACCTGGGCCGACTGGACTTCAAGCGTGCCTGTTGCTCCTGTTGAGACTACCCCTGTCTCTACCATCTGGTCAGACTGGACGACTTCATACACTCCTGCACCAACTACCTATGAGGTGACTTCCGCTCCAGCGCCCGTCAGCAGCTATACCAGCGTCGCATCAGTTGCGAGCACCACATCTGCTGCTCCTGTCGCCACTTATACCGGCGCTGCCAGCAACAACAAGCCTGCTGTCGCTCTTATTGGAGGTCTTGTGGCATTAATCGCTTTGGCATAAAACGTCATAGCACCTCGACTTAGTTTGAACACGTGCTGAGTCTAATACAAAATTTCGATTCTTACATATCGTCCCCTCTCGCCCTTTGCTCAGAACATATCTGTGGTGATGATGACGAACGATCCATTAGCATTCACGAATATATGATAAGTCTTGGCCATGTTCAGGTGGCGCGAGCGTACGATCCTTGTGACGAATAGGTGAAAATACTGCACAGCATTGCATTCTGAAATACATAGGTATAATATTGATATAATCCGGAGGGAGGGAACGGGAGGACCCGGAGCTGATGGCATTGTCGACACGATATCCGGCATCCGGGGAAGAGGCAAACCAGGTTGTCAAAGCTAGTCTATGCTCAAGACTGTACTTTCTCCGTATGATCATCAATATTGAGTAATAGGTGGAGAGGAGATAGCAAGTAAATATCGATAAAAAGTTGAAGCTGTTCCTTTTTGCTGCACTCTACTTCCAAGTCAACGCTAGTTCACAGTCCTCTGGAGAGAGCCCTTCAGAGAATAGTGTCTTCATGATGAGATTCAAAAATTTTCGTGGCAGTCGTCGTTGTTTACCAGGCGCGAGTTGAGAGATGTCAACGAAGAAACGATACGGTCTGACATTAGATTTCGAAATTATGTCTCCGCATTATGGCCTAAAGCATTCGTCAGACAGTGCTTTATTTCGAACCCAACCCCAGCCTGTCAGCCCTGCATGATTCATTCAATCCCCGACCCTGGCTGCTCCTGACGGAATCCCTGACTCAGTGCGGGTCTCGAGTTTGGACAACTTGTTCTCAAGAGACGTGTGGGATATTAGCCAGCACGGATTGAAGACGGTGTTTTCGTCCCTTCCCGAGTATTCAAACCTCATCTATACTATCATTTACGTCTTAAACTGGAAATGCGCTCACCAGACCAACCGAACCTCTCCCTTCGTTGAAGTTTACCGCGAACCATTCTCTGACATTGCACCGACACCAATGGCACCTCCGGGACGACGGAAGTCCTCATCGCTCACCCTATTTCCGCTCCTCTTGCTCGTATTTCTCTGCACATGTGCACACGCGGCGTCCGCTGTCTTGGGAATTGACCTGGGCACCGAGTATCTCAAAGCTGCAATCGCCAAGCCTGGCAGTCCAATCGACATTGTTCTGTCGAAAGATTCAAAGAGGAGGGAGGCGGCCACACTTGCATTCAAACCGTCTAGAGCACAAGCAAACGATGACGAAGCATTTCCCGATCGGCTATACGGTGGAGATGCCGTCGCCCTGTCCGCTCGATTTCCTGCTGATGTGTACCCCAATTTGAAGAGTCTCTTGGGTCTGGATGTTTCCTCGGATGCCCTGAAGACATACTCTGGACGATATCCCGGACTGAAGATTGAGTCCGTACCGCGGACGGAGGCAGAAGACAGCACAGGCACCGTCGGATTCAAAAGCCAGAGTTTCGGCACCAAGCATGAAGTTTTCATGGTGGAGGAATTGCTGGCGATGGAACTGAAGAACATCAAGAGCAATGCAGAAGCCATGGTGGCCCAAGGGACCCATATCTCTGACGTGGTCATCACATACCCGGCCTTTTACACCGCTGCGGAGAAGAGAGCGATTGAATTCGCTGCGGACCTGGCTGGTTTACGAGTACTGGGCCTCCTCGGCGATGGACTTGCTGTTGGCCTTAACTATGCCACACACCGAACGTTCGACAGCGTTTCTGAAGGCGGGAAACCTGAATATCATCTTGTCTACGACATGGGAGCCGGATCAACGACTGCAACCGTACTCAAGTTCCAGGGGAGGGCTATAAAAGGATACGGCAAGCGCAACCAGACAGTTCAAGAGGTCATTGTTCTCGGAACCGGCTTTGATTCGTCACTCGGGGGCGATTCAATGAACGACGTCATTGTTGACGATATTGTCAGCCAGTTCCTGGATAGTCCAAAGACCAAGGACCTAGGACTGGAAATGGCACAGGTACGGTCCCATGGAAAGACCATGGCGAGAATTTGGAAAGAGGCCGAGCGCATACGGCAGCTTCTGAGCGCCAATGCCGTCTCATCAGCTACCTTTGAAGGCCTTTATGACGACGAAGTCAATTTCAAGTACACCCTGACAAGGGATAAATTCGAGGAGCTCGCCGCCGGTCATGCCGCCCGTGTTGGAGGGCCACTCTCTACCGCCCTGGACGCCTCGGGCCTGGAGCTTAGTGACGTGGACTCGATTATCTTACATGGAGGAGCAGTGCGCACTCCATTTGTACAGAAGCAGCTCGAAAATGCCGTAGGGGGGTCGGGAAAGCTGAAGGCGAATGTTAATGCTGATGAGGCTGCCGTGATGGGCGCGGCGTTCAAAGCAGCTGCTCTTAGCCCCAGTTTCAGGGTCAAAGACATTCGTGATGTTGACATCGCCGGATCTTCTTTCAGCCTGAAATGGACGATCGAGAACAAGGAGAGGTCTCAGAAGATTTTTCACCCGTCCTCTCAAGTGGGTGCCGAGAAGCAGGTCCCGATCAAGGTATTGGAAAACGTCAAGCTCAGGTTTGTCCAATCATTCAACGACAAGGACTTGTCTGTTTTCGAGGTGGAGGCTTCGAATTTGACCCAATCGGCGACTCAGCTAAAGGACAGACATGGTTGCAGTGCCGCGAATATCAGCACTATCTTCAACGTCCGGTTGAATCCCCTGGATGGATTGCCAGAAGTGGCGTCGGGATCAGTCAGTTGTGAGGTTGACGACACCAAGTCTGGAGGTGTGATGGATAATGTGAAGGGTCTTTTTGGCTTCGGTTCTAAGAAGGACGATGACCAGAAGGTGATGGAACACGACGAAACCGATGGAGACTCCACGTCATTGACGCCCCTGCCGGTGTCGGACCCAACAAGTTCTGGTTCCACCATCTCGTCGGCCTCCTCGTCGTCGATCTCATCAGCGAGTGAAGTGGCCAAAACTGGAAAGGCCACGCCATCCGTTGTCTCGATCCCTCTTGCATTGAAGTCGGAAATTGTCGGTCTCAATACACCACCGACAAAACTCATGTCACGCCTGAGACAAAGATTAGCACAATTCGATTCTTCGGATCGCAATTCGGTGCTCCGTGCCGAAGCATTGAACACTCTGGAGGCGTTCACATATCGAGCACGGGACTATCTCGAAGACGAGTCCTTTGTGGCGGCGTCAAGTGAATCGGCTCGGAAAGAGCTAGAATCCCAGCTGGCCAGCGCATCTGAGTGGCTTTATGGTGATGGAATCGACGCTAAAACCCAAGACTTCAAAGACAAATTGAAAGGTCTGCGAGGATTAGTTGATCCAGTGTTGAAACGCAAAGAGGAAGCAAAAAAACGTCCCGAGGCGGTTCAGGCACTGAAAGATGGATTGGAAAACCTCGCTAGAATGATCAAAATGGTGGAAGAGAGTATCCAGAAGGCCGCCGAAGAAGCGGCCTCCAGTGCAGGTTCCGCAACGTCGTCTATGGCATCTAGTGCAACAGAAATTGCGTCTTCGTCCGTGGCCGAGGGTGAGGACCTCGATGAAGACCCCTACAGTAGCACGTCGATCACAAGCGCGGTTGAAACGGACGAACCATCAGCATTCAAACCTTATGAATACACGGCAGAAGACCTGTCGTTGTTGTCAACGAAATATGAAGCCGTGAAAGCATGGCTCGAGGAGAAATTGGGTCTTCAGGACAAACTGGGACCATATGACGATCCAGCTTTTCTGGTGTCGGAACTGGAGACTCGAGGCCAAGAGTTGCAAAGGGTCGTGTCTGACACGATTATGAAAACGATCAAGATGCAGGATACGCCTCGCAAGCCGAAAGCTAGCAAGAAGGGGAAAGGGAAGGGAAAGAAGAGCAAACCATCAAGTGAGGCAACAGGTTCGTCAAGAAAAAGCTCATTGACAGGATCAGAGTCGTCTGCGTCGAGCACATCGACAACTCCAAGGGTGAGGGATGAGTTGTAAGCCTGCGGACGGATATGTCCATGTTTTTAGTTTTCACAAACGGGAAATTGAATGATAAACAGTTGACCTTCAAAACCGAGCATGAGCCTCTGGCCGCAAAGGTTGCTCGGTACCCCGTATTTTGGGAGTGGTAACGGGGTGGAGTTGTAATGTCGATCTCGCTCCGGAAGAAACCATTAATTCCGTGATCCTCCCGTACATCGGGCATCATAGCGGGATGAATCTGTCGAAAAGCCCTTGGCGAGAGTCAGCCGCACGAGTGTGCGTTTGGTAAAATTGACCGCACAAGTGTGTGTTCGGCTACCCGATTAGACAAATTTGATAGCAGGGCGATGACAACGGGACTTATCGGCAAAAAGAGCCGTGGGGCGCCGACGGAGCTGAGCCAAGAGGGGGGAAGAGATGCTACTGCTTGGAAGCTGTCAGCCTTATTGTCTGCTATTTTTGATCATGGTGGAGGTCACTTACCAATCCCTAGTACTTTGTATCTGGGTTCTCTTGGATGTCCGGGATAGGGACAGTTCTTCCCCAGATAGTAGAAGCAGAGGACTGTGTCTAGAAAATGTCCCTCAACTGGTGCGGGAGGCTGTTTCTCCGGGCGGAACCCCGCTGCTGTTTAAGTAATCGATTCAATAGCTATTGTGTACAGAAGGCCCCGCTCCTAATAGGGCACCCTATCATCTAGACACACTCCGATGTCCGTCCGTAAACGGCCTGGAGAAAACACACTGCCTCTGCTCTGGCCTGGGTGGGTTGTTGTGTCCTTCGCCCCCAATCAGCCAATTCGCCCTAGCAGTAGATCAAACATGCTCTGCGAATTACGGTACTGCTGGTAACAACGCTGCCCGTCATCCCCAAGTGCCCAGGGGTGCCCGAGTGCCCATCCTCATCTTCTTCGACCTTCTCTTTCTCGAACAAGGGTTTTGTAAGACATCAGTAGCCAAATCCGTTCGTGAATCATTGGAGAATACGACAGAGTGCAGCCGCTTTGTAACCCCCCCCGTCTTTGCAGTGCCCATTCTTTGAGAAATACTTCAGACCGGATATCTTTCAATCTGACCGGGTCATTTACCGTCTGTTACCGAGTACCATACCCGTTACAAGCCCCATCTCGCTCGCGGGCCGCTTTTCAACCCAATTCCATTTCCACCTGGAAGACTGCGCTGATTACTGACTTCTGACTTTACTGCAACTTTCACTCAAACTTGGTGCCTTTCTCCTTCCTCAGCCACAATTCTCACCACCTCGACACCAACTTCGACGTCTTTCTTATTGTTTATTTTTTTTTTTTTTTTTCTCGCTTTGCCTCTCTCTCGACCGTCGATGTCATGAGCTCTCGCTTCAAGAGCTTAGCCTTCGGTTCCAAACGAAAGAGTAGTGCTAACATCCAAACCGCCTCCGTCGCCTCACCCAACGGTTCCACCTCCACCGCTGGGACTCCTCCCAGTTCCTCCCAAACCAGTTTGCCTCCCATGAATCAGCCAGGCGCTCCCGGTCGTCCTCCAAGCTATTCCTACAACAACGTCCAAGGTCGTCCCCAATCCCCCATGCCACCTGGCCAGAGCCAGATGGCGCACCATCCTGCGCCTATCGACACCAGACAGGGTTACGTGGGAGGTGCTCCTCAACTCGGTCCTCCACAACCCCCGGGATATGGTGGTGCATATGGACAAATGGCTCCTCAGCCCGGCATTCAGCATATGGCCAATCAGTTTGGTCCTGGAGGTCGTCCAGCTGAGGTTGAAGGCGCGGGTCGCAGCAAGGCTCAGCTTATCGTGGGCATTGATTTTGTAAGATGGGCTGCCTGAAACATTCTTGACAACCGCAATGCTAATTGTCTGCCAAGGGGACCACCTTTTCCGGCGTGGCATTCGCGTTTGCGACAAATACAGAAGCAAAGGAGGATATCATAACCGAATGGCCTGGCGCAGGCAACCAGACGAAGCAAAAGGTGCGTCACCACACCCTTCGACCAGCCTGGCGAGAAAAGATGCAATGTTGACCACGAGCAGATTCCTACCGTCCTATACTATGATCAGTACCAAAAAGTCGTCGGATGGGGCCCCGATATTGCTGACGCCCTCGCTCCGACCGGCTACCCCAAGCCAGGGGTTCAAAAGGTGGAATGGTTCAAACTCCAACTCATGCTCTCCGGCAATACCTACATAGATCCTATCAACCTCCCTCCTCTTCCTCCGGGGAAGTCCGAGATCGATGTCGCCGCCGACTATCTGTTCAAACTTCGGCAAGCCATGCGGGTGCAACTCCAAAAAACCCTCGGGGAGGTCTTCAATCGGGAAGAACGCAACATCAGATACTTCTTGACCGTGCCTGCTATCTGGAACGACGCAGGAAAAGCAGCTACCAGAGCAGCGGCCATTCAAGCCGGATTTATCCGCGACGAGAACGATAACCGACTCACCCTGGTCACAGAACCGGAGGCCGCGGCCATGTTCTGCTCCAAAACCGGTCTCCTCAACCTCAAGATTCATGATGCCGTCCTGATCGTCGATTGCGGTGGTGGTACCGTCGATTTGATCGCCTACGAAGTCGAAGAAGAAACTCCTTTCACGGTCGCTGAATGCACCGCCGGGAGCGGTGATTCTTGTGGTTCCACCGCGCTCAACCGAAATTTCTCCAACATTCTCCGTGCAAAGATCAGGAAAATGAAGTTGCCCGACGGGTCCAAGACCGCGGGTCGGGTTTATGCCAAATGCATCATGGACTTTGAAAACAGAATAAAGGCTGATTTCCGCAACAACGGCCAAAAATGGGCGGTGGACGTTGGTATTGAAGCCGAATTCCCTGAAGCCGGCATCGAGGAGGGCTACATGACGTTCACCAACGAGGAAATCTTGCAATGCTTCGAGCCGGTTGTCAACCGCATTCTCGAACTCGTGCGCAACCAAATTATCGCCATCCAGGCACAAAATAGATCCTTGCAGAATGTCCTGGTGGTCGGTGGTTTCGGTGCTTCCGAATATCTTTTCCAGCAAATCAAGCTCCACGTTCCTCCCCAGTTCCAGTCTAAAGTCGTTCGACCCATGGATTCGGTTGCGGCAATCGTGAAAGGCGCTGTCACGGCCGGCATCACCGAAAGAGTCATCACGTCCCGTGTCGCCAGAAGACATTACCTCATGGCGACATTGCAACCATTCAAAGAAGGCCATCACCCCGAACAATATCGTGTCCCTAGTCTCGACGGCAAAGACCGATGCAAGTACACGCGGCAGATCTTTGTGCAAAAGGGCGAGAGGGTCAAGATTGGCGAACCTGTCAAAGTTTCATTCTTCCGACAAGTTGCACCAGGAGCCACATTGATGTATGAGGATATTCTCTATGCTTGTGATGAGGATGTTTGGTGAGTCCAAGGCCTACGGTGCCACCTTTTCATCGAAAACGTTGACTGATCGGCTCTTCTAGCCCCGAATACACGAAAGATCCTCGAATCAAAGAAGTTGTCACTCTCACTTCGGACCTGTCGAGAAAGAACCTCGAGAAAGATTTTGAACGAATGGATACTCCACAAGGAACATTTTACCGGGTCTACTTCGATATTTATCTCACTCTCGATGGTTCCGAGTTCAATGCCGAATTGGTGTGCCAGGGAGAAGTCATGGGTAGATGTACCGCCAGATTCCGATGATGGATGAAGCAATGGAGTGAAAAGTGGTAAGGGCGCGAGAAAAGAATACATTCCACAGCGACAAAGACGCCGGGAGACTCAAGGAAACTCTCCCATGTGGATTACTATCCGGATAAGGAAGATTTTGGACTATCCTACCTGGCAACCAGGCTGATGCGGAGGTTTAGGCTTTTCTGATGCATACGAGTCCCCCCGTGCCGGAAAGAAAACATGAAAGACGGCGAGAGAAATAAATTCACATTCAGATACCACACTTTTGGGAGGTGAAGCAGGCTTTTGAAGGCGAGGTAATGCAAAGACGGAACACCCCACGTGGCCATGAGGGATGATGGATGAGAGACGAGGGATCGAACCAAAAATTCGGATGGACTGTGGGATGTCAAAGGTCGTGGAAGATAGCATTGGCTTAGCCTGTAGTGGTTGGTAGGGTAGGATAAAGATGACCATATCTTCTCCAACGTTGGGGAGTGCTCATATAATGTTGACCCAAACGCTGACTGCCCGTTTGGTCGGTGTGCTGCGTGCGTGTTCGAACGACCACCATCCAAGGACGGCAATTCAAAGGATCATGGCTCGTTCCTTTGAGTCTAGGCCGTCCTCTGCTTAATTCGTATAAAGGACAGAAGACCGCGAGCCCGACCAGTAAAGGAGTTCGATGTCCAGGGCGAGACAAACAATGACCTCATGATTTCTTCGCCACCCAGTGACTACATCGGTAGCGGTGCTGCAAGAGACTGGCAGGATCCTGCATGTATCCTAACCCATATCTGTACGGAGAGCGAGGATCAGAATCAAGGATGCCCTCGCCGAGAATCTCATGGCAAACGATTTCGAACCCCATGCGTGAGACGAGTTGGAGGACTTCTTCATCGGAAAGCTCGAAGGAACCCGGCTCCGCAACACCTTTGTCTTCTAAGCCAAGTTTATGCGTTGCCCCGATATGATTGTCGGTGTGGTCTTGCCTTTCTTCACCATCTGCACCCTCTCCGCTAGCATGGACTCGATCATCAAAATGCCACAATAGGGGTCCAACGTTGATCCACATGCCACCTTTTCTCAAGCAATTCCTTATCGTCTCAATATACCGGATCAAGTTGGGCGCCGTATCGATGAAAAACACGCTCACGACGCCATCGAATGTCCCTGAGCATTCTGGCGTCGAGTATGAGAGCACCAAATCTCCCGCTGTCATGTTCATCTCGCCAACCGATAGCCCGGTCTCGACTCGTGACAGTAGGGCAGAACCAGGGTGGATGTCGGGAATGGTATGCCGTTTCAGTTGGTGAGCCCGGGATGTGACATTTGTAAAGGTGTTGACAAACGGGTAAATCGAATATTGATTTGCGCGTTGGGTGCTGTTGAGAACGAAGTTGCTCGCCAGGAGTTGGTGATACGAGATTTCGTTACCCGTTACATTGTATCCTCGCAGGCAGAGTTCAAAGAGTATGCGACCAAGACCGGCGCCGGGAAGAAGCAGGGTTGGTGATGTGGCGTCGGGATGGACTTCGGGGAGGCACGATTCAAGGTCTGACAGGATTGTATGGAACAATGGCTCGACTTCGAATGAATAACCTTCACGGGACCAGTCACGGTAGAATTGACGGATGGTTGAATGCGCTTTGGACATGTCACTTGGTCGGGCTGCATCCCGCCAGTTCAGCTCCGAATCTTCGGACGGATTTTCGCTCAGTCCAAAGGAAGCTAATCCTAGTCGAAGGATCTCATCCGCCAGGTCGGCATTGTGATCCAGAGCATCGTCAACGGCGTTCAGGGTATCCAGGATTGAGAACGGTGGGCCGGCGAGCATCTGCCACTGTGCGGATGGCAGCGCATAGAGATTTTGTCGGCGCCGATGGGTTGTGTTGTAATGCGCATGTTTCCGATACTGGCTTCAGCTGGGTCAGCTTCGTTAGTGGAAAAGGACCTTGATATTGACAGCTTTCGTTACGCAAATCACAGAGCAAGGAGAAAAACGGGTTGTTGGTGGGCGTCCGTTCGAGTATCAGATTGGCGATTTCCAAGGCTGATCCAGCTAGAAGTAGAAACGTGGCTCCCCATGACCTGAAGTACATCGGGCCCAGAGCGACTTACTGGAATGAATCAAGAGCAGCGAAAATTGTCTGCCGTTCCAGAGGATCGGCTAGAGGTCCACCATCGTCAAACAGTGCATTGTGTTGCGAGGTATGGGAGGCTGGATCCTCGTCGTGGTCTCGATCAATCATTTTGGAGGCCGTCGCCGTGGCAGGGGAACAGTGGCCACGATTGATAGGCAACAAGATCGGCGATGAAGATGGCAACGAATAAGCGGATTGAGAAAGAAGAGTTTCATCGACAAAGTCATGGTCAACATGGAGGTGAACCTCTCATTCATCTCGCAAGTGCCAAGAACCATCAAAATATTCCGCCGATGGTGTGTGCCTTTGCTTTCTCGAACATGTACACACCAAAAACTAAAAGTTACGTTCAGCTTGTTGATGGCACGCGTCAAACCGACGAATCCGTCAAGATTTCACCCGCCCCCCCGGGAGACTTCCTGTTCCTCGACCATCTCCACATCCTCAGCCAAACCACAACATGGAACCGTCCTTTACACCTGTTCACATTTTCTTCCCTTTACCCAAGAATCCACATCTAACCTTCCACGCTCACTTGAGCTTCCTCGGCCACTGTTCCATGGTCCATTTGACGACTACAAATGTTGGAGAGTCGGACAATCAGCTGCCTTCGATGGGAAGCTTTGTCTACGCCATGCCTGATGTATGTCAATCTTCCGGCCTTCTTCCCCTCTTGCCAGACTTCAAGCAAGCCTAGCACACCGAATTCACCTCGGCTAAGCCATGCGTAGATGACGGACAATCGCAATGTGATCAGCACGGCCTTATCGACTTCGGTCCCAAGCATCGACTATGCCACTAGGGTGGCAAAAATCCTTGCCAGGAGGATGAAACAGCCGGTGTATGTTGGCTGCAGCATCAATTTGGCTGGCACATTTGTTGAAGAAGAATTGGAAGGTCTCACCACCGCCGTCGATCGGATAATGCAGAAGTGGAGCCAACGGTCGTGAGGGTGGCAGATGTCTTCACCGCGTCATCACCTCTGGTCTGTTGGTCGAGCATTGTAGACAGATATTCAGAGCCTTCTCCGGCTTATCGGGTAGAGATCAGGCACAAACAAATCGGTATTGTTCCTTTCCTGCTGCAAGTTTCAGTAATGGCAGCCTCATCCGACGTCCTGCCGCCATATATTGGGGGCCCTGCACCCCAAACTCCTCTTGACCAACTCCGGCAACATGGTTAGGTTTTCATTGGAACCTGTTGGACACTGCAAGCACGGATCGATCTTGCTCTCGCCAATCCTCGCCTCCTGCCGAATGAAAGAAATCCCGGTGGCGACCTGAAAGGGTGTCTGATGGCTTTTTGCTCATCAACTTATCGCTAGCCATCATCGGAAGTCGGCGCGTATTATCAAAACCTTCGGCAGTCCCACAAATCGCTAATCAGCCAGACCAGAACATATTTGTCTGAACACCGGAATAAGTACCGAAACTGTTTTCCCAGAATGGGTTGTCGTAGCGCAGTTGTCAAAGCCAAACGCTCCCCAGAATCTACGTTGAGTTCGCCGCTTCTTAGAGTGTACTGGCAGGGCCCCTTGCAGCGCACCTATTCCAGAGCCGTCGGCACCGTTTACCTTCCGTTGAACGACCTAGCGACATCTCGAGACTCTTATTTCGAGTTCAAAATCCTGGGACGCCACAGATAAAAATCAGGTCCAGATGACAGAGGCCGTCGATTTTTGTGATACGGCTTTTGCAGCACCATGACGAAGAAATTCAGTGTGTTTTCAGTGGTTGACGTAAAGCACGCCCGCCTTTGGTGAACCTCGCTAAGATGCAATCTATTTAAGAGTCCCTTATCAACTAGTCTCGAAGCAGCAGACAGGAATTCACCAGGGTTATTATGACCAGCGGATCACCTCCAAGCTCCAACTAGAATATCTCTGAGAATTTCATTCGAGGTAATTAAAATACGCCCTCCTTGTCCAATTCGGACGCGCTAAGTCCGAAGTTCGCGGAGGAATATCCAGACCGGGAATGGGCAAGCATCGCGGTGGTAATTGCCAGTCGCTCCCACAAGGCTTCCATCCACCATCTACAGTAAAATTAACAGGTGGCCAAATCGGTCATCCACAGACCAGTCCGAGGCACTCAAATGGGCAACTCAGCCTCCCCCCGTACCGAATTGTCTAGAAATTCTTGCCGACTTCCAGGAGTCGACACGATGTCACCCACCCGCCAGCCGTTTGGTGCTAAAAATGGGCCGGAAACGCCCACAAGATGATCTCGACAGGGCTGATGACAAACAACCCATGGACGGAGGAAAATAGAGGCCACTGGATCTTCTTCTGATTCTTTCCTTCGGCAAATCTTTTTGATGACGAAGATCCCCCAGGCATTGATCCTTGACGCAAAACGTAGCAAGCAATCTCACTGAGACTGGGGAAAATTCTCGTCTTGGTGCGAGCTGCAAAGTCGATCACTTTGAGCTTCGTGTAGATCCCGAAGTGCAACAGCATTTCAAACCCCATGGCCTAATCTGTTCCGTCCTAGTCTCGGTGACCTTCCTCCTGGGGAGAACAAAAACTAATTTGTGGCCAGCTTCTGAGCTGTTTGTTCCGAACTTCCCCTCCCCCCCAAAACTATACTCAGGAACCCGGTTTTCTGGAACCAATGACCCCCTACTTGAACTGTTGAGCCCCCCTGCCCCGGTAAAGTCGGGGAGCGGTACAAAAAGCCTGAGCATCGAGATTAAGTCATTGGACAAGGAATTCGATTTGAGCTCTTCACCATAGCTAAAGTTTTAACCGACTGAACCAATTCCAAGGTCCAATTTGTATTCTCAAACAAAACCCACCGAGTCTGTCGTATGATTTCTGTTGCACGGTCTGTCGCCTGATCACCGTTGGTTTCTCGCTTAAATCTGCATGTCAATGAAACCGGCCTTAAATTGCGTCCCTTGACCGCCACAAATTCAGCTCGAGCACAAGGCTAATCACTTATCTGGAATCTTGTTGCAAGCTGTTCACCTTCATCGGAAGATGTGGAGTCTGAGCTGAGGTTGGGACCTGGATGCACTGCCTCAATTTCATGTTCTTTGCGTTTCCCGGCTTCTCAGTCCTTCATACTCGCGGTCCCTTCCACCTGGTGGAGAGAATTTGGTGGCAAACCGGAGCTCATCTTGTGGTCCAGACCCACGTATATCCGCTTCAACATAGATTGCGAGTTGGCATTCTAGAAAAGGGGGGAAGGGGAAGGGAAAGGGTGTGATCCTATTCCTCAGTATTTCTGGCTGTCCGAATTGCCTGTGCAGCGGACTCCATCAGAAGTTGGGTTATTTTGTTCAAGCTTGGGCTGGACAAAGGACGGGTCTTCTTGACGACGATAGTGCTATATTATATCGCCGTTTAGGATCATTCAGACATTGGACTAGAAATTCACCATGACAAGCTACTCCAGAGAAGATGCACCGGAGGACCCATGATCGACAGTGCAACTAAACCCTTGTTGATGACCCAATACATTCGCAAACTTCTTTTACCCTTCCATACAAAACGTTTGATTCTACCCCTTACCAATCAATTTTGGAAAAGGGAAGAAAGGGTGGCGGGGGGGATGATTTGATAGAGTTCTCCCTGTATCTGGCCTGACCTGGAGCCTCGAAGTGGATCAACAAATTACTTCCAATTCTATCTCTTTCAAACCCTGGCATGCAGGTTTTGAACAGGTCCAACGACATGACCAATCACCCAGGTGTTGATTGTCGCTTTCCCACTCACAAAACCACCTGGAACAACCCCTGCCAGATTGCTGCAGCTTTTGTGGCCGGTATTTTCCCACCGACAGAACAAAATCGACCTCCAATTTTTGCCAATCATGGCAGGTGGTTGATATGACGGTGGCATAAAGTGTTTGAGATGTAATATGATGAATGGATGGAGCAGACTAGAGCAGACTGAGGAGATCGCCCTTTCAGCGAGAGCAGCCGTTCAACCGGCCCAGCCCTGGGAACTCTCTGAAGCCGCGTCCAACTGCCTACAACTAAAAAAGCCAAGTTTCAAGGTTCATGATCATCCTCGGTCCGCCCTCCACAGAGCCGCCACGGAGGAGCATGGGGCTCATCCCAGAAAAGGACGAGGACGGACGCTTGTCGGCACCATAGCTGCCATTGTTGAAGAATCCCCGTTGACCACGCCTTTCTTCACGACATGCCACGCGCGTGGTATCGTTATTTTGGGGGTATCATGACGCCCTCATGCCATGTCGTGCCTCTCTAGCTACTATGTATCTTCTAGGAGAAGTCTCGAAACATGTTTCCACCAATCTTCCAGATTCGTTCGTCTCGAAGAGCTCAGCTAATCGTTAGGCTAAACCAAATGGTAGCCCCCAAGCTCAGAACGGGGCTGGCATCCATGGTCCACCCGGGCCACATCCTCGAACAGGGGGGCCCTTTTCGATGGGCCTGATGTACAGTAAGTCGACTTTGGCGCAGGGCCGCTCAGCGGTTAACCCATGCCCGTCATGCCCCATTCGGCTGTCAGGACGTTGTGTCTAGCTTCTTTCACTTCGGCTTCCATAACCGGGGGTCTCAACCAGGCCCTAGTTCTCCCAGGGTCGCGATCCATTCCGAACCGTCCATCTTCCCACTTGGAGGGAGATTCTTTTACTAGCTTTCCGCTGGATTTGCCCCAGTATCAGCGAAGTTTACGGTCAAGAAATCTCATCCATGCTTGGGTTGACGTTCACATTTTGGGCGGATCCCCCCTCGTACGCCCTCCCACGCCACGCGCGCCGGCAGTTCATCTTTGTTGCGCCGTTGGCAGACTACGGTTGTATTGTTCGGTGGCCATGAGAATGATCTAGCCCGGAGTTTCTCCCCATGCTTGCCTTTGGTTCATAGGTTTTTGGACGATCTGGCTCCAAAATTTCGTTGGATTTCGATCGGTGGATCAGTCAAACAAGCGCATACCTATCGCCAAAACTCAGCGTTTTCACCATCACTCCAGGTTTCCCTCTGGTCCACGGGCAAGTGGTCTATATGACGTTCCAGCGACAAATTTCGGCTGACTTGACCGTGGAGGTGGCGACCACTCATAGCGGATCACACTCCCGTTACTCTTCCCTGGACCATTTGGGCCAAGGTCGGACATTTTACTACCTGCCTGTCTCCAATCTTGCATCTCGCTTCTGTCGTTGCGGCAACTTGACGAAGTCGCTTACCTGACCTGCGTGTTATTTCAAGAGAAAACTTCATGGACTTTGTCAATTGGATTGAGCCTTTAGAGACCTGCTGTTCGTAGGCTGGGCCTCGGAAGCTGCGGGCATGCCTCAATATCACAGGACGACCTTCTCTTTCCCAGTGTGTGGTAGCCCGTACGAGTCCTGCGAAGTCCAAACATCTTTGCACCGGTGGAGATGCAAAATCAACTGCATTCCGTCCGAGAATCGTCGAGCGCCGCTTCCTCTGGGTCACCGCTGAGTTCCCACGAGCCGACTCAACAACTCCATTCGGCATCGTCATTCTCACATCTATCTCAAGTAGGACTTTCACCACCAGAGCCGGTCGCAATGTCCTCCTTCTACCCTCCTCACGAATTAGGCTCTGCTTCTCCCCATGAAGGATCCTCTCATCTGGGAGACAATTTGCGCCCGGGCGGAGGAGCAAGTGGTACTCCATCACCCGCTCAAATTTCTGCCATGATGATGCACAATCCGAAAAGGGCATATCGACAGAGAAGAAAGGATCCGAGTTGCGACGCATGTCGTGAACGCAAAGTGAAGGTCCGTTTGCAGAGGATGGAAGCATCTCAAACCCGTTCTTTTTTATTTTGGCGGGGGCTGAATCTTTACAGTGTGATGCGACCGAGACGTCGAGTTGTACGGAATGTTCCAGTCGCAATGTTCGTTGTCAATTCACCAAGGATACGAATCGTCGCATGTCCTCCATCAAGTGAGTTCATTTTGTTTCAAGTTGCCATTGACATTTCTGACCATCCCAGACAAGTTCAGGATTTGGAGAGACAACTCCTAGAAACCCGTCAACAGCTCGAGCGGTTTCGTGCTGTAGAGCAAAGGATTGATCTTTCCAGCGACCTCCATCCTGACTCGGCCTCGTCGGTTTTCACTGAATTCCCGTCTATCGGAAAATCTCCTCGAAGGATGTTGAAAGCAAGATCTCCCCAAGACCTTACAAATGCAAGGGTACAATTGAATGATGTCGGTCGTGGCTTGTTGAAACCTCCAGTAACAGAGGCGCAACTTCGATCCCACACTGCTGCACATTCGCCCGTTTCGGATCTACCGGGATTGCCCTCACAACCGGCAGCAGAACGACTCCTCCATTACTACCATGAATGCGTTCATCGTCACTTTCCCGTTCTCTATTGGCCAAAGTTTCAGCGAACGTTTGCCATTGCCATGGAGAGAGACAGCGCACATTCGTTATCAACGGATTGGATCGCGACCTTATACGGCGTACTCGCGTGCGGTGCTCTGGCTACACATGATCCTAGCCGACTTCCGGAGGCACAGGAATACCTGACAAGGTCGATATCAATCATCAATTTCTGGGAAGATGATGTGTCTACAAACCAGGCAATTGTGGCCTTTTTGGCCAGCATTGGGCTGCTAGAGATGAACAGGAAGTCTGCCAGCTGGATTTGGCTCGGGTCTGCTATTCGCATTGCCCAAGATTTAGGTCTCCATGTTCAAGGGGGCCAGTGGTCACCTATTGAAGGGGAGATGCGCAAACGTATCTGGTATTCGTTTTATGTATGGGATCGGTAAGTTCCAAGTTCCCAGAAAATCCGGTGCAAAGATTGGGCCCTCCTAACCGAAGACAGACTTCTCGCTTTAGAATTGGGAAAGCCAATGCTCATCAACGATGACGAGTGTGATACGGAGTATCCAGAAGTCCTTGATGAAGAGCGCCTTGTGACCGACGGGATTCAGAGTCCTCTTCCCCCCACGTTACTCCTGGCCAATATTCATATTGCCCGACTCATGGCACCACTCGCCAAAATGTTCCGGTCCCTTTGTATCACCAACGAGGCCCTCGGCAAATTCGAAAGCTATCTGGGGGATTGCCTACAGTTGTTTCCCACGCCATTGCAGCTATCGTCCTCAACACCCTTAGATCCATGTGTTATGGCGCCTCTACTTTATTTTCAGAATACCCGCATCATGCTTCATCGCCATAATTTGTCTCCCTCTTGCTCACATGAACAGAGGGTGCAAGCCATCGATCAGTGCGTCCATGCTTCTCGAGACACGGCAACCCTGCTCTCACGTAGTATGATTCCGCACGTACAATCACAAGACTGGCAGCAACGCTTTATTCTCTCTTCCACTACTCTGCTTTGCACACACATGTGGCGGTGTATGCTCTTTTTGTCTTTTCGACAACTTTACGACAGTTTCTTTTTGGTTCTGAGGGCCGCTTCAACAATCAATGACTCTAGAACCATCAATATCTCCTGTGGAAGACATCTCTCATTTTTCTTGCGTCGGTTGATTGAACGTTCGGAGCAAGCAACCAGATACGAGGTCGAACAAGATGAGGAACTCCTGGTATACCTATCTGGGGATCTTCAAGCAAGTACGAATAGTTGGGTATGGGGCAATGCTGAAACCGGAACTCATCTGAGCCGTCGCCAGAAACATGGCCGGCCGAGACATGCACATCAAGACAATGATCCTCAAGCTTCGTCGAATGCTCAATCACCGTCCTGGGATAGTATATTGTCCGAAGAAGAACAACACGACTGGGGGGGATGGTCGCATGTTGAACAATTGGCGAAATATTTACAACAGTTGCACGAATTCCGACAAAATCATCCACAAAACCCGATGCCGCCTGGTTTTCCAAGACTGCCAGCGCCGGGTGGACATTCGCCTGGTCCCACGCTTCCTCCAATCAGTACCCCGATAGCAGACTCGAATCGGTCACGAATGACCATCGCAAATATTATATAGATGACGATTGCACGAACAACAGAAATTCACGAAAACCCTTATGATTGATGTTTCATCTGATGAAGGAAAAAAAAAAAAAAAAAAAAGTCGAGGTGTACAAGACGTTCTTCTTGAGATATCCTATCTCTGGCAATCCAGCAGTCGAGGCCAGCACAAAACGAGAAGAGCTCTTACTCCAATAATATTCTCATCAGTTTCCGCGTGCCGTTCTAGCCTTTCTCATCGTTCGCATGATCTCTTTCACAGCAACTGAATGAGTGTTCCTCGACCTAGACGGGACTATCTTACGCTTTCTATTCATCATTCACAATTCTTTCTTGAGTCTTAGGCTAATTAGAGCAGACCATGATTAAATTTGATTTTCACTGTCAGGATAAAGACGACGTATACATTTTTTTTTTTTTTTTTTGGAAGACACGTCCGGGAAACTCGGCTGACGTCCATTGCGTCCGGTACCATACGAAGCTACTAACACTATAGTACTTTCCAGGTCAAAGACTTTGTTCTGTGTCTGAAGTGAGACCACCATCAACCGGAAACAGCAATGTGGCCTAGACAATTACCCGCAATCGGCAACAATGATTTGAATTTGTTGAATAAGTGGTGCGTGGAAAGCTTCTTTGTCTGATCCGCTAACAACGGTCAAGCGATCAAATCAAAACCCATCGCTCTCCTTCCAGATTCGCCGCTCAAAATACCATTCTCTCCTGTGAACATTTTGAAATTGATCTCCCGGGAACCTTTCCGAAAATCCTCCGGCGGAATGCCCTGGAGGAAGTCCTCCAATTGGCCTTTGATATATCTTTTGTTCCCCTCAGTCCGAGGCGTGGCTGCAATATATGCGACGCTGGCCTCATGATCACCATTATGCTCAACCTCAACCGCGTGGCACATATCGGCATGCCACCACACGGTGTCGCCCGGGTTCATTCGGGGAATGCCGACCATGCATTCTCGCAGACGCAGGTGCGGGTGTGAAGATGGACTCAAGAGCTGACTGTCTTCCCTGAATGTCCCCGGGAACCAGGGGCTGTCAGCATTGAATATCCATTTGCTAGCATCCATAATATCCTCTTCGGATTCAGGTGGTTGAAAGAAAGGACGAAGGAGAAGATACGCAATCGTCCACTTGACATTCGGATACAGCATCAAACTTCCCTCTCCCAATCCAGCTGAAGTCAATGCAGTCCAGCCCTGAAAACTTCGGAAAACCCGGGAATGTGCTGACCCAGGAAATTTTGCCTGATCGGCTGTTTTGCGAATGGTCAGGTCGTAATTGTCCATCAGCTCTGGATTGCCAGAGAAAATAGCAGAATACACCGACTGATAGGTGGGATCTGCCCAGCGACATAAGCTTCCTGCATCAATGTGTGGACCCAGACCACGGAAAGGTATCCCTGGAGGTCGAATACGAACGCCATCCGCATAGGACAATGGTTCAGGTGAAGTCAACCCGGAATCATCATGCCACCATGAATTAAGCTCTTCGCTCAACTTGAGTTGGTTTGGATGAGATCGTGCAGCTATCTGGGTCGGCGAGAAATACAGGTTGAGGATATATGGAGTCTCAGCCGGCCAGCCTTTTCTATGTTAGTCGAAGACCAGGCAACCATTTCCACGCCATCATCTTGTTAACACTCACCTTTGATCGACGATCGATTTGCGGCCACATATTTTTTCAAATTTTGGAACCACTCGTCGGCTTGTTCCTGGCTGAACACGTTGCGAACAACAAAGCACCCAACATCTTTAAGGCCGCTCTTTAGCTCGGCAGTCAATCCGAATATGTCTTCATACTGAACTTCCGGTATAGCGGACGTGCCCTGTTCGGCTATTCTTTCGGTCACGGATTCAAGTTCTTTGCAGACTTTGAGCCAGCTTTGGGTGAGAGATCCCTTTCCATACTTTTCGACTATGGCCTTTTTATATCCGATGAGATCATCTCCGGTTTCTCCTTTTGCTGCTGTGAACTCTGGCCAGTCCGGCCAAATGAGAAGTCTTCCCGTCATGGCACCAAGTCTAGGGTTGTCTTGTCGAGTAACAGAGATCGAAGGAATGTTCAAATGCCAACTCTTTGTCCCTTGGAAACCTTCAAGGGCGCTCGGACAACTGCGGTGCATGAAAGACACTTCTAAGGGCGAGGGAATCATCTTGTTGCGGGGTTGGTTTCCACTATACTCGGGTGAGCTCGGCCGAGATAGCGTGACGGAAATCTTCGCCTAGGCAAGGTTGTTTCAGATAATTCCCACATGTCCTCAGTTGAAAAGGAAAAAAAAAAAAAAATACAATGGCAGGAGTTGACCGACCAATTGGGCCTTGTTTGAACAAACTAGATGGTTAACCTGACCAACGGCAGCCTTGCTCCTCAGCACAAGCCCCTGGCTTTAATTTCGATGTTCACATTGGTTTATTGAGCATATCTGTGTATGCCTCCGGTATCCAATCCTCCCATGGCCAGCGAACGACGGTGTCAAGATTTATTTGATCGGTCACGAATCCTGGTTCATCGTTGCGGGACCAAAATGAGTGGGCCCCGGACATATCGGGACCAAGCTGTTTGCTGGCCATCATAAGTTTTGACATATTCGGTTTGAGAATTTTCCCTGCTGCTGGCTTGCCAGAACATTCGCTTGTAGCCCAAGCGATGGATTGATTTCGGGGAGAACAGCATCACTGGCTTGTTCCTACTATTGACCAGTTCCGACGTAGCTCCGGTCCGAATGGGGAGAACAGTTCGATCCGTGCTTGAGAAAGCGTCATCTATGTCGAGACGCTTGGCTCAGGCAGCACGTCGAGTCCGTGTTTCCTTACTTGATTCACTACTCTTCAGCACCTATCGATAAGGTAATGATTTCAACTTCTTCTGACTGCGCCGCGGTAAGAGATGGGAAGCGACGATGTGACACCTGTACCGATGCTGCGACCCAAAGATAGAATATGGAAGCTGGAGAAAGGTGCAGGATGTCTTCCCATGTCAAATAATCCTCGAATGTGCCCGAAACAAAGGAGAGAGCGAGAAGGCCGACTGGAGAAGGTAACTGGGTGGTCTTGTTGAAACAGAATAGTCAGGGCTACAAAATATGAAAGGTGAAGCTGTCGTGATTTTACGTTGTATGATTTAGGGCTTTTGTCCCACAATCAAATAACTGCAACTCTTCCGGAACGTCCTTCAGCCAGCGATGAAGAGCTCCCTCGATGTCGGACCCCTTTTGATCTGATCAAGGTTCCCACCGCCGAGATGTCGGTGCAAGGGCATGAATGCCCCACAGAAGAGAGCCTTCTGTGAGGCACATAAGCATAAAAGGATAGGCTGAAGGCAGCAGAACTGGAATGGGCTAAGTTGGGGATATCCTCGCATCAGCTGGCGCCAGCATCAGCAAGTTCCCTTTCCCGGAATTGGCCGCGATGCTAATCAAGGAAGACATGAAGGTGGCGGATAAAAGGGCGCATGAAATCCTTAGGAGAGTGCAAGGCCTAGGGAAATTTTATGTGTGGACGAATGACGCCTTTAGATACTGCATCTCAGCCTTTGGAGAGTTAGGATGCAAGATTTCATAATATCAGTCGAAAACTAACTTGTGCTGCTACCGATTTATGTCTGCGTGGGCTCTTATATAATGCTCCTGGGGGGGTAATATAGACTTCCGAAAGGGTGGAATCATTCTGGGTACGGGTTCTCTACATCGTAGTTGGAACGTCCCTAGTGGTGTTCTTTGAGGATGCCCCTTTCTCTCCCTCCGTAGGAGCTAGGTCATATACTTCCGTACGCACTTGAGGATAGTCTTGTTCGGTACGGATGGACTTAAGCTTTGAACTCATTTATTTGCCTGACCCTTTCGTAGAGATATGGGTGCGGGCCGTTCCAGCGGCGTTCTAGTCCGTATCCTTAATTACGGGGTAAGGTATTCAACCTCATGGGTTAACGAGGCTGTGGCGCTATCGCGGGCCTGAGAACGCAAACAATTCTTCGACATGTTCCACGCCAACAGTGATTTAATCACGACTCGCAAGTCCCGCTTAAAATTGTAGAGCAAGCGAGCTGTCGTTATGCTCCACGCTACCCTCATCGTTTGAGGAGTCCTTCCAGCGACCAAGGCGATATCAACGAGTCAATTCAATCAAATCCACCTCAAACGCCTTTGTGTAACTCCACCCTGTCCATTGACTGGACCGGTCTAATACACAGCCTTCGTGGCAGCAGTTGATTCGTACGCCTAGCTGGGCTGCCCAGCTGGTCCGCCCTGCTCAGCCCTGCTCAGGCGTACTCCAAGCATGCCTTTGTGCTGCAAGCTCACAACCTTAGATCTCGAGCACACGATAGAAGGTCTACACGAAGCAGCCCGGTCACTCTTAATACCATATGGATTTATCAAACCCGAGGCGAGGCCATCCTCCTGTGGCCGGAAACTCAAGGGAACACTACATAGATGGGAAATCCCACTACGTCCAGAAGGCCCTACGTTTATTCATGTCTCTCACCGCTTTACCTTTAAGATGAGTACAGCCACCATGTCGAACCCGTCTGCATCCAGTGACACGGAACGAACCGAAGGGCAAATTTCCAGAGCCGGCGGTCTCCTGCAAATCACCATCGATGCCGGCGCGGCAGCGTCCGGCATGATCAATTTCTCCCTGAACGTTCTCGGGCGTCTTTCCCAGGCAGGCATCGACACCCTCACGTTCGGTATCACGGTCCTGGTCGGCGCCTATATTCCCTGGAGTCCAGTCGGTTTTCAACGGGTCTACGATGCCATCGAAAAGATTCAGGCCCGCAAGGGGTTCAAAGACATATTGTGGTTTGGGTTTGGCCAGAAAAGCCCGATACAGGTCCTGGTGGAAACGGACCAGGGGGTCAGGTTCACGGCGCTGAGTTCTTGCCTGACGGAAGTGTATTCTACGCACATGGCCGCTCAGATCATGCTGGCATTCAGCCGGAAGATCGTGGACAAGATGCCCGAGCCGAGGCCTCCGCTGCCGTCTTTGCTGCAGATGCATCTCCTAGTTGAGAAAACGGCAGGGATCTTGTCCGCCACCAGCTTCCCTCTTTGGGCGGAAGAGTACATGGCGTTTGATGGCGAGAGGTTCATCGGCCAACATGCGTGGCCAAGGGCGTTGAACAAAGTGAGGTATTCTCGCGGCGTTGGCAGTGCCATCGAGATCGCAGATGCTCTGTACAGCTTGATGGAACTGTCGAACGGGACTTTGCGGAACATCACTCTAGTCGGTGTCGCCGATGCGGGACTAGTCGCCGCGATCGGGGCCTGGCTCCTTGATCTCAAGATCGTGATGTACGCTTCTGAGAAACGGGATGAGAATATCGTATTCCGGAATACCATCGAGAACGTGGAGCCACAGCTGACGATCATATTCACGCGGCGAGAGGATCGGACGGCGTTGTGTCAGCGCGGGAAGACCGTGTTTCTCTCGGATGCAACCGTTCTCTTCAAATCACACGCGCAGCTCAAGCCGAATCAGGACCGCGTCGTGGGTGGACGTGTACATTGGAAGGAGGCCTTATCGCGTACGTTTGGTGAGGATTTCAAATCGCTCCTGGCAATGCCGGTCCTGTTTGGCGCCGCGATCGGAAGTGCAGCACGGATCTTCACCGCGTTGGTAGAGGCCGACCCTGATGTGGACATGATATCGCGCCGCCATTGCAGCAGTTATTTTCCGGACAGTTTCGGCCAGAATCTGATTAACTTTGCGCTGGATCGATTCCCGGAGCTGAACTCGAAGCTTTTGAGGGCGGAGACGGTTAATGCAGCCCGGATCCCATCTTACGGTCAAGCCCAAGCCACGTTTGAGAGCACCATGAACAAGCTTGCTGCCAGTTGTGGTTGCAAAGTTTGCTGTCCTGCCATCTATTCGAATAAGGAAAAGCAAGCTCGGACATCGCGAGATAATACGAGTGTAAACCACACGACCCCTCGATTCTGCCTCGTTGCCATCTCTGAAACGGTGATAATTCTGGCTCGAAGACTATCCGGCATCGTTGCTCTTGAGAGCCTCCATCCGAAGCGCGCCGGTCTCGAATACATATACGAGATACAGCAGACGCGGGTGTCGCGTCTCCGCAAGCAGGACGGAAAGAACGCTCTCCCGATCATGTGCTCCATCGTCGAGCACGGCACCCCGGACTTGGCCTGGACTGAAGTTTCGCTTCTCCGCTTCGCACAACACATCTTCAGCGGCCAGACCTTGCATGACGAGACGGAAGATCCGGGTTGCTCGGCCACGGCCATGGAAGGCGTGTGCTGCTACCTGGACATCCTACGGGAGCCGCAACAAGATGACCCGATCAGTCTGTGCCGTGTCAACGTCATTCCAGGATACATCCAATGGAACGATAGGGTATTTCACAAAGTAGGCGAGAAAAGCACAAACCTTTTTTCCGCCACAGTTGCCTTGAAAGGCAGGCCGCAGGACTGTGTTCCGGAGAAAGTGGTACGGGATATCGAACGCTCTTACGGAGGCCGCCTCAATCTCTTGGTATCAGAAGAGCTCTCCAAGGATAGGAGAGCTTTCTTGGAAGTGGACTACGGGATTTTCGAAGAAACGCGAGAGCTGGGACGCTTTGGCCCCGCGAAAGCTGCTCGAAGCATATGCCGTAGCTCTGGCTTGATATCGTGTCAGAATGACGGCTGCGTTGAATCGACATCAATAGCACACGAGTTGAAAGACGCAATAGCTGACGGAAACACCGGCCCAGTCCTCAAACTCGACATATGTGGAAGCAAAGTGACCATTTTCCAGGATGACCAAGTAGTCCGTTTGCTAGCGGCCTTTGGCTGCTGGGAGCCACTCTTCCAAAGAGGCGAGTGCCTCGCGTGTTGCGTACGCACCGGCTGCAGGAATGGATGGAAAACCTTTGCCGTGGTTCAAAGTGGGTCAACATGTCGAAATAGGGGGAAGGTCTATCCTAGAATACCTAATGACGAGGTTTCGGAATTAGAGAGTACTCAATGTTGGGGAGAGCTTTGTGTTGAATGAAAACTTATCGCGAAAATGAGGATAATAAAACCGAAGCACTGCGTTTTCAATGTGATGAGGGAGGAGAGCTCGACGGACGCAGAAGAGTTGTTCGATGATTGCCCCAAGAATGGAATTGGGATCATGCCGCTTGAACATCGGTGCAATCAAATTCTTTCCTTTCCCTAAAAGCAGCGTGGCTACGGAGGACCGGTGCCCCCCCCAGAGATGATACTTGTAATCTCCGTGCCTTAAATGTCTCCCTTTCACCTTTGTTAATATGTGTCCAGGTGGTCAGTGGCACCAAATACCTTGATCGTGCAATGCGCATGGTCCGCCGACATGTGACGCCTCCAGCTATATCACCATCCAGTATCCTCCTTCCACTCCGGATTTGGCAATGGCTGGGAGGCATTCGCCTTGTCTTGCTGATTGCCAGTCTTGCTTTGCCTGCTATCGTCCACGCTCAGACACCGGGTCAGATCTCTGCTCTCCGAAAGGAGGCTGAAGATCTCTTCTACCATGGCTACGAAAATTACATGTCCCATGCCTTTCCTGAAGACGAACTGCGCCCGATCTCCTGCAGGCCTCTAACACGTGACCGCGACGACGTAACCCACATTGAAGTAAACGACCCATTGGGGAACTACTCCCTTACCCTCATCGACAGCCTGTCTTCGTTGGCTATCCTAGCCTCCAATCCTTCCACCCCGAGACACAACAAGCCCCTCCGTCTGTTTTACGACGGTGTCCGAGGCCTGGTTGAACAATATGGTGATGGCTCCAATGGACCGTCTGGCCTGGGGCTCAGAGCAAGAGGATTCGATCTGGATAGCAAAGTGCAAGTGTTTGAGACAGCGATACGGGGCCTTGGTGGGCTGCTGAGCGCTCATCTGTTTGCTGTGGGGGACCTACCGATTCGTGGATATAACCCTTCCCCAGAGCAGGCCGCATTCGCGAAACGGTGGCACAAGGAGCATGGCCACACTGGCTCTCGGGGCATTGTCTGGTCTAATGGGTTCGAGTACAATGGCCAACTCCTCAGGTTGGCGTATGATCTCGGGAATCGGCTGCTCCCTGCCTTCTGGTCCGCCACTGGAATTCCCTATCCTCGGGTCAACCTTCGACATGGCATACCCTTCTATGTCAACTCCCCCTTGAATACGGGCTCGAACGATGGACAATGCGACGCCCTCTCCGGTGCGGCTGAAATAACGGAAACGTGCAGCGCGGGTGCTGGGAGTCTTGTTCTGGAGTTCACCGTTTTGAGCAGACTTACCGGAGACGGCCGTTTTGAGGATTTGGCCAAGAGAGCGTTTTGGGCTATCTGGGAGAGACGCAGCAGCATTGATATGATCGGGTCCGGGATTGATGCTGAGACTGGGAACTGGATCGGCACATGGACGGGTATCGGTGCTGGTATTGACAGTTTTTTCGAGTACGCCCTCAAATCACATATCCTTCTCTCTAGGGAATCTCGCTCCGCGTACGAAAAATCTGACAGTGCCGACGACCCGAGAGTCCTTTTCGAATCGTTGGCAGTGGAATATGATACACCTCAGGCTTTCCTTGATGCCTGGAACACTGCTCATGCCGCCATCAAGAAACATCTCTACCGTGGTCCGAACTATCAACATCCGCATTACATCCAGGGGGACTTGGTCACCGGTGCCGCAAGAGGATTTTGGATTGATGCCCTGAGCGCATATTATCCCGGCCTTCTGACACTTGCAGGACATGTCGACGAGGCGATAGAAACCCATCTTCTACAGACATCTCTGTGGACGAGGTTTTCGGCCTTGCCCGAGCGATGGAATCTGGTGACCGGTGGCATTGAAGGTGGTTTGGGCTGGTGGGTGGGTCGACCAGAGTTCATTGAATCAACCTATTACCTTTATCGAGCCACAGAGGATCCTTGGTACTTTTATGTCGGCGAGATGGCGCTTCGTGATATCAAGCGCCGATGTTGGACCAGATGTGGCTGGGCCAGCATTCAGAATGTCTTGACGGGCGAGAAAACAGATCGCATGGAGAGCTTCTTCCTTGGAGAGACAGCCAAGTATCTTTTCCTCATCTTTGACCCCACACATCCTCTCCACCATCTTGATGAACCGTTCGTTTTCAGCACGGAGGGACATCCCTTGATCATTCCCCGGAGTGTCGACGATGGCCAAATTCAGGGGAGACTTTGGAGTCATTCCCCTTCCCGGGACGAGGAGGCCATTTGCTCTGCCCCGCCGAAGCCAGTTCCCTTTACAATCTCAAACATTGCAGCCCGAGGTGATGTCTACCACGCTGCAAACCTGGCTCGGCTTCACTTGATGCCAACCCGAGATACGGTTGAGTCGGTTCTCGGAGAGTACGCGGCAGACCATCCAAGCATTACATTGTCAGACATCAGCTCACCTTCCAACTATACATATTACCCGTGGACTTTACCGCCGGAACTTGTTCCCTTTAACGCTACGAGTTCACTCATCCCAACAAGGCCGACCCTCGATATTTCCTTCCCAGCGATCCCTAACCCAGGTCAACCCGCACCGCCTCTCCAGCGTGTTAAAGAAGGCATATTTATCAATTTCATTGGCGGTCTCCGTCTAGGAATGATTCAAGACACCCCGATGTTGATTGAAGATGGCATATATGACATTTTCCGCATCCAAACAATCAACAACATCCCGCTGGGAAAAGAAGAAAAAGTTTTCCTTGCTCGAGACACAGGCAAAAACATTTTGAGTCTCACCGATCCCAACTTTACTCGTGTCCGCGATGCCACCATGCTGGACATAGTGATCGATCTGAATGAAGCCCCGGGCTACGAGGAAACAAGCCAGAATTCCACTGACGAAATTTTTGTACTCGAAGTTCCTGATCTGGACCCGGTGACTGATGGGGCAATGAGAGCAGCATGGAACGCCATAGTCTCGCAAATCTCCAATTTCATCAGAGACCGCCCGCAAACGTCTTGGCCATTTTCAACTCCGATCTCCCTCCACTCAGCATTACCCGTACAGGGCAGCGCCCCTTCATCGAGCGATGGCTTATCACGTTACCATCTCACAGCGGTGACACCCACCGGCCCAGGAGCTGCACCTCTGCCGGACTGGCCTGAAGTCTCGGCCGTGACGCCACCTGGCGGGCAAATTGCGCCTCTACCATGGACTAGGATTTACGCCACGGACGAGCTCTGCGACCACAAGCTCCCCTTGAGCATAGTGAAGACTCATCAAATTCTTGTTGTTAAAAGAGGCAGCTGCAATTTCAGTCGCAAGTTGAACAACATTCCTTCCTACTCACCGTCTCCGCAAGCGTTACAACTCGTAGTGGTTGTTTCTTATGGCAATCATGAGGTGTCTGATGTCGATGTCGAAAACGGCCCATACTCCGAAGATCAGAACGAAGAAGCCTTGGTCAGACCTTATTTGGAAGAACAGCAAACCACCCCTGCTGGACTACCACGATACAACCCGATACCCGTGATTATGGTCGCCGGAGGGCAAAGGGTTTATGATGCTTTGGTGGAGAAAACCGTTGGGATGGGAATCAAGAGACGATATCACGTTGAGACGAGGGGAGTGAGAATTGCAAACTTGATCATTGTCTGACTATGCTCCTGATATGAATGTGTTTGGATGGAGAAAACGTTGAATTTAGAGGAGAACGATTCACCAAGATTTGAAGTTGGAACTGATTATTGCACGGCAGCAAAATCACTCATTACATGTTTGGTCTTATTTTTTTTTTTTTGTGTCAAATCTACCCGGGGCAAGGATTGCAGTTACCACCGACCTCTCCATCCTTTCTCCAAACATCTCTCCTCTTCCTCTGCTCTTTCTAAAGCTCGCCTCCATTCTCTCTCCATTCTTCTTGCGAGTTCATCGGGTCTCTCACCTTCTGGTCCTGTTGGAGTCGGGCTCTCACAGCCTCTCAATCCAATGAAGCGACCAAATCGTCGCCGCTTTGTTTCCAGGTCCACACCCGTCACAGTATCTACGTTTCGTGAGGATGTGTCGTTGGAGATGATATTTCGTGGGTCTATTGTTGTCGTGTTTGGATACAGACTCGTCCAAGCGGGAACCCAAGTGGGATACATGAAGGTCTCATCCATGGCTGGCTCAACTTGATGATACCATCTTGCTAGGCTGTCAAGCTGCTCATGGGTCAACAAATGGTATTGGAGCATGCTTGTCGGGAACTCTGGGTGTGGAAGTTCGTTTGAAACAGAGATCAATGGTACCAGAGGAGCCCGTAAATACTGCACACTGTGAAGGTATTGTATACGATTGCAGAATGATGTCGGAGAGATATTTTGAGAATGTGTCCTGATGACCGTGACATGATATTTCGGAGGAGAAACACGGCTTCGTGGCCTTTTGCGGATCGGTGAACGCGTGGTTACGGGGCTTGGAACATACGATCTTCTAAGCCGCTTGATTGTGGGAGAGGCCGTCGACGAGGGAAGAGGTGACCAATTGAGAAGTGTTGTTGCATTAGAGAGTGGGCTTGATGAGTTTTGATTTTGCTCCCTCCCTGCTGGGCAAGTTGTGTCTGAGAGGCTGTTCACGTGAACCCTCAATGGCACAGTCAGGACTCTTTCGAATCCTAAGCTTCTTATTGCCATCCCGCTCTGTCTGCGATCTTCCTTACGTGCTGTCGATCGGGGGGCCTGAAAGTATGCTGCATCTGGTGTTCGGACGTGATGCGGAGGGAGAATTGGAGATATGGGCATGATGGGTTGTTTGGGGGAAGTCAATGGGGGGGACTCGAGACTGTTTCGCCTGCACCTTGAACCATTGGAATCGCCGTGCGACCAAGGATGAGTAGCGATGGATAATGCTGGAGTCGAGGCATGTGGGCCGAATGATGATTGTCCTCGAGCACCTGGTTGTGGAGAGAACACAGTCACCATCCGAGGGGACGATTCGGTTAATGGGTTTGGAATCACTGTTGGGGAATGCGGTGACCGAGGTGATGAGATTGGCAGTGTAGGAGATGTCGGAGTTGGAGGGAGCATCGTTATGGTCTTTTTGATCACGATACTTGTCAAGCCGAGATCAGCGCTGGCTGTACTTTGCGGAAGGAAGTATAGATTGAAGAGAAGCTCGAGTGTGATACAAGCAGCTTGAAGTACTATTGAATTCGAACAAAAGGTAGAAACAGATGTGCACCCACCCACAAGAAACAATGGGGACTTGCTTCCTAGAATAGGAGACACTCCTTTTACCTTTGAAAAGATTGGAACTGGAGGTTTCAATTTTCATTGTAGTCAGGGCCTGACTTAGTTCTTGTTCTTTGTTGGTAGCATAGGAGTTGGTGAGGCCGGACAATAAGACTCATTCAGCCAAATTGATTACATGAGTAGATAAAAATAGCACTGGATTAAGAGATTTTGGAAGGATGAAGAAGTTGCTTTTCTGGCAATACAGCTTCCCAAAAAGCCTGCACATCTTTTGCTCCGTTTTCAGCATTGATTGGCCTTCTAGTTGGGCATTTCTCTTGAAAAGGGATTGTGGGGGAAGAGAAAAAGTCCGTGCGCGTTATTATGCGCTCAAACCATCTGTTCCAGATCGTATAAGAGCGCAGTAAACGCCCGAGTAAACAAAGCCGTCAAGGGTGATGGTCAATTTCTCCACAATGCAATGTGCTTTTCATGTAGCTACCTCTGTAGAATTTTGCTAGTATCTGTAGACAATAGTATCGAAGTTCAGCTATCGCACCTATATAGTATATCCAGAGCAGGGCATTGTCGGCAGCTGTATGCGACGACAACATAAGTTTCAATAATTGTCAGTTCGTCTGAGAGTCGTTTCAAATCCTCCAAGCTGAATCGTAGAGAGGGTTCCCCATCATCATTGAATTGTGGGTATTGGCGCACGGATAGTGAACAAGGCAGCAAGACAAAGACAAGCTTGAAGCTCTGTGGTTACAGCCTGTTTCATATCTGTAGTTTCATTCGCCCTTTCGGCTACGAGGTCAAGATATCGATTCATCAGTCGGCTTTGAAAGGGTTCGGGATTGTGAGGGGAGCCAGAACCAATTCAGTGCAGATGCAGAAGTTGTTCGCTTTGTGGCCGTCAAAAGGTATGGTCGCATCTTAGTCAGAATCATCCGTAAGATCGAATCTGTAATTGAGGTATCCAGCTCTCCACGGGTCATTCTCAACCTCGTTCGGTGGTTGCAACGACATCTTCTCCCACAGAACCCTTGAAAGCATGCAGAACAAAGTGTTCAGAATCGAAAATCCGTCTCACCATGGGCGTTGCAGGCATGTAGTTTACCAAAGAGGATTTTCTAACATAATTGGCTTGATGGACAAACCCATGAAGCACCCACCTCTCAGCTGTTGGATAGCCACTTCATTCCCTCCCTCGGTCTTGGTGGAACAGATCGATCTAGGTGAACAGTATCGCGTCGTCAGATGTACTGAGGAGACGTCAACTGCCATCCTATTCTTCGCATTGACTCAACTTTCGGTCATAAAAACGATGATTTGGATTTTTCAGGACCGCGATGTCATATTTTGGCACTAGGTGATAAAAATGCTTCGATTTTGTCAGCTCGGAAGTATACACGCAAGTCTAGAAGGTCAACGGGCACTAATCAGGAAATGCGTGTCAACGATGAAAAACCCATCAGGACTAGGTCTATTCTTCCCACGAGCTATTCCCCGACGGGCCGTTCTCAAAGCAAACCCAGATGAAAGTGCGTTTCGACGAATCATCCATGCATTCACTATCTAGTGTTATTAGGATAGAGTTCATGCATCTGGAGCATTTCGTCACTCTTTCTGCAGAGTAGCCAATACCCGAGGTTCAGAGGAATTACTTGGAATGGCGTATTGTCAGCCTTGAGACCGAAAATCTCTTCTTTTTCGTCTTGAAGCACACGCGGCATACAGACACATACTCAACACGCTTCATACTTCATCGAGCGCTAAAACTGCCATGCTTCTTCCGCTAAATGATGCTGGACAAGTCTACAGCTAGATACTTCGAATTGGGACCAAGTACCAATGTCACTGGCCATCCGGATTGACATTTTGATATCAACTGCACCCAGAGAAGGGCACCATAGTACACCATATGATAACATCAAGGGAGGGACCGGCGTGTGGGTGGGGAAGCTGGGGAAGCATTTAGAGATGAAAATCTGGGGAGGAAGCGAACCTTTTGTCCATCAGGCCGGGTACGACTGTTTACTTGTCGAAAAGGTAAATGATGCCGAAGGCGGACCAGTTGGTCAATGAAGGAGACTGGATGAGCGAATGCCGGGTCTACGAACCGGGGGTGGAGGATTGTGGCGTTTGGCTAAAGCCTATACTCCAATTACCAAATTAGAGAGCCAGAATGGAACAGACGGGAACAAGGGGTACTTACCAGTACTCCGCGTAGGCAGAACTTGTTGTGTCAGGACCAGTCTCCACCCTACTACACGAGAGACACGCACAGGAGGGAAAAAAATAAGTTGGCGCTTGTCCGAGTTTCATGTGCACTGAAGATGGGCATACCCACTGAATGAGATGGATTTCGCAGTCAAAATTTCGGTAAAATGGTGCACTGCTATCGTCGTCCTTAGGTACGCTTTTCATCGAAAACTTTTATCAAGTGACTATATCCCGTTGATCACAACACGAGACAACAACGATTACCAACACATGATCATGTATCTGCATCTTGGCTAATTTTTGATGCCTTCCACAATCTTTTGCCGCAGTAACCGTAGAGCAAGCTTTAGGCGAGCAAAGCTTTGCTCAATCAAGGATGGAGTGCTCAAGATACTCGGGATGCTTAGCGGCCATTGGCAGTTGGCCAAGATAGTCAAGCCGGCACAAGAAACTAGACAAGACTAGACAAGGGAGCTCGGGCGTCGATACCCCGATGGATCCCCGGAACTAGACCGTCATCATGCTTTTTCCCTGAAACCTCAGGGTTACAACGCTGATCTAGAGGGGACCCGTAGATCAACTCTGGAATTTCCATAATTGTCTAGATCATGGCCGCAGTCACCAACGACAGGTACCCAGAAGCAAGATATCTCCAGGCCAAGTTACAATACCGGTCGTTATGTGGAGACTCTCCCTGTCTGTGGAGTTGTCATTCTCGGTCCTGATATGATATGAATATTTGTACCATGCTCAGCTACCAAGCCTAGGGCCTGTCAGAAAGACGGGACCCCATGGAGTCTTTCTGTGAGCGATCGTCTCTCCCCCCGCTCTTGGGGGGAAATGTGTATTGTGGGTATCAAAGCTCGACTGATAAAGTCCCGCAGGTCAGCACAGACTCTTGAATTCTCTTCTGATTCCTCATGTTCCTCGAGGGATAGAAAGCCCGCATCTCGCAAAGATGGCGTCCGAAACTACCCCCATTCCTCGCGGCGAGGAAAACTTGTAAGCTATGATATCAAAGCCTCATATAGACCTCCTGCTGACCCGCACAGTGGTGAAGATGAGAAGAAGATCGTTGAGAAGCACGAAACAACCCCAATTGACCTAGAGAATAGCACCGCGGCAAAGTAAGTCCAAAAGGGCGTTCGCGCCTCCGGCAGGGGTGGACGGATGGACGGACGTTGGCGCTCATATCCTTTCCAGGATCAAAAACCCTCTTGCCCATCTCTCAAATGAGGAGGTCATCAAAGACGTGGAGGAATTTGCGGACATCAACGGTTTCTCGGACCTGACACCGATGCTCATCAAAGGTGCTCTTGTCGCAAAGGATCCACCAGCATTTGAATCGGTTCCCGGTCTCACGGAGCCTGAAAAGGAGGCCATCAGGAATGAAGTGCTGCACAAATGGCGTCAACCTAGGGCTTTGTACTTCACCATCATTCTCTGCTCCATCGGCGCCGCAGTCCAAGGTTGGGATCAAACTGGTTCCAATGGGGCCAACCTTTCTTTCCCAGATGCTTTGGGTGTGCCAGTTTCTGATGAGTTGGCCGATGGGTCTCCAAATCCCCATGCTTCCCGCAATCAATGGTATCAAGGATTGGTTAATGCTGGACCATACATTGCTTCTGCTTTCATGTGAGGTACCCTTGGATCCCCGGATACGCTGAAATACGTGCTGACATTCCTCCAGCGGTTGTTGGTGCTCTGATCCTTTGAACAACTATTTCGGTCGTCGAGGTACGATCTTCGTCTCTGCCGTTTTCTGTTTCCTAAGTCCAATTGGCAGCGCTGTCGCACAAAGTAAGTGTTGATCTCTAGATCTTCGAACGTGTCAAATTTGCTTACGAAGATAAGCCTGGGAACAACTTTTGGTCACCAGACTCCTGCTCGGTATTGGTATGGGCTGCAAAGGTTCTACCGTTCCTATCTTTAGCGCCGAGAATGCCCCAGCAGCTGTTCGTGGCGGTCTCGTCATGAGTTGGCAGATGTGGACAGCTTTTGGTATCTTTTTGGGTACTTGTGCCAATCTGGCTGTTAAGGATACTGGTGACATATCCTGGCGTCTTCAATTTGGCTCTGCTTTGATTCCCGCCTTGCCACTTCTGGTTGGAATCTATTTCTGTCCAGGTATGAAATTCGCTACCCACTCCCATTTTACTTTTTTCCCCTATCGCCCTAACCAAATCAGAATCACCTCGTTGGTATATCAAGAAAGGCAGATATCTCAAGGCTTTCCAATCTCTCAAGAGACTCAGGAACACCGAGCTTCAAGCCGCTCGCGATTTGTACTACATCTTCGCTCAACTTCGAATGGAAGCAACTTTGGTCAAGACGGACAACAACTATGTCACTCGCTTCATTCAACTTTTTACGATCCCACGAGTTCGTCGTGCGACTCTGGCTTCTTTCACAGTCATGATCGCCCAACAGATGTGCGGAAGTAAGTTGATTCGAGCCCTGAAATTAAAGACTTAAAAACTAATTCGTTCCCCAGTCAATATCATTGCCTTTTACAGCTCTACTGTCTTCGAGCAGGCCGGTGCATCCACAACAGAGTCATTGCTTGCGTCCTGGGGATTCGGCTTGGTCAACTTTGTCTTTGCATGGCCTGCAATTTGGACTATCGACACTTTCGGTCGTCGATCTTTACTCCTGTTCACATTCCCACAAATGGCTTGGACGTTGCTCGCTGCTGGTCTCTGTTATTTGATCCCCGAGGAGAATACCGCACATTTGGGTCTTGTGGCATTGTTCATCTACATTGTACGCCAAATCTTCGACGCTCTGGTTGGGTATCCAAACGCTAACTATCTCTTTAGTTTGCCGCATTCTATTCTCCGGGTGAAGGTCCGGTGCCTTTTACTTATTCCGCCGAAGTCTTTCCACTGTCACATCGTGAGGTTGGTATGGCTTGGGCTGTTGCAACTTGCTTGTTCTGGGCCGCTGTTCTTTCTATCACGTTCCCTCGGATGCTTGCAGCCATGACTCCCACTGGTGCATTCGGCTTTTACGCTGGATTGAATGTCTGTGCCCTGGTCATGATTTTCTTCTGGTTGCCAGAGACGAAACAACGTACATTGGTATGTATCAAGCTTTTTTAAACGGTTCGAGCATCGCATCTAACTTGCGATTGTAGGAGGAACTCGATTACATCTTTGCGATTCCCACTCGCACCTTCATGAAGCATCAACTTGGTACCGTTTTGCCGTGGTGGATCAAGACAGCCATCTTCCGACGCAAGATTGGTCCTTGCCCAGCACTGTGGTCATTTGAAGGCCACGTTGATAATGACCAGGAATTCATTGAAACAATTCGTCGTCAAAGCGAGGCCGTTCGGGGTCGTCGCCGAAGCAGTGTTGTGAACAGAATCGCCAACAAGTTCTAAAATATCTCACCTTTTGGGACTTCCCCAAAAAGGGGGAGGAGGGGGAGAGAGGAGGAAGAAAGGCGTGGTGTAACGACAAGTACAAAAGTCCCACTATTGTGCTGCAACTTTCGTTCAACCAACAGATTTCAAGACTGGAAAGAATTGACAAGGATCAACTCAAATCTTTAGAGACTTGAAGAAATCCTCACGAGATATATGACAGGAGGTTGAATACTTACCTATATTCAGCATCATCAGAGCCATTGATCTTGTCCCGCCCTTGTTCCGATTCGTAGTCAACTAACGAGCAGAAAAGAATGGCAGTACAAAAGTGTAGGACCACACTCTCGGTTCCCTCCAGCCTCGATCTATCGCTCCGAAACTTCTCTATGCTAGGGATTTGAGTAGACACGTTGATTGGCTTGATCGTTTCAAGTGGACTTGGTTGCTGATTGGTGATCCCTTCTAATTTTTGGAGAAATATAGATAAATTGCCTGCCTTGAAGAGAAACTTCACTGAGAGCATGGAAGGTTTTCGGAACAAATTGTATGGTACCGAGGAAAAGATCTTGTGGGATGAAGCCGAATTGCCATAGAAGAAGAGACTCTTTTCGCAGTGAGCATGATACTATTGTTGGACTCTAGACGGCCGACAAATCCCGTGTCTCCAAAAATGTACTGGTCTTTTTCCTGGCTAGAAAAAAATCAATGCTGACCGGGCACACATTGTGAATACCCATGGACTCATTGTCCGGGTGTTTTGTCCAATGCCATGTTACATCAAATGTTGAGCCATTGTCTTCCAACCTTCAAATATGGGAAGCCTATATCGTCGTACAGGAGAAGCTTGAACCATCATTTTCCCATGGATTGTTGTAGTCTGAATGGCGACAGTTGTTGCGCATACCTTCCAAAACAGCACTCACAAACGTAGGGCCATACTGTCGAATTGTGATAGCTTGTATCATCATATTTGCCACATTTTCGTCATCGATTGCGCTGCGACATGGCTAGTCAACAGTGTAAGCACAAAACGCCTGCAACTCGCTCGCCCCATGAGTTGAGAAAGTGTCCAGAATACAAACAGAAGTCTTCGAAAGCTTCTGGAATCTCATTATGTGGAATAAGACCATGGAAACGCATATGGAAATTGAACCTTGAGGCATGTCGGGTGTGGGCTTACCATCGTTGCCATGTGATATTGTAGGGGGATCATGTACAATTTGGTTGGTGATCAGGCTCGTTGGACATTGGCATAAAGTTCGAGGATGCAAGGTTTCTGACGAGGTGATCTGTATTGATTGGGTAAGGCTAATGATTCGTACGCAATAGTAAGAATTGTGCTCTCTTGCGAGCCATTCAATGGCCATCACGGACCTCTGAGAATCTTCGCCCCATTTTTGAGAGGCCATTGAATCTTGCTTGCCGTCGCTCTCCTTGATTCTGTCTCAACATCAGTGATGTCATCAAGTCGGCCTGGTCATTGTGAACGATCCCTTGTGCTAATCAAAGGCTCCAATAACAGGACCCAAGATTGGCAGCGCCCGGAAGTGTCCGGGTGTTTGCTTGCTACGTCATACACCAGCCTTGAAAACAGCGACAAAAATGATTCTGCTTCCACGGACTGTTCAAAGCTTAATTTGTCTTCCCAGTGAATGCACAAAACTGAATCAAATATCCATTACCATAATCCAGAAGACAAGCTCGAGTTCCTACACCATGGCTGAAAATGTACATCGGGAATCCCAGGAGATTGTTGATGATATTAAGTCGGGTCTCCATGGCATCCACGGCACCGGCGAAGCTATTCGTGGCGGAGCAATGGAAGCACTTGACACAGCTTTCCACAAACAAGATGGAGAAGCCCAAAATAGGGAGACTGCCGAACGAGGAATCGCAGAAATGAGAAGAGCTAAGGATCGATTCGAGGAGAGGCATCATCACCATATGGAACCTGGGCATAGCCAGGGACATTCCCATCCGCGAAGCCACGGACAAGGGAGTCATTTTGCCCATACTCACGATGAAGGAGAATCTGGCGGGACGAATTGTGGTTCATCCGACCTTGGCGTTGGGTTAGAAGAGGGTGACAGGCCTGAGAGCTGCTAGGCTGGTAACGCTGGGTCCGAACAGGCCTTAGAGCGAAGCGTTTGGGTGGAAGGGTATACCGAGGTGTCTCCTGAAGAGGCTTCGTTTCTCGATGTTCTGTTGACATTTTTTTGGTACGTATGTTGGCCAGTCACGTGGTGCATTGCCTTGGCAACGTCACGTGAGGAATTTGGCGTGGCAACTTGCACCTTCCTTTCAGTCTTCTCTCTTGTTAGATAACACATTCCTTCTCTAGATTCCACAGTCTATCACGTGGCTTTAACTAGAGTGGCAAATCAATCCACCAACTTCAGAGAATCAGGTTGATTGGTTGTCAACCGAAATGCACGTCCACCGTTGATTGAATTGAGGATTGTTGCCAAGCCATATCCTTACGTGATTGGCCAATACCGTGGCCTTAGCAAGTCTTGGCGCTTTACGGACTGACTCATCGGATCTGATCCATGGACAACCTCTCCCCCGGCCACTTGGTCCACAGACTGGATCTGATGGTTGGTGGCCCGGAAAATATTTAATCCGTTGGGATAGGTGCTCTACGCTCGATTACGAGTGTGATCGGTAGAGTAAGCTGCTGGGGAATTTCCCGCCGAATTTGGCGGCTAGTGCCGCCGCTTTAGGAGGTTTCTTTCTTAATGCCAAGGTCGCTGCGCGCGTCTCCTTAGATTGACTTGCGTTATCATGCGTCACGCATCGCCCTCCCCTTGGAGGCCCAAACCCTGTGAGGTCGACTCTTAAAACCAGTTGAGCTCCATTAAAGAAGATGCAGATGGTAGTCAGTTCGGCTGCCCTCCATCAATTGTGGTGTATCAGCGATGAGCCATCAGCCGACTAGTAACGGTCCGGTCTGTCAGTGCAGGGTTTTCAAGTGGGCCTCCCTTCGGAGTGCTGAAGGTTACCTCCTGCACTAAGACTGGCCCTCGCTTTAGACCGCGGCCTTGACGTGTGATATATGCCGACGGATCTTCGAGCACCTGAGTTACGCCATTGCGGACGCATATGAAACAACGTTCAATCAGGAGCCTGGAATAATCCATCACAGATCAAAGACACCAACCTCGACTCACCAATCCAATCCCCCAGAAGAATGGTATGAATCTTTCACTACGTCGATAGTCCTTCACAAAAGCTTGCCCTTCGATCCTGGTGTGGCGAGAGGCGGACCCCGCCTACTACGCCGAAAACCACTGGATGGGTCCTTTCTCCAGGTCCAATGTGGCCGTGCAGCATTCAGCACACTTAACGTCAATGCGGCGAGGCTTCGAGAAGCGGAGTCGACGTATATAAGTCATACCTGGAGAGGCCCGGAAAACATGGTGATCAAGTCCTCTCGGGGGTTCCATGCCGTTGTCTGTGTACCCATTTATGTCTATTCTGGTTCGATCAAAGACTAGATCAAGAATCTTGGCCCCATACTAACATTTGTCAAGCGATCCGCTCGAGAAGCAGGGATTTCAAGACTTGGTGCGAACCCTATGGATGTAAGTGTTGCTGAAAGGGTCAAAGATTGGATGGGCCATTACTTGAAGACGCATTTGGAGTGCCGCGCATTCGAACCCAGGCTCAGAGTGTATCCGACAAGGCTCCTAGACCTTCGAGAGGTTGCACAGACAGGACTGGTCCAGATCATTCCGGTGCCCAAAGGATTTGAGGCCGACTATCTGAGAATTGTACGGTCGGGTTTTCTCAAGGAACGGTCGTTGTTATAACGTGAAGGCGCAGTTATGCTTATCATCGGAGATGATGGAAATATGGGCCACGCGCATCTTGGCGCTCCTGGTACCGATCTTCAGACACTTGTTGGCCGTGGCCCGGTCGCTCAGCGGGCTTGGTGTCCCCAAGAGCGGCAGCTGGCTCCACCCGTGCTCCATATCGGCCAAGCCGAAGTTTTCTTAGAGTGCGTTCGATGTCGCAGGTATGAGAGCGAAAGCATTCCCGGTCAGGAATTCGATCCCAAACACGATGGAAATTACCTCTTCGTCCCGGACATGAATTCCCATGGTGAGTTTGGAGGCAAGCCTACTAGCCACGTACGTAACGTGCTCTCGTGGTACGTTGTCGTTCAGGACTACACGGGTCGGAGCCTTTTCGATACCGGGGATAAACTCATTGCGATCGCGGGGCTCGCGAAACGCGTGCAACCAGTTGTCGGAGGCGATTATCTTGCGGGTATTTGGAGGAGCAACATCCATGTTGGGCTTACCTGGATGATAGAAGAAACAGCTTCTGCGATGAGAGCCCCGGTGTCGCCTTACCGTGCCCCATCATGGTCCTGGGCAAGCATGGACGGCCCTGTCCGCTGGAAGGACCTCGACCATGACATCGTATCAAAAGGTGAATCGTTGAAGTCCGCGATGGACATTATGGACACCACAGTAAGTTTGGCTGGGACCGATCCCTTTGGCGCAGTCGTATATGCGGAACTTGTCGTCTCGGGTCAACTGAGAAGCACCTTATCGGACATGCTCCTGCATAATGAGGTGTTGGATTATTCTACGTGGGAGCGTACAGGTCTCTATTATCCGCCGTCTGTGGGAGGCTGGTATATGGAAGATGAAAAGAGGCCTTGGCAAGATGAAGAGAGAATTTGTCTGAAGATTATGACCCGAGCCGTATACGGGCTGAGTCAAGAACTGGTGCATGATATCCTGATATTAGAACGTGTACAGAGCATGAATGATGACGATGAAGCTGACGGTGACGGTCTCGAAACATACAGGAGGATCGGCTATGGTGAAATAATGGTTGCCGACTACTTTGTTGACTGTCCTGCAAGAACAGTCAGAGGATGATTTAAAAATCCCCGAGGCCTCTCACGATGGTCGTCGTGGTCGTCCGAACATTCGCTCACCGAGCTTCGGTTCGTCTCGCGCTCGCGACGGACCATCGGACTTTTGACGAGGCTATATCAATCACGAGGAAAAGTCGGCAGACAGAGTCAAAAACACACAACATGGTAAGCGGTTAAGTGTGATGATTTGTAGTGTCAACTATACACCCTGTTCACTGCTTGGAGAAGTGCCAATGATGTGTCTCCAGAACTTTATCCAGCGACTGGCGCTAATCACCGTCAGAAACCCTGGCCGTGAATCCCTTAGACATCAATTCCAAAGGGATCATTGTGACGATCGTGGTGTCTGTTGTATTCCATCCAGATTGAAATGTCTTTGGCAATTTCCTCCCCATGAATATGCTTCACGAAGGCAAATATCAAGTCAATCCCCGAAGCAACTCCTGAAGACGTCCACACTTTCCCGTCCTCTGTCCACCTGGCCCTTGGCTGCCAGTGAACCTCTGGCCGCCAATGTGGGATCACATCCCATGCTCCCTTAAACAATGTTGCCTTCTTACCGTCAAGAAGACCGCTTTGAGACAGTATGCCGGAACCTGTGCAGACGGTGAGTATATATTGAAGTTCTGGGAATCGAGCCAAGGCGAATTTGACGATGGGTTGGACCACTGCTGCATTCGGTTTTCCAGGCCTTTCCGGATCAAAGGAGCCCATACCTCCCGGAATAATGAGGACGTCAAGTTCGGGTGCTGTATCGAAAGTATGGGTTGGCTGCAAGGTTTGGGAAGTGGTGAATTGCGCCATTCCCATGTTGGCAGGCCATACCTTCGGGAGGGTCGACTTAGGTGAGAGATCCTCAGCAATAAGGGAGAGGCTTATTCCCTCGACGCGGGTTGAGAGAACATTCAGGACATCAACCGGCCCAGCAACGTCGATGAGCTGGAAGCCATCGAACAGTACCATTCCAAATCTCTTGGGCGGGCTAGCCATGTCGAGTGATATCTGTATCGTTTCGTGAAGGCGGATTGATCCAAATTCTAGCAACGTCAGTAGAAGGTGCTTTACAGACTTGTCGAAATCAATGACGATTTTTTGCGAAGAAACTAGCCTTAAGTACCAGACTAACTCGCGGAGCCCTGGACTATGTAAGCAAGTCACACGTATGAGCCCAACTTCGGAGAGGAAGAGCACAGACCCTATTACAGGCCTGGGGCTTTCGCGGTGGGCCAATATGTTATCCGGATGCCCGTGGCTACATGTGTTGATTGAGTAAGCAGCGAACAAACCCCTGTTCCTACACGCTCTCAGACGCAACTTGTGAGCGAGGTGCTTCCGAAATGGATATTCATTGGCGTACACTCTCGCTGATGTCCCTTACCCCGCTTTTTCAAGTTCTTTCCGCCTCAGTCCCTGGTGACAAGTATCTTCGATACCTGACAAAGGCCGTTGAATGTCAGTCATGATCCTATGCCGACATGTTGTGGTCAACTCATTCTGTTTGTGGCTAAATGTATCATTCTTCTCTTCTCGAAAGAGAAATCTTACACAAGGTTTATTCGACCAAGACAACGAATGAATTTGCATGGATGGGAGCTAGGGATTTGGTATCACTTAGTTTCTGCATTGTGAGATCTCTTGTACTTGGAAGAGAACGCGGAAACTGCACATTTGCATACAAGACCGCTGAGGAGATCTCACTCAATGAATTCGACCTTTACGAACCTCCTTGGGGTCATTCTTTTGGTCGGCTCGTCGATTGCAACGAAACATTCGCATTTGCTGTCCTTGCCTCCCTGGAGCAAACCCTTAGTTTGCTGGGGGCAACTGGTGTGTCATAAATTCCTTCTCGACGGTACCGTGAGTTTGGCATCTCTTGAATTGTTGCCGTCCGTCCTCAAACCAGCTCTTCTCATAAGATGATTGTGGTATGGTGTACGAAGTCCAATAGCCTGATGATACGTCCATCAGATGATTATACTTGTCCCACGCAGCAATTTGGAGGATTAATGATTTTTCTCCGTCCAAGTCACCTGTTCACCCCACAACCCTTTGGTACGGTCATTTCCAGTGGCAGTGATCCACGTCGCGAGCTTGACACCGCTATATATGTCTCGCACACTTCCAGATGCGGGTCTATCTGATGTTGAGTTGCTGGATCACTACTGGTTTATGACCTCCACGCATGTTATGACAGACCTAGACCTACATCTTATGTGGGACATAGACATTCCTCACAAGGCACCAAATCATCCTTATCTCATACATGGGATCGTCGCTATTTCAGCTCTGCACTTGACTTCCATGACTCCGATGTTGCTCGTGTCAGAATGAAATCATTACCTGGACAAAGCCAGTGCGTATCAGCAAAAGGGTCTCTCAACATTCATTCCGCATCTTAGCGCCATAGACAATAAATCTTGCCATCCTCTGTTCGGATTCTCGGTCTACTTACGGAAATATCGTTCTGTTTTATTCAAAATACGGAAGCCGAGCGCGAGCCTAATGCAGACGATTTCATAAGCAGGATGATCAGTACTTTTAACTTCCTCCTTGGTACAATAGCCCATTATACGAGAATCTGGTGCCGTTGTTGGAAGGGAGCTCTCTCCGTTGGTGAGTCCACTAGGGGCTAGAGTTCTGCCGCTGAAAGCTGTACCTATCTTGGGCGACGGGGCTCAAGCTGCGCTGAACAGCTTTGCTTTGGGCATTGGAGACATGCTAGATCTCGGCAGCGCACAGGGCCATTCAACAACTTTTGGTTTGGGGAACTTTTTCCGACTATATCCAGTCTCGGTTTCGCATTTGGATGCATGGATCGCCCGCGACCGAATACTACTGGGTTAGTCGCCTGGATAATCTATGTTCATCCCTCGTACACTACCACATTGAAACGAGGACACCCAGCAGCGCTTGTTATCTTCGCTTATTATGCTGCAGTACTTCATGCGGTGGATTATGCGTGGTGGTTGCAAGGCCTTGGATATTGCCTGAACCGGTCAATCAGAGATTGCCTCATGGGAACAAACAAAAAGTGGACAGAACTCCTCTGTTGGCCGCTGAAAAAGATTGAAGAGCTGCATTGGGGACCAATGAGAGACCGTGAACCATGGAGACACATTCTGGGAGGAGCGCGTATCTTCAAGCCCCCTAGCATTTACCAGAACCCTGACGACAGAGTCTGCGCCAGATTTGGCCCTCTCCAGTACCGCATGACCATGTTTAGTCGCGATGGGAGGAACAAAGATCTGGGATGAGTGTCAAAAATTACCTCTGCCTCTGCTCGGCATCTCTTCTGTTCCGCATGAGCATATTGCAGGAGAGACGGTTGAACGGTTGGAGTATGTAGCTCTGGATTAATCATGGCCGAAATCTTGAGGTTCATCGCGCTTACTGAGACGAATGCGAGCTTCACTAGTCATGGCTGCAACAGACAGACCAGGCAGCGCGTGCTATTCGTGTAACGATGAGCGCTTATGACAGGGAACCTTTTGTCCGTCCCTTGACTATTTATTCTGGCTTTGAAGACCTTTGTTGTCTCGTTATTCGCAATAGATGCTTGTCAAACTGGAGGTGCAAATTGAGATGTATTGAATGCTCTGTCTTCCTGCAACCGGTCCTGCCAGGCTGCTGGTATTTATACATGCTTGGTCAACTCCTTTTCTTCCCCTATTTCTCCCCTTTGTCCTACGTAGGGTGATAACCCTTTTCCAAGTGAAGGGTTACTGTCATTGTTCAACAATTCCATACCTCCGACTTCGAACAATAACTACACAATATGAGACCTGCCCCTTTCTTTCTCGCGAGTATCGCGACATTCTTGTTCGCCCTGTGCATAATTCGTCCTTCGGTAGCGCGAATTGTTGGATGCGACGGGGAGGGGCATTGACTGCTATACTGATAGCAAGGACGCGAAAGGAATCTGCCAACCAAAACTCACCAATAACGGCGTCGGTGTCGCGTCGTTCAGTAGCAACAACAACACCTCAGGCGGGCCCCTGACATGGATGCTGACGATATCTGACGAGACACCGGTGGGCAATGAATACAGTGAACGGTCCTTCTGGCTCGGCACCCCGCCTTCGCTTAACGTCAGTGACATTTCAGACTTCGGAGGCTGCTCTATGTTCATGCGCAATTTGACTGGCGCTCTTCAGCTCCCGCCAGGATTCAGCGATTATGGGAACTTCGGGTGCGGCACCGTTATGGGTGGGAGCTGCGTTCAAGACCTTGTCTCCCGTTTCCACGGAGAGCTAGTCGATATTGTTCAAGCCGACGCTCTTGGTGGTCATGCGTCTCCATGTGCCTTGATTATGGAGAGGCTTTAGGGAATACCATTTCCGGATAGCTGCGAGCAGCGATTCAGAGCAGAAGAGTCTGTCACCGATCAGTATCACTTTGAGAACGTGGTGGGTATGTTTATGACCTACGCCGACATTGTTTTTGCATATGTGCAGATGCTGACGTCTCGATCTCTGCTACAGAGATCATTAGTAGGGATGGGTTTGGATACCAACAACAAGACGGCTGTGTCGTAACTACTGGTGGGCCAGACTATCTTGTCAACTACGGCCCAAGGGATGCTGAGTTCGGGAAGTCGGACAGCGACCTCATCATAGGCCTTGACATAGGCCGGGTCGGGCTGGGTTTTCGCCCCCCTTGGCCCGCCCGAACGGGTTTTCGGGTCAATCAAGGCCTGACCCAAACCCGACCCATAAACCCGTTCACTTGGGTCGGGTCGGGTCGGGTCAACCCAAAGTATAATTATTGTAATAGTTACTTGTATTGGATTACGCGCATTATGTCATCCTGTATTTAATTAAACTCTGGGCGACCCCAACGGGTTTTGGGCCAAAAGAATAATAGCCCCAAACCCGCCTACATTAGGTCTTGACTGGCTTCGTCAGGTTATTGACCGTGCAACTAAAGAAAAGACCTCCGTACGAGACCGGCGTTTACTTATTGTTGATGGACATAGTAGTCATGTCAATCTACCATTCATTGAGTACGCGGACGCGAATCGCATACTTCTCGCTGTAACACCCATCACGCCACGAATTCCCAGCCACTGCAAAGGTGGCAGGAAGGGGGCTGGGCGTTAGAAGGAGGCAGGAAGATGAACGGATCGAAGGTATAAGAAGAGCCTTCGAACCCTTAGGTAGAGGACAGGTTTCAGTACATTACTATTCTTCACCCTACCTTGTGCACTCGCAACGGTTTATGATCCTTCTCTCTACACCCCTCGTAACAGATCCTTACCCTTCGTTGGTATCGTTGTTACATCCTTCGCTGCCATCAGATCCTCTCTGTGGTTGTTGCTTATACCACCTGGGTGCATACCTCAGGTAAGTCATCCTTTGTAAACTACATCAGAATTTCAGGCGGCGTTTCCATTGGCATCTTCCTTGCCTTACAACTCCTGCGAATTTTGTGGGTACACCGCTTCTTTCTACATGATTTACCGCGGGCAGAAGTACGCGTGGAGTCAAATCATGTAGTCATAAGACTTTTTGTTCCTTTCAAGATGGCTATTGATCCTGGCCAATACATCAATATCTGGATCCCGGGTATGGGTCTGAGATCTTTCTTCCAATCACATCCATTCGTCGTAGCAAACTTTCGTCCTCAGAAAACCAGTCAGGTATTAACTTTAATGATTGAGCGTGGTAAGGGATGGTCCCACCGACTGTCTGGGCGAAGAATGAGCCAGAAGCCTTACCGAGTACTGTTCACGGGCCCTCATGGTTATCCTATGCCACTCCATGACTATGGTACCGTTATTATGGTCGCCTCTTGCTTCGGTCTCGTTGCGCATTTGCCTTACCTGCAACACTTGATAGAATGCCACCACCAGGGTACAGCGCTTGCCCGAAAAGTCCATCTCATATGGCAGCTTGAAAGTATCAGTTAGTTATTCACATATCTCTAAACCATCCCAATTTGTGCTTGTCGTACTGACTTCAGCAGATGATGGGCGAAGCCTGGAGCATCCACTGAACGAACTTTTAGCTCAAGATAAGGATCATCCGGTCATTCTAGGACCCCTAATTTTCCACATAATGCTGACAGTGACAGATTCTGTGCGTTTCCATATACTATACATCAGGTAGTGTGGATCCAAAAAATCAGCGTTGGGGCTCGCACGGTCGGGTGCGGTTTCTTCCCGCTCCTCCAGACTGGGTACAAGTGATCCATTCCGTTTCTAACAACCATAATGATCAAACGCCGAGAAATGCATCCATGAACGCGGCTCAGTTGACAGAGAAATCTAGCCACAGCAGCGGCTCTGATAACGGACGACAACGTAGTGCATTTAGAGATTTGCATCGTCGGACTGTGGTAACTGGTAAGCGAGATCTTCGTCAAGTTTTCTGGTTGAAATGAATTGACTGGTCTCAGTTTCCGCTAGTTCAGCTGTACGTGACCAAGTGCAAAACGCGGTAGCACTTGGAGGGAACGCGGAGTTGATTGACTTGGACTTTCAGCCAATGGATCACTAGAGTGTGCATGAAGATATGGCCGGCGGCCAAAGAAGATAGCGCAAAGGCATGTTGTAGCACATTATGATCATCGAGAGACTTTTCACCAAAAGCAACCTAGGTAAGCAAAGCTTTATAGACTAGCCAAATTAGATGATTCCAGAATGACTTTCAAATTTTCAAATCAATAGCAAGACATATCTTGGCGCAAGCATTACCCTTTTGCAAATGTAGAAGAGTTTACTGTTTAGTAGGTACAATGAAAGTAATGTATTTATATCTCGTGTTCTATCATTTCACATATTGTACAACATGCGAGTGATTTGTGGATTGGCCCGGATTGTTACAATACAATAGCTAATCACCCAGCCCACTTCCGCTTGACACCTCTTTATCATGTACAAGTCGCTTCAAATTCCATGCATCCAAGATCTCTGATCGAGAACGGGACCCAACCCGCACGACGCCGAGCTTATATCCACTCAATCGCTCTAAGAGCTGATCTAGAGCATGGTTTGTATGGGAAACACAGACCACTAGACCTAAGTCGGCACTCACCATCGCCTTTGCCAGCACTCGCACGATCCCAGATACAGCGAAACTTTTCCCTGCTCCCGGGGGCCCGTGAATCAAAGCTACCACATGTTGTAAGGAGTGAAGAAGGGCATCTGCTTGCGATACGTCCAAAATGGTCGAACGGTAGACCTGAGCTCGATCGAAGTCCTCTCCAACTGTGAATGACATCGATTGCGAGTCTCGTAGCACATCTGTCAAGGTAAAGTGCGAGCGTAGGCTGGTGGTGGAATAGTTACCAAATCGTCCTTAGGCTAGGATGAGTGTTGAGAAGCCACGGCTCGAGAGGAGAGCTTGGTACATCAAACCAGCCTTGCAAAATACACAAAGTTGGTTCGAATGCACCTGAAATCAAACATGACGTGTCCACCAGAATCAGTTCCTTGGCCAACCGAAGTGTACGCACAAGAAAACGAAGGATATCTTCATGAACATCGATTATGGATATGGCAAAGGTAACGTCGCATGGATAGGCTTTCACGTTCCCCTTTTCAACATGATTTTGGTTTGAAACAGAGTCACACTGCCACATCACATCGCGAAACCTTTAGCAGGATTTACTGTAGAGCCTCTCCATTGTGCCGAAGGTAAGAGCTTCGCCTGGTGCCAAGAGACAAATCAAATGGCCGTTGAGAGGTGTGAAAGGAAGATTGGTAGCTGCCGTACCGTTTCGACCTCTGGGCCGAGTAGCCGAAATGATGCGCAGCTCTAAGCCCAGACCTTTGGCAGGCGACAGACACAACCGCTCAATGGTTACACGCAGGGACCGAAACGGGGAGAGCACCTGCACGACCTCTTTCTTGCTCATTTCCAGATGCCACATGCTGTGCAAGCGACGGAGTGCTTGCCGTAACACATGGAAAGTGTTGATCCGTAGCTGGGATCGAAGCCTCTTGAGGTGTGTACCAAGCGCGGAAAGGGCAGGAGAATATTGCGGACCCGAAGATTGGTAAGACACTTCCTCTATTGACAACCATTCAGTATCGTGTACCATTGTGGCAGAGTGCATGGTCCAGAGTCCTTAACGGTCCAGAATCTGTCGGCAGTACAACGAAGTAAAATCGACATCCCGGCGTGGTGAAATACCCTGTGTGGTGAAATATACCTGTAGTATTTGAAGTGCCACTACGACTTACACACCACTTACTATTGTGATCGATTATCTTCCGGTCTCTCTGTGTTTTAAATTTATTATTCTACTACTATTCTATAATCTAGTATCATTTCTTAGTTTAAGTGCGAAGACTATAAGTGACAAAAGCTTTAATAGAGTAAACTATAACTGGTCACCTTAGTACCAAGGTTAGCTTCTCTTCTTTAGTGATAGACCAAGAATAACCATACCATGTCCAACTTCGGGATACGATGGGAGTGGATTATGCTGTTCGATAAAAACTTTTTGGTAGACATCTCCACTACCAAATAACCAGTCGATTATCTTGCTCCATTTCCTGGTCTTCCCGGCCACCTGCACGGACGCTTCCGCGGCTTTCGCCAATCGCTGGCCGAGCGACTGAATCTCCAGCCGCAGCTCTTTTACCAGCGCGACGGCCGAGAACAGTGACGTGTTTCCGCGAGCGGCGATCAGTTCAATCAAGTCGATTGCTGGCGACACGATGTGGATTTTGTGCTGTAGTTTCTGTTGGAGTCGGTAGAGTTCATTTCGGACGTTGCTCTTTGGCGTGCTGCTGAGCAGCTTGCTTGATTGGCGAATGGCGTATGATGCTGTTATGGTAACTCCCGAGCGGATGGCGTAGTTCATCGCCTGCTGGGTCACCTTGCCCAGGAAGACGTCCATTTTGCCTGGATCATTGGAGCTGGAGGATCTTGCGCCTTACTGCGCCCGCAAGTACTGAGCCCCCAGATCCATTAGGGGGAGGAAAGGACACGACAAAGGTAAAAGTTGTTGGAGGAAAGGGTCAGTGACGCGAGTTCATTGGTGTTGATCAAACAGGCGGGGGACGCTGCAGCCTTGCGCAGCGCGGCGCGTCATTGCATCTCAGCCTTGCCACGCTGAGTGACGTGGAGTACGGAAGTGCCCTAACTCACCCCTTGGGAACGCCATTGGGAACGAGGGGTTGTACTATGTTGATTAATTGTGAGGAATCAGGCTGAAAGGTATATGGATTACGATTACGCAACTCATCATCAGGATATCTTATTGCTCGCATCGCTCATTCTGTTCGTCCAGCAAGGAGAATATCGTAGAGAGAAGAACCTTAGAAGCGGCGATGTTCAATGCTCAATGTTCAAGCGGCCTCGACTGAGCGAGTCGCGCGTGAGCCCAGACTCATCAACATCTCCCACACGCCACACAAAGGAACGACTGAAACACCTCCAAAGTCAGACCACTGCGCTCGCAGGAGGACCATGACAGTAGTAAACATAACTACAAAACCTAATGCAAATAACATTGAAGATGTCAAATGAATTTTTCCTCCATCTATCTCATTGTATTCGAGCAGGGAGTCCGCAACAGATTCGGCATCAGCATCAGAGTCTATCCTGCAGAATCTATCCCCCACAAACAATAGACTTAACGACCGAATACGACTAGCGCGATCCCATCTACGGGATGCTGGATGCTGGATGCTGGATACTACAAGATTCAAATCAATCGGCAGGGTCGATTTCGATTCCAAAGGCATCGATACGAAATCGATACTAAGCGGTATCGATAAGGAATCACTAGAATCGATTCTTTTACTTGCACGTGACCAGAATCGATCCCTTTGTGATTTTACGGAGGACTTGTCCTATTTCGAAGGGTCCAGGGGACCGTCAGACTATATACTTTCGAAGCGTGTACGAAGCGTACAACGCTTCCGAAGGTCTTTACAAGCCTTGGCGTCGCCACATATCACACCTTGACCGACTTTTGAATTTATCATCTTCTTTTTCTTTTCGTACGATGCTTTCCCTTATAACATGGTCTCCGAAACAGATTCATTCTCCGTTCACGCTCGGTTACGAACCATCTCGAGTGTGATTAATAGAGCTTCTCTAGGTGGTCCACAGACTGGATCCGATGCGTGGATCATCTCGATATCAGGACGTCGACCTCTATCGAGTAGGACGCCCCTCGACCACATGGTCCACAGACTGGATCCGATGGCGGTGGTCTCTCATCAGATCCGATCCAGGGATCATCTCGATATCCAGGCTCGTTCGTTAACGCTCCGTTACGAGCCATCTCGAGTGTGATTAGTAAGGGCTTGGGTGGTCCACAGACTGGATCCGATGGCGGTGGTCTTTCATCGGATCCAATCCATGGATCATCTCGATATCGAGACTCGTCCGTTAACGGCCCGTTACGAGCAATTTCGAGTGTGACTAGTAGAGCTTGTCTGAGGCGGTCCATAGATTGGATCCGATGAAATACCACGACCCATCGGATCCAATCCATGAACCATGTCGACATCGAGGCTCGTCCGTTAACGCTCGGTTACGAACCATCTCGAGTATGACTAGTAGAGCTTATCTGAGGTAGTCCATAGACTGGATCCGATGGAGGGTGGCGGATTCCTCCCTAAGCTAGACCGGAATCGATTCAGTATCGGTTCAGTATCGATAAGAATCGATACCTCGGCAACAAGAATCGATACGGTATCGATCGCTTATTTAGCGAATCAAAATCGAGCCTGTCAATCGGTGTAGTCTCAATCATCACTGTGGATGAAAGAAGAGTCGTGAAACTGACGAGACACTCGCACTGACGCACTGACGCGTCCCGCGCAAAACACGGAATTGTCTGATGTCTAGATTGGGAGAATTCAATAATTGTTCCTCCGTCCGTACCACGCTCCAGCTCTGGGCCAGCACTCCTTCGCCCTCCCGGATGGTCAGGACCCCGGCGCAAAGCACAGTCCAGACGGTCTCCCGTGGGTGACCTCGCGATACACCTCCGGATTGTCCCACACAGGAAGGTCGTATATTGTCTTCGGAAACGCCATGGTTCTCGACGTGACATAGGTCAGGAACCGGCCGACCTTCTCGCGCGGGACTTGGGCTCCGTTTCGCTGGGAACTCGTTAGCCGCCCCCGGATCTCAGATGTCCTGAAAGACGACGTGCGAACGGCGAAAAAGAAAAGAGAAAACCACTTACGTCGACCACGCGCCAGTGGAGATTTCGGCGCAAAAACGGAATTACGTCCTCCGGGTCCAGCGACCGCAGCACCATGCCCTCCTCGGGCGTAGGCGGCTGCGTCTCGCGCGCCTCGACCATATCGACCAGCCGGCTCGTCAGCGGGACGGTGTCGCCGTAGATCGAGTCCTCTTCCAGTTGCTGTTGGCAATTCGGGCACTCGTCCGCCATGTTCTCGTCCACGTCGCGCGCCCAGATTGCTGATGCATCGACGAGGCTCGGGTCTTGAAACCAGTTGTCTTGGTTCGGCGTGAAATCGCCGATGAAGACGTACACGACAAACGTGCCCTTGAGGGCGAACCTGTGGCGGCGCGTCAGCGGCAGGGTCTCGGCCAGCAGTCCCTTGCTTTGGGCATTACTTTTCAACGTTGAAATTGAACGACCAGTGGCGCATTTTGCCGGCCCGCTGGAGATGCGCGGGAAACACGCGCCGGGGATCGCTATCACGAGATCGTTAGAATACTGATTGCTCCAGCAGTGACAGGGACGGGCTCACAAGTGTATGGCCTCCGGTTTCTTTGGCTTTTTATCCGAGGGAACGCCGGCGTCTGAATCAGCACGAACTGGTCAGCAAGGCACTTCGGCATCGGTGGTGTGCGAAGTGGATAAGCATACCTGCCATGATTCCAAAGAGTCCTGGTCCGGTTGCGTCGCTCAGGTCGTCCAGAGTAAGATCGTCGAAAGGGAATGCAACAGGCGTGCCATCTGACTTTTTCTTTGGAAACCAATCCATGGCGGAAAATTGCGGGATGGTCAAGAATTCCTTGCGCGTCTTTGTTTCCAGCTCTGTAAGTGTGGGTCCAGGTACCCACCCATAGAGGGCATTGACGAGGGCATTGGCAGACTTTGCGTCCTTTTCCCTTTTCAAATTATCGTCGTCTTTGGAAACACCGGGTAGATTGTCGTAAGCTGGGTAGTTAGCCGCCTATCCCTCCGTCCTCAAGGCTCAAGAGAAGTTGCGGCTTACAATATCCAAATTGTTCCCAATACCGGCTCTTCAATGTATTCCAATAGCGATCTTCGATTTTGTTGGCCACGCACGGATTTGTTCTCGGCGTCATGAAGGGTAGGAGTGGAGTTTCGGCGCTTTCTTTGCCAAGCGGCTTCATCCATTTGATGACTTCGGTTTTGTTGCTCCGCTTGATTTGAAAATCCGGGTCCCAATACTTTTGGGGATGGATGATCTAATAAAGGATTAGGGGCCGCCTTGGAGGCGAGAGATACCAAACACACCTGCCATAGGCACAACGTCCACTCATAAAACCCATGCTGAGGAAAGTTAAAGTCAGCACTCGGTCAAAACTAACCGCCTCAATGTTAGAACAATGGAGACCTACCAGGAGCCAGAATGCAGGATCGAAAGCAGATATATGGGGCAGAGTCATGGCGCCTTTTCCGTGCGGTTGCCCATCTGGGTTCATACCACCCAAAATGACGTGGTAGTTGTCGTGGATAGATTCGAAAGAGTCCTTTTCGTTTTCTGGTTTGGCTTCCACAAAAGGATTATCATCATCAAGGTGCACCGTCCTAGCGGTCGAAACCTGCTGGAACTCCTTATCGGGGAGGGTGAAAGTGCGATACAGCCTGTCCCTCATGGTTGAAAGAAAGCGATTGCCCTGGTCTGTAAGTTCCTTATGGCTCGTCTTGCCAGTAACCCCGGCATTTCTGGTGGTCCGAATAGGTTTTGAGCCTGCTACGGGGCCTAACTTGGCGAATTCAAGAACCCTTTTGTAACGTTTGCTCTCCTTCTTGGTAGTATTGATCTGGGTTTCCGGGAAGACGTACTGGTACAGCGGGTTTTGGATGTACTCATACTCTAGCTTATTTGGCCGGCGAACCTTGATGTAGGGGAGGGAGAGAGGCGGAGGAAGGCCATAGTCGAAATCTCCAGCACCAACGCCCTCACCTTTCCTCCACGGGCGACAGAAGTCCCAGTAGGGCAGACGGAGGGCCTTGAGCGCTTTGGTATCCTCATTCTTTTGGGCCTGTAATCTTTCATTCAATTCGGAATCCGCTGACCACGAGTCTACGATCTCCTTCGCAGCAGAGAGCAGGGTCTGCTCCATGAGGGCTAGGTAAGGCCGGTGCCATATGAGGAAGAGGGGGCTTCCGTGCACACAGTATCCGCCCGACGTTTTTGAATCACGAGGAGTTGATGGCCATATTCCGCTGAGGTCCGCCTTGCCCTTGCTGCAAGGAAACGGTCAGTCATTGCCTCGAACGTCCTCGGTGTAGACCCTGGAAGGGGCTGGGAGGTCGTACGCTGTTTTCTTTGCCCAGTCCTTCATTTGTAAGAAGCCTACACCCTGATACTCTACTTGGGGGAACCCGTGAAGACCTGGAGAAACACACCCGACATGAGCGTTGGCGGCCCACGACAAGGTACCAACAACCTGTCCACATAGACCCACTCACCCGCGAGATGGAAATATGACGAGAAGTCTTGATGAAACGCTTTGTCCTTTCGCAGCGGACTTGCGGGATCCGTGGGCAATTGCAGCTTCTCGAGCGCGAGCAGATAAAGGTTGAATTCGCCCACCCTCTTGATGATCCCTGTGCATCAGCCATCACGGCCTCGACATCGCACAATGAAAGCGGTACTTGCCTCTGTCGCCATATCAGTGATCTCATATCTCTTCTGGACACCAAACGGTGCGGTTTTGACCTCCCCCCTCTTCAGGAGCTCCCTCAAATCTGACCATACTACATTATCCGCCATGTTGGCGATGTTTGCGTCAACTTCCTTGTTGCAGGAACAGCTACGGTGGGAGAGGAACGCTGCTGCGGGGCAGACGAATTGTGACAAGAGGAGAGCAATGTCAAGGGAAGGAGAATTGGGCTGCCAGGATCTTCTTTCCCAGTCACCTAGCTCTGGTACTCTCTTGGGGTGCCACACAGTAGCAAGCACCCAGTCACTCACGCCCTGAAGTTGGTGAATGCCTTGTATGACAGAAACGACATCTTGGCATCAAGAAGCTGAATCACTTGTCTGTCAATTACTCGCTGCCAAGCCGTGAAGGAGGGGAGCTATGGAGGAGAGGGGGAGTCGAGCAAGGTTGGTCGTTCAGCTCTGAAGCCCGATGGATAAGGTCTTGGAACGAGATGCGAGGCTATTATCGTTACGGCGTAGCCAAGAAGGTTTGGAACCAGGACAGCAGAGTTAACTTCCGTGCTTGAATAATTTACATTGGCGACAGCATTCATGTAGACGAGGTACGATGATTGTGGTTCATACTGTCTGACATTGAAATTAACCAACGTACGACGTAAAGGAACAGTGCCAAGCCCACTAATAGTTAGGGTGTCGGTCTACGCGATGCTCTAATACCGCGTATTATACAGAGAATAATTTACCCTGAATTTTCTGTAATCATCCCGACCAAGGAGTACGGTACGATACACCGTAATATTACCTAAGTACCTTGGTACTTCACCCTTCTTCGGCTGGCCTGCAGGGACGGGCCCTTGGAATTTGTTCGTGGCGGCTCCATCTCGTGAACGTGTTCGGATATCCCGGCCTAAACGACTGCCCATGAACGGAACTTTACGATCGGACAGTGACAATTATGGCAATGCCCATCGACAGTCCACCTCCGTCACCGTTTCCCTACGCGTCCTCGTCCTCTGTCACATCCCTCTTCAACACCGTCGTCGTCTGCCACACGGGCGACACCACGCCACCCACCTCATACCTCTCGTACCAGTCGAGCACGACATAGCCCAGGAACTCGCGCTCGCGCTGGCCCTCGATGGTGACCCACTTCTTGATCTCACTGGTCGGCACCTCCACCTCGGACAGCCGGAACGAAAGGTCGGCGGCGCGCTGGTCGTCCATCCGAATGACTGGGTGCTCGGCCGCGCTGCGCGGCACCAGCCGCACCTGCAGCGCGTCGGGCGTGCGGTTTACGAACGGTACGAACCGCTGGTTGCTCAGCATGCGCGCCCCACCGCTCCAGTCCGGCCGCACCAGCGCGTCGGTCTTGCGACCGGTGTTGAGGGCCCGGTGGGGAATGTCGATCTGTACCTCGCGCAGCAGCTGGTTATTTCCAGCGACTTTGCGCGGGTCTTTGCGGACGACGAAGATCAGATCTGATGGACGTCAGTAGTGAACAGGGACAAGAACGGCAGGAGGTGTGTCGGATCGCGTACCTAGCAAGTATTTGTTTAGGGTCGGGATATAGTCGTTCGGCGCATATCCCGTCACATTGCTCGGCGGGTTCGAAATCCCCTTGTAGTAGGCATACGCTTGAAGGGTAAAGCACGCGCTTGACACCGCCCGGGTCGCAAAACCTTGCACGAGACCCTCGTCCGCAACAGCCAAGTCCTTCCGCATGACAATGGGAGGGCCTCTGCTCGGTGCGTCCGCCGGGACCGGGACAGGAGCCTGCCGCGTCGCTGGCTGCTTGGGCGGGCGGGGACGATCCTCAACGGGTTTCGTCGGAACCGCCGCCCTGGGCAGCGCGATTCCCATGACTTTGGCCTGCACCGGCTGCGTCCAGAGCTGCCGGAGTCGAGGCGTCCTGTTGGTGCTCTCGTCGTCCGTCTTTGGGTGGATGGCGAAGTAATACGCTGGGTCGTTCAGCACCATGGCCAACTCAGCTGAAGTGGCAACCCAGTCGCGGTACTTTCGCGAAGTTTCGGGGTCGCTGTCATCTGGATCGACGTACTTTGCCAGTTGGTCGTTGACATGTTCGGCCAAGGCGGTGGCATTGATTGCCCGCGTCTGTAGGTTCACGAAGTCATTGGGGTTACCGTCAAAACCAGCCTCTTCTTTCCACTCGCCGTCCGGGGGATTGTCCGTGTACAACTGTCGGAGGAGAAAACGAAACAGCTTTTTCTCGTCGTCCCACGCATAGCCAAAGGAAAACCGTTGCTGGTGAGGAGGCTGTGAAAGAACGATGCCTGAATTGTCAGGGTGATCCGCATCGAAGAGATGGAGTTCCTCTGGGGGCCGGTCGAGAAGGCATATGAGCGTAACGTCGTCAGGACGGAGCCATTGACACACCGGGGCTCGCGGATCCTCTTCGTCCTGGTTGTTCCATTTCAACTAGAAGCGCGTTAACGTAGATGGTAGGAGAGGGAGTGTTAATGTCTCACGTTGATCCGCAAATCAGGCATGCACTTGACAATCTGGCTGCGCAAAACAAACCCGTAATGTGGGATCTGCGGTTTTAACCCATCCGTGTCAGGGACCTCGGTGCTCAAGTACGTGTTGTAAAACTCCTTGATCTTTGTCTTAACAAGGTCGTCATCCCTAGACAGGTGGTTTCCCACGCTTAGCGCGCCATCGATCAGACAGTCCATCCATGCGTCATCGATGTAGAAGAACCTCAAAGATTCGTCGGGAATGTAGGACGGATCCGGGAACAGCCAGTGGGCGGGGATGTCTGCCAGATACAACTTGTCGGTGATCCATCTCAGGATCGTAGACCAGTCGGTATTGTTTTCGCCGTACACGTTGAACTCGTTGTATATTTCTGGTCCTGCCGAGCCAGCTTCTGCCACCGTGTCGGCAACAGTCACCTCCATGGCGGCCATGATGAGCGGGTCGTCTAGCCGGGAAACAACGCGGCGTCTCAACGGCGCTATCACTCGTCTGGGTTCAGAAACGTCGTCGTCGAGTAGGGAGTCGATGTTCCCGACGTTGTCTCGCATTCCACGGATCAGAGATATCTTACTCGGAACCTTGTTGACGGCCGACCGGGCATTCGATTCCGCCACGCCCTGGACGAAGCTGCGGAATCTTGTCAAGGCGCTGCTGAATGTGGTATCGGAGATTGCCAGGATCTTCCCGAGCTGCCATGCCGAGGAGTAGGAGAGATCCATGAAACCCGTCTTGCGATCCAAGATTTGGTAGCTCTTTGATGTCGTCGATCCGGTAGGCCAGTCGTGGCAAGGCACCTGTGGGACAGGCAACGGGACCAGCGGGCCGCGGTTGAAGGCGGCCGTTACTTCGCCCGTCTCGGCGCGCCATCTCGAGATTGTATAGCCCTTGTCGAAGCGCCTGGATAATGCTTTCCTGGCGTTGTTCTGGACGGCGGAAAGGGATGCAACGTCTTCTTCCATCGCGGTGATCATGCGCTGCGGTGGCTTCAGCATCTGCATGTACATGGGCGTGCCTTCTTCGATGTTCCGAACAATGGCCCTCATCGAGTCGACAAAGTTGACCGGGTCTGGGGGCAGAGCCGTATAGGTCCAGGAGAAGAGCGAAATGATGCCGATTCTTTCGTTCCCCCGAGGATCGCCGTCCGACCAGTTGGCAAAGTCCATGGCAAACGACCGATCGGCGTGTTCGAGCGAGACCAAGTGGCAGATCTGGGTCTTGGGAAGGTCTGGCGGATCAAATTCTAAGGCGCCCGTTCGACTCGAGATCACAATCGAGAAAAGACCGTTCTCCTCCACCCCGGCGTTGGGGAAACCTACGGTGTTGATGTTGCGCACATGGGCGAGGTATTTGTTGCCCTCGAGATCATGGCACAAGCTGCGAAACAGCTCTTTCCGAGGGAAAATGGCCTGGGTCGGTTGCTTGGACATTCGTCCGGACTTGATTGCGTTGAGGCTGTCCTCGTCGTCCCCGAAAGCTTCCTCGAACCGTATTCGGTTCCCCTGCGGTAGGGTAAAATACTCGGCCGCCGTCATGGAGAAGGCCCCGTTGGTCGGCTGATTCCCTGCGACAAATCCCTTGATCCCCAGGGCCGTCCCTTCTTCGGGGTCGAGGTGGAGCTCCTCGGGGTCGAACACGAGCAGCTTGACCCACGGAACCAGGTTGCGGTAGACGTACTGGTCCGGATCGGTGGTGGGCTCGCCGTCTTTATCGAGATGGACTTGCCCCGTCTCGTCGACGTCGGGGTCTCTTGGGCCCTGCAGTGACGGCGGATCCTTGTCTGCATCCTGGAGATTCCCCGCGTCCCGCTCCCACGGAAAGTGCGGGTCGTTGATCACGATGTGCGGAAGCACGCGGCTCTCGTCTTGGTTGCCCTCGGGCGGATAGTGGCTGTTGACCAGCTTGTCGTCCAGGGAAAACTGGGGCGCCATGACCTCGAACTGTTGCGGCAGGTAGGTCGTTCCGGTTTTCTCCCGGTTGAAGACCCGGCGGACCTGGGGTTGGCCTCCCTCGATGAGCTGCTCCGCGTAGATGGAGTAGGTGCCCGCGGTCAGGCCCGGGCGGTAGTAGGAGAATAGCTGCATCTTGCCCGGGTCGATGGGCGGGCGCGGGACCTCGTCGCCATTGGCCTTGAGGACGGCCTTTTCGAGATTGCGCTGAGTGAGAAACCGCGGGCCCTTGGGGTTTCCCCGTGTGCCCTTGATGACGGCCATAGTGTTTGGTTTGGAGCGCACGCCGGCGCGGGTGTGGGATGTCTCGGTGGCTCTTCTATTGCGATCTCACAAGGGTCTATCGCCATGCGAATGCGGACAGGATGGCGAAGTTCGGGTGAGGGAGAGGTTGGCGGGACGGCGGGGAGCTCTCTGGGAGCGCGGTGGTAGAGGAGTCGGCCCTGCGTGGTGTATTCAACCCAGGTCTGGGCACCGGCAGAACAGGGCAAGGAAGTGATGTGAAGCTGGGATTTGGAGGGGGCTCGTGGCCGTTCGCCGTTCGCAGTTCGCAGCTCGCCGTTTCGTAAGACTGGTATCGATGATATTACCTGACGAGGGGCATTACGGCGTCAGGTGCGGAGAGCAGAGTACCTTTCAGCAAGGGTCAGCAAGGGACATACGGGACATAGGGGACATGATGGACATGGTGGCTGTGTTTGGTTGTAGTGGTGGTGGTACTGACAAGCCTGGTGCTGGCAATGCTGGCAACGATGGGAACCCAACGCGGGGTGTCTTTACAACGCATTATGCAATACTCGTATCGAACAGCCCGCCGGTTTGAGGTTATGCAGAGGAGATGCAGGGCGGCGGGAGATCGTCACTCGGCGCTGCTATGATTCTCGTACTGTATATGCAGGCAGGCTCGTGTTTGTTCAGCTGGGTCGTTCAGCTGGCTGTTTAGCTCCTGGCAGCTTAGCTCTAACAGGGGTGCAGTGTCTTCGACGTCCTCTATGTGCCACTAAGTGCCATCACGATGGTTACAGTACACTCCAAGGGCCTGGAACCAGAGCTACAGGCTTGGCTGTCCGTGCTCAGTTGTCTCCCTGGCCGGCTTTTTCCATGCCCTGAAGGCCTGCCTGGAGTCTGAGGCCAGGCCGTGAAATGCAGAGGACTTGGCGCCAATACAGGACTTGGCATTCATGAACAAGTCACTGGCAGTAGGGATGAAAATGGTCGATATATTCAGTACAGAGTGTTTACTGAGCAGTATTATTGCTCCTCTATTTATGCCTGAAGCTGCAGTGCTTTTTGTTATTGGTAGTTACAAGATCTATTATCGTAGGTTGGGAATGTACCCCGCGACTGAGGCGGCCGGTCAGTGACAACTAAATATAACACTTGTTACCTAATACTCGAATCTTGCAAAAGCCAAGACCTGCTGTTTGCAATTTGACCGCCACACATGAGAGCATCAAGTCAAAGTCGGTGACTCGTCAAGTTCGTTTTGTTCCGGTCCTGCACTCTGCCGAGTCATACTCTATCCTTCCAACGTAGTCCGATCCTCCGTCGAGTCATGCGCCATCCATCCAATGTTACCAGTATACTCGGTAGTCGGTGCTCTGTATCTTGGCGTGGACATTGGCCTCTGGCCCGCCAAGATCGGCTAGGCATTGACATGGATCCCAGCTTTCTACCAGTACCAGTACGAACCCCGCTTGACCGGCTCTATACGAGGTCGCTTGAGCGCTGTACGGTGCCACGGCATAGCGTGATATGTGACGTTGAAAATGTGAACTAGAAGCTGCACGCCGTGAGCCGTAAGCCTGGAGCTGTGAGAGGTGACCGAGAAGCAGCTTGGCTTCAGCTCGTCGGCTGCTGCCCCCCTTGGCCTGGCACCCGTCGCCCTGGCAGCGTGACATGAAACGCGCTCCCTTTTTCGTGTCTTGTTCTTCGCCTTTGTTGATCATTAATTCTGCTTGATCCGGGACTGGATGCCCCCCTTCAGCAATAACCTCAGCTTTGTGTATCACCAACCTCTCGCCGCCGCCGCCGCCGCCGCCTCTACTTTCTCTCATTTCTGTCTCTCTCGCTCTTATCTCCCTAGACCCAGTCCCTTCAAACCCAGATCAGTCCCTTCAGACTCAGACCCAGATCCAGACCCGCCCTCCGCCCGCCTCCCCTCCGCCCAGCAACCATGCGCCTCCTCCGCGCCCTCTCCGCCGCGCTCCCTCTCGCGTTCGCCACCCTCTCGCTGGCCTTCATCATCACGGCGTTTGTGTCCCGCGACTGGGCCAAGCAGGACTTCTTCCCGCCCAACCTCCAAATCATTGACTGGGACCCGGACAATCCGCTGTACACGCTGTACCGCAGCCCGTTCACGGTGTGCACGGTCGAGGAAATCGCCGGCACGGCCGGCGACGGCCTGGACACGACGTTCGAGGTCAGCTGCGAGCGCTACCGCGCGTACGGACGCGGCAAGACGTCGTGCGAGCTCCCCAGCAACACGGGCACCACGTCGGGCCCCACCAACGGCGACGCCCGCATGTGCGAGCAGATCCACTACGCCGGCAACCTCATCATCGCCGCCCTGGCCTTCGCCTGCCTCGCCTTTGTGCTGTGCGTGGTGCTCTTCCTGCTCAGCTTCATCACCTACGGCCACCGTCCGGCCCCGGTCTCCGCCAACGGCGAAGCCACCGAGACCAAAGGCCGAGGCGGGCGCCGCGCCGCCTTCACCACCCTGCGCAGCGCCTTCCTCTGCTCCTCTGCCGTCGCCGCCATGACCACCTTTCTCGCTCAGTGCTTCGGCATCCTCGGCCTGGTCCAGTCGCAGCCCGACAACGGCCTCTACGCCAGCTTCCTGAACGGGAACTCCGTCCTGGATGGTGACTTGTCCCACGCCCCCTGGGTGCAGGGCTGGGCCCTCAGCGTATATGCCTCGCTGGGGTGGCTGTGTGCCGCCTTGGCCGCAGGGACGGCCGCGGGCTGGTATCGCTTTTGAGTCCCCGCCGGGGGAGAGCAAAGGCGGGAATTTGAAGAGGGGCCAACGAAGCAAGGGACGAGCGTGAATGCATTGCTTTGCCGAATTGGTGGGTTCATCTAGGCGAGGCGTATGCGGCGGAATCCTGTTCCAACCTATCCATATATAGGGAAGAACGTTTGAACATATGTAATCATGACTCAATAACTAGACATGTCGTACTCATATCAAAATTCTCAAAAAATCCCTAATATTGTAGACGAAGGAAACGTCCTCTTCCTCCGCCGCTACCTTCAAACCGCCACCACCCTCGGCAGCTCTAGATAAAAGTTCGCAAACCCGTCCCTGACCTCTCCGTCCCCAACCGTCGTCCCCGTCACCAACCGCTCGGGAAACTTCACATCTGGTAGCTCCCAAGGTGTATACTCCTCCGTGTTTACATGCGCGAGCGTCTCCGGCGACGGCTTGTCCCACGCGAGAGCGCTCATGCACGCCGTGAGCATCGCCCGCGCGAGCCCTTCTGACGGCTCTGGTTCGCCCTCCGACGGCTTCTCCCACAAGGGCCCCGTCGCCGCCCACGCGTCCTGCGTGGCAGGCCACGTCGCCGGTGCGCCAGCGTCGTCCCGCGGCGCTGGCAGAAATACCTCCTGCTCGGCCTCGTGGTCTGGCAGCGGCCTGCTCGCGACATTGAACTTGGACATGTCCGTGGCATTAAAAGGGGGGATTTTCGACACCGCCAGCACCGGCTCCGGCGCCTCGAATTGGACCCCCATACGTAGCGGCATGCTTCCCTTCTCGCGGGACAGTGCGTCAATTCCCTGGCCCGGGTCGAGCCACATCTGCTTCGGCATCTCCTGCATCACAAAGAACGCGTTCCACCCTGTCGTAACGCGTTCCGGGGTATCGGCGTCGCGGATCCCGACGTACAGCGGCGCCCTGATCGCGCGGGACACGCGCATGGGGCGCGCGGACAACAACTCGATCTCGTCAATGCCCTCCACCACCTCCATCGCGCCGGACCCCTCCTGAGTAGGCAGGTCATGCGCGTAGCCGACGTCCTCGATCCACTCGTCCTTGCCACTCTCAGGCGTCTCGATGCGCGCCGCCGAGAGGGCGAACACCGACGACACACGGAACTTGAAGCTGCCGCCCTTGACGAACCACTTGGCCCCCGCGCCCGTGTTGGTCGGGTCGGTCACGGGTACAGGATTGCCATTCGCGTCCTTCTTCGTATCTTCCGTCGGCATCGGGAAGTTGCCGTCCTCGAGGCTGAACTTGAGTTCCAGGATAAGACCCTCCGGCGGCTCGGTTCGCCCATTGGCTTCATCTGGCGGCCCGGCCTTGGCGCACACTTCGTAGAACTCCGCGAGCGTGAGCGGGTCAGGGAGGCGTGGAGTACGGCCAAACTCGATGTCGAAGGAGAAGAACCAGAAATCGACACTGCGAGGGTTAGCGAGGGACGCTTTCTCATTCTGCAGAACCTACTGGGCGACCCCTCCAAATTCGGGCCCTTCGATGTGGAGCTCGGCTCCGATCGAGATCGATATGTGGATCGTGACGAAGAGTAGTGGAATGCGACACTCCACACCGACTTCGATGTGCATGTCCACCCAGTAGTGCACTGGTTCGAACTGAACCAACGCTAGAAGACGTTAGCATGTGTGTTTCGACCCGCGTTGGGGCTTCTCACCGTCGAATGCCGCGTCCAGATACGCATATACAGGGCCCACGTGGAGCTCGCAGTGGATGAATGCTCCCGCCATGACGGCTTTGGGCGTGAGGGCAAAGTACCCCTTGCCTTCGATACTGATGATCCCGATTGAAAATTCCAGGCCCAGTCGTTCCGGCCGGGGATAATGACCCGGGACAGAGAATTTCCGGTGGTATCCGCCCAGGGAGAACACCCAGTCGCCGGCGTGTGGATTCCGACCGAAGAAGGTGTACAAGGCAAACCCGCCACGGAGCCGAGCCATGGGAACGAGGAGGAAGGACGACGGGGCCAGAGCGGCTTGCACCTTGAAGTAGTCTTCGACGAAATTCAGCTCTGCGCTCATGAGAATCTCGACGTAGAACAGTTTGAAGGAAGCGCCGGCATTCACATTCGGTGGCAGGGTGCAAATAATATCACCAAAGATGCTGAAAATGACTCCGTTGGCCCGGAAGGAGACGAGGGCAACAGCGGTGCAGTTGACAATGTTGAACGAGCTGATGGTCAGTCCAAAGGCGAGCCAGTAACTCTCGTTTTTGAGCTGTATCCACGGGTTGTCGCCTCCTCGCATGTTTTCCAGAATTTGCATGGGGTTCTGGAATGTCAGCAGATGTCAGACAGAAGTATCAAAGAGTCTTACATTTCCAGTTCCACCGACTCCGTTGTCACTAATCAGAGGAAACCTGTGAATGTCGCGGACAGAAGGAGACCGGATGAGCGAATTGTACCCGAATCCAATTCGGACACCGCGCAGAATCGCAAATTGAAAGTCGATCAGGGGGCCGTCCAGTTTGGCGTAGATGAAGACGGACTTGTACATTTCGGCGCCTTCCACAACCTCGGCGTATTCGCCAACGGCAACGAACATGTACGGGGGAATCGTCAAGCCCACACCGCCACGGTAAGACTTGACGTGCTGGCCATTGGCCTCTCTCTCGTCCATTTCGAAGATGCCGGCAATGAGGATTGGTGGCTTGTCGAACGAAGCAGCCATGCCGCGAAGCTTCACCTGCGGGTCGAGACTCGTGAGGTCGAGCTGGTTGAGGGTGATGCCGCTGAAATCCAGCCCGATGCCAAAGCCAAGGAGGGAGAACTCGAGCGGGCCCAGTACCACAGTAGCGTCAACGATTATCCAGAGACTTTCCTCCTTGTATTGGATGGTGACGCCGCTGATGCTAAGGAATTTCGTCTTTTTGCTCAGAGCGCCCTTTGACGGTTTGGATTCTCCGTCCGACGTTTCGAGATTGGCCGCGGGAGTGGGACCACCAGCCCGCAGTGTCCGGACTACGGCAGTCGAGCTCTCGTTCTTCTTCAGCTTGAATACGTGGTCCAGGATAGCCCGCCCGTCGTTGACCACGACAAAGTGGTGTCCTTCGGCCAATACGACGGGATCCTTGGCAGATGTCGGGTCGGCGGAGGATTGTGTGGTAGCCTTGAACATCAATCGGTTCTCGTCTCCAAGGTTCTGGTTCAGCGCTTCCACTTCCGTCCGTGCAAGCCCGGCGGTCTGGGACCACATGTATTGGAGTTCGTCGAACGGCTGTGGCAGTTCTTTGACGACCGGCAAGTCGCTGAGCAACGGGATCTTCTCGACGGCCACCCGCAGCAATCTCTTGGTCGCCTTGGTCGTGCCAATTTTCGACGACACCTGGGCAAAAGTGAACTCCACGGTGGCGATGTTCACGTTTAGGACAAACACAGCCCTCTGAACCCCAGCATGGCTAGACTTTTGGACCCGCAGGTTAATCAGCTCTGCCCCGGCATCGTCGCTCTTGACCTGGATCTTGCCAACAAAGGGGGGGAGTTCTGTCGCTGCTCCTTCGACGATCGACTCAGCAATATCAGCCAACGTCGTTCCTGGCTGTGGAGTATCTAAGATCGCCTCGAAGAGCCAAAAGGTGGATTCACTGGCCGCTGCTCGCACAACGGGCCCCATTTTCTTTTCGTTGCCCGTTAAGAGCCTCCTAGCTGGGGCAGCACCGCCAGTGTTCTTTCGATACTGGTACAGCAGAGAGAGTTGGAGTTCTCCCATTTCGATAAGTCCCGCAAACGTGAATGCGGAAGCCTTCTGCTTCGAGCCCGACTTATCGAACGTGTAGTTAAGGTCGACAGAGACGATCTTAAGCTTTCCCACGATGTCCATGACCTCGCTCTGTAGGTTCGGATCAAACCACGCAGCGATCGAGCCAATTTGGATGTTCTCTGCGTGGCCGGCGAGCTCCCACAAGGCGCCGGCATAGCGGAACCGGAGGTCAATAAGGCCAGTTTCAAACCTGTCGTCCGGTGGATTGAGCTGGAATTGAGTGAACATCTCCATCTCGACATTCGAGCCAGATTTTACAAAGTAGAGCGAGATGGTTGTCCACTCAAAAGGGAACGGAACATCGTCCTCGCCGGCAGGCGGGTCGTCAAGAGCGCCGTCGGAGTTCAGCGTGGCAGACATGAGCAACTCTGGCTGAGACCCCTTGGTATACTCAAAGAAAGCCTCGGTCAAATTGGTGGGAAAGGAGTCCGGAAGCGGGGTGAACTGTGGAATGCTGCGGAAGTCGAATCGATCTTTCATGTCAGCGTAGAAATCGGTCGGAACGTCCCATATCTCGTCGAACTCGACGTCCAGCGATGGTTCACTAAACATGTCTTTGAAAAGCAGGCGGCCGGTAAACGTCCCTATACCACTGTCGTACGTCAAGGCTATTGTTAGGGTGTCCCATTCGGCGCTCATCTTGAGTTTGACTAGGAACGCTATGCTCCATTCCACGGCGGACTCAGTTTTCGTCACCGTCAGGTTCCACAGCTTAGGCGTGATGGAGAAGCCCTGGTCGTCCGTGGTGGGATCTGCGTCGTCTGCAGACGGCGGTTGCTTAATGAGACTTGCAATCTTCTCGAACATGGACCGAGGGTCGTTTGGATTCTCGGAAACGGAAAACTCGAACTCGCCCACATACGATACGCGGAAGTTGAGGAACAGTCCAAATAGAGGGAACTGGAAAAGGAACTCGTACAGAGTATAAGGTTCTTCCCAGACTGTCTCTCCATCGTCATCCTCGGTCTTCGAGATGACGGTTCTGCTCTTGATGCGAATTTTCAAATCCCCCACCTCGCTGAAGCTCAACTGGCCAATCTTCAGACCGAGACCGAATAGATCGTTCAGCTTGTCGATTATATCATTTCCGAAATCCACCACTTGGTCGAGATTGATTTTGAACATCAGCCCAACCGTGATCTACTACAGGTCAGCGTGGGCGCACAACAAATGAATTGGAGCCATGCCGCGGTCCCCAACTGACGATGGTTTCAGACGAAGATAACGATGAAGGAGAAATTGCTCACCGCCAGTGCGTTTTCTTGTTCCGGGACTATCCACAGGCCATTCCGGTTTTCCCGTTCGATCTCGGCAGAAATTCCAGCCGCGTCGCGGAGCTTTCTGATCATGAGGCGAAGGGGCTCCATTACGTCCACGGGGATTTCTGGTTCGTCTGGTTCGTCGGGATCATCTTCATCGGGTGGAGTGACCTCGGTGATCCAATCGTCTGGATTGACACCGAAAGTGTTGAGGACATCTTGAAGCGCATGGGATGAGGAAGCTGCCTGGTCGAGGCCCAATATCTCGAAAGGTTCGTCCCCGGCGTAGGCATCGCCGCGGAACTCTTGTGGAACCTTTGCCGACGAGAAAGCGAGTCCGCCCAGTTTGTTCAACACGCACGTTGAGCTGTTGTTGTCTTCGGTTGGGATGTCATTTGGTTCGAAGAGCTGGCTGTTGTGGAAGAAGTCGGTCCAGTCAGAAAGATCAACATCATTATCCGCCATGATGAAGAACGCTGAGAGGCCTCAACCGACACCCTACCCTACGCCAACTCGTAGACGTGGGTTCTTGGATTTGGGGATTGGTGGTGTTTGATCAGTCGAAGGGAAGCCCGACCTCGGAAGGGGTGGTCACGGACGACGGCGATATCAACGCCCAGCGATTGTTCCAACACGCAGTCGAAGGTGAAAAGGGCGGGCGTCGGACCGAGCAGCATACCTTACTGGTGACCGGACAAGCTCTCTGTTTCCGTCAACGCGATGGCCCAAGACGAGCCCGTCCAGTATCACACTACTGTGTACTCGGTATGTGTCGACAGTCTGTGTATGCCCATGCCCCACACATGGAGTCTGAGTAGGCACAAGGGAGGCACAGGAGAGCTTCAGCTCAAGCTTGAGCTCGAGCTATTGCCAGGAGGTATCGGGGGGGAGGAAAGAGAGGGGGGCAGAGCATCACTTCCAAATCACCCAGCCGGATATTGTCCTCAATGCCAAACCGTTGCGGCTGAAGGCTGATACATCGTGCCATCTTCTGATATCCCTGTCTAGAGGTCTGCAGATAGACGCTGGCGCCGACCGAGCCCCTGTTGATGCCTACATAGGCGTAGGACCAAGGTTTCTCGGTCGCCATCTACGAATACGAGATGTAAGCGCCAAGCCTGGTTACCCCCTCTACAGCCCTATGCCAGCTGACCCGCATACGTCTGCTACACACTGTAGCACCATAGGTACTTGGCGGGAGCTAGAGAGCTCTGCTGCAGAAAAGCTGAGACAGAGCACTGTTTGTTGCATGACTTCACCGCATGTTCCTTGTCAAAATGGTGCATCCATTTGCACTGTCGTGAAACCTTGGGCCCTTAGCGCCTCTCTTCGCGGTGTGATTTGGTTTTGAGTCTTTGAGATGATGAGATGAAATGACCGACATACCAGACTTTTGGTACAGCTATTCTAATGACGGGTTTCTATACCTCGTGCACTTCTGTAACATTTGGAATGATTCAGTGAAGGTGACAATGCAGTACGGTACAAGATGGAAATAATATTCGAATTCTGTATTAGCTGCATTCAGAAATTGCCAAATTATTGAATACCTAGCAGGTACAAGGCACTGCCTGGTAAATTATGAAAACCTGAAAACTTGAAATTACCACTAATACCAGCCGTTTGGTATTTTGATGTAAAATTAAAATTTTAATCTGTGGTTTGAAATGACAGCCAGTTAGATTACCACATGCTATCCTATCTTGGCCTGAGGCAGAATGTCACAAGCCACCACCGCTAATAACACCAACCCTCAAGCTGCAAACAGGCTGGGGCAGCTGGGCGGAAGCAGCACGCCCAGTTATCCCGGTGCCTTGACGGAATCTCCGATTTGGGCTGTAGATGTTTTGGATTCTACAGAAAGTTCTCCACCCGACGAACATCGACTTTGAGGAATTGGGCAGAGGAAACAACGTTGATGCAGAAGACCGACGTTGACTCCTAAGACTGCTCTGATATCCATTCCCTCATCATGGCGACGGGTATCGAGAACGTTGCCCTTCCCGTCGACTTGACTGCCTTTGTCCTGGCCCCTGACCTCTGTAATACCGACAAGACTTCCAGGATCGGTCCTATAACACAACCAAATTATGTCGGTCTTCGACTCGATGAGGCGTTGATGAGGCACGACTTGGTAGACCACGTCGACTTCCATCTAACCCAACCGGCCGACAAGAATCCCCGACTCACAGACATTGGAGCCAATCCACCCGAACTCCGACTCAATCGCGTCGGCGTCTACCTCCACTGGAGCCTCCCGCGGTGCTATCGCAGCGGGAAAATCTCGGGTGACAATGTCCCGGACACGCCCCCCGACGAGGAGCAGCCCGACAGCAGCAGTCCGTCCTTTCCTGTGGTTCCCAATCGTTGGTTGATCGTGCGGAGACTGGCAAGTCAGGAGAGCGACGACGGGACCGTCCTTCCCGAGTTCCAAACCTGGATCATAGAGAGCAACCGCAAACGCAAAGTCCAAGACATTCCGGACAGTGTCGATCTCGAAGTGGACACCACTCCCTTCGTTGCCGATGACCCAACCGGGGATCAGGATAGAATTTTGGAGGCCCAGGCCGAAGTATTTATCGGACAGAGGCATCAGTATTCCGGCTGGGGGAGCGGAAACTCGGCCTGGAATGAGCAAGAAAGCTCTACCAATAGCCCCAATTTTATTGATTTGACTGTGCTGGGGTCATCAAACCCTCTCTTCCCAGGTAAGAACGAGAGAAAGTTCATGTGCGGTTCTAATCGGTACAGACTATGTTCCCCACAATGCAAGTGCCTTCTCCCTGGTGGACTCATTTGCATATCTGGCGGGAGACGGAGAGACCAAGCACTTGGTTTCGGCCGAGGCAGACTACTTTGTCATTGGCTGGCATTCGTTGTCTCAAAACGATCCGTTGGCGACTCGGCCAGAGAACCTCCCGCTCAGTGTCAGCTTAAGCAATCTCAAGCTGGGTCTGGATCTAGACAAGCTCGGAGACGTGTCTGACGAAGAAAAGGCACACATCCAAGAAATCCTAGCGAGCGAGTTGCCTACGAGAGCACTATTGCATGGCTCGGTGTACTCGGTGAAATACAGCATGGATCCTGCCAAGTACGCGACCAAAAGCATGGCCGAGGAGGCAGCGGCCAAATTCACCAAAGATTTTACCATGGAGCCCTTGTCAGCCGGACTGACGCCGCTGGACGGGATCATCACTTTCCTGCGCGCCCACGAGAAGGAGCACATCGACATCATCATCGGCGACGGCGCGGGAGAAGCTGCGAGCTACATCCTCAACATTGCGGATCTGTTGTACGCCGCCGACGATTCCTACAACGAGCGCGTCAAGGCGCAAGACCTGAACCTGTACGAAGGCCATTTTGCAGGTTCAACTTTTTCTGGACACCAGTGGGACTTTGCTGAGAAAACGACGACAGCACAACCTCCGAAGGAGGCGACAGACGAGCAGGTGACGGACTTGGCCGAGCTCAACGAGAAACAAAGCATCCTCGATGCCGCTGAGCGGAAGCTGAAGCAGCGAAGATGGGACCTGTTCTCGGAATGGTGGAAATACGTCAGTGACAAGAGCAACATCAACGAGAGCAAAGAAGCGGAATTCAAGCAGCGCGTCCAGGCCTTGCAAGCCGATATTTCCGGGACAGCACACGGGCTTGAACCCCTCCTGGCCAGCCTGCGGGCCCGAATTGCCGAACTGTCTGGTGGCTCGACCGGCGAGGCCAACGACAGCCTGTACAAGAGGACAAAGCTGCCGTCGTTTTATACTCGCAAGGAGCCCACGATATGCGTGGCCGGTGTGGATTCCGGGTGGCCGGCAGATTTCATGGACCGTCTTCAGGTGCGGTTGGACAGTCAATTCAAATCGGACGAAACGAATGTCCGAGGGCGAATTTTTGGGAATGCGGCCAATCCTCTGCCCGCCGCAATCAAATCGACGGCAGAAAAGATTCTGGGGGTGTGTCTCAGCAAGATCAGGTCGTCCAATAACCTAGACCCGATCTACGAGAAAGGCTTCCAAGATTGGGGAAACACGAACCCGTTCTCGCCGCTGTTTGTGGAATGGGAGGCGATATACTACCACATCGACCGATCAAAGTGGACCGTGGATGTTCGGCCCAGTCCTGTAGGACTGCCGCACTCGCTCGTCCGCTATGGCGTGAGTGAGCTACTGGCGGAGAACGACGAGAATCAGCGCGATTTCAGATACATCAGCGGCAGGGTGATGATTCTCCCCCAGCCCATCTTTTCCTTGCAGTCCGCGGTGGCGAGTGTTCTGGACAGCAATGACCCCGACATGGACCTGACCGAAGAAGAAATCCAGGTGATCAAAGACCACATTGGCAAATTCAAGTTCATTTCGTGCCCTCTGACCGGCATCGCCCACCATCTTCTCACGAGATCCTTGGGCACACACGTCAAGCCGACCATGACGCGCCAAGGCAGGACCACGACGGGCCTGCGTGAGGCCGTGAGCGTGTCTCGTCCCATCGGCTTCGAGGATGTTCAGAAGATCGGGCTCATCAACACCGAGAGGTATGTCTCCCAAGCAAAGAGCGTTCGGTGCTAATTGGATAGTGATCTGACCCCGTACGGCAACCTGCTGAACTTTGCCACGGAAACATACCCCCAGGTGCCCTTCAAAGGTGTCAGACACGGTCAACTCATGCTCGTCAAGGTACCACAGCCTCCCCAATCGAGGGATCTCGCTAACCCCTGCAGCTCAATATCGTCGACAAGTTTGGACAGGCGATTGCGTTGCCACCCCCGAAACCCAAACTGCGCGTTCCCGAGCTCCCACCCCCGTCTGTGCACCCGTGCCTGAGTGACTTCCTAATGCCAGACATCCTCGACGGGACCATCAACACGGTGTATCCAGAGCCCGTTCAATCGGACGGCGACTGGCCACTAAGCCGATTCATGCAGATTCCCCCGGCCATTAATCAGGACGCGCGCATCAACGCAACGTTCCTAACCCCGATCGCGGACTTTCCTCACTGGAAAGAGACCGACCTCGATGCCCAGGAATCGCCCATCTTCGGCTGGATCGTCATTAACTACCAAAACCTGGGTCTCCAGTTCTTCCGTCCCGATGGCCGTTTCTACCTCGAGGTGCGCATCGGCGGGCCAGAAGGCACAAACGTCGGCAGCAAATGGCTCCCCTTCGACCCCCCTTCCACCGTCGACACAGGGAGCCCCCAGCTTGACGAACTCATCTCACGGATGCGCGACGCCGAATTCCTCCTCTCCTTCTCGTACATGATCAACTCGGCCATCAAAACCATGCCGTACCCACCGTCCGATTACTCCGAATACGCCAACTCCATCGTCGGCAAGCCCCTCGCGCTCGTCAACGTCGGCTGGTCCCTCGAGCTTGCCATCCCCCCGCTCACCGCCCAAAACACACTCGGCAACCGCCCCACCGACGAAGCGGGCGATCTCCTCTCCTACAACTTCCCACTCAAAATCGGCGACGCCGACCGCCCCTTCGACGGCGTCCTCGGTTACTTCCGGTCCAACAATATCACGCAGGACCACACGCCCGACGTCAACCCCGGCCGGACAGACTGGTCCACCCTCTACACCTACTTCCCCGACCCGGCTGCCCCCGCCGGCGACGTCCTCGACATCACCGCCGCCCGCTTTCCCACCCTCTCCCCCACTTATGTCAACCCAGTCACACGCAGCGACGGGTCATTCGAGGCCCTAAACTCCGACGAGACTATCTCCACCACCCCCTTCCCCTCTTACACGGCCGCGCGCACTGCCCAATCTCGCATCGCAACCCTCCTGATCGACCCGTACGCGCCCGTCCACGCCTACTCCCCAATCCTGCCTGTCAAAGCCCTCCAGCTGCCTCCCTGGTCTATCCAGCGTGCCATGACCCGCATGACCGCGTTCTTCCGCCTCGGCCCGCTGCTGCTCTCCCGCGACGTGCCCCACGCGTATGACGCCGATCGCCCGCTCGATGTCGACTCGTTGGCCGCACAACTCCCCGACGATGTACCGCCCGTGCGCATACCCGTGTCCGGGAAGAAGGGGCTCTGGCGGTGGCTGCAGCCGTACGACGTGGAGCAACCAGGAGGGGTGGGTGCGACGGACGCGGCCATGGTGTCGCGTTTCAATGCGCTGAACGTCGAGGAGGAGGATACGCGTATCAGGAAGGATGCAGCCCCGTATACGTTCGTTGAGGGGTATTTGCAGCTTGCGCGGCCATTGTTGAACAGCGAGGTGAGAGGGATGGTGTAGATGGCTGGATTGAGTGAGATGAGGAGAAAGCTCAGGTAGAAGTGGCTTCGTGATGTTTTGAGTCAAGTACTTTGATATAATAAAGTGAAAGAACTCCGTATCAACAAGCACTTTCTGAAGATGAGGCACAAAGGCGTCTCTGATACGGAGGAAGGCGCTTGATGAGGAGGAAGACGCACTCGAGCTGTACTGAACTTACCTTTCACTCATTCGGGGATCGCATGAGATAGTTCGATAGCCTTCACGACAACAACAATCATCGTAATCTCTCCTTAGGAATGTATGATCGGCGTATACATCCAGACCGTGACGGTTTGTGACTGCTTCAGAACACCCATGCCTGTGAAGGAAGGAATGAATTGAATTGCTGCCTAGACGCTGGCTCGTCTTCGCTGTGGGCTGTAAGTCACCCATAAGTTCAAAGTAGCCTTGTTGATTCAGCCTCGTTCATCCAGCCTCGTTCATCCAGCCTTGCCAAGGATAGATTTCTGCGCCCGAAAAGTTGCCCCTCCAAGATGCCCAATGCTGCCCTCTGCCCTCCGCCTTCCGCCCTCCGCTCCAGTCTCCGTTCCTGCTCTCTGTCTCTCATTGACTCATTTCCCTCTTCAACAGATCCCTCAACAGACTCGTTGTCACGCTGAAACACCGTCTGGCCTCTTTTCCAGTATGGCAGGCAACTTCGATTCATGGGAAGATGCGGCGAACCAGGAGGAGGACCTGTCCAGACGGACACAAAACATCAACATAAACGCCAACACCTTCAGGCCTGGGCCAACTCATTCCAGCCTGGCGCTGCCTCCTTCCAACCAGGACAGCAATACCAGCAGAATGGGTATCAGAACTACGGCTACGGCCAACAGCAGGGCTATAACCAATACCCACAGTACGGCCAACAACAGTACAACCAATATGGCCAGGATCAACAGCAGAACTACAATCAAGGGTATAACAGCGGTCAATTTGCTGCCTACAATCAGTCGCCTGGAGCATTTCAACCCAGACAAGGTGCTCCCATAAGCATTGCGAAGAGATCAGACACGCAATCAGCGTCTGCACCCACATCCCAACAGGCTCCAGCGCCGGCCGCTCGAGTTGAGACAACCCCTGCTGCGTCTGCTCCGAAACCACAGCCTGCTGCTGCTGCTGCTGCACCTCCGAAGGCTAAGGTCTTGTCGATTGGTGTCCCTACATCGGCCTCCGCCTCGCCTAAGAAACCTGCCTCTCCAACTACGAAGGACGAGCCAGGCTCTTCCAAGGCAGAAGCCGGATCAAAAGTCACAGCCGCCAAAGCAGTTGAGAAGACAGGAGAGAAAGTGACGGGCAAGACATCCCCCGCTCCATCGTCAGGAAAGTCGTCCCCTACACCAGCGGAAGCGAAGAAGCAACGAAATGCGGAAGAAGTTGCGGCGGCACAAACCGCCGATGTCGACCAATCTGTCCTGGAAAAGATGTACGGCAAAGAGCACGTCAACATCATCTTCATCGGCCACGTCGATGCCGGTAAATCTACACTCGGGGGTCAAGTGCTAATCCAAACTGGCATGGTCGACGAGCGGACCTTGGAGAAATACAAGCGTGACGCCAAAGACGCAGGCCGCGAGACATGGCACATCTCCTGGATTCTGGACCTCAACAAGGAAGAAAGGGCAAAGGGCAAGACCGTCGAAGTCGGCCGCGGCTTCTTCGAGACTGACAAGCGGAGATACACCATCCTGGACGCACCAGGCCACAAGACCTACGTGCCCAGCATGCTCAGCGGCGCCGCTCAAGCCGATGTGGCCATCCTCGTCATCTCTGCCCGGAAAGGCGAGTTCGAAACCGGATTCGAAAAGGGCGGCCAGACCCAAGAACACGCCATGCTGATCAAAACCACCGGAGCCAAGGAGCTCGTGGTGGTGGTCAATAAAATGGACGACCCCACCGTCGGATGGAGCAAAGAACGCTACGATGACATTGTCGGCAAGTTGAAGCCGTACCTCAAGAAGCGAATCGGCCTGGACTCGACATTCATGCCCATCTCAGCACAAACAGGCATCAACGTCAGGGACCGCATCCCCTCCAGCGTCGCGAACTGGTATACCGGCCCCTCCCTCCTCGAATTCCTCGACGGCATGGCCAAGATCCAGTGAAACCTCAACGCCCCCTTCATGATGCCCATCGGCGCCAAGTACCGCGACATGGGCACCATGATCGAAGGTCGCATCGAAGCCGGCGTTGTCCAGAAAACCTCGACCCTGATCATGATGCCCAACCGTGAAGAAATCGGCATCGCCGCCCTGTACGGCGAAACCGAAGATGAAGTCCCCTACGCGACCTGTGGAGATCAAGTGCGAATGCGGCTGCGAGGCATTGAAGAAGAAGACATCATGCCGGGGTTCGTGCTCTGCTCGCCAAAACGCCTCGTCCACTGCGTCAAGGAATTCGAAGCACAGATCAACATTGTGGAACTCAAGTCCATTCTGTCCGCGGGCTTCGACTGTGTGCTCCACGTCCATGCTGCCACGGAAGAAGTCACGTTTGCGGCCCTCTTGCACAAGCTCGAACCGAGGACCGGGCGTAAGAGCAAGAAGCCGCCTCCGTTCGCCGCCAAGGGGCAGAACATCATCGCCAGACTGCAAGTGACCAGCGGGGGAGGCAAGATCTGTGTCGAGCGGTTTGAGGATTATCCCCAACTAGGTCGCTTCACGCTACGCGATCAGGGGCAGACGATTGCAGTGGGGAAGATCACCAAGCTGATTCTCGATGACGACTAAAATGGCCGTGATAAACCACGGTGGCTCCACCGCAAATCTGTCGCTATTGCTGGACGAAGATGAGTAGCCTCGCGTTCGAGTCGATTCGAGTCGAGTCGCGTCGCGTCGTGTCATGTCATGTCGTATCGAACCTGAAAAGAGAAGACGAGGCGTGGCGCCACACCGCACCGGCGAAAGGTGAAGTGGCAACGAGGGCACGATCGTCCATTATGGATACCAACCGAGCGGTGAACACGTTGTGGAATGAAGTCTTTTATGGCAGTTTTCTCTCGTCTAAGTATTTCAGCATCCTCAGTAGAAGCATCGCTACGTCCTTCCTACCATCCGGAATCTTCAGATCGTAGATTGCGGAGCGACAGACTTGTAAACGTAGGCTCGGTCGTTGATCTTTACGAAGAGATTCGATGTAACCTCGGGTGATGTGGGCACCAGCTAAGTACAACGCCGCTCCGGTCGAGCACACCACAAAGCTAATAAATTCATCCATCTTGGGTTGTTGAGTGAACGCAAGAATTGCTTGGGTGAGGATTTGTTGAACTTCACGAATCTTGTCGTCATCAGACCCCTTTGAAACCTGCAGTCTGTGCTTAGAAGTTTATTCTTTAAGGAACTTGGTCTCTTCCTACCAAGAATGTCGCCACCGGGACGAGTGTCCACTGGTCTTGCATGAAAAGTCCGTCGCACTTAATTCGCCGGCCTCTAATTTTCAGAGGTTCGGCCCTTTTTGTGACTCTATATTTCATCAGTTATTGTCCATTTCTCAGCTGTGTCCCATACAGTCTAGTCCGCCTAGGGCTGAAACTCAACAGCACCTCCAAAAGAGACTCAATGAGACCTATCGGTACGGGAGGATCGTCCGCGACTTCGAGAACGCGATGGAGGTAGCCGAAAACCCAACGGAAAGGATTTGTTCGATTTCTGGAACGGCAATCGGGGAAGTTGAGCACGTCTTGAGTGGGAATCAAAAAGTATCCTAGGAATTCATCGTCGTCTGAGATCGTAAGTCAGAATTTATTGCGCATTGGGCAGAGATTGTACCACGTACCTTAATCGGTTTCTACTGTGATATTACTCAGGGATATGAAAGGCTGGCCGTCGTCCACCTGTAGAAAGTTAAGATGATCTGAAGTCCACTCGTTAATAGGCTGGAGTAAAATCGACGGGCTCTGCAGGGTCGTCATGGTGGTGCTAATGAAAGGTGACTCGGCATGCGATTTCAGCCTTTGACAGCGCAGGGCCAAGTTTTGATCACGTGGTTTAGCGACATTGCCGCGCTAATGCCGGCGACAAAAACATTGGCACAGGGAAAGGGGCCCTCGTCTAAAACGCAACATTATTCGCCCCCTTCTTTAACTTAGAAGTGCCGATTTTTAGTCAGTCTTGGCCGAAACATTGGAAGAGTAAAGTGGCAACTATAGGCGGGTGCCGGAAACAAGACCCCTGGCCCAGATGGAGGCCCCGCTTTGACTGTTGCTCAGGCTGAATGACATCATGGTCAGTCACGTGCAGGGCTTGCTCAGGATGGCTCAGGCTGAAGCAGCAACGGCTCAGGTGCAAAGACGGAAATGGAAAGCACTCGTGTCGAGATTCCGATATCGAATTGCCTGTTTCAGTGACAGTGTCTGCTTTCTTTTTGTTCCAGTCCTTGGGAACACGGCCGAGCCAATAAAGGAAAAGGGCCATGACGAAGTTGAATACTAGGGGTCGCGGACAGGATATTCCGCGAGGGGTGAAAGCGTAGCTTTGTCTTTTGGGGGCAAGCCCCTAAACCCCCGGCCTCGCTGCGCTCGAGAGATCACGTGACTGAGCCGGCCACATTGGGCTTGGCAACTCTTGGCGGCGCACACATGCGTAATTGCGACCCCTCGGGATCCGGAAAATCTAGAATCCGAGGATTACGTAATCCTGTCCAATCCACGGCCCACTCAGGAGAGTGCGTCGGAGCCCGGAAAATCTATAATCCGGCACCCAGTCACGTGCTCTAATTGGCCAACTCCATCGGATCCAGTCCACGGCCCATCCAGGAGGGGTGGAATGCCGCCGTAGCCCGGAAAATCTATAATCCGGCACCCAATCACGTGCTCTAATTGGCCAACCCCATCGGATCCAATCCACGGCCCACCCAGGAATGGGTAGAATGCCGCCTTTGCCTGCCAGACCTCCCTGATCGGATCCAGTCTATGGATCACGTGTGGACAATGTTGATCACGGTGTCCTATGCCGTACGATATCCTCCATCGGATCCAGTCTATGGACCGTGTGTAGACGATGTTGATCACGGTGTCCTGTGCCGTACGATTCATGGCTCATGAAGTAGACGACGGTATACCCAATTAGGAAAGCCGACAACGATATCCGCGATATATCTAGCAAATATCGATACATGGGGCTTATGAGAGAGCGTGTAGAGACTTCCGGGGCGGGGCGGGTTTCGGATCGTTCATGAGGGAGAGGGATCGAAGGAGCCTCGAGCGTACGGCTCATCGTCGGTCTTTTCGAAGGTATGTTGAGGTCGAGTGAGGAGAGGGCTTTCCTCTTCTTCTCACGCAGTCGAGCTTTCCGATTCCGGCAATGAATACAGGTGGCACGAATCTTGCTACTTGGATCAGAGGGATCTGCTAGAAAAGAAGAGAGGAGTTTTTGAAGGCACGCGGAGCAAAATTTGGAAGCCATTGGCTCGCTGGGTGTAAGGTTGGGATGGGAGAGGTTTACACCGGCACGCGCTCGACACGCGTCAGGAAACCGGACCGGGGGTGCGCGAAGTCACGTTACTGCCCTTTTTTTTTGAACACGTGATTTTTATTTTTTTTTTCCCGCCCACGGTCGGGTCACGTGCGGGGGGGTCGGGATTTAATTGAAAGCTTACGCTTTCAATGATGTAAACCCAGAGCAAACCGAAATTGCGCCACGAATCCGAAGGGCTGGTTCCCACAGAGGCAAGAAACGCATTTGTCTCTGACAGCCGACAGTATGAACAGTTGGCTTTCGCGGACGGATCCGTCAGACAATCGCCGTAGGTGGAAACGTATGGTCCCATATATTCACCACAGGTCTGTTCCGATGGTGGGTGGAGCGTGAGGTACTCGTTCTTGGCGCAGGTGACGCTCGTGTCACCAACGGCGGTCGCTGTCATTGCCTGTATAAGGTAGGTGAATGGAGGCACCCGGTACATGAAAATCCAGAAGCCGGGTAATGCGGTTGGCGAGATAAGGACGCTGTCAAAAGGGTTAGTACTATGACTTCGAATGAGCTGAACACAAAAGGTTCTAAGCATACCCGCAGAAGATTAGGCAGAGCGAGAACATGATGTTGGCAATATTGGCGCCAGTTTCCGCCGTTTCGATCGCTGCAATGCACATGTGCGCAAAGGTATTCGTAAACAGGAGGAACGCTACAATGAGAAGGAACATGAGGGCTCCTCGTTCATGGACTCGGTCGGTAGGCTCGGCGTTTCGCCACAGACCAATCTGAATCCGCCAGAAGTCAGCCATGCTGTTTGAAAATGCGCTGGAACAACGCATTCGCTACTGGAATCGCCAGACTGCAGAAAAGACCGCCGATTCCTGATCGTCGTGGGAAGAGTCACTTACCGGATAATACCAGCAAAAGTAGAGTAAAGCTGCGCTGATCAAACTCCACGGAATGTCGGCAATAATGTTGGATGCAACGAAGGCTTGCCATGAATATGCTTTCGAGGGTCTCTCACGCACTTCGTAGAGCGCCCTCTGCGTGACGAAGAGAGGCAGGAGCTGTTGAACCAGTTGGCCGAAGATGGACAACAGCATGAATATGCCAATCATCTGGTTCTGTAAACCCTGTTGCGTGTTGTCGGCTTTGAAGAGAACCCGATAAACGGCGCCGCTGCGGTACACATGAAGGACTTGGCATAGATGTAACCGGGAGTTCGCCAGTGTTGTTCGAAGACTCGCTTCTGTACCTGGATCCATTGGATCCAGAAGGGCACCGCAAATTCTCTGTAGCTGGATTTGTCATGGGTTTGGTCGACGACAGATGCAAGTCTCGACCGCTCATGCTTCATGGTAGAAAGTTCATGCTGGACCTCGCGAGACTGGCGCCAAACGACCGGCCAATCGATATCCGAGTGAGAACCAGGAGCGGCACCAATGACCTCGAGCATCCACTCCGCCGGATTTGCTCCGGGGGGGCACGGTGGCGCTCCGTTTTTCTCAAAATAACTTATCAGGGTCCTCGAAGACTGTCCCACGGGCCCGAAGTACACTGTCTTTCCTCCGTCTGCGAGGAATAATAACCGATCGAATCGTTGGAACAACATTGCCGAGGGTTGGTGAATGGTACAAAGGATGGCTTGTCCGTTCTTAGTGAGCTTATCGAGTAAATTGAGAATAGACCAGGAGGTTTGAGAGTCTAGACCCGACGTGGGCTCGTCAAGAAACAGCAGTAGTTGAGGTTTGGCGGTAAGCTCGACTCCAATAGTAAGACGTTTGCGTTGCTCGACATTCAATCCTTCGCCCAAAACCCCAACCACAGCGTCGGCGTATTCTTGCATATCTAGGAGCTTAATAACCTCGTCAACATATGCGACCTTCTCTTTACGAGGGACACGTGCTGGCTGCCGCAGTACCGCGCTGAATATTAAAGCTTCACGCACTGTAGATGTCTGTAGGTGCAAGTCTTGCTGCTGCACGTACCCAGTTTTTCTTTGAAATGAGCTATCACGCGGGCACCCATCGACAAGCATTTCCCCGGAGATAACGCCCATTGTAACTCTCTTGGCGAGTACATCGAGTAACGTCGTCTTACCGGCGCCGCTGACTCCCACAAGAGCTGTAAGGGTCCCTGGCTTAACCCAGCCATCGACATGGTCGAGAATTCTTCGAGGTTGCCCCTTGATTTTGATGTCGTAGCATACGTCCTTCCATTGGAAAATGGCTGTTTGCTTCTGGACAACCTCGGAAACATCCATGCCGTTCCACTGGGATGGAGCCGCCATCTCGCCATTACGAACCTTCTCAATGTCGTCAGCACTGCTGGACTGGAGCGAGCGAGGAATTCGGCCGCGTTGGAAGACAAGCACTTCCCCTTTCGACTTTTTGGCCCAGATGTACTCTGTCGCGGCCAGATGAGCAACCATGAATGCGATCAGGAATGCCATGAGAATGCCCAAATTTCTCCAACGATGAGACGCTTTGTAGCCGTATGCGGAATCGAGATAAACGTCCCCGGTCACAAAAGTTTGAGCTGGCTGAGACCCAACTGCCGAACAGATTTGGTTGGCAAGCTTAGCATTAGGATAGTTTGGCACTAGTAGTCCGCCGGTACAGGAGTAGGTTCGGCCTGAAAACTCGTTAATCATCAAAGACTCGAACCCATACGCAACCGGGTTGAGATAGTTGATCCATCTTGCCCATCCTAGCATGTAAGTAGCGGGGACCGCAAATCCAGTGTACATAAACTAATCCGAGCATTAATACACCGGCTGGTGCCATCGCTTGCTCTAGCGTCCTAGAGATAGAGGCGATGCCGCGGAACATCATACTCATTGTCAGCGTCATGATGAACGAGAAGAGTAAGAAGAAAAAGAAGGCGGCCGGTTCCCGTCTCAGGTTGGTCATAAAGTATATGGTGACATTGAACAGAATCGCGTTCGTAATCTTGTACGGCAAGTCGCATATCATAGAAGCAAAGGCCTCCGCGGAAGAGTGATATAAGGCGTAACGGACATGCTTCTCGACAATAGGACGCTGCGCATATCGAGAAAGAATCTCTAAGGCGGAGCCGAATGCGCTCATCATGATTGCAAAGAACAATAGAGCACCGCGAGAGTAGAATGACCCGGCTGTGGTGTCCAAATTGTAGAAGACCGAGGAAATAATGAGTGACATACCAAAATTGCCGATAAGTTGGGTCAGCGTGATGCCGGGGTCGGCCTTTAGCTGAACAAACGCACGCCAGAGGCAAAGCTTAATTTGCTGAACGTAGGACAAGGTGTATGGGGACCCCGGACGAGTATTCTTCGATTGCCGCATTCTCCGGGAGTCAACGAACTCCTGTACGTCGGGGCCGCCGATGGGGTGATCTTCCTCAAATTTAGCAATTTCTTTCCGAAGAGCCTCGTACTCGGGGCTCTGTCTCCATCTTTCAGCAAACTCGTCTGGAGTACGAGGCACTTTCTGTTCGTAACCTGGCCTCACAATACGCTCGACGGGACTCGTCATAGAAGTAAGGAAGTCCGCATCAGTCTGTCGGTCAGAGCATTTGAATCCTAAGTTGATAAAGTAGTCTTTTGCCTTCTTGGTGGAGCCAAAAAAATTCTGACGTCCATCATACAGAAGGATCACCTTGTCGAAGACTTCGTAGGCCGTTTGCGGTGCTTGGTATATTGCTACCGCGACTGCAACATCATTGACTTCAGTCTGAATTCTGAGATTTTTACGGAATTCAATGGCGTTGGCACTATCGAGCCCTCGCGTCGAATGCCAAAGGTTGCCATAATGACGTTCCGCATCATCTCCGCGTATTGATGTTTGGTGCAGCCTTCTGGCAGGAATCTCGGCGCTCGAGCACGAGCAGCGAAGTAGAGGGTATCTCCGACAGAGAGATATGGAAAATGTGTATCATGTTCGGCAGTGTAGATACTCTCACCGCGGAAATTCTTCTTCATCTGCTTGTAGCCAATACCCTGATAATTGACGTGAGAGTCCCTGTCGACCACAAAACCATGCGTTTCGCCTGCTAGGGTCTTCAGGAACGTCGAGCACCCCGAGCCAGGAGGACCCAGGACCACGAGCATTTCGCCAGGGTGAATTGCACCGTCGAAATTTCGCAAAATATCAACACGGCGTCCTTTGTGGCCCAGGTACCTCTTGCTTATGTCCAATGCCTGCCAGAGGAGTGTCCCGACAGTCATCTGATAGTCGGAGTCCGTACCATATCCGTGGACGCTCAAGTTCTTGAAGCATACTCCGGCTTTCTGGGTCTTGAAATGCTCATTGTCGTCTTTGGCCAGTTGCAGCACAGCTTTAGTCCACGCTCGAGGGCTGAAATTATCAGAATTGGGATCCAAGGGCGAACCAGGTTCACATTACAGAGGATTGCCTTGGGCTTCTGTCACCCTAGATTGTCGCGTCCACTGCCGGGCGAGCTCTCGGACTCCTCCATATTGCTCGCTTGGTGCCATTTCGCTGCCATCTCCAATGTTCACGTCAATCCTAGCTTGATTCTGGTTCCCACTTGCTATACTTATCGAAGGCGATGAACGGTGTTGCCAGTGCGTGGACCAATCCGCAATCTCATCTTCCTGCCTTTCGTCCGCTGCCATAGATCGACGGTGAAAGATCTTGTCCCCCAAGGACTCTGAGAATCTTCGGTCAGGGATTGGCGACGCTGTGTTCATCAAACGAGCCGTACGGTCGTAGGAGCCCACGAATCCTCCGCTGAAGGCCATTACCACTAGAAATGTGTGGCAGACGGCAAAAGCGAGAGCATTGGAACGCAGTTTAGAGTTAAAAAGCCAGATGTCCCTGTGTCTGACTGAAATGATAAAATGATAAAATCGAGTATAGTGGAAAAGGAGAGCGAGGTGAAAAGAGGGACTTAAAAATGAGCACGATGGATTCAAGCAGGAAAGAGGACTGGATATCCTCGAGTATGATAAGCTCTGCAAAGTGGTATCTCTGTTTCTTTAAGGCAAAGCCGAAAAGTTATAAAATCCAGAAGGAAAGCTAAGATCGGTTCACTATTCAATCTCCACGATTTTTGTACTTGGCGATCGGGTTTCGATCGCGAACCATCCACGGCCAAAAGTGCCAGGCTCGAATTTGTGCATTCGACTCGAGTTAGGCTTGGATGCTACTGAGCGACTTGGACTTAAATATGGCAGATCACGCTGTGCCGGCGTGATGTCCAATATGAACGCAAAGACTTGGCTATACCACACCGGGAAAGAGGATTCCACCGAACAATACATAATAACAAGCGTGGACTTCAGCAGAGAGGATGATGAGAGGGTGGATATGAAGTGGACGCCGCATAATTCACCGCCGAAACTCTGTTAACCCGGATTGTGCATGAGCCGAGCCATTATTCAACTTGCATAACTCTACTGCGAGACGAGACTGGGATCGTCCCGTGACAGCATTGCACAAAATTCTTCAAACGGTCATGGGTCACAGAAGTCACCTCAGGTCACGCCATATTTCGCCTCCGTAGCGAGGCTGCCATATCCGTGCTAACCATATTCGCAGTGGAATGATGTTGCTAGTCAGCTAGCATATTATCATTTGACATGGACGCCTTCACAGTATTGCGACAACCGTCTAAGGTTGTCCTGCGAATGACTCCATAACCATGTATCGCGGAAGATGTTGCTTCCTTTTCAAGAGTAACACCGGGGCCTAAGGTCAAGCACAGCGGCGTATATTACTAACCATCCCCGCTGTTATTCATTCCCCGCTATCCCTATTCATTGTAGGTCCCCAGAGAAGTACCATCAATGCCCATTCAGCCCTTGTGATCCGCTCATCGCCCGTCTTTGCCTCCATAATCAACGGTGACAGGTGCGAAAGTATTCAAAAATGTGCCATTCTGGATGACATCGACGAAGACACATTCTTTACATTTTTGCGAATTTGGCTGCACGGGAGATTACTCCATTCCTGAGCCTCAAGTCTTGGACCAGACTCTGGGTCTGGTCGGGACAGAACGTCGCAAATCGAATGACAAAGAAGCCCTTGCCGTCCACTATGAGTCGAAATTTACGAACTACAGCTGCATCAAACGTCACTAATTCTCTCGGTAGGAAAGATTATCCCAATGAAGGTGGATCTAGGGGCCAACCCCTCCTTCAATCATAACCTCGAACACGTTGGTCATCCTTGTTCTATAGGGCGCTACGCAAGGAGAAGAAAGAGGAGGTGCGATGAATCTTTGAGAAAGTCGAAACTCGCGTCTTCCATCTTTTAAACTCGGGTTCCAAGCTAGGTATTGCTTGAAACAACTTTCGTCGAATCAGCTATCTGACTCTGCTCTCGATTGTCCAAGAACAAATCCCCGGCCGAGGACTTCTCTCAGACCTTTTAATACCAGGCAAATATTTCCGCTTTTGGTGACTGGTACGATGTTGAACTGCTTCGATCACTAGCCCTCAACAAAACACGACGCAATTTTTCGGATTCTACGTTGTTCCCTGAACGGGTTCCGGCCTACATCCTCCTACTGGATTATCACCATCTCTATGATATACAAAGTATGCAACTACTCCGGGCGGCATTGAAACAAGCGTTGAATATGGTACTGGTGGTCTAATGCGCCGTGAATACTCACTTTGACAGGAGATTTCAATCGGCATCCCTCGGCCTGGGTGGCAACAGAGGATACCAACGAGTTATGGTGCATATACATGAACTGATCATTTCTATATATATGTATGAGCTCTAGCGGTGCCTTCCGTCTAGTAATCCGATATACTGATCGCTAAGTCGGCCCGGCCGAAAATCGACAATCGCTCTGATACGGGCCAAACGCACTTGAGGGTTTGGTTAAATGCGGGCCATATATGGACAACCTTTGGATCAGACCACCGCGATATATTCGGAATGTGACATGCACCTGGACCGAGACCCCGAACGTTGACCCCGGAAAGCGTACGAGCGAGCAGGCTAGAAGAAGATCAGAAATGTGATCCAGACCCATATGTGGTCGGTCTCAGAGTCCGAGACATAGGTACTTGACGACCTCATTATGATTGGCTAAGGCCTCCTGCCTGCATATTTTTATGCATTCGGACTTTCGGCTATTCTTAGGTACAAAGCCTTTTTCCTCGTCTTCGCGACAAACTTCGTCTCTTGCAATTAAAAAGTGCTGTCTCACTGGTTTAATTTAATCCTGGCTCTCTTGATCGGTCTTTTCCTTCTCAATGTGTCCGAGCCCAATGTCTTGACCTTGAATGTAGATCGGTGCGGATTATGGCAACCCCGAAGCTATCGGTAAGTACCATTCCCATTCAAATTGCAGTCGTTAATCAGTATTTTCACACTTGGTGTGCTCACTGATTGAATGGGAATAGTGCTCGAGATGTAAAGAGAAAAAGGTTCGTTGTCGACTACGCAAAACGGATTGGCTAATTTTTCTTACCTGACGCGAGATTCGCTGTGACAAGCAAGAGCCGCAATGCATTAGATGCAAGACTAGCAGCGCCGTATGCATATACCCTACACGATCCCAGAGAACGCGGAAACGGCCTGAGTAAGAAAGACCGACCCTTTGTATCCCTCAGACTCTGCTTGACGTTAGCCAATAGAAAAACTCTCGGCAGTTCATTCGATCGCATTGCACAGCGACTCGACGATTTGGAGAAGTGTGTGGCCAACCTACCACTAGATGCCTCTTCATCTAGTAAAGGGACCCCATTTTCCGGGCCAGATACGGTCAGCGAGGAAGAGAAAGAATCCAACGAAGCAGAGTGGCAGGAAGGATCCAGTCCAACGCTAAATCCGGTTGAGAAACCCTGTCAGTAACCCAAGTCTTATACCGCTAAGTTTTCTGGATGTCTCCTCCACACTGACACTCTGATTACCATCAAATAGCCTGGGTCAATCGTATGGTGAAGAGAACCAAAGACACCACGATCGATGCGCTCAAGCAAACGACCTTGGCGGCAGGGACGACACATTTGAATCCTAGTGCCATTGAGACCATCAACAGCGCTGTCAATGACCTGCAGAATTTCAAGCTGAAGAACGGGATCCATTTGGAAAAGTCAAGTTGCAGCGAAATAATACCCCTGGAACTAGCGATGAAATGGGTCGAAAGTGAGTAGTAGCCCACGACTCACTTCACGACGCACATTGGGAAATCCAAGCCTGAATCTTTCTGTTTTTAATAGTCACGACATCGAGCTTAGCATCCGACATGTTCATCGGCCTGGTGGATAAGAGCCTGTTGAAGATAGTACCCCATGTGATCAATTCGCCGCACGTTCAACTGGAACGATCCCTTGTGGTGGTCTACTACGCATTTCTCTTCCTGGGGTGTGCTGTCTCATGTCCTTCGGAAACCACGAAATTCCTACCGACCATATACCTGAAATGCCTGGAGGCCGTTCCACGATGGCAAAAACACGCAAAAGGAGACTTGTTGGACCTGGTCGCTGCGACTTTGATGGTAGGTGTACTCTCCCACCTTGTTGCTCCTCTAATCATTGGGAGTATAGACATGGGTTGCAGTTGAATATTTTGACTATCATCTTTCCTGGAAATTTCACTGTGAAGCTTGTCGGTTTGCACACATTCTCGGAATCAACCAGATCGACGACACAAACCAGTGTGATCGTGTCGGTGAGGACATCGAAGTTGAGATCAAGCGAAAAGGATTCTGGCAGTTGATGAGAACGGAAATGCTCTTTCGGTTGTACTACAACAAGCCGCCCGTCCTAACCGCAATTTCATGGACGGTCAGGTTTCCTTCTGTGATGACACCCCTCTCATCATCAAATAGCGCTAGTATTTGCACCCCGGACGCCACCACGACGATAGTTTTTATTGTTTCCAGTCGAATCACTTTGCTGAAGATGGAGTTCCTCAGTCAGTTGGAGCTTCATCACCAGTCAGGAAATGATGAGGACGAGTCAACTCAGGCTCTCCACGGCCAAATCGACCATATCTGCGATCAGATCGAGGACCTGATGAGAGAGTGGAAAATTGTAAGTCTCAGCCAGTTTCCAATGGTCTTCTGACGACTTGACAGATGGACTGGGTTGAGTGGGCAGATAATGCAATCTCTAAGTCCGTTTTCGCAGGCCTGGTCATCGACGCTTACTCGTGCATTATCCTCATGAACCGAAAGAAATTTCGAGAAGATGAATTCGCCGTCTCGGAGCGTGTTGTTCGGGCTGCAAGGATGGTTCTGAAGGCTATATTCGCCTCCAGCCAACAGCCAACAAGATCTGTGTCCGGGATGCTACAGTAGGCGTCCCAGAGTCTAAGTTGACCTGTTTCAACTGACTGACGAGATTCACAGCTTCATCTCATTCTATCCCTTTGTAGCCCTCTTTTCATTGTACTACCACGTCGTTGTAACAGGTGAAGACCCAGAGGTATCTGAAGAAGATCTTCGAGACTTAGAACGCCTTCGTGAGATCGTCAGCCATGCAGCAATAAATCGTGACGAGTTGACACCGGTGGCTAACGCTCTCATGGTTCTGAACGGAGTTTGTCGAATACTTCAAGATCGCCGGACATCGAGATTGAGCACTCAGACTCTAACTGAGATCTCTTCTCCGTCCAGCACACTCATTCAGGAGGAGCTGATGAACAGAATTACTCCTGGGACCGTCACCCCAGGCACTGCCTGTGCTGTCGCACCCGTACAGGCTCAAATGCTACCGTTCAACGCGGAGCTCGGAACCCCACTCTCCCATGGTACGTCGGCTGCTGGGAATCCATTAGAATACATGCGGGAAATGGAAAGTGATTTCGTGAGCCGGAACTGGCATGACAGTTGGTGGAATATCGTCGAACCCGCCATGGCTGATGAGAGCTCTCGAACAGCCGAGGGACAGGGGAATTGATTGTTCAGGATGGCGTTTATGGCCTCGAGAAGTTCTTTGACAGGATTACTATGTCGCAACAATAAAAAGGCGATTCAGGGGCACCCTTTGGAAAGCGAATTGAGGTAGCGCATTGTCATGGTTCTCAGCCTTGTCATTCTAGTTGCAATTTTCCGTTTGCCTCTAACCTTTACTCCATATTGCGTGGCTTTAGAAGCGCAGACTGCATGCCGGGGATGCCCTACTAAATCACAATATCGGAGAATTCAAAGGGGATCCTTTAGCAGCCATCACATATCTTCCATCAGCGAGTCCCATCCTAGTACCGTATCGCAGTCGCATAGCCAGCTGAGAGACCAACAGTATAGGGCCATGCCACTGATGACTTGAAATAGGGCAGTTGCGCCTGGTCAACAATGAATAAGATATCGACAGAATATGGATGTTCAATTGGATTAGAGGCTAACGTCAGCGCAACTTCAACTGCAGCTCTTCAAAAGGTGTTCTTCATTCTGATTAGTATCATATTTCGGAGTCTTATCAACGATAATTCCACTTTCTGCCTGATTCGCTGTTGATCTCCTTTAGGCCCATCCTGACGCCCTGTGAGCCTCCTGCCACTCCTGGATGGACACATGCTCCTTTGCCTGTTGTATCTCGCGGGGTGATTGCGTCTCCTCCTGCCTCTTCCAAGTGCCGCTGGCATTGTTGACGCCGGAAAGTCTATACAAGTTCCGAATCGAGCGACAACGAGGTAAAGAGCTCGCCCATGGCCCAGGCATGCGAGTGCCTCCAATCTGATGTTTCGGTACCTCAATTTGCGTGCGATTTACTAATGGATTTGAGGTACCTTGCGGACAACCATCGCACAACTAGGCCCAATTGATGCTCAGATCCACTCCCCTGTGGTACGCAACTCTCTGCCAAGAGCCTCTCCCGAGACATTCCCAGTTAAGCGAGCCAATCAGGGCAAAATATTTGGGAATTGCTGGATTATAGATTTTCCGGATTACGGGTGCTAGGATGGGGGGTTTTATTTGCTAGTCATGTGAAGCAGAATTTATCAACGCCAAGGATTCCTATACAAACGAGCGACGACGAGGTCAGGACAAATTGCGGGTGGCAAGATTGAGCCGAGGTTGGTGGCCGCATACACCTCTCCGGATATGATATCCGGCGCCGTCGACTCGTGACTCGGCAACTCAGAACATTGCTATCTACCTAAGAGCGTCGTTTAGACCCCAAGGGCGAGATTCGCGATGTACTGTAGCTGAGGTTGTACACACTACTTAAGCGCCAAGGAATCAGCTAGGACTACTTGAGGTGGTGGTATCTCTTGTTGCTTGGCTGTGAGTTCCCAACTAAAAAACTAACTTACTGTAGGTTCATCCCAGTTCCCCACGGGGAGCTGGGGTTCTTCCCCTCAAAGCTGCGTGGGTGTTGATCTGGTTTGCCGAGGTAAACACAATTTTCAAACGTATCCTACTACGCCCGGTGCCCGATCCAAGCCTCTTGCTGCTCGAACGCTCGACTTCGACGGGCTCGACTTTGACGGATTGGACTGTTGACCATAATGCGCTGGAAACTCTTTTTATTGCCTGATCTTTGATTCGTTTCATACAGCTACACGCCTGCGTCCCCACACGATAAGCTTAATCGTAAATCGATCTAGTAACGACCTACGCAAACCAACTACCATGCTCGCGCCTCGAACATGATCAATCCAGAAGAAAACGATGTCGCTATGCGACGCAAGCTTGGTAAGCTCTGTTATACTTGTACATGATCTCTGATCTGATGAATTGACCCAGCGTCCAGTGTCAGAAACGCAATGTCCAGTGTCAAAACTTCGTGGATTGAAAGAGTGCTCTCGGCTTTCCTCATGAGCGTAAGATAGAGCCCATCCATACATCTGTCTAACGAGTGTACGTCACCATTGCTGCCTGTTAATGGTGATACCGCCTATTGAGCGAGTGTTGCAAAATATCCTAGTCTGTCATAAATGATTGGCCAGCATTTATTTAATGCTGCTGTTCAACACCAGTATATATACATGCTTGGTTGGCCACTTTTCTACTTCTATTCTTCCCCTATATCCTGCATAGGGATGATAACCCTTTTCTTAGTAAAGGGGTAATGCTCAATGTTCGACAAAGAGTAGTCAAATTCCTGTCCGACGCAAGCGAACGTATTGCGATATTAGGCATACAAGTACACCCTAAATACTGCCTTCGTTACGATGATAAGCGCCTTGGATCGCCGCTCGTTTATCTATGTCAGATCTCAGAGCTTTCCTCAGTCCGTGATATTAAGGGCTCGTAGGTTAATATGATTCCTGATCCCCTACCGGTTCAGCCTTGGCGTCGCCACTTATCACATGCACAAGGTTGTGTGATATGTGGCGATGCCAAGGCTTGTAAAGACCTTGGGAGACGTTGTACGCCTCGTACACGCTTGGAAAGTATATAGTCTGACGGTCCCCTGGGCCCTTTCGAAATAGGGCAAGTCCTTCGTAAAAATCACAAGTTGACCTCGGGTTCTAGGCGACCCTATCAAACCGATACATCTTTCATCAATGATCGAGACTCTGGGCCTTTCAAAAATGATGGATTATGTTTCAGTCTAAGGGCAAGGATGAATACAGAGCGCACTGCTGCTCGAAGGACCAAGAAAAGTTGCGAGCAGTGCTACCATCGAAAAGTGCGCTGCCATGGAAGGTCTCCTGGCTGCGAACCCTGTCAAAGACTCGGTTTCGCATGTACTTTCGCCCAGGACAACTCTTCAGTAAGCCTTTCTGCCACCATAACGACAAATCAGCCTCGGAAACTTCGCGGCGGAAACGCTTGCCTACAATGTCGCAAACAGAAAACTCGCTGTAGCCAGGGTGTCCCTCAATGTTCAAATTGCGCTAAGAAGAAATGGACCTGCGTTTACGCTTCTCCCTACGAACCTGAACCGTTGGGCATACAAGAACAGAGCCCACCTTCGAGTTTGATCCCCGACAGGATTGCTATGTTATCAGCCTCAGACACCTCAGCACATGGCCGTGGTCATGCAGATGTCGGACTTGGTGCTATAGAAACTCCCGGTCACAGCCTCCTCGAAAGTCCTGTCATCTTTGGACCTGACCAGTTTACCAGCAACCTTGTGCAAGAATTCTTCAAAGTGCTCCACCCAACCCCATCGTTTTCTTTCCTCCATCCAAGAACGACTCAAGAGCGACTGGTGGAAGGTTCCCTGGACGAAGCATTGGTTTTTGCTATATGTGGCATCACTATTTCTAAACAAAAAATGGAGCCAGTGGCCCGAGATCGAAGCCTAGCATGGATTTCGAAGAGCGAGGAATTGGTCTGGCAGCATCTAGAGAGCCCGAATATGGCACGACTTCAAGCCCTGATTCTTTGTGTGGCGTATCACATCGACACTGGCGCTTCGCACAGAGCCTTCATGCTCGCCGGTCTTGCCGCTAGAGCCGCCACAGCAATGAGACTTAATCACGAGAGGCATCACTTGGACCTTGTCAGCAACGAGGTACGACGCCGCACCTTGTGGTCGTTAAAAATCTTGGAGCTGTATTTCTCGATTGGCCTGCCCGAGTACGAGCTTCTACCGTTTGAAAACGTCTATCTACAACTTCCGAGCCGTGAAGAACACTTCCAGGACTCGGCGTCATCTTTGCATACGGAAGGAGGCGCGTATCGGCTATTTGTCAGATTGACATCGATGCGAAGAGACATCATGAAATTGAATCGCTCAATCACACTTTGTGATGAGCCCTTTCCCCTGCTCCTTAAGCTGATACGTGGCCTTCATAACGAGCTCAATCACCTACGTTGTCAGATGCCGGCGGGCTCAGACTCAGTGATGGCAGGCGTGACGCAGTTCGTCGAGACTCCTTGGCTAGCCAGACACCTGGTCATGCAGCTGTCATGGCACCAATGTCGCTGCGATTTGTACCGCTTATTGCTCCCAGGCTACCCAGAAGCCGCTCCGGCAGTAGTCCTGGCCAGTCTCGATGCTGAAGCCACCAACGATGCAGTTCAAATGTGCACCGAAAGTTCGCTTTCCATCATTCAAACCCTCTCGGATGTCAATTCACATTGTGCGCATTCTCCGATCTTAGAGTACGATGCAGCCATCTGCGGCTATCATGCCGGTCGACTCGTCTTGTTTCTTGCCCACTCTCAGGCAAAAAGCTCTCGATTATCCAAAGAATATGCCATCAGCCGAGCGGAGTTGTGTCTGGCCGCAATCAAGCGGTTTTTCCGATATTCAGCGCCTGTCGATCCCATCCTGAAAGATCTAGAAAGGTTGATCTCCGCGTGCAGCTCTTCCCCCGACGACTGGACCCATCTCATCTTCATCTCCCCTCCAAACGAGGAGGCGCGAGACCCGGTGCTCTCTGAAGTGGCAAGGGCAAAACAACGCTTGGCTATACACAGTTTGCTACGACAGGCAGAATTCGAGGGTGGTGAACCCTCATCTGTGGTCTCCCCATCTAGTGCCAGTATCGAACTCCCATCGACTCGACATCGTAACATGTACAGAGTTCTCTCTTTAGAACAAGATAGGAGCGCTCGACTCGATTCGCCACTGGTCTATGTACCACAACCTGGTACGGAGGAGGAGCAACCAGATCAACATGGAAACCCGTCCACATCCTCTTCGCGGCCACTCTTGTTCCCCTGGTGTGAGTAGAAGCCAGGAGTCGCTACTCAGCTGCTTCAGTAGCGACTCGTTGAGCGAAGGGCCTAAGACTAGCAGAAGCACACAGCTACTTCAAAGCCAGTGGGCGTAAAAAGAATCCCTGATGCCAAACATTGCCGAAGACATCTCTCGGCTGTTGTTTGCATCCTTTTCGAAGAACGGCACTTCAGGGGATGCAAGGCTGGAGTCGGCTTTCGTTCGAATCATACCACAAAGGCTTTCCACGAGGCCGTGGAGATTCCTTGAACGAGAATTTCAGTTGTCGGCAATATCATTCTGCTTGGGGTGCCATAGCGGGAATACGCCTGTAAGGGACGGATGTCGGCCCTAAATCCCAGCACGGATGTCGGTTTATTCGTCTCAGAGCAAATGACCAGGGCGTCAGCCGTCCCCTCCTACTCCGCATTTAGTGCTGGGTGAACTCCAGACCACGCTGGGGGGTGGGCCAGTGGAGTTGCGACTGGGGAGATTGTTTCGGGCTTTAAAATTGCTTAACAAATATATCCATCCCGACACGGCTGGTCGAGCTACTTATTCCGAAGATCCTGACTCTATAAGGCGATTTTCGAATCTCATCTTCAACGTACACCTCAAAAAATTCGCCGGTTCATTACTACTTTACACAAGGCATCATGCCTTCCCTTGGGACCTTCAGGGCGTTCTTCCTCGTGGCGGTCTGCTGCGTTGGCTCGTTCCTGTTCGCATATGACACGGGTATCATTGGAGGCGTCCTCACTCTGAAGTCGTTTCAAAAAGATTTCCGTTACAGCAATGCTCAAAGGACAACTGTGGCCTCGAACTCCAATAGTCTCCTCCAAGCTGGAGGTGCGCTTTTCTTGCTTGGGATTGGGTAGCTTACTAACGGGTTCCAGCGTTCTTCGCCTGCTTCTTCACCTGGCCATTTACTGCACGATTTGGCCGACGATGGTCTATCGCCCTGGCTTCTGTCTTTTTCTGGTAGGTTGTCTGCTCTCCTATCCTTGTCGAGGGCTTGGGTCTTCTCTAGCTCGGAATAAACGCCTCTGGCTGTTTTGACCGGCTCTCTTTTGACTCACGACACTAATTTGATGGGACCATAGCATCGGGGCGGTAGTTCAAACCATCAACACACATCACATTGGAGCCTTCTACACCGCTCGAGTCGTTTCAGGTGTCGGGGTTGGTATGGCCACCGTTATGATCCCCATGTTCAGTGCCGAGATGGCGCCGAAAAATATTCGCGGACAGCTCGGCAGCATGTTCCAGTTCTTCTTCACACTTGGAGTTATGACCAGCTATTGGGTCAACTATGCCGTTTCATCCAAAATGGCATCTGGAACTCGCCAGTGGCAAGTTCCTGTCGGCCTGCAACTTGTGCCTGGCGGCATCCTCGGTTTGGGCATGCTCATCCTCCCCGAGAGTACTCGCTGGCTTGCAAAGGGTGGCCGGCACGAAGAGGCTATGAAGTCGCTCATCTGGGTTCGTGGTGGGGACAATGAGGAGGTCCGCGCTGAGTATGTGGATGAATTCTCCTGGTCAAATTTTTGTTGATGATATCTAGGATGACAGAGATCCTTGCTGGAATCGACGCCGAGGTCCGGGCCACAGAAGGATTGACCTGGAGAGAGATGATGTTGCCATCCAACCGCTGGCGCGTCTTCGTTGTCATCACATTACAGATTGGCGTGCAACTCACCGGTAACACCTCATTGGCCTACTATGCCCCGCAAGTATTTCAGACTGTTGGCGCTGGTGATTCCAAACTCCTCATCAGTGGGTTTTTTGGTGTCATCAAAGTTGTGTCGTGTTTCATCTTCCTCGCCTTATTGGTCGAAAGAATTGGCAGAAAAGGTGCTTTGATGGGTGGCGCGGGTGCGATGGGCTCTTTGATGCTTATCGTGGCCTGCCTTACTGCCACTCATCCGCCCAGCAAAAACCAGACAAGGGTGTCACCAGCGGGCGCGGCTTCTATCACCATGATTTATCTCGAAGCAGGTATGGCCATCACGAACTTTTCATTTGATAAAAGCAAGCTAATCTATTCCTTAGCGGCGTACAACATGTCATTTGGTCCAGTCTCCTGGTTGTACACGGGCGAAATTTTCTCCAACCGCACTCGAGAGATCGGTATCGCCATCGGTACCGCCACGCAATGGCTTTTCAACTTCGTCTTTTCCCAGGCCACCCCACATGCGGTCGACAACCTCGGATGGAAGACATTCTTGATGTTCGCCATCTTTAACTTCGCACTTGTGGTCTACGCTTGGTTTATTATCAAAGAGGTAAGAAGTGATTGCCCTTACATTGACACCAAGGAATGTGCTAACGAAAATGATAGACAACTGGAAAATCTCTCGAAGACATGGAGGCTGTCTTCGGCTCCGACAAGACTCAAATCAGTACCGCGAATATGGAAGCAGCAGAACACGAGCTTAGCAACAAGGGCATGGCAACCACGCATGTCGAAGCGAAGGCGTAAGCGGCTCTCGATATGACATGACCACGTCCACTTAGCTTCGAGAAGGAAGCGTTGAAGGAGCCATTGCGATTCGGGGGAAGTCGAAGTGGAGGAGGGTATGGCATCAGTGGAAGCAATTGCGTGGAGGCGCTGGTTCCTACTTTTGCCAAGTAGTCACATATTGTGCATTGCTCTACACCTTACCAGCGTTGAATAAATGTTGCGTGGAGTCGTAATTCTGCGCATGAACCTTGGGCTTGATGGATTAATGCCAGACTCATCGTTTTCTGGGATTCAGCACTTATCTGCTTCGGGGAGTCTGCAGGGCTCTTGCGCACTGCTTCAACCACGGTTTTTCTCAAGTCTCAAATCCATTTCAAACGTTCTCTAAGTACGTTCAAAAGAGTTTCAACAAGGATTACTCGTGGATTGTTAAGGGCTAGGAAGTAGGAGGGACCATAGCTAGCTGGCATACGCTTCCATTGACCGCTAGCATCTTTGATCTGGTTGTCTTCCATATCCGAGGCACGTTTTTCTCACTTGGAAGCAGAAGAAGAGAAACAATTGCCACTCCGACTCGCGAACGGATCAAGTTATTCTGGAATGAGTGGCATATGACTTAGTAGCGACTGGGATTCACGACCGACAGCCGTAGCTTGCCACAGAAGAGAGTTTCGGCCGAGAGCCGTAGCTCATTTTCCATCTCGCCTTCCCCAGCCATAACAGGTCCTCCGCATAAATTGCCCACGGGAAGGCGAAAGCGAACACGGGGCACCTGATTCGCAGATCATGAAAACACCGATTAGCCGACACACCATCCTAATGGCGTGCTCAGCGCGGAGCGTCATTTCTATGGTCGGCCAGTCCTCGTAGCGAGATGTTGGTGGTGCCTTGCCAGAAGCCATATTGTCACCGCCGTTCCTGACTAGCTTCCGGCGCGGCATGATCTCGGGCTGGCTGCCGCCCCAGACAGAATCTATATTCTAGAGACTAAGACTCTGTCGTGAGATTCTATGGTCTCTTCGTGCGGAGGATCATGAACTCGGTCGACTGAACGGGCTGCTCAAAAATATAAAAAACCACACACGGTGGTAGCAAGTTCTTCAACTAAGGACTGCATTCCTCATCAAAATGGCGGGCCTCTTCCTCTCTTTGTTCGCTTTGGGCATCTCCACTGCCTTGTCTGCCGTGCTGTCGCCTAGACAAGGTAGTTCGGCATGGCGGGACAAGTCTCTTCCTGCTGCTCAACGAGCTGACGATTTGTTGCCTCAACTGAGCTGGGAAGAGAAGATAGGTCAGATGGGTGGCATCCGTCAATTGCTCCAGCCTAATGCCACTTTCAATCGAACAACGTGGAATACACTGTATCCGTTGCAGCATGGTATCCTGAGTGAGTCGATTCTTTTGTGATGATCAATGACACACCTCTTGATGAGGCTTAGGCTATGGCTCGCAGCTCAACCAGGCGCAAGATGTCTTGCCGTACGCCAATATGGTACGAGAGGAGCAATTAAATAGCTCCAAAGTCCCTTGGATTAGTGTCACGGACTCAGTCAACAGCATATATGTACCTGGTGGCACGATCTTCCCAGCAACACTGTCTCTGTCAACATCCTGGAACTTGTCTATGTACGAGCAGGTAGTTGCCGCCATTCGTGACGAGAACATGGCACTTGGAACACATTGGGTCCTCAGTCCAGAGCTCGACATTGCCAAAGAGCCCAGAAACGGTCGCGTCGGAGAAATGTGCGTTCGAGTATCCTTGTTCCCTATTGTACGTGAATGATGGGCTGAATCAGTCTCTAGGTATGGTGAAGACGTCTATTTGATCGGAGAGTTTGCTGCTCAGTACGTCCGCACCATGCAGGGACGTGATGAAAATGGCTATATCAAAGTCGGAACAACTATCAAGCACTTCTTGTATGGACAAGGTATGGGTGGTGTCAATACCGCCAGCATGCATGGTGGCGTTAATCACCTATACAATGACCTGGCTATACCTTACATCCGGGTTCTCAAAGAAAACCCTACTGCGGTCATGATTTCATATTCCAGCATCGATCGGACTCCAATGTCAACGAACACAGCTCTTATACAGGGTATGCTTCGATCGGAGATGGGCTTTCGAGGCTTGATCATGTCGGATGCAATGGGTATCTTGCATTTATACACAGAATCGAAGGTGGCTTCATCATACAAAGATGCCGCGGTCAAAGCACTTCGGGCTGGTTTGCAGCTCGAACTGGCTCCGGGTCAGCCCGCATGCTTCCCATTTTTGGTCAACAGCTCGAATGATCAAGAGATCGTGAACCTTGTTGATGAAGCCGTTCGTCAGCACTTGGTCATCAAGTTCGAGACCGGGATGTTTGATCTTCCCTTGCCGACGCCGGAGAATCTCAATCGAACTCTCCGCGCACCTCAACACCTAGAAATCAATCGCCAAGCTTCACGAGATGCCATCGTCTTGCTGAGCAATGACGGCTTTCTGCCACAAGCCAACCTGACAAAGATCGCACTGATTGGACCTTTTGGTGACATACTGGACCCGGGCTCTTACGCCCCGTCGACCGCTGCCAACCCTTTACATGGTCAGACTCTCAAAGACAGCCTGGAGGTACGTTTTGGGTCCGCCAACATTCAGTATGTCAAAGGCGTTGACATTCGGTCCACCAGCACAAATGACACGACTGGTATCGAAGACGCTGTGGCTGCCGCCAAAAATGCCGGTGTCGCTATCGTAGCCCTGGGTTCCTTGTCTGTCTACTTCCTAGACCCGATCACCGGCCAGCGTACAGATGGAGAGTTCTTCAGCCATGCTAGCCTGGGCTTTCCTGGCAGCCAGCAACAGCTCTTGGATGCTGTCCTCGACACCGGTGTTCCGACGATTCTTGTGCTGAACGGTGGTCAAGCATTTGTCTTGAACAATTCTACCATGCGGGCAAATGCTATCCTCCACCAATTTCTCGGCGGCGAATTCTCCGCCGATGCCCTTGTCGAGATAATTACCGGCCAGGTCAATCCCAGTGGTAAACTTACCATTTCCATGCCGCAAGCGGAAGGCGCATTCCCGATCTACTACGATTACTTGCCTTCGGACAACGTCGGCGGTGCCGGGGGCTTTAATGGATGTGCCGGTGATTGGAGCTACCCTTGCTTGGATCGAGACGGCGCTCCAATGGCGTTTGGTTATGGTCTGAGCTACACGACATTTGATATTTCTGAACCTCAGGTCTTGAACTCAAGCGGTGTCTCGATTTCTTGCACCGTCGCCAACACTGGGGACGTGGTTGGGAAGGAGGTCGTACAAGTGTACTTCCGACAGCAATATTCGGACATTGAACTTCCCAATAAGAGGCTGATTCGCTTTGAGAAAATCGAATTGCAGCCGGGTGAGGCGCGAAAGGTGGAATTCACCATTGACAAAAATGATCTGGGATACTACAACAACGCCAAATATCAAGTGGACTCTGGAAACTATACCTTCTGGGTGGGATCAAGCTCGAGAATGGCAGATTTGAAGAACGTAACGATCAGTCTGTGAAGCGGATATTGACGGTAGTAGACGTTGAGTACCCAATTATGAGAGCATGACGGGACAAAACGCCCCGATTTATTACATGCTATATAAATCATGTACCTTCATGTTATTGTAAAGAGGTCGATATGGAGAGCACTGATGGCTGCCCAGAGACAACAACACAACAACACCAAATACCCCGGAGGGAGGAGGACTGATCTGAAGTTGCAGAATAGGCAGGAAAGGCTCAAAGAACTCTATAAGAAATCCCTAAATTCTCGATCATTTTCAAGGAATGTCTTCTCGCGATAGTTGGGCAGCTATTCTTTGACTTCTCTGTGAAGCACACTTGTTCACCTTCTGAAAGACTACCTGAACATAGAGCCCCCAGAATAGGATAAGTCCTCCGTAAAATCACAACTCTGTGATTGGTGGGTAAGCCTGCGATCATATGTCCAGGTCAAGCAAACTGGTCTGAATTCAACCATTTTGTTCCCCCCCCCAAAAACACGTGCTATGCCAGAATGAAGCAACTTCTACCCTTGTATTAATAGAAAAAGCTGGTATTTGAGCCAATACTACATTTCTGTTTCCTGAGGATTTTAGCAAATTGGGCCTAATCCTAGGTATCTTGGAAGTGTGGCAAAACGCTCTCGTTGGAAGAAATGAACCTGAACCGAAGTGACCTGTCGGCGCGGCCGGGTTTAGAATTAGAGGAAGAGATCGAACATGGAGAGAAGTTCAGGATGACAAGAACCGATCCAAGTCTCATCATGCACATCATCATCTCGAATGGCGTCCCGACTTCCAGAAGGAGAGGTTGCATCCCGTCGACCGACATCCGTAGCGTTGGGACTTCTGATTCCCGCATGTGGCGACCGACTTCTTACCAGCAAACCATGTTCACCGTGCCAGAACATCCACCAGAACACAATACATGCGTCTCACCCTTTGAGGCCTCGCTCTGGCTTGGGTACCTTATCTTTGAATAAGAGGTAAGTCGATCCAATAGCCGGTAGTCTAGTAGCGTGGCGGATCATGAGAAAAGTGCTTTGATTATCTTTCCTTTTGTTCACAAGTTTTCCTTGCTTACTTTTATTCTACATCAGTGCACTTGCTATCAAAACCTCTCTCTATGCTGAGGCTTTCAACATATGATCGTCGTCTTTTCCACACATAATACCTCTTTGTCACTGTTATAGCTGGGGAACACCAAATCTAAGGTAGCTTATTTTGTATCGAATTCAGCTACAATGGCGAAGACAAAACGACCTAATATTCTTTTCATCATGGCTGATGACCATGCATCGAAAGCAATTTCTGCATATGGAGCCAACATCAACCATACGCCGAACCTCGATCGTCTGGCTAAAGAAGGAATACTGCTGAATCATTGCTATGTGACGAATTCAATCTGCACTCCGTCAAGAGCCGCCATTCTGACCGGCACATATAACCACGTCAATGGCGTTGTCACATTAGACAGCAAAATCAACAAGAATCTACCTAACGTGGCAAAACACTTACGGGCAGCTGGATACGACACCGCCATGGTCGGCAAATGGCACCTGGGCGAAGGCGAAACGTGCCAGCCAAGTGGATTCGATTACTGGAGTGTCCTGCCCGGACAGGGTGACTACTGGGATCCAACTTTCATTGACATGGACGGGCACGAGCGCGTGACAGAAGGCTATGCGACGAGCATTATCACAAATAAATCCCTGGCCTGGCTGAACGAGAGACCGCGAGACAAGCCGTGGTTTCTTATGTGTCACCACAAGGCGCCGCATCGTAGCTGGGAGTGCGATGATAAGCACAAGAACCTCTACAAAGGGGAGATCAAGATGCCAGACACGTTCTCCGACGATTACAAGAACCGGGCCAAGGCGGCGAAAATCGCAAAGATGCGCGTAGCAGATGACTTGACGTACAAAGATCTCGGCCTGGTGCAGCCCGACGGTGGCAGGAGAAAGCTAGGCGAAATGATGTGGGACGGCGCTCGAAAAATCCCGAATAACCCACAGGGGCTCCGTCTCATCGATGCAGACGATGGCACAGTCTTCACTTTCTCGAATGAAAAGGGTCTCGGAGAATTTAAGTTTCAGCGGTACCTGCAGCGGTACCTCCGCACCATTCAAAGTATAGACGACAGTGTCGGACGACTGCTGGATTGGCTCGAGCAGACCGGCCAAGCGGACGACACGGTCGTCATCTACACGTCGGACCAAGGTTTCTTCCTCGGCGAGCATGGCTGGTTCGACAAACGCTTCATGTATGAAGAGAGCTTCCAGATGCCCTTTATGTGCCGATACCCACGCGAGATCAAGCCGGGCAGCGTGAACAACGACCTGGTCAACAACGTGGACTTTGCGCCTTTGTTCTTGGACTACGCCGCGGCCAGGAAGCCGAGTTATATGCAGGGCCAGAGTTTCAGGAAGATACTGATGGGCGAAGCGATCGAGGGGTGGAAGCAGGTCGCATACCATCGATATTGGATGCACAATGACGTTATCCACGAGGCGTACGCACATTATGGTGTCAGAGATCAGAGGTATAAGTTGGTATATTGGTACTGTGAGGATATGGGCGTGGAGGGTGCGCGGCCTGGTGGTGAGGAGTACAAGGAGTGGGAGTTATTTGATTGTCAGGAGGATCCGTTGGAGTTGTTTAACGTTTATGGCGATCCGAAGTACCAGGGTATTGTCGTTAGGATGACGAGATTGTTGGAGGATAAGATGGAGGAGATTGGTGACGAGCCTGTGCATGTTTTGAGCAGTTGGAAAAAGCCACCTCACCCAAACCTTTGATACATTGGCAGCAGGAGCGATGAGATGCGCGCTTCTGGCACCGGCTTTCAATATCGAATCCCGGAATCTTCATTGCGTTAGGGAAAATTGCAAGGTATGCTTCGAATAATCATACTCTAGACAAGATCGAAATGAATTACGCAAGGACGGTGGCGACAATTGATCTCCAGGTCACAGATGACCATTTTCAGTCCTTGACCTCTTGAGAGCAGCATTTCAGGTGCTCGAACACCTTCCAGGGCACATCCTTGACAACATTCTTACCCCCGGTCGGATCAAGATGACCATATCCACCAGCCAGGAACCTTCGATAATCCCTCTCCGCCGAAGCATGTTGTAGTTTCTCGGCGTCGACTCCGGATTAAACAACTGGTTCTTTGTTCTCGAGCCAAACGATACCAGCAGGCTACGCAGACAATCCAATGCTTCGCGCAGGTCCTGGAATTCGTTGTCCTGACAGAATCAATCCATACGTTCCTCCACACACAACGTGTTTCAACAGTTTGGTGTGCGTGTCCGCGAAGAAAACGATGGATGTCTTCGTGCGTTTGAAAATTGAGGTTCCCGTGGTTGTCGAACAAGGGAGTTATCATATATAGGCTCCACAACTGAAACACTGGTAGAAGGCTTCCATAGACAACGACATTCCGAATGGTTACTCTACACAACAACGAGACTTCCGCAACGTCTATAAAGAGGGCGTCAGTAACGTAACAAGTAGACAGAGAACAGAGTATTCAATACATCTCAAGTTGCACCCCGTCTGGCGGTGGATCCAGAGCACGCCGAAGCTGAAGGAGTAGCGGTGACATGCAGTTAACAAGCAGAGGTCTCGGCGGCTGAAAACTAGTTAGAACTGCAATTGGATATTGAGGATTCCTTGAAAGGCTCCTGAAGCTTTACTGCTGGTGACGGGGAAAAAATTAGCCACTTCGTAGTAAGCTTAGTACGAGCCCAAACTTTGACAGGAAAGCGGAACAGCGCCCAGAGAGTATTAGCGATAGAAAACCCGTAGCATCCTCAATTATTCGTCAAGAATTTTAGAACTCGTGATTTGCTCGAACGGCACCGTCGAGAAGGGACCATATCATCATAATCGCTACGACCTCCGGTTGCGGTAGGAACCACCCGTTCCATGGTGGGGGGATTTAGGTGTGCATCATTCATTAAAATCAACCATTTCCCTTATCGCATTGAAACCATAGAGTCTGAGGGAGGCGCCAGTTGACTAGCGTCACCTTAACACCACAGAAGATTTCACAGTACACATGAACAACAAGGATCCAAGACAAACAAAAGAAAGTGTTCAGGCAGGCAAGGAAAAAGCAAAAGGATACAAGAAGTCCAAAATCTAGCGTCTGATGCAAAGAATGTGTGGGATCAATATCCCAAGGACCTTGGCCAGACTTTGGAAGTACGAAAGGGAATCATTCTCGTTCTCCTTACTGAGTAGAGTCGTGCCATGAGTGGGAGCTGCTCCAGAATGAGGGCCGAAAGTAATGTGCCTTCGTGAGGTGCTGTTAGATCAAGCAATACGCTAACCGACTCTATCGCCTTGGGTTGTACGTCACATTGAAGAGCACATTTTATCAGCACGCACCTAATTCGAGGGATGGACACCCAGAGATAGTCAGAAGTCTCTCAAGAGATGGGTATGCTATCCCGGAGAGTCACAATGTATGATTGTTAAGCTACACTCCGGGTACTGATCCTCCGGCCACTTTCGCTGCCACCGGCTAAATTGGACGACCAAGCTTGCTAAAGGGTTATGGGACGCACCTCCACTCCAAGGCACCTCTAGAGCATGTGGAGATCATGCTAGATTCACAGGAAAATGTCTTCCTAGTAAGTACCTTGTCTGACATATAATCCCCTTTGTTTAATTAGTGATGGATTGCCTGGCTTGATCTGATCTCCACAGGAGGAGAAGCGACGCCCTATCGGCGAAGCTGGCCCCTCTCTGTTGTCAATTACGATACAAGTAGTCCATCGTCTTTACCATCAGATCTATTGTTCACCAGAATTTTGTCTATAAAGGTCGTGTCTATTGCGGCGGATTGATTCTTTTCGCAACAATTAGAGAACTACCTTCGTTAAGCCGCTTTACATCCACATACATCAAACTCCTAATCTCAAAGCAATTTTGCAGTCTCCCGATCAACATGCCTTCCCGTAACCCCCGCACCATCGCTCTCATCTCCGGCGCCAACAAAGGCATCGGTCTCGCCGTGACGAGTACCCTCGCCAGCCAGCATGGCTACCACGTCATCGTGGGCTCTCGAAACCTCGAAGCAGGCGAGCAATTCGCAGCGAGCCTAAGAGCAGCCGGTCATGGCGCCTCAAGCGTCCAACTTGATCTCAACTCCGAGTCTTCAATCAATGCTACCATCCAGACAATCAACCAAGAGTTCGGATACCTCGACGTCCTGGTGAATAACGCCGCCATCTTCCATGATGTGATTCCCTGGATAGACAGGCCGACTTTGGGTGCTTTCGAGCTCTTCAGCACCACATTCGCGACGAATGTCGTCGGCACGGCTGTCTTGACCGACGGACTCTTGTCTCTGCTGCAAAAGGCCCAGGCGAAGCCCGCGCGCATAGTCTTCGTCTCGGGCAGACTGGGGAGTTTAACTTACGCGTTTGAGGATAAGAAGAGATTTCCGGATTGGAAAGCGTACAGCGCGAGTAAGGCTGCTGTGAATATGCTGACAATCAAATACGCCGAACTCCTGGAAGATGAGGGGATGAAGGTCAATGTTTGGATCCCGGCCTTGTGGACACAGATCTGTCCGGATAATGCGGAGGGATCTGTTCTACCAGAGGTCGGTGCCATAGGAATTGTGCGGATGGCAACTCTGGAGGAGGATGGACCGATTGGGACGTTCAGTGACCGCAATGGGCCGCTCGCATGGTAATGGCATCATGAAAAGCGAGATATGTTGTGAACTCCGTGCTATTTCCTATCTGGAGCAGCCGGCCGGAGACAGATCCGTTTGAGATTCTTCCATATCATTGTCAAATAGAGAAATTGCGATGCTCAGCAAAACTCCCATCTTGTCGGTGCCGGCTTCCCAGGCGTCCAGTCTCATGGTGTTCAGGGGGTCTCGGTTGTAATGTGCGTCTATCAACGCCCCAAAATTCCACACGTCTGTATATAACAGACCAGCGTCGAAGAAAGCACGCGCAGTCTCCCACTCCTCACGTGACCGGGCCTCCCACATGGCTTTCGCCGTGCATAGCGGCTTGTTTCGGCAGGCCTTCAAAGTCGGGCACAGTAGATCCGCGTCCGGGCATACTATTCGGCTGATGATGAACCAGAGACATCCTAATCTGGAACCACATAGGGGGTCAAATCCGTGCTTGAGTAGCCAAGGCCAGATATTGATTACTTACCGTCTGCGAGATTCTGCAAAGACCCAGTCTTCCCATTGAAGACTTGGATTTGCCCATTCAGCCTCCGAAAAAGGAGCGGCACCGAGTAGTCGTATAAATCTGATCGTCATCATCTGCCACACCAGAGTCAATATCGGGCGGACGGATTGCGTATGTAACAGACCTTAAATGTGCGGGTCAAGCGACCATAACGAGGAGGTATTTCACCATCCTGATCCACAATAGCTATTATCGTATATATGACTAGGGCTTGCATTGCAGCAAGTGTCTCATGTTTGGAATAGTTTTCGAGCTACATTCTATTAGTTCCTGCCAGCAACAACTCGTGCCCATTCGAAATTGCTTACCTCGTCCCTGAAGCGCTGTTCTTCGTGGTCGATAGACCTCCAGAGAAAGGGTTTAGTCTCGTGTGTCCGTGAAACAAAGAGCTGGGAAATGCTCATGCAAGTTGCCAGCTTCTCAGGTAGAGTCGGGGTATGCCAATGCTGGTGGATGAAAGGAGGGAACGTCTGTCGGCGCTGCATCATCTCCGGGAAGGCACGGATGATGTGCAACACCAACCGAGCACCTTGTTCGGCCGCTGCGGTACCTGGACGACGACGTATAAGAGGTCTACTTCTGGATGATGTCGTTGGAATTCCAGGAAAATCGTTCTGTAGAAAGATTGGCTGTCTTGTTGAAAGACTCGTGGATGCGGAATTTGTCAGACTCCCCTGCTGAAGACTTGAGTCCCAGCTAAAATTTACCCAATCCATGGCGTAACTATCTACTTCTTCCGGGTTATGCTCAAGCCTAGCGATCAAACCCATCTGAGCCGGCCGGCGGTTTTCGACAGGTATATCACTAAGGCTATTAGGGATATCATCAGCCGCAGCTTCAGGCCTGTTTGAAGCGCCGCGGACAAGGCTTGGAACCAACTCCGTCCTGGAAACCATGGGGTTTCCTCGATCCCCAACTCCACCGCAAACTGGCAATCCACGGGTATCGCTCCTTGGAATCTCGTAGATACAGACTAAGGCTTTGTCGACACATCTCGAGCATCGCGGCTGATCGAAGCTGCACTTCGTTTTGGCCGCGCTGCAACTCACACAGGATCTCGGCCGCCCTTTGCGTCTTGTCTGTGCCCGGCGGCAATACGACACATGGCGGTTGTACGAGAGTTCTTCATTTGGTGAGCTGCAAGAAGCAGAAGGGCTATTATTTCGGGTGCCGGCTAACCTCTGTTAAATATCTTTTCGCAGTGGGGACAGCAGCGGACGGAGGTCAGCGCCGCCGAAGAGACTTGGGGCACGCCACTCATAGTATGTAGACGCCAGAGTAGAAGGATGCTATCAGCCGCGACGGAGAGGTGAACAATGATTCAAAGTCCATGTATACATCAATTGAAAGTGAAGAAAGGAGAATAGCTCGTTCGTGAGTGTACTGTAGGTGGGTTCTCCGTGATATAGCAATCAATTAGTAAGCACTAGTAAAGAACCATTGGAGAAACTGCAAAGCTGCGCCAAGCACACTGGAGCGGGCCGGTGATTTCTAAGCAACAATCTTGTGGGGACAACATGGTGACGAACAGCCCATCAGGGGCGTCTCAAATAGGTGTGTTTACCTCAAGATAATATATGTCGTTGTTGAGATGCTCAAGTGCCACTTTGTATGTAATCTAGTTGCGGAGGTGAGCAGAGCTGTGAAACTACTTATGAAACTTGAATTGAAAGAGTACCTCTTAGAAAACTATGGAATCCGGAACATCACTTATGAATATAAAGGGTAGCCTGACCAAGCTCCAAGGTTCCCTCGAAGTTGATTGGTGGGCACGCCAAGGGTATATATCCAATGTCCAACAAATTGGTTTGAATTCAGACTTTTTGTCACAGTTGGGCTGTTGGCCAATCACGCGAGTGTGATTCTGGCCACAATTGTTCATATATTAGGCTAGAAAACATTACCATCCGGCAGGAGAATTTGTCCTGGGAATCTAGAGAAAGACTGGAAGCGTTGAGGTGTGGGCCCGAAACACGACTTGCAATGGGAGCATACTGTTGCAGAGGAGCAGCTTGGAGGCGGGGACCAATGAAAACCAGTCTATTAATTATCAGGGAATGCCAAGGAACAGAAGGGCAAGCGTGATTCGGTAGGGAATTGATGGAATTGACAGTCCTATATGATATCGACTCGATCGCTTGACTCCTCAAGCGATGATGCGATGAGATAAGCAGGATATAATCCTGCGTCTCGCCCGGTATCTGGTGTCTTGGCAGGGGCCACCCTGACATTAGTTATCAGATATCTTGCTATTTACCCCAGGAGGAGTGGTTATTCATGACAAGCCTTGCTTTCTGTAGCAACGATACCAACGAAGGGTAATAATCTGTTACGAGGGGTGTAGGGAGAGGGATCATAAATCGTTACGAGTGCACAAGGTAGAGTGCGGAATAGTAATGTACTGAAAACCTGTCTATCTATCTAAGGGTTCGAGGGCTCTTCTTGTACCTTTCAATCCTTTCGCTTCTTTGCTCATTTTTGGCGTCCAGCTCCCTTCCTGTCACTTCTGCGATGGCTGGGAATTTGTTGCATGATATCTAGGTGTTACACTTTCACATTTATCGTTCAATCGTTCGTATTCCATCAGCTTACAACTCTGTCCTTCCCCTGGAAGCTTGTGCTTCTGGTTGAGCATCGTCCTCAGCCGGCAAAACGCCCTCCCTCAGCATCACTTTCTTTCATCTATGTTGAGTGTTCTTCTTAAACCAGATTCTCTACAAGAATGCGTGGTTTACTCCAGGACCCTGATCTTGTGGAAGGCCAGGCCCATTGGATACTGCTTGACATGCCGAGCTTCGTTGCCCATACCTAACAGGCCATCGCGGGGTTCTGCCAGAGAGAATATCCTATGTGATGATTGCACCCTCGGACCATGCAACGAGAGCCGCTTTAGGAATGCTATAAGCATTCCAAAGGCCAATAACATCGTCGGCGAGGGCATTATAGGTCAGCTTCTCCTCGCTGAGCGGACTTCAGCCATGTCATAACTTGGTTCTTTCTTCCCACGTCCATCAGCCCCTAGTGCCTAGTTTTAGCCAACTGCAATCCAGGGAGGACGGGAGCTTTTTCCAAGCCATCAATAATCCTGCCAGATTGTTCTGCCATCATTTCAGTTTCAAGATCTTTTGTCCGCTTGTGGGAACGTGGACTGGATGATACGGAGTTTGGAGTCCGAATACGTACCTTTTCGGTCAGTAATGTAGAAGCACGTAACGGTCTATTTCATCATTGGGTCTTCGCAGTTGTAGCACAGTACGTATTGAGAAACATCTAGACGAGTCCGATCGGAAAAATGGACGGAACTGCGGGGCAACTGTGTATTCTGGACGTGTCGCTTGCCGTAAATTGTGTACGTTCGTTCCAGCTTAGGAAAGCCCTTACTTATCACAACACAGGGTTTCTGAAGTTTTGACCCAGCGCTTGCTGTGTTATGATCTGGCCTCAGTTCGTCTTCTCCCTACCGACCCTAAATCTCATGATAACCGACTATTACCCGGACCTGTCTTAGGGGCTGACTCCAGGCAGATACACCCACAGATACACTGATACAAATGACGTACATTGTCCCCCGAAGGGGGGGGGGGGGGGGTGCGGTGGTGTAAACCGACGACGAGGCCCTCCCTTTCTGTTGGATAGGGGTGTTGTGTATTTGCTCCACCATAGAAATATTGACGAGAGGTTTCTATAGACGACAACGTTATAGATGGTTGCTCTGTGCAACAATGTAGCATTCGTGTGCCTCTAAAAGAAGCCTCAGGACCTCGACAAGTAGATAGAGAACAGAGCACTCCTTCATCTCAAGAAGTTTGACACTTTCTTTTTGGTGGGTCCATGGATCGGATCTGATGAGTGGACCACCCTTAACGAATTAACCGTTTTCCGGCCCACCGCCATCGGATTAAATATTCTCTGCACCAGCTCCCATCGGATCCAGTCTGTGGACCATGTGCCACCGAGGGAGTTTCTACTCGACGTGGTTCATGGATTGGATCCGATGAAATTTGTTTGCCAATCACGTGATGCATTGCCTCGGCAACGTCACGTGAGGCGGTTGGCTTGGTAACTTTGCGCCCTTCTTTTCAGTCTTGCTAGGCTGCGTAACGGGTCGGGTTGGGTTGGGTTTTCGAAGGTCCTTACACTACCGATTAATCCTATAGGGTTTTTTCAAAATAGGGCCTCCCCTACCCGACCCTACCCAGTCGGGTTTTGGGTAGAGTCGAGTTATGCCAAGATATCCGAAATCGAATGCTTAATCAGCAGATATGTTGACATTATCCTGTGCTGTAGCCTGCGGCAGCCTAGAAGAGTAACTGTGTATTTAAAGTCGCTCATTATCCTTAGATAGTCAGATAGACAAGTCTCCATAGCCCAATGCACATGCACTCCTGCATTCATTCCCTCAACAAGGTATGGGCTAATTAACATGTAAAAGGGTTACATTGATTGTAACAGTAAGGAAGTAGATATGTAAAAAATGCCTGTATTGGGCCGTTAAATTACCGTACAATATTGTCTCTATCGACCCGATTAATCGGGTAGGGTATCCTATAGGGCTTTTGGGTAGGGTTGGCTAAATTCAAGACCCGATTATTTAGGATAGGGTTTTGAATTTAGATACCCAACCCTGCCCGAAACCCGATAGGTCGGGTTTTACAGTAGGGTCGGGCTAACCCAACCCGTTGCGCAGTCTAAGTCTTGCTCTCTTGTTAGATAGATGTTGAACTGTGAGACAATATGCAGCAACGATTTCGGCGTGGTAATGAATGTTCAGCTAGACAAGGATTTCGTCTACGAGCTGAACACGGAGACACCGAACGGTGGCAACAACCTTTGTCTATATAAACATGCGAGGCAGGACCTCAACTTGATAGAGAACAGAGCACTCCTTCAACTCAAGTTGTACCACAAGTTTGACAATAGAACAACACATTCCTTCTCTAGACTCCGCAGTCTAATAGAAATCCCCCATCGCACATCGGATCCAGTCTATGGACCACCCTGATAAGCTCCACTGATCATCGTCATGGTTTATGGATCGAATCCCTTGAAAATATCATCATGATCGGATCCAATCCATGGATAACAACAACAACATTAATATGCCCAGTCTTGACGCAAGCATAGTAATTTGTATGGGAAACTGCAAACCTTCGAATACCTGCAGCATCCATTTAACCTCGCCGTCGCCTGTTTGGTATAGACAACCAGATTTCAACTTGAAGCTGAAATCCCTTTTAGGTAATAAACTCAGCCTTACCGTTCAGCCTTGTGTGCCTCCTGTGATTCTGCCATATCCCCCTTGCCCTTACCTCTTGGTATCGCTTCGAATGAATCCTCTTCCTCTTCCCCCTATCCAACTTTGGCGTGCAGTGGACGTAGGCGGTTCAGACGCAGCCGGCGGAGACCTGCTGCAGCATATCTGGCAGCATATCTGGCGGCGACAAAGACGGCGATTGCGGACGTGGTCTGGTGGCGTTCTGCAGTTGTAAGCGTCCGAATTCGATATGGCAGCGTCTGCGTAGGAGGAGTTGCAGGCCGTGTTTCGGGGCCACTATCGAACGCTGCAGATGCCTCTACCACTGCGTTTTGTATGAGCACAGACATCTAGAGCGGTCTATCCTGCCTTGCTAGTATAGTGATAGTACTGCGTTGAGTTTTAAACGTAGTAAACACCTCGCCACGGCCATCTTGGTCACTTTCGATCTGATGGTAAGTTATTCAACGCCTTGCAGTTTCCCGTACAAATTACTATGTGTACGTCAAGACTGGGAATACGTCATTTGTATCGGTGTATCTGCCCGGAGTCAGCCCCACTGAGACACTGGTAGAATGTTGCCATAGACAACGGCATTCCTGATGGTTGTTCTGCAAAACAATGAAACTTCCGCAACGTCTATAAAGACGACGTCAGGAACACAACAAGTAGATAGAAAAAGGAGCATTCAGTACATCTCAGGTTGCACCCCAGTTTGACAAATCCACCCTACGCGACCGATGCCTGGAAGCACTTCGATGGCCGAATTCCGTTCCAAGGGACGTCGATTGACGGTCGCAGAAGAGGGGTATTTTTGAATGTATCCTGGACCTAGGCGCACGAGGGTTCCACCTCGGCTGGCTGGTGTCGAAGACATGGCTAATCTACTCCTCGCGGGGTGCGACGGCTTGACGAGTGGGCAAGCACTGGGCGAAGAAATTCGTCAAGCGACGACCAGAGCTCAAGGCCCCGTGTGACTCTATGGTAGTTATGCGTGCTGATCGACGTGGACGAGGCGAATCAGTTCAGCCATGTAATTGAGAATGGGCAACAGCGATCGAGTGTATTAATGCCGAAGAATGCTCCTGTCATGAAGATCCTATATACGTGGAACAACTGGTGAATGTTCTCGACGAATGCTCCACAACCGCCCTCACTATAATTTGCCCATCAGATAGCCCGATCTCTCCAGATGTCGGCATGTACGACGTTGGTGCCTCCATCAGAGTTATCCTCGTCTCGCCGAACGGGTTTTCGGGTCAATCAAGACCTGACCCAAACCCGACCCAGAAACCCGTCCATTTGGGCCGGGCCGGGTCGGGTTAATATCCCAAAGTATAATTATTTATAGTCTCTTTCCTTGTAAAGTAAGTAAATGCGCGGAACCCTACGTATAAATTACTGTAGCTAAGCAGAGGAACATAAGCGAGTGCACTCAATTTCTCACCAAAATTCGCTGAGTGGTGCACTCGTGTCAAACAGCTGGTGCCTAAGAGCACCTATTCCCTGGTATTGAACAGCGAGTATTGAACAAGTGCTAGCCAATCATTTGTGACAGACTAGGATATTTTGCAACACTCGCTCAATAGGCTGTATCACCATTAACAGGCCGCAATGGTGACGTACACTCGTTAGATAGATATATAGATGGACTCTATCCTACACCCATTAGGAGAGCCAGAGCACTCTTTCAATCCACGAAGTTTAACACCTGGCCTATGTAGAGGGGCTTTCCCCATCCATAGTTGCAATCTACACACGAGTTTTCACCCTTCTATCCGCCCCCGCGCAGGCACATGAGGCTATTGACAGCCAGAGTGGGTCAATGGCAGACACCAGTAGTCATCCAGCAGTCACACGGCAGGCCCTGATGAGCCTGCCAGGTTGTGCCATAACACTAATTACCAGTGACGTATCTAACTTTTATAAAACGTTCAGACAAGCAGTTTAAGTACAACTCCACTGGGAGCGCATCAAAAGAGACTAAAAATGCAATGCACTGGGTTATAACTAGCCTATCTCTTACGTAGGGTGTGTTTCGATAATTTATGGTGCAACTCGATTAGGTTCGTCATGCTGGTTGAAACATTTAGCGCCGGCTCTGACCTCCGTTGTTTCCACATTGGCGCTATCCCTGCCCTCAAGTGGCGTGACTGAAACGTTGCAACAACGCAAAGATTTGGACCGCTTCAACTTCAGACCCTCGAGGAACGCTTCCAGCAGGGGGAATCTACCGGCTTTGAGTCCTCTGTGGTAGGGGCTTCCCTCTCTCCATGGCTGCAATCTACACAAGAGTTTTCACCCTTCTATCTGCCCCTCTCAAAGTTCGACACTTACGCTTTTTCCAGTGACAAGTACAACAATGTCTCATGTTCTTGAGTCTTCTGTTGAATAGTAGGGTCAATCGTCGCATGTATCTGTGTGCTGCAGTCTGCTTGTACACTGCGCTAATCCAAATTTGGACACACCCTGATACGCTTGTGAAACTAACAAACCAACAACTTCTTTGGATGGCCCATTCTTCAGGTTTTCCCCAAGCGCCAGAAATTGAACATCCTGCTTGTGATGGAACATGACACTGATATAAGGATAACTGAGTTTGAGCGGCAACGGCAATCTCATCAATATCGAGACTCGGAAACACTGCTTGCAGCCCATGATGTGGACTTCCAAGTTGATTTTGATGTCCCTTTACGCCCACCAGGTGCAGAGGAATCTCCTTCCCTCATCGACGCGAACTACCATCAAGGAAAGCAGCGTGTTTCAAAAGCCAACTCAGAATCACTCTTGGAGCTTCCAAACCATTCTGGAAAAGATGTTGTAACCTTGGTGGCATCGACTCAGATCATCCCAGACAAGCCAACCCAGAGAGTTCTCTCATCACCCATCAGGGCCATCAGAAAACTCGGATGGTGGAGTACAATTGTCCTTGCCATCTCGTCGACCGTCATCCTGGCTATATTAGCATTCATAACATTTCTATGGCAAGCTGACTCCGGCAACTCTTTCTGGCTCTCGATTATGGCTAGGAACTGGGGTCCTAGGACGGTCTCAATCAGCACTTTCTTTCTGCGTTCGGCAGTAGACTTTCAAGCTGGGATTGCTGCCGCTATGCTTGCCGCCCTCGCATTAGAAGCACATGGCGCTCGACTTCACAATGTTGCCTCACTATCTATAATGCGGTCGGGCATGGGAAACCCGTCGACTCTCTTACAATCTACCGTGAAAGATGTGCGTTGGGGATCACCTGCGGTCTATTTTGCGCTAGCGCTGTCTTTGTTTTGCACAACCACCCTTCTTCAGCTTAGCTCAACCGCTCTTCTGTCAGACCTTCGTCCCGCATCGCTTCCTGGCCTGCGAAATTCGAGCACCCTAGCGTACGATTTCTTCTACAATGAGACTGCTAAGATATCATCCCTACCACCGGTCACTTACTACGGCGGAGCTCAGTCATCTCATCCATATTTTGCGGTTGTGCCCCGAGCGTCTTCCTGGCTTCGAAATCCGGTGGCTTACCCCGTTTTTGCCGAATACTCTGAACCCGCGGAGCAGATCTCTGGAGTCGATGACACAGGTGTGCTTCTAAGAGCCTTTCTGCCTTTTCCTCTGGCTGAGTCACGAGAGAGGCTGCGCAATTATTCTGGAAATGCTCTCGTTCTTGACAGTCGAGTCTCCTGCCATACCCCAGAGTTCGACAATGTGACCGATATAATCGAGCAAATAGACAGATCGATTTTTCCCGGCGAGATTGGCAATATCACTGGTCGAGTCACGACTACAAAGTACACCAATCGGACGCTTGTTCCTGACGAACCACTTCCTTTCACCTGCTACTTAGATGGGAGTTACTCGATCTGCCAGCTCAATGTGCCTCTACTAAATTTCAGTAGTATTGTGCCGTATAGGCGAGGGACGACCAATAAAAAGCTATACCCCGCCGGCAACAATTTCGCTGGCGGTCTCCTGAGTGAGTTCTCTAACATCACTGGGGTTGACTACGAGCCCCATAACGTTTGGAATAAGGAAGGGTTCTGGAACGACGGCCAGGTGATTCCTCTTTGGGGCATCTCTTACCTCGTGATATCTTCGTCGATAGTGGACGAAACAAAATTCACCAATTTTACCGGTACTCGAGAACGAAATGAATGGCTGGACTTATTTCTCAAGCCCTATGAAGTACAGGGGTATCAAAAGCTGGTGAGCACGTCTCTTTGCTTTAGTGCTTGGGACGTCGCACGTCTTGAAGTGGACCTGTTCGGCGACTCGGCTCGAACAGAACCTACCATTGAATGGAGTTCTGAGGCCATCTCAGCCGCGAGTTCGTATCCGTATGAAACATTCTTATCTGCAAAAAATTGGAATGATATAGCCAGCTCAACACCTTCATTTGACAAAATACTCAATCAACTTGGTCAAAGTAAGCACAAGCTCACAGCAACCGAACGGGGAATCATGACGATGGCAAAACGTGACTGGACACCAAAGACGTCCGAGACCCGCTCTCTTGACATTCGGCCTTTTGTCCAAGCCGACGTACAATATGACGGAGTGGTGGCCGACCCACTCAGCCAGGCGGGTATGACCGGAAACACAAGCATCTACATGACTTTGAGGGGGTTGAACGTTACCGTTCCGACCCGCAACACCTATTTCTACGGAGATGTCAAAAACCCTTTCATCCTTGCCGATGCCTCGATCGGTGGCATGTTTCTTGAGAATATGAAGCGAACCGGGTCAGTTGCTTCAACATTGGCATCGGTGATTACTGTTCTCTCGAGTATGACGTATTATGATCAGTTTCCGCAATACACAACCAAAGACGAGATATCTCACGTCTACTTCACAACAGTCTTGTGTCCAAGAGCTTACTCTGGATACGGTGCTCTCATCAGCACGGCTATTGTGCATCTTGTTATTATTGCCATCGTTGCAATGCTCTTCATCCGCGAGGCGAAGGTTACACTCCTGGGGAATTCTTGGTCAAGTATTTCTCAGATTGTGACATCAGAAACAGAAGAAGTCATCCAAAACAGCTTTAAACTTACCGACTCAGAGGTCAAAAAGATTTTAGAAAACGAAGGCAGGGGAGGTTTGAGGGTTTGCATTGCCAATAAAAATGCAACATAGACGAGAGAGAGGCATTACACGCCTCGATTTATGACGTCACATACACGGTCTAATGATGATGCAGCTCTTCACAGCTCATCCACCTTCAGCCAGTACAATCTCTCCTTGCCAATCCTGCCCAAATCTTTCTTTCCAGCCTCTTCCAAGACCTCACCAAGATCGTACTGTGAGTCGATATATCTTCCTGTCAAACAATTCGCTTGGTTGTACATTGATTGTTTAATAAAGTGCTCTGATTTTCTATCTACTTATTAGGTTCCTGACGACGTTCTTATAGCCGTGGTGAATGGTCGTCGTTGCGCAGAGCAACAGCCAAGAATGTCGTTACCCATGGAAACCTCGACACTACATCCTGTTCGACATAAACACAATCGGCAAAGCCTTGGAAGGATAAGCTATGGAGGTCGAGAGGCCCGAAGGAGTTCGCTTCCGGACAGAATAATAAAGGAGAGCGAATCTGCTTTATTTGTGGAAGCACCGAGCACATTGCCAGTTATCATCGAAAGGATAGCCATCATCCTCGAAAGGATGACAAGAGAGACTCCGAGCAAAAGAAGCCAGGCGTCCACGTCATCAGAACGGCTGAAGGTCGAAAGAAGGGTCAAGAACGACTAGCCGAGAAGGCCTGGACTTTAACAGACTCCTCAGATTCGGAAAACGAGTGAGGCTCCCTTCTGGCCCCGAAGAAGAGCCTCGAATGCGGACGGGAGATTACCTACGCCCAATGGGCAAACTGAACATTCGAGGACGTCGAGATCGTATTAGATACGTGCGCAGAAATCGACACTGTGGGTGTCGAATTCGCAAAGCAACGAGGCCTGAAGCCCTACATCAAGGAATACCCAAAAATATGGCAGTCAGCCGGGAACGTCCGACATCGAGCGAAGGGAGCTTACTGGGCTACCTGGTGGATGAATGACCGTCGAGCGGTTACCCGTTCGTATCGAAAACCCTTTCTAGCTGTCGACAAAGGGCTGGACTGAACTGCCATATATATATTTATTGTAGTTGTGGTGAGCTGGGCCCCTTGGGTTCATGAACCGGATTAACCATTTTCCGGGCCTTCGCTATCGGATCCAGTCTGTGGACCATATACCCCTCGCCCCTGTCACGGGACCACGTGCCAAGGATTACGTATTCAGGGGTTCTTCAGCACTTCCTGCGTAGCATTCTATCTTTGACTCTCTTTGTGCTACGTCTTGTACCTAGAACTCGATGCTAGCTACGGAGTATACATTGATTGTATGGAGTATCCTTGACCCCGAACCCTCAAATATTTTCCGGGCCACCGCCATCGGATTAAATATTCTCCGCACCAGCCCCCATCGGATCCAGTCTGTGGACCATGTGCCACCGAGGGGGCTTTCCACTCGACGTGGTTCATAGATTGGATCCAATGAAATCCCCTGTCGCCCATCGGATCCAGTCTATGGACCACCCAAACAAGCTCGATTGATCATCCTCGACATGATCCATGGATTGAGTCCGATGAAATACTCACTCACCCATCAGATCCCTGTCAGACAGCTGGTGCCTAGTGCCAAGAGCCCCTATTCTAGCCTATATAGGGGGGCTCCCCCTGCCCATAGTTGCAATCTACACACGAGTTTTCACCCCTTCTATCCGCCCCCGCTCAGGGTTCGACATCATGCCACAAGGCTCCCACGCAGGCTATCGACAGCCACAGTGGATTAGTGGCAGGCACCAATAGTCATCCTGCATACACGCGGCAGGCCGTGATGGGCCTGCCAGGTTGTGCCGTAACACTAATTTACCAATGACGTATCTAACTTTTATAAAACATTCAGACAAGCAGTTTAAGTATAACTCCATTGGAAGCGTATCAAAAGAAACTAAAATGCAATGCACTGGATTATTATAACTAGCCTATCTCGTACGTAGGGTGTGTTTCGATTAGGCTCGTCATGTTAGTTGAAACATTTAGCGCCGGCTCTGACCTCCCGTTATTCCCGCCCTGGCGTTATCCCTGCGGTCAAGTGGCGTGACTGAAACGTTGGACTGCTTCAACTTCAGACCCTCGAGGAACGCTTCCAGTAGGGGGAATCTACCGGCTCTGAGTCCTCTGTGGTAGGAATAGGAAAAGGAGCAAGGGATTCCCCGATTAGATGGCTACCCCCCAGGCGATAATTACTATATCACTTATCATTTGGTGTCGCGCATTTAATGTGTTACTTGCGCGTGCGCCAAGCGCCAAGCACCTTGCTGTTACTACTTTTACATACGGTAGCTTTCCGTCCAGTCCTTCTGACTCAGGCTCTTATGAACAACGCACTCATCATTGTTGAGATAGCACAGTCACAAATATTCAATGAAACTTCTGCTTCACAGAGCCATTGAGGCCTGTTCCCTCATCCTCTCATTCCTTATCACCTTCATCACACAGAGGGCCACTCTACCATCGACAACGCAGCAAAGTCGTATCACAGTGCCCATTCCCTCTTCAACCTTGTATGAATATTAACCTATTGGGGAGCGTCTAGCCTTGAGCACTTCTCTGTAATTCCTCCCCGGATTCTTTAGGCCAACTCCCCGCTCAATCTTGTTCAGGTGTGGAACCCCTTTTTTGCCACTTGCCAACCGGGTCGGGCCTGGTTGACCCTGGAATGCGAAACTAGGGTGACACAGACAGTGGATGCGCGTACGCGCCAGCAAGCACGACTTTCCTCTCTCAGGACCGACCTCTACTTATTTGAGGCTGATATTTACGGAGACTGTACGCAACATTCGCTCCAACTACACCTTGGGAATGTATATTTCGCGAGAGAACTAACGACAATAAAGCCCCCCTCACTCATGGCCCCTAATACTGCGGACAAAGGAAAGGCTGAGCGAGACCTTCTGGAAAAATACAACATCGTGTTTCGTGGTCCATCATACCCTCCGCCAAGCCATCATTCTCGCTCGATCCAAAGAATTACTGAACTTGGATCTCGACGATTCTTAACTTATGGCATCGATGAACATGACCATAACTCGAGATCAAATCTGTGGCGATTGGAAATAAAAGCACGAGCTGAAAGTCTTGTTGAGGTTGCTTCGCGACTGATTCATAATCAGCCATCAGAAATGAAATGGAGGCTGGATGTCGAGACTCAAGTCTACAAACGCTTTGACCTAAACATAGAGTGGTAAGTCAGGGCCAGCTCTACTTATACTGTTCTCACTGACCTTAATCAGTCCCGAATCAAGTTGCAAGCGCCGCTGGTGGAGATCCGAAATTGAAGTAGTTCCAGAGGCACCTGGGCCCATTAGTGCGTCATTAGTGGAGCGGCGGCGAACGCGTACTGCTTGCCTTTGTGATGCTGAAACTAGGCTGGTGAATCTGTAAGTCATACATGAAGGAAAGATCGCATTTTCCTTTCCCGTTAACGTGAACCACTTCAAGGCACAGAATTGGCTTGAATAAAGTTATCTCGAATCGAGCTGATGAGCTTCTGATCTATGCTGGCGAGGCACAATTCGAACTCAAAAAACAAAAGCCCGACCGTGTGTTCGGTTTACTGCAGACAAATCGATTTGGAAGAATCCTTAAAAGACTCATTCAGAACGTCCAAGACACCGTGGATGACAAAGTCGAGATAACCCCTTTTAGGCATGGAAATGAACCTTTACTCTTTCCATTCCTCATCACCGAAGCGAAGACAGAACGCGGAGATAGCTTTGAGGCATCTGCGCGTCAGACTGCTTTTCCCATTTGGGCTCTTTTAAACCTCCAGCAGGAACTACAAAAAGCAGCAAAGCTAACTCTAAGGGAGCAAGGCGGACCCCTTGTCTGGTTCTTCTCAAATAGGGGCGAGCAGTGGCAGTTATATGGATGTTACACCACTCCAGAGGACAATGCCATGCCAATATCTTATGTGCGTTAAACATACTATTCTACGCCTGCGTTTCAACCTATCAATTGACCATTGTGTTAGGAAATCCATAGCCTATGGTCAGGACGGGTCGATTCATTGGATGGTGCCCTCCAGATTCTACTCATTGTTGATTACATCTTTGATTGGGCACGAGACCTCTATCGACCTGGAATATACCGCTTGCTCAATAGTATCTATTTAAGTGACTGGGACGATGCTATGAGTATGGAGACGGATAGTGAGATTCACTCCCTCGCCCATAGATCTTCGAGCCGGAGGGGCCAATCGCCGACAGCATTGTCACAGAAGCAGAATATTCAGAGTTCTGAGAATCTCGACAGTCATGGATTTGACGACATTGCTCCGCTTTTCGACTTAAGGTTGTGGAAGCGAACCGATATGAACGAGTGCTGTTTCAGACCCATCGGCATAATTGAGAATTCTTTCCAATGTCTCTACATTACTGGAGACAATATTTGGGATATTCTCCGGCCATTCGGCCAAAAGAGGGACCTTGACAAAAACGGGCCACTAAGAATATATGTTCGGCAATCATGGCAGGCTCTGTGTCAGCATCCTGTCAGAATGTCGGAGAAGGCCATCAGCCTCATGGAAGAATATTGGACTGGGAAGGACAGATATCCGTGGCCGGCAATGCCCAAAAGCAATGACAACTTTGCAACAATTGGCTTCCACGCATATTTCTCCAAGGACTGGAGGCAGATGAGAGTTCTCAGCTGCCTGAGTTTTGACGAGGCTGCTCTTGCGATTTTAGAGCAGTCCACTAGGTACAGTAGGACAAGCCCGGGTCAACGTGCGTTAAAGCGAAGGATCGACGACGCGCAACGGCTAAATGAGCAAGATATCGAAGAGATGGTCCAGTCTTTAAGAGCAGGTTCCGTGCTGGAGAATTTTACCGAAGCTCTCGAGCGAAGAGCGCAAGTGTTAGATAAGGGTCAAGCCCTGAACTCTCGCTTCGAATTTGTACGCGCTTCGCAAATTCGAGTACAGAGCATTACCTCTAAGGCTTATAAGATGCATTCGAGAGACATTATGGAGCCGACCGAGCCATATCTCCGCTTTTCGAGTGAGTTCCGCGCTCAAGATTTCCAAGAGACTCCAGTACTACCTCAGCATTTCAGCTCAGCCCTTCGAGACCAGCTCCAGCCGCGGCCAACCAATTATCTTCTACGCGAGAATCTAAACAAAGAATGCCCCATAATGACTTGCAGCAGTAATTCCGACGGAGCAGGCGGTCAAAATGTTATTGACTTTTGCATTTTTATTACAGAGACAGCGCAGGAAGTTCCTGACGTATCACGCCAACTAGATATTGTTGCTGCAACGATCAAAGCCGGAAACTTCCTTGTTACATATAACGGAGCTTACAACTGCCCTCAAGACGAGACCCCGAGAAACTTGGACAAGGAGCCGTTTGCGAGGCAAGCCCTACTTCGATGGTACAGACGTCTCCTGCAAGAACATTTAATTGCTGTTGGCACAGCTACGCCTAAACTCGAATTTATTTGCACGGATCCATTCAACGACCTCTCTTTGGCGAATATAGATGAGCATATTCCTCGCCAGTTAAGCAACCATGACAGAAAAGACATACAGGATAATCACAAGTCCGGCAACAAGAGACCGAAAACTCATCACGCCAAAGCTGGAAAAGCAGAAAAGAGGGCCGAAGAAAATGGCCAAGGAAAGGCCGAAAAAATTATCCAAAGAGGGATCGAAGAAAAGATGGAAGAAGAGATTGAAGAACGCGACGACGACTGTTATATTGTTGAACCTCCAGTATCAAAACAGTTACGGGCTTTAAGTCATCGGGCACATAATGTTGCAGATTCGTCTCTGGGCACGGAGATGAACTGTCCCGAACCTGCAGCCCAGCTTAAAACAGCGGCTGAGGCTGCTGAGGATAAAAGGCTTCAAGAGTTCTGGAAGAAATATCCCCAGTTCCGTCCAGGCCCAGCGACGGCGAGGCGGGGGTAAATACAGGGCGGCGTCGTCCCAAAGGAGGGTGTTTTGTAATCGTCAGTTCAATGATCCTGGATACACGTTCATATTCGGTAACCCAAGACATCGCCTCCCTGGGTGCTTGCTGCCCTGACGACCAACACTAAAATCGAAGGCGGTCGTCGATACCATAAAGAGAATGCATGAAATGTGTGCAAAGTATGGTATCCCGACCTTCCCGTTGATTGCACAACCAGGTGACTACTCTGTCGCGGAATATCGCTAGTCACCGAAAATCGCTATAAGTGAGTTGGCTTTGTACTGGACGGCACAACGCTGGAAATTACCAAAGCAGTCTAAGATATCTTGGGCTATAGGAGACAGATCATGCTGGAAGTGTCCGCGCCAGAAAGCAAATCTTTGGTCGTCGACTCTGCCTTCAGGAACAGTTTGATATCCTGTACTGCGCAAGGCAACCCTGCTGGATAATTCATCAAACCCAGTCCGTAAATATCACGCCAGGGACAAACGCAAGTATCGAGAGAATGAAAACGTGGATCTCCAAATGCCGTGGGAGCCATCCTGACTGTGCTCCCTCTCCGATGACGGCTACTCGCTTACCGCTGTAATTCACTGGCGTGATCCCACCGAGCGGTGTGAAACATGGATCTATGGAACTTCTCCATGCCAGGGAATTTGACATCGCGGGGATAGGAGATGGCGCCCACGGCCGATACAAAGACCGATGTTGATCTTTCATACTGGATTCCAGTGCTCAAGTCTTTAAGTCGTACATCCCATTTCTCCAGTATGAGGTTCCATTTGGCGCCGACGCATTCAACTTAAGACTGGACATGCCGCCCATGGTCAAATTTGCCTACTGTGTCTGGCCGTAGTCAGCACCATCATTGGCGCTTCTAGGAATACAAGGGGCTCACTTACACTGGAGTATCTCTGGTTGTTCGCACAGCTCCTTTGACCAGTCCGGGCTCAAATAGAAACTGAAGGAATACAGATGCGAAGGTGTAACACCCACGAGTCCCCAACCTCTCGAATCATATTCCCAGATATCGTAGAGTGGCAGGAAGATAGAAGAAGGGGCTGGACGTCGAGAAAGAGCAACAGATGAAAGGATCGAAAGGTATAAGAAGAGCCTTCGAACCCGTAGATAGACAGACAGGTTTTCAGTGCATTACCATTCCACACCCTACCTTGTACACTGGCGGCGACTTATGATCCCTCTCCTCACACCCCTCGTAACAGATCGATACCCTTCGTTGATATCGTTGTTACAGCAGTCCGGCCATACTTGCCTTGATTGTTGACATTCACCTCAGGCTGCGACAGAAGTAGGCCTATGGCCTCAGAGTGCCCCGTCTCTTCTGCCCACGACAAGGGAGTTCGGCCGTCCTTGTCTTGCTCGTTGATATTCACCTTAGGAAGTTCTAAAAGTAGTCGTACCACCCCAGTGTGCCTTTTCTCTGCAGCCTACGAGGAGGAACTTCGGCCATATTCTGAGTCCTGGACGTTAATATCAACCATGTCCTTGGAATGCGGTATATATATGAGTAATCCCGGCAGGCCATGTCCCGAGACTGCGTGGACAAGTGTACTTCCTCTTCATGGAGGACTATAGCCGTTGTCCATCAGCCTATGGTAAAAGTGTCTCACTGTCATGTAACTGATCTTTGATACAAAGATTTGCGACGATCTGGCCGTGGTCGACCATTGAACGATCATAACCAGTCCCACGATTGCTTCAGTTTGTCTCTTGGGCCGGCGACGGGCCAGCCGTGAGCGCCTTCCAGCTCATCTAGAATACCCAGAAGAGCATTTTGCTCCTCTCTCTGTTCAAAACACTCGCCGCGCACGACGACTCCGAGAAAAGCCGTACTCAGTCCCGGGGGGATTCTCCGGTTGCTGACAGCGATGCCACACAGCCTCAGCGTGATGTTTTTCAATTCTTTTCGCAGAGCCTGCATGCTCGTAGCGTGGCCAAATCCCAGCCTCGGCCGCGTCGGGTCATACACCGCAAGCAGGATCCTGGCGAGTTCGATATGCTGGACACCGGCCACATAACAATCTGCCAGGTAGCATATTTCTGGGAGGATTTCTGCATGTTCGACGTCCAGTTCGCGAGAATAAATCGGTCGAAGGACGGGGGTAAAGCTTCGATCAAGCGGCGTTCAACCTGTTTAAGTCGGAACCATCTTTCCTTGGTCGATTGTCCCGAATGAAGTCTCGTGTTTGTGTCATTTGCCGTATTTCCGTAGCAAAAGTCCAGGACGTCGGCGCAGAATATGATTAGCCAGGCTGCCCAGAGGGCATCGTCAACTGGAGTATAGAAGCGAAACGCTTCGCATCTAATTAGTGAGAGGTTGAGTGGGCGTTGCTTGAGGAAAGCTGCGTAGAGTTCTTGGCGAAAAGCCACCCAGTATGCTGCTTGACATAGATTGACTGCATACAGACGCCACGGTCCAACAGGTCTCGGAGAATTATGGACCTGGTCAGATACAGATGTTAACTGCGGAATAATGTACAAGGTCTCCAAGTTTGCAGTCTAATCGGAAGACTCCCAGCTCATGGCCGGGGGCCAGTCGTGAGACGAAGAAGATTGTGACGTATAAGGGAATTGTGCTTCGATGAAGATGTTGATCACTCGCAGAAAAAATTCATGATCTTTGTTCTCATCCTGTAGAGGATAGTCGAGTTCTTCGTAAAATCGAAGAATGATCGCTGCTGCGAGTAGGTTCTCATTCCGAGCCTGGTGTCTGCGCTGAGCTTTAACAGGTCCCTGATACACTCGATGTGATATTTTAGAGCGGCCTCGTCCTGTATCTTTAGTACTATGCCCGGGAGCCTCTTGCGGTGTCGCACGGAAGTCATGTGTTGTGCTGACGTTGCTAAGATTGCATTCATCGATGACCAACAACACCGTGCCCGCTGAGGAACGACCAGTTCGAAGTGCTTTTCGGGGTCACAGAGATCAAACCAACGTGCTAAGTTATCAATGAAATAGCAAAACAGTGCACCTTCCTGCCGGCTGAGCTGCATCAATGAACCAGCGGATGGCATTTTTACCATTGCTGTCATCAACGAAGCCGGCGATAGAGCTGTAGTGTTCCCGGCCACGCTTCCCGACAGATCAGGAGAGGGCAGGAAAAAAGACAAGCTACTTGACACCCACGAGCCCTTCTCATAGCGTTCGTCAAATTCATTCGAACGGTGGCGAATGTCCCGTGCGTTGGTAGGTGTCACTAAGGCGTTATTGCCGTTGGAGAAGTCATCAATCGCCTCGAAAGCGCCATCCGATCCGGTTAAAGTGATCGTGCGAGTCGAGTTGTTCATTTGCATATCTCCTTTGTCGCAATCTGGCTTTGGAGAAGTGACAGGACGGACCAACTCTTCCAGCTACGGGTCACTTTCCTTGTGGTTGTGGTTGTCGTCGTCACCGTTATTATTAATATTGTCTGTGCGACCGAGGGTAGTTGGGAAGTTTGCGGTTTGGTCCACGTAGATCAATTCGCCTTGCAATCCCTCAGCCACTTGCCCTTGTGAGTGGATTCGAGTTGCGCTCACTTGACGACTTTGGGGGGTTTCAGCCAAGTTTGGGTATGCGGAAAGCATTCTGCATGATACTTGTTAGGAGCTGTCCGAAACTTGATGCGGCCTGTCGTACGGGTGCAATCCAAGCCGGATTTCCGGCATTGCGTGCAAGCTGGACGCGTGCTGCCGGTAAGTGCATCATCTCGGTGATAGCTAGAATCACATTTGAGATGCTTTCTTGTGGTCTAAAGTCAGTATAATTCTTGTGAAGGGTAATGTTAGTTGGAGACATATCGGCAAAAGTCGCAAAGAGCTGCTCTGTGTTTGCGCTGTCGATAAGGGTGCTTGGAGCGCGTGGATGCACTGCCTTCATGATGCGTGCTGGCACTATCAACCAGGCTGCCAATGTCCTCCGGATTAGATGTGGTGAGATTAACCATATAGACAGCGTGAGGAATATGTAGGGGAAACGTGTGGCATATCGTTTCTTGTCGAACCTGAATGAGAACGAGATTGGGGCCGATAAAGAGTAAAGTAAGAGGAGGAGAAATTGTCATGATCATTATTGGGCCCCTCCCTTTATCTGCTTCTCCAGCAGCCTGAATGTCACTACCAACATCACTGTCGGTACGTTGGCCTGTGATCTAGGCTTCCTCCACAATATCGACAACGGCCTTGCTTGGCTCTTTTGTAGCCGATCTCTGGTTCTTGCGCCACTGCTCGGCGTACTTGACACCAAATCCGTGTTGGAATACGGCTCGTATCTCCTCGAAAGTCATGTTGGAATACTCTGGGAAGCAGAAGAAGACGAAAAGCCATCCCAGAACGCAAAGAGCTACGTAAAAGTAGAAAATGCCCGAGGGGGAAAAACCCTTCATCATAGACAAAAAGGTCGATGGCACAATGATGTTAGGACCCCACACAAAATGTTGAGCATCATCGTGCCCATGGCTCGAACCTCCATAGGAAGCAATTCATTCGCCTGCCATGGGACGCACCCGAGTCCTGCGGCATAGAAAGCGACAAAGAGAATCATGGCGAGCGACCAGGACCAAGATCGCAGACCAGCCAAGATTGTCCGACGTCACTTGAAGCGTCTCCCGGTCAATCGGGACCCAGTGGAACGATATGGCGGCCAGGAGGAGGCACACGAGCATTCCCCACATCGTCCAAAGGAGCAACTGGTGACGACCAACGCGGTCGATCAAGAAGATTGATGTGACGGTGAAGAGCCAGTTGACGTAGGCTACAGTGGTCCCGACCGCAATGGGGTTGCTGAAGCCGACAATAGCAAAAAGCGTGCTCGAATAGTACATGAGAGTGTTGAAGCCGCACATCTGCTGAAACAACATGAGACCGCAGGCTGCGATACAGGGGCGAAGGTTCGAACGAAAGAAGAACAGGGCTTTCAGTGTTTTAGCCATGGTCATTTCTTCGTAGAGGGCTTTGACTTGGGTGATACCAATCTCAATCGAGAGCACTTTGTCGGCAATCTGATGCTCGATTTCATTGGGGTATATCCGGCGGATGACCCTCGCACACTCCTTGCGCTCGTTATAATAGAGAAGTTGGCGAGGGAGATTCGGGGCACCAGAACAATAGGACGCCGAGCAAGATAGACGGGATAGCCTCAAGACCAATCATGTATCGCCAGCCGTGAGGGGAGTGTTCAAAGGCGGCGTCAAAGACGTAGGCGAGGACAGAACCGGTTCCGAGGAAAATCATGTCAACGGAGATCATTCTACCTCGGAAGCGAGCAGGTGAGATTTCGGCAATGTAAAGTGGGACAATCTGGTCACGGAGGGATAGAAGTATCAGTAGTGATTCTTAGGCAACGAGGGCTAACCGTGGAAGTGAGCATACCATGGAAGCTGAGCCAACACCGAGACCAATAAGGGTGCGTCCGACCGACATTTGAGCAATGCTGTATGCAGTGGCTTGAATGAGCGCACCGAGCGTAAAGAGAATCGAAGCAAACCAGGTAGCAGGCTTCCTACCGAATTTATCGGCAGTGATATCCGCAATAATAGCTCCAATACAAGCACCGGCAGCGCACAGAGTGACGATCAACTCCTTCTCCGAACTCGATAGCTTTTTGTTGTCAAGGTCCTTGCCTATTACCACTAGGACACCACTGATGACACCCGTATCATAACCAAAGAGCATGCCTCCAATGGCCGTGGCTGCCGCACACAACCAGACGAACGCTCCAGGTTTGGTGTACTCGATGGTGTCCAGGGCATGGGCTTGTCTGAATTCCGACACGCCGACTGTGGCATCGACGGCGGTGGACGATCTTTTTTCAATGTGGAGGGCGTCGACCGGGACGTCTTTTAGCGCTGCCGCCATCTTGAGGGCTCAACGGTACCAGAACTAGGAGAGGGTAGACTTGATATACGGGTCAAGTCGAAAATGCCCAGCGAGGTTAGCTTGCGAGGTCAAGCCGGGAGCAATAATGAGAATGTGAAATGATGAAGGAGACTGGTTACTGAGAAGTTGAGCAATAATAATATCGTGCCAACCGATCGAGCGATGGTGAGGTTATATACTTTCCAGATTCTTAGCTTCTTGTGGAGAAAGCAGAGGGCTGGATCGGGGCTTTCACACTTGTCGAACAAGGTCTCATTGAACGGCCGAACGGTAGCAAGTGCCCCTTTTGTTGAAAAGGAGGTTATCACCCCTATGCAGGTTTTAGGGGTAGAAATAGGAGAAGAAAAGGAGTCAACTCAACGTGTATATATACCAGTAACCTGGGAGGACCGGTTAGGTGGTATACAGAGCATTCAATACATCTCAAGTTGCACCCAGTTTGACAGAATGAATGTCCCGTCCTGTCTCACTCTTGTCCTGGTAGCGCCTCGCTACTCCGTCGGTAATCTACTTTCGTCTCGATGGTTCTCTCTAGTGTAGTCTTCGTCTCCTTCTGATGACTCCAAACTAACAACCTTGCCTAGGTCTTCCAACTAGTTGAGCATTCCTAGCGCCTGTGCTGAGTCAGTGTCGTCTCTGATCTTATCTAGCGCCGTATCCGGTCAGATATTGTGGTAGCTTGTCGCAGAAATGCAGGACGAACGGCTGGTCGGTCATAGGTTCCGTGAAAGAAAGGATGGATAGATAGATGTTGTAATAATCGACAGATCGATTAATAGGCTCTGGTCGATCGGTAGACTCTAGTCGCCATGGACGCTGGCCACTCGTATAGGCACTGGTCTCTTCTGGACTCTGGTCTCTTCCATGGACGCTACGTGCATGGATTATGTAAGGGGGCAAGCAAACATGGGTGGGTATAAAGATGGCGAGAGCATTGAACTTTTCTTGTAATTAGAGCGTGGTGTGTGGTTGCTCAACAGCTTTGACGACGACATCCTCCCTGAATGACAGGCACTCAAGTGCTAAACCGTTCATCACCTTTACAATACTTGATCTACATCAAAGATCTCTTTGAAATCATCTATTTTGAAAATCTGATGAATACGCATTGAATATAAAGGAGACTTCTCGGGCATCATTACGACATAGGTTGTGTCTTCTTGCCCAATCATTACGCCTCAGCTAGCCGGTGCATCAAAAGTAAAGCCGTCCAAAGGAAAAAAAGGTAGGGGTGTGTGTATTTTCCGCGGGGGGGGGGGGTTTACTGTACGTTGCACTGTGGTGCAGGAGGAGAATCGGACTAGGAACTTGTACTTTCAACACTCCCATAGCGGTCATAGCTGTCGTCCAGAAGCGAATCCTCGTCCGGGACATTGAAAAATTGCACAGCGCCACACACGAACCGTGTGTCCAACCCATCATTTGAACGTCCAGAGCACTCTTCGCCTGGATTGATCTGAAGAGCTGTCCCATTCTCTCAACAAACGAGCAACCACGTTAGACAAATTCACCCCCCAAAAAACCCCCGCTCTAGTCGTACTGTATGATTTGATATGTATTAATTATGGGCACCGTTCACAGTCGTTCTGAATCTACTCGTTCGTCAGCCATTCCACTCTGGTCCCTATCGATCCTTGGATCAAGAACTCTCATAATTAAGTTAGTATTAATTTGTCTCTGAGGGTTTTTGGCCTATAATGACGAAATTTGGCCAGTAGCTATGCATATGACCTCGCTTCAGCTCTTTTCTAACTTCTGCCAGGTATACTTCGAGCTGCTCAACGCTCCACCCCAAAAAGTTGACAAAAACCTTCATACTCAGGCCTTGCATACCATCCAAGAGTGCCACCAAACCATAGACTCCAGCCTCTTTCAGACGCGGGTCCTTCGGCCATGGCCCGATGGGCATTTTGTATGGTTTGATCTTGACATTAACGAAACCGGCTTCGCGCATTGCAGAAGCCATCTTTTCTGGGTCAATTCGTCCAGTCATTCCCATCATTCCCATCCCCTCGTTCCATAGGGTCACCCATTCGGATAGTTTACTGTCTGTAGGAATAGTGTTGTCATCGCTAAGGACAACGCAGTCGAACTCCTGGTTTTCAACCCAACCGCCAGGCTTCAGGCACTTCCATGCCTCTCTGTAGAAATGTGGCCAGCTTTTTATGCTGAATCCGTTCATGAACCTTGTGTGGACGAGGTCGAATCTAGAAGAGCCATATTCCCAGCGTTCATCGGCGTCGAGAATCTCAAACTGTAAGTTCGGAGGAACAAAAGTAGGTTGAATAGGCGATAGGTCGAATCCAATCACCGAGGCCGCGGGAAATTCATCCGCCACGTCCATGGCCCAAATTCCCGTTCCCGTACCTACGTCCAAGATGTCTGTCGGCGATTCAAGTGGTGCGTGGAATGGTTTGTTTTCGATGCTTAACCGCATACTGTGATAACTAAGATCCATTCGCTCTTGCTCGCCATCGTCGTTAGGGACATGATATTTGCCGGCATGATATGCGTGGTAGGTCCGACCATTTTCCATTTCGTAGTTGTATATGCTGGACTGGACCGAATGCAGGGAATATGATCCCTCAGAGTACCCAGAATCGTCCGCCGCGGAGAGGGAATCCCATGCTTCAGGCTCGATCGAGAACTCCATCGCAAATCGGAACGATAATTAACTAAATGAATGCAGCAATAGTCATGGAGTCCGGAAATGCTGGCGTTATCGAGGATCAATATACTTCGTCTGATCTGAAAGTCCGATGTATGAGCAAGAACCAACCTCCGTGGATTCAAAAGACTCTTATTTAGTGGCCCAACAACCGGTAGAAACTGCAACGATTTCTCTTGCAGCAAACGTAAAATGTTGATTGGCGAAGCGGGAAACGCCGTTCACGGGGGAGGCGGGCCAGGTTGGCCCCGGCCGAATGGATTTGCATGCCATCTGATTGTTAGCCAACTGGGCGAACCAGGCCGGCTACCCGGTGAGCCCCTAGTACTGCAGCAGCCCCCGAATCGATGTGCTGTCACTCTACTACAAAGACCACACCGGATCCACCCCATTCAGGGCCATTCCTCTCTAGTTCTGCCTAGACAGACTTGACGCATGCACAGGAAGCCATTTCACATCTACTTTCTAGACCCTGAAATCTTTCCCTCCGACATGCTTTTAAATTTTCTTGTCAATATTAGTACGTGATCGATCCTTATCTTCCACGCTTGACATGTGTGAACTTCACAGTTCCCTTTCCCTGATTCACCATGCTTCCTCGCTCGGAAACCTTGCAGACTCAGACTGGAGTGATCATCTTCACCACCTTTACACTACTTGTCCTTTATACTGGTGTTTCCCTCTACGTCAACTACCGAAAATGCCCCCAGATCAAGGGCCCTCGGCTCGCCTCCGTCTCTGATCTCTGGCTATTTCGTACTACCTCGGCAGGACGAACGTATGTGGACTGTGCAGCGGAGCTGGATCGATATGGTTGGTCTCCCTCCCCCCCGAGGTCTTGACCGGTTGCAGCCCTAAGATCATTTGTCAAGGATCTCTTGTACGCATAGCTCCCGACAAGGTCGTTACCAATGACCCTATAATCTGGGCTCACATGAGTGCTCCACGGTCCAGATTCACCAAGGGCACCTGGTACGACCCCACAACATTAAATCCAAAACACAAAAACTCCCTTTCGCAGCGGGACGATAAACTTCACAATGTCCTTCGAGCGAAGATGACAAGAGGGGTAGGTAACCCCGTTCGCGACATTATTTTCTCCTCTAACGTATTGTCAAAAAAATAACAAAAGTACTCCGGCAAAGAAATCCCAACACTCGAATCCAATGTGGATGACAGAATCAATGATATGGTCCTCCTCATACACAATGAATCTAGAAAAGGCAAAGCCATAGATATGGCTCGGATTGCCCAATATTTCACACTGGATGTTCTCACACAGCTCGCTTTCGAAGAGCCCTTCGGCTATCTCACCAAAAACGAAGACGTCTTTCAATATATCCAGAAAGTACAAGAATTTCTCCACATTCTCGAACTTGCGTCAAATTTCCCCTTGATCCACCGTATTCTGTCGAGCAGAGTCATGCTGGCATTTGGTCCGAAGCCAACGGACAAGCTTGGAATGGGCGCAATGCTAGGAGTCGCACGACGAGTAGTGAACGAGCGTTACGCTCCGGATGCCAAAATCAAAGAGGATATGCTGGGATCATTTATTAAACACGGCCTAAGTCGAGACGAGGCAGAAAACGAAGCAATACTCCAGCTCCTGGGAGGCTCGGATTCAACTGCAACAGCCATCCGCATGACCTTTCTCTATATTCTCACCAACCCGGCCGTATATGCCAAATTAATCCACGAGATCCATGCCCATAGGCACAACATCTCATCTCCCGTGATCCAGAGTTCCGAGGCCCAGAAGCTGCCTTATTTGCAGAGCTGCATTAAAGAAGGCCTGCGGATCTGGCCTCCCCTTGCAGGGTTGCAGGGCAAGGTTTCCCCACCAGAAGGCGAGATGGTCAATGGATACTTCATTCCCGGAAATATCGAGGTTGGCTGGAACCCGATGTCGATGCAGCGGCGGCGAGAAATCTATGGTGAGGACGCTGAGATGTTCAGACCAGACCGTTGGATTGAAGCGGCTGCTCTGGATGACGGTGGCGGCAAAGTCGCCTTGATGGAGAAGACCTTGGCACTGGTCTTTGGATTTGGAAAGTATGGATGTTTAGGGAAAACCATCGCCCTGATGGAGTTGGATAAGGTATTTGTTGCACTGTTCCAGAATTTTGAATTCGCGCTGGTGGACGTAGTCAATCCGATTCGGACTTTCTGTCATGGGGCGCACCTCCAGTCCGATATGTGGGTTCGAGCAAAGCAGAGAGAGCATCATGATTAACTTTGAGGGATATTCATGAGAAGATGATGCCTCGGCATCGCCACTTTGAGAAACTCCTGAATTTTCGTCAGCCGATAAAAACGCTGAGACATATGTACACAGACAGCTGGAGGGCAAGTATTTTGTCAGACTTCTTGTGCGACTTGTATTGAAGGAATGCTCTCGCTCTCCAAATGATTGTAGCATAGAGCTCATCCATATACACTATCTTAAAGCGTTCCAGAAACAGAGTTCCCCTTTGATTACTCCGGTGCTCATGTGGGTCAATGAAATCCCTTGGATACCTCAGATGTCCATGATTGCAGTAATTCATCGACAGTTACCTTCAAAAAGCCTAGGTACTAAAAGGATGCCGGAGTCTATCGGCTGCTCTAGCCCTCCAATAGTGCCAACATTGAGCGATGCTTAGCCAGTCGCATTTCTCCCGATCCCGACTGGTCAGAGACAGTCTCGGCCGACAAAGACAACCCTATCCTAGGGAGCCCAGGTACACCCACGCGTCAGCTACGCTAGAACTCTGCCCTCCTCTGAACTCCAGAACGTCAGGGTGTTGCCTGGAGTCACTACAAAGCATAATCAGTGCGTAGTGGGGAACAAGCGATTCCGAGTCTGAGGCTGGTGACGATACAACAATGGACATCTCCTCGTCGTCCGTGGCTGTCATCGAAAGATCTTGGCTGTAGGTAAGAGAATCACTACTACTTCCGGGCCGACAGACTTGCTGAGATTGTTATTAGTCCTCCAGGTTTAAATCGTCAGAATCACTTATAAGTGCTTCCAACACCAGTAGGTTCCAGGTCATCGGATGAGGGGGTAAGACTGGTTTCACAGAAAAGGGGCATGGGTAGCGTGGGCATACTTAAGGCATGCTGTTACGGCACAACCTGGCGGGCTCATCGGAGCCTGCCGGGTGCCTGCCATAGACCCACTGTAGCTGTCGATAGCCTTGTGTGCCTACGTGGGAGCTCTGCGGCATAACTCCGTCACAAGGCTATAAGTATCTAGAATAGCCTCGCACTGCTTTCGTGTTCTTTGTCTCTCGTCTTGTACTTATAGTGCATTGGATAGAAATATCATTGTCGGATCTTCACTCTCGCCCCAGTATACATCCCCACCCTGACACATGCACAGTCTTTGCCCATGCATTTGACGAAGATCGGACATTAGACGAACGACCCTCTCAGGCATGGAGATACTGGCGACTTTCGATTCAAGGGCTCGAATGATTCCCAAGGTGAAGTTGCCGCCGAACCAGGGTCAATTGCAGCCGACTTTGTGTGAGAGAGGAACAGAAATATGGAGCTTGGATGGCAGAGAGTGGTGTAGAAGTTTTATTGTCGGAATAGGCCACGTCAAACCAGGTCGAACTAATATTCCGGATAATGTTGCTTCTGCCACCACCAGCAACTTCCATAATGTGAATCTCGGGCCCCTCGCACAGATATCTTGCTATAGGAAGTCGTAGAAGAACCTTTGAGTTGTCACAAGGATTTTGTCAACGCCACATCGAGAACAGCCAGGGACTTGACACAAGATCTCATCGGAACACGGAAAGGATGACGGCCGCAATCAGTGCGGGATGGTGGTATGGACAGAAGCATGAGTAAAGTGCTCGAGATTTAAGCACACTGCGGGATTTTGAGGGGACGTGCCAAATACTAGAATTCAGCTCGCTGGCGAATGGCTAGCGAATGGCTAGCGAATGGCTAGCGAATGGACCTACCAACTCTACAGCCCCGAGTCGGCCGATACAAGCCTATTTCTGCTCGACAGCTGTAACAACAATCCTAACGAAGGGTAAGGATCTGTTACGAGGGGTGTAGGGAGAGGGATCATAAATCGTTGCGATTGCACAAGGTAGGGTGTGGAATAGTAATGTACTGAAACCTGTCTGTCTACCTTTCGATCCTTTCATCTCTTTGCCCTTTTTCGGCGTCCAGCCCCCTCTTTTGTCTTCCTCCCACTCTACGATGGCTGGGAATACGATTAGAGAGGCTGGGGACTTGTGGGTGTTACAACAGCTCCTACCGCGGTACCGCGACCCGTCCAAAAACTCGACCTTCAACTCGAACAATTCCTTTAGGCCCTCGGTTCCGGCGGCGATGACCGTCGAGTCCTGCTCACAGTCAAAGTACATTTTTTTCCTCGTCCAGTGGACAGAAAGGCGCAGGTCTGCCCATAGACACTGGGTTGGACCTTTAAGAGTGCATGAAATTCCGACCATTTCACTTTCATCTCTGGGTACTTCTCGGCGACGTCTTCGTCGACTGGCACTGTGGAAGAATTGTCAACTATTTGTCGAAAGCTGAATCTGCACGGCTACTGAGACTTACAAGTCATTTGTGTCGTCACAGCCCCGGGATGTGGCGCATAGGTGTGGATATTGGTCCCGAAACCGTCGATACCAAGCTCGACTTGCAGGCACGAGGTGGTGTCAAACTTTGTGTGCAACTTGAGGTGAAGGAGTGCTCTATCTACCTGTCGAGTTGCTGAGGGTTCTTTTATAGACATGCGAACACCTCGTCATCGCACAGAGTAACCACAATCAACATCGTCGTCCATAGTGACCTCTCGCCAGCGTTTCAATGGTGGACCCCATAGCCCCTGTCCGACAGGTGGCCCTGATCAAGGCCGCTTTTCCAGAGGAATAGGCAGCTGCAAAGGGAAGAGCGATAGTTCCTCCTCGCGAAGCGATATTGATGATGCATCCTTGGCGGCGTTCCCTCATTGCCGACAGGAACTGGAAAGTACAAGCCATGGCCTGACCTCGTTCAGTTTTCAGTCCCCAAACAGTGACTGGTTATGGTACTTACCCCTTTGAAATTTACTTCAATGTCTTTCCAGAACGCCTGAAATGTTTCCATCGCTAGTGGACGGCGGAAGTTTCTCCCTGCGTTGTTCACCAAATACCTTTTCCACAGTCTGCTCGTCGGTAACGTCACACGCGTAGGGCACTATTTTCACGCCATAACTTTTGCATTTCTCGACCGTTTCCGCTTGCCGTTCAACGTCAAAGTCAAGTATGGCAAGGTTTGCTCCTGTCTTTGCCAGCGCCTCCGTAATAGCCTGACCTATTCCTGCTGGGGTTTTAGTAGACCTTAACCTATTATTATGAGACAGGACAGCAACTTTTCCGTTGTTCGTCCCTGCTAGGTTTTCCCGTGCGATAGCTGAATACACCTCCGTGTTCAAGCTTGGGCGGGTCACGTTGGCGATGACGTTGGCCTCTTTCTTTTCGCACGAGAGTTCACCTTATCTTGTAGGTCTGAACGGCGGTACGTGGCCAAAAGTTAAAGCCCGACCGCCCTGGTATAGGAAATTACCCCATAGTGAACAACACCGACACAATTACCCTATAGATTGTGTGCCATGTAAGCCCGACGCCCACCCCCCAGATTATACCTCCGTAACGACACTCCGACCACCGCAACCGCCCCATATCCCCCCCGGTCCCTAAGTGAGATACCCCCCCCGCATCAAGACATGGCACCCTATAGTCCAACGAAGTACATTGAGTTGAGACAAATCCAGTTCTGTCAACTAAGACTGTTGCACCAACACCTCACCGCCTGAAAGATGGAGCTTAGACGTTTCACCCTAACGAGACTGCTGGTCGATCTGAACGGATTTTTAGGCTGTTCATGAAGACCTTCTGAGCACATTCATTTATGCTTGCTATCTATTTAGATGTGCTAGTCTAGATTTAGAAAAATTATGTTCCCTTATTGTTCACCGCTCTACTTATTTATCCACTTCTGGGAAAGGAACAGGATCCTCACCGTCTGTTTGCCATTCCTCCGTCGTTGGGCAAGCCGCCTAAGAACTTGGTGCGTACGGCCATTCTGCTATTTTAGCAAGTACCTCTGGGAAAATCTTCTGTGATTCTGGACTAGGGGGTTTCGGCTGAGCACGCCGAATTAGCGGATCCGACATGGCAAAATGATAACGTTCCATACCTGTTGCTATGTTAGACACAACTGCTCCTAGGTGCAACGAATAGAGATGGATATCGTCAGCCTTGTGTATTGTAAGTCGACCTCGGCTTGCACACATGCAGTCAGGCGAATTAACGCGTTCCTGCTTGTGTGGTAGTCTGCCATCAGAGGTCCAGTACATGTCCCAACTTCTTAAAGGAAATCCAACTTTGAAGAATCTCTCTCAGTGCTTCCCCACAAAATAGGGCGACAAGTCGATTTGCTACCCCACACTCCTCAGTCAAAACTTCCGAGTCTGTGAGGTAAACGCGAACAACCACGCCTTCGTAGTTTCATCCAGGGTTCGAGACAGATTGAACCTTGACCAGGAGAAGTCTTAAATTGCATAATTTAGGCAGAACCAGTGCATAACGAGGCGTACGGCTTTTATCAGTATCCGTCAAGCCCACCAGCGCCTTACCGAGTGCGGGTTGCTTCACAAGGTCTACTCGCCTCAGGTCGACATCTTCAGCTTCCTATCTTGTCTACAAGGACTATAAGAAACCTTCCTGTTGAGCACTATACAACATATGATATAGGATATTTGTCTACAACGAAACAATGGCTGTCCAAGTCTTCGTTCAGGCCAACAATGTCCTTGCGTTCTTCAGCATCGCAGCTGCGGTTTTCTTACTGCAGAAGATTTTGTTCACGCCCGGAACCAAGTATCACTACCCTCCTGGGCCAAAGGGGATTCCTGTGTTTGGCAACTTATTTCAGATGCCACAGAAATATCCTGGGCCACGACTGATGGAATGGGCGAAAGAATATGGAGACATGTGCGTACAGTACTCACTCGAAAGATCTCAGCATTGTCAACGCCATCGCTGATGCCTGGAAAAGGTTCACGTTGAAACTTGGTTCGAGAAAATGGGTCTTTCTGAATTCCACCGAAGCAGTTCGAGATCTCTTGGACAGGCGCGGGAGACTCTACATTAGTCGACCAGTATTTGCGATTACTCAAGACATTGCGTTCGGCGGCAAGAGGGTAGTATTGATGGGGTATACGGAGACTTGGAGAAACCTCCGGAAAGTAATGCACCAGCTCCTTATGGCCAGTAATGTGAGTTCAGAGGTTGTGAATAATCCGGAATGGGGGCTGACATCTATTGAAGCAAGAAACATACAAGCCATTCCAGGACGTAGAGTCCAAGACAATGGTCTGGCAATTTTTGAAATCTCCAGAAAGATTCTATGAGCATGCAGCTCGTTATTCAAACTATGGTAAAACATGAACTGAACGATAACCTATGCTAGAAAACTGACGTTCGCTGTGAGTAGTAATCTTCTTGGTGTATGTTCCCAGACCTGTTGATGGATGTGTATGTATCGCGTTAACTGTCGATCCAGTGTATTCGGTCGGCGGACCAGCATGCAGGAGGAGAATACTAGGCTGCTTTTCTCTACCAGCGAAGACTTCTTATCATCACAGGCCACACCCAGTACTACCTTAGCGGAACAATTTCCAGGGTTCGTAAAAGCGTTGCCCAAGCCTTTACAATGGTTCCGACCCAACGCAGAAAGGATATACAAGAAGACTTTTGGGTAAGACCTCGTAACACCATCACCGTTTTATCCGAGACTGTTTGAAATGTCATTCATTTCAGAAAAGTCTACGAAACAAAAGAAATTAGTGCTGACATGTACCGGGCAGTGTCTATACCGCTTTCCTGAATGAGCTTGCGCAACGTGTCAAAGATGGGCAGGACCCCCAATGTTTTGCTCGAGGTCTGACTGATGTGGCCGAGAAATACGGCTTTGACGAAACCCAGAAGGCTTTCTGCGGTGAGGAAAATAAAGAAACTCTTGGGTCGTCACCAGGCTGACTGTATTTTAGTCGGTACCATAATCGAAGCTGGAAGCGACACAACCCGGAATCAGGTGATTATATTGATTGCAACTGCAGCAAAGTTTCCGGAATGGGTCGCCACTGTACGGAGGGAGCTTGATAAGGTCTGCGGTGACGCCGAGAGATTGCCCACATTCGATGTAAGTCGCCTTTATCGCTGTGACTTAATGTCTCTCCCTAAAGAATAACAGGATTGGAACGAGCTACCGTATATGATAGCAGTGATCAAAGAAAGTCTCAGATGGCGTTCCAATCTAACAGTACCGGGAGTGCCCAGGACCTTGATTGAGGATGATGAATACCGTGGCTTCAAATTCGAGAAAGGGACCATTTTCACCTTCAACAACTTCGCAATCTGCCATAACGAGAGAGAATTCTCCCAGAATGAGTATTTCAGGCCGGAACGGCATCTAAACGCAGATCTTCAGGATGCACTTAAAGGCCATTTAGGCTTTGGCGCAGGTATTGTCGTCCCTAGACGGCCGAGTCTTCTATGATTCTCTAACCCGAACAGGGCGACGGCTTTGTCCAGGCCATCACGTGGCAATGAGAAATATGTTCATCACCTTCTCGCGGCTGCTTTATTACTTCGACTTCAAGGAAGTCCCAGGAGCACCGATTAATGACTGGGAAATTGAAGCCATGGCCCATGAAAAAGCACCTTACGAAATCCAAATCATTCCCAGAAGCGAAGCACATGTGCGACTTATTGAAAGAGAATGTGAACAACTAACAATGGAATTGAATGAATTGGAAAAGGGGAAATGAGGGAACTACACACCATTATTTCGTACACGTTGAACCGGACAGATATTGGAGGTTCCTCAGCAGGCGATACTCGCAAAGAAGATACTGTCAAACTTTTTGTGCAACTTGAGTGGAAGGAATGCTCTCTCCTCTATCTACTTGTTGAGCTACTGAGAGTTTCTTTATAGACATGCGAATACCTCGTCGTCGCGCAGAGTAACCGCCAGTAACGTCGTCCATGGAAACCTCCTACTGGTGTTTCAATGGTGGAGCCTATACATTTTAGCCCCCTGTTCAACAACACTCTATACAAGCAATCTCGAATTGAATCTAGTAAGGCTTATCTAGGTGGTCCACGGATTGGATCCGATGAAATGCCACGACCCATTGAATCTGATTGTCAAACTTCTCGTGCAACTTGAGATGAAGGAGCGCTCTGTTCTCTATCTACTTGTCGAGGTGCTAAGGCTCCTTTTATAGACACATGAATGCTACATCGTTGCACAGAGCAACCATCTGTAACGTCGTCGCCTGTGGAAACCTCTCGTCATCCAACACTGATCCATGGATCGTCTAGGCGTCGAGGCTTATCCGGTTACGAAGCATGTCGAGTGCGACTAGTAAAGGCTGTCTAGATGGTCCACAGACTGAATCCGATGGGCGACGGGGGATTTCATCGGATCCAATCCATGAACCACGTCGAGTGGGAGCACTCCCGGGGAGGCACATGGTCCACGGATTGGATCTGATGACAGTGATCCCGGAAAATATTTAGTCCGATAACGTTGAACTGGGAAAAGATTAATCCGACGGCGGTGATTCGGAAAATATTTGATCCGTTGGGGTGGCTCACTCATCGGATCCAATCCATGGACCAGTCGATGTCGAGTAAGAATTTGTCACGGGACTATATGCCAAGAATCACGTGCAAGGATTACGTGTTCAGGGTTGGAATCCCTTGACCTCGAACCCTTACAGATATACCACCGCCATCGGATCCGATCCGTGGACCATGTGGCTGGGTAGAACTGGTATATGGCGCCGGCCTCGATATCCAGCTAATAAGCAAACGGCTTTTCAGCTTTCAAATCCCTCATATACGCTTACAGAATGGCGGTAAAATAAGTGCTTTCGAAAGTAGTACGTCGTGCTATGAAACGCAACTTTTCCCACAACTCTATTTACCTTACAACGACGTAGAAAAACTTAAAGTTTTTTAGTTGATCTAGTATTAAAGGCTACACAGTAGCTATAAGAGTCGCAAAGCAGTGGTTAAGATTTCGGCTATTTCCCTAGGGTCTCTTGGCGCGTGATCCTTGGCATGAGGTCCCGTGACAAAAATCCATTTTTCGGTATTCGGTTGCCTAGGCAACGGCTAACCTTGGACATCAACCAAACGCGCCACTGCCGATAACATGTCTCACTAGTTTGGCACTATACAAAAGGCACACTACACCCCCAACTGCGACTATAGGTAAGTCTCGAGCTTTTGAATTGCAAAAGTCAAATGCTAAATATGGCGTCCAGACAGAACTCCGACCAACTTCGCATTGAGATCTCGATACCTCATTCAAAACGCCACCGAACGCGTGCCATACCTTCCCTTGAAGCCTCTCCAGAGAGCCTCCATCGAAGAGGGTTACCACCCGACGGGAATATGGCCTCGTCAGAGAAGGAATCACCCGTCATGCCTATCTCCCAGACGCCTAAGAAGACAACAACCAAAAGCAGTGTCGCCAATGAGACACCCCAGAAGGCAGTAAATTCTGTGCCCCACGACGATACTCAAATTCATCGCTTACCCGTTTTCATCTCTAACCTTGGCTGCATGACACACGTGGAGGACACAAAGGTCTCCATTTTTAAGAAACTTCATAATAAGATGTCCAAGAACGCAAAGTTCACCGAAACCCAAATTAAGAGGGCAGAGGAGGCACTCAAGACATCCAATGAATGGAAAAAATGGCGGTCGGATATGGCCTCAAAGAGCTCGGGAATAATTTCTCAGAACATATTTTTCCGCATGCTTCAGAAAGCTCAAGAGGTCCTTCAAGCACAATCGACGGCAAAGACACGACAGGCTCAGAACGTCTTCATTAATATCGGAACAAAGGTACCCAAGTCCGGGATTAGTAATGAGGAGTACGCGGAAGGCCTGAAGCTTTTCAAACCCGATCTAGCTAGTATTGCCATCGATATCAACAAGAAAAATGTGAGGTTTTGCGATATGAAGACAACCTGGGAACTCAAGAAATCGGCCGATCAGACATATGCACAATCCGAAATACAACTCTCTCTTTTGAGATGCAACCAAGTGTTTCGAGACGACCCATTTCGTCACTTCATATACTCCATCTACGTCGCCGGCAGGACATTGCGTCTCTATCAACTGAACAGAGGGCAGGTGCTGTGTTACGAAAGTGGGCTTAATATCGAGCATAATACATTGGGTTTTCTGCGCTTCGTCAACTGGCTCATGCTGGCCAGTGACGACGCCCAGGGCTTAGCAAAGGAACCTTCTGCAATCGGTCGAAGAGCCATCAGCTTCACTCCTGCCGGATATAAGATACCATCGCCACTCGTGCGTGTGGGTGTCGACATGGTCACGACACGCGGCACTACGGTATGGCTTGTTAAAATGCAAAAACCAAAGCCAAAAAAGAAAAAATCAAGAAAATCACAGGCCAAAAAGGACACAGAGAACTCACCTACAGAAGGTGACGGTCTTGCAGCGCTGAAAATGGCCTGGGTCTACGAGGCGCGCACGAGTGAAGCCGATATCCTTAGTGAACTTAGCGATATCGAGGAACTACCAAAGTTTTTTGAGTGGAAAGACGGACCTTTAACAACCGAGTTTGACGTTCTACCGGAGGCAAAACATTCAAGACAATATCTCCAAATGGGGCCGAACTATCGATATATAGAGGTAACACACACCACATCCTCCGTCATGGCAAACCAAACCCAGAAGAAAGAGGTTGAGAAGGGCTTGTTCATGCCGGAAGTGAAGGGAACCGCTATCGAGTCAGCCGATGAGCCTTCGCACTCGAGAAGGCAGCGATGGTACCTGGAAGAGTACTGTGGCGTTTCTGTAAATACCACACCGTATGGACTTTCGCGACATCAATACCCCAGTCCTCGAGATGTCACTGAACTTGAGCGTATAAAGGCTCTACGTTCTGCTGTACTTGCTATCCAGAAAATGTTTTGCAGAGATCGTCCCATTGTCCACCGAGATATTTCTCCCGCGAATATTATGGTGACGTCGCCAGATATGCTGAACGGGGAGGGCGCCCCTCCACACGGACGGCTAATTGACCTCGATATGGCTTGCGTATATGGAGACCCCCATTCCGGAGCTCCCTGGCGCACTGGCACTTACCTTTACATGGCAATCAACATTCTGATGGGGGAACACTCTCGGCACAACCCATGGCATGACATTGAGAGTGTCTTCTGGGTTCTGCTCTTTGGAGAGCTGAATCGGACTCCTGAAGGCGCGAAGGAACTAAAGCGCATTGCTTCCGCTGGGGCATCCCAGCTCACAGAAGCCGAAAAAGGCGTAGGATTAGCGTCCAGAAAACACCTTATCGTGAGTGTTACCTGGAATACATGGATGGGCGATGAACAATTACGTCTCTTCGAAAAGACATCATTCCCAGTTATTCGGCTCATACATCGACTAAGGGTCGAACTGTTTGGATTCGACGAACAAAAGGAGCCAGATCGTTTAGCAACCTCAGAAGACGTCGCTGCCGCGGCGAGTAAACGCATAATCACCTCTACAGAATACGACGCGCCCAGGTTTGCGGTCCCTAACGAGAAAATTTGGGAGAAAGCTGAGAGGGAAGTTGAAGAAGTAGAAACAGGCATCGAAGGGCTTAGTTTGGAAGAAAAACCCGACAAGACTAATCAAGGCAAAAGCAATGATTCGACTGACAAAGGAGGTGTCGGGATGTCGGAGAAAGACCTAGCCATCGAGAGGCTTAAGCAGGCAGTTACCAAGATCACGGAGTGCATTGATGGGTGGTTTGCTGAGTGTATTGAGGATCTGGAAAAGTTGAGCAGCAAGAGTAGTCCATGAGCGAAGCTTTGTGAAGCTTTTCAATCAGAAAGGCTAGGCCATGATGGGTAGAGACAATTCATATCTGACTGTTGCTAAGCCACAACCGTAGCCACATCTTTCACGGCTACATTTGCTCTTCAACATAACCATTGTCATGACATATGGTACAGAAGGCCGAAGATGTCGTCCGAACTTGGTCGATTACGTCGAGAGCTTAAAGAAGAGAAGCGACTACGAGAAGAAGAGTAATATCGTCATATAGCCGCCGAAGAGCACGCTATTTAGGAGCAACGCGGACGAGAAGAAGAGTAACGTCGACGAGAGGAAGAGCAACGGCGCTATAATCAAAGAACAGGAAATACAAGTTTGGCCGAATTCCTCGATGTATGTCATGTTCACCTCTACCAAGAATTGACCGTGCAAGACAAAGCCCAGTCAACCCAAGGAACTCCTGCGAATGCTGACCGAAACCTTCGTCCCGATTATATCGTTCCTTGGATGGATTTTCCGATGCACCAGACTCGCATGTGGGATATAGTGATGGAGTCGGATTTCATATCAGAAGACACTTCACTTCTCTATATATATTGAAAGAGAGCGGGGAGCAGCTACATCAACGACAATTAAATTCAAGAGTTGAATCTTCAATACTTTGTTCGAAATACAATCAATGATCAAGTAACGTCGATCGTTAAACACTTATCCCAGCATACGGTCCTGCGCCAGACCCTTAATCTGCAGGGTTTCGTGAATTTGAAAACCATGGAAACATGCTGAGTCCTGACGAGGTAGTGCAGGACTTTCAGAATTTGATGATTTCGCAGCCCCAGCCACGAGAACGTCCTGAACAAAGCTCCTCAGCCACTCGATCGTCGTCGCCTAGCCGATTATGGACATCAATACCTCGCGCCGACCAGTTATACGTATACAGCGTCTTCGATGAGATGGGTGAACTATCAAACTGGGTGCAACTCGCGATGTCTTGAATGCTCTGTTCTCTATCTACTTGTCGAGGTATTGAGGTTTCTTTTATAGACGTGCGAATACTACGTCGTTACACAGAGCAACCATCAGTAACGTCGTCGTCTATGGAAACCTCTCACCAGTGTTTCAGCTGTGGAGCCTATACACAATAGCCCTTTGTTCAACAACTACTTTCATGCTCTTTGTCTCTCGTCTTGTACTCTATAGTGCATTGGATAGTAATATCATTGTCGGATCTCTACTCTCGTTCCCTCGTACGCCCCCACCCTGACATTATCGCTCTGGAGTTCACCAACTCTACCCTACACAACAAGCTCTGTATTATCAATGTGTACAATGAAATAGTAACCAACACCCTCTCCGACCTTGAAGAAGCCCTGGGCAGGTCGGAACCCGACAACGAACTCATTGTGCTCGGGGACTTCAACCTACACCATCCCCTCTGGTCGACAACACACCGTCGTGCTAATCGTGGAATACGAGCCGCCCAACCTCTGCTCACTATTATCGAAAACTTTCACCTCCAACTGCTCACAGTGCCAGGCACGTCAACACATAGATGGAGAGTCAACAATCGACTTAACCTTCTCCTCGACCTATCGGACATCAATGGATATGAATACCCTCAACCCATTGAATGCCCGGAGATCGCGCCTGTGGAGATCGAGAGAGCAGTGCGCAGAGCTGCCCCGAACAAGGCTCCAGGCACCGACGACATCACGAACGGCATCCTCCACCAGACGCTAAATATCCTTCTCCCAAGCCTCCATAATCTCTTCAACGCCTGTCTCCAGCAGGGACACTGTCCTGCACACTTCAAAGAAACTATTACGGTTGTCCTTCGAAAGCCAGGAAAGGATGACTATACGCAGCCCAAGTCGTACCGGCCGATAGCCCTTCTTAATACACTAGGAAAGGCATTAGAAGCTATAGTAGCAAACCGGTTAACTTACCTTGCTGACGCCTATCACCTTCTCCCAAGTCGACATACAGGATGTCGCAAGCTCGCATCAACAGACCATGCTATGCATCTTCTCCTCCAACGTATACACAAAGCATGGGTCGACGGAAACATTGCCTCACTACTCCTACTCGATGTATCAGGAGCCTTCGATAACGTCCCTCGACAACGACTACTACACAACCTAAGAAAGCGGCCAGTTAATCCAACGCTCGTAAGGTGGATAGACTCCTTCCTCAGCGATCGATCTTCTACGCTTAAGCTCCAAGAGTACACAGCGCCCTCAGCACCTATTCAAACCGGAATACCTCAAGGATCCCCGCTTTCACCGATCCTCTACCTATTCTACAACGCTGACCTAATTGATACATGCAAGACCGAGGACACAGAAGCCGTGGGATACATCGACGACGCCTCCATCCTCGCAGTAGGTCCGACAGCACAACACAACTGTAAGACCCTCAAAGCTATTCATCGAAAAGCCGAGAAGTGGGCACTACAACATGGATCACAATTCGCGCCAGTAAAGTACGAACTGGTACATTTCACCAGAGATCCTACGGCAAACACCACCCACCCCCTTCGCTTACCTCATGCCACTATTAAGACTTCACCATCGTGTCGATATCTGGGCGTCGAAATGGATTCTAGGCTCCGCTGGGACTACCATCGAGAGAAGGTAGAAAGCAAAGCTACACAGCGATTGTCAGCTCTATCGACCCTGGCTTCATCAACGTGGGGCACAGGATTAATCAACCTCCGACAAGTGTATAGAGCAATGATCGTCCCGCAGATGCTCTACGGCTGTTCAGCATGGCACATTCCAGAGGGCAAAAGCAAAGGCAGAGGCAGAGCCATGCTCAACACGATTTCCCGGATCCAGCGGCGCGCGGCACAGATCATTACCGGAGCCTTCCGGACAACCGCTGGAGCGGCTGTGGACATCGAAGCACACTTGCTCCCGTCGCCGCAGCAGCTCGAACAAACAGCCCTCGAGGCCCCGATGCGGATTCGAACCTCGCCACTCTACACGGAGATGGCCCTTCCTGGAGACAACAACAATGATCAGAGCCCGCTTGATCGGTTTTCAAGCATCTTGAAGAACAAGTACAACATCCAGCTCGACCGGCTAGAGAAGCGCCAGCCGCATATTGTGCCACCGTGGTGGATCCCACCGTTCACCCGAATCGCCGAATCTCCAGAGGCTGCCGTTAAGGAACACGATGCGTCAGAACCAACAACGTTATGCGTATACACCGACGGAAGCGGCATCGACGGCCATGTTGGTGCTGCGGCGATAGCACCAAAGCTGCGGTTCCGAGATATACAAACGAAAAGAACGGAATACATGGGCACATTAACCACCTCTACCGTGTATGCAGCAGAGCTGAGAGGTATAGAGCTGGCGTTCCACATTGCACTCGACATCCACACAACGACGAACACTCTCGGCAAGTGCATCGTCTTTACTGACAATCAAGCTGCCATCCAAGCGATGGCCAACCCCAAATGCCCCTCCGGACAATACATCTTGATTGAGGCTATACAAGCACTGGACAAGCTTCGAGACCAAGGATGGGAGATTCAACTTCGATGGATTCCAGCACACGTAGGGGTGCCAGGCAACGAAGCAGCCGACCGAGCAGCTAAGGAAGCCGCTGGCCACAACCCAAATACACGAACGAATCCAGAACCGCAGTCAGAACCAGAATCACTCCGAACTCTAACGGCAACCACAAAATCCACTATTCGTCAGAGAACGAGAGACGAATGGGAGGGATCCTGGGAAACAGCTAAACACGGCAGAGAGCTCTTCAGACTCGGGGTTCGACCCGGAAAAGGGGCCCTCACCACACATTTGGGTACCCACAGAGCAATAAGCTCGGTCATCACACAGATGCGCACAGGCAAGATCGGCCTACGCGCTTACCTCCACGCCATCAACAAGATCGACACCGACGAATGCCAGTGTGGCCACGGACGCCAAACGGTGCGCCACGTCCTCCTCGAATGCCGAAACTGGACGGACGAGCGACACCGAATGTGGGCAGGCAAAGCTCCATGCATTGACATCAAACGCATCCTCTGCAGCTCGTCAATGGCAGTACAAGCAGCCAAGATGATCTTAAGGACGGGACTCCTAGAGCAATTCCGGGCAGTTCCATCCACTGTACTTAAATACACGTAGCGTAGACGAGTGATTATTGTTATACAGAAGTCGAGGAGGGTTAGGAAAGACCCGACAAGTACACAGAGACAGAACAATCAATAGGGCTATAAGTAGAGGAGTTACTGCAGCCAATTCGGATAAGGAATGGGCTGATGCTCTGGAAGCAACAAGTGGGAAACACCTGTATTTATAGTCGAACGCTGCATAGCTGCATAAAAGCGGCTGGGACAGTCTATGAATAGAAGAAGAAGAAGAAGAAGAAGAAGGATTGGATCCGATGAAATCCCACGACCCATCGAATCCAATCCATGAATCATCTCGGCGTCGAGGCTTGTCGTTCACCCTCGGTTACGAAACATGTCGAGTGCGATTAGTAAAGTCTGTCTAAGTGGTTCACAGACTGGATCCGATGAAAGACACCCCCGCCATCGGATCCAATTCATGGATCACGTTGACGTTGTCTGTTCCCGCTCGGTTACGAAGTATGTCGAGTGTGATTGGTAGAGCTTCTCTGGGTGGTTCATAGATTGGATCCGATGAAATACCACGACTCATCGGATCCAATCCATGGATCATCTCGATGCCGAGGTTCGTCCGTTCACGCTCGGTTATGAAGCATCTCGAGATTGATCAGTAGAGCTTGTGTGGGTGGTCCACGGACTGGATCCGATGGGTGGATTATGTCGATCTCGATATCGATATCTATCGCCCCCCACCCCGAGCACGTTGTCCACCGACTGGATCCGATGAGAGCTAGTGCGGAAAATATTTAATCCGATAGTGGTGGGCCGGAAAATGGTTAATCCGTTAAGGTGGAGCGGGAAATGTTTGATCCGTTGACGGTGGTCCACTGATCAAATCCGATCCACGGACCCACCAAAAGGGAAGGGGAAGCCTTCGTCGTCGGTTTACTCCTCCCGGAACAACATACGTCATTTGTATCAGTGTATCTGTGGGTGTATCTGCCTGAAGTCAGCCCCGACATCGGTAGAAATGTCGAACAGGGGCTATAGGCTCCACCATTGAAACACTGGCGGGAGGACGACGTCGTTACTGATGGTTATTCTGCGTAACGGCGTAGTATTCGCATGTCTGTAAAAGGAGCCTCAGTACCTCGACAAGTAGATGGAAAACAGAGCACCCTTTCATATCTCAGAGCATTCAATACATCTCAAGTTGTACACAGTCTGACAAGAAATAATGTAGTAGCTAGCCCTCTAGCCCGCACAGGGTGTATGAATATCGTATCGTATCGTATGTGGCCGGGTGGGATCGGATTTAGTGGTGTCTGTTTTCAATCACGTGACATGTGGCTTAGCATTGCCACGTGAGGAGTTTAGCTCGGCAATGTCGCAACTTGCACCCTTTCTACTTATTCAGTCTTGCTCTCTTGTTTAGATAGAATAACAACATATCTCTTCTCTAGACTCCACAGTTTATTATAGCGTTTAGCAATATCGCTGTGATACGCGAGTCGTTATGGGTTATCACTCTCCCGATGTGTTCCCTGAGTAGCCGTTGTTAGCCAGAATAGGCAACGCTGGCTTGGCGTGTCGCCGCAAGCAGTGACACCTGGGGCAGCTTGCACTCTCAAACTGTTGCTCCCTCTACCCTCATAACCAGATCGAAGACCCTACCTCCAACTTCGCGACCCCCTATCCCACGGCAGTTCGTGTGCGCTTATCTTGGGCGAGTTTGAACTCTCCACAACCTACCTGCGAGTCGTCATCTCATACCATCTCCCTCGTTTAACCCTACTTCACGTCGATCATAATGAACGCTTCTAATCAGGAAGTTGGGCAAGACCCGAAGAGAATTCCTACAATTCAAGAGATGGAAAGTTGGGACGATGAGCAATTGCTCGAATGGATCAAGAATATACAACCGAAAATTTTCCGCGATAACAACGACGTTTTGACATTCAAAGCGGCAAGAATTAGTGGCTCTACCTTCTTGGATTATGCTGGGGATACAGACTTCTTCAGCAAAACTCAACTGCCCCTCGGAGTCTATGGTGCTCTTGCATCCCTTGCAAAAAAAGTTAAGAAACAGAGTAAGATTAGACTGTGGATATAACTCAGGCACTAGCTAACAGTGTTAAGACGATCAATCGAACCAGACAGCTGGCCAAAAGAGGAAAGGTAATTACGCCTTTGATGTACTATACGATAGCTAGCTAATGTCGTTACAGGGGATAACAAAAAGAGGAGGAAGGACGATGAAACCGTCACACAGGAATCACCGACCAGCAAGTCTCCGAAAAGAATGCGTCTGGAACGAGGTCAAAATCAGCACCACGATAACAATGATGGCGACAACGACCAAAGACAAAATATTAATCTACTACCAGAAGAGATCAAGGATATTCGGAATAGAAGGCAGGCAATTAAGAAGATCATCACAGGTCTCGATACGAAATATTCTCACGAGAACTCTGCTTCTCCTGATTCCGAGTTTGCTCTGCCTGGAGCCGTCGCCCTACTTTCCGATCCTCAGCACGAACATAGACTTCTATTTCCAATGACCATTTTGAAGACGCCTACTCGATTTGCGATCACCAAGGAAGGCGTTTGGCAGTATGTGGGAAGAGAGATATTTCCAGAACTTCTACGTCAGCTCAAAACCGCTCGTGAGGCGAGTCCGTACTCAAACCTCTGGGTCTACGGAACCAGAGGCTATGGGAAATCTCACCTTCTAGCAGCACTCGTCTGTTACCTGTCAGCCCTAGAGAACCGGGTTATATACATCCCGGATTGTCGTATATGCCTTGAGGATCCTCTTCTGTACTTTCAAGCAGCATTGTTGTTCGCCTTTACCGACAAGGCGGCACAGGACGAGATCGTGACGCTGGACACGAAGGAGAAGATACGAATATTCTTGGGGCGGCAGAGGAATGTCATCTTCGTCATTGATCAGATGAACGCATTGTGCGAAAAGGAGGGCGAACCCCAGCACACACGTTCGGCCAAGGGCGATCTCTCAGACTGGATAAATCGTCTGATAGCACGTCACACAGCAGTTCTCAGCTCGTCAGCCAATAACCAGGACTACCTCAGGGGGCAAATTTTGGAGAATAGTAACTTCACCATGCTTGTTTATGGCGGCTTGACCGAGGTATGTCTCAATGTAGGTCAGATCTTCCAAGTGCATCTCTTCTAACTTCTATTTAGACGGAAATGAAGTGCTGGTGGGATCGTCACTCCGACTTGAGTCTGGAAGACAAGGCCAAAGAAAACTTTGAAGACCTCACGGGCCGCATCCCTTTGCTGTTGAACGAGTGTGTGGTACGTGGAAAGATTAACCTTTCACCACTCCAGAAAGTCGCGGACAAAGCCGTGATATTCACCGACGGTGTCAAACTGAAAACGCTGAATGAGGGTAATGATGTCCGATGGACTAGGTATGTTATTCAGATTTCGACGACGGAACTAACTAACTTCTCAGGTATTGCGAGTTCGTGAACGCTTGCTTTCTCGGCCTTCGCGTGCAGACTGTCATTTTCCAGACACCCGACCTCGTCGACTATCGTTTTTTCTTCGGGCGCGAAGAACGACACGAAGACGAACTCGATGACGGAAGCGAAGACGAAGTCAATGGCAGACGCACATATGTCACTGGTGGCTGTTCTTGCGGTGTGGTCCGCGAAGCAGTAGCAAATGCCCTCGTCCAATATCAACAATGCCAAGTTTCTGGATGCAATGTCGACATTTTATAACAACCCATCGACGCTGGGGTTTTTCATGAAGTACGCCGTTCTGTACTACTTGAAAAAAAATGGGCTACCTACTCTGGCCTCTCTTGACCAGTCCATGAAGGTGATAACCTTCACAACCGCCATCCCGATTATTCGCGACGATATTATTGGCACCCCTGTCGTTTATCACCCCAGCGATTGGAATTACCAAACCCTGGATGGGATAATCGTCTTGATCGAGGAAGTCCCGAAGGGGAGAAAGAAAAAAATGACCTTCTGCCCTTATCAGGTCACATTGCATCGCAAGAATCATGAAGATTCTCATGAAGCTTTCTTCAAAAAATATGGCCAATGGGTCAAAAAACTTAGGGACTATGACATAACAACTATGTTTATATGGTTCAGCGCTGACGAGAGTTCACACATAGATCATCGGGGGTCTCCCAGACACAGAGAGTATGTGGTAAATTTCGGTGATCTTGACCAGAACCTTTGGGTTAAGTACAAGGAGGCACAAAACGTATGTCGGCAGCATACCTCTGCCGAGACCGCCAAGAGGTGGGGCGACTGTTGTCCGTCTTCGGCGGGCGGGCGGCTCGGCGCCACGGGATAACTCTCCAGAATAGATCAGTCGCTCGTGCCCGTCTCGTAGTCGAATCGGTTCGATATCGAGGTCGGTCGCATCTCCTCGTCGAGCTCGATCGATTCGATGATGATTTGTCGTCGTCGAAGTGTTGAGAGAATGAATGCAGAAATGCATGCGCATTGGGCTATGGAGGCTTGCCTGTCTGACTATCTAAGGATAATGAACGACTTTAAATACACAGTTACTCGTCTAGGCTGACGTAGGCTGCCGCAGGCAGCTGTAGGCAGCCGCAGACTATAGCAAAGGCATAAGTATAGTCTGGATAATGTCAACATCGAGGCTTGTCGTTCACTCTCGATTACGAAGCATCTCGAGTGCGATTAGTAGAGCCTGTCTCGGTGGTTCACAGACTGGATTTAATGAATACTACGACCCATCGGATCCAATCCATGGATCATCTCGACGTCGAGGCTTGTCGTTCACGCTCGGTTACGAAGCATCTCGAGTATGATTAGTAGAGCTTCTCTGGGTGGTCCACAGACTGGATCCGATGGGCGACAGGGGGACTTCATCGGATCCAATCCATGAACCACGAGTGGGAGCCCCCCGGGAGGCACTTGGTCCACGGATTGGATCCGATGAGAGTGAGGCCAGAAAATATTTAATCCGATAATGGTATGTCGGAAAAATAGTCAATCCGACGACGGTAGCTCGGAAAATATTTGATCCGTTAGGGTGATTCACTCATCGGATCTTTGCCAAGCCGTATGCTCACGTAATCAGCTAGCACGACGGTCTTGGCGTCGCCGCACAGCGCCAAGCTGCAACCCGGTGGTTCCAAAATAAAAAAAAGCCAAAAAAAAAATAAGGTTTATTATTTATTCTGCCAAAAATTGCTTCAAAATTGACACCAAATCGTGGTTGACCTATCAAGGACGTAACCGAGTGGTAAAACACTGGGCTTACAGTCGAACCGATAGAATTGAGGGACCTTACTAGTGTTCGATCATAGGTAAGGCAAGAGGGTTGTCCGGCCTAGATTCCTAGGTGCCCTAGATGGGTAAACGTAATGCTCCAGCCAGTGATTGTTGATGTTAAACTGAGTGATATCGAGGGAGGTCACTGATTCAAACCTTCCTGTCGGTGAACTTGTCTAGCTTAAGCTTTCATTGGTTGTGGCGCCCCATTTATTAGTTCGTCAATGATGGACTATAGGAGGGGAGCTTTGGTGTTGATTATTTTTGTCGTGGCGAAGCATGTGTGTTGTAGAGATATCTCCTCCCTTGTGTGTGTGTGTCATAGAAGCCCTTCAAACGGTCTTGGCAGGCCCACTGTGGTTATCGAATAGCCTCGTGTATCTGCGTAGTAGTGAAGGTATGAGCCATTGTTCTTCTACGACTTTGTTCTGCCAGCTTGCTGAAATATATACACGTTTAGTTGGCCCTATCTCCTGCATAACAGTGAACCCCTTTTTCCAATGTTACAGATGGTTGCTCTGTGTAATAATGTAGCATTCGTGTGTCTATAAATGGAGCTTCAACTCCTCGACAAGTAAATAGAGAACAGAGCGCTCCTTCATCTTAAGTTGCACAAGAAGTTTGACACCTTGTTCGACAGTTGTTTTATATAACTTGAATTTAAATAAATGTTTTAGCTCTTTTAAGAAGGGTGGGATAGAGGTGATTTATCTACACGACGTATATTACTGGGCTCTTTCTAAGAGTGCGGAATAGAGCTTATCTAAATTTCTATTGTTGTCAGGATGGGGACGTACGAGGGAACGAGAGTGGAGATTCGATAATGATATTACTATCCAATGCACTATAGACTACAAGACGAGAGACAAAGTGTTGACATTATCCAGACTGTACTTATGCTTGTGCTGTAGCCTGTGGCTGTCTGTAACACCCATCACGCCACGAATTCCCAGTCACTGCAAAGGTGGCAGGAAGGGGGCTGGGCGTTAGAAAGGAGGCAAGGAAGATGAACGGATCGAAGGTATAAGAAGAGCCTTCGAACCCTTAGATAGACAGACAGGTTTCAGTACATTGCCATTCCACACCCTACCTTGCACGCTCGCAACGATTTATGATCCCTCTCTTCACACCCCCCATTAGTACTGTTGTTACATCAGCACTGGGCTGGTCGAATTGGGCCATCGAGCTGGGTATGAAGAAAATATCCGGGTTCACGATTTTAGGAGGGAGGTCCTGGTCAAGGCCGACGGTAAGTCCTGCTCAACGAGACCGCTGGTACGGAAAGGTCTAACTTCGGGCGCAGACAACGGCTACTCTATCGCCGAGAGGATGAAGTTTGCAGGCCACGAAAATTCCGACACCTTCTTCGGCTCGTACATGCCTCAAATAAGCACCGTCGACGGGCAATCCAGCTACTGGGGAAAAGCGCGCCGCATTGTCTACCTCGAGGGCTTCCGCGGCCTCTCGCTGCAGCACCACCCGCAAATGCTGCAATCGCTGCCGGCTAAGGTGGAGGCGAATCTGAAAGAGCGCGCCGACTTTATCGCACTCAACGAGGAGATCGAGTCCCTCGGAGAACGAATCCGACGCCTTCCAGTCGAGCACGACAGCAAGCGAGAACGGACCCGCCGGGAGGAACTGTACTGGCAGAAACGCCAGATGGTGTCGGAAGAGCTCAGCAGGTGGCAGGAGATCCAACCCCGGAAGGTCAACCAGAACACCGAAACCGAGGCCTCGCCTGTCGCATCGTTACCCAGCTTCTTCAGTCGCGTCCGGCGGTTGGATCCGCCTCGTGACCGTCTGGCCTCCTCTCTTTTTCTCGACGTTCCTCTCCGGAGCCCCGAGGGGCGGGCGGCTCTCCAAGATATGATTACCCTGTGTCAAGAGAACCCCAAGGTGGCCTACCGCCCGAGTCTGCGTCCAGAGAGCGGCCGTTGCCCTGTATCGGCGTGCGCGGTAGAGATGGAAAGGTAAGTGACTCCTTCAAACTCCCCCGGGGATTTCCTCGATTCCCGTTCAACGAACGGCGCCTAGCTGACGATGTTAACTTCGACAGCCTCCGTCTCGCGGCCCGATGGGATCACATTTACCGATGCCACAAAGCCAGTCTCGCGGCCAAACACGGCACGACCGAGCTGTGCTTCCAGTGTGACGAGTGGATCACCGGCAAGCAGGGCTGGCGCGAGCATTGCCGGCGCCATTTGAACGATCTCGAGTCACTCCCCGTCCGGTGGAATCCTCTGATCTTTCGTCAGACCTTGGCCGCGGCTGGTCACTGCCCCTTCTGCCTATTCAACCCGCTTCCCCCGCCCGACGAGCGGTTCCGTCAGTACACTAAAAAGCCGGCCTGGCAGCAGCACCTGGACGGGCATTTTGACGGGCTCGAGAAGCAGGACGAGCTCGCTCTCGCGTCGGACGAGATAAAGGCGACGCCGTCGTAGATCTCCAGTATCACGCCCAGGACACCCACTGTTACAAGTGGACCAAGGCCAGCACCAGCAAGCGACGTTGCCTTACCAATCGACCACGTTCGAAAGCCGAAGATATCTTCAACGCCTTCGCCGAGTCCGTCTACTCCTCTGACGCTCCAGGGGGCAATCACCAATCCTACTTTGTCGAGGAAGCCGCAGCGATGTCCAATCCCGAGACCCCCGATCCTTCTGTCTCACCGAGAGACTGCTTCGACCCTCTGCTTTCCTCAGCCCACCCGCAGCTGAGTGAGGCAACTGCTTCCGTCGACTCCTGCAGCGGCCCACACCCAGACCTGCTGATCGACCCAAGTCTTTCCGATCTGGAGCTGACGAATTCCGCATCGCCGATGGGCCTTGGGGCTTCCTTACCCTCCTCCGATCGCAAGCATAGTTCGACCGGTAACAGCCCATCGGAGTCGGAGCCTCGCACGCCAGACGCGGTGGAGGCGCCGTGGCCCGTTGAATTACCGATCCTACCGAGCTGGGCGGTCACGGATGCCACGGCCCCAACCCCCTCGTCGGTGGTATCCCAGCAAAGGATTCGTATCACGGTCGGCAAAATGGCGCACGTTGCCACGGTGCAAACACTCCTAGAGCCTCACCCTACAACAGGCCAGTGGCTAGATTACAGAGCGAGAAATCTTCCGCCCATCGCAGCAAGCAAAGGAGACGATCGGACAGCGGAGGATACTCTAGCGTTCACCGGCGATGGCGACAAATGTATTGACCTCGACTGTGATTTATTCCCATCCCATTACACGACTCCCAATGACGCGATCGATTCCCTCGAGCCAGGAGATGTCGATGTCGACGCCGTGTTTGATCAGTATTTATGCTCTCCTTCACTCTCGCCCTCGCCCACCCCTTCGCCGGACGACACGACCAGCGAATTAAGCGGACCAACGTTGTGTGATGCCGGACGCGACCCGTCCCATGGTTTCTCGGAGTTATACACGGAGACATTGAGGAGTCCAGCTCCAGAAATTTCTCCAGAGAGTGAGATAGCTCGAGATCAAGATTACCCTTGCCACTCCGCGAATGGGCCTTGCATCCGTCTGCGAGTTAGCCAGCCTAAAATCACGCTCCGCCTTAAACTCTTGGACAGAGGCCAATCCAGAAAGAAAAAGGGAAAGGGGGAATCCAGGAACTCAGAGAAAAGGGAGGAAAGGGAAAGGAGGTAACTGAGAGAGAGCCGTTGAGCATAGCGGTCTAATTATAGACTTGAATAGGCAACTTCTTAAAATTAGGTAGTTGAGAATAGGCTTTCCCATAAGTACGATTCTCGCTCGAACTCTCTGAGAATCAACGGAAATTCTTCCATAACTTTGCCACAACCATTGCGCGTCCATTGAAGAGTCTCGGCATCGCAATTCCAGCAATGGTTCTGGCATCCAACCAACTTCACAACAACACTAGAATATTGAACAGCATTCTCGGCCGCTTTCAGCAAGTGCTGATCGTGCGGCTGCAACTCCAACTTCTCGAGATTGGGAAGGCTTTTTTTGCGCACAATTGTCGGAATGGTTTGTTAATTCGTTCAGGAGTACTTCCCGCTCGATCAATCCGCGGCGGCCGCAGCGATGATGAAAGTTTGCCTAGAAAGGACTCGCAGTTGTGACATACGTAATCTTTGTCGCGATCGTCCGTCTCCTTGCTATTCCCGTTGTGATCCTCGTCGTCCGCTAGATCTCGTGAGCTCAACGCAAGGTCGCGACGAGCGATTCTCAGTCGTTCCAGCTTGGTGAACGAGTGCAGATTTGAGCAGGTTACGAGAGCCATCCTCTTTCATATCAACTACCAAGGGTACGATTACAGTAATTAATTGCAGTAGTCTGCTAAGTTCTTGGGGTGGGACCAAGTTCGAAGGGACCGCTTTGGGGCTTCAAGTGTTAGCCAGCTTGAGCTGAGGGGCTGAAATGGGTAGATAATTAAAAAGGGAACCCGAAAAGATCCTATCTTCATCCTGAAGTCGTGTTAATATTTACTGCTCGCGGAACTGGCTTCCAATTTTCTATTACAGTATGCTGTAGACCTTCCCAAATTCACGCACTAGGGAAGTAAATCTCTTCGAAGGGCAGGAAGACGCAAGTAGGGATTGTGTTCCGCGAATGGCAAATCATCCGTCCAAGAACCAAAAGCGAACGGAGTGGAATCGGAAATGTCGAGAAAAGCTAGCGGCAAACATCTGTAAGATCAACCAACATCTATTCGATACATTTTGATGACGACTCTCTAGACAGTAGACTTGGAATTACGGTCGAACCTTCCCAAGTACGGCTCAAAACAAACGACGACGACCCACATACATGGGAAAAAACCGAAGCGATAGGTCATCTCTTTACAAAGAACCTGGGTGAATTCTCCATTAAGTCTCTCCAAAAACTGTGTGAAGGTATCGACGATAACTGTGTCGCCGCAACTTGGAAGCCTTCCAGCAAGGCATCTCAGACAGCCTCTAAATGAAATATGCAGGTAGACATACCTGTTGTGGACGCGTTTTACCTAGGCTATCGGGCTGACTGAATATGTGAAAGCAGGGCCATTTCGTGAAATCAGACGTTAGTTTCACGGCAAGGATTAACGAGCTTGAGAAGACCGAGGAGAGTTTAGCCCGCGAGCTGAACGAGTGGAAAGCACAAGCCAGCCTAGAGTCAGAAGTGAGACAGAAGGCAGAAGAGGAGGCGGGCTCGAATGAAGATCGCCGTTAAAGAGGCCAAAGAGGATAGTCGAAAGCTCGAAGGGTATATCCAGAAATGGAAAACAGAGGCAAAGAAATCCAGTGATGATGCTGTTAAGTGTAGGGAAGTCATAGACACGATCTTTGCATTGCTCAAGGACTTCGGTTCGAGCATTCAGTAGGGGCCCCTTGCCTCGAACCAAATCCTCCAACATAGAAATTTAGCAGCTTCATACACTCTATTTTGCACTCTTTCGAACCTGAAATCCAGCGGGTCGGGAACCTTGTTGCGTTCCGAGTGATAATCTGCAAGGCCCACGTCGGCATCGTCCTCGGAGCGCACGCATCATGTCGCGGTGATCACTCTCTGCAAGCTCGGCGACTTGAAAAAGGGACCATTTCGGGCTCCGTGCTTGATTTGGCTCCCTCGATCTTCCGCATACTCCCATTTCTCAGGGGTCGTTTCTGGACGCTGTCACCCTCAATGATCTCATCTGATCACCAAAGGCTGGTGTCTTACTAGACACTCTACTTGTTCTATGTTAAAAAGGACACCGTACAGCACCGCATCTCTATCAAATAGACTCGGCCTTTCCTAACAGGTTCTGAGGAAGATCACAGCATGCAACATGGCTGACATGAGACGACTCGTCCTTGCCGTGGCATTGGTCTGCATCTCTTCCGTTGCTTGCCTCGGGACCGCTGCCATCGAGAATCAGTGTGATCGAGGTCTATGTCTGGAGTATTGCAAATGTCCCCAACGACACAATTAATTAAGCTAAAGAAGAGAAGGAAGGGAAGAGCCCCTAGCTACCCTACAAGGGAGAATATAACTCCTCTCTAGACCGTACGGTATCGATAGAGGGAGTCATGTGAGTTAGTCTTGTAGGGAGTCGCTGGTTCTCAACCAAGACCTTGTACGGGTTCTAACCCGTGACACTGAGTGACTATATCGAGATAACCGCCAATATCTGCAGGTCAAACAGATGACGAAGGGACTGTGCACTTCGTACTGCCAAAATCAGTCGAACGACGGTAACGTTGGGGGTGGACCACCCAGCAACTTTTGGCCTTCGCAATATTTCTGCCAAATTATGGGAGTCACACTGCGATCAACATGCTCGAGGAACTTGGACACTTGCTCCTGGTCAGGACTGAATTCAAGACCCCATACATATGTGCCTTCGTATGGCTCGATGCGTAACTCCTTTTTCCAGTGCACACGCATTGTAATCCAGACATCCATGGTGTTCTGTTCCGGGTCCTCGATCATGCGATACACCTCGATATCCATACGGTCCATTCCCTTTTCCAGTGGCTTATAGAAGTCATAGACCATTTTGTTGGTCCATGGTTTATGACCTGGGGTTGGAGGAAAGTAGAAAAATGTACAGTCTGGCGAACGTATCGACATGATATTCTCGGTTGTGAACGGATCGTAAGACTTGAGGAATCTCTGGGCCGTATGCCATCTTTTAGACTTTTCTGTCTTTGACATGTCGGGTAGAGACAGTTTTGGATGATCCTCAAGGGTGAAGAGCAAGAAGAAATTATGCGTTGATAATATATGCGTTGGACGAGGGGGTGTCTTTCTTCTTAAATCACTGCTCACCTTACCCAAAGAGAATTGTGGGGCATCGCATCGAATAATACGAGGACAAAGCTCAGCCCAGCACGGCTCACCTAGACCAAAACATACGTTCAAGTATTCTATCAGTGTTTGTGAGGTCTTTTAAAGCTCGATATTTGCGAATCTCGACATGTTCAGCATTCCTTGGTAAGTAGGATATCGTGGCTCGAGACAGGATATTTGTACGCTAAGGTTGGTTTGTTTCTCTGCTTCTTTGGTCCCAACAATAATTAGAATCTATATGCCGTCTCTGCACGGTCAGTTTGTGTATATGTTCTATCAAGGAATCGAGAGTAGAGTATTGCCATAGCCGGAAAGGAATAATATCTCGGCCTGCGGAGCGCCTTCCCTCTTCTCAGTCAATTCCGGATCGAAAGCTCCGACTCCCGGCCTCTCTGTCGATTTTCATGCTAGCATCAATGCCACATACTCGGAACAGTGCCTGCGGCGTCATCGTCCTTGATTTCCTGGTGATTCCTTCCTCCTTCAAAGCCCGTAGTTCTTCCTTCATAGCATAGTATGTCGGAACAATAGTCGCGAAGGGAACTATCATGATCTTGAACCCGATTTCTTTTGCCTCAGCAGCGGAGAAGGACGGTGTTGCGCCGGCCTCTACCATGTTGAGCAAGACCGGCATTGGGGCCAGATCTTGGACGATCTTTTGGGCCTGCTCCTTGGAGGTCAAGCCCTCGAAGAAAGCCACATCCGCACCAACAGTTTGTGCTGCTTTAAGTCGGCTGATGGCTTCCTCATAACCGTGAGTCTGCAACGCATCTGATCGTGCGATAATGACAATGTCACTCCCAATCCGCTTTCTGGCCGCGACAGCCGCGGCGATCCGACTGACGAAAACGTCTCTTTCCACAACCTCTTTTCCGGCAAGGTGACCGCATCGCTTTGTCAGGACTTGGTCTTCGATATGGAGTCCAGCGACACCCGAGGCCGCGTACTGTTGAACCGTGCGAGCTACCATAATGGGCCCCCCATAACCCGCATCTGCGTCCGCTATGACCGGGATAGGTGCGGTGGTATACTCGGGTAGGGCAGCAAGTGAAGCTATCGACTCTGCATGCATTCGCATTTGTGTTTGAGTCAAAAGTCCTAAATCGGCATGACCAAGGATGGAGGCTGCACTACCTGCCCCAGTCTGTCACAAACTGCAAGTCAGCTGAATACTCAAATCACACGCTTCGATACAACACTTTTTACGTTCGTACCATATAAATGCCTTCAAATCCCACCTCCAGAGCTGCTCGAGCAGAAAATCCATCGTACACTCCAGGACACAACAGAAATGAGCTAGGATCTTGAACAAGACGACGTAGTTTCGTGGCGGCAGACATGGTCGTTGATGTTCTTTAAGTTACTCTCTAGATTGTCAGATATAGATCCTTAGGTATAGGGATTCAGTCCATCGAGTAGGGAGATTAGCGATATCGGCGTCTCGCCTTCCGTCGATAAGCGACACGTCACCTTGACCTTCGAATATTACGACTGGACAGTTTGATAAGACTAGTCCCATAAAACCGAGACTTTCGCTGCGAAAATGCACGAAACCCAAACCTAGGCATTCGGTGGATTTAGCGCATGAGCGAGGGAACAACACAATGTTGAAGATTCGGTCCACATTACCTCCAGATGTGGGATGGCAAGTAGAAAGATTAGACATTTCTTGGTCAGCATTGTCCAGCGAGTGTCTTTGTGTTGCAGGATGGGGAGCCATGATTGTCCGGAATAGCATAACGAAAAGTGCCCAACATCTCAAGCCCGAGCGTAATCTCAGATCCGAAACACTGTAGAAGATACTCTAGTACAATTTTTAGAAGGGGCGCAGGAGCCAGCGCCTGGTAGCACTTCTACAAAGATGCTCAGCCAGAAATTTAAGACGTTTGAGCAGACAATTTTGGGACGTCTTTCCAGGCAACATCAGTGCCACAGAACCTGATCCATCTCGCAACAAGGCGCAGAACTTCTTCGGATGTGTCCTCAAAATAAATGACCTCAGGCCGCTTATATTCTTTGTCCTCCATTACCTCGACACAGTCCATTACCATGTGGGCGAGCAACAGATAACTCTCGACCGATAGTGGACGAGCCGCTTCTCCAACACTCTGTTTCTTCTCGACCTCAAGTTGACTATGCCTGATGGCGCGCACTAGCTTTGCGGTATGGCCATCGTCACGATATCGTACCGCTCTGGAAAATATAGACTCCCACCCGCCGGGATACTTAGGCTGGTACTGTGTAACGCGCTCTGGGAAAAGGGCTGGTGCTTTGCAGGACGCATATACCGCCAGATCCAGCCTTGCTTTCCATTCAAGAAGCCGACACTTGTTTTCGGCCGAAAGCCATGGTAGCTGCATGAAGACGGTGTAAAATGGGTTCAAGTTAACGCAATGCATCATGTAAAAGTCAAACGCTATTGCTTTGTCAGGTTTCTGCGCTGCGCCTAGTAGATAGCAGTCGACTTGTGCCATCTCAGATAATTTATCGTCGATCTGCTCAGGCCGAACTGTATATTGAGCGAGAATCTTGATGAGTTTCTTGCCCGCCCGCGGCATCAGATCTGTCATGAGTTTGTTATGTGTTTCATCCTCGGATATGGACTCAACAATGTCACAATCGTCTTGGATTTGTTTAATCAAAGTCATCATGTCCGTCTCGGGATAGGCTTTGTCGTGCTTTTGGGATTCCGCTTCGGCAGGGACACATATCTCCGCCATGAAAGTGTCGTGGATTGCAGCAGACGCCAACGCCTCTGCAACCGCTAATGGCTGTTTGAATTCTAAGCCATAGCCTAGATGAATGATTGGGTGCAGGAGACCTGTTACGACGGTAGAAGGCTAATGGTCAGGACATCCTGCAAGATGAAATGTACAAATACATACCGCCAAACATTCTGGCCAACATGTCGTCGGCTCGCTCATCTCCGGCGAAGACAAACGAAGAAAGAGTTCGCTCCACTCCTCGAGCTGCGACCTCAGTCTTGAAAAACTGCAGAAAGTCTTCGTACAAGACAGGTTGTCCAAGACTTTGACGGAAGCACTCTGGGTCGGCAAGCTTCTGAATTAAGTCGGGGACCTTTACGTCGCGCTTGATCTTCTGATAGTCGGCGTTACGACTATAGGCAGCTCGTAGATCTTCGGGGGACGCCCCAAGCGCATAGATCGCAAAGAGATGATGAAGGATATGATCTAGCAAATTATTACCCCAGCGCGTTTAGTATCACACTTGAAAAGCTCACTATGCATTCCCGCTAAGTGGAAGTATGCGTGGTATGTCTCGTGGTTTTTGTTCAAAAGGTGGCTGGCTTCCTGGGCAGCTGTATCGCTAAGTCTGTCTGCGTGGACTAATCCAGGGGTCTCAGCGGCAGACAACGAGTACACTATTTCGGAGCCCATGATGGCTGATGTACTTGTGAGCACTCTTGAGCACTATAGTCCGACAGTGTGCTGGCCAATGTCTCAGAACCTAAGCTGGTATACAGCGTCTTTGATAGAGGTTGACCAAGCTCAAATAAAAGCGAAGCATTCGAGTTTCTGCACACTTGGAGGACCAGGGCGGCCTTGGCGGACTTAACCTAGAGTGGAGAAATTTTCTCCACAGACTAAGAGATACGTACCGTCGTATAATTCGATGTTTGTTAAAATCGAGATCGATAGAGTATGCTGGCGACCAGATCCCGGCACATTCGGGTAACCGAGGACTCCGTCGTACAGCACGAGGTCGATACGTCGTTTTAGGGCCATACCTTCGGATGACTACGTGGTGCAGACTTTCCCCTTGGTGTCTGAGGATTTACTGCATTCCTCATCTCTTCGAAGAGCCGAACGAGGAGTGTGCGGAAACAGTTACAGTTGTACTTCACATCTAAGTCATCTCAAGCAAAATGAGCACCATATCTACGCTCATCAGCCGCGATATATCGCCAATCATGATTGCACAAGCGGCTATCGGCTTCTCTTTGCTCTTACTCCTGCTTGCCGTCATTACTGGTGGTTCGAATCAGAAATATCCTAATGTCCCAACTTTACGAGTGAAAACGAAAGAAGAGGACATCCAGCTTTATCTGAAGGATGTGATGGAGTTACTACGCGTCGGCTACCAAAAGTACTCAAAACAAGGTCGAAACTATCTTCTGGACTTGCCTAAAGGCAAGTACTTTGTGGCCTCGCATCACTATTTGGACGAAATCATGAGGGCTCCGCCATCTCATGTCAACGCGCCTGACGCGCAGTCTATAGTGAGTACAGGAATAAAAGTAAAAGCTACGCAGCTGTTGAACAGGAGTTCAGATGACACAAACCGCATATACCATCAGTGCCCCGGTCGCCAACGATCAGTGGCATATGAATGTGCCAGTTCGGAAGAATCTTATGTTGGCATTGACTCCCTCGTTGGAAATCATTGTAGCAGAAGCACGTGCTTATCTGGACGAACAGATAGGGCAACCAGGTAAGGATATAAGTCCCCCAAGAGCAATAGAAACCTTACTATTCGTTTGATTCTAGAGTCAACCAGCGTGCTCGCTTCAGATTTTGCCTTTGACATCGTGGTAAGGACTGCAAACCGGGTTCTTTTTGGGAAGCAGCTTGCGCGAGATCCTCGCTGGAAGCGGGTCTGTGTCGAGTACTCCGAAGTGATGTTCGCGGGAGCCAACAAGATCAGATTTTACCCAAACTTCTTGAAACGCATAGCGCTTTGGTTCACGAGTGACATAAGAACGGTCCACAAACTAGCAGAGGAATGCACCTTCCCAGTCATTTCTGAGCGACTTGAGAAGGAACAGTCATTTCGACAACAAGGCCGTGATGACACCTGGGAACAGACGAAGCCTTCGGACGCCATTCAGTGGGTCATCGACGCTGCTCCGCAGTCGGAAAAGACACCTAATGCGATCCTGGACCGACTGCTGCATATAACCACAGCGACGGTTCACACTACATCATTCACCTTCCTGGACATATTACATTGTCTGTCGTTGACGAAAGAATACACAGAGGAATTGCGTACTGAGATTACCGAGGTTTTCCGTGCCGAAGGTGGTTGGTCCAAACAGGGACTGACGCACATGGCGAAGGTTGATAGCTACGTGACCGAGGTCACCCGCTGGTGTCCGATGTCAGGTTGTAAGTCTCGCGTTGGCACGTGAAGCTGAAGCTCAGCAACTAACGTGATTAGTAAAACTGGCTCGCCTAGCGTTGAAAGACTGGACTATGAAGGATGGAACTTTGGTACCTAAAGGGACGATAATCTTCCTGAACGAAAAAGCCATTTATGATGACGAGGAAATCTTCGATTCACCGAAGACCTTCAACCCATGGCGGATGTATCAAAGACGTCAAAAGGAGGGTGAGGCACAAAAGCATCAGTGGGTGATGGCGTCCCCGACCCATCTTCATTTCGGTTACAGCAAGCACGCATGCCCGGGACGGTTTTTTGCATCAAATGAAATCAAGGTCCTGATTGCACTACTCATAATGCGTTATGATGTCAGCGCTATAGGCATTCCAGGAGGACTAGCTCAGGTAGCGCAGGGCTATTGGGGCGATAACAACCGAGTGCCCATAATGGGCGTTAAGCTGGAGCTCAAAGATCGAGTTAGCGATATTCCCACAGACATTCGACAACACTTCATATGAGTATTAGTTACCAAACGCCCTCATGGCCGCTTTAAAGTCTAGAAGAAAGAAAACTGAATATAGTGTTCAAAGCTTAGCCCGCCGTATAACACTAGGCTACATGTTAAGAACTAGTGCGCTCGTATTACAGGCAAGCTTAGCCCCAAAAGGCGATGCAATAAGAATAATTATTGAGGATTCTACCTTTTTATAGAGGATTACGGACTAGGTCACTACTAATGAGGTCGCTAGGATAGGCGCCTCGCGTTCTAGAAAAAGGGCGAAAGAAAGGTTAGCCGATAAAGAACGAGACTACATTATGTGTGAGGGTTTAAATAGGAGTTTATTCAACTACTATGTACCTGTATAACAAGGACGTTAAGCTAAAGAGAAGAAAGAAAAGGGAGAGCTCAACTACCGTACAAAGAGCAGATATAATCTCCTCTAGTGGTCGTACGGTAGTCGCAGCAACTATCGATAGTAGGGATTATGTGACCCAGCCTTGTAGAGAGTCGCTGGTTTCTAACCAAGACTTCGTACGGGTTCAACCCGTGACAATATGTGACCTAGTAAGGCTCTAGAGAGGGCCTGTAGAGTATATAGAGCTATATATATATATAAACTTATTTCCTTCAAAACTACCTATGTAGTACTAATTTATATAGGGCTGGTAGGCTTGAGCGGGCGAGACCTTGGCGAGCCACAGTCTCGCTTGTTTATATACTCCGCCTATATTGCTGCTACTGCCTATCGTTGCTTGTTGTCTAGAATTACTCCTCGTTCAGATAGACTCTATCAATCAATCCTCTCTCGGTCCTACAAAGGGTGATCAATCGAGCTTGTTTGGGTGGTCCATAGACTGGATTCGATGAGCGACGGGGGATTTCGTCGGATCCAATGCGTGCATCATGTCAAGTATGATCAATCGAGCTTGTTGATAGACTGTAGATCTAGAGAAGGAATGTGTTGTTCTATCTAAGAGAGCAAGACGAAAAGAAGGGCGTAAGTTGCCAGGCCAACCAGCCTCACGTGGTGTTGCCAAGGCAACGCGTCACGTGACTGGCCAACACTTGTCGGTCCACAGACTGGATCCGATGGTCGAAGGGAGGATTTTATCGGATCCAATCCATGGACCATGTTGATATCGAATGGAAGGCCCCCTCCCTCTTGGGGGGCGAGGGGAGCACATAGTTCCGGAAGATGGTTGATCCGTTAAGGGTTGGGTGGTTCATAGACTGGATCCGATGGCGAAGGCCTCGGAAAATAGTTAATCCGGTCCATAAATGAGACGATACGAGCGCTCGGCAAGACGCTCACTACTAATGAGACCGAGACGAGACGAGCTAGGGTTTTGCCCGAGCTCGGCTAGTCTCGCTCAGTCTCGGCTCGTCTCGGCTCGTTGAGAAGCCTGGACGCTCCGCATGAGGGGGTGGACTCAGAGTTGTAGCTAAGAACTGTAACATGCCCAGTGGCTGATCACAGTGAACTATGTAGCTGTAAGCAGCAGAGAACCCCACTGAGCTGTCCTTTGGTGTAAGATAGAAATTGAGGGTGAAGAAGCAAACTTTCTCCGACAAGCATCCTGCAACCAGCAGGATTGATCTCAGAGTAGCCTGGGCAATAAATTTTGTAAATAACTATGAACAGGGCGTGACTTGGATCATGTAATCCTCTTTCTGTCGTATTTTCCGACGCGCAACTAAAGGCAGGTGGCGGACAATGACGGAGATCATGGTCAAATATTCTCAACCGTGCCCTGAGTTGAAAACGGGTAACCTAAGGCAATATTATTGGTCCGTAGAATAAGCCAGTACGGGTCGCACCCTGTTTAATATTATAGCTCTGTCCCGAATTTCTTCCACTGACTTCTGGTGACATCCGTCTCGAAAGTGCCTCCACGAACATTCAGGAAGTTGGACCACTTTCATTGCCTTTCCTGTTGACAACACCATGACGGCTACTGGAAGCACCGTCATACCCCCAGGGGTTGTTTTTGTGACTGGTGGAGCCCGCGGCCTGGGGAATGCTGTCGCCTGTGCGTTCGCCCGCGAGGGGTGCCGAGAGATTGTCTTAGTTGACATTCTATCTGATGAAGCAATGAAACAGGGAAAACGGGAGGTAGAACAGTGTGGAGCCAAGGTAAGCGTCGCAGGTTCGGGCTTCAAGGCTCGTTCTGCCACCCCTACTGCGGCCATAAGTAACTATGAGACAGTGCCTGTTGTTGAAATGTGATGTGACGGATGAAAACCAAGTACGAGATGCGGTTCAGCAAACAGTCGCCACGTTTGGTCGTCTGGACTACGCTATGTATGTGGAAACCGGCTATTTTTGAACAATGACGATGTTGGCCCAAAACGTAGCTAACGTGCCCTCCATGGCTAGAAATGCAGCAGGAATTCAAGGCCCTCCTCAGTACGTCGGCGACCTTGACACGACTGGTTTCGAAAAATGCCTTAAGGTCAACACGATGGGAACACTGAATTGTCTGAAGCACCAAATCCAGCAAATGGTCAAACAAGAGGCTTTGAGCTTGTATGTTCAGCCTGAAGTCCTGTGTTGGCTGTTGGAGCTGTGAACCAACTGAGATGCTAGGGGAGACAATCGCCAATCCCCACAAAGAGGCGCTATTGTGAATTTCGCATCAGTCAATTCCATGCTCGGCGGCCATAATATTAGCGCCTATGTGACGTCGAAGCATGCGATTGTTGGCATGACCAAAGCAGTGAGCTGAGATCGCCTTTTGGCAGCGCCCGTGTGGGTAGACGTAGCTAACTAGCATACAGGCTGCGATAGAATATCGGGACAAGCAAATCCGCATCAACTGCCTATCTCCGGGATATATTTGGAGTGCCTTCGCCGAACAAGCTATCAAGGCAGCCCCCGAGAATCAAAAACGGTGGGAAGAGCTTCAGAGGCGACAAGGAAGAGTTGGCCACACCCAAGAGATTGGAGATGCCACGGTCATGCTATGCAGCCCCAGGTTGAGCTTGGTGAATGCTCATAATCTCGTTTGTGATAAGTATGCTTCGCAAGCCCCCAACCCTTTCCCTCTAAGAGTGTGGCTGGCTAACGTTTATCGAACAGTGGATTTAGCCAAAACGCTGACTCTTTTTAATCTGCATCTGAAGGGTGTAGCATACATCTTGCAACGCCCGATATCGCAGAGGATTAGGGTAGATGACGCACAAGAACTGATTTTGAGATCTTTCGAAACTTGAAGACCATTGGATCATAATCGCCTATAAATCAGAATTTTGACCGAAATCAATCTATATCGCCTAGTCTACTGTGTCAAGTAATCCTCGAAGCGCTCATGGTAACGGAATTGTGTAGGACTTTGCGGCGGGTGGTATTGGTAGCATGCTTATTCCAGGTATCGTGAGATAATTTGCCATGTCACCAACTAGGCCATAGCATCGCTTCAAATGCAACGAATGCATGGAGGAGTATTCGCCGTGATTATCACTGGGACTGAGATGAAGAGTTACAGGTGTGGACCACATGCGAGGATCTGAGCACAAGGGTCCTTCCAGCTTCTTGTATCCAGGCTCCTCTTTTACCGAGAACCTCGCACAACATCTGAATTTCGCATCGACTTGGTCCCACTTTACTTTTTGCTCTCTGGAATTACATCTAGCCCTGCTAAGCTGTCAAGCCCATGACGTTTGGCGATGAAATCAGAGGCTTGGGAGCCGCTCTTCATCACAATGTAGTCGGATAGGTCCGACAGTTTGTAGAAACTGTCACGGACCAATTCTGGTGTCAAGGGAACATCGGAGCTGTGGCCAACAATGCCGCCAAAGAAATATCTCGAAAATCCCTTCCCGGCAGCGGTGATGTAATCACCCGAGACTGGGCAACTCTCGTGACACAAGTAGGCACATGTCGCGGCGGGATCCTCTGGCCGTAGATTCTCGAGAATCCAATCTTTGACGGGGCCGTTCCCCATAGCCTCCTTCAGCAGCTCCGTACCAGCGGCTTGGTCCAGTCCATTCACTTTAATTCCGTGCTGCTGTCCTTCGTAAGCCATGTTGATGGCTAAGCCAAGCGCACCAGCCTTTGCGGCGGTATATGGAATATGGCCATACATTCCAAACATGGAACTCGAGAGAACGACGACGATCCGTCCATATTTCTGTTTTGCCATATACGGCCAGCATGCCTGGGAGAGGAGACAAGGGCCGATGCAGTGGACTTCCATCTGGTCGTAGATTTCCTCCCTGGTCCAGTCTGTAAAGGCTTTCCAGCCACCGGTGCCGGCGTTATTGACCAGTATATCGATACGACCAAAACTGTCGATGGCCGTCTTGACGATGTTTTCGATACTTTCGGGTTTGCGAACGTCACCAACGCAGGCTTTCACTTTGAGTCCCTGCGCGGTCATCTTTGCTTCTGCTTCGGTAGCAGTTTTTTCATTCAGGTCGACGAGGACCACACTTGCGCCTCGTTGGGCCAGTAAGTGGGCGTGGTGATAGCCCATTCCACGACCCGCTCCCGTCACGATGGCGACACGGCCGTCGAAACGCAATTCATCAGTAGTGGTCATGGTGACACATCAGATCGTATCGAAGCGATTCCGGACTAGTACTCCTATGTATGCCACGGCCACAAACAAATAAGCAACAAATACGCGGCTCAAGTTGGAGAATGCGTTAGGGATGTAGACCCGCGTGTTCTGGGGATGACCCCGTCAGGTTTTGTAAAATATGTAGCCAAACTTTCGTCGACCAAAGGTAATGGTGTGGCAGGGATAGCATACCGAGACTACGGTTAGTTACCCCGCTTTAGCCTCTCCAGCTTCGAACTTTGCGACTCGGTTGTGGATACCGGAAACACGATGCTCCGAATCACAAATTCTGGACTGAGCACCGCGAGATATGAATTGAGCCGTTTCTACGAAGTTTGACAAATAAATATCCGTCCCAATCTCCTACCGACCCTGGCCCCAGGGGTTGTACGACGCGTATTCCACTGTGGGAAAAGGGTCGATGATCAATACGCGGTGTCTCTTTGCTGGGCCGTGACAACGAATCTTCCCTAATGGAAGCTGACGAGTCGTGGCAATACGGAGCAAGTTTTAAAGCCATCTGGGCTTGCCACCCGTGGTCTTGGATGACGCCGCCTAGAGTCGCCAATATTGACCCCGATAGTGCCATCCGAACGAAAACTGAGCACAGCGGTCTAGACCCTATCAGGGTATCTCGCGAAGCCATGGTGACCTCATATGGGCAAAGTTCGTGCCCTCGCCTGCTTTATTTCCCCGCCACCCCCCCGCAACTCCAGAACATCCCCGCCTAGTCCAGATTTCTCTCATTGTCAGTATTGAAATCTGATCTTCTTCCATATCTGCACGGGAGACAAGAATATAACCTCGGAAATTCGGTCCTCTTGCCTACTATGTTCTCCGAATCAAATGCAGAGTACTCACCCCGGCAGGGCAGCGACTGGAGGAGCAAATTCACGACGAAGCAGCTACAGCGCAAGCGACTTGTCGACCGTTTCGGCCAGAAGAGGACTCGAGAGCACAACAAACGGAACATGGCCAAACTCGAAGAAAGGATCCAGCTACTACTACAAGGCGAGCACTCCACTTTGTTTCGAAATGTGATGCAGGAGAATGCTGCGCTATGGGCGACTTTGGATCACTATGAAAACAAAATGGGCACTATACTGCTGTGCAGTGCCGACTGCCTTGGTCTCACCAACATTCCTCTGCAAGCTTCAAACACAGAGCACGCGGGTTCAGCTGCGAAAGGCGGCGAGCATTCCCAATCCCAGTCACTCCCAGCGCAACCGGACCCCACCGCAGTTGACGTGGTTTGCACACGCCTTGCTCAAGACAAAGCTCTTCCCTTTCTCAGTCTGGCCGTCTTCCACGGCCTTCCGGGTCGCCAGCAAATCCAAAATTACCTCTTAGAGCAGTCAACGGACGACATCATCGAGCACGTCAATTCATGGAAAATCGTCGCGAACCACGGTCTGGGATTCAACTTCCTCGTTGATCAGTTTGGCCTGGATAAAGCGCCAATGAACTTGTCCGCCGGTGAGGAATTCATTCGGATTGACATCATCATTATGGGTTGCTAATCGAGTCCTGATATCAGACAAAATCAAGCAGCGAGTTCTGTCAAAGACCTTCTACAAAGACACCATCAAGAAGCTGATTTCTCCAAGTCCTTCTTTCGGCGCACCTTCTCCTGACCATCAAGACAACACCTCAGTGCAAGTCTCGGAGATGGAGTGCCAGCGACGAGCGATTCTCTTGTGCGCATGCGAAATGACCCGAGGCTGGCGTCTTTTGTATCAATCCAGCGTCGCATGTCTAGCTACGTTCTGGCTCAATTATCGGCTTCTCACGGTAAGTCTGGGCACGTTATCTCGGCGCCTGAACCTTTGAAGCTGAAATTCTTCCCTGTCACAGTTTCTAACATTCCCGTGTCGGGAGAACCTACTACAGCTGCCAGCCTGGCTCTGGCCGAGTCCGGCCCAGCTATCGCGAGAGCATCCGGGCTTCATCGATTTCCTCGTCTGGTACGCTCCTAAGTCTCCCTTGTTGCATGATAGACACCGCATTTTAATTCTTGGACTTAACGTGTAGGCCGAATCTTCGCAACCATCTTGTGGACAACTGGTACATCTACAATATCAAGGTGCTTGCTATTCAACTCGCGCAGAACTTCACGCTCTTACATTGGGAATCTCTGAACCCCGACGACATGCTGATTGTCTTAGACGATCCGTTTGAATTCAGACTGAAACAGGATTTTGCGTCACATTTAAGTGATCTGAACAATTTTGGGTTGTCTCCTGACTTCTATTGCCACTTTCCTGACTTGCAACCAGTGTCCTCGGATGGTTGTACATCAGTTCAAGGCGGAGTTGATAAGAACGCCCAGCCCAGTTGCCCTGATTGGGGTTTGGGGGACCGGGAGACGAGGTCCGCAAGTCCTAAGCGACATCGTGGCTCGAAGTCCAGCAGTCATGTCGCACCTCTCAACCAGTACGCTCTTCATAATGAAAGTGACTGTGATGGCGCTCACAAAGTGTCTTCAGCCAGGCTCGGAGAGGTTGACAACTTCGAGCTCGGAGCCATCCAAGACATCGGGTTTGAGGATGCCACTCTATCTATGGATTTTTTTGACATGGCAGGCAACGGGACACCAGGGATTTGAGACCATTTTTCATGTTGAACTTACCCCCCCGACTGTGACATTTTCTAGGAGGAGTTGTCGTCTTATGCTATACCCGGAGACCTCGGGATCGACCTTCACAACAAGATCCACGATGCGAGTAGGGCTGTGAATGAGCGTTCGTGAGCTTGACCTCATGACAGAATCATGATATTTTGCTAGTCTTCAGTGTGCTGCCGGTGGTGGTGAAGGCCATATGTGCTGGAGGCGGCGGGGCCGACTTGGCACAAGCTTTGGTCAATGTTGGACCTACCTTCGAAGCACATAGTCTTTTCGAAAGAATTTTACAACGGCGAATTGGAAGTAACGGTGAACTTAATAGGCCATTCCGCAAGGATTCCGCTATGGTACCCATTCTGTGTTTGTAAAGAGAATGTACACGATTGTGAAATGAGAGAGAGACGCTATCTCGATGACTACATCCAGGAATTTGTCGCAGCCGTTGTTGGGTTGCTCCCGGCCGCAAGGCCGGCCATAGGTGTGAAGCTGCGTTAGGAATGGCGGGCTCGTATATTCCTTGAGACTCTTCGGGGGTGCACACCTTTCACCAAGGGGCTCTGCGATTGTTCGGTTCACTGCACGTCCGCTTCTCACATGGATGCATTTGAGATATACCCCAGGCAACAAACGTAACACTAGGTGTAGGAGATTTGATTGGATAGGATGAGCTTCCCCTCCATAAGAAAGCTGCTTCCCTGCAATTGCAAACAAAGAACTAGGCTAGACGGAAGTGAGCTTTCTATCCTACAGTACTTTTCCTAGCACTTTCGATGAGTATATTGTTTCCATGTCTTGCGCTCGCATTTTTTGCAGCCAAGTAAACAAGCTCATATCCTACAAGGCTCTCCTACGCTAGGATCACTATACAGGTAGCGAGTCCAAATCCACCTCGGCCTTTCGCCTTCTGAGCCTTAGTTTTACCGTGGGATTCGGTACTCTGTTCCTTGCAAATCGAATGATGGGTTCCGCCACAGGTTCTGAAAAGGTAAGATCGTACTTCATGATTGCGTGCACAAGGATAATCTTAAGTTCATTGGATGCGAAGAAGCGGCCAGGACATGAAAATGTGCCGTGTCCAAATGCAATATGATCGGTGCTGGTAGAGACGAACTGGCTGACGTTCTCAAGGCCTGGCCGCTGGCGCATCTTGAGAAAACGCCAAGGGTCGAATGTTTCCGGATCGGCGTGAACACCCGAATTCCACATGCGTTCCGAATAAATCTCCATGAGCATGCCCTTGGGAATCAGCGTCCCATCCGCTAATCTCACGTCCTTGGTTGCCAGGCGCTGCATTGAAACTGTGGCTAGTATGAGCCAAGCTGTCTAGACTAGACGGCACGGGAATGTGGGACCTACCAATATTCAAAGGGTTCATACGCTGAGTCTCTTTCAGGAAGCTGTCAAGCAGTTTTAATTTTGACAGCGAGGTCTTTTTCCATCCGTCCTGCTCAAGGACTTCAACAATCTCTTCTCGTAGTGGCTGTAAAATCTCCGGATGGATGCAAAGATTGTAGATGGCCTTGGTCAAGAGGTCCGAGGTGGTGTGGATCGCTGCTAGCGACATTGCGAGCTGGCTGTACACATGATCATACGGTCGCCCACGTGCAACCTCTTCAAGCCACTCAATCATGTCGTTATACCTCGGTGCCGGAGCCTTGACTTTTTCACATTCTGCCCGTTCCTGCTTGCGTCTTTCCAGCTCTGGTTGCATCAATTGGCGGAACTCGTAGATGGCATTTCGTACCTGCCGAAATTGAGGTAAAACCCAATGTACAAATGGGCGGAGGATTCGTGGCCACATCTTTAACGTGTCTATAGCTGTCATTGAGATGACTGTATAGTCCACCTCGAGTTTGAGTATTGTGGGATCTCGACACAATTTCGGGCCTAGAAACACACGCGACGAGACGCGTGCGATGATTTCCAGACATGTTTCCCGGCCAGGGATGTCGTGCCACTCTTCAGGTTGTTAGTCCGCCAATAGCAAGGATATCGAGAGCAGTCGTCATAAGCACAAAATCATAGACAGACTCACCAGCGTCAGATGTCCAAAGATCTTCCAATGTTAGACTTGCTTCTTCCGACAGAGGACCCGTCACCATGGCTGCCAGAGGTGTCAACGTGCGATCCATCATTCACAATCTTGTCAAGAGGGCAAATCAGACTCACGGAGCTGGCTAGTCAATTTTGCCTTCACTATGTCGGGACCAAGTCCGTCGTCTGTGGCCCCGTAGTGAAAAGGCTCGAGGCCCGGTGTGTGGGAAAGCATATCCTGCGGGCCTGATATCAGACAGAGATATAGATGTTCGGAAATTATTGCGGTACCCACCTCGCGCACATACTTGCGAAAATCAAGGTCTTTGTGACCCTTGATCTCTTGTGCAAAATCCGGGGACAAAATCAATTTTCTTCCGGAGTCTGTTTGTAGGAGGAACGACTTGGCAGTCTACACCTAATGGTGTGAGTGAGTAGGATCGTCTCATAACTGAGATCGTTCACCTTAAGTCCATCTTTTATCAATTCTTCCCCCCGCATGAAATAGTTTTGCTTGGCTCCACTCGAACTCCAGTTCCAGCAGCTGGGCTTGTTGACCACCGGGATTGAGCGTGTCTTGTACCAACGGCCGAACGAATTGAACAGGAGCAACAGGCAGCTTGCGGTTACGAAGACCGGAATGGCTGGAACTGCTGCGTCGAGTGCGGTATAAATCATGGTAGAGGTAACTCGAGTGCTTTTGAGGGTTCAGTATGAAGGACGCACGCGAACCCCAAGCATGCGCAATACTTGTATCTGGGGTGTTGCCAGTCTTTGAACAGGGCGTCGTAAGAATGCATAATTCGGATGCAAGATGTCCCAGGAACACTGATGATAGATGGCCGCAGAGAGTGGTCGTATTTCACGATTGCACAGTACCCCACTATTGATCTAAGCATATCGGGGTTACTTGCACCATGGCTCCATGGCAAGGCCGAGACGTTCCTCGTCGACTAAGGAGATTTCATTCCAAGTCACAGCACAGAAAAGGAAACAAGAGTCTTTAGCGGGGGTGCACTTTGTTCGAAACTAACTTCAGCTGGATTAATCATTCTACATAGGGCCGATAGTTAGTTTAATCTCGGCTACATCAACCAGCTCGAAGAATCTGGGCGAAGGATGGCGCGACAAGTCGAACCTCTCCCTCCTCAAATGCCATTTGACGACGTTTCGGTCCGCGTCGAGAAAAGCTCCGCCCATTTGCCACTGTCTCTCCATCTTTGCAATTCTCTCGAAAACCTCACTGGGCCTCGGCAGTAAGGCAACCTTTTGGATGCAAGTTGTGCTTCTTCGGGGGACGCAGGGGGTTTGACTTTCCCGTCCCCGGTGAAGTAGCCGGGGGTGCAGATCTGCATGGTTGATAGCCAGAGGGAGCCTTTCGCGATCTCTTTGTTCCATTCGTCTTCCGCCTCTTGAGGGGCTTCAATGACAGCTCTCTCTCCGCTGGGCGTGCAGGACAGGGCCTGCTTCACCAAGAAAGCAAGATGCTTCGCCTGGATGTCATAGACACCGGTCAAGTTGAAGGACATTCCTTGATGGGCGGCACCTTGAAAAAATAAATTGGGAAAACCATGGCACATGAATCCATGGAGGGTTCCAAACTCGGTAGGAGAATCCCACTTGTCGTCGAAGCTTCGCCCCCCTCGGCCATGAATAGGAGCCCCTGATCGAGTGGTAGGAGTTGCTGCTGGGTGGCTTTCATAGCCGGTGCCTAGGATGATCACATCGAGATCGTGATCGATTCCATTGGCGATAATCCCACGTCTTGAAAACGTCTCCACACCCTTGCCGTTTGTATCAACCAAGTGGACATGGGGAAGGTTAAACGTCTGGAGATAGTCGTCGTTGAATACAGGACGTTTGCACCAGCCAGGATACCATGGCTTCAGCTTCTCGGCAACAGCCACGTCACCAACCTCTTGGTCAACTCGGGCTCGGATCTTTGCGGTACGTTCTGCATCGAGGTCCATGAAATAGGAAACGTGTTCTTCAATCGTTTCTGGCGTCACGAAAGGAAACCTCCCCTTTCCACCAATGAAGGCGGCAAAGGCTAGACCCTCCGTCCAACCATCGACGATCAAGTCCTCATCTTCGGGCTCGTTAGTAATACGGGCATGGAAATTCTGAGCTCGAGCAGCCTGCCATCCCTTAGCCGACGCTACCCTTCTCCAATCCTCAGGAGTGGTGAGCTTCTGCGCTCTCACGCCTATAAATGAAGGGGTGCGTTGAAAGACGAATAGCTCTTTAGCATATTTTGCCACCTCCGGCACGACTTGCACAGATGTGGCACCCGTTCCTACAATGCCGACTTTTTTGCCTTTGAGTCCCAGCATCTCGGGTTCCTCTTGTGACCCACCGGTCACTGAGTAATTCCATCGCGCGGTATGGAAAATCTGGCCTCCTCGACCAAGAAAGTCGTCGATGCCCGGAATCGCGGGCATTTTGGGGGATGTAAAGGGCCCAGCCGCGACGAAGGCGAACTGGGATCGAATCCCAAGCTGAACGGGCTTATCGCCTTTGTGTAGAACTCGAGACATCTGTATATTCCACTCCCCGCGGTCGTCATCCCAATCCAACGAGGTGACCGTCGACGTGAAAAGCGCCCGTAATTTGTATTTGGCCGCGATTTGTTCGGCATTGGCGCGAATCTCCTGGCCGTACGAATAACGGTGTTTGGGCACATATCCTGTCTCTTCGAGGAGAGGTAGATAAATGTAACCTTCGACGTCACACATGAGGCCGGGGTAACGATTCCAGTACCAAGCGCCACCATAGCCACCGGCATTGTCGACCAGCAGTATGTCATCTGCACTGATACCGGCCTCGATCAAACGGACTGCAAAAAGAAGGCCATGGTGTCCCGCGCCGACAATGACTACCTTTTGCCAGCTGCCCTCGTGGACAGACGGCTCCGCTGCTCGTGCTCGCTCGTAGTCCACGAAAGGGTCCGCGGCATATTCAGAATGCTCTGTATTCTTGATTGCAACATACTGTTCAGCAGCTTCGTCAGCTCCCTTCAGGCGCTTGTTGCGTTCTTCAATGAATTTCTGCTCCAGGGTTTGCACCTCAGCTACAGATACCATTTTAGCACCGTGCTGCTGTCGCACAGGAGGAAGCGGTTGCAGATCACTGTGGGATGGACGGCGTCTCGGTGATCCCTTTTACCAGCATGAGATCAAAATGAGAAACGGCATGTTCGGATTACTCCAGGTCGCTCGCGCCTAGTCTCGAGCTCGAGAGCTACGATGAGGTCGAGTTGCATTGCCACACTTGGAAATCGTATTCTACGATCCCACGTCACGACGCGCCATTAGCATTTGTTCTTCAACGGCAGTCCATGTCGCAGCATATTGCAGGGTGACTTAGACTTACAAATAAAGGAGGCGGCTTTTAAATCAGATCGCGATTCTGCTGTGGCGTGTCACCCGTTGAATCCTAGCGATCAAAATGGTCTCCCAGCGCCGGATTCTTATTGAACGGTGGCTTTCGGGGTTTGAAAACTTCTCTCGCGACACGGTTGCTTGGAAACGTTCTGACAACTGCGCGCATATCGTGTCACCACCATCAACCGGAACTCCTTGGACCAATGAACAAACTCGAAAATTCTTTTCCCAGTGGGAGGGAGTAGTGGAGGGCTGCACGCACCACCCGCATCGTTGGATAGAAGACCCAGAGGCAAATTCCCTGGCTGTGTGGACTACCATGACCGCCCGGTTCAAAGCCCCAGGCATCGATCCTTATGTCGGGACCTACGTCTTGATCTTCGACTTCAATGAGAGTCAAACGGAAATCACAAAGTTTATCGAGTTTATTGACACGGGGACCACCCAAGAAATTGTGAAGAAGGTGAACGAAGGCAGAGCAAGGCTTGGCTGGGGGCCCTTGGAAGCCCCTTGAAGGATACTATATCTGGACTCTTACACTTCGAGTTACTATTGTACGCATCCCGTGAACAAGCTAGAGGGTGCACATTGCAACCGGGTCAAGTTGGAAAATTCATACATGAGGCTTGAGATGGCCACTACTGGGAAATGGCTGTCCGAAAGGCCTGGGGAATGAATGTGCAGGAGGACATAGGAGTGCACGCTGAAAGCATATCATGAGAGAGATTGCCTGCTACAGTATCGGTCATGTTGAGATGCTTAAATTGTGCAGTTTCGCGGACGTGAAACAATCGTCTGGCTGCCTGAATAGTCTCGACTTCTTCTCGATGGCTTAATTCTCGGACCGTGCACCATTCCTAGCTTGGTTCCCCTGCCAGTCCCAGCCAAGGTCTCTACGACTCGCAAAGTCTTGTGCCCTCTACCACACACCCCAATGCCGAGATTACCATGGACTATGCGTAATGGCCGCCAGTAGATTATTAGTTCCTGCTTGTTGGACTGAGCAGATGACAGCACCACAAGTGAAAGTCTCATGAGACCGAAGCTGAGACATTTTGGGCCCATTGCTTATTTGAGATTTCGTTTCGCATTTGGAGTGCTCTCTGGCAACGAGAGCTTGACAGCGTGTCTTGGAATCTCAAGTCAGTATGTTCATTCCCGAGCCCTTTCAAATCGATGTTCCTCAGAGCAAAATCGAAAGAGTGAAGCAGCGGCTTCTACTGACTGACTGGCCCGACGAAATACCCCTCCAGGAGCCTTGGAGTCGTGGTGCACCTTTGTCAGAGGTCCAAAAACTGGCAGATTATTGGGTTAACCAATTCGACTGGAGAGCCCAGGAGCGTCGGCTGAACAGATACCCGCAATTCACGGCGGATGTCAACATTGAGGGCTTCGGGACCTACAATGTTCATTTCCTGCATCAGAAGAGCACTGTGAAAGGGGCAATTCCTTTACTATTTTTGCATGGATGGCCTGGCTCGTTCATTGAGGTGACCAAAATGCTACCCGCTCTGGTTGAGGGTGCACGTGAATCGCCAGCCTTCCATGTCGTGGCCCCCAGTATGATCGACTACGGCTTCTCCCAGGGAAACACTAAGGTAAGCGCATTGCCGCTGCAGGCGATTCTGCATAGAGGTTCCCGGCCACCCATGTCTCGTAATGTCGCTGAGGGTGATCAAGGAAGGCTTCACCCTCGACCAACAGGCAGAGGCCTGCCATCAAGTCATGCAAGGATTAGGATATACTGAATACGGTGAGTCCTGGTTCTTCTTTACCTATGCAAGTCGATGCAATCGGACTTCTAATCTGTCATAGTCGTGCAGGGTGGTGATATCGGGTATTACCTTGGCCGCTTCATCGCTTGGAGATACCCAAAAGCATGTAAAGCAATGCACACAAACATGGCCCAGCCTCCCACCCCAGATTCTACAAAGCATGCAGATCTCCTGGCAAAGATTGAATGTGCGGGGGGCCTGAGTGAGGTTGACCAGGCCGCTTTGGCTGGTACCCAGCTCTGGGCTGCCGACGGCATGGCCTACGCTCTACTGCATACGACTCGGCCCCAAACCATCGGCTACTGTTTGGCTGATAGCCCGGTTGGCTTACTGGCTTGGATTTACGAAAAGTTGGCTGCATGGACTGACGATTATCCATGGTCTCCTGACGAGGTCCTTACGTGGGTTTGCCTGTACCAGTTTTCACGCGCTGGGCCCGCGGCTCCCCAGAGGCTCTACCTAGAAATGGCTCGCCGCAAGCCCATTCCAGCAGATCAACAAGCTTCTCACTACCTTGCTGTACCGCTGGGAGTTTCTCGATTCAAAAAGGAGATCCTCCGATTACCTCTAGCGTGGAACGAAACACTCGGGCCCATTGTGTTGCAGAAAGACTACGAATTTGGCGGCCACTTCGCCGCATGGGAATGTCCTGATATCTTGGTGTCCGATCTGCGGCAAATGTTTGCGAAGGATGGGCCTGTCCGTTTTGAGACACGCCTCCATGAGTTGCCACAGTAATGGTGTTTGGGGTAAGGGGCTCATCTAACAAGAATTCTCATTTCATATTCTCTACATCCTGAGGTTCAATTCAGACCAATACCTCGCCAAACATTTCCTGCCAATAGCAAGAGTGGCACATGCCACCGTAGAGTGCATTGAACACGTTGGGTTACCTTGGCATATGCCTCTGTCACCACTCCAATGCGATGAACCCTATTTCATGCCTGGAGAATGCACTGTATTACATGTTTCAGTCAGTCTGCCGATTGTCTCTGTATGTTATTTCTTCACCATCTGTCTCAATCATGTTTGGCGATGAATATCGAGGAGGTTCCGCAGACTTGCGGCCTTATGAGACACGCTTGCATCACAATACCATGCCGCGATCAGGGAGTGCCTCAACCAACGCGACATAAGGCTATTCCAATGCTCAGCTAATACATACGGCCAATTCATAGGCGAAAAGAAGAGAAAGAGATTCTATGATTTTGAGACTGCCCACCAAAATTTCGCATTGATCAATAGCTGAATGATTGTTAGAAAGGGTTGCAGATGTCCTGCTGACTGTGGAAGAACCCCCATGGTCACAAGCAGGGATTATGGTTGCTGGGTAGGTCTAGTCTATCCAGTATAGTTGATAGGCACCTTGGGGTCAAGCAGCATCGGCCGCTGAATATCGCACATTTTTGGGTGCAATGCTTGTTACCGGGAGGAGAAATCGTTAACGATTCGTCGCTCGGCAAATCAGGCAGTTCAGGACCATGTTTGTAAAGACCTGAACCGTTGAATAAATGTGATTACCACTCTGGCTGCCTGCAAATGAAGCCGAACTGGCCGACAACGGGCTTACGACTCAGCATGAATATTTCCGGCTCTGCAGTTCTCGTAAGATGTTTCTGTCCAACATGCCGTTCTATCCCACCTCAGAAAGGTGCCACTAGCGATGGCGGAAGGGTCATGAGACAAGGGTCGTAGAAGAAGATGTGAAAAAGGATGCTATCATGATATCGAAGCTTGAAGGCGAAGACCTAACCCACTAGACGATAGTGAAGCACAAATTTAATAGCATTTAGCTTACTGGAAATTGCGCAGTTTTACTCCAAGTCTCAATCGGACAAATGAGGCGAACCCATAAGGAGTGCTTTAGAGAGCCTTTACAAAGGCTATACTAGCTAATGAACCTGCGGCGAGCGACAAAAACCTACTGCGCCTCTATGGGAGTGTACTAGGCCGAAATAACTACCCCTCGTGCGCAATGAATTGAGACGCTCGGAAATAAACCTCGTCACATGCTCACACCGGACAGCAGAAAGAGTTTACGGACTCGGTACTCTGTTCAAGTAGGAACAGAAGCCTCCGTCCTTCATCTGTAGTAGACAGAGGGTAGGGGAAAAGGAGCCGACTCTACAAACTGCTACTTTGTATCGAGACCTCTTTGTAATACTACGCATTACCACGGGTAGTTTTGAATATGAATTTCAATCCAGCAGGGAGCTATTCCACGTCAACTGGTAATTTACCGTCTTAGTCAGAATTCTGGAGTACCTACTAACTAGCGTCACTTGAACCAAAATGGTTCCGGGGGCCAGGCATTTGCATCGGATTATACGACATCTCCTGCAATAACCTTTCTGGACGTGACGAATGTGCCGATGTCGATGTCGAGGAGATGCTGTGTAAATACATTCGTAGCATGCTAAATTAGCCACGCATACCCAAAACTTCATCCTCACATCAGGCGACAGAGATATGGGCAGCACGAACCCCGCGAAGAAGATGCGGGCGTGTAGGTTCTACAAGCGTGAGCACGTGCGCATCGATGAGATACCAATACCTGTCCCCCGGGAAGGCCAGGCCCTGATCAGAGTTGAATGGTGTGGCATTTGTGCTTCTGACCTTCATGAGTACTCACATGGTAATAATTAAAACCCAACTTACTCGCAATGCCTAGCTGGATGCCTGACATCCGAACAGGTAATCGGAACTGCCCTCCTGAGGGGAACCCTCATCCGCTTACTGGGGACCATGTCCCGGTGGTGCTGGGCCACGAGTTTTGCGGGCGAATTGAATGGGCCTCGCCAACCTCCAAACTCCACAAGGGTGAAGCTGTCATGGTCGACCCGAGACTATACTGCTCTTCTTGTGTTTCTTGCACCATGTCCGAAACCAACTCCTGTGAAAATTTTGGGTTCCTTGGGCTTTCGGGATCTGGTGGTGGCCTTTCCGAGTACGTGGCTGTGAACGAGAATCAATTGTATCCACTTGGAAATGCGCCTCTTCATTTAGCAGCTTTGTTGGAGCCTCTTGCCGTTGCCTGGCATGGAGTATCGGTGACGGGAGTGGAAGTGGCTTCTAAGGTGCCTATATTGATTGTTGGCGGAGGACCTATAGGGCTCGCCGTTGCCGCGGTCCTTCGAGCTCGTGGTGCAGAGCAAATCTTCATATCCGAGCCTGCCAAAATTCGACACAAGACAGCCGGTATCTTCGCTGACAAAGTCTTCAATCCCTTGGATGAAGATGTCGCCAGTGCCTGCCGTGAGTTGACCAGTGGAAAAGGAGTACGGATTGTGTTCGATTGTGCGGGCATTCAGTCGGGCATGGAGGATGGCATGAAAGCCCTCGGTCTTTCCGGCGTTTACATGAATTTGGCTGGTTGGTCTACGATGGTTGGTTTTCATTTCGAGATTGTGGCAATAAGAACCACCTGCTCATTTAGGGTTTTAGTGGAAGCCTCCGCAAGAGGCAATCGTTGCAAAGGAAGTTTCATTGAAAGGCTCAATGTCCTACAAAGAGAATGATTTCGCAGAAGTTGTGGAAGCATTTGTAAACGGTAAGAGCGCTCTCAGTCCAAGCTGACCATAGTATGTAATAGCTCATCGATTGTAGGGAAGTTCGACAACTTGGAGGAGATGATAACGTCGAGAATTCATTTGGAAGACGTAGAGGAACTGGGGATCCAGGAGTTATTGAAGACCAAAGACAACCAAGTGAAGGTGCTTGTTACTCCTATTACGGAGCTCTTGAATACATCGACCGTGAAGAAGTTATAGACCAATTGGGAAGAAACTTAGGTATTCTGGGTAAAGTCACAAGACGGCTAGGAATTATCTATTTCAATTGGCCGATCTCATGACAATGAGCAGGGGGCGTAGCTGAAAAGGGGTGCTTGAGCTCCGCATGCATGAGACTGTATTATTCGAAAGCACTAATTCAGTCGGACGGTACGATGCAACCTTGGCTAGCTATTCTAGCCTTCATATTACACGTAGTTCAAGCTGCATTGAACTTCAACACTGATGACTAGATCTGCCTTGACATTGAATCACTTTGAAGCATGATGGAGTTTCCACCAACATGCACCGTATTTGCTGGCAAAGTCATCTCTATCACCGGTGGTGCATCTGGAATTGGTCTCGCTATGTTCAGTTGTTGTATTCTAGAGGCGCCTCCCTTGCTATATCGGACATCAACCCCGGGGTGGCTGAGATCGTCTCGAAGGCTCTGGAAAAAGTTGAATCACGTGGCACACAGCGGTGCACGGCGAACGTCGTCGATGTTGGACGCTCGTCGGCAGTGGAAAGTTGGATCGACGAAGCAGTGAGAGAGTTCGGCAAATTGGACGGCTGCGCAAACATTACCGGAAAAGGCGAGAGATTGTGTCCCTTGGGCGAGAAAACAGACGAAGATTTCAACCAGGCCATCGATAACAACTTACGCGGCGCCTTTAACTGTCTGCGTGCTGCACTCAAACATCTCTCAAATGGTGCGAGCGTTGTCAATGTCAGGTCCAGCTCTGGCCTCAATGCAACGCCGGGATTGAGCCTATACTCCGCCGCTAAGTCAGGGATTATAGGAATGACCAAAGCAGCTGCTCAAGAGTACGGGTCCAAGGGCATCCGCATCAACGCAATTGCTCCAGGATTGGTTTTGACGCCTGGGATGCTGGCAGCTCCGGGTGATTTTATCTTGCCTAGCATTCAAAAAACACCCTTCCAGAGAGGCGCTGATCCAGCAGAGCTCGCCAAGGCTATCTCATATTTCTTGGTGACGAGTCCCCATTTCAGACCGGATCTGTCATGGTCGTTGACGGTGGATTTCTGGCTTGACCGTAAAGTTTCCGACAGGACAGTAGCTTGAGAGGTGCTGATTTGAAAGTCCTCATCGCAAGTAATTACATGGCTTCCCTCAGACCACTTCGAATCGAAAGGTTACTCTAAGATCACACCAGAGGTCTGGATGTTCGCTCGGGGCCCATTCCTGAACGGCCAGTCCTCCGCGGCTACGAGGCCAGCGGTATATTCTTAGAATGGGCTGCAAAATATACTCTAGATTCGTAGCTTCATCCAGCGCACGGATTCATTATTTACAGAAATACAAGAGTGCCAAGCTATCCAGTGAACCCCTTTTTGGAACATGTTTGGGTATTAAACTCATGCTTCTGCCCGAGCAGCGGAATGTTAAGCTTGTTCAGATTTGCTAAGTCAATTATTTTCGAATGAGGACCAATATGGATTACAGGTAACGGACTCTAAACGAGCCTCACGGGCCCTCTATAAATCTAGATTACTAGCTTTCTTAACACAAATAGCCGCCATCAACGACGACCACGGAGCCCGTCTGAAAGCTGGACTCTTCGCTGAGTAAGTATGCAATCGACGATGCTAGCTCCATCGGTTCTCCAGCGCGCCGTAACGGTGTCTTCTCGGTATGTGGCTTGAGGAATTCTGGCCCCAGACACAATAGGGGCGGGGAAAGGGTGAAACCAGGAGAGAGGACATTGATCCTAATTCCTAGGTGCCCGACTTCGCGTGCGGCTGTTTTTGAGAGATTGTTCAGCGCGGCTTTGGCAGCAGAATATAGAGCCAGCCCTGGGATCCCGGTAATGGCTGCACCAGAGCTGACATTGACAATGCTTGAGCCAGATCCCATGTGGGGGATCTGTGCACGCATGCAGTTAAACACGCCACGCAAATTGATATCAACCATGGTATCGAACTCGTCATCCGTCTTGGATGTCAATGGTGCAAACTGCTCTCCTTCTCCGCTGCCAGCCACGTTGGCGGCGCCGTTGAGCTGACCAAAATGCGATACAGTCTCTCTCACCCAAGCCTTGACATCCTCAGCCCGACTGACGTCCACCGTCGTCGCAATGAATTCTTGGCCCGGAGCAGGTTGCATTTGCGAGAGGACCTGAACCAGGCCTTGTAGCTTTTGACCGTTCCTGGAACTGATCGCAAGAGAGGCGCCCCGTGTATATAGTAGCTTTGCCAGCTCGTAGCCAATTCCTGAGCTGGCTCCGGTGACGGTGATAACTTTGCCTTTGAATGTGTCCTTCATCGCTGCTACGGACGGGGCCAAAGGGACACACTAGTGTCTGTGGTGAACCCTTATATACTGAAGACTCTGACTTGACGGTCATGAGGATCGTCTTCTGCGATGCTCATGGCGCGGTGCTGTTTTTGTTCCATAGGAATCGCGTGCAGTCCAAGAGACCCGTGAAATTTGCCTGCAAACACACGCCCCATGGTTGGACGGGCGAAATTCTAGCACAGGGGACGACCCTACGAACGCACCAGCTAACTACTAAACCGTAAGCAGTGTTCGATACCTAGTCAAGCCACGGCACGACTCGTAGGAAAAGGGGGGGTTTGGGTCCCGGCGATGTTCTCGGCCCCATAGTGCGCATAAGTCCTATCGTGGATAAGCTGCTTGATATCGTAGGATGCAAAGACCTACGGTCATCAGTAGTTTCTAAGACTTGAGTGCGAAGCAAAGTTCCCCTGCAGCCTTGTCCCCCGAAGGCGGCGATTGGATCATCATAAATTTAACATCTGCCGATAGGTGGTAGAGCATTCACTGCTCCGTCGAAAGATTCGACGGTTGCATTTAGTAAGCCCACCCCACTTGGCCTCATATGCTCAAAATGCCCGAGTCCATTACAAACTACCTATATCATCTACCTTCGCACACCTGTAATGCTTTGGTTAACAGCAGCATCGATCAAGCTTCTGACGCATCAGCTTGACATCCCTACTCGATATCCTACATAATGGCAAATAACAATAAAAAGCTTCTGCGCTTCGACGGCCGCACCGCAATCGTGACTGGTGCTGGCGCTGGTTGCGGGCGCGAGTACGCGCTTCTCCTAGCCAAGCGTGGAGCAAAGGTCGTCATCAACGACATATCACAGCAAAGTGCCCAACACACTGCGGATCTCATATCTAAGGCAGGAGGAGTGTCCACGATTTGCATCGCCAGCGTCGCCGAGTTAGGGACTGCGAAGAAGTTGGTAGATCTCACGATCAAAGAATATGGAAGGATTGACATCATCATTAATAATGCAGGCAATTTCCTGACTACGCCCTTTGAGTCATATACCGAGGATCAATTCCGGCTAGTGATGGCCTCTCACTTCGAAGGCGCGTGGTTGTTAACCCAAAAGGCATGGCCACATATGCAAAAACAAGGCTATGGGCGCATTCTCAATGTCTCGTCCTCGTCCATTGTGGGTCTGGACAACATGGCCGCATATGCCGCTGCAAAAGGCGCCGTGCTCGGCTTTTCTAACGCGCTTGCGGTGGAAGGGAAGCAATACGGCATCCAGGTGAACGCTTTGGCGCCTGGAGCATTCACGCCCATGCTCCAAGGGACACTCACAGATCTCGAGCTACAAAAGACACTAAAAGCCTTGATGCCTGCATGGGCCGTCGCACCAGTGGCGGCATGGCTGGTGCACGAAGATTGTGGGCGAACGGGCGATTTCGTCATGGCTACTGGGGCCAGCTTTTGCCAGGTCTTCCTTGGAGAAACTTTGGGTGTATCTTCCGAGCAAGATATATACACACCCGAGTTCGTAAGAGATTTCTATGCCGAGTCAGAAGATCGGACTGGTTTCAAAGTTTCAAAGAACATCATGGAACAATCTGCTTCTGCCAATGCGCGTGCAAGGGGGGAACTCAAGCCGTTCAAAACGTTAAAAGACAGGTCTTGACAGAATCACAAATGGCCTGGATATGTATCCCTAGGATATAGAGTAGATCGCTTGGTCTCCCTGTAGTCTGCAATGAATAGATTTATTTTTATAATCTCTACAGTCTCTACACAATGTTCACACCACTTCAAGTATCTCTAAGCAAACTTATGAATGATCCGTGGACAGCTTATTTATCTCAGCTCTGAATTGTTGGCTTACGTCAAGCCCCTAAATGGACGACGACGAACGTTGTTGAGGAGCCTAAACCTTGTCTTCTAGAAATAGGAGCAGAAACCCAATTCTGCTTTCGTGACTCTGCGAGTGAACTCAAGGGAGTGGATGCAGAGATGCATTTACTCGAGCCCTATTAATGTTTGGTCACCCTCGACGAAGCGTGGGATGATTTTCAGATGCTCGATCCACCACAACCGTCCGTCTTCCCTGGCCACATGCTGTATCTTGCTCGATGGAGACTCTGAAGTTACTGAGGTTATGCATTATATCCATGTGTGCCATCGAAGAAACTAACTGTCTCGAAAGTGTGGTAGAGTCTGAATGCGTGTCTTGAAGAGTGAAGCCAGCTTTGCGGTATTCTGACATATCCATTTCAATCCGATCTTGCCATGGCCGACTCCAGAAGCATGCTGTCTTTATTGTCAATCCCAAAACTCCATCGCAGGCAAGCATCGATGACTCCATCACGGTCAGAAAGTTCTTTGGTAAACGAGGCGTCCATGATCTTGTTTGCAGTTACAAGCTCAGTCGAACCGTTTCAGGCAGCCGGTCTGACGATGAATCCATGCCAACTTAAGGAGACATGAAGGGTAACAGACCCACCGAAGAAGGTAAAATAGGATCAAACACGACTCATAGCATCATAAGGCTCGCCTCTGCACTTTTGGGGACATCGATACAGCCGAGACTTTATTGTCGTCTACGACTCGGTAACCCGGACTTGACCTATAGGTGGGTTCTGAACACGATATCTCCTCATTTATTCGACATTGCCTGCGGCAGAGCCAACTCGAAGTCCGGGCATCTGGGTCTTTATGCCCTATAAGATGGAGCGGAGTAATAGGACCAATGTTCTACTAGAGTGACTTAAAACAAATAGAGCGTCTTCATGGTATGGTCTATCTCCAGAGGGAATAGAATCATAGATGATCCCCTCACGCCACGTCAGAGCTCCATCCTGCGCTACCATATCATCCACTTCGTGCTCTATTGAAACGTTTGAGCCTTGACTTCCGCCGATGGATCCGACAGGGGAGCCAACCCCTTTTTTTTCCTGCCCTCTTCAATCTTACGCAAAATATTTGGTGTGTTTGCGTAGTCCGCAACCTCCATGAACCTCACAATGGCATCTTGGGTCTCATTGAAATGGAAAATCATGACATAAGTGCCCTTGTAGTCGCTGATTTCCAGTTCGGGGTAGAATGTAAAGGTGCATGTGTAAAGGATGGCCGCCTTGTTGTTCTGATCGTCTTCGATGTAATCGTGAACATCGAATGTGGCCCCCTTAGCAATATCTTCCCACTGAGCCTCGAACGCTCGGAGAGTGTCTTGATCCCAAGAAGGAATGAACTCAGGAGAGCGTGGGAGTTCAAGCCGGCACTCGGGCGCCCAATAACGAGGAACAGAGTCGCGGGTGTATGGCGTAAAGCCCTCGAACCATTTTTCGATCAGTGCCCGACGCTTCGAAACCATTTTGGCGAGGATCAGGTGGCTGGGGTGCCTTATTTCGCTAGTCAAAGCTTTCTTGATCTTTGGGGAGACAACTTTGGCCTTGACCGTCAAATTTGTTACCTATGACAGGGCTATCTCTCAGCAAAGCTCACTACCAAGAAGAGAAACTCGTGGTTTTATAATGCGCGGCGCCGAGATCTCTAAACAATTGCCCCCGCGAATCGTAGGCCAATGGTACCTGGCCAGTGCGGACGACGTACAATTCGGATATCACGATTTTTTGCGCTAGCAGTTCCGCGTCGCAATTTTCGACTCTCGATGCCTGGCCTCGATCGGTCTCCGCTTCCCCATCTAGTACACTAGTTCCCCACAAATCGAACGAACCAAAACTCAGCCTCGGCAACCTGGGGTTACTTATGGCCAGCGCTTCCCCCGTGTTTCTCGCTGCATTCTACCTGCGTCGACCTGCCCGCCATTTTGAGATCCGACTTGAAGAACCTCATCCATTGTTTGTTTTCAACTCAACATGGCCGACGCTGAGAGACTCGCGGTCGCTGCCGCCCCTGGCCGCACTAATCGTGAAATGGCGGCTATGGCTGATCGGTCTTCAAAAGTTGACATGAGCTACATTCGTAGCTGGCACTTTGCGGGAACTTATGCAGGCATCGTGCTCCAGGTCGGAGCTTTGTCCATCGCATTCCTCTGGCCAATGGCGGTGATCAGCTATATCAATCAGGACATAGGTATGCTCTGCGGTGCGGGATATAGTGAATCTTAACTGAACCATTTAGGACCAACTCCAAACTACACGAATGTACCTGTTGTTTATACGGCGCTTAACAGCGTTGGGCTCCTAGTCTGTGGACGACTTTCCGACATATATGGTAAGTCGTAAGTCTCCAAAAGAAGGGTCGTTAACTGACATCTCCACCAGGCCGCCGTTACTTTTTCCTAGGGATGCAGCTCTCGGGGATTATTGGTTCAATGTATGAATTTATCACCTTGATTGTGCTCTCGTGTTATGGTGGCTAATTCGAGGCTCATAGCATCGCTGCGACGGCCAAGACGATCACAACGTTGATCGTTTCCTCACTCTTCATTGGCATCGCGTCTACTCTGTCCGTGGCGTATATGATATTTATGGGAGAGATAGTTCCCGTCAGACATCGGGGCTTCTGGTCTGCTTCGATTTTGGCCTGGATCTGTCCTATCCAGTACTTTGCGCCCACCCTTGGTACGACTTGTCCGACTCTGTCAATAACCGCCTGGGACTGACTTGGTTATAGCTACTCTGTGCGTTTTGCATCAATCGTGGCGGTGGATCTACTACATCGCTATTATCCTGCTCGGATGTTCTTTTGTTCTCATTTTTGTCTCGTACCATCCCCCGTCCTTTGGGCAGCTGCATCAAGAGTTCTCCAAAAGGGACCTTGTCAAGTCGCTTGACATTGGTGGCATTTTTCTCTGGGCGGTCGGCGCCGTACTCTTCATCCTCGGAATGAGCTGGGGCGGTGGCCTTTACCGCTGGGATTCAGCCCCCGTGATATCTTGCATAGTCATCGGGGCGGTGTCCTTTATCTCGTTCTTTGTCTGGGGTGAGTTTTACTACCTCGATAGCGACTAGAGTCCCCCTACTGACGACAAAATCTAGAGGCCAATTTCCCGCTTAAGGCTCCTCTGGTGAACTGGTCTTTCTTTGTATCGACGCCGCGGAAATATCTGTTCCCTTTTGCCGTCAGCACCATTGCCGGGATGTTCTACTATGGCATCAGTCTCATTTGGCCTATTCGTAAGTCGGTTCAGAACTGCTCCGCTCACGTCGTTGTCTAACAGATTCCTGTTTTTGAACCAGTCGTGCAAGCCGTCTACACTTCAGACCCAATACAGGGCAGCTGGTACTCAACAGCTGTCTACACTTCTATCTTCGCGGGTGCGACGAGCGGAGGTATCTTCTTCCACCTCGGAGATCATCATCGCCTCAAATGTATCGTGGCTAATGCCTTCATGGTGATTTTCACCGCGGCGGCTTGCACTCTCAATCGACATCATCAAACCACCAGCATTGTCTGCATCTGTCTGGCGTCCTATGCCACCGGTGTGCTCGAAACAATGATGAACATCTGGATGACTGCCGCCCGGAGCGTCGAGAACATCGGCCTCTCGTTAGGCCTTTTGGGTGCCTTCCGATCCCTGGCAGGGGCACTTGCGCAGGCCATCTACGTCACCGTGCTGAACAATAAGTCAACAGTTCTCATTCCGCAGTATGTCACTGCCGCAGCGCTTAAGGCCGGCCTCCCCGAATCGTCGCTGGGTGCTTTGTTTGCCGCAATCTCTGCCGGCACCGCCGAAGCATTTGCAAATGTACCGGGGATTACACCAGCTATCCAGTTGGACGTGATCAATGCGCTTAAGGATGCCTACCAGAAATCTGGTAGCTATGTCTATATCGTTGCGACGGCATTTGCAGGCTTGGGTTTGATATTGTGTTTCTGCATGGCTAAAGATCTCAGCGAAGACCTCACCTCCCACATTGGAAAGTCCTTGGACAATAAGACGGCACAACAGGATCACCCTAGCGGCGATAAAGTCTCTAGCAATGAGGGAGACCTTGAAAAAGACGGGAATTATAGGGCGGCAGCCGCTGTCGAAATTACACACTGCGAGGACCTTAATACCGACGCTGTCCAACGAGTGTGAGTAGATTAATGTGCGGTTTTTTTATTGTCGGTTAGGACAGATTGGATCGATATAGTGAAAGGTTCATTCTATACGGAATATATATTCTTTTATCTTAATGAGCACTTAGTAAGTTTCTAGATAGAAGGAGCACTAGCGACATATTGTTATGAACCGGTCACGGGCGAGGTCGCCAGGACAGACGCTCCACGTTCTAAGAAAGGACAACAGGAAGGATAGCCGGTAGGCCTTGACATGGGCCGGGTCGGGCTGGGTTTTCACCCCCCTTGGCCCGCCCGAACGGGTTTTCGGGTCAACCAAGGCCTGACCCAAACCCAACCCAGAAACCCGTTCATTTGGGCCGGGTTGGGTCGGGTCAACCCAAAGTATAACTATTTATAGACTTTTTCCTTGTAGAGTAAGTAGATGCGAAGAGCCCTACGTATAATTAGCTAAGCACAGTAACATACGGTATTAACCAAGCAATTTTCAAAATCATTGAATTGAAGGGAATGCTCATAAAGCAATAATCATTGTAATAGTTAACTTAGTTGGAATAATATATACTACGAGAAAGTCTTTGGCATAGTTCATTAAGTCCGAGCTCTTGCAATAGTCATAGTTATTGTAACAGTTACTTGTATTGGATTACGCGCATTATGTCATCCTGTATTTAATTAAACTTTGGGCGACCCAACGGGTTTTGGGTCGAAAGAATAATAGCCCAAAACCCGCCCCAAAGCCCAACCCGACCCAAAACCCGCCGGGTTAACCCGGCCCATGTCAAGGCCTATTGGAGACTTTTGAGCTGATACTGTATACACCCTTAACGAACGAGTCTCGATATCGATATGCTTCACTAATTAAATTTAACGAACGCTATAAGCCATTTAATCCCATTTATAAGCTCTATGTCTCGAGAACGAGGAAGACAGGCTTTAATATCGAATCTACTTAGTACATTCGAGATATTGAGTAAATGGTAGTCTATCGTTTATAGTCGACTTACTTATTTATAACATCCACCTTCTGGTGTGCAACTTCATTAGTTGGCGACAGCGCCAGCGTATATAGATATTTAGATAAACTCTATTCCACACTCTTAGAAAGAGCCCAGTGCGCTCAGTTTGACACGAGATAATAGCGTTAATGTACGTCGTGTAGATAAATCAGCTCTTTCCCACCCTTCTTAAAAGAGCTAGAGCATTTATTTAAATCTAAGTTATACAAGCCAACACACGCGACTTCACCACGACAAAAATAATCAACACCAAAGCTCCCCTCCTCTAGTCCATCACTGACGAACTAATAAATGGGGCGCCACAACCAATGAAAGCTTAAGCTAGACAAGTTCACCGACAGGAAGGTTTGAATCAGTGACCTCCCTCGATATCACTCAGTTTAACATCAACAATCACTGGCTGGAGCATTACGTTTACCCATCTAGGGCACCTAGAAATCTAGGCCGGACAACCCTCTTGCCTTACCTATGATCGAACACTAGTAAGGTCCCTCAATTCTATCGGTTCGACTGAAACTTAGTGTACCCACGAAGTTTCGTCCTTGATAGGTCAACCACGATTTGGTGTCAATTTTGAAGCAGTTTTTGGCAGAATAAATTATAAACCTTAATTTTTGGTTTTTTTTTTTTTTTTTTAAAAATTAAATCCATCTGGTTGCGGCTTGGCGTTGTGCGACGACGCCAAGACCGCCGTGCTAGTTGATCACGTACTCCGTAATCACGTAGAAATTCCTACCGCGCCGCCATCGGATCCAGTCTGTGGGCCGTGTGCTCGAGGGGGCACTCTACTCGATATTGACATGATCCACGTATCGGATTCAGTCCGTGAACCAGTCAACCTACAACGAATCAAATATTTTCCGCGCCACCACTATCGGACTATCCGAACCTCCGCCGTCAAATCAACTATTTTTCCGACATGCCATTATCGAATTAAATATTTTCCGGAATCGTCGCCATCGGATCCAATCCGTAGACCATGTGCCTCCCGGGAGGCTCCCACTCGTGATTCATGGATTGGATCTGATGGATCGTGGTATTTCATCGGATCCAATCTGTGTGAACCACCTAGACAGGCTCTCCTTATCACACTCGACATACTTCGTAACCGAGCGTGAATAGATAAGCCTCGACGTTGATATGATCCATATATTGGATCCGATGGCGGCGTCTTTCGTCGGATCTAGTCTGTGAACCATCTAGGCAGCCTTCACTAATCACACTTGAGATGCTTCGTAACCGAGCGTGAATGATAAGCCTCAATTCCACATGGTCCGTGAATTAGATTCGATGACTATGATCTTTCATCGAATCCGATCCATGAACTATATAACCGGGTGTTGAACTGTGAGACAATATGGGGCAACGATTTCAGCGTGGCAATGGATGTTTAGCTGGACAAGGGTTTCGTCTACGAGCTGAACACGGAGACACCGAAAGATGGCGACAATCTTTGACTATATCAACATGCGAGGCAGGACCTCAACTTGATAGAGAACAGAGCACTCCTTCAACTCAAGTTGTACCACAAGTTTGACACCGGGCGGCACCTTACTCAATAAATATCCGTCTCTTCGATATCGACATGATTCATGTATCGGACATGATGAAAGACCACCACCATCGGATCCAATCCGTGGACCTCCCAGACAAGCCCTACTGATTACACTCGACATAGTTCATGAATCTAATGCGATGAAACACCACCGCCGTCAGATTTAATCCGTGAACCATGTGACTCCGAGGGCAATCCCACTCGACATCGATATAATTCATGGATCGGATCTAGTCTGTAATTTACCTAGACGGGTTATAATGTCGAATCCGGTTCATGAGCCACCTTCATAGAACCTACGTTCTTCTTGTCCTCTTTAATATAAACTTCTCGAATTGAAATAGTAGCAGAGACAAGATTTGATGGGAATGATTTCCTGACGACTTTATGATACTGAAACTTCTATTGAACCTAATATAGTCGATGTAGAGCTCGCTTTCGAAAACGTTATTCCGATGACACCACATAAGGCATATACTTACCGTCCCATTATTTGGAGGCCAGTTGCCAACCGTTACTGGGGTGATACTTGATATACGACATCGATAATGGATTAGAAAGAGGAGTGTGAGATGAGAATTGATTGTACTATGCATGTAGTCCGGAATAATAACTCGGCCACCACACAAAATCTTTGGCATCTTTATCTTTCCGCATAAATCCGGTATTTTAAGGATATGAAATCATTCAGTGATTTCGAATGAATAACTTTTTGAGCTCTTATCGCCACATTCGAGCACGAGCTTACCTCGAACCGCCGTAACGGCATTCGATATAGCTTGTCATCTCGTCCTTCTATTCCCACAATCATGAAAACAAAATATCAATGCTCTTCTCCGCGAGTCGATGGCTATACGCGAGCTGAGGCGGCTGAAATCCTTTAAGGGATGACGAAATTGACCACGAAAGCGATATCAGTGACCTTCCGGCCATTCCTGCATCCTCACTTCTCCCATCTGCTGCGATGAACTTGGCCAATAGCGTCCAGCATCCGCCAGCGCGCCCCAGATCGCTTTGCTTTAGATCGTGTTATGCGTCCATTTCTTTAGTCTTCTCCGACTTCTTCGGCTTTCCCCTCTCCCTCTTTATCGTCTCCTTTCTCTTCTTTGGCTTCCTCTACTTTTTCTTGGTACTTAATCCAGATATCCGTGTTAACCTCCGAGAAAGGAATACAACGCTCTTGATGTCTAGGCCACGGTGAATAGGCCGGGTGTTCTTTGATGTCGCGCTTATCTGGCGTGATCCAGAGGAATTCGAGTTTAATATCAAACGTCAATAGTTGTTGCTCGGCCCACTGGCTGTATTCATTCAAGAATCTCTGATGTGACTTCGAGTGATTTTTGGCCACTGTGATCTGGAGGGGGAAGAGGAATAATTCCGTCTTTTTCCTTTTAGCGGTTCTTTTGGGGTTCTTGACGAAGCCAATCATTCCATCTATCGTCTCGTAATTGATCTGTCGAGGGCGATAAAGTACCGGCTTATCGCGGATATCGAACCGAATATCGCGTTGACTCGTAAAGAAGCGGAAGTTTATACCTTCGTTACCCGCTCCGCAAGCCCTCAAACCTTGTGACCGAATGGATGCAAGGACGGCGTATTCCACCATAAACCCAACGACAGATCGATTGTCAATAAAATCGCTCAATGAAGCCAGAAAGTTGATCTTGATAAACTTAGTATCCAACTCGAGAAGCTGATTTGCTACAGCGTCGCGAACTATGCCGCAGACATATCCTCCAATGTAGTCGTGGCCTTGGTAACGCTGGTAAAAGTATCGATGGTCGATCAGTTCGATGTGCTCCGTCCATCCCAATGGCACAGGCTTGTTATGAATGCAAGCCTTCACGTAGTCGCAATACCTGAAAAGTCAGAAATGTTCTAAGCATCAAATTAGTCGAACATACCACTCCCAAGCATACTTCGTAGTAGTGGACTTGATTCGCTGCGCAAACGCCATAGATTCGTTAGAGATTTCGATCAATTTAGGGGCCGTTAAATCAAACTTCCTATTCACTATGCATTGGTTTAAGAGCAATGGGATGCGGCCCGTAACGTCTTCAACCTTATTCCGGGAATACTCTCCCAATTTAATATCTTTATGCTGCTTCCACCACTGCTCCATTTCCGCCTAACAAAGTTAGAAACCTCGTTATGACACAAATTTGACACCACTTACCTCACTGAAACCGCCATAGACGTGTACCACATGGCACGAAGTCTGATGTTCGAACACCTCGAAGTTCGTCGTACAATTGGCAGAGAAACTGAGAACGGCTTTATTGGAAAAAGCGAAACGGATCACCCAGTTATATAACGTTAGGGCCATCTTCCTATTTGGAATGCCATCACTTATTAAAGCATCCATCTGATCAACGACAAATATGACGTTTTCTTGATACTCGAAGAATTCCTCGATCTGGACTTTAGTGCGTAGAGCTATAATCTTCTTCTGGGTGGTGAAATCACTGGCCCAGGCGAATAGCATTGCCTTTTTGACGTAGGAAACAGGGTCATCGAGCAGGCATCGGCAATCCGGTAGATAGACGACTCGTTCATCTTGAGCAGCAAAGTAGCAGACGAGGGCGGTTAGAAGGTGAGACTTCCCAAAGCCCTGGGTTCCATAGAGCCAGCATCTATCGTAAACGTCACCCTCTCGCACTTCCTTCACTTGGCGAAGAAAGTCTTTGAACATCGTTCTTCCCATATACAGCCACTTTTCTTTAGCTATATCGGGCTTTTTAAATCGTTCTGGCATAGTGCCGATAAATGGAAAGTCGAGTATGTGATTTAATGCGGGGTCGGAAAGTTTGTCGACGGCTCCAGAAAGAGAATCGACGGAATTGGAATGCCGATCAAGAGTGCCGTTCATTTGTGTTATCATATCCTTGATGGCCTGTCTTCGCTTACTCGCTGCGATGGCTATTCGTGTCAGCCTATCTTCATGTTGACGTCTTTTTGACGGAATGGGCGACTCTTCAGGTGAATCTGTTTCATCCTCTGTAACGACATTAGTTAGCTGTCGTATAGTACATTAAAGGTGTAATTACCTCTCCTCTTTTGGCCGGCTGTTTGGTTCGGTTGATCTCCTTGATACTGTTAACTTATGTTTGAGTTGTATCCACAGTTTAATCTTACTCTGTTTGCTGACTTTTCTAGCAAGAGATGCAAGAGCCCAATAGACTCCAAGAGGTAGACGAGTTTCTCTAAAGAAGCCTAGATCCTCAGCATAATCCAAGAAGGTAGATCCACTGATTTGTGCCGCTTTGAACGTCAAAACGTCCTCGTCATCGCAGAAAATGTTCGGCTGTGTATCCTTAATCCATTCGAGCAATTGCTCATCGTCCCAACTTTCCATCTCTTGAGTTGCATTCTGGCCTTGCCCAGCTTCCTGATTAGAAGCGTTCATTATGATCGACGTGAAGGAGGGTCAAATGAGGGAGACGGGATAATATGACGACTCGCACGTAGGTTGTGGAGAGTTTAAACTCGCCCAAGATAAGCGCACACGAACTGCCGTGGGATAAGGGGTCGCGAACTTGGAGACAGGGTCTTCGATCGGATTATGAGGGCAGAGGAAGCAACAAGTGTAGCATGCACGGTAGAGAACTTGCCGGAGGTAACGAGGATGATGAGAAGATGGAGTGGTTATTTAAGTAGAAAGGTTGAGAGTGTAAGTTGCCTTGAGTGTTACTGCGGGATTTGAGTTCAGTTGAGTTGATTTCATACACCCTGTGCGGGCCAGTGCTGTACACTCGCGAGTGCCACTCGTGAGTGGCGACGGTCAGCAATCACAAGTGACACTCGCGAGTGACTTAGTAAGCCAATAAACAGTGGTGTAGAAATCTGATTTGTCCAACACGGATAGGCTAACCCCATCGGATCCAACCCATGGCCCACCTAGGAATGGGTAGAATTCCGCCTTTGTCTGCTAGACCCCCTGATCGGATCTAGTCTATGGATCACATTGGGACGATGTTAATCCGTTGACATTATCCAAACTGTACTCATGCCTGTGCTGTAGCCTGCGGCTGCCTACGGCAGCCTAGAGGAGTAACTGTATATTTAAAGTCGTTCATTATCCTTAGATAGCCAGATAGGCAAGCCTCCATAGCCCAATGCGCATGCATTCCTGCATCCGTTCTCTCAACATAATCACGGTGTCCCGTGACACGTACGATATCCCCCATCGAATCCAGTCCATGGACCATATTGTTACGTGTGTCACACCCGAAGTGGACGTCACGTGGGGTTGAGGTCAGGGACTTGGGTATAAGGCACGGAGCAAGATACAGAGCGTGTCGATGTATCTAATGGTGGGGGTGTGATAATGAACGAAGTTGACTACGTAGAACCCCGAGGGTGGTGAGGCCACGTCTATATAGACAATCCCATTACCCAAAGGGGTAATGATTGCGTAACACCCAATATCACGCAACGAATTCCCAGCCACCGCAGAAGTGGCAGGAAGGTGGCAGGAAAGGGACTGGACGTCGAAAATGGACAAAGAAGCGAACGGATCGAAAGGTATAAGAAGAGCCTTCGAATCCGTAGATAGAGAGACAGGTTTCAGTACATTACTATTCCACACCCTACCTTGTGCACTCGCAACGATTGATGATCCTTCTCTCTACACCCCTCGTAACAGATCGATACCCTTCGTCGATATCGTTGTTACAGACAGAGCATCAAGGGTACAATATTTGGCCAGGCCCTGGTTCTGAATCACCACGTGCAATCTAAGCACAGGAGTCGGAAAGGAGGCCCCTCGCAGGCCGCTTTAAAACAGTTTTGTTCTGCTTGCTTTATAACTCTCGTGCCTACTCTTAGTAATATTTCTGAACACTTTATCCGCCTCACCTGGCAAATAATCATATCATAATAACCGAAATGTTGTCTCTGGAGACTCTTGTCTTCCAAGAGCTTCCAAAGACGGGCCACGCTCGCAGCATCACTGGTCTCTCTTGACCTGACCCAAGCAAGACTGAGCTTCGTTGGGCATTTTTTACACATACCTTGCCAATTTTTTTGAAGCTGCGTTAGCTGCGTCGCCAGCTCGCGGAAAGCATCTCTTTTCGACCTTCAATTGGAGTGCGTTTCCGGATTTACTGTGGGAGGTGTAGAGGACGTGTCGACAATAGGTCAAGAGCAGTTTGCTAGATTCTTATGTTGGCCCGCTGCCGAGAATCGCAGTGTGAGGGCAAACAGGCTCGCTCGGCGTGAAGGCGCTGTCGAGTCACCGTTTGCACGGTCATGTTTCCAGCGAGCGTGATGCTCAGTCGACATCGTGATCGGTCCCAGATACGGCTACCGCCGGGCATCGCTGGGTTGGAGGACTTCCACTCTACTCGACTAATGAGTGGTCATGTCGGCTCTGGATTCGCTGCTAATTCACTTGCATCCGACTGAAGATGTCGGAGCCGATGGAATTCCATCGATTGACGTGACCTTCAGCCACCAGGTACATCCCAGTCACCTCCAAACAGAGATAATCAGACACAGCAAAAGGCGAAGCCAGTTCCTTGCAGTTTCCCGAACGATGAATGTCAAGACCCCTTTATCCTCTGTGAACATCTCCTCCTTCGCAGCCAGGCGCAGATGCGAGCATCTAACTTACGAAAGGTAGCGGCCAGTGGCACTGCGGCGCTAGAGCAGTTTGGCGTTAGCCAAAAGCGGCCACTAGCGCAGCTTGGGAAGGTCACGGGACGACCACAAGCGGAATAGCGGCGTCTGCCAACTGATTGGGCTTGTATGTAATCCGCTCCGGCAAACTTGGAATCGACCACGTCCGCGATGGGCCAGCCAGCAGCATCTTCTCAAGACCTTTTCCCTGCGGGCTTGCCGCCACGATTTTCGGCAAAAATTCATGTTATCAATGACAGGATAGGATAAAAGGGGTCTCATCCGGAAATCTCGTGGGAGAGTTTGGACCACCAACAAAGGAATTGCAACGCCCAGGGCGAAGATGCGCCTTAACAAGATGGCCTCACAATTCAAGTCTGCGTCGACCTCAACGGCCGGGAGAAATCGATCGATAATGCTTCATATACCAATCCTACCCCTACCATTGGGATAGTATTAAGTACTCGACGCAGCTCTTGTCTACTTCTATCATTGTCACGCACTTGCCTCGTTTATCAGTAAACAATAAGTCCTGGCGACTCTCCCAAGTATCAGGTTCTTAACACTAGCTGCTTAAGTTGTCCGGGCTAGGCTGGTAGTTTCTGGGTAGCAAACGCTGCGGATCTCTTCGGTCCACTTGATGTATGACCATGAAAGAGTCACTTGTGCCTCGGTCGGTCTTATGCGTCTGCCAAATCAACTGCAAAGGTTTTGAGACAAGTTGCATCATAGACACTGGGAAATGCAACATTCGTACCGGTCTTGTTGTCGTACCCGATTCTAATTAGGGTGGGACCAGAAGGAGAGCATTGAGGCCATCCGTCCTGATACGTTGCAAGAGCATTAACAGGATCTTTAGCGAAAGCAGCCCACGCCCCATGAATGTAAGACACAATCGCATTCTCGGCATCTGTATTAGGGGGAATGTCAGGCCCAGTAGGCAAGGTGCCGTAGATGAATGGCATTTCCGATCCATGGTACGCGACGCTGTCAGGGTTGGTGTACAGACGAGTGTTTGGAAAGTTGTCAAATCACCGATATTGCTAGGTAGGTAGATCGTGAAGCACGCTCGCGTTGGCTCGAGTTCCGGTAGGATAGGCAAAGCTCCCGTTACTGAATGATTCCCAGTAAGTTCCATTATGTGTAATATTATCGAGGGCGCCAAGAGTGACGAAAACCCCGGCCTCAAAATCATTGTTACCGGTCAAGATCGGCAGCTGAGCGAATTGACCGGTCCGGGAAAGCGTTGGATAGTCCGAAAAAGCTGTCTTATTGTCGGCAGTCGGACCAAAGCTGTTGGAACCCATTGCGGCCAATAAATCTCCAATCTCCTGACTTTGCACGCAGGAAAGAATCGCCGGCTCGGTCGAAGTCTCGTTTGTGCCACATCCGAGCGTTGCTGTGACATTGTACCAGGCCTTAGCATTGTCTGAAGCTAGCGGTCTCCCGAAACCCGCAGTACCGGACTGCATAATAAATCCTCTGACAATAGGGTTCGTCGCCCACGCGTAAGAATAGGCATCGACCGACCCCGCTCCAGTCGACTGTCCAAACAAGATCATGTGAGAAGGGTCACCTCCAAAGTTCGCAATATTGTCTCTGATCCATTCCACTCCAAGTCGCTGATCCAAGAAGCCCGGATTGCGGTTCTCAGCCGCAGGATCGCCAAAGAAGCCTAGGATGTCGACACGATAACTAAAGAAGAAGCAGAGTACCAGTCAGTCTCGGCCAACCCCGCTATGTTGAATCTCGAGGTAGGGAAGGAAGACGGATGAGTCTTACTTGATAGATACCACAATGACGTCTTCAAATCCGGCCAAATGCTGACCATCGTACAACGAAATCTGAGTGCTGCCGCTGGTATAACCGCCACCATAGATCCAAATCGTGACCGCTTTGCCGGACTCACCGCCGCTGGGAACCCAGACGTTGAGGGTAAGGCAGTCTTCGCTGAAGATCGCCCCGACCTGTTCTACGGAAGAGACGGTCGCAATACCCTGAGCCGTCAAATTCGCGAGAGAAACGTTGTAGTTGTAGATGTTGTTTCTACGGGGCAAGAAACTGGTCATGGCCGGACAAGCAAATCCCCAGAAGGGACTATTGAATGTTACATGGAAACTCTCATCAACGGTTTATTCATATACGTACTATACTTTTGCCATCGACTAGAAGTGTCCCGTTGTACGGTTCGGGGGGAAGGAATCGCCGAGCGCCCACTGGTGGTTGGGCGAAGGGAATCCCCAGGTATGCTGTGACACTGGTGTTCACGCTGGCAGGATGACCTTTCCACGGCCCGCTAGTCGTTTGGACGATGGGGTCGATACAGAAGCTGCTAACTGGCGCGACTCTGCCAAGAGCAATCAATGAAATTATTGATACGATCCGCATCTTGCTAGTGAAGTCGTTTCACACCTAACTAAATATTGTATCGACTTATGTATAAATCTACTGGAGGAGGAGACTGGGGGTAACGAAATAGTTATACCGTAATTGTTCCTTTAGACGTCAATCGCCTCTACGTTCTTGTCTTGAAGTTAGCATAATAGGGCCCCGAGGGAATAGCTAAGACTAGAGCCAATATCGTTTAAGTCGAGTTACAAAGTTCCTTGGGCAGGTGCTTTAGTCTGCCAGTCTGTACCTGGTCAAGTCGATTTCTCCAACCTCGCGGCCGACCAAAGAGTATTTATCCTTCCTAGTGCTATTTAGTTAGGTAGCTAGTGGAGAAAGATTCTTAGTACGTCTATATTTTGCTCGAATCTTCTTTGACTTTTTCCGACAGGGTTTAACGCTAGAGAACTTCTACGAGTCTTTCGTCGTGCCGATTTCCGAAACTGCGGGATCCCCCCCACCCGCCCCGGGGTGGGGGGGTAAAGCTGCCCCAGAAATTCTCAAAAATTATGCGTTCTGGCAAGGATACTACGGAATGATTAGTCGTAGGCAACAGTTGTGGGGTTCGTCTCCGGTTTCCGACAATCTCGGTCAGCGGCATGGATTACCCTGTTGAGCTTCAGTCCAGATGAAGGTGCGTGTCCTGAGCGGGGCCTAGTCCCGCCGGGAAAGTTCTCATCCGTCAATCTTCCTAGTCGGATTCACTTATGGCTAGGAGAATGTGTATATGGGAAGCATTTTGGCTATGCCACGTATGCATAATTCCGTGTATTGATTTTTTGTGATTTTACGGAGGACTTGTTCTATTTCGAAGGGGTCCAAGGGACCGTCAGACTATATACTTTCGAAGCGTGTACGAAGCGTGCAACACTTCCGAAGGTCTTTACAAGCCTTGGCGTCGCCACATATCACATTTTCCCAGGGAGCAAATCACGTGCTCGAGAAGGGGGCCAGTATGACGTCATGGCATCATTGGCCTTGGCGCTGGCCAGTGAGCGCGAGTTGCCGGCAGTGGACACTTCTCCATCTTCCGCTCACACAGATCCTCCATACCATATAATTCCTTCGTCTAGGTTTTTTTAATTCTCCTCTACAAGTCTAACGCTTCGCCTAAAGGTTACGCCATACCGGATTTTATTGAGACCAACTTATCAGGTTTGAAACTATTCTTCCGCCTACCTCCCACTTATACGGCTCAAAACATGACTCACGCGAACTTTCCATCCTTTGACGATCTGCCTTTGGTGAAAGACGGACCTCCTGGAAATGCATGGGGCCTTTTCGGGTCTCAGGATGAGCTCGGGATGCTGAACCTGCTGACTGAGCGCGTTGTTGCTGAAGCAGCACAAGAAATCAAGGACGGAAAGCGTTTTCACCTAGATTGGTCAATGGACATGCCGTCGTCCCCTGCATTTGGCCGTCAACAATTCCAGCACCATTTGCTACACTCGGACGAGCCCACCTTTATGAATGACGATACGTTGACTTTCAATACACAGAGCTCAACTCAGTGGGATGGGTTTCGTCATTATGGTGAATAACACCATCTCGGATACGCCAAAAGATCCTAACGAAAGGCAGCCTACCAACGCTCAAGACTGTTTTATAATGGTCATAGACAGGAGGAGTTCCAAACCTCACCAATATTAGGAATTGACCGCAAGTTTTGTGGCCCGCATTCCATTACTCTACTGACACTGGCAGGGTGGGTGAAGAAAGGGGGCATCATCGGCCGAGGAGTTCTCCTCGACTGGGCCAGCTGGGCCGCTGCCAACGGGATCGCGATCACCCCGTTCGAATCTGCGCCGATCAAGTTAGAGCACTTAGTCAGCATTGTGGCGGAACAGGATATCAAATTCAAGACCGGGGATATACTCTTTGTTCGTTGCGGATACGCCGACGCATACAGCCGCTTGTCACCGCAAGAACGAGAAGAATTTCCTCGTCGCAAGCCAGGAGGTATGCTGGGTCTCGAGGCGACTAAAGACTCGCTACGGTGGTTGTGGGAAAACCGCTTTTCGGCAGTGGCGGGAGATTCACCCAGTTTTGAACGCGGCTCTGTCTTGGGCAGCTACAATGATCCCGATGTCACCGTCCACCAATGGCTACTGGCCGGCTGGGGCATGCCGATAGGAGAGATGTTTAACCTCGAAGGAGTCTCAGCGCACTGCCGAAAAACTGGCCGATACAGCTTCTTTGTATCGAGCGTGCCGATTCATGTATGTGTAAATGGTTGAGCTTTGCTGGAGTCCATGATACTGATTGAGTTAGGTTCCTGGAGGCGTGGCGAGCCCGCCAAATGCTGTGGCAATCTTCTGACCTTCCACGAATCCGGACGGCGTGGTTCTACTGGTTGCGGTTACGCAGTATATGTTGGCGACAAGACTCGCAAAACGACAAAGCTCGATTCATGGTTAAAAGTATTCTACGATACTCCCAGACCAAGAACGAAGGTTAGCGCAATACTGATATGACCTGTTTCTTCAGTACGTTACACTAGATAAGCGGAAACCGCCTCAAGCCCTCGCTCCAAGTGCTGCTGCTGCGATGTGCCCGTCCACACACTGTCTTGCTCGATGCCTTGCTGAGCGAAGAAGTCCACAAACGTAGCAGCTTTCCACCCGGCATCTTTCAAAGTCCGAGCTAGCTCTGTTGGTGTCCCTGGCAGAGAGGCCAGATCTAATAAGATACCAGGGGCCTTTGCGCCATGTCGATCCAACATAGCACTCTTCAAGGAATTTGGCGTGCGTTGACTGGGGTTTGCGTTGATCACGATGGTCGGCCGGGCATCAAACTTCAGCGCATAGTCGTCAGAGCGGAGATGAATGAAGTGGCAGTCAGGCAAGTCGACACCCTGCAAGTCCTTCAGGGTATCTTCCACCTCGGAGGCATCATCATGCATCATGTAGATGCGAGATGCACCGAGCCCAATGGTAAGTCCGTAAATGGCAGTACGGCACAGAACACCGGTCCCAAGAACAACAGCACCCCCAGCTCTTGCTCGATCCTCGGCGCCCAAGTCCAACCCGAGAATGGCGCGGGACATGCCCAGCCAATCGGTGTTGGTACCGACGGTGACCCTTCTGCCTTGATCGTCACGTACATATACTGTGTTGATGGACTTTAGAGCAACGGCGTCAGGAGTCAATCTTTCGACAACGGCCATCGCAGACGTCTTATTTAGGATCGTCACAGCAGCACCCACAAACCCGGGTTCTGAAATCGCGCGCCGTAGGTCCTCGACGTCGCTGGATTCGAGTAAGGAGACGTGCCATGGCAGCTTGAGCGACGTGAAGATTGCTCGGTGGAAGTCTGGCGAGAAAGATTTCGAGACGGGGTCCCCGAACACGTAGACGGCAGCACCGTGGGTGGCGCAATCTTCGACGCCCATCTTAGTCCGCTAAGCAAAACCGCACTTTCAATGATCGGGACCATAGGAAGGTCCCCCATAGCAAGGGACGGCAGGCGCCTTCACACCCCTTTTCTCTGGTGCCCGGGCAGAGGATTTTGCCACAGATAGGCGACAGAGATCTTTTCCCGAAAGTGCTAGAGAACCTAAGAGGACCTAGGAGCACCTTCTACGAAAAGAAGCCATCGACTCCGTGAGAACGCGCCGGGAGAGTACTGGAATTGGAATGGTTGAACTCGAATCGCTATTAGATCACACGGACTGCCTCTGGGCGATCCGTTCCTCCTCCTCCGAAACAGACCACCGAGCCAACCCGAAAACAAAAAAATCCCTGCCTGACAAGGCATCGTAAGCCAGGGTTTCCAACGGCAAAGAAAATGTCCGCCAGACCCACCGTTGCGTCGAGTCAGTGGTGTCAGATTTTGCGCCGTAGTGGGTTTTGGAGACTGGGGTTATTATGGCCCAGAACTACAATAAGCGAGTGATTCAGCTGAATCTACCCCCACTATGCACTCCAAATTTCCCTAAGGAAAAGGGGAGGCGGGCGGAAATCCCTTAGCTCTGTAAAGAGGGCAAGAAGTGGTGCATTCTGATCCAGACGGTTCCTCGAAGGCGGCCACGTCGGCTCAAGAATTTTCCGGGGAGCCCTTCTGACTAGTCCCCCAGATCCTCGTCCATCAAGTCTGGGGTGAAGTAAGATATCATGAAAGACCTTTTCGGTCACGACCCTTGCAAACGTTCTACTCATTTCTACAGTGAGGGTTTCACGCCAATTTCAACTAGAACATCGAGAGCTCCAGCTGCCCGCCACGCAGATTTTTCACAATGGCGTCCGGAACGGAAGAGAAGGGTGTCTCTCAACAACCCGAAAGAATCGAGCAAGCGGAGGCTGAATCCCACGATTATCTCTCCGATGCCGATCTTAAGGGCCGCCTTGATCTAGGCGCCCAAGCGCTCAAAGGTCAGCGACTTACGTATACTTCAGAAGGTGAGTCGCCATAAGGGCTGCCACCCCCACAAAAAGTACTTCCTGCATTCTGATTCTCTAGCCAGAGGGACGCCGAGTCCTCCGTAAAATCGATTGGCACATTCTCCCCCTCGCAGCATGGGCATGTGGCCTTCAGTTTGTGGATAAAGTCAGTGAACTCGCCACGATCTCGCCTACCCGTCTTGTTCGCATCTAAAGGTCAGGATTTCAGTCAGGGCTAGGTTCCGCCGCGACGTACGGTCTGCGCGAAGATCTTGGCCTTCATGGACAAGAATACTCTTGGTGTGTCTCTGTACGTCTGGCCCCTTGAGTCTGCGGTGCGCCACTATGGGACACTGAAAATCGACAGATCTTTTACTTCGGCTACCTGGGTGGCGCCGCCATATCTGGACGTCTTCTCCAGTGTTTCCATGCCGGCCGAGTGATAGGGATTGCATTCTTCCTCTGGGGCTGCACCTTACTTGGATGCATTGGAGTCAAGAATTATGCGGATCTATTGGTGCTGCGCTTTCTATTGGGGTGGGTGAAAAGAAGCCTGCTTGGAATGGATAGCCGTATTACTAAACTTAACGTGGTACAGTGTTTTGGAATCAGCTCTAGTCCCTGGGCTGTTGTTGATGTAAGTTCTTTCTCTTCATTGATTGTGTTCAATGGCTTACTTGGGGCAATTTATAGTACGACTATGTGGTGGGTATCTTCAAACATGTTCAGATGATTACAACCTGACAGCCCATAGGTATACTCATCGGGAGCAACCACTACGATCTGGGATCTGGACCGTCACCAATGGCGCGCTTCCGGTGCCTTTCCTTGTCATTTACTATGGTGCCTCCCAGTTCAGCGACTTATTCCTAGCCAGACTTTGACTTTCACGATAGGTCTTGGTCACGATAACAGTGGTCCCATAGTGTGTACATCCTAGTTTTTTGGTGCTTGGACGTCTTTGCTGATACAAAAACATCACAGAAATCCTGGAAGTTGATCTTTTTGCTCATCGGCCTCCTAAGCTGCCTGACTGGGGTGGCCCTCGTATGTTGTTTTCTACCAGAGTTTCTCTTGACTAGCTGACTTGCCCGCAGTACTTTTTCATCCCCAATACTCCCGCGACGGCGCCCTGGCTTAATGAACGAGAACGGGCAATCGCTGTCCAGCGGGTGGCGGAAGACTAGACTGGAGTTAAAAATCGTGAGTCGACAACGATCAGCTATCGCAATCTTGCCCAAAAACCAACCATATGTTAAAATGCTGACGGTTTCTCTGGTTAAAGCCCGCTTCAATTGGGCACAGGTACTTACTCGTTCTCAACTCGCCTTGCCCCGTTCTCATTGATTTTTCAGGTCAAGGAAGCATTCACAGATTACCATGTTTGGCTTATCATCCTCCAGATGCTCTTCTCCCAAGCTTCTGGGAGCGTCACAACCAATTTTCTTGGAATTATCATTGAAGTACGCGTCAAGAGTCTTCTCCACGGCGACTAATTTTTGTCCTGGACTGACCGCCCTCATTAGGGATTTGGGTATTCGGCATTGAAGGCTCAGCTGTTTACCGCTCCTAACTATGCGGTCCAGGTACGGTCCCTCGTCTCGATGTGCCTCTTCTCGTGGGGTGCACCGGCTGACTAGAATATTATCCAGGTCGTATCACAAATCCTGGTTTCAGCGCCGCCAACCTTCTTCCATCGGTTTAGGAATATGAAGCAACCCCTTGCGTCACTTTCAAGCATGATCGCTCTTGCTGGCATCGTCATTCTTTACGTCACACCGGCGGAAGAGCAGTACCAACACCGTCGACTTGCAGGATGCATCATCATCTCATGCTCGGGCGTAAATTATACGGTAGTCATGTCTATTATTGGCTGCAACATAAGCGGGTTTACGAAGAAGCAAGTCACTACGTCCATGGCTTTCGTCCTCTACTGTGTGGCAAACATCATCACACCTCAGACATTTCTGGGCACCGAGAGCCCCAGATACCACACCGGACTTGGATTTGTACTGGCGTGAGTTTTTGCAGAATCCCAGCCCGCACAGCGTTCCTTCCTGGCATCTTCTTTGATTTTGCTCCTCCGAGATCCCGAACATGCTTCCTTGCTCACTCTGGAATTAGATTTCTCTCTACGTACATCGCTCTATCGCTTCCCTCATGGACGGTGATGCACCTCGAGAACCAGCGCCGAGACAAACTCGCCTTGACCAACCCGGCATATTCTACCGGAGTAGACAATTTGGACATACTTTCGGGGCTCAAGTACGTATTTTTGCCGCCTTTTTCACCTTGCAACTGCCGGTCTTGCTGCATACCAATGCTTCCCGTCCTCAAGTTCGATTTTCCATTCTTTTGTGTCGGAATTAAATAAGGCCCTTTGAAAAACCCATGCATCTTTGATACTTCCAGCGACCCACAGAGCTAATAGGATTTCCCAGAGACGATACCGAACTTCAAAACAAACATGCGAGATATTCGGGGTAGTACCATTGACTTCTAGCGCTCTTCGTATGTAAAAGGTTGCGGTGGATTTGTGGTTATGCTAGATCTTCCCAAACAGGCTACTACCGAACCTTCGTGCGTGAGAAAGCAACACGGCCTGAAAAAGACATTGGCGAGAATGGGGCGGGGGAGAATGGGAAGTATCTTCATCGCAGAGATCAAGGAAGGCAAGGGAGGCAAGTATGTTTTGTGCAACAACATGTTGCGTGTTGACCTGCTGAGGACCTTGAAAGCGTAGTAATAGTGTGGTGAACCGGTCTCGACCCGAAGGCCAGTTCACGTACCGAAGGTGGGATTAGTCCTGTAGGGGCGGGGCACTGGGAGTACTTGTGACGTCTAAAGCTTTTGTTAATGATCCCAAGTTTTGGAGTATCTATGTACTACGCTAAGATGCGAAGTAATTACTTTTCCTGGCTTGATTATACGTATGTATTTCGTCTCCCGCCGCACGACATGTTTCTGCCTGCTACTACGCTGAGAAACTTGGGGCTATCTGTAACACCCATCACGCCACGAATTCCCAGCCACTGCAGAGGTGGCAGGAAGGGGGCTGGGCGTTAGAAAGGAGGCAGGAAGATGAACGGATCGAAGGTATAAGAAGAGCCTTCGAACCCTTAGATAGACAGACAGGTTTCAGTACATTATCATTCCACACCCTACCTTGTACGCTCGCAACGATTGATGATCCTTCTCTCTACACCCCTCGTAACAGATCGATACCCTTCGTTGATATCGTTGTTACATCCACCAAGCAAGACAACACTACAGCCCACAACCGGTCGAGGTGATAATAGGGGGTAACTTTAATCAACACGACCAGCTATGGGGAGGCGACGCAGTGGGTACGAGCACTCGACAAGGAGAGGGCGAGCCGATTATTGAGCTTATGCAAGAATTCGAACTCGACAGCCTCCTGCCACGGGGAACAGTTACATTCGAATCCCCGATGGGTGACAGCACGATCGATCTAGCTCTAGCATCGAGCGCGCTGGCCGAAGATCACGTTCAGTGCGAGGTCTACCCAACTGAGCACGGCTCAGATCATCGAGCAATCCAGACAAGCTTCGACATTCAGCCACCCGAACAGGTAATGGCTCCACGCCTTCTTTTCAAGCATGCACCTTAAAACCGTATTCGCGTCTTGGTCAGCCAAGAGCTGCAAGGAATACCGATGGAGATCGAAGATCTGGACACCTTGTCAAACTGGGTGCAACTCGAGATGTCTTGAATGCTCTGTTCTCTATCTACTTGTCGAGGTATTAAGGCTTCTTTTATAGACGTGCGAATACTACGTCGTTACTTAGAGCAACCATCAGTAACGTCGTCGTCTATGAAAACCTCCCATCAGTGTTTCAGCTGTGAAGTCTATACACAATAACCCTTTGTTCAACACATCTACACCGACGAATTCTGCGGAATCGTAAAGTTCGTAATTGAGCGACTAACACCTCGAACTAGACCCTCGCCCTACACTAAGCGGTGGTGGACGACAGATTTAACTCAGCTTCGACGCGACTACACATACTGAAGAAACCAAGCTCGCGCACATCGACGCTATGGAAGACGGGATGCACAGCTCGAAGCTCGAGCACAAATGGTCAAGAAGGAATTCCACAAGAGCATGCGAGTACAGAAAAAGCATCACTGGGAGACGTTCCTCGAGAACTCGCAGAATATTTAGCAGGCGAGTCGATACCTCCAACCCGACTCTACTAGGACATTCGCCGAAATCCCTTCCCTACGAACAATCGACGGCCGTGAAGTAGAGGACGACGAAGGCATAGCTCAGGCCTTACTAACCACGTTCTACCCAGAAGCCAGAGCGACGACGTGTCGAGAGAATAGTGCAGCGGCACAAGAACAGCTTCCCGATATACCCCTAACGATAAACGAAGTCGAACGAGCATTATTCGCATCGAGCCCGTGGAAGGCTCCGGGAATCGACGGTATGCCAGCAATTGTATAGCAAAAGCTGTGGCCGGTCGTGAAAGAGAGAATCTTCAAAATCTTCTGTCACTCGTTGGCAAGAGGGCAACTCCCACGATCGTTCAAAGCGGCTAAGATTATACCGCTACGAAAGCCGGACAAGGAGAACTATAAACAACCGAGCGCCTATCGACCTATCTCCCTACTGTCGACGCTAGGAAAGATGCTGGAATTCGCTCTCGCCGAGCGTATCTCCTACCTCGCCGAAATATGGCACCTTCTATCTAATAACCACTTCGAAGCGCGGAAACGAAGATCGACCACCCAAGCGCTTTCGATGCTTCAAGAACGAATCTTCGACGCATAGCGCGACCGTAAAGTTTTAAGTTTGATTAGCTTCGACGTGAAAGGAGCGTACAATGGGGTCGATAAGGGTACTCTTCTTTATCGACTAAGAGAAAGACGGATTCCCGAAAGCTTAGTGCGATGGATCAATAACTTCTGCAGCGAAGAGGTAGCCCCTAGTATATTCGTCAAGATTTTAGGAGCGGTACTAGACCAACAGCTACGATTCGATGCACACGCGTCTCGAACCGCGAAGCGAGGGCTGCGAGCCGTGACCGCCTAAAGAAGGCTCCGAGCACTACGATCAAGCACGACCCGCCAGTTATTCGCAGCGACGGTTATTTCGGTCGTAGATTACGCCTCGTTCGTGTGGACAGCGCGACCCTCGACGAAGACTATAAAGCTACTAGAACCCATTCAACGCATGGCAGCGCAGGCGGTCGTGGAAACGTTTCGAACGGTGGCCCTATCGATAACACAGGCCGAAGTGGGCATCGAGCCACTAAGAATTCGATGGCAGAAGCAGTCGCTTCGCACGTGGACCAACCTTCACACGCTACCGCGTAAACACCCATTCTGGAAGAGCAAGCGTCGAATTGATATAGATAACAAGCGATTCGTGTCGCCCCTACGACTCCACGCCTCGAATTTCAAAACTATCGACTTAACACACATCGAGACTATCGATCCGTAATGTACGGCGCCCTAAACAAATCACCTAATTGTGCACATCGATAACGACCTGGACGTAGCTATCGACGAGGCGGAGAGGAGAACGACCGATCCACAAGCCGAAGCGGTATTTACTGATGCTTCGGCACGTAATAATCGAGTGGGAATCGCGATCGTTCACTCGAGGGGCACGATTCGCCAAACCATCGAGACAGAAAACGACCTGAATGCCTACGCCGCGGAGCTTGTCGCCATTTATCAAGCGGTAGCGATTACCCGCTACGACGCGAATATACACTCGAGAAGAGAGCGAAGGACATACACGGTCCTAACGGACAGTTAAGCGGCTCCTAAGGCATTAGCACGACCTCGACAGCAAAGTGGGCAATTCATTTTACGAGCCATTCTCGATTAAGCTCGAGAATTTCGAAGGGAACAAGGTATCGATATCACCTTTCGCTGAGTTCCTGTAACAACGATATCGACGAAGAGTATCGATCTGCTACGAAGGGTGTAGAGAGAAGGATCATCAATCGTTGCGAGTGTACAAGGTAAGGTGTGGAATAGTAATATACTGAAACCTGTCTATCTATTTAAGGGTTCGAAGGTTCTTCTTATACCTTCGATCCGTTTATCTTCCTGCCTCCTTTCTAACGCCCAGCCCCCTTCCTGCTATCTTTACAGTGACTAGGAATTCGTGGCGTGATGGGTGTTACAGTCCCCGCCCACGCGGGCGTCAATCTTAACGAAACCGTAAACGAATAGGTCCGTCGAGCGACGAAACCGGAGAGCTAATTAGAACAATCCCGTTTACCCAGACTACTGACAGTAGCTCAACGAGCAGTAAAGATCGAATTCACGATAAACGAAGCAACATTTACGAAAAGGCGTATTTTCCAGCGACAGCTCGATTAAGCTCTACTAGGCCACCACACACGAAAACTATACGACTATTTATGTAAAAGGGACGCGAGCCTTCTAGCACAGCTGCACACAGGCAAATGCAGACTAAATCACTATCTGGCTCGTATTAACGCTATCGAATCGAAGGTGTACGCTTATGGAAGAGAAGCCGAGTCGATCCGACACTTCCTCTTTCGATGCCCTCGATGGGTAAGCATTCGAGAAGAGAAGAAACTAACAAGAAAACCACGATGGGGAGATCTTACGTTCTGGCTAGGGGCGTGGCCCGACAGACGAGACAGCAACGGCGGATACGTAGATGGGAAGAAGAGTAAATGGAAACCGAACCTAAACGCCGTTAAAGATATACTAGAATTTGCCAGGGCTACCGAGAGGTTAGATTGAACACTAGAACCACGGTAACAAAAACGAAAGAGATAAAACGGCTGCCCGAAGGGGATGTGAAAGAGGAGGATAGTACTTAATGTGGCGGCTCTGCTGACCAGTCGATATTATGACGATCAACGCTCGAAAAAGCGCTCTCGATGACGACTGCCAGCTTTCGAATATTAGTATCCTTAGAGACCGTATCATCGGCAGTCGTGTCGAGAAGCTGAGAATTCGAAGGCCGAGACAAGAAAGGGATTGGAGGTCTAGGAATTGGGTGTGGAGACTATAGAATAGACGAGTACGTGACAGAGCTAATTCCCAATAGGCCTAGCGGCCTGCACGGGTGTAGGAATAATCAATTAATTAATTCATCAAGACTAATGCGTTGTTTTGCGGTGTGAACTATATAGATCGCTTCCTGGCCCGTAGTCTATACAGCGACTCGACGACTTCGCCCACGCCTTCGCAGCCTTCTATCGATAAGAGCTCTAGTCAGCATAAAGTTATCGATGTCGAGCCTATAGAGACTAGCCCATCCAATTCTACCGCTGAAGAGAGCAGTCTGTCCACAACATCTCACTGCTGCGTTTTTCCGATCAACAATAGTACGCTACGATATTAAAATAAGACACTACAAGACGTCAAGTGCCGAATTCGCCACAAACGAGCGCTTTCGAATAAGACAAAAGTCTCCTGGATTTATCAACACGGAGCGGATCTGTAAGCTCGTGGCTATAGTAAACTCTAGCTATGTCGAGTTTGCCATCAAAAGAAGGACTACCAAAATCAAGTGTTTAATGCTAAGTCGACGTCCTTAATTGCCTATCATCTAGAGGAGAAGCATGGGATTTTCGCGTCAGAAGACGAAACGAAATGCGGACACACGCGGGCGTCACCATTTACAACTTCCGATAGAACTTTTTAGCTACGAACCCTTGTTTCGCCTCCATTCAACGATCTTGAGTATAGAAAGGATCTAATTGATTGGATCGTATCTAACGATTTACCGTTTCGACTTCTACAGAATCCCCTAACTCGACGCCTACTCGCTAGCGGGAGACCTGAGATCGACGCTGTCATTCGTCACTCACATACTACGGTCAGTTCATGGATTGTGGACTCATTTTATAAAAGGAGGAAACAGATCAAAGACAAGCTTGCGATTGCAAAGAGTCGAATCAACTTATCGCTCGATGGTTGGACAGCCTCTACTACGGGAGACGAGTACGTCGCTATTTGTTCTCACTTTATTTAAGACGACTACACGCTCGCCCACTGTCTGCTTGGGTTTCGAAAGCTTCATGGGACAAAGAGTGGCGAGAATATTGCGCAAACTGTTATTAACGTGGCATGATTGAAGATTGAGAAATACTTCAAGCTTATCGATGACTCGCCTCTTTACGTTGCTGCCGTTATTCTGCACCCCAGCCTGCGCTTCGAATACTTTGAGGACAAGTGGCAGAAGCAGCCAGATTGGATTCGACGTATAAAGAGATCCTTTCGCGAGCTGTTCGACGAGTACTATGACGAATGCTATGGCGACGTCGATACTGAATCCGACGATCAGCAAGAAGAACCAAAGTCAGCCTATCACGAATACAATCAAATCTCGTCAGAATTTCTCAGCAGAAAGCGGAAACGAATAGCGAAAGACAAGGACAAGGATAGCCTAGAGTACGATCGCTATATCAAGTCGGTTGACGAGAAGCTTAAGGTTAAAGATCCACTTGTCTGGTGGAACCAGCATAAATCAGACTATCCTCTCCTCGCAAGAATGGCTTTTGATCTCTTCTCGATATCGGCTATAAGTGCAGAAGTCGAACGAATCTTCTCATCGACAGGAAATCTAGTTACGGATGATCGGAACCAGCTGGGCGAGGAGGTGTTGGAAGCTACTGAGTGCCAGAAGCACTGGATAGCTGGAAATCTTGTCTTCTAGGATTTTATGTCAGTTAACTGACTGAACTTTCAATCAGGCCGCAAATTTCATCAGTCCAGTCAATCAGGCAGGCTGGCAATTATGTCAGTTCATTGACTGTTGGCCACGCAGATTGTTGGTAATATTAGTCGATAGGGAGGAGATTTCGACGCATTAAAACGAGCATTTCTACTTCGAGAGCCGATTGAAGAATTTATTGCCGCTGAGATAAGAGCAGTTTCGGCTGAAGCCAGAAAGTGTGGAAAGAATCGATATCAAGATGAAAACGATATTGAGCGAGACGAGTTAAGCATTAAAGACTGGGACGAGCTCAGGAGTATCATGGATATCCTTGAGCCGTTTAAAAAATGGCCACTCAAATTGCAAGGAAAATGTCGAAATGGCGCCTTACACGATATACTGCCTGCAATGGACGGGTTGCTCGCACATCTGGAAGATGCTAAGCTTCAATACAATGACACCTCGATCCACATCGAACATCTTCGAACGTTTATAAATATCGCGTAGAATGTGCTAAATAAATACTACAGTCTAGTGGACCTTACACCGGTTTATTATGCTGCCATTGCCTTACATCCAGAGATGAAGTTTGAATACTTTGAGGAGGAATGGGGAGATCGTCCAGACTGGATTCGGACAGCGAAAGAGGTAACAATTGCGCTCTGGGAGTCTGAATATAAATGCCAAACATCGTCGAGTGATGATGTATTAATATGGAAAGATTCAAAGGAAGAACCAGAGTGGAAGAGAAAAAAGCAAGCTCGCCTAGCGAAAGATACTCAAGACAGCTTGCAAAGATATCTAGAAAAGGAGGAGGGAGATCAAATCGACAATCCATTGCAGTATTGGATCACTAAGCTGCAAGACTCATCAAGCCGACATAAGTTTATTGCTTCGATGAGAGTTGCGATACATAATATACCTGGCATGTCGACGGAGGTTGAGCGGGTGTTCAGTTCTACAAAGATCCTTATCTCGGAGCGGCGGAATCGTCTAAGCGACGACATTATTGAGGCATCGGAATGTCTTAAAGCGTGGCAAAAGGAGCAGCTTACTTTAAGCTATGATCAGGATATTCGAAAGATGGACGAGATGTTAGATGACCTCGAAGAGCGCGCGGGAAGCCTATAGGCCGGCCCAGGCCGAGATCTTAAAGCCTACGGTGATATAGGCCAGGCTCGGCTTAAGAGGTTCAGGCCTAGACCGGGCTAGGATTAAGTAAGCCTGGCCTGGCCTGGCCTATTGGGAACGCTGCAGCAAGTTAGCAGAACAAGTTGTAGAACAACAAGAAGAACAATAGCTCATGTTGAACTTCGTGGATTGAAAGAGCGCTCTATTTTCTATCAAGTTGAGGTCCTGTCTCGTATATTTATATGGACAAAGATTATCGCCATCTTTCGATGTCTTCGTGTTCAGCTCGTAGATGAAATCCTTGTCTGGCTAAATACTAATTGCCACGCTGAAAGTATTGCCATATATTGTCTCACAGGTCAACACAATACTATTGTCCAACAGCTCATAACCTCACTACCACGCAGGCACACAAGGCTATCGACAGGCACAAGAGGTGTTGGACAATAGCATTGAACAAATGCTAGCCAATCATTTACAACAGACTAGGATATATTGCAACACTCGCTCAATAGACTGTATCACCATTGACAGGCAGCAATGGTGACGTACGCTTATTAGATAGATATATAGATGGGCTTTATCCTCCATTCATGAGGAGAGCCAGAGCACTCTTTCAATCCACGAAGTTCAACACGAGGCTATTCGACAGCCACAGTGGGCCTGCTAAGACCATTTGAGGGGCTTCCAGGTTGTGCCATGACACACACACACAAAAAGGAAGGAGATATCTCTACAACACACACGCTTCGCCACGACAAAAATAATCAACACCAAAGCTCCCCTCCTATTGTCCATCACTGACGAACTGATAAATGGGGCGCCACAACCAATGAATGCTTGAGCTAGACAAGTTCACCGACAGGAAGGTTTGACCCCCCTCGGTATCACTTAGTTTAACATCAACAATCACTGGCTGGAGCATTACGTTTACCCATCTAGGGCACCTAGGAATCTAGGCCGGACAACCCTCTTGCCTTACCTATGATCGAACACTAGTAAGGTCCCTCAATTCTATCGGTTCGACTAAAACCTAGTGTGCCCACTGGGTTTCGTCCTTGATAGGTCAACCACGATTTGGTGTCAATTTTGAAGCAGTTTTTGGAAGAATAAATGATAAACCTTATTTTTTTTTGGCTTTTTTTTTTAATTTTGGAACCACCCGGTTGCGGCTTGGCGTTGTGCGGCGACGCCAAGACCGCCATGCTAGCTAATCACGTAAGCATACGGCTTGGAGTCACGTGACATTGTCACGTGGAAGTTCCTACCGCTTCGCCATCGGATTCAGTCTATGGACTATATACTCGGGGGGTACTCTACTCGATATCGACATGGTCCGTGGATTGGATCCGATGAGTGAACCACCCTAACGGATCAAACATTTTCCGAACAACCGTCGTCGGATTAACTATTTTTCCGACATTATCGGACTAAATATTTTCCAGCATCACCCTTATCGGATTCAATCCATAGACTATATGCCTCCCGGGGGCTCCCACTCGTGGTTCATGGATTGGATCCGATGAAGTCCCCCGGTCGCTCATCGGATCCAGTCTGTGGACCACCCAGAGAAGCTCTACTAGTCATATTCGAGATGCTTCGTAACCGAGCGTGAACGACAAGCCTCGACGTCGACATTTGTTGTGATATGAGCTGTTGGATGACGAGAGGTCTCCATGGGCAACAACGTTACAGATGGTTGCTCTGTGCAACAGTGTAGCATTCGTGTGTCTATAAAAGGAGCCTCAACACCTCGATAGGTAGATAGGGAACAGAGCGCTCCTTCATCTCAAGTTGCACGAGAAGTTCGACATGAGCGTTGACTGACAAATAGATCATGGAAACATTCCGGTGCTTTGAAATCAGATAAATGTTCGGACAGGAAGATTCGAAGTATATATATCTCTTCTTCGTCCTCATTGATAGAACTGGAATACATACATGCTTCTACTGCCTAAAACTTTCAACACCAGCCTTGTACTCAGTATCCCACTGCCCGAACCCACGTGACTCGAGAATAGAGGTACGTGACAGAACGATACCCAGAGGTTGGTATTTCACCCAAGGCTATACCGCAAAACCCAGCATCTCCTCGTATCCTCGCAATACCCGTCGGAACATCTGCTCCGCTTCGGCCAGCCTGCCTTGGTTTTCGTAAAGTTTCCACAAGTCAGTGACTATGTCAAGTGTTGCTTTGTGCTCTGGACCTAACACCTTCTCATATCCCCGCAATGCCCGATGATACATCTGCTCTGCCTCAGCCAGCTTGCCCCGATCCTTGTAAAGGGTTCCCAAGTTGGTAACTGTGTCAAGTGTTGTTTTGTGCTCTGGACCCAGTGTCTTCTCGTACCCTTGCAGTGCCCGATGGTACATCTGCTCAGCCTCAGTTAGCTTGCCGTGCTTCCCGTACATGGTGCCCAAGTTGTTGACCACAAGGAGTGTTGATATGTGCTCCGGACCCAGAGTTCTCTCGTATCCCTGCAATGCCTGATGGTACATCTGCTCCGCTTCGGCCAGCCTGCCTTGATTCTCATAAAGGTTTCCCATGTTGGTGACTGTGTCTAGTGTTGCTTTGTGCTCCGGACCTAACACCTTCTTCGCTTGCAATGCCTGCGTGTACATCCTCTCCGCCTCGGTTAGCTTGCCTTGACGCTTGTATAGGTTCCCCAAGTTGTTGACCGTTGCTGCGTGCTCTAGCAATAACGCATTCTCCCTGCCCGGGAAAATCAGCCGGAATATTGGCCCTGGGTCAACCAGGTTGCTCTGATCCGCGTAGAGGATGTCCAAGTCATTCACTGTCTCGAGAGGTGTGCTCTCTGAACCGAGCATCTTCCGATATCCCTGCAGCGCCCCGCTGGAGCATCATTTCTGAATCGGCCAGCTTGCCTTGATCGTCGTAGACGATACCCAAGTTGTTGAGAGCAAGACATGTTAATGTGTGCTCTGGGCCGAACTCCTTCTCCCATCCCCGTAGTGCCCACTGGAACATCTTCTCTGTCTCGTCCAACTTAGCTTGGCGACTAAACAAAAATCCCAGTCGAAAGCAGACACAAGCATTCAAGGCTAATTGAAGTCCATTGAACCCCTCCAAACCACCCTTCTCAATCATTTGGAACACCCAGTTTCCATGTGGTAACAGACGCCTTTCGAGTCTCCAGTACTCAGGTTCAGATTCGTCTGGCACCATTTCTGCCACAATACCTGCAGCAAGCCAAGCGAGCACTTCCGCTTCCCTTTGGTTTGCTAAATGATAGCACCACTTATGCAGGACTGGATGTATCGAGTGGCTTGATACCTCCTCTTTCGCATCGACAAGAGAATATCTCGAAAGAAGTCCCAGAGTCTCATAGAAATCGAGCTCATTCTCCGCCAGTCGTTTCAGCCATTCCGGTACGTTATCGGTTTCCAGGGCCGAACCACAAGCAATCAAATCATACCACACATCTTCACGGTCGAGGAATCCCCATAGCTTTAGCAGCCCTGCTGCTTCTTCACTTTCATTCTTCACTTTCTCATACGACATCGCCCAGGTCGTAAGCACACTATGGTCAATATACTCCTGTAAGGGGAACCGGGCTTCCTTCTTCATGAGATCTGTCCATTTCTCATCATAGTATTTGATATAGACCGATGCAGCCATGTTTGTCTGCCGTAAGTACGATCCGGCCTGCGTGAGTGCAAGAGGTAGTCCGTCCAACCGTTCGATGATCAAGCCTGCGTCTTTATGTCACATCGCGTCAAGGTCAGCCGTGCTTCGAAAATGCCTTATGACGGCCTTACTCACCATGAACCGGCCTCCCAGCATTGTTCTCTATGATTGCTATTGCCTGTTGGTCGTTGACTTTCTCTAGCTTAAAGCTACCACTGCCGATACGTGTGAGAGTTTCTAACCGGCTGGTGATTAGGATTGATCCATGATCAGCTTGGGGAAGGTACTCTTTCAGATCGTACGCCTCGGAGTCTCTCTCGTTCCAACAATGGTCGTATTCCACATTATCGATGATCAGCAGCCACCGTTGATTAGATGGCAAGGCCAACCATTGAAGGACGCCCTTTCCTATAATATCAGCACTAATTTTTGACTGCTGCAAGGCCTCGGGGATGTTTGCCGTCAGTTGGCCTTGAGGTAACCTGTACGCAGCATCCACAAACGATTGCCGTAGTTTGTCTTTGGACGATCCATCCAGCCAGAACACCGCGCTGAATTTTCTCTGATGCTTGCGAGCGAACTCGACGGCTAGCTGTGTCTTGCCGATGCCACCGAGCCCATAGATAACAAATAATTTGCGAGAGGTAGGGTCGAGGCTCTCTGGACGGAAAAATTCTTCGAGGCACGACATCTCTACATCGCGTGGCACAAATTGATTTACTAAGGGGAGTCCCCTAAGACTGAACGCAACCTTATGTTCCTCACCTGTGCTCGTGATGTGTTAGATAACTCTGAGAACCGGCATATGAGAAAGCAGAAGCAACACGACTTAAACTAAAACCCTATTGGGAGTGATCTCAGTGCCTGAGAGTAGAGACTTACTGATCTTGACAACGGTTGAGGTTTTTGTGATCTGGCTCACAGGGATCACGGAAAGGAGTTCTTTAGCATATGCTGCTGCTGTTGCTGCTGCGTAGCGCTGCCATTGTTTGTTCTTATGTGAATCTGCGTAATCGCAGATTCCCCGAATGATCAGACACGGAAAGGAGTCCATCAATCCGGCAGCCTCCATTTCAAAACAGAGGATACCGAGCTGTTGGGCCAACTTATCTCTTGTACCTCCATGCTTCATTACTTGGTTGCCAGACGCGATCAGCCCGTAGTGAATCACAGGATCATTTCCATCTCGAGAAGATCGAGTCACGAGTTTGCTCGAGTCACAGTTATCACAGGCACCTTCTGGGTCGATATGCTCGTATTGAGCTTCGAACAACCGGTCTTGCTGTCGACCGGGATATGAGGACTCCGGTATCATTGTAGGATATTTGGCTACCATCTCAGACAGGTACTCCGGTATCCGGCTGGGCTTCAGCCTATGATACGCTTGCAGCTTAGAAATCGCTGTTAAGAGTTCTTGAGGCGGCTTATTCAACGTTCCGGTATGTTTGAAGCCTCCTTCCCCGACGGTTTTGCCATAATCATATTGTACTACTCCCCCGAAGCTCTCTGTAGGTTTGCTAACCACGACATCACCGAGGCGAATATCGGCGTGTTCATGAGGTACTCCTCCTCCGATGCCCACCATCAAGCCGATACGTATCGACCTGAAGCTAGACAGCATCTGATTTGCTACTGCAGCGGCAGATGTCGTACCATAGACGCCTGAAGGCAAGCAGGCAACGACAACATTGTGAACACCTATCTTCCCCAGCATATAGGTGTTATGATCGTTTGGATAGTTGTGCAAGTCAGGGTGGATATCATCCAACATGGCTATAGCCGCAGTCATCTCCAGGGGAAGGGCGCAGATCCACCCAACCGTATAGTCGTTATGAGAGAACGTACTCGCAGTAGCCCTACGAGGAAGTCCTTGTCCCTCTTCATAACCAAGATTCAGCTTCCCTCGCTTAGGCGCATTAGATCCTTGGCTATCTTCAAGCCCGCGCTTTGTCCCGGACATCCTGCGATCAATTCGCAAAGACTATTAAGCCTGTTTGTATTTGTAAGTTGTAGATCTTAAGCCGGTGATAATATCACAGTTTCGTGTGCTTGTTAAATCAAAACATTGGTCCTCGTCTTATGTCGTAGAACCAGTATCGGCGGACTTGAATTTTAGACATACTTACTGTTTGCTTCGAAAGTAGTCGACGTCCTGTTCGGACACGGAACTTGTTTGAGAGCCGAAATAAGGCACGAGTCGCTAACACCAGGTCTAAAGCTCATATTTTGGAGGGGGGGGATGTCTTGTTATGTTAGGATAATGAACGTTTGTTGTCATGAGTGTGGGGGCCATTGTATCGGTGGCTAAGAACACATTGCACCTGTGACCCATACGTAATTGCTTCATGCATTGTATCCTTTTCAGCTCAGTCATATCCTGCTTCGAAACGCGATTAACGTGCAATGCCCTTAATCGACTGACACAGTTGGTGCCTAATGCATCCTTTTTGGGCAGACTTTACCAAGCGGGTCCCCGTTCTTTTACGTCAAGAAATTGTGGGAACCTTCCAAAAAAGAGGATTTGTCCGTGAGATTGTAGAAATTGTAGTCCATTATTGTGGGCCGCGCTGTCCCACAAAATGCTGAATATCGAATTGCGGTGGCCTGCGGCATGGGTGTGCAATATTCTCAAATTCCATTAAAAGGCAACCTGGCTCACCGCTATTTAACGTACAACTTGCCGGTAAGGCGGAATCCGGCCTTGGCGACGGCCCGTCACACCAGGAGATCCATAGGTTGGCCAGCCGGACAGCCGCGACTCACGAGAGAGAAGTGACACAGCCGACAATGTAGCCAGAAGGCTAATATGGACGGAAGCTACTATCTATCAGGGTGCGACCATTTTTATTAAAACTAGGACCAGGCTACCTTAAGCTGCGTGGCCAACAGTCAATTAACTGACATAATCGCCAGCCTGACCGATTGACTGATGTCGAGTTGCTTGCCTGATTGACTGGACTGATGAAATCCGCGGCCTGATTGAAAGTTTAGTCAGTTAACTGACATAAAATCCTAGGAGACAAGATTTCCAGCTATCCACTGGATCTGATGAAATACCACAGCCCATCGGATCCAATCAGTAGATTATCTCGACGTCAAGGCTTGTCCGTTCACGCTCGGTTACGAACTATCTCGAGCGTGATTAGTAGAGCTTCTCTGGGTGGTCCACAGATTGGATCCGATGGGCGACAGGGGGGCTTCATCGGATCCAATCCATAAACCACGAGTGGGAGCCCCTCGAGAGGCACATGGTCCACGGATTGGATCCGATGAGGTGATGCCGAAAAATATTTAATTCGATAATGGATATTTCGGAAAAAAGTTAACGTAAATCACCACGTGATGACCGCTTGCACTTAATGACCGCTTTTTCCAATTCCGACCACCCAACTTCAAGTTGGCATACGACAACCAATACGTATCTAATTAAATCACCTCTTACGGCATAAGTAAAGCAGTGTAATAGCATACGATTAGCACTATTTTCAACTATCGAAATCGAGTAGGTAGTCGAACAGCACGCCCGAAGCGCCCAGAATGCAAATCTGACCCCCTTAAGTCTTTTTCTGCGCGTACGACTATTAAAACCTCTTCTTCTTCTGAAACTGTAGGAGCTGAATGCTGTGCTGTTGTATAATTCGACTGGCTAGAAATAGTGTGCGAATTGTCTGCGTGTCGCCTGTGAGAAGCATTCGTACGTACCCTCTTCTTGGGCTGATCCATTTCGTCTTCTTTAAGTGTCCTTTTCTTTGACTGCACGATAGTATTTTTCCCTTCTTTGGCTCGCATGCGTTTCGCACGTCGTTCCTCTACTTCCTGTTTACGTTTCGCATCATTAGCAGCCTTTTCTGCTTTTCGAGCTTCTCGAATAGCCTTTCTTTCGGCCTTTTCACGTGCGAGCTCTTCTCGTGCGGCTTGTCGCGCCATTTGACGTTCTTTTTTTCTTTCCTCTGCTTCACGAGCTTTTTCAGCTCTTGATATAGCCTTCTGAAGTTTTTGGTCCTGTGCGGCAAGCTGGCGTTGACGCTGCTCGTCTTCTGCGGCAGCGATACGTTCACGAATTCTCGCTACTTTAGCGGGACTGAAAAAGCGCCCTTGACCTTCATTTTCACCCTCCTCGTACAAATGCATAGCTTTTCCACGTTTTCGTCTCTTTTTTTCATGAAGGACAGCCTTTCGTAGACCAGCGTTTTCATGTTGTACGATATCAAGGTCCGCCGCAAGCTTCTCGCCGGCGTGAAGTAGCACTACCGCATCAGGATGAATTTTTCCTTCATCTTGAAGACGACAAAACGTACGACGAAATGATCGCGAAGAACCTGGAGTTTTGTATGATTGAGTCTGAGATTGTTTTTCATTTGGTGGCGTTTGTTGTCGTATAACTGTTGAAATTACTCTTTGGGGGTTGAGCGGGTATAGACCTGCCTTTTCCCATGCGCTTCGTACGTTCTCTGCATGGAATGCCTTTCCCCACGCTTCATGAAATAAAGGCCAGAAGTCTCGTTTCGTAAGTCGTACCAAACCTTGACTCTCTGACAAGAGCCTATCAATCGCTTGCGAGTAGTATGTTGAGAGTGGTGAGTATAGCCCGACATCAAGTGGTTATAATCGATGAGTAGAATGCGGTGGGAGAACTGCGAGAAGTATGCGATTCGCATCCGCGTACTTAATGAATGGTAGATTGATATGACTACTATGTCCATCAACAATAAGTAAACGCCGGTCTCGTACGGAGGTCTTTTCTTTAGTTGCACGGTTAAAAACCTGACGAAGCTAGTCAAGACCTAATGTATCGTCGCTCCAACTATTCTTTGAGCATGCGAAGAACGCGCGATGCTTCAAATCGTTGAACTCGTCGAGCTAAGTGTTCTGAAGATCATACGACTCGCCTTGATAAATAAGGGCTGGTGGTAAATGCGATCCGTCTGCACAAATGGCTTCTACTAATGTAACGAATTCTCGACTCCCATCATGACTGGCGCCTACGAGTCGCTTGCTTTTCAGACTCTCAATTGATACAATACGCTTCTTCGTACGTGAGAAACCAATAAGAAAGCCCTTTTCATCAACATTATAGATATTATGCGGTTGAACATCGTCCTTCTTAAGCTTCTCACGAAGCTGATGTAGAACAGGATTAGCGTGCGAAACGCATACGAGAAGCATACATACGAGGTTAAAGAAATGTAGAAAATATTGAGAATTATCTGCAAGCTTACGCTTATGATCTATCGTACGAAGATAGACGCTTGCGAGTCGCGTGCGATATCGCTTGCAGAATCGAGCTGGCCAGTTTGGATCAAGGGTCGTACGTGCGATAGATTCGGCGATATTTTTCAAAATTTGAGGGGTGGGAGGGAAACCTCGATCATTTAGCTTATTCACATACTCAATAAGAGTCTTCTCTTGAGTGTCTGTAAGCTTTTTTCGAGTAGTAGAAGTAACAGCTTGAATTGTGCTTGTTTCACCTCGAAAGCGCTTCGACAGCGTTTCGCGTGCGACATCATATTTTCTAGCTGTTGCAGCAATATTTCTACGACTCTGAGATTTCAGATCATCAATCGCAGCTTCAATTCGAGCGTTGTGGTCCATTTTATGGCGATTTGAAGTTGGGCGGTCAGAATTGGAAAAAGCGGTCATTAAGTGCAATGTGGTTGTAGCGGCGGGAAGAGAATGTATGAACTAACTAAAACTATCTGCTGGGGGTGGCCGCTTTACTTATATGTATTTCGTAAACGAATGTAGCTTAGCGTGAGCCAGAATCCTTGGCAGAAATCCACAGCAAGCGGTCATCACGTGGTGATTTACGTTAATCCGACGACGGGTGGCTCGGAAAATGTTTGATCCGTTAGGGTGGTTTACTCATCGGATCCAATCCGTGGACCACGATACGATACGATATTCATACACCCTGTACGGGCTAAGCCCATAGGGGACTAGGTAATTACTACGCGCTACCTCCGTTCTCCACCGGTTCGTCTTAAGCCCGGCTATTAGATCCCTCGCCTTTACAAGACTGTTGCCCCTTTCGAGCCATCAACCCGGTCATCAAGAGCGTTTTCCTAAGTGTTACTGGTCGTTCAACGGTGCAGCAACTTCCGGGGTGCTGGCTCTCGCTCTCTCCTTTGGGGCAGCCATCTCTCTCATGAGTTCGTTTGCGGTCGTCCGGTGGCTTTTGCAAATTCAATCACTGCACGGATAACCTTCATATTCGCCTTCCACTTATCTCTTGGGCCGTCTAGCCTTTCGTTGAACCAACCTCCGAGGAGATAGGACACATCGCACCATCTCGTGATTACCGTTCGAATGTGATGATCACGCTCCACTGTCCATCGTGAGCACTCTACAAGAAAGTGTCGCACTGTTTCCGGTCGTTGGCACCATTCACATAACTTCGTGTCTACCGCCCCAATGCTGTAAAGGGCCCTGTTGAGACGACTTTTCCCCGTGCGTAGCTGTGCCACGATTTGAGCTTCTTCGCGCTTTAGACCGTCATAGATTCGTCGTGTATGCGTGCCTGGTAAGGTGCGATCCAACTGCTTCGTATATTGACCTTCGTGGCTGATTTCGAACTGGGTTCTCTCAACGTTTAGGAGTGTGTTCCCTTCTCGTAGAGCGGCCGACTTTACCATAGTAGCTGGGGGGATGTCTCGATCTAGTTCTGTCGCTTTCTGCGCGTGCTTGTGTGCCAATTCGCTACCCAGAGTGTCTGTGTATTTAGGGACCCATCGCAACACGATTCGTGAAGTCCATCGCTGAGAGAACCGCTGAAGCCGCAGTAGGATGTCTCGCACTATCGCTTGCCCACTCTGTTGTCGTGGTTTCGCCAGCACCCGAAGCGCTGACTGACTGTTGCTAAAGATGGTCACAACCTTTCTGGGGGGAATGTCGTGACCTAGCCACAGTGCGTCCACTAACTGACATGCTTCTCGAATAGCCACCAATTCACCGTAATGTACGCTTAACGTCGAGGACGATCCAATGGTTCTGCTGATCATGTTGGGAGCTGCCGACGATAAGTGCGCCACGCCGATACCAACTCTTTCTTGTCGACACGACGCGTCCGTAAATATAGCATGCTCTAGGCTCGTTCGACTCGCCAGCTCCTCCGCTTTTTCCCCGTTCGTGAACGTAGACACGAGCTCGTGGCAGCCAGGACGCTACACAAAATGGTTCGATACACTCCAAGCGAGTGGCGTCCAGTTTCAGGGTCTCCGCTATTCGTCGTAGTGGCGATACGAAGCGTGGCTGATTTTGATCCATGATCTTTCTAATCCTCCAGAATGGGTGTGACGACGGGAGAGTATGTAGATCCACCCAGAACCGCCGTAGTTGATCCGTCCATCGATTTACCACCGATTTCAGTGACGCCTCGACTTCTGCGATCGGAAGCGCAATGGTTCGAAAGCCGGCAATGATGGAGATTGCTGCTATACGCTGAATTTGTTCGGCCGCCCGCACCGTTTTGGTCGATGCGTTAATGGACCACACCGGTGATGCATAATCCACTACTGGGGTTACCGTCGACGTGTAGAGTTGTCGTGCCGTGCTAGGCCGTAATCCGCGAAGCTGTTTTAATGCCATCACTGCCTGCATACCTCGTTTAGCCACTCGTACCGCGTGAACGTGATATCTTAGTCCCTGATCCATGATCACCCCAAGGATCTTGACATGTGGCACCTCGTCGACTAGCACCCCCTTTATACGTAATGGCGTCGACTCTCCTAATCGCCGTGCTGTTCTCGTGAAGTGGATCAACGCTGTCTTCTCCGATGCGAATGTCGCGCCGCTAGTGGCCTCCCATACTTCCACCTGCGGGATCACTTCCGCTTGGAGTCTCTCTATATTCGCTCGCGCATTAGGCCCTGTAACCCACGCATTAAAGTCGTCGACAAAGGCGATCGCCCCTCTCGTCTTCGTAATGGGAGTTTGAGCTAGGCCCGCATTGAAGAATAATAACAGAATTGGTGACAATGGTGAGCCTTGGGGAAGGCCTGCCTGAGGAAGGTCCGTCATGTCTGAAGTTTCACCATTAACAGTGACACACGCTTGTCGATTCGAGCAGAACGCCTCCACCCATCGTACGAGTATTTCTGGAATCTGGCGTTCCCGTAAGCGCTGGAGGAGAACCGCTCGATTAACCCCATTGTACGCCCCCTTAACGTCAAAACTGACAAGACTAAGTACTTTCCGGTCCCGCCATGCCTCATTGATCTTTTCCTGCAGGAGGGTCAGCGCTTGTATCGTGGACCGACGTTTCCGAGCTCCGAATTGATTCTTCGGTAAAAGGGAGTGTGTCTCGGCAAGGTATGAGAGTCTCTCGGCGACGACCGATTCAAGTGCCTTCGCTAAAGTGGGTAGAAGGGAGATCGTCGATAGGCTTTGGCCACCGTGTAGTCTGGTTTATGTAACAACAGTACTGATAGAGGGTGTGGGGAGAGGGATCATAAATCGTTGCGAGCGTACAAGGTAGGGTGTGGAATGGCAAAGTACTGAAACCTGTCTCTATCTAAGGGTTCGAAGGCTCTTCTTATACCTTCGATCCGTTCATCTTCCTGCCTCCTTTCCAACGCCCAGCCCCCTTCCTGCCACCTTCGCAGTGGCTAGGAATTCGTGGCGTGATAGGTGTTACATTTATCAGGTTTTCGAAGCGGTAGTATCTTTGCCTTTTTCCAGGCTTGGGGGATTGTGCCTGTTCGTAGAGACGCATCGAAAAGGCGAAAGATCCATTTCCCTACTACGGGCCATAGTTCCTTCCACACTATTGCCGGGATTTCATCAATACCGGGCGCGTTGTACGGTGGTGCTCGAAGGATTGCGTCCTTTACTTCGTCGATAGTCAGCTGCTGCCACGGAAGTTGTGTCGCTAGTGGTGACGAGGTGTCGATGTTGCTTGTCCGCGCCTCTCTCGTGCCTTCGAAGAATTCCTGAAGAAGGGTTCGACCTAGCTCTTTATTGTCTTCGATCGTACGGTTCCGGTCTTTTAGGTGAGAGATTTTGTGAAACCCTCCACTCCCATCCGGTTGAAGGTATTTAGCGGCCTTCCAAATGTTGTCTGTATTCTGCAGGAATTCGTCCCAATGGCACTTCTTCTGTCGTTTAGCCGTGTTGTGGAAGTTTTTCTTCGCCTCTTTTGCCCGAGATTCAAGGGCAGGGTCTGGTCTCCCGGATCGTCGTGCACTTCGAGCCCGATTCCGAAGCTGCGTGTATTCCCGTCGGAGGTGTGTTAAATCTAGCGTCCACCATCGCTTCGTGTACGCTGAGGGCTTCGCCGTGGGGACGTGTTTTTCCAATGTTTGCTGTACTATTCGAGCCAATTCGTTCGCTTGAGTGTCTATTTCTTCCTTTTCGATCGTCTCGGGTGGAGGTTTTATATTCTGTGCCACCATGGTACGAATGAGCTTCCAGTCTGCTTTCTTGAACACTCGTCGAGGATGCTGGACCGAGACCGGTATATCAATGGCGAAGGTCGTGCTGATGGCTACATGGTCCGACCCATGTTCGGTGTGGTAAGGTTGGCATGTTAGTCGGTCCTCCGCCAGGCCCTCACTGGTGAGCATCAGATCGATCGTAGTATCGCCCTGTTCACTCTCATATGTAATCGTCCCGCGTGGGAGGAGTGATTGGAGGCCTAAGTCCGCCATCATGTCTGTAATTTCTTGCGCTTCACCTTGTCTTCCCGTGGTCCCAACCTCATCGCCACCCCATAGTTGGTCGTGTCGATTGAAGTCGCCGGCGATAATCAATTCATAGCCCTGGCCTCGGCTCCTGACCGTGTCCCTAATAAGTTTCGTGGTTCTCTTCAGAGCTTCTTGGTCATTCCCCGGTACGTATATCGCCATCACTAAAAACCGGCGGTCGTTAATCCTAAATTGTACCGCCGCTATATCCGCCGACGGGATGGCGACCACCTGCGCTCGGACGCCTACCCGTACGTAGATGAGGGAGCGGATAGGGTGCCGCGCGTTCGATCTTGACTGAGCCGGCAGGAATTGAGTCCAGTTTGGATGGTTCGTTGGCGGTGCCACCGCTCTTTTCTCATCACTCGTAAAGCACGCCGACTCCGAGATCATTAGGAGATCGTAGTCCTTTAAGCCCTCGTCGTTAAGTAGACTGTGTTGCGCCATCGGTCTTTTGCCCAGGTTCGCTTGTAGCACTTTGAAAGTTTTACCCATGATGTGCGACGGGGTTAAGCCGGCGTAGCAATGCAAGGTACGTTGGACATGCGCGATCTGTGGCCTTGTGTGGTCCCTGACAAGCCGCACATCGAATATTGTTGGATACGCATTCTTGTGCCGTGTGGCCTGTTTGAGCGCAGTTCCCGCAGACTACCACCGCTGCCTTACATCTCACTTCGAGATGTCCATATTGGTGGCACTTGAAGCATCTCGTAGGTCCGTTGCGTCGTTCGTACGGTTTCGTGTATGCCATTTCTCCCCTAAAATCCATCATACCCCTTCGAAGAAGAGCCTCTGCATCTTTATGATCGGCCAAATACACTACCACCGATCCGTAGACCTTCTCTGATGGTTTACTAAGCCAGCGGATGCGCTGAATCCGAACTTTGGTTTCCTTTTGCAACTGCTTCAATGGCCTCGGAGGATATATCGTGTGTATCCGTGGGGCATATGCTGTGTCGATAAACTCGGTCGACTTTGATTGGGTGCCATTGTTCACCAAGCATGCGGGCTCCTTGGAATCGTGGTTTCGAACACCTTGTGCTTGTCCTGCTGATTGAAAGCGTAAGCTTTCTTTTAAATCCCGACCTCCCCGCACGTGACCTGACCATGCGCGGAAAAAAACCCACGTGATCAAAAAAAAAACAGTAACGTGACTTCGCGACCCCCCCGGGTCCAGTTTCCGGGCGCGTGTCGAGCGCGTGCCTGTGTAAACGAGTTTTCTGGAGGAGGGAGGAGCTTTCATCGGATCCAGTATACGGTCAAAAACTCGAATTCGACACTATATTCCACGGTCTAGAGGGAGATGTGCAGACGGGGCAGCCGGCGCGAGCATGGCTATTAACGCGGCTGGCCCAACAACACCACCGCGGTTGCCTACCACAGCACCATCTGCACCTGCGCCCGCTCGACACACGAGCCGACAAAAGGCAAAGGCACCTCGCGTCAGAGCGGCCACCGAGAACGAGCTCGAGACCACCAATAACGCACGCGAAGAGGCGGAAAACACGGAGTACCAACCGGACACATACATTACGATGATATCAAGTGTACTAGGCCCGGTAGCGAGGAAGCTGGAAACACTTGGTGAACACGTGGAGGGGCTGAATAACAATATCGGGACGAATAACACCAAGACGCACGCACTCGAGAAACAAATCATGTCATTCCTCACGACGGTCAAAAACAATGAAGCCTTAACCAGAACACTACTAGAGGCCAGCAAATGGAGCGAGACATGCACGGCGGAGTTATGGACAAGAATAGTAAAGCTGGAGTCTCAGAACAACACACTCCTCGAGGTCATCAAACATAATGAAACAACAATGGCAAAACTAGAGATGCAAAACAAAGTCCTCCTCGAGGCGGTTAAACAATACGAAGTCAGAGTGGCTAAATTAGAAGCGCAAAACAACTCCCTCCTTGAGACGGTGAAGAAATCAGCAACAGAACAGGCCAAAACCACGGAGAGTTGGGCGCGCGTAGTGGCTAGAACTTCACCCCAGTCAGGAGCCACACTATCGCCCCAGCATCATACCCTTCTATCCCAAGCAACTCATTGAATCCTCATAGCTCCATCTCGCAAACTTCGGAAACACTACAAACATCCATCGTCCTCGACCTATCAAACACCCGCCGATCGAGTGGAAGATTTTACACAACTAAAAGAGAAGATCAACTAGGGGTCGCGGACAGGATATTCCGCGGGGGGTGAAAGCGTAGCTTTGTCTTTTGGGGGCAAGCCCCCAAACCCCCGGCCTGGGAATGTATCGGGAGAGCGACCGCCCACAGCGAATCGCGTACAACAGCGACCTTACTAAACACCAATTGAGCCTAGTTGTGCGAACGTTGTCCGCACGATGGAAAGGTACCTAAAAACCCACCATGTTCCTAGGGGTTTGAGGTACCTGTCCATCCACCTTGCCTCCCCCGCATAGTTGGCGCCTTTTGGTGTTCTTTCAACGACGTCGTTAACAGTCTCTTGCCCTCACGCCCTTTTTGGGGAATGTATCCTTAAGCTCGATTTGGCATAGTAGATGGAAAGGCGCAACCAATGATGTAAAGGTACCCAACAAACCCCCCCAGGTACCAAAACATCAAAATTGAGGTACTCACATACCTTTGGAATTTGCGAGCTCTTTACCTTATTGTTGCTCGATTCGCGATTTGTATAGACGATAGAAAAGCTTCATAGACAACAGAGACACCCTGACACGCAACAACGCCGAAATCGAGTGCAGAAGGCTGTCAAAGGGCTTAACGACGTCCTTCAATGAACGCCAAAAAGCGCTAACTATGCGAAGGAGACAAATTGGATGGACAGGTACCTCAAACCCCTAGGAAAATGGGGAGTGTTTCAGGTACCTTTCCACCATGCGGACAACGTTCGCACAACTAGGCTCAATTGGTGTTTAGTAAGGTCGCTGTTGTACGCGATTCGCTGTGGGTGGTCGCTCTCCCGATACATTCCCCCCGGCCTCGCTGCGCTCGAGAGATCACGTGACTGAGCCGGCCACATTGGCCTTGGCAACTCTTGGCGGCGCACACATGCGTAATTGCGACCCCTCGGGATCCGGAAAATCTATAATCCGACGACTCTGGCACCATCGGATCCAGTCTACGGGCAACCGCCAGGCCCTCGTGTCACGTGATTAGCCAAGCCTCCGGAAAATCTATAATCCGAGGATTACGTAATCCTGTGGTTGACCTCATCGGATCCAATCCACGGCCCACTCAGGAGAGTGCGTCGGAGCCCGGAAAATCTATAATCCGACAGCTAGTCACGTGCTCTAACTGACCAACCCCATCGGATCCAGTCCACGGCCCATCCAGGAGGGGGGGAATGCCGCCATAGCCCGGAAAATCTATAATCCGGCACCCAATCACGTGCTCTAATTGGCCAACCCCATCGGATCCAATCCACGGCCCACCCAGGAATGGGTAGAATGCCGCCTTTACCTGCCAGACCTCCCTGATCGGATCCAGTCTATGGATCACGTGTGGACGATGTTGATCACGGTGTCCTATGCCGTACGATATCCTCCATCGGATCCAGTCTATGGACCGTGTGTAGACGATGTTGATCACGGTGTCCTGTGCCGTACGATTCATGGCTCATGAAGTAGACGACGGTATACCCAATTAGGAAAGCCGACAACCATATCCGCGATATATCTAGCAAATATCGATACATGGGGCTTAGATATCGACAATGAGATCGGCATCTGCTATAACAACTGGTTCGTTCTCCATATGTAGTCTAAGTCCCGGTCTTGGGACGTGGCAGTATTTGCCCTCTTGAAGTGGTCCAAATCAAAAGGCCCCTCAAACAACAACCCGTCTAAAGTCTTCACCCGTGATACCGCTACATATGACAGGCCGAGGCAGTGCTCTGTTTGACTCAAATCTAGAACTACCCTCGGTAGGGTTAGGCCCTGGCTTTTATGAACCGTTATCGCATAGGATAACCGGACGGGAAGCTGAGTACGGGAGCATGGTATCCCTTGGAAATCAAACTGACGATTAACAGGAAAGATGGGGACGACTCCTGGGTCACATTGGGGGAAATTGGGGCCGGTGTAACTGTCAAACTTGACGAGTAAGAACGGGATCGACGAAAGATCCTGGCCTTCCTGCCAGGCCATATCTTGAATGCAACCCATCGATCCATTCACCAGTCCTAATTCGGTCCAGAGATTTGTCGTGAGCATCACGCGGGCCTGAATACAGAGCTGGAGTTCCGGGCAGAGGTTGTCGGCCTCGTCCTCCGATGCCTTGGCGGCATTTCGGCCCTTATGCCGGGCCAGAACCTTCTTCACGGGCTGACCGACCCCGGACAGCTTCTTAGCATTCACCTCCTTCACCTCCGAATTGGTAAAGTATAGGCGTAGAGCCGAGTCAAAGGTGGCCACCTCCGTGGGGGACAGGTCATTTGCCATCCGCGTTCGTAAGAGTTCCCAACTCTCCTTGGATAACTGGGAGATTCGTAACTCACCTAATGCCCGCCGGAATCTGGTTGAGATATCCACCTCCCCTTGCTGCCGCAATATTTGGGTTAAGCGGAGCGTGCGATGGAATGCCTGGATGTAAGATCGGGATGGGAAGGCACGCGCTCGACACGCGTCAGGAAACCGGACCGGGGGTGCGCGAAGTCACGTTACCGCGCGTTTTTCTTTTTTTTTTTTTGGCCCATGGTAAGGTCACGTGCGGGGGGGTCGGAATTGAAAGCTTACGCTTTCAATGAATATCGTATCGTATCGTATCGTATACGATCGGGTGGGACCGGAGTTAGTGGTGTTTGTTTTCAATCACGTGATATGTGGCTTAGTATTGCCACGTGAGGAGTTTGGTTTGGCAATGTCGCAACTTGCACCCTTTCTACTTATTCAGTCTTGCTCTCTCGTTTAGATAGAATAAAAACATATCTCTTCTCTAGACTCCACAGTTTATTATAGCGTTTAGCAATATCGCTGTGATACGCGAGTCGTTATTGATTATCACTCTCCCGATGTATTCCCTGAGTAGCCGTTGTTAGCCAGAATAGGCAACGCTGGCTTGGCGTGTCGCCGCAAGCAGTGACACCTAAAGCAACTTGCACTTCTCGACCTTTCTACAGTCGTTCCCGAAACCGCCCTCCCCTTTGCACACACATTGCAACTTTCTCTCACAATATGCTAGGGATATAAGTGGGTCACGCTTTCCCAAATCTGCAATAGTCTAAATACTCCAACTACGAATCACCAACGAGCGAATTTTATCATGGTATTCCTGATACCGTACGTGTCTTGGAAAAGAACTCCGGTAATAAATTAGCAGATCGTTCTAGCATGTTATGTATTAACGAGACCTAAGAGCGGCAACTGAATATATGTGGAGATGTTCAACCGGTTCCGCCCTGAACCACATCTTCCCAACTGACTTTCAGCTGTTGGATTGATACTTTGCTCCATCTTGAAGTGGATGCTACTACAGCATGAAAGAATCTAGGCTATATAGCTCGATCATTGCTTCTGGTTGATGTTTTATGAGAGGTTTGGATTTCACCCAGCAAAAGGCTGACAACGGTCGATCATTAAGCTGCAAATGCGAGCTGCCAATTCGCGCTATGCGCTTGCCCGTAAATTGTTGACGTCTTGAATATTTTTTGAGGTAGAGCACTCCGAACTCGTCGGGGGATCCCTTTGACCCTGACAACCATTGAAGACACCACAGGAAATTGTGGTCGACCACCCTTGATTTCGAACACCTTCTCTGGCCTTCTATCGCGTTTCGCTGCCTACGCTTCCCCGATTTCAGCGGTCATACTGCACAACATTTCGTGTATTCCCAATCCCATTCTCAAAGGTCTCTAATATGTATCGTCGCTCTTTTATTCTCGGCTTCGCAGAACCATTGTTGCGGAAGCTTCAGCACCTCTTGCCATCCCAGCACGATGCCGACGAATTAAGAGCACCGTCCTTATACTCGATGCGGCCTCGAAGAGAGCTCCAGAGGAGGTCAGGAGACGCTGAGTGCTTCGAGTGACTCCTAGCTGTGAAGTATTGCATGGCGCGTGCCGTTGCACAGCCGGGGACTTTAGATTGAATGTCACATTTTCTAAGGTATTTATCCCTTTCGGTACGTGGATTGCCGGCAGTTGACCCTCTCCCGATGTATTAGCGGGCAGAGTGCCGTCAGTTGAAGGTGAACGATTATCGCTGAACCCGCTCTCGTCCTTTGCTGTTTGCTTCGCTTGCTTGTGAGCGGGAGAATCAAAAGGGAGCTCCTGTGAACCTCTGCGCTTCTCAGATCCACGTACTTTGACATTCTGCTCTACAGAGGCAGAAGTTGGCCTAGAACTTGTCCTCGGACCTTCGGATCCCCCATGACAGATCGGCGAGGTGGGAGGCGAAAAATGCTGAAGGCTAGAGCAGGGGCCTCTCAACTTCGTCGGCCACGCCGCTGTCCCAGTATCATCTTAGCCCTTATCGAAGGATTACCAGATGTGCTTTTCGTTTGATGACGCTGTTAGAAGTCGGGCCTACATCTGGTTTACTGACAAGAAACAGCAGAGACATATGACCATCGGTCCCCCACCAGAAATTAACGACGAAAACCTAACGAAGACTAATCGAGTTGAATAAAGCTGACTTGGCCAGATCTCAGGCCTAAGGCAAATGTATTACCATAAAATGCAGAACAAACATTGCGATACTCGTGTGGAAGCCAGAGAAGGTTGTAATCACCTTGTTGGACCCAATCATTTCTAATCATGATAGTTGTAGGAGCGAAAGATCTGCGAGTATTAGATTCGTTGTTAAGAGATAGAGCTCCTCGGTCAACAAGCAAAGTCTTGCTGTCGCTTGTAAAACTGATGGTCCTGGTCCAGCTTCCTGGCTCATAGTCGAATTTCTGCACTTCTTGGCCCGTCGTTGGATTCCACAGCTTGATGGTGTTATCCGTCGACATAGAAGCGAGCAATGAGCCGTCCGAGGAGAAGGCCACCGCCTCCACAAGACTAGTGTGTCCTTTGAGTGTCTGCACCTCTTGGCCCGTCGTCGGATTCCATAGTCTGATCGTCTTATCGTATGAAGCAGATGCAAGCAGCAAGCCGTTGTGAGAGAATGCCACCGCGAACACAGAATCAGTGTGTCCTTCGAGCCTCTGCACTTCTTGGCCCGTCGTCGGATTCCACAGCCTGACGGTCTGATCGTGTGATGCAGAAGCGAGCAATGAGGAATCTGAGGAGAATGTCACCGCACTCACCCAACTGGTGTGTCCTTTGAGCGTCTGTAATTCCCGGTTCGTCATCGGATTCCACAGCCTGACAGTCGCGTCATCTGGTACAGAAGCGAGCAATGAGCCGTCCGAGGAGAAGGATACCGCATATTCAGACTTAGTGTGTCTTTCGAGTTTCTGCACTTCTTGACCCGTCGTCGGATTCCATAGCCTAATGGGTTGATCGTATGATGTAGTGGCGATTAATGAGCAGTTCGAGGAGAAGATCACACGGGTTAGAGGGCTAATGTCTCCTTTGAGCGTCTGCACTTCTTGACCCGTCGTCGGATTCCACAGCCTGACGGTTCGATCCTCTGATGTCGAAGCGAGAAGTGAGCCGTTCGAAGAGAAGGCCACCGAGATCACGTGATCAGAGTGTCCTTGGGGCACTTCTTGGCCTGTCGTCGGATTCCACAGCCTGACTGTCTTATCGTATGATGCAGAAGCGAGCAATGAGCCGTCCGAGGAGAAGGCTACCGCGTTCACACACTGAGTGTGTCCTTTGAGCGTCTGTAGTTCCCGGCCCGTCATCGGATTCCACAGCCTGACGGTCTCATCTTCTGATGCAGATGCGAGCAACGAGCTGTCCGAGGAGAAGGCCACCGCGGTCACATAACCAGTGTGTCCTTCGAGTGTCTGCACTTCTTGACCCGTTGTCAGATTCCATAACCTGACGGTCCCATCGTATGATGCAGATGCGAGCAGTAAGCCGTTGTAGGAAAATGCCACCGCTAACACAGAATCAGTGTGTTCGAGCCTCTGCACTTCTTGGCCCGTCGTCGGATTCCACAGCCTGACGGTCTGATCGTGTGATGCAGAAGCGAACAATGAGTCGTCCGGGGAGAAGGCCACCGCCTCCAGAAAACTAGTGTGTCCTTCGAGCCTCTGCACTTCTTGGCCCGTCGCCGGATTCCACAGCCTGAGAGTCTCGTCTTCTGATGCAGAAGCGAGGAATGAGCAGTCCGAGGAGAAGGCCACCGTCTCCACAGACTTAGTGTGTCCCTCGAGCTTCTGCACTTCTTGGCCCGTTGCCGGATTCCACAGCCTGACGGTCATATCCCCTGATGCAGATGCGAGCAATGAGCCGTCCGAGGAGAAGGTCACCGCGTTCACATGACTAGTGTGTCCTTCGAGTGTCTGCACCTCTTGGCCCGTCGTCGGATTCCATAGTCTGACCGTCTTATCGTATGAAGCAGATGCAAGCAGCAAGCCGTTGGGGGAGAATGTCACCGCGAACACAGGATCAGTGTGTCCTTCTAGCGTCTGTAGCTTCGGACCCCACATCGTTGGAGTGATTGGACACCTCCGTATCCATGCCGGGAACCGGCCACAGATCTTCCTTACTATACTGGTCTGCGGCGCGAAAACCATCGCCGACGAATAAATCTGAAGTGGTGCAATATCAGCGATATAACGATTAATAAGGACAACTCGTCGCGCGTCGTCAAGAAAGGATGACAAGTGAGTTGAATCGCTTTTCTACCCCCGTATATATTAGAACTAATCACCTCTGAGAAATTCCTCCTAAAATCCACTTACCGACGTAAGTGACTGTAATACGCTCACCTGTCCGATGACTTCGGCGATCCTATTCATTAGACTCAGAGCTTCGAGCCAGTGCAGGAAATGTCTCCGCAAGAACACGTGTACTATATCATCGTCGTGAATCCGAACAATGCTATGCTGGACATGGTGTACCCAGTACCGGCATGCGTACTGAAAAGCGGGTGACAGGCGTTGATCGATTATCGTCGAGTCAATCTCTCGTCGTGATTGACCAGGATACGAGAGGCTACACAAATTCTCTCGTAGACCGTTTGTCCCTGACAGCAATGCTAGACATTTAGTTAAAAGCATCTGATGCGTGCCCGGGCCGTCCACTCTAAAAGACTGATCCCGAAGCTTGTCGCCTAACAGGAATTCGCTGAAGGACAGATGAAGGGTTCGAATCGGTGTCGCAAAGTCGGCGGGAACGCGCAAAACAGAACGCAGTGGATGTATGCGGTCCCAAATATTACCTTGTGACACCTGAAGTAGATCGCTAAGGGATGCGATAGAAAGCGGCTCGGCAAGGACAACGATAGATCCGACAATTGTCCGGAATTCTTGATAGAGCGGCTCTGCGTCACGTGGGTCACTCAGCGTTGCTGATAGTTGCCGGAGCACGGGAAGGTACGTCTGCTCCATTTGGGATGTCGCTCCTATGCCTTTTGATTCTAAGAGCTTCTCAAGCCTTGTTCGAGGGTTCCAGTTCAAATCACTAAGAAAGCGACACACAGTCGCTGCAACGATGAACAAAGGGACCGCCATGTCGGCTAAAGCCTGGAGGGATCCACGGCCAGGCCAGTCTGGGTTCAAAGCGATACTTGAAGGTCGGTCTCGGTTATAATTTTCTCGGATCTTTGAAAACTCATCTTCCAAGAAGACCAAGATATCGTTCTGAATCGTTGCTCGCGGAACTTCCTCGTGGAGAACTATATCCTGATAGGTATCGATCGGTACAGTCTTGATTCCTTGTAGAATAGGCACATCTGGCCGGCTAGTTATGAAGAGTCTGAGGTGAATAGTCGTGATATAAGGCAGTCGAGACCATAGATCGATAATGGCTTTGATGTCACGTGCCTTTTCACACTCGTCCAGAGCATCCACCACTACTATAAAGATCGAGCAGCCACCGGTATTGAGGTTGACTTTTTGCAATGGATGATAAATTAACTTGTCGAATTGTTCTCCCAATGCCTTATCAAAAATGGAAGGATCGGAATCAATAACTTCTGCGATCAGACTATCCAGTCCGGGTATTTTGAGCACGAGATCTCGGACGACGGTAGGAAAGAATCGTGAGGCATTTCCTCGGTCGCCTTCACCTCGTTTGAAAAAGAAGCTGGCACCGAGAACAACACTACCAAGGTGATCTTGCTCGGTCAACCACTTCGCGAAAGTCCGAGAGACCGTCGACTTGCCCGTACCCGCAGCGCCGCTGAGCCAGAAGATACTCTTGCTGCGGAGTTGTTGAGCCCAATCCTGAATTTGATGGAGTAGATCGACTCGAGTAGCAGGATGGCAGGTAATGTCATCGTCCTCATAGGAGTTATACATTGCTCCTTTAGCATACGGTATCTTCCTCAAGTCCAGCTTAAGCGATTCTATACGGTGCTGTTAGTGTAATAGTAGATTAAGATTAAGGAAAGATCTGGTAAGCACAAAACCGTAGTAATGAGTGAAACACTTACTCCTTGAAGACCTATCGATCTCCTCCTTAAGCCGAATGAACGCGTTCTCTCCCTCTCCATATATGAGAGGTATAAAGACGTCAAAGATCCCAAGGAGACAGTACGCCTTATCCTCTTTTCTTTTAGTTTTCCGTTTTTCTGTCCATCGCATCCGCCTATCGACACTAAAATCAGATAAAGGGGCTCCACGAAGAGCCGCAATCGGAATTTCCGTAATCTCGTGGATTTCCTGCTCAAGCGAATTCCTATCACCCAGCCGATCTCCTTCTCGCGAATAGAACTCGACTAATTTCGGAGCAATCAGTTCTTGAAGTGTCCAGCCCCGTGTGAACCATCTGCTTTTCCGAAAAGCGGATTCCCACGTCCGCCCACTCTGACTGTTATCGCGTTTGCGAGCCGAAACGTCTGACAGGTACACGTAGCATATTACTGCATGACGGTACCAGCGAAACATTGAGGCAATAGCTTCGGAGAACTCGGTATGATTTGCTTTATCAATACAGCATGTGTCCACCCAGAAATATTGTAGGCCATCTTTGTGAGCTTGTTCCCCACAGAACTGAATTTTAATATAACCGGCCTTGCTCTTGCCAGATCCATTTTGTAGGTCGTTGAAAGTCACCTCATCGTCATCCGCTCCCCAAGTATGCGAAAGTATCGCGTAGCGGGGGATATCCTCGATCAAATTCTGGGTTAGGCTAAGCTCACCACGACTGCCAATTTTCACAAGGCGCATCGTCTTAAAGTTGATCCCAACACGTTGATTATACACTTGGTAGATAAGGATACAACAGTGAGCATTACTGGAGAATGCTTGATTACTTGTTGAGGCGTATATCGTGCGAACTGGGTTGCCTGAGGTAGGTTGTGTATAGGGAGGACGTGTGAGGAAGTTATCTCGCAATTGCAATCTGGATAGTTCAAGGTCATGGGTCGACTGCTATCGTGAGTGGAAAGACGGTTCTCGTGAGTCCGTAACTAACATAACTGGTTGAAGGTTTTCGCGGACACTTCACGTCCGCATAGACAGAACTGTCCAGATGAATGTAAGGGACGCATGTTGAAGGACGCTTAACCGGGCTGCAGTGCGGCTTAGAGTGGAAGCTTGGCAAGCATGCAGACAAGGCCTAGGCGCAGCTGAAATCGTGTACTGTGCACTCGACAAGGATAACTTTCGTTAGCTCTGCATTATGAGCACGTGATCTTAGACGTGCGGCTCCAGGCTGCGATAGCTGAAGCCTAACCAAGCGGCCCCCCACTATACTTCGGCATGTGGTTGTCGACAACGTAATCTATGATTTCCTGGGCTACAGATGCAGTATCGCGTGCCAAAAAGTCCTGGCATAACTCGAATTCGTCAAACCAAGCCACTGTAGCCACTTATATCGTTTGATAATTGACCCCAATTATCACAAATCGATCAGGCATTGTTGATTAAGGTATATCGTACGCGCTGCAGCTGCTCGATGTGAATCACAAAAGAATACTATGGGCGCGTAGCAGTCGCCGCACTACAGGTGTTAATCGGCCGCGGCCAGGTCTGCGCGCCTGGATTGGGTCATTGCAACTCGAAGGTTGGTAAGGCAGTCGAACGTGGTCACAGCAGCATTGCAGCGTGTAGGCTCAGTGCAGCGAGCCAGTTGCATCGGTAGGTCTGCTTGGGTGGAAGGACGTAGCATCTCTAAATTGTGCACAAAAGATAAGATGAAGACATTGCGTCTACAACAATGAGTCAATATATATCGTGCGATGTTTTCGATAAGATCAGCACCAGCCTGCGCCCAATGTGCGTGCCAACGAAGCTTCCCCTGACCAGATTGCGGATCAGCCGGCTAATTTAGGTGGAGGCGTCAACTGGGCCTAAATCGATACATCTCACGTTCCGCGTAATTGCCTACGAGTTAATCTTGACTTCACGACGGCAAGTCGCTGGTGTTCAATAAAATTCGAATACCTAACGCGACCGCTGCTTTTGAAGGTAGCCCATCCATCATACCCGATACTCCACAGTTAAAGGGAGATTTAAATAGGTCAGCCCAGAAAGTTGTGGTTACTGGTGACGTTTCCACGGAATGCCGGGGTAATTGCCGCTTTTAGGTCTTTTCCATACATACATGCTGGAACGGTCTGCTGATTTATTACCGGAGTTCTTTTCCAAGACACGTACGGTATCAGGAATACCATGATAAAATTCGCTCGTTGATGATTCGTAGTTGGTGTATTTAGACTATTACGGATTTGGGAAAGCGTGACCCACTTATATCCCTAGCATATTGTGAGAGAAAGTTGCAATGTGTGTACAAAGGGGAGGGCGGTTTCGGGAACGACTGTACCTAAACAACCACTTAATCTTCTCCCCATCAATCAATCAATTAATCATCCTCGTTGTCACCGACGAGTTCTCTACCGTGTATACTACACTGTTGCTCCCTCTACCCTCTTAACCAGATCGAAGACTCTACCTCCAACTTCGCGACCCCCTATTCCACGACAGTTCGCGTGCGCTTATCTTGAGCGAGTTTAAACTCTCCACAACCTACCTGCGAGTCGTCATCTCATACCATCTCCCTCGTTTAACCCTACTTCACGTCGATCATAATGAACGCTTCTAATCAGGAAGCTGGGCAAGACCCGAAGAGAATTCCTACAATTCAAGAGATGGAAAGTTGGAACGATGAGCAATTGCTCGAATGGATCCAGGAAATACAACCAAACATTTTCCGCAATAAGAAGGAGAACGTTTCGACATTCAAAGCGGCAGAAATCGATGGCTCTACCTTCTTGGATTATGCAGGGGATATAGACTTCTTCAGCAAAACTCAACTGCCCCCTGGAGTCTATGGTGCTCTTGCATCCCTTGCAAAAAAAGTTAAGAAACAGAGTAAGATTAGACTGGATATAACTCAGACACTAGCTAACAGTGTTAAGACGGTCAATCGGACCAGACAGCTGGCCAAAAGAGGAAAGGTAATTACGCCTTTGATGTACTATACGATAGCTAGCTAATGTCGTTACAGAGGATGAAACAGATTTATCTGACGGGTCGCCCATTTCGTCCAAAAGACGTCAAAAATATAAAGATAAAGAGGAAGAGGAAGATGAAGAGAAAGTCATACAATTAGCCACTGAAGCCAATAAGCGAAGAAAGGCCGTTAAGGATATAATTACTCAGATGAACGACTCTCCTGACCAGCACTCCGATTCTATCGATCCTCTCCCTGGAGCTATCGATAAACTTTCCGACCCCACATCAAATCACATACTCGACTTTCCATTTATCGATAGTATGCCAGAACGATTCAATGAGCTCAATATAGCTGAAGGAAAGTGGCTATATATGGGGAGAACGATGTTCAAAGACTTTCTCCACGAGGTAAAGGAAGTGCGAAAGAGTCAGGTTTATCGAAGATGTTGGCTCTATGGAACCCAGGGCTTTGGGAAGTCTCACCTTCTAGCCGCCCTTGTCTGCTACTTTGCTGCTCAAGATGAGCGAGTCGTCTATCTACCGGATTGCCGATGCCTGCTCGATGACCCTGTTTCCTACGTCAAATCAGCAATGCTGTTCGCTTGGGCCGACGATTTCACCACCCAGAAGAAGATTATGGCCCTACGCACTCAGGACCAGATCGAGAAATTCTTCAAGTATCAAGAAAATGTCATATTTGTCGTTGATCAGATGGATGCTTTAATAAGTGATGGTATTCCAAATAGGAAGATGGCCCTAACATTATATAACTGGATGATTCGTTTCGCTTTTTTCCATAAAGCAATTCTCAGTTTCTCTGCCAATTGTACGACGAACTTCGAGGTGTTCGGATATCAGACTCCGTGTCATGTGGTACGCGTCTATGGCGGTTTCAGTGAGGTAAGTGGCGTCAAATTTATGTCATAACGAGGTTTCTAACTTTGTTAGACGGAAATGAAGCAGTGGTGGAAGCAGCATCAAGATATTAAATTGGGAAAGTATTCCCGGAATAAGGTTGAAGACGTTACGGGCCGCATCCCATTGCTCTTAAACCAATGCATGGTGAATAGGGAGTTTGATTTAACGGCCCCCAAATTGATCCAAATCTCTGACGAATCTATGGCGTTTACGCAGCGAATCAAGTCTACTACTACGAAGTATGCTTGGGAGTGGTATGTTCGACTGATTGGATGCTTAGGATATTTCTGACTTTTCAGGTATTGCAACTACGTGAGAGCTTGCGTCCGTAACGAGCCTGTACCATATGAATGGAGGCAATTCCTCAAACTGATCGACCATCGATACTTTTATCATGATAAGGACGACGTTGGACGGTATACCTGCGGTTTAGTTCGTGACGCAGTAACAAATAAGCTTCTCGAGTTGGATGTCACTTTTATCGACATTTACTTTCTGAATTCATTGCCCAACTTTATCCACAATCGATCTGTCGTCGGGTTTATGGTGGAATACGCCATCCTCACATTCATCCGGTCACAAGGTTTAACGATTAGTAAATGGAATAGCAAAGGTATGGAGTTAAGCTTCTTTAAGACTCAACCCGATATTCAGTTCGATATCCGCGATCAGCCGATACTTTTTCGCCCCCAACAAACCAATTACAAGACGATAGATGGAATGATTGTCTTCATCAAGAACCCTAAAAGAACCGCAAAAGGGGAAAAGCCGACATTACTCCTCTTCCCCCTTCAGATCACAGTGGCCAAAAATCACTCGAATTCTTATCTAGGATTCTTGCATGAATACCGCCAGTGGGCCGAGCAACAACTATTGACGTTTAATATTAAATTAGAATTCCTCTGGATCACCCCAAATAGGAGCGGCGTCATACAACACCCACCTAATTCACCGTGGCCTAGACACCAAGAGCGTTATATTCCTTTCTCGGAGGTTAGCACAGATATCTGGATTAGGTACGAAAGAGTAGAGAGAGCCGAAGAAGAGAAAGGGGGCGGTGAAAGGGAAGGAGATAATAAAAGGAAAGACGATAACGAGGGAGAGGAGAAAGTCGAAGAAGTCGAAGAAGTCGAAGAAGGCCAAAGAAGTGGACGCATAATACGGTCTAAAGCAAAGAGATCTCGGGTAAGACGATCTAGAGCGTACTAGCGGATACTGGACAAGTTTATCTCAACGGATAGGAGAAGTGAAGGATACAGGCCTAGAATAATCGGAAGGTCACTGATTTCGCTCTCGTGGTTAATGTCGTCATTCCTTGAAGAACTTTCAGCCGCCTCAGCTCGTGTATAGCCATCGACTTGCGGAAAAGAGCATTTATGTTTTCTTTTTATGGTTGTGGGAGTAGAAGAACGAGATGACAAGCTATATCGAATATCGTTACGGCGGCTCGAGGTAAAGCTCGTGCTCGAATATAGCGATAAGAGCTCAAAAAGTTATTCATTCGAAATCACTGGATAATTCCATATCCTTAAAATACCGGGGGGAAAGATAAGGATACTAAAGACTTTGTGTGGTAGTCGAGTTATCATTCCGAACTATATGCATACTATAAGCAATTCTATTGAACTGTGAGACAATATATGACAACGATTTCAGCGTGGCAATGAATGTTCAGCTAAACAAGGGTTTCGTCTACGAGCTGAACACGGAGACACCGAAAGATGGCGACAATCTTTGTCTATATAAACATGCGAGGCAGGGCCTCAACTTGATAGAGAACAGAGCACTCTTTCAATTCACGAAGTTCGACATATTATTATTTAATGCACTATTGTAGCGGGGCGCTACGTGCATGGCTTATGTAAGGGGCAAGCAAACATGGGTGGGTAGAAAGATGGCGAGAGCATTGAGCCTTTCTTGTAATTAGGGCTTGGTGTGTGTAGTTGCTCAACAGCTTTGGCGACGACATCCTCCCTGCATGACAGGCACTCAAGTGCTAAACCGTTCATCACCTATACACTATAAAGTACAAGACGAGAGACAAAGAGCGTGAAAGCAATGCAAACCCATCCTAGATACTTATAGTCAGCGATACAGTTATGCTACAAGGCTACCACGCAGGCGCACGAGGCTATGAGCAAGGCTATTCGACAGCTACAGTGGGCCTGCCAAGACCGTTCGAGGGGATTTCAGGTTGTGCCATGACATAGAGCTTCTCTAAGTGGTTCATAGATTAGAACCGATGAAATACCACGAACCATCGGATCCAATCTATGGATCATCTCGGCGTCGAGGGTTGTCGTTCACTCTCGGTTACGAAGCGTCTCGAGTGCGATTAGTAGAGCCTGTCTGAGTGGTTCACAGACTGGATCCGATGAAATACTACGACCCATCGGATCCAATCTATGAATCATCTCGACATCGAGGCTTGTCGTTCACGCTCGGTTACGATACATCTCGAGCGCGAGTAGTGGTCTGTCTAAGTAGTTCACAGATCGGATTCGATGAAAGGCCGCCGCCATCGGATCTAATCCATGGATCATAACGACGTCGAGGCTTGTCTATTCCCGCTCGGTTACGAAGCGTTTAAGTGTGATTAGTACAGCTTCTCTGAGTGGTTCACAGATTGGATTCGATGAAACACTACGACTTATCGGATCCAACCCATGAATCATCTCGGCGTCGAGGATTGTCGTTCACGCTCGGTTACGAGACATCTCGAGTATGATTAGTAGAGCTTCTCTGGGCGGTCTATAGACTGGATCCGATGGGCGACGGGGGGACTTCATCGGATCCAATCCATGAACCACGAGTGGGAGCCCCGGGGAGGCACATGGTCCACGGATTGGATCCGATGAGGGTGAGGCCGGAAAATATTTAATTCGACGACGCTGATTCGGAAAATATTTGATCCGTTAGAGTGGTTCACTCATCGGATCTTGTTGAACTTCGTGGAATTGAAAGAGTGCTCTGGCTCTTCCTCATGAGTGTAGGAGAGAGCCCATCTATATATCTATCTAACGAGCGCACGTCACCATTGCTGTCTGTTGATGATGATACAGTTTATTGAGCGAGTGTTGCAATATATCCTAGTCTGTTGTAAATGATTGGCTAGCATTTGTTCAATGCTATTGTCCAACAATGAGATACTACGACCCATCGGATCCAATCTGTGGATTATCTCGAAATCGAGGCTTGTCGTTCACGTTCGGTTACGATGCATCTCGAGCGCGAGTAGTCAAGTCTGTCTAAGTGGTTCACAGACTGGATCCGATGAAAAGCCGCCGCCATCGGATCCAATCCATGGATCATATCGACGTCGAGGCTTGTCGTTCACGCTCGGTTACGAAGCATCTCGAGTATGATTAGTAGAGCTTCTCTGGGTGGCCCACAGACTGGATCCGATGAGCGACGGGGGGACTTTATCGGATCCAATCCATGAACCACGAGTGGGAGCCCCGGGGAGGCACATGGTCCACGGATTGGATCCGATGAGGGTGAGGCCGGAAAAATAGTTAATCCGACGACGCTGGCTCGGAAAATATTTGATCCGTTAGAGTTGGTTCACTCATCGGATCCAATCCACGGACCATGTCGATGTCGAGTAGGAAGGACGCGCCCCCTCCGGGGGGGCCATATGGTCCGCAGACTGGATCCGATGGGTGGATCACGTCGATATCGAGTAGAGTGCCCCCCAAGTACATAGACTGGATCCGATGGCAGCGGTAGGAATTTCCACGTGATAATATGTCACGTGACTTTGCCAAGCCGTATGTTTACGTGATCAGCTAGCACGACGGTCTTGGCGTCGCCGCACAACGCCAAGCTGCAA